GGGGGGGGGGGTCTCTTGCTAACTCAAATAATCTCATTAGTCAATACCTGGGTGGAGAGCAAACCCCTTACCACGATGATTCTAGAAGAGCTTGCAGGTCTTAGGTATGTAGAGATGGCAACAGTTAACTCCCCTAACGATACTAAGGATGCCAGAAGCCAACGGTCCAAGATACGCATCGAGTTCTATGAATTGGTAGCAAAGAAAGCCCGAATGATCGCGGAAGAGTTGATCTCCAATCAGGACTGGGTAGGGAAGTCCGACGATGACAGACCGTCACGGGTTCACCATGAACTCGAAAGGGCGCACCTTGAAGATCGCTCCAATCCCTTGAACGGTCTCCTTCATGCCGCCGAAAATCTAATGGAAAATCTTCAAAAGTGCCAGGACGCAAACAACATCGACTCACTCTTGGTCGTCGTGTTTGACGATGCGTCAAGCTTAATGAGACATGGGCCTGGTGACAAACCACATCCCGGACTATATGTGGCGCTCAATCGAATCATCAGTTGTCTCAAGCAGCTTCGTGTGTGGTCGTTCTTCCTCTCCACAGAATCTCTCATCGGACACCTTGTACCGCCGAACAACGCTACGCGGACTGGTAACTACCATCAAGACATGTCTGCTCGTTTGAGCACTGAAGAGGCCAACACGGAGCTAGAACGCTTTCCCCCATTTGTGGCTCTTCAGCTAGACGTCGAAGATAGACGAAAAAGATGCAGGATCCAATCCTCAGGAAAACAGAGCTCCTCAAGCCGTTGAAGACATTTGTGGAGCCAAAGTACATGGCCCTATTCGGCAGGCCTCTCTGGTACGCATATGGAGATCAGCTCGAGCATATGGCTAAAGTGGCCAGATTGAAGCACATTGGTGGTCAGCAAGGGGGAAGTTACAATCCGAGGAACCCGGATCACGTACTTGCGGCGCTGTCCTTTCGTCTCTCTTTAGACGTCTGTCTTCAGAACCCCAGAACTCTCTCTCACAAGGACTGCTGTGAATGCTTTCATGAGAGTGGTTATGTTCATGAACCACGAGACGGGAATGCTAGACACAGTGACGCCATCAGAGCCAATTTTAGTCAAGGCAGCAATGGAGCATCTCTGCAGCAGGTCGGTCAATTGGAGAAGGAGCATTGAAACACTCTCGGAGGAGCTTCTTGAGAAAGGATTGATAGAAAAGGGACGTAAAGGAGAACTCTATGCTCGATTAGTGTTGATCCTTGGACACGACTGGGTCCGGTGTGCTCAGCATCTTCAACGAACTGGTGTTCCAACATTTACAGCAACCTTCACAGTGTCCGATTTTCTCATGGCATTATATGCTAAAGATCATCACAATTCAATTCTGACGATACCAAAGCGGATACGTCAAGCCAGAATGAACTTCACTCATTTTGTACCAGCTGGTCAAAAACTGACTCCCGGGGACATTCCTGCGTTATGCCACGACCTGTTATGTCGAAGCGCTGCGATGCAGCTATCTTGGGACCAGGAAACATACGATCTGCTCATTCCAGTGTACTATGGCACGGAGGACGAAGAGTTCAACCCATCGAAATGCGGAGTCATCACGATCCAGGTGAAGAACAGGAACGATACCACACAACTCCTAGCGAGATCTTCCAAGAGGACTTCACCAATGTCAGCCCGGAGACGCCGAATCCGGCCAAATCAAAGACGAGAGAGTCTGAGCGTGAGCCGACGAAATTTGTGTTCAACAAGGTTGTGACCCCCCATCCTGTTCCTTCTCTCTAGGGGTGGTCAGAAGTGCCCGGGCTTACGCCCCACTTGTTCAAGTGATGCACAGCAAAAGCAGAAAGCAACCTGATTTGTGGGCTATTCATTCGCGAGGACATGATCAAACAATCTTTGGCTGCTTACAGCACATGGAAGCTGGAGATTCGAGCGAGCGCTTCTTTGCTTCAGTAGGTGTGAGCGAAAGTCTCACTGACTGACTCGCTCAGAGAAATAGAACCTTCCATGAGATTCGGCGAAGCTTCAGATATGAGGGATTTGAACACGGGGAAGGTGCGACTGAGGAAGGAGAGGGCGTGGATAATGCTGGAAATGAAGGCGGAGTGGTTGATACCGGAGCACAGGAAGGGGAAGCGAGTAATACCGGAGGGAAGGGAAAGGAAGTGGAAAGCCCCAGGGACAAGCGGTTCAGCCAGAGAGCGCGTGACCTTACCAAACATCTCGTACTCCGGAAATGATCAGATCGGACAGAGGAAGAAGGCTGATTGTGATTGGAGCTAGGTGCGAGGCTTTCCAAGAAGCTTGCTGGTGGATACCAATACAGCTAACTGACGCGCTCGCTGAATGGGGCGAAGTCCGCGCAACCGACGGGCGGCTAAAATTCTATCACTAAAGAGCACAAGCATGACACCTCTACTCGACGAGCCAAAGTTCCAAGAGAATTCCCTCTAGGTCTTCCCCAACCTGCACAAGAAGGCCTCCACCAGAGTGAAATTAAATATGGAAAGGACAGACATCAACACCTCGGAACGACTTGATTGAATAAAAGAGTTGGCGCTGGCTCCCCTCATTCTCTATTGTAGCAGCAAGGCAACAATCATACAGCAGTACGAGAACTCAACCAGGTAGGCCAAGAATTGCTATGTTGGGAAATCCAGAAGTTGACCTACTCTTCCCCGTTGCCCGCAAACACACACCTTCCAGACCTCTCAGTCGAACGAGGCGAATCATACGGATGATCCGAACACCATCTTTTCTGTGTCTGGCTATCAACGGAGAGTAGCAGCGGCTTCGCAAGGATTTGCCAAAGACCGGCCATGCGTCCGGAGCTCCTCGGTATTCCATTCCAGAAGAATGATTATATTCACGTCATTCGTGATAGTGGCAATATTTTGATTAATCTCGAATCGCCAATTCGGATGCCTCCGTGATGTAGAAATTTCGAAGGAGGGGGGAAAAGATTACAAGGCAACACTCCGACCCACCTGAGGGAACAAATCAACAAGGCCATTATCTTCTCTTATCATACGCCGAGCTATATCAATACTACATTACTCGTGACAAGAGATCTTGGACATTTGGCAGAGTGGAATCTGGTAAGCAATGGGATCCCCTGTGGATCAGGCTGAGCCGGAACGGCGGCATTCCAAGGCTCTAAGAGTCTCAGCCTTTCCCCACATTGAGATGCACCTCTCGGGCGATGGTCTTTCTGATGCCATAAGCCACCAGAAAAGTGTGAGAAAGAGTCCAACTCATGCTTATCGATGCCATGAAGTGCTGTCTTAAGACGCCATCTGAATCTCATCAAGTCTTGGGATGTTACAGTCCCTGTCCATCCCAAGAGATAAACCGCATCTGCATTAGACTTGGCCAATATTAAAGTCCTTGCGAGACGAGGCGGTAGGGAAAGGTGATGCAACCTTACCCATGTCTCGTCGATTGGATTCCTATATCTTTCTCTCTTACGCATGCTTGGTCTTCCATGTCCTCTCAACCTGAAACTTGCAACTCATCACGGCGAGGAACATGGCCGCACCGACCAAAGAAGAAAACTCGTCCGAGTCCTTCAATGAACCACCAAGACGAATCTCTGAGACTGGCGATGTCCAGGTGGAGGGTACATATGTGTATGAAAAGCTGCCGTTCTGGACACGCATGGGATGCACACTAGAGTCGTTCAAACCACGTACCCTAGCAGATAAACACAATCAACTCAACCAAACTCTAAGGTCTCGTCACATGCATATGATCGCTATTGGTAAAAAGCCAGTTGAATCTCTTTCGTTCTTGTCATTGTTGACATATTCCAGGCGGTTCGATCGGTGCTGGTCTTTTCGTTGGATCTGGTGGAGCTCTAGCCACCGGCGGTCCAGCATCTCTCCTCATTGATTTTATGATTGTTGGCGTGATGATATTTAACGTCGTGTACGCTTTGGGAGAACTCGCAATTATGTACCCCATTTCCGGAGGCTTTTACACCTATTCAACACGGTTTATCGATCCATCTTGGGGGTTTGCCATGGGCTGGAATTATTGCCTTCAGTGGGCTGTCATTCTTCCATTCGAGATCGTTGTTGCCTCTGAATGTATCCGTTATTGGGATGACACCACAAGTCAGGCTGTCTGGTATTCGATGTTTCTCGCGGCGATCATTATCGTCAATATCTTCGGAGTACTTGGATACGGGGAGGAAGAGTTCTGGAGCAGTCTCTTGAAATTGGCAACAGTCGTCATCTTTATGATCACGTCATTGGTTTTGGTTCTCGGTGGAGGCCCAAGCGATGGCAGATACAATGAGTATTGGGGAGCCAGGTATTTTCTCCTGTACACAACGCCGAGCTCTTGCTAATTGGTTTCAGGACCTGGTATAACCCTGGCGCGTTCGCAAATGGATTCCAAGGCTTTTGTTCCGTCTTCGTCACGGCGGCCTTTTCATTTGCGGGAACTGAACTTGTCGGTCTGGCTGCTGCCGAGTCCAAAACCCCGTTGAAGTCTCTTCCGTCAGCGGTGAAGCAGGTCTTTTGGCGCATCACTCTCTTCTATATCCTCGCGTTGTTGTTTGTCGGCCTTTTGGTACGATACGACGACCCACGACTCTTTGGGGCCGGGAACTTTATCGACACAACAGCGTCGCCGTTCGTTATTATTGCCGGAGATGCTGGTTTATCGGGGTTTGACTCATTTTTAAATGTTGTCATATTAATTTCAGTTGTTTCAATTGGAAACTCTGGCGTCTACGGAGGGAGTCGCACCTTGACGGCACTGGCAGAACAGGGGTATGCACCAGGCATCTTCAAATATGTGGATCGCGCTGGTCGACCTTTGTTTTCAACTATTCTTATTATTGCAATGGGCGCTATTTCATATGTTGGCTTAGCCGACAACGGTGTCGAGATCTTTGACTGGCTTCTAGCCCTGTCCGGTCTAGCTGCCTCGTTCACTTGGGGATCCATCTGTCTTTGTCACATCCGATTCCGCAAGGCTTGGGCATATCACGGTCATACCGTCGATGAGATTCCTTTCAAAGCCATCGGGGGGGTATATGGATCCTGGCTGGGTCTGATAATCAACATCCTCGTGCTGGTTGCACAATTCTATGTGGCACTCTTCCCCGCAGGCAACGACGGTGATCTCAACGATGCCGAAAGTTTTTTCAAGTCTTATTTGGCTTTTTTTGTTGTCATATTCTTTTGGTTCGTGGGTTATGCATGGAAGCGAACTGGATGGTTGAAAACTCATCAAATGGACGTGGATAGTGGCCGTCGCGAAATCGATTGGGATGCTCACCGTGCAGTTGTGGAAAAACGACGGAGTGCAGGACCTTTCATGAAGATCATATATTTCATGTTCTGATGGACTAGGGTAGAAGTTGCGATGTCTTGTCTGTCCAGCAAAAGGGGAAAAGGGCGAGGAAAAATAGCGGCCCTGGCGAAGGAGTAGAGGGGACGCTGATTGTTTCTCTGAATCGGATTTTTCGATTATTGAACGCTGTCTGATCGATTATCGTTTTGTCTCTGGCATTGATGCGCTCCAGAATATTACTCATTTTGACCCGGGGAGCAAGACGTAACTAGGGTTCTACTAGCGCACCGGAAATATCGACGCCCATCCATCATGGAATAATGTGAGAAATAGCGCAGTGGTCTCCCATTAATGTCCGTCCTAATTTTGTCTGTTTCTCGGTTTATGAGGAGATGTAATTCATCACCAGTTAAGAGGGAAAGACTGGGTTCGAGCCGGGAGAGGATTGGATGAAGGTTGGAGTCCAATAACATATGAAAGGGGCAGTTTGAGCTTTTGCCGTTAGTTGGTTATTGTGGAATGACTTGGGATACACTCTTGGGTCGTCGAAAATGTTGTATCCGACTTCGCATTCAGGGAATGGTAGCTGCGGTGGTGGATTTTGGAGAAGGGTTGGGATTGGTTTCAGTACAACAGGTTCCGTGTCGGACGCGTTGAATTTGAGCTGGAGAAGGTCGAGGAGTGGGCTTTGTACCTTTGGAGAGTCCATTGCCTTCTTTTGTTTTTGATATTCACGTGCAGACAAGGCTACGATTTTAGGGGTGAAAAATCTTTGCCGAAGTTGCGTGCGATTGCGATGCTGTCCAAACTGTATGTGACCGCGACTCCGACCGAAATTTGGAAGTGATAAACTGCTACGCCGATTTGAGAACAATGAACGGTGACGTCCGGCCTGAGGGAGGTGGACGGCGACGATGAATTCGAAGGTGGTATTTCGTCCGTCTCAGATGGGAAACATGGAAAGCATTGTGCTTTGACTTCTGTGAATGTGAGAGACAACGTTCCAGCTGACGATCCGAGTGAGTTGATTCTTGTGGAGGACGTACAAGCTGTTGTGTATGTCTCGTAGAAGCGTAGGCGATGTCGCAGACTCGGTTCACCTTCTGTGTTGAAAGAGTATATTCCGTTGCACCGTGAACCCATTGTTGTTTGTCACCAAATGAACGAGGTTGATATCCTCAAGGGGGTTTGTTTGCACTCTTCGTTTCCATCTCAAATGAAACCAAGAGACCCAGGAACGCAAACACCCCATTCGTTGTCGTTACGGTTGCCTTCTTCTTCCTCTTCCTCCTCCTCCTCCTGCTTCTCCTCCTAGCTGGATGGGAGTGGTTCGTCACCATTTTCAGCTTTCCTCACCAAATGGATAGTTGAACTTCAACAATCCATTTAACCCTCCCACCCAGCCATCATCTCCATCAGTTCCAGCACTGCTTCTTCTCATGATACAGGGGATACCACCAACGGAACCTCCAGGATCAGTTTTGATTTCTTCAGTAGAAACTCGCAGCTCTGTACCAACTCCAATGCCATTTGTTCGTCTCATACCATCAATACTAACTTCAACCTCCCGCCCCCTGTTCTTTTCACTAAGCTTCAGGGTGATGGGCGTGGTAGCTGGAAGAACAAGGGGACGAAAGCTCAGACTCCGGGGACAGATAGGGGTGAGGAGCAAAGACGATACGAGTGGATGTATAATGCTCCCACCACTGCTGAGACTGTATGCTGTGCTTCCGGTAGGCGTGGAAATGATCATACCATCTGCTACGGCTTCCGTGAGGAATCTGCCTCCCACATAAACATCGACAATGGCAAGATGTGGATCTCGGCCTCTGTGGAGGATCACCTCATTCATTGCATGCATGTCGTGCAAGACGTCTCCATTATTTCTCAGCCGGTGGCCCTGGGCGTCAAAGACACCGACCTTCAGACGTTGTCGTACCAGAACTCTTGCCCCTCTTGTGGGGCCCATTGACTTGCCCCGTATGGATGACCAACCCGTATATTCAGTTGTCGAATCCGATTCTGTTGGAGAGGAGCTTTCGATGACAGCGTGTCTTTCGGAGGCAGCACCGGACATATACACTTCACGGAATGCCCGTTTGTATTCCGCGAATTTCCATTCACTCAAAAACCCTAGGGTGCCCATGCTAAACGAGAGAATAGGGGGCACTTGTGAAGACATGGCAAACAGGGAAGCCGCGTGCAGGATTGTCCCATCGCCACCAAAGGTGACGACTAGGTCGACTTTGTCATGATATTCCTGTCTTGATTTCGCTGTATCGACAGGGCTGAAATAACGTCCAGGAAGGCGGTGTCCAATTTCGGAGGAGACGTGAGGTTCGACCAGAATGTTGAGATTTGGGTACGTTGACGTGACGTGCTGGCTGAATTCCTCGAGAGCATCAGTCGTCTCGTCGGAGCAGTCTTTCTTGACCAACAAAAGGTTCCGAGGAGGCTGAGACCACTCCAGACAAAGAAGTCCGTTGGCCGGAGTGGTTTTGAGATGAGAAATTGTGCGATTGGGAAGGTCATTCAGTGGCTGTGGGCTTGGCTGGACCGAGGATGAAGACGAGAAGTCGTGGGCGCGGGCTGGCAAGTGCCGAGAACCAGGGAGGACACACCCTGGTCGGCTGGTACACCTCCGGCGCAGAAAGCTGAAGGGTTTGGACCTGAGAAGAGAGGAATGTCTTGTCGTTGAAGATAAGAGGTTCAGTCCGGATGATGACACCGTAGCCATTGCGGAATTCCGTGTCGTCTAGATATGGTGTCTGGGTGGACGGGAAGATACACGCAGATTGCCGAGGATTCTAGGCTGCCCATGTAACTCTTGGATAGCGGTGTGATGTCTAGCAAGGCAGAGGGAACACATGGAACACAGTTACAAAAAACAGACAAATGTCTATATGGTCTGAAATTGGCCATTAGTTGAAACTGTGCATCAATGGAGAAAAGGAGGACCAGAGAGGGAAGCCATGGGAAACCATGCCAAGATCGAGACCCCGGTCGGAACATATCACGTGCCAACGTATCTCTCCACTCCACCGGCCCAGCTTAGTCAGCGGCCATTTAGACTTAGCTTTAGGCTCATTCTTGGCCTCCCTCTGAACTCGGCACTCCGACGTCACAAATTTAGGCAGCCTTCGGAGACTCGGCTCTTTCTCCAACCCTATCAGAACTGCACAACTCACATACCATCATCGTTATAGACCGGCCTGCGCACAACATGGGCTGAGGAGGGAAGTTCTGACCGTTTTGAGCTCTCAACCTTTCGTGCTAAGAAGTCAGTCTCAACTTGCATCTCTCCTTTTGGTATCTTTAAGCGATTTCGAAGGCGTTTGTTGTCTTCCTCTTTGGTACTGCGTGTTCTGCCTTTGTTAAACTGTTGATGGACACGATCCTGTCATTTTCCCTAGGAATAGATCCTATTTGAAAACCCTCGACGATGGCGACCAGCTCTCTAAGAAAACGGAATTCGCAGCCCTCATCGACGACCGAACTGAGTCCCGAACTGAACAATGGCGCACCTCCTACCAGTGAACAGCCGCATCCCGCTGGCGAAGTCAAATATGGGGCTTGGAATCAGATTCTTCGCGCACTCCTTCTCTTGACATGGTTCAACTGTTCCGCAGTTTGCATCAACACCACGCAGTTCTTGGGCGCTCCCCTTTATTGGTGGAACAGAGACTACTACTATGCATATATGGCATTGACGAAGCAGTCCTTCGGTATAATGGCGATTGCGGGAACACGATGGTTTGCACCGACCAAAATCCGCGTGAGCTGGGACAAAGATCTGCGAGGACAATTTCAAAAAACCAACACAGGCAGGCTCGTGACCACATTCCCCGAACGCCTGGTCTACATTGCCAATCACCAAGTCTACACAGAATGGTTGTACCTCTGGTGGATCGCATACACGAGGAGGATGCACGGACACATTTTCATTATTCTCAAAGAGTCTCTCAAATATGTACCGGTCCTGGGCCCTGGTATGATGTTCTATGGCTTCGTCTTCATGGCTCGAAAATGGGCGTCGGATAAACCTCGTCTTCGGCACCGACTCGAAAAATTGAAAACACGCCACAAGGGTCCGATGTCTGGTTCGGAAGGATTTGATCCAATGTGGCTGTTGATTTTCCCTGAGGGCACGAATCTGGCAGCGAACACCAAGAAAGTGAGCGAGAAATATGGCGAGAAGGTGGGGATTCCTCACCCCAGACATGTGCTCCTTCCTCGAAGTACCGGTCTCTTCTTTTGTTTGCAGCAGTTACATGGTACAGTCGATTGGGTCTATGACTGTACTATCGCCTATGAGGGAACACCGTGAGTGGAAGATCGTCAATATTTTACCCGCAATGTGGAACTAATGACGTCCCAGTAAAGGAGGCTTTGCGCCAGAGTACTTCACAATCCGATCAACCTACCTCCAAGGTCGGCCTCCAAAATGTGTCAACATGCACTGGCGGCGTTTTGCTGTGTCTTCGATACCTCTTACTGACCCTAAGGAATTCGAAAAGTGGCTGTTGGAGCGCTGGCGAGAGAAAGATGACATGCTTGAGCAATGGTACAATACTGGACGGTTCCCTGCCGACGCTGAATCTGCTAGCCCCGAGAAGGGAATCTCAAAGGATGGATTCATCGACACGGAAATGATTCTGAACAATTGGATAGAAATTGGGCAGATTTTTGTAGTGGTGGCTGCTCTTGCGTTGGTCGTCAATGTGATCCTGAAATTCTTGGGCATTTTTATCACTTTGAGCTGAGGGCAGTCATCCTTGGAGACGGCGTTTGCGGCAGACAAAGTAGAGGACGGTCAACCATTCAGGGTGGAATTATTCTGCAAAGCAAGGAAGTGGAATGCATGGTTGGCGCACGGATGGCTACTTGGGAGGTGAAATCTACTTGTGTATTCGTTTGAATAAGGGATGAGAGGCTGAAGACTATTTTGACGCTAACATTGATCAGATGAACAATCAACCAGGCATTCTGAAGGATCCAAATACATTCTTAGCTTGAATCCTGGATCAGGGTGCTACATTGGGGGACGGGAATCTGCCGAGGCCAATGAACAATTTTCCTCTCTCCATCTGACATTTTCCCCCTTGTTGTGTAGTGTAGCCCCACCGCTTCCTAGTGACTGAGGGTATGACCATCACAGGGTATGTGTCAGCTTTTGTCTCTTCTTTCAGATTGGTGCTGATTCCTGCAAGCTTTCTCCTAGATTAGGATTCGGCACGATCCTTGGGGATGGCAGTTGACTGACTGATGGTTGTGGGGTTAATAGAAGACGAGAGAGTGGCAGTAGAAGAAGTGTGGCTTGGGCATTCCCTCTTCAGCCCCTTCGACAGGTATCCGTACAAACCAACAGTGTGCGGTCTAGTCCGATAGGCATCAAAGTGGACAGCACAGCATATGTATAATTGCTGTAATAATACTGGATGGGGGCGAGGCTATCAGCCAAAAGGGGTCTATTGCTCTCACTTCTCCGTTTCAACCATTCAAGCAACCACTCTCCTTTCTTCTCCCTCCCTTCTCCCTGCAATCATCTCCCCGGCATTGCCTGCCCTAATCGACCGCCGCTTGACTTGATCAACGATCCTTTTAGCCAAGGGGGCTTGTATCTTGTAAGACTCTGGCCATCCTGCGATCTCTCCTGTCTCGCCTTGCCATGTACTTGGAACCTGCGCCTTCCGGACGGATCAAACGCCTCAGACCACCCCCCCGCCTGGTGGAATGTTACAACAAAGTCGGACAAAAGGAATCTGTGAGTTCGCTATTTCGAATTTCCACTCAGCTTTGAGGCTTGACAACACATGATCGGATATGACCCTGCAACCAACAGGTTGCCGCGACAAGTTTCAGCCGCACGCCAACCCCTGGATAACGTCCGGCGGGTTACGTGAAAACGGATATCCCGTCGATATATGACTGTCCGGAAACTTGTTCGGCTTGCTGAAGTCTTCGGCTTCCCTATACAAGAGAATTAACAACACATCTAGGTCAAGACTTCCTCCGCTGCGACCATACTTTCCAATGGAGGTGCTTTTGAATGAAGGTCTCACTAGTGCCTGGCGTATGTATTGATGACAATAGCCTATTCGCCCACCCTAGTGCTAATGCCGAAGGATTGCGGGACGCCTCGCCCTGTTGGCTATGCTCCTCGACGCATGAGGAGGGGACTCTCCCATCATATAGAACACGACGTTATTCTAACACATCCTCTTTGTATCCGTTCGCAAGAGGCTTGATGTGGCCATGACGCTGCCTACTGAAAATCGAATGTATCCCTTTCAATTCTAGCAACATTTGATCCCCGACCCGGGTCTATATTGACTTCTTGTCAGCGACTCCACTGCATGCAGAGAAAATGGCAGGAGACAGCTATAGTCATTTGGGCGGCGGAGAAAGCAAAGGCGATAAGAAATCACGTCCGATGAATTATATTGATTGTTGCTCTGTCAATTAGCGGGCAGATGATATCTTTTACTTTCACCCTAGTTATTACTGGTTTGGTGTCGACCGTACTTCTCCCTCCGTTCTAAGGCTGAAAATGAAAATGCGCCGGGGTTAAGGTATGTCTATTGAGTTTCCCTTCCGGCCAGTTTTCGCTGGTTTCAAGAATTCTATTGTCTATTGTCTATTTCAATTAAGGATCAAAGTGCTTTGCTGGGAATTAACACAATCTGCCATTCGATACTCATCTCGTCCCCATCATCATTACTACTATCATCACCACTTCAGACCATGATGCCTCCTCAGTCCCAGCCTCAAATTTCCACCGACTTCAAGAGCTCACAGCAAGCAATAGCTGCCGGTCTCCCACGATGCGCCACCTCGACATTGAAAGAGATCTTTACACCTCAACTTGCCGTCAGAACTTGCATGCACCTGAACTGATGCCTACCACAACCTCCAAAGGTGAGGCTTTGTCACTGAATCACTGCAAGAACAAGACACCACCAAACTCCGAGTGATGCTGCACAAGTTGTTCGAAGGCTGTGCCGCTACAGCCGACCTTCCCGAGTCACTTACTCTTCAAGGACCTGGTCGAGATGTACCCAGACGCAAAGATCGTGCTCAACGTACGCAAAGGCGGCGCCGCAGACTGGGAAGCCAGTATGAAATTCACCATCGCGCCCCTCTACAGCAGGAAGTACCGCGTCGCCAACTTCTGGTCCGTTCCAAGTTCCTGGCACTACCTGGCCGAGGAAAGGTGGCAGAATTTCGTCAGAGAGAAGTTCGGCGTGGACACCTTCTGGGAAGCCTCAGCATATGATGCCCACAACGAATGGGTCGAGAAGGTGGCTCACGAACATGGTCGTAAAGTCCGTGTCTGGGAGCTTAGGATGGGGTAGATTGATCCGTGTCACTTCCTGGGCAAGAAGGAGCTGGAGACGCCAATCCGTAGAAACGATGATCGTGCTAAGAGGGAGAAGATGGTTGTGGTTCCTATCGCTCTTTCAGTCGCTGGTGGTTGGGGGGTCATCAGGTTGATTAGGGCATCGGAACTTTTCAAGCTAGGTTCACGTTTGATTGTTGCATGTGGGAAAATTGGTTATCTGATGGATGATGCTTTTGAACTTTTGTCGGCGGGATCTCAAAGTCGGAATTTGATCTTTTTTTTTTTTTTTCCTTTCCTTTCGAAATTAGTATGGAGATCAATAATATGATCTTCATAGCTCCTGGCGAAGAAACAGTTCAAAGAGAATCTCAATCAATGATGCATGAGACAACTGAGTGATATCTTTATTCACCAAGTTGCTTGATAGAGTTGTTTGTTGAATCCCACGAGGCCAAAGCTCACGATTCACGAGGACTCACGACACATCATTCCCGGAATAAGTGCTGAGGCATACATGACTGCCGTGATTGGCATGAGTTCCGCCATTCGACCCTTCTGTTGCGTCGTTGGCGTCGGCACGAGACCTTCATTCTCCCATGTCTCGCAGATATGATCTGGGAGGCCTTGCACTTGGGGGTCAGCTTGCGTCCCGCTTGCGCTTCCGAGGGCACACCGAACACCCAACGCGGTCCCAAACTCGCGAAATGCAAGTCTGCGTTTAGTGGATTTGTCAAAGTGGCCTTGCTGCACGAGTCGAGAAAGGCATTCGAGGGCCTTGTGTGAGAGAGCGGCAGCCCACTCTTCTTCCGCACTCACCCAATGCGCGGTCCAGAGCGTCATGCCTAAGTCGAGAGTATCGTTGGACGAGTAATATTGCCATTTCTTGTCGACAATCTTCTTGAGTGCGGCAATTTCATCTTTGAGGATCCGCTGGTCATCGCTGCTGGCTTGAAGCACGCTGTATGTCACATACCCGTCGATGGGATCGAGATTGCCCTCGGACATGACAAGTGGATATGAAAGATCCATACTGAGTTTCCAGAACATACGCGGTCTGCTTGAAGTCATATTGGTCATGAAGCGGGGGAGAATGGCTTTAGCCATAGCCACGGCTTGGTCGTTGTACCATTTATCACCTGTCACGTGCGTCATGCGGTTGAGCGAAAACATCCACACCGTCAAGTAGTGGAAGTACTGCCCATCACCGTCTGGACCGGCTTCATCGTGTTTTCCAATACGCAGGCCGCCATTGAGTGGGTGCTCGGCCGTGGCGCCAGGGAGCCGGGATTTGCCGTCGCGTGTATAGCCCAAGACATTGTGGACCGTGGAGACAAGGTTGGTGGCGAAGGTGAGGTAGCAGTGTTCGCCAGTCAGTTGGTGCAGGGTCAGAAAATTCACAACGGCGAACCCGTCGGTCCAAAGGTATCGGCCTCGATGGCCCTCTGCGGTTTCTGGGGGGGTCCATTTGGAAGCGGCATCAGCTTCTGGGAATGGGCCATAGATGGATTCCATGGCTTGGAGGAATTTGGGGAGGTTTCGGGTTTGGTCGAAGGAGGACGCCATGGTTTTGTACGGGGAGAGCTGAGGATGAGAAGGGAAGGACAAGTAGTTGGGAGCTGTACGGGTACTGCACTTACGACGGTATAGATTCTGTGATGGAGGGTGATTTGATGTCTGATATGGTAGCCCTGAACGACGAGACTTGGTCAAAGCAGCGATGTCTTGCCAGGAGAGTCTGCGTAGTGACAGTAGCATTGACTCTGGCAACAAGTATTCCTCATTCCAGCAGTCTTCTTGTATAAATGTCAATTCAGAGTTTGATATCCGGAAGCGGAGGGATGCCAAATTCCGGAGGCTCTTGCAGCTTAGGCCGAAGAAAGGCTTGGCAAACTGTGCCCCTCACTCCCACCTACCCATGACTTCAATGTGACTTCAAGCTGCGATTAGGCGAGTCACCTCCGGGACAGCCCCTCATCTACCTTCCGACACATTCTGCCAGCTTCACTCACGGGCACTATTTCGATTCCATCATCGGCGTCCCTCAATTCGTCTTGACTCCACTGCCTCAATTGATTACGCCTTCTTTCGATTTCCCATCCTCCTGGAAAATCTTTCGAATCCTCACCAGCATTCTGTAACATCATCCGTCTCGTACATTCCCCAATCAATCCGTCAAAATGGTTAAAGCAGGTCAGTCCCATCCTCCCCTCTCACCTCCCGGCTCGAGGACCTCCTGCGGATGATTTCGTCCGGTTTTGTCAGCATCAATCAAAGCGACAATGGACGGATTGGAGGCTTGATTCATCTCAATTGCTGTTGAAGATGCTGGGAGGACCCAGCGAGATATTCCAATGCACCATCGGGCAAGCAACTGAAACCTCTCGCTGACATTCTGATTTGAATAGTTGCCGTCGTCCGAGGAGATTCCAAGATCACTGGACAAGTGACCTTCGAGCAAGTCTCGGAGTCCGCTCCGACTACCATCTCCTGGGACATCACCGGTCACGACCCCAATGCCGAACGTGGCATGCACGTCCACCAATTCGGAGACAACACCAATGGATGCACCAGCGCTGGCCCTCACTGTATGTTAGGATCTGAAGAGAAAAAAGCACGACCAGGACTCAAAAAGCTGATAAACATTGTTGTAGACAACCCACATGGCAAGACTCACGGCGGCCCAACCGACACTGAACGCCATGTTGGTGACCTTGGCAATATCAAAACTGATGCTCAAGGAAACTCCAAGGGAAGCCTTAGCGACAGCTTTGTCAAGTTGATCGGCGAACACAGTGTGCTCGGAGTATGTTCAAATCCCACCCTCTCAAGAGTCGGCAGGATTGTGAGAAACTGACGCAACCCCTCAACATAGCGCACCATCGTCGTCCACGCTGGTACCGACGATCTCGGCAGAGGCGGGAATGAGGAGAGCAAGAAGACCGGCAATGCCGGTCCTCGACCGGCCTGTGGCGTCATCGGCATTGCTGCATAAATATCTGAATGATCTTAACCAGATGACCAAAATCAAGCGAGCCAGCATGAGCATGCAAAACCAAGACAATATTACGCTCGTGGATGTTTGGGAATATTGGGAAAAAGAAAGGTCAACCAGTCAATCCAATCAACGGCGGTCATGCCGGCTCTCTTGTACGCAGCAGCATCATGGCAAATCAAGCATATACAATTCCATTCCGAAAAGTCCATTGACCAAAGATTCTAAATCCCAGGACCGTGTCCGAAGTCTCAACATGTAGCTTCCTGTGCCTAGACTCTTGCAAGAGCGCGACTAAAAAAAAAAAAAAAAAAAAAAGGAGATTTGAATCGCAGGAACAGTTTATATTCACTCATCATAATAACAGAACAGTCTTGATTCCTGGTCCAGGGGGTATTTTTATATGATGAAATGGCAATCCTTCCCCCCGAATTTCTACTACCTGGTAATAGGTATGCTATGCCATGCTGAGCGTGTCCAATGCGTAATTCCGTATGTGTTTAGTGCGCCGTGATTCAGATGAAGCAAGGCACCAAAAAGCCAGAACTAGTGTTAGTGCCAGAAGCCCGGAAACAGATCCAAGTCTAATTAATTACTTCCTCTGAACGCCTTTCGATTTTCATGCGAGGAGAGACCATCCATGCGATGGGTTTCGTATCGGACGGAAATGGACAGGTAGGCAGAGGAGATGAAGAGTAAGAGGGAGAAAAGGATAACGGTGAAGGAGAATGGGGAAAGATAAATAGGCAAGGGACCGACATCTCGACACACACCAGTCACTCGGTTGAGATCCGAGCCAGGTAAACAGACCCAGCACCGGATTTCGTCCGAACTACTCAAGCCCCAGTCGAGACATTGACGTTCAGGCAAAGCCCGACGAATGAGCTCCAGATTGGGACTTGAAACTTGTCAAGGAATGCATCTCGCCGCCTATTGTCCCGAGTTCCCTCCTCATCCAACATCCCACTCCTGCCATCGAAGCAGAATCAAAAAGAACTCAAACTTCAGTGGCAGTGACGAATCTCTCCATGAACGGGCGGTCGATCTCGCCATTCGTCGACTCCACAATGGCCAATTTCTCCGTCTCGATCGGGAGGCCCCTGGTTAGATCACTGGCCACTTCGGGGGCAGCATGCCCATTGGCCGTCGGGGGGTTCGACGTGACAGATTCTTCGTTCAACTTTTCTGCCACGGCTTGTGTCATGGCCGCTCTATGAGATGGCGTTGGACCAGGCTCAGGGATGGCGGAAGGGTGAGGATGTACGGTGGATGGTTCTTGCGTGCTCGTCGTCTGAGGAATTATCGTGGGCGGCGTTGCAGAGGAAACAGAGATGGTCTCTGTCGTGGTGGGTGGTTCTGATTCCTTTTCCGGGACATTCGGGAGTTCTTGCTGGGATTCTTCACGCCGAGAGTTAGGCCGAGGTTCTAATTGCGGTGTCGGTGGTTGTTCTGGGTTCATCCTGCTTTCTACGATCTTGGCTGATATTGCTCGGTCTGCGACAGCAGCCGCCGATGCCTCTGCAGCATGGTGATGTGGCGAGGCTGTCCCATTGGCCATCTTCGTCGTACTCGACTTGGTCACGATCGACAGTTTCCGATCAGGATGAACTGGCACCTCGGTGTAGTCGGCCGCGCAGACAATCGGTTTTTTCTTCTGAATATCGCTGTCCGGTCTTCTGAGTTTCCCGTTCTCGGAACCAACCGCAACTCTCTGTCCATCCAGCCATAGACACGGACCCCGGACCCAGCCTTTATTTCCATCCTTTTCTAATGCGGCGCGCGTTTCGTCATCTAGATGCGGGAGATCGCCACATTCCCAGTCGAGTTCACCGCCATATCGTTTGGGGAAATCTTTGGTGTCCATGAACTTCGACAGGGTGGGTTTTACATCGTTTTTGCTCAGGATGAAGATTTTGGAGACAGTGACGGGATCAAACCACCGTTTAATCCAGCCCCAGACCGTGGGGAAGAATGAGGGAGCGCCGATTATCTGATACCGGTCAGCCTTTTGACAGCTTCCTCACTATTGGGGACATCATCCATACAAATATCCGGTCAAGGGTTTCGGGGTAATGTGCCGTTGCCAGGATACTAGCATCTTGCATGTGACCTTTCAAGTTCCAGAATTGAGTTAATCCAACACCAGAGATATCAACGATGTTTGTAGAATTCGTAACGGGTACTTCTGGATTAGGTCGTTCCAGGGTCGAGACGAGGGGCATGACGAAGTTAAGGAGGTTCTGGTACAGGGCGAACAGAGGTATTAATTTGGCCGGGGTAGAGAGGTTCTTGTGATATGGGAGGCTGTCTTTGTATTCCTGCGATTCCTTCTGATATTTGTGAACAGTCTTGCTGTCCAGGCCTTTGATCTGATAGACGTAGATGGGGATGCCTCGTTTGTCGCGGTGGCCAGTCCATTGAGGGTACTGTTCCTTCCTGTCAGCCATTATCAGGCTGTAAGTTGGGAGGGGGAGGATAGTTGAGCTTACCACAAGGCGCGCCTTTTCATAAGCCTCTACATCAAAGTGGTCGTAGAGTTCTTCCACCTGTTGATCTTTCAGCCATTTCTCCGTGTCCGTGAACTGGCCGATAGCGCCGTTGATATCGAACTTCCGAGCTCGTAGATACCGGCTGGAAGACAAGTCAGCGCCGATACAAATGGCCACGTCGCACAACTCATACAGCAATGTCCCATCGTCGTGGCTTGGTTTGCCATTGACTCCATCTGGTGACCACCATCCTCCTTTCAGCAAGCGGTCCTTGAATTCCTCGAGCTTTTGTTCTTGGACCGGGGTCAAATGGTTTAGGGTACCCGCCAGAGGATCAGTGGTCGTTGTTTTCGTCAGGGTCGAGTATGCCTGTGTAGAGTGATCCGAATGATGAGAACTATGCGATTGACCGGTGAGAGTTCTGTGAAGTGGACTCATTTCGGAGGGGAGAATTATGCAGGGGGACTCGGATTGGATAAAAAAAATACACTTGGAGAGATGCAGAATTCCCCGTAGCGAACCGGGTCACCGCAAGATGCGGCCAGTACAAAAAGAGAGGTGGAAATCTAGGAGAGAGATGATCTAGGAAGAATAAAAGATAGGTCTGCGTAGAGCAAAAAGTTAGTAGCACTATATGGAAGCTGGGAACTTATTTCAGGCGTGCCGAAAGATTTCGAAGATGATTGCAAGTTGCTGGTACCCGTTAGCCAGCAAAGATCGGGTTTGCCGGGTAAGAGACACGGCCGATTTAGCAAGCCGCAAGCCGAGATGGACATGGAGACCGGGGATCTTTGGGTTTCTGCAGGCGATGACAAGGGCCTGCCATGATGCTTCCATCTGAGTCAATCACCGTCCCAAGTCAAGGCACAGGCCGACTGTGAAGCAGCCAATGTAAATTGCCGAGGAACAGATTCGCTGATATCATCCTTCGTGCCGTTATTGATTTCTCGTACTCGTTTCGTACCCGCTCCCGCGTCTCCCGCATTCGCTGTCAGTCTATCATCACCATGATTGTCGGCGGTTCGGAGAGCGAGATGAAATGATTCCTGTATTTCATTGTCCTCTGCAAACTCGGATGTCTAGACTCTTGCATCGATGATTCTTCAAGCATTTCTCGGACAGCTCCCCTAAGGCCCCCTTTTAGCTACATGGCTGGGGAAGGCTCCTAGGTAAGGTTTGTACCTAACCACCCCTGATTTAGGCAAGTGGACTTGACGTCCTTCACTGGCCCTCCCCCCTCCTCCCTTGTCAGCTGAAGTAATGCTCTTGAATAATTCTGTCAGCCAGTTCCTTTTTTTTGGAGATTCCCAGCGCGCGAGGCTGTCAAACTCAAAACAATCGGAGCCAAGAACAAAGATTCCGTCCTCTGCTTTTCCCACTATTTCGGCCGAGTATATTACCTATGGCGGGCCAATTTCTCCCGCCGTCACCATCTAGATGAGATGCCTTGGGATGTGTGAGTCTAATCTTCAGTCAAGTCCCCATACTCCCACATACCCCTTCGATCCTTTTTTGCCTCATCCTGAAGCTCTTTCAGCTTCGTCAATGTGTCTCCTGCCTGTCGTTCCCAGGCCTTGAGCTTGGTTGGTACCATTGCCAACCCTTCTCGAACCACCTCCGCATTGATACTTTCATCAATCTTGGTCGACACCTTCGGGTCGAGCAAGGAGATATATAACGTTCCTTCCGGAGCGACATAGTCGACATTGGCCACCAGTTCTCGTCCATCAGTCTGTTCTGCGATGAAGTCTACCGTTTCATGAAGGTATTGTTGGGAAGTTGGTAATTGCAAGAAAGACAATACCGCATCCGTGGCTTGTGGCTTGAGCCTTTGAGTCGAGAATTGTGGTTGAGTCAAAGGTCGCAATCGAGACCACGGAATCGTCTCCGAGTTTCCATAGTCCAGATATGTCAAATCGACCTTCCCTCCTTCCCGATCAACTCTGCGAACCTTGGCTCGATACCACTCATTGTCCACGGTGAATTTGGCTGCAACAACATCCCCAACCTTGGGAGGTCCAGGGAGAGGTTGATCATTGGCCTTGTTCAAGTGGAATGATTTGAATGCCGTCATCAGCTCCGTCAAGCTCGCAGTTCCCGCTCCGATCTGTTGGATCTTGAGTTTGCCGGTCTCGTCGACATGCGTCACCATCACGTCGCGGTAATCCTTTCTTCTTGAAGTCGTTTCGGCCGAGTCTCCATTCGCACCCTCTGCACCATTCGACCGAGGCCCAGCCTCATCTTCATCCAAGTCTTTGCTGGGATCCCAGTCGTGCCACATACCTTTTCGGGCCTCTTTGGCCTTTTTCTGTGCGGCAAAGAGTTCATTCGCATGACCACTTTGCTCAGCCGAATAAGCATGTACTTCTGCGAGACCCTCTTCGACCAAAGCTCGGGCAAAATTGTCGCGTCCAACATACATGGTACCGATGAATCCGCCGACTTTGTCGGTATTCTCCACATCGATCTCGACATCTCGTTGCAGGCATCTTCGATTGGCAAAATCGTATGCTTCTTGTCCGAAAGGTTCAGCGGTGTCACCCGGCTGTCGTGCCGGTTTTGGCGTACGGATGCCGGAGAGAACAAACGTAAGTTTTGCATTTTCTCGAGGGACCAGGACCACGAATCTAGAACCCGCGCGAACAAAGTCCACCACGGCAGGGACCTTTTTCTGTCTCTGTAAAACCGATGCCTCCATTTTAGCTTTCTGTAGGCTTTCTGAGTAGTCTTGATATTGTTTGGCTGTTGGCGCTTTTGGAGACCACATTCCTTTCTCGTCCTTCTGGGCTGATTCCTCAGCAAGTAGAAGAGCGTCATAGTCTGGCGAACGGTCGTCATCATCCCGTCGATGGCGTATCACAGAAGCATATCCCGCTTCCACCAAAGTCAATGCAATGTTCTTTCCACTGACAAGCACCGTGGCCACTTCTCGCTCCTCAAAGCCTTCTGAAGCAGGCTTCTTGCCATCAATGGTCACCTTGACATGTTTTCCGATCAAGCGCTTTCTCAAAAACTCCTTGGCCTCAGCACCAAACGGTGCTTGCTTTGGATCTGAGGGTTTGGGTTGTCGGATACTGGAAAGGGTCACTTTTCGTTCCTCACCCGAACGGGTTCGGATAAAGACCGTTTCGGCGTTCAATATTCGGGACACGGTGAAATCGGCATCCTGGACACCGGCAGCCTTGGTGGCAGACACGCCGGTAAAGACTCCTCTCCGGGCATTCCTTGCTCCATTCTCCGCATTTCTGAACTGGGCCATTTCGTTGCCGAGGAGAGTGACATGTTGGTCATTTGATCGAGCCAGACCAGCGTCAAGGAGGAACTTTGCGATGTTTCCTTTCGGATGTAGGACATTCGCAATGAGCTGATTTTGCGGCGTCACACCGAGGAGTTCAACCGCGCATTTACGCTGATGTAGTCTCTCGTCCACAAACGCGTGAGCCTCAGTACCGAAAGGTTCGGCCGGAACATCTTTGCCTTCGGGAGAAGTTCGCTTCGTAGCAGGAGCTCTCACACCGGCTAGGACCAGCATGGTTTGAACATGTTTGGTAGGTGTAAGCATCAGTCGGGCAATCAATCGATCGCCAGTGAGAACACGTTCCACGATGGCATCGACCTTCTTTCCCTGGTATTGCTCCACCAAGGCATTCGGATCAGAGACTTCAGAAGAGTTCTCTATTTGGCCACCTTTGGCCCAGAGGCCTCTGATATTCGACTTGGCCTCGCTCTCCAAAGACCGGAGCTTGTCTAGGTATGCCAATGCGTTTTCATCGTCCTCCTTTTTGCCTGCATCCTCTCGCACTTTAGCCCAGCCTTCCTGCACGATCAGATCGGGAAATTCAGAGCCATTGGGAAGCTTGACTCGGCCGTATTCTCGTTTGGTGGTAGGAATGGCGTACAGGACCTGAAATTGGACGACTTTCCCGAGAAGTTGCTCTCGAAGAAATTCACGGGATTGGAAGGCAAATGGCTGCCACCGTTAGCTTGAAAAAAGATGACAAAAAGCGGGAACGGGGAGCAAGAAAAGGACCAACCTCGTCACCCTCCCTCTTCAATCGAGGGGCGCTGATGTAAGCCAACGACAGAGTGCGTTCGGCACCCTTCTGGTTGGTGATGATCAAGGTGTCGCCTGACGGGACACTTTTAACACGGGCTTGAAGAAGAGCCATTTTGGGAGGGCTAGAGATGCAGTGCGAGAGGACAGGTGTGAACAAAGGCAATCAAAGGCAAATGAAGGTGCTGTTCATGCAAATGTCGAGGTCAGCAAATAATTGTACAAAAACAGGCTTCAAGTGGCGGTGGGGTACGAATGTGAGTTGTTGAAGCCGCAGGGTGTGAATATGTCAGTGTGGGCGCAAGTTTGTGTGCACACCCACACACCAACCATGCATTGTGTGGAGTGCAAGGGGTAAGTACATGTGATGCTGGGCAAGTACCCAAGTACCTACCTTCTTGGCCCCTTGTCCATCCACCTCATGGTTGTATATCGAGATGACATCTTTTGGTTCATGTTTATATCTTAAGACTGCTTTGCATACGGAGAAGAGCGCATTCAGATAGCTTTGTGTAGATGTTATTCTTTGTATCTGGCGTCTCGCCTACTCCCGCTCCTTCCCGATTCAGATGCTTATCTTGACTTTTTGCGGGGTGGAAGATAAAATATACAACAGAGAGAATTTCCCACTCGAGCATATACACGACCATCTGCTTTATCTACCAGGGCGGGCCAAGACTGCCTCTATCACAACATATCTCATGAAGTTATAAAATAAAACAACGTGGAATCCCAATCTCTACCTGTTTTCATCTCCGGCCATCCCCCCCTATCCACTTCAGCCTCGTCGCCCTATAAAAAATGAACAATACCGACCCAACCCACCGCAAAGCCATAATCGGCAACCCCAATGCCTCCTTCTGGCTCTACGACTCATCCACAGGCTTCGATCTCACTCACCGTCCCACCCCTACCTCACCAACTCCAACACCAACCTACACAATCCTAACAACCACGATCCCCATCACCATCTCCCCCTCCAAATCCGCCCTCGTGATCATCGACATGCAGAACTTCTTCCTATCCCCTCATCTCGGCCGACCCAGCGATTCCAAAGGCCTCCTCGCCCAACGACAGCTCCTCGACCACGCCATCCCGGCCGCCCGCAAGGCCGGCATCCGCATCATCTGGCTGAACTGGGGCTTGACCAACGAAGAAATCGCCACCATGCCACCCGCCACCCTTCGCGCTTTTGGCTTTGAAACTGTCCTTGCCGGTGACTTCCCATCATATGCGACTATCGACGCGAAGCAAGCAGCTATCGACTCTCACGGCGTCAACGAGGGCTGTGACAAGCTTAGCAACACTCAAATCGAGACATCGGGCAAAAACCCCCGCATCTACAAAGGCCTTGGGACCGAGATCGGGCATGTCGAATTGGACGACGGGTCTACTGTGCCCGGTGGTAGACTTCTCATGCGCGACACTTGGAACGCCGACCTGACGCCGTCCTTAAAGAGGGCATACGAAGAAGGCAAGACAGCCAGTCCACCGGACATCTGGATCCACAAAAACCGCATGTCAGGCCTGTGGGGCGCAAGTACAGCATGCACGGAATTTCTAGACCAAGAAGGCATAAAGACGCTATTCTTCGCCGGGGTCAACACCGACCAGTGCGTTGGTGGCAGTCTGCAAGATGTGAGTTTCATGATCTTATTTCCGTGTCTTGATATTTTAACTCCGTTCACACCCATCCTATACGCCGCAGAGATACCGATACGACAGTGGTAGATCCCAGTGATGGTTCAGAGCTTGACGATTCTTTTTCTAGGCATTCACGAAAGGATACGATGTGATTCTCCTATCCGATGGCGCCGGCACGACGAGTCCGTCGAGTAGTCAGGAGAGCATTGAATTCAATTGCGCGAAGACTTGGGGCTTTTGCACGACGTGCAAGAGTTTTGCTGAGGGAGTGGGATCATAAATGATATGTAAGAATGAAGCAATGACTTGAAACGAACATGGGCGACTGCTATCTGTTTCCTTGAATTCTGTATTCATACGCGATCCGTTTCCAAAGAGAACAACGAAGAGCCAAAAAGGTCCAGGAAAGTTGCTCGAGGGATTGTGAAAGTAGTGGTTGACCTAGAATCAGTGAAGCTACCCTGCCCCATTCCCCCCCCCACCCAAAAAAGGTATTTTGTCCACAGGCCATACACGAGAGCTCAATGGACGAGACCAACTTATCGGGGTTCTGCGAATGGTGATGTGTCCGCTCGGTAGACGGAGAAGCTCAGAACAGAAGAATGTATTGGCCAACAAGTTTGAGGGCGTAAGAATGGGGTATCATATATTGTACAAATCTCGGTTGTTGCAAGTATCACTCCTGCCCACCAAGAGTGCTATTCTTCTCGCTATAAACGCCTTGGACGGCAGTTACACTTGATTGACAACTCGTGTACATGCTGGAAAAGAAGCAGCTTGCAAGTATCATTGCTATGGCATCGTTCCATCATTCATTCCATCACTCAAAATGAAGTCGTTATAGCTGGGCTGGCCAAACTCCGCCCAATCCCATTCGAAAGTCATGGGCATCTGCCACAAATCCTGAGGCACAAAAGGTTGTTGGAACGACCCGACATTGAGAGGCGACATTGTTGAGCTGGGCATCTGTTGGCTACTCAAGTCGGGGCTGAGTCCAGGTTGAGTGAGCATGTCAACATAATCATTGTCGAGATTGGCCATGCCGAAGAACGAGTTGTTAGGGTTGAGAGAGTTGCCTGGAGTATTAGCGCCCATTGGTGTAGCTGATACTCCGGTCGCCGGAAGCGAGGTTCCTGGAGCACGAGGAGAGCTTCCGGTGCCACTTGATCTTCGAGAGCCAGCCGTGCGTCCGTTAATCTGTGACTGGACCTGTGCCATTGCAGACTGGTTGACACGTAGGATTTCTTCCGGGACAAGTTTGCGCTTCCTCTTGGTGCCTTCTTTTTCGGCCCTCTCAATCACTACTCTTGCAATGCGAGCAAACTCTGAACAAACGGTAAGCATGCGAGTCAGAGATCCTGTCCCCTCATCATGGGCAACATTAGACAAGAAGTTGACAACAAGGTCCATGAGCTTGATATCGGCTCTTGCACGAGTGTCCTGAGGATTTTGCAGAACGTTGGCAAAGAGGGTGACGAGTGCAGAGACTGGGAAATACAGAATCAGCCAGACACAGGCAAAATCGCCTTGAGGAATATATTTGATGAGGTGTATAGAGGCTCGAGCAGCGGAGACGCAAAGAGCCGCCGAAGAAAAGACTCGTGGGTTGAGGGGTCTGGCATTGAGTCCTTGGATCGCATATTCGGATAACCGACTCGTCCAGTAGCCATGGTGCACAGACATCCGATGTATCGTGGTCAGACAGTTGTAGTAGGAGAAATGGAGGACGACGATGTGTAAGATGAGAGGGGTATGGGAGGTTTTGATTTCGTGCTCGGGCCGGAAATCGAGTGGAATGCTGTCTTTCCATGCTTCAAGCTCCCGGTCGAGCTCGCCGATCGTATTGAGTAGCTCTCCGTCGCTTTGCTTGGATGCCCGAACGGAGTAGAGTTGCCGATAGACTTTGCTGGAAATGATGGCGAACTCGCACATCAGACGGAAGAGGTTGATTTTGCTCTTACCATCGGCCAGCGGAACATTTCCGATGTTATCCGGAGGGTCCTCGGAGGGTAATTCGACATTCATGTCGTCATCATCTTGGGCCGGGGGTCGGCCAGCTCGAAGACAGGCATCCTTGTCGAGCAGGTACCCAATCCAGAAAACTCGTTTGCGTTGTTCGACTTCTATGGGGTTCAAGTTGAATGCGGACCCTCGTTTGTGCAGACCTATTGTATGAGAGCACCTGATGGCGGCGGCGATGAGGAAGAAAGACGGTTGCGGATTGGGTGTTCCCTGCAAAAACAAAGCCATTCCCAATAGAGCCTGGACACTGAGAAGATCAGTATTCCGCATGGTCAGCTCCGTGATGACTCCCATAGCATTCTTCAAGTATAACCAAGCCTTTTGATCGTCTTCCTGAGGAACAACGTTACTCATGACTCGGATCCGATATGCAATGGCGAGAGCGACGTTGATACTCGCCCACCAGCCGCTTCCCTCATAAGGATCTTTTGAATATTGTTTCTCCACCAGGTGCATAAAAGTGGGTTCGTGAAATAATGGGAACATGCAATTGAAATTCTCAAAGAAATCCTTGAACAACGACATGGCTTCCTCCTTCGGCGGCAGAGGTTTGAAGACTCGGCGAACAAAAATGTCGCCAAATACCTCCGGCTTCCAATATTGCCATTTGATATCGTCCTCGTTAACCGCATTTTGAATAGTTTCCTGGAATGAGGTGTCCCCAGTCTTCTGGTTGACCCACTCAATTCCTTTGCTGGAGAAGATGGAGAATGCAGACGAAGATCCTAGATGTGGTCAGGTTACCCAAAATGGAGGAGCAATGATGGTCCTTACCGATATATCGGGTTTCGCCTACGTTGTTGGTCACGAGAGAGCACATGGCCTCGGAAAGATTTTCTACATCCTCTCGCACTGCTTTGTCGCCCTCTGTGCTGGAGGGAGTGACGATGTCGCGTGGGGTGTCGTGGGACGAGTCTCTTTGGGATCCTGGTCTTGGTGAGCTCTCGGGCACGGTAGAACTGGCACCACTCTTTGGAGGAGCAGGAGATTCTGTTTTCTGCGCCAAAGCATCTTTAGAAGAAGCTTTTTCGGCGAGCCGCCTCTCCAACGTTCCTAGGTCCGTTTTGCCGGCCTCTTCTTCGGTCAGAAGGCCAGACATGCGCAATAGCGACTCCATGCGCCCAAGGCGGTTTTCAAGGCCCTCAATATATTTCGCGCTGGCGACATATCAGATCAGTCTCATTTTCGAAGGAAGGAGGGGGCCGATTGGGGATTTCAGATCAACCCACCCTTTTGGAGGATTTCGTTTCTTCTCCACTTGCGTGAAGACACATTCTGTTTTATAGTTTATACAGTGACCACATTTGGGCATCTTCCCATCACACTTGATTTTCTTCTTCCTACACATATCACACGCCTATAGGAGGTGTCAGAGAGCGAGGGTCCTTTCCTTCACAAAAGTTTGTGGGTGCACACCCTTGCAATACGTCGGCGCTTAGGGTCATTCTCGTCGACAACACCATCATTCAGATCTCCAAAGTAGGTACCGGGAGGAAGCGTAGGAGGAATAGGAGTGCCATCCGGATTATATGCACCAAAGATCTGAGGAGGTGGCTGTGAGACAAACTGGGATATGTCATATCCCAGGCTCTCAATGCTGCCTCGATGATCCATGGTGATTCCGGAGCCGCCGTGGCAGTTCCCTTTTTCGTCAATCTTTGGATCGGAGGAGGAATGATCTTTGGACCGGCCGTGATACGGAAGGATGCAGGAGGAACTGGGCCCCAGAGAGAGAGAGCGCAGACGTCAGGATTGGTAAGCAGAAGGGCTCATTATGGGGTGGAGGTCATCAGTGGTGATGGTTGCCGCCAGGTACGAGGCCTTGTAGAGAGGGGATCGCAGGGTGCAATGAGGTGAAGAGAGAGGGAAGGGTGAGATAGCAAAGACTGAGGATTCAGGCAGAGAGAAGAGAAACGAGAGGGAGAGAAGTGTGCGTGTAAAAGTGTATCAAGTTTCTTCTAGGATTGTGGTATTAGCTATCAAGTGGTCTTAGGAATTGTAATGGTGGAGGAGGCACGAGTAGCAGGCGATACACTAGGAGGGATACGATTTACGGGTACGAGAGGCGGACTAGTAGGGAGCCCTAGGAGCGGTTTAGCTATGGATTTTAGGGATTTACGGCAGCTCCGTTGTTACGCAACAGTTGCCCAGTGGTCGGAGGCTGAGTCCTGAAACCTGAGAAGACGGACAGCCCTGCTCTCATCAATGGCGTACGCTCAATCTCCCATGTTCAAAAATCCGTTTAGGAATTTGGCCGGCCAGGCACCCACCATTTCTCTGCTCTTGGGTTTATTAGCTGAATCGAGCGGATTCAAGCGATTGGATCGATGTCGTTTTGAGCCATCCTTCTTCAGTGTCTTTCATCCTTCATCAAACCCACCCACTCCGTCAGCCACCGACAACAATGATGACTCCACTTCACGTCTCTTGGAGGCTTGGGGCTTTGATGCCTGGTTCTTCCTTTTCCCCTTTCCCTTCGAATATCATTCCTCTAGTGTATCAGGCTTTACTTCCTACAACTCATTATTAACGGCAACGTGGCTGTTAGTCTTCGCTCCATCCCATATCCCCGGACTCCTCTATTCACGGTTTAGTTTCAACCCTTTACCTCATCCGCCATCACATCACTTTTTGGGGAGAGAGGTCGGGTTTCATCCACACTAATTCGGAAAAGAGGCAAGACACTTCCTCCTGCGCCCGTCTTTCGAATCGCGAATTATCGGCACAGGTGACTGGGAACATTTTTTGCCTCCGACCCACCAGTCGTCCTCCACCAGCGGACGCTTTTTCCACGAGATGCTACAAGCGTTGAACTCTTTGCCTCTTCTGCCATAACTGAACGGACCGTTTTTCGGACTCGGAGAATGTGACTGCCGGCGGACCCGACCTAGTTCTTTTTCATCCGAGTCCTTGTCCTCTTATACGTACCCCTGATAAGAAACTCTACGTACCAAACTGTCAGCCTGCTTGCCGACTCGGCCGAATGCGCATGGTTTTTTTGCCCTGGGACTGACTCAAGAGGACGATCTGTCCAAAAGCCCTGCACGAGACCAGGAGATGAGCCATTTTCCACCCATCATCTTCTCCCCATTCATGTTTTCGTTAGTTCTTGGTTCTACTGTATATCGAGTACGTTGACCGCACCTTCCAACTCCTGCAGGAAAAAAAAAGAACTTTGCAGATGAGTCGGGACGAAAAGCAAAAATTGCTAAGTCGTGTTGACATTCGAAAAGATCCTTTTGACGGAGTCACTGGTCGCCACAATCTGATCTGTGAAGGTAAAAAGCCCAACGCAGAAAAAACCAGCGCAAGCAGGTGGAGATGCTTGAGGACTGTCATTTAAACTCATTGGTCCGATGTTTGACCGTTTCTGTGTCTGGAAATTTTTGCCTCCCTTCTTGTATCTTCAGTTCGATGCCGTTTCCTTTCCTGTGCTGATTTCGTTTATCCTTTTATCCAAATATATACCTATTCCTTTTCCGCTTCCTCAGATTTCGGGTTGACTTTGGTGCTGGCATCTCCTTTGCGAGTGCGCTTGTTCGATCCCCTTCAGATTGGTCCCCTCACAGAGCCTCACATCTGTCGATGAATGCCCAGCCATATCTTTCCCAAAATTTCTCCTTGCAAGCCAGGTATTTCTGGTCTTTGTTCCTTTGACGCCAGACCTGACTTGTGACCACACCCAGCTCGCATCGATGAACAATTTGCCCATCGTCAGTTATCGTCCTCGGATTCTCAGGAACATTGGACAGGAGCGGCGGCGGGAGTGATTCCATGGCTCTCCGTATCATTTTCTGAGGGATCTTCCTCATCCTCCTCGGAAGCGTGTTCCTTGCCCTCGTTTTTTGAGGTTTCACCTGGACCACCAGCTGTTTCTTCCCGGTCCCAGTCATCCCTCAGGAGCCAACGGTCGGTGACGTCTATCGGAGAATACTCATCGGCGCTGGCATCGCTATCCTCTTGTGAACCATCGGCATCAGAGCCTTCCTCTTCATCGTCATCTTAAGTGAAGTCGATAGCTGAACGCTATTGGTGATTACGGATATTAGTCTCTTCATACGGCGAAAACTGCCAGCACCTGAATCGACGTCCTCATCTTGATCGTCGCCATTGTCTAGATCACCGAGGTAATTTCTCTCATGGTCAACGTTGTAGCTGCCTCTGTTGGGGTCCAGTTCCCCGTTATCTCGTGCAGAGTCAGGCTCCGATTGATCAGAATTCCGGTCGCCACCCTTGTCTTCTGAGTTCAAGTCCCTCGCTTTGAGTATCGCGATATGACACTGCTTTTGGCCGCGGCCGCGGCGGAGGAGGATCTGATTCATCAAAGATCCATCGAAGCTGATATTACGTTCCTGGCAGACTCTTCTTTTGTTGGCTTCGCTCATGTCCACATTGGCTCCAGCGTATGCGTGAAAGTGTGCAGGATTCACAACCTCGGACATTTCGGCATCTTGATGCACGTTCCCATCATCGGCATTCAAGAAGGCTTCTGACAAGTGAGTAACATGTCCCCGCAGGCTGCCATAATTTTTCTCCCAAAAGTTTTGACTATCAGCCAACCCCAGACCTGGAATGCCAGTCCTATTTTCTTCGGATATGGTCTGTCCTAGTCTGGGTCTGAATTCGGGTAGACTCCCAGTATTGTGGAAGTCTCTGGTTGATGAGCATATGCCATGGGCTGAGCTAGGTCTTTTCAGTCGTGCCGATCACCGAAGTCATTACGAACAGGTGCATATCCTGCTGGCTATGCCTATTCATGTCCTTCCTCCTGCAGGCCCGATTGTCTCAGAGAGCACAGGCAATCCAGCTTGGTCCCATTCCATTTCAAACATATTATCGATGTCATCTGACAGCCCTGACAGTAGGCCATCTATGAGCACTGCTGCCACGCGACTATCTGCCATACGTTCCAGTCGTAGTAGCTCTGGTCTAGACTCGACAGTTTGTTGCTCATCCAACTCCATAGGCCCCACAGAGATTTACGCATGATGTTCGGGCGTTAAATTCCCGTGAGTTCCTTCAGGCTGTTGCTGTTGTTGTGGCTCCGTGATATGAAAATCAAAGGAAGGTTCTGTCGGATTTGAGAAACCTTGTGTAGCTGAGAGCTCTTGGAGGATATCAGAGACTTGGGTACTATTGTCGGGGGGTCAAACTACCCTCCGGCTGTTGCTGTTCCGTGGTAGGACGGCCTCCTGCTGTCCAGTTGCATGGTTGCAAAATGAAGTGACTGTTGGATTCCTAGTGGCCTGCCCGGTTGAACTGAACTGCCGCCATGAGAAGCCCACCGTTCTCGTTGCGGTTGGGGCCTCCAAGTTTCTCTCTAGGGTTGTCTTCAGTTCATTCGGGCGAGAGTCTTACTCAAATCGGCATGCCATGTTCTGGTCAGAATCGAAACGGGCATGGCGAGGCTGAGATCCAGAGCCTTGCCTTTTACTGGCACAGCGCAGGCTGCTCGGCCGACCCGGAGGTAGAGGCGGAGCTTGGCTGGGTGCAGATGGTATGTTCCCGAACAGAGAAAGGGTTTTTACCAATCGGCATTGCCGCCAGTTCCAAGCGCACTCTGAGGGCGACGAGAACGAGGTTGAGCCACTCGTCGGCCATGCACAGTCAGAAAAGGTGAGGATTCGGGGATGCTTCGTTCACAGAGGAGCCTGCGAAGCCACCGGCTTCGAAGCACTGTTATTGTTGTCCTCATCCTCCTCCTGGTCATCGTCCAAGTCCGAGATCTGCTTTCTTGACACAACAGAACACAATTTGCCAAAAATTTGCACGGTTTCCATCGCTTGCTCTCTGACTGGTGCCTTGATTTTAGGGGACGTCTGAGTCGCAGCATTAGAAGCGTGACTGACTTGAGTACATGCCGTGTCTTACAGTTCTGGAGGGGTCTGTGTCTCGGCGTTGGGGGTTGAACTGACTTAAATGGAGGTCGAAGGAACTGATTCATTTGTTTGAGTGCCACAGCTGATTCGTTCCTGTGGCTGCGGCTCACTGGCATCTACTTGGAGACTGCTTGTAGTCAAGTGAATATCCGTCTTTCACACCAACCCACAAAGATCTTGCCAAAATCCAAGCCACCAATAGAACCAGAGGGTATCGAGGTGAGATCCATGATCCAACAGGCGTCAAGAAGAAGACCCTGTTGCAGATTGAGCGAGCATATAGAAAACGAGTAGAGACATTTGGTGGAGCAGATCTTTGTGGGTGATACGGTCAACTGATGACAGAAAAGATATCAGAGATTGCCGCATCATTGTTTGTGATATGGAGTCCGACTTCGGGATTTTTTGATGCATTCAGCACATTGTCATCTGAATTCGATCTTCCTAGGCTTGAAAAAGTGCCGGCTAAGGAGACCGCGGACGACAGCTCTGGCCACAGCTGCTTCACCGGCCTCAGGGTAAGTGCGTCGAACCTGTACCATTGCGGCGGTGGAAAAGAGGAGGGAAAGAAGAAAGAGGAAGAACATCTCCATGACAGTGGTGATTGTATTAAAAGGTCGTGTCTTTGTGCTGGTGTATGAATAAGAGGTCGTAAGTTTATTTATCTCAATCACCCCACAGCTGAGTCTGAAGAAGAGATGAGGATTGGCTTTCAAAAGGTAAGTTTCAGAAAGTTTATGGCAAGTTTCCGGATTGCAAGAAAGCAGGACTGTTCCGATGAACTCTATCAATCAACCTGGCTTTGTAGGTTCAAAACACCCCGGCAGAAGTGTTTGAGGCAGTGAAGTGCCAATAATAAGTTTAAAGAACATGTCTGACTGTACAGTGCGATGACTTCATAATATTGATTTGCATTCAATTGATCTCAATGCCAATACTGAACAACGGTCTTGTCTGAAAGTCGTGTTGGCCCTCTGCTAGAATTGGTGGGTGGGGCAGACAAGGCTGAGGCGACTGGCACCGGCCAAAGAACTCTGGTGTGACGTCGGTTCTTGGTATGCAATGGGCACGTCCCTTTTCGGAAATCCAACTTTCCAGACGCGTTTCTCATTGCTACATTTCATTCATCACGACCCCTAGTGCAAGCTTCAACCAAGTCTTCTCATCAATTTGATCTCATCATGGCTCCAAATGTAGCCAAAGCCCTGGATCTCATCGATGCCGCCCACAGAGAAGACCCTAACAAGATCGAGGTCAACGGCGAGTCCATACCCTACGAGCTTCACTACGCGCAAATGATGACCGAATTTCTTGACCTCCACACCCCTAATGCGGACTCTCTTCTCGTCACAGCCGCCCGTGCACAGCATTTTCGTCGTTGGGAAGTCCCCCGCGATACCTACCCCAGGACAAAACCCGGCTATTTTGCATGGAGGACGTTCCTGAAAAAGAGACAAGCTGAACAGGTCAAGCAGTTGTGCCTGGAGTGCGAATACAGCGTAGAAGAGGCGGACAAAGTTGCGGGCTTGATTGCCAAAGAAGATCTCAAGAAGGGTGAAGGTGAGGGAGATCCAGATGCGCAAATTATCGAGGACGTGGCATGTTTGGTGTTTCTGGATGATCAGTTCGACGAGTTTGAGAAGGGTCACGATGAGGATAAGATCATCAGCATACTACAGAAGACTTGGGTCAAGATGGGAAAACGCGGTCAAGAACTTGCGTTGGCTATGGATCTGAGCGATCGAGCCAAAGAACTTGTCACCAAGGCTCTGTCAGGCTGAGACTGAGAGGGGCCACGGCCTTTACTCTTTGAGACCAATCCCCAAACCAACCAAACAATCTGTTGGGACCTTCGGTCAATCTTTACCAGGCATATGTCGAACCATTCATATTCACACGAGGGACATCCTATATGAGGGACTTTGGAAATATCGGCCGCGGTTCGATATCCGGCCTATACCCGTCTAAATAGTCCTAGAAGCCCGAATGCCGAATCGGAGCTCGATCTCACCCGGCTACGAGCTGGAGGTCGTGATTTCCGGTGTCGAAGCACAATTTGGATCTTGCAATCACCAACGCTGAAATGGAGGCAAAAACCACAGGAAGAGCTTGTGAATATTATTCCGGTGCTGCTCCCCCGGTCTGAGAGAAAATATAACTGTTGGCGGGAACGTACGAGGCTTCCTGATCTTTGGAAGCATCTTGTTGAAAGCATCTTATTGAGAGCCGTCCCACATCTGAAAGATGAAGAGGGATTTCTGACTGTACCAGCCACAAATCATCTCCGCATCAACCCCACGCCCCGCGATTTGCAGGTTTGCTCGACTCAGCAGGTTCACCGACAAGACTCCCTGTCATCCCTCTCGTGTTCTCTTATCCAAGGATCTCCGGCTCTCCAACAGCAAATCACCAGATATGTCTCTGTATCCCAAGATCGATTGCCATTCTCACTATCTTCCGCCGTTAGTAAGCTCTCATCTCAAAGACAACCCCTATTTGCTGATCGGTGGACAGAGGATATCGTCAGGCTCTCGCCGAGAATGGCCACAAGAATCCTGATGGAATGCCTGCTATTCCAGTATGCTTGACGCCAGTCATTGTAGCGCTATGACTAAGGGAATCCAGCATTGGAGCGAAGAGTCTCACCTCGAAATGATGAAAAGCATCAACGTCACGAAATCCGTGCTCAGTATCAGCTCTCCGGGGACCTATTTGAAGGCCGGCGACGACGAGTTGTGTCGAAAAGTAACCAGATATGTCAACGATTTTGGCGCGGATTTGAAGAAACGAAGGCCAGAGCAATTTGGATTCTTTGCTTCTCTCCCATTGGCCGATGTTGAGTTCTGCTTGCAAGAAGTTCCACGGGCATTAGACGAGCTCAACGCGGACGGTTTCGTGGTGATGACCAATTTCCAAGGCTCCTATCTTGGACATAAAGACTTTGATCCAATATTTGATGAGCTCAATCGAAGAAAGGCAAAGGTCTTCATGCATCCGACAACACCTTGCTTACCTTCAGGAACTGCAGCGACTCCTCTCGCGGATTTCCCTCGGCCAATGTTTGAATTTCTCTTCGACACCGCTCGGGCTGTCATCAACTTGTTCCTGTCGGGCACAGTAAGTCGCTGTCCGAACGTGACATTCGTTGTACCTCATGTAGGCGGGACATTCCCTCCACTTATCAATCGATTCTCCAATGTCGGACCTCTTCTGAAGCTCCCTGGATTGGACCCAAGAGTTACTCCTGCATGGGTCAAAGAGAGCCTGAACACACAGTTCTATTTCGATACGGCGGGTTGGGCGTTCCCAGAGCAGATAAAGGGCTTGTTGCATTACATTACGGTGGACCGAATGCTGTATGGCAGTGATTTTCCATTTACTCCCCTGCCAGCTGTAGGAACACTGTCTAAGGATCACGATCAGTACTTACCAGAGGTGTTCCCTGATGAGGAGGATCGTAAGAAGCTTTGCAGACAGAATGCCGCGAAGCTTTTCGGCTGAAGTTCTGGTCTTCTGAACGTTCATTGTAGGCCCAAGGAGATCCCTGCCAAGCATGGCAAGAAGTTCATTCGTTTAGCAGAAGCACTTGACTCAAACACATTGCTGTGGTCGTCCTGGGGCCGGATAAGATGAAACGTAGCTGTTGTGTGACAAGCCTTTGGGAATTTACCTTCCATTTGCTCGGGTGGAATATCCGAGCTCCTCCAAATCGTCATAGGGTTAAAGTACGGTGACCGGTGGATGCTGTATGAAGTCAACAAACTCTGGACTGTGTCGAAATATATATTTATCCATCAGTCTGCTCGCAATCATGAATATCTTCGAGGTTGCGGATTGCTTGTTGGAGATAATCGATATCCACGTTATAATATATCGACAGATCATCCGAAGACCGAGAAACAGGCCACTCTCACACAAATATTGCACCCAGGATGGCCGATAGCCCCGCTGCGGAAGGCCAGAAAGCAACCAACGGAGCCCCAGGCTCGCATTCCACTCTCTTTGGACTCGACGGACAAAAGAGGTCCTCAATTCCAGCGGGTGCAGGAGCAGGATCAGGAATCATCGGCACAAGCGGTCATACAGGCGCGGCCAACAAGAGTAACATTGCAGATTTATCAGACGAAGACAATGCTCAGACAACAACAGCAGGCATGCCCCAGGGCGGTAAATCCAGCGCCGTCCCCGGGTCGGGGTCTGAAACATTCACTCCCAGTCAAGGAACAGGAGATGTACAAAACAAGAAGGAAGGAGTTTTCAGCAAATTGAATCCATTGACATGATTGATGAATGCAGAAAAGGAGGGAATGGGCGCTGAAATGTCGAAACTCAGTTCGATGGTAACACATGCGGCAGAGGACTAATAGAGGAAGAAGGGATCTAATTGATGACTTGATGATTGCATATGACCTTATTCAATATCACAACGACAGACCTCTATTTCACATTTGTCTTTTCTCAAGGAGATAGGTCCTCTGGAGATGTCGCTGTTCATTACTTGCTTGTGGAGACCCAAGTCGCTAAAACTATAGGCTTTCAGCTGCGGAACCGGTCACCGTTTGTGGACGTCTAAGTAACCACACACTAGCCGGGATGCTTCCTGGACAGCCAGCTGCTCCTGCCCACAGACTTCCTTTGTGTCTGTGTCCCAAGGGGCATGCTTGCTGGCCTCGTACAAATTCAGCTTCCACTCTCTTTCAAACACTCTTCCATTAACCTCGAGTATCAGTTAACTTCATACTCACTTTCCGATGTCCCATTTCATGTTACTCTAACCTCGCACTCTACAGTCATACCATATAGCCCTTCGTCCTCCTGTCACTGCTTCCAGCAACAAACATATCAACCGGCCTCGATTGAAATTCCGCTTCCGCTCATCTGCCCGGCACCATTCCCCGTTGCGCGCTCTGCCGCATCCCTCAGACGCTCACAACACGCTTGATTTGCTGTCCGCCACGGCACCAATCACTCAAATCACCATTGTCCTCGTCACAGCCGCCTTTCCATCAAGATTTGCCCACCACGGCGTTGTCGACATATACCTCCCTCGACCCTTCTGACGACAAGATATACTCGGCCCCCCCCCCGCATACTCCGAGATCTGAAGGATCATCCTCGAGTCCACCGTCTCCACGACCACCGCCTTTTTCCTCTCTTTATTTCCCCTCCGACGCCGAGCCCGATCGCATTAGAGCAACCGTCTCCGAGACTGCCTGCGGTTCACTTCTCGCAACTGCTCCGGCACCCTCCTTCGAGGAGGCTCTCGCCGAAGACGACGCCGAGTCCAAGGCTGAGGCCGAGACAAAGGCTGCCCTTCCGCCGGACACCAAGGCACAGTCTTCCAAAGCACTTGACGAAGGAGAGCCTCCACCACCTTACACCGAAGGTTCCAGTCCGATATATTCTTTTTCCTACGTCATGGCAGCAGCTGGTGGTGCCGCCAGTATCATCACCCAAGTCCAGCAAACGACCGGATCACCCATCAATACATTGGGAGGTGAGTGAAGGTACTCACAAGAGGAAAGGATGTCCCGAATTTTGACAATAACTCTTATAGCGGGAGAAGCGGCGGCGGATGAACACATCACATTGGATCTGAGGTTTGTGTCACCAGTGCGGGAAGAAACAAAAGATCACGCTGACACTCTACAGAGGGACACATTTCACACTGTCGCGCGATGAACTGTTGACTCTCCCTGAATTTGTGTTGCTATCATTATTCCCCAACGGCCTCCTGCCAGATGGACACATGACCTCGTTTCATGATGGCGATGTCTACCCTGTTGACGTATGTGCCCCTCGAAACCTACATGTTATTTTTGTTCTGAGCAATCGTCGTATCCCACATCGGAGATGTAACATGTTTTTCACAGTATGACCCTGCATCCCTGCAATACATGTTAAACTTCTTCCGCGATGTCGCGCAATCAATACCTTCAACGTCTCCCTCACCGACTACACCACCAGAGAACGACCCTATATCGATTGAGCCACTACAAGGTTCCACCAAAGATATGCTCCAAGACAGAGCAGGAATCATCGTTCTGAGGGAGGATCTCGACTTTTACGTTATTCCTCCTCGAGCAGACATTGAACAAATGGAAATGACGGAGGTCAAACGTGCAGCAGGAAAGTCCCTGCTCAAGCAGAATGGGATCTTTTCTGGGCTCAAAAGAAGTGAGGAGGCCGGCACGACAGAACAACATTTGATTGAAATGTTGACCGCCGGGTATGTGCCGAGCAATCCCTTTTTAACAAGGCTAAGGCTGACTCAAGTAGTGGCTTTAATCACGATGATGCTTGGGGTCATCGGGCTGGAGAACCAAACAAAGCGGTCATTTGCAGTCTAGCCCTGGCCCGGTTACGAACAGATATCAAGGGTGATCTTGTAGGAAGCAACGCGGTGGGCATGGCTCAAAAGCTGTTATTGTTCTGGCGGAAGCCTGCACGAAGGTGCTGGTGGGAAGGTGTTGAATTGGATGATGTTGAAGGTGTTCAGGGCAAGGTCAAAGTATGGATCCGACGGGTCTGGACTCTTGAAATGGTAAGCGACCTTGACTGAATTTGATGCGGCGTCTTGCTAATCTTCCTTGCAGAGTGTCATCGGCCTACGGTGATAAGACAGTTGCTTTCGTTCTTTTCTGTCGTTCTGATTCCCATTACACCACCAAAAATCAGGCTTGTGATATCCTTCTTTTATTAGGCATTGCTGAGGAGCATTGTGGGATATTGGGAATGGGTGGGCTTGACGGACTGATGGGTTTAAAACCTGGTATACAGATACGAGGTGTGATACACTGGATGTGGTCTCCATAAAAATCCTCGATAAATCTAAGTCTCCAGACAGAATGCAGTTTCAGAGAGAGAGAGAGAGCGCCAGTGTTAGTAGGAATACTCTATCTTGAATCTCCTACCTGCGTATGTAAAGCTAGCGATTCGGGCTTGGCATCTGGAAGTCAAATGTGAACACTCATCTTTGGTACCCAAATCTTGACCAAGCGATTCAAGCCGCAGTAGGATCAGGTTTTTTTTTCTTCGTTACTTATTAATCTCTGCCATGGTGTCATAGCCTTGTCTATCCCTCTCTCTCTCTCTCTCTTTTTTTTTTTTTTTTTCCACCATGGCTTCAGCGCAGGCGTTCGTTACCAGCTATCCCCCGCGAATTCGACAATACGCCAATACGCTACTCCAACCAGTCCTACAAACACAGAATGTTGGCCCCGGTGGTCGCACAACTAAACGAGGAACAACGATAATAAACTATGCCGATGACGCATATGACGAAGATGACTTTGAAGACAGCGAGGGCCCGAGACGACCTACTGGTTTAAGATCCCTGCGACGGGAGGAGCTCGAAAAGAAAGAGCCGCAACATGAAAAGGTGGGCAAAGAAATACATGAACCTGTGGACTTGCAGCCGATATACAGAGACTGGGTCATCAGAAAAACGGTGAGACCGACGTAAGTTAAACTTTGTCCTGCCATCACCCAAATGTTGCGAAGATTCAAAGTGCTATTGACACGATTTCTCTTGTCTAGGACCGATGCGCAAGCCCATATTCAGGCACAATTGCCCCTTACTTTGATACCCATACGAATAGACCTCGATGTCCCACAGCATCAACCGGATGCACCTTATCCATTACCTCGAGGCGGTGTGGAGATGGGCCTGAATGCGACTCAGCCAATGTTCAAGAGACCTGAAATGGCCCCCGGTTACAAGATCCGAGATATCTTCTTGTGGAATCTTCACGAGAACCTGCTCACTCCGGACGACTTTGCTCTGAACTTTGTGCGAGAACTGGATCTTCCGAATCAGAATGCACTTGCTATGGCCATCAGTCAACAAATCCGCAATCAACTGGAAGACTATGCGGGAGTTGCCATGCATCCTCTCTTTCATACTCAACCGAAACGGGCACAGATGCCGGAGGTAAATCATGTCGCAACTCCATCGGCGCTTGCCAATGGAAGTTCTCGTGATGGAACTCCGCGACCCCTGGTGGGGGCTTCGATATCTCGGCCGGCCTCGACGACACCTGGCACACCGGCCCCTTCTACACCTCGACCCATTCAATTGAGCAATGGTGCCAGCCTGACTGCTGTCGCATCACTATTACCTCCAGATCCTCAAGTTGAGCAGCCCGAAGAAGCTCCTGTCGACCCGTATCTCAACCCTGACGACACATATCGATGCATCATCACGTTATCAATTTACCTCTCTTCCAAACTCTATCAAGATAAATTTGAATGGTCGTTACTACATCCACCTGGAGCCGCAGAAGCATTTGCAAAGCAGACGTGCGCCGATATGGGCCTGAATGGTGAATGGGTTATGGCAATCACCCATGCCATTTATGAAGCAGTGCTGAGATTGAAGAAGGAAGCCTGTGAAGGCGGGATGATGATGCTCGGCGGAGGCGCATGGGGCGGTGGCGAAATTGACAATCAAGCCGTCCGAGCGGAAGAGGGTGCAGGCTGGAGATACGACATCGATGATTTCGGTGCGGAATGGGAGCCGAAATTCGAAGCTCTGAGTAAAGAAGAAATCGAAAAGAGAGAAGGCGATCGAGAACGACAGTTGAGAAGATTACGGAGAGAAACAGCGAAATTTAGTTCCACTGCGGGCATGGTACCTTCCATACGAGAGCAGGAGGCTCAACAACGTGGAAGCTACTTCGATTATACCGGGATCGGAAATGGCGAAGATACGCCATTGATGGGACGGGGAGAGCGAAGTAAGAAGAAACGACGATTCCGATCTCTCAGTCCGGTGGCCAAAGCTCAAACTCCCGAAGGTGGTAGTTCTTCTGGTGCAGGATGGGGAGGAGAGGGTAATCGACTGAACGAATATGACAGACAGAATTGGAGGTGTAGGCATTGTCTGATATGGGGAAATGCAGTATGGGCTGCTCGAGATGGACCACTTGGTCCAAGAGTGAGTATTTCCCTGAATCTGGATTGATCGTTTGCTGACCGCTCCAGACGTTGTGCAACAATTGCGGCTTGATCTATGAACGAGACAAGAAACTTCCGGTGTGGTCTGAGGGTCTGCATAGACATACGGCGCCCATCGGAAGGTGACGTCGTTTCTGAACATGAGATCCGTTTCGAATTTTGATTCACTGTCAACCTTAATATCTTCAAGTTCTATTCGTGCTGGTTTAGATGGAAATGTTGTCCAGATTGAGCAGGGAAAGGGAAGGCAATTGTGTTTTCAAAAGGGGGGGGGGCAAGGGTTACTACTTTCACCCAGCAAGGCGTTCTTGCGGCAGCGAGCAATACATGGCAAAGATTTCTCGGCTGATGATCAGATTCGGATAGGCGAAGTGGAATGTAAAAGAGAGCTGTTTTATGCCGGAAGTATTTACACTACTAATATCAGGGTTGATAGAATCCTGAGCTTTCAGTCCAAGGTGCAAATACACGCGTATCATGCCAGATCAGATAAGATTCGAGAATGGGCTTGGCTGTGGTGTTTGCTAAGGCTTCAACTCCACGCAGCTAATGGCGGGAGAATCGTGTGTGATCATTGATGCCAGATGTTCACTTGTGCAACTTGACGTGTTCTATTCTTTCCTAGACGCAGATCGTCTTGATACGAATATTTCTCTTAGATATGCGGTAGTGGGTTCTCATCTAGTTCTCTTCCTGTTTACCTTCGCGCTTCCCTCGTCCCATCCTTTGCAAGGGCGCGAGTTGTCTTCAAAATGGTGAGTACATACATACACACGCAACTCCAGCATATTCTATGTTCGACGAATTTCTGCGCGAGAAATGGGGAGTGCAGTGAAACGTCAGTCTTGCAGCAGCCTTGATCATACGGCTCTCGAGAGAATTAGAGTCTAGATGCTAACTCAACAATTAACAGGCGCAAGTCATTGCAAACGCCGGCCACGATGATATGATTGTATGTCTTCCGCCTATTTTGTCCCCAGACATTATCCCTGTCCGACCAAATCTCTGTTCACCAACATATAAAAGAATCCAAAAGCTGGGAGAACCAAGGACAAGACTAATGAGACACTATGGAGGTATAGCATGATGCCGTACTAGATTACTACGGTCGCCGACTAGCAACATGTTCAAGCGACAAGACAATCAAGATCTTCGAGATTGAAGGTGACCAGCACCGGTTAACCGAGACATTGAAAGGGTATGCATGTGAATCTTTCTATTTTCCACCTCTCCGTTCCATTCAACAATTCCACATCCCTGACACCGCGAATCCCAGTCACGAAGGCGCAGTCTGGTGTGTATCCTGGGCGCATCCCAAATTCGGCACCTTACTCGCCTCTTCCTCCTACGACGGGCGCGTCCACATCTACCGCGAATCCCCCTCCCAACTACCCACACAACAGCCGATATGGTCTCTCGTCTTCACCTCAACCATCCACACCGCCTCCGTCAACATGGTGGCCTGGGCACCCCCCGAGCTCGGCTGCCTGCTCGGCTGCGCCAGCTCGGACGGCAACGTCTCCGTCCTCGAATTCCGCGACAATCAATGGGCCCACGTCATTTTCCCGGCCCACGCCATGGGCGTGAACGCAGTCAGTTGGGCCCCCGTGGGCGTTCCGGGCGCGATCGCCCGCAAAGATGGCGGAGCTGGCGCCCAGCCCACGCGTCGCTTTGTCACGGGTGGAAGCGACAATGCCGTGAAGATCTGGGAGTTTAACGCCTCGACGCAGAATTATGAAAATACGCTCGTCCTACCGAATGGGCATACTGATTGGGTCCGAGATGTCGCCTGGTCGCCGACTTTGCTATCGAAGACGTATATTGCGAGCGCTAGCCAGGATAAGACGGTCAAGATCTGGACCTCGACTGGCAGTAATGCTGGGGACTGGACTTTGGCTAAGACACTGGAGTTCGATGCCGTTCTGTGGCGAGTCAGCTGGAGTCTCTCGGGAAATGTGCTCGCTATCTCCGGTGGGGATAATAAGGTCACATTGTGGAAGGAGGATCTGAAGGGGAATTGGGAATTGGTGAGAGAGGTCACGGAATGAATCTCGACAAGTGGATGACGCATATGACGGTTGGAAGTCGAGGACAAGCGGTTGTATCGATGAAGATGGGCGTAGAGGCTATGCGAATACGGGCCTAACAAAATCCAAATGAATTGAGTTGAATTGTAGGGAAAACTAATTCCGGCAGACTCGGACAAAAAAGAAAACAAAATGGATCAAATTTTTGAACTGGGTTCAAGTCTTTCTTTTTTTTTTTTTTCTCTGTGTGTGTTGAGCCTCGGGAAGGGGAAGGGGAATGTCGATTCACAGATCTATCTCCTACGCCTACGTATGAGCAGTTCATATATGCAGAGAGGTGGAACCAGGTATCAGTGAAAATGCTATGTTGTTACAGAGTATAGCTCTTCCACTCTGTCATCTTTTCCTTCTCGGCTGGATCACTTCCACCATCATCGCCATCACTTTTGACCATTTCAGGATCAACCTTCGGCTTACTTTTCGCCATCTCAAACTCCTTTACCATTTGATTCGCCGCCTGAATCTTCTCTACACAGGCATCGCGGCCCAACACTTCCATCGTCTCTGCGATGCCCGGCCCATTGTTCCCGCCCAGCAGCACCCATCGTAAATAATGGTACAGCTCTGTTTTCCAGCGCTTGGGCTCGATATCGTTCGATGGTGGTGTTTCAAGCTGCCGTAGCTGGGCGCGGTGGACTTCTTCCGTCCATGAAGAGGGGGGTACGAGGCAGAGTGTTGAAGCCGCGACGCGGAGTGGGTGCAGGAGTTCGAGATCGATAGACTCCAGGTCTTCGGGTTTCGTGGACGGAGGGTCGATGAAGATGGAGCAGCAGTGTTCGGCGAAATGGGCCGCGGAGATGAAATGCAGGGATTGGAGTTGTAATATTTTTGCGATCACGCCGCGAAGGGGTCGGTTTGAGAGGAAAGTCATGATGCGCGCCGCACCGTACTCGTCTAGCACAGCCACTGCGACATCGCGGATCAATTGCTCAAAGCGCTCGCCTTGCGCCCGGACCCGGCGGCGGGCGTGGTGTCTTTGCAGATATACCAGTTTCGTGGGTGAAACGATGGTGTTGCCCTTGGTGATTTTCAAATCGAATAGAGATTCTAGTTGAGACAGGTCGAAGACGTCCTTCTTCTGTGTGTGTGACCAGCCTAGTAATGCGGCGAAGTTGACCACTGCCTCCGGCAAGATACCCTGGGTGCGAAAATTGGCGACGTCGGAGTCGAGGTTGCGCTTACTGAGTTTCTGTTTCTTCTCGTCAACCAGCAACGGAACATGTGCGTAGACTGGTGGTGTCCAGTTGAGGGACTGGTATAGTGCGACGTGCAGGGGTGTTGAGGACATCCATTCGGACCCCCGTACTACATGTGTGATATGCATGTCATGGTCGTCGCAGACGTTGGCCCAATGGTAGGTCGGAAAGCCGTCTGATTTCATTAGGATCACGTCCTCATACACGGGTTCGTCGAGGAGGAGTTTCTTCGTCTTTTCCGCCCCATGGCCGCTTTTGCCATATACCAAGTCGTTGTACCGCGGCCATACATCTGGTGAACGAAAACGGATGACATGCTGCTCGCCGTTGTGTGCCTTTCCTTCAGCCTCTGCCGAAGGGATATGTATGCATTTGCGGTCGTAACCTAGACTCAATCCTTTTTGGTGGCGGTGTCGATTCAGCTCGTCTATGCGCTCGGGGCTACAGAAGCACCGGTATGCTCGCCCAGTTTTCAGAAGGTTCTCAACATGTGTTTGGTACCAGGTTAATCGTTCAGATTGTCTGTATGGTCCGTATGGACCTCCCACTATGGGTCCCTCGTCCCATTGCAGTCCCGCCCATCTCAGATCTTGGTATAATCGATCCTCCGCCCCGAGTATGGTTCTCTTTGCATCGGTGTCTTCTATTCGTAGTAAGAACTGTCCCTTGGTAGCTCTGGCTAGGAGGTAATTGAATAAGGCTGTTCGAATAGAGCCTAGGTGAAGATTGCCTGTGGGCGAGGGTGCAAATCGGGTTCGTGCAGGAGTATCAGGAAGCCTTCCTCTCTTAGGAGGGGTGCTGGTACTTGAAGATTTGCGGGTCTTGATCAAAGAACTCGGTGCGTGTTCAGGATATTTCGCGGCTTGACGCGCACGACACGAACTGCATACCCATCCGACAACCTTGACGAGTCGGGCAGGCTGAACAGTGCTCATGCTCAGGTAGTGATTTTGATGATTAGGATGCAAGATGTGGTAATCAGAGAAAAGGTCGAAAGCGCCAGAAGGTTCAGGCATTGGCTAGAGAAAGGCGGCACAATTGGCCCCTGCCGCGACAAGCCAGTCAGTGCCTCCGCCCTTTGGGATGGTGGGCAGCGTACATACAGCCTTGTGGGTGAAAAGTGTTTGGTAGGTTAGGCCCCAAGCTATCATGGTCAGAACTTTTCCAGCATTGATCGTCACAGAAAGGAATCCGTTGGTCACCTTTGTACCTTATTTTCCCATCACGGTCTTTGTAGCTTATTTTCTCTCCTGCAAAGCCCGACTTTCTACAAAACTAGACACTTCTAGACGCAAACTTTTGCAATCCCTCAGCAATCCTCACCATGAACGGTACTACCGGAGAAATCAATCTCTACGAGATACTCGGCGTCGAGAAAGATGCCTCCCAAGCAGATATCAGAAAAGCTTACCGCAAAGCCGCTCTCGCCCACCATCCCGACAAGGTCCCCGAGGACCAGAGACAAGAAGCTGAAGCACGTTTCAAAGCCGCAAGCCAGGCTTATGAGATCCTCTATGATGAAGAGAAACGACATCTCTACGATACACATGGCATGGCTGCATTTGATGGGTCCAGAGGACCAGGCGGTATGGGAGCCGAGGTCAACATGGAAGATATCTTGAACATGTTTGGCATGGGTGGAGGCATCCCGGGGATGGGAGGAAGGAAGATGCGACGGAGTCCCGATGAGAATCAGAAATATGAAGTTACGTTGGAAGATCTCTACAAAGGCAAGACGGTCAAGTTCTCCAGCACCAAAAATGTCATTTGCTCCAAGTGCAAAGGCACCGGTGGCGCAGAGAAGGCTCAGGCAAAGGAGTGTTCCGCCTGTAAAGGTCAAGGTGTCAAACAGGTCCTGAGTCAAGTCGGGCCAGGAATGTTGACGCAACGCATGGTCGAGTGCGGAGCCTGTGAAGGTACCGGCCAGGTCTACAACCCCAAGGACAAATGCAAGAAATGCAAGGGCAAGAGAACCACGGAAGAGAAGAAACAACTCGAACTCTACATCCCGCGCGGGGCCAGGGAGGGTGACCAGATCAAACTCGAAGGCGAGGCCGACCAAATCCCGGGAACAGAGCAGACGGGAGATATCATCTTCCATCTCGTCGAACAACCACATGAAGTTTTCCAGCGCACCGGTAATGACCTCTCTGCCAAACTCGAAATCACTCTCGCCGAGGCATTGGTCGGTTTTCATCGCGTCGTCCTCAAGCATCTCGACGACCGTGGCATCGAACTCAAACATCCCCAAGCACCAGGCCAAATTCTCCGACCAGGTGAAGTCCTCAAAATACGCGGTGAAGGCATGCCATTGAAGAAGAGCGACGCCAAGGGCGACTTGTACCTTGTCGTCGAAGTCCAATTCCCTGAAGACGGATTCTTCTCGGACCCGGCGGCCTTGGAGTCGTTGCAGAAATTGCTCCCGGGTCCTGGTCCCGCCATTGAAGCCGAAGAGACGGACGAAGTCGCCTTTGAGATCGCCGACATCGACGACATCGGTGGCCAAGAGACTCAAGATGCATGGGAAGACGAAGACGGTCCTCATGGCGCTCAGTGTCAGACCCAATGAAGATGGAACGACGTGACGAGTTTACGATGGCATTGATCAATGCATGGGGCAAACACGGTAGATGGAGCCATGGACGTTGGATCCAGCAAAGTCTTTTCCCGCTCTGTTTCCAATGCAGGCAGAAGTCCACTCGCATTAGTCGGCGTTTTCGGGTTCAAAGGTCATTTGCACAGGGCGTTCGGACGGACAGGGATGGTGATATACCGTGACGAACGTGGATTGAAATGATGAATCGATGGACAAAGGAAGAGACCGTGGAAAACTTTTTAAACTTGCAACTCGACTTGTCAAATGGGACAAGCTTCCTAGAGGTCGTTGGGAGGTCAACTTCCATGGTTTATCTGGGTATTCAGATATCGTTTTCTCCTTTCAATGAAATTCTAGAACCTCTTTTTCGTCTATGACCTAAATTATATTTTGGGCTGTCTAATGTGTCCATGTAACTGACTTCTCTTTCCACCTTCAGGGATGTCTACGCACCATTCTCAACCGGTTCAGAGTCCGCCCTCAGGAGCCCCTGAAGCCCTTAATTTGCCCGCAAATTTCTTCTGTAATCTTTGCTCTGTAACGCGATATACGTGAGGGAACCAGCCATCGAGTTCCTTGTCGTCTTTTCCATCGATCATTTGCGCCGCGGCCTTTGCGCAGAGAAAACAGAGGACCATGCCATGGCCTTGGAACGAGGCGTCGAGGTACAAGCCTTCTTCGCCCGGAACGGGACCAACGAGCGGATACCCATCGCTTGAAAAGCCCATGACGCCACTCCAGATCTTTCGGCATTGGCCGTCAGGGTGGTCTGGCCCCCAATTGCTCCCGAAATAGGTCTTCGTGCATTCGAGTAGAAACGCGGCGCTTCCTTCGTCGTAGGTTGTGTCGTCGGTGTTCCCGTACTCAGACTCGCCTCCGCCTTCAGCTTTGTGCATGCCGCCTCCAATTACAATGTCGCCTTCGAATTTCGTCCCTGCGGGACGGGAAATCATGTATTCGAAGCCTTGTTCGTAGACGAATGAGTAGGTTGTTTCCAGACCTTTTTGCGGCATTTTCTGACCTGGTCGCTGGGCGGTGACCACACCTCGAAGAGGAATAATTACGCCCTGGAGCCTGTGATAGAGATGGGCACTATAGCCGTTGGTCGCCAGAACCAGTTTCTCAGTTTTAATGCAGCCTCGTGGCGTATCAACAGTCCATGTTCCATCCGAGGATTTAGAGATTTTGTTCGCCGGTGTGTTGCATTGGAGGTTCAGACCTTTCTTCAGTGCTAGTTTGAGGACCCCAATGGTGAACTTGTACGCACTGAGACTGCCGGACTCGTACTCCAAACCGCCCAGGCTATCTGGTGAAAGATATTTGTCGGCTGTCTCTTGGGCGTTATGAAAGATGTGTTTCGGTGCATCTGAGCCCATCAGCTCTTCCATTAACACTACTGACTCTCGGGCTGCTTTCCATGGGACGGGGTCATAGAAAACATCTATAGTTTGGCATCTTCGTGAGTCGCAATCAATACCGTTTTGGCGACTGAACGCGTGAACTGTTGCCATACAATTGTACTCGAGCTTGGTTATTTTGATGGCATCCTCAGGGCCGATAACTTTGACATTCTCATGGAAAGATCGGTAGGTGGCGGTCTTGGTGTGTCCGCCTTTGAAAGCACATCAGGATCCATTGACCACTGGGGAAAAGGAACGTGATATCATGGTAGTATATGCTCATCGACCTACCGTTACGGCCACTGGCACCGCTGGCAGCCTGGCGGGCTTCAAGCAAGACAATCCTGCGGCTCGGGTCCGAGGAGAGCAAATTATATGATACGCTGGCGCCGCTGATACCAGATCCGATAATTACAATGTCTGCTTCGTCCGGCAGGTTAGGGGTGGTCCGACAATCGGCAATTTCATCTGGAGGATCCTGCCAATATGATTGAGTCGGGTTGTCCCTAGGGAGCCCTGGAGGTATTGTAGCTCTGGAGGACATGTTAACGGCTCGGGGAGACAATGAAGAAATAACTTTGGGTGGTCAAGGTCACTGTTCGCAGATCACTTTTGGGACATGGGTACTGGGTACTTCGGTAACGTGACTCGGCCAGTGCCGGCGATTAATGGCGGGCACTTGTCACGTGGTTCCATCCTTTGCAAGGGTTCCCGTTGCTTCGTTGCGCTTTGCCGTGCCGTTTCGTTTGTCTACTCACTCGCTTTACGAACCTGTCTTCGTTGCCTTCACCCAAACCTGCCCTCAATCTCTCCGCTCCACATCTCACCCGACGTTTACAGCACGAGAAGATTCTCTCCACGATCTCCCCCATCGCACAGCCTCTATTGAGGACTCCTGCCAGCCCTACCGACCGCTCGAACCTCGATTGATACGACTGCGAATCAAACCGACACACCCCCCACTCAGCAGCAAAAACGAAGAAACAGCTTCGCTGGGATTCAACCTCCTGTCTGTAATCAGTCCGCTGTCAACAGTGGCGCGCTTACCACCGTCGAAGAAACCTTTTGCGCCATTTGATGTCCTCTTCCGGGCCTGCTGCGATACCGCCGTCACCAACGTCTTCGCCCGAGTCAGGTCTCCAGCGACGGCGCCAGTCTGATAATCTACTCCAATCTCCCATTTCTCCTTCGTTGATGTCAGTCGCTACGAAGAGCTATGTCTCTCCCTACGGAAATGCCCAACATCCCGACGACGTTTCGGGTCGGTCGTCTCCGCGCTCACCAAGGGGTGCCGCATCACGCCCGCAGCAACCAACTTCTCGATCGACGCAATCTCTTCCAACCCCAGCGCATAGCGTAACAGAAACCCCCAATCTTGAAATGGCAGACGACCCCGATCAACACCGCGACAAGCGGCCCCGGCTCGATCCCGGCCGAATCGAAGAGGTGGATCGAATGGAACTGGAACCACTAACACAGCCCACCAACCACGATCGGCAAGATGCCATGGATACAGATGGCGAGAAGGAAATCGATGCACAAGGAGCAGATGCAAGGGGAGGCCAGTTGGATGGAGGCGCTGCTGTTGACGGATCGGTGGTGGACGAGACGACGCTGGAACAACTACAGAAGGACATGGGCGAGGCCTTTCTTCTCTGCAGGTCCAGTAAGACACTCTTCAATCCTCCCACTCACAAAGTGTGCTTGCAGGTTTGTTAACGGAATCGCGTTGCAGAAGTCGAGCGGCAAAGACCAAACCCACAGCAACATTTACTTGCATTATATGGTCTGGGACCCTTGTTACACAGCGTCGCTCGAACCGATCCTCGAACCGGTGAAAAGATCAATAAGCTGCGAAAATCATATGAAGGTCAGATCAAGAGTTTCGGTTTGGCGGGGCGAAACAAGCCTGTCAAAGGAGAACGGAATATCGACGAAGATCAACCTGGACCGTTACGGCGGATGGCAGGATCATCACCATGGGGTCTTCAGCCGGATGAGCAATGGAACGCCGAGCATGCAAAATCCAAGATTGAGGTGACACAGGACTTCAGGGCCAAATTGAAACAAGCTATGCAGATGCAGCCGGGTACGGTAAGGAACAATGCCCATTGGGAAGACGTCCTGGGGTTCGATAAACCCAAGCCGAACGCCCTTTCCCCACAACAAGGCATCACTCAACCCTCACTATCCCGGCTTGCCAACGGCGTTGTTCGACCGCCACCACAACCAGCTGGAGAAGCCAAGCGACAGACTCGTGGAAAGAAACGGAGCTATGGGGATGACAGTTTTGTTGGATATGGAGAAGGCTATTCTGACCCCGAGGATGGTAGAGAACCCGAGGAATACGGAGGTCAGAGGAAACGGAAAAAGGTGACGACGATGGCGTCCTGACAAGGTAGCCGTGACTGACAGGATTTAGGAATCCGTTGGGACACCGCTTACTCATGGACAGTACATTGGGCGTTAGACGCGTCAGAAGACTGGGCAACAAGGCGTCGACCCGATAAAATCTCTGCCTTTCCTATTTGGCTAAGGCTTGCATATTCAAGGCTATACTTGTGTCAACCAATTTTAAGATACCCTAATGAGGACAATAGATGGAGGGAATGAGGGATACGAATGACGGCGGAAACCTTTTTTGGGGGGAGGGGGGGGGGTTCGCGCGCGCGCGCGTGCGTGTCTTTTTGGCGCTGGCCGGACTTTGGAGGCGTTCAAAATCCATGGACTCTGGTTGAATGGACTAATGGAGTGATTCATATGGGATTTCGAGAAGATGCGTCGTCGGTTATTTCGGAGTTTTCCCCGACTGGGACGGCAAGGGAATGTGATTGCGAGAGTGATGCGACTTGTTCAAACTCCACGCCCTATAACTAGCACCGTCCCAAAGCGCTTTCTGTACGACACTATGACAGTAGATGAATATTGAACCCAAAAATGTATGCATGAAATGCGGACTCCTGTCCCGATCTTCCCTTCTTCAATTGATAATCTTCACCATCACCCTCACCCTTCTACCTTTTCCATCCATCATCAACTTGGCCGCAAGATCAACGTTGGAGGCGCAACGAAAGAAAATGGCTTCTGATCTACCCATGCCCGAGCCCACTGTGCCTCGAAAACCGTTATCATCCTTTAAAATCATTTCATACGATATTTATGGCACTTTGATAGATTGGGAGACTGGCATCACCTCTTTACTCCAGCCCCTCGTATCTCGCATTCCGTTGGACTCTCCGAACAGCATCTATCGAGATAGCACTTCTGGTGAAAATCGAATCAGGCTGGCCGGAAAGTTCAACGACATTGAGCACGATCTACAGACCCAACAGCCTTCCGCCCAATACGACTATATCCTCGAACAATCCTATCTCCGCCTAGCGAAAGATTTCGGTATCGAGATCAATGATGACGTGAAGCAGGCAGCAGCGAATTTTGGAGGTAGTATTGGTACCTGGCCGGCTTTTCCAGACACCGTTGAGGCCTGTCAGCGGTTGTCAAAGTATTATAAGTTGGTCCCCTTGAGCAACGTCGATCGACACAGTTTTGGCAATACATGCGCCGGCCCTTTGAATGGCGTCGATTTCTTCCGCGTCTATGTCGCTCAGGATATTGGGAGTTACAAGCCTGATCTACGCAATTTTGAATACCTTTTGAAACATGTGAAGGAGGATGCCGGTGTGGAAAAGGACGAGATTTTACATGTCGCCCAGAGTATCTTCCATGACCATGTCCCTGCAAAGAAAATGGGCATGAGCAGTGTTTGGATCAATAGGAAAGGCGCTGGAATGGGTGGCGGATCGGCGCTCAAAGCGATCCATGAACGAGGAGAAGTAGGATACGGCTGGAGATTCAGCACCCTGGGAGAGCTTGCTGATGAGGTGGAAAGGCAGCGAGCTGAGGAAAAGATATAATCCAGCCTTTTGTCAAACGGTTGGCTGACACTCACTCATAGCTTTGTCGCGTCTTCAAGTCCTACTGCCTCCGGTGTAATTTTCTTTCCTATCGCCTTCAGCATTCAGCGTCCGCCTGTCGAGTACTCTCTAGCTACCGGGAACTTCGAGACGGAATCCTCCAAGCTAGACAAAACAAAGAAATGATCCTGGTAAGCCAATTGAGCGCAGATTCCAAACACAAATTCATGATCGTGCAACGTCACACCCGCTCCCATCATGGATCCGGTCGCCTGCTCTTGCCAGATCAAATACATCGTCGTCAAATTCCAGTTTCGGGTCGTCCAAGGTCTCTATTATGACTTGGTACATCTCAATGTCCATTCGTTACCGCAGTTCAGATTCCTCGGGGAAAAAATATCCATGCACGGCTGTTCAAGATTCAGTGTTACCACTGGCTTAACCATTAATGGGCGAAAGCAACTGCCAGCGCCATACGTCTGATGTGGCGGTGGGGCAATATTGCGGAATGGACACTCGTGCACGACAAAGTCTTGTTGCTTCTCAAATTCGTGTTGCTCAAGAATTTAGTTTCAGCTCATGGACTTTTTCGTAAGTGGAAACAGGTTAAGTGCAGGGGGAGCTTTTTGTCATTCAACAGAATCTCAACGGGTTCCACTTTCGGAATAAAGAGCAACCTACGTGGACAGGTGCACATTTGCCGTGGAGTGGGATTGATGTCGATATGTAAGAATGAACTATCAAAGTGCAAAGAGAACTACCTGGATAGCAACTGGAATTTATCCCTACAGATCATGTATTGGCTGCAATCAGCCAGATGTTCAAATGTGGAGTGAACGGATTGGAAGAAGTATTTTCCGAAAACCACTTAACGCGTCGACGCGTTTTCTTGTGCCTTCCCACAAGAGAGATAATTCACGTCGACGCCATGACGTGATTCTGTTTTCCCATTTGGAATATCTCTCCTCATCCACTGCGATCAGTAGCGAAAATGTCGACTTTAGTTGATTCCGTTCTGAATTCAGACCCCTTTGGCGCAACTCCATCTTCACAACGACGCGCTCAGAACGATATCCCTTCCTCGTCTCGACCGCGTCCAATCCCCTCTGAAAGCAATGGGATACCTTCGGAAGCCGACATCTTTCCAGATGACGAGATCGTGGGCACAGCTCGTGGCAGGAACCGCAATCCGTTAGATCGAAATGTATCACAAGTGGCAGATCGCGCAGGAGAGAGAGTACAACAGGCCTTTGAAGATTTCCTCGAGTCGCACACTGAAGAGCCGCCGTCATCGGCAATACCTCCATCGAGTGAACTGAAAACGGACAAATACTACGTCAATCAAATTCATGGCCTGCGGGAGTTTCAATTATCGACTCTTTACGTGGATTACCGACATCTGCTGGCCTACAAAGAAGGCCCCATTCTGGCAGATGCAATCGCAAATCAATATTATCGATTCCTCCCGTTCTTGATCAAGGGGTTGCACAACCTCCTGTCAAAGTATGAACCAGTCTATTTCAAGGAGCATCGTCAAATGACAAGCAACGCTTCTCAGACGGGTACCTCGATGGCCGGAAATGCAACAAGTGAAACAAGCAGTCAGGGCGATAAGACTTTAAATCAACAAACCGACAAACTCTTCACACTTGCGTTCTACAACCTTCCTCTCGTGTCTCGAGTGCGGCAATTACGCACAGATCAAATAGGCAAACTACTATCCATCTCCGGCACTGTCACGAGAACATCTGAAGTACGCCCCGAGCTCGCTCTGGGTACATTCATCTGCGAGGCATGCAATACAACTGTCCCCAATGTCGAACAAACGTTCAGATACACAGAACCCAATGTTTGTCCCAATTTGACCTGTGGCAATAAGCTGGCCTGGCGATTGGACATCCAAAAGAGCACATTTGTCGACTGGCAAAGATGTCGTATTCAGGAAAACAGCTCGGAGATTCCTACCGGAAGCATGCCTCGCACAATCGACGTTGTGCTCCGGGGGGAGCAAGTGGAGCGAACAAAGCCCGGTGAGAAACGTGTATTCACTGGTACTTTAATCGTGGTTCCAGATGTGTCTCAGCTGGGCATCCCAGGTGTTCGACCAGAAGCATCAAAGGACAACAGAAATTTCCGAGGTGCAGATGCCGGCGGATCTGGCGTGACAGGATTGAAAGCTTTGGGTGTTCGAGATTTGACTTACCGAATGGCATTTTTGGCTTGCTTCTCCTGCCCTGACACAACCACTCCGGTCCAAGCAGCAAACCAATTGAATGGCCAATCAATGAACATCCTCAACTCTCTACACCAGACGGATCTCTTCGACCTGAATGATAGTGGAGAACGAGCTCAAGAAGCTTACCTCGAAACGCTCACACCTGCTGAGATCGATGACCTGAAATACATGGTCCACTCCGACAAGATTTTCGGCAAACTTGTCCAAAGTCTGGCGCCGATGGTTTACGGTCACGAAATTGTCAAAAAGGGCCTCTTGTTGCAATTACTCGGAGGAGTCTCAAAAATAACACCAGAGGGAATGCCATTGCGGGGCGACATCAACATCTGCATTGTGGGAGATCCGTCAACCTCCAAGTCACAGTTCCTCAAATACATTGCCTCATTCTTGCCTCGAGCTGTCTACACCTCCGGAAAGGCGTCGAGCGCTGCAGGCCTGACCGCGGCGGTCGTCAAAGATGAAGAAACAGGAGAACACACCATCGAAGCCGGTGCTCTCATGTTATCGGACTCTGGAACCTGCTGTATCGACGAATTCGATAAGATGGACATCAGTGACCAAGTCGCCATCCACGAAGCAATGGAACAGCAAACCATCTCAATTGCTAAAGCTGGTATTCACGCCACCTTGAATGCGCGCACCAGTATCCTCGCCGCGGCCAATCCCATCGGCGGAAGATACGACCGCAAAGCCACACTGAAATCAAACATCAACATGTCTGCGCCGATCATGTCCCGCTTCGACCTGTTCTTCGTCATCCTGGATGAATGTAACGAGAATATCGATCGCCATTTGGCCGAACACATCGTCAACCTGCACATGCTAAAGGACGACTTTGTGCAACCAGAGTTCTCAACAGAGCAGTTACAACGGTACATCCGATTCGCACGCATGTTCAAACCTATGTTCACGCCCGCAGCCAAGACTCTGCTGGTCGAGAAGTACAAGGAACTCCGCGCCAATGATTCAGGTGGTCTAGGAAGACACAGCTATCGCATCACAGTCCGACAGCTGGAGTCGCTGATCCGGCTGAGCGAGGCAATTGCCAAAGCAAACTGCGTTGAAGAGATCAAGGAAGATTTTGTCCTCGAGGCATTCGATCTGCTTCGTCAATCAATCATCAGTGTGGAAAAGGATGATGTCGAAGTTGACGATGACGAAGATGAATCCCCTCGGGAGCGAGACGGCGACAGTCCCATGGGTGGCGACGATAATGATGATGGAGACCATGCCGGAGCTGGATCTCGTGCAGAGGGCACACCTGCGGCCACGCCGCGTCCACGCACAAAAATCACATTCGAGAAATACCATGAAATACAGAACATGTTGGCGGGGCGGATCCGAGACGTGGAGGACCGCACCGGTGAAGGACCTGAGCACGAGGAGCTTTTGCTCTGGTACCTAGAGCAAATTGAAGAGAGGCTCGATGGCGAGGAAGATTTCAACGCGGAGCGCTCGTTGGCGAAGAAAGTGCTGAAGAGGATGATTAGAGTATGTTTTGTTTCCTGTTCTTCGCTGCCTGATATCCTTTTCCTATGAGAGAGAGAGAGAGATCGAGTTCTAACTTCCTACTTCCTTTCACAGACCGATGTGATCATACCGGTCCGCGGCGAAGGTCTCGTTGAAGACAATGACGACAATAATGCTGGTCAATCTACTACAACCCCGAGGCTGACGTACGCTCTACATCCTAATTGCGGCATCTTTGATGATAAATAAATGATCGGCTTTTGATATTGATTAGTATCAGAGGATGGGTAGATGTGTTTGAGGAAACGACATCTCTGCGTTACGAAAGTTGGTAATGTATCGTGACTTACGACGTCCACCGTAAGGTCGATGGTATGCTATGCCATGTGAAGGAAGCGACAGACAGATTGGAGTGATTGAGAGACTCAGGCCAAGGCGTTGTTGTCACAGGCGTCGAAGGAAGATTTAAGTTGAAATCAAATGACCTCGTCCACATTAAGCATAGCAGGGCAATCAAGGTCCAAAATGCTCTTGTATTACTTCGCCAAAATACACGCATGCTGAATATTTTCGTGGTTTTTTTGGCCACCTCGTCGCATCACTACCTAAGTATGCCCGTGCCCGTGCTATTCCCAGTCCATGTCCATAAAGGGAAGATGTGAAGTCTACATAGATATCCTAATTGTACAAGAAAGAAGAAGAGAAACAGAGTTGAGACACGCGAAGAAAATTGAGTCTGAAGAATAACCCGTTTTGGAAATGGATGAGGCATATATCTCGATAGGCCAAGATGGACTGGGTAAGCAGGACACATAAGACGCCGACGGCTAGAAATGATCCGTTTCATGAATCCTCTTCCTTCTCAGCAAAGAACTTCCTCCTGTACGCCGAAAGAGCGTCCGCCACGCTTTCGAATTCCTTGACTTCTCTCGCCCTCAAGTCTGCAATGACCTGCTTCAAACCCACCAGGAACTGATCCCTCGCCTCTTTATCTTGGATATCGCTGGCCGAACTCATCTGGATGAGAATCTTATCATCTGCAAAAGGTGACACATGCACACATTAGTATAAGTATTGGGCTGGAGATGGAGATGGATGACTTGTCGGATAGACAGGAATCTGTTCATTCGACGAACATACCAGGAAGACCCATTTGGCTGAAATGTTGTTCTTCACATGTTGGGTCATTGCAGGTTTCGCCGGATAGTTCTGTTGGGCAAAGAGTGCGAGAGGGGTCAATGTTGTTGCTGTATGTCAATGATCGATAGCCACTCTTCACTTTGTCGTGGAATTCGGGGTGGAATCGGTAGGTCTTAAAGGCACTGAGCGGTGTCTTGTATGGGATATAATGGGTTGGAGGTGGTGAAGTGCCGTCAAGAAAGGGCCTGTTTTCTGCATTTTCGTCATTTGGTGCATCCTGGGCTTTCGTCGACGTATCAGGTTCAGCACCGGATTCAATGTCGTCTGGTCTGGTGTCGGCTGACGCGGCAGGCACAGCTGGGATTTCTTCCACATATTCGTTGGCGAGTCCATCCACCGGGGGTGTCTTGATCGCATCTACATTTTCTGCAGGCTCATAAAAATCTTGATCTTCGTCTTCGAGTCCGGTGTTTGGTGTTAGGTCCTGTACCGGGGCTTCTTCGGGATCATATTCATCAGAATCATCGTCCGACTCCTGCATAGGCTGAGAGATATCCGCATCAGTCGGCTTGTAGTCGTCCTCTTCCACCTCACCTTCCTCACCGCTATCTGACATACTGGCACTTCCATCGCTGTCATTGTCCATATCCATGGAAGAGTCATTAGATTGGCGTCTGGAATCTATGGTCGTCGGTAAAGTGGTACCTTGTGCTGGTTCATATTCCGGCTCAGGCGAGATTTCCATTTCGTCTGCCTGCAGTGAGTCAGTCCGAGGGGGGAATTCAAATTCTTCCTCTCGTTCTACTTGGTCCTGTGATCGAAGTGCCGATGTAAACGAATTAGGCGACGCGCTTTCATGAACTTGACCATTTAAGCTGACAGGAACCTCGGCTCCAGCGGTGGATCCAACAGGAATAGTAGAATCCAAGGCGACAGCACTTAACGAAGGAGGTTTGCTGGCTGAATCCAAGGAAACATCTCCAGTGTGGCCTGAAGGTTGAAAGTTGTCCACCGCAGAAGATGAGTCTGGCATGTTACTCGTCAGAGCTGATGGCTGCGGCACTGTCTGAGAAAGTTCCCGCGCACGAGATTCTTGGTCTTCCGCTAACTTTTCAAGTTTGATCTGTTGGAGCTCATCGGAGTATTGTTTCTGGCCCGAACGATCCTCTTGCAGTTGCTTCTCGAGTCGAGCAACCTCGGCTGCCAGTTCGTTCTCCGTCTTGATTGATCGTTCTAATCCTGCCTGGTAATTCTCGACCTCTGTTCTGGCCTGAGCAAGTCTGCTTCGTGCTTCATTAAGTCGAGACTCTGTCTTCTGCACTTCTGCGTTTAGGTCTGGCAAACCTTCTTGTAATACTTGTTGTCGCTGTGCACGTTGTTTCAAAAGGTCGGCTTTCAAAGACGCCGCTCGTTCTGCCAGTTGCGCTGGAGTCAACTTGGAGATGTTCCGAGGGCCTATAGGTTGCCTCTGAAGTGGATTGGACGATATATTTGAACCGCCTTGACCAGAGAACCGTTGAACTGGCGAACTGCTCAACGGTTGCTCCTCTCTTGTGATTGCGGGCGTTGGAGGGTTTGAGGATGCTGGAGATTCAACTTGACTTCTAGTGCGCTTTAACTTGGTGCGTTGTTCCATTTCGGCAATTTTCCGACGCAGTTCTTCAATTTTTGTCTGTTTAGCCCGGTATAAGTCTTCACTTCCCGATTCGGTTGCCGGTGGCGGAGCCGTCAGAGATTCGTTGAAAGACGTTTGGTTTTGGACAAGAGAGGTTTCTGGCGCGGAACGTCCACGAGAAGGTTCATAACCTTCTTGAATGGACTCTGATTCCGACCCCATCGCCATAACGTCACTTTCCGGTTCCTCAACAATCTCACCCTCGGATTGATCATCGTCTGCAACAACTGGCTGAGTGAAGGAAGTCAAATTCGGGAACGGTTGTTGTTGTTGTTGTTGAATATTTGGTCTTTTGGAGGCCGGTTCCACATCCGACGCTGCGGAGTCAAAAGTTAACGGGCGTTTCATCAACGCTGTGGAAGACAGGGTGATATTAGGCTTCGATGGAGTATATGCATCGTGATTAATGTGCTCATTTTCTGACGCGCCAGTCATGTCCCCCGTAGCTTCAGGCGCACGTTCTGATTCCTCGTCGAAACCAGAAGGCCCTGTCGATGTCATAAACAGCCCAGGAATCATGGAGGGAAGTGCAGGCTGGCTTTGTGCTGAGTCTATCGATGAAGAGAAGGCGTTTCCTGGTTGAGAAGAGACTTTCGGTGCATCAGACGTGCTTTGGGTATAGCAACTAGTCGCATCTGACGGGATCGCTTCCTCTGGTTTTGATTCGGCCTTCACTAATGTCTCCCGCCTCAACTGTTCCATTCTTTGCCTCACCAACTCTGATTGAGCCGTATTGGTGAGGCTATTCTGGGATTGTTGAGTGGTATATGAAGGTTGCTGAATCCCGGGTGGAGAGTATGACGCCGACGCAGTGAGAGTCGATTCGACAGGTTTCATGGTTGATGCAATCAAAACGGGTTCTTCTTTTTGGGATGGCGAGGCTGTTGGCGGTGTCGCCGCAGACGGACGTCCTGTTTTGGCAGCTAGCAGTTGAGCAATGCGATCCTTCCGTTCGAGACTGGGACTTGGTGCGGATTGCTGCTTTCTCAGGTCTAAAATCGCCGGAGAAGGCACAGTTTCGTTCTGATAATTCACTGTACCCGAAATGCTGCCAGTGGAGGGAACCTGAAGAGACTGGGCGTGCGATTTGGGCGAGTATTCTTGAGCGCTGGTCTGAGGTTCGTGTGTCCCCAAGTCCGCCTCTTGTAAGGGTACTGAAGAATTGTCGTTCTGAGGAAATGCTCGCGAGTCAGTCCCTTCGGGTTGTTTTGTTTGATCGGATTCGGTTTTGAGACCAAGTTCGCCATAGAGCTCTTGTAAAATTTGGGGATTCACACCCTCTTTCAAAAGATCGGCGTAAAGAATTTTGTGAGGGACAAGGGATAAAAGGGCGCCTTTTGCCAGCTGCCTGAGTTCAGTAAGGGATTTGTTGTCATAGTTCCTCTCAAATGGTTTCAAAGTCTGAGCTTTGGACGAATCACTCGACAGGCCCAAGGAGCCAGATGTTGAGTCATGAATTGGTGCAGGTCGGGACGGATCATATGCTAGACTACCGTTAGTAGGTTCTCAAGTCGAAATATCTCGTAAATCTTACGCGAGGCGTTTCCATCCCCGCCTGCAGTTTGATACGTAGTTATATCAACACTTAGATCCTCTTTCGTGGTCCCTGTCGTGAGCTCATTTGCTCGTTGCATGGCCTCCTTCTGGGCATTGGCGAATAGCAAGTCAATATCGGATCTCGACCCAAAGGATGGAAGCGACTGATCTAAAGAAGAATTAGAAAAGAAAGGCGCACTACCCAGTGGTACATACCCTGGTCAAGATCTATACTTCTGGCAGCAGCATGAGCGGTGTGAGAAGTTCCCCCCTGACCTGCGTGGGATGTACCATATGGTTGGGGTTCAGGTTTGGTGGAAGCCTGCGAATCACCTCCGCCTCTCGAGCCAGATTGTGAAGCCAAAAAGGAGTCCGATAAATCATGACGCACTTGATCATTCATATTAAATCCTGCGCTCACAGACTGAGTGCCGGGTGCGATATGTTGAGGGAAGGGCGAAGGACCAGGAGCATTTACCGTAACGGGGAACTGCGGGTAGCCGGTGTTGGGCAAAGGCATTGGAGGAAATGAAGGAAGGGGGGGAGGCGGTAGACCGGCCGGGAGACCAGCGCCTGCAAACTGCTTGAAGAAATCGGCAGTCAACGCTGTGGTAGTGGGAGGAAATTGGGGAAACGGAGGCGCCGGTGGACGAACTTGCGGGTTCGCGTCGAATCTTGCCCCATTTGAGGGGGGCGACGGCTGGTAAGAGGGAGGAGGTTGTGAAGGCTGCTGCGGTATACCTGGAGGGGTATGAATCGACTGCTGCAGTGTATTAGGAAAGGAAGAATAATATGGTTGTTGCGGTGCGTATGATGGCGTGCCCGCATAGAACGGGGTCGTAGAGTAGGGATGCGCCATTGCGTATAAGAGCTGTAATGGAGCAGAAAGGAAGATGGAGATCACTGGAAAACTCTGGCAAGCCGACAAAGGCGCACTGATTCAAATGAGCCGCATATGGACATGATTGAGGCGGCTAGGAAATGAACCCAGTACACGCAGAGATGAGGCCAAAGAGCTTAACTGCTGAATCGCGTCCATCCGAGGCCGCAACGAAAGCGAAAAGTGTGGAAGTGATCTCCAGGGTCACTGCCACAGTTCTCACACTGTTTATGTGGCTGGTTCGTCTGCAAAGGACAGCTGTTGAATCTAGGCAGCCAGGCCTTGAGTGTTGTTCAGGATGAAAATGAACAGGACAAAGTTCCAAAAGAGCAACATACCGAACTGGCGATCAGTCGCAAGTCTGGACCCTGGAGTCGCAGGGTGCTTGGCGAGAGAAGTGTCATGTGATGCGATATGGCAACAAAAGACGGGGCCTGTGGCGCTACATGTGGCGGGTGGGCCATTGGGTGGCTGATGAAGAGGCCCCCGTTGCCAGCCAGAAGAGACCCAGAGATCCGCCTTCCCCAATCGGGCCTCCAAGACAACAAACAACAGGGAGTACTGTGGCAATACTATCAGCTGAACTCTATTCACAACGAGAGGGGGCCCCTGTCAGAGAGATATCTCTAGCAACCCCAAAGCTACAACCACTGTGCATTGATCCTGTTGTTCATCAGGCTGGTACATCGTCTGTTGGTCTCCCATTTTGGCAAGCAACTCGCATGTAACCGGTCTCAACCTCTCGCGGCACAATGCTGCTTCACGACCGCAGCCCCGATGCCTCTCCCTTCAACGGAGCGTCGCAACAACGACATTACGCCTTCAACAAGTCATACAATTCCGACATGTCAATGGCATCCTCCATGCCAAATTCCAGCATCTCCAAGTCGCTTCTGTTTGCGTCGCCTGCTCCTGCGCAGCCCTCCAGGCATGAACGACAGCAATCTTACTCTCCGTCGGCCTCCCTCAGCTCCATCCCCTCTCATGTGCGAACGCAATCTCTGCAGCGTCAGTCAAGCGCCTCCAACACTTTCGCGCCAAAGTTCATCAAGTCGGAGGAGATGAGGAAAAGCGAAGAGAGGATCTCGGCGATCGAAGGGGAGAATGATTTCTCGGGCAAACGATATGTCTGGGTCAAGGATCCTGAAAAGGCATTTGTGCGTGGTTGGATTACAGAAGATCTTCCTGGGAATAGAGTTCTTGTTCAATTTGACAACGGCTCCCAAATAGAGACCGATGTCGACGAGGTGGATAAGGTCAACCCGGCCAAATTTGACAAAGCAGACGACATGGCCGAACTCACGCATCTCAATGAAGCTTCGGTGATTCATAACCTCCTCACACGGTACCAGGCGGATCTCATATACACTTACTCGGGACTCTTTTTGGTTACCGTCAACCCTTACTGTCCACTACCTATTTACGGCAACGATTATGTGAGGATGTACAAAGGCCAGGCGCGAGAAGACACACGTCCACATATCTTTGCTGTGTCCGACGCCGCATTCCGTCGATTGGTAGAAGAGGGGGAGAACCAGAGTATCTTGGTGACAGGAGAGTCCGGGGCTGGCAAGACTGAAAACACGAAAAAAGTCATACAATATCTGGCTGCCGTCGCAACATCCGATCTTGATACGCCGTTGACTGGAAGGGCTCCCGGGAAACAGCTCTCCAATCTTTCTCAGCAAATCCTTCGCGCCAACCCCATCTTGGAATCTTTTGGTAATGCCCAAACGGTCAGAAACAACAACTCGTCGAGATTTGGCAAATTTATTCGAATTCAATTCACTCGATCTGGCCAAATTGCAGGTGCTTTCATTGATTGGTACCTCCTTGAGAAGTCAAGGGTGGTCAAAGTCAGTCAACAGGAACGCAGTTACCACGTATTCTACCAGCTCCTGGCGGGAGCTAGCCAACGAATGAGAGATGCCCTGTTGATCTCCGGGATGGATGTGGAGGACTTTGCTTATACAAGAGCTGGGAATGACACCATCGGTGGCGTTTCCGACCGTGATGAGTGGAATACATTGATCGAAGCCTTCCACATCATGAACTTTTCCGACAAGGAACAGATGGCCATTTTCCGGACGATGGCGGCAATCCTGCATCTGGGAAATGTCGCCGTTCGACAAGAAAGCAGAGCGGCGGATCAAGCTTCACTGACTCCAGAAGCCAAAGCATCGGTGGACAAGGCCTGTCAATTGTTGGGGGTTCAGACGGAGCCATTCGTCAACGGCCTTCTGCATCCAAAGGTTAAAGCTGGACGGGAATGGGTGGAGAAAGTGCAAACTCCCGAGCAAGTCCGGTTGGCCCTTGACGCTCTATCAAAAGGTATCTATGAACGTGGCTTTGGAGATCTGGTCTCCAAAATCAACACCCAACTTGACCGGGGGGGAGTCAGCAGTGATGACAGTCACTTCATCGGAGTTCTCGATATTGCTGGGTTTGAGATCTTCGAGACCAACAGCTTTGAACAACTCTGCATCAACTACACCAATGAGAAATTGCAACAATTCTTCAACCACTACATGTTCGTCCTGGAACAAGAAGAATACGCGCGAGAGCAAATCGAATGGCAATTTATCGACTTCGGAAAGGACCTTCAACCCACCATCGACCTGATAGAGCTGCCCAACCCGATTGGGATCTTCTCCTGTCTTGACGAAGACTCTGTCATGCCCAAAGCTACAGACAAATCTTTCACAGATAAATTGCACTCGCTGTGGGAGAAGAAGACGCCCAAATATGCACCTGCCCGTACTAGGCAGGGCTTCATTCTGACGCACTATGCGGCCGAGGTTGAATATTCCACGGAAGGTTGGCTTGAAAAGAATAAGGATCCTCTCAACGACAATCTCACTCGGCTTCTCGCAGCTTCGAAAGATGAACACATTAGCAGCCTTTTCGGCGATTATGTCGACGAAATGGATGAGCCATACAGCCCTCGCAGTCGTGTCAAGAAAGGCCTATTTCGAACGGTCGCGCAGAGACACAAAGAACAGTTGACCAGCTTGATGAGGCAGCTGCACTCCACACAACCCCATTTCGTTCGATGCATCCTTCCGAATCACAAGAAGAAACCAAAGCAATTCAATGCTCCGCTGGTTCTGGATCAATTACGCTGCAATGGTGTGCTGGAAGGTATTCGAATAGCTCGCACCGGATTCCCCAACCGTTTGTCCTTTGCGGAATTCAGGTCGAGATACGAGGTTCTATGTGAAAATATGCCGAGAGGATACCTGGGGGGCCAAGAGGCGGCAAAGATCATGCTTGATCGGCTGAAGATGGATCGATCCAATTATCGAGTGGGTCTGACAAAAGTTTTCTTCAGAGCAGGTGTGCTCGCCGATCTAGAAGAACAGCGGGATAGTCTGATCCGGGATATCATGTCCAGGTTTCAGTCTCGTGCTCGAGGTTTCACGCAGCGACGTCAGGCTTTCAAGCAGCTTTATCGTGCCGAGGCCACTCGGGTCATCCAACGGAACCTCAACGTCTACCTTGATCTTCAAGCCAACCCATGGTGGCGGTTATTGGTTCGGATGAAGCCTTTGTTGGGAGCAACTAGAACGGCGAGCGAAGTAAAGAAGCGGGATGAAAAGATCGAACAACTACAAGCGAAAATGAGACAAGATGCGGCGGAGAGACACCGAGTTGAGGATGAGCGAAGACGTGCCGAAATTGATGTTCAACGAATCCAGCAGACTCTGGAAGCTGAACGAGCTCTGGCTCTTGACAAGGAGGAAATATTCAAGAGACTGCAATATCGTGAGAGCGAACTGACCGAGAAGCTGTCTGAAGCGATTGCGGAACAAGAAACCCTGGAAGATCAACTGGACGAGGCAATGGTTTCCCGAAAGAAGGCTGAAGAAGAGCTTAGCACTCGACGGGAACAAGTCCTCCAGGCCGGACAAATCATAACTCGACTAGAAGCAGAAAAAAAGGACCTTCAGCGTCAGGTGGACAAGCTGGAAGACGAGCTCGAAAATGTCGAAAAGACACACTCCCAGAATGATGATCGGCTGGAAACAATTAGTCGTGAGCTCCGGACGTTAAAAACTCAGTTGGGAGTGAAAGACCAGAAAATATTCGACCTCGACACCAGTCTAAAGCGAGCTGAAAAGGACAAGGAAGATCGTACCACAAGTCTGGAGCAAGAATTGCGATCTTTGAGAAGCCAACTCACACAACGAGACAGAGCGACGGAGGACTTGGAAAAGAAGCTACGCAGAGCTGAGTCTCTGCGTGCCGAGGACAATAAGCGTCACACTGAGGATCATGAATCCCAAATCCGAGTGCTGAGAAGTGAATTGAATAACAAAGATCGAAAGATGCAGGAACTCGAAGATGACCTTTCCAAGATGGACAAAGAGGCCGAGACCAAGTTGACGAATACGAGCCACGAACTGACAATAACGAAGAAGCTGTTGAGAGAGCTTCAAGGCCAGAATGATGAGCTTCGCAAGCAAGTCACGTCAATGTCGATGACGTCCTCAAAACATGAAGAAGCCCTTCGTCGCAAGGAGGGTGAACTGTCAGCTCTGATGGCTGATGTCCAGCAACATGAACGGGAAAAGTCGGGCCTACGAGAAGAGAATGATGCTCTCGCGGGACGACATGAAAGTATGCAGGCCAAGCACAGAGAGTTGCAAGGAGATCTGGATAACTTGAGGGCGCAGAGAGCAAGGATGGAGAGAGAAGCGGCGGAAGTACGGAGATGTTTGGAACGAGTCATGCCATTTTTTACGCAGAACTTTTCGTGAAGAATTGGGTCGACCGTCATCAGCGTCGCGGGGATGCAAACAGAAGCGTGATGGTGGTGGTAATGGACCATGGAACCGAGGAGATGATTGTTTTCCGAGCCCAAGTCACTGGACGCAACTCAGTCCCACCCCTCTATATCGCAATGACTGGAGGTCTTTTGTTTGATTGGAGTTGTGTATTGGAAAAGAAGCTTTGGACAGCGTCTAGGTTAGTTTGCGATCAAGAGTGGGGATTGTTTCAAGTACAGTAAATAAGCAGACTAACGGGTAGCATATTAGCATTATGAGACTTGCAATGGATTCTTTTGGGCACTGTAAATGAAAAGAAGGTTTACCGCGGAGTAAAGCTCGATTGAATTCTAACCGTCAAATAGTGGTTATCTAGAGAATGGCCACAAGGCTGAGCTTCCCCTTTTTTGTGGCTCCGCCAAGCTCCAACTCTGGTGTCGTTCTCGATGACTAGTCTCTTTTCCACCGAAAAGCTCCGGGCATCCATCCGTCTCCACGCGTTGTGGTATTGAAATTTTCAGGCCCGGGAAATAAATCGGACATGGATATGGCGTCCGCTACCGTCGATGGAACAGATATTCCGCACCTAATACTGCCGGTTGATCAACCACTTCGACGATCTAATTCTTCACTGTCTGCCCAAATATACTACTCTGCATCAAACCGCCTGCTAGCACCAATATCGACATGGCAGGGTCAAAACGCGGAGAACTGATGATAGGATCAAGTGTGGAGACGAGACTGCAAACCGCATTCCTGACGATGGCTTTTGCCTCCGTGTCTTCGGGGCTTGCTTCGATCACGATCTGTGCGGCTTCCGCAATGAGCCTCTTCTTCTCTTGGTCTGAAGACGAGGCAAGCACGGCGCTGAGTAAGTCGAAGTCCAGCGTGTCGGTGCCTTTGGGCCGGAAATGCTTGAGGATCCGCTGAGCGAGAGGAGCCTGGATTGTAGCTTCAGCTACTCCGTTTTGTCGATGGTTGAACTCATCCAGTGCTCTCAACGCGAATCGAACGCCTTGTCGCCCAGTGTCGAAACTCGAACCGTCGTCTCCAAGCGGATGACCCCAGCCTCCCGATCTCCCGGTTCGTACAAGGCCAGCTGGTTCACGCGTATAACTCATCGCGACAGATCCAGTACCCGCCACAAGCACGACTGCGGAACCCAGCGTGTGCTTCTCGGCCGCCGATGTGGCGAGAAGTTCGATGTCGTTGGCCACTTTCAACTTTGCACCCAGGGGTCGTTTGAACATGTTTTCTAGAGATTTGTCGAAACTGGTGGCGATATCTTTCCGGTCATGCCCCGCAAGCGCAGCCCAGATTGGCGAGAAGAGATGTGGCCGCCATATTTCACCACGGAGAATCGGGTGCGAGTCACTTGCCCGTTGAATTGCAAGCGATATTGACAGGATTGCGGCTTCGACGCCAACATCCGTCACATTGCAACCGCCGGCTTCTCCATATCCTTTCGTGCCGTCGGGAGACATGATCACGGCGGCACATTTACTCCCACCTCCATCAATGCACAGAACAGAGTCGGCGGTCATATCAGACACGGGTTTCGTCAAGACGGTTGCTAAGACGCCGCCAGCTTCGGCCAAACGCTGTTTTGCTTCCGAGACAGGTACTCCTAAACTCAAGGCCGCGATAGCGAGTTTGGTGCTTCTACCGCAGCTTTTCAGTCGGTCATCTAATTCAGAGTCCGAACTGGGGCACGAAGAGCCACAGATACTGCGAAGGATGTTTCGAGATCTCTGCTGGAGTTTCAGATTGGTTGCTTTTAGATCGACCATCTATTCCATGTTAGCTGTAATTTGGCATTGAGAATCCCGCCACGATTCTCACCATATTGCCAAACGTTTTGCCCATTCTGATCATCGTCCCCGTACTGAGCATGTTCAGCCCAAGTTTTGTAGCCGTACCAGCTTTCATCCGGGTGCTCCCTGTGACGACTTCGGGCGTACGATATGCAACTCAGGACATAAAGCGTGCGATGCAATGCCGACAAGGGAGTCCACCTTGCCGTCTAACTCGAGAGCTTCGAGGTCTCTCACCGCCGCGTCGACATCATCTTCAGCACCTTCTTGAGCATGACGCAGTGCGTCGTCGCCGCCGGCAATGAGCCCAACGAATTGTCCTTCCGGAGCAGAATATGCGGGAGGAATCTCAGAGGCATCGAGCACACCTAGTCTGGTACAGAGGAAATCAATCGCCAAGTCCTCGAACTTTGCCAATGTCGACGCAAAGTGAGCCCACCTTCCACTCGTCCCGGCACCGACATAGATCACTCTCCCTCCGCTACGTACAGAGCGGCCAAAACATCAATAGCCGTTGCAATAACGGGAACGCATTTCGAACCCGCCTTTGCTATCGTCGCATCTTCACGATTGATAATCTGACAGAGCTCGACCGTTGAGATCTGATCAATGTCCACGCTATTTGGATTTCTCCGTTCGGTTTGGAGCCCTGCCAAATCCACCGACGCTGACATGCTCTTCCCTTTTTCCCTCCCCGGCCCAGTTTCAGGTTCGCTGACTCACTAGCGGACGGATCTCCTGGTTCGTCGGTAAATCCTGAATTGAGGAGGAAAAAAAAGAAAGAGACCCTAGAATGTCGAAGACCATGAGGCCGAGAAATGGATCTTTCAATCCATATGAGTAAGCCAAAATACTTCCATTTCCTGGTGATCGTACCAGTCCAGTGCGGAACCAATGTCTACGGCTGCAACCAGTGGGACCATTCCCACCGGAGATAGGCGGGAGGCCACTGGTCCACCAATTTTGGAGGTAGCCCATCGATTGGGATGCTGGTGTGATGCTAGATTTAGTTAATATGAGGAAAGCCGCTGCTTTAAGTTGGATGAAAGATGTTGATGCTTTGATTCGTACCAGCAATGCATGGAGAAACTAAGACCCCTTTTTTCATGTGATTTCGTAGATACGCACGCCAACGACACTTCCAGACCCCCATCAACAACCAGTAGTCCAAGGTTCCAGACTCGCAGCCATGTACACCTCTCCTCTCACGTCTGGTTCCTGCGTCTTCACATCAACACCCCCTGGATCTTAACGTTCAGCTGATATGGGACCCAAAGGTAATCAAGACCTGGATCATCGACATTTGAAGGGCTCTCGGGCGCTAATGTGCCTTTTAGCTCATGCTTCTGACCTTTGTCGTCGATCCCGGGTTGTTCTCGACCGGTAGGAGGATCAACACCTAGTTGCCTGTGCGGGTTCGAGTGCCTCTTCGCGGCACTGACACTGGCTCACGAGTACCCTGAGAACCTCTGGTATTGCTGAGGGAGCGGGCCAGACGCTCCTGTAATGCCCAGCCCCTCTGGAACCAGCGACTTGAAAAGAATCTGGATCGACGGAAACATCCGAAAGAAAAGCATAGCCTCCCGATACCGTTGAAACATTGCAACCATCACCCTTGGCTTGTTTGCGGCACCCGCTCAGTCTCCAAACCCCCGTTCACCCAAGTATGTAACTTCAAAGTTTACGGTCTTTGGTCGATAAGGTCCCACACAGAGTCAACAGGGGCACAGATGGCTACCGGTTGCAACCATGTTCCACTCAAGTCAATCACAAAAGCTACGTACTCGTCTCGTAATGGTAGACGACCACGACCACGAACCCCCACCTCCCAACCCAAAAAAATGATGACTTGTTCCAAAGCTTGCTAAATTTCGCGACATAGTGAGTTTTCAGTTGCCTGTCAGCCTGCAGACTGTGAACTCGATACCCAAAAATGTGACCATGGGCAACGCTTTTCCATTGGCTTCCACGAATAAGCCTCCCATTCCATGGCATCCGGTATTGGCCAATCTTGAGACACTTCAGGGGAGAAGGGAACCCTGCCCTGCTGCTGTGGTTGCCTCATACAGTGCGTTCTTCATCTGTCGGGTGCTCGATAGACCTTCACAAGGACCAAAGGCACTCATTTCGACGCCTCACATCCATCTTCAGAGCAAAATGACTCGGTAGATATGGCCAGAGACCTCATGGAAAGGGTTCTGTGGATATTTGGACGGTGTAAGATGGTCTTCTAACTCGTCCTTGTGGGCGTTGAAAGTTGATTGGCCAAGTCATCGTAGACTAACACAAGTTTTAGGGGGGAATATGAGTAGGGCTCCATCAGGGCAAACTACCGTCAAATGTCACGGAGAGAAACTTTCCTCCACCTGGAAGCAAGCAAGATATTTCGAGCTCCAATTCGCCGGTGGCTGAGATAGAATTCGGTTATCGCAGTCTGACTTTTGGGGAAAAGTGGGCACAGGCTTGGCAAATTGTCACGTGCTGAGACAGTCTACTCGCGCATTCGGGTCTTGATGCGGCTCGCAGGAGATAGAATGGCGGAATGACTGACCATATTCATACTGAGTTCTACCTAGTTCAATTGAACGAACTCAAATTGTTGCGGTTTCCGAGCAGGGATGTCGTCTGAGCCATTGTCGCCCGAAGCAAAGGGGATGGAACGGAGATTTTTGACGACCGCAGCCTAGCGCCCAGACCAAGTCACATGTAACGTCGCCCGCAGTCTTTAATGGTTGACCAATGCCCAAACGCTCCTGCTTCTCTACCATACTTTGCTTCCTCGTCTCAGCACGGAAGGAACCATCAACATCGCAGAAGACGTTCCTTCTTATTTGGATCAGTGCTCTTCACCTGCTTATTTAAATTTTTTCTCTCTTGGATTTACTCTCTCTCTCTCTTTTGAAAATGCAAACACTGGAAAGTTTTCCCACGAATGGGGGGGATTATGGTCGAGACCTTTTCAACTGTGAGCCCAGTGATGTGATTAGCAGTTGAGTTGACTGACTCCCTTCTAGACAAGCGATGGGACGCATATAGCGACAATTCCGGAAATTTTCTAGACGTTGCCTGCCTTCTTGAACAGCGACTCGCTTCTTCGTCTGACCTGGTGGAAGACCTAGCACAGCAAGATAAACGCACTGAACTGCACAATGAGTTTTCATCGCCGCCGTTGACAAGAACTCGCCGTGTGAGTACAGAGAGCCATCACCTCTGTGTAGCAGATGCTAATGGAGTTATTCAGGGTCTCGTCCAGTCATCTCAAGTTGGCTATTTGACACGAAAACGAAAGACCAGATCGCTTGACTTCCCCCAACTCAAAACCCGATCAACAACCAAGAGAGCTCGGTTGCTCTCCGAACCTGCAGAGCCCGATTCATCTGTTAAGAAGTGGCTATCAGATCTACCGGCCAACGAGGACTTCGACCACCTCGACCACCTCGACCACCTCGACCAACTCGACCACCTCGACCACCTCGACCACCTCGATCACCTCGACCACCTCGATCACCTCGACCACCTCGACCACCTCGACCACCTCGACCACCTCGACAATCTCGACAACATGAGCTTACGACCCTCGAAGAGAACGCGGTTGTCCGATTCTTCGAGTCAACTGCCGTCACAATCAGAGCACGGTAGAGGGAAGAATGTTTCAAGTGACAAGAAAAACTCTGCGTATCGGGATGTGAACTATAATGTTGTAATGGAGACCAAAGGCAGTTTCATGCGCCCATCCGAGGCCGGGCTCGTTGATGAAGATAAGAAACTCTGCAAAGATCTTTTTTCTACAAGTCAGCCAAAACCTGAGAATTCACCGTTCAATAATGAGCGATTCGAGAGATTCCACTCACTCTTACGAGGCCGATCCGAGACTCGAATCTTCCTCTCTCTACATCCTCTTGTTGTACCGTCGGTCGAAGAACTCTGCTACGATGGACGAAATGAATTCGACGGCCTCATTGAAGGTCACAATGACGTCTGGGTCAAATCGATTCCATTCTATGGACCGCGTCCGCAGTCAGACCACACATACGGATTTAAATGGTCAAACTTTACAGAGCAGCAGCGAAGGAAACTCAATATCCAACCCACCGAAACGTCGTACTACACAGCACGCGAAGATATATATTTTCCCTTCCTGACCAGCGAAGTCAAATGTGGCAGCCAAGGACTCGACATGGCTGATCGAGCTAATGCTCACAGCATGACCGTTGCACTCCGAGGTATTGTGGAACTTTATCGAAAAGCGAATCGTTCATCCGAAGTTCACAGGAGGGCTCTTGGTTTTTCCATCTCCCACGACAACAGATACGCACGTATCTCTGTCCATTATCCCGAAATCGATGGTGAGCGCACGCATTACTTCAGCAAGTTAATCAGTGAGATCAATTTTGCAAATGAAAATGGAAAAGAAAAATGGACTTGTTACCAGTTTACACTCAACGTTTGTCAACATTTTGCCCCAGACCTTCTCGAGCGGCTTAAGACTGTGATTGATCAGCTGCCAGACCCGGTTACACCGATACTTGAGCCAGCTGGTTTCGGTTACGGTAGTGTACTGAGCTCACGGGATGGTACCAGCACGCCCACATCACAAGATGGAAACTTCAGACCGCCCCCCAAACCAAGCAAGCTAAATGTAGAGTTGCGAATAGCGATGCAAAATCAACAACGGCAGCTGGAACAACAGAAAGAGGAATTCGACCAACTGAAGAGACAAGCGATGGACAAAGAGTCGGCACTATTGACTCAGCTAGAGGAGCAGCGGAAAGACTTTAAGCAGCAGCGGAAAGACTTTAAGCAGCAGCGGAAAGACTCTGAGCAGAAGCAAGAAGAGTTCATTCAATATCTGAAACACCAATCAGAGCAACAGAGGGAACAAATGAAGGACAGAGAGTCAGCACTATTAACTCAGCTAGAGCAGCAGCGGAAAGACTTTGAGCAGCAGCAGAAAAACTTTGAGCAGCAGCAGAAAAACTTTGAGCAGCAGTGGAAAGACTCTGAGCAGCAGCGGAAACAGCTCTTTGAATTGCTGCAAGGCAAACTAACCTGATCATAGCGAAACTATGACACCTTTCAACACCGAAAATTTCATTCCAAGTTCCCGAGATTCTTGGACTCGACTGCCAAGAAGGGCAATATGTCCGATCTTGACGCACCCTGCGGTTTAACACAACTGGCTGAAGGACTTATAACGCATATTCATTGTTATCCGGACATAATGAGGCGACTGCGATGACGAAAGACCATCGACGGGCACAGGAGAGTTGAGATTGTGCAGAGTCTGAATCAATCATGTGTCTTCACCTTCTTCCACTTCGCAGATTCTCAAGGCCTGAAACACTGGGTCCGGATAAGCGCAAATATCATTCAGCAATTCCTTTACGATTTGAATTCCTGACACGCCTGTTACATGATAAGACATATCTCAGGACAATATCATGGTTACGGAGGGAAGTCTTGCTGTGGTCGATGAACTCAAACGGAACGAGTACATGCATAAGTGCTAGATTGCAAGGTCGAGACAGAACATGCTTTTAGAGGACTCTTATTCTTCTAGGATCTATCCTACGTGACCCTAATAATACTCTCTCCACTTCTTCTACTTCTTGTTCTTCCTGTCTACAGACTTGCTAACAACCAATCCAGATTGGAAGATTGATTGTTAGGATTGCTTACAAAGCAATCAATCCAATCAATCCGAGGGGCTGGATTTTGCCAATCAATCAATCCTAAAAGCTGGAGATTGATTGGATTGGCTTGTTACAGTAGTATCTATATTGCTGACCGTTTGGCGATTTTATAATAGGTCCTAAATACGGCGATTACGCATGCAGCTTGATCGTCCTTCAGAGTCTCCGGTTCTGGGAGAGACCAGGTCCCCAACCGTACAGAAAGCATGAACCTTGGCCAACGCCTAAGCCAGTTGAGGAGGGCCCACCAGATACTACATAAGGAAGGTATGCCGAGGAGCACGTGACTTCCAGGATACGAAGTATTTGATTAAATACGGGATGACATAATGCGCGTAATCCAATACAAGTAACTATTACAATAATTATTACTATTGCAAGAGCTCAGACTCAATGAACTATGCCAAAGACTTTCTCGCAGTATATATTATTCCAACTAAGTTAACTATTACAATGATTACTGCTTTATGAGCATTCTCTTCAATTCAATGATTTGAAAATTGCTTGGTTAATACCATAACTTATGTTACTATGCTTAGCTAATTTATACGTAGGGCCCTTCGCATCTACTTACTCTACAAGGAAAAATCTATAAATAATTATACTTTGGGTTGACCCGACCCAACCCGGCCCAAATGAACGGGTTTCTGGGTCGGGTTTGGGTCAGGCCTTTGGTTGACCCGAAAACCCGTTCGGGCGGGCCAAGGGGGGTGAAAACCCAGCCCGACCCGGCCCATGTCAAGGCCTAGGAGACAAGGACAACCTCACCTTTGGTATATCACTACAACTCTCTTAACATCCTGGCTGAACAAGGACGTGGAATATGTAGATCTGATTGATCTCCCTCCCGTCACCTAACCGTAACCGATTCTGCAGCTCCCTTTCATGCCCTCCCTCGTCCTTTCCCACGCCGTCTCCCGGGCTGTGCCGCTGTTCCTCTGGTTGCTTGCTCCTGTACCTTTGCTTCTTTTTCTGCCTCTTTTGGTGCTTTCTGCTCTGCTCTCTTTGCTTCTTGCGCCGTTCTCCTCTTTTTTTCAAGTAGTACAGAACGGCGTACTCCATGAAAAACCCCAGCGTCGATGGGTTGTTATAAAATGTCGACATTGCATCCAGAAACTTGGCATTGATGAAATATTGTTGATATTGGACGAGGGTATTTGCTACTGCTTTGCGGACCACACCGCAAGAACAGCCGCCAGTAACATATGTGCGTCTGCCATTGACTTCGTCTTCGCATTCGTCTTCGCGTCCGAAGAAAAAACGATAGTCGACGAGGTCGGGTGTCTGGAAAATGACAGTCTGCACGCGAAGGCCGAGAAAGAAAGCGTTCACGAACTCGCAATACCTGAGAAGTTAGTTAGTTCCATCGTAGAAGTCTGAATAACATACCTAGTCCATCGGACATCATTACCCTCATTCAGCGTTTTCAGTTTGACATCGTCGATGAATATCACGACTTTGTCCGCGACTTTCTGGAGTGGTGAAAGGTTAATCTTTCCACGTGCCACGCACCCGTTCAACAGCAAAGGGATGCGGCCCGTGAGGTCTTCAAAGTTCTCTTTGGCCTTGTCTTCCAGACCCAAGTCGGAGTGACGACCCCACCAGCACTTCATTTCTGTCTAAATTGAAGTTAGAAGTGTTGGCCAGTCACGTGACTGGTTGCCTTGGCAACGTCACGTGAGGCTGTTTGGCTTGGCAACTTGCGCCCTTCTTTTCGTCTTGCTCTCTCTTAGATTGAACAACAACAACACATTCCTTCTCTAGACTCCACAGTCTATCAAGAAGAGATGCACTTGGAAGATCTGACCTACATTGAGACATATCTCGGTCAAGCCGCCATAAACAAGCATGGTGAAGTTACTATTCTCCAAGATTTGCCCCGTGAGGTAGTCCTGGTTGAAAATCGTATTTCACGTTCAGGTAGGCAAATCAAGGCACCCCGGCACTTGCGACAATAAATTTTTGTATAAATAGTTTCGTGTATCTATAGACTAGCTCCAGTTAAAATTTGAAGACCGTACAGTGTATGGTTTTAGAGTAGCTAATGTAAATAGTGCGCTGGTGTAGAGGCAGGGGGGTGTGCATTCAGGTGGGATCGTGTGGTTGTAGCGGCGGGAAGAGAATGTATGAACTAACTAAAACTATCTGCTGGGGGTGGCCGCTTTACTTATCATATATGTTCCGTAAACGAATGTAGTTTAGCGTAAGCCAGAATCCTTGGCAGAAATCCACAATCGTGCACGCGCACGTGACAACTAGTAATCGACAATCCTGATTGGCTAGATTGAATCGTGATTGCTAATCGTGATTGCAGTTCAATCCCCGCAGACCAAATCTTCATCCAAGTAAGATATTGACTGTCAATGGCTTCCGAGATTGATGAAACTGAATCCACCTCCGCAATTAGCTCTTTAGCACGTCAACTCCAAAGATTGCTCCGTCAGCAGCCCATGGACCACGTCGGCATCGAGGCTCGTTTGTTAACGCTCGGTTACGAACCATCTCGAGTGTAATTAGTAGAGCTTGTCTGAGGTGGTACACAGACTGGATCCGATGCGTGGATCGTCTCGATATCGGGTAGGGTGCCCCCCCAGGCACTTGGTCCACAGACTGGATCCGATGGTTGGTGGCCCGGAAAAGCATTTAATCCGATGGGGTAGTCCGGAAAATATTTAATCCGTTGAGGATAGGTGGTCTACGGGATTTCATTGGATCCAATCCGTGGACATCGAGTAGGGTGGGCCCCCGGCCATATGGTCCACGGATTGGATCCGATGAGGGTGCGGCAAGGGGAGTGGCCACGTGTCCACGTGACAATGCCAAGACATATGCTTACGTGATTGGCCAGCACGTCGCTCTTGGCGTCACCACACAACGCCAAGTCCTAACCAGACGATTCCAAAATTAAAAAATAAAAAAGAAAAAATCAAGTTTATATTTTATAATGCCAAAAATTGCTTCAAAATTGACACCAAATCGTGGTTGACCTATCAAGGACGTAACCGAGTGATAAAACACTCGGCTTGCAGTCGAACCGATAGAATTGAGGGGCCTTACTAGTGTTCGATCATAGGTGAGGTAAGAGGGTTGTCCGGCCTAGGTTTCTAGGTGCTCTAGATGGGTAAACGTAATGCTCCAGCCAGTGATTGTTGATGATGTCGTCTTGTTCATACGTTGGGAGGTCACTGAACTTGTCTGGCTGAAGCTTTCACTGGCTGCGGCGCCCCATCTATAAGTTCGTTATAGATGGACGATAGGAGGGGGGCTGATTATTTTGTTAATATTTTTTTCATTTGCGTGTATGTGAACCATCTGCCTTATAGAGTCCATATAACCATTCGACGACTTTAGGCGCATACTAGGGGCTCTTGAGACATACACGATTATTTAATCCCCTTAGGCTCTTTACGGCTACTCGCAAAAACGGTGTATGCTCTTGTTGAACAAGTGGTGACCTATCATTCCCACCCATTCTATAACATGACAGGCAACAGCGCCAAAGTACACCACGGAGATAGATATATAGATGGGCTCTATCCTGCACTCTTTGGAAGAGCCAGAGCACTCTTTCATATCTCAGAGCATTCAATACATCTCAAGTTGCACATAGGCCAACAGCTCTCTTTTACCGTCCTTACGAGAGTACTCCCCTTACGGTGCCAGCCTATATCTTAACAGAGACCCTTCTCAATGCGAGTAATATACTAACAACGCAGAAAGACTTATGGAAGACTTACTCAATCTTAATGCGAATACTACGATAGCGTTTAGGTGCAGTTGGAAGATGGCAAAAACAATTTTTGAATTTTGAGCTGCTGGTCCTAGTGCTCCGCGTTAAGTAGATCATATCCTGCAGGACGCGAATATGTCTCTGTGGAACAAGGGAAAGTCGTGAGAGGAGGGAAGCGAGGGTTCATCAACCATCGGAAACTGTGGAAGCAAAAAGGTTAATTACCGTGGAAACCTGTGGGAGGACAAAGGTCGTGGCTTCTACAATATTATACTCATCTCAAGTCTCTTCCCATTTCTATTCGATCTTCTATTTATTGCTCTCCGACACCAGCCCTTACCAGGCTCCGTCGTGGTGAGACGTTGACACGGGTTGTTTCTCGATTGGCTGTCAATGTACCCTCCCCGACAATATCTTCAAATATCTGGTTGCCCGCAATAGCTATACACGACATCTCCCTTTCCGTAGTTCGACCTCTTTCTTCCCCTTGATTTCGCTCTCACATGACAGAACACGACGCCAAATAAGGCAACAGCGAGACCCCGGCCGACACGCCTCCGAATAAAGCCCCCGCCGCGCCGGCGTAGAGGCTCCTCGCCGTCAGCTTCGCCATTTTCTGTGCCATCAGGTCTTTCTGTCGACGACGCTCTTGCGTGAGCAGCAGGCTCTCGACCGACGACGACGTCGTTGACAATGACGATGATGAAGGAGCAGACTCATCGCCCGTTCGGAGCGGGAAAAGGCTGAGACCACCGTCCACGGGTGTCGAGGCCCGCTTGAGTAAGTTCTCAATGGTGTGATGGCACTCATTGATTTTCCGCTCGAGCATTTCCACCTCACGAGTATTTCTCGACACCCAGCGGCTCTCGAGCTCGGCCTTGGGTAGGAGGAGGTCATTGAGCGCCGACTTCCGTTCCGTTATCGACGATTTCAGACTCTGAATCTCGTTTGTGAAAGCGGTATCCGACCGCCGTTGGCTGGCGTCAAAGGCTTCTTTGGCCTTGTTCAATTCTTCTTGGAATCGCTCGAGGTCCTTCTCCCACAACATTTGTGCCTCGCGACCGGCTGTGGTGTCGTACAAGGTGGCACCAGGCTTCGCAAGCTCCTTTTGAATCAGCAGGTCGTATTTGACATTGCGTTCCATAATGCGATCAACAATGCTGATGGCGGATTTATATCCCTGGTCATGTCGCCGCACCGAGCTCTTCGGGGAACCGTGGACCAATTGACCCCATTTGTTCATGTCCTTCAGGAGCTGTGCTTCACGTGCATTGCCCGTGGTCTTGTCGACTTGGTCCCAGAACGTCGTGGTTAGGACGATGGCGTCGTAGTTCTCAGGCCCGCAGATGGTTTGAAGCATGTTGAGGCTTCGACGCGTGGACGCGCTCCATCGGACGTCAGCGATAGAATGGAGGTAGATGATGCCGTTAAGGAGAAAGCGGCTTTCTCGCTTTGTGCCCGTCTTGCCGTACGCGGCAGAAAGCCAATATGCAACTTCTTGAAGCACTTCTGACTCGGAGCGTGTGGTGTCGTTGAAGCCTGGCGTGTCAATGAGGTGGACTGTTTGGGACTTGTGCTGAAATGAGAAGATGGACACAGAGGATGTACCTGATGATCAAGTCAGTTATCGGTTCCTAGCGTTGAGGTATAAGATAGGTATCTAACATGACTCAAGGTGGTGGCCGATGGGAATCTCCTTCTGTGTGCACAGAGTCACAAAGGTCGATTTCCCCACGCCCGTGAGGCCCATTACCGCGATAAAGACATCTTCAGGGCTGTCGGAAACGATTAGAACGTTTCCAGAGACACCTTTGCATTGCTTTCACTGACCTCAAAACCTGCTCTGAGCTAGTCAATCCTTGGCTTGCATCCATGACAGAAGCCACCGTATGATTCCAATCGTCTTGCCGTGACGAAACTAATTTGTTCGTGCTATTAACTGCCCAACCTCACTTTCGAAGGTTTGGCGTATGTTGATGAGGCAGAGAGGGTGGCATCCAAGAGTGAAGGACGAAATAAGTCTGGTTAAATGATCGGACGTGAATCTCAGCGCAAAGGCTCAAACCGGTCTGGGACTTCTACGATTATTTGCTTGCAGGGAGGCGAAGACCCGTGTTAGACCATCTTCGAATTGTTTCGAGGGCGTTGATCCAGGGGGCCCATTGGCGAGCATTGGCGTAACTTACGCCACAATATCATATGTGGAATGAAGACCAATTATGCGTCTCCCACAACCTCCCGTCGGGGGGCCGTGGATGAAGATACATGGCTGATACCGCCTAGCAACTTTAAGACCTTCCCGGCCGAGAGCAATGCGGCTCATTCGATCTTGGTTCCCGTTCAGCCTAGTGGATGCCTCGTTGTTCTTTGGGCTGAAAATGGTGAGACAGGTTCGGCAATCGACGATCGAGAGCGAGAAGTCTCAGCTGTGTGTTACGCAGCCTCGCGAGGACATGACGAGTTTGGGGGACCGTGCCATCTGAAATGGTCCCAAGGCTGGTTGCCTTATCCGGAGACCGGTCACTCAGCCGCGTGTAAAGTCCCGTTTGTCGCGCGCGTTAAAAGCAGCGACATCTGTGGCCGAGCAACTGGCGCCATGTTGAAACTCTTCAGCCTGTTGCATTTCGCTCCTTTGGTCTGTGTGGTGGTAGATAGCTTTTAATAGTAATCATCCTTTCAAGTTCATGGTAGCTGCAAGACTTCGTGTTTGCGACACAGGAGACTTTGCTCATGGACCTTCGAACTTTTGCACATACAGCGGCCAATGCAGCATTTCGAGATTCGGATGCTTCACGGCGGGAAAAATTCAAGGATGGCCGGTCTAGGGGTGGATCGGACGGGGCTGCAAGTTATGGTCGAGCTGGTCCTGCAAAATTGCAATCGACGAGCAATATCCAGGGACCTAGATTGGGCGAAAGATACCTCAGCGACGCTCTAATCCATGAATCTGCAAGAGGAACCCCGAAAATCATAAGTGACGGACAGGCGAAGTCAGAAATACAGCCAGCATTCAAACCACATCCTGCGCCGTCTCGGGGCGCGAAAGAAAAACCAGATGATCACTCTCGAGTCAAGTTGCCGGCCGAGGAGAACGATAGGGACGAAAGCGTTCCTGATGACGACGCATTCAATCCAGCAGACCTTTTTTACGTCGTCATGGGTGTCACAGGAGCTGGGAAAAGCACCTTCATCTCCTTGTTGTCGGAAGATGCAGTCGAAGTCGGACACGATCTTCAGTCGAGTAAGTCTGTTGCCCCTCCTCCCTTTTGCTCCGTTTTCAGATGCTGATCCATCAAGAAACCGCGCATGTCAGTCAGCATCGGTTTCAGTGTCCTGATGGGCGTAAAGCATGGCTTATTGACACACCCGGATTTGACGATACTGGACGCCCAAATGTCGAGATCTTAAAAGAGATCATTGCATCTCTGACGAAGCTCTATGAACGTGGCGGGAGCATCTCGGGTATGATATACCTGCACCGGATTACGGATCCACGAATGTCAGGCTCAGCTTTGAAGACTCTGGAGATCTTCAAGTTATTGACTGGTGCCTCGGCGATGCCCATCGTCCGACTCGTGAGCACGCGGTGGAATGAGGTAGATCTGATGGGCCCGGATTTAGAGAAGGCAGAGCGACTTGAAGACCAACTACACATGTCAGAAAAGTACTGGGCGCCTCTGATCCGTGACGGTGCTGTTCCCCGTCGTCACACGGGGGATCGACGGTCGGCCCTGGCCATTGTTTCGACTTTGCTTGAAAGGAAACAGCCACCTCCAAAGTTAGCCATCGTGAGAGAGGTTCTGGATGAGGGGCTCTCTTTGCTCGATACCGCGGTCGGGCGATTCATTAGTCGTGACAATGAGGAGCTCCGCAGGCAGTACGAGGCAGAAATCAAAAAGTTGCAGCAAGACCGAAAGCAGGCCCTGGAGGACCATGACCTTGAGGTTGCCGAACTCTTTGCCGCCGAAGAGTTGGAGTATCAACGACGGAGAGAAACGGTGCTCGCTACTGAATCTCAACTCAACGTCGATTTCCACCGTCTCCACGACCGGACCTATCAGCGATCTGTTATGGGGCAAGCGAGGTCGACAGATGATGATAATTCTGAAGGGTTGAGGTCCGAAAACGAGTTGTTGCACCTTGAACGAACACAATTAGAGGAGAAAATGGCAAAAGCGGAGAGGCGGCACCGAATAGAAATGGCAAGGCTGCAGGAAGCAATGGCTCAACAGAATGCGAAACAACGTGAGGAGAGCGCGAGGGACATGCGTCGGCTCACCCTTCATTATGAACACGAGCGTCGCGAAAGGGAGGACCAGCTATATCGCCTGAAAAGGAAGAACAGGAGGCTCAAGAAGTCTTCCACCAATTTCTTCGATTGGTTGATGTGGTCAGGTTGACTGGGAAAGGCTCTCCAACAGGCGAGGCTACTACTTCAATAAGTGTCCGATGAGTGTCTGAGTGACGACATGAAGCTTCACCGGAGGATGCAAGTGATACTGTAGACATTGATTTCCGCAATCGAAAGAATGATACCGTCTATCATCGCCGTAGCTACAGTCTGGATAGATAGTTCAGCCTTGATACCCCAAGGGAAGAAAGATTGGATGTACTCGCGATGACACCATTGGGCCATTTTGGACGAATCGAGACGCTGGAAACGTATGTTGCGGTGAACTCTGTTTGTGTCGAAAATTCTTACAAATATACAAGGAGAGCTGTCGAAGTCTCGCCGCCTCTGCGTGAATGCTGACGAAAGACCTGAGCAGCCAGGCCGAGCTTCTGTTGCATTTCCCGTTCCGCCTCGCTCCCCTGTCGTTCTTTCTGTTTCTCTTCACGCTGTCTACGATCAGCTTCATCCATCAAAGCTTGCTGTTTGCGCTTCTTCTCGGCAGAAGGTCTAGCGGCGTATTCCTGCTTGATGTGATTGAGTCCTAGATTCATCGCTCTGCCGGGCGCTCGTCTCATGCATCTCTGGTCTCAGGCGCATCTCCTCTTGAGTTTGAATCAGGAATTTGTCACTCTTCTGAGCAACAGATGACAAATTTTCACGTCTTCTGGAGGATTTTCCTCGATCTGAACAGCGTGAGATCCCTTTCTGCCATTGGTTACCAGAACTTTGGATCCGCAAAGAGCTGCGTTTCGCGATTTTCCCCATAACGTCGTCAACCGCGGTCCAGAAAGTTGTAACGAATAGAACTTTGTGTAAATTATCATATCTACATAGCTCCGTAAACAACCGAATATTGGCAGAGCTGTTCTCAGATATCTTGGAGTTCACGATTCGATGGAGATACTGTCGAGCGATGAGCAGTACCCCTTTACTGGGAAAAGGGTTATCACCCCTATGCAGGATATAGGGGAAGAATAGGAGTGGAAAGGAGTCAACTAAGCATATATTTATACTGGTAATCTGGCAGGACCAGTTGCCAAAGAGACAGAGCATTCAATACATCTCATTTGCACCCCAAGTTTGACAGATACACAAGTCCATGCGAGAGTAGACACTTCCCCACCGGATGTCTTCATCCATGATAAACTTCTTTGACAATATCGTCACCTAAACCACTGCGGTCGGTGTATCAACGAGGGTGAAGGTTGTATCCTCATGGACGAGGCTGTAGCATTGTACCCGGAAGGCGGCTTCATGATCGGTGAGCAGGTTCTTGCAGTTGGATTACGAACGAATTTACATGATGTCAATCTATGGCCAATAGCAATGTCTTTGACACCAGTGAGTGCCTTGATGAATGAGCTCTTACCAACTCTCGTTGGTCCATGATGGCGACAGCAGCAATGTCCTTACTCTTACCATAGGCTGAGGGCAGGCGGGCTGTTCCTTCAACTTCCGAACCCACTATCGCATCTCCAAACTTTCACTGCAGCTCCGCTGGCAAGTCTCGAGAGAATTCGTGCTACTGTTTTCTGCACAAACTGCAAGGCCTAAAGGAAAGCAACGGATATAATCAGCACTCCACCGGAGAATGATTGATTGCTCGATCTCCAACGGCCGAAAGCAGGCGACTGATATTAATGCACCGATGGGCTTTGTTGATAGATGCTGCTAGCATGACGTTGGATCTAGGCAAAAACGGGATTGGCTTCGTCGAGCTCCTGGAATCTGTTGATGACTGGAAATGGCTAAATGTATGGTATTGGCGAAGCTGGGTGCCTTGGTTGAGGTATTTCAGGGGGTAATTGTTGGAGCCTAAACCGAAGCCAGTGCTAAAAAAATTTCGATCAACAGCTGTAACCGGGGACTCTAGACCAATACGCCGCTTTAAGCACGTCTCGTTTGCGGCTGAAAATTTTCGTCAGCCTGGCGCGAGATGGGGGCTGCCAATGCCTTAATCATAGCCTAGATAGAAATACCAGTGGCAGTGCAAATACAGGGGGTGTTCATATGTAACTTACAGTATATCCGATCCCGAGGCTTAAAAGGATATGCTTGTGATGCCTATCCCCAATTGAGAGATCAAGACAGGAGAGGCTCTGACCGTTAGGATCTTTGCGAGCCACATTAAATGTTGAAATCTCCTCTAAACTTCATTTTCTAGATTCTCGTCGAGAGCACACCGCTGTGGCTTTGACTTGTATAGAGGTTTTCAAATCCCTGGTATCCTGCTTTATCGACCAATCTCCAGTCTCAAGGAAATGGCTGTCACTCTAGGGTAAGTCTCTCTCCCCTGCAGCCTCATTCCGGTACTGATATTTCGTTTCCTCAGCCCTGACGACAAAGTTATTGCCCTGATGGGTATGACTGGAGTCGGTAAGAGTTCGTTCATTCAATTGTTCACACCTGAATCTGTTGGAGTCGGCGAGGACCTGGAGTCTTGTAAGCAGCTTTCTGAAGAGTTACGTTGATCTTGGCTAACCACACCAAGTCACGAGTCAGGTAGCCGTCTTTCCGTGCCAGATGCCAAACAGTAATGAGAAATTCTACTTGGTGGATACCCCTGGCTTTGACGACAGCAACAGGCCCGATCAAGAAATTCTTCGTGAAGTCTCCAGTTGGCTCACCAAGACGTATGCCGACAACATCAAGCTTTCTGGAATCATATATCTCCACAGAATCATGGACGTCAAATTCACCGGAGCAGCGGTGAGGAACCTGTCCATGTTCAAGAAGCTTTGTGGTGATGGCAACCTGGCCTCGGTCGTGCTCGCTACCACGTTCTGGAGCAAAGTCGACCCGGACACAGGAAATACGCGTGAAAATCAACTCAAAACAACACCCACCTTCTGGGGTACCATGGTCAACCGAGGCAGTCAAGTGTTTCGGCATGACTCGGCAGAAAAATCCGGTGCTGCAATTGTACAATACCTCCTCGATCGTCGACAAAAGCCCGTCTACACCATTCAAGACGAAATGGTCAACGAGAAGAAGACGCTTGAAGAAACAGCGGCCGGGACCGAGGTACAGACTGAGACGGACAAAGTGATTCGCAAGTATGAGCAGACGATTGCAGACCTCAAGCAAGAGATAGCGGAAGCCACCCAGACCCACAACGAGGCGATGCGCCAGGAGCTGGAAAGAGAAAAGAGAGAGCATGAGGAGTTCATCCGCAAGATACAGCAGGAGCAGGAGAAGATGAAGGTGGGCGACTATGCGCTGTGGCAGCAGCGCGAGATGGAGCGCGAGCAGGAGCGCCAGGAGAACAAGCACCGTATGGAGGCCTTGATGGAGCAGATATCCCACATGGCCAAAGCCGACGGGGACAGGCAGCAGAAAGTGGCCGAGCTGGAAAAACAACTTGGGATTGAGCGAATGAAGTACCAGACGCTGCAGCGGTCCAAATTCTCCGTCAGATTCAAAACTATGCTGGAGGAAATCGGCGACTTTTTCCGCACGCTATGATACATATCTCACAACATATAACTTGGGGGAAGAACCGGGAAGTGAACGGAGGGGGATATTTGTATGTTCCCCCGAAATAACCAATGCGGACGGGGTGGTGGAATCAGAATTCCATTCCAGAAGTTCGAAGGCCAAATTTTGCGCCCGGCGAAGCTGGTGAGGCTAAGATTGGCTTGACCGGTATGGGATACTCCGAGCAACGAAAGTGGTTTTATTTGAGCTCGGCGTCGAGGTGTATGAGATATCTAAATAGATATTATTCGCATTGTAATAGACAAGATCAAGACTTACATCCTATGAGACATATCGAAAAGAGACGCAGCTCGTAACACGATGAGACGGACATTGGGAACTTCTTGGAGAAGACCGGCTCCGCTTCCTTGTGAGCGTGACTGAGGAAGACATTATGACATTCCTCAAGTGATTTCGGACGTTTACTCCCGAGTCCGGAAAAGAAGCATCTTGGATGAATACTGGAGAATGTGGTGCATGTCATACCGAAAGTCTGTTAGCAAGGATTACGCCCAAGTAATGAAGGAGGTCCGCGATGTGAGGATCAGGATTTGCCTATTTTCGAGGCGAGTTGCTGATCCATGGTGGATACTTAACCATTAAGTATAACCTCGATACAGGTCTGAGGGAAAAGCTAGTCACGGACATCAACGACGTGTTACCCGTTCTCCATCACCACTGGGTTCTAGACACATCAGTCTTCCCCGGACGAACGATAGAGCATCCAGCTCACCTTTCTTGCTTCTTTTCTCGACGTACACAGAAATCAGACTGGCCGCGCTTAGTGAAGAGACGCAAGAGGGACAAGGAAATCTTCCATCAACTATCGATGCTACTCGCATTATGGCCAGATAGGACAGCTGCCGGCAGGGACGCTCCACCTTGTACAATGGTTGATAAATTAACTTGTCGAATTGTTCGCCTAGCGCCCTGTCAAAGATGAGTGGGTCGTAATCAATTAAGTCGGCGATAAGCATATCCTCGCCGGGTATCTTCAACCTCAGTGGGCGATTGATGCTAGAAAAGAATCATGAAGCCGAATTTGGATCGCCTTCACCTCTTTTGAAGAAAGGCTGGCCCGAGGTCGACGACTCTGAAATGACCTTGATCGGTCAATTCTTCACGATGGTCCAAGAGATGGTCGACTTGCCCGTGCTCACCATTCTGCTGACCTAGAAGATGCTCTTACTTCGGGGTTGTTGGTCCTAGTCTTGAAGTTAACATAACAGGTTAATTCGAGTAGCAGGATGACAAGTCCTATGATCTCCGCTAGAGGAATTGAACATGGCCCCTTTGGTATATGGCAACTTGTCCAAGTCAAGCTCGGTGTGGCTCGCTCTGTCGATGCAGCATGTGTCCACCCAGAAATATTGTAAGCCACCTTTGCTAGGGACTGTCTTCTGTACGAAACCTTTGGTATAGGGGCATGTACCCTTAGGGAGAGCTGGCCACCGCAGCCGGAGTTTTGCTGTCGTGGGGACATAGAGCTGCTGAAAATCTCCCCCCTTCCATAGCCAATCTATGACTAACTCATAGATGGGGTGCTGCAACCAGCAAAAATTTTCATTCTGATAAGTTCAACATTTTAGGAATCAGTGGCCCCCAAAGATATCACTCAGTATGACATCAAACCTTAGTTTCCGGTACTGATCACGTGATTTTAACTTTTGGTGCGGTAAATGGCGACGCCAAGACTTGACCCTTGTGGTTGGCCAATCATGCGAGGCTCGTAACGCCTTGCCTTGTTTCTCCGCGATCTTCTCCTTCTTCCATTGTCGCCAAAATAGATGTCTGTACCAACGCTCTGAGAAGCTTTATACGTGGCGTCGGTGCTCGCTGTTGACATCGCGGCTGCTTCGTCCCTATCATTATCCCTCTCACCTATGGCCGCGCCTTTTCGCTGCCACTCCTCCCCCGGCGTCCATTGTTCTCTTCTCGTTCGAGGTGACCTGGGCCTTGCCTTCCTCAACAGCCCGCACGCTGTCAGGCTTTTTGGGCGGAATGTCTTTTCGGACGGTGCGCCATTCCATGCCGAGAGCGCCCAGGATCGAAAGACAAGCCATGATGAGAGCGACCTGAAAGCACACGCGCAGCGAGGCGTTGTAAGCCTCCAGTGCCGCGGTGTGGTACTGGGAAGGGATGAGGTTGAGGAGGTCAGTTGCGCCCGTGTTCTGGATCAGCCGGAAAGTAATGCCGGGGATGCTAGAGAGACGGTTGGTCAGCTGATTTTCGAGCACATTCTGACCGACGGATATGAAGGTGGCGCCAAAGAGGGTCTGACCGAAAAACATGAGCGACGCGCCGATGGCCACGTTCTCACGCGGCAGCACCGTCTGCGCGCCCATGTTTGGTGCTTGCGAGCTACAACCGAGGCCAAAGCCGTATAGGATCTGGTACCCAATCCACTTGCCCTCGGTGGTATTGACCTCGAAGGTGGTAAGCAGCCCGGCCCCAATTGCTGCGAGGCAGACGCCGAAGATCATGAAGGGCGTATAATACCCGATGCGGGAGACCAACTGGCCGGTAAGTATGGATGCCACAACGACGGGGATCACCATGGGAAGGAGATGGATACCGCTGCTCACTGCCGAGACGCCGTCGATAGCCTGGAACCAGATGGGGAGGAAGTAAACTGGCGTTCGGGCATTAGCATGCGTTAATGTTCCTCGTTCAGCATGGAGCAGACTTACCAAAAAGAGTCTGGTGTGCGCCCGTACAACAGCTCGCCCAAAAGCCGGAGGCGATGGTGCGCTGGATCACGATGCTTGGTGGCACCGTGGCTTGTTCGGGCTTCCAGACCTGAATCAAGGCAAACACGATCAAAAACACAAAGGCGAGCACAAGCAACACGATGATACGCCCCTCGCTCCACTGGACGCAGTCAGCTCACCGGCCTGAGACAAGGAAAAGCATGCCATGGAAGGAAGTCCAGGACTAGAACTCACAGCATGCGTGGTGCCACCCCACTGTAGAGCCAGACATAGGCAAACGACGCCGGGAAGGAGAACCAGCAGACCTAAGACGTTGAGTTGCTGCACCTTGTCTTTGAGAGGCATCTTGGTATTGGGACGATCTGGGTCTTGAAACACCAAGAAAACGAGCGCCATGACCACACCTCCTAAAGGCAGGTTGATGTAGAAGCACCATCTCCAGGTGACGTCTGTGGTGAGAGCACCGCCAATCAGCGGACCGGCCACCGAGGCGACGCCAAACACCGCGCCAAAGAAACCCTGGTACTTCGGCCGCTGATCCAAGGGAAGAGCATAGACAATGACGACCATCTAAGAAACCATGAGCGCTTGAGGAAAAGAAGCAGGGGAAATTGACGGACGACTCCAGAAACGATACCTCCGGACCCCAGGCCGGCGAGGGCTCTGCCGAGAATGAAAGCTATTGAACTCGGCGCCGCGCCACAGAGAGCTGAGCCGGCTTCGAACAGTAAGATGGAGGTTAGAAACGTCGTCTTAATGCTGAAAACTTTGTATAGCTTTCCACATACTAGCTGGAAGGCGCAGTTGGTGAGCAGGTATGCCGTGCCATACCAGCCAATGTCGTCTGCCGAATTGAACTCGTTGGTGATTTCGGGGACAGCTGTCGAGATGATGAGTTTGTCCTGCCGGTCAGGATGGTCAGTTTGCACGTCCATACGTGAGAGTTGAGACAAAGACGGAATGCTAACACACCAGTGACGACAAGAACATGCCGACGAGGATGGACGTCATCAGCAGCGCGAGCTTGAGACCAGACGGATACTCGATGTCAGGTTGACGGCTCTTGAAATCCTTGGATTTCGACTCCTCGGCACCCTTACCCTCCTTGGAGGCCTGTTCTCTGCGAACTGAAGCCCCGTCACGCATCGGTACAGGCGTGACGGTGTTGTCCTGTTGTGGCTGTTTTTGCTTCTTCTTGAACAACATGATGATGGGCGTGGCATCAACCTGAAGCCCGAAAGTGAATAGATACGGGCGGTCTCAGGTCTTTGTTGCGGACAACAATCTGAGAAGGTGTGCTCGCGTCCCGAATTCAAGCAGGAACAAACGCTATGAAGTTTGACAGGGGCAGGACTTGGAAAGAAAGTTGTTAGGAAAGAGGTAGGCGCGAAAGAAAGTGATTCTTGATTGAATGTCGCTGGAATTTGGGACGAGATCATATTTTATGGACTGTCAATCTCGGACCCTCGGGACTTCTCATCAATCTAGGGCGATAAGTCGTCGGGACCGAGTGACTCTAGCTAACGGTACGGTCTCGGGAAACGATGTCTGGAGCGTTTCCAAGATATTGAACGGCATCGGCAAACTTCTCCTTAGAGCCACGGCCATACTATCCGAGATCGAGAACTCCAGATGAGGCCAGGGTTGAAGGTGCTTTCCGAAACTGTCCTGACTTGAGACAACCCGGATGCGAAGTGTTGAGCGGCAGGTCTACAACTTGACAAGGCTAGGCAGGTCGAGGAGAAGGTTCGGCCAGTCGGACTCCAGAGACGACTATCACCAAGAGTGGTACCCAGATCTTGCCGGATACTTTCCAGAAACTATTCCAGCCGCGACCAGCGATAACGATCATGTACGGTTCATAACTAAATCGATCGAAGACTACAGTATCTCTGAGGACATGCTCTCCATATCCTGCTTTCTGAGCCGAATTGACTGTTCCCATTCTGGGGCTGGTCGGCGACAATCTGACACCCCCTGTTATCGCTAGACCATTCTTGGCGCCGAAGGGTCCGAAGCCTTGCCATTGAGACGACGTCGTAAGCCCAACACTCGGCCGTCACAGCTCAGGTCCCATTCGCGCGCAAAAATAATAAGTACTCACGAGTGCATTGCCGCTAAATACCATCTCAAAGGAACTGACTGACCTGGCCTCGTCGTGACGATGACGTCACCATCACCGGCGTTGCACAAGAACGCGTGTTCGCTCTGCGCCCGCCGCAAGGTCAAATGCGACAAAGGGGAACCTTGTGCCAATTGCCTTAAGGCGCAAGCTCAATGCTTATATGAGGTTCCTGCGCCACCGAGACCTCGGAAGAGGGCGGCCGACGACGAGTTATTCGCTCGACTGGCACGGTACGAAGATCTGATGCGGAAGCACAATGTCGATTTCACGCACTACGCCAATACCTGGGTGTCTTCTGGGCTAGAAATGAAGCTGAAGGACAACGACTCGCACAGTCCGGTCTCCCACATTTCTGCACAAGCCGGCCGTCCCATCTCGAAGATTTCGGTAAACGTCGAAAAGTAAGTTGGCCTGCCTGCATGGAATCTTGCCTTCGTTGAGCAAGAAGCTAACCTTCTCTTCAGATGTTTATGGTCGAATTTGAGCTCAGAGGTCCGCCCTTCAGAGACTCTTTTACTTGTGTTTGTTGAAGACTGACATCTTGGCCGCAACAAGCTCAAGCATCCTCCCGTTCAGAGCCTGCGTCACAGAGACGACCCTCTATTACATCCTACACCATCGCTTCAACTTATCTATTCTAGCACTCAACCCGCTCTCCACGATTTACACCCCGAACCCAGGCACATCTATCGATATTGGCAGATTTTTGTCGAAACGGTCAACCCCTTTATCAAGATCGTCCATGTGCCAACGCTGCAGCAGCGCATTTTGGATGCCAGTTGGGATCTTGCCAATGTCCCGAAGCCCCTGACGGCCATGCTGTTCGCCATCTACACTCTAGCTGTCACTTCCCTGTCTTCAGAAGAATGCCATGCCTCTTTTGGCGAGACCAGAGACACCCTGTTGTCGCGTTACCGAGTGGCGACCGTTCGAGCTCTCATCGCGGCCGACTTTCTCATAACGAGGGAGGTCGAGGTTCTGCAAGCATTTGTCCTGTTTCTTTTCGCGGACCCAGAGTCTGAGCTCACTTCCTCCCTGACCGGCGCTGCTATCCGACTTGGTGAGAAGATGGGTCTATGCCGAGAAACACCGGACCCCAAGATTTCGTTCTTCGAGAAGGAAATGCGTGTCCGCCTCTGGTGGCAATTGTATGGCCTCCACTCGCGGACTCGTGCTAATTTCACCCCGGGGAAGACACCGCCACTGTCCGAATTCGGCCAAGTCCGCCTCCCGCTCAACGTCAACGACGCCGATTTGCATCCAAACATGACCGAGCCACCCATCGAGCATAGCGGTCCGACCGAGATGCTCTGCGTCCTAATGAAGTTCGAAGTCTTCCACTGGCTTCGATCTTCTCCCACAGCGGCGAAAGTTTTTGAGAATATCATTCAAGGACCTGTGCGAGGAAAGATGTCAATGGAGTTGGAAGACGAGGCTATCAATGAGATTGAAGCTATCTACCGGGAGAAATACTTTCGCAATTCAGACAAACGTATACCTCTCCATGGCTTGACACACGCCATGGCGAACCTGAATATTGCTTATATGCGCTTCAAAGCTCACCATCCGTGGGGTCGAGCCGCCGTCAGTGGTGGCGAGGTGTATATGACGCAGGAGGAAAGCGATATGCTCTTCGACGCGGCCCTCACCTCGTTAGAGATGGTAAACGAGGGCGTACACAGCAAGTTCTCATCACATTTGTTCGCCCATATGACTTCCAAGTTCCAGATGGACACGTTCATCTACGTCATCAGCGACCTACGACAGCGGTCCGGCGGAGAACGGGTGACTTTGGCGTGGAAGCTGATCGAGGATCTCTGCAACGAGCATCCTGAGCTGATCGACGAGGTGGATAACACTTTCTTTGTCGCTCTTGGTAACTTGATTCTAGAGGCCTGGGAGACGCGCAGAAAGGAGTTGCTTCGTGCTCCAGGTGTTCGGGAAGCCGACGTCACGCCGAGTTTCATTCAGTTGCTTTGGGGCAAGAGGCAGACTGAAAATGTTGAAAACGTTATGATGCCTACCATGCTGGATCCTCCTGATCTTGACACTCTCGGATGGGCGGACGATTGGGAGTATTGGAACGATTTCTTGCGGTTGTAAGATAGAGCGTCATTCGGTGATAGTGATTCGCCGTTGCACATTGTGCCACAATGAAGACGCTTTGGACCGCGGGGTTTTTGAGGTCACTTGCATCGCATTTGGTGACCCACGTTGATGGAAGGAAGACCAACTTGCATGTATAGTTGTTGAATGTCCTCTTTCGCAGTAAATCAGCGGTACGAGAGACGTGGAGGACATCGGCCAATGTACAGAGTACGTGGAGTTTATTCGCTCAACGCCCATTTGGCCACGACTAACTGCAGGCTCCTTGCAGATCCAGGCTATGACGATTGAAGAGTTTTGGCATGAGGATGATCAGAATTGGGGAGATGCCCGACTCTGGAAAGGAGAGATTCCAATCCCAAAAGTCTCTGGAAAAGAAAGTGAAGGATCATTTCATCCCAATGAATAGAGACGATGGTGCCCCCGTTTGTCCCTCCAGCTGTGGGCCGAGCACAGGGCGGCGTCAGCATCCGTCCTAATCGAGGTTAGTCCTCGGGCGGCTTGACCAGTTCTAGGTTCCATCATTTTTGAATCCATCCTACCTTCTCATTCTCCTCTTTAGCGGTGCATCTTCCATCTTCGCCTCGAAACCCGTAACATCATCCATTCGCTCCCCCATGGAGCCTCGCGCCCGCGCAGGTCGTCACAAAGCGAGTCTCAATTTTGGCCCGGAATTATCTGCACTCCTCTATGCCTATGGCGCTCCTACCCATCCAGACATCGTAAAACCCATCGGGCGCTCGTCGCAGCAATACCTCTCGACCCTCCCAACACCCAACACCACCCACCCGCCTACACCATTCAACCAACCGTTTCCTGAGACGCTTCGCGTCCTCGACGAGATCCTAACCGATTTCATTATCGAAACGTGCCACAACGCCGTCAGTGTCGCGACGTACAGTGGACGCGCCAAGCTCAAGCTTTCCGACTTTGAATTCGTCCTGCGCCGCGACAGTATCAAGTTGGGTCGTGTGCAAGAGATGTTCAAGAAAAAGCGCGACATTGATAACAAGAAGAAATTGTTCGATACCAATGAGGGTCGTGAGGGGACTAAGATGGCAGTAGGCGACCTCGTCAATCTCGGCGAGGTTGTCGGTGAGGAGGGGACGGGTAAGGGCAAAGGACGAGGTCGGGGTAGGAGGAAGAAACGGGATCGAGATGAGGTTGAGGATATTGCTGGACTAGGTCAGAATAAGGAAAATGTGGGGGATGACGATTTAGAGGAACGTGCGAGCAAGAGAGCGAAGAGCGAAGTTGGTTGAAATGAGACAGTATGTGTGTTGCCAGCTTATTTCCACGGCTGGCTTATTGAGTACGAACACGACAGCAAGCGCTCATGCAAAATGGGGGCCGTTTCTGGATATTCCATCCAGCTGCACGATACAGCTGCAAAGAGGATCAGGGATGGTACAGTTCCATGTGGACTGTCGTGGTCATCTATCCGAATTCAGGGGTCACAAATCCGGAGGAGCTGGAAGAAACGGATGGGAAATGCTGGTGTATTATTTTAACATCAGTTCTCCGACCTCTTTTGGGGGCGCGTCAGTCTATCTACGACGGAATTGTTCTGCTCGAGCATTCTCTTGGAATGCATCTCGCCGCCAGTGACGGGAACAACTCCCCTCCTTCCATCGCCCTGTCTCCTCAAGACGGTATCGGCGTCCGAGCACCACTCATTGCTTTCTGAAAAAGCGTCTGCTGGAACACCGAACGCCATACCTTTGGCTCCGTTCTAGAACCGTCATTGCCAGGTTTTCCTAGGGCGGACCTTTGTCCTCTTCCCCTCCCACCCCCCTTTGCCACAAATGGGACGAGATGAAGACAATCAATATTTTATCAAAATGCTCTCCATCACATATTTGATAGTGACAAGCTCTCTGCCCGATTCTGCCGGTTTGGCCCTCCTTGTCTGTTCTGTCTTCGTTCGCCTCGTCCTTCCTTCTCTGTCGAACCACCTGAACCATCACCGCCGCCTATTGTCAATTGTGCCGTCGCCAATCTGTTGGACAAATCCATTTGAGTGCGAATTGTATTGGCGAGGTACGACACGGTGAGGATATCTTGGATATGGTTGTTGAAATCCTTCTCGATCTCTGCAGGATCCACTTTCGGTGCCAGAGCGAGGGTATTGAGTAAAAATTGGCCCAGTGCCGTGGATGGCTCTGCTTCCTCTTCGATCACATTTTCCACGTACTTGGCCACTCGGTCTAACCGGGCCAGCGTATCTTCCAGGGAACGTTCTAGGCTTTCAATGTCCGTGAGCACTGTGGCTGTCCTGGTTTCTGAGTCCTTTGCATACTCAATGGCCTCGAGACCCGCACGATCGGCTTCGCCGTAGTTGACGGTGTAAGGAACGGGAATGAACGCAGCGGAATCCGCAGCTCGTTCGGGACTCACGCCTACCGGGGACGAAATATATGTCCTGACTTCAACATCAGAGCCTGGTTGGCACGACACCGTGACGTGGACTGCGGGATATGGAAATGTGCCTTCGCCCTGACTGCTGTAGTGGTTTTGAATCAAAGCCGAAAATGTATTTAGTTCCGAGCTCGTCGCGTACCATCCCACCAGAACCTCTTTGGGGTTGGCCCGCAGATGTAATGCTAGCATTGTCTTTTGATACTCCATATCCACTTCGACCTGGTCGGTGGTTTCCGTGTGGCTGACTGCGAATGAAGAGTGAACCACGACTTGGGATTCATCGGCGTCGGACCTGGTGCCCAGAAGTGTGCCAATGACTCGCTGTTGATCCGGGGGGCGACGGGCACAATGGTCGAGGATGGAGAATAGAGCCTTGACCCAGTCAGTTAACTGGGATAATGCGAACTTCTTTCGCATAACTCACTTGCGGTTGTATCACGACTCGAAGGGGAGCGGTGGTGGGTTGAGCCCCTACGGCAGCAGGACCGAGAGGGCGGGTGAGGTGCAGAAAGGCATCTTGTTCAGCCATGCCGGGAAGACAGGCAATACTTTACTCGCAAGCTTTTCCGCTCAATAGCCTCGGCCTCTCTGCTCCTAGAATGTGAGAAGATTATGAAGATCGAAATCTGCGACCTGGATTTCTTGACCTGCTGCGGGAAACTTTTCAAGTGCGTGAATGAAAAGCCCACACGTGACTTTCATCTAATCTAATCTTAACGCCGACAGACCTTGACATTACGGAAGCGTACCTAAGGGCGTGTTGGAGGAAATCTGCTTCTCGCGTTTTCTCTTTCTTACATCTTTCCAGGTGCTTGCCACACCCTTAGGATTACTGACTTACCGAGACCATGAGTGCGAATGGACTGCTTCGCAAGGACCAACTCGAACGCAGTCTCCATGACGAGAAGAAATTGATCGAAGAAGGCATTCTCAGAGAAGACAACCCTCTCGACTTCAGCGAGAATTTCCAGAAACTATGTGGCGCTTGCAGACGAGGTGACCTGAAAGTCTGTCAGGAGATGATCCAGGAAGGAACCAATATTAATGCCAAAGATCAATATGATTATACGCCGCTTATCCTGGTAAGCACTCGATCAGAAACTACAGGGATTTCGTGTGTTCAATTGCCGCCTCGGCTTCTGTTTCTTGTCGGTGAAACAATTCAGTGACTGGTGAGAAAGGCAAGCCTGTGTGGTCATTACGAAGTTGTACAGCTGTTATTAGAATCCGGCGCGTTATGTGAAAGAGATACATTCCAAGGCGAGAGGTGCCGCTTCCACTTCGTCCTAACCTGTGATGGACCCATGCTAACTCATGGAATATAGATGCTTGTATAATGCCCTGAACGACCGGATACGAAATCTGCTTCTATCATACGACTACTCCAAGTCGACGGACCCATTACAGCCCCTGGCATCACATCTAATATCGTTGCTAACCAGGGGCCATCCCAAGACATTTGACATTACAGTCCTCACCGCCAGCGAGTCATTTCATTTGCACAAATATATCCTCTCTGCTCGCTCGCCATATTTTAGAAGCAAGCTCGCCTCGGCGCCCGATACGACATCTTGGAAACTCCCACCAACTATTCCCCCGCCCTCGTTCGGAATTGCTCTGAAACACTTGTACCTGGGAGAAATGCCTCGAGAGGTGGGCGGCGGCCCAGGGACCGGGTTCACCGACTCTGAGATCCTCGCTGGTCTGGACCGGATAAGCAAACACCTCGAGATCCAAAGTTTATCTCAATTGATTCTCGACAGCAGCGATCGTCGACTAGCCAGACAACGAAGACAAGACGAGGTCGAGAAAGGGCGAGACCAATTGGAACTGTGGTTCCGAGAAAATGTGTTAAGACATGCCGTGGAAACCGATATATCACGAGCAGACGATGTCAAATGGGATCGAGACAATGGAATCTTCGCCGACATCCTCCTCCGAGCAGATGAAGACGAAGGTGAAGAAATCCTCGAAGGAGGGGCTCAACAACGAGACCACCACTCCGCTGCCAGTGCCATAGGCATCCCACTCGGCCCAGCCTCTCGAACATCCCGCTCCCCATCGCGCGCACGACGACCATCGCGCAAATCCAAAATCTACCCATGCCACAAATCCATGCTAATCCGCTCCGAATTTTTCATGACCATGTTCGAGTCTTCGTTCCGCGAAGCCCAAGACACACCACACCTCCAGATCGTCACCATCGACTGCTCGCCTGAAGTCCTCGAAATCATCTTGACTTTCCTGTACACTGAAAAGGCAGACTTCGGTCTCGATGTAGCGATCGACGTCCTCTTCGCCGCCGACATGCTATTCCTGGAGAAAGTCAAAGCCAAAGCAGCACTGGTCATCTCAACGCTCGGCAACGGTACCGCCACCGCGATGCCTTCTGAAATCGAACCCGGCCACAGACGCGAAGACGAAGATCTCGACATCTACGAAATCCTCCGCGCCGCCTGGTTGACAAGGGTACAGCGCCTCGAAGAATTCGCTGCCCGCTACATCGCGTATCGGCTCGAAAGCTACATCGACGACCCGGAGTTCGCGGGGCTGGTCAAGGAATCAGCCTACCGCATCAGCGCTCGTCAGGAGACAGACTCGATCGAACTGTTGGATGACATCCGCTATTACCTGTCCGAGCGATTTAGACTGCGATTCGAGGACTCCGGCCTTGAGGACGTCATGGACGAAGAGCAAGCGATTGCCGAGAGGCTCTCGCATGGAGGGACTCAGAACCAAGTCGCCGCCGATATGAACACGAACTCAAATGGTGACCAACCCTCTTTTCTGCTTCCACATTGGGGCTCCAAAGCATCGGCACCAGCATCAATGGAGGAGGCGCTAGATGAGGGCGTGGATATGACGACTCCTGGCCCTACGATCTTGAATGCGAAGAAGAATGAAGAGAATGACGGGGTACCCTCTCTTCCCGCTGGTGCTGTGCGGACATTGGACGGCGAGATTGCCGGTGACGAATTCGCTGCTGATGCCATCAACTATCAGATCTTACTCGGCAAGATCGATGCACTGCTGGAGAGGTTGAAACTCGACGCATAACTGCATAGATGCCTTGGTATTCTTTAGCCGTGCGGAGAACGTGGTTATTTTGTGTGCTCGCATGCGGACAGAGACACGAGTCGGTAGAGAAAGGGTTTTTGCATGCGAATTGATCTGCACATATATAGAGACAGCATTCGTAGTTGGAGGCAGATGAGGTCCCTCTCCATAACTTGAACTCAAGTCCTGGTCATCAATAGAAGAATGAAGGTTCACTTGTACCCTATTCTCACTGACATCCTTAAGAAGAGCCGATCATCATCACAGGATACAGAATGTCATTCTTTTTCATGGTTTTTATTTCAAGCCTAGAAACTATCGAATAGCAAGTAGGTAGGAAGCAAGACGAGCTTTGCTGGCAACACAAGCTCTTTGCATTGGAGTGATGAACAATCTGAACATCCCCGTTTCCATTTACAAGTCCCATTTCCCGTAGACCTCCCTGCCCTGCCCTTAGCACAATTTTGACACCGATATTTGTCACGCATACATTGAATTGGAAAAAGGCATCTTTCCTAGCAAAGAGAGGCTGCCCACTCGAGTGGGAGATTGAGAAATCCTCCAAAGAATTTAAGAGGCCATGTAAGTGCTTGAATCAACGCCGCCTTCGGGATATGGAGGCACTTGGGCGTCGAATCGCTTCTCAATCTCTTTCAAGACATTTTCGTCTGCTTCGCTGCTGACGAAAGAAATCGAGAGACCCTTGGTGCCGAAACGACCGGCACGACCGACACGGTGAAGATATGAATCGGCATCGGCGGGCAGGTCGTAGTTGATGGCAAGGTTGATACGTTCAATATCAATGCCACGACCAAAGACATCGGTCGCGACACAGATTCGCTTGTTGAATTCCTTGAATTCTTTGTATCGCTTGATACTAAACAAAAGTCTTTAGCCGGGCACGTTTTGGTTAGAACGGGGAACCTTACCGCTCCTCCTGGCTCACTCCGGAGTGAACCGCAATACTCGGGAAGTTGCATTCGCGAAGCAACTTATCAAGTTCAGTGGCACGAAGAGTGCTCTTGACAAAGATGATGACTTGGTTGAACTCCAGACTGTCGAGTAAATCATTGAGCTTCCGGTTCTTCTCACCTTCACTGAGCTTGATCGAGTATTGTTGAAGTCCGTGAAGAGTAAGCTTGGTCTCATCGTCCACGAAAACTTCCAAGGGATTTCTCATGAACTTTCTGCAGATGGGTCGAATGTCCAATGGGAGGGTGGCGCTGAACATCATGACTTGTTTCTCCGTAGGAGTGGCGCGGAAGATTTCTTGAACGTCGCGACGCATATCTAGAATTGAACATTATTAAAAAGTTCGGACTTATTGGTCGTGATGGATCAATCATACCAATCTGATCCAGCATCTTGTCGCATTCATCGAGAACAAATGCCTTGACATTGCGCAATGACAGAACCTTGTCGCGAACCAGGGCGTTCAGTCGACCGGGTGTGGCAACAATGATGTTAGGGAAGGATTCTTTATTCTTGAGAAGATCGATATCCTTCTGAATCGGTGTGCCACCATAGAAGACTGCGGTCTTGACTTCTGGAAGGTATTTGCTGAATCTGGCGTATTCATTCTTGATTTGATAGGCAAGCTCTCGCGTGTGGCACATGACCAACACAGAACATTCACCCGGGACAGGCTCCAGCTGATGCAAGGTGGTCAAGACAAAGACTGCTGTCTTACCGAGACCAGATTTGGCCTGGCAGAGAATGTCGACACTGAGGAGGGCTTGTGGAATACACTTTTGTTGGACTGCAGGAATTGGTTGATGTTAGATCTGTTCGGTCATAAACGTGAAGACGACGAAAAAGCATCGCAGATTGGTCCGTCCATCTCCTTGAATGTTATTCTCGTTCCCCGTTTCAAGCCGACCCCGAAACTTTGGTTTTACTACAAAACCACCAGAAACCCTTCTCCAGGACACCATACCAAAAGACGGTCACATCCAAGGTATGGCTTAGGGCCAGAATATGTAAAACAACATTGACAGCATTCTCAGCATGCCACATTGTATGTGAAACGAGTTGTTGACCTTACAAGGAGGTCACCACTCTCGCGGCCGGGTTCTGAATTTGCGACCTCGTGAGATGGCAACGAGATAGACCAGACCAGGCTTAGGGCATTTGATGACCCGCCATTCTTCGACCGCAGCATCGAGGCCCGGACGTAAGTGTAAACTCTTGACTTGCGCATTGTCTCTTCATTCATAATTTCTCTTTCTTATCTTGGAGATGGACGGACCCTCGCGGCAGGAAGAACGTGGAGGGATATTGCTTGCAGGAATGGATGTGATGACTAACCCTCCGAAGGATGTTCGAAACCGCAGTCGGTGATGGCTCGTAGCAGCTCGCTCTTGAGCAGGAAATCTCTGAATCCTGTGGAGTGGATGCCGACATAGCTGCCCTTGGCCTTGTCAACTGTCTTTCCGCCGCTGACTGTCAGATCGCCTTTCTTTGCGGCGCCATTTGTCGCACCGGTAGCAGTTGGGGCTTCAGTGGCTTGGAGTTCCTCGTCAGAGTAGTCGATGAGATCTTCTTCGGCCGACATGGTTGGTGATGATCGTCGATACCAGGCGCGCGAAAACTGTGAAAGGCTGAGATGGGAACCAAAGAAAAAAAGGGTAATTCGCAAGGGATCAAGTCAGGGCGAATGAAACCGAAGTCGTGGACGACAGAGCCAACGAAGGTCTGCAAGGGAGTGGGATGGTATTGAAGAGGTGAAAGAAGAGGGTGGATGGGTCGAAGAGTGCGATGAATGCGAAAGGTGAGGGTGAGAGGATGGTATTTACGAACGAGGAATGGGGGATGTTGTTTTTCGAACGTTCAAAGTATGCTACGGCAGCCTGAAGCCTGAGAGAGGAGCACACAAGGGAGGCGCACCCAGGAAGCGCTAATCCCCTACAGGAATAGACATTATTCCGCGCCAAGACATACGCATTTCATTTCGAGCTCCAGAGTCGATAATCCTTTCTAAAATGTGACATTCTTCTCTATGAATCAATCTCGGTCCTAACCATGGCCAAAGCAAAGGGTTCCAAGGGCAGCATCCCGCAGAGACATCTTCATTCCAGGTTGTCTTATCTTCACCAGGCGGCTACCTTTCTGGCCACAGCGGACACTCAGAAATCCTCTGCCCCTAAAAATGAGGGAGTTACAACCCATGCATCTCTTGCTCCCGGGATAGATTCTCAGATTCCCTCCGAAGCAACCCGACTTTTGGCCCATCTTCGTGGGGTTTCCCGCAAATCGCAAATCCGCTTGGGTCCGACAGTCAAACACTCCATCTGCAAACGCTGCGACACACTCATGTTGCCTGGGAGAACAAGCAGCGAGATGATTGTTAATTCGAGCAAGAATGGTCAGAAGCCATGGGCAGACATATTCGAAGTATACTGTACCCAATGCGGGTCTGTCAAACGTTTTCCGGTGGGGATGGCCAAAGGCAAGAGAGAGAACAGCAGACCCAAAGCTTTGGTCAAGGAAGAAGACAGGCGCAGACGAGATCCAATCCCAACCACCTAGGTATCATTGCTTCCAAGTTCCCACGATAAAATTATCTTCGTCCAAGACGTGTCTGTTTTGTAGCGTGAGCCACGACAACTTCTAGTAGAGACACGCTCCATGAATTTCCAATAGTCCTACGACACCTCCGTAAGGAAAAATCGACTCATCGTCAAATCCACTTCCAACGCCGAGTAATCACAATTTTGATGCATCCTCGTGCAGTATACTTCCCCCCCCCCCCCCCCCCCCCCCCCCCGCTGGGTACTCATACATTCATCAAACATGGTCTCGTAAATCAATGACCAGCCGTGAGGCATCCATCTCTGCGTTCGCCGTCAAACAGGTGTTGATAAAACAAAGGAGAAACGTCAGGATAGGGTATTTCGTGGAATAATCAACGCTTCAGGCTGGTAGAATATTCTCCGGAAGGATTCGCTCAATCTGTTTCGGTCCTCATCGTCGTTTCCGGTCAGAGAGATTCAACACTTCAGGCGCAACTTATAACTTTCTCTCTCTCTCTCCTTGTTTTGGGTTAGCGCCGTGGGCGTGCTCCAGGCCCCGGACCACTTGGACGACTGCGGTCGAGTCTGTCACTCAACCCGTCAACATTATTTCTAATTTGTCTGATCTTGTCTCGGATCCGCTTGATCGTCTCGAACTCGTCTTCAAGGGCCCCGATTTCGGCCAAAATACGTCGCATCCTGGTAATCTCGCTGTTCGCGTCTTGCATAGCACCGCTGGCTCGACTATTAGAGTTCCTGACGGATTGTTCAGTAGCATCTTCAAGCTATGCGTTAAACTATCAGCTGGGCAAGAATCAAAGAGGTGGCCGGTCCTCGAAAGCTTACTTCTCCTATGCGGCGCTGGATGTTTCTCAGCACATTTTCCAGATGCAATGATAATGTTTGCAAACTATGGGGATCTAGCATGATCCGTCCAGGTACTCCTTGACTGCTGGCAGCGCTGGCCGCCCGAGAGCTGGGTTGGGACTGCCTGCTAGTGCCTCGGCCGCGGTCGCGCATCCCGCCTTGATGACTTTGTTGGGCTAGGATTTGCTGCTGCTGTCGAAAAAGAAGTAATTCGGATTGAGTTAAACCCAAAACAGAGTCAGCGACGGACTGAGGCGCGGACATGGACGTCCAGATCGGACTGGGAAGACGGTGACCAATCTATTCGTTGAGGCAGGTGGCTTCGACTGGTACCCGTAGTGATCAACCACAACATAGCAGTCCTGGGAGCTGATAGGTGTGCGAGAAGCCGTCAAGAGTCGTACAAAAGACACCAGACAGCGACCTGGCTGCGAGATATGGCAGTGTGGATGAGCCTGGTCATTGTAGCTTGACGTATCAATGGGCGCTTCCGGCAGCAGCAGAGCCTCAGCTTTGGCGAAGCGCCCACAAATGTTTCTTTCTAAAACAGGAAGCTAACTCTTTTTATTTTATTTTTTTTTTTTTTCTTCCCCTGAGTCCCAGCGGCGGTAGTGGTTTGGGAACAAGCGGAGTCGGGGACAGGCTTTTGCGTTTCTGCGCTTCAGGGCCAAGAAGAGGGAGGACGACAGACGGAACAGGAGGGCAGTCAGGACGAGGAGAAGCCGAAGGAGGCGACGCTCAATACGGAAGCGGGAGCGGAGACCGAGACCGAGACCGTATAGGACTGTTTCATCGCCTGCGACGATGACAAGAGGAAAGACCAAAGCAGACCCAGACCTGAGAGGACAAAGGGACTCAGGAGGAGAGAAGAGGAGGTGGACGAAGAGCCTGAAGAGGTGGTGTAGTAGCGCGGCTATGACTAGTACTAGTAGTATCGTAGTTTAGTCGAGCTGGACATCCAGATGGGGAGACCAGACTTTTTTTGTTCGGCCCTAGTGCCTGGCTATTCTACCAGAGAGAGGATGCTCGATAGAAAAAAGTTGTGGGCAAAACGTGACAAAAGAGCAGGGGAGCAGCAGTCTGGGAATGTTCGATTGGCTCCGCACCCGTGGCTCTATTCAGATTGATGGAGGTCTCGTGGGAGAAGGTGTACGCTTTTCCCGTGGGGCGATGGAGTTGTGTGAGAAAGTAGGTGCATGGTTCAGGGGGGGAAGGGCGCAGGCAAAGGGACACGGCTGTGGTCCCATAGTGGGGGACGGTGGTGGTGATGGACAGACAACCATGCCTACAGGAGAGGGAGGGTGCAGACAAGCCCTGCCTACCTTCTACAGTATCTCCCGGTCAATCTCCCCTCCATCAAGACTCCTCTCTTCTGTGCGATCCTCTCTCGGGTCAGCCACTCGCCCTGACTACACCAGCCTTGTATCCCTTTGCACCTACCTAACAAGCTAGTCCCGTCGCTTCGCTCTGCTCGAAATCTGCCTGGGTGAGCCTTACCCAAGGGTACCCCCATTCGCCGCATTAATTCATGCATGCTTTATGCCCTTCAGAAGCTGTGTCGCAGCCATCTGCGAGACCTGTGACGGCTGAATTTTCCATTCGGTCTGAAATAGGCTTCCTACCAGCAGCCCCTGTTGAGACAGGCAGTGCTTCCCATTAAGCATCCAGAGACATCTCTCTCATTGCAGCTGCAGCTTTGATTGCAACACTACTGCAACTTTAGCATATTGATGCTCCCCCTGCAAGCCCGCCATTCTTGGAGGACCAGATAGAAAACTGGCACCAAGGTTCGTCTCTCTGATCGGTCACGCCCAATGTTTAAGGGAACAAATGTGATACCACTACAGGAAGCCGCTTTCAATCAATTCCATCACTTGACTCAGGTTATCCGTACCGACCCCTCCCACGCGGAGGAGACTGCACCGGGGACCGATCATTAACCTACTCAGCATAATTTGAGGTCTTTCACATCCAACGTTGTGCTGCACGCCCCAAATTTAGTGGCTACACATTCCCCAATCTTGACAATTTTCCATATACCACCGTTCCCTCAATGGCTAGAGACAAAGAGAGATCAGTCAACCCTGTACAACAGCAGCGCAAGCTTGAAAAGGCGAAACAACTGAAAAAGAGTCGGACGGAGCTACAGGCCCGGCGCAATGAAAAATTGGCGCGGCGGAATCCTGAGCGGATACAACGGCAAATTGATGACCTCAAAGCTCTCGAGGCGTCAGGAGATATAAAACCGCGCGAGAAAGCAATTCTAGAAGGCCTTGAGCGAGACCTCAAGGCGATTCGCAAGGCAAGAGAAGCACTAGGTGACAAAGCGCCACATTTTGGAGGCCAGCAACGAGGAAGAGAAGGTGAAACACATAACGTTCTGGGTAAGAGACGGCATGATGGCGGGCGCAAACACTTCCCTTCTCGAGTCAACTCGTCAGGAAGCGATACGGACGAGTCGGTCCGGAGGATACCTATGCCAGAAGATACTCCGCCGCCGATCCCGCGCGAATTCAGACACAGCTATCGAAACGCGGAACACAATCGAGAAAATATGGACGCTCGACTACCGAAATCTGCACCGGCACCTGTCCCGAAAACGACGTATGAAAGCGCCCCACAGATACGTGACCTGCGCAAGGAAGCCGTCGGTCGATTTGTGCCGGATGTTGTGCGCAGGAAGCAAGAGGCCGCAAAAGGAGGGGTGACGGGATATTTGATTGAGCCAGAGGAGATGGATCGATTAGAGGCTGAAGGATACCTGCCAACAGGACAGGGAAAGCCGAGGACGAATGGGAAAAGCGAGAATGCAGGAGAGGACCAAGCAAGTGCGCAAAGGCTGGCGGAGGAAGAGGAACGGTTTCTCCGCGAGCTGCAAATGCAAGATGTCAGCGAGGAGATTCTCGAAGAAAATGGTCAAGAGTCCTCGGTCCCCAATAGGAGTACTGAACAACAGTCGCAGAGACGAGGCAAGCCCGTCGAGATTGAAGAGGTGGAGGATGAGGATGCTTGACATCTGGATGAAACCTAAAGATTCGAGCACCCATGCCATCTTCCCTTTCAACTGGAGATATATTCCAAAATCGATTCCATGCAACCCTCCTCAAGATCACTGCTGTTGATGATCGACCCGCCATTTCATTTGATCCCTTTCTTTCCCCATTGCAACTATGGCGGTGGGAAATGAAGGACAACCACCGTCGTTCAGACCCGGGCACGCAAAGAACTCCCTCTGCGCATGCTTTCTGTTGTTGTAGAAAGGCAATGAAATGAATAAATTTCAATAATGAAACAGAGCGCTTGTCGATGTAGAAGACTTTCAGTCTTCAACCTTCAATCTTTGGTTCTGAACCATTCGAGACCCCCATTTCATGTTTCAATCTAGCACGTTCCAAAAAAGAAAATAAAAATCCCCAGCACTTTAGTGCCCAAACCCCCAAGCATTTCAGTGTGCAACATTTAAGGAAATTTCCCAGTCGGGCACAATCTCGAATGTTCAATGTATTTTCGCCAAACACGCTCATGCTCGCTCAAAAGTGCTGGCAAGCTTCCAGCCAATGATCCATCTCTAATGGCCTGAACACAAAAGAAAATGAGATCAGAAATAATCGGCTTCAGATGACCGTCCCCCAAGGCCACCACAGCCATCAGACCTTTCATCGTCTCTTGACGTCGATGGTCCTGACTCCCAGGCTGATGGAACAATCTGCCCCGATTTGGAATAGATCCTGTCCATCAGGCAAACACATAGACACATTAATATCGTCTCTTCATACCCGCAATTTTTGTCCCCGAATGGTCATTTCATCGTAGTCCTCGGATTGTTTTGACATCTCGCTTTAAGAACGGACTCGGAAGGTCATCTCCCATAGTCTCGGGGTCCCAGACAGGAACAGGTGGTAACTCTTTCTCCCCCTCCCGGTTCTCCACCCCGTTATTTGCTTTCATGTACAGATTGCCGCCCAATTCGGCACTCATAGGTCGGCCGCCGGCTCGGGCCTGTGCGAGTTCCACCAACGTCCGCCCACCTACAGCATTGACGGCGACTTGTTGTTTTCCGGCAGCAAGCTTGCTGGGAAGTCTGCCTCCCGTCGTTGCTGCACGTCTTAGTGGGCTTGTGTTTCCATCCTCCGCGGAGGCCTGTTCTCTCAGGTCATTACGACTGGGGATCTTGCTAAGGCGTCTATTTGGACTTGTGGGTTTGACAGCTATGGCCCTCAGATCACCCTCCGTGGTCGTTCGCGGCACTGTCTTGTGCGCATTACTTGCACTGGTTGATGCAATTCCTGTCCTCACTTGCGCAGTGGTATTGTTAGAAGGGAATAATGTTGGCTTGGCCGTCAATTTGTGCAGGGCGGATGTAGTGTCGTGTTTCATTAACCCTGGTCTGCTCTTCAGGGGCAGTGGTGCTGGATTCTTGAAAGGATCAGTACTGGCAACAGTTGCTCTTGGTCTTGTAGGACTGGGCAATTCAGGGAAACCGTCGTCGTCAGAATCATCTGACAGATTGTTGTTCTCTCCTTCATCAGAAGAATAAGCCAATTTGGGTTCCCACTTGGCCTTTTGGCGTGCAGCTTCTGCGAAAATGTTCTTTGCTCCCGCCGCTGTAACAGTGGGATTGGCGGTAGCCTGAGCAGCAGCATTCCGACGAGGTGATAAAGCGAGGGAGGAGATGGACATGGGTGAGGGTTCTGACATTTGAATGTCCATGGGAGATTCGATTGTAGTGCGGGAGCGGGCAAAGGGCGTCTTCGATTTCTTGGGGGGCATTGGTCCCGACGTTGATGTTGTTGGAGAATTGAGAGAAAGATCAGACAGGTCGGTGATATCCGTAGTCGACGGAAACTCCTCTTCGCCGGTAGTGTTGATCGACGAGTGAGGGTTCAAGACTTCTTTGTTATAGGCTGTCGCTGGAGGATTATGGGTCTCTCTTAGAGGCCGGGAATCAACAGTCGTATTCTGCTTGGCCAGAATCTGCCCAACGCGCTCTTCAACCTCTTTGTCGAATTTCTTGCGGAGTCTCTCCAATTCTGACTGCACCTGTCGGTCGATTTCGAGTCGTGCTCTGACCTCCCATTCACGACGGAATTGGGCATCGATTTCGGCCCTCATGGCTGTTCGGTCTGCTTCCAGTGCAGACAGTCGTTCTTCCGCCTGTTTCAGTTTGTATTCGGCAATTTCCTCCCGAGTCTTTAAGGCTTTCCCAATGCTGACCATCTCTTGCTGTCGCCTAGCGATCCAGACGTAAGGCACGGTCAACAAGGAACTGGTATCTGGACGATGCGTCGGGTTGGTCTTTAGACAACTGGCAATGACATTCGCAAGGTCCTTTGAGTAAATGCCGGGTATTGGTTTGAACTCGCCTTTGCGGATGCGTTGAACGAGCTGCAAATGCGAGTTTGCGTTGAACGGAGGCTCCTTCGTACAGAGTTCGTACATGATGCATCCCAATGACCAGATATCGGAGTACAACGTGTATTTTTCGGCCGCGCAAATCTCTGGAGACATGTAGAATGGAGTCCCAACATAGGTCGAGGCAAAATCGTGCGACTGCATGATCTTGGACAAGCCAAAGTCGCCCAGTTTGACAGACTGATCTTCGCCCAGAAAGATGTTTGCTGGTTTCAGGTCTCGATGCAATATCATTTTTCCTTTGAGTGGAGGTCGAGTGTCCTTCTGTCGAGAAAGGTCACATCCCGGTTCGGGAGGGTCCACGCCATAATGACATCGATATAGGGCCGTGACCAGCTGACTGAAGATCCTCCAGACAAAGTCTTCTTTGGCAAATTCATTCTTTCTCTTGAGCTCTTTGATGACGCAGCCCAAATCACCGCCACCGCAATACTCCATGTACAGGTATAACTCTTGGGTTTGTTTGAGATGCTCACGATGAAAGTAGCCAACAATGTTCGGATGGTTGAGGGAGGAGAGGATGGAGAATTCGGCGTGCAGTTGATCGCGATCTTTCTGGGACATCTTGAGATAGTTTATCTCCTTCCGGCAAAGAATCTATTGTATGTCAATGATTACCTTTGAGTGGCGGGCTTCCAGAAGCTTACATGTCCATCTTCCTTCCGACGAACTTTACGAATGATTCCGAAAGTACCACGGCCTGAAGGAATTAACGAAAGTATTCAACACATCGATGTAGATGCATACCGATAATTTCTTGGACCTCGTACTTGTCATTGTTGGCAAGCTCGAGCGCCATGGCGATCGATTCGGAAGAGGCGTCCGCACAGAACACAGAAGCACAGCCAATTTAGTTGTCAGGTTGTCGTCAAAGCATTACCGGAACGCGCAGTACAGTATCGCAGTGGGATTGAGATGGGAATAAGTTTCTTTGCGCGGGTCAGATAGTAGGACCTGGAATTTACAACCTGTGTCGGTCAGGGGCAATGGGGCAACGGGCAACATGAAGCATTGTCTGTCCATGAATAGTTGAATCGATAGCCTTGCGAACAGTGGCCATTGTTGACAACCAGTTACTGGGACAACCATCACCCTCGCACGTGATGTCTTTCAACCCCGTCCTAATCCCACTTCACCACTGCATCCCCGATCGACAGGGTGTGTGTTGAAAAGCTGCAGTAGTATCGCAGCTGCCGGAGAAATATCCTGAAGACATACCCGCCCATCCGAAGAAGTCCGGTCTGCTTGAAAGCACTTCATGTCTTCCAGAATTTCACTTGGGGAAGGAGTGGATCCTGTCACGTGATTTACGATGTATCTGCACACGTGACTCAGCCTTATGCAACCCCTTTCGTACCCTGTGTTCATCACCGAAATGGCTTCAAAACGTGTGAGGATTTCACTCTTCGGTTGACAGAAGTTCAAAGCAAATCATGCATACTGTCGAACCTGCGGTAGCTATTTGGAGCTTACGGGTTTTCTTAATTTTCAATGCTTAGTCACTTGCTGAAAATGAGATCTGGACCTCGCAATACCCCTCAGAATGGAGCAAACAAGTTCGTCATTTGGGAGGACTTCCGTAGTATCTAGTTGGGAATCTCCTTCTCCCTCAACCTGGGCTATTAAAGATAGCTCAATGAATGCGATGGATATGTAGATCCAGCTTTTCGAAGCACTTGCCTGCTCTGGCTCAGAAATGTCTCTTTTCCCAAGCACGTACCAACATCTACATTGTAATATGCCGCTGTAGTGTTGTCAGGAACGGCTGGCGGCATGATTCCCTTACTACGGAGTCCTGCATGCGGACAGAACGGTAAGGTCAGGATATTGACTAGTGGACCTTGATGAGAGATTTTGACTCCAAGTCAGAGGCGCTCGCTCGCCGAGGTCGATCGTCGCTAGTTATTCACCATGTTGGGCCAATGATCTCACTTGATGCGGTATTTGACGAAACTTGTAACAAAACGATGCCTTGCCGAGATCAAAGGCACCGACAAGTAGCGTTTGATGCTACTACAGAATCCGAGGTTTTCGTCCTTGCTGCTTCGATGTATTTGTGAAGATTGTATTGCTGATTGGATCACATGGTAGCTTTGCAAGGGCAAGTCGAAAGCCTATACTCGCCTTCACCAGTGTTTTGCTATCAGCTCCTGGTCAAAGATCTCGGCTACAGGGAGCTTGCTGTTTTCTGTTGTTGACCAGTCCTCGAAACATAATTTGTGATTTCGCTGTGCATCCCTTCGATCGGCGCCACTGCATTAGCCGTCGTTGCAAGAGACAAGATCAAGCCCTAATCAAGTTAGAAGAGAGTGACCAACGGTGCATAAGTTGGGGCGCTTCGAGGGTTTGTGGAAAAAACAACCCTCCTTGACAGCTTGATGGGGGCTGTCCTAAGGACAAGGGCGTCACGCACAAGAACAAATCCCGGCGGGCTTGTCCTTTGAACATGGTTTGAAAATATCGACCAAACGAAGATCCGAGACGGCGGACGCGCCTCGATGCACGGGGAAGTATGGTTGCATCCAGCTGGCGCAGTTGGGTCAGCTAGCCGCTTTCGGCTGTGCAACAAGTGACCGTGACTACCAGTTTTAAAACATGAGAAAATTGAGTTGTCGGCAGTTGATGCATCTTTTTGAACTATGTACGTCAAACTTGGCCAGGGAGGTGGAGGAAGATAAGTGAAAGATCGGACGATCGAAAAGCGCAAGGGGAGTTCCGCGCCCAGCTCACGGCTATTCTTGTCACAAGCTGATAAGTGGCGACCGGGGTTTCTTGAGGACCTCTCCGGCAGTGAACACACCCTTGTCTCTAGCCGAGTTCGCTTGGTGTCTTTCAGACGCTGGCAGGCAAAAACTGAGGAGATTGAGAGACAGGGCGCAGCTCCAACCTGTTCCTGCGTGAAGAAGTCCTGTGGCATGGGCATCGTTTGGCTGAAGCCACGTTTAACTTGGGAAATGACAAAGTAGATTCTATGTGTTGCCCCCCCCCCTAGTTGAAACCGGACCAAAGGTAATAGGGTCCGGAAAAGGAATTCTGGACTTCAACCCGGTGATAGAGAATCAGATACTTGGAACGGCCACCATTATCGGGAAGGGCTGATGAGCTGCACGCCAACCTTAGAGTGTTGGTCCAGATCTCTACGGTCAAAAACAACTCACTGCATTTACTCGAGCTGCACGTGAAGACAGCAGGGAGATCTGGCGGAGCTAGTGACCAAAAATGGTGAAGGGAAAATGTGAAATCGTGCGAGGAGAGTGAATGCGGCTTGCGATTCGTTATGGGCCGAGGGCATCGGTCAGTTAACGGATCATGGGACCTGGTGAATCGGGGTGTGCTGGGATGGCTGCCACGTGGAAATATTGGTGGGGAATGAATCCATCAACTGTCGACTTGGATTGTCAGACATCCACCAAAGGCAAAGCCCTCGTTAGGATGCTCTCGGCTTAGTCGGCCGGAGCAACTTGGGTCCCGAAATCTTGCCGAGGGTCCATGCCTGTCATAATTATTGGAAGAGAAAATAAAGGATAAGAGTCGTCTGTTGGCGAGTATGAGGCTTGTCAATGTCCGCTCTCGAACATGAAGCACAAGCTTTGAAAGGTTCAAGGCCCTCAGGAATGCATGTATGCGAGGATCCTCTGAGTCCATCCGGAAGTCCAATGTTTAAAATGGGGAGGACATTGAGCTTTTTTTTCCGCGGAGAAGGACTGCGTGTGGCGCTTGGCGATAATCTCTGTCTGTGCTCCTTAAGTTGGGCCCTCGCCTTGTTTCTTATTCATGATGCTGCCAGACTGGGTGCTCGGACAATAGAGCACGATCTCTTCCTAGGAAGACGCTCTGGTTGATCTCACCGCGGAAGGCAAGAGACGGGATCGAATGACTGTCAAGCCAGCGCTGATTGGTCGGAACAACTCGCTTCTAGAATGTTTTGATCAAATACGACTCGCTAAAAGGAGGGGACCCTCGGTTTGGACGCCATGATGGGACCAATCCCCAACAGAGTCACACCTTGGCTTCATGCGCCAGGAGGCAAGAGTGGAAGGAGTGGTGCAGCATAATAAGCTTCATCCAAAATCAAAGTTCAAACGATGTCCCTGGCGATCTTGCACATCGCTCTGTTCAGTGTGCATCACTTTTACCCTGGGGCCTTAACACGTTCGGTATTCTGGTGATTGGGGGGGCAGAAGCATCTTCTAGTTACCTCGCCCGATCCTTGTTTTCCACCAATTGTGTACCAAAGAGATAGCTTTTTTCCCTCACATTTTGGGTATAGGATCGCCGTGCCTTGTGCGGGTCATCTTCCGGTCCGGCAAAATCACCAGTGAGTCGAAATGGGCTCCCCCTGCCTGGCGTCGCACTCTAGTCTAGATGATCGGCGGAGGATCATCGCGTGGAACTGCTTCAGCTTACTCCTTCGGTCCTGGTGTGATCAACAGTCAGAGAAGGGACATGAACTTGGCGTGCCATGTGGGCATTGTCAACTTCCCACCGAGCCGCTGACCTTGACTGGCCGAGGAAGGAAAAGAGGCTCAACAGAAATTTTTTTTGAATGGACACTGGTCCCCACCTGCGTCCAGATCGGAGTGCAGCAAGACGGATACCAAACCAGGTCAACTGGCCGGACTCCTTGATGAAGGCATTGCCACCCAACTGGTAATGGCCCTTGGGCCCAGTGGGTCGTCTCTCGATCTGCGACCGACTTTCCACCTGGCGGGCGTGTCTAGGGCCCGATAAGGACCAGTAGAGTTCTCAAGAGACTGCCCTCGGGATGATATGCATGTGGTGACAGCAGGAGGCAGGGTCCTGTGGGAGCCAGGATCGGCTGCATGGCGTTCGTTAGCTTGTATCAAAATTGGTTCAACTGAGAAATAGAGAAGTGGAGTTTGCCATGACAGTTGACTGCAGTCAATTGCCACGTGGTATACTAAATTTGAGACGGACCAAAGGCCTAAAAGAGCCATGGGATATCTTTTGACAGGGAACAGGTGGGCTCCGGTCACTTCCCGTCAAGTCGCGGGACAACCAGGAACAGTCGCCGAGACAGAATTCGACTCCTTTTGTCTGAGAAATCTGCCCATTCTGGGAGAAATAGGACAGAAAAGGCCCTCCCTAGTTCATTTGTTCCTATGCACCAAAGACGGCAGAAGCTTCCAGCTGCTGTCATTGGCCATATTTGACCTGAATGTTGGGAAGACCATCGGCTTTGATATTGCAGCACCGGTTCCGTACTTCGAACTCTAAAAAGCTCCTCCGTGGCGAGAAAGCACACGCAGAAACAATTCCATATCTGTGGTTCTGCCAAGGCCAGGGTTGTAGATTATGTGTCCCTTAGAAGTCAACGGTTCGGAAAACGGTTGCAGTAGTCAAGTTGGCTGACAAAGCGTCCTGCAACAGTTGTTCTGGGAGGTTTGCTCATATCGGTTTTTCGTGGATTTTCTTCTTCCCAAGGATGTCGTAACAGGATCCGGAGTAACACTGTGCGCGCCGAGACAGGCATGTGCCTGGTGGGAGACTACCAGCAGCGTAAGCATCAACAGCAGCAGATCCTCGCGTGGAAATGCTGCATGGCGCACCTTTAGGAATCAAGGCTTTTCCTCTTGTGACATTATTGCCGGCAATCCCAAACCATCGTTGGAGAGGCGAGCTGATGGGCGTGCACCTTTTTCATCTCGCTTTAACAGCGTGAGTAGCCCTGTTGAGCCAGGGTAAGGCCTCAAGGGGAGTTCAGGTGTCAGTGGAGTGGGCAAGTCAAGACTGTGAACGTAGGAGGTAGATGATTGAACAGCGGCCTGGGTGAGGAAGGTCCTCTGCATGGGAAATGACGAGGATGACACCGGGGATGATCAAACAAGGCCATGTGCAACGCGATCGACAGCGCGTGGCTGGAGTCTGCCGGGATTCTGACGACGAACGACAATCCTGGTCCGTGGGATCAGGACAAATGAGACCGCTGCTTCGGGACGGACAGGGGAACAAGGGAGGGGGGCCCGGGGGGGAAAGAGTACGGACATGGGTAGGGAGAGAGACAAGCTAGAAAAAGAAGAAAAACCTTCGGTTTCGGAGATGTCGTTTGGGTCACCGCTCAATGCAAGAGGTGCAGTGACTAAGTCGAGGCGTAAATCCCTACCTCCCCACGGAGTAGAGAGACTCCCATCAATATTCTTCAATTTTCTCTTCAGCTTGTCACAGACATACATACATCGGTGACAATCTTGACCGGACCTTGACCCTGGCCTGGCCCTGGCCCTGGACTGGGAGCCTCGACATTTGCAGCTTGCAAGGGACCAGAACATGGCAAGCGAGTCGGTCAAGCGTGTTTTGCAATATGCGCATAATCTCCGAGTGGCGCTCATTGGGCCTGCAGTCTAGCAGTGTTTCCAGGGCCTAAGCGAGTCCTCAACAGCCAAATGGGCCGCTCTGCTCCTTAGGTCCCAATGCGCTTTCTCTGGATGTTGGAGGGGCATCCAAGACGATTCGAGCTCCCAGTTAGGTTTAGGAGATGGAGTAAGACGACATTTAACGAGGTTGTTTTTGATCAGGGTTGCCTAGTCACAGGTTAGTGATCCGGCCGGCCTACGGCCATGGCCACTGAGCCAGGGATTGAATCAACCTGAGATTCCAGATACTCGACAGTATTGTCTAGGCGTGTGCGAGTCCATTCTTCCCTCTTCATGCCCGTACCGGACTCCATACGCGACTTTTCTACATGGCCTGATCAGGCTTCAGCGTATGGCAGCTGACCAGGGTACAGGAGAGCTCTTTGTCCGCACTGAAGTGGCGACTCAAGCCGCCAGAACGCAGGAATGGGAGCAGCGTACCGCGTAAATACGAAAATACGCATACAAGAGTCAAACCCCATGCCCGGACCCCATTCCCTAAACCCACCTACCTAAAGGTACTAGTCCTGAAGATTGCCGCTTGATGATCGATGATCGCGCTTCGGCAGCCCGGTTGAACTAGCCTGACCACACGGTCAAATGGCCCGCTAAGGCACTTTCATTAACAACCACTCATCTGTCGAGGGTGTGTCAACCACAAGCAGCTTCAGGCTAGACGGGAGGTTCAATCATCAATGGCCTTGTGGCGTCACCTCAGCTGTCAGGGACTTCGTTATATCGCTTGGTTCTCAAACAGACCGCGCAGCAAAGAGTATTCTTCTCTTTTCCGCCAACAGTATCCCTATGACCGCTTGGCCTGCTTTTTTCCTCAGGCCCCTGTTTCCCCCCAACATGCTCTTTGTCCCAGGTTCTCGCTTGTTTTGAGCATTTTGGGCATGTCCACAACTCTCCGTACCGAGTACTTGTGGGTTCCTGGCCTGGTCTCCATTCTCAATCGATATCTCCGTCTGCTTCTCCTCGATTACACATCTCACGGCATCCTTCACCAAGGCCCAAGCCTGTCCACCCCGTTGTCATCACCTCGTCCTCTTTCAACTAGTCAACTAAGCCCAGTGGGCCTTGAACTACACCCTCAGATCCTCTGCACGCAGGTTTTGCCTTCGCTTTCATCGTCGTTTTGGTTCTTATTCTCAGAGTCGTCATCACCCTCTCCTCCCGAATTACCACGGCCCATTCTCGGTACCATTGGGCATTCAGTCCGGTTTCTCCCTCCAGGGCCTTTCTCACACGTACAACTCGGGGATCCTACAGTGATCTTCGCCCTTTTCCATTTCCAGTTTTCTCTTGGTCTTCAATTCTTTCCTGAGCTGGCCAGAAGATCTCCTACATTCCATAAACCCAATTTTACATCAACATCAGCATCATCGTCCGTGTCAGGGCCAAAGGAGGAGGAAATCAAGTACTGTACGACGTCCTCAGGACCTGGCCATGCCAGGCCCCCATCAATCCTTACAGAAACTTTCTGCTAATAGCCGAGCAGAATTCCCTAACTTCTAGCCTCAAATCCGTCTCCAGTGCCGCCAATCTCTTGACCTTGTTGGGGCTTTTTTTGGGGGGATTCCGAACGCCTCCTATGCACGCACCACCCGTCGCTTGACCTAATACACGCCCACCCAGGAAGTCGATAGAGGCGAGCGCTCAACGTTAGGCATTTATGACGGTCCTGCGTGACTATTACTTGAACGGTAGACGACTTTCAAGTATTACCTACCCCACACGGCACGCGCGTTGTGGGTGGATATACTAGGTGCTCATCCCTCTGCCACATTGCCAACGGCCTGACGGCGTCTTTAAACACGCCTCCCGCCCACTTTTGATCTTCCACCAAGCCCGCACACCGCATGCTCTCCCAATCACCAACCAAGTACAGGTTTACCACTCTTCGTCCGACCCTGCTCGTACCGTCAACAGCCAGAGCCTTCAGTAGAGCCCGTTGCCAACCAGCCATTCCTTGACAGTCTTCACTGTTCAACCGTTCGACTCCGGAAACGTCCTATTCATTGCGGCCCTCTCCGACCAGGAATCTGTCCTTTAAGGGTTCTCTCCGGCAAGCCAGTTGTCTATCTGCAGTCAGCCAGCGACTCTGCACCTCTTTACCGAGCTTGCCGCCCTCTTGCAGCAACGTCACGGTTGTGATTTCCACTAATCGACACCTCCTAACCTCTTCATCTCTTCGAATTTCCCCGCGGCAGACGCTCACCCCTCGTTTTTTCATCATCTGTCCTCGTCGTTGGTTCAGGCAGAGGCCTTGTAGATCCCTGGGTTACCTTGATCTAGTCGGACAACAGCCCAGGGCCCTTGGAAATCGTTTCACTCGCGAAATCCAGGCATCTTCGTCGTCCATTAGGAGGGACATTGCCCTCGCTTCAGCGTCTCAGAGAACACTTGTTGGTCATTGGGTTCTCATTCTTTACAGTAACTCCTCTTTTACAGGTGCTTCGCCTTCTGCAATATCAAAAGGACCAGAACGCTTTCTTTGTTGACGCCATATTCGACCTCAGACGATATTATCTGTGCTATGGCATTGGCTCTGCTTCCAAACCATTACCCGAACCGAAATTCGCACAGTCCTCTATCCTCCCCCACCATTCTCCTGGCAACTGCCGCGATGGAACAAGCGAACAAAGCCAGACCATCGCTCCCTTCGATCTCCAGTCTTATAGAAGCTGTCACCGAACAGTTTGAAAAGGGTAGGCCGTTGAGCACCTTTGGCGGAGTTGCCAATCCGGGATTCCAGATGCTGACAGTTGCCAGGAAAAGTTCCCTCACCAAAATTTGACCCCCCGGGAAGAATATCTGGAGGGTCACAAGGACATTCCAGAAGTCCTGATCGACCGAAAGCATCAGGAAGCCCCCGAAGTCATCCTCCGCCGACACCAGACCTACGACCAGCTTCTAGTTTCGATTTCCCCCAACTATCACCCACGAATATATCCCCAATTACGACCCCCGGTCGCAGTAACTTCTATCCTCCCGGTTCTGCAAACACAAATCCTGAGCTGTACGCTCAGCGAGCCTCTACATACCCTCCTATGACTGAAACAGGCAAAACTTATCCTGCGATGACCGATCCGAATCATTGGCCTTCGTCTCATCCCCCAAGGCTCCCCCCCGACATTGTGCCGCAAGATCAACCTCCCAGACCTCCGCTAGCACCTTATAGCGAGGCCCCGCCGGAAGCTCCAGTATATAATGGGCTCGCTCATCAAAGGCCTTTACCAACCAACTTTCCTCCACCCTTGCCGGGTCCGGGACTGCCCCCAATCGATCCTCATATGACGCCAACGTGGCAGCACCACCACTACTACCCACCAACAAACCCGCCATCGTATCCCCAAGCTCAAGAACGATATATATGTCCGACATGCAACAAACCGTTTTCCAGACCGAGTTCTTTAAAAATCCACACCTATTCACATACAGGTGAGAAGCCTTACAAATGCAAGCACGAAGGGTGCGGGAAATTCTTCAGTGTGAGAAGCAATATGAAAAGACACGAAAAGGGGTGCCATGGAGGCGAAAATTCAAATGCAACCGGAACCAGTCCCAGAAAAGGCTCATGATTGAAACGATTCTTCTGCTATCTACCTTTTTTACTATGATCTTTTTCCTTCGATTGGACGATCGAACTCGTCCATTTGCGGGTTCTGACAGATCGCTCAATGTGCACTTACTTCCTTCGGCATCCGCAATTGTGGACGATTGGATGGAGCGACTTGTGTTATTCTCATACACATCCCACTTAGGGACGCTGGGGGGCGATGGTACGCGGTTGTTGTCCTTGTTTATTTCTTTTCTTTTAGCGTGGCAGCAAGCACCAGCTCTTCCAGTGAGCACGTTTTCCGGACCTGCGTTCAAGCGGCATGAATTGTGAAGGGTGGTGAGAAGGCTAGGTAGGGAAGGGAAGCATATCAACTTGGATCGCAGGAACAGCTCCATTTGGCCGGGTCAAATATGTCGCACAGGACCGGGTGGTATGCTGGCTACCTTGGCTTTCTGCAAGGAATTGGTGTATTGCAGGCATTTTACTGACTCATCGGTCATGTTTTGTTATTTCGAGCGAGGCGGTCGATGATAGGATAGGCCGGCCCTTGCAGCTTCGAAAAGCGTTTTGATGGTGTTTCTACATGACAGATGGCATGAAAACACACAACTGTACATTAGATTCGACAGAAATGCCGTGATAGCAGGTAATTAGATTGTACAATACACTCGATGGCCGTAATATGGACGAAGCAGGCTAACACCCTGACGCACCCCGCCCCCTGATCTTTTGCTCTTTTGTGACACGAAATGTCAACGCCTTGTCGCCGAAAGAAAAAAGCTCGTGCAGGATGTTCCTAGAGCCGCTCATTTCCATATGTTCTCTGCCATTCCACTGTGCTGGATCTGTTGGTACCGAGCTTTGGGTCCGTGGCTGAGGAGCCGACGCTGTGATGTTTTTGCTTTTGGCTTGATATGCCAGAATAACCTGGTTTACGAGTCTAGAACCATAAATGCCTATCTTCACCCTCCCTTCCCCTCTCTCTTTTGTCACAGTAGCCTCATGTCATCATGCTTTGACGTAGCGTTTTTCTGGCGACATCCCCGTCCATGACCCGTCCATCCGGTCACTGGCGCCACATAATGTTTAAGAGAGTCAGAACATCGGCGATTGCGCTTGAATCCCGACGCAGTTTAGCATAGCAGATGGCAAACTGCAGGCCGGTCGGTACCCGAAGAGAGAAACAGAGCCAAATGGTGGCCGATGGTGGCCGATGGCCACGTGGGAAGGCCAAGCGAGAACCTCTCAAAAGGGCGCCCAGCCACCCTATTAGTCTCTACGCCTCATCGTCTGGATCACGGATCTGATGCAAAACATTCGACGGGCGACAAGCGAGTGGACTGAGCACTGACCACAGGGTGTTCGATGTCACGCCACTTTCAGTACAGGACTCAGAGGTATGAACATATCGGCCCATAGCCATCCTCGCCAGCTCGTTTTCACAGGGCCTTGACGTCAAAGTCGCACTGAATGCGAGGGATGCAGTGCAAGCCTTGTCGCCCATCGTCCTCCAGGGGCCTGCCCGCAACCTCGTCCATGGCGCACGCCGTTATCCGGTTGGGCCACGGACCCTTCGTCCTGGAGTTCGATTGAACACAAAGAGCCCACCATGGAGAACTAACCGGGGCCGGGTGAATATCAACGATGGTCAACACATGTTGAACAATGTCGCAACCGTCGAGTGATGCTTAAAGTACGCTATGAATAGAATCAAACAATCATCAGTGACGGGGGTATGCGTTGCCGTCGTAAAGGGCCTACACGTCCCCAATTCGGCTGGCACACGCCGAGCACCAATTGATTCAGATATTCCTCGTGCACGACATTGTTCAGCCAACGATTTTGAACGCAGAGATCGTCGGGGCCGAAGCCCAGCAAAGAGGAGAGATTCCTCCATTTTCTTCGAGAGATTATCCTCTCGGTGCCGGAGAATCGGGAGGCCACGCCCCAGGCCGACGTCGCCCACCTAGCGGAATGCGACTTGTAAGTTTACCAATGTTCTTTGGCTCTATCTATATCTAATCTTCATTTACGCAACCACCAGACCGCTCCGCGCACCGGGAGGGAGCTCGGCATCAAAGCAAAGGGTGTCGGGAGAAGAAGAAGGCGGGAGAAAAGAGGAACAGAAGGAAGGTGATGGTGGTAGAGCCAAGGCTGAAGGCGGCGAGGAACAAGATGACGATGGCTCCCTGGGAGTCAAGAAACCCAAGTTCGAAGACCCAGGAGACGACGAAAACGAGGAGGGCCATTGGACGGTGCAACTGGAAGTTGGCGTATAAACAGTGAATTCGTCGTTGCCAAACGACAACTTCAGATGCGATCCTGCCATTTCGCATTCACCTGCTGTAGATGCCCGGCACTGCACCTCTGCCGACTCCTTTTCTACACCAAACCACATGCCATCTTCTCTCAACACACCCTCCATCCACAATCATTGAATCTTCTGAGAAGAAATTAGTGTATGTTCTTTCCATCTCATGGAGGTTGGAGCAAGTTGGCTTGCTGACTATGGCTTTCTCAGGCGTCTAGATACTTTCAGGTCCGCGGATCTACAATTTCACCTCAACCCTTACCTTCACCCTTCATCTGGACCGTATCACCCACGTACATACACAATCACACATCGTCCATCCTGAAATCTTGTCTCGAACATCAACATGGCTCCGAAAGAAGGCAATGCGAAGGGTGCCATCTCTACCGATGCTTTTCTGGCTCTATGCATCAAACATGGGAAAGAGAAGCTCAGTGTCAACTTCGACACTCTCGCCAAAGAAGCTGGCTTGAGTGCAGGCGGGGCAGCAAATAAATTCCGCAATATCATGAATCAATTCGAGAAAGGTGGTGCTGCTTGGGCGAACAAGGATGCTAAAGGTGATACAGCAACTAGCCCAGCAAAAGCAAAGAGCACCGGAGGTACCAAGCGCAAGCCCGCAGCGAAGAAAGCAACCAGTGACGATGGTGCTGTTGCAACCAACAGTGCTGATGACGATATCGCCAAACACCCAGAGCCTGCAAAGAAGAGACCAGGGGGCAGAACGGCAGAGGCCAAAGCTACCACGACTACTGCTGATGGAGGTGCTGTCAAGAAGAGAGCTAGGAAGACGGCTCCTAAGGTCAAAGCAGGAGAGACAGAGCAGCAAGGCAAAGAAGAATTCAACGACGAGATCGACAGTGACGAAGGATCCAACGGAGGAGATGGTGGAGATGCAGAGTGAATCCAACGGGATACCTACTTGTTGAATCTCACGACGTGTGCTACTGCTACCAGCCAGAGAGCTTATGGGGAACGACCTTGGAATTGAGATTCACAACACGACAAAATGGCTGATGGCTTTGCCTCCTAGCTCATAAGATGTCACTGCCTTCGTTAGCCGTCTGCCTAGGATATGAAGAGTTGACACCACAATCGTGTCCGATCATCTTCATGATCACCGAAGTCAAAAGAATGAAATGATCTGGTAAATCCTCTCAGCTCTATCTCTAAGTCAAATATTCAGAGAGAGATTCAGACGCACATGCTCATGTCAGTCTCGACAACTACATAAACCTCCTTTCTCCCTCTCCAAATCATTTCTTCCTGCGTTTGGTCGAACACAATCCTCATCGCGAAACCCTTGCAATGTCTTGATCTCAAAGAAGCTCAAACATGTACGTAACTAGATCGTCGACGCCTTTATCTCCTTCCATTTCGCATTCTCCCACAGAAGAGCTGACCGTCCACTGTGCCTTTACAGAGTCGCAACGTCTTCTTGACGACATCGACATCTCTCAACCGCACTCCATCCTCCAAAAAAAAAAAATGGCGCCAGAAAAGACCGACAATGACGACTTGAGGTTGATCATGACTTGCATCAAACATGCCGAGAACAAGCTTGCCATCAATTTCGAGGAAGTTGCGAAAGAACTTGGCGCCAAAAGTGCAAATGCTGCGTGAGTTCTTTTTCCTAGAAGCCATTTTCAGAATACGTTTCCTCTATCTCCTTTTTTTAGTTTTACACTTCTGACCATCGGATCAATTCTCTAGGTACCATCGCCACTGGGGCCTCATGAGAAAGTGGGGCTTGACAGGTAGCAAAAAAGGAGGAACATTGTCTACACGCCCCACCAAGCATTCAGCAGGTGACAGTGCAAAACTTTCAGGTCGCAATCGTCAAGCCACAAATACCGAGGCGGAAGGTAGTGATGAAGATGATAACGGCGATGGGCAACCTATGAAAAAGCAGAAAGTGGCGCACAAGAAGAATGCTGTCGGAGAGGATACTGAGAAGGGTGAAGGGGAGAATGGCATGGGAGGATCAAACGGCGATGGTGCTGCTATCAAGTCTGAGACCTAGCAAGATGATGTTGTGTGAACCTTGTCCAAAGATCCATAGTCACTAGGCAGAGAGCATGGCACATGGCGTAAAACCGCTACACACATGGAGCACGATATTGACATGAACAATACAGCCCTTGTCATCATCGTTGAATGACGAACCCCGTGCTCTTGTTGTTTACTATTGGAGCACGTTCGCTGTCTGAATAGCGTTACTATGGGAAGCCGTGTCATTGGCAGACAATGTCAATGATTTGTCGTCTTCCCTGCAACGATAACGCAAATTTTTAGATATAGCTACCGCAGATCGACTGGCTGGATGTCTACATGGATGATAGTTTCAAGAGAGTCAAGATGAGAGCCATATAGGCCGAGGAGGAGGCTGACGATGTTGAAGAAAGGAGGATGAGGATGAGCAACGAGATGCGGCGGAGGATGAAGATGATGAGGAGAGGTAGAAGCAGCTTCTACCAAGGATATGAAATCCGCTGCACTGATTCCTCGTACTTGACACGAATACATCCATACCAAAGCTTCAAATATGGCTGCAGCATTAGAAGTTATTGCAAAAAAGGAGGCTACAGAACCATGCAGCACGCTGCTGGCTTTTACCCGCAGTATGACAGAATTCATCTTCCTTCAGCAGTCCCCATCTGTATTAATTCTCACTTCCATCTCGCTTCGAACCGAACCGCCTGCTTATAACCTTTTCATGTTTCTTTCGTCCGCACTGCTTCTTCTACAGACTACTAGTCTACTTTACTTCTCCTTCGATTGTCACGTCAGTCACGTACAATCATCTCGTCGTTGACGTTCTATTCAGAGATTACCCTTATTATCCAACGATCTGAAAGAATGGCTCCAAGAGCTGCTTCAGTTTCCACCACCGGCGATGGCGTGGACCCAACTCTCAAGTTCGTCTTTAGCACTCTCAAGCATGTCGAGCAGATCAAAGTGAACTGGGAGGAAGTTGCAAAGGACAATGGTATTGGCTACGCCCGAAACGCGTATGTTACATTCTACCAGTTCCCACTCCCAATTTCGTTCATGCTTATTAATTTCTCTCATTTCCCCAGTGCATCCAAGTTCAAGGATATTCTTAAGAAGCACGGCATGAAATTCGAAAGCGGCGTGATTAGCGGCCTGGGAGATGCCTCACCAACCCCGAAGGGGAGCGATGGTTGTGCAGAGTCTGGCGAATCAAAGACCGCAAAGGGCATGAAGAAACCATCCCCACGCAAGCGCAAGGCGACTGGTCACGATGGGGATGAGGTCGAAGATATGACAGCCACTACCCCCAAGTCTGCTGCGAAGAAGAAGAAATACATGACAGCCAACGTCAAGAAAGAGGCGAGCGACGCAGAGAATGGGGACGATGATCAGGACAACGATGCCCATGCCGAGCTTGATGACTACGGATCCATTCTCTACCCATTCTAGATTCTAATGGTGGCTGCCATGGCGTTACTTGCATACTTGATGGAGTTGAGAGCTTGGGAGGATCTTCGGGACGGGGAATGGGTTTGGGACCCGACACTGAGCAGTAGAGGGTATTGGACAGCTTGGAACAACAGTACTTTCGGGGGGGCAAAGGCGCAATAGATCAGCAAAGACAGATCAAGGAGCAGTCTTTCAGCGTGATCACAGGTAGCCGGCTGTGAACAAAATCTCACACATAAATGTCAAAATGATCAGAACCGGACCAATGAGACCTGTAAAAGACCGTGAGTCTGTGTTTTGGTGCCTCAGGCTGGCGGTGGAAAGGAGGTCGGAAACATCCGGCTTGGCAGACCAAGCGAAAAGACTCGGACTTCAACGTCTTCGCATCGAAACTTTCATTTTCTCATATTCAGGATAGCTCGAAACCATCATGCCACGCTTCCGACCTCACCAAGGCGGTAGAACTCCTGGCAAAGGCCAAATAGGAAGACGAGGTCCCAATATTCGGAAACGGGAAGTTTTCGGGACCTCGCGGCTGAGAGAGACAGAGTGAGTTGGTTTTGCAGTAGAAATGTCCAAAGTCAAACAAATTCTAATGCTTGTAGAGATGATCCTGCGCAAGATTCCTCTGATGTGGAAGACGATGGATTGAACAATGTAGAAGAGCCTGGATCAGGAGACGAACAAGACCTCCATTCTATCAGCGAAGATGAGGCTCCCGCCTCCAACTCTTACGCCACCTTGCTCCAGTCGCTCAATGTGGGTAAGGATAATGGCGAACCTGCAAGAAAGAAGAGAAGGATCGCGAAAGACGATAATCCAACGTGGGCCACAAAAGCTAAAATGTCAATCAACGAAACACCTGCCGAAGACGGCAGAGGCCCGGATGTTAAGGCAGAGGAGCAGCGGAAAGAATTGGAAGAAGACGCAGATCCGGACGAAGACCCTGATGATGGCCCAGCAGAGGATGCTGACTCGGAGGATGAGGCTATTCTACTACGGGATCCGTTCGAGAGACACTACTCGGCTATGACGGAGCAGGATCTCAAGGATGCTACTCAACCGGGCCAAAAGAATAAATGGAAGGCCCAGTCGCTGACTTCGGATTCGGATATTCGCATCACGACCTTTTCCAGAACTGGCGCTCTGTCCCCTGGGCCCATAAAGTCAGCAAGAGATCTCTTCTTGAAGAAGAGGCTCGTCGAAAGTGGTATGAAGCTTGTGTCGTCGTTGTCAGTGGAAGAGAAAACCCTGGCAGGCCCTATGTTCAACTACGTGGACATCCTGAATGGGTGTCGGAATCTCAAAAATACTCACCGATTACGCGAATTGTCCTGTCTGCATGCCTTGAATCACGTCTTCAAAACAAGAGACCGTGTTCTCAAGAATAATGCCAGACTCCGCGCTCAATCAAATGCTGAGTCCCTTGATCTTCGAGACCAAGGATTCACCAGACCCAAAGTCCTGATCATGGTTCCCACAAAACAAGCGTGTGTCAGATTCGTGGACAGCATCGTCGAACTCAGCAAACCCGATCAACAGGAAAACAAAGCACGGTTCCTCGAGACATTCTCTCACGAAGATGATGATGAATGGCTGGATAAACCTGAAGATTTCCAAGAGTTGTTTGGTGGTAATCACGAGGAGGAATTTCGAATCGGTTTGAAATTCACCAGGAAGACCGTCAAATATTTTTCGGGCTTCTACAACTCGGACATTATCATTGGCTCTCCGCTCGGCCTGATGCGCACCATCACGACCGGCGGAGGGGGGAAGGACAAGAAAAAGGGCCACGACGCTGATTTTCTTTCCTCAATTGAAGTCGTCATCGTAGACCACGCGAATGCTCTTCAAATGCAGAATTGGCAACATGTCGACTATGTCTTCTCCCGACTTAATCACCTCCCCCAGGACTCGCATGGCTGCGACTTCTCTCGCGTCCGGCACTGGTATCTCGATGGTCAGGCGAAATACCTGCGGCAGACCGTCATCTTCTCCGGTTTCCTAACGCCAGAATTCAACGCTTTGACATCCACTCACCTCCACAATATCACTGGCCGCATCAGATTCCTCCCTACATACCCCGGCGCCGTACTCTCGATCTCCTCCCACATCCCAGTGTCCGTGCCGCAGATGTTTCTTCGCGTCCTTTCGCCCAACGCTCTACAAGACTCCGATGCACGCTTCAAGTTCTTCACCACGACCGTCCTCCCCACAGTCGTGAGCGACGCGCCGCGCCAGAAGGGCACCCTTCTTTATACCACTTCGTACGCCGATTTTGTCCGCCTACGCAACTACCTCTCCACATCTCCCGACACGACAAATCTCTCCTTCGGTTCTATCTCCGAATACACACCAATTCGTGACGTGATGCGTGCTCGTTCACATTTTCTCTCCGGCCGCCACACCCTGCTTCTCTACTCGGAGCGCGCACACCATCATTTTCGCTATAAACTTAAAGGTGTCAGGAGAATCGTCTTCTACGGAATTCCTGAGAACCCGGTCTTTTGGATAGAGATTGTCGCGCTGTTGGGCTGGAGTATGGATGGGGGAAAAGCCAATACCAGGGAAACTGTTGGGAGTTTGAATTTCAAGAAGGGTGCGGTCAAAGCCCTGTTCTCAAAGTGGGATGCTTTGAAACTGGAGCGCGTCGTCGGCACAGAGAGAGTGGGGCGCTTACTCTATGATCGCGCGGGTGATACGTTTGAATTTGTCTAGTGTCTGGTGTCTGATTTCTCGGGATCAGAACTCGAGTCATAAGTCATGGCCAAAATGGTCTTGAGAGATCAAACACTTGACAGATAGGAATATAGAAACGAAACCAAAGGACTGAATGAAATGAAGTTGAAGCTTTACCGCATCGTAATCAAAAACAATCTAAGTTGCACGTCCAAAAAAGAAATGAAAATATGTGTATACATATATTCTGTGCGGCAAAGATACTCTTAGTCTTTTTATCTTTTCATCGTATATGTCATTCATTCCAGGACCTGGTGCCAATTACTATCCTTCAACGCGTAGTGCACCGCGGCCTTGACATCGTCTACGATCGCCCTCGGTTCCCACGTGGGCCGATGGCCAGGCCGATCTCTATACACGCCCGTCCTCGTCAGCAGGCTGACCCAATCAACCCCATGAGGTGAATCGTAGCTATTGGCGCCGCAAATATCGCTTTCAGGATTATCACCGATCATGTAGACGCGTTTTAGTGGCGGTACTACTGGCGATGGCCGTTGGTTGGTTTTTGTGTGGAAAATCCCCTCGCGGTGGCGCAAAAGCTGCCTCTCCGCAAACGAATATGTTTCTGCGAACGGCTTACCGATTACCTTTTTATACAGCTCGGCGCCACGGTCTCGTCCGCCCGTCACTGCCCGCCAAACTCCGTCAAGACACTCGCGGAAGCTGCCCTGTCCTAGTCGTGACAAATGGTAGTCCGCCGCCCACAGCAGATCGGGGTTCGAGAAGTACAATGTTGGCTGGCCATCTTGCAAGTATCCATTGTTGGGCAGGGACATGTCGCCGTTCTTCGCCGAGTAAGTTCCCAGGATCCCCTCGTGCGACAGCATCACGTCGAGAATCACCTGCAGATCCAGGCCCCAGTCGCGTGGGTCATTGTAGACGAACACCGCGTCGATTTTGAGGCTTTCTTCTGGCTTGGCCGGGTTAATTGGCCGGGGCAGCGGACGGGCAAAGTCCGCGTAGTAGTCCTCTTGGAACGGCTTGCTGAAGGGCCAGATCTCAGGATGCGCCGCGTAAATGTCACCTGGTGTCACGACGTTGGTGAAGCCGTATTGCTCTGCGACCGCGCGGCAGCGTCCGCCCTCTCCGCCCACTACCATGATGCATTTGTGACGCAGGCTGTTTTCGCCGTGGAGTAGCGCGGCGAAGGGTGTGTGCGATTGTACGAACATCGAGGTGTCGAGCGAGACGGAGAGTTTGGATGAGAGGTCCTGGACCCGTTCGGATTCGTGTTTCCCGCCGCCATTCGTCAGGAGAATGAAGGGAATTGAGTTTCGCTGGAGGAATTGCAAGGTCGCGGAGGCGTGGGGGATCGGGTTTGCGCTGCGCACGAGCACGCCGTCTATACTATGAGTCATGAGGCTGTCAGAGAGGGGTTCTCGCTATAATGTAAATGGGATAGAGGGAGAATTGCAGAATTGGTCGGGTGTTGGCTTACTCGAAAGCAAAAGCAAAGTCGGGGACGAGTAGCTGATGTTTGGTGTCGGTCTGGAAAAGCCTTCTTTGCGATTTGGGTGACCAGAAGATGCTCTGACAGGAGGACCAATGTAATGAAAGAGTTGTGAAGGACCTTGGATTGAGGCCCCGGCTACGCACCCTCATCCTCACCACCAGCCTCTAGCCAGAGGTAAGGGGAGAGTTCGAGTCGGCAAGCGTGATAGAAACACAAATTCCTCCTCTGGCTTATCGATAAGCGCATACGGCGGATCTCAAACAGGTTATAGCAAAATATTCACGTGACGAGGCTCTGAGCCCTATTTTCTTCAGGGAGGAGGGGTTCCTTTGGGGGATTTGAACCATTCATTTGTGAAATACAATTGCTAACTAGACTGGGCGTAACAAAATAGCTGTACCGATGCATGGAGATCCGGTAGACACATCATCATTATTCCTCTCTTGCAGAAGTGGTCACCAAACTATAACATCCAAAAAGTCCAACCGATGGAGCAGAAAGTGTGCTTCACGGCTTGCTGAGTTGTTCTTTGCGATAAAACTATACCATATCAAGTCAGATTATCTGAACACGCCAGTGAAGGAGATAATAAAAATGAGACGTACCTTGAAATATCCGACACAAATACTCAAATTCGCAACTAATCCGATCCAAAACCACGCCTGCCAGAGGTTCCCTACGCTGCCGCTAATATCGGGGCTAATGGGACCAGGACCGATCTTGTTGGGCGCACAGGCTCTGGCGACGATGGTGGCAGCCGAACCGAGAACTTGGGCCGTGATGAGTGTGAATGCGACGTGTACCCGTGTCAATGTCGCGAGGAGGATCATACCCAATCCGACGCCTTGAACTGCATCTAGTGTGCCTAACCACAGCCACAGTGAGCGCGAGAGGATAGCGGACGAGGTATAGCCGCCTGCCCAAGGAAGATAGAGACCGATATTGCTTGTTCCCCACCAAATTTGAGCCCAGCGAGGAGCACCCAGTCCGATGGCGAAGATTGGGAGGATCCAGCTATGAGATTTGGAAAGCAAAGCGAACAGCCACAGAAAGCCCGCCCAGACAACGATGAAAAACAATACCACCAGACACATGATCTGCCATGTCTGGGCGTGCGAACTGCTCCACAAAAATGTCCAGTTGCGACCGTAGGGCGCCGAGAGGAAGAAATTCTGGATCACCACTGTGACGAAGAACCAGAGCACAATTTTCCTCCGTAGCAAGCTGTGGTAGAAACTCGGCATTTTACCCGGAGCTTGTCGGTAATAATTTGGCAAACCAAACCACATTAGCAATCCAATCGCCCAAAGGAGAACAGCAATAGGGAGTGTGATGGCTGTGATTTTCCACGTCGAGGATATTGGGTCTGAGGTCGTGAGCAGTCCGTCAGCGGTACGTCGATTGAGATACGAGCCCCAATACCAGAGCGCGACGACATAGATCTGTTGAGTTCCCTGAATCACACAGGCGCGGAATACCCAGGCTTTAACTTGAGCACCACCTTCGTCACCAAAATTTAGAGCGAAGAAAAGAGATCCTGACGACGACGCCACGGCGTACATCCCGGTGCCAACGTTTTGTATCCAGCCCCGCCCATCTGAAGTCGAGGCATAGTGGGCCACGCCAATTAAAATAAACGCCAGGCCGTAAAAGAAGAAGGGCAGTGAGAGGCACAGGACCGAACTGAGGCGGCGGAAGAGGATCCACCAACAGATTGAGGTGGCCAGGTATATGGAGGCGACCGCATATAACTTATCAGCGGTTTGCCCAACTTCACCTGTTAACAGTGTGATCTGATATGAATTGGCTGCAATGATCTGTCCGAAGCCCATGAAGAATGCATACACAGGCCAATCGCCAATGCGAAGTTGCATCCATTTCCTCAGTCCAGTAGGCGGTACATAGTCCTTCCCGAGCAGAAACTCGTCGACAAGGCTGTTGTGGTCGTGCTCAGGGTCGCTGTTCTCATCGTAGTGAGTGGAGGGGGCGATGGACGCGGGACCGGATTCTCGACTGGCTTGGAAACTCGAGCGTGCAGAGTAGACATTGTGTCTTCCAAGTTTGGCATTTCGGAAGGCGTCAAACCATTGCTTCTCGGATTTAATGAGGAACTCTTCGATGCACGTCGCGGATTCAGAGTTACTCCCATTGAGTCCGTCAAGCTTCTTCTCGAAGGCTCGGGCAAACTCGCCGTTGCTGTCGGTGAAGAAGGGATCGACTTGTTGCAGCTTGAAATCAGTCTTCTCACCGACGATCGAGTTCACGGAGAGTATTGAGGGAGAGGATGATAAGCGATTGTTAGCTTCCGAAATGACTGGAGGTGGCACGAGTAGTCCGGGTTCTGGTCTCGGTGTTTCTGGAAGTCGAGGACCCTCAATAGGGTTTGACCTCTGTTTGGGCAGTGGAGTCAGTTCCAATCCCAGACCTCCTGATGAGCGGAATGCATCGTTTACTCGTGATGAAAGACTAGATTCATCATCAAGAGGGATCCTTTCATAACGACCGCGAGCCTGGGAGGGCATGGTGATCTGCCCGTCTTCTTCGAAATCGTTGGAATCATCATCTTCCCCATCAGAATCTGCGTCATTGTACGCAGTGACCGCAGTGCCCAACCCGGTATCGTCTCCCTCTACATCTGGCACTGGAGGAAGGATTGCGGGCGTGTTAGGTTCGTCCTCGTCGTGAGCATCTTGGGCATTGACGTGTCCAGGGCCTCTACGTGATCCCAGCGACGCCGAACGTGAAAGCCCAGGGGCTGATGATGACAGGGTATTGTCCTGGCTTTGATCACGACTATGCCCAAGGTTTTTGAGTCGAGCGGTGAGTGAATGCAATGTCGAGTAGCTTGGTCCTCGTGAATGAGCTGTTGTCGGAGTCCGCCAGCCCGCCGGGGTGGTGGCACCCGAGCCTCCCGGAGTATTCCACCCAGAATGGGGCCAGATTAGATCTCCCGCAGTGGTAGTATGACGCTTTGCGGCTTCAACCTTGTCGTGGATGCGAATTGCTGTAGATTGGAGAATTTCGAGATCTTCAACCCATTGTGCCACGGGAAACCTCTGTTTGGCTGATCGTGCTCTCATGAGGGCACGAAGCTCGGTCTTCGAGCTTAGAGCCTCATCGATTGCGAGTTTAAACTGGTGTATCAAATGAGCCGTTGTCGTCGATTCCACAGTATACTATAGAAACGTTAGCTTAAGTTTCCTCACGATCGCACCTTTCAGCTCACCCAAAATCCAGGCATCTGACCAAGACCGCCGACCCTTGCGCCTACACCGAGTGCGCCTTTACGACCGAATTCCACAGCGACCAGGCCAAAAGGCTCGTCTCGAGAGGGAATCAGGGCAAATTCCGCACCTGAGAAGATGAATGGCGGGAGAGCGGTGAACACAGGCTTAGAGAACACTCTGCCCGGGTAAAGCTTCATCATTCGGTCCAATTTCAACGCTGCAAATTTCCCATATAGGTCAATGACCGGTCCAACGGTGATGAGCTGCGCATTTGGGTTTGATTCCAGAACCGAGGGGAACACGTCTGCAATCAGGTCTATTCCTTTTTGCATGCTCCATCTGCCAACGAAGACAAATAGCTCAGCGTCGGGGTTTTGGTCCAGCCCAGCCCATTCCTGGGCCTGACGTTTCAGCTCCGGGCGGCTAGCCTCGAACCCTGGATCGACTCGAATATCCTCTTCGCTTGGAAGCTTCTTATCCCATTCGCCAGTATCGGATGGATCGGGATTGGGAAGTTTTCCAACCTTTTTCAGGCCCCAAAAGATGGGGTAGCGAGCGTAGGAGCGCTTGCCATATTTCTTCGACACCCCAACAGCGCCAAATCCTTGTTGGTGAATTCTCAAATATGACGCCCCGGCATGAAGCAAGTTGAAGACTTCGCCGAATTGGACATAACGTTGGACCAGCTCGGAGGAAAGATTGAAGACCGAGCTTACCTCTTCCCGCTCTTGTTTCGTTCTCATAGGCCACAAACCTTGAAACTCGGCGTTATGGAGGGATAAGCAAGCAGGAATTGTTCTTGGAAGAAGATAGAGTGGAGCAACGGAGCCGTGATAATCGTTGATATGGTAGAGGTCTATAGGGAAGCGGTTGATAGTTTGAGCGATGCATTGGTTCCAAGCCGAATAGTAGATGGCCGATGAGAGATCGTCCATCCGGGCTGGATATGGTTCGGATTTGGTTTGCTGTCGAAAAACAGGCGCATCAAGTAAGACATAGGTGATATTTCGCAGGACATGGTACTGGACTTGCACTTCGTAAGGCTTGCCGAGCACGGTGACAGTCATGGGGTCGGCTCTTTGGTCTTCTGGATAATCCACGCCTCCAACGCAGGGAACAACCCATATCAAATCCTGATGACCAAGATTCTTACCCATTAATTGGGCCATTACTCCAAGACCGCCGATTTTAATTTTGATTGCCCAATCTTCTATATCGTACTCCATGGTTGCAATCAAGACCATACGGCGTCGTTGTTGATCGATGACTGTATTTGTTTGCTGCAGGAATCTTGGTTTGCGAGTTAATCTCGACAGGATGCCAGGGGAGTCTTCTTCATCGACCAGTTTCTTGAATTGCTTCTTGAAGGCCGCCGTGATCATCCCACTTTTTTCGGATATCCCAATTTCGTTCACCTTGACCTGATAGAAAGACTGCATGAATGACCACACACTGAATGCTGCGGTAAAAATTGGAACGATCCAAAGGAGGATGTAAAGAATCAGCTGATTCCACATATTTCCTGATGGCACGAGGCTGAATCGTAGCGTTCCATCATTGATGACGACACGCCAACCTAGATGTGGTTTTGGGGGAGGCTGAGTAATGTTAAGAACAACTGAGGAGAGAGATGATGGAGGAAGACGATCAAGGACCGAATCTCCATCAGAATCACCCATCACGACTGTTTGATCCGGTTTCCCGTCTGGATTGATGCCCCACACATTTATCTGCGCTAAAGTGCCACTGAGACTCCATTCGGTCATGAAATGGTGCTCCCAAGTTGAGTTGTTGGACAGTTTCATCTCATTATCCAGCCCCGCGTCATACCCGTATTGATTGTAGGGGCCATTCAAGAAAAGATGCGGGAACCGTCGTGGCGTGCTGAAGTCGACATCACCCTGCTGCATATGATCACTGCTACCAGCCAGACGACTGAAGTATTCCACTCGCACGTGTGTGCCTTTCCAGGACTGTAGGTCTGTCCCTGACCACTCTTGCTCCTCAATTTGGGTCTTTCCACCCTCGTATGGCATCCATGGCGAGAACGACGATCCCCAGTTCGTGGAATATCGCCATTTGTCAGCACCAGCAGCCGCATGGGAGAGGACCAAGGAGCCGTTTTCGCTCTTGCTGAGGAGACTAGACGAGTAATTTGCGCTGGTGGTGAATACGATCGGATTGTTTCTCTGCCCGATTCGGAACAAGAATCGGTCCACTGCATTCGTATGCTCACCAGCCTCAGACGATGCATTTCGGATAGTTATGGCGTGAACACCATGGGCGACGCCGTTGAGAGTTGCTGACCAAGACCAAGTCGAGGAGATAGCTCCTACGTAGGGCGGAATCTGTGGATCGCTTATAATACCACACTGAATGCTGGCTTCGTCGATTGTTGGTATGCGTCCTAATTCCGTAGTTGAATTGAATATGATGCTATTTGTGACACTATCGCAATTCATTTCAACAGAAAATTGAAATTCAATGTCGACTGACTCGGTAGCATTTGCGCTGACATTTGACTCAAGGCGGGCGTCATGACCAGGGCTGAACTTGGTGATCATAGGTTGAGGGCCAACCCATTGATCAACGGGAACATAGGCACGGAAGTCATACGCTTCCATGTCTAAACTACTTAAGCAGCCATTTGGGTTTGTTGAGCCGTTGATTCCTAACCTGTGAACGCTGTCGGCCAGGGTATGTTCATCGTAGGGGTAGAAAAGATTTTTGACTGTCGTGCCAGCATCATAGGGAGCAATCAGACTTGTGGTATTCAGATCGGTATCGTTATTGTTGCAGTCGAAAGTATACGTGGTGGAGGCATTAGCATTAGAGTATAGCAACCAAACCGGGAGGTCTCCGGCTCCAGTCCCACTGAGGTCTTGAACATCTGGGAAGCCAGATCGCATGACGGACCACATCCCAGTCTCAGTGGTGACCTTTCCGGAACCAGGATATTGGATTTGCTCGGTCTGATTTGACAATTGTTGTAAGAAAAATCCGTCTTGAAGTACAGGATACTGGTCCCGCAGCTGATTCATGTGGTGGATGATATTCCGCACAGGGTGCGAAGGGTCTCGGTGGTCGTAGCTGACTGTCTCATCTTCACAGCCATGGCGCGAGGCATTCAGTGGCATCTTGTAAAACTGAGTAGAATCGAGGTGATAGCAGCCATGAGTATGCCAAGCCGTGGCGGACGACATCGCTTGTCGACCAAATATGTAGTTCGATGCCGTGTTGTCCAAGACATAGAAAGCTTGTTCCTCACCCCAGAGCAACAGTGGCGATCCAGGTAGCTCGATCGTGGTGATGAAATGACCCAACAATTGGCGGTGGACCCCGTTGGTGATAGCAGGCCAGCGAAAAACGTCCTGATTTGTAACCCCGTAGAGGTGACGAGGGTCGAAAAGACCAGTGTTGGGGTTGACAAAATCATTCGTGATAAGAAAGTTGTTCCACATGTCTACCCAGTTGGACGGAGCATCATATCCGGCCTCCAAGTTACCATCCATGCCCAGGAACCGTGTCAAGGTACGATAGACAGTGTAGTGGAAAGCTGCAGCATCGAGGGCTCCATACTCCGGGGCCCGCAGAAAGTACTTGTCGGCAGAATTGTTGGTCATTGTGACGGCCGTGGTAAGGTTGTCAGGGAGCATATCAGGCTGTCGGCCACGACCAAGGTAGAGTGATCCGAAGACGTTTCCGCCAGTAATTTCACCTGGTAGAAAGAAATTGTGTTTGCCGTATCTCTTAGCACATGTCCGCATGGCATCATTCATGAAGCCCAGAGCATCGATGGTACTTTGGGTCGCCTTGTCATATCGATAGCCGTCGATGTCGAGTTGAGCGATCAGAACGCAATAGAAGTTTTCTAGCTTCCGACGGACGGGCTCATGCCATTCACGCAGACGGTCTTGCACTGAGGCGAATTTTGACAGCTGCCGTCGCCAATCTGGAAATACACCGAAGGCTTCGGTATCTCCGTATTGATCGAACTCGCTGTCATAGCAGCCGACCATGTTTTTGGTAACATCGTCACCAACAGGATAACCGGTTTCTAACCAGAATTTGGGATATTGGCATGTCTTGTTGTAGTTGTTTCCGAAATTGAAGTCATGGTAGTGGCGGTCTGTCTTGTATTGGACTTGATGCTCGGCCAACGTGAAAGGTGTTGTAGTATTGAGATAGCCATCAAATCCAATCAAGTCACCCATGGTGGCAAAGGTATTATCCAAGATGATGTACATATTTCGAGCATGTATTTCCTGTACAGCTGTCCGCCACATCTCAATGTCTCCGAAATGCTCATCGAGGATGGAGAGATCGAGAGGAGAGTATTGATCGTAGCCCCAAGGGTTGTTGATGAAGGGCGAGCCGGCTATGTAAAGCCCCTACTATCGTTAGACCGAGCTTTTCTCTCTGAAAGTGATAACGTACCTTGACTCCCATGCCTTGTAGGTAATCCAACGTGTCGACCAGGCCAAGGAGATCCCCTCCATGGCGCATTTGATTGGAGTTGATATCATGTTCGTATGATGTTCCATTAATATTATCGTTGGAAGGATCCCCGTTCACAAATCTGTCGAGAAAGAGTGTGTAGAATGGGAACCGCCAGTTTGATGGTGAAGGATTGTAGTCATGCCCCGTCCATTCTCCCCAATAGTCGAGAGGGTCAACTGCTGTCTTATTCTGGTTGAGATTATATTGAACATAAGCGGGATCATATCGGTATCCGCCAACGATCGTGAACACCAGAAAAGAGAACCCAAACCAAACGCTAGACATCATTTTGAAAAGTGGAAAAGAAAACGAACGACAAGGTCAGAGCACAGCAGGCGGAAAAGCGAAGGTATGCAACCGTGAAGGTGCTGGAGGTTGTCGAAGGACTAGATCATGAAAGAGCGAAGGAAGAAAGGACTGAGGAACTCCTCAAGAAAATTGTCCCCCTTGGTCAGGTTGGCGAGTCTGGACAACCTACCAATGTCATTCCTGCACCAGCATGTATGGAGTCCCCGATCGATGGAGAACTACAAGCTCAGCCGACCTCGACGAGAATTGCATCGGCAAAATCTCCATGGAGGGAATCAGGCTCAACGAGCGTATCAATGGGCAATGAGCAAAGAGTGGAGAGACATATGCAACATGATAAGCATCTCTGTGCTTGCTTTGCTTCTACCCACAAATCTTGCACATGGTGGCCACCTAGTGGCCAAACTCAGACCAGGGTCTTTGATGCGCAGTGTGCGTAGCACTTTGGTTGGAGTGGCTCAAGGTGAAAGATCCGAAAACCCTTGACAACTCGCAGAAAATTCGTTCCTCTGGAGACGGCTATAGCCCCCCAGCACTGCCTGTTTTTCCACATGACAGAACCCATGCCTCAGGGGACTGAGTAGCAAGGCTGTTGGCCGGCAAATGAAGACATAGACGGTCACAATGACGCAATATAGGGACAAGAATCGCATCTGTTGAAACTAACATTGTGGCCATGCTCCTTCGGCGTTCAGCGGCAACTGTTTTAGTGTAACAGCGAGTACTGTCGGGAGAGTGTAAGGCTAGGCGCAGGTACGTGACGAGAACAAGCATCCCACGTAGGTTGCAGGGAACAATCTCTGATCTGCCAGGTAAAAATGGATACTTACTACTATGTTAGGGGAGCATCTCAGCAAATCATTGCAAAAGGGGAGGGGAGGATATAGAAAAGCTAAATTGTCGCATATAAAGTGGGCCGGTTATGATCCTTGACTGTGTTTTACAACACCCTTGTCGCCGCACCGTTCGCGCGGCGATCAGACCCGAAGGAAAGTTAGATTCCAAAGCCTTCCATGATTTAGGCAGGCTCATATTCCGAGATATGTTATGGGGCTAGCAACGTCAGCGTTCAGATATACTTACTTATACTTTGGGTTATGTTTTCCACGGTAGAGGATTTACCATCGCTTGCGGGCAGTCTGCGATTAGTGAACACGGCCGAGGCTCAGTGTCTGAACTCCTGCAGGCTGCAGATGACCAGGATCAGGCGCGGGGAATCGAAAAGTAGATGGCGTGAGAGGGAATCACGTTGTGAGTCTCGCTCGTACTCGGTAGGATATGCATTCGATGAAAAACCCCTCGTTGGCCTAGACATAGTACGAGGGTAGGGAGAGAGGTAGAGATGCCCCAAGGGACACGGCAAAACGGTCTCGAATGTCCGAGATGGGAACTGAAAGAAATGGGAGGTGGAGAGAAACAGGTGAGGTTCGGCGAGAGGGAAGATATGGTTGGACACGATGGATGTTAGAACAAAGCTGGCGGCTGCGCAAGCCAAGGATGTGGCGCTTTTCCCTAAGTCACAACAAGCTCCGCTAAAAGGCGCAATGTCTTAGATTTTTCCCCATCACGCCTCCCGTGGCCTTCCTTCCCGCTAGAGTTTTACTCGGTACTCGCCGCCAGTCTTATCCCTGCTGGAAAACTGACCGCTGTCCACATCGAATGAGCGAACCGCCACGCATCTTGGCTGGTCGCTCCACCAGGAAACCTTGTCGTATCTAAATATCCAGATTACCGGCCATTGGATAACCTCGTTCCACAGCAATGATGCTCAGCCCTCATATCGTACCCAAATGATTCTGAGACCGATTACAATTATAGCATCTGGTAGGGTTGGGTACATGCTGCCCCAAGGATGGGGATAACGGTTGTGACAGCAATCCACAAATTGCCCACCCGATCAAGAAGCCTGACTCAGGGGAAAGTCTCATTCCCACCACAATGGTTGCCATACCCTGTTGAACGCGTCATTCGTTCTCCTACTTGCAGTCACATGCCGCAAAGTTTACTATTCCCACATGGAAGAACTTTCAGAAACAGCAAAGGGATTCAGGCTTGCATAATGCGTGTTTTTCTCTCGGTTCATCAAAAATCCCTCTCGTTGCCATTCAGTAAGGTTGTGTATCCCTTCAAACTTCTGGGCCGTGTGCATTCCAAGGCTGCAGCTGAGACCTAATGCCAATTAGTTATGCCGGGTTACATCTCACACATAAGAAGAGGTGTTGCCTTGACGATAGCATGGCTCTTGAACCCATCAGTCCAAGTAGAAACTTATAAAGAGGGGGACGCCCGACTTGGATCAAGAGAAGAATCTAGTGCTGCTATCGTCATGGCGGTCAATGTGGACAAAGAGAACTTAGGAATAGGACATGAATAACCTGTATCTGCCGCAAGTTGATCGCATCCAGCGCCCATTTGTTCAAATGATCAAATTCTTTGGAGGTTGTCTAGAATATATACCATCTTCAAGAATTTCCCAACCTATTTCGAAAGGTGAAGTTGGCTCTTGAACCATTTCTTCTTGAACTGGAAGCAGACACGGGAATACTGAGTGCAAGATGCCATGGTGCCAGATAGCAGCTCTTTCCCACCTTCAAGAGCGAGGTCTCGTGGGATTTCTTCTCTCCCCTTATTACTGATGACTGACGGTTCGAATATCTTTGAGAAGGCAACTTTGCCGAACCTGCGCGATCACGTGACCGAGACTGACATGTTTTCCCAAACTTTGGATTTCAAACTCGTCCACTTCTCACTCTCTTCTCTACATCTACTCGACCAGTCAAAGGGTAGACTCTCCTAGATCCCCTTTAGTTCCATTCCTCCCCTTTCTGACCATCCTCACCATCCCACCGCCACCATGCCTCGAGCTGAGATCGGATCAACAAAGTACATCGCCAACCAGATGAAGTCAAAGGGGCTTCAACGGTTGCGATGGTACTGTCAAGCCTGTCAACGCCAGATGCGGGATGAGAACGGCTTCAAATGCCATGTCGCGTCGGAATCACACGTGCGCCAGATGCAACTGATCGGCGAAGATCCCCGGAAAGCTATCAACGATTATTCGAACCAGTTCCTGAAAGACTTTATACAACTATTACGGACGGGACATGGAGAGAAGAAAGTCAACGTCAATCATTTCTATCAAGAATACATTTCGAACAAGCAACACATTCATATGAATGCGACGAAGTGGGCGAGTTTGACTGAGTTTGCCAAATACCTAGGCCGAGAAGGCATATGCCGGGTAGACGAAGACGAGAAAAATGAAGGGCGCACCGGTGCCAGTGGACTGACCATCAGCTGGATCGATAATAGCCCCGAAGCGCTGCGGCGACAAGAAGCTCTGAGGAAGAAGGAGCGGCAGGACCGCGGCGATGAGGAGCGGGAACAGAGAATGATACAGGAACAGATTCGGCGAGCGAAGCGTGATGGAATGGATGATGGCGCAGATGAAGAGGAAGAGCAAGACAATGATACTCACACTGAAGGCATCAAGCGCAAGGATGGGGAGAAAATTGTTCTCAACTTTGGCACAAAGAAACAATCACCTGGGATGTCTGCACCACCGACACCTCCCCAGACGGATAGAGACGATTCAACATCCGACAAGGAAATGGACATCTTACCAACGTCAGAATCAACTTCACAATCTCCTCCCCGCCAAAACATGGCTTCAGAGCCTCCCGACTCCACCGCTAAACGGCTTTCGACCAAGCAGCCTCTGTCTATGTCCTTCGGCACGTCGTCAAGCAAGCCCAAAAACGTTTTCGCCTCCGCACCAAAGAAGAACGCATCAGGAAGCACGAAGAAACCCTCCGCACCACCCACGCAACGGCCCATGAGCGAAGCAGAGCGGATCATGAAGGAGGAAATGGAGCGGAAACGACAGCGTGATGCGAAGGCTTTTGGAGGTGGAGGAAATTTGTTCAAGAAGCAGCGCATTGCATAAGTGAATGGGTTTAGAGGAAGATGGGTCATGCAAAAGACACATGGAACACGTTTTAATGATTTATGAATATGCAACATTGTACGATCAACGCGTTGGCGCACGAGATATTAAGAATCTCAGAAACAGGAAAAAACACAAATGCGTTATCGGTCTCGACCCAGGTGAGGAAATAGTCACCAGCTTCAGGGTCGGAGAAATGTGTTCTGCTACCAATGTTGCACGAACTTACTGACTTTCTGAAAACCTTCTTGACTATTGCTTCCACAAAAATCACCTCGTGACAAATAATGTACCTCGCGTGTTCCTATGTTGCGTCGACTTCAGATAAAGAGCGGCTTCGGCCTTGCCGAGTCATGTGATTGCATGTTGTATTTGAAATATTTTGTTGATTTTTGATTGGTGAAAACGAAGTTGTCTGTTACAGCACAAAAGCTGAAATCCTCGCTGGATGCTGGTGCCAACTACAAGAACTACCAAAATCGCTTGCAGCAGGGTTGCCCAAACTGATATAGAAGGCCTTAATGGTGCTCACAAAGGCATACTGCAAACCTAAACTGGCCCACAGCATATTGAATTTTCTCCTGATGCTTGTGTGGTGACTAAGGAATTTGCTAGGAACAATAGAGAGGAGGTCCGAAGAAGGCCAACAGATCGGTGTCAGATGGCCTTCAACCCAGATCTCAATGTCTTTTCCTTTCGACCCGATATCGAGTCAATCATGCAGCCATGACAGAACCCTCAAATCCGAGTTCAAAATCGAAATCATCAACCAAGAAAACCACTTCGTCCAGTCGCTCGAGATCCAAATCTCTCAAGTCTGGCCGCCCACCACTACTCTCTTCCAGTCACCCATCATCCCACACCCGTGGCCGTGGTGGAAATGGATCTTCATCGCTTCCTCTTTCTTCAAAACACAGTCGAATTCTCATCCGCACATACCACGTTTTACAGAAACAGCTCGCGCACGCACGGGCCGCCCACGATACGAAACGGATCCTTGAGCTCGAGGCCCAACTCACTGCCTCCGGCGGCTTGAAGACATACCAGCTCGCCAGCACTGTCGGGCAAAGCGCCGAGCGCGGCGGAGATTCAAGTCGGGTCCTGATACAGTGGCTACGGTGGGAGATTGAGATCCGAAAGCAGCAGTCGTCATCCTCGAACAATGTCAACCTCAAACACAGTCCCGGCGCCAGGTCCAAGTCGATGCCACCGCTAAAGCCACTACGGATCCTCGAAGTGGGAGCCCTCAGCACCTCGAACGCACTTAACGTTCCGCACGCTACGCGCGTGCGACGTATTGATTTACGCTCCTCTGGCCCGGGCATCGAAGAGGCCGATTTAATGACGTTCCCGCTCCCAGACGCTCCGGACGGGAAGGGCCTGTGGGGTGGAGAAAAGGGCTACGATGTGCTCAGTTTAAGTTTAGTCTTGAACTATGTACCTGACGCCGGCGGAAGGGGGGCCATGTTAAAGCGGACGACGAGGTTTTTCTCTTCAAAATACGATGAATATGCCCCGGATACTGAGTCCCAGACCACGCCGAGGCGGCAGAGTAGCCACACCAGTGAGAGTACTGGAGCCGACGCCGGGTTCGGAGTCGAGGATAAACACAAGGCTATGGCTCATGCCAGTTCCACGTCCGGATCCAAGACCGAATCCGAGTCTGAGCTTGATAGCGGCGGGATACGCTTCCTCTTGCCCTGTCTTTTCCTTGTCCTCCCGGCCCCCACGCTGCTGAACTCGCGATACCTCACACCAGGGCACTTAACCACGATAATGTCGTCACTGGGCTACACAAATCTCGCGGCCAAAACGACGCGCAAACTCCACTACAGTCTGTGGCGGTACGATCGACGGCGCAGAGAAGAGTGGATCCGCCATGGAGGGCCGACGGTGTTTAAAAAGATAGAGATCAATCCGGGAGGAGGGCGGAATAACTTTTGCATCGTGCTTCATGAACACGATGATGAAGAGGAATAAGTAAGACGTGGTGCAATTGAACAGGTGCAATATAAAGACACAAGATCACGAATGTTGAATGTTGACAACTCTGTTTCCACTCCGTACACTCAATGGCTTTGGCTTGGCTTTTGCTTGAGTTGACGGTTTGTTACTTACTAGAAAAGAATATCTGGGTTGGTTCCGCCTTAATGTGGAAGCCGTAAGCTCCATCCCCACTCCTTGATGTACACAGTCCAGTCCAGCCCAGCCCAGCTCATGAAAAATTCCATTCCCTTTCTAGTACAGTCCATTGTCTTGCCTTGTGTTTCCATGGTGGTTTGCCAAAAAGAAATATGTTGCGGTGATGGAAGACGCCTGGTCTGAGTCATATAAACCCCCTCCCTTAGCAAGACTGTAAACAATGCTTTGATCGATTCCCATTTGACCAAAGTCCGCCGTATCCAGCGATCCATAGATCGCTCGTAAAAGACAATGTTGTCAAAAGAGCAGAAAACAAGGTTGATTAAATCGACACGTTCTTCATTTCATCCTCGATTCCGTTCACCCCTAATCCTTTCACCTCGGTTTTGGGTTGAGTGGGTGTTGAGTCTTCTTTATTCTCGCTCTCCGTTGATGTTCTCACTAACCGAGTTGCCGGAAAGTCTCTGGAATCTCCACTTTTCAATGAAATTGGCGTTGGGGCATCGACCAGTTTGTCCTGTTTCTTGTTGAGCGCATTAACAACTTTGGTCTCCATTGGCGCTGGGCCATCTAGAAGCTCATCTCGCTTCTTGTCTTCACCTGAGTTTTCAGGCGGTTCGGCAAAATCTCTCACTGCATCTCCGCCAGGGCTGATAGCTTGTGGTTGAGCAATCTCTTCCTGAACTCGAGCAAGAGGACTGCCCACTGCATGTCGCGGGCTCCCGGAAGGCCCTCTGGAGAATCTCTGCGGTGAACGACCTCTATCCTCAATTCCAATGACGGGGCTGCCATAGGGTGAATGACGACCATTTTGAGCCGCAACGCCGGTATTGAGTCCAGCGGGCTGAGGTTTCCGTCTCGGTCCTCGTCGTCCATATTTTTGATCGGCTCTCCAACGGAGGATATCCATGTATGGCGGCTCGACCGTGTCAGTCTTGAACTCTTTCAACTTCAACTCTCCAGTTTCCTCGTCAACGAAGACCTTTTCGGTACTGATATCATCTGCCACAATGGCCAAGAAATGAGCCCACGATCGCGCAATGACATATTTGCAATCGTAGTCCCGCCCAAATAGAATGACCTGGCCCCATTTGCCCATGGGACCTGGAGCAAGGTCGACCGCAATGTTGTTGCCACCCCAATCCCTAGCAAGAGAAATCCAGCCTGGATGTGCATAGGCTTTCTGAATGGCCTTTGGTGGTTGTGACTCTTGACGATCTAAAAGCTCTTGTCTCCAAAAGCGATTGCTGTTCTGGGGTTGACTTGAAGACGAAGCGCCGTTGCTGAGCCCTTTGGAGTTGTAGGCGTGTCTTCTCGCGCTGCTCAGGTATTCTTCGTTGACAATTTTCCAGTTTTTCCATTCATGAACGATTTCTTCGCAATCCAGTAACATGCAACCAAAAATGATGCCGGTGGGTCTACCGCCGCGCTCTTGTCCATCATGGATGGCTAGAGAATCGCGCACATCCTGGGGCAGCGACATGTCCAGTTCATGTTCTAACTCGTTGATGTCGTTGAGGGTGCACCCTTCACCAAGTTGGTCCCACAATTCAGGATAATTCCTCTCAGCCCAGCGGTCAATCTTTTTCCAGGAGTGAGAGACGGGTGGTGGAGGGGGAGCGCCATCCGCAAAATTTTGCATTTGGATCTCGCCAGGGGCCACAGTATCTTCAATATGGGGACGTTTGGGCGAAGATACCGAGCGCATGCCGGGCGAGTAAGGTCTCGCTGGGGACTGGCCGAGCTGGGAGGATGAAATCGAGGGTCGTTTGGAGTCGTCGTTGAATGCTGCGGTAAGGTCTTGATGGGATTCGACGGCACTGGTGGCAACCGAAGTCAAGGGAGCATGTCGACTTTGACCAACGGGCATATGTCCACCGGTTCGGTAAGGAGAGTCGTGGGAAGCATGGCGGTCGTTGGAAGTCATAGCATGCCAAAAGGAGCGCCATGCTGTGCTAAAGCTGGAGAAGGGGTCAGAGCTGCGGGAGAACGACTGGGAAGGGCAAACGAACGAGTTTGCCATGGCTGGCGAAACAGGAAGAGTAGTTGCTGCCACTTTGACAGAGTGGAAGGGCGTTGTCGGTGGTTGATCAGGATCAGGACAACATGGGTGTTGGTCGTGGAATTGCGGCCGGCGGTCAAAACAAAGCCCAACAACGGAAGAAGGCGCGGCTGTTGGCTGCGGCCGCAAACGAAGAGAAATTCCGGCGGGTTTGACAGGCGGTTGAGGGCCGGTTTAGGGATGGAAATGGACAAGAAGGAGTAGAAAGAGAATGAGATCGTTATGCACGAGGCGAAGAGGGTAAATTAGTTTGGGTGAGAGTGAGAAAGCTGCAAGTGGAATTAATTGTTTGACTGGATGTAGGATGCAGGACTGGGGGAACGCAGGCACGTTGTTTAGCTACGGTGGCGGCAGGAGAAGTCAGTCCAGTATGGAGAATTACTTCCCAGGACATACAGGACTAGCCTCGTAGTTGCTCCTGTACTCCGTCCTCTAGGCTCTAGTAATATCCGTAGTGGAGGCTAAGTGACAGATGCCCAGGTCACCCCTCTTCTTCCATGCCACAAGTCAGGGGAGAGGAGAAGAGAGAAGAAACTGGCTTCCTTTCCCCGTCTTTTTTTCCTTCCATTTCGCATTTGACTTCCGTCGTCCGTAGGGGTAAACTACATTGCGTTGATTACATTGTAGATGAACCGATTGCGTGCCTAACAAACCAAAATCATCCCTAAGGGGCCCTTGGCACCTGCGCGCCTGCGCTGCTCCTGCACCGACGCCCACGACTTACCTATACAACCAAAATTCCCCCTCTATTCTCGGAAGTCTCGTATGTCAAACATCATAGCTGAAAAAATTTTAATCAGGACCATCGACCGCCACCAGCACGGTATCCGATTTATAGCCTAATCAGGGCCCCCTGTCAGCCCTTTCTACGAACCCCTCCGCTGCCCAGCCGCCTCTCTCTCAGCTTGCCACCTCTGCAAGCACTGCGCCTCTGTCTCGACGCGTCAATCATCTCTTGATTTGTATAGGCCTTGTGGGGGACCAAAACAAGTTCATGACGCCTTGCTGTGTGCTGCTCATGCCTGATCATCCTCCTAAGACTACAAATACCATCTCGTCTTGTCCCTCTCTAGCCTCTCCGCCGGGATGGACTATCTCTCCGAGATAGCACCATGCTGTTCTCTCGACAAAAAGGTCACGCGTCCTGATACGAGTTTGATTTCGTGGCTGCAATCAAGCATCATGGCGGCCCCGCTAAACCGATAGGCTAGGGGTGTTCGCTGTTGGAGATTAGGTGGAACCGCCACCGGTCAACATCCATAGCGAGAGAGTTTTGAGATAAAGGGGCTTCACGCACACCGAAAGGGACAACTTTCTTTCTTGGAGCACCTTTGTGAGACTCTCTATCGCGATTCGCCAAGTCCGAAATCAAAGGCCAGTCAAGCCATGTCAGTCATGTCGATCTTTCAGAGGGACAACGTCCTGGCCCAATGATTGATTTTCTTGCCTCCAGGCCTGGAATGTATTGTGGTACAGAAAACCCGTTGGCGACTGTGCACGGCGAATCCTCCGTTGTCATCATATGCGGCTTGACAATCAGGTTGGACAGCAGGGCCAGAAATAGGTATCGCCGATTTGTTCTACGTCACCAAAATAAATTCCACAGAAGACAACTATGAAATCGAACATTCTGGATCTTGATTTCGTTCTGGTGGATAAGCCAAAACCCTGCCACCTCCATTTCCTTCATGTCATCAAGATCTATTCCTGGTGCCCGAAACCCCTCAAACAAGAGTTCAGTCAGATCTTGGACTTTCAACCATCGTACCTCGTTTCGGTCACCGCACAATGCCATGACGGATGACTTCAAACGATCCAATCAATAGCATTTGAGTACCCTCAAGGATGAGATAACTCGCAGTTTTGTCACCCGATCTCCTCGTCGCCCCCCAGGTATTCTCTCCAACCTCGGCGAATCGGGAGACTTTCGCCGCGTTTTAATGCAGGTACACAAGGAATTCCCGTGGTTGAAACTCACCCTCTGCACGCGGCATGACGAGTATAGTTCTGTCCTGCAGCTGTTTCACCTCTAGTGACCAATCAATATCAGCTTCGTTTTCTGGGTCAAAATGCAGAGAACGGGGAATTCTCCAAGCTTTGAAAAATCATAGGGAAGAAATTCTTGGACGCCGCACGCAACGGACAATCAGCAAGCAAGTATCAGATATGCAAATAAAAAGTCATGCATATCAGACGAGTATGTCAGCAAAGCCAACCATTAATGGGCAGCCCCAGCAAACAGCCACTCAGCACAGCTGCGAAGCTTGTCAGCGACTGACCAGTTGATCCGAGTTCTCTAGCCAAAAAGCTACATCATAACTGTTGTTGTTTCTTTTTTGCTAACGTAAAGATTACACGGGCTAATATGCATTTTGTCCAAAATATTGGTTAGCCTTTCACCACTTCCAATCCCAAGAGAGGCCACTGTTCAAATGTGCCGGATCAAATTGAGGCGAAAATGCCCAGAAGCTAACCAGCTGAGGGTAAAGAGCCTAAAACAGTCAATGATTACTCGATTGCATTCGCAGCTGGGAACAACTCCGGGTCGATTCGTACAGGCCGATCTCAATGGTTCTTCGTCTGAATGATCCTGTCGTTGGGCGGCTCCAATCCACGTGATCTCTCTTTGAATGTGTTCGTAGTAGTGCCTGGGCGGGTCGAGCTGCTGGTTGGTCTGAATTTCGGGCCTCAAGTGGCCATGGCTGTCGTTTCCGAGGCAACTAGCGGCGGACTCTGACAATTGGGACTGAAGGCCGAGGCCACATTTCCTTCCAGGTGGACAAGGCCTCGTTTTCGAGATCCCTGGCGCTGGGACGATGCAGCTCAAGGACAATAGATCCGACGATCCAAACACCCGCAATCGGAGATGATGTTGTTCGCGTTCATGAACATCAGACACCTCTTCTAGTCACGGATTATTTCGGTCAAAGTGCAAGAGTACGGGGAGAGAAATGTACATCGTATCATTCTCTGTGTACATTCGTAGTCGAACGAAGAAAAAGAAAAGCGCCGGATTATCAAATCTTAATCATTAACAAATCGAAACGCGCTCTACCTATACCAAAATTCTATCCCAATGCGATAAGAAGCGAATACCCAAGAGAATGTCATGTTCTTCAGAATTATGCCAGGGTGCAATGTCGACATGCCGTAAGCGGTAGAAATCCTTTCTTTCTCTTCTCTATCGCCTGCGCGGCAGATGTACTCTTGGTCTTCACCGAGAACCATAGAAATCGTGACTTGACGCAACGTAGCATGACCAAAATAATTTCGGAAGAAATAAAACACGAAACTGAGCCGCAAAGAGGCAAATAAGCCAAAGAATCGTATAACAACACTTCGCTCTAGCGCCGCTCAAATGGCCTTCAGCCTCCTTGCTACAAGCAAAGCGAGCGCGACAAACAGAAAGATGACGCCTAGGATACCAAAGAACCAATATAGACCTTCGGTATCCCCGCCGGGTACGTTGACGTTCATGCCGAACAGACCGGTAACAAGATTCAAGGGGACGAGGATGGTGGCGACAACAGTGATTTTGGCAAGGGCCTTGTTGGTGTGGTTCCCTTTGAGGATGTTGTCGACATTCAGCTGCGCGAGGTAGTTGGCGTGGGAGCGCGAGAGCATCTTCTCCACGTGAATCAAGTTCGACATCATAGTCACGACGTGGTCCTGAATGTCACCCAAATACAGGCCGATATCTGCGCGAGGGGTCATCTCGTTCAAATCGTTGCAACGTTTCGCAAAGCCCTTGATAACATCTGCCTTACCACCCAAAAGACGCATCATATTAAGAACGCGCTTGCGGCACTCGCCGATCTGACGTAGCAGAGCTAGAAAGTCGTCTTCCCTCGCAATGAACACTTGGTCTTCGATGTTCTCGGATTCTTGCTCTGCGTCCCGGATGATCGGTGCAAAAGAGTCGACAATGTCGTCGATCATGGCGTAGCAGATGTAGTCTGGTCCCAAGGACAAGAAGTCGCCGAGTTTGGCAATTCGCTTGCGTACGTTTCGTGCGTGTGGATTTGGGGTGTAGCTGAAGCTCAGAACCCCATCGCCACAGACGACGATGTAGACGTGAATCGGGTCCAGGAAGTCCTCGTCGGACTTATCCATGATGAAAGAGCGGAAGCAGACAAAGTAGTATTGGGAGAATATCTCGACTTTCTCACGGGCTTCTTGGGTTTCGATATCTTCGCGGGTGAGACGATGGATCTTGAATGCTTTGGCAATGACCTCCAGTTCGGCCTTGGTAGGGTTGAGGCAATCTAGCCACCAGACACCACCATCCGGTCCAACATCAAAGAGATCCCTGAATGTAGTGCCATCTGCGACGAAATCACCCAACTTGGTCGCACTTTGACCTTGAGGCAGCTCGGATGTAAACAAGAAGAATCGTTCAGTGGGCTTGGCGGGAACATGCTTTTCTTTCAAAGAGATCTTTTCATCAGACGACGATGTTTGAGTATTGCTGATGTCATAATGGACCATTGGCTTTTCGTAGAAATTGTCGCCGTTGAGAATGGCGTTTGGCGGTTCATCGTGGTCATCATGCTTTCGAAGATCACCGAAGACTCGGGCGTCGTTGGGACTGCGGGTTCCAAGATCATCCGATATCTTCCCTTGTGCACTCAAGACTACAAACTCCTCCAACTCCTCAAAATCGATTTTGTAGGTCTTTCCGGGCTCCTCGTCGGTTGGGAAGGTGACGTCGTCATTGACATCCCGGTCGGTTCGGTGTGTAAGGGCGAGTGGAACACTGATGTTGCTTAGCGTCGGGCGTCTTTGAGCGGTGCCACCTGATTGAGTTCGGTTGCGGATATTCTCGAGAACCGAGGATGAATGGCTTTCGGCGGTATTGGCGCGCTGCCGTCGACGTGGCTCAGCGAAAGCCTCAACAGAGTTGGCCGGTGAGGTGGAACGAGAAGATGAGCTGTCGCGTGAACGATCATGTCGTGGGATACGTTGGCGTCCATCGCGGTTGGTATATCTTCTAGCACGCACAGATGTTCGTCGACCACTCCCCTGTGGAGCATCCTCTCCATCGCTCTCCCCATCGATAACGGCGTTTTCAAAGTCCCGAGCGATGAGGTTCTGCTCTTGATCAAGCGGTGCGGTAAGAAGGGTCGCATCAACGGCCCCCAGCTCTCGCTCGTCAACACCGCTTGGTTTGGGGGTTGCAAGCTGGACTTCAACAGCGGGCACATCGAGGGAATTGCACGCTGGAAGGACTCCCAGGTTGCCGCGATGATCATCCAGCTCTGGGGCTGGAGTGCTGAAGCGGCTATCCATCTTAGGGGAATGCATTGAACCAGAGGACGACATCTTGATCCGGTTTTCTTTTGGCTCCTTTCCCCAAAAGCCCCTGCTTGCACCGTAATTAGTGCACGTAATCCGCTGGTCGAGCCACTGTCGAGAATGTGACAGCAGAAGACTGGTTTGGCCGCCAATAATAGGTTGAAATCTGCACCAAAACCGCTCTCTTTCGATTTAATCCACAAGAAATTATCCCCCCAGACCAGGAGCAGTCAAGGAGAGGCTGATATTCCGAAGGGCCAAGTTATGGAGGTCGGGTGGTGGTTCCGCAGAAAACCATGAATGTAGTGCCTAGCAGAGGGCGGATGAAGGAAAGGGTCGCAATCTGAGAGCCCGCCAACTTGAAGGCTTGAGAGTGGATGTAGGTGTCGAACGCCAGGGTGAATGAGTTTCGTAAAGGGATAGGAAGGACTGCGGACAGCCTCCCTATGTTGGTATGTAGATAGCGAAACGAGCTGGTAGGCCGTAAGTCGAGTACGGTCGGTCGATCAATCTGTTGACGTCAACACCTGTGAGGTGATGAAAAGTGCACTGGAATAGTAGAGTGTCCGTTTTCGAAGGCGACGGCTCGAGTCTTTTTAAAAGAATGCGCAGTGGTGACAGAGTGTCATGTGGGAAAAAACGAAGGGGAAAAAAAAAAAAAAAAAGAAAGGCTATTCTTTAACTTTTGTGACGATAAATGATGACAATTGGGGCCTTGGCGAATGAGCATGGAGAGGCCATTTTCTTTGTGGTGCAAGAAATTCGTAAATCGGTGGGCTCCGTTTATTCCACCCAGACAAGCCATTCACATCCCTTCTTTTTTCTCTCATGTCCTCACATGTGATTAGGCAGTGTCCCGAGATCCTGGCTTCTGGAGGGACCATCTTCTGGCTCACTAGTACCTGGTCAATGCTTGTTTCGAAGCCAAATATTGCGACTTGTCAGTGACGAAGTCCATCAAGACACCTTGATCTCTACCGGCAAACAGTGCGCCCAAATATTCTGAAAAAGCAAGTCCTTTCAGGATGGACGCAGTGATTACCCAGGTCCAGGATCTGTTTGAGGGTCAAATTGTATGTCCAAAACGATCAGCTTATTTTGATGAGTTCCCCAGCGTTATTCATTGCTCTAATCTGATGCAAGGACTTTGATGGTCAGCGTCTTGCCGAGGAAATTTCCACTGCCATTCTGTCGATAGTTTCTGTAAGACAGCCCCAATGAGAATCGCTGCTGCAGGAAATAGCCTACTGACATTTCGGCAGATAATTGCTCTCGTCATGGGCTTCATTCAACAAGACATTTACTTGACCATGTGGATCGGTTTAGCAGGAACTTTACTTGCAATGCTCTTAGTTGTCCCTCCATGGCCTGTCTTCAACCGGCATCCTCAACCGTGGCTTGGTTCAAAGGCTACATTGTCGTCAGGTGGAATAGTTGTGGGAGTGTCTGAAGGGAAGGGGAGATGATGTGTCATTGCTTCATGCTCATTTACCAATCTATCAGAGTTCTCGATGCATTGCCTCCTTGGCTTGACTCATTTGTCCTCCCGAGGATCGAGCCTCATAGCCATCACCAGGATTTCTCTGCATGAGGGGCACGATGATTTATCGGGACTCACAGCACCTGTGTGGCCTTCATGGCACCGAGTGTCACACCCTGTTCGTTCATGTGACTACTTCCTATATTAGGATAGCCCAGTTCGCCTCGCCTTTGGATGGGTCGCTGTGCACCTTTTGACAAGACGCTGAGCCTTGTGAATACCACCATTTTGTACGGATATCATATTCTCTTGAATGTTGGCCATTTATCGACCATATTTCTGGAATTCCCAATCTCTGTTGTCGAGTGGACATACTTGTCTCGTCTTCAACCATCGTGAGATGCAGTGAAAGTGGAAGGCATGCTACACCCATCGTCAGTGAGGTCATCAAATGTGTACGGCTTCTCTTCCTACATTGCAGATTCCCCATGCAACGGTACATTCTTCTGTAGTGGCAGCGCCTTGGTTTGCTTGACATTCGATGCCTGAGCCAACGTTAGGACCAGTATTACATTCAGTGGGATGAGATTGTGGCTTACAAAGATCCATGATGTGATTCCGGCAGATGGCGCAGTTGTCGACGACAATATCCCAGGCCCAGAGAGCGACCGCATTCCACTATGGACATGTCAGTAACACCGCCAATAGTGTCTAGGCAATCAACCCACCTTCTTGACTTCAAATCTTTTTTTATTGTCGGCGCCTTCAGAAGGTCCGGCTTTGGTAGTTTTGGCAGGAGTCTTGGGCTTGGGCTCTGCTGGAGCAGCAGCATCAGCCATCTCAACGTCTGCCATTCTTGATAGATCGCGCCGATGTTGATGGAAGAGTGAGAAGGTCGAAAATGCGGGGATTAGAGAGAGGGTCGAGGGCAAGGCGAGGTGTGGGTTGAGCCTGGATGAATCAAAGCGGAGGAATACGGCTCAGCCTCAGGATTCAGTGGAATGAGTAGTAAATCAGAAACCAACGACCTTCATCTGGTGATTCAGTCGTTATTGGACTAGAGGCAAGGCCGCAGGTGAAGGACCATGAGGCTATAACAAAGGCCTCGGCGGAAAAGTGGTCATAGCAGACTCGTATTGTCCTACTAGTATTAGTGCCCAGCCGCCAGCAAGTTTGCCTTGTCGCCTGAGGGTCCGCCTTTTGCCTGCGTCACTTCTCTTCTACAAGTCCTCTCAAAACACTTTATCCTTCCAACATATATCCTCCCGCGTGTACAATATCCCAATTCAAGTTCTAGACGATTGCCGTGTCTTTCTCGTCAAGTCTCGGCCATTCAACCCTCCATCTTTTTTCCAACTCGGACAATGAACCCTATCGCTTCAGTCACCGACCTCGTCATTCTACAACCACGAAGACAAATTTCAAGCCATTTCGCTCTTCATCATCGTAAACGCACAAGATAGACGAGCTTCGACCTCTTTCTTTTTGTGTCTGTTTCTCTTTTGCTGGTCTGCGTGTACATTTGAGCGTTCAGCATTTCCCTATCTCTACCTAGGTCGACGGGTTGCCGATTCATCAAGCCCGGTACAAGACAGAAACAATGTCTACTCCTACTACAGCAACTACTCCTCATCAACAGTCTTCGAAAGGCCCTCGAAGGCTGGGAAAGAAACATCGGCCGACGGATAATCTCGAAGGGACAGTCTCTGGCAGAGGTGCTCCTCCCGACCATCAACCCAACCCATCTCCAGCTGCCGGCAAGGTAACAAAGAACAATAATAAAGGACAACCGCGGAAAGCTTCGCATGCCAATAGCAAATCACAGTCCGGAGGCTTCACATCAGATCATGCAAAACACGGCAGCAATCATCATGAGAAGGCAAAGGCTACTCCGATGAAACCCGCCGCATATGCAGGATCTACCTTTCAACAATCACCGGCTGCCTCTGCTCTTCCACTGCCCAGTTTTTACTCTAAATCTCTGCCGACCACCAACTCGTTGCCGTCGCAACTCGCCAACGGCGAAACCGTCAATCCCCAAACTACCTCTGTCACCCCGGCCGAAGAATCCCCTAGCAAGCGAGAATCCACCCCTTGTGACTTTCTTTTCGAAGCCGCTCGACAAGCCAGAACGACTCCACGTACTGATAGCCCTGCCACTCGCTCCGGTAATCTCTCTGTCCCAAATGGAAGCCCTGCCTCAAGATCTCCAGCGCCGCGAGAAGGCGATCCTATGTTTCCCTTCGAATTGGAAGGAGGGTCAATTCCCGGAGAGGATGGTTCTTCTTTCGCTACACCTTATAAAGACCGAATCGAAGCGTTGCGATCGGCTAGATCAACATCAGGAGGGAAGAGCATGGACGAAAACGAGCGCAAGGCAAAGAGTGATGCTTTGAAGAAACTCCTAATGAAGTCAAGTGGACAAGAGGGTGACCAAGGTCCAGGTGCCAGTGTTGACATGAATAACCCTTTTAACGCCAGAGCACCACATCAACAGGACTTCGTCACACAAGAACCGTCTCTCAAACGTCATAGCTCTGGTCCTTCCACCCCGGTTTATATGCAGGACTATCCCGGCTATAACGCCCCACCAGGTTCCTCACAGATGGCTCAACGATTTCCTCCCCCCCAGATGCAAACACCGAAAAGACCAATATCTTCACGATTACGAAATGTTTATGGAGCACAGAGTGAGCCAGAGTATGCTGAGCTGTCTTCGGACAGTGGGGTAACTCCGCCAATTTCAACAGCACGATCACAAACACCACAACACGCACCACAGTATGGTTCAGGTCCCATCGGTCAACCATATGGTGGTCAGCCACAAATGCCAACTCATCGCTCAAAACCGAGTGCGCAACAGCTTGAAGATGACTTGCGACGAGTATTGAAGCTGGATCTTACATCTAGGGGGTGAGAACGATGAAAAGAGAATCTTTCGGGCGACTACGAATCTGTGGATTTGGGTTTGGAAGACGCACTTCCCTCTCCGGGCTGATGAATATGTCCGAAGAGGGTATTGTAGACCAGGTTTGGAAATATGGAGAAGCAGAGATAAGATAGGACATTCTTTTAAGATGGGTTTCATTTGTTCAGCATTTAGCTGGAACAGTTGCCATGTCATTTATCAATGCAGTATCACATCATTCGCTCGCATGACCTCGTCTAGTCCTTTCAGTCTTTTGTTCTGCCACAAAGAACTCCTTGGCTCTGAGAGTTTCAGTCTATCCCATTAGTGCCATCCGCAGGACAACGTCAAGGGTATCATGTCTGTCCAAACTCAAAAAATGCCATGCCCTATGTCCTCCCAAAACCCATGCTGTAGCTTGACATTGTAAAAGGAACTCCGTATATCTCTGCAGGCGCACAACCCTGAAAAGAAGAGCCAGGCCTGATTCAATCACTGCTCGAACATCCTCGACACCCGCAATTAACACACTGCACGCCTCCCCCATCAGTTCCGTTCCCGTCTCCCTTTTTCAACTGCGCTTTGGGAACCCTACAAATACACGTGCCCTGAAAATTCGTCTCTTTCGTCTGCACACACCTCAAACAACACAGTTTCTCGTACCCTTGCTTCTTCCATTTGGCGATCAAATTGGCGTCTGCGTACCCGTTCTTCAATAACCACTCGTATAACTGTTTCGAGATGGCTTTGCGGGTGTAGTAGAGGTCGTAGACGTAGCGGGAACGGGCGTGGGAGATTTGAAAGATGGGCCAGAGGGTTTCATGTTTCTTTTTACCTTCGTGAGAGGCGTTTTGGGCATCGCGCATTTTATTTCCGTATTCGAGGAGGGTGTCTTCGATATCTTCGAAACCCTGGGGCGGGGGTTTGCGTGAGGATCGGGGACGAATGGGGGGCATTTTGTCTGTTTCTCGGAGTTGGTGATACGTGATGGGAGAAACGAAGGTAAGGATTTAAAAGTGTAGAGAGGTGTTTTTGAAGGAGGTAGAGGCAGAGGTAGGATCAAGAGATAGTGGCGCCGAAATGATTGTATGAGCTTCGTAATGTTGGGATGGGGCAAAATATAAATAAAACCTCCATGTCACCCGTGCGGCACGGGAGCCTAAAAGCAGCGTCTCACTTCTAACCTGACTCCCTCTGGGTACGCTTTACCCCGACGTCGCCTTTCAGGATCGAATTGATTTTTGCCCTCGGCTCCCGCTCTTTGTTGTGCTTGCGATGTTCTTTGGTAGATCCACGGGATCACTGCGCTTCCAAAACAGACACCGACGGCGATGCCGACAAAGATTGTGTTGGACAAGTCCTGTGAGAGATGGTATGTCCGGTGGAAGATGTACTCATAACCATCAAAGAAGGTATCATTTACGCTCCTGTGGACGATTCTACCAGCCTCTCCTCAATCTGTCGCAATTATATTGAGGAGAGTCCTTGTTGCTTTCATCAGCTTTGATGTTCCCCAAGATACGCTGTTGCCCTTTTCTGAATGCCGGGGAAGACGGGGGATGGGTAGGATGCACTAACACATAATCTAGAGTTTCCGCCTAGGTATTCAAATGTTCCATCCCCAGAAATCCGGTTATCTCTGTGGTCGTCGCCATGTCGTGAGTTCCAATGCCTAGGATATCAGCTCAGAGCCAAGCTCTACCAGACATTAGTGGCGTCAGAGCCCGCCACGATACAGGAATGCATATTTGCTACAATTTCCAGAGAAGTTTACTGCGTCAGCAATCAGGTGCATAGAGAAATTTACGGACCTTACATAACATGGAAGTGGGAAAAGCCATAACAGAGTCCCGGACATGGTGCAACTCCTCGACCCAATTCCTATCGGTCGCACGGGGTCTGCTTCAACGGATCTCGGAAGAGTGAAGATTACCTAGCAGCAAAGTTCCCTCTCACGTTGTACTCCTGTGCAAGTGCAATCTGTCGATAGGATGACGAAGGAATTGCACCGAGGCTGCAGAAAGGGGGTCGGGAATATCACTTCCACGGCGTTGGGAGGCAAGTTTCTGAAGACGATGCTAGGCGGTCAGTCACTTCCTTTTACAAATACCTCCAAAACCTCATCAAGAATAACATCAGTTCGCACGACAATGACTCAGACCTGGGGAAGTGGTCATTTGAGCAGCTAGACTTTTAGCGGGACAAAAGCGAAGATGACCCATACAACATCATATATGCGCTACTGGGCCGGCCCACAGATATCCAGACCGTTGATGGGACTGATATTTTCAAGACGACTCGCCGACCAACTTGGGCTTGTCGAGCAACCAGAAATGTCATCACAAACTCCGCCAACAGTCCATCCTAGCGCCTAGGCTACCATACAGTACAAACGCTGGACAGGGTTTAATGCAAGGCCCTGCCTCCCCGGAAAGCGGAACCTCGTCTCCACAATCGCCTTTCCCGAGGTTGGGAGGGACCAGTATCTTGTGGCAGAGGAGGGCCCCGGCAAGATAGGCGACCACATTTATACCATGTGGGGACGTCTTAAAGCAAAAATACTCGTGATCTGCGTTAACCAGCAGCCAAGCACGGTTCCATTTCTCTGCAACCAGCAGCGGACCATTTGCCCAGGTGTGCGCTGAACAATTTTGGGATTGACTGGCCAGCGCTGGGAGTGGAAGACGAAGGCGCTGTTCGCGAAGCCACGGCGATTTTTGACACCCCTAGTTACACGGTATACGATGGATTCTGAACCTGAGACTGGCTACATGTCGGCCATGGTAAAAGTGAGCGCTTTGCTCGATTTCTGCCCAAGCTGAGATAGCTGCAACATGCTTGTGTTGCTTAGCGGGTGGAGTTGATTGTCCTGTCCATACCAAGGTGACCCAGAGCTTGTTGATCGGCGAAGGGAGAAGTATAGGAAGGTTCTCTCATGTAAGGCTCATAGTGGGAAGAGGGAGTTCAACATATTTACTGCTAAGAATACTATCACTTACTCGTAGCAAAAACATAACTGCCCTTTAACTGGTCCGCTTCTTTCGAGGGCACGAGGCATAAAGCTTTCCTTCCACATGTTCAGTATTATTATCTTTTAGTCTGTCCATGAGAGCACATGGGATGACGCGGGTCTATTAATTTCCTGGAATAGATAAATCAACATTTGCAGATGGCAAATACCTGTCACACCCCTAATAAAGCCGTCCTTAATCGGACTAGAATGAACACGCTCGTCTTGTACGTAAGCCTCTTTTACTTAGATCTTCTCATTCTTGTCATGAACTCTCACTCGAATCCCCTGGCTATCTAACTTCACACCCGCAGTAAACAAGTCCCTCGTCGGAGTCGCATCACTATCATCAGTCTCAAACATTTCTAGATCATATCTCTGCACCACGGCCGCGATACTCATGAAGAGCTGCGCATACGCCAAATGCATACCGATACAGTTGCGCGATCCCTTGCCAAAGGCTACCATGTACTTGTCCAGTCGTGATGTCGTGCGGCCTTCGGCCATCTGATCAAGCCAGCGCTCGGGCTTGAACTTGCGTGGCTCAGGGAAGATGTTCTCGTCGATGAGAATCAGGTGAGGAGTCATTGCCACGGGTGTGCCGGCTGGGATGACCCATTCTTTGTACCGGATCGGCTTGTCGCAGATGCGCGGGAGACGAGAAAGCATTCCACCGGCCATGCGGATGCCTTCTTTGATGACGGCGGTCAGATACGGAAGTTTCTCCAGCGATGTCCACGGGGCGACAGGTTGGCCGTCGGGAATCTCGACAGTCGCCAATTCCTCGCGCATCTTGGCGAGCACGCTGGGACTCTTCATGAGGTGGTATGTGGTGATGGTGATGGCCCAGGCGGTGGTTTCTGACCCCGCCGTGGCTATCAGGACACCTTCGTCGATCAGGCGTTCGTCGCTCAGCTCGTACTCGGGCAAATCACTGGACAAGATCTGGGCGAAGATGGTGTCTTTTCGTCGCTTTTCGGTCTTGATCATCTGCATGGTTTCCGGGTCGGCTTTGATCTTTTTAACTTGGATACCCACGCGCTGCATCCAGGACTTCATGAAACCGACGGGCGGGACGAGCTTGATGGCCACAGACAAGGGCATGGAACGGACAATGGATCCGATCAGAGGGAACGAGCGAACAATAGCAGCGGACGCACGGCCACCAGTATTGACTAATTTCCAGGTCATCGCCCACTCTGGGTGATGGATGTAGTCGTACGTCCAGCCGTAAGAGCACTGGGTCAAAACATCGGTGGTCAAAGCCAAGTACACTGACTCCAAATCGAGCACCTCTTTGCTTCCAGCAATCTTGTCGAGTCGAGAGCACATGACGGCAAGCTTCTCCTGAATAATCGGCATATTGGCAATGATTGACGCCTTGGAGAAGAAAGGATTCAGTGCACCGCGCCGTTTTCGGTGAACTTCATGCTCGACCGTCATACCACCAGCCGTCGGCACAGCAAATCCCCTAGTCCACCAAGCCCATTTGTCGAGTTTTAAGCAGTACAGATCATCAAAGAAATCCGGATCATGGATATGCACATCGTCCGGGTTGGTGCGGATGACCGGACCGTACTTCTCGTGCATTTCTTTGATTTTCCAAACATACTGGTGCCCCTTGAAGACGTCGTAGAAAGTTTCATGCCAGTATGTCGCGACGGCAAGCTTCGAGCCCGGAAATTTACGCAACGGGTGGAAGTAAATGCGGTAGATAGAAAGGCATAGATCGTACACGATCTTAGCCAGGACAAGGTACCCTGCGAGACCAAGCCATGATGTTGCCAGGCCGAATGTGAGCTCTTCCGGCTTCATTGTGTCAGAAGAACCCTCTCTCCAGCTCGCAGTCAACGAGTAATGTCTCCATGGTGGAACAGGAGATATTATACGAAGGTGAAGGTTCCCCCGTCGGGGTCTCGGCAGTCAGCACCGAAGACCCACCCCGTCGCTCAGTAATAGGGGGCAAAATTCAGGGGCTGGAATCGGCCCCAAACTACGTCATTACATTTCCTTTCGCCTTATATTCGTTGGCAAGCGTCGACCATAGTTCCCGATAGCCTAATGCAATGCAAATCCATTAGCCCGAACGCCAAAGAATCCATGTGCCACCGTGATAATTTGAAGACAGATTTCCTTTGTTCTTTTCGTTTTCATTACCGCAGATGGTATCTTCATGGTGAAGTGAGTCTCGATAAACTTTGTTGACGTCTTGGCGATGCTTATTCATCTGCTCTCTGAGTCGAGTCTCCTCAAGTCTTGCAAGGCGCGCGGGTATTTCATCTCATCTCGTCTCATCTTGTATGGATCTGAAATGGGATCGAGCATCTGATACACGACTAGTTCGAGATATCCTTATAAAGCAAACTGAGATTTCTCATCATCCAGAGTCGCCGCCTTCATCAACGAGAGAAGATCATGATCTGCTGTCATTCTGTTGGATGTGTTGTTTGAATCTGCTACTGTAGCGGGGTGCTACATGCATGGATTATGTAAGGAGAAAACAGACATGAGTACGCAGAAAGTCGGCAGTGTGCAGAGTCTTTCTTAGTTGATTACACACGAACACGCAGCAAGACAGAGGCACATAGAAAAAGGAAGCAACTAGAGCTTCGTGTATGGTTGCTCGATGATCCTGACGCCGACATCCTCCTTGCATGACAGGCACTCAAGTGCCAGACCGTTCAACACCTTTACACTACAATCCCCAGAAAAGATTCCAGGGCTTGGGATATCGGCATGTACCCCTTTCGAAGAAAGCGGTGGGGGTGAGTCAATAGACCGGTTCCATTTTCACGGCAAATCTACACATATCTTCCTGTGTCCAACGTTTCTGTGTCTAATTTCTATCCACGACCGAAAAATTGATCTCTTGTTTACTACTTATTTCAGGCCATCAGAAAGAAACGGCAAGGACTCTGCATTCTCCTCGGCCCAACCGCAACTTTGGAATATCACTGAGAGCATGGAGGATACCGGGTCCTCTACAGTCACCGTTCCAAGGGCAATACTGATTTCCATGATCGCCAGGTACCACCCCGCTTATAAAGGTCACAATGCATAGCCCAGGTTGCATCAGGCAAGGACCCCTCAGAAACCACTGCTGACAGTCATCTGCTACTACTACAATGCATTCACACAGATACAACCCAACTTTCTCTCTGATACACCCATGCTCGTCTCTATCCATCCTACTCTATTATCTACCTAAATTATGAAAAATTGTATGTCTATGAGAGAACGCCACCAATACCTAGCCGGGGAATGAATCGATTTGACAACCTTTGACTTGATCACGAGGTTGCGCAGGCATAGAAACATGTCCTCTCGTGGCTCGTCATGCGGTAGGATGAAATTAGCATGTCCAATCGAATTGGGGGTGCTGTGCAAGTCAAGTCGAGGGAGTCTACTCGAACTCTTCGCCTCACTCTAAACCTCCAAATCTTGTGCTTGGTACTTTTCCTTGTTCGCACCCTTGACTTGTTGCGAACGTGATCATTCTGAACTCGGCGTAAGGTGTCAGTGTTGTGTCGGAGTGGATCGGATCGGGGGAATATAAAACAACCGGAATTCTCCCGTCGGCGGGGGCAGCAGGGATACTTTTGTTGATGAACCAACCACGACGGATTCCATGCCAGTATAGAAACATCAGGAGGACAGCCCGGCCCCTTTTGCCAAGCGAGTCTTCCAACAAGGTAGCAAAACTTGATTTTCTCAACACTAATTGCAATTTAGCTGTGTCGTAAGTCGTACAGCTCACCATTTGAGCAGGCCACGAATTTATCACAATTTCGGGCTCTGCGGTTAAGAGAGGCAAGTTCTGCTAATGGGTGGGCTTGCACTTGAGCCACTCTCGCCGACACTGGCGATGGTGTCACACTCTCATTGATTGCATTCCATTGGGCCGGAAAGAAGAATATCTGGGGACCCTGGTCAGAACATGAGTGCTTTTGGTTCTCATTCGAGCTTTTGGCGACGAGACCCTATTGGCGGACTTCCTGAAATCCATGTTGAAGCGAACTTGGGAAGATTTTGACATATTTTTTCACCTCCATGATGTTCAGCTGCTGCATAGATGAGATGACTTCTCTGTCTGGCTAAAGATGGCCCCAAAGAGCTATCATAAGTAGCATTATATGATCCCAGAGAGGCTGCACGTAGACGACTACATATTTGGGATTTATCCAGAATTCTGGCAACTCAACCTTTTGTCTACCACCCCTTTGTTGTCGGACCCAGGGGCACCAAAAAGACGCTCGTCCACGCACAGCAAACAAAAATTCGTCAGATTCTTTGGACGAAAAAATTCTCTCATCACCATCATCTTTATTACCTCTGTCGCCATGGTTGCCCTCTCATCTGTCTTCCTTGCCTTAACGTCTGCGTTGAGGGCCGTCTCCTCTCCGATCGATGCCGACTTCTTCAATAACACTGGCAACATCGACAAGCGCCAAAGTGTTTCACCTGGCACGGGTTACAACAATGGCTTCTTTTACTCATTCTGGACCGATGGCGGAGGCTCGGTCAATTATCAAAACGGACCTGGTGGTCAGTACTCCGTTCAATGGAGCAATGTCGGCAACTTTGTCGCTGGGAAGGGCTGGAATCCCGGAAGTGCTAGGTAAATGCTCAGAAGAGACAAGTTCTCTTTCTCTTCGGCCTCGACCGAGATGTGCTAATGGTCATCCATTCCAGGATCATCAACTACTCGGGCTTTTTCAACCCCAGCGGCAACGGTTATTTGTCTGTCTACGGCTGGACCCGCGATCCGCTCATTGAATACTATGTCGTCGAATCATATGGCACATACAATCCCTCCAGCGGCGCCACGTACCAGGGATCCGTCACCTCTGACGGAGGCACCTACAGTATCTACACAGCCCAACGAGTCAATGCCCCTTCTATCGACGGCACGCAGACCTTTACCCAGTACTGGTCCGTTCGCCAGAGCAAACGTGTCGGCGGATCTGTCAACTTGGCCAATCACTTTAATGGGTGGCGCAACCTTGGTATGAATCTGGGCGTTCATGACTATCAAATTGTTGCAACGGAAGGTTACGAGAGCAGCGGAGATTCACAGATCACCATCAGCTGAACGGGATTCAGTGATTTGATGATGTAAACCTCCCTGGGACAGTCTCCCTAGTGGATAGCCGCCTAGTCGAGGACAGGCCGAGCCTTGGTCAGGGTGAAAGAGTTAAATCAAAAGACAGCGAAGGTCCAATTTGACTGGACTAGCCGAATCATCGCAAAAGTTACAACCATACAGGAAGGATGGTGATAGGACGCTTTTCTCCTTTTTGTTGATCTAGAGATTTTGGGTGTCGAGACTCTCATTCTTTTTATGTAGCGTTTTCCACATCATGCGCTTAGTCAGTTGAGATACTTGGGAGCACATACAGAAGAATCCCCTCCTTTTCTTTTCCTTTCCTCCCCCCACAAAAAAAACCAAATTGTTGAGGATTAAGGGACCATCAGTGTTTTGAACATTCCGAGAATGCTACCCACACTAGCTATGAACCGGAGTACAGTAGCTTGTCACACTGCTGTTGAAATGTGCTTCGTAAAGATTTTGATTAGGAGGTGGAAGCTGTTGAGAGATTCAGATGATGTGATGTTGGTTTCGCTCCCTAACCCTTTTCCAGCTTTGCAGTGCTCATAGCCCAAGCTCCAAGTCCTGAGAGAGTTGCGGGCTGCGCGAGTTTCCGCTTATTGGACAGTATCACCCCAAAAATCCCAACTTCAGCGTCAGGAATGGAGGATCAGATTTATAGGCAACATGAACCAGTACCTTTGCCCCTCTACTCGCTGGCAGTTTGGTTTGCCTTGATTCCCGGCGGTGGACTCTGTCGTATCTGGGACAAGAGGGGAAAGAAAAGGAGCAAGGGAATACCGCAATGGCAAAGGTTGACTGAAGTAGTCGTTGTTATGGTCTATCTGTGTCTTGTTGTTCTGAGAGTTGTGTGGGATAGCAGGAGTGGAAGAAGTAAACGAGTGCTCTAGTGGGCGAGTCCCAACTAGGCCTAGCGCTCCACGTGACAGTCTCGGACCGCAACGCCCCTTTGTGGAGAATTCTTGAGGAAATTCAGATCTCTTTGCATGCGGTGAGTGCTTGAAGTTGTCACTTTAATTGGGAAGACAAACATCAAACCCCTTTCCCAAAAATGATGGCCACATCCTGGACAAATATTGCTTACTAACGAAGATCTGTCAAAGATCAAGGAAAAGTAGCTCTCGACAAGATGTCCGAACAGGACGCGTCAACAATCAAGGGCTTAGGGATCCAACTATACGTGAGCTTCTATAGGCTAAGTGTCGCTTTCCACGGCAGTCCCATGTAGTGCCTTGCATTTCGTTCTCTGGGAAAGGATTCCAGAGTCGATTTGCAACGAAAAATACATTGACAACGCCTTCATGACAGTGTCACTTTCTGGGTTCAACGGCGGAAGATCCAATTCTATTGGGTCGACCTGGGCCCGGATTAGAAGCCCTCCCGGCCCGAAAGGGTATCCGTCGCGCGCTACGCCGGAAAGCTGACCCGCGAGAGCTCGCAGGGTGATCTTGTCCCATTGCACGTGGTGCACGAGGTCGTCTTCGCCTTTTGCCTAGGCAAGGAAGGGATAACAGTGTGTCATTAGCCTATCCCAACCTTCACGATCAAACGCTAACAGACACGCATAGACGGTGAAGAGCTTTGTGACGCTGGCGATGCGGTAAATATTGCGATCCACGAGGCTGGATGAAGCCGGAAGGTAAACAATCCCTTCGGGGCAAGACAATCTCCCTTATGCCATGCTCCTACTAATAAGTCTGCATGAGCTGCTCTGTTAGAACAGGTTAGCGTTGGCACGAGACGATTCCGGGAAAGAAGGGAGACGTCTCCCACTTCAGGACCTTTCGGAGCGGGGGTAGGAGACATAAGAGCTGTCTACGAAATACGAATCCTCCACTCCCTCGACTTTGACTAAACCAGGGAGGGACATATCAGTCTTGGCCCGCTTAAGGTCCTCATAAAGGCTTGAAACTATAGAATATGCCTGAGAACTCTAACCAAGTACGGGTCCATCTCTGATGCTACCATCAATTTTCCAAGATCCCTTCTACAAGTGACACAAGCAATCTACCCTTTTCCCTCTGCAACTCAGCCGTTCTAGAAGATGGGCAGCGCTCCAGGTGCGGCCACAGTGACTCCGCAGGAGCACTTCAACAACATAGCAGCGATCTATGAAAAAACGACAGGAGGCTCAACCCGGGTGATTGCCAGGCATCTTGCTGAGATATCCTCGCCTATCGGTAGGAATTCGAGGATCCTGGACATCGCATGCGGCACAGGAGTCGTTATCGACGAACTGCTCGCGAAAATAGAGGATAGTGATGTTCGAAACACCCTTCTGATCGAAACCTTCGATGCAGCCCCTTCAATGATAGAATTGGTCAAGACAAAGGTTGTTCAAAGCATCTGGCAGCTACCTCCAGATCATATTCGCGCAGATACTTTGGCAGCGGAGGATCTGGATTCAATATTGTCAGACAATTTTGACTATTCCTTCGCGAACTTTGGATTCCAGTTCTTCAAGGACGTGGACAAGGCAGCTGCGCATGTTTATCGGACATTGAAACCTGGAGGTAAAGCATATATCACAGCTTGGAATGATCTTGGATATATGAAAGCTGTTGAGGAAGCAGCGGAAGAAATCCGGCCAGGACAGCCAAGTCCAAGACTGCCTTTCGAGGATGCTTGGTTCAAAGACTCGCACCTAACCAATATTTTCCAGAAAGCAGGCTTTCGGAGCGTGGAAGTGCATCAGAAAGACAGCGTCTATACCTCAGGCTCAATAGGCGATATGGCTCAGATCCTGTCGGAAATGATGGCGACAATGCTAAAACTACAAGGCTGGACAGACGACGAAATGGGCAGGCTTCCTGATGCGCTAAAGAATGCGTTCGGTGGATACACGGAGGGTTTGGTTGTCGACGAAAACAAAGTACAGCTGAGGATGATGGCAAATGTTGCGGTTTGCGCAAAATAGGGAGTGGAACTTATTCTGGTTCATGGTCCACAAGGATTGTGTGGATTATTGTGTCAGATCGAATCTATATTCAAAGCTGATTGAGAATAACAAGGAAGGAGCTCTTGCACTCGAGAAGAGTGAAGCTTATCTGCATCTGTGATGGAGCTACGGTTGGATTTTCAGCCTTGTCTACTCCTGCTTTCTTCTGCGGCCAGGCTCTCGTCAACTGGGTTCCACTTAACCCCATTAGTCTGCTCACACCCAAAGAATACCGCAATAGGCTACTACCATCATGTTCTCGATATTGCTCCATATTGCCTGGGTAGTCGTGCCAAGATCATGAATCGTGCTGCCTTTGTAATAGGCAGGGTGGATTATCCTCGGTATCTCGATTTCTGACAGTCACGGCCTCCCAATTGACCAGGTGTTGGCCCGCTCTGTTTGTCTTCTTTTGTCAGTTTGTGTGATTTGGTGCGAAGTTTAAGTCCTTGCCCCCACTGGCGTTGTCTTGTGTTGAAATGAAAATCCGCATTGTGGCTTGCTAGCGACGGACTGGCGGTATTTTTGACATTTTTAGCATTACTTCAGCTTTCACCTTCTGTGGTAGAGTTCGCTATCATGTTGGTATTGACTGATTCCCCTGCCTAATCTTATCGCCCGTTCGTCTGGGCGTTGACTCAAAATCGACAACCAGTGAAGAGGTTATTTTCAGGCCCTGCGAAAAGTGTAGTTGATTTTCTCCGGTCGCTCTTCTAGAGTCTTCCGATGTTGGATGTCAACAGATTCAGGGGACTGTCGTGCTTCCCGGTAATTGAGCAAGTATTGGCTAGATGCATGGTGTATTGTTAGATCCAATCAGTCCTTCATCGTTCTAGCCTCTCAGAGTCCATCGCATTTAACGAGGCTGATGTATTCGGCATCTTCAGAAGAACCCACCTAGACAGTCCTTACCCAGTCTATCTTGAAGGCATCTTGCACGCGGACGCGGAAGCGGAAGCACTACCTAAAACCTCTTATCTCTCTAAGCCCCCTACCTGCCGGACTTTCTCATATGCAGTTTTACCTTCTTGTATCTGTCTCCATTTATTCTTCAAGAGCTCACTCTTCATGACTTGTACCAGGCCTGCAGACGACCCAAGAATATGCAGATGCTTTTGATATTTGCTTCAATTTCTAATGTTTCATGACAGAGTATTCGAATTTATACCCCTGTTGTACCCTTCGAACGATTTCCCGGTCCCAGTCGGCAATCAATGGCATGCCCATACTCAGACATGAATCGGCCAACAGACCCGATAATATCATCCATACCATGCGCAACCTCTCAAGACCCCGAGTGCACTGATAAACCGGAGAACTACGTTGCAGGCGTTCAGGAACGTCCGCCAGCATTCCTTCCCTGGGCGACTCCTGCGTACGTCAACGACGGCTTTTTCCTCCTCGGCCTCGCACTCACCAACATCACAGGGAAAACTCTGGATGAAGTGTTCCGCAACGCCATTTTCGATTTCCTCGACATGACCAGGTCCAACTCCAGTGCACCCGACCCATCGGAACGGTTCGGGGCCGCTATTCCCGGCGATCCGCAGTACTTCGCGATTGACAAGTCAGCTGGCCGAGTCCTCGGGCGGACTCCTATCCACGCTGAACGACCTGGCGAAACTGGGCATTAGTATCCTCAACAACACCCTGCTCTCCGCCGATGAGACGCGCAAGTGGGTTAAGCCTATTTCCCGTACGGCGCGGTTGGAAAACTTCGATGGCGTCCCATGGGAGATTTCGCGCTACACTCACACGGCCACGGGCGTTGTCACTGACATATACACGAAGTCCGGCGACTCCGGTTAGTATGATAGTTTCTTCGCCCTGTTGCTAGACTTTGACGCCGGTTTCAACATCCTTTCTGCCGGTACTGAGAACCGTTTTTTCACCATTGGCATCATTGGCGATCTGATTGCCGATGTGATTCCACCTGCTCTGATGGCCTAGTCTGCTGCCCAAGCCGAGCGGAATTTCGGAGGCATCTACGTGTCCTCGGTTGAAGGGTTGAACTTCACCTTGGCTTTGACTTTGAACCGGACTCAAGGGGCGCCCCTAGCTTGGCGATATCGAAGTTCATCAGTAACGGCACAGACATGCTCGCGTGGACCCTTTGCCTGCTGGACCACGACTCGTGCCATCAATCAACGAGGCAGATGCAGCTAGGAAACAGGTCGCACTAAGGGTGGTCGGGGCTTTTGACGGCGGATTGGGTCAGTGCCGGCTCCATCACGTACGGTGGCTTAGACACAGGGCTTTTTATCTTTGATGTTGATTCTAGTGGTGGGACGGCGACCGTGAATCCTGCCGCGTTTAGGACCAAACTTGGGCGGAGGGAAGGATGGGGAGCTGCACGTATGTCTGTGATTTGTACAGAGTTAACAGAGCATTAGAGGCTACTTCTCTGTGTAGGGAGTATCTGTTTGCCATTGTATCTCGAAGGAAGTCCACGCAATCATATCGTTCTCTCCACTTACCTCTCTTAAATCGATCGTAGTTTTCACTTCCCCGCCGAGATAATTGTCGGTCAACCTACGGGCTAGACAGTGAGTATTCTGTTTGGGTGCATATTATGGAGCCGTGGAGGAGAAGTGATAGGGAACAAGTGAAATGGGGGGAATCGGTACGCAGAAAGCGGCCACTGCCAGTGTGGGTATTGGCAGTCCGCAAATATTCCAAGCTCACGATGCCCCTGGCCATCGATCTGCGAAGATCTCTGTCCTGGAAACTTAAGCCACCTCTGTTGGCATTTGTGGGCATATTTACTTTTGGCGGAAATCGGCTGAAGGAACACAAGTTGGCACTGCGCCAATCTCATGAGACCCAGGTCCAGCAGCTAGAAGAACCGGTGGGGGGCAATCTGACCGACAAGAAGAACCAATGATTTAGATATAGCTATTGATCTTCGAGCTGATGTTTAGAGCTCCAAGGCTGCTTATTGGTATCCTCAGAAAAATCAAGCCGTGCTATCCACCATATGAGGGCACAGCGGTTACGGCGAGGCCGGGGAAGTATTTACAATGGAGGTCTTCAGATTGAAGGCCTTGAGTGGCGGTTCATTATTCGACAAAATCGGCGAATGCATTCGAAATCAATACTTTGTCGAGAATTCAGAGCTGTGGCTTCATTTATCACCTATTGGAATGGGCCGACTTTTCTTTCTCGAGCAATCGGGGCTCACACTCATCTTCTGTTATTCGGTCCTCTTGTTCGTATCATCATGAAAATCAATTGCTAATCACAGATCAACATTCTGCTCTCGTCAACAATTCGTTTTCATTTTTGTCCGACTTCTGGAGCAATCTTCCATTGCATGTCCCTGACATGCTTAATATCTTTGGGCGCTAGTCTGTGATGTGTGCCACTCAAGCCGATTCTTCTGTTGCGCCCTTCTCGGCCACGGTGATTGGTAGTTCCACGCTGGGACCGCTCCACTGTGCGAACTTCCTAGCGGGTGTTCGCTCTTCAAATATGAGATCGAGCTGATACGTAGTTCGCCCCCTCGTTTCTGGTATATGGAAATAAGCCAGAACAAAGGTCACAATACACAGACCGAACCAAATGTAACCTACTTTGGCCCCAAGATCGCCAGAGTCGGGATTGTAAGTGTACGGTGAAACAGTGCTGAAAGCGAAATTGGCGACTCCCCCAAATGCCCATCCAATGCCCTGAGATTTTGCACGGAGACGCAGAGATGATGTTTCGGCTCCAACCACATATGACACCGGCCATGCACCGAGAGATGCCACCAGCACAACCAGATTCATGGTCACCGAAGCGTACCTAGTAAGCCCAGTTAGCACGGCTCCTGCTGCAGGAATGCAAACATACCAAGGAACGACGGGAGTGTCAAAGCTTCCACAGATGCCCATTCCAAGCCAAAGGAGAGTGATGATCAGCAAGGTGGTAAGGATAAGCTTTCGCCTTCCAGTCACCGTAGTGAGCCACATGTCGACGAGACTACCGATGATTCCGAGTACAATGCCTATTATCAAGAAGATGATGCTTTCGCTGGAACCTTGACCGACCATCTGCATGAAATATGGACCATCGCCAAGAAGAGCGAGACCAAATAGCTGAGGGAGGACCGCTGCAAGAATGACGATGAGAGTACGTCGACGATCAATTCCTTTGAAACAATCCAGATATCTGGCTTTGTCTGACTGTGCTTCCAATTGCTCATGGGCGATGGCCCGTTGAAGCTGTGCAATAGTTGCACTTATGTTAGCTCCCGCCTTGTTCAGACGTGTTTCCGCCTTGGTGGCTTCTTCAAGTCTGCCTCGACGGACGAGGTACGCAGGACTTTCTGGTATCAGAACCGAAATAATCAAGGGCAGCGCGGAGAAGGGCCATTGGGATATGATGCAATTTCGATAAGACTCGGAGCTTTCCTCGTCTTCCGCCGCAAAGACGATGAACGCGCTTATGAGTTGGCCGAGGAGGAAAAAGATGGGGAAGAACGCAATCAGCGGACCACGGAGTGCCTGTGGAAGAACCTCTGACATGTATGTCTGCGCGGCACAGACTGCGGTACCAATGGTCAGACCTTGTAGGAACTTTCCCACCATAAAAATAGCGGGGCGAGCAGCGCCACTCTGATCAGCGTATTGCGACGAGAAGACAACAGCAACTCCGATGGTAGATGTGAGACAGCCAATGGCAAGCGAAGCTCTTCTTCCCTTGCGGTCTTGCAAGGCACCACCGAGGATCGATCCTAACATGATGCCAATGGGACTTGCGGCGTTCCAGGCCGACATCCATTCGGAGGCTATGATCCATTCGTCGTCGACGAGAACTCCATAATCTTTTCTATGGGTCTGGTCAGTTTCATGGTTGTTGTCAATTACTTCATTCAACGTACCGAAATGCCGGAAGCGAAGCCAAGTTGCCCACCATGGCCATGTCATATCCCCAAAGAAGGATCACTGATGTGAGGGCCAGGCCATACCCTGCTGCTTTTGGCCATATTCGAACTGCCCGTATGAGGCTGAACCTCTGAGAATGCGGATCGATCTCGGAGGAAGCCACGAGTTCGACGTGGGCCAGAGCGTCCTTGGTATCGACTTCTTCAGGCATAGTGACAGAGATACGATATTGGGATCGAGTATTTCTTTCTCTCAGGACGCAGTGGTGGACCGAAGAGGGGCTTGTTGTTCATTTATGTCCCATAAATCTTCACGCTGAAAAGGACCGCTGAGGAGACCCCGCGCGTCGTAATGGATGTCCGCACTTGCAGGACGCTCCGTCCTTTCTTGGGCAGGGCTCCCCGAAACTAAAATTTGGCAATGGACTAGATTGTTGAAGCTCTTCGTTGCGAGAGGTGCTGAGAAAGTTGAGAGACAAAAGGAGGGTTCTTGGCCTTTCACCATTGCGATTTAGGAGTATCAGTATTCCGATTCGGAATGTCTCTGGGCGGCGTTGGGGGGGATATATGGCTGTGCGAACATGGGTTTCATTTTCCAAAAGTGCATCGTATATATCAAAGACACTACACCATCGACTTCGATAGACCTTAGCCGACATGCCTTCTGACCACGTTCCTGATCATGGCCCTGGAGACTTACTGTCGCCTCCGCCGCCTCCGCCGTCTCTACCGCTTTTGTTTCCGCAGGTACGGTAAGAAAGGAGCAATATTGCTTCCTTGGATGCTCAATGTATACAAGGATGGCATCTTCTTTTATAATTCTTGGTAGCCTTAGGTCTTTGCTGAGCCGTGGGGATGGTGGTTTCGTGCTAATCCGTATACCAGGTTTTTTGCCAGCCCGTACGCCACTCTCAAAGTGTTGATATTTGAGGAAATTTTGATGCTGAATATAGGGTTTTCAGAGCCGGAAAACCATATTGCCTGATTTCCAGCATCTGAATAGCCGAGACATTCGAGATCTGGTCGGTGATAAGTGCGGCTCAGGAAGTAATAGTCGACCGAAGCACGGAGAAGTATTTGATCACAGAAACGAAACAAGTGGCGGACCTTTTGCCGAGGTAAATGGTCTTTTGCAAACTTCGCTTCCTCCCGAGTCGGAGTCTGGCTGTGAACGGTATACCCCGTTGCAACCAAGACTCGGCTAGCGGAAGAAAGGGGCTTTTGAAATTTTTGTTTTTTACTAGCGCAGCTCTTTTGGTTGATGCCTGTTCTGATCATCTGCCCTTCCCAGACATTTTGGACATCTGAGGTCAGGACAAAAACTCTCCATGAAACGAAAATGGCGATCTCAGGCACGTTTTGGGCCGGGTTTGAACTGCGCGGGGTGTAGTGCGAGCCAAAGTCTCTGGCCTACTCCTGGCCTACTCTCTTGCCTATCTTGTTGCCATACGATACCAATATCTGAAACGCCGTGTGACACACCATTTATGCGGCCTTTGACTACGTCTACCTTCAGAATAGAGCGGAAACCTGCAGGATACTTCGGCAAAAGCACCATTCTTGACTTCAACCAGAAGACAACGTGGGAGTAAAGGTTTTCGAGGCGCAAATGGGTTCTCCATGCTCGTTTCCGACATTCTTCTCCCATCCGGACTGGGAACATTATATCGGTGTCCTGAATTGAAGATATAAAGAGGATAATGCTATAAAGTGCTCGTTCAATATCACCACAGACCTTATCCTCTCAGTTTTTCGATCGATACGGCTCCCACACCGAACCCGAGAACCTCTTCGACATGTTTAAACAATCGGCGTGTTGCTCTGCTATACCCTCTGCAGGCCATAGCTGCCTTCACGTTCTGCCGCTTGCTGTGGAACAATTCCCAGCGTCATCATGAGCATACCGGGGCCAACGTTGGCAGTATACACCAAGTTCTGGAGGCTGCTGAACGTTTGGAAAGGAAATGCTCACACGATAGCAATCGAGCTCCATAGAAAATATGGACAAGTTGTTCGAATTACTCCCAACCACATCTCCATAGGAGACCCTGCCTACATCCCAGGAGAACTATACCAAGTCGGTGTTCTACCCTATCCAATGTATCTCGTGGAAAAAGAAGCGTCAGATGACCCTCTATTCTACCCGGGACCCCACTTATCACCAGATTGAGAAACGTAAAGTTGGTGCGGCGTATAGTCTGCCCAATCGTCTGGAATCTGAGGCAAGCCATCGACCCGTGTATTACATTGATTATGGAGAAGCTTGACGAATTTTCCAGGAAACAGAAACCCATCGACCTTGGAATCTGGCTGCAACATTTCGCATTTGATGTGGTCAGGGAGGTGACCTTTGCCAGCAAACTTGGATTCCTGCATGATGAAAGCGATCGAGGGAATGCTTACTTACACCGCACACTGCCGCCAGGTTCCCGAGTGCTATAAGTTTCGACTGGGAAATCCCCTTTTCTCTCTCCTTGTGCCGGCAATGGAGACGTGGAACCAGGTACTCATCTTCGCACTCAAGGCTATCAACGGTCGAGCTTCCATCAAATGAGATGGGGCTCCATTGGGAGGCACTGTGCCCGGCCATTTCACTGTCATTGAGAATATGGAGTAGTGGAGAATGTAATGAGAACTAATCCAGAGAGAAGTAGAAGCCGCCTTTCGACCAGCTCATGAGAACACCTATGATCTACTAGAAGCAAGCTTTGAGCCGCTTCAATGTAGACGGCATGCACTTCCGTAAAGCGGCATGGTGGCCGCGAACCTCGCCATGTGACTTCAAAGCCTGTTTATGTAAGCTGCCAAGGCCCGTCGTCTGCTCTCTGCACCAAAGCCCAGCTATCCCTATGACTTCGTTCATCAATTGAGTTCTTAACCAACATGGCTGACGCCGAACTCAATATCAACCAGGAAGATCTGACCCGCCTCACACCCGGTCAGCAACGTGAACTGCGGGTGTTTCTTGAAAGCGAGTCACAGAAGGCACAAATACAGAGCAGTAAGTTGGTCGTCTTTCTTCGGTCCTTGCCGGCCTGGAGTGATCGTTGAATTCACAAGCTAACAAATGTCAATTGCAGCAATCCACGATTTGACCGACGTGTGCTTTAAGAAATGTATCACAGGCTCAATGTCTACTGGGAAATTGACGACTAAAGAGGAGAATTGCATGGCGAATTGTGTCGAGAGGTTTCTGGACTCGCATCTCGCAATTTTGAAGCATCTGGACACACTGCGACAGAGCCAATAAAGAGATCAGAGGAAGATTGATGGCTTCACGACTCCGAGCATATTGTACGAATAGACCAACCCAAGCCAAAAACAAAATGGCAGGCGGTTTTGGACTTTGATGGGCCAGAAGGATGTTCTCTGCTCGCAGGCACTGGTGCAGATCTGTATCAACAGCAAAACCTATCGCAGTGGTGGAGTAACCCGCATGTCGGGAATTGAAAACGAAAAAAAGTTGCTGCTCTTGTGTTTCTGGATGCACGCTTGATTTTAATCATAACTTGATGTTCTAATGTCGAGCTGCTTTTTTCCTCGCTGAATCATGTACCCATGTGGTTGCATCCGTGGACGCAAAACAGAAGCTCCTCTACCATCCGCAAATCCCTAACCCATGCATCTTCCACCTTTAGACGATTGAAAGCTTGGTCGCCGCAATGTCCAGAGCATCCACGTCCGATGTTAATCTGGCAAAGGCCTTCTTGGTTCCATCCGGTCGAATTAAAGTATTGATCTTGACTGTGTCCACATCGTACAGCTTCTTCAAAGCATCCTTGATTTGTCGCTTGTTGGCTTTGGTGTCAACAATGAAGACTAGAGTATTGTGTTCCTCGATCTTCTTCATCGCGCTCTCGGTGTTCAAAGGGTGGATAAGGACTTTGTGGTGGTCCAGTCGGGGCTCATGAGGGATTGACTTGCGTGGGTACTTAGGTGATCGGGAGAGGATGAGGGTTTTGGGTCTGTGGAAGGTGGTGGATTTGCGGATTTTGCGAGCCTTTTGGGCATGGACCTGGTTCATTGTAAGATTTTGTCCGGCAAGGGAATACTGTGATGGCAGACGTACGCCTTTGAGCGTGGCTTTGGCGGCCTGGTTGGCTTTGGCACTCGGCTTCTTTGAACCGCCTGTTCGTGAAATGAGTCAGCTGTATCCTCGCTATAGGATCTAAAATTTGAATGAGTAGTCCGAGTCCTGGGGAGTCCAGTCATTGCTTGAATTGCGGAGTTGCTCCAGTCCTCTTTACTACAGTCCACCTGATTTCCTTCTCCATGCGGAAAATCGGGAGACAATGTCGTACCTTTCGACTTTGCTGTCGGTGGCGCCATCTCTGCTGTCCTTTGCGCCGAAAGAATTGGTGTCGAAGAAAGTGGATGTCGCTCAATCAAAAAAGTGATCACAATCCCCGGCCACAATTCTCCTTTGTGTGGCTGCCAAGGAATCCAGCGCCAAGATATCGGGCGGAGCATTCACGACTAAAGCGCGAGACCCGGGTTTGCTCCATTCTGCCACCGCTATTATCTCCTCTGCAAGTCTCATTTATTTGTTTTCTTCTCTTAGTGGATCGGGAGGCTGGAGTCGGTCTCCAATATGGCATGTAAGCATCCTTGAATAGATGCCACCTTTCTTTCAACAGTTATCTCGTCAGTGATTGGCTGAAAGTTCGGTATGGCTCTTGAAGAGGCAAAGAGCAACAATGACAACGACACTCCACATGATGTCCAGGAGGAGGAAGAAGAAGAAGATACGGACGCTCTGTTAGCTTCTCTTGAGAATGAAGGCGACGACTCTGCCTACCGTGCGCAAAGAATGCAGGAATTAAATCGTGCAGCTGCCTCCAAGGCGACAATCACATTCGACACGATCAAGAAGGCATATATCACGTTAAAAAGCGATGATGAGACTCTCAGCTTTACTACAGAACATGAGAGGGCAGTGGTCCATTTCTTCCATCCTGACTTCGCCCGATGCAACACCATGGACACTCACTGTCAACATATTGCAGAGATACACGCAGAATATGGTAATGCCGATGTCTCATTTGCAAGAATCGATGTCAAGGACGCCCCATTTGTGGTAGAGAAACTCGGTGTGAGAGTGCTACCTTGTGTGATTGGCTTCGTGAAAGGAGTCGTCAAAGGCAGGGTCACCGGTTTTGAGGGATTGTGCTGGAATGGAAAAGAGGGAAGCCCGGATGTCACAAGATCCCTCGAAGAAGCACTTGTTGGTTGGACAGTTCTTCGCAAGAAGCTTCTCTTGGGCCATGATGACGAGGCCAGCGACCATGATGACGATGACGCGCCCAATCGACGAATATCGGCTCGAGAAGGGATTCGCGGTCGCAAGCAGAAGATTGAGGATGACAATGATGATGATTGGGACTGACGTGACATCAGGCTGAAATAGGTGGAATTCCAACATGCAGTAGAACACGTGGAGGTAAAAAGGTTCTGGCAGCCCTGACAGCGATCTCAACCAAGCACAATCTGAACATACTGAAACATGAGGGGAATAACAGTGTACTGATGAAGATCACCGATGTTCGTTACGAGCAGCCTTTTCCTAGATGCCGATCTTTTGGCGGGAAGGATAGACTGGACAGCTGCCTCTTTGGTAACCTTAACACATATCCAGATGAAGGCTGATGATCGTGCGTACACAGGAAGCTGGCAAATATGATCATGAGTCGGAAATTCGAGACATGCATATGTGTACGGAGGTGTGTAACCGAAGTACTCACCTTGGGTACCTGGGCATGGGAAGTACTGTAGATATCGGAAATTATATTGGTGGTTCCTGGGCAAGAGATGAAGGGCAAGGCTTAGTCCTCAGCGGCCCAAGAATATTCGGAGAAAAGTATAGGAACTCAGGCTCAGAGCGTCTTAGCTTGTGGGCTGAATGTACCTAGTTGATTTGCGGACTTGTCAGACGTGGAGATTTGACGGGAAGTTTTGGCTGTGCCACTCACAGTAAATCATTGATGCACGTCAGCCACCATCGCATGGTGCACAAAAACCTCCACCAAAATCTGCCACCTGCGCGTCTTTTCGTCCCCTTTTTCCTCATCGATTCGAGGCCACTTCCAACGCTTCTCTACCGGCCTATTCGCACCACGCATCCACCTATGCCCTTTACATCTCCCTACGACTAGCCACTTATCTATTTCTTTGAAGACGACGGTCATTCTCTTGTCGTCCGCGCGTCCCTAATCCCCGCCACTTCTTCCTCGGATTGCGTCCGGACGGTCATTCGTTTAACCTCCTCTCCTTGAACGTCTCACCAACCCGAATTTCTGCAGGTCATTGTCAGACATGGCGGAAGAAGAGAAGAAGAGGTTTCTTGAAGGCAATGAGATGGAGCTGGGCGAGAAACAGGGAAAAAGTTTCAACAGTCCTCCGGCGTCGTCAGCCCCCAGATTTACACCACCTTCTCACAATTGGCAAAACAATCCCATCCTCCCTGTTATCAGTTATTGTGCTTCGTCCATTCTGATGACCGTTGCCAATAAATTCATTCTCTCCTTTCCTGACTACAATCTCAATTTTTTCCTTCTGGCTGTTCAGGTCCGTTCTGCACCTACTGCCCGCAAGCATTCACACCGGCTGACCGTTCCACAGTCATTTGTCTGTGTTCTGGCTATCCAGTCCTGCAAAACCGCCGGTGTCATTTCATATCGAGACTTCAAGACTGACGAGGCTAAAAAATGTACGGGCACGAGAACGGTCTCAGAAGATCTATTTGTGGGCTGACATGCGCAGGGTTTCCCATCTCTCTCCTCCTGATTGGCATGATCTACACCGGTACCAAAGCCCTGCGATATCTCTCGATACCAGTGTATACTATTTTCAAGAATTTGACCACCATTTTGATTGCGTATGGTGAGGTTCTATGGTTCGGAGGCTCTGTTTCATCTATGGCGCTTTTCTCCTTCGGGTTGATGGTTCTGAGTTCCGTGATTGCAGCTTGGGCGGATATTAAACACGCTCTCGACTCGTACGGATCTACATCATCTGCGGCTTCGCAACAGCTGGCCACATTGAACGCAGGATATATCTGGATGCTGATCAATTGTCTGTCCACTGCGGCCTACCTCTTGGGCATGCGTAAACGCATCAAGCTCACCAACTTCAAGGATTTCGACAGTGAGTATTTCTGCGAGGAACGTCCGTGGACGTGTGAAAATGCTAACTGGTGCTAGCTATGTTCTACAACAATCTCCTTACCATCCCTATCCTGATGGCTGCCTCTCTTGTTGTGGAAGATTGGTCCGCCTCTAATCTCGCCAAAAACTTCCCCGCCCACGCCAGGAATGCGATTATTGGTGCAATGATCTTCACCGGCATGTCCTCGATTTTCATCTCATATACCTCAGCCTGGTGCGTGCGAGCCACTTCTTCAACCACCTACTCTATGGTTGGCGCCCTGAACAAACTCCCCATTGCCGTCTCTGGCCTCATCTTCTTCGACGCACCAGTCACCATCCCCAGTGTCTCGGCCATTATTGTAGGCTTCATTAGCGGCATTGTCTACGCACTCGCCAAGATCAGAGAATCCTCCAAGCCAAAGACCGGCATTCTTCCCACTACGAACACCATGAGCGCTAGCAGCCAGAGCAACCGAGACAGTCTAAAAGCATGATCGAAGAGGTCCAATTTGCCAAAATCCCCTCCGCGTCGTTCGGGAATTACACCGTATCCACAGCGGAAAGGAAGATGTTATGCATTGCGAGGCGCTGGACGGTTTTTACTTGGGGACCAGGGATTGATTGAGAAACGTTTAGAGAATGCCGGTTCACGTCGGTCAGAATCACTAACGGGGAAAGGATCGCTTTTTTCTTCTTCTGACCAATTTAGAATTGTTAGACAACAATCTTTCGTTTTTTGTATTTCTAATAATAAAGAGGCCACAAACTAGTAACAAGTATAAGGAAACAGTCGTTGATAAGAGGAACCTCCCTCTGTGATGACCGTGATGAGTACATGCACTGGGCACTCCCAACGCGTCCTGCGGATGACGTTACCTAAACACTTCGGCCGTGTCTGCTATCAATGTGGACGTGCCAGCTCTTTTTTCTCTCATGTGTCCTTCGCGTTCTGCTGGAACGAGGGCACATTCATCAGCTCGTCCCACAGCCGTATGTTCCTTTCAATGACCACCCAACAGGTCAAGAAACCAAGCAACCTTCTTCTCTCCTCGAATTAATACTGTCTCTGATCCTCGATGGAATATAGATCTCCCATGCCGGTCGGAAGCCTCATCTGTTTCTTATGTGCGCTTGTCGGGCAACTTTCTCTTGTTCTATGATTGGGATGCAGTGCCACAGTCTTCACAATTGGCCAATGCCTCAGTGCACCGCTTCAACGAATGGGGATTCCGGCCAATTCGCCTTCCGCAGGGAGCACCACCCGTAACGAGCGTGGGCATTTTTCACCGCGTGAAGATGCAGAGGTGCTGTCAAAAAGTACGTGTTCTGCATGAGAAGCAACCAATCAAACCAACGTTGTGCCGAAAATCGGTGCATGTACCTCACAATCTCGCTTTGTACCAACTTTGACATAAAACACAACGGCGAGACCGGTATCCCACCTCGTGTACAAGAAGTAAAGCGGCCCAATGAGACATCTCAGCCGTTCAAAAACACCAGCCACCAGTCTTTTCGAAAGGACAGCTGAGGAACTCCAAGATCAAGAAGCAGTAGAATCCAATGGACTCGATTAAGCAGACAACGTGTTGTCGACGCAAGCCCTACTGACGGTGACACCGGACTTTTCAATTCTCTGTTCGCAACAAACATGTCTCAACGAGGCTTGGGCACGCTGCAAATAGGTGGAGCTGAGCTTGACAGTTCATTGCGCGTTATACGTAAATATCAAGATAAGCAATGCTATCCTCATACTACGGTGAAGACAGCAAGAGGCTGTTATCAAACGGCTGCAAGGTAAGTGATTCTTCCCCCAAAATTACTACCATCCTGCAGAGCGGCAGGGCAGACGAACCCATGTCGAGATTGCCAAAATGTATTAAAGTCATAACCTCTCCCCCGAACATGGTGAACTATGTCGACCTCTCAGATTAAGGCGGAAAAGGCTATACGCACTGAAGATGCACATTGTAGATGGCGTGTCCCCGGAGGACGAACCTTCCGGACTTCTGTACGGAGGTTCACCTTCTGGTGCCCCAAACGACCTTTCTGAACAACCAGACTCGTGCGGCAACAGCGTCGTGGCAGAGCCCATTGCAATCATAGGCATTGGTGAGTCTCTAATCACTCCTGGACGATTGAAGGATACTAAACCTTGATGAGGTTGTCGATTACCGGGAGGCGTCAATTCTGCTAGCAAGCTGTGGGACTTTCTTCGTGATGGCAAGTCAGGCCAATGTAAAGTCCCGCCGGACCGCTTCAATGTCGATGCCTTTTATCACCCCAAAGGATTGGGCCGACCAGGAAGCATGCACACCGTGGGCGGATACTTTTTGCAAGAAGATCCTCGGGATTTTGAACCTGAATTCTTCGGAATTAACCCTTTGGAGGCCACCCAGATGGATCCTCAGCAGCGCAAATTACTCGAGGTGGTCTTTGAGGCCTTCGAGAGTGCTGGCGCCACTCTCGAAGATGTTTCCGGAGCCAACATCGGTTGCTACGTTGGCAACTTCACGTATGATTTCCAGGTCATGCAGAGTCGAGACGCAGAGTATCTGCACCGTTATAGTGCGACCGGTATGGGTGCAACGATTCTCGGTAATCGGATCAGTCATACCTTCAACCTGAAAGGCCCAAGGTGCGAGATTCCTGATCTAACGCAGAGGGTTTTTAACTGATGCGGCCCAATTTTTAGTCTTGTCTTGGATACCGCCTGTTCCTCCTCCCTCTACAGTCTGCACGTCGCCTGCTGCGCTTTGGCTCTTCGCGAATGCGATGGCGCCGTGGTTGCCGGCACCAACTTGATTCAATCCCCAGATCAACATCTCAGTATCATGAAAGCTGGTGTCCTTTCTGGTACCTCAACCTGTCACACATTTTCCACCGCGGCCGATGGATATGGTCGTGCAGATGGGGTTGGATGTCTTTTTATCAAACGCCTTGCGGACGCCATCCGAGATAACGATCCCATTCGCGGAGTGATTAGGGGCACAGCAGTGAATTCGAATGGAAAAACTCCCGGCATCACCCTTCCATCTTCCAACGAGCAAGAAGCTGTGATCCGCAAAGCCTATGCTAGAGCCGGCCTCCGATTTGATGACACCATATATGTGGAATGCCACGGAACCGGTACCCCCGTGGGTGACCCCATTGAAGTCGAAGGTATCTCTCGGGTCTTCAGCCAATCCCCGAAATGTCAGCGAGACGGGCAACCTCTCTTGATAGGGTCAGTGAAAACCAATTTTGGCCATAGTGAGGCTGCCAGTGGACTTACAAGTGTCATGAAAACCGTTCTTGCGATGGAACAAGGAGCCATCCCTGGTACCATTGGAGTGAAATCAGTGAACCCTAAAATCAAAACAGGCGAGTGGCGTATCAGCATTGTCAAAGAACTGACCCCCTGGCCGTCGTCTGCATTGGTCCGAAGAGCAGGGATTAACTCGTTCGGATATGGAGGAGCTAATGCCCACGCGATCATCGAATCAGCCGACGTGCACCTCACTGCAATCAATGGATCGCGGGACAAGTGGGACGGGTATCACCCCCAGGCTTATCTAATACCGGTATCTGCAAGCCGTCAAGCTTCACTGGAACGCAGAGTCAAAGAACTTCGACGACATATCTCTCAAAATCCTGTGGAGATCGGAGATCTCGTTTACACACTCAGCCAAAGGCGCTCCCACCTATCCAATCGAGGATTCTTCTTGGCCCGCGCACAAACCCTAACGGAGGTTATCAAGATCGAAAATCTACAAACTCTTCCTTCTGGAGCGACGACAGCTGCGGCCGACCGCAAATATGCATTTGTTTTCACGGGTCAAGGCGCCCAATGGCCAGAAATGGGAAAAGGCCTTTACAACCAGTACCCCATCTTCGCAAACACTATCATGGAAATGGATGATGTCCTCCGCAACTTGCCTGACCATGCTCCTCAGTGGACCTTGAAGGACACCATGTTCGAGCCGTCAAAGACCAGTGAAATCCATGACGCAGCCAGATCCCAGCCAATCTGCACTGCGCTGCAAGTGGCTCTCGTTGTTCTGCTAAACTCCTGGGACATCGTTCCATCTGCGGTGGTGGGCCATTCATCCGGAGAGATTGCAGCTGCATTTGCCGCTGGCCGCATATCTGCTGCTGAGGCAATAATTGCCGCTTATTTCCGCGGTTACGCGGTTGGCCAGCTTCCGGCGAACGGCGGAATGATGGCTGTTGGTCTCCGTCATGAGGCTGCCGTGGAGGAGATTGCTGTCGGATCACTCCAGGGTCGTATTCGTGTGGCATGTGTGAACTCTCCAGAGAGCGTCACGTTGTCAGGAGATCTTGACGCCGTGGAAAGCCTAGTCCAATCGCTGAGCGCTAGAAAGCTCTTTGCCCGGAAACTGAATACAGGCGGCAAGGCCTATCACTCCCACCATATGATAGCCATCGGCGATCTCTATGAGAATCTTCTGAGTAAGAGTCTGAGGATGTTAAGCGGTAAGACCACGAAGCTCAAGTTGGACACTCCTGTCCGTTGGGTATCTTCGGTAACGGGAGAAGAATACAGTGATGTTCCAGCAGGGCAGTATTGGAGAGCGAACCTTGAGAATCCTGTTTTATTTTCTGATGCTGTCGAAGGGATCCTCAAGTTCAACGAGAAGTATGAATTTATCGAAATTGGCCCCCATTCCGCGTTGGAAATGCCCATTAAGCAGATTCAGCAAAAGGTCAATGATCAGTCCCCATACTCTTCAGCTATGATCCGGTTCAAGAACAACGTCGACTCAATCCTCAGCGTGGTTGGCCAACTCTATCTTCGCCATCATCGAATCAACTGGGCAAAGGTCAACCATCTCCAAATTGGTTCCACAGACCAACGACGATTCCAGGTCGTGCACAGCCTCCCACCTTATCCATGGACCTACGAAGACCGATTGTGGCACGAATCTCGACTCAGTTCTGAGTTCCGTCACCGCAAGTTTCTTCGCCATGAATTGCTGGGATCACAAGTTCCTGGAGGCAACGGGCTTGAGATGTCATGGCGAAACATTCTGAAGCTGGCCGATGTTCAATGGCTCGAAAGCCACAAACTTCAGGAGACTATTGTCTTTCCTGGAGCGGCATATATCACCATGGCCGTGGAAGCAATGAGGCAAATTGCAGTTGGAAAATCTCTCCCAGTTTCTATTCAAAACATCGCTTACAAGTTACGCAATGTCAAAATTCTATCAGCCTTGCCGATATCCGCTCAGCCAACAGCGGAGGTGGAATTGTTCACATCCCTCCGACCAAGTCCTATCACGTCAGCATCCGTCTCAAAACAATGGTGGGATTTCAATATTGTCTCCCATGAGGCCAGCGTATCCACTACTCGAGCCACAGGAACAATATCCTTCTCGCCTGCTTCCGATTCGGTTGAGCCACAGTGTACGATCTCGCTGCCGGACCTGGAGCCATCCGAACCACGGGTGTGGTATAAGAGTCTTGTTCGTGTAGGCTTGAACTTTGGACCCGATTTTCAATCAATTGAAAGTTTTGAAACCCCAAGCACAAGAAATAGGCGTATCTGCCGTGCGAAGGCACCTTTCATTCAGGACTACAAAGACGAATACCATCAATACATTATCCATCCTATCACGCTTGACGCGATGCTACAGACCAGTATTGTTGCGAGCTGCTCTGGAGAAGCTCGAACGCTTCACGCCAAAGTGCCTGTCAGTGTTGGTGAGATACTCATACAAACACCTAACACCACGTTGACAGGTGATTCGTCTTGTCATATTGAATCGGAGGTTCGTGTGGTAGGTTTCGGAACCGCGGAGGGCAAAGCAGAGCTAATCACGGAGACTGGACGGCTTGTGGCCCAGCTCCATGATCTCAAAATGGTTCCTTACAATGGAGTTAGTCAATTAGGCCAAGATGATACCGCCCGGCATCCCATGTTGAGAGTGCTTTGGAAACCTGACATTCACCGCCTACCACTCGTCTCCCCTGAATCTTTGTCTACTGTTTTCGAGGAGTTTGCGACATCTATTGGGGAAAGTTTGGACATTACAAACGAGGGTCTGGTCAAGGTGAAAGCCTGCCTGGATTGGATATCTCATAAACATCCCGGACTCAGAGTCATGGAGCTTGGAAATCGGAATTACCTCACCACCAACCATGTCATCGATTTCCTCGACGGAAGCTCCGCATTTCCACGACTACAATCCTACGTCTGTGGCCATATTTCTGACGACGGAAACGTTTATGGGTCTCAAATTGATATCGCCAAAGGCCTCGATGGCCCGTTCAATAACGACGACCACGCTCGCATTTCTGCTGAGGAGCAGTTCGATGTTGTGCTGATAATGGCAACAGAAACCGAATCTTACCTGAAAATAAGGAATGCGGAAATTAAACAATACATATCGGAAGGTGGAATTCTACTGGGGCTTTTGCATACCAAGGAGACTCCCCCGAATCTCGAACCTGATTTCAACGTCGTCAAGGTCGACCTCAGTCTTGGGAACGGCCAGTTGATACTAGCGTGTCGGACTCGGAACAGTGAGACCAAGGAGATTCTTAGAGACGCATCCTCAATCCTCATTGTTGACCGTGGTGAGAACGTTTTGGGCAGTGCAATCGTGAATGAGCTGTCCCAGTGGGTCGAAAAAGAAGTTACAAGGATCTCCTTGGATGCAGTGAGCAAGAGTCATGTGCCACCTGGCTCCTTGGTTATCTCCTTATTGGAATACGAGGAGCCTTTGCTGGCTCGATCATCTGGCGATGATATGGAGAAAATCAAGATTATTACCGACAATGCTGCCAGATTGATATGGGTAACGTCGGGTGATCTAATCCAGGGATCACGCCCTGAATTTGGGCTGGTTTTGGGGCTGTCCCGCGCCGTCATGACAGAGCAACCATCTTTGAAGTGGCTCACCTTTGACATCGATGATGTCGCGGCAAGCCCCCAGCAAACAACACAGAACATCCTCTCAGCCCTCTCCTCGACGACATCCGGCGCCCAAGATGACTATGAGTTTGTGCAAAAAGATGGCGTTATATATGTGAGCCGTTTTGCTCCTGACGACAATCTCAACAAGATCTTTCGACAAGCACAAGGCAACGAGCATCTCGACATCTCAGTGAAAGAGGCGAAGCCCGTACAGCTCGATATCAAAGAGACGGGCAATTTTGACACCATCTACTTCAAACAAGTAATGGTACCAGCGATTCTCGACCCCATGGATGTACAGATCTCTCTGAGAACGGTGAGTCTGAATGCAAAGGATTACTATGTCTTGGGTGGCAAAACAGAGACAAAAGACGCAACATGTACACTGGAATCATGCGGAGTGGTTGATAGAGTGGGCTCGGGAGTCAGCGACTTGTCGCCTGGGGACCGAGTCGTCGTGATGGCTCCTGGGTTCTTCCGGACGTCAGAGATTTTTCCATCTTGGGCTTGTCAGAAGCTCCAAGACGACGAGTCTTTCGACGCAATGTGCACTCTTCCTCTGGTCTATGCTACGGCCTTGTACGGTCTTCGTGACCGGGCAAACCTCCAGGCCGGAGAAAGTGTGTTGATTCATTCAGCCGCTGGAGGACTCGGCATAGCAGCAATCAATGTTGCCCGACTTTTGGGTGCTAAAGAGATCTTTGCTACTGTGTCGAGTGAAGAGAAACGAGACTACTTGGTCAAGACTTTTAGGCTCAAGACGGAGAATATTTTCAGCTCACGAGACACATCATTCCTCCAAGGGATCATGAAGGCCACCAACGGAGAAGGTGTGAATGTTGTTCTCAATTCATTGGTGGGGGATCTCCTTCATGCTAGCTGGAAATGCTGTTCCTCCTTCGGACGCCTCATCGAAGTCGGGAAGCGAGACTTGGTGGATTGCGGCAAGCTAGAGATGGAGGAGTTCCTAAGGAATGTCACTTTCACCGCCTTCGACGTCACCCAGCTATACTACCACCCCAGTCCCGCATACAATCGGAAATGGGCACAGCTTCTCAAGGATGTGCTCCATCTCTTCCGAACTGGTCAAATCGGCGAAATTGGACGTGTCAAGATCTTCGACGTCAGCGAAATCACCAACGCCTTCCGATATTTCTCGGCCCAGAACCGAATAGGTAAGGTAGTTATCAGCTTGGAGAATCCGGAAGCTCGTGTCCGAGTACGGCCCCTGAGATATCGGACCACATTCAACCCAAGTAAGAGCTACATCATGGTTGGGTGTTTGGGTGGCTTGGGAAGATCCATCAGCAGATGGATGGTATCTCGTGGTGCACGAAAATTTGTGTTCCTCGGACGGTCAGGAAATGATAGACCTTCCGCTCAACGCCTCATCTCAGATCTGGAACGTCAAGGTGCAAAGTGCACCGTCATCCGAGGAGACGTAAGTATCAAAGCGGATGTTGATGCTGTGGTCGCGGCCGTAGATGGCAAGATCGGAGGTGTTATCCAAGCAGCCATGGGTCTTCATGTACGTTTGGGACCCTCTGCAATATGCTTCTATAGCGTTCTTTCCGCTAACATGGTGTTCATAGGAGGCTCTTTGGACGGCCATGTCGAACGAAGACTGGCACACTTCTATCGACCCCAAGCTAACCGGAACCTGGAACCTTCACCATGCCATTCAAGGCAAGGATGATGAGCTGGAATTCTTTTTCATGACAAGTTCGATCTCGGGCAGTGTTGGCACTGCTACGGAAGCCAATTACTGTGCCGCGAACTACTTCCTCGACGTTTTTGCCCGCTACCGCCGGTCTCGAGGGTTGCCGGCGAACGCAGTTGGTCTCGGCATGATTTCTGAGGTTGGCTATCTCCACGAGAACCCAGACATCGAAGCCCTCCTTCTACGAAAGGGTATCCAAGCCATTAACGAGGACGAGCTCATCCAAATCATCGACATTGCCTTGTCTGACGGCCAAGGCAACCAGCAAATCTCTTCTTGCCGGTTCGACACCGGTGCTCAAGCACATATTTTGACGGGTCTCGAACCATTCGGCCTCAAAGAACTGCGCAAACAAGGATGGGAGGGCATATACCCGACACTGCATGACCCACGCGCCGTCTTGATCAACCGGGTCCTGGAGGGCGAGAACACCGTCTCCTTCAAAGGCCACAGCAGTCGTCTGCAGGCTGACGTGCTCCAAGCCCTCCAAGATGGCGACTCACCCTTCCAGGTCATCCTCGCCCATATCGCCCAACGATTTAGCAATCTTGTATTACTGCCACTGGAGAAGGTCGATGTCAACAAACAGTTGTCCAGCTACGGCATGGACAGCATGATTGCCGCCGAATTCCGCTCCTGGTTCTACCAAGCTTTCCAAGTGGATGTCCCTTTCTTGGATCTCATGGGTCCGACAGCATCAATCCAGACGTTGTCGCAGACAGTTTTTGCAGAAATCGAGCAGGAGCTTTCGTGAGGCAGAATATGATTTCTTTTGTGTCTCCGGGACGTTCTCGGGCAAAAAGGAGAAGAGCTGGAGGAAATAGGGAGCCCTGCTGCTTGACGCTGTCTAGATTTTGGGATTACTCTCAGGTACGTATATAGATTTATACAAATATCATAAGTTTCCAAGCTCAGTACACCGCCCTTCGTCAGGCTGCAGCGCAATGCCAGTTCAGGACCGACGCATTCTCCATCAATATTAAAAAATATGTCAGAAGCATCTTCGAACGAGAGGCTCAGGTTCGACCCTAGTGGACGCGTCGAGAAAATTCCAATGAAGAATGTGCAGGAAGGATGATATCGTCAAATTCAAAGCCGACATATCAGCGCACACCCAGTCTATCCAGATTCTCTTATCACTACTGAATACCGTAAGGCAAAGCTGTTGATTTTGGCTGCTAGAGCAAAATGAGAACGCAGATCTAGAAAGCCGACAGACAGCCCAGGTCCTTGTCTTCTGAAATTCAGAGGGACACTAATCAGGTCATGGGAAGATTCCTCGAAATGACCACGAATACCAGCAGGGAGGATCTTTTCTTACGCGCAAGGAATGCAGATTCTGCAAACCCTGGCCGGAATTTTGTGAGTGTCCTTTCGAATAGGGAAGAGAAAACAGGCGTACGGATATCCTTTTGAGCGATGACAAGGCAATCGACCATAAAACAGTCGATGATAGAGAGATCGAGATCGAAGGTCTCAACCCGACATGATTGAGAAAGCTCTCAGAGACTTGAACGCACGCATGTAAATGAGGTTCGTTGTTCGGTAGAATCGAGGAATAGCGCTGCATTGCCGACAAGAAATGTTCCCGCTTTCTTGTTGCTGAAACAGGAAGAAAGATCTTCTGATATGGTAATTCTTCCAGGGCGTATCCGGTATATTTGGCCGATTTACTGCGGACCATTACACTTGGTATGCGTGGGTCGAAAACAAAAATTTTTGGAAAAATCTTTCTCAACGATATGCATCGGTATATTGACACATTTATATTACACATATTGTATAGAGCAACTTCCTTCATCTTCCATTGAACAAGCGCTATTCCAAGGAAGACCCTAAATACGACAGTGATACATTAGGTCTCCTGCTATTGAGGCCCAAAAATCACGTCGTTCATTTAGGATCAATTGGTCACTATCCATGGGCAAGGTCAAACGACAAGACCGAAGACGCTCCAACCATCATGACAATCCAAAGTACGGCAAGCCCACAATTATCAGAAGACAACATAGTCAGACAACCGCTCAGCGGACGAAGAAAGGAGCATCTCAATTGAGTAAGCATGGCCCACCGCCAATTCGAGCAAAAGTGCCCTTTACGAAGCATGACAATATACTACTTGTCGGCGAAGGTACGTTGAATATTATCTAGCTCGTCGTCGCCCCCATTGTCCAGAATGGGGTTTCAAAACGATGCTGATGCGATTCCAGGGGACTTCTCTTTCTCTCTGTCTTTGAAACGCTATCATAAACTAGGGCAAATAACATCGACATGTTTCGACTCAAAGGATACTCTCGAGAATAAATACTCTGAAGTGCGGAATACATTAGCACAACTTCAAAGTCCAGCCGTGGAAAAAGCAGGAGACTCTCCTTTAACCGAACAAGACCCAAAGACAAACGAAGAGGAGTGGAGGAGCGTCTCTCCATCACCGTCAGAGCCTTCCGCGATTCAACGGAATGAATCCCGCGAGGAAAAACCAAAAAGGCCTCCGGTCCAGATACTTTACGGCATCGACGCAACAAAACTCTCCTCAGCACACAAAAAGGTTCTACGGCCATACTCTCCGTTTACGAAAATCGTGTTCAACTTCCCTCACGTCGGAGGACTGAGTACAGATGTTAACAGACAAGTACGATATAATCAAGAGCTTCTCGTTGGATTTTTCAAGGCTGCAAAGGGACTGTTGTCGGCTCCCAGTCGACCGGCAAAATTGCCATTGGTGGAAGATAAGAGTGACGTCGGTGACGACGACATCTCAGAACGTTCTGCCCATCACGATCGCGCCGAACCCGAGGCCGTGAATGGTCAGATTCTTGTCACCCTCTTTGAAGGCGAGCCTTATACACTCTGGAATATTCGGGACCTGGCGCGACATTGCGGATTGAGAATGATGGAAAGCTTCAAGTTTCCTTGGTCTGCATATCCCGGGTATCAGCATGCGAGAACGATTGGGGATGTCAGGACGGGAAAGGATAGAGATGACGAAGGGACACGGAAAGGGGCTTGGAGAGGTGAGGAACGAGATGCAAGATGCTATGTTTTGGAGAATCAGGATGCGGAAGAAAAAGCTCAGCAGCCTTGGAAGAAGAGAAGGAAGCACGAAGATGAAGAGGATGATGAGAGTGATTGGACATGTTGAGACGGATCTTCTGCAAGAAATAGCAGGGCACTTTTTGACCCAGGAGCGTTTCAAAATACTCGGTTTCAGAAGTACCAAACTCCTGCTTTGCTATGACTGCCAATGTGACGAGGGTGATGCCGCCTTGTGCTCATCTTCCATTCGTGCGAGCCGAGTGAAACATTACCCGTGTCTCATTCATTATACGACCCATACACCGTGAGGCCCCGGTACCCATAGCGTGAACTCGACCCTATTCACATTACCTGATACCATTTTGGCCAATCGGTGTAGTGTTCTAATACTACCCTTACAGAATTCAGCGGTATTCGAGAAAAGAGACGGAGATTGAGGAGTCACAGAGATGATTAGCCATTTTGCCGGCTGAACGACTGATCCGGTATTCGTTGTAATGATTGATGTTATGGTTTACCTAAGAACCTCATTCATTCGGTCCTGGTATTGAATCCATCGTCGCAGACTTTCTTACCTGCTCGATCATATCTACAACCATATTTTCGAAGCTAGTCCAGCCCTCTTTCTGGATTCTTAAGATATCCTCGCAATTCTTGTGCCCACAATGTCGAAGACGTTCAACCCTTGCTTCTCCTCACTCGATTACCAGCCAAATCTCTTCCTGACAATATGTGTCATCTGACTGTAGGTCGCCATATGCGGCGCGAAAATGAACTTCTGCCCCTCTGCGTTCGGCGTCCGCAATGCTAGAATATGCGCAGTCATGACATTCCTCACATCAACCCAGTTCGGTAAACCCCCCCCGGCTAATTTATCCTCCGACTTGCTTGTAGCGGTATTCCAGATAAGGCCGTTGCTATAGCTCAGCCTTTCCGTTGCTTTGGTCAGTGGCAAGATGGGTGGTCCGCCGATGTAGGTCCCGTTGATCACGCTCATCCATCAGGAAGGGTTTTACGGTGTCGTACAAGCCCCAAGCGGCTTTTTCGGCCAGCTTCTTGGAAGCGCGGGAGGTGATGAAGTCTCTATATATCTTGGCCCAGACGCTGAGGTCGAGATATGGGTCGGCTGCGGTGGGGTAAGATCTGAGGCTCCAGTCCTTTGGTATATAGGCATAGCCAGGGCGAGAGCTGTGCATAGGGTCAAAGACGACTGCAAAGGAGGATGTGATCACCACAGCTTCCAGGAACTTGACGCTGAGAGCCGATTTGAACAAGGATGTCGTACCTTGCACAGCTTGAGGGAGGCAGTCTTGTTCCACTATCCTGACGCCGACGACAAGTGGAGAGGCGATATGTGCCATATGCATGCAGCGTTGGGCGGCGCCATCGACGGCTCCTGGTTTGGCGATGTTTGAGACCTAGGCGGGCCCGAGGTCGCCGGAGATGAGTCGGCCAACGAAAATGGGTTTGAGGTTGGCAGCGGAGGAACCTGAGAGTTCTGTTGTCCCAACTTGGGGTCGTTGAGCTTTTGGAGGCTTAGGAGCTGAGGATGGCGCGTGGAGTGACATGGCAGTTTGCCCTGGTGATCAGGGCTCGAGAGGCTAGTGTGAAACATTCCATGACTGTTGAGGGACTCCTTCTAGTATAGCTGTAGGGATCGCCCTTGTTATAGAGGCGTGGCCGACAAGCACTGTTATATCCATTGCTTGTAGGGGGGCTTCGAAGGAAACCCAACAGGCTCCACTAAGCAGATACCATTTCGTACCAATACACCCAGTGGAATGGATTTGGCGGGGATAATGCCGCCGTGGCTTCGCTCGTATTGTGTTCCCAGTACGGCGTGCATAGATCACAGAGTCTTCGCCGGCCCTGCAAGTGTTTCCGCCGTCACAGAAGTAGGCTCGATCTTTCATGTTAGCATTAGACTTTCACTCAATCATGTTCGATTGGTGGCAATTATTGTACGTCAAACTTCCACCCAAGCTCCGGTACCTCAAGACTGAGCTGACATAGCCTTTGTAAAGGGCTAGCTTGGATCAGGGCCAAAGGCGGAACCGAAACCGGTGGAAATGACTCAGTAAGACGTCTCGTTTGGCCCTACCAAGTTTAGATCCACATTTCAAGTGTAGGTGCGCAGAACGGGTTGCAGGCAGAGGTCAACGCGCCGGTGGAAGCGAGAGGTCAGCGCGACGTAGAGGCTGAGGCACAGCAGCCAAACTGGGGTGAAAGCCGATTTAAGGTGATATAAGCCTAATATGTGCATGCATATCATTCTGATGATGGCTCTTCTGTTGACCTCGACGCACTAAAATATGCAAAATCTCGCTGAGTGAAGGGAAGCGATGGATCAATTATTCAGTTTCCAGACAGGAGACTGTGCTTTGTTGTAGTAGGTGAACACTGTATCCAGCGATCTTATTTTGTCCAGAAGAAGCACTGATCCAAGTGAAGAGCCCTCATGAGTCGAGAAATTCAATTGCTTACATCAAGTGACCAAAAAATGTACAACGGAGTTGACAAGGCTGTGGCCTCCTTTCCGCACAAATTCCGGCCTCGTTCTCCACTGTATACAGGTGCTAAAATGCTCAAAGAACTCAATTAGATAAGGGCGTGAACTGTTTCGCCAAGAGGTCCATCTAAATTTACATATACGAAAGAAGTCTGAGACCCCAAGAAACTCCTTTATCTACCAGGAGCTCAGCCCGTTCGCCCGCCCTCGTCTCCATTGCAAACGCAAAGAGAAACTACCCTGCTAGACAAGGCTACGTAATCTTGACACACATAAGTTACGCTCAAAAAAACAGCACCGTCTAGTCGAAGGCCGATTAGCGGCTAAGGAGAACAGGTGGGTCGAGTTGAAATAGAGGATGAGTTGCGGCTCGCAAGCGGGTGGTCTCAACTTCTAAAAGCGGCATGGCTTACGTGTGCAGTCACGTGAGATCGGGGAATTGGACGTTCCTACTTCGGTTTCGACCCCACACACTCCTGGTTTTGTCGAAGACTCCTTTCTGGCCTTTTCTGCCAAAATACCCTCCCCTTCTCTGCCTTGACCCGCGCGGCATCTTCTATCTCGCAATGTCCGACGACGCGCCTAGGAAGCGTTCGCGCTTCGATCAAACAGAACCTGAACCCCGAAAAGCGTCGCGATTCGACCGCCGCTCTCGATCCCCTTCCTCTAGGCTATCTGAATCCAAAAGAAGTCGCAGCCCCCTCGCGAAAGGCAGCCAAAGTCCTGGAGCTGGCGAAAGACGCAGTACTTCTCTCGATCCTGCTGCGGCAGCAGGTAAACCTACCAGCATCTCAACAAATCTTGCTGGATCTAACTGATGGACTACAGCTGCCGCCGCTGCTAAAATCAACGCCGAGTTGCAAGCTCGCAAAGGCATTCAGCATGTCGATGTCCCTCCTGTTCGATCAGTAGGTTTCTCGAGTCTCTGGCTCTGTGCTCCTGCTTACACTCTCTTCTAGACATCCACGCCCACACCCGCTCCGAAACCTACTACCCCTTCTGGTCCAAGCACCGGTAAAGTCGACGGCGAAATCTACATTGCGGATGGTGATTACATTAAAGACATTGAAGTCAATGACTTGCGCAATCGGTACACCTTGACTAAAGGCTCTACGCAAAAGATGGTAAATATCCCTGTTTACTGAACTGATATCTTCTGCAACGATCCAAAGGTTCGAATTGAACCCGATCAATCTGCTTCTCGATCTAAGAAGAAGCTCATCTGCCCGAAGAAAGCTCTGTCAAGAGTATACCAGATTGCCATGCTGACATAATCTGCTTTTTTATTTTTTTTTAGATCAAAGAGGAAACTGGAGCTGGTACGCTTCCTTGCGGATGTCCTTACTCTGCCAGATCGCTTACCTATAACAAGATGTTACAACGCGCGGCTCATATTATCCGGATAAGAGCATGGCTACTGCGGCGGTGAGTTTTGATTTTCGTCGATGAAATCTTGTTCCTAACAAACGGTAGAATCCACCCTTGTATCTTCATGTCACCAGCACCTCCAAAACTGGCCTCGAGAAAGCTATCGCAAAAATCGAAGAGCTCATGAAACAGGAACTTCCCAACCTTGTTGACGAGAGGCGCTTTCGTCGTAGGGAACCTGAACAGTTTGAACGGGACGAGTTTGGCCGGGTACGTGATCGAAGCCAGGCATTGGTTCGCCCGCTTACTTTGTAACAGAGAAAATGGCCTGAAGAGCGAATTCCAATCGACATGGAAAACATCCCGGGTTTCAATCTCCGCGCTCAAGTGGTTGGCCAAGGAGGTGCTTATGTCAAACACATTCAACAAGAAACTGGCTGCCGGGTCCAAATCAAAGGTCGCGGAAGCGGTTTCATGGAACACAGCACAGGCCAGGAATCAGACGAACCGATGTATCTCCATGTGGCCGGACCTCAACCTGCTCAAGTTCAAAAAGCTAAGGAACTGTGTGAAGATCTTCTAGCCAATGTGCGCGTTAATTTCGAACACTTCAAGGCTAACCCACCACCTCAAAGAATGGAGTCATACACGGATGGATATGGAGCTGATGCCAATCGTAGCTCTTATGGCGGATACGGACGAGATAGGGGTCGTGATAACAGTTACTCACACCACAGCAACAGTTACAATTCTCCATATTCCGGCACTACACCAGCCACTCCAGCGCCCGGAACATCTGCTTCTCCCTCGGATTATGCAGCACAATACGCTCAATATTATGCCAGTCAACCTGGCGGAGATCCTTATGCAGCATATGGTGGCTATCAGAACTATGTTGCCTATTATCAATACTATCAACAACAAGCTGCTGCGACTGCTGCTCAACGACCATCACCACCCCCGCCCCCTCCAGGTGATTCAAATCCTCCTCCGCCTCCAGATAATTCAGCTGCACCACCTCCGCCACCACCTTCTGGTTATTCGGCCGTTCCACCGCCTCCCGGACTGTGAGCATAATGTGGATTGATATTACTGACCAGCGCCAGAAATTGGCAAAGCCAGAAGTGTGAGCAATACTTCAAAGTTCAAAACTCTCTTCTCATACCTTTTTTTCTTTTGGCCTGATTTTCTCAGTGTCATAAAGCATCATTTGCAGACAGCAAGCGGAAATCGGTTTGTATTTCGAATTCAGCGACGGGCCAACTGTTTCAGTTGGAGAGGCAAAGTATTTCGAAAAGCAAAAGGATAATATGAGGAGCTGATCGGTCAATAGGGACCAGATCCATTCATAATTTCATTTTGGAAACAATCAATTTTGTGTGTTTTGCAGCTGACTTGAACCGGCGTAGTCGTGAACATCTGTTGGCCGTCGACCACTAATAACAATGACTACCATAAACAGGGGTCCTTGTCTGTTTTTGCTGCCATATTTTTCCTGCTCTATGACTATGAGCGTTTGACGGATTCTCTTTCAATGTAAGTGGGTGGTAGATGATATTTTCTGGTCATCTGCTCTATTCGGTCACGCTTTGTATATTCCAGATGGTTACCTACAGAACCGATCTTAGGTTGGGGTTGGGTCCGCCGAATGTGCTCAGGAGATCTCCCATTTCGAAGCCTTTGGGTCATGCGCAACGTATTGTTAGGTTCAAGATCAGGAATGTTGATTAATCTTTTGGGGGCGAGGGAAGGGGAGGTTTTTTTTACGTTGTCGATACTTTCAATGCCTTTTGGTAAAGATCATCATAAATGTATACCTACTAAAGTGCTAGTAGGCATGGTCATGTTTCTTATACATAATTGAATAGACCTGAGGGACGCTCCAGGTCCAGTAGAAGTACATAAATACGCTGTCATTTTGCAAGAACCAGGACACGGTCAACACCTTAGGGTAAGTGTCCTGTTTCTGCCTTCCTCCGTACTCCATTTGTTCACGAATACTACGCTCATTTCATGCGCGAACCATACCAGCAAATTCGTCCAAATGTATTCATTTAACCCTCCTTATTGTCGCGTTACTTGCCTTAGAACTTAGTCCCCGACTCAATCCGCCGCCGATACCTCGACCTAGTGTCGTGGGGGGCAATTTGATATTTGTCCAGGGATTTGGCATTTCGTCTTCTGGACCTGTACCCGAGCTAGTGGGAGGGACATCGGTGGTAGTATCCTCATCAACGGCAATCCCCGCACCGTTGGCGTTGTGTACGTCAGCGGTGGTGGGTACGGACGGCCTCCCCTGTGCTGTAGGGTTGGGGTTGGATGATGTAGTGGCGTTCGTGGTAGCGGTCGTAGTGACGGATTTCGAGCGCTGATGCGCCTGCGTCAGGGCCAGGAAGGCGGAGAGAGCTTTATCTGTACCCGTACCTCCAACAATACCAGCAAGGGAAGCGGTGTCAGAGCTGGAGGGTGCGAGAAAACTTGCTGAGCGGTGTATGCCGGTGTCACTACCGCTGTCAATGTTACTGGCACTGGTGAGGCCAAGGATGTGGGCGTAGTTGCGTTGCAAGACCGCAGGCGTGTTCGTTGGGAGAGGGTTTCCTTCTGGCTCCAGTTCATCGAGTAGGGAAGGAGGATATGGTACTGGAATCGAGGACAGTAATGCACAGGGACAGCCGCAGCCTGTAGGGCAGGTATTGTGTTCATTCGTCATGCCGGTGTCAGGACAAAGTTCGACATCGACATCGATTTTCGAATCATTCTCCCCGTAATCTGTAGGCGACGAAGGCTGCACAGTTTCGTCCGAAAGTCTTCGGGACTCTAATTTCTTTCCACTCTTCTTTCCAAACCATCCCCTCGCGCACTCGTAGCAGGACAAATGCCCACACGACAAGCATGGGACAGCTAAGCCTTGGACCGAGGTATTGCAAATGGCGCAGACGCTTCGTTTGGGGACCTTGAATGCCGATGACCCTGACGAGAAGGAGGTTGAAGCCGTACATTCGATATTCACGCAGTGCCAGCCGATAGGGATGTTGTTCTTCTCGATGGGCTCGAGTGGCTCGCCGCACGCACGACAGCAGCGACGAATGTGAAGGCTTGGGCTTGTGCCGCGAGATGCAGAGATTAGGGTTTTTCTCCTAGGTCGGCCGGGGAGATGAGGTTGTGGTGGGCCGGGAACAGACGCTAGGGGATGGCTAGATCCAATATTAGTTTCTGCAACTAGACCGTCGAATTTGAGGATTTCGGCCCGTTGCATGTATAATTGCCACACGTCAAGTATACTCGCGTAGCATGCTCGGTAGATTCGACATTTACTGTCGAGGACAGGGTCCAATAGTGGCGACGACGAGTATCCGTCGAGGTCGAACTTGTCTTGATTGAAGAGGTGAGTTTTGAACCCTTTGCGCTTTTTGCCAGGTTTCTTTTCTTGCTGAGTGTGTTCCGACACGTCAGAAGCTGTGACGGGCTTGACGGTTCGCCGGCTCGTTCCTGACTGTGCGGCAATTCTGTCCTTGTGGGAAGTGCGAAGAGCGGAGGATGGAAAGGATGTGCGCATGCATATATCGTGGCTGTCTTGACTGGCTGCTTCACTAGTGCTGTGGAAGGACATCCGTGATGACTGGTTGCTGCCGCCGCTTTGTGTCCCACCAAAGATTCCAGAAGAAACCCAGCCAGGAGCTAAAGAGCCGGAAGGACTGTATTTTTTGAAACTGGATGCGAAACCAGACGCTGAGCTCTGATTTGGTGGCGAGTTGGAGTATGATTGCGTTAGGGCAGACAGACTTGCACGGGCTGAGGAGTATACGATGCTAGAGGTCGTTCTGTGGCTGGGTTGGTTTCCCTCAGGAGACGTCGAAACCGGTATGGTGGTCGAATAGGGTGAGGCTTGGTCCATTGAATCATCAGCCACGAAGCCAGCTGCACGAGATGATAGTTGGCTTCCTTGACGACTTAGGCTATTGAATGTTCTTCGTTGACTGTGAAGAGTCGGACCGCTTGCTGAGGTGTGCATGGTCGGGTTTGGATGGACGTTGATCGAATCGATGAGCACATATCCTTCCGGGGCGACTTCGCTCTGCAGGAATGATTTCGCCACAGCCTTTGACGGAAAGTAATCGGATCGAATGAGTGAACCATCGTTTGAGGGAGATGTGAGTGACTCGGCGACGAAATCTCCTAGTCTAACATTGAGAACGGAAGCAAAGACACAAGACATCATAGCAAGCATTTGTACGTCTCCAAGCCTCTCAAAATGGTCGAAGATCGCGGGGAGAAGATAGGTCGATCCCAAAGGATGATTCCCCCAGCGTGTTCTCCCCAGAGCCTTGTCGCTCTTAAGATCAGTAACACCATGGTCACGGCGCGGGATCCTGGCCGCAGCCCTTGCGATGATTGAAATATCATCCGCTGCAGTCTGGCTCAGGTCGGGTACGACTTCTAACGGAACAGCGTCATCTAGAACCAGTCCCAACAGTGTCCACGCAGAGGCGAGATCGTTCAAAGAAGCATTTCGAGCAACATTTGCATTATGCTTGCAGACTTCTTGGCCATTTCCGAAAATCTTATATTCCACTGCCAACTCGCGTTTCGAAGGGATGAGATCAACGAAATCGTGAATCGACACAACACTTTTTCGAGGAACCTCGGTCAATTTATTGATTCCTGTCGTGGAATGATTTGATCTGTCGGGAGATCTAGAACGTTGTTGCAATCCAGAGACGCCAGCGCGGTATGACGGGACGCCACGGACATTTTGCTCAGTTTCGAAAGAGGAGGAAGAGCCACTGGAAGATTTCCAAGAAGAGTCCGAGGTCTCGGATCCGGAGTCGTCGTCGGCTGTTTTCGTCCCTGATGTCGCTTTGCGCGCCGGTGAGCTAGCATGTAAACGTCCGAATCCTTCAAACAACCTGCTTGATTCTGAGTCTTCGAGATCTCTAACACCGAGTGTGCTCAGGAACGAAACGGGTTCCTTTCCTTTCGCGGGAAAGAAGCAGACGAGTTTTCCCGTTTCAGACCACAATGCTCCACAGCCTTTGGCCAGTGGCACCAAGATATTTGCCGACGCATCCAGTCCGTCTCGCACGCCGTCCAGTTGATCATCATCGTCGCTACTAGAATCATCCACTGGGATAGGAGTGCCGGTGTCCAATACTTTCGACTCAGTCAACGATTCTCCGAGCACCCATGCCACGATCTGCTCTAGATTCTGCTCCCGGAGGAGATATCGAAGGACAGCCTCAAGGCACCCTCTTTTCCTCGAAGCATACGTTTCTGAAATGGTGTGGAGTCCCGTTGTGATGATGTTATGCGTCGAGTCATCCACAAATCCAGATTTGTGCAAAGAAAGCACCGCATTGGCATTTCGAGGGTATAACTTCGGAAACCGCATTTCCACTCTGAGGTAAACCTGACTCTGGTCTTCACCCCAAGGCGCCTGCAAAGACATGACAGCCTTGCGACGAGAGATGTCAACCGCCTCAAAGTCCACGTTCTTGAATTTCTCGCCGACTTGTCGAATCTCTTCTGCTAGAGCATCAGGATCCCAAGAGGATATCTTCACATTCTTCAACCACGCTATAGGATCGGCACTCTGTCGATGGTTGCCTCGCCCGTGCATGCCTGATCTATGAGCATGACGACCTCCTTGTACCCAACCTCGAAACTGTGACACCGGCACTTTACTCATGCCCACGTTTGTGCTCACGCGAGCACGAAACTGCAAATTGTGACTGGATCGAAGGAAGTTTTCGCTTCGAGGGGTCGGTTCCGATAATAGGGAATCAGTGTCTCCGGGCTCATCTCGAAAGGTCCGGTAAACGGCGCCTTTCCGCGTGAAATTCAAACGTTGAACTTTGGAAACTCCCTTTTCATAGCCAATATCGGCATAAACCTCTGAATCAAGAGCATGCAGCCTCAATTCTCGGTCCGTACCCCAGGTCACGAGCTGAAAATCTCGATGGTCCACACCATCCACGATCGTACCTCGCGGACGCCACAGGAATTCTTTGACTTGGCCTTCATGTCCCGCAAATGTTGCGACCGGACGAACTGGTCCGCTTTCGAGGACCCCGTTCATGGCCCGACGATCGTAAAGGTGCAAGTCGCTGTTCCCGCGTTGTGGCATAGCCAGAAGCCCCCATCCAAACGGAGTATGACGCGCTCTCCAGACCGGGAATGGAGTTTCGATAATGCGCTCTGGCAGATCCTCCGGATTATCAAAATCCCAGAACTTGATCGTCTTGTCCAGAGAACAAGTGACAATTTTTTGGGGCTGATACCGATTCCAATCGACTCCGTAAATCTTTGTTCCATGTGCTTCAATTGTCTTGACAGGATAAGCTCCATTTCTAGCGTCCCAGATGTGGAGAAACTTGTCGTGAGAACTGGCAATGACGTGTTCATCCTGTCGGCTCCACTTCACCTGTGTTGCGCCAGCAAACCAATCCGAGAAGGAATTGACCGGCCTCAACGGAGCCCTGAGATCCCAACAATGCACGAAACTGTCCACAGCACAAGTGGCAAGAACATCGGGATTATGCGCCGAGAAATTAATATCTGTGATGGCGCGGGTATGGCCATGAAGAACGAATTCGATGCAGTCCTGCCATGAACGGGCTTCCAGGTTCCAGACGAGAGCCTTTTGATTCGAGGTGCTGATAATCCAATAATCGCGGGCGGCAAATGGGGACCATTGGACATCAGCAACTTCCCAAGGAGTGCGGTGAGGAAGATAGCGAGGAGGTGAATAGGGCGAATCTAGGTCGATAATGTGAAGTCCTTCCTTAGAAGCCAGGGCAACATCTCGACCGCTTGGGGAAATGGACATGGATCCAACGGGCTGTTCGAGTCGGAAGGATGCATCTTGACCAAAGGTTTCGCTCTCGAATGCGGAGGCAGGGCCCTGGGGAGCCATGTCGTCGGACTGTCTGTTCTTATCGCGACTCGGGAGTCTCTAAAGCGCACCTCCTTGAGATCCATCCAATTGTCATGTCGGCCTCAAATATCCTCACTAATGGATCTCCGCCAAAGAGTAGAGGGCGGCATCACACGGCTTGTCATCATCTCAAGGCACGCATCTAATATTTAGGTAAAAAACTTTTCCTCGTCAGCGACGTGCTATTTAGCATCAAAGAGCTCGGTGTGAGCAGCTGCTTGTGAGTATGTGAATCGAAAGCAGTGAAAATCACAATAGCAGTGAATGTGTAGATGTGGTGTTTTGATGTCGCGATTGTTGAAGCCCGATGAAGGGTCAGATGAAGTCTCCATCTCAATTTGGCGGGTGATGCTGCCGCTTTTGCCTTTGTGCCAAGAGGTCTTGGTTCAGCCTTGTTCAGCCTCGTCACAATTTGTTAGATAGGCTGCTACGGAAAATATAATTGTGCTCAGATTCTGGTTCGGAGATCTTCATAACCTCAACAAATCATCCTAGGAGTTCAGGAATACGGGATATTCTCTTCATCTTCCTGCGCCATACCTACAAAGCGTACCTGTACTGGGGGTGAAAGTCGCACAAGTCTTCAATAGTCTTGAGTGCCTCCTCATCCAATTGACCTCTTTCCTCAAACTCTCGGGCCCGTTGATCCCGGGCCGCATTCGCTTTGGTGGCCATGACGAGCAACAACATGGTACACGTTACCGCAAGAACATAGAACCCCAGGGCAACCCCGTGCCCTTTGAAAAAGCAGGGCGGAGAGTCATACACTTGTGTTGCGATAATACTCTCGGACTGAATAAATATCTGACTGAACCAAGCAGCAGTTGCACGTTTTGTGAAACCCTGTGGAATGTCATCAGCCAGGCAACACTGACGACTAGGCCTGGGTATGCACCGGCGAGGACAAAGCAAGCTCCAGCGAGGAGTGCGATTTTGTTCGTGGTTGTTAGCAGTATGACAAATCCGATCATCGTGATGCAGTGACATCCAAAAGCCACCCACGCCTTGCGGTTGAGGCGATCGGACAGGAAAGAGATCGACACGAGAGTTGCGAGGCCAAAGGCGTAGGGAGTCATCGTGTAAAACTGGGTGTCGAGGGCCGAGAACCCGAATTCTTTAATGAAAGTAGGCAGGAAGACAGAGAATGCTCCGATTCCAATTCCTTGACAACCTACCATGGCAGAGCCAAGGTAGAGCTTGGGATCTTTGAGTGCAACAAGGATCTGATGATAACGAGGGCGGCGATCATGGGTATTTTGGCCTTGTATTTGATGTCAGAATGATCTCGACAGACAAACTGCCGGGAGACAGTGGATTGATAGCACGTACTCGCTCGAAGTCTTGAAGCGATAATCCGGCGCTCATTCTCGGACCGAAAATGAGGCTTCCCTCCTCCGCCACAGTATCCGGAAGTGCGGGAAGGAGGGCAACCATAGTCATGGCGAAGAAAATGGTAATTGCGCCCTCCACGATGAATAACCACTGCCAGGCGTGCAACCCAAGGTCACCGTCAACATTTTTCTGCAATTCGTATGCGATAATACCACTAATGGCCCCCGCAACAGGGCTCATTCCATAGATTGCAGCTGTGTAGCACGTAAATACTTGGCCGGTAAGAATCGATATATATATACGGACCCGTCCTTAATGACAACTCATCCGGCCGATACCAAAGGCTGATGTAAAGATATGCATTTTTGACAAAGGCCTCGGCAAGACCGATCAGAACCCGAAGAACCATCACTGGGGCATAGCTTTTTGCGGAAACCATGGCGCATGCGAAGACACCAAATAGAACGGCTGGAACGCCGATCACGCAGCGAGGATGATATATGCGCAACAATAAACCCGCCGGTAGTTCGACGATCATGTATCCGACGACCACGGGAAGTTAGCATTGATGACGGTTGCTTTGGAGGAAAAGGCTTCTTACAAAACATCATTATACAGTTATAGAACTGCTGGCTAGTCAATCCGAGGTCAACCTGCATACCCATGACACGAGCGTTTCCAATCTGGTCACGATCCTACAAGGAGTCAGTAACAACGTCAGGGGGATCAGGTCAGGTCATTAAGGCATACCAGAAACCCCGAGAAAAGGCCGCCCGATAACAATGGTAAAATAAGCAGATCTTGTTCGAGTACCAGTCGCCGCTCCTCTTTCGACTTTACGTGACGAATTCGAATATCATGATGAGCGTCGGTCGCTTTCTCTTGGCCAGGGGAGACATCGCCGCCGCAGTTTTCTACCTCGACAATCGAAGTTTTATCAATGGGTTGCTCAGACATTGTACTTTTTGACTACGGAAGAGATGATGTTTTTTGGCAGGGTGAAGATGAGAAGATATTTCCAGTTTGGTCGGGGATAAGGGTCAATTATGTGGATTCGAGACACCGAGGTCGAGGACCGAGATCTTCCCCTGACTCCAGACCCCGGATCGCTTCCCCGGTAGAGTGGGTGGGATCTGGGACTTGTCCATGAGAGAAAAGTTGCGAGTCGATATCAAAACCGACTCACGTGACCGGACTTCAGGATCAGATCGCTCGAAGCGTTGAAAAGGGCGCGAGGACCAACCGGTGGCTCGATATCGTTGATTGGCAATGGTTAGGCCACCAATGCCTTTCCAAGAGTTTTCTGGCGCACTTTGAAAAACGTGTCCGGAAGTTCTTCAGCCGCTCAAGGTCCGACCAGATCAAACCATCTGCTCCTAGGCGCAAAATAGGCGAAATAATCTCTCGAGGAGATCCGAATGATCTAGGCTCCCGGTGAGGGAGCTCTGTGGTACCTAAGGCACATTCAATTAACATTCTTTGCAGCTATGAGACCACCGAAGACAATTGTGTTGCGGGAAAGTCTTGAGTGGCTCCAAATGCCGTGCGTCCTTCGCCGACTTCAGACTCCAGTTGGAATGCATTCCATGTTTCAATAGGGAGATCTAAGGTCGCCGCCCAACCATAGTCTGGAAATGTGCCTTGAGGTGACCATGACGATAGCATATACTGGGAGTATTCCAGGTCAGCGGCTGGAAAGGCTGCCGGTGATATTTGATTATTTGCCGGAGCATCTGCCACAGTAGCACCTGCGAAGTCAGCTCCGAAATTTTCCATAGCAGGAGTGCAGCTCTACCTTTGTCATTTCTGGGTTCCTCATATGGAGTCGCCTGCCCGGCAAATTCTCGTCTCCAACGCCAAAAGCAATCGAAGACAACAGACATACTCAACCGACTACGGCAACGGAGGGTGAGGCAGTCGACGGTTCCATCTGAATTTTCGAAAGCATTCTTGCTTGTCCACAGCTGGGTGAGAATGACACCGGCTCTTGATGATAGGTCACTATCCTGAAGAGATACTCTTCGACAATAAAAAATGAGCGCAAAGTAGGCTTTTCGACCCCTTTCGAGATCCAGAGTTGGGGCAAGGTGGCTTCTGGTGATTCGAAGTATGACGAATGCCGCCAATAGCAGCATTTTTTGGATGTAGGCAGTTGATGACCCGGCCACATCTTCAGTCCCATCCATCTTCACGATTGCCTCGATCACAGTACAAGCTACGATGTACAATTGGACCAGACTGGTACTATCGATCTCGGGAGAGCGGATAAAAAAGTGAAAACTTTGAATTTGCAGTCGTGCGCAGGAGAGAAAGAAGTGGTCTGAAGAAGTCAGCGTGTGGAATCCACCGTAGGACTATCAAAAATAGGCGAGTTGACTAACTTGGCTGATCAGAGCACTCTGAGTCTAGTTGCGAGAGCTGCCACATGAATACGCCGATTATGGACTTGAGAGAGCTAGCGCCGCCAGGCTCGTCTACAGAAAGAACAGCGCGACCCAGTTCAAGGATTGCAATGGAGACAGTTTGGCTTAATTTCCTTCTGAAACGGAGCTCAATGGGGACGCCGGAAAGAGCATCTCGTCCCTTGGATACGTAGTCGTAGGTATCGAGTACTATGGGAGGTGGAAGTCCATTTGAAATAGTACAACTATAACCAGTCAGCTTCTCGACCCGAGGAATTTCTCAGATGGCGCCCAAGAATGTACCTTTGAGAGGCTATGAGACATGACAGCCATAGTTTGGCACGAAAGATCCTTTCATTTTCCTCGTGGCGCAGTGTGGTTCTTGAAAAGTCTTGCCCAACACCATGAACGTGAAGACCAATAGCAACCGCCAGATTCAACATTGCCCCGGCAAGCACGGGCGAGATGTCCTTGTGCATGGTGTCCACGGGCATCGGCCAAATTGTAAGGAGAAGAAATGCTTGAAGTGTCGAAAGCGGGTTTTCGCGGTGAAAAATAGAGCGCTGTGCCAATTCGATCACTTTGGGAGCGAGTAACATGAGAATGGTAGGATCTTGGGAGTATTTTCTTGCTCCGATGGTGACAATGGTCCAGAAAAGTAGTGGTGATTGAGGGTGGCAGGCATTCGGATCGAGAACGGTGTCGAATACGTGGACTTTGGGCGCATAATGCGTCAAGAAACTGTGCCAGAGTCAGTATCGACAGTTGCCAGCCATGCCAATGTAGACAAAGGTACAGGGAAAAGCAATCGTCAATCTGGGCGCCACAAAACTCAAGATCCTCCAATGTCTGAGAGGATGTTGGCGTCAAAGCACTGGCAACTCCAGTATGACTGATGGTAGGGGAAGTGGTGGCCGGCGCTAAAGGTCTGCCATGCATATTGGTCATTGGATTCGAGGGAGACTGGGAGGGAGTTTGCTCAGGGCCAGCATTGGACAATGACACTTGATGCACACGGGATGAGACATTGGTATCGGGAGACAATGGAATGAGTGAGCTCGAAGGGGCAGAATCAAGATCCACGGCTGTAGCGGTGTCCAATTGCCGACTCAGGCGATCCAGCTCTGCTTGTAAGTCGGCCTTCCTGGACAAACAGTCAGGTGTCTTTGGTATTCTCGAGGAGAAGATGGACCAACGTTCGTTTCTTGACTCGCTTAAACGACTGCAGAACGACACAATTGAGCTTCATCCGGGCACATCTTGAGCAAGGCTTTGAATGATCTTTGAACGCATCGCATCGGAGCTATAGGGGATCAGCTAGGGTCGGCCTTTCCGTGCTGGGAAATCAAGAGGGCAAGACCTTCTGCTGGCGGCACTCGGTGCAGGCCTTGACGCGACTGCTTGTAGTCTGGGAGAGTCTCGTGCTCATGTTTTCAATATCTTGCAGATTTTGTAGCTTCCATCAGAGGTGTTGGTGTGTTTCGCACCGTTATCGACTGTTGACTGGCTGAGTCGACCAGTAGATGGCTTTGGCAAGTGGCAAGAAGTTTGGCAGCTTCTCTGTGGGCGGGGGAGGAGAGCCTACGAATTACCCCGATCCTTATAAAGTTGCGGGGGATTATAGGCACTGCTCGGGCTATGTACAAGGGGCAATACTTGGTTGGTCAGTAATGGGAAGGCAGATGTACAGTACCTGCTCAGTCCTCGCCACCACCTAACCACACACGGCTGATTGTATTTACTTCCTCCTCTCGGAGTTGAGGTTCGATATCGGCTCCCAGCTGAGCCTATATGAATTTATTGTCCATACACTATTTATCCCAATACTGTGCCCCAGAGCAGATTGAAGCAAAGAAACAAAGAAGCAAAGCCATTCCATCTTGCCATCGAAGGAATCGATATCCTGCAAGGAGCAATGCTTCGGCTTTCAATAAGGTATACAATCCATTCCATCTAGGTCGTCGTTTTGGAGGCATATCTCCCTTATCTGAACCATGTTGTCGTGACTTTCCCGACCTGCTCCGCTGTCACGTTCTCACCTTTTGACTTTTGATCCCAGACGGCGTTACGGCCTGTGATCTTGATGCGGCCGTTGCTCCACTCCTTACTGGTAGGAGCATTTTCAGGCCTATGAGCCATTTCCATACCAGCTTCACGAAGCACAGGACTGCGATCGAGGAGGGTGTTGATGACCACCTCGTCGTTGGGCACACAGAAGTAGAAGACGCTGCTCCGGTTGTGCCCTCGTTGATCCATTGGTGGCTCGAACACACGATGGATGGCCGCCTTGAAGTACCCCCCTGTCCACCACAGCATGACCTCGCCTGCGTTGACGATGATAGCCCCAGGTACGTGCTTTACATACTTCCACTCGTCAGAATCGTAGTCGCGAACCTGAAGAGAGGTCATGGGCTGGCTAAAGAGGAGTGATAGACTGGTAAAGTCCTGGTGACCACCGAGCCAAAGACCACCCGTCACTGATTTCTCCTTTGCTGTATATTCGTCAAAGTACTCCATGTAGCGGAGCCACGTCTCATCGTGTCCGTCATAGTTATGAGCTTTCACGAAAAATTCCTCGTCGTCAAGCTTCAGGGCCATGGCGAAGAGCCGCAAAAGCTTGTAGAGGACCTCTTTGTGAGTGTAGTCGATGAAGCGTTGAATTTCGGGCTTGAAGGGGTTCATGGCCGCTGGCTGCTCCCTCAGGCTCATATCACGGTAGATATTGAAATTTTCAACCTTGTCGCGTACATTACCTGTGTTGCGCCAGTGGCCGCGGGGCTTGAAGCCATGATAGGAGCCTTCTTCGATCATCGGAGCTTGAAGGCGGACCTTTTCTTCTCGAGGAGTGCGTCCGAGAATCGTGTGCCCAATGTCCACTTGGCGGGTTATATCTTCTTCGCTGATGCCATGATTGACGAGCGTGAAGAATCCTTGGGTCGTCATAGCCAGACGAATTTCTTCGGCAAGTTCAGCCCTTGCCTCAGGGCCATCGTCGTACCGAGCGAGGTCAACAGTCCGCAAGGAAACAAAGTCAATAAGCTCTTTCGATGGAGCTACGGCCTCAAAGTGGTCGACTTCGGGAAGAGTTTTGGAGACCATGCTGAAGGAGCAGTATTGATTCAAGGGATTTGCAAGATATTCACTTGAGGTGACTGTTGAGTTCTGAATGATCTCATCTTGCTCCTCTCTGGCTTTTTATAGAGATGCATAGCCCGGAGACTCGAGTCATTGGCCGCATCTTCATAGTGCCCCCGGGTAGAGGCCATGGAGTAGTGGAGGCTCTCCGTGCAGGAACGGCCGATTTCAGACCGGAAATCCGAATTAAGTGTTAAGCTATCCAACGTAACTGACTGAGAGACACCGTTGTCCGCTCAAACCATCGTTGATGCCGGCCAAGACTTTCAAGCTTGTGCTCCAGACCCTCCGGAGAGAGGGTTATCAACTCACGGCGGTGAAGATGTCTCTCATCATCTCAACCGGAGTTCTGAACCCATCACAGCAGCCATAGCGAGGATGTGATGGCTGGGCAGCTTGACAAGCTTATGGGGGTCTCCTGCATGATTTTAATGTGCAAAATGTCATGACGTCTTTGACAGAGAGCGTACTTGGAGGTCACGACGGTTGACAAACAGTCAATTGCAAGTTCTCAGCTGCGAGAAAAGGGAAGAATCTCGGGATCACGTGTTGATTACATAAGAACTCAGACGCAAGGCTCATTGACACGAGGTGGTACACCAGAGAGCTCACTTTATGACAGTCATTTACATCCTTAAATCTGGTATCTCAATCATTGCCGTGAGGGAGCGCTCATGAGGACATAGTCAACTGAAAATCATGGCGAGACACTATGTCATCCATGTTTTCCTTGTCCGGCTCTCCATATACAAAAATTTGAATGATATCTGCGAATCTCCTCGAGATGCCGTTTGTCCCTAGCCTCCGAAGGATAGACTCCAGAACACAGGTAGTGTTTGCTTTCATTTCAGCCGGGTTTGCGTCAAGGATTTTCCTAAAGCAAGGTATGGTCTCGCTGTAGATATTTGATATCGGATTGCTCTCGCGCGACAATTGCACCTCCGGAAAAGACTGAAAGGATTCCATCTGATCTGGAAGAGATGATGTCCAAACGTCGCCCGCCGACGGGCTCTGAGGTAGGTACAACATGTAGCAATACCAGCAAAGTGCCGCAGAGAATAAAATCCGGGGAGTGTGGATTGCAACAAACGAGCCCATGGTGGTTGACACAATCAAATTCTGCAGAAATAGCGCATTTAGAAGACATCTTTTTGAATCCACGGACGAGATCCAAGATAAAACGTATTCCCGCGTAGAAGAGGCGACCTCACTTCCTTCTTTTCCCACAGCTAATTCCAGGGTGCGAAGATCCGTTGTTAGCGTCATGAATGTATAGTGCCATAAAGGTAACAAACTGAATGGGGGGTCAGACTGTGCTGAATGATCACCCAGCTTTCTGTAGGAGTCCGAGACAGAGGTGTACCAAGTGAGGAGATCGGATTCAAATTTGCTGATCATATTGAACGAGAGAAAATCCAAATGTCGACATTCGCAAATTGACGCGCCGATGCCGGAGAGCGTAGTGTATACGTTGAGCATACTGAGCTCCCGTAAATCCTTGTGAAATGATAATTCAGACTGTTGAGTTGCCGTCGAAAGGCCCCATGGGCACATGCTGAAAGGATTTTGGGTGTGAGAACGAGACTCCCTTCGATGAATCTGTCTCTCTCGTTGTTCAGCTCTGAATATCATCGCCCATGCAGCAGCTGAGGGGGCCGAGAATAGTTCTGAAGAACAGGCTGTGGGTAGGCTTGTTGTGTTGTGACGGAAAACTGGTTCATGATGAAACAGGGCTGCTATTTCAGCATCATGAACGTAAAGGATGAGAGCAAGCCTATGTGCGCAGTCAGGAGCTTGTCAGCCAGTGCTTCATAATAGGATCCGTACCTTTTCAACTCTTCTTTTCTAGCCCATCTCTTCCAAGTTCTAGCCAATTCGTCCGGAGACAAGTTATCAGCAAGACGGAAAGGGGCCGTTTCACCGAAGAGGTTGGAGTGGCGAGCAATCTGCAATCAAATAATCTCAGCCACTGTGGATATAATTTATTTTTTTTCCCTTTTCGTATGCACGTACCGATATTAAGGAACCATGAAATGCAGCGGCGGTGGCACGATGAGCAGGGTCCTAACGCACGACCTGCTTAGCCAACAGGAACAGTGTCACCCTACAAAACTACTCACCCCAGAGAGAAGCGCAAATGTTTGCCCAATTATCGAGGCTTTTGTCGAATTCCAGGTGTTGTCCGAGCTTCTTGTAAGGAATCTTTCCCATGGCTGTCGATTCGAGAATTAGAAAAACGTCTCAAACGAAAGGTGGTCGTTTGTATACATACGGCACCAAGAATGGCTTTGTTGACTCGTTCGAAAAGCATAGAGCCCGCCTTCGTGGCCACTTCCGAACCCAAAGAGAATGTGGCAATCGAACACATGGACAGTACCAACAATGCATTGTGTGCCGTCGGTCGAAAGGTCGGGGCGTGTATAAGGGGTAATGTGACATTGAATCGAGTGAAGAACAAGTGGATACATAAATTCTGCAAACGCGTTAGATGTCGAATATTGACAAATAGAAATGGAATACCATAAAGTCGATTGATGGAAGTGGTTCATCTCGAAAAGGCGGCCGAAGATCTCGAGCCATGTTGGCGCGATAAGATTCATCGATGTCATCGCCGTATGCGGAGTCTCTCTGTCTCGGAGTAACACTACCAGAGCCAGCGCCGAAATCATTGTCTGCATTCCTGACTTGGATATACCAGACGTGCCTCAGATCAAGGATCTGAGGTGCTGTACCAGGTTTTTCGGTCAGTTGACGGTACGACGTCAGACTTCGAGAATGGTCGTGAACGGATTGGTTCGTACTAAGCGTCGCCCACGGATTCATGCGATCAAAAATGGCGAGGTCGAAATTGTCCTCTAGAAGCCAGTTTGCAGAATCAAGCCCCGTGAGATTATCCATGAAAGCTGCTGCTCTAGTTTGGGAGTCGTTAATGTCGAATTCACCACCCTGTGACAGATACACTGTATCCGCTTCGCCTCCTGTAGTGCCAGTCAACATGCCTATGGCGGGCTCTGATTGATTGGGGACATTAGACGTATAAGAGTCGGTTCCTATGTCGACCAATACGCTCAAGGATTGGGAAGATACGTCTTCGCGCGAAGGCGTCGGGAAAAATGATTGGAGAGAAGCACTAGACTCGTCTAGGAGGATCTCGTGGACTCCTGGCCTGACCGAGCCGCTTGTCAAACGCGAACTCGATCTGTGTGCATCTTCGGCGGCTCTGATGGTTGTTGTCGTTTCGAGGCACCGAGACGAGCCTGTAGTGGACGAAGCATCGGATGGCGAATTACCCTGATCAGGCGCGTGGATGACATTGGTCGTAGTTGGCTTGTTGTCCTTACGGTTGCCATCTGTATTGCTTTTGTGAATCCTTGAATGGCGCAGAAGAGTATCACTTCAGAGATTAGCGTCCTTTCAATGGCCTTTAGCAATCTCAGACGTACTGGCGTGGATAGGCCTTTCGACAAATATTGCAGCGAAAAGGCTTCTCCTTGGTATGTGATCGGATATGACGATGGTAATGATCAGCCTTGACAAATTCTCTGGGACAATAGGGACATTTCCTTTCCTTGGGCGAATTGTTGGTATGGGATGGTTTGAGTGATGTTTGCGATGGGTGGTAGTCGCTGAGAAACGTATCGGGATTTGTCATCGCCGTTGCTCTGGATGCTGACTGCGAGAGAACGACCAAAGAAGTTTCCCAGTTGGCACTTTCCCATTACCCTCAGAATCAAAGAAGTTTGAATTTGAAGGTGGCCGGCAGCACACGAGTCGGATCGAAGGGTTTCCTTCGAGCGGCTTGCGCTCTGTGGATGGACAAAGTGGGGACGACTCCAGCAAAGCAGGCCGTATTCGGGATGGCTCGCTTATTTTGGACCTATGGGGGCCCAGATCACTTTTCGAATTGATGTAACGGGAAGAAATGAGGTGAAGAAGCTGTTGCAGAAGAGGCGAAGAGATGGTGAATGCTTGGGCACTGGGGACTCTCTGGTCTGTGCCATTAGCCACGAGAAAGGCTTAAGGTCACCAGTGGAATTACGGGCAGCATCAAGGGAGGTAATACAGAGAGAATAGAAGGGGGATACCAAGCTTCCCCGTACTTCTCGCAACAGCTCCCCCTTCGAGGTCTAGCCCCTGCTAGGTTCTCCGCTATTATTGGTCTCCCCAGACCACCGGCCAACCCTCCACAAACATTTGATGTTGACGCGGCCTATACAAGAGCCGGGGTTTGCCGTGCTCCGTAACTCAATAGCCATAGCAGGTGTCTGTGCCATGTGGTGAGTGGCAAAGGCTCAACATTTGTCCCAATGGCATAGCTAGGATGGTAGTGCAAGTTGTGAACTCGAATTTATACAAGGGTCGCACCTCGTCTCAATGTCCGCTCTATTTGTCGACCAAGACCCAACCGTGGAAAATTGCGCCTAGAGCTTTGAGTCGGGCAATGTGGCTATCTCTGAAGACCCTAGAAGAGTAGTCGAAATTCGCTCACAGGCATTGACTAGCTCTTTCCCAGAGCGGCATGCAGCAAAAATGAACCTATCTGGCCGTGCCAAAATGTATTTTCTTCCCTCAACCTCTTTCTTGATGCGATACATGTCGTATCCGGTCGGTTTTGGTCGGTGCTGGCAGAGCTCTGATGCGGCAAACTCGTCGCCTGTCGCGATGCGGTATATTCTCTGCTGCGACATGGCTGGTGAAGCGCCAGTCTGCTCGGCTGCGACGGACGGGGAGAGTATGAGAAATGCCGCTTCATCTGCCTTGACTTCTCCATCCGAGATGCTCTCGAGGTTCAAGGCTGTCAATTCTGCTCGCGATCTCTCTGCCTGCTCGAGATCATCAACAAGGACAAGAAGGCGAAGAAGCGAATTGGATCCAGGACCATAAATCACATCATCTGTAAACTGGACTTTCGGCCGGCCCCCCTTGGGGCTGTGGAAAACAGACCGACAGTAGACCTGTGGCAGAGAAAGCCCGCCTCCAAGGTCAGGCAGGAACGCCATTCCAGGCGCCCATTTGTATTTGATCATTCCCTCAGCGCGAGGTCCTAATTCCAGCTTGTGTCGGACACTGGGAATCAGCTGCATGAACCAAAGAACCCAGTCTCTAATGAAGATCTTGACCGGATTGCGAGCGGTTGTGAAATTTCCATTGACCACCGTGGCAGCGAGGGACCGGTCGAGCTGCTGTTTTCGTTCGAGGTACCATCCAGTGAACAGTGACTCATGATTTCTGTCAAAATTCGGTCTACAAGTCAGGGCAAGTCTCCATGCGACACCCGAAGCGTCCCGGAAACCTGAAACTATCCCTTGGCCACCAACTGCTTCCGTCAGTAAGTTTCCTATTCTGATAATTTTGTATGATGCGTACATGGGGGCATCACGTGCGCAGAATCGCCGCAAAGGATTACTCTCCCCACAGCCCACTTGTTACAGCTTCTCGCAGAGAATGTAAAGGGTCTTGAACGCAGGACGTGGATGCAATCGGCGGGATACTGGACCGGATCTTTTAAGCTGTTGCATTTCAAGTTAGCATTTGGGTGACAGAGGACTAACCAGGCACTGAGAAAACCCTGTTCGGGACCTACCCATAGATACTGCCTGGATGAGTCAAATAGGGAACGATGATTTGCATCGTCTTTTCGGAACATGCCATCGCCTGTGGATCCTCTCCCTCCTCTACCACAAACTCGAACCGCCATAATCTTTCATCTCGGTGCCCGAAACTTCCACAGACTGAAGGTCGATCGGGGTTACCTATGAATCGAAAACCATGCGGGAAAAATGTATCATAGACCTGTTGAGGGGTGTAGCCGAGTTTCCATAATGGAAAATCCGGGTGGGATTCAGGTGTCGGGAGATCCATGTGCCAGTTAAGTGCAACCCAGGTCTCTTGATAATGGTATCTGAATTTCGTCAAGCGTTATTCTCGCATTGGCAGGGAACAACTTACCCAGCAACTGTTTCCAGGAGCACACCTTTCGCTTCTAAATAGTGCTTTCGGGTGAAGCCCGTCTTCCCGTCTGCACCAACAAGGAATTTTCCTCGAATCCATTTCGTTTGTCCGTTGTCGTCGACGTATTTTGCACGAACCCAGTCGCGGTCTTCCTCGATAGCCACTATTGTCGATCCGAGACGCAATTGCGAACATGAGCAGCGGCTAGCGGTAAGGCGGATATTTTTCTCCATCGCTGGTTGCTTGTGACAGATCGCGGCGGGATGACCCGTTCCCCCTTCAGTGGAAGAAAGATTCATTCGCATAAATGGCTTCGTCTTCAGACCGTGTTTTCCCGACGTGAAATAAACCCATCCGATAGTCGTCCCAATTTCGGTGTATATTTTGTCGTAGATTCCAAGCCCCTGAAGAATCCGTATGCCGTCCTCATCCAAAGCGATACCTCGGGGATCAGTAACAATTTCCTTCTCTTTCTCTAGCACGACATTCTGCACTGACATTTGTCCGAGAAGCGCGCTGAGAAGGGCGCCTGTCGGCCCACAGCCACAGATTATCACATCTGTGCTTTCCATTTGCTGTTCAGTCGCCATGTTGATGCTGAACCTGAAGGGCCCAGAAGAAAAGAATCCAAGGATACCGAAAGGATTGATCGCGAAGCTTTATAAGACAAACAACATGCTCTCGGTCGAAATAACAACATCAGGCCATAGCTTTCTTGATGTTGATGTGGCACCACTGGACATTGGAAACCCCACAGGAATCATATGCGATGTACGAAAAGATAAATTGGTGAGTGGCCTCATCTAGGGCAATGGAAGTATCCTCCAAAAGGACGATCGGATGGGCCAGGACGGTATCTCGGCATCGAAATTTACCGTGCCATTTCGGCCCTCAGAATGCGGGGCGCCAGCCAGAATTCTAGGGTCGACGGGCGCCGAATTGCAACAGGGCGGGGCCCCAAAATGCGGGACGATGGTCTGATGGACCTGCTGGCGGGATGATGTGATCGCTGGCGCCTGGAGCCGGTCCTCGAGTCTCTGTTCATTACCAGTATTCAATTCACATTCGATCTCTGGCCGGATTTAATGTCGGGATCATGAGCAGGTGAGTTCGACCCTCGAGATCTACTAGCTCCGGGCCGACTTGAATGCCATAAAATACATCACTAGCCTGGAAGACGGTGTTCTTTTGACGTGGATAGGATCTTCAGTGAAGTATCATCCGACTGGACGCTGCCTTTTATACAGCAAAGATCTCCCAAAAAAAAAAAAAAAGGTCCGCAAACTACCAGCACGACAGATATTTCCCTTCGTTGATAAGCCCTCATATCTCACGTGGGCCACTGACACCTCGACGACGAACTCGAACTTGCAGGTTATCTTGTCCGACAAACCAACCGCCGCGGATCTTCCATTCGTGCTGTGGGGTTGGGAAAGCAAACTTAGAGAAGCGACAGTTGTTAGGCCGAATGTTTCAAGAATTACCGCCGAGCATGTTGCCGTTGGGACGTACCTCATAGTGACGAAGTAGCTGGGGCACCAATTTCGTGATTTCAAGCATGGAAATATTCTTGCCGATGCAGGATCGCGCCCCGTGACCGAACTAATACCACCAAGCAATGTTATGATCTGGTTCTGTGTTCTGTGCACGTAAGAGGAGATGGAACTTACGGTGAGACTGGCGCGGTCCATGGCGGCTAATTGCTCGGGAGACGCCTCGAGCCAGCGTTCGGGTCTGAAGTTGTCGGCATCTTCGCCATAAACCTGTCTGTTTCGTCTGCTTCATTTAGCGAACCGTCGTTTTCACATCGGGAAAGGGGAATCCAACGACTTACGCGGCGACCCAAGGATTGACACCCACGATTGTTCCTTCGGGAAGAAAATGGTCTCCCAGTGTAACTCCACCCTTGGGAACATGCCGCTCAAGGAGTAATCCGACCGCGGGATGCATTCCTGTGTTCAAGAACTTATTGTTAGTTCGTTCGTGCCTTGGCCGTCAAGGGCTTCCGTACGTAATGCTTCTTTGATGCATGCCTGTAAGTAAGGCTGGTTGTTTGACTCCTTCCAAGTGATAAACTCGCTTAGACTTCCTTCCGACTCGGCCTTGTCAATTTCATCTACCACCTTTTTGAGCGCTTGGGGCGACTTCATGAGGTAATAGAATATCTGGACCTGGAGTCAGTACACCACTGTTTCTAGGACACGATCGTCGCAAAAGGAGTAGATGATTTTCCTTTTCTTCTTCTCGCCATGGTGACTTACCGATCTCAAAGATATCCCAGTTGTATCGCTGCCGGCCAGCACGTTATCAATATTGTACATCCGAATTATCCGGTCCGTCACAAGATCTGGATTCTTTTCCTGAGCTTCAAAGCACCGAGTCAGGAAGTCTCGCTTTTTATCATCAACGCCCTGAGCCTTGGCTGAAAGTCTTTCCCTCATTCTCTCCACTGTGAAGTTGACGATAGGATGAGTAGGAACACAGGCCAAGAAAAGAGGACTCTTTGTGATGAACTTATCGACTGTCGGAATTTGGCCAACCTGCACAGCACCAAAGTGAGCTTTGGAGGGCAACTTGGGGACAGGGGAAAGAACACTGTCACAACTCACACTGCCACCGTAGAATACTTTGGTACGGATGTCAGCCATAATTCCATCAACATCGCTTCTTGTCTCCAAGAAGCCCAGTTTCCTGCTGAAAACAATCTCGCCACTGTCAAAATAAGCTGGGGTCCATCCCGCTCTGGTGGAGATAAAGTAGAACATACATCACGTCGAAAGCATACATCTGAAGCCATTGTCCAAAGTTAAAAACCTTTTGTGAGCTAACAAACTCATCTAGCCTCGACATGAAGAGCTGGCTGGTAGAATCGATAAGAGGCTCAAATTCAACCAAGGTAGACATGCTGTAAGCATTTGCAATCGGTCTCTTGTACTTTGCGTGGTAGCCTTCGTCCAATGTTGTGAATAGACTGGGTGTGAATTGACCTTGATAGGAAAGCATATGCAAAGTGTAGAACTTGGTTTTGGTGAAACCAGAATTCAGTCCATAGATCTTGGGAATCAATGCAGGGTCAGAGACGGAGATTGTGCGAGGACCGATGCGGACAAGGGAAGAACCTGTCTGCCTGTGCAACTTGATGTGCGTCTCATGGGGTGTAGCAGTGATAGTATCGATGAAACGCCACAGATCCGTGAAGCCGGCGACAAAAGGTCCTGGGATGGAGTTGAGACTTCTTCCGTACTTGTTGAAACATAGCCGAAGAAGGATCAAACAGACAAGCAGCCACATCCAATAGCCCTTCAAGAAGGCTTTGGCCTCTTGTAGAACGTCGGCCATGGAGGATAAGGTAGATCTGGTGGAGGGAACAATTGGACTGAACTTGGAGGCATTATCCTTGCATGAGAGCACTGTATCGCTTGGTATAAATAGAATACATCGGTACTCATGTCACTTTGCGGTCGACCCCATACGGAGAGGTTTGCCTCTGCCATGTCATGTCTTCGAGAAGGACCCCGCGTCGCGTCCACGCTGATCGCATCGACGTAGAGGTAGTCACAAGACTTGAAATGTCGAGGCTGGGTTGGTGCGAGGTCGCACTCTTGCGCTTGATTGAAACGCCTGGCCAGGAAATCTCAGAAGAGGCCATATTCCAAGGCTGCTGCCGAAGAGATTCGCCAGTTGTGCGATTTAAGTTTCGATGTGCGAGTCGCACACTCATGAATGAAGACTAGCATTGCATCCGACGTACCCACGGGGAACTCTTCCGAGGCATCAACAATTGATCGGTTCCTGTTTGGCTGAAGTCGTACCTATCCGAGACCGTGGGTGACCGTTTCCCTTCCCCGCTTGTGTTATTCAGCTTTGCGGAGATCATCTGGGGAATTTTTTCGACCAACAGTACCACAGCTAATTAACCGAGAAACAATTCACTTGCAAGAATCCAGTTGTAGCCTTGTTCAACGAACCAGCCGTTCCATCCTCAAATCTGTATGGAATGGACGCCCGAAAATCAAGACCGTCGAGTCCCAGCTTAAGGCAATGGTCATCAGGGCGAAGGTTGACGGGAGCCCAACGAGAGAGAAAAAGAGCCGTGGACAGACAGCGCAGCAGGAAACAAAGAGGCCAAACTGCTCTTCGTCTTGTTGAGCTAGAGACCAAAATCGAACATCTCACCGCCGAACTCGTTGCTCTGCGAAGAGGCCAGCAATCACCCACCATTGGATTAGGCCAGACAAATTCAGTCGTAAAACCACACCATGGATGGTTCGCGGATGCAGGCTTTGTTTCAGAGCCGTGCGTTGACCTTCCAGATTCGTGTCGATTGGGAGGGACATCTGGAATCGCGGTGCCGCCTTCTCTCCCAGTCATACCTCAAGCAAGTTTCGACGAAGGCAGTTGGACACACAATGCAGCGTTGGAGAGCAATGTCGGTGGACCCGACACACCCTGCGCAATCGGTATGACTCTCAGCAGCGATTTGTTCGATCATTCAAGATATTCCTTCCAGTCTTCTTCCAATGCCTCTCTCGAGCCCATGACAAATGCACCAACCGCGTCTGGTCCGATCCTTCACCAAATCAATTCGGATGGATTGGACAGGAGCAAAGGCACCCAATGTCAGAGCATATTTAACAACGTCTTGAAAACAGCGCGATCACTTTCACCCACAGATGTTTGTACAGACGAGAAGTTGAACCAGGATGCGCTAATCCGAGGCGTTCTTTTCGGATGGGATGATGTGATCTCAAGGTCCATGTTCTTCTGCCCTCTTTGGGAGATTATACGATATCTGGATAAACGGCTTTTCTGCCTGAGCGGTAATTTGACTAGGTTATGCACTTTGCGGATGATTCACTCTTTGCTCCTGGTATGCTAAGATTCGGCGCCTGCTTTCCAAGCGTCTCGTCCGAGTGCCAGTCTCTGACACTTTCTTTTCCCGATCCTAGTGCCTTGTGAAAGCTGATTCATTCAACAACCTGCCTCCATGGTATCGCCCTAGGTGAGAGAGTGCCAGTGGTGATCTTATAGCATAGGCACTTATTCGCAATCACAGACCTTCGCAGTATCGATTTGACCATCCTTTGGCAGTGGACGTGCTTCCATGGTAAGGGTTTCCCGTCGCCTACTCCGCTTTCATCTGACCAGGCAACGATAGGCCCGGCTTGCGGGAGCGTGCCGTTCTCTGTCAGAATCTTACAGCAACAAACAAATTCTGGACCGATGTGATCTATCACTTCCAGTTCTGCTGGCCCTATACAACACGTGACACTGTTAGCAGAAACCTTGAATCAGGCCTGTATGAGTTTACCGGCTTGTATAACCATTACCTCTACGAAATCCGGATGTGGAAGATGGATCCTACCTTTTTTGTCGGATTCCCCGAAACATACGATGACATAGTTCCGGTCTTGGAGATCGAGCGACCCCTAGCGCAGTCGATATCGGTCAAACCTCGATGTCGGCTGCTGCCCCTGCCCGAAGACCTGGAGGACCACGAAGAAGAAGAAGAAAATCCAGACTGGGACCATCTGTTATCATAGCAATAACTAGCGAGGGAAGTTCTTTCCGTCACGCTATCCGAACAACCCAGGTAGCCTCGTCGCAATCATCAATGACTTTTCCCCTTAATCCAAGCTCCAAACAGAGAGTCTATTAATACGAACGTTGTGAAGTAAGGGTGGCTCGACGCAACCAGATCCCGGCATCCAGTCTTATTCATATCTCTTTCGGATCATTTCTGGCAGGCGATGGCATTTTGTCGAATGGCCTTCTGGCATCCTTGTAGAGGTGAAGCCATTTACCACAGCATGTTGCTGTCTGATGTACATATTCCTGTACGTAACGAAGGTGAGGACGCGTTTCCGTGGTGTCCCGAGGATCGCGATTGGCCATGTGGGGATTGACGGTTGTCGTCCGAGGCCAGCCCCAAAGACCGAGCAAAATCCACCAGCGGATTTTACCGAGAGTAAGTGCGAGTCGAGCACCATTTCAGCCACTCTACAGTCAGTGGCGGTGCTTGTGCTTCAGGCTGTGTATCATGAACCGCAGTCGAGTATCAAACCTCAAAACATCTTTTGACACACAATTTAACCCTACAAGGCAGCTGCATCTCCTCACAAAAGCGACGATTCTCTCAACTCTCGGCACGGCCAAATTGTTCGGGTTGAGCACGATACACTGTCTACGACATTCAGTGACTTGAATTTCCCATCTCCTTGAGACCTAGGCCTCTCCAGACTCTTGACAGCACTGCTGTCTTGATTTTCCCGGCCCTCTGTGGCATCAACATACATTCGCAATGGCGTTGCCGAAGAGAATCGTAAAAGAGACGGAGAGACTCATGGCAGAACCGTATGGCAATCCTTGGGACCTGTCATGACCTGTGTGACTGAGGGAATACATGTAGAGTACCGGGTATCAGTGCCGTGCCTCACGAGGACAACCTGAGATATTTCGATGTGAATATACACGGTCCCTCTCAGTCACCATATGAAGGTATTGTTCCCTGCGCAGTTCTCTTCACGGCAAGGCCTTACTGGTACCCCTGCAGGAGGCATATTCAAACTCGAGCTCTTTTTGCCAGATGACTATCCTATGACACCCCCGAAAATCCGTTTCCTGACCAAAATCTACCACCCAAACATTGACAAATTAGGTCGCATCTGTCTGGACGTTTTGAAGAGTGGGTGTATTTCCTTCCAGGTTAGGATAAAAACGCTGACATGACTTAAAAGGCAATTGGTCGCCGGCCCTACAGATCAGAACCATTCTCCTTTCCATACAAGCTTTGCTTGGGGCGCCAAATCCCGACGATCCTTTGGCAAACGATGTCGCGCAACGATGGAAGGAAGACCAGGAAGCTGCAATCGCCACAGCGAGAGAGTGGACTAGAACCCACGCCATGTCGTGATGAGCTTGGAAAAATGAATGAATTTGGTAATTCTCTTTTGAAGAACAGAGATCGAGGCTTGTAAGATGTATCCACTCGAGCTGGGGCGCCGCTACCCTTCATCATGATGAGCGATGACTCTATGGGTTCAATAGAACATAAATTTCTTCTGCAAGCGTATTCGTTGTCTTCCGGGTGAGTACATATTTCATCTTCCCTCTGAAAGAATTGCCCCCACATCCACCGTCCTATCAGATACTTTTTTTGCCTGTGTTGCCCTTGAGGAATATGCCTTGTTCAACACTCTTTTATTCCCTTTTGTTATTGGGCTCTGCTGTCTCCTTTTTGCAATCGAGGAGTATGTGTACACGATCAGTCTCAGCCTTGTCATTCATCACGTGCCGTTCTCCTCTCCCATTGATCGTGCATGAATCTGATCACGATATCGTCGCGGGATCAAATGAAAACGGCCAGCACGAGAATCTATTCACACCTGATTAACTCGATGGACTCTCGGCGCCCCTTGGCCTCTTCTATCCTGTTGACAACGTGCAACACTCCCAATCCTTTACTCTCAGTCACCATGAACAAAGAAGCGGCCGCCATGTCTCCCACTCAACGTGGGAGCATGGCATCGAAGACGCCCCGATGAGTGTTCTGACCATGGGGATGCACCGAGATGAACACGTTGAAAACAGACAGGTATACTTCTCGTCGCTATCCAACTTGAGACGAAGGCTGAGCTTCTTCCGAGGGAAGCGGCCTCCCCCCTGGCCATCCTCTTGGCCAGAGGCGGAGGAAGTGACGAGGCTGGATAGGCACGTGACTCTCACCTCTCTTTCACTTGTTTTCAATTGACTAGATATAGTCCTCCTTGTCCCTCCTGTCCCCCTCTTCGGTGAGATCACGTTCAACATCGACGCCACCATGGAGCCTGCGAGAGAAAATGTGGACCGCGACGACGATGAGCAGACAATTCGCTCCCTGCCTCAATCCTTCCAGAAATTCGTCTCTGGCGATTTCCGATCCTTGTTGAATATGCGCCCTCCAGACATCAGTCAACACCCAGTATTTCAACCGAATCCCTTGAGCTCGATCAGCGACGCGCCTCTGATGATCACCACATATTCCACAGCACAAATCCGAGAGGAGAAAAGAAGGATTGAATTTGAAAAGGAGCGTGAACGAGCGGCGCATGAACGCAGAGACAGGTATATCTCATTTTCCTACCAAGGTTTCAGTAACGCATTTGATTCAGCATCAAGTAGCCGTGGCAGAATCGAACCTCATTCAGGCCCATCCAACACCCAATCTTCCCTTGTGGAAGGCGCAATGAACCTGTGTTACTCTGAGAGATTTAGCAACCCTCCTGCTACGGCCCATCGCATCATTCACCAGAGTTCTGGATCCTATGCCACCGGAAATAATCTTACTCGCCTTCAAACCAACCCTGATAATGAAGAAACCGACATCTACGGCATCCTTGCGGAAGGTTCACCCACAACTACGTCGTCAAGCCAGCCCAGAACTCCAGTGGACAGTGGGAAAGCAACAACCACCACCCCAATCTCAGAGGGGTCTGAGCAGAAAATGACGGGCTTACGAATAGTTACCGACTTGTTCAAACCAAGAACAGGAGTCGAGAAATCGCAGACAGATGACACTCAGCGAGCCCTTGAGAACCTCAGCCCTTGCCGATCCGATCTTGTAAGTGATCATTGACAATATCAGTCATAAAATGGCTGACTTCTTTATAGGAACGCCATCTTCGCATTACAACGAACTGCCACACATATGACTACACTCCCGGAGATCCATTACCACGACACCCAAACACCAGCAGAGGCTGGAACTCTCGCAACCTCCACTGTACCACCTGCATAGACGAATTCTGTGCTGTCTGCGGTCGAGCTTGCTGCGCTTTCAAAGCAGCTCTCCTTGCCAAAGTCAACCATGAAGATAATGAAGAGGCTCTAAGAATGGCAGAAGAGAGGATATTACACATTTGTCACATCTACCCCTTCGGAATGGAAGCGCCGACCTTTCTTCAATGCATTCGAGGCGATGAAATTGGCTGTGGCAAGATTGTTTGTCCAGACTGCTGTGGAATATGCCCTAATGAGATCTGTCGCGACATTCAATGCAGAAAGTGCAAGAAAATCCCTTGGGAAGAATGTCTCTGGCATGTTGCAGACATGAACGGACGAGCCATATAGCTCATTCAAATAACCCCCCACCCGACTACCGCCCTTAGCACTCACGATAACGACCTTTGATGGGCTTTTGGAGAACCTTGAGATTAATTAACTTCGGCTAGTATTCAGGAAGGGCGAGAGCTTTGATACGCAGCATCTCTATTGACATGAAACTAGCAGGAATCGGTGGCTGAAAAGACCAGGATCACTAGAACTACAGGAATGTACATAGCTTGAAAAATCGCATCCCAGATGAGCTCCTCCAGAAACAGGAAGAAATCATCTACGAGCTGATGAAATGTCACACACTGCGACCATTCGCAGCCCCTTTTTGGTTCGGTCGCGCACAGCAGTAGGTCCAGTGATTCGCCGTAGCAACATTTTCTCTCCGTTTGCGTCACCGGACCTATCTGATCTTGGCATTGCCAAGCGCACATTTTGCAACCCCGACTCGCAGCCTTCGCCCGAGCATTGGAAGGACAACTGCTCCATTCAATCAACCAATATCGAAGACAGGTACAGCATCGGGCAGATCGAGAATTCAAGATGCGTACCTACGACGATACCTTCAGTGCCACCAAAATCTACCCGGGCAAGGTCAGTTTGGTTCCTAGTGTGCCTCTGTGAATTCGCCGCAGCGGGACAATCTCTGAATTCAAGTGCCTGGTCGAGAAGAGATGTGAAAGAGGTCACTGACGCGGATATCTGGTGATTTACAGGGCAAGCTCTACGTCCGTGGTGACAGCAAAGTCTTCCGATTCCAGAATGGCAAGACCGAATCCCTTTTCCTTCAACGCAAGAACCCGCGAAGAATAGCCTGGACCATGCTCTACCGAAGACAACACAAGAAGGGTATTTCAGAGGTTAGTTTGAACATACCTTTCCCCATTTAATCTACAAAATCAGTCGGATTGAAGGGGGTGAAATCTTCACAAGAGGAAGAGGATCGCCCAAGATACTGTGACCACTTCTCTGAAGATCCATACCAGAAGCAGGAAGACAAAGGTGGCTGACTACATCTACAATAACAGGAAGTCGCGAAGAAACGAACCCGCCGCACTGTGAAACACCAACGAGCCATCGTCGGCGCATCTCTCGACGTGATCAAGGAGCGACGGTCCCAGCGCCCCGAAGCCCGCGCGGCCGCCCGCCAAGCTGCGATCAAGGAAGGCAAGGAGAAGAAAGCAGCCAGCGAAAGCAAGAAGAAGGCCGAGAAGGCGAAGAACGCTGCCTCTGCTGCCAGAGGCCAGGTCCGTGGTGGTATCGCGAGCAAGCAGCAGGCAAAGGGCGCGCCGAGCAAGGTGCAGGCCAAGAGCAGATAAAGCGGACCAGGAGAATGGATTGGAGTGCGGTTGCCAGTATCAGTGTGTATTGATGGATGAAGATGCAAGTTCTGCACAACTATGGTGTCTGTTCTTGACGAATTCCAACGAACCGCACACTTATGGGTGGCATGGAAATGCATGTGTGGTAGTTTTTATTGGAACAGGGCTGCATGATAATCGGGCGAAAATGAAAAGAGAAACCAGCTGGTCTCAATGCGAGCTCTTTTTGTGGCACGGCAGACTCAGGCATGCAGGGGGCATTTCAGATGCCGTGCATGATAGAAGACAAACGAAAAATGATTCATACAAGGTCAAGAACCGATGATTCGCAATACAAGGCCATTTCTTGTTCTATTGACCTACTGCCAGGAGCACAGGAAAGTATGTCATCTGTTTGAACCAATTCCACCAACAGCCTTAGGAAAGTAATGGTCGCCTTGGCCTCCTTTGCCTGTATGAAAGCGCACCAACAGCATCGTACGCGCAGAGAGTCGCAATATGTACTTCTACCATGATTTTGGTATAAAAATGGTCGCACACTCGGGAGATTTTATAATATTCCCACTTCCGCCTTCTTCACCTGCATAACAGCCGCATTTCTAGGGTCGCACGTGCAGCGGTATGCAATATTCGAAAAGCTCCCCAATCAGGGCTGATGAGTTGAACCCAAAACTATTCCCCAGCAGTCCGCGTATCGGTACATGATTGGCAGCGTAGGATGGGATCTTGAGGTTTCCAATTGCAGAGATTTCTCAGATCGGCTGGGTTTCTATGGACTCTGCCACAGAGTATTCCCAATGGCCATAGAAATAATATCGCCGCTTGTTGTTATGCCCGAACAGCATGTTGATACTCTCTTCTTCGATTCCTTCTCATTCATGAATCAATCACCCAACGAAGTCCCGAACCGATCCACAAAGAAATCCTCTGCCTTTCTCAATATCTTCGCATCCTTGGCCCCATTCGCGTTGGCCTCGCTGGGCCAATTATTCACTCCCCACCACCATTTCCTGACTCTAGCACCCAAGCTCCGGCCTTGGAATTTACTCCCACGGTTCCAATGTCGCCAGCCAAACATGACCAAGTTCCACAAGATGCCCTGCATCAGCGGCAAGAACACCTGATCACGGATGGTGATGAAAGCTACTTTCCAATTCGTATCGGCGTTCTTGATGCTCGCTAGGTAGGATTGTTCGAAGCGAAAGTCTGGGATGGGCGGGAACGATTTCCGGCGTGGACGCGCCTGGATGATTTCACTGGGGATCGTGGACGTGGATTCAGAGGTGGCGGCGGAGTTGAGGGATTGAGAACGAGAGCGAGGAGGAGAGGGTGTAGGTGACACGGGCTCGAGATTCCCTGGGATTTTCTTCGATGCCGCGGTTGAAGGATTGACGTCGTGCTCGGGTGAAGGGTCGCGCTTGAGGTGGACGGATTGGACAGCTGAAGCAAGTTCGGAGGCTGGATTTGCCGCCATCTTGATTGATATCAATGGGGATGAAACAGAATCCAGGACACGCCAGCCGGGTGATGCAGTCAGAAGTGGGGCGTCCAAGTACTAGATTTAGGGAGCTTCTGAGATGAATATATTCGCAATTTAAATAGGAAAGAAATGGCACTGTCGTTCTGAGAGGAAGAGGTTTCTAAAAGTTAGCGAGTCGACGTCGTCAGCTCTCCGTCTCTCCTTGTTAAGTTGAGAAGGGAGACAAGGTAGCGAGCAACGTTTGAAGGATCCAAGCCCAGCCTCCGGAATTTGCACCGAAGCATTCGCCCAGGTTACGCCGCCGACCACCGTTCGAACAAAACTTCGCAACACATATTTTGCTTGATAAAAACCCCTCCCTCTGAGACCATTCCGCTCCCCACCGTCCTCCGTGTGGCCTCGTTAAGGCCTCCTCTGTGCGCCCAACATGGCGACCAAAACTTTCAAGCTTCTCTGCTTGGAAAATCCCCTGCTCGACATCCAGGGCGTAGGGTACGTTCAAACTCACTCCTGACTTTACGGGCATCCACTTTCACGATCTCTTATAGCGTATCTCATTCGGCAATCGCTGATATTTGTACAGCGACCATGCCATGCTGGAGCGATACGGCCTCAAACTTGACGACACTCTCCTCGCCGAACCCCACCAGATGGGCCTCTACGACGACCTGATCAGGAACCGCGGTGCCAAACTTATCCCTGGTGGAGCTGCTCAAAATACCGCAAGAGGTGCACAGTACATGCTCCCTCCGGACTCAGTGTGGTACATTGGCTGCGTTGGAGACGACGAGTATGCAAAGATCCTCAGGGAGAAGTGTGCGGAACAGGGTACATAACTTTCAGGCATGTCCGGAGAAAAAAACAAGAGCATTAACAAGGCTTTGCAGGCCTCCATGTTGAATATCGCGTCGACCCGTCTACACCGACAGGAAAATGCGGTGTCATCATCACCGACCACCACCGAACCATGTGCACACATCTCGCAGCTGCCAATGAATACAAACTTGAGCACCTTCTCCAACCGCACATCTGGTCCATGGTTGAAGCCACTTCGGTCTTCTACGTGGGCGGCTATCACTTGACCGTTTGCCCACCCGCCGCAATGGCACTTGCAAAACACGCCGCCGAGGCCAACAAAATCTTCATGCTATCCCTCTCCGCCGGTTTCATCCCACAATTCTTCAAGGATCCGTTGGCCGAGATCTTGCCTTATTGCGACTTCGTGTTTGGAAACGAGAACGAGGCAAAGACGTGGGCAGAGTCCCAAGGCCGATCTGAAATTTCCATGCAAGAATGCTCCAAATTGATGGCGAAGGCACCCAAGGTGAATACCAAGAGACCGAGAGTCGTCATCGTCACTCAAGGCACAGATCCAACTATCGTGGCAGTAGCGGAAGAAGGCAAGGAAGTTGAGATCAAAGAGTACCCCGTGGCGGCTATTGACAAGAATCTCATCAACGATACAAACGGTGCTGGTGATGCCTTCGCCGGCGGTGTCTGTGCAGGTGTTGTAGAAGGCGATCCATTGGAAACCTGTATCAGCAAAGGACATTGGTTGGCAAGGCTTGGTTTACAGGAATTGGGTCCTTCGTAAGTCAACTTCCATTCCCTTTTTGGATCATCTTGGATCTCACATCCGAGAATCCTACTCATTTCCCGGCCTCAAATACTTCCGAACTGCCTTCCCATTAATAGCGCAGGTCTTCTTCCGGTCATACCTTCTGACTCTTCTCACAGATACCCTTGGCCCAAGCAAACTTATCAGGCGGAGTAAAGCTTGCATAACCCCGACCATTGCAGCCCTTGGCGGTATTTGGCAAGATTCCAGTCTTCTGCTTTGACATTGTACCAGTATGGCGCTTTATGCGGTCTAATTCAACAAGACCGATCATTTTTGGCACGATACTACGTCTTCCACGACTTGACGATGAGAAGTAATGCCAACTAGAATCCGGAACCATTAGAAAGCAAGGTCCTTCGAACAGGGTAGATGACGAATAGAGAACCCGAAAATTCTAGCCGACGTCATTGGATTGATCTACTCTTGAGTCTTTGCCGTCGACGCCAGATCCCGCGGTAGAGACAAGCGTGTCAAGCGAACCCGGTTTGACCTCACTATTGTCACTCCTTGCGCACTAAAGTTCTAATCGGTTCTCACCGTCTCCTTGACTAACGGAATCAAGTTCGACGACAGACTCCTGTCATACTCTGCAGTGCTGCAGTCCCGAACTATCCGGTCTGACCACTAGGAGGCACCTGATTGCCTTTGTGCCGTGGGTCACCAATAGCACCAAAAGGAGATGGATCCGGAGATCGGTGCGCAATGACTGTCTCTTGCACCGGAACTGGGCTAAACGCATTTTGCCAAGATGAAGATTGAGGCTGGAAGTGATCATGTTGGCGAAGCCAGGGATGGTTTTGAGCAGATTCGTAAGGGATTGACATGGTAGGATGAAAGGATTCCGCTGACGAACTCCGAGTTTGTATTTCATGTTCCGTCTGCATAAATCCGGCGCGAAACTGAGCGGAACTGCTTAGATACGAGGCCGCTGTCGTTGTATCCGGGAAACGGTGAGAAGACTTCGGACGAGGTGAAGATCCTGACATCTCTCCAGGTTGTGGCGCGAAAGGACTGTTCAAGAAGTCAGGTAATGTCGGCATGCTCGTCTGATGACCCTGCAACATCGGGAACGATGCATGCGACGATTGTTGCATTTGTCGCACTAAATCTTGAGCGGTAAGTCTGGTCGGTTGCGACCGCGAAACCTCTCTCTCACCGAATGACTGTGCGACCGGCGTTGACAAAGTCGAGGTCGGCGTACCATGGAACTGACTTGCTTTGGTAACTGACTTGGGAACTTCGGGTTTCGTAAGATTGTTTACCATTCTCTCCATCGTTTCCGAGACTTCGGCCTCTGAGATGATTTCGTGGTGGCTCAAAAGCTGGGCGGCGGTGCGTGTGGATCGGTTTGTATACTCCGTTTCACCACGACCTAGGCTTTTCCTTGAGCTTTGATATTTCGGAGAAGCCGTGCTAACGTTCTCGAGTTGAGAGTCATTATCCTCGTAAAAGTTGAAACGATTATCTGCGAAATAGAGAGGAATAGACAATGATTCAAAAGGACCCTTGAGCTATTAGAACCGTCGGCTTGCTACACCGGGTTCAAACTCACCTGTCTCTTGCAGAGGTAAATGCCGTCTCTGACCATGCACTTGATTCGATAGAGCATTTCGTCTTCGGACGACCGGGGGTCGAAGGCCTCACCGTCGTAGGAAGGTTTCATCTGACCGGCAGCATCCAGGAAACGAGTTTCTCGAACGAAATCGCTGAATGGAGTAAAAGCCAGGGTATCTTGATCCTCGTCCAACATGTACGGCAGCTCGGGCACCTTCGTAAGGGAAAACGTCGACGTGAACAGGCTAAGAGCTTCTGCATAAATCCGCCAGAGCTCTCTCATTCGGGCTTTCTCGCTCACAAGAATGAAGGGCACAGTGCTCAACAGCCATCCACTATATAATCTGAGGTGGGGAAGAAGCCGGCGAGTGGTCGCAGTGATTTGAACGGGTCTGTCGGGATATTTGGTTGTAGTACCATCGGTGCCCTTTACAAGGAGTTGAAACTCATCAAGTAAAAGCTTCAACAAAAGGGAAAATGTACGAGCATTGAAGTGTTGTAAAATCTCAAAGGATTGGAGTGCTGACGGATCACCTGGATTGATGAGAAGTGAACGATGAACCACAAGGACACTACATACCCTGGACCTTTTTGGCAGCACACTCCTCGGCCGCGATATTGATTAAGCAGAACTTTCGAATGATGGTGTCGAATGGTCGTTCTCGAAGTTCATCTGCAAGAAGCTCCAGAATTTCATCCTGCTGGTCATCAGATGCAACGAAGTCTTTCTCTAGACAATGAGCATGAAAGAGGAGGAAGCGCTCGTGCAGGTTCCTGCTCGCTTCAGCCGGAGCATCGCCACTCGAGATTGGCTCGCCTTGGGATGACCTCGTGCGAATCTTTTTGAATTTAAGTTCTAGGTTTCCGTTGGCTTGGCGAGGTGGATCTTCGACGGAAATCGCTCGATAGAGGTAATAAACACTGCGCAGATGGTCTTGGTCCGTCAATGCAATGACAGCTAGTTGATTGTAGGCCATTCCTAAAGTCGGGTTGAGTTTGATGGCGAGGTCATAATATCCTTTGGCAGGTCCCCAGTTACGCTCTTTGGTTTGTAACTCCATCTCTCGATATCTAGAAAGATCCCCTAGCTGGACCAGGGAAACGTAACATGACTTCAGGATTTGTTTCTTGAGCGCGAAATCCACTGTCTGAGGAACATCTCGTGAGAGTGCTTTGCAACGTCAGTATGGCATCTGTCATTTCTGGTATGCACTTACGGCCGAGTTTAAGCTTCCCGGCAACATTAACGACCTCTGGGACATCCCTGAAATGGGAAGCGAGTCGGTGTATATAGCCACGATAGAAACGCATGCTCGACTTGACGAAGTCTAAGAAGAGCTTCTCGGCCTTTCGGCGCTCAACATGCTTCTTCTTGCCATCTCCCTCACGAAACTTGGCAAGAAATGGTCTGAACTTGTTGACGACTCTCGAATGTGCCTCCCATAAGCGGGCTTCAATATTTTTGCCCGCCGCTGCAGCAAAATCGATAAAGATGAAGTCTTGACACGCTGACCGAAACCTGAGAGCGTGAGCCACCATTCACCTCCGCGGAATATGTCCCCTTACTTTGCCAGCTGGTGTTCTAGGCCTGAAAATACAGGCTCATTCAGTGCTAAAGAGACAAGGATATCCTTCTCTGTACGATCTACATTTCTGTGCGCTCCAGTGTCAGTGTGTCGAGTCATATGCCGGGAGAATGTACTTACTTGGACGCCTGTCTGTCGATATCTTCCATGATGGGTTTGACGTAAAAGGATAGGTCATTGCGACCGTCTTCTTGGTCAGGACAAGTGTTTTGCGGAGGTCGGCCAAAGCTGAATGCGGTCCATTAGGATGGAGGACAACTTTTCCCGGCTCTCTGCGCAGCCGAGAAGTAGTATTTTGTCACAGGGACTTTCAAGATACGTGCGGGAAAATGTGAGGATGAGGTGCTGTGTTGCGAGTTGCCAGAAACAATAGCCCGGCCTCGAATCGACCAGGTGCAAGGTGTGTGACTGGTGGACATGGCGGGGCGCAGCCGCGTTTTGTGCCTGGGAGGCAGAAGTACTCCGCACTAGTTTCTCCGTAGAATCTCGTGACTTGCTACTGCAGACCATGCAACCAGTTTCCGCAAATTAATTTTCGCGCGCTTCGAGGAACTCGATCAATTGAATTTTGGAATTTTCAGCGGGCACTCTACCATCTTTCTTCTGCCTTTTTAAGCTATCAAGATGGCGAGCTCTCATCTCCCACTTCGCCTCACCCGTTTATCCCGACCATTTCTCAATTCCTCCGTCTGCAATCGTTGCTTGCAGACTCGACGGTCGCTTGCGACTCAAGCAGCTGCTCAACAGATTCAACCAGACCCAGAACTGGAAGAACAATCATCATTAACAGAATCTCCAAATCCAGACCCCGCAGTCAAGGATTTCGATCCTCTAAAATCTTCAAGATCACGGCGGCGTCAACTACCTCCCAGCAGGTAAGCCCAGCCTCTTCCTAACCCTGGGTGGACTAGATTTCAATCCGTACTCATACTCGACAGATATCAGTTCCGCAGTCCTAAATATGATCGCGGACCACTCCATCCTCATCAACCTTTACCCCCCTCCGATCCTGCCAGCCGAGAATTTGTTCCGGGCCCATTTTCTTCTCCACGACTCGAACTCGCGTATCACAACATCATTGCCCCTGATTTCATGACGATGTGCTATCAACATACACCACCTGGCTTCAGACCGCCAGAAAAAGGACCTCGATTGCGCCCATGGATTGGAGATTCACCATACTTTGCTAATCGACAGCTCCGAGGACCGCGTGGCGGTGATGTCCTACGATTATTGAGAAGACCAATTACTTTCCGAAACGTTCCGATGGTTGAACAAGTCACAGTACACACATACGTGAAGGGAGCCCTTCACAACTCATCCTTCCTCCATGTAGCCGGCATGGTGATACAAGCGATCACGAATCAAAGAGCCGTCGTTCATAATGCCAGAAAGAATGAAGCCGGTTGGTCAGTAATTAAGGGCAAGCCTTGCTCTCTTACTTCAAATCTCAAAGGCGAAGATATGTATCATTTCTTGGGGAAACTGATCAATCTTGTCTTGCCACGTATTAAAGATTGGAATGGGATCAGGGCCACGACCGGAGACAACAGCGGCAATCTTACCTTTGGCTTGGAGCCTGAAATGGTGGCAGGATTTCCGGAAATTGAAAGCAACTACGATGCTTATCCACCGAAGATGATCCCGGTTTGTTCACAGTCGTATTATCCTTCGGTCACCATCTTCACTAATTTTGGGCTACAGGGCATGCATATCACGATTCACACTACAGCTAGCTGTGACAAAGATGCACGACTCCTTCTCCAGCAACTCGGCATCCCATTCTATGGCAAGATCGTGGATTAGGTGATGTCTCATCGACACCTTGAAGACATCTCACCGATTCACCTTCCCAAATATAACCCTTCGCAACACTCCGGAAGCTCAACTGACGCATATGTCAACAACCAGACGCAACCTACAATGCATTGTCTTTCAACACTCAATAGCACCTCCGAACCTTTGGGACTTGAATCTCGCCGAGTCAGAATGACTTTCTGTCCAGGAACACGTTTTATCCAGCGACGAATTCAGCCAGAGCCCCATCCTATGGCAGGATCGAAGGACTATCCATACATGGACCGTTGGTATGATAGTAACGGACGCAGAAAAAGGGGGCTGAAAAATTCAAACGACCCTTGGCCTGTAGCGGGCTTGTGGATTCAACACACAGACCAATTTGAAAGACTCTTACGGCGTACCTTGGCTTCGAATCCCTAATCTCCTCAACCCATATCAAGGAAATTTGTCGCTGTTTATTGCCAGAAAGAAAACTGCAGTTGCAAGCCAATACAGTACGCTTGGTAAAGATAGTTAAACTACGTACCCAAGACTAGATACACGAGCACCACTCAGTGTGCGCTACACACTGTCGGCTCATTGGACCCCTTTTTCCTTTTCACTTTCATCTCCTTTACCGTGACCAGAACAAGCACAGCACAGCAGTCTCGGGTCTCACCTTCCCTTTTCCTTCCTCCCTACAAGATAGAAACTGACATCAAGACTAACAACGTCGGAACTAGTCTTGTTTCGTCTGATAAACCAGCTCCCCCACCATCTTCTCTGCTCACCCCAACCGCGATTACTGCAGATTCTGATTCAATCCGGCCTCAATCTGTGCCCAGAGCCCGAGGATCTTGGGGTCGCCTACATACAGCTCGTAAGCAGGCTTTACCAATGGGACGGACAACCGAGAATGGTAGGATAGTTGGGTAGGATAATTGCCACTTACCGAAGGGAATGATTTGAGAAGCAATGATACCACCGATACCCTAGGGGGAGAACATCACGTTAGTCCAGTCGCCATTCCAAATTTTGATAAGCACCTCCCAGGAGCAGCGCGAGGAAAACGAGTTGTGCTATCTGTGTTTGTCGGCTTGAATCACACTCCACACTTCGAGCTGAAAACGGATTCCCTACAACACAGATAATCCCAGGACCGCAAACAGGCGCAGACAACGAAAAAGAGGGTAATGGCAGAGTGAACGTACTCTCTTCCTATCCGCCCACCAGAATAGATTCGGCAAGCCTGCCCACCAGCCTGTTCCTTCACTGTGGACGGCCGATTCGCGCAGGTGGAGGAAGAACGTCAGACCCCAGCCTTGTGGGATATCGTGGGGTTCAGGATAGAGTTCTGGTAGAGGGTTGGAGAGGTTGAGTTTGGGTGGAGAGACGCCCTGCCACACATACATCAGCACTCCGTAAACTATGGTGGATCGAATCTTCTGTTAGGCCGGGCAAGGTGGAGCGTGAGTCGGGAAAGAGGATGCATGACGAGGGAAAGAAACGTACATGGCGCCCAAAGTTCGGCATATCTGGGATCTGTTGTTTAAATCAATCAGTATCAGCATCAATATCCAAGAAGACAAACGGCTCTCGTCAGAGAAGGTACGGGGGAGGGGGGGCCACCTGATTCGTAAACATTTCCTGCACCGTCTCCTTCTTGAGAATCCTCTGGCCTGTCCCCGGATGCACACCATCATTCAACAACATGGCAATAATCTGACAATACTGAGCCGGCCTCGCGAAACAGCCCGCACCACCCTGATGGAACGTCGCCGCTATTTCCTCCTTGCTCGTCGCATACAGCGGGCGCCGATTCAAATGCCCATCCAGGTTTAACGACAATTTCCCATCGGGTGCCCGGGCATTCATGTACGCGAGATTCATCTTCATCTCATCGGTAGGGAACATGTTGATGTGCGTGATGCCCATGGGCTTAAAGATGTATTGTTGGAAGTAGTCATTGAGTTTCATGCCGGAGACACGCTCGACGAGCTGTCCAGCCCAGTCGATGTTGATTCCATATTCCCAGACTTCACCGGGTTGGTTGACGAGCGGTTGCGACAGGTAGTCGTGGTAAGAGCCGGAGAATTCGTCCAGGCCCTGAGCACCGGCCCAATCAATCAGTCGTTGGTCGAAGAAGGAGTAGCCGAATCCAGCTACAATCCAAAACCAAAATCAGCACCGCAATGTGGAAAATACGTCAATTTCATATGGACAGGACCATACCGGTGTGAGTCAGCAGCATTCTCAAGGTAATTGCCCTCTTCTTGGGGACCAGCTTGCCATTCTCATAGACTTGCACGGCTTTCAATTCCTGTCGTACCCTCGTTAATTCGGCCTTGAGGACCAGTCTCTCAAGACGAGGTCCGAACCTACCGGAGCAAGTTTCTCCACAAGAGCCGAGTCGTCCAAAGTCAACTTCCCCTGTTCAACCAGCTGCATACACGCAATCCCGGTGATCATCTTGGTACAACTGGCGATCCAGAAGACGTTGTCCATCGTCATGGGTTGATCCTTACCGACCCCAACCTTGCCTGACGCATGTTGAAAGATCAGTTCCCCATTCTTGTTGACTGCAGCAAATACCACGCCAGGGGCGCCGGTAGGATCGGATGTCAGCGCATCAATCTGGGCTTTTAACTGTGGAACAGCTGCTGCTGCTACCTTGGCCATTGTGAGGGCCGATTCAGAGAATAGATATGCTAGTAATGGTAAGTGGATATCACCAGGATATTGCTGTGTCAACGTAGAAGGCCCCTTTTTCGGTTGGCAAGTCTTCCTCAAGTGGTCCAACTATGAAAAGCATCTCGATCTGCAAGGGCGGGGGTAAAGGCCATATTTGAAGGGATTCGATCGATGTCCGGAGCCGGTTCAACGGGCAGTAAGCGAAAGCATCGACGTCGAAAGGTTTGCTCGATTCAGCTCAACAAGAATGACGCTCATGACTGCATGAATCCTCACCCCCAAGATCTCTCTCATTGGGTGTGTTTAAAAGTCGGATCCGCCGGTTCGGTCTAGAGCAAGGAGGGGGGAGGAGACAGGACTTGTCCCCGCATCCAGACCGAAAACTTTTTTGTTTGAACGGAGCTTAGCTTATCTCATTTCTGTTCATCGTTGGAAGCCGAGGAGTATCGACAGCAATCGTGCCAAGCGGGTGAGGTTGTGGTTGGGCGAAAGCCGGGCATGGGAATGAAAAGACATCACTAGGGCATTTCAGGAAGATTATTCAGCCTTGTCGTTGACCAAGAGTCGACGAAATTCCTCTCGACCGACCAGACTCGTACCAGAGATATACTCACTTTCCCCTTGCGATTAATTGCTCTTCTGGAACGTGTCCTACCTAGCCAAAGTGCAGCAATAATTCCCTAAGCAAAACTGACCGTCCGTCATGATCATTTCAAGCGCGAAAATCTTGACTGATTGGACAAACACTGGCGGTCGAAACGACAAAATGCTCATGCGTGTCACATCACACTGCACTCTCGATCAGGTTTCTCACCCCTTACTTTACTTCTTGACAACCGACTACGACTCTTCTCTCGTCTATGTCCCTTTGGCAGTTCCACTCGAAGGGTGTTCTGCTTCGGGAGAGGTTGCTTGTCCGTCATGGTTCGATCGGTAACCTCTGTTACATGAACTTCGGCTTGGATCGTGTTTCCCGGTAGTTTCTCTCGGCTTTTCTTTCCCCCGAACTTGGACAATGTTCGGCCTAAGCCGTCACTCATTTTGCTCTGTGTTCTTGAAAGGGATACACTTTGCCGCTTGGGCGTATTGGCGCCGCCCGAATGGTTGGAGACACCGAGGGATGTCTCGCTAGTATGTTCTGCAGGTTGTTCCTGGAACGATACCACACTCGTTCTTCGTGTCTCTGCAGGCGATCGCCCTCGAGGGTCATCTCGTCCTGATATTTCGAAACTGAGTCGACTAGATGGTGGTTGATTTTCTGTCAAAGCAGAATCGGTCGAAAGTTCACTGACCGAAGCATTCCGATCCGATGTCGAGGTCAGAATATCTTCACCAGATGTAATATGCCCTGGGTCGCCTTCGATGGGGACTATCTGGTAGAAGAGCAAATACGGAGTCTCTTCTCTCAGAGCCTTTTCAATATCGACCATGGTAATGCGATGAGGAGCAAGATCGTCGAATCTCATCCAAGTTTGGGTGCTGTCCGTGAAATTGCCATCGAGAGACATTGGTGGAGCTGTGCCTCGAACCAGAGCAATGTAGTGTCCAGAGTCCACTGAATTACCTCGGTGACAGACGGCAGACTGTAATGACAACTTGAAGTTGCCATACAATTGGCCGGTCTCGTCCATATGATCATCTTGAATGAAATGAGGCACGCCGATTTCGACAGGGATATCAACTTGAGTGTTTAATCGAATGGCTTTTCCGGCCGACGTCATTGAATATCTCTTGAGGCATAGTCCCAGAACTGGTCGCTTGGACGAGAAATGGGCGGCAACTTGGGCATCATTTGTAGGCGCATTATCGGTGTACCATGCTAGCAGTGGTGGTCAGCTAAGGACTCAATGAATCGTCCAAATGACCTACGTATAAGACTGAAAAATTGCCACGCCGGCATCATCACCTCTTTCCGAATACTTCCGGCCCGCGGCCTTCCCGTTGAATCTCTTGAACCGGCTCCAGCTAGAGATGAATACCCACTCTCATCCTGTGGAGGGAAATAGCGTTCTTGAATGATACTAGGAGTTCGAAGTCGGGTGGTGGGCCTCATAGGTGACGTGTAGCTGGGTGACGAAGAGAGAGGAGTGATGGGTGAGGAGTCGGAATCTAGCTCGACGGTCTCCACATGAACGGCGGTCGTCTTTCTGATGGAATTGATCGTCGATCGCCGCTCCATGTACCTTCGAACTTCAATTCGGTTGTTGAAATAGTCTTCCAAACATTCTTCAAGGGTAATTTCACTCCTTTGGCCGGTTGGGTCTGGAGGAATGGCAACCTCCAAAAGCCTCTCGTTGACAAACTTGTGATCATCGGTGGTGTCCTCCTTTCCAGTGTGGTAGATATCCATCTTTAGAGTCAGCAAGGGTAGTTCAAGCTTTCCCGTGATGAACGTAAAAGCTTCCGAGGCATCTTGCTGATGGAGCGTGGCAGCCCCGTCCCATCCACATTCGGCTAGCGTGTCTTGCATCACCTTCGTGATATCTGTGGTAATGAGTCTGCCAGACCGTAACAGGTTCACCCAAAGTCGCAAAACAAAACCTAGCTTGTTTCGCGACACGTCGTCGAAGGAATTGTACAGCATGGCTTCGAAACTGTCGAGGCGAGAGAACATGGAAAACAGCGTCGCGTCCAGGTAGCATGTCACCCCCTGTCTATTTTGCGCACCAAGCAGTTGGGTCCTTGGATCATAGCTCGTGACGATACCCTCTGAGGCATCCGACATGGCCAGCAGAAGGCCGTATGCGGCATCCAGATCACCATTGGCTGAGATTGAACGAAGGGCCCAGAGAATTTGAGCATCCCGTAACATGACTCCCTTGGAATTGATTATTCGTTGTCGCAATGTCTCGACCTACGTCAATACTGTCAGAAGGCTATCCTCGTCCCCAGAAAAAAACACCCCCCACCTTATGTTCCTCGGCCTGATTCGTCGGGGGCCCATGAGCATCGAACAGACCATAGAAGTCAGACGCTGAGTTGGAATCGACTGCCTTCGAGGCGAGTTCGGGACTTGACTGGATGGAATAACGAGTCAGCATAGACGTGAAGGAGGGAGAGAACAAAGAAAAACCAAAATGGTTGGGGAAGAAATGCAGAAGACCCATCGCGATATCTAGTTGTAGTACAGATGGAAAGACAGAAGCATTGGATATTCGACGTGAAAGGGCGGGACTCACAGCGAAAGCAGGTTTCTTTCCTAGAGCCAGAGCACGGTGGTCCCGGTCACGGCTGTACTTGCCCTCCCGTTTGGAGAGGAACCTGCGGACCCCACTCATCGCGAAGTGTCGCGATGTCAGTACAGTAGTGAGTGAATCGTGTTACGCTGTCCGTGTGGGGTTCAAATGTTTCGAGACTGCGAAGAATGGGAGGGATGATTCAGACCATGGTGTTTGTCAGAAGGCTGAAGCCAAAGAGCGATGCCTCCCAATTTGGAAATTGACCAAGGCGATTTTGAGTGCGAGGTATTTATCGGGCCCGTTCAGGGCATGCCTCGGACGCGGCGGGCGAAATTCAGTCGATGCCGGGCGCCACAAAATCCGGGTTTGGGATTTGGATGTGGACTGCCTGTGTCTCCTAGACTGCTCCTGTTCTTGACGAGGGGTTTTTGCACAAGAATCTTAGCTCAGCAAATCTGGCGGTCTTTCTTGCCCCGCGGCGCTGTCCACTTTTGCAGACGACTTTCGCCCCGGCGCTCTGATTGGTTGGAAGCGGACTTCTTGCCAAGACTCGGAGCTTGAACTTCGAGGACCGCGACAGGGCAAGTGATCACCCTGCCCTTACCACACCTCCCATAGCTTGAACCAGACACGGGCACGACAGCCTCCTCTAATTCTCTCCATCCCCGGACTCGTCTTTATCCCCTCCTCCGTCCATGTCCACCGTCACGCGAACCTTCCGCAACCTGTGGAGGGTTGGCCTCAAAGAATATGGACACCAGCTGCAGTACATTGTAGATCATGACGAACGCCCTTCGATCGCAGAGAAGCTCTGACATTCCACTAGGGCGATACCAAAGCCGGTGTTCTGATCGGAACCGACCGATACGGCAACAAATACTACGAAAACCTGGAGGAAGACCTTCCCCTACGGACACGATGGGTACGGCGCGCTCCCCGAACCCGCATTGAGATATTTGGCTAAGAGCCGGCAGGTCGACTATAAGGACAGAGAGCTTGACGCCAGTCAAATAGAACCCGGATGGCATGCGTGGATGAGCTACCTGGTTGACAAGCCCCCAGCGGAAGACAAGGTCATGGCCGTTGGCGTGAGACCTTGGGAACCCAAGGAGCCCAAGATCAACCTGACAATGAGCAGAGGAGCTTACCGCCCATACTCGACGTGCGTGATCCCAATTCCTCCCTCAGCTGGCCGAGTTTGATTGACACAGGAACAGGACAAAACCGAAATACAGTGCTTGGGATCCTGTCGCCAAACCCCGAGACGGCTCTACTCCCTAGGCAGAACGAGACATTCGAGAAGGAGCAGATGTCGACCCAAAGTCATAAAAGGGGTGTTACTTCATCGAATACGTGTACAGTTGCATGCAAGAGGAGTTTCGGGAGGTTCCAACTGAAAAGACAAACAAGAGGCCTTAACGCAGATTGGGGTATCTCAAACGCGCCATCCCAAACCAATCTCAACGCCCCATACCCGTACCTTTCATGCTTTTGTTGTGCGCCGATATATCCTCGCAGGTCCCAATTCCGCCCGAACCTCGTCTAGTTGTTGGAGACCGAATTTCTCGTTTCCATTTTTCCCGCGTTTGCCCTTGGCCCCTCTTCTCTTACCTCCACCCGGATTTGCTTTGTTCCAGTCACCCAGAAATCCATCCATCATACTGTCAAAATCCTCTCGGACTGCCCCGTCGTCTGCAAAGCTCGTCGTCGAGAGCTGTGACATCTTGGACCGCCCGGTCATCCCCGATGCGAACGACATTTGACCATCCAGATCATCGAATTCATCGCCCTCATCCAGTGAATACATCCTTTCCACCTGGTCGAATCGCGCATCTAGTAATTGTAGACCAGATGTTCGGGCAAGAGTTGATGAAGTCATGGAATATGAACTGGGGTTTGTCAAAGCACCTTTCCGCTTCTTCTGCCGCAATGGTGTACCATTCTGCGTGTACAGTGACGGTGCCTTGTCCTGGACGGCAGAAGCCGCGATGATCGATTCTGCGGCTTTCGGCTGGAGCTTTCTGGCACTTTCACACTTGAATTTGGCAAAATCTCGCAACCATTGTCCATCTTCTGCTGCAGCCGCTTCCGCATCCGGAGACGGACCTTTATCAGTGATTTCTGCTTTGTCAGCCGTTGGAGCAGTCGATGGAAGCTTCAATTCCAAAGGCTGTTGGGCGGTCTTCTCTGTTACATCCGACTCCCAACCACCGTCGTCGTTGTCGTCCACGAAAGTCGCCTCAAACTCAGCCAAGTCGAGTTCACCGTTGCGGCCGTCCTTGGCCAGGGCACCGAAGATGTCTTCCTCGTCCTTGTCGTCCACATAGGCATCATCATCCAACGCTTCCAACACTTCTCGCAATCTGGGGTCCATGTCAGGTTGGAATCCTGCGATTTCATCCGGAACATCCTGTTGAGTCTGGTACGTTCGAGGCCTCGTTGACGTAGAAAACGTAGAAGTCAAGTCACTGCCGGCCACGCTCTGCTCGTCAAGTGACACTTCTCGCAGTGTATCTTCCAACTTCATCATCTTCGCTTTCTCTTTGTCCTCCCCTTGAACCTTGGCTAGAGTAGCTTCAATGAAATGCGAACCCCCAGGCTCTTCACCCACGTCTCGCAAATGTTGCATGTAGTCATAGTTGGTGTCGTCAAAGTAGATTCCGTATTCGGCTGCCTCGCCCTCATTTTCTCGCATGCTCTCAAAGTCCAGGTCATCTTCCAGGTCCTTCAGGTGTAAACCCTCTTTAGCCGCGCTCTTTTGAGAAGAGGATCCCGGTCCGGATACTTGGTACAGCGTTCGCTCTCCGGCGGTCTCATCATGTAGAGCGGGGTCATTTTGCGGGCGATATAGAAGGTGAAAAGTTTGTGCGTTGTTCTTGTCGCTGCTCCTACGTCAATTTCGACATCTTGCAAATAGGATTTGTTTAAACATACATCCAGCGTTTTCGGGGCATTTTGATTCGTATTCAGATCTGGGGGGAAAAATAAAAAAAAAGAGTCTGCATACCTAGTTTGGCGACCGAGTTCCTGCGGCCTTGGCGCGCTAGTCTTGGACATAAAGCGGCCTCTGAATCGTCTATTCGTGGTTAGATTCCCGATGACCATTATACGGGAGTTTGACCTAGAGTGACACTCTTCCTGACCAACCCGTCTTGTTAGAAATTACGTGAATCAAAAATGAGGTTGGAGTTGCCTGTGCTACTTCGGTCCAAACCGGCCTTTCAAGCGTTCTCCCTCATTTTGAGCAAGTAATATAACCCGGAAACGGCACTCGGCTTCATAGCAGGTGCACAATCGCTTCGTGACATCCATTTTCTGCTCAACCAAAGAGGTGAGAGGCAATCTTGATCAGGAATCGAGCAAGGCGCGTCCCTTTGTCCAAAAAGTTCTAGACACCTTCCTGTAGGGGCTTCATAATGAGGTCGCCTCTTACACTTCGAGATATGGGGAGGGTTGCCTTTCAACGGCTTCGAATTGACAGCTTGGTTGCATCAATGATCGATTTTGCCGGAGAATTACCTCACGAATGGAAACCAAAATGGGAACAGCGAAGACGTGATGCTGGGGAAAGATCTGGGACCAAGAGAGGAAGGGCAGCTCTCCAGCGCTCGATTGGAAGAAATCTTTCACGATCGAGTGCACGAACCAGAATTGCAACCTCTTCTTTCGGTGATTCAGGGTTTGACAAAGTTCTCACCATTGGATGGCATTCCGGCGTCGCCGGCTCTAAATTCATGAAATCCTCCAACAGAACAGACAGCCGAGAACAGTCTAACTGTAAGCACACCTGTGACCTTTATATCGCACTGATTTTTCGGCTTCGGGAGAAGATGTATGTAATTCGACTCTGTATCCATGCCCGATCCTGGCAAGCAAATTAATGCATGAATTCACAAGGTGATTTTTAGAGATACCACGAGCCGAGGCATATGCTAACAAGAGAGGGATCACTCACAGCCAATTAGAGACTTTCATCTCGACGCATATAGTCCTCACCATCAGCAAATGGCATTGAATCCAAAGTGGGTGCTCTCACTCACCGTGACAGTCATCGCACAGGCAACATCTTGACCAGCATCTCAACCGGTGAGGCATTTAATGCCGGTCATTGCTTTGCCTTGGAGTGTCAGCTCCGCTTACTGCAGAGGAGTTCCCAGGCCAGGAATATTACCGTAACAGCCACAGGAACCATTCCCTGGATGACTAGGGCCATCTCGCTTGGGAGCAAGAGTGTCGACGGTGGTTCCGGTATTACGACTTGTCGAACAAGGTTTTCCTGAATGGTTGAACAGTAGTAAAAGCCCCTTTACTAGGAAACGGGGTTGTCACCCCTATGTAGAATATAGGGGCAGAAATAGGAGAAGAAAAGGGGTCAACTCAACGTGTACACACCCCAACAGCCTGGCAGGACCAGTTTCGAGGTAGACAGAGCATTCAATACATCTCAAGTTGTTCCCCAGTTCGACACGACTCTGTCGGAAACGCCCTCGAACATATCACGCCATGGAGTTAACCAAGCTCTCTCCTAGGTTGGGGCCTCTTCCTCGTCACCATCGGATAGAGTGGCCCTGCATTGCTGGCCGGAAAGGAAGAATCATCAGATGATTTTGTGATTTCTCTGAAATGATAATAACAATCCATACCTACAGTACTGGTACAGTGAAACTCGATCTTGGCCCAGCACGCCACAGCGGGTCAACAAAAGAATCCAATATCATTTTGTGGATCATGTGTGAAATCCATTGGAGGGAGAAGGGGGCCTGAATTACTCGTTCTGACGTATTGCTGTAGTTGGCGAGTTTCGTTGCTGTGAATATAAGTTTCCTGTGCAATCACTGGACTTCTCTCGCTCAGTTTGCACCACTCTGTGTCCCTACAACACATGTCGACTCCATCAGACAAAGTTTGGGACGTCATAGTGGTCGGGTGGCTTAGCAGGCGCTGTCGTGTCCAGTCGGCTCGTCGAGGACTGGAAAGATACCAGCGTGCCTACTCCTGCTGGCAAGGCCCTTGGTGGAAGCACAGCCATCAATTCATGTGAGGCGGACAAATCTCATTGTGACTATGATTCTGATAGGCACTGACAATTGGTCGGAAGGCATGTGGGCTCGAGAACATAAGGCTGAGTATGACGATTGGGGGGAAGTCGTGAACGACCCAAGGTGGACAGCTGCTATATTTCAAGAAAGCCGAGACTATAGCTGACCCCGGAGTTGACACGTCACAGCACGGAGTAGACGGGCCCATCATCTCAACAGGTGTCTGGACCACCGGGCGGCATTTCCCTCTCCGAGAGCCCATACGCAAAGCATGGGCCGAGCTAGGAGTTAGTTCCAACCCGGACCCTAACCGTGGCGACTTGATAGGCGTTGGCGAAGTTAGTGAGAACCGCAAGAATGGACTCCGTCAAATCTCAAGCTCGGCGTATTCATTGAAGGGTGTGACAGTCTTCATTGACACTTTGGTCAAAAGGGTTCTCATCTCCAAGGACGGAGAGACCCTGCGAGCAACGGGTATTGAGTGTGCAAGTGGCTCCGCATACTTGGCATCGAAAGAAGTCATTCTGTCCGCCGGAGCATACCGGACACCACAGCTCCTCATGCTCTCCGGTCTGGGTCCAAAGGACCATCTGGCTTCGAACAGCATCGAAACAGTCTTGGACCTTCCGGACGTGGGCACCGGCCTGCGAGATCACCTTTTTTTTTCAATCAGTTCTAGGAACTACGAACCCAGCAGACGGCTTGGTGATTGGATCGTCAAATCCCCTATTTGCTCAGCCAGAGTTCGCCTCAGGATTTCCTGTTGACTGGCTAACCTCGACAACTGTACCCGAAGATGGCTTGCAGAAAGCGATTGAACGGGACGAAGGCAGAGTCCCGACAGCCTCCCACCCACTATTGAAGACCACTCGAGCTTTCATCGGGACATTGATCACATACGCAGTGGCGTATCCTCTGTATCCAGTTAATGGCCCCGGCGGATCCCATATTACCACTCTTCTGATGGCCGTCCAGCTAACGTCCAAAGGGAGCGTTCGGCTGGCATCTGCCGGTCCGATCGATAGCCCGCTCATTGATCCTAACCTTTACGCTACAGAGGTCGATCGTTATGCCATCCGGCAGGGCGTGCGAGATATAGCAAAATTGTTACTGGAAACAACAAATTGCAAGCGCTTCGTTCTCAAAGAAAAGGCACCGGATTCTTTCCCGCCTTTGTTAGCGAACGCAAGTGATGCGGATATCGATGCTCGAATCGCTCATTCTGCAATGTAAGCCGCCTTTGGGCTCCGTGTATCTCATTTACCTTCTGGCTACCAACATCTTGAAATCCAGCTCCTTCTGCCATCCCATGGGGTCGGCCGCCATGGGAAAGGTTGTTGACAACAATCTGCATGTTAAGGGAGTTGAGGGACTTAGAGTGGTGTATGCCAGCGTGATCCCGGTTGCCATCTCTGCAGCTCTCCAACAAGCCGTGTAGCTCTGTCTGAGCAAGCTGCCGACATCATAGCAAGTGCTCTGTAGAAAATTGATATCCCGTCCTGGTGGCTCCGATGTGAATGCAGCGTTTCATCTCCCACGGCAAAATCCTTCTTTGTCTTCTATCTGAAGCACCTCTATTTCGTCATGATAACTTGAACCCTGACTGAGTTTCGTGGCGACTCGGTCGGTCACCTTTTCAGCTGGTGACACGGCTCAGAGATATTGGATCCTGCATGGTAACAGGTTGCCCGAAATAATGAAAGGCGCAACGCGCTGTTGATGTTTGCGAATTAGACAGTATTAGGATCATCCACACGATCCTTGTTCATAGAGGACGTAGATTACAAGCCATATGGGACAGGTCCCTGAAAGAGGATCAACTGGAGCTATGGAAGATAAACATTCCAGGAAGACGACCACCCACTGCAGTGAGGCAGCAATCATCTCTACCAGGTATCGCGCAGAGAGCGATGCTACTGGCAAGCAAAAATAAAACGTAGAGGAATTAAAAGCTTTTCGACAGATTCTTCCACCTACCTGCCCAATCCCCCACTCCACAGGGTCACTGTCGTCGTTCTCCTTCTTGACCTCCCACAGATCATGTCCAACGCATGGTTTGCACCAGAAAACACCCTCTGGGTCCCATTTCTTTTTAATGTCTAACAATCGTGGGTAATTCTCGCCATAGAAGTCTTTCTGCCAATCCGAGTTGGTGGGATCGGCTTCATTCAAGTAAGCCCCAGATGCCGGAGCGATCTCCTTGAGAGCTGGTACTGCCTCTTCGCGGAGTGACCGCACAAGCACACCTTTGGCCGTGTCGTTAAGAGCAGGCCAAACGCGGACCAGGACTATCGAGCACTAGTTAATTCTGCACAACAATAAACTTACCCTTAAATTGGTGTTGGGAAGGGGAAAGGAGGAAACGTACCCACATGTGCGTATGCCCTCCGCCACGCAGGGTTAACAGCATTGCCACCACCAGGAATTTGCGCTTTTCGGACTCCTGGCCCTGCTACCAAATAGCCCAGCATTGGGAAAGGCTGAGGAGATGATGTTCGCAGTGCTCTTTTCAACATTTTGAAGTTTCCCTTTAGAGCTGGTTCATCTAAGAGCCATGACCCGAGTCTGCCATCAATACCGACGGCCTGGACATTCCCACCCAAAATGGATGTGGTGAAGTCGGAAATACGGCTCACAGATCCACTTGTAAGAACATTGTCCACGGACCAATCAGATGTGCGAATAGCAGCTTCAACGGGTCCCATAATCCCTTTGACCTGTTCACGAGTCTGTCCAGGGAATCTGAGCTTGCCCACAAGCCGTCCAACTGCTGCGGACGCTGACAGACCTCCTGGGAGCTGATCCGCATATCCAGACGGAGTACCGTTAGCGGTCAACATATACTCTCCCATAGCACCTGACTCCGACAGGGAAGGAATTTGTGAATGGAAGTATGGCGCCAAAGACCAAAATGTGTCCGAATCAGCTGTGGTATTGAAGTCGAAGGCATATTCAGTGCCGCTTATCGAAGGGTACGCCTTCATCGTGACAGACAGAAGAATAGCGAAAGTCGAGCCACCTCCGCCTCTCATCGCCCAAAAGAGGTCATTCTCGCAACGCTCATTAATGATATGATATTGCCCACCTGCGGTGATGACCTCCATCTCTAGGATCTGGTCTGCACCTAAGCCGTATCGGCTAGATACTGACCCATGCCCTCCACCTAAAATCCATCCTCCAATGCCAACATTCATATCACTACCACCAACTATGGTCAGATTGTACTTTGCCGCTTCGTTGTATATCTCAAACCAGCGCATTCCAGCAGCTATCTTGACGGAAGCATCACCCCCGTAACGGCGTGCACGAAAGTCATGCATGTTGACTTTGACGCCCCGTATGCCATGCGTCCAGATTGATAGCGAGCCAGGTCCAGATGACCTTCCCAAAAAGTCATGTCCAGTGCCTTTCACTATCAAGCGTACGCCAGTACTTTTGGCGAAATCCACGCCTCTTTGAACATCGAGTCTGTTTGTGGCCTCGATCACGTACGCCGGATATCCATTTGTTGAGCACGGTGCAGAAACATTAGGCAAGCAGGCATCGTCATTATAAGCGGAAGAACTCGGGTCATTGGCGTGCCAGGAAGAATTTGTCCACTGTTCTTGAACAGTCCTGCAGGACACATTGTCAAAGACAGGTTGCTCTGGATGACAGACCATGCCCGCCGGAATGGTGGCTTTTAGTCTCCCAGAAATTGATTCGTTGAGGGCCATCCATTGGGGCGGCGATGGCCATGTCGACGCTCTTGGGATAGGTTTGCAGCGGTAGAATGCTGCCGCTCCATTGCTAAGGATCAATTCGAGGATTAGAAATATCAAATATTTCACAGCTGTATCATTAATGATATTCAGCCATTTTGCCTCAAGGACTTAAGCTCGATGATGAGGTGTATTTCTTACCTTTGCAGTAGTGACCCTATCCATTAAGTTATCAGCTTCCAATTCTCGTAGAATACGCTTGATGAATGATATAGGGCAAAGGTCGGACGTTAGACAACTAAATGCCTACACCGGGAACTGTGACGAAGCCGCTAACCCAAAACAACTTTACTTGCGATTCGTCATTTGTTTATAGTCGAGGCTATATGTCTGTCCCCTTATCTTGATTGGTCCAGCATCCGTTTACCCCTGAACATGGTGACGACATCAGATTGGTTTTACCCTCTATTCTGAATGGTGCTGCCTGGTCCTTGATGTGCCTTTCGTATCACAGCCAGCCCAATATACGAGCATCTTTATTACATTCACCTGGTGATTTTCCACAGTTGACCATCTTAGCGATGGTCACGTTGCTTGGATATTGTAATATCTTATCTTGGCATCGCTGCACGAAACTTCGGAGGGGAAGGTTGAAACCCGTACCACGTCAAGGTCGTATCGAGCATGTGCGTCATCATTGCCGAAACTGACGAGGGGGCCAAAAGAAAGCATCAGGAATTCCTCTCGTATGGAGATCGAGAAGGAGCTCTTGTGCTCTTTCGGAGTTGACCATTCGACTTGTTCGGATGACGAGTACTTCCGCTTCGTCAAAATGTCCATGATTCAATCCATTGTTAACGGCTGGGCGGACACAGCACCTGGAAGCGAGAACTTGAAATGGAACCTGGCTCGAATTGCAGAGTATCTGTTGCTGGTTGGGATGACTGCAAAGATCGTCCGCTCGTTCGCGACTGTCGCTGACGGGCTTGAACGTTGAGTGGAGGCGGCCGATGTCAATAGATTTATCTTGTCTCATGTGGTGAATTCAGAGTCGTTTGAGGACATCATTGAATCCCTACTACCTGAGCTCAGGAAGAGAAGGATCTCTCGAGAATCGGTTGAGAAGTAGGGTACCACAATGAGAGAACAAGTTTTCGGCACGCCGTAGTTGTTGAAGGAGAATGAGATTCCTAAATATCAAGGACCTACCAACCATGGTATCTTGAGCCGAAAAGAGAGAGACTTCCCTGAATAAGAGAAGCATGTAGAGTTGGTCAACGCCCCCCCCACTGCAGAATTCGGTAGGACTCTTCAGCACCGGGCTTCGTCGCTAATGGGCTAGGGAGGCGTTACTCATCCAAAGAGTGCTAGGCTAGAAATACCATGTATTGGCTGCCCGGAATACTTAGAGACGGGTGAGGCTGAGACATTAAAGACCCCTTCCCCACCGAGGGATTTTTGGGGGTGGGCTGAGGATGTGGATTTTCTGCCAAGGACTATAATTAAAGCGGCCGCTCCCAGAAGATAGTTCTAGTTAGCGCATACATTCTCTTCCCGCCGCTACAACAACTGGAAAGTGGCTGCACGTGACCTCGGAAATTGACTTTCGCTTTGAATTTCAAGTTCATCCCTTTTGATTCTACCAAGCATTCGCATTCCATCCTAGGGTTCACCTCTTTCGGTCCACATTTTTGGATTCACGCGCAGTGGAACTGTTTTCCGTGGAGTCTATTTTGCGGGGCTGAGAAAGTGATCTTCAAAGAACTGCGGCAACTTCTTCGCTCTGATATCTCTCATATTTTGCACCAATCGAGGAATCTAGAATAGAAGGGGTTTGCTAACAAGGTATTTACGTTTGATGAATCCCTCCTAACCAAGCAGAATACAAATGTCTTCCTTGGGTTCGCACATCATGGACTCCAAGGTCATTTTGTTGCCTATGCAGTCTACGTGAGATGACCCCACCAACTTCTTTTGTTACCCCAGATGAGCCGGGCTATATCCTGGCCTAATGTCTCGTTGCGACGGCCTCCTTACAGGTTGTTCGACACAGCACCACGTGAACAGCGACGAACATCGAGAATATCCGGGACTAACAGGGGTTCAACAGGTCAAGCCGGGAATTTTAATAATCAAGACACCCTGAATCGGACATTCGAAGCTCCCCTTGTCAGGAACAGGGTATCTGTCCAGGATTCCCCCATAGCATATCCCCCAACGAGCCGAAAGCGGATTAGAAGGTGCAAAACAGAGTTTCTTTGTTAGGTGGCTGACGATCCACACTTCTTCCTGCAGCTGGACATGGCTCTCACAGAATGGACTATACGGATGGCGATGTTGGTCGGACGTCGTGGCAAACCTGCTGGCGTCACATCGATGGAGTGACAATTCGACAAACAACTACTATCTTCGACTCACTCCCCATTCCCCGGGGAGAACGCGCGAAACGGGGAAAGGGAGTCTATGACGAAGACATCTATTCCTCCGGACGCATTGTTTCCGGCTGTAGTGATCAACTTTTGTCGTTTGAAGCGCAGCATTAAAATGGCACACTGAACGGGCATGAGCTTGTTTCGAAGGCGCACCGCGCTTCCCTCAAGCTGGATCTCCGTGGACAATGACTTCATCGCGGGGACTGTGGCTAAGGGAAAAAAACAGAAACACAAAGTCCGCATCTGGAATATCAGAAACAAAAATGGAAGATATTGAGAACATTAACCCTCAAGCAGCTAGGGAGTATTCCTGATCCAAGTGGTCACGGATCGGACCAGCCGCTTAGGATGATTCAGGAGTAGGAAAACCTTCTGGGTTCTTACAGAAGAAACATACTGGAATTGGAGGACCAATGGCAGCATTTGAGTCTGTGACTTTCTTCCGATAGTCAATGGGTTTGATGAGAATCTGATCGTCGCAGAAACAGAGAACAGGGATGAGGCGGTGGAAACATGTGAATGTGGAGGAGAGAGCGAGCTGAGGAAATCACAGAGACAGCAGAGGAATTTTCAATTTACATGAGAATGGAGAAATACCGGAGGCAGTGTTCGTAATGAAAGATTCTGGGATGAGATAGCAATCATATCGGTAGGTACGTCGTCTAAGGTGAAGAAATGGTAGGGGCACAAGTATCTCCAGGCTTGGCAATTTGGCCGGGACTCTGACTAAGTCGGAGGCTGGTTTTTCAAGGTCGTCATTTATCGCACCAGGACGTGCAACAAACCTGATGGCCTTCTTCGACTTGTATCTCTGACCCCTGCACGCGACACCCATCGACCTTCAGCAACAAACAGACCCTCCGCCCTACGTTAACGTCCCTATCTATTCTTAGCTAGTGCATGCATCAGTCGTGCATATTCATTACGTTCCAGAAACCTGCGTTCCTCTCCGTCCTCGTCCTGCACCACTGGGTGCCTTTCCTCTTCCGACAGCTTATAATATTGCGTGCGAGGTGTACATGAGCCCCGTAACTCTCGATCCCCACCACAGACTCAAGAGCTATAAAATATGGGCCAGACTCTGTCAGAACCCGTGGTCGAGAAGGTGCGCTCATTCCCGCAAAGTTTTGTGCCAGCCGAGATCCATCTCGAGGCTGTGTGCGTGTGTGTGATCGATGGCTGCGGAACTCAGAAAGCAGCCTATGGCCAATCTTCCTGAATCTTCTCTCCCGACGTCCGTCGTGCCCATAGCTAACGGAATATCGCAATAGACATCCGATAGGGGCGCAGATGACTGTGTTCTATATGGTCTCTCGGCCATGCAAGGGTGGCGTATAAGTATGGAAGACGCGCACGCTGCAGTACTCGACCTACAACCCGAGGGAAATGGCCAAAACCACAAACCGTCGGTCCCAGACAAACGATTATCGTACTTTGGCGTCTATGACGGGCACGGAGGAGAAAAAGTGGCGCAATTCGCCGGGGAGAATATCCACAAGATTGTTGCAAAACAGGAGGCCTTTTCCAAAGGAGATATCGAACAGGCCCTAAAAGACGGCTTTCTTGCTACAGATCGCGCAATTCTAAATGGTATGAAGCCGTCCAATCAGGATTCTAGTACATGTGGACTGAAACAGCGACCAGATGCGCGGTATGAGGACGAGGTGTCCGGATGCACCGCGTCTGTCGGTATCATATCAAAGGATAAGATCTGGGTGGTGAGTGGATTCTCCCCTACTTGGCCCAACGCTTTGACTTAGCACTGCCAGGCAAATGCTGGAGACTCTCGCACTGTTCTTGGTGTGAAGGGAAGAGCAAAGCCACTATCTTTTGACCACAAACCCCAAAATGAAGGTATGAAGCGGACGAACAAGCCCAATTCTCGGGGATCTGACCCAGAGATAGGTGAAAAGGCTCGTATAAGCGCCGCGGGTGGATTTGTCGACTTTGGTCGTGTAAATGGGAACCTGGCCCTGTCACGTGCCATTGGCGACTTCGAATTCAAGAAGAGCGCCGATCTTTCCCCGGAACAGCAGATTGTCACAGCCTTCCCAGACGTGATTACGCACGAGATTTCGCCGGACGATGAGTTTCTGGTCATTGCTTGTGATGGTAGGACGTCTACAAGGATCTTCTCCACGGGAGGCCTGCCACTAACGGTGGATAGGGATCTGGGATTGTCAATCTTCTCAGGCCGTGATCGAATTCGTGCGAAGGGGTATTGCTGCCAAACAAGAACTACATTTAATTTGTGAAAACATGATGGACAATTGTCTGGCGTCCAACAGTGAGACGGGAGGTGTTGGTTGCGACAACATGACGATGATAGTCGTCGGTCTCCTGAATGGAAAATCCAAAGAGGAGTGGTACGAGACGATTGTCAAACGTGTGGCAGACGGCGATGGTCCCTGTGCACCGCCAGAGTACGGCAAGTCCCACCTGGATCCGTGAGACAAAGTCTGGTCTAACTGATGGCAGCTGAATTCCGCGGACCCGGAGTTCGACACCAATTCGATCATGACAGTCCGGATGAGTATGAACTTGATCTAGATCACCGATCTAGAAGTTTCGGTGACCGGACTGGTCGGATTATTTTGCTCGGAGATGGCACCGAAGTTTTGACCGATTCGGACGACACGGAAATGTTCGATCAAAGTGAGGAAGACAAGGATACGGCAAACCAGGTTAAGAAGGGGACTCCTCATACCTCGGATGTGGACTCAGCGCGAAGTGAACGAGAAGGGACACCGGCACCTCAGTCAGCGAGCGACGACCTCAAAGCATCCAGTCATCTTGACGCCTCCCATGGATCAGACACAGAAACCAAAGGAATAGCTGATAACCCGAGTGAGAAGAGAGCTGTCTGAATGGGATGTACGAAATGTGGAATGACATGACCGGGCAGATTCAGATTCATCACGATTCGAGATACCCATTCCCCCCTCAGTCCGGTGATGAAGGGGATCTTAGCATGCATGACTGTGACCATCTAGAACCAAATGGAGGACCCGGTTGTTGGAACACTTTCATGTGGTATTGTTTCCACATTGTTGAGATACAGCAAAGAACAGAGGCTAGCTCGATGCACTTTTTCCCCATTATGCATGGCGTGGCAGGGGAGGCGTATCGAGTCTTTTCTATTTTCCCACAGCATAAGAGCAGCAGATGTTTTAAATGGGCTGAGTTATCATACCCGCACCAAGCAAAGGTCGTGTTGTCTCGAAGTCCTCACGTGCCAAGGTGGCTGTCCTCGGTCCTCGTATTCGACCTGAAACTGCCGCATGACGTCGACCTGCAGCTCCCTCTCGACCAAACGGGCATCGCGACACCACAATAACTATAGTGACGGGGGATCGATTTCAATGTCCTGAGAGCATTCGCCGATCAACATTTCGGAAAAGAGCCGACGACAAGATATACCCACCAAAAATATCGCAAGGCTCTTTCTTAGACGTGCTCGAGTCGGAAGAACCGAGTCGGGGTAGGAATTTGGTGTTCACAACGGGGCCTGCATCCAGTGTGTCGGACGACAGGAGGACCTGAATCAGGAATATGTACTTTCTTGCCCAACTAAATCCTGTCTGACGAATGGTCACGGCCTTTGAAACATACAATAGCTGACAGGGGTTGTCACTGGCTATGCCACAGCAATAACGTGAGCAACAAAGTGGACAATATGCCAAAAAAATCCTACGGACAGTCCATCTAATGATCTGTCTTCCAAAGCGGCCGTCGATCACAAGAGCCAAGCGAACGGGGAACTCGTCCCTGAATTTTCTAGGCGTGGATTCGTCCTGCCTTTTTTTTATCAACTCTCTGATTTTGTTCTGGAAAGGGTACAATGCGAACGCACGAGAAGGGCCGGCGATTTGGAACAAAGCAAAGCCTCAGGTTTTGACTCCTCTTCGAATACCTACAACATTCCTCAACACTATCGCCTTATCCCGCTAACCTGCTGTCGGCTTTCCAATGATTTGGTATGTATATGACTCTTCGGGGAAGAGAGCGATAGAAATCTGGTGCGATAGCCGACACAAGCTGCTCTCTACAAAGAGCCGACCTCGCCGTTCTTCGAGTCTGGACTTTTCTATTATCGCCGACAGTGATCGTGTTATGACTTCACGGGATTCTGAACCCGTCGAATTATTTCGGTAATCTCAGATCCGCAAACTGGCTCCATAAGTCTACACTGCAAGTGATGGTCTTGTATTCAGTGGACTGATTTCGTGAATCTCTGGTAACCTTCCCTCTCGATCAGAGGATAAGCGCCTGCACAAAACGGTCTATATTATTAATTTCTTCCTCTTTTTATTGTCCTCAGTCTTTGGTCTTTGCTCCTACGCCAGGTCAGCGCTGAGAATTGACCAGATCAAATACGCGGCCCGAAGATTGCACACTGGCCGCAGATTCTCGAGCTCTCGTGGCACATGGAAGCTAAGGTCCACGCGTATGCGGGTGATTTGTCGGTATGGTCGTCATGGTGTGCGTTCGATCTAATTGCCTACATTACATTCCAAAGACAGTTTATTTTTATAGAAGAAAAGAGAGATGTCAGCGATATGACCCGGAGCATTGGTGCTCTGTACCACATATGGTTTTTGTTGGACAATATCCATTGCTGAATCGGAATTCGACGGGCAATTGAGCACTGGCCCGCCGAATCCAATGGCAGCATTTCTACAGGTCCGTCTAAAAGCCTCGGTCACTGTTCAACACATATACGCTGACTTGTTCGTAGATCACGAAAGATGAGATACACAGGTAGGACGGGACGCTGCATGGAGGGAGAAGAACGGACGTCCTAGGTCAGCTATGCACAGAGGAGGCCCAGACCGGGAACATACGCTATGAGGATATAGTTACCACATCATTCTGTGATTCCCTCTTCAAGAATGTTTAATGTGAATAACGCTTATGAAGGCGGTCTTGTACATTGAGGATGGCGGGAAGCGATACAACAGCAAGATCTCTTCGGTCGTGTTTCTCTTATTGAAAACTGGTCGCCGAATCTGAACAAGCTGAACAAGCTGGCAAGCTATCAGAATATATTACGCACGAGGAAAGCTTACAGTCGCCTTATCTGTGAGTCAAACGTTCGCAGTCGTCAGCAAAAATTTCGTGGAGCCTGGTACCAATGTGGGCATTGCAGCCCTGGTGATGCGTCACCATGAATATATATATAGTCCAAACACAGACCAGTTTCGTCCGGAAAGATGGCTGGATGCTTCCGAGGAGCTGTTGAAGGCGATGGATCGCAACTTGCTGGGGTAGAGTCTTCTCCTAGAAGAATGTAACCTCTTTTCACTTCGCAAAACCATCCCCAAATATTTTTCACTCGCTAATCCAATGGCGACTTCATTTCAGTTCGGTTTGGAGCTCGTACTTGGATCGGTAAAATCCTTTCGACGATGGAAATGTGCAAGTGTGTTCCACAAGTTCTATGTCACTTTGACTTTCAATGGGCGTCGTCCAACCTGGACTGGAACGCGAAAGCTCAATGGTTTTGGCATAATTGCCAGAGTGTACCCTCGGGCAGCAGTAGCAGCAGGGCAAAAGACCTAAAGCGATCATGATTCTTCCATTCAGCAATCCCCAGTGGAACTCCCCTGCCGCAGCAGAACAAATCCAGACACCTACCATACCTGGTAAGGGGAACTCTCAGGAGCATTGCCCGTGCTTTCCGTGTTTTGCAGATGTTATCGTTTTGCACAAATGGTGAAAAATTCTCCGCGGTCGCCGTGCACAAGATATGTATAGGTAGTTGAGCACTGACAACTTGAACTTGCGGACCTCCACCCCGCCTGCGAGTGTGAGATGGATCAGGCTCTGCCTCCAGGCTTAGGGCTTGACCGTATGCCCGCGCCAAAGTGGAGGCTGTGGTTTAAACAATCCGGGTCTCTGACGTCACGTGCTCGTCATGTCAATGCGTGGAAATGAGGTGGCCGTGTGAAAGGTAGTCGAGCTAAGAGACTTTGAATCCCTCAAATGGGGGAGAACAGAAGAATTGTCCAGCTCCTCGTGTTACCTGTTGCCTAACGACATGCGGCTTCATTGGACCAAAGAGGAAAATCTGTGTGGACTGAATTGGATGAGTAATTGAATTGATTTACTCTCCACGAACGTAGGAGGGTACATCAGATTCAGTAACTCAGCAGCGCCACTTTTGACAGCCTCACATTTTCAATTGGACAAGTGTCCGATCCCTCTAAGCACTGCTCTGTGAGTGTCTCGTGCTCGAATTGATCTGGAGTTCCTCCACAACCAAAAAGTTGGAGAGGAAAAAGAAAAAGAGAGAAAAGAAAGAAAAAAAAAAAAAATTGGATACGTTGCATGTGAGTGACGGCATCACAAGCTGGAGTCGGCCAAAGATCCATAGGATCGTCGTCAACTTTTCTCTCCATCTGACATTGATTCTTTTCTCATTCCCCTCCTCTGACTCGCACTTTGTCTCTTGGGGAAATTTGTTTCTGTATCTTGGCATCCCAATTTCGCGAAACTCCTCAAGCTCTACTCCCAACTTTTTCTGGTGTCACCGTCCGAAGGCTTCCTCCCTCTCAAAATGTCCTCTCCATCCTCATCAGCTTCCGCAAAGCGGAAGCGGACCTCTGGCCCGGACCGTCTCAAATCCGCCGCGACAGACCTACAGCAACCTTCTCACGACGCTTCAGGCGAAGAGCTCGCAGCATCTCTCTCGCATAACACTCGGAACCGCAAGCACACCCCAAGCAACTCTGTCGACAGCACTGTTCCCCCTAGGAAGCGAGCACGAACACGATCCAATGCTAACAGCTACGAATCCAACGGAACTCGTGCTCCAGACCCAGCTCAGCACCCGGGTCCGTCTTCTCACGATGACGAGGCCGAAGAGGCCGAGGAACACGGCAAAAAGAGACAGAGAACTTTTCTCGGTGCTACGACCAAGGCTGTTGTCAACGGGGATGGAGGAACCATGCAGGATCCTCCGAAGGCAGGCTTGAGGGAGCCGGTGGGATACAAGACAAATCCCCCCCCGACGGGTCGGCCGGTCAGAGTGTATGCGGACGGAGTATTTGATTTGTTCCATCTTGGGTAAGACATGGGTGTCAGAGTACACCAGATCACAGACACAACTAATTTTACTTCAAGGCACATGCGTCAACTCGAACAAGCGAAGACGGCCTTCCCGGATACTTATCTCATCGTGGGAGTTACGGGCGATGCAGAGACCCATAAGCGTAAAGGACTGACGGTCCTCACGGGTGCGGAGCGAGCCGAGACTGTCCGTCATTGCCGATGGGTAGACGAGGTGATTCCCAATTGTCCTTGGATTGTCACACCGGCATTCCTGGCAGAACACAAGATCGACTATGTGGCTCATGACGATGAGCCTTACGGTGCAGAAGAAGGAGACGATATCTACGCACCCATCAAAAAGGAGGGCAAATTTCTCGTGACCCAAAGAACCGAAGGGGTGTCCACGACGGGAATCATCACCAAGATCGTCCGCGACTACGAAAAGTACATTGTACGCCAATTAAAGAGAGGAACCAGTCGTCAAGAATTAAATATCAGCTGGCTCAAGAAGAACGAACTGGATATCAAGAGGCACGTGCAGGAATTGAGGGATAGTATCAAGACCAACTGGGCCACCGCTGGAGGAGAAATCTCCCGCGACTTCCGACAATTTTGGCTCAATGCGAGTTCAAGGCCCGCAAGCCCAGCTCCGTTTAATAGGCAGCACAGCGATGGCTTGCGAAGTCCCAGCGCCGTGAGCGCCGTCGAGCATTTGAAGCACTTGGATATACCCGGGAGCACTGACAAGAGAAGTGATTCGCCTGGTAGAATCAGTCGAAACGAAGATTTTGCCACAGGTTACAGTTTGGGCTTGATTGGAGGAGTCAAGTCTTGGGTAAGCAAAAATTTACTCTATCACCCCAGGGTTTTTTCCTTTTTCGGTCATACATATACTAACGAAAGCTCACCACAGATGATGCGAGGTAGAAGGGCCCTCAGAGATAGTCAAGGCCCGAGTCCTGAAGGAAGCGAGGACGATGAAGCTAGAAGCCCCATCAGCAATGACGGAGACGCAGTGGGCATCGGATTGAAAACGCCTCCTATGGGCCGTGGCAGGAAGGGGAAGAGTGAAAGTGAACTTGAAGACACTCGGCGAGAAGCCATGGACGTGATGCATTGATTTCTCCCTCCGGCTTTCTACCCCACGATTATCTGGATGGATGGTCTGACTTTCGACATCACTCTCCCACTCATTTTGTAATGTGGTTGTCTCTCATTCAGCAGACGGGTTGGCAGATGCATTTTGGGGAAAAAAGCCAAAGTACGACATATGCGCCGAAAACCGGATACCTTATGTTTCTGAGACTTGTATCATCTTATTCGTGTACAGCCAGGCCTTGTAGTTCCAACACACGAAAAGGTATTGCTAGCTCCCAAAGGAATATACAAGATAACCCTTGATTGTGGCTCCGGCTCCGGCTCTGGTTCTCTATATGGCATGTTGCATCGTAATTTAAGAACCATCCAACACATAGCATTCAATGCTGGGACAATCTGCAATCGCATGGGAGATCGTAGGAAGATTTCGAGCATGATTGATTCCGCATGTCTCCTTCGGACATTTATAAGTTTGGTGGTACTAGGATCTTAGAGTTTGAAACTTTTGCTGGCACTGGATACCTATATGGCTACATAGGTATGGATTCCGCCTCTATTCGATGAGCGAACTCAAGCCTGCTTTGAACCATAGATTTGGATTTGCATTCAGCCGTGGACAGGGAAAAGGCCTCTTCATGTTTCGTCCATTTGTCTTATCCACCTGATCGATATGTTCATTTGGATCCGTTGGCAACTTTTTTGTTGTTAAGGGCGCACTATGCATGCATGCTTGTTTGCCATGGTACCGTATCGCTCTTCATCATCGTTCATCCACACCGCTCGTCGCTTCACGCCAACTTTTTTGGGTTTTGATTGTTTGGGGTGGGAATCTATGATCGAGGCTTCTCCTTCTTCTCTTTCCACAGCGCACTCAAACCGACACCGGAGACCTTGACCACCTTGAATCGCACACCGGGGATATCACCTTTGGCTTTACCCTTGCGACCAAACCCGGCCAGGAGGACTTCGTCGTTCTCGTCCACAAAGTTCAAGCAACCATCATTAGGCACTAAGAGCCAATATTTTGTCAACATTGTTTCTTTCTCTTTTTTGTTTTGTCCCTCGTTTCTCCATCACTATCTTGGAGAAACTTCCTGTGCTAGATAGATGATTGTACGTACCGAAAGCAGTAACCTTCTTTCCGTTCTTGATCAATTGGACTCTGACGCATTTTCGAATGGCGGAGTTGGGTTGTTTGGCTTCGACACCGACTTTTTCGAGCACGATGCCTTTGGCGTGCGAGGAGCCACCGAAGGGTGACGACTTGTAGGCAGTTCCGAGAAGACGCTTCTTGTAGTGCAGATCGGCCCAACGACCTTCCTTTCGGGCAGCGACGAGTTTACGGGCGGCGTTCAGACCGCGGGGTTTGCCTCTGTTTGTCATTTCTATACCGGAAGAGTAATCGTCAGTCTGGTCTGATTTGTAGGAATTTCTGTGTTCGCGTGAATCGGGAAAATAAGTTTAGACTGATGGTTGGGGAAGGGAACGAGGAGCGAAAATGGGGCCATTGATACTGATCAGAGGAATTAGGAGTACGTACTGGCAACTACGACAGGCAGATGTCTGGTAAATGGGGAATTGGCGGCGTTGAAGTCGTCGTTGATACGAATTTAATCGCAGAGACGAGAATTCAAAGTTGGTGTGGCCGGCCAAGACTCTGGATCAAGGCGGTGAGAATGGGCAGAATTTCCAAGTGCCCGTCGCCAACTTATTACCTACCCCTACCCGACCGGCCGACCGTGGTTTTCATAGCATCTCGCTCTCGATGACATCGAACGGATAGCATCTCATTATCAAGGCGGGAGCAGTACGCTCTCTGCCAATTTCAATATGGCTTCATCGACGAGGAAAACCCCTCAATTAGAGGTTCCTTCACCCTTCGTTGAGCGACCCAAGCTGAATACCACCAGGACCACTACCCACCGTCTTCCTCCCCCGGCACTCTTCCAGGGTCCTCCATCCAAGAATGCCTCACACATTTCCCTTGCTCTCCCCGGTGACCGTGTCCCCGGGGCACCGGGTGTTGAAACAGAGCACCAACATCGGATCAAGCGACCGTCTCGCGTTCCGCCGGCTTCGTCGTTCTCGGGGCCCTCCCTTCGCCAACCCGCAGCGGAAGCCGATAACCAACGGGCCGAGAATCTCTGGGCGGAGATGCAAAAGACGCTTGCCGACGTAGAGCTTTCGGCGATGAACACGTCGCACGTCTTCGGAGCATCGCACGCCAAGGCTCTGGAAGATCTCCGTACAGCACAGCTGTCGTTAGCGCAGACCTGGGCCAAAAGCGAAGCGGATGAACTGCACGAGCACGATCTCGACACAGATGCAGGCCAAGCGAATGTCGGCACTCTCGAAACAGGGTCAAGTCCAAGTCAGGGACCGAAGGGTACCAATGGGAAACCTAGTGCATTTACCAATAATAAGAACCTGGAAGAGGAGACGGAACGAGACATTCAATTAGCCCGCAAGCGAAGGGAGGCAAATGATCGGTATTTCCAACAGGTCAATCGGGGCGTGTTGGATGTGGTGAATAAGCTGGACGAAGTGGCGGGGGCGATGAGGCGGGTGGAGAGAGAGTCCCGGGAAATCTGGGACGAGTCGAGTGATGAGAGTATCAGTGGTAGCGAAGATGGTTCGGCTACAGATCATACCGGGTTGACAGATAGTCCAGTGTCAGTGCGGAAACAAACTTGAACTTGAGATTCCTCGGATTGGATGAGGATGTTGCGAAGTGTTTGTAGCAGAATTGATGATTCTGTCTCTGATTCTATGCGGCCGTGTATATACATAAAGGAATGCCTCCTTTCCTTCTCTAGGTATAGCGTAGCCGGACACATCTCAGTAACGACTCGTTTCATTCATTGTTGGCATCAGGTCCCGACGTGTAATGCTCATTCCCCATCTTTGTGGCCGGAAAACCATTTCAGCTTCCATCTGCGACGCCTCCCTCCTCCACCAACACTCAGATCATATCGACTCGGGTTTGTCTGTCTAGAACTTGGCCTCTGCTCATGACCGCGATTCTGGTCCTGGTTGTTTGCGAAACGAATCGACGTACTTCTATGCCGTGTGTGAGAAGGCGATTGGGGGATTTCGTTGGCCCCATGTAACGGAAGTGGAGTCTGAGTGGCACTATTTCGCCTTTGATGTGGACCATTGGAATCTTCACTTTCACGACGAACAGATTCAGTTTTATCCTTGGCGGAACTGATTTTGGAGTCAAGCGAGCTTCTCCGGCTACCGGTGGAAATGGCCCGGGAGGACTCTGAATCACCTCTTCGACGCGTCTTGAAGGTATGGGTCCAGAATGGAGAGGGTGTTCTTGGCAGAGAGGCAAGATAGTCATCGCGGGGTTCGTCGTCGTCTAGTTCGGCCCAAATGCCTTCGGTATCGGTGTCTGGCGGCGCGTGAATCGAAAGCATTGGAGGGCGAGTTCGTCCGACCAGTAAAGGAGTCTGTTCATCGATCGACCTTCGGGACAACGACGTCGAGCTTCTCATTCGTCCAGTGGGAAGTAACGCCTCTCGTTCGTCTGCCGCTGATTGCATCAAACCCATGCCTGGTGTCAACGGGGTTCGTGGAGGAAGTGCCGGATGAGCAGATTCTGAAGGTGTCGTATCGTCCAATCTCCAAGACAGGGCGAGGACGCCAGAAAGGAGGATAACCGTGCCCAAAGCCACCAGTCCGGCATGTAGCGCACTTAGTCTCGATGCTTGCTGAAAATAAATGAGGCCGTCTAGGATCGCAATGATGTTGTAAATGCAAAATACAAAGGGGTATAGTACACTGGTGCTGCAAAGTCGGAGGCCGAGATGTAGGTAATATAACTGCGTCACGGCAAAAAAGAGAAGCGCGATGAGGATCAGCCATGACTGAAAGCGGTTGAATTGATTTTTGTGGTCGATGACGGTTCGCACCAGAAGTTCCACGGCTGATTTGGCCACAAGGAGAGAATGCGCGGATAAAATGCCAGATATGAGAGCATAGCAGAGGCCCCGAATCAGCCGTAAGCGACTGATCCGCAATTTCAGCGGTTGCGGTAGTTGAGCTGTGAAGGAACGGCTGAGGGTGAGAGAAGGACCCAGATTCATGGACGCTGATCGAGGTCGTTCGGTCTTGGGAAGGCTCTGTGAGATGTATTTGCGAGAGGACCACATCTTGAGGACGTGTGCAAGCAAGATAGTGACGACCACCACAATCATTGTTCCCACCATCCATATTATGAAATCACGTTCGGCCAGAAGTTGGAGCAGCTGATGCAAATTATGCGCCGGCTCTCCTATGGCGCCAAAGGTGGCGATCAATGCTGCGCCCGAACAGGTCAAGATCGTGCCCACGACGGAGAAATGTGTAAAGGGCTCGCTCAGCAATAGCGTCGCAAATGCGGTATTGAAGACCAGACCGGAAGCTTGCAAGGTCGAGAGAACTGGTAAGGGCAACGTAGTGATTTGGATGGTACTGCCGACCAAATTTGAAACCACAAACATCAGCATACCCAATTGCCATCTCCGTCTCTTGTAGGGGGGCCTTCGTGTCTCCGAATGATCTTTGGCATCTTCGATGAGGTGCGACTTTCGTTGCAAGGTAAGACCAAGGCTTTGGATCGAGGTCGAGAGAAGACCAACGATGATACCAATCTATTTGACGATCAGCGCTGCCGGGATCCAAGAGAGCGGTTAGAACTCATACCGCAATGCTGCCCTGAGGTGAAATGTCACCGAGCTGGCCCATGTTGATGAAATGATGCCGTGGCTGTCGATAGGTCCATCCGTAAGCCTAGCTCGAGCGAGCCACGCATGTTGAGCTCTTGCGCATGGGAGGAGTATTGATCAGGATAGAATGTTCATGGTATTCAGAGATGGAAGATGAGAATGAGGAAAGTGGATCAAGCGACACGATCTGGACCACTGACACAAACAGCCCTAAAACACACAGTATCACTGCGTTCGCTGACTTCATTGCCGGCCTGGCCAGGAAAATTTAGGGAAGATTAGGCGCCTGTTCGGGGTTCCCCTCCGTCCCGCGCCGGTGTTTGACGCCAAGCTCGATTTTTGCCTTTGTAAGAGCCATGACACGTGATCTATCACGTGATACAGCGAAACGGCAGACCCTGAAGACATATATGCACCCCTTGGTCCTCCCCGGCATCTACACTTTCGCCGGACTGAGACCAGATTCAGAAAAGAGGTGAGAATCTGAGAATGAGGTGAGGGATGGCGCAATGTGCATTGAAACACGGTGAGGATTTTCTTCCATGACAGGGATGGATCCGGACTCGCGGACCCAGTCTCAAGCTACTTCTTCTGGTGGACAGTCGATCTAGAAAGGGGGCGGGAGGCATGAATGTACTAGAGGACACTAGAGGGAGAAGAGAGAACTCAAGCTGCGTACAGCCGAGGGGAATGCTTATGCCCAAACTGTATAACTCATTCATTGCACAGATGAGAATCCCTCCCATTGAGAGGATTTATGGCAGCAGACATTCTGAGCCCATTTTCCATAGAAAATCCTTCAAACTCATTCCCAGAGTGCTCTATCGAGTGCTCTGCATCGTTAATCAAGTTATGTATCCATTCGACTTGTTATCGGTATCGGCATCGTCGTTTGGTCTGGTGTTGACAGCATCGACATCGATTCTGTACATGCATACGGAAAAAAAGGCATGGAGGCCTCTCTGATTGGCCATATTAAAGTTGCGGTGGATCATGTGCTAAAAACAGGCTAGCATGCTGAATTTGGTATGGTGCATTTCGCGTCTTGGGGCCTGTGCGAAATACCTGATACCCAGGCTTCTCGGCAACCCTTCCTGAATAGGTATAGACACTATGGGCTTGGCAAGTTGGTGGCCGCGACAGGGTACGAATGCTTTTTGACATCCCACTGTGGTTCTTTGCTCCGGCTTGGGAACGCGGGGTGATTGTTCTGGGGTGACGTTTTATATCGCTGAGAATTGTCTGAAAATGTCTCCTCGCCCATCCAAAACTAATGTTCTCGAAGCAGCCTGCCGTGTCTGGCTGCCCGCCGTGTCTGGCTGCCCAACGATCCGGAGGCTGCTGATTATCGAGCACGAGCAAGTGTTCCCAGTCGACCCCTGACCCGTCTTGAAGGGTCTGCCGGAATCGCCAGGGGCGTAATGCCTCGGTAGACAGGAGTTCTTTCCCTTGTTGGAACATCCGTGGAAAGGCAGGGATTCTACGTGTACCCCAGTCCATCCACCCCACTTTTTTTACTCATTTCCCCGGTTTCCAATGGCTAGGTTTGGAACCCAACTTCCAACTTCAGATGCACTGCACTCCAGGAGAGAGTTGGCAGTGAGCGTGTGGCTATTCCCAATCTCATATGTGCGAGATGTGGTTCGGGCGAGGTTCTGACAATTGCCTTCCGACGACCTATTAGCTCTCGTGGAACCCTGTCTAGCAGTAGTCTTCAGAGCCTAGACATCGGTGCCTCACAAGAAAGTGAAACAGACACGCGGCGCGGCGAACAGCATTGCGCAGGTATTTTTCTGTTCGCAAGACCAAGTGCAGGTCTTGACAGCGCGTATACATAGCATCGTGCAACCCTACACTTTTCCTGATCCAACCAGAACTTCAAAACACAAATGCCTCTGCTGTAGTCCGAATAGGCTTCCCGGATTATGTAATGGCGAATACGCTCCACTAAGGTATTATTCTTGTACGACAGTTTTCTGGGCTGAAATCTCCTCAATCTCCGCAAATATACCGTATTGTACGTGTCATGCTTCATTTCGCTCATAGCTATGATTGGTCATGGCGCCTCCAGGTGACTTTTGAGCCATAGCACACCAAGAGGACAAGACCATATACTGTTTGCGTACGGGTACTCGGAACCCCCGGACCCTTCCAGTGAATATCCAACGATCTATCCCGGTTAGCTCTTCTTATCACGGACCCGTACTAACTTGGTGGATGTTTCCAACGGCAGACGTTGAAAGCCCTGGTTATTGTGACTGCTTTCCCTGTTAAGGGTTTCCTCTGTCTGCTCTGAGATGAAACTTTTAGGGATATATCCCCGGCCGGGGCATTGCCCTGCATTTGTCTGGCACGATCTCCCCTGCAGAAAGAGTTCTTCTCAGGGAAACAGAATCCCCGGTCCGAAATCTAATGAATTGTAGTACCTCGAAAGAGGAAGATCGTCAAACCCAATTTATACACCGATGAGAATAGCCTTTCCGGTCAGCTACAACATCAACAACGCCATCACCAAACCAATGGACTTGAAGTATACATTTATAAGGCTCTTAATGCCACCTCTTCTCCAGATCCTACAACAGATTATCACTCATTTCCTTATCATTCATTACTTTCCAAGCAACTGCTGCAACCAAATTTCTTTCTTTATTTGGTACCATGAAACTCGCAGTCATCCTCGGCACGGCGTTGGCTGCGATCCTGCCAGCGGTTCATACCTCTCCAGTCGCCCGGGCCCCAGACGCTCCGACGGTGACCATCTCATCCCCTCAAGCCACTATTGTAGGCCTAGGCGGAGACGTAGAACAGTTCCCGGGAATTCCATTTGCGAAGCCACCGACCAACCGAGATCGCTTGAAGGCCCCCGTCCCTCTCACCGAGCCCTATGGTGTTTATAATGCCACGTCCAATAAGCAAGCCTGCCCACAATTTGTTTTCAGTACTGCCGAAACGGAAGGAAGCCTTCTGACCAATGTCATCGCCGACCTTATCAACAGCCCACTTCTACAGCAGACACTCAACTTTGGAGAGGACTGTCTGTACCTGAACGTCCACCGCCCAGCTGGAACCCAGCCCGACGATAAACTGCCTGTGCTCTTTTGGATTTTTGGCGGTGGATTCGAGGTGGGCTGGAACTATATGTACGACGGCTCCTCCTGGGTAAAGGACGCTGTCAATCAAGGCCAGCCCTTAATTTTCGTTAGTGTCGCTTATCGGGTTGGTGGGTTCGGTTTCCTGCCTGGTGCAGAAGTGTTGGCGGATGGATCTGCCAACCTGGGACTACTAGATCAGAGACTCGGACTCCAGTGGGTTGCGGACAACATCGCAGCCTTTGGAGGGGATCCTGACAAGGTCACCATTTGGGGGGAATCGGCTGGTGCTATCTCCGTTTTCGATCATATGGTCCTCTACAACGGAGATAACACGTATAAGGGCAAGCCGCTGTTTCGGGGCGCGATCATGAACTCAGGGAGTGTTGTGCCGACCGATCCAGTTGATAGCCCACGGGCTCAGGGGATCTACGACACGGTACGTCGAATGAAAACAAGATCGTCACCCACTTGATCGGCCTAAGCTAATGTTACCGTGATAGGTTGTCCAAACGGCAGGTTGCACCACCGCTGCCGACACCCTGGAATGTCTTCGAGGTTTGGACTATGAGACGTACCTTAACGCGGCAAACTCGGTTCCATTCATTCTCAGCTACACTTCTGTTGCGCTATCTTACCTTCCCCGACCGGACGGAACGGTCCTGACAAAGTCTCCCGACGCTCTCCTGCGAGCCAATCAATACTCCAAGGTTCCCTTTATTATTGGAGATCAAGAGGACGAAGGCACCCTCTTTTCCCTTTTCCAGTCTAACCTCACCACGATAGATGATCTGGTCCAATACTTCCATCAAGGGTTGCTCCATAATAGCCCTATCGGGACTATACAAGAACTTGTCGGTTTTTACAATGACACGTCCACCTACGGATCGCCATTCCGGACCGGCTCGTTGAACAACATCTACCCTCAGTTCAAGCGTTTGGCGGCTATCGCAGGCGATATAGTCTTCACGCTCTCGCGCCGCCTAGTTCTTGAAATCACTGCGGACTTGAACGGCGACGTGGCGTCTTGGTCCTATTTGAGCTCGTACGACTACGGAACCCCTATCTTGGGTTCCTTCCACGGCAGTGATATCCTGCAAGTATTTTTCGGTGTCTTGCCTAACTATGCGAGTGCATCTTTCCGCAGCTACTACATCTCTTTCGTGGACTCGCTCGACCCGAACGCCGGTACTTCTATCTCGTACCCCCAGTGGCCGACATGGAAGGACAGCCACCAGCTCCTGAACTCTTATCCGTTATTCTCCCAATTTATTAGCGATGATTTTCGTTCGGATGTATCCGATTTTCTGGTTCAGAACTTGCCAAGTATGTACTATTAAAGGTGATGGGAAGGAATGCACCTATTGGGGGTTTGTGCCTTGGCTTAGTGCCAATGATTTCATTCAAGAAGATTATTCAATAGGCACCGGGTAATTTTGGATAGGGAAGTATTGCTTCAATCATCCGTCTGCTATACTTTTGCTTTTCTAGAAAGGTTGTGGACCACGGACCCAACATCTCTACCGGAAATTACAAGTCAACAGCCAACTACTGTTTGACCGTCAAAGCGAGAGCGCTTTATCCTGAAAGCATGCCAGGCTCGTACGTTAGAATCGACCTCCCTCTCGAAGTCTGGTTGGCCTCTTCATGCTTTTTTCTATTCTCTTGCGACATGAAGCGAATGTTCTCTCCCCCGTATCCTCAGACCATCGCCTCTTCTTCAAGCAATCGTCGATCGCACTCACTTGCGCAGCATGAGATTTCGAGGGGTCTCTTGCTTCTTCAGAAACATGTAGCCTTTCAACATCATTGTTCTTGCCAGGGAGTCGCATTCCTGGCAGAGTGGACTCGCGATACATGACAGCCCTCCTGTAGAGCCGTATCGTGGGCCGTTGTTCAATGATTAATACGACAGGGTGTTGGGCTAGCCCGTGAATTAAGTTTAAATATCGGAGTACTGCTATACTGCGGCATTGGAACCAGGTCGGTGATATACTGAACCAGGAGAAAACTACATTAGTTCGGGATATATACGCAACTCTTGTATGTCGCACCATGTAGTCAACTTCGGCTTCAATCATTCTCCTATCAGCTGGCACATTGGCTCGCTCTGTATTGACTTCCCCCACATGGTCCCTCTCGTTATCCTATTGCCCTCATCGTTAGGGAACGCACGTAAAGAACCTATGCGTGTGATACGTGACACTGCTGCTGCCGCTCAAAAAGCCGCCATTTCCGCCCTCAGAGCTGCCAGTGCGAGAGCTGAAACATCGCCAAAGCGCGGAGAGCTAGGGGCTCACGGACCATCATCACTGATATGTACTTCATAGGATGCTCAATCCCTAGCTAGTTGAGGAAATCTTGGTATTTCTCGTGGTTTGTCGAGTAATGGCCCTGGGGAAGGTGATATTGATCCCATGCTGGTCGATGTTAGTGGGTGTTTCCCCTCCCCTCTTTTCTTGATGTTCAAAGTTGGTTTGCAGTGCTTTGCCAGAACCTATAAAGAGCCCATACTGGGATTGCAGTTCATCAGGCTGTGCCAGCTGGATTGATAGCTAGTGAAGGTCAGAAATTGTGTGAGAAGTCAACAGATGCGCAGCTGTTACGAACATCTGCAACGCGTCGACGTAAGTCAACTTGACCAGAGGTGCTTCGAAAGGTGTTGCAAGTTTCAACACAGTTCCCTCAGATGTGCGGCCTGTGGTACCCAGTATCATAGTAACGCCGGAGCGACATTTTGGTGGGCTTTTTCGAAAGAAAGGGGCAAGGAAATGGAGAGAACAGTTGGGACGATCAAGTCTGTAGATTTTCTCTCGGAGAGTCAATTGTTGAAGCGGTCGAACAGGTAATGAATAGAAATAAGGAACAATGGTGGAAGGAGCGTTGACCGAACCATGCGCCCAATCTCGATATTTTCTTGGTTGAACCTCGGAGGTGATGGCTTCGGTGAGGGCCTGGATGGTCGAAGGCCTGCGATCGCTTGACCAGACATAGCCATGCCAATAAAAGTTACCGAATGCATGAAACGCATTATACAACCAATGACGCCAGCGCGCAGTGGAACTGCAATGAACCACTTTCTGACCCAGAATTTGGCAGCCCGAGACGGTGCCGGACCAAGAACGATCGGACGAAGGGAAATGACGGTTGTGAATCAATTGGCTTTGTCGCTGCCGACCCTTACGGGAACGATGCAGTGAGCCAGAGCCCTGAGCGGACGAGATTAATGATTGTGGCGAAGTAGCCACGGACAATGGCCTGTTAAAGAAAGCATTAGACGTACTGCCACCAAACTCGTAGGTGGTGTACAGCAGGATTTAAGTATCAGAACACGCATAATATGTCTGAAGGCGACTCCCGGTGCGGAGCTCCTTCGCGGATGTCGGCTACCTGGAAAGAAGGTTTCTGAGTGATATCCTCGACTTCTGTATGCACTGGGATCTCTTTAGCCCCCCATTTCGTCGTTCGACTGGAACACTGCGGAGTGGGACGTGAGATTTTGAAACTCGAGTGGACAGAAAAGAGAAGCTCGAGCTCGAGCGATTGTCTTTCCCAAAATTCTCGAATTGAGTAATCGTGCAGATAGGTGCGCTATAGGAATTCTTGTTTGGCCCTTATGATATGTATTAGCGGATCGCTGAATCTGGAGCTCTAGATATTGCGGGGAAGGGGTTGTCTGGGGGTCTACGTTTACGGGGCTCTTGGAATAGCGAGACTATGTTGGTGGTAAGAAGCTGTGTCGGGTGCGCGAGCTTGATTTTCGTCTCGGTCGAAAGCCGCTTGATAGGACAGCCACCACAGATTTCCTCTGCAAAGCCTGGTCTGATACGGGAACCCTGTCTGCATATAAAGTGATGCAGCTCTATGCATCGCGACGGAAAACAAGGAGACGAGAGGACAGACGATCTGGGGGTTGTTTGGGTGCCTTGTCTATGACCAGCTCTAATCAATTATTGTTGCGGACTTCGGGTTGGTTGTCTTTTTGCATCCTCAGGGGCTTCAGCCTCGTTCAATGCCATTAGCCGATCAGGAACTTCAAACCCAGGTTCGCCTCGAAACAACGTCCTACCTCCGTTACATACTGCGGTCAATTCACCGCGAGCAGGGCAGTTTTCTAGACACCCAGTTGCAGTGAACCTGGAACGCTGCCAGCCAGGACTTCTTGTGGTAGCATGAAGCGCAAACCCGCGCAAACCCACGCAAACCCCGCTGGCAATTGTCCTTCGCTAGCGATTTATCATCCTTTCGGCGGACATACATCGGTGTTTTTCGTAGAAGGTGCCTGGACAACAGTCGGAGGATCAAATGCCACTTCTCATCATCCCGCCCTTCCCCGGGAATCCTCGTATTCACCTAAGGGGCTGGCTGAACTTCCATGTTCATCACCTGCACAGGGAGCAGTTCGCGATGCATAACGAGCTGTGATGGAATTGAAGTTGCAAAAGGTGCCAATTCCCGATCTCGGCCTAGAGGACGCCTTGATTAAAAATGCTGCAGCAGCATTGACTCCAGGAATAGTAAGATTGATTAACCAAGGTTACAGTCATGTACCTTGGACAGCGAGTCGCGAAGCTGCTCGCATAGTTGTGGCCACTGGAGGCGAAGTTACGAATTTGAAGATAGAGACTCGAGTTCGTCTACATCCAACTTTGTCTTGCCGCCAGTCAGTTATGCACCAGTGGCCAGCCGCAAATGTGTCACCAAGCATCACTAATCGGCTTCGCGAGGCTGCAAGACGACTGCCCACTCTACGAGACATACCACGATGGAGCAGTGGCCGAGTATGTCCGCGTACCGTATTGGCTTGTCGATGTCCTTCCGGAGAACGTTGCAATGGATGTTGGTGCGAAAGTGCATGATATTGTGACGGCACTGCGGAACGTATGGAGAACATCAGGCGTCTCACTCCCATACCGATGGTGTCATCGAGTTCGGGGCAGAGGAAGAAAGAACTCCAAAATTGGTGCAGTGGTGCGGTAGTTGAAGTCGCTGAGTCCAGAAGGAATTGCTGTGATCCTTGACTGCGTGCCATCTGGAAATTCGCTCTCTCAGATTCTCACGGCCTTGAGAACGGGCAGCACTATGGCGCATATATGCGGAAACTACAAACCACTCGCAGTTTCCCTTGGTGGTCATCATGGTCCATTCCTGCCGGATTATGGGGAGCCGGGCGAATACACAGCAAGACGCGGTTTAGGTTCTCAGGTATCTTGCAGAAGGGTAACTTGAAGTGGAGAACTTGATCACTCACCTCTTCAGCCGGGTGGATGTTGACAATGTGATAGGGATTCTAGGATCGGGCTGCGAACGGGTTTGGCTGAGTGTCAACAACCAATAACGACATTTGCTGTCGAGGAAACTCTCTCAATACCGGAACGAGCAGCTTTTACGAGCTCGATGGAAGTTGGTTCAACCCACCTTGGAAACATCTGTTTTGAGGGTAACTTCTTCGGTGTTCAGAATGACGATGTGGAAGCTCTCTCCAGCCGCAGTATTGGTGTATGCAAAGCCTCTAGGGGCGATGATGAAGCCTCCCGGCTCCAACTGTACAGTTCCCCCTCTGAGTCGCGATTGTTTGAGTGCTGGTGATTTGGCAGTGAGTGGCATTGGCTCTTCGATATCGGTGATGGGTCTTTGCCTGCGTCACTTTGGAGACGGACGGTGCCGATCCAAACTGATCTTGACTTGCACATACAGGCTTCTGATCTTCAAAAGGAGTCCGTTTATACTCTGAAGTTCCTATGGTCTGTCCGCACTCGACCGCAGGCGCTTGAGTATAGATAAAATGCACATCCTCGCGGCCGAAGTTGTCGTGGGCGACCCCCACTGGGATCCTTGAGAAATCACCGGGCTTCAGCTACACGGAGCCGAGTTCCCTGATCAAAGTGCATTCTCCGCTGACATGGTAGGAAATTTCGTCAACGTCCCCATATAGATAACAAACGGCTGCCGATTGTTCATTTGCTACCATTCCAGTCTGAAGACAATGTTTGAGGAAATGTCGCGTGGAGGTGAGCTCGTAATCTTGCCCAAATTTCGTTGCCGACGTGGGAGAGGTCTTCAAATGTAGCTCTTCTCGTCGAGAAAAACTAGTCACATCCTCATTCCCAGGAATCGCATCGAGATCTCGGTGACTATCTCGATGGTGAGAAGATCGATGATATTGTTGGGACTGCATAATTCTGTTGATTCACCTGCTACCACAAACTCAAAGATTACTTTGATTGAACGAAGCAGGAAAATTCTCAAGCTTTAACTGGAGGGGGAAGCCATTGTTCTACTCTAGGGGATGTTTTCTGAACGTATAAGGGGGAGAGACTCGCCCTGGGGCCATATAGAGAAGAAATATAAATGAAATGATGGATGTGAGGAAGGACCCTGTAGTCACACAGAGGTCGAAGGAGGATACGGACTACGGAGAATCTTGAGCATCACGTGCACTTACGCCCACGAGGCTACCCAACTACGACGGAGTAGATTTACCTGCAGTGAACTTCTCGGCTGAGTGGACGTCAAATGCATTTCCCTGAGAACTGGTTCGTACCTGAAGTAGAAGCTTGCACTGGACTCTCTTGTAGAGCTGTTTGTCTCCCTTCAGACACGCTATAGCTTGCGGCAAATTGTTGAACCGAGAACGATTGAGGAGCTCCGCTGAGGTCAAGTTAGCCAGGACTGCTCATACAACCACCCCCCCCCCTCAACGCCAGCTCGTTATCAAGAGCAATACTTTCCATTTCCTCCATTCTCGTTTGAAAATTCCAACACATCGACATCCACCGCAAACATGTCGTCCCACGCGCTCTCGGACGACCAGGTACGTTCGTCGAAGTTCAGGCCAATTGCTATGCCTAGCATGCTAACATTGTACCCCTCCAACCCTCCAGGTCGCCTCCGAGCTGAAGAAGATGACAGCCTTCATCCGACAAGAAGCTCTCGAGAAGGCCCGCGAGATCCAACTGAAAGCAGACGAAGAATTTGCCATCGAAAAGTCCAAACTGGTCCGAGAGGAAATCGCAGCGATTGATAGCGAATACGAAAAGAAGTTCAAACAAGCCTCCATGTCACAACAGATCACCCGATCCACCATGGCGAACAAAACTCGGATAAGGGTTCTTAGCGCCCGACAAGAACTGTTGGATAAGCTGTTTGAGCAGGCCAGAGCCAAGCTATCTGAAGCGGGATCCAAGAGTAATAACTACGAGGAGATCCTGGAGGGGCTCATTCTCGAGAGCATGTATCTTCTGTGTGAGAAGAAGGTGAGCTTAAGATGCAAGAAGGCGGATAAAGAGAAAGTACAGAGCGCCGCGAAGAAGGCTTCTGCCGAGTACAAGGAGAAGATGGGCAGTGAAGTTGAAGCGGTTGTGGACGAAAGGGACTGGTTGCCAGATGATTCGTAAGCCAGGTCACATATTGACATGGGAATACAAATGCTGACGTGTCCAAACAGGGCGGGCGGTGTCTTCGTCATTGGCGGTGGCGGCAAGATCGAGTTGAACAACACATTCGAGGAGAGACTGCGGATGTGCGAGACCGACGCTCTCCCCAGTATCCGAAACACGCTGTTCGGAGAGAATCAGAACCGGAAGTTCCACGATTAAGCGGAACAATGCGTTCGAGTTGGAGGGAGCTTTGTGTCTGTCAGTAAAGTAGCAAGATGTCGTTGATTACTTTTCGGCTGGATTGGCGAAGGAAAGCCAGAGCCTAATGAATAGAGACACGGACGCCGGGAACAAGGAACGGGGCAGATTCATCTGGTACTACTGGCAGTAGAAGGCATGTCTTTTCTGTCTTGTTGCTTCTGATGCAATGAATCACCGTACGGTATGCACCTTGTAATGCTTTCATCGTAGGCACAGCATAGAAAGGCTCTCTCTATTCCCAAGGACCACTAGCACGAAGAGAAACGTGGGTGAGAAAACATCGTTCCTTCTAAAAGCAGTTCTTGGTATCGTCAATTCTATTCCAGTCCATTCGTCATGCTCACCCGGGAACGCCATGCTCGTTTATATAGCATCGTAAAACACAAACGCCTTGAAGAAGACAAATATCCAAGAATGAACAACCCTCCTCTTCCCTCCCCCCCCAAAAACACACACACACACACACAAAAAGGATTCCTTTAAAGTCCATCTACCGAGCAGAAAACAAGTCTACTCGCTCAGCTCCAGTTGTCTGCGAATCAATTGTTCCGTCTCTGAAGGCTCAGACGAGTCTGATGAAATCACGGGCTTCATGTCTTGTTGCTTAACAGAAGACCTTTCTGAGATCTTTTTTGCCTTCTCTCTCTCTTTTCTCCGGGCAAGAAATTGCTTCATGAAATCCTTGCCCTTCTCCTCGATTCGCTCTTCTTCTGCATCCCGAGCTTTGCCTGTTTTGGGATCGAAGATGTTCTTCTTCGGTCGTACTTCCGTGCGCACACTATACAGAAGACGCCAGTGGAGAGCTTGCAAGACATCTTTTGCTTCAGTGCGACGCATGTGTGAGGCTCCCGTGTCAATGATAGCAACGTACGTGGCCCGGATACTGTCCGCTAGGCGGTCGACAGACTTATTGAAGGCAAGTTCTTCCGGTCGTGACGTGAAATTGGCCGGACGGCCTCCGTCTGATATTGCAACATCGAGGACGTGTGTGAGGGCACGCAGAGCATCGTAGTCGAGGGTATCTGAGCCTTTTCGACGTCTAGTGTCGAAGGTGGGAGAGGTAGAAACGTGCTCTGTGAGAAGGTCCAGGGAGATCTGGGGACAAAGGGAGCTGTCGTCTTTGAGTATATGGGCGCCAAAGAGAAACGACTGTGCGAGAAGGATCCGAATTTTGGCGGCGGTGGTTGAGGTGGGCAGTATGTGGGACAAGAGTAGAGCTTGGAGGGTCGCATCTTTTAAATGATGACCGACATCGGCCAGAATTCTCTCAGCCACGTGTGATCGCACGTCAGAATCTGGTAATGAGAGCAATACTTCCAGGGTCTGATCGACTCTGCAAGACACTTGACTGTCACTCATGAGCTCCGCATCGATGGCCAACCGGCAAATCATTGAAGTGAGTTTACTCAGTGCCAGAAAATCCATGTCGTGACATATTGATTGGAAGAGATCCAGCGCGGCAAGAAGGTATTTAGGATCACGACGAGCCGGTGGTCTCACCAGCCGATGTCTTGGCTGGATGGTAGTGGAATCTTGAAGACTGGCGGCATCCGCTCCCAAGGTTTGAAAGACGGTCTGGACGTCTTGAGCGGTGACATTCGTTCTCGTCCATGAGGAGCTTGCGCATTTAAGACAGTCGATGTATGCCTGTCTCATGTCGTCATCCTGCTCGAGAACAACACTGTGAAATGTCCAGCTCAGTGCTTCGTCGGGCATTCGTCCTTGGGCGGCAATTTCAGCCATATAGCCCGATTTGAAAGCCCTGGATCTAGATTCGTCGTCGGCCGGAGGCCATAAATGATTGGGAATGGCGGTCTCCGGAAAATCAAATGTGGCTGGAGGCTCCCCATGCCAGTCGTTCAAGCCATGGACACCAAAGAACAAGAACACTCGATCTGTTGCCAAAGCTTCTGTGCGATCAACAGCATCCATCAATCTGGTCAACCCGTTCTCTCCATCTTCGGCCGCCACAATGGCCGCCAAAAGCTTCTTGTCCAGGGCTGGGTGACGATCGGAATCCGGCGTCTTTGCGGATGCCTCAACATCGGATCGAGCTTTTTTGACCTTTTGTTCGATCTCGTCGTCGTCAAAATGATCCCCGATGAGGTTGGAGATGTCGAACTTTTGTGTCCGCTCTTTGGCATAAAGCGCACGTAATTTCTCCTTGCCCACCAAAGCATCTGACCTGCCCCGAGTAAATTGACTCAGCGTCTTGATGCGCTCCGCCTCAAGCTTTGCTTCGTCAAGTTCCGGAGAAGACGATAAGGATGTCGCATCGCCATCTTGTTTCTTTCCAAAAATATCTGTTAGAGATTCCAGTGACGCAAACGACTCAGCATCGTCGTCATCATCTGAATCCAGTATCTCGACAACCTCGCCCTTCTTAACCACAGCCTGAGTGGAGATGGGTAACTCTGTGAAGGAGAAAGATTTTCTAGATTCCGGCGACGGAGAACGTCTTTTCCTGTCTACACCAAATTGGGGGGCTCTCTTATATGTTGAGGGTGGCTCTATGGTGTCTTTGGGACGTGGACTGCGGATGGGTATGGAGAGAGAAGCCCTTGAACCCGGGGCCGATAAAGGGGAGAGGCGGGAGGAGGAGGAGGAGGGTGTTCCGACATAATCATTTACCGGTCGTCTGTTTGCTTTGGGAGTTGTGACGGTAGGAATATCTCTTTTTGAACTCCTCTGTGCTGACTCTTCGATGGACGGGGAGGGTCGTTTTGCTGGTACGCTGCTTTTGATGTAGGGTTGGAAGAAGTCAGCGATGGATCTCTTTTCCGTGGGTCGAGGGTTTCTAGGGGAAGGCATAGGGACATGGAAACGATTAACGACTTGAATCAGAGATCATTTCTATCCAAAAGATTTTAGAATCATGAGGCGGCAGGCAAATACGACGTGCAGAATCGCGCCGCGGGAAGTAGCGAGGCAATTGGCCCCCGGCCCGTGTTCGCGACGGCTCCTGGACTACCCGCTACTCGCTACTCGTAAGGCGGTTGCCATCAGCACTCCCATTCAGGATTGACCTTTTGTTCAGCTTCATACGTATCACACTGATGAGAACGTATTGATACACCAATGTATACTATCTGGTACCTCAATGGCGGGACTCTCTCAACCACAACACAAGCTCGCCTTTCAAAGAGAACGCCGTGATCTATATGCACCCGCTCTCCACGCTAAGACAATTCCACCCGACACCAGATTCCCCATGCTTTATTAGGATCAAGCCAACTTACACTCGCTCCACAGCCACAACAAACCCAAGCACGGCCCCTACAGCAGCCAAAGCCGCTCTCACCATATTCATCCACTTCCACTGCCTTAGCATCCTCTCGACCTCGCCGTCACTCTTTTTTTCGCTCACTGTCGTCTCCTCAGAGATCTTGATCAGATTTTTATTCGTCTCCATCATCGCGAATTGAGTCCAAGGCAACGTGGCAAAAGTCAACCCTGCTGCGATGGCATATCCTACGCGTTTCTCAGGGTCAAGGTAAGCGGATGCGCCCGTACAGAGTGTCGAGAAGATAGCGAGCGGGACGACGGTATATGCACCACGAGAATACAGTTCGGCAAAGGCAGATGTGCTAGTGTCCTTTGGGAGACGATAGAGGATTGGGAGAGTGAGATGAGAGGCGGAGAAGTTGATGCCTGAGAGATAGATGGCAGATCCTAAACCCAGGAGAGTGGTGGTGCGAAGGACGGTTGTTTTGTCCATTTTGAACTGGAAGGACTATTAATGAACTGGGAGGAATACATCAAATACCCTTTCACATATGTATTTGTACATTACGCGCCTACGTCAAGCCAAGAGCTACAGTTGTTGGTTTGGTGTTGATGCCGTCTCCAGTGCTCGCGCCCAGCTTCCAGATGATTGAACTTGGACGCGCGTAAAGCAGGGGTCCAACCCCCTTCATCTTCATCGATCAACTCCACGCTTTCCATTTTCGTTTATGTCCCATGAGGATACGTCCTTTTGGCGTTGCCACTGCATATATCACCGGCTCGATTACAAATGCATGACAGCTTCTTCACCACAAAAGTTCCGTCCCATCTCCTTTCATCTCTCGCCATTTACTAGAATGGAGGACTGTTCGATTTCAAATCAAACTGCGCTTTCATCCTGGCCATCGGACGAGCCATGCCGTCGCCATTTTGGTCTCTAACAATTCAAATGACGGGCACATATCGAAGAGCCAAACCAGAGAAATCGTGCTCTTGGAGGACACAAAAGTAATGTCGCGTGGTTGGGAAGTTGACATGCAGATGGGCGCTCGGACCAAATGGTGATCTCAACAATCAGGTCCGGGCACCATCCTCTGAATGGCCACTTGCCTCTGAGATCAGACCAACTTGATGTTGGGAAAAAGCCAGTGACGTGCGGCATCGAGATTTCCGCGTCAAAAGGCCGCATCATTGTCGGTATGGCACAACTAGCTTCTGTTGGGTTTCGCGTTAGCCACGATATCCGAGCAAGGCTGCACTATGAAAGCTAAAGCCCTGTAGAATGATGGTCGAATTTGGCATGTGCCTGGCGTTTTGAGGAAAGTCGAAAGGTATCTCGACGTGCGGTAGGGCTGAGACACACTCGACAGCATCCGAAAGGACTGAAGACCGTAGACTCTGGAGGGTCGTAGCCGCCGCTGGCCAGCCTCCTCTAACTGACCGATACCTTCGAAGAAACACCCACGTCGCCTTCTTCCGTTCACCACCGTGATTCCACCGCAGCCATGCCTATGGAGGACAGTCTGTCATGCTCACATTTCATACGGTTGCCGTCCTGTTTCTACTGTCAACAAGATGCATTCTCAACAAATCAGTGCCATTACCGTATGTTCTTCCGCGGCGGTTGCTTTCAAGAAATACGCGATTTTCATATCGAAGCTATTGAGGTTAAGGGGGTAAACGACATGCTCCATCATGTCCTCGAATAGCATGTATTCAGGATTACAAACCTAGTCCCGATTTGCTTCAGCAGAGATGAGTATACTCTCGTCAGTCTAATGAAACGCCGTAGGAAACAATCCTATGGTTCACAAACCTGCGTAGCGTGACTGTAATGTTCGAGTTAGCCGGGTCGAGGGATGGCTTAGGTCGTCAGAGGGTCGATTCACATAGCAGTCTTAGATCCGTGCCAGAAGCCATTCAGCGACAGTCACTGCTGGATCGTTATCAAGATTTCTTAGATCGAGAAATGGGATCAGGCTATGCTGTGGTATGCTCATAAATGTGATCGTCCGTGGGTCCTCTTTCTCACAACTGTCATTGCACGGAGATTGGTGGGAGGTCTTGATGGTCTTTGTATGAGCCTGATAGTATCATGGTTTTTTTTTTTTTTTTTTTTGTGAGGGAGTTGATGCAGCCCTGGTTAGGGTAATTTCGCGTCGGCAATGTATTCTCGGGACACAATTGCGTCGGCGGCCCAGTTCTTAGATTTTCCAAAGAAACAGGAGCATTGAAATTAGCACCTTCAACACGGATCCGGAGGTACCTGGGATTCAACCCTGACCGGAATATATCTTTATCATACTTCCTGCTTCTCGGATGAAGGATATGATTCTTGCTTAATGTGGACAATGTTCAAAAGCTTCAGCACCTAATCTTGGGATTTCTTGCAGTATCCATCCTCACACTCCCCAGAGGCTGTCGTTTCATCTGGATTGGGAACCTGTAATTCTTGGGAGCGCAGCCACCGTTAGACTAGCAGCACTGCCAGTGGGAATGTTGATATGCCATCGCCCTTGTTGAGATTGAAATAGGCTTCATTGCAGATGAGGTTGACCCGCCTGGAACCATATTCAACATGGACTGATATCCCCTGTGTGGAAGAGCTCACCTAAGCAATCCCGCTAGTGGAAATCTGGGGCGACGAGTTTTTTCAGCTCGGCCTTCTAGAGGCCCGATTCTTCTCATAAGCGAAATGATCCGAACAAGTTTCTGTTCGTTGATTTTTTCTGAAGTCCGTCGGAGTCTTCCTATCCAATGCTTCCGTTTTACTTGCCATGCGTGGGCTTCAATAGGCCGCGTTAGTCATCTGACTACGCATTCCAAACTTAGTTGTGCGGCTGAGAGGCTGTCCCGCGTTGAAGGAACATAAGAAAAGATAAAAATTGGCCTGTCAGACGGCAAGTCCTGTTTCTATTACAATTCATTTGCCCGCTCAAACATCTAATTTTGTTCAAGGATAGATCGAGACCGTGGTTGTTGCAAAAACTTGGTGTGGGTAGGATATTATGCCCCCAGTTCCCACTAGCCGCGCTTGTAAAAGTTGTAGGCTTCGACATGTAAAGGCTAGTCGAGTCCAGGCGGCATGATCTGGTAGATCTCAACTGATTTTCTGCAGTGTGACGAAGCAAAGCCCCACTGTTCACGCTGCACAAGTCGCGGCATCAAATGTCCGGGCTACAGAGAAGGGCCCAAGTTTGTTTTTTACGTAGCGCCTCATGGCCATCGGCAAGAGACTCAAATCCAACGCGAGAGCAGCTTCATCAATAAGTCAACTACCCAACAGGAGCATCGTATGAGGCTTCCCGCTCAGGGTGATATTCAAAAAGACGATGTGGAGAACTTGGACTTAACCAGCCAAAGCGCGAAAATTCGACATATCAATCCAAAGATTGATGTTTGGAACCCAAAGATTGAATCATCTTTCACACGGACAGAAGCGCCGTGGATCGCATATAGCCACTATGAGAGGACCTTGATGAGTTTTTGTGAGTGATGGAAACAAACGTCTGTTGTACCAAGTTGGTTTTGATGACAACTATCCAACCATTTGGACGTTTCCCCTGCACTGAATTTGGCTAATACTTCGGTGACCGTAGATGGCAATGTTCTCGCCGACATTTACGTGGCATTTGGAAAAGTACCGCACGAGAATCCAATGGTCAAAGGTTGGCTCTCAACAATGGTTAGGGATGAGGTTCTTGCCACCACTGTCTTTACAATATCCAGCCTTTATCTGGCCATTTCCAGGGGCGAAGTTCCAACAGCATATCTCCGATACAAGGGTAAGGCCATACATGCCATCAACACAAGGTTTTCCGACACATCAACGGCAGTTTCAAACGAGGTATTGGCTGCGATTGCACTGCTCGTCATGGTCCCGGCGCTGGGAGAATCGGTCGAGGAGATCCAGATTCATTTACACGGCATGCTCCAGCTCCTTCGGCTTTGCGGAGGGTTAGAATCAATGGGAGACTCAAGTTGGGTGCGAGTTGTCGTCCGGTGGTAAGTTTTGCTTGTTTGTGATCCAATTGCTTCAGAAAGTAACTGTGCCACCAAAGGGCAGATATTTCGGCCTCGTGTTTGCTGTCCAGTCAACCCAGTATACCGGTCGACATCTTCGTAGCACACAGTAATGCCTTGTCCGCAAAAGAAATCGAACTTCATGACCGCCTCAGCAATGCCAGGCTAGAAAGCCTGGCCGCCGCTCATGGGTTCTCGAAACAGGTGACGCATGCTCTGGTGGATTTAAAATTGTTGAGTACACTCCGTCGTGCCAACATTTCCGCAGATGAAGCGCAAAATCTGATGATTTCATATACGGAGCGGCTGGCTGTCGTGATGCGAACCCTTTCAATCGCCACCGGCAGCGGGTTCGAATCAAAGAACAGCTATGTCGAAGACGCGTGCTGCCTCGCAGGGACCTTGTTCTGTACATATCACCTTCTGGGATATCCGTCTCGTATGGCTGTTGTCGTCCAGAATGGCCTCCGCTTGCAACAGAAGCTGGGCCTGACAGATCCGGATGAAGAGTGGGACCAGTTTGGTGATATATTACTTTCGGTCCTGTTCGCAGGTGCATATGCATCTGCTGGACAGCTCGAGGGAAAGTGGTACTTATCATCTCTCAAGATGGTGTCGGAAAAGCTAGGAGGAAAGTCCTGGGCCGAAATTAAGACCATGATTTCCAGTTTCCTCTATGCTCAAGAATTGGAATCAGAGTATCTGAGGATCTGGAACGACGCCTGTGGTGGAATTGGAAGTTGGCCACTGCCAAAGATGGTCCGCCGGAGTTGTATATAGATCTGTCTCAGCTGGCGCAGCTCATTGAAAAAAGTCATAGACGGGTCAAAAGCATGTCTGGGTATGAGTACAAGTCAACGACAACAAAGTATTGCCCCCCCCTCTTTTAGAGCTTTATAGTTTCATCCAAGACTCGACAATAGCATTCGAAGCTTTTTGAGTAGTCATTCATCGTTTCGAATAATTCTTAGATCGAATAATGCGGAGCAGAGAGATATCTTCATTTCACCCCTATTACGTTGAGCCCGACAGACTTCGACGACTCTGTGGGGCACTGATACTGCGTCATCAAAGCGACGCTACTGTAAATAGCATTGACCCATGAGGGCCCAATGCTTTGTCAGACACAGTGATGGGGACATGTCCGTCGTTAGCAAGTATGAGAAGGGCCTCGTCCAGGTTCGACAACTGATAAAATCGACAGGCAATTTCGTCTCGAGTCCAGACCGGGTCGCTGCCTGGAAGGCTCCCATTTGGGCCATATTCATCGGCAATGAGGCTAAGGCACTGACCAATGCCAGGCTGAAGTGTATCATTTGTGTCCCAAATATCGAGAGGGTCACGAAAAGAGTGACTTTTCTCCAACGTTAGAGTAGCCATGAGCCTGAACAACCTCACCAAGGGTCGACACAGATCTGGAAAATGGTCCCAGACCTGGTATGAATATAATCAGTATTTGCGTGAGCACCAAGTACGACCGTCCGGGAAGATATTCCCTACCATATCCCGCAGCCAGTGTCAATTCTGGCAAACGTCTCGTCATTGCGTCCGGAAGCGAGATGGCAGCCATCGTAAGAACTCTTGGTAAAGGGAAGCCCAGCAGGCATGGCGTTCGGAGTGTTGGCAACACCACCAGGCTGGTGCCCGAATGTTTGTCTATCGAAAATACTCAGCATTCCCCAGGGCGGGGCATTCCACCGCAGGTATGATTTTGCTCGAAACAACGCGATCTCAGCTCTGTTCATTGTGGCCGACCTTGGAGGGGCCGTAGCGGCTGGCCGAAGCGGCCTGGGTGACACATTCTTTGCGCCAGTTGACTCTGGAGTCTTGACATCGAAATTGTGAAAGCGTCCGTATCGCTGGACATGGTCTCATTTCACTGGCTTCCATCGTAATTGAATAGATGCTGGTGAGTTTGAGTGTTTTCCTGCCGACTTATAATTTCGAGGGCTGCCTACTGATAATCTTTTGGATGGTTCAGACCTACGGAGCATTGAATCCGTACTCGCTTGTCAGGATATTGCGAACGTCTTCCAACTTCTTGCCTTGGTCAACATACAAGCCAATGGATGTATCGCGTATACGCATCCATTCCTGGCTTGTGGGGGCTTGGGTTATTTTGAATTGGGGAATTGGCTGGCCCAAGAAATTGCGACCAGGCTGGCCAAGTGGGAACTCGCTAGCTTTACTATCCATGGCACCTGCTCGCTTCCTGAGTATCCTGGCCTCGGGGTTATTCAACCGAAGTTGGCCAACGGCAATTCTTATTGCGGGGCTCGCCTCCAGGACTTTTTCCAAATGAGTTTCGCTTGTTCTACTCTCGAAATCCCGAAGAAAGTAAGGTCCCGTTAGGACCCACAACGGGTAGACGACGGTCTGAGATATTGAAGGGCTGTAACCAATTTAAATCCAAGATCACCGTCAGTCTTTGGTCGCAGACTGCCGCGCAGCCGCGCCGCCTCTAGCCGGCAGCACGACAATGCGACGGCTTGATATTACGCTGATGGGCGCCCTCCTTTTGGTCCTCCAAGTCGGATATGAATTCTTCAGCCCAAATCATCAGTTAGCCTGCTCACTTTTGGAACCAGCCCGTTCGTCAGAGACGCACCGAGAAGCTATCAATGCGTCGCCATGAGTGCCCCGGAGGAAATAAGGAAGATGACAATTGGCTATTCATAAACAAGAACGCCAACTGTTTTCATCTCTCTGGAAGCGTCCAACGGGAGAAGATCCTCATCCACAGTCATGTCCAAAGCCGTTTGAGACGCTTCAAAGCACGGGATACTGAAAAAGCAGACGTGGACCCCGAAAACGAAGCCGATCTCTCGGCCGGATCAAATCAGGGCCAGGAAAACCCGGATGATCAGAAACCGGTGTCCGTTGGCGAGTCATCCCACGATGTCGACACCGACTTCCCCCGATGTTGATGTTAGCAACATCGACATCATTTGGCAATACCGATATCGAGATGTTGACAAATGCGAACGCTGTTCCCCCGGCTACTATTTGGCCACCGAGCCCGCAGAGCATGCTCAACAATCTCCTGCCTCAATCTGGGAAGACTACCCTATGTAGGTATACACGGTTGGATCCATGGCTGCTGCTTCTATCAATGCTTTATGTTTCAGCACTAGGAAAGCAGGCTATGAGCCGTGACGACGCAGGAACTTTTTTTTATTTTTAAAATATATCCAGGAAATCGCTACGATTTTGCAGCGGAAGAATGCCAATCCGTTATACAACAGACATGACAACATTTTAACTGCCGAGAGGCTCCGGACATTTTCGAAACAGTACTTATATCTGGATGTTGTACAGCATTGAATCATGCATCTCTTGAGTATGAAAATCAGACACGCAGGGGTACCTTTGGACGTGGATATTCCTGCTTAGTGAGCGGGAAGCCAACACAAATTGGGTCCGAAGGCCTGTCCTTGAGAGATGGCATCTCAGTGACAAACAGACTAAGGTGCCAAAGTCGAGAGATCAATGAGACCAATGGCAGTCGAGGAGGGGCTTTGATCCGGCAGGATTGGTCTATCAACTCTTCCTTCGCTTATGTTGACACCCATAATGATGTTTCCACATCGTTCAAACAACAATATCCTGATTTACATCTTGTGGGTCCGAAATATGCAGATCACACCGTTCTGTTGCCTTGGAAATGTTCGATCCAACCTAATTTTTGAAGAGTCCATTATTCGGAATGGAGACGTTACCGGGTATTGGGATATATCTCAATAGGTTCTGAAGGGTTTCTTGCTATTTTTCACTTACGTTGATGTCAGGAAGAACCATACCAAAGGGACGATCTTGGTGTCGACGCTGACCGACGTCCTTGGAGAGGTTTGAATATTGTTGGCAAACTTTTTGATCGACGAGGGTTGATGATGAATGTTGAGATATAAATGGGGGCCGTTCCTAGGCGGAACTTTACATTTCCGGACTTGTTATCATAATTGAATCGTCTCGGAGCGAACTCTCCAGGTAGTCTGCTAACTTGACTGTGCCAGGATCACTTTGCCATGGTCCCTAATTGACTGGGAATGATGTCATGACCCAGGCCAGGTCCAATATGGTGGGTACTTCGGACACCTGTCAAGCCCTGAAACGGGTTCATATGAGCCGTGGCTAAGGTCTGGAAGTTATTTTCATCCTCCCTTCGATTTGCATGTGCCGTCGCTCACATAACGATACAACAGCCCGCAGTCTTTTGGTCTGCTTGCATCTCTCGGTAATGGTCCATGTAAATTCGCTGTTTGGCTTCTTCGACTGGAGCGGTGCGCTTCTTGGTCTCCTGCTGAATCCTATTGCGTACTTCCGGTAGACGATCGATCTGTTTCTGGTTGTGGAAGTTGCAGATGCGAGTATCGAGACGGCCATTTAGGTTGGCGCTGTACCAATTGAGAAGTTCGAGTTCTTTGTTATCCCACGGGCTCTTCTTGCAGAACAGGCAGCTGCGGTCGATAGCAGCCATGTTTAGCAGGAAACGCCTTTTCGATTCTGTGTAACGAGCGGAATGAAAGGAGTAAGGGAACCGCAGCGATGAACCAGTATAGGCAAGGAACTTGATGGGAGCAAAAGGCAGAATAGTCAACAATAAGTCAGCAATGAAAGAAACAAGAATCAATGCGGTCACTAAGGAATGTGGAACGAAACGGCGTCCTTTGTGAGAGGGCCAGTGCAGGGTCAAATTTGAATTGGCGATGACGCACCTGGTCGCGCGGAGAGCGGAATGTGTCCCAGGCGTCAATCCGGTTCAGCCGATCAGTCCACTAGCCTTCAAATTGGTGACGAGGGAGGGTTTCACAAGTCCCCAGGGTCCAACGAATCTTCTCTTCGAAATGTTCCTAGGTCCAGCTCGCCTCGGCTGGATCTGCGCGAAGAAGAGAAACGCTACGTAGGGTTGATGGAATTGGCTGGATGAAGTGCCTACAGGAGGCCCCACTGGCCTTAGAGGCTAACTACAGTAGCCTACTCGCTAGACGCTTACCCCCAGTTTCGTCTGACTCCTAATTTGGGAAGGAGCACGCCACCCCCAGAGAATACAACTCACTAGGATCAGTCTTGAGATGGGCCATTATTTTCTTATGCCGATCCAGAAAAATTGCTCAAGACACGTATTCTCGCCGATCGTGGAAATCACAGTCGCCTTCGTGCGCCTAGCGTGCTATCCTGCAAACCTTACTGTCTATTGCTTGCACTCATCCCGCTGATAATGTTTCATGTCCTCGATCCTTGGATCCCGGGCGAGCTGTGAGCATAAAAGAGCAGAGATTGGTCACATTGTATCTATAAAATAGTGGGCACCACAGGTGAAAAAGAGCCAGTCCTGACAGCAAAATACCAGGCCCGTCCTATAGTCATTGCTCGTCATCCTTTCGATCGTGTCTGCAGAGCCCGTTCCGTCATTCGTCCACATCAGAGTCTGGATAAACCCGTGTCACTAAGCCGGAATCGACGTCGAGGTACAGGCCAACGACACTATCGATCAAATCCTGTCTAAGGAAGCCGCACTGTTTAACCGCCCTTAGATCCTCCTTCAAGGCTTGGTGGTTATTCTCAACCATGGGCAGTCGAGCTTCTAGGGCCGATGGCTCTGCAGGATTCCCAACCCCAAACTCGGGTCTCTTGACTTGGGTGCTGTCTATGACCTGCTCCTTGGTGACGTGGGAAGCGCCACAATTGCTATGCTGAAGAAGAACGAGCTGCGAAACGTGGAAGAGCGTGTCGAGCGCCGCGATATCACCGGTAGCTGTAGCAAAACGACCAGCAACATTTCGGATGACGATACATTCATAAGGTTTGAGTCCGAGAACATTGTAGGGATTCGAACGCGAATCAAGGCACGAAACTGGCTCATGTCAGAACGGAATCAAACATAATCCCCCCCTTTTTTGCAAGCCTGTTGGGTTCTTCCGGAAACGTGCACAACAATGATGTCACATACTGACGAGAAGGTGAGGTCCATGCGCTTTGGAATTGTTCTTCATCATTGCCATTAGGCTTGGAAGTTGCTTGTGATTAGTTGTCGCATATTCCCTTTTTGCTCCCGTGGTGAGTATATCGTTCCTTTCAGATAGCGATACTAAGTCTCGTGGATAGGCGAGTGAGGGTTGTTTGGATGACTGACTTGTTACGTTTAATTATCTCCTCGACGCTAGGCCAAGTCTCGATTGTTAAGTTGCCAGTGGGCATGACTGCGAGAATGAAAGCCTAGATCTGCGATATGTGCTTCGAGTGACGCCCTTGACCGTCTTACCGAATGAGAAGTGCTTCTACCCTGTTGACTCGGGATTCAATAAACACAGCTGATTGAGGAGCAGACTGAATTTATATGCGACGGCTGGCTCATCCCCCATCGAAACACGTGGCTTACTACTTGTGCAGAGAGTTGGATTAATCAACCTCATCGCGAACAATTACCTCCAGCTTGACATGGCCTTGACCCTGGGAGCAAAAGGAACAGAATGGTCGTGCCAAGCTGTAGCGGTAGCTCCAAACTCCTCAACGACCCCCATCATCCATTGTTGAGAAAGTCTTGCCGTTGACCGAGAGAGCTAATCTCAACAATTTTCCCGGCCTCTTCATCGTGTGAAATCTCGCTGGCTGGCGAAGGAATTCGGGCTTCCTGGCTCCCACAGTAGTGTGTTTTGTGGGGGAGGAAATGTTGAGTAATCTCTGGCCTTCCTATCCACAATTGGAACCATGGGCAGCACCTGGACAACGTCAACCCATGCAGTCAATCAAGTACAGTTTCCTCATCATTGTCGGGTCAAGAAGTCATTGGCTACTTGATTCGACAATTTCTCCTGCCCACAGAAGAGCCTTTTGTGAGCTGTGTCATCTTTGTTGTATCGACGGTCAGCGGAAGAGCATCTAAGGCTTGGGAACTCGAACAGGGTCAATTGCTGCTTTAAATTATTCGATATTCATCAAGTCCGTACGACTTTCGTAGGAGAACACTTAGGACCTTTGCAGAATTAGCCATCTCAGGGTCCGCCCCTGTCTTCGTCGGCAGGAGGGTGATATGGTGGCATGTGGCTTCAACGGCAATCGAGCAATATCAATGTATGGTATGATGAGATCACCTAAGCATTCGAAGCAATCGGGAGTCGCCGACATGTTCCTGACTTGTAGAGCGAGGGGCAAAGAGTTGTGTAGAGATCGCGGGTGAAATGCTCGCGGAAAGCGCCGGTTTTCGTTCTGTAGGGGAGGTCAGTAACCGCTGAAATGTGTATCTAATTTCACAAGATGCGGCAACTCCGACCCTGATAGCTCTCATGAGTTCCTTACTGCCTGAACAATCGCCCCGGCCTCTCCTTTGTTCAAGGCATCCAACGTGTCCATATCCCCGGCAGCAATCTCGAACCCATAAACATCAGCATTCTGCTTTATCCGCTCCGTCTTATCACTCTTTGGCAGCGGTACCCAATTCTTCTGCAGACAATATCGAATGAGTATCTGCGCCGTTGACCTATTGTATTTCTTGGCTATCGAGACAAGTGTCGTATCGTTGGCTTTATAGTTGCGGACTAAAGGAGAGTATGCTTCGATAACGATACCCTTCTGTTCGCAGTATTTCGTGATAGTCCGTTGCTGACACCAAGGATGTAACTGCAAATATTGCTGTCAGTTCTTGTTCTCCTTTCCTATCTCTTCTCTCCCAGTTCACGCCCTCCTCGAGGACCCGAAGGAAATATCTTGGGAGTAGGCGTCACATGTAGTGTGTACACTACACATCACATACCTCAATCTGGTTGACTTGCGGTGGCCACACTTTCGCATAGCCCTTCATCTCCTCGATGTGACCGACTCCAAAATTGCTCACGCCGATACTCTTCGCTCTGCCTTCTTCATACAGTTTCTCGAGCGCCAACCACATCTCTTTCCGCGCCTTACTACCTGCATTAGGACTGTGTATCAAAAATAAATCCACATATCCTTCCCCCCCTCCTTCATTTTGCCCTGGATCAATCTTATTCACGCTATCCACACATTTCTGGTAAGATTTTTCGACACTTCCGCCTGCGGAGAGGATTTTGGTCGTGACAAAGATCTCAGAGCGGGGTAGACCCGATTTACGCACCGCTTCACCGACTTGTGCTTCATTGCCGTAGAACTGGGCAGTGTCGATGTGTCGGTAGCCCGTTTGCAGAGCAGACAGGCAGGATTGTACGCAGACAGAGGGCGAGGACTGGTATACACCGAACCCAAGGCGGGGAATGCGCACGGAGGAATTGGGGAGTGGAAGAGTATCTGTGAGGGAGAGGTTGGACATTTTGCGGGATTGAACTGACTGATTGAAGATGACAGGAAATTCAATTCTTTGGAGGATGCGGTGTGCTTGGAATGTCGTCCTCATACAATGTGTATCAATTGATTGAATTGCTGTACAGGTGTACAATGATACAATTAGCCTACCACCGCTGCCGGCATCGGAGATGGGTTTTTGGCCGACGATCACCGTTTTTAATCTTTCCTGTCCTTGCCTAGTCAACCCGATCCGTCCAATCATAGTCAACACATGCCACGAGGTTCAGTCTGGAGGTTGCCGGATCAAGAATGAGTTCACGGCCCGAAATGTTGCCCTCGAAGGATTCGCATCTGGCTTTGCCTGGGTGATCCAAGCCAAACGCCGTTTGACAAGCTGTTTGTCGATATTGCGGTGGTTGGCGTTTTCCTTCAATCGGCCTTACACGAAAGGTTAGCCCAAGCCGACCCAGACCGGAGTCGAAAGCAAAAGCTTACCCTCATCATCATAGAATAGACACAGGAGAGCCACCACAATACCGGCGCTCAGGTCTTTGCCCGTTGTGCAGGTAACTAATATTCGGTCGTGTCGATGCTGGACAAGGTAGTCTCCGACGGTATCACAAACGCCAGGTAGCTTGTCACGGAGGTCTTTACTTCCCAACTTGCCTGAGCGACATTTCAAGTCCACCAGGTTAGAGCACTCTTTTTGGCTGTCGCCTTGACAGTTGACAACGAAATCAAATCCATCGACGGTGCCAACAGGGCCAACTCCGATATAGATATTGGAGGTGGCGAGGATCTTCGTGACTGGTCCTCTGGTGTGGCTGTCCTGCCTTTCTTGCTCAAGCAACGTCCCGATGAGTTCCTGGAGTTCGTCTTCGGCTGACTGCATCAGCTCCTCTCTGTATTTCCAGAAAACTCCGGGATTCAGACCATGAGACCATCCCTCGCTGTCATCGCCAGCTCCTTGAATATATCCGCCTTCCGAGATTTCTGCACCACGGACACGACGAGATGCTGAACAAAGAACCAACCGAAGGCATATTTCTCGAGGGTCTTCAAAAGACTCTGATGGTGGTTCGTCGTCTGGCTCTTCATTTCCAACGTCGGAGGAGCCATTCACGGCCCAAGAGATGTGGATTGGATGCTTCAGCTCGTTGCGTAGGCGGGCCAGGTCCAGTCCCAGGTTGGCGAATGCGTGCACAAATCCATCAAGTCTCGCTTCGATCTGCGATATCTCGGACTGGCCTAAGTTATCTGGCGTGGGCGGATGCTGGAGAGCATGCGTCCAAGGCAGCTCGGGGAATAATGCTCTGTTGATCACCGTGGCCCAGATTGGCACAGTTTTGCTCAACGCATCGGGCAAATTCTTGCCCCGACGTGTCGAATCAACCACAACGGCACCGCCATGACTACCTAGGATAGGAAGAAGCTGGAGGTTGAGTCTTCGAAGCGAAAAATCCCACTGCCCATGATGGCCGTCCGTGCTCTTGAAGTAGGCGCTGCCAGCTTTGTCAGTCGGGTCAATATACCAACTTCCACAACGCTCATTTGCCACTAGTGGTAGATTGTAGTGTTCGGATACTTGCTTCGCGAATTTGGCATCGGCCAGGATAGAATGAAGGCGGTTGGGTATTGAAAGTGCGGATTTGCGGATCGACCCAAGATTCGTGTAGAGGGAAGGGTTGAGGTTCGCGTCATTCAAGGAAAGTTCGGCCAGTTGGGTAGGAAATTTCGTAGATGGCATCGCAGATCAAGAGGGCAAGGGGAAGAATGATAGTGCAAGCTACGTGGTTCGGATTCACTTTTTTCCCGACGGCAAGGATTTAATCAAATCACCAGCTTTTCATGGAACGAGTTAGTTGCCTGGTTCAAAGACTCTTCCTGTCCCACTTCCAAGTGAATCCAGGCCGTCCAGAGCGAAATTCATGCGGAGTCCATTTTCTTCAACCGAAATTTATCGTGGTACAAGATCTTGCGTGCACACGGGCAAAATTTTGAGATGCCAAGCTGAACGTCGATTGGTTCCACTTTCGGATATCTTCCTCTGCGAACGGAACCAGGGGATCAATGTTTTTGGTGTCCCTCAACATCGCGGTCTCATGTGACAGGGATCGAGCCATCTGTCTGCACTGGCTCTGGCATCATCGCTCCCTCATTTGTGTTCATCATACTCATGGCGTCGTCGTTGATAGGATGGAAGCTGAACTGAGATGCAGTGAAGTCCTCTCCATCAAACAGTAGCGTGTTTTGAAGAGGTGGTTCTTTTTGCCCAATGGCATTGATGACATCTTGTGCTAGATAACCCCCGAGGAATGCCACCACTGGACTGATCTCAGATCCAAGATTTTGAAGAAAGCCTCTGAGGAAGTCCGCCCTTAAGATCTCTAGAGGCAATTGAAGTTCAAGGTGTTTCTGATTCGCGAGTCTAGTGAACAGCTCCAAATCCGCCCTGTTGTGTGCAGGTAGACGACCTCCGCTCTGCGTCTGGAAATCGAACAGTGCTCGTATGCATGAGAGGAGGGGCGTCACACGCATTCGACTCCGTCGAGTATTTCTGACTTTGGCAGGAAGCGGCGACAAATTAGCCAACTGCATTGGCGAATAATTTTCTTGATAGGTGATGATGTCTGTGATCTTGCCACCTTCAGTTTTGGAGTCAACTCCAATGACACATCTTGTAGATGTCTCCATGTCTCCGATTTTTGCCGGTTTGTTGCTGCGAGGCTTCTCGACAATGAAATCATGAATGCCGAGGTCGGCAAAAATGAATCCATACATTCCATGAGTGTCTGCAGCATAAAACTTCCGGTTGAGCATCCGGCATGACATATTGATATTAGCCAGTATGTCCAGTGTCAAGCCGGTGGCAATCGTGATGTCGAAGTTCTGAAAATATTCTGGGTCCTTCGTTATGACTGGATTGGGGTCGGTGTAGAGTTCAACACGAGGATTGAGCTTCCGCAATTCTGGGAGAGCAGCCTCTGCGCGATTCTGACCGATTTGAGCCTCAGTAACAAAAAACTGAGTCCCGAGGTCGTCTTCAGTAACCAGCCCAGCATCGAGTATTGTCAGTGTCCCAATGCCTGCCAGAACCAGGTTCTTGGTAACTTCAGTTCCTAGGCCCTTCATCCCGATGAGGAGAATGTTGGCTCCTCTGAGCTTTTCTTGAACCTGCATCCCCCATAATCGTATCTGTCTATCGTATAGTGCAATCTCGTCGGCAGAAATGGTTGGCTGAGGTGCTCCGGTGAACATCCCGGATTGAACGCCGTTCATGGGGAGAGTCATGGCGCCGAATGTGGGATCAGGCATCTGGGCGTAGCCGTTGAGGTCTCCGAGAGCAGGAACAGAAGGGATGAAAGTATTTCCATTCATGGCCATTGCGGCAGGATCGGAAAGTTCATTCACATCGGTCGGAACAGACCCGTCAGGTAGAGGGTTCCCCTCCATAGTGAATGCGAGGAGCGAAGCAGAAGATGTTCAGCCAAAGGTAGAGAGACACACTGGATGCAGAAAGGTCGTTTGCAGAGATTTGGGTGAAAAGCCAGTAGAGGCGAGTGTTGGTGAGAGTGAGAGTAAGACGAGGGAAAATGTCTGGCTGGTCTTTTCGCATCGCAAAATGTTTGATCGGTTTCTTTGTCTCTTCAACGGTGCCTTGTCCTACGCAAGGGACTTCTGCAGGGGCGCTGAGGGTTGGCCGCAGGTAAGCAAGCGAGCATCTAGCCGCAACTTTGGTTTAGCCCTTCCGCACAGCGGGCATCAGCACCTAATTCTCCGGCTGCTCCCTTCAAGCCTCCATCAGCCATTGGGAATCATTAGCGACGACCCCTTGAGGCCTCTTCGGTCACGGCGCTCGTGGCCCCGGCCCAACGACCAAATGAGGTGACACTGACATGAAATCGTGGGGCAAATGCCTTTTAATGTGCCTCGTTCTCTGACTGGAGACCTCCGACTACCACCTTCTGATGGTAATTCTCCATGTCCCTCGCCAGGATCCCACCCAACACTGAATCGATGATATATCAATTGAATTCAATCTGTCTACGTGACAACAACCATCTCTCCTTGCATGCTGTCCCTATCCGGAGCACCCTTTCCGCTCGTACCCAGAGCACGCCTCTCTTTGTCCAACAATGGTAGGTCTACTTCCACGTTGAATGGTCATCGTCGAGTTTCAACTCCTCTTTCCCGTCATTTTTCTGCTGCTAATTTCAATCAGGCCGATCCTTCTGACCGCCCAGCGTGGTCTGATATATCAGCAAGACTACAAAATCTAAGAAACCTCCTCAGCTCAGAGCGCCATCTAGGCGCCGATCAGCAGCGAGCATTTGAGGCAATTGATCGAGAGATGGAGCACCAAACGGCAGTCGACCCAGCCGCAACTAGGGACAGAAGGAGAAGAGATCATGAGACACATGTGCAAGAACCAGACATACCCTCAGTATCAGAAAATCTACCGCATAGCGGTAGTCCTTCGAGTCTTGTCCGGACCCGGAGAAGAGCCTTCAGACCTAGTGAGCGTTTGCAAAGATACCAGAGGGAAAGACTTGGTCAAAGCGGAAGGACAACCACATCTGAGACACACATATCTCCTTCTCATCTATCCCCTTCCTCCCCAGCTCACTCCGTCAGCGACCGTGACGATCGCCAGAGGTCGAAGCGAAGAAAATTGGACGACGGTACTTACCAGGACGAGCTTCGAACTTTCCGCTATGGCCACAATGGACAGGTGGTTCCAGGTCATCTACGGATGGATATTGTCGTTTGTGATGGTGGGGAATATTCTGACTCTCTTGTTCCCATCGATGCCAGTCCTCAGAATGTTCTTCGGGACGATACCAGTGTCTATTGCACCAAGACCAACAGCTGTAACCTCTTATTGAGACACGTTGGTGGAATGCCGTTCACGTTGACCAAGATTGTCATCAAGGCGCCTCGACATGGTTTTGACGCGCCGATTCAAGAAGGTCTAATTTTCGTCGCCATGGACCATGACATGCTCCTCGAAAAGACGGCCCAATATGAGATACGATGGTCTCCCAAGAGCAGCCGTCATCAACGGCACCGACAGGATGGTTTTCGCCCTTCTCAGGAGTATATGAACTCTACAAGATCTCCCTTGCGGTCGATTGATCGGTCGAGGTACTCGGGCAACCTCACGAATCCGGGAGACGATCCTGAACTTGAAACTACTCTTGTTCCGGGGTTCAGCGTTTCGGTGGCAGACCCCTCGGACGATGAAGACATTGGAGACGGACAGCCCTCACCGCCACAATGGCACGATGACGATTACTCGCTGAGATCGTACGTCGACCGGTACCGGCCTGTCTACCTGGGCAATGAACGGAATGACGGTCTCTGGTCAACTTCGAGCGACTCTGAAGGCTACGAACCAGACGTGCCGTCTGAAGAAAGACTTCCGGGAGAAAGAGAGCGTTTTCAACGTCAACAACTTGAGATCGAGAATACGTTAGCACACCGAAATCGCATGCTAGATCTCATGCGGGCGCAGCAGATTCGTGACAGTGATGAGTATTTCGGACGTCGCAGCCGTCGAGGTGAACACGATGATGAGGGGCCCTTTAATCGTCGCTCAACTCCAAGCAGGATTGGACTACGGACATTTGCACCAGCCATCGGAGCGTCTGATCCGGTTTATCCCTCTGAGGAATCGCTGGGCCGGCTGGCAGATTTTGATAACACGACATCGAAGAGCGGAACTGCCGAAGTGGGCGCAAGTTCTTCCACGAAGGCGGATGTCGTAATACCCCATGCGCGATTTTTCATCAGTCGGAGCAAATCAAGCACTGCCATCAAATTCGATCCTCCAGTGTAAGTTGTCCTCTGGCCTTGTTCTGTATTCGGCAGACTGACCTCGTTGTTCAGTTCGGGCCGTTACGTTCTGGTCAAACTCTGGGCACAATGCCCGAATGCTAACATTGACATCCAAGCCATCCTTCCATATGGCTATGGTGGGCCTCGATTTTTCCCTAGTATAGAAATGAGATGATATGAGACCACGATTGTTATGATTGGGTTTGCAGGGAGTGTCTTCCTCAGACTGGTATGTTACCGGTCCGGATGACTTGATAATGTCCATCCAAAGAGGTCATCTTGAGAGAAGCATGGCGCTAGCCTCCCAATATAATATCCTCCTTTCTCTCTTTGAACCTCGACTACAAATCAGTTTCTGACTGGCAGTCTGATGTATGAAATGAGTACATTGATGCCCGGACATTCATTTCATATTGTCTCAGTCCGATTGACGTTACATTCTTTGAAAGGGTTCGGAATTGCGACGGCTCTTCGCTTTTTGCTCTGCCGTAGGATATACTAAATTCCCCGTCCGCCGTACTTCTGATATATTCTATTCCAGTGCATTCTTTCGACATGCCGCGGTTTGCAGAGGGGACTGGGATCCCAATTCGTGACAATGGCAGGACGATACCTGCTCGAGCTTCCGCTCCATCGGCTTCACAAGTTCCAGATTGGATTCGTATTAAGAACCGACGGAAGAGATACCTCGATGTTCACCCGGAATATTTTGGGCCACAGCTTGAGCTGGCAGGTGTGGCTGCCTCTATTGAAGACTACTGTTCCGCATCCAGTAGTTGTGTTAACAGGTTTCGGCAGATCCATTGCTCTATGATCGACTCATAAGACGCTTCCAGTCCCCCGCGGAACGTGAAGCCGAGGGTCGACAGAAGGGATACTCCGGTATTCTTGAGGCAGATCTTTATCGGAGTGAAGCAAAACTAGACGCACTGAGACGTCCTGATCCCCAAAGTATGTTCACATACAAGCGAGGGCCGAATGGTGAAATTCTGGCTGAAGAACAGGACGAAGTGCCTGCGAACAAAGAGGAGGGATTTGCTCGATGGCGATGGGAGATGGAAGTTAGATTTCTACGAGGCGGGGACGATGATTTCGACTACGCGACCGTGGACAACAACCCCGAATACGACGATCGGGCAATCGAAGAGCAAGATGCCGAAGATAAGTATTTTGATGAGCAAGAACCGGAGTTCGTCGAAGGTGAGGATGGTGCGACAAGAAGCGAGAGCAAAGAGCTAGAAGGCGAGACTGGAATCCAGGACTTTTGATTTGGCCACATGAACATTCGGAATCTCTAGATTGGTGTTCACTTTGAAGCGAAAGGTTTTTATCAAGCCCAAAGTCACCAACGGACCAGGTCAACCCCGGAGCGAGAAAGCGGAGAGCCATAACGCCCCCGCCCAGGGGGCTCTGAACACCAATAGGTCCACTCAGTTCTTTTCGACCACCACTTGCCTTGCCCCAAACCAATCCACCAAGGGGTCGATCATACAGCCTTGAAGTCGAAGTTCGAGGCTTCATCTATCAGCTCTTGGCTAGTTGAAAGTGCTCGAATTTTGTTCGAGTGAGTTCGGGATTTTCGATTTTGCTTCAGGCGGTCAAGATGTCCATAGGATCCATCAGGCCTCTGACGCTGCTAGCACACCGGACATGAGGCATTCTCCGAAATACCTGGTGGTCATCGGTCTTCTGCATGAACTCCTGCCATTCTTTGGAAGCAATCCATTCTTGTCGAGCGCGTTTATCTCGAAACTTCATCAACATCACAGTATCGTGGACTTCTTCTCGGGAAGGCTTTGGGTTTCTTTTGGAAAATCCTGGAGCATCTGGAATTTCGACAGGATATGTCTCGAACTTCGTGACAAGTGGTGAATGAGCGGCGTGCATGCCTATTCTAGCCACCATAGAATCTAGTTGGTGAGTAGGTTGGTCGGCCATCTTCCCCCTTCGTACGAGATCCTGATCGGCTGGCTGAATGTTGCGCTTCATCTGGGAAGCAAAGAAGAAAAACATGCATGTCAACGGTCGTTCGGAATCAGCAGCATCTTTGGCGCCACGCTCTGCCTTGGTTTCAGAGGCTACTGCTTGCTCGCTAAGAGCCGTTCTTTGTAGTAGCATATTGACGGCTGATCTCGTCTTTTCCAAGAGTTCGAATTCAGTCACTGCTCCTCCGAGATATGTATTTGATATACCGTCACTTGAGGAAGAGTATTTAGGGAGAAGAATGTGGGTAGTTTGAGAGAAGCACAAGATGGTAATAGCCGCGCTGGCCGCTGCCAAACGTTTGATGATGATACGGTACGTTTCCCCGCATTTCTGATCATTGGCCGTCAGACACCCCCCGAGAGGGAAGATCTGGGGCTGATGCAGCCGAGGATAAAGAAATGTGCTTTTCAAGTCCCGTGACTCCTTCGGACGTCCTTTACGTTCAACGGGGTGTCTTCTATCAAAGATTCGGCTCCTTTTTGATGAAATCGACAAGAAGCCTAGGTTCATGTGATGGTATGTAGGTACCTAGGCACAGGCCCAAGCCACTGGGACTGCGATTGAGCGGCCCAACCAGCAATCGGCGCTTTACCCCCACCAAGGCTTAAGCTGCAAATCTCGGGGTTGTTCCCCGCCGCCCGTCAACTCCGGCTCACGAAGCCCAGCACTCAATAATCCTCAAGTCCCTCTTGCGGAGAGTTTTGACCGACCGTGGCTTTGGACCCTCCACCAAATATGCAAGCCATCAAGATATATCTTGTACCTACGTTGGCTCTACGAAAGACGTGCATTGCCGGAAATATGGATATGGCTGAGCATGTCAATATGATTCCCGAGGCCAGATGAGTTTTCTCTCCCACGACTTACGCCCTACACTTCCCGCTTCGAGCACGGTGATAAAACCATGCGGGGACTCTTTCGACCGCTGTCATTCGTATGGCCTCGCTTTCCTTCAGCTTTACGATCCCGGCGTGGCCTCTTGACGCAGGCACGAGTAAGCGGTCCTCTCGATCCTCCACTTCTTGAAGAAACCATCGGCGAGAACTTTTCCCGTATTGTCTCTGCGCATGGCGATCGCCCTGCCGTGATCTCTAGACACCAGAAAAAGCGTCTCACCTACAATCAACTCGACCTCGACAGCAATGTCCTGGCTCGGGGACTACAAAGCCTGGGTGTCAAGAAGGGCGATCGTGTCTGTGTGTCTTTGGGAAACAATCTTGAATTTGCTACCATTACATATGCCCTATTCAAGCTTGGGGCCATATTGGTCCCTCTGAATCCTGCATTTACTGCTACTCAGGTAGTTTCGGCTTTCAATCACTTATCGGCCACCCACCTGGTCGTTGGGACGGAAACCAATCTCCCGTACAAACCACCTCGACCGAATGTGCCACTTCTCCAGTCCATAGTCCGAGATCTCTCGAATCCGACTCTTGCTTCGGAGACGATCCCATCTCTCAAGAACGTCATCCTGGTTGATAACTCCTCAGGTCGCATAGATCCAGCCCCCTTTCGCGCGACTACACCATGGTCTTCGATCTCTCAAGATTCGAACAATCGTCCTCTTACGCCTTCTTCCCCTCTGTCAACTGATGACGTGGTCAATATTCAATTCACGTCAGGAACCACGTCCACGCCCAAGGCTGCTTGTCTATCACATCGATCCATTCTCAATAACGGCAATCAGATCGGCGATCGTATGCTTCTGACTTCGGAGGATGTTGTATGCTGCCCACCACCCCTCTTCCACTGTTTCGGTTGCATTCTCGGGTATATGGCGACTGCTACTCATGGATCGGCAATTCTCTTTCCTGCTGAAGCTTTTGACCCGAGGGCTTCCTTGAAAGCTGTACAAGAAGAAAAGGCCACTGCGCTCTATGGAGTTCCCACCATGTTCTTGGCCGAACTCGAGCTCATTGATGACGGAGAGATAGCCTATCAAGGCTTTCAGTATCTACGCACTGGTATTGCGGCCGGTTCATCCGTCCCAGCAGAACTGATGCGGAAACTGCACAGGACCCTAAATTTGACCGAGCTGACCATATGTTACGGAATGACGGAAACTTCTCCTGTTTCAGCAATGACGACGACCGACGACCCCATAGAGAAGCGCATTAATACGGTCGGTCGACTCCTTCCACATGTGGAAGCCAAGGTCGTGGACCCTTTCAACCACGATAAGATTCTGAACGTGGGAGAAAGGGGTGAACTTGCGGTCCATGGATATTTGGTCATGAAGGAATATTGGGGACAACCCGAGAAGACAGCAGAGGTGATGAAAGCCGATGAAGATGGCAAGGTCTGGATGCACACGGGAGATGAAGCCTCGATAGACGCCGACGGATATGTGAGTATTACCGGTCGAATCAAAGATTTGATCATTCGTGGCGGCGAGAACATCCATCCCCTCGAGATTGAGAATTGTCTCTTCGCACATCCCAAGATTGCCGAGGTCAGCGTAGTTGGCCTTCCTGATGAGAGATATGGCGAGGTGGTGGCTGCATTTGTTATCCGAAAGCACCATTTGCCACCAGGTGAAAAGGATATCACAGTTGAAGAGGTGAGGAATTGGGTCAAGGAACGTATGAGCCATCATTTGGTGCCGAAATACGTCTTCTTTGTCTCCGAATATCCCAAGACGGCAAGCGGAAAGATTCGTAAGTGGCCCCCTCAACCTGTTCCCGCTCGACTCATCGAGCCAGGGTGACTCTGGTCAGCTTGGAGTTCGACCCGTTTACTAACTGGTGCCAATTGCAGAAAAATTCAAGCTGAGAGAAAAAGGACTTCAGCTGCTCAAAGGGCAAGAGCCAGTCTAAATCTTCACGCTCAAGTTGTGGCGCTTAATCGGTACCGACTTGAATCCTGGATACTGTTCAAATTTGGTCCAAAACCTGGACAAATTCAATATTCAATCCTTCGACATTTATGGTACATCAGTCATCCTCACGCCTCGAGTGGCGGTCCCTCGATGACTTTCTGTCCTGCCTGTGTTCTTGATGGCCTCTGTGACGGTGCTCTCGGTGACGATAGGAATGATGATCCTCATGCTTCTTTCGTCTTCTCTCGTGCTCATCATCTTTGGGTCTATCCCTGTCGTGACGGACTCGGTCTCGATGCCGGTGTCGTCTTTCGCTTCGTTCCTCATCGCGCTCACCTTCATCATCTTCTCTTCGACGATGTCTATGCTTGCTCCTTGAATGTTTCTCCCTCTCCTTCGCTCTCTCGACCTCTTCCCTCTTCTCTCTAATTAAATAATCTCGCATTGGATCCTCCTCTTCCTTCTCCCCGCCTTGCTCGATGGCTAGCAACTCCTCCAACTCGCGCTCTTCTTTTAACATCGACCTTCTCTTCTTCCTCTCATGCCTTTCTTCGCCATCCTCACCCTCCGTATTATCACTCCCTCTCTTCCCATTCACATTGAGCTCCGCTTCAGCCTCTTGCTCCAAACGGTCAATCCGATATGTATCTTCATCCTCGTTGTCTTTCTTCTTGTATCTCGTATGATCCACCCTCAACATTCTCCCCAGGACCTCGGCACCTCCTAAATTGTCCACGGCAAGATCACAGCTGCGCTGATCTTCATATTTGAGGAACGCAAAGCCTTTGCTCTTTCCCGTGTCTTTGTCGCGGATCAAATTTAAATGAGTGGGGTTTCCGTATTGCGAGAAGATGGTGACAACGTCACCTTCAGTAAGGTCCAGATTCAGTCCACCGACGTAAATGTATGCCGTGTCTCGATAATCGGCGTGCCAGGATGCGGAGGGAGGTGTTGCATTTTCGAGTTCCCGTTTGTTCAACAGGTGGGTTTGCCGAATTGCGTTCATGATGTGGAACAATGCTTTAAACCCGGGGAAAGGGCGGACTTCAGATCCCTAGTATCTTGAGGAAAGTCCAAAAGTGGCGGCACATCTCAACAGGCATGACGCTTAAAATTCGAAATTCGTGCTAAGTTGGGGTCCGGTCTGTGGAGAATACGCCAGGGAACAGAAGTTCATCAAGATCTCCCAGCGCGTCAATACGGTTTACTCTTCTGTGAACCGGATCGAACATCTTCGATTGGATCTGGTACATAGACCTGTCTATTTGCTCTCTTGAAACCTTCGGCTTCCACCATGTTGGCGGCGTCCCCACCGGTCTCGGGTTTCTCTTCAACGACTCTCTCTTCGACTCGTCAAATCCCCCAAATTACCGCAGACAAAGATGGCGACAAACAAGCCATTTGGGTCCCTATGCTCAATAGTGCCTCGAAAGGCAAAGATCTGTCCGAAAAGCAGCTCATCGTCCTGGGCGGCACGCCCGAACAACAACGCGAATTTCTCGAGCAGTTGAACCCTCCCAATCTACGACCGCGATACGCCAACAATGATAGACGAAGACAACCTAGAGTGGCTCCCATATCGAACCGATATGCACTAGGCTACACATATCATGATGTCCTGGACGCCGATCAAGAAGACATTTTGGCCCGATTGAACATTTACACATTGGCGAGCCCCAGTGCTGGGTTTGCACCCCTCTTGAAGCCGCTGTTCACTCCCAAGACGGTCAAGGATACACTGATTACCATTTTGCTGGACTGGCAAGAACCGTTCAAGTGGGCCAGACAGTTGAGACAGTGGATTCGGTTACTTCGGTCTGTGATATTGAGCCTGGACGAGCAGACCAAAATTGAAATGGAAGAGACCATGATTGCTTGGAAGGAGAAAAGAGTGGGACCTGATGCGCATTCTGCCCAACCCGGCGGGAGTTCATCCGCAGACCAAAAGTCGATATCGGCGGCAGTCCCGCTTGGACCAGGAGAATGGGATGACGGTCTCGGCATTCCTCTATCGGTTGTTTGTGTGCAAGCGGAAAAAATTGAAGTTCTCGAACGAGATTTTGGGTGGGGAGAAGATCAATTCGACTTTTTGATGCAGTGGCTGAGATGTGTATTGCTCAAACATGGAGCATCACTGGTCTACACCGCAACGTTCGACCCGAACAATGTCCGGACATTGATCCATTCCAGTCTAAGCATTCATTCCCTCCTGAAACGTGAAGTGGCGAAACACAACATCATCGACAGAGACAAGATCCTTGTTCCACCGAATTGGGATTCTTGGGGCAAAATCAGGGTCCTCAAAGAAGGGTTTGATCCCGAAGCGGTGGGAAACGCTTGGTCTGTGGAAATTCAGCCCCCGCCGGAACCGTCACTAGACTTCTCAATAGAGAAGCAAGGTCCAAATGGTTCGGGATCAGAGTCGGATTCTGCCGTTCAGATCTATGAAGCCACACTTCGCGACCCGTCCGACGCTCGACCAACATTCCAACCACGCACGCATGACGAAACGGTGAGTGTCCCTTCCGTCCAAGAGTTCCTGCAGGTTCAGTACGAGAATCTGGAGAAACTGAAAGCCGAAGACGAAAAAGCGGAACGAAAGTCTCGAAAAGGAGCATCTTCCACCGGCACTGGAGCAGGTGGCACAATGGACGGAGAAGACAGCTCGAAGAATGCGTCCAATCCCAGAATGGCAGAGCATATCGGACCGTATCAAATTAATGTCAATGGAATCGACTTTGACGCGGAAGAGGCGACGAGACGACTGATCGAACGGGAGAACGAACGCAATGCAGCCGCGAAAGCCTCGAAAACCACATCAAGTGCGAATACCGCCGGCGGCGGCACGGGCGTGAGTACACCCATGCGCCGGCAGGGAAGCGAAGCTGGAGCGGAAGGAGCCCACACTCCTTCAGCTACGGGTTCGGCAGGAGGAGGTAAGCATAGCAACGAAGCCGCGTCGCAATTCTTTGCCAATTTGATGAAGAGGGAAAAGAGGGGAGCTGTCAATGCGGGTGTCAGTCCGACTAGGGTCGCGGGCAGTGCAAGTCCGGCTGTTCGTGGTGCTGCTGGTGCCGGAGGTGGACATGTAGCAGGAGATGAGAAGAGGAGGGAGTCTTGATCAGGGTGTTTGTCCTGCGTTTGTGTTCGATGCGGCGAGAAAGGATCGAGAATGAAAACGTGGAACTTTCACCGTCTGCCCTATATAAGCACCACCGTACAGAGTAATGAGACAGTATCTACTTACAGTTTGGGGAACTCCCGTTCGCAGACCTGTCAAAAATTCTTCCCGCTGGCGCATGAAAGAAATCACTGCTTCTGTATTGGGAAATTAATGTTGCCGAAAGAAGCAAAGGGACGTTAGCTTGTGATCCTGATATCCGAGATACGATACGAAAAAAAAAAAAAAAAACCCTCAATCCCACGGACACGATTTCGGCATATGCCTCCGGAAGAGGTATACATCCTCGTACGCCGTTCCATATCCTGGGGAGAAAGGCTAATTACCTCCGTACAGGGATGCGGTGTAAAGTCAAAGAGTTACAGTCAAGACAAAGGGCGTTCTTGTATTCTAATCTATATTCGCATGTGCGTACATAAACCCCCCATCACTCACGCACCATCTACATGTCCCGTTCCCGTACGAGTCCCGTTTCCACGTCCGGCCGTGTGCATATATAGAAATACTTAATCCACCACACCCCCCTCAGGAGTCCAGCCCTCAATACCGCACATCTGCACCACGTCCTTCGGATCCTCCACCTGCACCGTCAAAACCTCTCTCAACCTCCGGACCTCATCTTCGCTAAAGCCGCATTTCCCCATCAAATAGCCATCGATGCCACCATACTCACCCTCCAGCACAGTCCTCAGGAATGCACGCATATTCCCCGCGCGACTCCCGCAGATCCTTGCCGCCTCGTCACGCGAGACAGCCGGCCTATCCCCCGTATAAACTTTCTCATCCGACGGGCGAGACCCCCCCGACCCGATCCCAGTCTGTGCAATACGGTCAATGAGCTCCTTGCGCCACGCGCCCAGCCCCGGTTCCGTGAGCGCGTATTCCCAGCAAATTGTCTCGTCCGGGACGCCGACTAGCTTGAGCACCAAGGCTCCAAAGACACCCGTCCGATCTTTGCCGGCCGTGCAGTGGAAGACGAACGGGGCGTCAGGCTTCTCGAGCAGGTGCCGGAACATGAGCGTATAGGCGCCGATGCCGTGCTCGGCGATATCGCGGTACGCTTTGACGAAGCCCTCGGAGTAAGAAAAGCCGGCTTCCTCGTCGTGCGCGTGTTCGGCGGTGTACCATGCGAGTTTGGTCGCCAGGGCCACGGGGCCATAATCCTCGGTTTGATAGACGGGAGCGAAGTGGCGGGTTAGACCGGGGTAGTCGTCGACGCAGCCTGTGTTGGGGTTGGCGAGCGGGTAGACGCCCTTGGGGCTGTTGGCGACGGTGCTGGCGAGGCGGATGATTTCTGGTGCAGACCGCAAATCGTAGATGCTGTGCACGTTGAGGGTTTGCGTCAGGTATTGGGCGCCTTCCGGGGTGAGGTGTGTCGGATGGGCGCAGCGGTATAGGATGCCGCGTCGAAGAGTGTAGAATCGGCTGTCCGGTGAGGCGGAGGCGGAGGGGGGTGGTTGGCATTGATAGCCTCCTATGTCGCGGAAGTTGGGAACACCTTGGACGTGCAAGAAGGGCGGAGTGGGTAGGTTGGTCGGGAAGGCTATGCCGAAGTCCTTGGGTTCGGGGGTGGATTCACGTTCCGCTTTGGCTTCGGCTTCGGCTGCTTCGATTTCTCGCTCGGTCATGGGAGCTCCATTTGCGTAGGATAAGTTTGGCCGCGGGGGAGGGTTGACGTCCGTGTAAGGCTGATAGGTTTCACCGGTGGTGGTGGAGGTAATTGGTTCGGTCATCGTGGATTATGTATGATATGATGTTGGGGTCGATGTTGAGGAAGACAGGAAAGGACTACGAGAAAGTGATGTTGAACCCAATTTTGCGATGTCGGATTGTGGAGGGATATCAAGTGTTGTCGCGGTGATGGGGGGTATGCCTCGGCCTGATGCCGGTGCATCTTCCCAGGTGCAGTCATTGGTATATATTCATGTCTACATATCTTTATTTGTTGTCAGTAGACCCCCCCCCCCCCTCTGCGACTTCGGCTATTCCCCCGATTGAATATCTAGTGCTCCTCTGTGTTGTCTTGTCGTGATATAGGCTGGTACAACTGTACAACAATGCCGCCACTCCAATCACCAATTCCCGTCCCATCACGTCCCAACGTCCCCCGGCTTTAGCATGCAACTCCCCCAATTCATCCTCTCCCAAATCTCGCCTATCACCCATCCGCCGGGTTTTGTTGGGCCATTCCTCTACTAGCATGAGCTTGGTCGAAGTGCAAGCTGGATTACATACAACAAATCCATTATTCAATGGCCAGCCCGGTCCGATGTGTTCGTTGGCAAAAGCGGTCAGTGATGAAATGATGGCAGCACATTTTTCACATCCACAATATTGTGTTATTGACTTTGGTATTCCATCGTCTCCCCGTCCGCAAATCTCCTCTTTCCATCTTCCTCGTCTTGGTTGTCGCTTTGCTCGCGTCTTGATCTCTGTCATTACCCTATAGACAAAAAACTGTGCTCATAAACACGGGCAATCCAGTCTACCTCCCAATTTTTTGGCGTCATTCCTTTTCGTGAATGGGATCTGAAATCAACCCAAGAAGCGATGGCTCTCATTTATCTCACCCGAATCCTCAACCCAAATCCAATCCCCGCAAAGGACTCTATACACCGGCGCTTCCGAGCACTTCGTAACGCTGACCAGAGTCGATGATACTCGCCGAAGAAAAGAAATCCCCCCCCTTCCACTAACAAACGGAAGCTGCACAGCACCTCACTCCTCACAGTCCTATCGAGAGCCGTTCCGATATGTTCAATCGTACCGTGACGTCCCATCCCCCATATCAAAGCGATGTTGGGGCAGTCGCTTGATTGGGGGTGGTAGATGATCATGTTTCGCCTGCACCTTCATCTTTGCCACCACCTGGTGACACCCCATCTTCGACACATCAATCCCGTTGGACAGTGTCGCCCCAATTTCTTCCGGTGAACAACAATCGACCCCTTTGATCCATCGACCGTTCAGCGCCTCCCTGATGCTGCATCGTTTTTCCGGGTGAGGATGAAGCATTTTGAGGATACACCTTCGTTGCGAATGGGATGGCAGCGCGTTAAAGATTGGTCCACACTGAGGATATGTGTTTTCGTCGATGGGCGAGTCGGAGAACCGCTCAAGAAAAGCCCGCCATCCCTCCCAAAACAGGGCATAATTGACCTCACTCTTGCTGGCACTTTGCCAGGGATTTCCCCCCAGAAACATGGTCATGAAGAGAATTCCACAACTCCACACATCGAGTTTGGTTGGATCATATTCCCTATCTTGCGCCAGAACCTCGGGGGAAATGTATGGCTTCGACCCACAGATCCCCGGGGCCGATTGGCGAGACTCCCTCATCCCTTGTCCACACAGTCCTCGCGACGACGGTACTCCCGGATGATCCCCACAAAAGACTTCTGACACGCCAAAATCGGTGATCTTAATGTATCCCTCGTCGGTCATGAGAAGATTCTCCAGCTTGATATCCCGATGGGCTATTCCATGTTCATGCAAGTAATTGACCCCGCGAAGGACTTGCTTGAAAATGCAATTGCGGTCCTCCGCCTTGAAGTACTTGCGTTCGACCAGACTGAAGAGCTCTCCTTGTTGGCAGTATTCCATGACATGATTCCATCGACCGTTGTTGGTGCATAACCGTACCGTCTGCACAATGTTGGGATGACTGAGAGACTTGGCAATTGTATACTCCGACTTGACCTTCCGGACGTACTCTTCTTCCGTTTCTCTGGCTGACTTTTTGCGAAACTCTTTGACGGCATATTGACATGGGTTTTCCCCTTTCTTGTCCCCCTTCCGCAACATGATCTTGACCGTGGCACTTGCACCTTTTCCGATTTCTTTCCGCCGACCGAATTTGGAGGCCGAAACGAACTCATCTTCCAAAGGACACACGTCAACGACAAAATCGTCCAAGAGGGTCGCACTGAGTCGCCGGGACTTCAACCCAGCGCCTTCTTGTGCGGGGAGGGAGAATAGTGACGAGCGAGCGGGTTGGTTGTAGATGCTGCCAAAACTGCCTGCTCGATGGACCGCCGGAGGTCGTGGAGGACTCAAGTACTTGGGTTCTTTATGGGATTTGATCTTGGACAAGAGACTGAATCCGCTGGAAGACCGCGGGGGGGAAGATGGTGGGCTAGTCGTTACCGACATGACCTTGATGAGGAGGACGATATAAACGTCGATACCGCCGATGGTAAGGTAAGGGGATAAGCCCACCCGAAGTGAGCGAGATCTGAAGAGGATCCAGCGCGACGAGCGCTCGCGGTTATATGGGACAAGTTCGGGAATCGAGACGAGTCAGGAATTTGACGCCCTTTTGAGGAGAAACGGGAGTTGGGGCAAACAATGGAGATTGCAACGGTAAGAGAAACTGGGAAGGCGTCGGATGCGTCCTTTCTGCTGGTGGCTTTTTTGGCTTTGGAAGGTGGGGCAGTAACCGAGCGCGAGAGAGACTCAGAGCGACAGTGACGTTCGGATAAGCACGAGACGATCTCGAGACGCAGGCAGCATGCGATCGATGTCGTAAGATATGGCGCTGGTGGCTCCCAATAGCCAGAGAAGTCACCCGCCTTAGTGAGAGCTTGGGGGGTACTGGCCAAAATGACGAATAAGCAGGGAGGATGGGGGTGAGTGGGCGAAAAGAAGTCAAGAGTCAAGGCAAAGACTTGTACTGTAAGTTCAACGACGCCGCTCACTTTGGTGTCCGTTTTGGGTCCCCTCCGGTTCCTCGTGGTTGTCAATCGTGGCGTCAGTGGTTCGTTGAACTAGTTTTAATTTTGGGCCGTGTTTCTTTTCCTTTTTCTTTCTGGTGTCCTTCCAAAGCTCACCAGGTGTGTGGTTGTTTTGTCACTCCTTCCTCGGGGTATTATCAATGGGGGATTTACTGGTTCACGTTACAGCCGTATGACAGATGTGGTGCCGGGGTTCGCACCCGTGCGAGCCGAGGGGGAAATAGTTAGGGTGGGTCAGCGGGAGTATTGACAAGATCTGAATCTGGTTCGTGAGGTCCTCAGATGGGCTAACAGAGGAATCAAGGTGAGGCAAGACGAGGCCAGACTGTGTTCTGAATCAGTGGTGAACAAGAACAACGGATGAGAAGTGAGGCAGTCAACTGACAGGGCAGCAGCCAGGGAAAGAGAAGGTGATGAGGCTAGCATAAAGGGGCACTGAGACGAGAGCGATATGGAGGTGTTTTTACCTTTGGGCGAGCGTGAACAAGTGATCGGTGGTGGACGTGCGGACAAGGAACTCGACCGGTCGCTGCCAGCAACCCGACGATCACGAGGTCTCGGAAATCGCACAGAAGAGTGTGAGTGGGGGTGACGATGCTGCGAAAGAGAAAAGGAAGGCGATCATGATAAAGATAAACGGATTGATTGCAATTGGATCGGTAGGAGCTGGGAGTATTCATGATATTTGTATGAATTCCCAGCCCCCGATGGCCATGAAGTTGGTGAATTGAATTGATCCCAAAGTTGAAGCAGCAAACTCGAACTCCTCCCCACGTTCCGTTGCAGCACCGGTTTGCTCTTCTGGGTTTCGCTTGGGCCAAAGGCTACTGCACTGGCTGCATTCTACCTTGGGCGCTCTGCATATTGCGATGCACTCGACGGGAGGGGCTTTCTTCGTATCGACTGGCTGTATGTACGGGAGTATTGCTGAGTTCTCGATGTACCACTCTCGGAGACCCCTCAATGCCCAATTCTCCCCGAAGTCAAGAATTCTTTGCCTTCTATCAGCCCAGAGTTCCAAGCTGCTTGGGTGTTCTTGTATTGTCTGGGCTGCAACATTGACACCGATACAAGCGACAGAGCTCACGGCCCGTGGTCTGGCTTTCCCCTCCAAGGGGCATCCTCCAATATCTAGCCCCTTTCCCCTCGAATGCGCGATTTAATTCTCGTTCAATTCCAATTGAACGAGCACTTTCCCTCTTGTCAGGCTGAGAAATGATGTCGATGTGCAGATGATGCAGAGAGCGGTGTCCAGTCTGACTGCCGACATCTACCCTTTCCGTCCGGACAGGAAGGGTTGATTGTGTAGAGTGAATGCTGTCTTTTCCCAACACCTGCTCTGAGTGGCACAACATGCGCTACCCCTCCTCCACAAAAGCGCAGAGCATCCTACTAACAGAGGTAATCAACCCCTCCTCTGCAAACGCACCCCCGCGCCCAAATCATCCCATCCATCCTGCAGGTTGGGCGCACGCTACATGCTTCTCTTGACCATCATCCATCCACGGAAGCTCACATCAACGAATGCACCCCACGCTTATCCACTCTTCTTACGCCTCTATATGCCCCGAGGCCTAATGAGCCTCGCCAGGCCCCCTGCTCTGTACCGGGAATAAATATGCACATGGTCAGGCGGTTCGCCAGGCACCAGCGAATCACCTCCCTCCTCCACCGTACCCTCTCGAACCCGGCCACAGGCCTGCAACGGCACAATAGGCAAAATTCACTGGCTCACATTTCGCACAATCGACATACTGATGCGCTTTTCCTGCATCCCAATGTCCAGAAGGAAATTAAATCTCCTCTTTTCCATGTCGAGTCACCGCTGATTAGAAAGTTGCTACTCTACTGCATGATATCTGCCCCCTCCTCCCCCAATCAAACAAACCAGCTCAACAGCCCAACGGCAAATCGAGCTACCGACGGTTCTGAAAGCTTTCACCGCTCGAAGCCTGCTCCAATCCTCACCTCCACCAAAACATCTCTCTTCTGTCGACTTTTGGTTTCACCTTGATCCATGCCTGCATGAGACCGCAAGAATACGAAATCCCTCGTCTCCCCCCTCGTTCTCCAGTTCCCCGGTCACGCTTATGCGTCTTGGTGGCCATGACCATTCATGTCATCCATTCCCTGGCTCTGTTCACGCTGCATCCGTGCCTCAATCTCACGAAGCTGGCTCTCCCGTGCCAACAGTTCTTGTCGTTTCTCATTGATTTCTCGCTGGACTTTAACCTCGATTTCCCGCAGTTTCTCCTCTTCGCGTCGCAATTGTTCTTCCTTCAGACGGACCGACTGGTTGGCCAGGTCTTCAGGGTTGATCGAAGAATCTTGGGCCCTAATTGTTATACACATGCCATTAGTCCGGTTTTCATTTGTGGAAAAAAAAGAAATATGATGGGTGGGGACATACGAGACACCGCCGTCCACGCTCTTGCTGAGCTTCTCCGTTCGGTAATTCTCATACAGAAAGTCGTGGGTGATTTCTTTGAGATCGGCAAGGTGCGAATGCAGGAGCGCGCTGCGAATGGCAAGGAAGTCCGAGTGGCGAGGGTTGTCAACTTCCACAATTCCCCACGGATACTGTCGTGCACGAACTCGCCGGCCTCCGATCTCAATCACATCTTCGGATCCAACAATGGCAAACGGCATCAAGCCACGTAGCTCTGCATTCTCTTCGACGGTGTCTTCATCATCCTCTTCAATGTCGTAAGGGAAGTTGTAGACGGGGATGCGATAGTGTTCAATGTCTTCCATGACCAATTTCTTGGACTCGGCCAATTCAGCCGGGGTCAAGGAATCAGCCTTACCGATCACCGGAATCACATTGACGCGGGGAGAGAGGCGCTTCATCAACTCGATGTCGAGTTCGCGCAAGCCATGACCCGTGGGGGTGATGAAATAGAGGAGCGCGTGCACACGATTGTCCCGGAACCGAGGGTTTCTCTTGATACGAGACTCCTCTGCGAGGATATCGTCGTACTGTCGCTCAAGATAGCCGACAATTTCGCCGAAGGAAGCTTCATTGTCGATCAAATCACCAAAGCCGGGAGTGTCCACGATGGTCAACGAAACACGTGTGCCCTCCTCGTCCAATTCGAGCTCTGCAAATTTGGTCAGATCACCATTGACCCTGCATCATGCATCTTTCTCCACCTACCAACTGTGACAGGCTTGATTCTGACTCCTTCCTCGAGGTGAGCATTGGCTGCATCGTCGGCTTCTTTGGGCTGAAGAACTCGCTTGCCACAGAGGGTATTGACAAATGTGGTCCGGCCTGGCTTGTGGTCAGTTCAGCCTTAGATGACCACTGGTGTGGACAATCGTACCAGTTCCACTTGCACCGCACACCATGAGACAGAATTGAATTCCCTTCTTGACATTCTTCTTTCTTCGTATCTTTACCTGCGCCAAGCGCATGTCGTTAGTAGAGGACACGATGACAAGGTTCATCTCAGATTGTGAAAGGAGATGTGATGAAATGTGAAGGGGATGGGAGAGATAAGGGGGTCGCGGCGAGTGCGGTGAGAGCGTACCGCATTCATAGGAGAAGACATTTTGACCTAGTCGGCTGTGACTGGAGAATCACAACGAAGGGCGCTGGCAGAATTCAAAGACGCCGACGCAGGCAATGGTGTACACGAGAAACGAAGGAATTGAAAGAAAATGTGATGGCGCGACGATGCTGTTGAGGTTGATTGCGGAAGTTTCTTTCAATCAAAAAATTAGGGGTAACGTGTCGCCGCGATCTACATTGGGTCGGTACTAACTCTGGGGTGACGCTTTTCCCTTTTCGTCCACCTGTCGGCCCAGCCTTGTGAGTGGTCAGTTTTTTTACAGCATTGACTTGCAGAAACATCCAATCTGTCGTAAATATATCCCCCACAAGAGCGATGTCTGTTGCGTATCGTCTATTTCTCCAGTCAGAGCAACAATCTGAGTGACTACTCCCGAGTCAAGCATATGCCTTCGGTAGCCTGAAAGGCAGGTGACCATCTATCTACCCGCGAGGTAGGTCGAACTATCTCGTATTGACCTTTTTTGGTCGCCTTCCACAACTCTCTCCCAGAACCTCATATCCCATCTCTCTTGAACCATGTCATATCGACGGTCTGGAAATTCGCGACGGCAGCAGTCGGTCGACTTTCCTCGCTATCCTCCCATGTCACAGTCGCAGACACCACAATCCATGCCGGCACCGGCGCCTGCTCCTCCGGCTGCTCTTGTGCCTGTACCTCCTTCGCAGCCCGCTGGTCTGGTTTCAGACTACGATTCCGACTATCCAGGCTACCAATCAGACTATCCCACCCAGGCCCCTCCGCCGAATCGCACCAACGAAGAGCTCAACCTCTCTGTCCTCCAACGGCACAATCCTGAGATATCCCGGATCTTGTCGATAGCGCCCTACGCGGTCGTCTACGAGTTCTCCCCCTTGCCACAACCTGAATGGACCAAAACAGGTGTAGAAGGCTCGCTCTTCATTTGCGAGCTGGTGCCGGGGATGTACGGCGAGGATCGATACTCTGCAATTGTTCTGAACCGCAGGGGCTTGGATAATTTTGAAGCGGAACTGAGAGAAGGCGAAAACGCTGGGGTCGAGATAACCGGAGAATATGTCATAATCAGCTTCAAAGAAGGCCACGAGCAAAAGATCTACGGAGTGTACATCTTTCACGATGTCCCGGGTTCGTCAACGGAGCATACGCAAAAGCGAAATGGCGAACTGATGAAAAATCTTGCTGATCATGCTGGAGCGAGTCGACAGGCTGCCGAAGCCGCTACCGAAGCTGCAACCACGCAACACACCAATGGTCACATGCAGCAGGCAGAACAAACACTTGAAAACCGACAAGGCAATGCTCTTGTACCAGGCCAACAAATCAGCCTCCAGCAATTATTCGGGCAGCAAAGAGCTGCGGACTCCGCTTGGAGCGTGAGAGCACATAATCTTGACGGTGGAGGCCAACATCCAATTAGCCAGCAGCCCGATACTTTGGGCGATCTATTCAGAAAAGCCGGCCTTGGAGCAAGATGATTCTCGTCGGCAGTCTCAGAAGATCTTCCCCATACTGAGAAGGATGCTTTCCGAACTTACCGGGTCAGGAAGTGTTGGGAGCTGCTGCTGTTACGCTTCACGAATCCTATAGATCGACAGATATCCCGCTCTCTGGGTGTGCCGAACGCTTTATTTCAGGCATCGCAGAAGTGCCCATATCAAAATCTTCAACTATCTTGACCCAAGACTTCCTCCAGCCATCCCCTCACCTGTTGAGCCACAATTTCATTCTGAGCCAGACACCAAGCATGCACCAGGCCGTCCATAACGGCCATTCGAATCGTCGGTGTGGTCGGTCTTCCTTTCTCAATGTTCCTCTGACGGGGTGGCACACTCTCAGTTCCCGCCCTAGCCTTTACACTGTCAACACCCTCTACCGGCCCACGGCCTCTCTTCTGAATGATCTCTTCTCGGGTGGCTTCTGCGATCCAGTGATCCCGTCTGGCAAACAAGAGGTATAAACTCGGACTTCTGGCTCCACGCTCTCTAAACCTGTCCGCATCTGAAGCTTCAATGGTAGTGCTGGCGCCCCAGATCTCGTCACCCCAACGGTCAGCGCGGATCTCCATCATTTCCATGCCAGCCATGAATAGCGCCTGCTTGACACCCCGTTTACTGTGTAGGAATGCCACGGTGATCTCAAATCCGTGAGTACCCGGCTGCATACCCGTGACTTTTCGGATAAGCCAGGTGAACCAGTGCGACGGGAGGGCCTTGACCAGGGCGGAGTGCAATAGAGCATGTGCGAGGCGGGGCAGGGAAGCGGACAGCAGTGGAATGGATGTCAGAAGGGGTGTCGCGAGTCGGCCGGAGGGGGACAAGTGGATGTCGACCAACGTCGGTGCGAGGAGAACGCAGCAGGAAATAATCCAGATATTGCTTCCTGTTTGGAGGTAAGGTGATGCGAGAGGTGGAGAGGTGTGAAGAGCAGGAGGATCAGAGTGTCGCTCATGCCATAGCCGGACGAGTTCGAGTGCAATGTACGTGCCAACACTGTGGCCCATGAGAATGACTTTGAATGGTTCTCCATCCTGCTCTTCCTCTAGCCCGATAGAACATTGCTCCTTCCAGAGACGACGAAGTAAATTTTTGACTCGTGCATAACTCAAATCAATTTGCTCGCGGAGTGTGTAGAGCTTTCCCTGATTGCTGCTGCTATCGTCATTGGCTTCGTCTGTCTTCCCTTCCGCATGTCCAGAAGGCCCGCCTCGAGGTTGAGGATGGGGAGAAGAATACAGAAGAGGATAGAGCAAGTTCTTCATTTCACACTTCCTAGACTCCTCCTCATGGCTCGTCACCTCATTCTTCCCGCCTATTTGAGACTCAACATCAACATCAAACCCACCAAGGCTGAACCCAGCGACCACCACTTCCCTTTTCCTGTCATTCATACCCTGCACGAGCAACGAAAGGAAAGGGTGGTAATAGCCAATGAGTCCCGGATTTCCGGGAATAAAAAACAATACCGTTACTTTCCTCCTCTGCCTCTTCCTGTGTTGCTGTACAGGATTTTTCCTTCCCTCTCCGGACGAGAAGCTGGAGCCGCCATCTCCAGCTGGGAATTGTGATGAAATAAGCTGGTCTCTGTTCAATGATGGCGGGATATGCAGAAAGACATCCGTCGAGACATGTGAATTCAGCGGCATGATCTTCTTAAAGTTTCGAAGTTATACGGGACTGTTCGAGGCGACCTGACTTGGTAGGGCTCAAATTCCCCAATCGGGCAGCTAATAGTGGCAATTCGCAGCAGCCGCTGCTAATTTAGGAATATCGAAGTTGCCAACACCCTGTCAACCGAGCGAAAGATGCCTATAAATGAACAAGGCTCTAACGAGCAGCAACAAAACCTTTAAAACGACTTGTTGGCACACTCCATGCACTTCTGTATCTAGAAGCAACCTATTATTTTGGAATTACAATTCGAGAAGTCTCCTGCAGTGGAGCGATGACCTTCTCGCAGACCATCCTGCGGAATCCGGGATGGTTCCAATCATGCTGAACACCTTCAAAAGAGAACCGGACGCAGGATGACACGGCATATGCATAATCAGGCACTGGCCAGGTCTCTTGCACGCTGTCAAGCCATCGAACCGCCAGTCCCATCTTGGAATAATAGTCATCCGCTGGTGGTGCTGAGATGGAGGAGACCCACGATTCAAATGTCTGTCTCTCCCATATCTCCAGCAGAATGATACCAAGGTCCAGTAAATCCTCCTTCACCTTGGCTCTAGTCGACGAGGATGGACTGGGAAACGAAGCTTCAATGAATGTCCGCGTCCAGTCAACCCGGTTTGCCGACGCTTGCGGGATGGCTCTGATTGTTTCCTTCGACCAAGCGTTATGGACCCATTGTGTCTGATGCAACTGAACCAATGACGAGGCCAATGTGAGGGCTAACAGAATGCTTTCCTTTGGCAGCAATTTCTTGGCTTGGTTGCTTCGCAGGTAATCTCCAAGGCTCAGGATCCCTGCCCGGCTGCTCCCACTCAGCCAGGCATCGCAAGTCTTCTTGCTGCAACAAAAGAGTTTCTTCTCTTTCGTTAAGTCCATGATCCAGGCCTTACCAGCTAAGGGAGCGCCCTTGGCCAGTCGATTACAGAGATCGATGACTTCTTCTTTGGTCGGTGACGAAGGCTGGCTCAAATTGACAACGGAAACTTCACCTTCTTGCCATTCAACTCCTGAGCACGATGTGCAAAGAGCAAGTCGAAAGATTGGTGAATATTCCTTCTGGCGGAGCTGGATCTTGTTTTGGGGATGCGCAGCTCGGGAATCGAGGAAAAGCATCGTTTGGTGGCTGGAATTGCAATTCATGGACCAACACTCGGACACCGCAGAGTGCAAAGCAGTTGCATGCTCCCAGATTCGGTGAAAGACCGTGGCGAGATCTTTGGCCATTCCTATTGACGAGTTTTGGGCCAGAGCGAGTTTGGAGATGTTGATGCTTTCTTCACTCCTGGCCAGTTCTTTAAGATTCTCGTTGCAATCTTTAACACGGTCGACCAATTGCTCTATCTCTTTCTGGTTCATGGTGAAGTTAAAAGCCGTTCTGAAGGTGTAAGTCGGTCCGGTCTTCGGATTGAGCTTAATCAAACTTTCGAGATCGTGAGTACCCTGACGAGAGATGATATTTAGCTTTCTTACACAATGTTGGTGAGCGACTGATATTCTGCTTGAGCTTGCCGCCCCTCGGAAGTTCTCTCCTCATCTCGCTCATAGAATCAAATGTATTATGCTGAACGATAGCACTCACCTTGATCGGGTGCTTGATGTGCTGCAATTGCTTTGCAATGGCCAGCAGAGTTTCTTCACACTCCTTCAAGATCCGATTGAAGTATTCCAAGGATTCCTTGTCGCTCAAGTAATGTTCGATTGACCAAGAGATCTCATCCCTCCTCATGAATGTCAGAATATCGTCGACCTTCGTTAAGTCACTCTCCTGCGAAGGTATAGCACCTGCCAGGAGTACTTTCATATTCTGACGCAACCAAAATTTCTGATCTTTAAGGCGAGTTACCAGCGCTTCCAGCTGCTTTTTCCAAGCATACAACAAGGTTTTCACGGGTCGCAAGCCCTTTCGATAGCTCTCCAAAGCGGATATCATCAAAGGTAACGCACTAAGCACGAGGCCCGCGATCTCAATTCCAGACATCTCTTGCGCTCTGTGCCGATTCACACGCACCTCTACGACAGACGTCCAGATTGATGAAAGCTTTCAAGACAAGGTGTGATTTCAGCCGCCTTATTGCTGCCAAGCAGGATGAGAACAGGTTCAAGAGTGGGCTTCGGTGCAGATACACACAATGGCGCGGGGCAGCAACTTACTCGTCGACTTCAGCCTCACCAGCCCCGCGTCGTCAACCTCACGTTTATCATCTCTTGAAGATTCAGATCCCATAAAGCGTCGTTCACATTGCTAAAGCATGCCCTCTCTTTCCTTTGAGGTGTGAAGCGGAAGCAAAACCGACAACCAGATGAGGCTGGATCTCTCATCCCAGCGACGCCACCCTTAACCCATTCCACCTTCAGAGCCATGGGTTCGACACAAGACATTGCCCACTATGGTCGAGCAATACAGACCGCATTTATTCGACTCTCAGAGGTTTTACACCATGCCGCTTCACCCGTTGAAGATTTGACGATATTCCTCGAGAGGACGAGGCAATCTTTTCTGTTCTGGGCGGCAAACTTAGGCATGTTCGACGAAGGCCACAGGTCGATGGATTATCGCCTTCAAGATGCCCAAGATGTCAAAGAGTACATGGTCGATCTTCTGGAGGAGCTCGAATACAACCTCAATGAACTGGCAGCGGCGTGCACAAACAGGTTTACCCTGGGCCTATCAAGCCCGGACGACGAGGACAAAGGCGCAGACAACGTGCCACTCTCCGTCAAGCTCCCTACCTCTACCGATGAACAAAGAGCTCTTGAAAATGAAGCAGGCGCTGCTGATGAGGATGAGATCAGAGGGCGTATAGAGAGTGTCGACGATCTTCAACGTCGTCTCTATGGGCTTGCCCACAGAATTCGGCACCCTACCATGCGCTCAGCACCAGGATCACGGAATGTGTATCGAACCATCCCTTCGAGTGACAGATTAGGGGCGATTAAACAACTCCTAGACCTCGAACGCGGCCGTATCACGGATTACTTCTTACAAACTCGGCGAGCTTTGGCGGATATGAAGGACGCCCAGACTCTTGAGTTGACCCAAGCAGATGAGAGACTGATTGAACGCCTTTCTCAGTCAAATAGCCTTAGGAGGCAACAATTTATATTCTGGAGAGAAACTCAATCTGAACGCAATGAAACGGTAGGGAGACAGCTGCTTTTTCAGCAAGAAGACAAATTCATTCCCCAGCCGACAGTCGATCAAGTCTTTGCTTTACCGGACCGAAATCGTCCTGCCCAAACTATTCAGTTGTCTATGCCTTCAAGTGTCACCAAACTGCCACCAGGTCAACTGGATCTGGCGGAGCGATTCTCCGTGGCGACGCGTGACACCAGAACTCCTTCAGCATACGGACCAACTGACGAAAAGCTCAGCTGGCCAGCTGTTCCTCCAGAGTTCAAGCCCGGGCATAATGGCTTCTTCATTTGCCCGTACTGTCACACCATTTGTCCGAATCGATACTTGAACGCAGCTGCATGGAAAAGCCACTTGCTTCATGATCTCCGACCGTACTGTTGCACTTACGAGCAGTGCAAAACTGAGAGACACGTCTACGACAGTCAGAATGTTTGGTCTGCACACGAAGCACTCGAACATAATGGGGTGTTTACCTGTCTCGAGCATCCATCGTCTGGCCAGGAACTTCTGGAATTCGCTGACCTTGACGAGTACAAACAACATGTCCACGAACACCATTCACGCGCGGCATCATCCATGCTCCAGAACGAGATTGTACGTGCTCGTAGAAATGGCTCTTTAAGGTCTAACCGACCCTGTCCCATATGCTTGACGCAGATCTTGGACGCACAGAATATGTCAAAGCACGTCGCGGGACACCTGGAGATTATTGCCTTGATGGCGCTGCCTCGATCAACGGGACTGGAAGCGGAAAGCCAGTCAGGCAACGCTGGATCTGGTCAGCAAGGCCAGTTAGGAACTGACTCCCGTGCGGACATATCGGACCTACCTCTCCTTGAGAACCGTGAGGAAGAACCTTATGCAGGTGAGGCTTCAGACGAGTCATTTGAACACGAAGCCCTCACGAGCAAGAAGCGGGCGTTTGAGGCGGAGCTTCCTGACACGCTGACCAGTATGGCCAACCTGGCGTCGACATACCGGAATCAAGGCCGATGGCAGGAGGCGGAAGAGCTGGACGTGCAAGTGATGGAGACGAGTTCGAGGGTGCTCGGGGCGGAGCATCTCGACACGCTGACTAGTATGACTAACCTGGCGTCGACGTATTGGAATCAAGGCCGATGGCAGGAGGCGGAAGAGCTGGAAGTGCAAGTGATGGAGACGAGTTCGAGGGTGCTCGGGGCGGAGCATCCCTCCACGCTGATCAGTATGGCCAACCTGGCGTCGACGTATTCGAGTCGAGCCAAATGGCAGGAGGCGGAAGAGCTGGAAGTGCAAGTGATGGAGACGAGTTCGAGGGTGCTCGGGGCGGAGCATCCCGACACGCTGACCAGTATGGCCAACCTGGCGACGACGTATTGGAATCAAGGCCGATGGCAGGAGGCGGAAGAGCTGGGCGTGCAGGTGATGGAGACAAGAAAGAGGGTGCTCGGGGCGGAGCATCCCGACACGCTGACCAGTATGGCCAACCTGGCGTCGACGTATTCGAGTCGAGCCAAATGGCAGGAGGCGGAAGAGCTGGAAGTGCAAGTGATGGAGACGACATCGAGGGTGCTCGGGGCGGAGCATCCCTCCACGCTGACCAGTATGACCAACCTGGCGTCGACGTATTGGAATCAAGGCCGATGGCAGGAGGCGGAAGGGCTGAATGTGCAGGTGATGGAGACGAGGAAGAGGGTGCTTGAGGCGGAACATCCCGACACGCTGACCAGTATGGCTAACCTGGCGTCGACATACCGGAATCAAGGTCGATGGAAGGAGGCGGAAGGGCTGGAGGTGCAGGTGATGGAGACGAGTTCGAGGGTGCTCGGGGCGGAACATCCCGACACGCTGACCAGTATGGCTAACCTGGCGTCGACGTATTGGAATCAAGGCCGATGGCAGGAGGCGGAAGAGCTGGGCGTGCAAGTGATGGAGACAAGAAAGAGGGTGCTCGGGGCGGTGCATCCTGACACGCTGACCAGTATGGCCAACCTAGCGTCGACATACCGGTGATGAAGACGAGGAAAACCTCGCCCTAGCGCTTCACGATCAGGGTAAGTACAGTCAGGCTGCGCGATTGTTTCAAGATGTGCTGGATGGAAGGGCAAGCAACACTGAGTGGGAAATATCCCTCCAGACTGACGACTATAAGCAACCTAGCGTGGACGTATGACCTTCCAGGGGATCTCGAGCTAGCATTTGATGTATGCCGAGAAGTGCTAAAACTCCAACGGGAGATTCTCGGTCCGGAAAATTCAGATACACAAGAATCCATGGGAATCTGGCAGGTCAGCTATAGTGGCTGGAAAAGTGAGAGGGGGCGAAAAAACTGCAGATAAACATGCTGGAGACACAACAGCGTGTACTTGGCCGCAGATCATCTTGATACTTTGAAGAGCATGGAAAATCGAGCTGAGACATACAAGGATATTTCGTGACATCCGATGCGGACGAACGGTCTCATCGACTGATAGAGATGGCAAATAAACCAACAGGCGGAGGTATCCAGATATGCTGAAGAAAATGATGGTTGCGGAGCATACAGGTACATTTGAAGAACATGGGTGACTTGGCTCGAGTACCTACGCTGCAGAGGAAGTCGCGGACGCGGAAGAACTATACAGACGACTCCTTGAGTGGCAGAAAAGTTGCCCTACCATACGGGAAAGAGGACATACTGAACGCCATGGATGAACCGAGAAGTGTCTCAGAAATGTAAGGCAGATACGAAGATGTGGAACAAATATGTCGAGCAGAGCTGACTATTCTACAGATTATGTCTAGGTAGAAGGACTAGTCAACGCTGATGGCAGCGGAAAGCCTCGTTTCCAACTTGAAATCGCAGTCCAAGTTCGACCAAGCGGCATCGTCTTACGAGAGAGCTCTGGCCGGATATCAAAAAGAATTTGAGCCCGATGATTCCAACTCCATCTTATGCAAACGCAGCTGTGATGACCTGATACAAAAGATGGGAGAATTTCGTCCAGACAAGTTTGGTGAGATCAGCGACAAGCTAAATCCTCAACAGTACCCAACCCCAACGGAAAGGGACCCCAGAGAAAGCAAGCAGGGAATTAAGGTTCGTACACTCGGGGATTCCATTCATTATCGCTCTCCCATCTTACAGTCCAAGTGAGTCAGGTTGAAATTTTCAAATCAGAGAGGAAGCTATAGAAAATTATGAACCATGCGTCACACAGGTTAGTGTCGAGAGATCCGATCATCTACTTGTGAAAGCATGGAACAGAGGCCCGCATCGAATCACAAAGAAAACCGGCCATCAACTTCGCTGCCGCAAAGAAAGAGCTCTTCTCGCGCTCAAGAGTGGGCTACGTTACAGCTACAGCTCAGACAAATGAACAGACACGGAAAACCAATGGCCAATGACCGTCAGCCAACGGATCTATATGTGCTTCGAAAAGTCAGTTATTTTGTTGTATTCGAGATGGACGACACGGTCTGGAGAACGAGAGTTTCAACCTATACTATTGGAATCTATCTAGCCATACAGCGATTTTAGGTAAACGATGGAAGAGATGGGGAAAATTTATTCAGCAGGAATTGCTCCTATTTCCAAAGCGTGGGACATAAGTCCTGGTTGTGCACGAGAAATGAGGAGAGAGAAGATCGATGATGCACAACGTATTGCTAGGGACGACAGGATCTGTAATGATTCAACGGCATGACCTGGATCGAAGGCAAAGCAGGAAAGTGAAAAGTGAGTTTTGAGTCTTCCAAGACTCTGTTTCTGTTATGCAAGATGCGCTTGAGCCTAGGCACTTATCTGTAATGTACTATCCAGCCCATTCTCACACAGAACCTGAAGTTCTATTGAGCGCACCTTGCTGATTCTCAAGCTTCAGTTCATGCCCACTGGCCATCAAAGTTCCTTCGTAATCTTGTCATAAGAAAGGGAAAGGGGGGAAGGGCGCTAACAGGGGTATCTCATGGAGCCATAAAAAGATGAATATGCTCCACCATCAAACGTAGCAATAAAAATAAACAAAAACAAAAAGAAAGTTGTCAGCCGGGCCATGGTATTATCCATCATCTCCAGGAATGGCCACTGCTGCAGTTGCGGAGTCCAACCTGCCTGTGTCTCCATTGAACATTTCCTTCCTCATTTATGACATTTGGGGGTCGGGATCCAAGCTTGTTGCACGGCGAGTACTGGCGGGCTGTGGTACAAAGCCTTGAAACGTGTCGTCGTATGCAACAGGAAAACCAAGTCCAGTTTGAGGAGCTTGAAGCGCCTGTGGAGGTCGAGGAGCTAGCGGACGATTCAGGTTCTCTCTACTAAACGGAGGTTGGACAATACTGTAGCGGAAAGAGTGTGAAGTTCCAGTCGCAGTGTGTGAGAACACCGACATCGGAGCGGAAGTCGTAGTAGCAGAGAACACGGGCTGCTGAGTGAATGTGGGTTGTTGCTGTTTGCGGGCTTCAGAAAGACGAGCTGCTTGCTTAGCTTGCCATGCTGCCGGATCTTCTCGTTGCAAGCGCTGATCGCGAAACTCTTCCTCGGCCGCCTTTTGCTCCTCGTCGTTCAATTGTTCATCATCTTCCTTTTGGAATGTCTCGGTCAGCACAATACTACGGACACAACTCAGACGACCAATGATGGCATCGAGGACTCTGGGATCTTTTCCAAGACAATCCGTGAAGTCTTGTTGCTCGACATCTCTGGCAGGAAACAAGTACTCTGTTACTTTCTTGGAAGCATGTCGTTCTGGTCTTTTCTTGTCCACCACCCGCCCAAATAAATGTGTTTTGAAGACAGCTCGATTGAACAAGACATCTTCAAAAGTCCCCCCGGCCTGGAAACGATATACGAAGACTGGTGTCTTTTGGTTGAGACGGTATGCTCGGCCAATCGCTTGTTGTTCCCATGAAGGATTGAAGCTGAAATCGAAGATGATCACACGATTGGCACCTTGAAGATTCAGACCAAGCCCACCCGCTCTCATCGATATGAGGAAGACTTGATAGTTTTGTTTCTTGTTGAACTCCTTTGTGTAGGCTTGTCGGTCGGCCACCTTGGTCTTCCCATCCAGTCGACAGAAGGCACACTTCATTCTCCTCAACATGCCTTCCAAATAATCCAGTGTGGGAATGCTGTGAGTGAAGATGAGTGTCTTGTCACCAACCCTTGTTGCTTGTTCCACAATATACTGGACGGCAAGAGTGCGATAAGAAAGAGAGGGATCATTGAGAGATTCGGGAGTGTCCCAATTCTTGAAAAGTTTTGTGACCTGTCGCATAGCTTCGCTCATGGGTCCGATAGTATCAATCTGGACGTCAGCCGCAATGGTGTCTGGCGTCGGGGCCTCGTCATTAGACCGATTAGCCTCGGTACCATCCTCGTCGCCGCTCATCAATTGGTTGTCTACACCATTTTGCTCGGAGCGCTCTCTCAACTTAGCCAGAAAACATGAAGGATGATGGCATAGCCAGGACAACATTGCAATCCAGGTCCAGATTCGGGCATTACGAGATCGTGCCTTTGTATCTCCATATGACTGATGCATATAGTTGACGTAGATATCATACGCTTTCTTTTGTAGATCTGTGAGTGGAATTGTAATGAAGTACTCCGTCTTGGTCGGCATATCCTTTTCAACGGCCGAGATATCCGCACGGTTGATCTTTGGATCGAGATCTCGTTTGAGGACGTGCAATTTGCGCAGGCACAATCGCTTCTCATACGGCGTGCTATCAGAGTAAAGCCCTTCATTGATTGGCTCCGAATACTTGGAACGGAATTGAACAATGTCTCCGAGATAACCGGGAGCGATCCAGTCTATCATGGTATGGTACTCTTCAAGATGGTTGTTTAAGGGAGAGCCCGTCAAAGCGATGCGACTTGTGGTCTTCAAACGTTTGGCGTACTGATTGATGCTTGAGCGTGGATTCTTCAATATATGAGCTTCGTCAGCAATGGCAAGATTGGGTTCATCTAGGAGGATCTTCTCAGTATCGATTGAGACATCTCCTTTGGCTTTTGCCTTGACGCTGTCTGAGATGGACCGTCTGAATCTGTCGTAGCTGATCAGCAAAATACCTCCATTTTTGGACCAATCACGAATGATGCTCTTATCTGGTGAGTCAAATTTATGGATATGGCCCAGAACAGCTTGATGAGGCGTCCACATCAGGAGCTCATCAAACCAATTTTCGACCAGGGAAGCGGGACATAGAATGAGTGTTTTGCTCTCTCGCAAATAAGCCGGAATTTGCTTTCTGATGTCTGGGTCATCGCTTTGATTGCAGAGGGAAATGGTCACCAGAAGAGAAATGACCTGCATGGTCTTCCCAAGCCCCATGGTGTGTGCCAATATACAACCTTGATGTTTTGGATCCTCGATTATTTCACGCCACATGAATTGGATACCATTAAGTTGATGTGGTTTAACGCGCTGCGCGATGTGCGGATGGAGGTGGACGTAAGGCTCTGTCGTGTTGATGGGCTCAACGGCATTTCCGTCGGCCTTGAATTGAGCAAACTTCTCGGCCATTTTTTGCCGCCGCCGCTCCTGTTCCTGAATGCGTTGCTGGTCGCTCTGTTGGAGAGAAATGGCCTGTTGACTTTCTTCGACCTTTCGCTTTCGTTTCTTGTGAGATGGTGGTGGAATGTCAGGATCCAGCTCCTCAGTTGGCGGATAATCAGTCATCTGTGCGTCGCTGTCTTCCAGGCCCTCTAGGGCAGATTCTTGGTTTCTCTTTCTTTTCTTGATGCTTTGTATGGAACGAGAATCCTTGTGCCCTTGAATAAAGACCCCGATTAGGTTGTGTAAATCCTCGTAGAAAGAATCCACAACATGCTCAAGATCTCCAAATGCAGTATTTCTATGTCCTTCGGAGAGTGAGGAACAATCGACCATATTCTGGCAACAGATATAGGTCATGTATAGAAAGGTCAAGAGCTGGGCGACGGCTTGGTCCTTCGGTTTCACATCTTCGATAATGTGATCATCCGCACTGAGACCAAGGAGCCCTTTAAACAAAATATCTTCCACTTGGTTGACGGAGGGAAGGGAACTCAGGAGTAAGTTCAGGTTGTTGACTGTATCCTGTTCAAGACCGTAGATTGCCTTAGCTAGCGCCCGACGCTTGTCTAAATCATCCTCGATTTCAGACCATTCTGTGTCCAGGATGCCCTGGATGTCGTCCAGATCTGGTAATCTAGAGCCATCTCGTGACAAGCGACGGTCGGAAGACGTACGTGAATCTTGTGAAAGAAGGTTGCGCCTCCGAAATTTCCGTTTTGGAGGAGTTTGAGGATGAGTGGGATTCAGTTCTGGCGTTCGCACAGATTTGAATGATGTGCTGGTATCGTTGGCACTCTGTTCAACAGATGATGGTGAGTTGGACAGAGTCAGGTCTACGGGAGCCAACTTCGTCCGCCCATGTTTGCGATATTTTGTTTTGGGGAGATGTGGAAACCGGTCGAGATCTGAGGTGTCAGAGCCAGAGTCTCTTCCAGCGAGCTCGGGAGCCGGGGGAAGCTGGAGAACATGTTTCGCAGTAGGAGTCTTTGGAGAGATCTTAGGAGCGGCCTTCTTGGCCATAGAAGGAGTCACCTCTGCTTTTATTTGTCTCCATCGGCGGGAAGTGGGTGTCACGATTTCATCGTCACTGTCAACGTCTGCATCATCCGCGGGCATATCGATAGATTCGGACGACGCTTGTGGTTCAGAAATCGGCTCATGCGTTGAAGGAGGGATCTGGTCCGTGGCGATAGTTGGGGGGAAATCTTTTTCCGGAATGACAGGATTCCAATCCTCCAAATCGGGATCGTGATGAATGGACCCAGCATTCGACGAATCATCCAGAAAATCGTCGTCGTCGTCGTCATCATCATCATCATCTCCAAGAGATTCGGACTCCGATTCTATTAGTTCCTCGCCTTCTTCCAACACTGGTTGTCGTTGGACTTGCGTGGCTTTCAGTGCGGTCGGAGGAGGAAGATTTGGCGGCGAGTCTCGAAGGAGAACTTGATGATAGTATTTGAATTCTTCATGTTGAAAAACGGCCAGTTCAATGTTTTGACACTGTTTTCTCAACTCCATTGGATTCCGCCAAACGTCATCGGCCAGGGCACGTTTGATTTTGTTTGTGTTCTTCAAGCAGCGATCGCTCCAGTACTTGTAGTATTCGAGTTCTTCTTGTCGGCGTTTCTTCTTAGCAGCCTTCACCCACAGACGATAAGCTTTCATCTGGACCTTTGCAAATTTGGTGCCCCTCCATTCTTGCTTCAGTTCCTCAATGATCGCGTCAATTGTTGTGTCGACTTCAGGAGGAGTCATGTGAGCTGGCTCGCGATTTCTTTCTTCCTCTTCCTCTCGAATCTCTCTCCAGGTATTGTCATCAAAATCCCCTTCGTCACCAGAATCGCCATAGACAGGCAACCCATCATCCGACTCCGCAGCTGGATATTTGTCGAGTAGATAATCCAGCTCTGACCAATCAGACTTATCTTGTGCCTCATCTTGCTGTGTTGGTCCATTGGTTTCAAGAACTTGGTGGCTTGGTGAACGATCGGTCTTGGATCGTTTGGTTTTCTGCTTCCGAATACCTTCTACTTCAGGAAAGTCTTCGGCTCGAACAACTCTGGCTCGCCCAGATCCACGTGGAAACAACGTGAAGTACTCCTCGGAGAAAGGTCTGCTGAGTCGACTCTGGTCGTAGGGAAATTTAACAGGCAATCTGCTCTGTGGGAGAGTTTCAGCCCCTTGGTTGAGAAAGAACTTCATCTGCTTGGCCACTGTTCGTCTCTGGCCAGTGGGGTAACGATGTTCGATAAAGAAGTCGTCGGAGTCCTCCAGGGGAACGCGATAGAAAACGTCTCCAAAGCCTGAAGAGATTTTGTAGTAGAAGATATCTTGAAGAGGTACCGCGGATTGTGAAAGATAAGATCCGGACGATTCAGCCGGGGTCGCCTCTGGTAATGGAGAAACGAATGTTGGGGCGATTCTTTTCTGCCCGCTCTTGATCGTCTGGTCTTTTCTTCGTCTCTCCGGAAGTTTCGACGGAGTTTCTCCGTGAGGTGCGAGTGACGAAACATTGTTCGTAGCAGGACTTGGTCTCCCTGAAGTGCCTGACACATCGGAAGCTGACTTGGGTTCTCGGGTGCGAGTTGGGGTTGCCTGTGTCGTCTCTGGTCGAGGCAGTTCCATAAAGTTGCCTGTTGATTTGGTTGCCGAGTCGAGTTGTGCAAAGCCTTGTGGATCCGTCGGTGCAAATCTCGGGCGGCCGATACCGTTCAAGGAAGGGGAGAGAGTGGGCTGTCGAGATTCAACGGAGGGGTGGATTCCCAGCTCGGCCACAGCCGGGGGCTGTGGTACAAGCGACATTCGAGAATGTGTGATTCGAGGAGTTGCATAAGTTGCGGATTGCATCCTACCAATGCTATCGGCCTGAAACGCCATTTGCTGATAGCTTCTTGAATGATGGCGAAGGTATTCAATGGTCTTCATAATGGCTCTTCTCTGACCAAATGAGATGATTCCCAAATCATCCTTGAGAGTTGCCATATCCAAGGCGAGGAGGTTGTCTCCATCGACGTGATTTCGGCGAAAGTTGTCTTCTAGGAGGTGTCGATCTGGTATTTGCTGAGGCCAGTTGGGTGGTGGCCAACTTGGTGGAGAATTATGGCAGAGTTCTTGAATGACTTGATCGATCGACCAACCACGAGGGTCATTGTCAGCTTCGATCGAGGTCTCCATGATTGACATCTGTCAGAGTTGTTGGTGGAGATAGAGAAGTGAGCGGAGTGGCGCGAAATGTTAGTCATGAAGGTGGAAGGCTCCGGGGGGTGACGACCTAGATGAAATTATACGAAGAGATCCGGGCGCAGGCAAAGAAGAGTTGGTAGAAGCAGTCGAACTGAGGAGGCGGAAGCGACTTGGATGCACTTTTGAAATCCTCTTCCTGGGAAAGAGAGATGGGGACTAGAACAAAGGCACGAGAGAAAGAGAAAGCGGGATGGACTTCCCCAACACCCTCCCCTCAAGAAAAAGACAGTCTGAAGGCGGCCCTTCACATAGTTTTTGGTCCAGAAGGCTCTGCAAAGGCAGCGAGTCAAGAGAAAGTTCAGTGTCGAGTGGTGAACGGATAACGAGGTAATGAAAAGAAGAGGGTAGCCTGGTCAGTCACCTCAAGTTTAGCCCCCAGCCTGATGCAAAATGCTCGAGTGGCGCGCGTAAAGTGGCTGCGCGTGTTCAGGAAAGGCAATTGTGCCGGGTGTTCAAGTGGCTGGGCACCCAGTAGGTTGCTGACTAAGCAACCACCCTCTGTCGCAACACTAAAATCTTGCAACATCTCATACCTCGAGCAAGATCCCCGAATCCTCGTATATCCCTTCTCCCAAGTCTGTGTCGAACTGTTCTGTGGTTGACAACATTGATTGGGCTGCTCAATAGAATCAAGGGAAAATGGCCCCCAACGACATCTACCGCACATATCCACCCTCACTAACACTGGATCAAGAGGAGTACCTTGTCCAGACCGTCAAGAACTGGTCCATAGAGCACGCTCTCGCGATCAGACCGTCCACGGCAATAGTATCGGAGGAGACCAATCCAAACCATGTCCTAGCCACCAATGCGCCCGTTACATTATTTCCGAGCCCTTTTCCAAAGCCTTGTTTCGAGCAGGCCAGAAGTCTCCAGCAAGTCTACAATGAACTCTATGCCTCCGTTGCCAGCGATGAGCAATGGCTTGAAGAAATCATGACAGAGTATGTTGGTACCCATTCGGCTTGTGCCCATCTGACTTTATTTGTTATCTGGGAAGTGGACGATCGTTGACAATGAAAGGGAATTCCTCCAGCTGACCGTGCATCCAGATTAATAGAAGTCGACGACTTCCTTGCCAACCTATGGAAAATTCACTTATCAGTCAAAGAGGAGGGCTACACTCAGAACTTGACCCTGGGAATGTTTAGATCTGACTACATGTTGCACGCTCCTGAGGACGCACCCCCATCACTGAAGCAAGTCGAATTCAACACTATCTCCTCGTCATTCGGGGGCCTAGCATGTCTCGTAGCAAATATGCATACCACTCTGGCAACGTATCCCTCCCCATCTCATCCGATCGCATACCCTCCTCACCCACTGTTCGCAAACTCCCCGGAAAGCGCTTCCATGAAATCCATTGGCCACCCTCCTCCGAACGCCGCAGTCTCCACATTAACCGCCGGCCTCGCGGCCGCTCACGAAGCATATGGTCCTTCGAAATCCCAGCCCCAACTAGCAACCTGCATTATCTTTCTCGTCCAAGACACCGAACGCAATGTCTTCGACCAACTCGCCCTATCCAGCAACCTGTACAAGGAGCACAAAATCCCTTCCTTCCGGCTTCCGACCAGCAAAATCCTCACCTTAACCTCCATCCCGTCCCAGGACAGCAACCCATCACGACCCCTAATCTACACCCCCCCATCCTCCCCATCAACACAATATGAAGTCACACTCGTCTACTTCCGCGCGCTCTATGCACCGACAGAATACAACACCCCGGCGTCCTGGGCAGCTCGACACCACCTCGAGCGCAGCGCCGCGATAAAATGCCCTTCTATCCTCCTCCACCTCTCCGGATCCAAGAAGATCCAACAAGTCCTCACCTCTCAACCACCTGATACCGACCACGTGAAATCCTTCCTTCCAAACCACTCGGACGACACGCTCTTAAACCTCCGCTCGACCTTTGCGCCACAATACTCCCTCTCCTCTCCGGACCCAAATGTAGAACCAGAGGGTATCCGTCTCGCGCTCTCCGAATCCACGGCGGCAAACCACGTGCTCAAACCTCAGCGCGAAGGGGGCGGTAACAACATCTACCGTACTAACATTCCGCCGTTTCTGAACTCCATCCCCCGCTCGCAGTGGAGGCAGTACATCCTGATGGAATTGATCCATCCGCCGTCCGCGGCCAAGAACACGGTCCTCCGCAGCGATGGGCAAGTCGTTAGGGGGAACGTGATCTCCGAGCTGGGCACCTTCGGCACGTGTCTGTGGAAGACCACGCCGGAGACTAAAAAGCCGGAGATCCTCCATAATACAGAAGGCGGATACTTACTACGCACGAAGGGCAAAGACAGCGATGAGGGCGGTGTCGCTGCCGGATTCAGTTCGTTGGATAGCTTGATCCTTTACGAAGAGCCGTAGTCACACGCCATCTAGCATATAAATCTCCCACCAAGTATACTCTATAAAACATTGTAGAATCGAACAAGGAAGACTTGGACAAACTTTCGATTTTTTTTTCTTTTTTTTTTTTTCAAATCCTTCTTTCATTGGTGCCTATCTAAAGGGCATCAGCTCCAAGTCCCCAAGCCCGCTCCAGTTCCAGCCCCCATGAACTGGACCATAGACAAGTGCAGCACATTCCCAAGGTCCAAAACCGCCCATTGTTGCTCACCCTTTCCGACTTGACGAGTGCCCGGAATCAATTAATATGCCCATGTAAACCAAACAGGCACCTGAGCAGGGTGAGAACTCCTCCGTCTTCCAGAGTCAGCACCAAAGGGCTCCCCGGAGGGTTGCACCATCCTGAACGGGTCCCAGTCGTCGCGTCGAGAGGAGTACCTGGTACGCGGGCACAGCCGTCGTCAAAGGTGTCGTTGGCTTTCGACTTGGCTTTGGTTCGATCGAACGAGGTAGCTAGGAAGCATTCGCAGGGAGGTTTGGACCAATGAGCTACTTTGTGAAGCTGATATCTCTCTTGCAATATGAGTAGCAGGTTCCACGCTGCTAAACCAAGCTCGGTTCATCAGAGCGTATGGTACGTTGCCGAGGCCCTTTAGAAGATGGTTCAACGGGAGGATGGTCTTCTCCCAATGGGCTCCGGTCACACCGAGCTTTCTGACCAGGAGCAACGTCAACCCGTCGCGTGATTTGACTTTGACAAGGCCATCGGGTCTAAGGTTCGAGATGCCCAGGGCCATGTTGTATGCAAGGTTTCGAGGGGTGAGTTTTTCGATTGTCTCGACCTCACACCCGGTGTGGTTCGTCTCTCCCCTGTAGTCTGTTCCGTATTTCAAAAGTGTTCGGCACTGGCGGCAGTAGTTCTGTAAAACATGTGCGCTTGGCTTGTTGAGGGAGAACTTCAAAATAGCGAATTAGGCGACTGTGGGTGTTTCGAATCATCTACCCATTTTCAATGATTGGTCAGGCATGCGGTCCCGTGCATGGGCTCGATGGAACTTCGAGGTAGGACAGGATATCAGGCAGATTATCTTTTGCTCCAACCATTCTTGTGAGGGAAGTGGGTGGTTGTAAGGACAGGAGAGTGAGGTAGGGCGCCGCTTACAGGTTGTAGATCAAATTTGGAGAACGTCAGGAGAAGAGAGTACCATTCAGAAGCTTTTGCAGCTGCTTTGGCTTTATGGTTGATATCAACCCAGCTCTGGACTGCTTGTCCGTCTCCATTTCGAGTCGACATGATGATAGTACTATTCTTCCAATCGGCAGTTTGGAGGATCTGAGACGGTCGTTTGATTTCTGACCCTGAGAATGGGTAAGTTTTGGTGTACGCCGACAACCAAAGGCGAGAATAGGTAGCAACGAGTCTGGTGACTTGAGGGGAAGTAAAAGTGTGGAATTTTAGGCCTGGAATGTTTCGAGTCTCTCGGAGCAAATACTGACGTTGAATGGTGCTAGTCACGTCAACTTGAGGGATTGGCCGTGGTCCAGAATTGAAAAGTCTTTTGACAAGGGCGCGGGCAGGATGGCCAGGTTCCATATGACAAATACCACGACTTTGATCACCGTCGAGGCCTTATAAAATGATTGAATCCGGTGGGAATCCTTTGATGATTTTCTTGCTATACAACCACCACCCGCAGTAAGATTGACACGGAACGGCTTCATGCGACGTCCACCACAAGGTCAACGGAATATGAGGATGCCCATGGCTTTGTAACAGCATTCAGGACGGCGGTTTCGGTCTCCTTTCACGCTCTCCAGAACGTGTGGATGGTCCTCTGCGAGATGCTCGACTCTCCTTGCCCGGCTGAGACTTTGACCTTTTACGCACATATCTTCTTGGGACTGCAATAGCGGCACTCAGAATTCTCCCTGGCAGGCTGGAGAGATACATCAGGTACTGCACAGGTAAGACAATACCTGCACATATCCAGTTGGTAAGAATGAAAACATAATTGCCTGGTTTGCGATCCGCAGTTCGCTGAGCAGCAGCCGCCAATGACACCACATCGTCCAGCCGGGATTCGAGATCCTGCAGCCTTGCTTCGATTTGCACCGCCGAGATAGTCGTCCTCTTTTCATATCGACGCATCGCACGATTCAGAGCATCGAGTTCGGGTTGCACAGATTTCTTTATATCGGAAGACGCCAATGCGGATGCTTTCGCTGCAAGTTCATCGCCGACTGATTCATTCTCTTTCCCACTTGAACGATCAATACGTTCTGCCACATGAGCTTCTAATTCCTCCAGTCTGTGAGTGACATCCCGAAGCTGTTGATTTTCAGCCCGACGCGATTCTATGAGAGCATCGGCATTGACGCGACGCTGCAAGAATAGAGTTCTCCGTTGAACCAATTTGATGAGATGGGAAAGTGGTCGAATCTCGGCGACCAGGATGAATATGGTCAGGTTGTAATTGGAGACTAGCCCTTCAGAAGGCCGAGTAAGTTGAGACCTGATCCCATGGAGAAGCCATGCAGCCAGAAGCGGAAATGCGAAACAGGAGAACAACGCCATGAGCTCATAGATCCGGAGCTCTCTCTCGGCAGATGCACTTTCCGCATTGAGCGCATCCGAAGAAGCATCAGGCTTTGAGCTTGGTCCACTCTCAGCTAGTCCCTCACCATCCTCGCGGGGAGATGTGGGATCCTGCTGCTCTGCTGCTTTATCGATGGGCGAGAAAACAGTCGGCGATGGTGGTTCAGCGAAGATGGGGGTTTGGGCCGCACGATACCAGTCCCTGTCATGTCTCATGAGGTACAGTCAAATTTGGAACGGAAGACTCCGACAACTTACCATGGCGACCTGAGCGCCCAGTTCATGAAGATGGCAGCCAAACCCAGCAAAGTGACATCAGTGATGACGGCACTCCCATTCTTGAAAAGCAATCCTCCGACAGCAGGAAGCAAGGCCAGGCCAAGAGGCAATGACTGCCAATGAGATGTGTCGTCGTGAACCTGAAGGTCGTCCCCTTCCTTTGCTCGCGGGAGCAATATGTCGTCGGTGGAGGAACGCAAAGACTTTCGTGTCTCCGAGAGGGTTTCAGAGAGGAACGAACCTCGTCGGCGATTGAGTTGTGCATGTCCTTCGGCGAAAGTGGATGACCGGCCCAAGGGACGTTGTCTCAAGCCATGTGGCGAAGGGCTGACCCGACGGCCGGAATGGATTGGCGGAGGCAGCGTAATGGATGGTGGTTTCTCCGAGGCCATGACGAAAAGGATGCATCCGTCTCGATGAGATAGAGCGTCGAAGATGATCTTGATATGAAGATGTATATGAATCACGATATGAGATTCAAGGCGGATGTGAACCCCACTGTTATATTGACGCGTCACAACATGTTTGGTGAGCGAAGAAGGCGAGGCCAAAGCGTGTCGTGGACGCCTAGAAGAGATGGGACGGTTTCACAGAAGAGGCATGGGATAGGAACGAGCAATGAATGGCCCTTGTCTTGAGGCGAGGGTTGGTCAGATGGTCAAGCTGGGAGAAACTTGGAGGTAGCAGGGACTGGAAAGGGGGAACTAATACGAGGAGGCCGCTTTTATCTCTAATACCAGCCCGCCAAGGCCTCAGATTCTCACCAGGGGGGGATCGACCCTCTTCTTTCAACACCATCCTCTCTTCTCCTTATCAGCTGTCATCACTCAAACATGTCAAATGGTCACTGGCAATCATCAGGCGCTGTCATGTCAACCATGTCAAGATTGCTTAATAGTGTCTGCACGATTGAGGAGAGATTTTACCATCATTGAAGGCCCATCCCTTGGCCGCGTCGCCAACAGGCTGAACATGGATCTCATAGTCCTCACGTATCTAAATAGAAGGCTTCTCAATCACCTCGAAACCAATTACTCTTTACTCTTGGCCCCTTCTGTGTCAAAGGACGAAGAAAGCTGGCAAGGTACGACGTTACTGGGCCACTCTCGCCCACTACGCCATCCTTATTCAATACTGCTTTGGGAAAAATGTCTCTGAGTTGCCCGGAGTCCCTCAGCAGCACTTATCAAGTTGCGGCTTCAGGTGAGCTAAGGTGGACAAGGGCAGCAGATTGCGAGAAAACGGTGTAAGACCTGGATTTGTAGGTGAGTATTCCCTGCGGATGGCATTCCTGCTTGTTTCTCTCTCTCCTTCCTTTCATGCCATAGAGTTATCCTCATTGCCCTATACCCATATTATCTTCATTCTCTCTTTTCTTCCAACCAAAAAAAACATGCCGCTGTCCGTGTATGCTGCCACATTCGCCGTCCTCGCCCTGTTAGCATGCCTGCTCTCAATTTTCCCCTTGGTTGTCCACCTCAAGGCCAGGAACCTGGCCACCACTGTCCTTACTCTCGCAGCCTTGCTCTTAAATATCCAAAACTTTGTCAATGCGCTGATCTGGACCTCTCGCAATCCCGATACTTGGTGGAATGGAAAGATCCTTTGCGATATCGAAGTGAAACTTTACGTTGGGTTTGGCATTGCGATATATGGGGCTATTGCCAGTCTATTTCGACATATTTACACTATTCTCGACGTTGAAAACACAACGGCTTTACCAAGTCCACAACAGCGCCGAATCAGGCTCGCCATTGAGCTCGGCCTATGCATCATCATGCCAATCGTGATAGCAGCTGCACATTATATGGTCCAGAAAGACCGATACTGGATCAGAACTTCGGCCGGTTGTACGCCATCATACGACAATTGCTGGGCGACACTTATACTCATCTTCTTGTGGCCCCTAGTTCTCTGCCTCGTTGCCAGTGGCTATTGTATCATCTCCGTTGTTCGCTTGTGGAGGCATAGAACACAGATGTCTTCCGTCTTCTCAAACACTCCTGGGGTTACTCGTTCTCGCTTCACCCGCCTCTTCGCTTTGGCTTTTGCTCTTCTGGTCATATATTGCCCTCTCGCCATATATACTTTTTCAGCCAATGCCGTCATACCCACACATATGTATTCCTGGTCGTATGTTCACCCTCCAGATTGGCCAGAAAGAATTATCAAGAGGCCGACCTCGGAAAGATTTGGGTTGAATCGATGGGCCCAGGTTGCCACGGCATATATGCTATTCATATTCTTCGGACTAGGCCATGAAGCCATTCATATGTACAAGTCGTGTCTACGAGAATTGAAAGTCTTGCTAACGGCGGACTGCGTCAAACAGGATAATATCAGGGGTAGATCGGCTAGGAATGTCCATCCGAGTCAAACAGATCCTGGAACGATCATTACGGACATCTCTTCAACACCGGAAGGCTTTCCACTGGCAGGAATGCGGATGGCGGAGACCGACTGAGTAAATCTCAATTGAGGAGGGTCAGTCCGAAGTTGAACATGAACCGCGGCCAGACCGCTACCCTGGAATTGTATTACAACTTTGTCCAAGAGATATTTCCGCAGGCAACAATTATTCGCTCTGCAAATGGCGCTGCCATGACTACAAGCCCAAGGTCAAGAGTGGCGAAAGGACCAAGGAAGAAGTTTCCTGTCCACCTTCGACAAATCAATGTAACGCCCAACTCCTTTTGCTTCTCTTGGAGAAAGATTGTGTACGTCAATTCGTTCCCTTCAAACACCAATTCCCACCAATCGAATTCGTGCCAGGATTTTTATGCTCCAGCAGCATCTGCTGCGACAACTTCCTCTTTGGGTTGAGGTCTCTTCAACACCTCCACTTTGGTCTGCACCAGGCTCAGTGCGCTCTGCTTTTTACCGTCTGCATCAGTGTAAATAGGCATGGTAGCATCACCCTCGAGATAGATGAGTGTTCTATTGCGAAAATTATCAGCTCAGAACCCCTTCCTTAGTGCGTGGGGGGAAAAGATACCCTTTGCTCAAACCCATCACCAAGTCTCGTTGAGCACCCTCTGGTGCAAAACTGGCAACGCGAAACCACGATGTTTGTCTGTTCTCTTTCGGTCCATGGCTGGTACCCACCACATATTTGATCACTTGACCATTTTTGGTTTCGCTGAGCTCTGGGTCGGTGCCGAGACGACCAACCAGAGTCATGCGAGCAAGCTGTGAGGGTCGAGTTGTTGATAATGCACGAGAAGATACTGCAGGAATGGCAGAGGTCATGCGTCTGGTCGGAAAGAGGAGGAAAGACATCTTGAGGTATGAAGAGTAAGGTAGAGCTGGCTGGAAATTCCGGTGCGAAATGCGTGACGGAATGCGCGAGGGGAGATGGACGTCAGCGTGCTTTTGAATTGAGGGCCGAGATGCGACAGATACCGTGTACAATGGAGGGAGGATGCCCGTGGAGACTGCGAATCTGATTTTGATAGCATTGATTGCTGATTGCTGGTGATTGACCGATCGTACTGGCGCGACCCAGACGCGAATTCCAAAGTCAGAAGGCTGCCAAATCCGGCAAAGCGTTTACATTACATGACGCAGCCCTATTGAACGTTATCCCAGCACGTTCGCATAAGGAGATGGTCAGGACACGCGCAAGAGAACATCTCATAGAACATTCAAATTTGACACGCTTCCACCCCTTCCTGGCAATATGTATGTCGAGACCGAAGCGACGCGCTCCTCCCGAAGTTCTGCGGAATCCATTGTGAGAAAGGCCACCAGCGTCGACGCCATTCTTTGGATATGGAGAATGTTCCTCGTTATGGCCAGCCATGGATCAATTCCCAGTGCTTGGCCGCAACCTCTCATATTACGCCTCTTTGACTTTGCCTCTGATTGGGTGCTTCCACGATCTCCGAAGAAACATGCTCGCAAAGCCGAGCAGGACGAGATCTTTGGCAGCATCGTCGCGAACCCTGTCACAAAATCAAACATCCCGAACTAATATATTCTCTAACACTGTGATGAGCCCAGTGGGAATCAGCTTGAATCGTGTTGATCTCGGCACAAACTTTCTATTCTAGCGCAATGATCAGTTATTGGAGCAATTTCCTGCAGCCAACTGAATCTTTGTGGTTCAAGCCATCCCTTTGTTCTGCTTTTCTGTTCTCATTCACCACGAAAGCCGATCATGACGGGATGCTCTTTGTTTCTATTCTATCGACTATCGGAAACCTCCTCCTTCAATTCTTCAGGTGACTTCCCACTTTACCTTATCCGATGTTAAGATTTCTTAACTCAACCACCGTTACCAGACCCCTGTCTCATCTGCAGAATTCCTCCAAAATGATCCCCCTGGCCGCGCTTATTATCCTCATCGTCGTCGTCACAGTCAGCAGCTTAACGTTCCTAATTGCAATCTACAGCTCCGTCTCGTCATGCCTCGAATCCCCAAAAATCAAAGCCACGGCCCAGGAAAAAGAAATGACTCTCCCTTTGACAGAAACCGTCGCGCTACCAGCAACAATCTCGACGTCCTCGCTTCTTCCTCTTCCAGTCCTCATCCCGCCAGTCTGCTCAGAAGCACCCGAAGCAGAATTCCCACCCCCTCTACCAGATGAATTAGTCGATGATGACGATGTTGTCGAGGCTGAAAGTCCACCACCTCTCCCTCGTCCCGATAGGGACAGTATGCACGAGATCCTTGATCTGTATACGAACGAAGCTCGGAATCTACCTCCAGGGCCCAAATCCGCGCCTGCGAGGTTCGTCACTTTTGACCAGGCAGAGTCAAAATGAGGCTGTGTTGGCATCGGTGATGTGTTAGGTTAAATACCTATGGGGGAATTTTTTTGCACGTGAGTGATAATATCCATATTCGATCTTAGATGATTCAAATTCGGCATTTTCCATATTCTAGCCTCTTCTCCAAAATTCTACGGAAGACTACATGTTCCAATATCCACTATCCATACCCCATCTCTTTTGCATTTTCACATCAATATCCCCCCATCAACCTCAAGCTCAATGTCATCTCTTTCCCCATTCATCTCAAACCTCACTCCCTTCGGCGCTTGAGATTGAGCGTAAGTCCGTGTATGATACACCGCAGCACACGGAATGGGAAGAGATGGGGGAACTCTCTGCTCTACATCATGAACGTTAACAAACGCTGTTTTCTCTAGTTTCACATTCAGGCTTTTCACGCGCGGCGCTGAGCTGAATGAGCCTTTCCCTTCTAGCACGCTCCGCATTTGTGCGGGTTTGGCGTCAGCTTGTCTTCTCGGAAGTGTGGCTGGGGATACAAAGGGTGCGGTCGCTGAGTAACTTGCTGTGTGTTCTGCGGCGTCTTCGATGTTCTGTGCTTGAAGTTTACCTTCCCTGACTCGAGCCCGAGTCGGTCGAGGCGCGGCAATGGACGACTCTGTTTGTGTTTGTTTTTGATAGTCGAGAATATCTTCTTCAAGACTCACGGATGGCTGAATGCTCATCTTGTTGCGTTCCGTGGTTTGACAAGGTTTGACCACAGCCGCTGCTGGTGCCGTTGGTGCTGCAGGTGCTCGCGGAGAGGGAGGGAGAACATGGTTTGGTTCGACAGGCGTGTTCCAACGTGGTGGCATATTTTGAGCAAAAGATTTGATATTTCCGTCTCGGTATTGTTGCCGTCGTGTGCGCTCGCGCACGCGCCGGTACCCGATGAAAAATGACAGCGAAGTTGGGGAGGCAGAGAAGGACAATGGCTAGGAAGATGAATAATGGAATTGATTTTGTATTCGATTGGATTTGCATCTTGGATTTGCGGATTATAGGTGTTGTAATTGCAGCTTGTTGCAGCTTCATCTTCGATTCAGTAGACACGTAATATTTTGACTGTGGTTACAGGACTGGAAGCTGCCTGCTGACTGAGAGAAGGTCAAAGGGGGGGTTAAGGCGAAAGGGGGATATTCCAACTCCAATTGTACCAATATCATGCTGTGCTGGGATTTTCGGCCTTTCGTGACATTGTTTCTCATCACTCCCGTAGCATGGTGAATGGGACAAAGGGCCGTGAAAGAGACCTTGACGGCCTTGTCTTGACGAACATGTTCACCGGATGAAAAGATGAAAAGCAAGGAGCGGATTGTTTTGTCTTTGTACAAAACAATTGTACATGGGCTGTTCGTCAGACTCAAACATGTTCGACAGACCTGAAGTCATTTGTGGATGTTAAACGTTCGACATAATGATTACCTTCTAGTATGAGAGCGATGCAACTTGAAGTCAAGATCAGATTCTTGATCAATCGCACGCTAGCCTTGTGTGATTGTTTCAATACCTCAGACTCGCGTTGTAGCTGGTTCATTTCATAAAACGTAGGGAGAAGAAGGACGGAAGTTGTATGTTCGGAGCAGCTTCCTCCGTGTTTGAGAACTGTTTGTGCTAGATATACAGTGAAGGCTTACCTGAATGATGATACTAATCTGGTCTCCAAACAGAAGAGAACTATTCATTGATGGCTGTGATGGCAGGACGCATCCGATCATGTCGTGGCAATTTAAGAACAGGGACACCCGAGGGAAGGACAGTAGACGTTCCAGTCTGAAATTCGGAAATTTCCCATCCCCGGCCTGAATCAAGATCTGGGGATTGAAGAAAGAAAATACGGTGTTAGTCGTCATCTGGTGGACGCTCTTGGCTAGGCCTTGATCATTGAGGAACATCAAAAGGATTCGGTCAGAAAAAACTCTCTCTGTAACGTTAGTGTTTGGTGTTCCCAAGGAAGTCTGGCAAACCACCGAAGAGAAGTAGCATTTGATTGACACCAAACGGCATGCGCTAGTTCATGAACCAGCATTGCAGCCTCCAAGATGTATGTGCTACATATCTCCGTTGCACGTTTTGAGTGTCCCAATTGGGGTTGGATAGAAACTTCAGCCACTCCAGTCCAATTGCCGATTGTACTAACACAGTCTTAAGTGGGAGTTTGTAATTTGTCTGCAAGAATCCCCGGTGTAGCCATCGGGTTTTTCTTACACGGACAGAGAGTTTCATGACTCGATAGTGGGAACACATCCCTCATCAGATCCCGCTCAAGATTCCTGAGTTTATTATCTGTTACTCTCCAGGTATCCTTAAGCGTACGTTCATTCTCACCTGTTGGGACAAACCGAGGAGGCTTATTGGGCAAGAGTGTCAGCACAAGGTAATCGTCATCAATCGAGAGATATGGAAGAATGAGGACTGGTAAGTGCTGAAAAGAAAAAAGCAATGAGTCGGTTGACATGAGTTCCCATTGACGCAGGCAGGGAACTCGGAGTGGCCGAGCGAGTCTGAGCCTTACGGTAGAAAAAGGGGCAACTATGGATGAAGCCTAGTAGGGGGCTCGTTTTAGGCGACCTCCCAAGCCTTATCGCCAAGCGAAGCGAGCTCCAGGCTCCAGGCTTCAGGCTCCAGGCTTCAGCTTCCCATTTTGTTTAATGAACTTCTTTACTGTAGCTACTTTTGGACTTCGTTACCTTATGACCGGTCAGTCTCTTTTGATGCGACTTTGGTCAGTAAACGAGGGAAACCGAAACTGCTCCCATTGTCAACGGCGACCCGAAGTACGACTTGCATCATCCCAAGCAAGCCCGACCACCATAGAACAGACGACACTCAATTCTGAGTCTGAAGCTGGAGGCCAACAAATCTTCGCCTAAGATGGATTTGGATCGCAAGTGCAATAAGATCACAAAGTATTGCTTCGGGTCCGCATTTTCGAGCAACACGTTGTCAATGCGTCCAAAGTCAGTACCCATGCAACGTCGACCACATAAGAAATCTCGGAATGGCTGCTACTCTTGCAAGAGCCGACGCATAAAGTGTGGAGAGGAAAAGCCTCAATGTGAAAACTGCATTGATCTGAAACGAGAATGCATGTATCCCTCCAGTCAAATTAGCATGCCAAAACCCGAGATCGCTCTGTCGACGCACTATTTCAGCCTCCGAGACCTACAATACTTTCATCATTTTCTGCAAGCGGCAGTCCCTCATCTGCCCCTCGGTAGCGGAAAGATGTGGAACGAGGATATCCCACGATTGGCTTATCACCGTCCATACCTTATGCATGCATTACTTGGACTTGGAGCCTTCCATCTCGGTGCCATGTCCCTTGAACAGGAGTCATGTCACAGAGAGGCTTTGGATCATCGGATCTATGCCATTCAAGGGCTCAACTCGGCGATGTCGGAATCCTCCCAAGAATCCAATGAATCGGGTGCCATCCTGGCCGCCTGCTATGCGCTCACATTTCAATCCGTATACCTCGCGGATGGCATGATTGACTTTATCGTCTTTGTCCGTGGCTGTTATTTGGCTGCCAACACTTTTCGCGGAGGTGGATTGATCACGGGCTTGCCCAACCGACACCTCGATATTGTTGCCCCGGAATTGGCCCGCATGCCCAAGGCAAATGTAAGCGAATTACAGCGCGGCCTAACCGGGCTAGAGCAGATTTCGTCTCTGTTGAAGACACCCCCTGAACTCAAGTTCTACCATGGCATCAAAGGTGTTCTAACAGGCTTGATGGAGTCTTCTCGACTGGGGTATACCCGTTTTATATCCCTCTACGACATGTGGACAACGCAAGAGAATCTCGAGGCGCTAATCAATCCTCACAACGCCATTATGCAACTCATGCTTTTCTTTTATCTCCTGGAGTCAATAATGTTGGCTCCTTTTACTCCCTGGGATTTTCCGGAAGGTTCGTCTACTAATCACAGGCTGAACTCAACATTGAGATGGTCTGACCAAATTTGGGCCGGATTATCCAACGACTTGAGGAAGTACTTGCAGTGGCCAAAATCTATCTTCGATAAATTGACCTCGAGAGGGAAAAACAACTCGGGGAAATCGAATCTACAGGATGAACTCAGAATGATTTTCCTGGCTGACAGCCTCCCCTAGTATCCTTCACGTTGGTCTAGGCATAACTTGCGCCTCAAACAAATCGTCGAAGACCAATTTTCGAACCAATTTGGAGTGGATCAACTATCGGCCGACTCATCGCACTGGTTCACCTTTTCATCCAACACGCCAACTCTTGATTGTGCGATCAGCCTCAAGGAGCTCAGTTACGTCGTATATTAGAAGACCCAGTTGTCAACCAGGTACTGAGTGATGCGGAATTATAGGCCGAATAGGAAGCTTCGCAAACCCGCAATTGAACCAATCAGTCCACGAAGTAGCGTTTGATGATCTCTACATGATGCTTGCAGATGAACTCGACCTCCTATGGTCTCTTCTATAAATGGGTTCAGCTTCTCTCAATGGCGACATCCAAACCAAATCGTATTGTCAATACGATCCGGAACCAAAAGTGCGTAATCATCTCCCGCATTCCTCCAATGGAGGCATTTCGGCAACCAAAATTGGAATGAATGCCATGACCTTGGTTGCTTCAAGTCTCGACCCAGCCGCGTCACCGTATCGCGCTATGCGTATCGTATTCAATACGGCCGCGAATGGTAAGGCGCGGATTTCCCAATGGGAATCCTCGCACCCAAATCAGGACACCAGGCAGCAAGCATAAATCGAGGTTGCCATGTATAAAGGCGACGACATCGACCATGGCTTTAGACTTGCCGGACGTTGACAGCCAATTTTGCACCGAAGTCGAATCTCTTCGATAAAGTCTTGCATTACCAGGATCGGTCCAACATGAAATGCGATTTAGTAGCGGCCCGGGAGGACGATAGCATTGCTTGGGTCTATTGTCCTTCATTTGGGGCTGCTGTTTTGTTCGCCGTGCTTTTCGGCCTTTCGACGATACTGCACATCATTCAAGCCGTCAATTTTCGAAAAGTGAGCAGCATCCTCTTCCTCCCCCCATCGTCCAATGTGTCTGATTTCCCGGATATTATGGATTTCAAACTCACGAATCTTTTCCACAGAAATTCTGCTGGGTTATCATCATGGCCGGTCTGTGGGAAACCGCAGGGTTTGCAGTCCGCTCATACTCGGCGAAGCAATTTCGGGGACTGGGACATTTCATTCCACAGCAGCTTCTCATTATCCTCGCACCACTTTGGGTCAACGCCTTCGTCTACATGGTCGCCGGGAGAATGATTTACTTTCTCATTCCCGAGAAGAAAGTCTTCGGCATCAGTGCACATAGACTTACTTTGATCTTCGTGATACTGGATATCTTTGCTTTTCTCGTCCAGGGGTCATCGTCAAGTTTAATGACCTCGGACGATTACGACACAATCAGGATTGGGATCGATATTTGTACGTCTTGCCTCGACACCTTGACATCGCTTTACAGAATTTTCCAACTGATTTTCTTACCATCCAGACATGGCTGGTGTGGGTGTCCAGGAACTCTTCATCGTCCTATTCACCATCCTTGCCGCTCGATTCCAGTGGCACATGAACCAGATCGAACGCGTCCATCCCGTCCGTCACCGCTGGCGAAGCCTCCTATACCCTCTCTACGTTGCTCTAGGTCTAATCACAGTTCGAATCATCTTCAGGCTCGTTGAATACACCGACGGCGAGTACAGCTATGTCGCGAGATACGAGGCATTTTTCTACTGCCTTGAAGCTCTGCCAATGGTTGTTTCTCTGGCCATGTTCAACGTCTGGCATCCTGCCATGGTGCTCGTTGGGCCGGAGAGTGAGTTCCCTAAGAGGGTGAAGAAATCAAGAGCCGAAAAGAAGATGGAGAAAGAGAAGGAAAAAGCACAAAAGAATTCTAGAAAGGGCAAGGCGCGAGGTAGGGTGGATGGGCTGGGCGCTGCTGGTGATGCAGATGGGATTGAAATGCGAATATAGCCTGGTGCCAATGCGCTCGAGCCAGTCTCGTCCTTCAACTGCACCCAACATGAAAAGGACGGTTGGGAGGTACTGCTATTACACAATATCCGTTGGTGTGTACATCACCCGCTCATGTTCGTTCTGTTCAATAAATACAGGATACATTATACTTGGTGTTGGAAGAGCATGGAGACAAAGCACGTTATTGTTATTTTCTTTGTCGAGAAGCATGTGGCTCGTTTCGATTTGAACGTTGAATCACCACATATCCAAATATGGTCCCCAGAGATAGTCAAGATGAACCTTCGCAGTCTACTGTCATCAATACAATGCTCGAGTATGGATTGGTCGTACTTACATAGGATGAATTCAACTCTGAGATCTGTCACACCCGGATTCACTGCGTCGAGGCAAATCTCCTTCATCAATTCAGCTACGCTTTCGACGCTCGCCGTGTCATAAATATTCGCGTACATAAACGACTGACTGAATCCCACAGCCTTGACGTCCAAGGCCAGGAGTTTCAGCACGTCCGTCCAGCGTGGTTTTCGAGAAGCCGATAACGCCTCGATCGATTATCGGCAACCAACGATAAAGCTTGGCACAGAATGAGTCACGTGCTCTTTCCTCTTGATCGGATCCAGTCCATGGACCACGTTCGGGGGGCAATTAACCAGAGCCCTAAACTAGATCCGTTTCAAACAGCTCCTAGCCTTTAGTTGACTATCTCTTCTGTAATTTTGTTAATTTCGGAATCGCCTGGTTAGGGCTTGGCGTTGTGTGGCGACGCCAAGAGCAACGTGCTGGCCAATAACGTAAGCGTATGGCTTGGCATTGTCACGTGAGTAAGTTGCTTGGCGGTGTCACGTGGGCACGCGGGCACTTCCCCCCGCTGCCCCGTCATCGGATCCAGTCTGTGGACCACCCAGAGAGGCTTTTGAAGAGATTCTATTTTGCTTCCCCAGGTATGTACCAGGTACATTTATTTGTGTGGTAGAGTCTAACAATTCTAGGTACCGATTACATAATACCCGAAGTTGGCGCGAGCCGAATTTGGTGCCAAGCTGGTCGCTCATAGCTTGGAATTGGCAGGATATCAATTGCCATGTACGATAGCCGTGGCCGGCGCTTTCTTGGTTGGTCCTGACACAGCAGGCATGTCACCAAGATCGCACGGTTCCCCATTGCTGTAGTCTTCGTACTCATCCTGACTCGCTGGTCGAGTAAACTAGTCCAAATCTTGTGCAATTCGCTCATAATCGAAAAGGTCTTGAGAGGGCTTCCTTTCGTACGAGGGTGTAGTCGTATAGAGGGGGGATCTTTTCTCGGTAAACCTCTCAAACGTCGTCACCTTAAGCCTCTGCCAATCCTTTTCCAATTGTACCGAATGTACTTCGTCCGACAATTTGGATGAAGAATAATGGCCGCGGCAAAAGTGAGAGAGTCATCTGTCTATGCGAGCCTTTGCTTTGGTGTACTGGGACTCCCCATCACATACGTCGCGAGCGTGGGCCCATGTCGTATGAGCTGACTTGCTCCTTTTTGACCCTATTTCAGCCGAGTCCAAGGTGGTTGAAGGTGAGAGAAGGGATGAATTTGTTTCAGGATCCATATTTTGTACGATGGAATAAGGAAAGATGGAAATCAAATGGATATCCTAAGCAGTGAGGAATTATCGACCATTATCGACATCAATATCGATAAGACCGATAAGTTATCGGTTAGTTATCGATCGATTCATTATCGATAAGATTATTGAAAACCACGCTGCAGATGCCTTGAAAGTCGGGGAGTTTGCCCTTGAGAAAATCGGAGCCAAGAAATGTCCCAGTATCCAAGGGATGTCAATCAAATCTACATTTCCTCCAGGACGAGAGGGGAACGTGTTTACCCAGTGTGTCTGGCTTGTTGATGTAGGGTCGGGCTGCCCGGGAGAAGGACATGAAGAGGGAAAGAATAAGGAGACTAAATTTCATATTCAAAGTGATGGACAAGAGTCTTTTGGTATCTTGGAAGCTGATGCCAGATGTTGATCCCCCAACGACGGGCAGGTGCTTGTGAGGTTGGCCATCGGTTTCGAAGGAGACTGGAGGATCGTCAAAGGACCATTGGAGGCAGCTATCTCAGTCCATCCAGGATGTTCTCATCGTCCTTGAACCCTCAGGACCTTGGAGAACGAGCCAGTACTCCATCCCATCCCTTCATTCTGGAGACCATGAACATTCGAACTGCGCCCTGTGGGAGAGGCAAAACAGGATGGCTGTCAGACAGTGCTGACTATCTATATATATGGCACCCATCCTTTTCTCATTCTCGACCGTCAGAAACGTCCTCTGCATTTTCGGAACCGTTGTCAACCGTTTTGCTCATATTTCATTGCTCCCCAGTCATGACGACCTTTATCGCATATCTACCTCGAGAAAATGCACCGTCCTTCGGAAGCCGCACCTTCAGCAAATTTCTCGCGGTCGGCCCTCCCCAGTTGGGTGTCGAGCAGACAAAGCACAAAATCTCCTCAACAGGCGACGTCTGTGAGCAGTGCGGATTTCGTCACTCGAGAATATCTAGTGGCACGAGGAATTTTAGAGCGAATGGGTCATGATTCCGACGAACGCAGTATCCGAGTTCCCAGACACCGCAATAGCGACGCAGCCGACAACGACAAAATTGATCATAACGAGAAAGGCGGCAGAGATGACGGCATTGACCACGAAAGCGAAATCGGTGACCTTCCGATCATTCTGGACCACAGCTTTCCTCATCTTCCGCCCAGGAAATCCATTGTTCTTCCCGTTCCCTGCGTCCTTCACTTCTCCCATCTGCTGTGATAAACTTGGCCAACAGCGTCCAGCGTTCGCTAGTGCGCTTTAGATCACCTTGTTATAAATCATATCACGCGTCCACTTCTTCGGTTTCTTCCTCTTCTCTGGCTTTCTCCGCTTTTTGATACCTGGTCCAAATGTCTCGACTAACCTCCTCGAAAGGAATATAGTACTCTCGATGTTCAGGCCACGGTGAACGGGGCCGGTGTTGTTTAACGTCGCGCTTGTCCGGGGTAATCCAGAGAAACTCTAGTTCTATATCAAACTCTGACGAATGGGACATGGCCCACTCGCGGTATTCACGCAAGAATCTCAAACGACAATTCGAGTAATTCCTTGCCACGGTGATCCGGATGGGGAAGACGAGCAATTTCGGCTTTTCCCCTTCAGCATGTCTTTCTTCTGTCTTAACCGAAATAATTATTCCATCTATCGTCTTGTAATCGATGTGGCGGGAGCGATAAAGTACCGGCGTATTGAGCATGTCGAACTCAATGTCGAATGGGTCCTTGAAGAATCTTAACCCCATACCCCTGTCACTACCGTCGCAAATCTTCAAGCCTTTTGACTGGATGGATTCGAGAACGGCGTATTTCACCATAAACCCAAGGACAGATCGATTGTAGACAAAGTCGCGCAGTGAAGCCAGAGAGCCGATGTCGATGAAAGTAATATCCAACTCGAGAAGCTGATTTGCTACAGCATCGCGAACTAGACCGCAGGTATATCGTCCAATGTCGAAGTTATCCTGATAGAAGGATCGATGGTCGACCAGTTCGATGTGTTCCGTCCATCTAGGTGGTACTGGCCTGTTAAGAATGCACGCCCTCATGTAGGCGCAATACCTAAAAAGTCAGAATGTTCGAAGCACCAGATCAGTCGAACATACCACTTCCAATCAAGAGCCGTAGCAGTAGACCTGATTTGCTGCACAAACGCCACAGTTTGGTCGTAGTCTGGGTCGGATTTGAGGGGCGTCAAATCAATCACCCCATTCACCACACATTGCTTCAAGAGAAATGGGATACAGCCCGTAACATCTTCAACCTTATGCCGGGAATACCGTCCCATCTTGGCATCTTTATGCTGCTTCCACCACTGCTCCATTTCCGTCTACGGCAGTCAGAAGCCTCGTGGTGACACAAATTTGACATTACTTGCCTTAGTGAAACCCCCATAGAGGCGTACCACCCTGTTCGAGGTCTGATAGCTGACCTCTTCCAGGTCGTCCGTAGAGTTTGCACAGGTACTGAAGATTGATTTATGGTAAGAGGTGAAACTGATTATCCAACGACGTACCTTTGGGGCATCGTCCCCCCCATACCAGATATCGGCCTTAAAAGCATTCATCTCATCAACGACAAATATAACGTTGTTTTGAAGCTTGAAGAATTCCTGAATCTCGTCTTCGGTGTCTAGGGCCATGATCTTCTTTTGGGTGGCGAAATCGTCTGCCCAGGCGAACAGCATGGCTGTTTTAACGTCGTCAACATGGTTCTGGAGCAACGTCCAGCAATTCGGTAGATAGACGACCCGTTCATCTTGAGCAGCAAAGTAGCAGACGAGGGCGGCTAGAAGGTGAGACTTCCCAAAGCCCCGGTTTCCATAGAGCCAGATTCTTTGATAAACGCGACTCTTTCGCACGTCCCTCACCTCATTAAGGAGGTCTTTGAACATCGTTCTCCCCATATAGAACCACTTTTCTTCGGCTCGATCGGGTCCTCGGAAACCTGGTGGTGTAAGACCGCTAAATGGGAAGTCGAGCGTGTGGTTTAATGTAGGGTCTGAAAGTTTATCGACAGCTCCAGGAAGAGGATCAACTGAATTGGAATGCTGATCAGGAGAGTCGTTCATCTGTGTAATCATTTCCCTAATGGCCTTCCTTCGCTCGTTCGCTGCGATGGCCCATCGTATCTGGTCTTCTTCGTATTCTTGACATACTTTTGGCGAAGTGAACGGTTCTTCTGGTGCGTTTATTTCCTCCCCTATAACGTCGTTAGCTGGCTATCGTCTAGCACATTAAAGGCGTCATTACCTTTTCTTCTTCGGCCGGCTATCTGGTTCGGTTGATCGTCTTAACACTGTCAGCTGGTGTCTAAGTTGCATCCACAGTCTAATCCTACTCTGTCTGCTGACTCTTCTCGCAAGAGACGCAAGATCCCAATAGACCCTAAGTGGCAGATCAGTTCTTTTGAAGAAGTCTAGATCCTCAGCATACTCCAAGAAGGTAGAGCCACTGATTCCTGCCTCTTTGAATGTCAAAACGTCCTCGTCATCGTAGAGAATGTCTGGTCGTGTTTGCTGGATCCATTCGAGCAATTGCTCGTCGTTCCAACTTATCATCTCTTGGATTGTAGGGATGCCCTTCCGGCCTTGTCCAACTTCCTTCTGATTAGAACCGTTCATTTTGACTGATGTCAAGGAAGGCCAAACGAGGGAGAAGGTATGATGTGGCAACTCGAACACGCACGCAAGTTGTGGAGAGTTCAAACTCGCCCAAAATGAGCGCACGCGAACTGACGTGGGACAAGCGGTCGCCAAGTTGGAGGCAGGAGCCATGACGAGGTAGAGGGAGCAACAAGTGTGATATAGGCAGCAACGAGGATGTGAAACAAGGAGGGCCCGTGAAGATGGCACCAGGCGCGTTTGCTGGGAATGTCTCGGGAGAGCAACCAATTGATCCTAGTTGCATGAGCGTTGTCCGCATGATGGACTCCACCAGCAACAGGAATCTGAGCCATAGAACAGGAGAACCGTTCACAAGGTGTGGAGCATACCCTGAGGGCGTTCGCCAGAGGTTGTCGACAATGAAAGTGGACATCCAGGCTGCAGCAACAAGAGGGGTTTCAAAAGGGCCAAACAGGACTCTGCAACACCAAGAAAGTCTATATAAATCAAGAATCTAGCAACAATGAGGTGAATGCTTCAATTCTGATATTTGGAATCTCGAATTGTGCGATTTACTAGAGTTTCGGTGGGGTTTTTCAGGTACCTCTCCATCGTGCGGATAACGCTCGCACAACTAGGCTCAATTGGTATCCAGTAGGGTCGCTGTTGCACACGATTCGCTGTGGGTGGTTGCTCTCCCGATACATTCCCCCCATAACCGCTTTATTGAACTGACAACAGCAGAGATTATGAAGTAGAAATGGTCCATGGAATGGATCCGATCAGAGGGGGGATATAGATGTCAGGGGTCACGTGCCAAGGATCACTTGGTCCCGTGACAGAGGGATTATAGACATGGTCCACGGACTGGATCCGATGGAGGGTAATAGGCATGGCCCATGGACTGGATCCGATACATAGGGTATGAAAGTTCGACGTGGAATAGATATAGGACTTGGCAAAAATAAAAGGGGCCCACCAGTGTATAACTAACTGACAGATGGGTGCCACAACTTTCAGTCAGACAAGTTCAATTTAAGGATCATAGGGGATACGTGCCTATCATCTTGGCCACCAAGTTCCCAGCTCAGCTCCAGCTAGAAATGCCTTAACAGTTCGTTTCTATCTAGGTAGGAATGGAAGGAGGCCTTCACTCTGAAAGGTGCTGCTCTAGTTTCCTAGCCAGCGGATCACCTTACTTATTTCGAAGATTCAGGAGTGGAACAAGGGACAGTAATTGCTCGCTGACTGTCCCCAGCTCGGAGGCGTAGGACACCTTACTACTGGAATGGAACCTGCCCTTCGCTACCAACCACAGCCAGATCTCCACGGGATACGAGTATTCTGATTCCCCAGTTTCTCCAGGACACGGAGGGAATGAAGTCAGATATGTCGCTGTCATGCGGTGATAACATTCTGCAACCCCGCTGCTCCCCACGTTTGGATCCGCTCGCATGGATCTCAATGCGCAATCAATCAAGTTTGTCTTTCTCGGCTCTGGGAGAACATTCACAAACAAAAAGTTGGATTCAGCAGAGGTTAGCCATTTGAATGAAAGGTGACAAAATCAATTCAAGATGATTGCAATATCGGCCGAAGACTATGAGATTCTTGAGCAATATCACTCGGAACCAAGAAAGATCAAGATCATCCATATCGGAGCTGGGGCGTCTGGTCTGTTGTTGGCTTACAAGGCCGAACGATTTCTACGGAATTACGAATTGATTTGTTATGAAAAGTCAGTTTCAGAAAGCATGGACAACTTCATCCCAAGACCCCGTGTGACAAAGAAACCGACTTCAGACCAATTTTCTCGATGCAGAAACGACTCTATCGGAGGAACGTGGTACGAAAACCGATATCCCGGCTGTACTTGTGACATCCCAGCGCACACATATACCTATACTTTCGAGCCAAATCCCGAATGGTCTGGCTTTTACTCCTTCTCGGACGAAATTCAGACTTATTTCGAGAAGTTCTACGAGAAATACAAATTGGCACAGTACGTGCGGCTGAACACGGAGTTATTGAGTGCGACTTGGGATGAGAGCAATGGAGAATGTGAGTCATGACCATCCGGATGCGCTTTGGTTGGACTTGTTGTGCCAATATCTGATTTCGTAGGGGAAATTGAGCTGAAGCATGGAGACAAATTGTTTACAGATCGCTGCAACGTGCTGATAAATGGCTCTGGAGTTGTAAATAAATGGAAATGTGAGTAGATGGCTCATTTTTGTCCCTCTCTCTCCCTCCTTCTCAGGGGCTTTGAGATTGCATCTCTGACAGGTTAGTTCCAGGGCCGGCCATTGAAGGACTTTCTACATATAAAGGCATACTATCTCACAGCGCGAACTGGGACACATCCATTGATTGGAAGGGCAAGACAGTCGCTGTTCTCGGCACTGGATCAAGTTCCATCCAGATGGTTCCTCAATTAGCTCAGGGTAAGAAGAAGTTGTCTCAAACAAAGTCGCATAACAGAAACATGCTAAATCGAAGGATTGGTGCTAGGTTCTCAAAATTTGACTGTCTTTGCCCGAAACATGACCTACATCGCTCCTCAAGTGTCAATTACCGACGCGCAGATCGTCCCAGAGGGCGAAAAGCCAGCAGCAGCGGGCAAACATCTCTACGTCGAAGCGGAGAAAGAGAGGTTTCGAACCGATCCCGAATTCCACCTTCAATATCGCAAAAAGTTAGAATCAGCCCTCACAGAAATGTTCCCCTTGTTTCTTCGTGGGACGAAACTCAATATCCAAGCACGAGAAGACATGCGAGCCAACATGTTAGCAAAAATGGGACTCGGACACGAGGAACTCGAGAGATTTATCCCCAGGTGGTCCCCAGGTTGTAGAAGACTGACGCCTGGGGAAGGATATCTTGAGACGCTGATCCTGGATCATGTCAAGGTCGTACATGACGAGATCGTCCGATTTACTGAGACCGGACTGGTGACCGCGTCTGGGGAGGAGATGGACTTTGACATCATCGCATGCGCAACAGGGTTTCATATTGCGTACACGCCACATTTCAAGATCACGGGCGTGAATGGTGCCGTGGTGCAAGACGAATGGAAGGAGACGCCAAATATCTACCTCAGCATCACGGCGCCGAAGTTTCCCAATTATTTCGTCATCAACGGTCCAACGGGGAACTGGGGTCAAGGTTGTGCGTTGCCATCAGTAAGTCTAATATTCCCAGGTCTTTTTTGTTTTTTTCTGGGCCAAGAAGCCCGATGAAGACAAGCTGATGTCGGATTGGTGTGTGGTTGTAGCACGAAGTTCAACTCGAATACGCCCTCCAATGCATCAAGAAAATGCAAGAAGAGCATATCCTCGCCATGGAACCGCGACAAGAACCCACCATCCAAATCAACAGACACATCGACGCGTGGCATAAGGAGAAATCAGTCTGGGCCGAGGATTGTAGATCTTGGTATAAGGATAACAAAGTCCATGGTCGCGTATACATTTGGCCTGGAAGCCTTTTGCATCATCTGAAGACGCTCAGGACGCCGAGGTACGAACATTATGATATTCGATATAGAGACGAAGGAAATATGTGGGCTTTTTTGGGCAATGGGAGGACGGAACTGGAGGCGGAGTTTGAGAAGGGGAATAAAGATGTGGATTTGGCGCCGTATATTAGGAGTAAGGACGAGGCCTGGAGTCTGGAGATGCCGATTGAGGTGCCGAAGAAGATGTGAGGTTAAAAGTCACAAATACGGATTGATACTATCTAATTAACCCCCAACCCCCCAGGGGCAGTGGGCGGAATTCGGTTATGTTTCTTGGACTTTTCAGACTCGACGAGTATCTCTTACAGTACCGGCTAATTCACGAAGCCCGCAATTCCTTGAACAGCCTCTACCTGCGCCCGACACGCCAAATTTGCCCTCGAAGTTACACAGTCAAAATCACTGTTCACGACCGCATTGTCCAAAGGCAACAGACAAGGCCAGGTGACTTTATTACATGACCGCAAGGGCACACCGTGGGCGATGTAGCACGCATCTACCTCAGGCTCGTAGAGATGAGGGTACTTGACAAAGAAATTCCCGTCGAGTCGGAAGCGGTCGCCGCCCTCGGCAATCTTGAGGTGCCGGTATAATTCCCAGGTATATTCGCGCGCGTGTAGTAGTGCGTATAGATTGGGAGCGGGAAGGTGGATCTTTGTCCTCGCGGTCTGCTGGATGGTGTTATTACTTTCAGCCTGCATGGCGTCGGATAATCGGGATAACGAAAGCAATGTGGGATTTTTTTCCAACCCGGTAACGATGTCAAGCACACTGAAATTCACAGATAAGGGCTCTGCGTTGGCGACCAGCTCCGACAAGTCCGCCTGCACCACGTACGCTTTGCCAATGTGACCGCAAATTTCGTCCAGAGATGGGTCAGAAGAGTGGTATTGGATCAAATTGTCTCGTAAGAAAGGGAAGACGCACCAGTCGATTATGGCTGGGTGGGGAACAGCCGCCATGCTGTCAGTTTGGCCACTGTCTCGCTGCCATTGGTGTATTTGAACCATGGTTCCATACCTTGCCAGGCGAGTCTGACGAATGTCGAGACGACGCGGGAGATGATTCGAATGAGGCTGGAGATAGGAGTCAGTCAGTCAGGCTTTCAAGTGATTCCGAGTTTTCTTTAGGATGAAATCCTGTGAGGATGCATACCTGTTGAAATCCGGGCTGAAACTGTCCTTTAAAGCAACCAGTCATCACGCACCTTTCGTACGCTTCAATGTGTTCCGAATATTTCGATAGATTCATCAGCTGGAGATTGCGGCAGAGAGGAAATGCAGCCGCACCTCGAGAAAATGGCGTCAAAGCCGGCTCGAACGAAATTGAGAGTCCACGGTCTGGCAGTGCCAATTGCCCGTCGGTCTCTTCAAACATGTCGTTCGTTGATAGCATCTGAAGAGTCCGCTCTGAGGGATATGTCTCTATTGGAGGTATGACATTGTAACCGTTGACGACGCCTGAATTCTGATCCACAGAGGAGGCAAACGGCATATCTTCCGCAATGGTGCCGGATTGGATACGAGGAATGTTGTAATCGACCGTCATGGCCATGTCGACGGGCTCTCCACACTCGAAGTCCGTGTCAAGGTTTTGGAAACTTCTGTCATTGTCGTTTGCAGAAGATGATGACAACGAGGCGTTGCTGTTGTTTTCATCCCCAACCTGACAGCCATGAGATCCCATAACTTGCCGGTGAATGATTGAGTTTGGGCCGTACAAACACTTACAAATTTACTCTCTCGATCCCCTGTCATTGAGTCCACGATACTCTTTAACGTCGCCTGGAGACTTTTCAACCTCTTCTCACACTGCCATAGCCGTTGGCGTAGCACTTCATTCTCCTCTGCAAGTCTCTTGTTGCGAGCACTCTCTGAGTCGCTGAACTGCTTCAGGCGCTGCTTCAATTCGTTGAGTTCCCAGTTTTGCCGTGCGCGGAATGCTTGTTGAGAGAGCCGATTGCGTAATTTTCTGTCAATGGATATTATTTTCAGCGAATCTGGCTTGTTGAGAATAACTTGGTTAGGCATACCGTTTCTCTGCTGCAATACTACCTTTCTTCCCTCCCGAGTTTCGAGATCTTAACCCGGGGCTGTCTACGGCGGGCTCAAACGAGTGCGAAAGTTGAGAACTCATCTTGCATCAAATGTCCGCCAATGTCACTGGATTAAAAGTGATGGGTAATGCCTAGCATGGAAGTCAAAGGATATTAGATCGGTCAGATCTGGTAGAGGAACCCGAGGGGGACGTAGAGCTGTGGAGAGCCTCGGTTAGGCTCTGAATGATTCGAGTCAGTGCATGAACGGAGAGGATGGATTCGCCTCACAGACAGAAAGCATCCCGCTAGGTCTACACTGTAATAGCTGATTTTCGGAGCAGCGGAGAAGGCTGCTTGCTGATATAACAAACGGATATACGAGCCGTAGAGCGGATAATGTGATGGAGATCATGTTTCATGCTCTCCGTTCATATCTTTGACCAGCATACTATCTCATCCATGCTGCTTAAGAGGACATAAACAACGGGATTTTGTTTTGTCATTCAACGTCGGACCACGGGGTTTTCCTCTAATGTCTGATCTCAACGGCAATCCTATTGGTCATGAACTTCGATATATCTCCAATCAAAGTGCAGGCAATGATGGACAAGTATCCAAATGGAATGCTCACATACCACGTCCACTTCAGAGCATCTGCATATGCCCAACGTGTGCCCATCGTCGCTGCTTGGATTATTACTGGCGTGACACCAGTAATATTCGCCACGTCCGCGGGACTGGTCAGAAATATCGGCACAAATCCGTCGTGGATGATTGTGGAAGACCAGCTTGAATTGCGAATTCGGCGACCTTTTCTGGAAGCAGTGGACTGAGCTTCTCTATGAAGACGTTATAGTAGATGGAATAGCCAATTGCACCGCCGATGAAACGGACAGAGAGTGTTAAGGCTGCCGCTGTTGCAATCAGGGAGTCTGGGCAAGCAGTCATGGCGATTGTGGGCGCAGGAACGACGACTCCTCCCACTCCGAATCCGGCAATGGTGGCTACGGCGACAGCAGCTCCGGGATTTGTGGGATCAACAGCAGCCAAAGCACCGGTAAAGGCGGCTATGGGAGGTAAAAGTCAGCATTTGGATCGACCTCTCAGCAGCAACATGAAGCCAACCTACTCATCAGGACGCAGGAAACGAGTAGAACTTCTCGATTGTGCCCTTTCAAGACCGTAAGCATAGTATTCCCCACTGCAGCTCCGACAGTGATAGCAGAGGCATAACTGAGGCCCTTGAGACCGACTTGAACGGGGCTACATTTGAGTAAGTCACCCAAGTCTTCTTGCCCATGAGATGGATGATCACGTACTCAGGGTCATATACAGCGCTATAAGTAAGCGGTGCAAAGTTGATGAGTGAGTAGAAATTCATTCCTGCAATGAATGCAATAGCCAGGGCCATAGCAACGACACGTTGACCGGCGAAGAGGGCACCTGGCACCATAGGATATCTGGCCCACTTCCATACAACAAAGGCGGCAATGAGAGCTGCCCCAACGAGCAACATGCAAATGACGAACGCACTTCTCCAAGGGCGATCATAGCCTCCGGATTGAAGAGCAATGAGACTTTGTCACAGTTAGCCCTACCCAGAAAGGAGGTGGAAGAGATCTTACAAAAGGAGGATCTCGGAGATTGAAAAGAATGCGCTGCGGTGGCTACGACAACGATACCCATCATGAGCAAGACGGACCCTCGAATCGAGATGTTTCTTCTTCCAAACATGTCCTGTAGATAGCCACAGAAAGGACAGATAGAAGCCAAGGCTAGTGAATTTGCAACCGGAAGCCATGAGGATGTAGTTGCTCCTAGATCGGCAGCAATATAGCTCAGGGACCCTTTTATCCGTCAGTGAGACATTCAAAGAGTATCCGTCGCTTAACCTCCGACGAAGTAGATCGGAACTTGTGAACCTATTCCGAACAGTCATCAATAACTATATCCCTTACATGGAACTGGGGCATCAGCACTTACCGACATAGATACTACACAAGGAAACGGTTGCAATAATTTGCCTTGCTGTCTAGTTGATATGTCCATCCGAGTCATCGCCCTTGGCCGCGTGTGCTTTCTCACCATCGACACCATACGTCTCGTGATGCTCTATAACCAGTTGCGTCTCGTTCTCTCGACGGTTGGCTTAAGTTCTTGCGCGGAATGAATCATGGCTTCTAGGATGTCGGTTGATGAGAGAGGCAAGAATTGATGGATGGAGTGGATGCGAAGGAGGCCTGGCTTTCCGGGCACAACTTATACCAGTAATTGTTGTCCCGAAGCGTGGGTCTTATATAATTCCCAAAGAGAAGTATCCACCCAACACATTCCTCCCCATGTGCAACGTCCCCGGAAATTGAGCGAGTCATGGAAGAGCTTGGCCCAGAAGAGTCCTTGCGAGCTGAGAACTCTGCCGCGCGCTCTCCAGAAGTGCGTATCCGAACTAGATCTGAGGCGACGAGCCAGAACATGACCCACAAAACCCGAGTCAGAAAGTACGAGCACGTTCGTAAGGCTCTCCCTCGCGCGTGGACGGAGAAGGATAAGGCTTGCTTTGACAACCGAAGTTCCGAGAGGAAGACGAGACTGCGGAGAAAGTCTGGGGATCGTTGAACTGACAATGAGAAGGCTTACTATCCCTGTCAAGCCCTGAATTGTTGAACTCCACACAGTTTAGCTGACCGTGAATTAGCTCACTGGCTAGGATCAAGAACTTCCCATTTCCATCAACCCGGCGTTCCTGTTGACATAACTTGTAGGATCTCCTGCCACCAAATATTGACACGGAAAATGGATGCCCTGTGTCTTGTTCTGTTTGTAATTTTGAATCAGAGAACGGTAGATCCGACGAGACCAAAAAGGCGATGCGCTCCACATTGTGGTCTCAGGAACGATCGCCCATACAGTGATGATTTCATAATTTCTTCTTTCATGTCGGTCAGATTCGTATAAAAGATATCTACTAGAGATATCCATTTCCCCAGCCACCTTGATGCAAATGGGAAGTTTTCCAAGGACAGACCTTCGTGGTCACTGGTGGAGGGTCTGGAATTGGACTCGCCATCACTCTGACTCTCTGCGATCGAGGTGCCACAGTATGGACACCGGAGCTATCACCAAACCCGCCCGAGGAGCTGAAACCATTAATCGAAAGAGGAACGGTTCATTTCAAAGGAGACATCGATGTTGCGAGCCGGACGGCCTGCAAGGCATTCATGGACGATGTCATCGCAACTAGTGGGCGGTTGGATGGACTGGTGAATAATGCTGGGATTGGATTGACTGAAGGTCCCATCGCCTCAGACGACGCTTTTGATCGCATGGTCGACGTGAACCTCAAAGGAACCTGGAATTACGGAACGCAGGCACTTCAAATCATGCAAAACCAAGAGCCAAGGGGGCCATGGGCTTCACGAGGGAATATTGCCAGCGGTGCAGGGCTGAGAGGAGTGAGCTGTTTGGCGGTGTACTGCGCGACAAAACATGCACTGATCGGACTAGCTCGATCATGGGCTCTGGATTTCGGTTCGTACGGTATTCGAGTCAATGCTGTTGCGCCGGGTGAGTTTCTCCACAGTGGGAGGATGGACATGGTTTCTGACTGAAAGAGCATAGGCATCACAGAAACACCAGCCTTTGTGAAGCGTGTAAGAGAGGAGGAGGGCTTCCTGGACACTCTGCCCAGTAATCCTATTAACAGATACGGGAAACCCTCTGAAATCGCGGCTTCGGTGTCATTTCTTCTCTCAGACGAGTCTAGTTACGTGACGGGTGACGTTCTTGCTGTCAGTGGCGGCAGCTGAGGACTCTATCTCAGGGTGGAATGGAAGGAGGATGGTTGATCATCGCAAGATAAGGGAGAAAAGGGGGTTTCCTCCCGTCTCTCCGAGATAGAAGTTTCAGCATCTCCTCGACTCTCTTCAAACACAAAAAATATCTGTCCAGGTATCGTCGATCACATCACGCGATCACAGTGTCCTCATTCAATGCCAACGTAAAACATTCTCAATCAAGCCCTCTTGCCAGGAGATGTGCCGGGCATCAGGAGATCAGCCAAGCGGTGGTAAAAGCGGCGACACATGCGGACCCGAAACAGTAGGGCCCTCAATATAATATGGTAATCATCAACCTCAATCTTCGTCCTCATCAACTTATCGGATGAGCCTCCAATTGCTCGATATATCGCATCATAACGCCGTTTAGGAGTACTCATGTCTGCCACTCCATATCTAGATTCCCTCCGGAAAGATGGGTTCGTCAAGATCCCCAACCTCTTGCCGCCTCAACTCCTGCTGGCAATGAAGGCGTCGTGCAAATACACGACGGAGCGAGCAAGACAGGGCAAATGGCCATACGTCCGGACAGTCCCCAAACAATACCCGCCATGGCAGGAATGGAAACCGGGCGACAACATCTGGGGCGTACAGCACCTTCTGCACCCCGACATGAATACCCGCGACACTTTTGCCGAGCTCTACTTTTCCGACGAGGTGTTGTCGGTGGTCAAAGAACTCATCGGTCTCAAAGACGACCCACAAGGTGATGAAAAGCTGGTAATGGAACTGTTCAATCTACTAGTCAGTCCGGCCGAAGGGCAGGATTTTGAGCTGTGCTGGCATCGAGATGATATTCGGCCCGATGTCACTCCGGAAGTGGAAGAAAAACAACTCCGAGAGAAGAGTCCCCAGGACCAACAGTTGCATGCTCAATATAACATCGCCCTCTTTGAAGACTCGTCCCTAATTGTTATTCCGGGCAGCCATCGGCGCATACGGACCGAGGTGGAACGGAATGCCGCTCCTTATGAGCCTGACTTACCGGGGCAGCTGGTGGTTGAGCTGCAACCGGGTGATGCCGTGTTCTACGATAGCAATATCCTCCATCGTGGTGTATATAAGGGGATAGACGCGTCTACCGAATTGGGTCGGATGACTTTGCATGGATCTGTTGGCTTGGCAGGACATGGGACCGAGCGAGCACGTCAAGTATTGCAGCATGCTGTTGGAGAGTGGGTTGACAGGGCGCAGTTCTCCATGGAGGGGTCTAAAGCTGAGCGGGCCGAAGCCATGAGGAAGAGATTGATGGATATGGGTAGTGGGAAAGATTGGGGATATTCGCTCGTAGGTTGAGAGGATTGACGTGGGCAGAACGGTATGGTTGCTTATACTCAGGAAATCTCCCTGAGGTTCTTCAATCGACGTCTGGAGGCTCTTGTCGCTTTTGCTCCAATGGCCGTGATCAACCCTGAAAGGCCTGATTTCGGCGTGAAATACCCCGAAAGATCTTTGAACCTCTCGACAGTCACCAAGTATATGGCGGTATGTCGGGGTTCAAATGCTCCTGCGAGGGAACTCCATCATAGATATACCTCTCATCCACCTTTTTCGATATCCGTTTTCTCGACCCTCGCCAAAGTTGTACGCCCTCATATGTCGTGAGACACAACATCAAACTCCAAAATATCAGTAACGTAACAATCAATCTGCGAGGTGAGAGCATTGACACTTACCAAAGAATACCCGAGACGGCATTGAGCACATAGCTACAGTACAGCCCAGCCAAACCAAGGTCGGTGAATTGAAACTGCATCAGCTCTGCAGTGAGTTGAATCCCATTGGCAACATCATATGCATAGGTTTCGGACAGATTGTGAAGACGTATGTTCAACGCGATGAGGACGCCTGTGGTGGCCAGCCAGGAGATTAGACTGAGCAGTTCGAAGGCCAGATGAACAACTTGTTCTTTTCTAGATTCGTAAAAATCCTCGCTCCACCATCGGAGAATGCAGATGATGAGAGTACAAGGGAACTATTAGATATCCGGCGTTAGTATGTGCGAATCTCAAGGTACACGGAGAGAAGTATTTGCTCTACGTACCGACCACCACACAAAACAGTATGCACACTGGGCGCCGAAACAGACGGCACAGAAGGCTGCGAGGATAACGGCGCAGAAACCGACAACGAGCTGGAGTATCTGAATCGTGGTCGAAAGCCCATGTGGTAGCGAAGACATCTTTGCCTCGCTGGAGTAGGACCGTATCAAATGGTTTCTCTCGGGTGCCTCTTAAGTGTTTCCAATGAAACCCGACGGAGACTGTTGAATGAAGCTTACGTTGCCATAACTTTCCGTACCATACTTTTCCGTGCCATTGATCCATCTCTGGATGACGACAGTCAGCCTGGAAGTCCAGAATGATTGGTTTTGTCTCCTGGGGCTACGAGGAAGGGTGTCGCAAACATTTCTTGAAGCACTCTAGCCTGTCAAGAAAAGCAATCTATCTGACGACGGTTTCGTTGCTTTTAGTGGGACCTATTCCGCATGTATCCGATCTGATTGACCCATTTTACTCTCCCTGTGTGGTGTTGTTCTGCACCCAGAGGCCATACCTGGGTACCTGGCTGGTCTCATGACTTCATGTAAGGTTCAAAAAAAAGAAAAAAAAAAAAAAGATCGTATAGAATAATAGACAGGTGTCTTGACATTTGGGGGTCGTACAGTAGAAGCTTTGGGGCCAACAAGGCTTGTCCATTGCTTCGAAGGTTCAAATAAGCATAAGGTGCCTTATTACTCAGCCGGCCCCTGGAGAGTCTGCCGCTGAGTCTGTCATTTTCAAAACAACGACATCGAGTAAAGCGCAATATCAATTTCTGATTTGGGATTTCAAGGCCACATTGTCAAAACCGGAAGGTGGAACACGGCACGAGCCAACCTCACAATTCTTAAAGCCTCCCCCAAAGGCCGGGAGGAAGGTGTTCAAGCGGTTCGGGCGGCTGAATAAGTCCATTGGTTCGAGGGCGAAAGGTAGGTCTCTGTATGACGCTACCGACGGGTACGCACGCGGAACACCTTTCGAACTCTCGTAGACATGAGGGATTAAGATGAAAATCCAGCATTCGGCCAGTGTGATTGCTGCCATCACTGCTTTCATTGCGTCAAATGTCGGCCACAATCCTGACGGATCCTAGATGTGCTCTGAAACCTTCAAATCATATTTCCAGGTGCAGGTGTTACACATTGTTGCGACGATGGTCAGACCAGCCTCTCGAATGGTCTATGTTTGATGGAGGTATACAGAGTCCCCTCCGTGCGGGAGATAATGTCATTAGCTTACCTAGTCACTCGTGGGTTTCTTCATTGAACACAGGTCTATATACGCACAGTACCTGAAACAACGATGCTTGCATTCAAAGTTGTCTTGACCCTCGTCTGGACGGCCTGAGGACACGGTGCAGCGACATCCATTGGTGTTGTTCTGCGGGAGGTAACACAACGCCATCCTATCAAGATCCCAACATCCATCTTTTCCCAATCATGGAGCGAGCAAATGCCCAGACCACATTCGCATTCGTTCAGGGTTACAGCATTGCACCAATCGCAAGTATTCTTACGGATGGAGGAACGAGGCCGGTGACGGTGACGATGACGTTGACGGCCACCACAGCTCTGTTGGGATCTCTGGTCACCATCACCACGACATCAACAGCTGACGCAACAACCATCTCACTATGTGATTCTTCTCAGTCTGGAGGCAATGAGTTGACAGCGGGACTCGGAGACTGGCCTGGGGGTAGGATCTCCACTCCCGGTAACAGTTGGATTTCGCACATTCCTCCTTTTTCAAGAGAGAAGACACTACTGGTCTTCATTGAAATCTCTGCCACCTTATGAGGCCTATGGCACTTCCGCAGATGGCCCTGTACCTCAGGTGCTAGCTCCCGCGGCAAGCTCCAAACTTCGTCTGTGGTCACGAATAGGCAAGAGGACGTGAGTGGAGGAAGAGTCGATGGAGAAACTAAAGTCACGGATAGAGGTGCCATGATGATTGTAATCGCAGCTGAGGATCTGTTTCGTAGTTGTCGAAATACGTGGAGTGTCGCGAACGGTCCTGAGGCTGCCTTGTGTCTCGCCGTAATATCTGGTACTGTGGAGTACAAGGCCCACCCTCAGTATTTGACGGCAATCATCAAATGAACCCATCATGACAAAACCCTCTCTCTAACTTCACCTCCGACAACTGCACTGACACTTGACATGACTGGCAAACGTTCCAGCTATTCTTAGTCATAGAGAGTGGGACGACGGAGCAAGCCACACATCAAATATCTCCTTTTACCACATCTGTATTCTGTACAATGTCCGCTGAATTCTCAACCACCAAACTCAACGCAGACAGTCATGTCCTGCTGGTATGACCTCCGCTCCCCTCATCAGTGTATGGAATGGCGATTAACATGGCCACAACAGGACCAACCTTTGCTCCGACTGCCCCATGAACTAGTCAAGCGGAATTTCAGGACTACCCAACGATATGTAGAGCGTGAAAGAGACCACATCCTCCCGACCCTCAAGGACACTGCGAACGCGGCTCTTAGCTCCTCACAAACCGCCGAACAGACCCTGGCTTCCCTTGACGCCATGATCCAACGGATGCAGAATTTCAAACGCAAACTGGAAAAACTACATACTGAGGAAGAGGCTCTACATGATCATTCGGCCAAAAGAATTAAACATCTACAAGATCTCTATGAAATCCCTTCCCTCGTGGACGTCAAGTATGACCAATGGTCGCGGACCCGGCTTGACCGCCTCATTGTGGACTATCTCCTCCGCTCCGGCTATGCCAGAACCGCCTCCTCCCTCGCCGAATCCAAGCAAATATCTCACCTTGTGGACCTGGACACATTTGTGACTTGTCACAAGATCGCCTCGTCACTTTCCCGTGGCGAGACGAAAGAAGCTCTGGCATGGATCAACGAGAACAAGAATTCTCTCAAGAAACTGATTATGACACCCTACAAAACCACCAACCTCGAATTTGAACTTCGCCTCCAACAATACATTGAGCTTGTCCGGGCAGGAACCACGGCCAAAAAGCTCGAGGCGAGGTTGCACGCCCAGCAACATCTCATGCCACATGCCGCCTCACGCTCGGAATCCATACTGCAAGTGGCTGGCCTCCTGATCCAAACACCAGATACCGACGCCGAGCCATACCGAACACTCTTTGCGCCGTCTCGCTGGCATCACTTATCAAACCTGTTCGTCGAAACTCATCATACGTTAATGTCCCTCCCAGTACAACCGCTTCTCCACGTGGCTTTGTCTGCCGGTCTCTCCGCCCTAAAGACACCAGCATGCCACAGTGCTTACAATCCAGCGAGCTCCTCAACCCCGGGACATGCACGCATCGCGACAAATACCTCTCTCTGCCCAATCTGCAGTATGGAACTGAACGATCTAGCCCGCAATGTACCTTATGCGCATCACACGACGAGTTCAGTTGAACCAGACCCAGTCGTCCTGCCGAACGGGCGAATTTACGGTCGAGAACGACTCGAGGAGCTACAAAGAAAACTCGCAATGGCCGGCCTAGGCGGTGGAGGGGAATGTGGGATGCAGGATCTACAAATTGGGAAAGAAGGAGAGGTCCGAGATCCCACGACCGGCGAGAGTTTTACCTGGGGCCAGGTCAAGAAGGTGTACATCATGTGATTGGGAGAGGCTCTACGGAATCTACTTGCATAGAAAGAAAGGAAAAGAAGGGGAGAAGAGGTCGAAACAAAATATATCTCATCCAAGACATCACGCAGCACTATCAACTCAATAGCCGTCAAATCCACCGCTTGACTAGATTCGAGCTTTGCTGCGACTCTCGATCCTATCTCCATTCAGCGCGCCGTCCAGGAAAGATCCCAGCCTATACCCGATTCAACAAAGGCCAATTTTTCCGATTTCGGCTTCAGGCCCGCTTCCATCTCCGTGCCAATCTCGGACCGGAACAAAAGGGTTCTTGAGAGAACTGAACAGAACAATAGTGGGCCAATATACCCCGATCAGACTCCCTCATGGGTTCGCCGGGTAATAGATTGGCCACAAGCTCGGCTCAGGTTCAGGGAGGCTGATGATGTGTGAATAATGGATTTTCATTGTGACGAATGTTTCAGGGTAGTCCTCTCTGTCATACCTAGACTGCTTAAGAATATATTGGTTAGGCTATGAACTGTGCGGCCCCCCCAATCCGTCCCGGCTCGGCTCAGGCCCGTTTTGGTTTACATTTGATGGTATATGTACTGAATCCATTTGCTCCACTATCTCAAGACGAAAGGGGTAGATGAGAGAAGAAAAAATACAAAGAGAAAATAAAACACAACACATGACTGACTTTGCAGCGACTGCCATGTAACTGCGAACAGGAACGATGTGCTTTTGACCGCTATACGAGTAAGTGTCCCAATGGGTGAGAGTAAGGGAGTGACCAGATTTGCTACTCCACACACTTTTAGAAGGCGTGCGATCTACCATGTACCATGTACCTGTGTGTCGAGTGTCCCCGGAGAGTTACATGTTTGTTCATGTTCATGTTCATACTGATGGTTCATGTTATCTTTTCTCGATGTTCGTCCATCCGTTCGTTCGTTCAAACTTCGCTGACTGTAACCCCTGGCACCCACCTCTGTCTATCCTCTCTCACAGAGCAATTTTCTTCCTACATACGTGCGAGTACAAATACCCTGCGTTCTTCCCGAAGACGTAGCAGCAGTAGCTCATCATCCCAATTATGTCTCTACTTCTTTAGAACAGGCTCAGGTTCTCCGTAATAGGTGTAGACAGCCGTTTCAGCGACTCCGGCTTCGTCTCTCTTGTTCCTGACTTTTTCCTTGCCTCCGTAGTAATTGTGTACGGCAGTTTCAGCGACGTCGGCTTCGTCTCTTTTTGCCTTGTCATTTGGAACGGGCTCAGATCCTCCGTAATAGGTGTAGACGGCGGTCTCAGCCACGCCAGCCTCGCCCCTTTTCACCTTTACCTTGTCCTTTGAAACAGGCTCGGGCTCCCCGTAGTAAGTGTATACGGCAGTTTCAGCGACATCGGCTTCGTCCCTCTTTCTCCTAACTTTCTCTTTCCCTCCGTAATAGGTATACACGGCGGTCTCTGCAACACCGGCTTCGTCCCTCTTTGCAGTATTCACATCCCCAACACCGACTGGGGCCTAACAAACACATGGAAGATTGTCAGCTTCAAGAAAATGAAACAAATACGTGAGCACTCCTAAGATTCAAGAGAACGTGATGAGAACATACAGGCGCAGCCGCCACCAAGGTAAGGATCGCCATGCCAGAAAGGATCTGAAGAGTTTTCATGATGTTTGTAGCAGGGGCGTTTTGGCTTTAGATTGACAAAGAACAAATACACGTTGTTGTTTGTGGTTTCTGGATTGAGCGAAAGCTGAGAGGTTCAATTGCTCTGTGCAGAAGAAGCTTCGACCTGGGAAGACTGACGCACTGAGGCGAGGTGAGTTCGACGCCTTTATAATGTTATTCACCGCTGTTGATCCTGAATCCCGAACAAGGTTCTTTCCCTTTTCTCAGAATGACGCGGCGGACCTGTTTGGTCCAGAGCAAGTCGCCGCGGGCCCCAGGCCAGTACAGCCCACCGCATAACCGATGCCTGCGCTTGTGTGTCTCCGGACATCAGTGATGATGGGACACAATGCCTGGAGTAGCGGACTGGAAGGGGGTGATAGTCAACCTCATTTTTCAATGAATCACGCCCGCCCGCCGTGTCTGTGTCTGTATGCTGTAACATTATCGTCGCCGTCCGAGGGCCATGTTAGCGGCATGGGTAAGAATGAAGAATGACCCTTGGCTATGATCGCATCATAATCGAGGAGTACATGAGAGTGTCTCGTCAATTTCCACATCCGTAGCATCAATAACGGAAAGGGTTTGCAAGATGATCACAAGTTGTCGACACGTTTCTTGTTTTTGCAGACCAATATGTGTGACCTGCCTTTCTTGTAGCGGACCAGCGTATTGTCGGATGAGAGGATGGATCCTAGTTGTTCGTCGCCTCGAACGTCATTCAAGTATTTCACTCTGAAAAGCTAATTTGCCGTTCGAACACTGAGGCTCCTGCATTGTGACCTTCCTTAACAGTAGTAGTACATCATGGCATGGTTCAATCACGGGCGAATAGTTGAAGCGCACAATATTGCTCGTTTTAACAACATAGCATGGAGCAAGGAAACCCTTATGTCTCACAGGGTTAGTACGCAGAAAGAGAATAGGGAATTATGAATCCTACCGGGGACTGGCACAGGAAGAAAGCCAGCCTGTTAGTGGGGCTTAAAGTCCCGGTAGCTCGAGGCCCCACTAGTATACCTGACCGACATCTGCTGTTTATGAAATGTGGAGCCGGGTATAGAGACAGCTATTTCGTGATGATCCCCCCGCAACTTGGACCTAGCCCCTTTCAACTCGCAAGGCTGATCGTCGACCTTCTGTGTATACGAATGGGCGATGTTACGTAAATCATACATGGTGAGTTGCAGTATTTGACTTACATGTATCGCCTCATTTGGGCCCAGCGGCGGCCAAACTCAAGAAGATCTTATCTGGATTCAATTCGGAAAACATGTCGAGGTGGGATTTACTACCCCTGCATCACTCCCTCTCGTCTCCATGTACTGTCAGGTCTTCTATCTTCGATGTTGGTGAGATTCATGATTCGTGATTCGTATCCACCTTTTGACCGACACATTGAACTTCTCTTCCGTCAATATATCTATTCGAGAGATACAGTGAGGGTTCTCCCTGGTCAATATAGCACTGATCATGTCTCGATTGAATTACAAATATACCAACATGAAATGGGAAGGTCCATCGATGCTACGAGAAAAAGAGCAAGAGCAAGAGGAAGAGGAAGACGGGCTGCTCTCAGGGTCCCACGAATCATCACGCCCCAAGAGTCGTCGGTGGCTATCCTATGCACTGGCATTCATGCTTGGGCTGTCAGTTTTTATCAATATTGTTGCTCTTCTTCAGCAACGAATTCGAACTCAGGATATGGACGAGCTCTGCTCTACCTACACATCAGAAAATCGTAGGACTCTCCCCCCTGAACAACCAAGTCTCGTTCTAAACGCTTCTGTCCTGTCTACCTACAGCATCTCCTATCTCACAAGACGTCAAAATTGCCTATTCCACGACCGAATTCAATGGCTCTTTCCTCAACCCATCCCCATACACACTTATTCCAGGACCTGACGTTGACGAAGCTTGGCTAGCATTGGGAACTCAAAGTTTGTACCTCTTTACCTGTCCTGTCCTATGCCCGCTCATGCTGCAGTGAATATGGTTATCTCTCTAAGGATATGCTAATTTTCAAACCAAACCAAACAGGCCGCCACTACGTTGTTCCCGAACACCTAGGCACCTACTATGGTCTCAATCCGGGCCATGTGAAGCTCTCTCCTAAGGATGGTGGCGGATTCCCCGTGCTCTTTGAATTCGAGCACCATCTTCACTGTGTTAACCTCTTGCGCCAGTCCTCCTACTGGAACTACGACTACTACTCAAAGCAAGGGAACGGTCCATTTCGCAATCCTCCGGACATCGTACGGCGCCACGTCAACCACTGTCTTGATATTCTACGGCAGGTGATCATGTGCCAGCCAGACACAGGCGTGTTCGGACAGTATTGGGTGAGAGAAACAAATGAGCCATTTGTTGACTTCCATACGAAACACAGGTGCAAAAACTTTGAGGAAATGAAGGATTGGGTTCTCAGTCATCAGATGCCAGATGAAAAGGCAAAGGTAGTCCAAAGGCCTGGGGATATTGTTCTAGATGTGATTCCGTAAAACATCTGCATCCCCTGAACTGCGCCGAGATTGAAAGAGGAGAAAAAAGGGGAAAAAAAAGAAAAGGGGAAGAGGAAATAAGAAAAACCAAAGAAATTTGCCCACTAGGAAGATACCTGGGTACTCACATAACCCTACACTCACTCCATCGCATACTTCATGACTGATACTAAAGATTTAAGGAGAACTATGATCAACGACATCAGCTTCAACAATACACCGTCGCCCGCTCACTCCAGCTCTGTTTCATTCGAAGAGATCATCAATCATCACTGTCCAGGCTGGCCATACATAACCGGCGTCCTTTCTAAGATGCCGTCGCGTTGGTTGCGGATCTCGTAGGCGTTGCACTTGGTACCGACCCGGGGCCCGTACCCGCAGCCGTGGGTGTGGCGGAAACAGACGTTGGTCTACCTCGTCTGGCCGTCCCACGGAGACTCATGCTCATACTAAGAGTTCTATGCCCATGGTCATGGGGCATGGCATGGCGATGGTTGTGACTTAGGGTTGACACATCGTGTTTTCCTTGGCCAGCAGAGTTAGGTCAAATATACCACCAACTCTGGAGCGAGTAACTTGACTTACCATCACAACAAGCTCTCACATTCTCAAGGCCTCCGAACCCAACCTCTTCTTGCCTCAGCATCTCTCTCCGGAGTTCTTCTGCTGAATCCTTCTGGGCATCGCTGACTACACTGGCGTCGTAGATGCTTCCACCTTCACTCCTAGCTCCAGCTGGAGTATTCGTAACATCACTCGCTCCAGGGGTACGTCCTGTGACGGACTCAATTATGCGTGAGAAACGACTTACGCTCCTTGCCCGCAACGTGCGGTCTTTGTCAGACTCTTGGGACTGTTCGGGCCGACTTCTTCGCATAGTCGAATTTGGAGCTGTGCGACTTGCGACGGAATCATGAGGTATACGAGTCGAAGTGGTGGCCGTAATCGCACCAGGAGGAAGCGTCTGTCGTTGAATTGCCGATTCTCGATTTGAACTGGTCCCTCGGGTTGTCCGAGAATTGTAGCTCGACAAACTCATTCGACTCCCAACAGGAGCGAGTGTAGCCCCATATCCGCCTGCATTGACATTGAACTCGTTGAGATCATCTCTGGTGATATCATTCCCTCCAGCGGGATAGCTTCCAGCGTTGGGGTCGTCACCACGAAGTATCAAGTAATTCAACGCGTTAACCCAAGTCTCGTGTCTCTGGCCCGTACTGGCAGTGAATCTCACACGTCGACCTGGAGTAATCACCTCAAGGCTCTTCCTATGAAGCCCAGGAGGCATGGGATTGTCGTCAGGGACAACTTCGATGCTTTCAATGAGAACGCTCTTGGCTCTCAATTCGCTCCTGCCGGCTGTCTGCGGATCCTGATCCGACCAGTATAGAGTCTTGGTATACGGGTGGACCCAGAAATATCGTCGGTGCCGGGTTTCGGACATTTCAGCCCTGCCAGCTTTGCGTGTATATTTCCAGAGGAACTCGCCGATCATGGTCTGTGTAATGGCCTGGATGATTCTTGGATCTGTATTGAATCCATGAGTAGCAACTTGACCATTTGTGTGCAAGTGGAAACGCTCATCTACCTCCGAAGCGAAGGATGACACTGAAGAACGGTGTGACAGTTGAGAAGTAACGGTTCCGCGTTGGGTCCGACTCACATTCGAGTTTCGCGGTGCATTGCTATCACGAGTTGAGGAACGGACGGAGTCGCCAGGTGTGCGTGGACGACGCATGGCAGAAGCAGGATAAGCAGGGGGACCCATAACCGTCGGCACTTGGGCTGAATTGAATTCCTTGGTGGGTGATGTCACGCGGCTCGTGGCCTTGGCGATAACGGCCTTATGATCGGGAGGAAGAGGTGGATGTGCCATACTGTTGGACAAACGCTGACTTGAAGCACTGGATGGTCGCTTAGCTGGCGAAGGGACGGGGGCAACTAGAACGGTTTCCGAATCGGGTTTCATCGAAGCCTGTACGTTCAAGTCACTCGTCTGGGTAGCTTCAGTTGGCGCCGCAGGGCTGACAGGGCATGTGGTGTTTTCTATCGCCTCGCTACGCAGAGGAATTGGTGCGGGAAGTTTGCTTTTAGATCGCAAAGCTTGTTCAATTTGCTCAGCAGTCAAGAATGTTTGAGAACCCCGGTCGTTGGAGACGATTGGTGGTCTGGCTTTCTGCTGAATTGACTCGGCCGCCTTAGAAGGAAGGCCTTGCTCCAAACCTTCTGTCGTTGACGTTTCTGGTTCCCTCATCTCTTCTTTTGATTTGGCCAAACCTAGAACAGCCGCAGCAGATGCCAGTACACCCGTCGTTGCTACTTTTTGTGCTGTGTGCGGCCGACTGGGAAGATCATCAACCCGTGTTGAGGGTGTGACCCCAACGGGTGTTTGCTTGGCCGGGGTTTGACTGGGTTCCGTCTCTTGAGATTGAATGGCAGAAAATGTCACGATCTCGGGTTGTCGTGTCGTTTGCCGGAGAGCCTTTTCAGGAGATGTGGGTATCGTATCGTGCATCAGCAAGCCCGAATAATTCAACCTTACAGGAGTCTGAGGATGAGGTGTGGTGGAAACTTCTGAATGTAATACGTCGGGGCTCTGAGCTTCGTCCCATACAGTCTTAGGAGGTGTGATGAATGCAGTATTCCTAATGGGGCTGTCTTGCAACGACCTTTGAGGAGTATACTGAGTACCGTTATCAATGTGTTTGATAGGTGAGGTCGGAACCGTTGGAGGCAAAGGAAAGTCCGAGGGAAGAGGTGATTGCATCTTTTCGTGATATGGTAAAGGCAATTCCTCGACTCTTCCTTCTGTGGCAGCGTCACGCGTTGAAATTTGCTCTGGTTTCCAGGGATCCGTCATTGTCCCAGAGTCAACCATCGCCGTCTTCACGACGCTCAAGGGCGTAGCCTGCAGTCCCGTCTCCCTGCTGGGAGTATAAGTAGGAATACCTGGTGTGGATGTTGCAGAAGCTATGCTAGCTCCGCCTGGAGTGCCAAAACTAACAGTCTCATCAAGGCCACCCAGCTCAGCAAACAGGCTTTGCTCCACAGCCGGTGGACTGCGGTCACTGGTCACTGTCGCCGGGGAGTCTTGAGATGGCCGTTCGGAATACAAATCTGTGGGAGTGCTCTCCGTCGGTACTCTAGACTGTCGGGCCCAAGACTGTCGTCCATTCCTGAGGCGGAATTTGTGTGATTGAGTGACCACGGGAGTTTTGAGCTCGTCTTCATCCTCACCTGCAGAAGTGGAGGCGGTGCTCATGAACGATTGCCGGTCACCGGCAGGCTTGAATAGAAGGCTCGGTCTGGGTCGAGAAGAGCCTCCTCGTCGAATCTGTGAGGCCGTGTCTTCAGTTTCTGTCAGATCGTCGGTGCTATCACCTGCAAGACTTTCGGCCCCGGTCTGGAAGTCTTCGCTTTCCGTGGCATGCCTCTCATCCGCGGTTTCAAATGCACCTTCAGTCTCGTTCGCAGTCTGATACGCATCACTTGTGTCGGTAATGCGCCCCTCAGCAGCAGCCGTAGTGGGTACGGACAGATGCTTTTGACTGGATCCATGAGTTGGGGTATCGGCAACATGATCCTCCCAATCATCATCTTCCAACTCCACGTCCGTTCGTGAGCGTCGACTGCCTCCCAGCATATCGGGGCGAGCTGGTTTCTTGAAAGCCTCCGACTTGGTTTTTTGTCGTTTGGTACCACTACCTAAAGACCCGTCTCCACGTCGTTGCTCAAGCTCATCTCTAGCATCCTGAAGCATGCGCTTAAGCTCAATTTTTTCGGTCTTTTCGCGGTGAATGTTGTTCTTCAGGTTTTGAATCATCCGATGGGCGTGATGCAGAGAGCTCCTCAAAGTTTCCGACTCTAAGCCACCGTGTCGAGGAGTTGCTTTCGTTGGCGAAGGAGGCGGGGAATTTTCTGGATCCTCCATATCTTTGAATTCGTCGTCATGTTCTCGAGCTGCAGAGACCTCTGTCCCAGGATGCGGACCACGCAGGCGAGCAGCAACAGCTCGGGCTAGTTCCTGATTCTGTGATGTCAATTCTTCGACCTTGCTTCGTAGGGTCGCTCTCTCACTGTCGCCCACGTCTATTGTGCGCTTGAGAGTGTGCAACTCGGAATCATGAGCCTTTCTTGCTGCAGCATGTTCATCGCTCAATTTATCATGGGCAAGCCTAATTTCGTCCATATCGCTTTGGACTCGAGTTTTCTCAGCGACTGCAGCGGCCAAACTGGCCGTTAATCTTTTCTCGCGATCGGCGGCCTCACGAGCGGCGGCCATGAGCTCATGCGTCTGCGTTTCGAGATTCCAGTTCTCATCTTTGTACTTCTGCTCACTCTCGTCCAGAGCTCGCAAACGTTGAGCAGACACAAAAGCTTCCTGCTCCAAACGGTCTCTCTCAGAATTGGCCTGCTTCAAGAGTTCGTCTCGTTCTGCAATGGCGCTCTGTAGCTGTCTGACCTGGGCCAGGAGAGATGTGCTGATATCGGCAGCGAATTGTAGATCACCGGCCCGATTGCTCGGCTGGTTACGTTGACGTCGACTGGGAGCCATTACTTTTGTCGGCGAGGGAGTAGCCTGGCTAGAAAAGGTGGATTGTTCCGCTCCAGGCTTTTCCTCTCCACTGACTGCTCTCGACTTCGGACCTAGCAATGCTCTCGCAATCTCTTTGCCAACATCATTGTGCTCTTTTTCCAACTCTGCCAGTCTCTGCCGCAACTCAGATGTAATCTCCGCATCACCTTGCTGTTCTTCCACTTCGCGCAATTTGTCGGTCAGCTCTGACTGCTGCAGTAAGAGAGACTCTCCGAGTTTCTGGGTATCTTGTAAACGGCGCTCGGTTTCGGCGAGGTGCGCGACAATACTTCGTTTGACTTGAGAGGGGGATGTGCTTGCGCCCAGAGTCAGTGATTCGGGGTCAACCAGACTAGAATAGCGGTGGGTGTGCGACGACTGTCGAGACTGGCCATCGTCCACAAAGGGGTCCGTTAAGTCCTTCATTGACGCGTGCAGGCTGCTGTTGACTGTGTCTTCACTTCCCGCCACGGCCGCAGTCGCCATAGCTGCAAGGAGAAAGTTCAAACGATTTGGACGCGAGGTTTGTTTAAGGTTGTGAATGTATCAATGCGGTGGCGGTGGTCATGTCGAGGCGCAAAAGTTCACCGAGAGGCGATCAATACCGAGACTAGGGCAGTCGCTCAAGGACGCTCACACTGAGCAGAGACGTCAACACAGCGTTGGTCAGGGAGGATGCAGTGATTGGCTGGACGCTTGTTGACGCGTCTGGATTGGCTAGGCGGTGGAGCAGCCCACCACTGCGAGAAAACCTGTTTGCTTGACACGTGGAGGCTGTCCTGGCCAACAATCTGGCTGAAACCAATGCGAACTGGGAATAACAATAACAGTGATGAGCAAAAAGATGGAAGCAAGTCGATGGGTTCGAGAAGAGAAAAAAAAATAAAATGTCGGCATTGACGAGTTATTATTGAGGGGAAGAGTCGGACTGTGGTAACCTGACTTGCTTGTCCTTGGAGCTTGGCTTCTGCAGGTTGGAGCCATTGAGGCTTCCACCAAGAGCACTTCATCCGCTCGCTTGCATAACTAGCTGCTGTCTTACAAAGTTGTTCTACGGATCCTCGGAGACGACTGTAAAAATTATGTACAGAACATCACGTTCGAATAGTTATTTCATATTGAGGCGCAGTCGCCATCGAAATGGAGAAGTAGTGAACTATACAATATGTACAAAATCCCCTGTAAAAGCATTCTCCCGATCCGTATTAGCCGTCTGTACAATCATCGTAGCGGTGTACAAGCCCGCAAAATGTATAGGCCGCTTCTGCCGAGTGGGCATGTCCAGTCGAAAATTAAAAAGTGTTCCAACGGTTCACCGGTATGTGCAAGTATACATGCTGCACAATGATCCCCTGAACAGTTTGGGCATGGCGGAGGGCCAAATGAAGATTGGTCTACGACCACCTTTGCCCCGAAGGTTCTTTTTCTTTTAACCCACCTATTCTCTCAAGATCGAGTGATTGGAAGCGGCCGCCATCTTCTTTCTGGTAAGGCGGAAGAGTTTCCTGGTTGAGAGGTTCCATGCCAACACTTCCCGAGTCGGTGATGTGGACGACAACAACACGGTCTTTTTGATTGCTGCCAGGTTTGCCATCCTCGTCGGGAAATGTAATGTGGATTTCGGGCACGGCAGAGGAAGGTGGACTGGAGGAGTTGTGGATCAGGTTCATCTTTTCGTCGTAGACGAAGATGGATTCATTTTTGTTTTGCGTATTGAAATGGCTGACTGAAGGCGACCGATGATGTGACGACTGAGGTTGGTATGTTGGCAACAAGGTTTGCTCCTTCGCTAACCGCCTCCGCCGCAGCAAGAACAAGGTTAGGGCACAGACTGAAGCCAACAGAAGAAGAGTAAAGAATGTAAATAGGAGGTGCCGCATGGAGTCAGAATATGACGGTTCGCTATCTGCAAAGTCGGAAGTGTCTCGACTGTGAAGAATGAAGCGTGGTAATGAAGTCATGACTACCACCAGCAGTAGTCGTAAGGTATGAGGCGTCCTTCGAGGACGTGGACGAATATAGATCTCTCGATGAGGCTGATGTCAGGATGGTCGGAGATCGGAGTCGGGAACTGCGATAAGGGTTGCAAGTTGACTTTGGGGGCCCGTAGCGTCGACTCAATCTTGTAGGCTCGATATGCTCGTGTCCCGGACGTCGTAGAGGCGGGCAAGGCAAAGATACGCATGCGTGTAGGATGGGTCCAAAATGCACATTTATCTCCAGTCCGCGTCGCAGATAGAAAAGTCCGTACACGCTTGCGTACTCTTTGCAGCTCAAAGGCCGTGAATGGGAAGGTGGCCGGATAAGAAGGAACGGACGGCAGGAGCTCAGCAAAAGAGTGAAGCTGAACACCGCCAAACGAAGAGAGGGTGGTAGAGAAGGGGAAAGGTGAATATCCGGAGATGTAGCAAGAGGGCGTGAATAAAGAGAGCGACGACGAGGAGATGAAATGGGCCAGGGGGGATGGGCGCACCGCCAACTGGCAAAATAGGCAGACTCCAGGGTAGAACCTCTCTCGCTGGCACCAAGAGTGAGACTCCCATTTCGCCTATTTTGCGCGTTGACAGGGGGGTTCGAGCTTAAGGGCGGTGCTGGCTTGGGAGTGGAGAGCAGCCGACTAATCACGACTGGCAATTTGGCAAGGCGCCGTGAATCTGCGAATCAATAAGAAAGAATAAATGGAACACTAGCAAATAGGGCAAAGGACATCGGTGCGTCGGAGACTGGAAATCCCAGCCCAGAGGGACATGGCCCACATAGCAATCACACTGTTCTCCATCAAACCAAACAAAAATCCAAACGTTCCTGAACGAGGAATGCTGTGGCGATGGTAGGGTATAGAAAACATTTCACCCGTCCGCCAAGGAAAGATAACAGCAGCAAATTGCAAGTGCCCGTCAAGGCCCGGGTTGGCTGGACAGCCACAGGCTCATGAGCCGCTGAAATATGGGACAACTGAGCCCAGTTGCTAGCAACGATCCAGGAACCCAGCAAGCTCGGCTGAGAGAAAAAGAATTGATAAGTCTGACCGGGTAGGCTCCTCATGAACAATACTCCGCGTTTGCGGCAACTCTCCTGTCAGACGTGGGAACTTTTTATGGCAACGCGCGAACAGATATCCAGCAGGATGGCGAAATTCGATGGTTTGATTTGTGGTCGTGTGAACACACACCTGGTGCAAATTACTTCCCATCATTATTTGTTCGTCTGGATGGCTGCCCCCTTCTTCGCACCGGCAAAACGGCCAGCTGAAATCACTAGGGGAGGAGTATTCGATTGGGTATGACTGACGGTTGAACAGAGTTTGGAAAATTAGGCTTTCTAGACAAACGTGGAGTCTTCAAGGCTTTCCTCTAAGACATGGCATGTTAGGTACGTTCTAGCCTCTGAATCAAACAGAACGATGTGCCACCACTGTGGGGCGCGGGAGGCATGATAGAAAGTTGTGTTCTTCTCTATCCTCTGCCATGCGCCAGTGTGAGTGCCAGCCACCATCAGCTAGATGGTGAGGACATTGTACATGACTTCGTCCTGCGCACAGGCAAGCCGGCCACGTCACAAATGGGTTGGGCCGAAGATGTACGGAGTGTTTGGTTGGGGATTGGGATAGGATTTCGGGTTATTCTTCTTATTGGTCTCCCAAAGAAGTCAGCACTGTTAGGATAACTCTAGAAAGGGAGGGAGAAAAAGTGATTGAGGACGGAGTTTTCTCCACCTGGTCATCTCTGAGTCAGCCCATGATGTTCTGCCAGTGAGAAAATCTCCATGCATAATACATAATACCAATTTACCAGTCTTGCAGAAGCGACCATTTAGTTACTGTGCAGTACTAGTAAATGCGAGATGGAGAGATGGGGACATGGGACATGCAAGCCACCAACGTCTAGGGACCAAGAGGGTCTCTGAGATCGTTTGGGTCCATCCGACCTTCTCCTCCTTCCGAAGTTCTGACGTCTATCTATAAGGCTACCGGGGAGTTCTTCTAGGCTCTCGGCATTCTGGACGCCCGCCTGGAGTGCGCCAAATCAAACGCCACTAGAACTTTTCGCCTTTGCCGTCTCGTACCCTAGCAGGCCACCCCCCCCCCCCCCCTCAAAAAAGCCTAAAGCAAGCAACCGCCTAACGCTTGCTGGCCACCCTTAGGTACATCTTTTGTTTTTTCCGGTCGTCGATCTCTGGGGTTCCGGTCAGTCTAAGACTCTCAAGCGCTGCGAGAGCACTACGTATGCAGTTTAGGTCTTCGGTATCTGCCTGCGCATCATCGTCAAAGCGCCTCCACCACATCTGATGCCATCGCATCTTTTCTGATATAACATCTGGTACATACCATGCACATTCTCTTTCCCTGTGTAACATTTTCTTAGCAGCGCATCCCACCTCCGCCTTGCTTCTTCTGGTTCTGCTTCTTCTGTCCATCCTTTGTCTGGTTCCTCCTTCCTATCCACACCCCAATCTCCACCAGCCGGTTTCTCAACCCACTTGCTCCCCTCACCGCAAAAGCCCACCCGCACACGTCCCAGCCAGATTTGTGCCTCACCTTGCACAGAACCGGCGACGCTGCATTCCACACCTTTCCAAACATCCACATCCTCATCCTCATCCCTTGCTCCATGCGCATTTCACGGTCGAGGCGCATGTCTGCTGGCAGATGTTCCTCCCTCGCGCCCTCTCGACGTCCTCCTGTGAATACCCGTCCGCGGCGCAATCAGGTTTAGGCCATGATTCTCATTTGCCCTGCGGCTGCCTGCTGAGATTGTACCATCGCTTTGCTGGCGAACGAAGGGGTACATGACGCTGTCGAACCCTGCTTCCCTCTGATCACACCTTCTCCTTCCTTAATTTCTCGCCCTTCTTCCACGTCCTCCTTGTATCTGCGACGGGGTATATTATAATCCGGCTCGGTGTACATCCTCACCCTACATAACTTCACATCTTCATTATCTTGGTATGTACCCCACTCCCGTATCCTGGGAAAACCACCTCTCAGACCAAATCACTGACTGGACTGGGGTTCTGTAGTCGATAGTTTTTGTTTTTCCCTTTTTTTTTTCCCTCTCCCCCGGCTCGGCCCTGTTGGCATTCGTATCCCCAGATCACGACCAAGTCTTTGTACATATCCCACTTCCTGGGATTTATCGAACGACTTTATACTTACTTTCGCTGGCTCAACCAGCCCCATTTACCACGATGGAGAGTGGTGCGGCGGTGGAAAACGTAAGTGTGGTCACCGTGGATCCTGCTGAAGGGGGGGGGGGGGAGTGGTGCTGACAAGGGTGATGTCAGGTACGAAACGGGCGAATTTCAGCATTTGAACGAACATCTTCCTCCAGACCACAGCTGGGTATTGGCACTGATTTTGACCTGGGAAAGAGCGCTTGGAATTCTTCAAGTCGGATTTGGGGCACAAGCAAGTCATTCTTGGACACTGGAGTAGATGATGAACCGATGACACGTATGCGGGCTGGGGAAGATGAGACTTTGGGTCCTCCTGACCATCTCCTGGCGTCGCCTGTTCGTCAAACTTCGTCCTCAAGTTACGGCCCGAACAGATTGACACCAAGTTCGTTGCTGACACCGACTGAATCCAATAACGGAAATGCTTTGCCATCCCAAATGCCCTGGAACTCCATCGCCACCATGACCGGCTTCACGTCGAGGCCAAGAGGTCAACCTCTGTCCCCAATCAAACACCGACAGAATCCAGGTCTGGATTTCATCGACAACAATTCCAACAGGGGCTTAGCGGAGTCAAGCTTGTTTGCGGGGAGTGCTCCAGATGTGGAAGACGAACCCTCAGATGCACAGCAAACTCAGCAGCAATGTCGTGCTGCTACGACCGGCTCACGATTCCTGCACTCTCCAGGCCGGTCCACTAGTTTTAGTCGAAGTGAAGTCAGCCCTCAGATACAGGCTTTCCACTCGAACAAGGTCAACAACACCAATGGCATCTTTGCCTCGATCCGTGAATTCGAAAGGGATCAGGAACCGTCTTCAAAGGAAGCCCGTATGACAAATGGGGGCACTTTAAAATACCCGCTGCACAACAGCTACGCCGCGACCAGACCGACATTTGGATATGCACCCGATAATTTGTCCAAATCCGATTTCATCTCACCCACCTGTGGAAAGGGGAGCGGCCGTTCTTTGACTGCGGAGCGCCTGGACCAATTTCATTCGATGCCGAACACAAATCTGGACGAGGCTGTCCGATCTTTGCGGGCTCTGAGCTTTGACCAGGCACAAGACGCCGTGGATACTCTTCCTGCGCGACGGACTTCTCTTCCCCAGCCCCAGTATCCACGCGATATTTACCCTGTACCAGCACATGCTTCTGCCCAGCGAAGCTTCCCTTTCAATCCCATGGAAAGCCCGTTCCAGCCATCATCAGCGAATGTACAAAGCGTTGAGTCTCGTTTGGACCCGCAAGCCGCTCCTCACTACGGTGGGTTGGCTTATGCCGAACATGGCGCTCTCTCACCGTCGGCCGGTACCTATCGAAGCAGTCTTCACAGCCCCCGTTATTCGGCGACTGGGACACCTCCCACGGGGCCTCAGTCTATTCGGAGCACCCCTGCAAGTGGTCTCTCTAGTGGTTCTTCACACCATGACCCATCGATGTTGGATCGCAAGTTTCCCAATATGGAACACTATTCATTCGATCACACCCATTTTGCTCCGAACTCTTTGCAATCACAAACGAGGAATGGCGTTCAGTATGACATTTCCCCTCCGGCCCAACCGATGCGAATGAACCCACTCGCACACCCGTACATTCTACCCGGCCACCCTGGTTTGAACAATTTCCCTTCGGCCCCTCGAATTCCTATTCGTGAGCCTGAGCAAAGTCAGGTGATCCGAAGCGCAGTGCTCGAGGACTTTCGCATGAACAGCAAAACCAACAAGCGATACGAGCTCAAAGACATCTACAACTACGTGGTGGAATTCAGCGGCGACCAACATGGCTCCCGATTCATTCAGCAGAAACTTGAGACGGCCAACAGTGACGAAAAGGAACAGATTTTCAAGGAAATCCAACCCAATGTGCTTCAGCTTATGACCGATGTGTTTGGAAATTACGTGATTCAGAAGCTATTTGAACATGGCAATCAGTCGCAGAAGAAGATCCTGGCCAACCAAATGAAGGGCCACGTCCTGCATTTGTCGATGCAAATGTACGGCTGCCGGGTGGTGCAAAAGGCATTTGAACATGTCTTGACCGATCAACAAGCGAGTTTGGTCAAGGAGTTGGATGGGCCCAATTTGCAAATCCTGAAAGTGGTCAAAGATCAAAACGGCAATCATGTCGTGCAAAAGGCCATTGAACGCATTCCCGGAGAACATATTCAGTTCATTGTCGACGCGCACCGCGGCCAAATGGCGAAGATGTCGACGCATCAATATGGGTGTCGAGTGGTTCAACGTATGCTTGAACATTGTCAACCCAAGGCCAAGCGAATCATCTTGGACGAGCTTCTGGAACATATCCTCCCCCTGGTGAGTGATTCATATGGCAACTATGTGGTGCAACATATCATCCAGAACGGTGAGCCGCACGATCGACGACACGTTGTCAACATTGTGCTTCAACAACTTCTGACATTTTCCAAACACAAATATGCCAGCAACATTGTGGAGAAGAGCATCGACTGTGCCGATGACGACCAGCGGACGGCAATTCTCCGTGGATTGACCGCACCGAATGAACATGGCGTTACCCCAGTACTGGGACTCATGAGAGATCAATATGGGAACTATGTCTTGCGTAAGTCTCGGGGACTCTTCGGCATCGACTCACCGTGCACTGACCAGAACAGAAAAGGTATATTCTCAGCTGCAAGGTGCCGAGTTGCTGGCCCTGGCGGCCGACATGAAGCACAACTATCCCGTTCTGCGACGGACCAGCTATGGTAAGCAAGTAGTTGCTATGGAAAAATTGCTTTTTGGGGGCAATGGTCCCCCGACCACATCCACTAGTAGCCGCAGCTCGAATTTACCAAGTACCAACGCCAGCAGCACGGTCGACGGCGATGGAACTCCTGCGCCGAAGCCAGAGGTCAAATAGTATGGTGGAGGCGGGGGAAACGGAAGAAGGGAAGAAGCCTCTCGATACTGGACTCTGCGTCATTCTGACGAAGCTTCACAGTCTCCTCTTCCCAATACGATTCGGATTCGACTTTTTCATCTCGGTTTTTTTTTTGGGAGGGGAGGTTTCTCGGCTCCGCCTGCCCAAAGAACATTGAACAGGTGTTGGGGCATTGTTTTCATCTGGTGGATGACACGACTAGAACTGTAACGACATCCAGATATGGTCAGTGTGGCTTGTTCAGTGTTTTCGACATGGAGTTTCGGAAAGAAGGGACAAAGACAGCGGGAACATTTGGGAAACCGTCTTGGTACGATCGGGTGGCGTCAGTGTTTATGAGATGACAATCATGCTTGACGACAACGAGTGTGGATACCCCTGTGGAATTTTGGACGAGCAAATTCAGTCTCAAGAGAAGGGGCGAAAGGTACGGGACATAACAGTTACGGTTCAACGCATGGAGAACCCGTTTTATGGACGGAGCCAATGCATAAACGCAGTCAAGGCAAGGGTGGGACTTCGGGTATTATTCTTGAAGGAAGAGGGTGTCATCGAGACGGATACATCTACTGACTACTTATCTATGAAAAATGATGAAGTCAATCAGAACCATTACCTGTTTTGGAGATCAAAGACTCAGCCGAAGATCCTTCCCCCCTGTTGGCTCGTGGACGCGTTTTACCCATCTCATAGGTTTGAGACTGGTGCAATTGGCCCCAACGCCATCGAGCGTAGTGGGACAGGGGTTTGATCCCAAATGAAAAACGGCCCGACCGCTTTTGGAAGCAAAACTGTGTTTGAGGATGGTGTATGCGGGAAGGTTTCAAGTGTGAAAGAGATGAGTTTGAGTTCATGGCTTTGTTGACTGCTGTTACAAAAAACAAACAAACTGCATGACTGCCTGACGATGTACTCACTCTGAGCCTGCTAAGAAGAGTTATTGTATATTCCTGGACCCCAAACATTCTTCATCGTGTCAGCAGCAATGTCGCTTGTATCCCTCAATCTTCAGGCCCCCCCCCCTTTGGGTTTGGTGTTCGAAGAATTGTCAAACTTTGATGCTCCTAATGTCGAGCCAGAATAACCGTAAGCTACCCTAGCAAGCACTCGTCTCGCAGAGCTTTCCTGCTTCTGGTCTCGCGCAGCCTTCCGTTCACTGATCCTCGTTGGTTGCCCCGTTGTACCTGCATGAGCCCCCCTGTGGCTCGAGCCCGTCGTCATGGGCTCTGGATCCGGATACACGCATCATGGGATTAAGAGATCCCCAATATTCCAATTTTCTTCCTCCCTACTGGCTACACATCACTAAAAATCATGGCCGAACTGACATGGCGTCTCTTGTGTCCCAGACTCCCAGAGCCCCGGTCCCAGCCTCATCCTGGTCTGCTTTGGTGCCGATACCCGGTCACAAAGGAATTCTATTCATCGTCGTCTGCTTTGAACGACAGGTGATCCTTCTACCGGGTGCCCGATCCCTCATGCCGGATTCCGCCATAGACGCGACGAGAGTTCCTCGAATGCACGCGGCCTCCGTTACCGATTTTCCACGTTCTCTCTACCTCTCCGAACCTCGTCTCTCCCTAACATTCCCATACTTACATCCTATCCTCCTTTCGAGTCACCTACCGAGAGCAGAACTCCCACCATGGCCACCGTCATAGCGCCCGTTGAACTGCCCACAAGCAGACGGTCCTATTTCAATACCGATCCCACTCCCGACATTCATGATCCCAATTGGATTCCGGTCCTGGACAGCGCCGCGTTCAAGTCATCTTCGCCCTCGATTGAGAAAGAAGCCTCCCCATTTGGACATGCCTCGTTTTCCTTATTTCCCGCCACGTCGTCCAACTCTCCCAAGCCTCGTCCCGGGTTCTCGCATAACTACTCCAAAAGTTCCCTGGCGCCTGAAAGTATAGCGTCGTCGGATTCCAGGTCGCAAAGCCCACAAGACGGTGTCGATCCGTCATCGAGTCTCGGAGGTCCCGTCCAGCCGGCTCAGAATGAACCACGCGGACAACATCGCCGACAGACATCAACTGGAGACGCATCTAGTGAAGAGAAGATTTCCGTGGGGACAGAAGCAGCTGGGGAGGGGCCGAGCGCACCCAGTACCGACGGAACAGCTAGCGTCGCTGAAGAACGAACCTCAAGTCGTCAAGAGCCGCGCCAGGACCAGCATGAAGACTCCCTCGCCAATGTCAATGGCAGATCTTCTATGACTTCCACGCGAAGGACGACGGTATTGCCCCCGACATCCAAGTATAATCGCAAACAGGTCGCACCCATGGCCACCTCGATGGCACGACCCTCATTAATTCCTAGTTTACCTCAAACACCTCAGGACTCACCTCGATTAGGTCCCAGTGTGCCTGTCGGAGTGACATCGATTCCTGTCGTCCAAGCTCTGCCCTCTCCAAAGCTCCCACCCACCGATCCGCCTCAACCGCCGGAGTCGACTCCGAGATTGGGGCCGGCCAAATCCTCTGCGTCTGAACGACGTCAACGGGCGCTACATTCTCATCCCTCGAACATTTCAATGCGGTCGCAACGCAACTCCCTCTCAGAAGACATAGACATTATTCCCAAGCCACCCTCGGTACGGCATAAGCCAAGGAAATCAGCAGATTCTCGTGCAACAACACCACGATCGACGATTTATGATTCCCAAGTGCCCACGCCGGCCCCGACAACGCCCCTCCCTCAACTACCTCCTCAAGCTCGAAGGCCATCCACGCGTGAAAACGGGTCTCAAAGACCAGCCCAGACGCCAGGGGACGATCCTGTGCCGTCCACCATTTCCAATATTCGTGCCTTGGAGCATGCGCGAATGGCAGCATTTATGGCCGAGAAGAATGTCATTGTGTTTCGTCGGTTTGACGACGTTCATGTCCGACTTCTCTTGTGTCTGCAGGACGAGATATCGCTGCTGGAGCAAGAGCTGTTGAAGTTGGAAAACTCGACATCAGCCGGAAGTCCGTCCGAGAAGATGGTGCAAAAGACCCGGGTGTTGCGAGAGCTAAGAAAATTAGTGGCCGAGTATGGTACGACGAGATGAGCCAACCCTGGAATTCTAGACGAACCCGTCACTGACAAGTGCGCTAGATCATCTGTTTACGACATGGAGCAAGATGCAAGCCTCCAAAGCCAGTGAAACGACGACAAATGAACTGAAAAACTGGCGTGTGACGCCCGGGACCAGCGCAGAGGCCGGCCTAGGAATTGACATTCAACAGGATTTACCATGGTGGGAAAACAGTCAAGATCTAAGCAGTCTTGCGTTCCGTGAGAAGCAAAAGTCGCCCGAACCGAAGCCAGAGAACAATAAAGGTGGTGGAGGATTTCCAGCGCTGTTCGGATGTGGTGGGAAGCGGAAGTAATGATGTACGACTGGAGTTTCCTTGCATGATTTTGAATATATTTTATTCATGGGCATGGTCACGATGTCGGAATTCTGAGAAATTATATCCGTTGCAGGCATGGATGGGTGATTTCTGGAACTTGACGGACTGGGATAGATCATTGAAATGACATGGTAGGTCAGAGCCTAAATGGGATCAAATTGATGTATTCTGTACTGTACGAGTACTTGCTGGCGAATAGAAATTAATACAGCCCCGAAAGTACCTGGGACTTCATGCAGCTAGGTTTATCGGTGCCAGCATTTCCCCAGATTTTACGGTTTCAGTGTTTCGCTGTCGCATGTGCCGAAAACTTTTTTTTTGGGGGGGGGGGGGGGGGGGCCCGGACCTCGCATGTCACACTTCTTCATTTCCATTAGTCACTTCCAGCTGTTGGGCTCCCGTCTGCCCACATTCCTGGTGGTTATTTTCGTTTCCCTTTCCTGTTTCCATCTTGTCCATCGCTCAAAGTGTGGCTCGATGAAATCAGAGACGAGCTTGTGGGCTCACCAAAGAGTGACATAACGAAGTATACACCACCATGTTTCCACCACAGCAAAGGACATCTCTCGACATCGAGGCCCTCTCCGGCATCTGTGGCTCTATATCTATTGCTTGTTGGGTGGTGGTCTTCTCACCTCAGATCATCGAAAACTTCCGACGAGGATCCGCCGAAGGATTGTCGATTGTCTTCATTGTGGTGTGGCTCGCCGGAGATGTGTTCAACATCCTCGGAGCGATTCTTCAAGGCGTCTTGCCTACCATGATCATCCTGGCCGTCTACTACACCCTCGCCGACATTGTCCTCTTGGGCCAGTGTTTTTATTATCGCGGATTCACATTGACTGACGACGTCCCGTCGGAGACTCGGACTCGCAATGCTGACAGCAGCAGCGAGACTCGTCCTTTACTGCACAGTGGTTCTGCCACGCAGCCGCCTTCACGAGATGAGAATGAGCGGTCGAGTTCAATCTCTCAACTTCGTCGACATCTCTCGATCGATGGCACACATTTGTCACCTGTCACACCTCTGATTGAGCCGCCCAAACCCAACGATCCGCGAGCCGTCCAATACGCCAAACCCGCCAGTGCATTACAAGCTGCCGCATTCAATACCTTTGCCATTCTCCTGGTGTGTGCCGCCGGCGTTTTCGGCTGGTGGATCGGTGCCCATAAATCACGACGTCATCATCACACCAAGCAAGATGAACCGGAGCCGCTTGAATTCGACATGCTCGGACAGATCTTTGGTTATCTCTGCGCCGTGCTCTACTTGGGATCTCGGTTGCCACAACTCCTCCTCAACTACCGACGAAAAAGCACGGAAGGCGTCTCATTGTTATTTTTTCTCTTTGCCTGCATCGGAAATACGACCTATGTCATGTCAATTTTGGCGTATTCGCCTGTTTGTCGAGATCCGGGATCGTGTCGGCCGGGAGAGGCCCGAAATATTTATCTTCGGTATATTGCTGTCAATGCCAGTTGGATTGCTGGCAGTTTGGGGACGTTGTTGTTGGATCTGGCCATTTTTGTTCAGTTCTTCATGTACCGGAACGATGATGTTGCGGTGGTGGATGATAGAAATTGAACTATTGCCCGGAAACGGAACATGGAGGTATACAAAACACACTTGCAGGTCGGAAAGAGTGGGTTCTACGTATCAAACCATCATTTTACTAACAATACAATTATTCACTAATTCAAGTCGATAGCCGTGCATGAGTCTGGATATGAACACCTTTTATCTCGTTGTCTGGTCAACACTATCGGCATCTTGGCAGACGTCAATCCAAACATGGGTTTCATCAACATCCCTGCAGACGGTGTGAACTTCAAAAAATAGAAGGCCCGGCCCCGATCACTGGGCAACGAAGACGCATCGCAACAGGCAGCCGTGCTATTCAATTCTGCTCCGTCAAGTCGGCAAATATCTAAATTCAACATCCCGATCAAACCCTTCTACCCCCGACGAGTTCCTCCATCCACACCTCTAAATCCTCGCTTTACTTCAAGCGGACCATGTCTCCCACCAAATCCTCCCTCACAACCTCGAACCCTCTCAACGAGCGTTCTCCAAACACTTCCTCACCCACCAAATCAAAATCAGCAGGAAAGATGGATGAAACATTCATACCGCGATTCGAGCATCATGCGGCGCCGAAACAGATGGTCAACCCAAGTCAGAATCAGAATCGAACCTATATTTCCCCTTCAGATGCCATCACGAGTCCGACGACGAAGAAACTAAGCGAGATCAAGGGACGAAGATTTATGTATGTTGTGTTTTGACCTTTCTTTGAATCCTGTTGAAACCCAACAACGGCGTTCGCGTCAAGCCAGGAACAGGAAAAAGGATCGTTTACAAATTTTATTCTTCATCGAAAGTGAAGATGGAAGAGACGAACAAAATAGGATTTCTATCGACTTGACACGTCATCTCCTTATCCACGGCCCCATGAGACTGCCCACTCATCACCACCACTACTCCGTCATCTACATCCCTCTCTTGCCTCCCCTCCCTCTTCCTAGCGCAAAGGCCACACTCAGCTCCTCTCTCGTGCCATCCAATCCCCTGTTTCAAGGTCTCCGACCCATTAGCGTGAGCTGACACTCGTCGAACAGGAACACCAAACCACAGACTCTCTTCGCAAAGACGCTTGCAAAGGAGATTTCCAAACCACAGCCTCCTCCTCCCGATCGGACCAAAGTCAAATCCGAGTTTAAGAGCAGAATAGCGGGCCAACATGTGCAGCGTTAGAGTTCTATCAGTCTGCAGGAATGGGTATGTCGGGCCGGGTAGAGATGGGAATCACTGAAGACTTCTTTTGCGGAGGTTGTCCATACATTGAAACAAAATCATTATTCTGAATTGACCCGGGCCTTGGTCTTGCGCTTGAACTTGGGATTTGGCTTGTGTTTGCGCCGAGAATGCATGGGATTCATACGTGACCGCTATTTTATCCTGTTCATCATACCCTCGGCCGGTCTAGTGTTTTGCCAACGGAATTGGATGCCGGTTTTTGGTAACCAGCTTCGTTTGCTGGGTTTCCGTAATATCCCTCAGATTATATTCAAAGCAGGTCGATGTGGGGGAATGTTAGCCCTACCTTGCCTCCGCTTAGGCAGGAAATTACGGTAGATAAGCTGAGTGAATGAACGAACGAACGAGCAAACGGGTACTACAAAGACGATAGCCACTACCATCTCTCCATCTCCGGCGGCCATTCTTCATTCAAGCTTCCGCCTCTTCTCCCAGCTCATCTTTCTAATTATTTCTCGTCCCCTTTTTCTTCTCTGAACATGATATCACCCAACGGTGTTGACGAAATTCCTTGTTTGAACTGACTGTCCATCCAACAAACGTCAGCGCTCATGCCGAAACTGAAAAAAAGAGAGCTATTGGACACATACAGATGACGGAAAACAGCTTTGAATGATTATTTGTGGTCATTGGGTATGCCGTCCCCTTTTGCGCTTTGCTATCATGCAATGAGGTAATAGACAAGAACGATGTCCTAGTCTTCAAGTCAAGAGAGAAGAACCTAGACCAAGACCAACCATGGATTGGTCTAGCCTCGTCCCAAAGCCACTCTTCCACCTCACTTGATCCCCCGTCATTTATTTCGCAGCAAACCTCGACCTCGCTCTCAGTGAAGGTCCGAAGCGCCACAGGGTAAAAATACCCAAGATACCACCAACTGTCAATCCAGCGAGCAAACTCACCCCTCTCCCAACACCGAGGTTATGGAACAAAGGTCTCGAGAAGTGAATAGCGCCGGCGGCAATGGAGGAGCGAGCAAAGTCGTTGCCGGCGAACAAGGAGGCTGCGTATTGTGGGTACGTCAACGGAATATAGATAAAGATACATTGGAAGAGGATGAAGATTCCTATTCGGACAAGTCAGCAATGCATATTTGGACAACGGTTGATGGAGGGGGGAAGTAAGGGAGAACCATGCCTATCGTAAAAATCACCACCCCAATCGTCGGCACGATCCAATGGATTTTCGGCGAACTGTTGCCCGTCCACGCGAACAGGAATAGCCCGATCGGCAAGAGAAAGCACGCCGGCAACGCAGGGATGATACGTCGTTCCGGCTCGCCGAGACCCGTGATCCGAATTTCAGGTTCGAACACCCAATGCAGGTACCACACGTAGATGGCGATCGCAATACTGACGCCCACGGAAATACTCAGGAAAATTAGCCCGATTTGGCCGAGGTTCATACCGTAGCCGTGGGTCGCCGTGCCGGGGTTGCCAGTCCCATAGACGAGAGGGAACACCTCGAAGAACGAATAGAAGATACTGTACATGAGGGCCGTGTAGATGGAAGTAAACAGGACAGCGGGGTCGAGCGCGTTGATTTGCACGGGTCGCCACAGGTTGCCCACTACGACTTCGGTGACGGTCATTTTGGCCTGGTCGATTTCCGATTGTGACCTGAGGTTATTGTTCCCCGTGAGTTGCCGAAGTCGTGCCGCGCGGCGGAGAAGGATGTTCGAGGACGATGTTTCGGGAAGGAAAAAGAGGAGGGAAAGGTAGACCGGGGCTGCCAGCCAGACGATTTCCCAGAGGGACCAGTGCCAACTGGTCACGGGGACGGAGAAGCCCGAAATGATTGGTGCCAAAGCCGGGCCAGCGGTCGCAAAGGCCGCCCAGCCGGTCAGAAAGTAGGGGAGTTTGAGAAGCGAGTAGACGTCGCCGATCGAGGCGCCGCCGGTCGCAAGACAGGGACTACCAAAAAAGCCCTGGAGGAATCGCAGGACAACGAGGGCGGGGAAATTGTCTACGACGGCCGTCGGAATGGAGATAATCACGAAAATCCCCAAAGTAATCATGTATGGTGGATTGCGGCCGATGAGCGGGATCTCAGAGAGGGGAGAGAAAATCAGAGGTCCCACGCCGTAGCCGAGAACGTACATTGAGAGACCCAGGGCCGCGACGTTGGAGGAGACGCCCATTTTCTCGACAATGTAGGGTTCTGAGGGGGTGAAAATCGCCGAGCCCATGTACACGGCGAGTGTGTACAGGTAGATTTGCAGGACGACCACGGCTTTCTTCCCCCGCGACCAGTTCTGCGGATTCTCAGCGTCGTCTGTCGTGTACCAGTCGACAAGGATGGTGCCGTCAGCGGTCACAGCAGGCTGGATGGGACGAGAAGGCTGATTCTTGAGGGTTTCCTGTCTTGTGGCGTTGGTGTAGGCTTGTTCGAGGTCGGCGCGGGTGTTGACCTGGCTGAGTTCGGCACGAGTCATGATTTTCGACAGTGTGCGGTCTGAAGGGGCGAGGGATTCACGATCTGCTGCCGTGGCGACCGTAGTAAGTGCCTCTTGACCCTGACTTTCACTCTCTGCCGCTGGAACGTCTTCAAGTCGTTTCTCGAGGACTTCTGCTGAGGCGGGGTCGGGGGTGGTGGAGTTGGAAGGAAAGGCAACTTTGGCTGCTTCTTGATATGATGGAGGGCATTGGAAGTCGGCTTTCTCTTCGGGATATTGGAGATATTTGTTTCTGCTGATCAAACGGATTAATTGGCCCACCGGGGCATCTCGTAAGAGAGCCGACATGGCAGAATGAGACTGGGTGTCTGAGAAGTCCGAGGCAATCTGGGCAAAGGGCAGCAAGTAGGCGAAAGGATTGTCTTGACGACGAGAGGGTCGGCTCGTCGAAAGAAGAGGTGAGCCTGAGGACGAAGATGAAGATGAGAGATTGACGGAAAGGACAGAGGAGGACCGGATATATCAGCTCTTTGGAAACGGCCAAATTTACCGTAGGTCATTGTGTATCCACCAGCCCATGCCCACCATGAACCATTTACGACCAACATTGCTAATTCCCTCGTGGTCCGACTATCTCGTAGGATCTGGGAGTGGAGGGTATGGTGGACAGGGCTTCTGAATAATCAGTGACGCATGGGACGCATGGACGGCGGAGCAAATACGATAAGCCACGGCCGCAGACACAGACAAGGGAATTGGATTTCCTCGATGCAGAAACGGTCGAATTCGGTCAAAGAGGCTGGACGTAAGAAAGATTTGAATGTGAACAGCGAACGGGCGGAGATAGAAGAGTTCTCACGATGACGACGGCCAAGAGCGTTAAGTTTGTCAGCAGTCGTTTGGCTCCCATTGGTGGAGATTGGGACAGCACCGGATTTGTCATCACTTTAATTCCACCACCAAAACACGGTCAGCCATGGGTCTTTGTCGTGGAGACCCATACTTTTCCAGGGTTTGATTCTTTTCGAGCACAACAAACCACCATAACGTTTGTGCTTGCTACAAACATTCGCCCCGAGGCACGCTACCACCTACCATATTTTCTTCCATGTCAATCACTCTTGGTGTCCTGGTATGTAACAACTACGGTACATCTAGCTGAGTTTGACGCGATAACGACATCCCAAGAACGGGTTCAACCGCCTCGGACATAGCAGTCCGGAATCCATATTATGTTGCCATCCAACCAATGACATTCCGATATAGTCACTGCCTAATCCGGCCGACCTGTCGCCCCCCAGAATTCTTGACAACCCACAAAGATTCCACTGCGGCTGACGGCTTGAGGCGCATCCATTCATACATCTATAAGCCATTATGTAAACGGATTAAGCTGCTTCCCGTCAAACAGACCATGCCCCTACATCGTCCTCTTGATGGATGAATGGCTCGTCAATCTGTTTAATACCCAGGTCTCCACACAAGATGCACTGTTCAGCTACCAGTCCATCTAGTTCTTGGACCAATTTCTGTCGTTGCACGCCTACCGTCAACCCCTGATTGACCTCAGTTTGCAGATCCTTGATCCGTTTTCTTTTGCTGGACCCGGCACTCTCCAATACCCTCTTGCCCAGGCAGTCGCTGTGGAAGGCATGCTGACATGGGAACACGAAAAATTGTCGGCTCAGAACAGGTAGGGTGCAAATCCAGCATCGTTCTCCTGGTTCCACAATGGCATATCGATGGTCCAGGGCGGCAATTTCGGCTTTGATTTGTTCGGCCGTATGTTGGGACACATCCATCTCTTGCTTCAGACTGTCGATATGTCGGGAATATTCCTCCAGGGCTTCACAAATCTCTTCTTTGAAATCGTCAATCACCACAAAGTCGGGAAAGAACGGGATCAGATCTTCGATTTTGAGGAGTTCGCATCGCTTTAGAAAACTGATGGCTTCTTTGATCGATGCCGCCTCCTGGATCTTCTTCTCCGCAATCAATAACCACAATCTCTTCCTCGCCTTGTCCTTTCCTTCCAGCCGATCGGCCACGATGGCCGCGAGGTCAATATCATCATGCTGCAGAGCCAGTTCCACCGCTTGTTGATACTGTCCCATTGCGCTGTATATATGCACACAGGATTGCACCCGGTCATGTTGAATGCAAAGCCTCAATGCAAAATCAGCATCATATAATGGAGGAGAGGGCTGACTCTCAAGGTATGACAGCAGTGGACTTTCTGAAGGTGACGGATGTGAGGCCATGATGGAAATCAGCGCATTATGCACCGAGGCCGGGACTTCGAAATTATTCGTCACCACAAAATTCAGATATCGCACCGCCTGATTCTGGCTCAAAGGCACGTTCGCGTTCTCGTTGTAGCTCAGGAGTGCTGGAATCATTCGTTGGGCGTCAATGTTACTTCTTCGCATGAGAAGTTCCACCAACCCGGTGGCCACGTGAGTCATGAGGACGTTGCTGTACCGATAGAATGTTTCCGGGTTGCTTTGCTTATTCAGCACCGAAAGGGCTTCCGTCCATTTTTCTCGTTGAACCCAATACGACAAAACATAGTCATAATCGGTGACGGTGTTGGCAAAAAAGAGAAGTTCTTCTTCTCTGTCGTGACTGGATATCACTTCATACACGGTTTTGGCATCCAAATCCGATTTGTGTTTCGTGACAAACTCTTGAAATTCTTCTCGCGTCCTTTCCAAATCCTGTTTCGCTCCACCAGCGTCGGTGTTCTCCAACAATTCAGCTTTGGTGGCCACCATGTCGTCCAGAGTATTGAGCTTCGCCATGAAGATTTGAATGAGCCAGGTGGCTATCAAGACCCGCTGCATGATGGACGATTTCTTGTATGATCCCAATTTGGCCATCAAGTATTTTCTCAATGCGTCTTCTTGGCCATGGTCGATTAATGAGAGGCACACGTCTTCGAATGCTTTACTGCTCTTCCCCCACACACTGGCTGCCTCCCAATATTGCCCTTTGCTCGACAAATAGTCTCCCGAAGCAGTGGCGACCGAGTCTTTTTGTGCGACTCCCTTGGCATATCGGAGAGCGGCATCGTAATCTTGGTTTTGCAGCATGATCCTCCAAATGTCTCGTTCTTCATCATTGGCAACCACCTCAAAGATCTCGTGACTGGTGAACAGCCAGTACGTGTTCTTTTTCTGATCCGCCACCAGTCCAAGTGCACTCTGTCCCGGTTCCAACACTGCCTGATCGTAGACGACACGGCCATTCAGACGGTTGACAGCAACGATGCGCCCCTCGGCGAGCGCCAAAACATGCCACTGCGATAGGATCGCCGACGCAATGGGATCTTGAATCAGTTTTCGTCCGCCCCGAGCAGATATCGTCTCCGGAAAGACCGACCGAGGATGGAGTTTGGCTTCACGGAAGATTTTGGAACCAAGATTAGATGATGCTGGAGATGTCAATAGTTTGCCGGTGAAAACCCCTTGTGAATATAACCACGCAAAACTTCGATCGGAGTCCGTTCCGGATTCCGGGGATTCAGGCGAAACGGAGAAAGAAGATGGTGCCGTCGCCGACGCTCCAGTGGTATCATGGGTGATGGGTGCTTCTTTGGAAAACAGGTCGGCATAGATGGAGGCTGAACCTTCTTTCCCTCGTCCACCTGATTTGCCTATCCAGTGACATAGTCTGGAGCGGGAAGCCACAATTACCCTTCGCACATCAGGTTTCCCATCAATGGTCTCGGCCCAAAGTCCGGTGACGGCACCATCGGGTATCTTCCATACATGTGCAGAATACCGTTCTTCTCGACGGTAGAATTCGGTAGCGGGTTCAATATATATCTCGTAGACATTGCCGTCGACGGCTCCAATGAGGATTTCCCGTGTCGAGGCTGTCGGTTGAGAGGGATTCCACGCGACCGATTCAATGGATATTCCTTTTAATCGCGACAGAGCTTTGGGTTGCTTGGACTGGCTGTGGAGGTAGAAATTCTCCCCCAGAGTAGTGCTGATGATAAGATGGGAAGCGGAGGGGTCGAGGAACATGCGTCGTATGAGGCCGACCTCGCTGGTCTTCTTGGGGAGGTCGACATCTGCGCATTGCTCAAATTAGCTGCGTCACTACAAGTGGGGTCCAGAAACAAACCATCAATGTCTGAAGGACTTTCCAAATCTATACGTAGAATTCGTCCAGTAGCAAGGGCAAGAATTAAGACATTGTTGGCAACCTGACCAGCAACAAAGTCGGAGGCGATGTTGAACTGCAGTTGAACGCGTTCAACATTGAAGATGGGTAAGGTAGTTTCCACTCCCCCTTGGGCTAGGCCCCGAGCAACATATCCTTCGTCCAGATCCAGCGCCATGGAGCGCGGTATGGAAATGGGTTCAGCGCATTGTGTGTTGGGTGGGTGAAATGTATTAGGCTGTCGAAGATTATGCACGGCTTGAGGCAGCAGTTGGAGTCTCACCCGGGGTTGCGGCGTCCTCGGTGCTGACACGTGACCAGACCATACGATGTTGCTCCTCCATCGGAGCTCTTACAATTACAGCTAGAATGCGGAAGAAAACCGATGCCCCGGACCTCAGAAAACGGAGGTCATCCCACAAACGTCTTGGCTCCAGCGCCCGCCGCTTTAATATCACCCACGTGACTAACCTACCGACTACGCTACATAATATTGTCACGGCTGTGAGCGGTAACCAGGAGTCTATTCAACTAGCTGGTGTCTATGCTACAGGACAAGTAAGCTAGAGGAAGGAGAAGGAGATGAGGAGTACTTGGTCAGACCCTTGAATTTTGCCCAGTGGGTCCCGGGCACCATCAGTAGCGAATGTTTATTTACTATGATACCAAGGACATCTTCCCATACAAAATAAACATTCACCAGGGCTAGCTACCGAGATCCACTGGCAAAATTCAAGGGTCCGACCAAGTAACAAGCTTTTCTATCGACCTCATCTTGAGATCGATGCGCCAGTATTGTTTTGTAAGTTCTTCTGTGACTTCTTGATGCGGGCCTGTGCTTCCTCTAGTGGCTTCGGGCTATGTTTCTTTGACTTCTTTGTGGCCCTTCGCTTGTGCTTGTGTGGCCTCTGCTTGCGCTTCCACCGCTCCCCCTTGTGCTTCCACGGCCTCCCCCTGTGCTTCCACGGTTTCCCCTTGTGCTCCCATGGCCTCCCTTTGTGCTTCCACGACGTCCCCTTACGCTTCCACTAGCGGCGGTTATTCGTTGGGTTGCTTTGGCGGCTTCGTACTTCTCCCAGATCTCAATGTTGACGTTCTTGATATGAATATAACGCTCGTTATGTTCGGGCACACCGCCAGAAGCCTGGTGATGTTTGTCGACAAGCTCTTCTGGGGTGATCCAGATGAACTCTGGCACCACGTCAAATTTGGTAAGTTTATCAGTCCACTCAGCGTATTTATTGAAGAATATCGCATGAGAGTCTGAGTGAGTGCGTGGTTCCACTGTGATCTGAAGTGGGAACATGAGCAACTTCGGTTTTCTTTTCTGAGTCTTGTTCTTGGTTGGCTTTTTCCCTTTGGTACTGTTCCCGGTGGGCTGTTCCTTTTGAGTATTCTTCTCCGTCTCCAATGACTCGATCAAGACAATCATACCATCAATGGCCTCAAAATTGTGTTTGCTAGGGCGATAAAGCACGGGTTTACCTATGATATTCGTTTCGATGCTGGACGAGTCTTCAAGGGTTCTAACATCCATAGGACTTCCAATTCCTGTGACAGAAGCTAAATCCTTCGAATTGATGGCTGTGAGGATAGCTTGCTCTATCATATGCCCAACGGCAGCATTGTTGTCTATAAACTTGTCCAACGAAGCCAGACAATCAGTGACGGTGAGTGGAAAGTTCAACTGACGAAGCTGATCTATTATAGCGTCGCGAACTAAACCACACGTAAGTCTTCCAATCCTGTCATCGTCGAGGTGGTAAAAGTACCGATGGTCGATTAGGTTGAGTCGCTGGATCCATCCATCTGGAATTCTTGTGTGGAGGCAGCATGCCTTCGCATATTGGCAATACCTGACAAGTCAATAATGCCTAGGATGTCAAATAAAGTTGAACATACCGATTCCATTCGTACGAGTCACCTTTGAACTTAGATCTGATTTCCTGCGCAAACCCAACAGCTTTATCAGAGATAGTGCGTAACTCGGGAATTTTCAACTCAATATTCTCACCCACCACGCACTTATCTAAGAGCAATGGGATGCAGCCTGTGACGTCTTCAATTTCATCCTTTGTGTAGTGTCCTCTCTGAAGATGGTTATGTCGTTTCCACCACTGATCCATTTCCGCCTAATCGAGTTAGTAGCTATATTGAGAATATGAGAGAACTTACCCTGCTCAGCCCACCATAGACGCGTAACACTCTGTCCTGGTTCTCTTTGTTAGACCGTGCAAGGTAGGTCGAATAATTTGCGGAGCAGCTGAAGACACTTTTCTTCCCGAAAGTGAAACTCATTATCCACTTAAATATGTTTTGGCCCCCTTTTTCCTCCATAGAGTTATCAATCTTCAAAGCGTTCATCTGATCAATGACAAAAATGACGTTTGTTTGGGACCGTAAGAAGGCTGTGATCTCCTCCTGATCGTTCAGGTTTATGATCTCTGAGGTGGCGACATCGTCGTCTGCCCAAGCAAACAGCATTGCTGCTTGGACGTAACTAACAGGATCCTGAAGCAACGTTCGGCAAGTCGGGATGTAGATAACACGTTCCCCCCGAGCAGCCAAATAGCAGACGAGGGCGGCTAGCATATGAGACTTTCCGTAGCCCTGGGTCCCGTAGAGCCAAAGGGCGGAGTGATTGCGACTATTCCGCACTTCGTTCAGCGTCTGGAAAAGTTCTTTAAACCTCATTCTTCCCAGGAATAACCAATTTCCGTTAGCCTCATTGTCCACCTTGAATCGAGTTGGTACCTCGAAACCGACAAATGGGAATGCAAGTGTGTCATTAAATTTGGGATCGGAGAATTGGTCGATGGCTCCGGAAAGAGGATCGACGGAGTTGGACTGCTGGATGGAAGAGTTGTGGATATTTGTAATCATTGTCGTGATTTGCTTCGTTTGTTCGCTCGCACGCTTAGCGAGCTCCGATAATGATTGTGCCAGACGTTTTTTTTTTGGTGTAATGGGCGACTCAGGTGTGCCTATTTTATTCCCTATAATTTTATTAGCTAGTTATCGTAAGCCAGGCTGAAGATGCTATTACTTTTCCTCTTTCGGCCGGCTATCTGGTTCGGTTGATTGTCTTTCTCTACCACACCAGTGACCTCCATCGCCAGATCCGCGAGCCTCTCGCTAGTCCCAATAGGCAGCTTGCATTTATTTTCGAAGAACCCCGCATCGCCAGCATGTTTCAAGAAGATAACTCCGTCGACGCGCGCCTTTTGTAATTTCTTGAGATCGTCACTCTTAAGCAGTTTTGGTTGCCTTTGTTGGATCCACTCGAGTAGGTCGTCCACATCACACTCTTTTATCTCCTCGATTGTTGGCTCTGCCTGGCTGGCCATGGTGGCTGATAGGACAGCGGGACGTAGGTAGAAGAGAGCACCCCAGCAGGCGTAGGAAGCGGGCGTAGGAAGCGGGTCTAGGAGTGGCGGTAGGGCAAGTGAGTGGAAAAAGGCGCAACGGCCAACTAGTAGACGATATTATAGAAAAGCTTTTGTTAGAGAGGAAGAGTGGTGTTTGACAAAAGCGCGCCCGTCGCGCAGGCAACGCACGGGCAGGCGGTGAAGGCAGCCAAGCCCGCCTTACCGTACAGGGCAACTCACAGGCACTCACTTTACATGCTCTATCCGCAATCTGAACAAGCTCGATGCCGAATCTCTCGCCAAAACGGTACATAACCCAGGGATGAACATATGTCAATCATGGCCTTCGCAAGCAAATCATCCATTTCCATTCAAGTGGAGTAATGACTGGCCTTTTATGGTGTCTGTTAACTTTTTGATCGCTCCCCAAAGTACATTCTCAGCAATTGCATCTTCAATCAGCGACGAGGTGTTGTCTGACAATCTTCCTCATTTCAATGTCTTCATGCACATTGTGTCAATTTAGTGAGATGATTCCCTTTTATCTTTTCCCGTCCCCCCCCCCCCAATTCCTGACATCGCGGCCTGATATGTTCTATTCTTTCCCAGTTTTCTCCACACTCTCCTCGAATTCCAATGCTTCCTCCACAATCTCATCCGTTATTCCAGGCAATGTCACGTCTGGCAAATGCTTGCTGTGACTTTCTCGATGTGTAGCAGGACCATCCATGAATTTGTGTGCTTTCTCGGTGAGGTCGTCACTCAAACCGGGACCGGAGGCTTTGGAGGCCTGCATAAAATCGTGGGCAGCTTTAGCAGCTTCATCAGTGATTCCACTGCTCGATCGTCGAATAGCGCCGGCCATGAAGTCATGGGCGGATTTTGCTGCATCATCGGATATGCCGCTGCTAGAGCGACGATGGCTGGAGCCTGTCGGAGCAGCTGTTACGGGGATACCTTGTTTGGTAGCCATGAGAGTGATGATTTCAGTATCGCAACTTGCTAGATTGTCAGTTAGAATAGCTTTGGTCTCTTTTGATGGAAGATCAGCTCGTTATAAGAGGTCTGAAGTCATCTGTGCTTCCCATGTGTGATGTCTTGAGGGGTCGCGTGCCTGGTTCGAGGTGGGGTTTCGCAACCTCCCAAAGGGTTCGAGCGACGTGACGTTAGAGAAGCATGGGCTGATTCGCCGAGTCGACGTCAGGAGACATTCTCGATCGATCCATGCCCAGAATGTGAGAATGCTAATACGAGGTGAGCTTGGGCCAGACACATCTGCCCACCAGGAGCTTGAAAAGCTGAGTTTGGCATCAGACATGACCTTAGGATTTGTCGCCGGCAATATCGTGACCACTCCATTGGAGGTAGCCAAGATCAGGAGTCTCGAGAATGAACAGCTACAGGATGTGACCTATGCTTGACTCTGTCTGGCAGGGCTCCACTTGACCTCTAGCTGGTGACGAGCTGTTGGGGGACGAGCGCAACCAGGCTGAAAGGAAAAGGGGCATCCTCCCCTACAAGGAGGACCAACCCTTCGGTAAAAACGGCATATAGAGCACATGCTTGACTTACAGAATGTCAATTGACCTTTATCTGACATATGAATAGACCACTGCAATACCAAGACTGATAGAGACGCCAAATCCGGGCACCCTGTTTGAATCTCCGAACGATGCCCGGGGATGAATTGCCGGTTCCTATTTCCTCCATCGATATCACCCGGGGAACTATCCCTTCACGGCGAATATATGACAAAAGAGGCCGCAGACTGAGGTTTACCATTGTCACTCGCCTCTCCCAATATATATCTTGACGAAAAAAGCTGGGCCCAAAGTGCCCCGGCTCCTTTACCTAGCTGGCCCCACGGAGTCTGTACTCCGTAATTAAGCGAGGGGCGACCAAACGCCTCTGCCTCTCCCATGATACAAACAGCGACGAATGATATGGTACAGTACGAATACATAAGTCAACTTTATTTTCCTTTTTCTTTCCGTTTCTTAACTTGCTTTACCACAGACCATCCAACAAGGAGTCGGATCCCACCTGAACGTGCTTATGTGCCTATCGTAACGTCTCCTCGCATAGAGACCGGGCTGCAATACTGAACGAAATCTATTACCGCTCCAATTCAAATGTATTCCACAGCCTTGCGAGAGATGCACACTAAATCCTCGTCGTCTAGCGGGACAGCCACACCATCATCCACCATGTCCTCCGACACTACTACTACCACTACTTCCGCCAGCTCCCTATCAAAAATCCTCAACTCCACTCCTAACCGTCCCCATCTTGATTTCTCCTCTCTCCAAGCTCTATTCCCACACTCACAAGCCACCCCGGAACCCTCCCCGCTATGGTACGTCCTAACCACGGCCGTCCTGTTGTCTTTCCACAAGGAGAAACTCATCGGCGAATTATGGACGTATCTCGCTACGAACATTGAGAATGACGAAAGCCAGGACCACCATCAAGAACACTTACTTCCTGCGGCAAGACGTATCCGCGAAGCATGTCTCAAAGCCAGTACGCTCGTCGGATTTCCTCGAGTAAGTGTATTCCTGACCCATTCCCCAGCTTACCTACCGTAACCTTGTCCATCCCCTTCGATTCCTCGTCCCTATAGATCTCTTCATTCACTCAAAGTCTAAATTGATCAACCAAAAGGCAATCAATGCACTCACATCACTGAATTCCTCAATCTCGCACACCCACCCATCCCTCTCCATGATTTTGTCATCGGACCAATCCCTCCGCTCGTCACTCAGCACCTCCGAGAAGTCCGCCCGCGGCATGGCCCTCTTCACTCAGATTTACCAACAACACACATCCCGAGTGTTGGATGCCATGGACGCCGCGTCGGGTGGCGACCTGACGCACTTCGCTATCAATTGCATCTACGGCGAGTTATTGAGCGAGGACCGCGTGATTGGTGCCCTGGAAACAGGTTTATTGGAGTTCGCCTGCTGTTTGGCGGATGGGTGTGGACCACAGGCGAAAGGGTGAGTGGAATTTAGCTGTTCGGATCTAATTTTTTTTTTTTTTTTTTTTTTTGGTGAAAAAAAAAAAAAAAATAAAAAAAAGGAAAAAAATTCCTGGCTTCAATTTCTCATATTGGACATTGCAGGGAATATGCTAACGATTGCTCCATTGTTTATAGGCATTTCTTCGGCTCTATCAATTTGGGCGCAAGTATTGAGACGCTCCGCGCTACGGTTCAACTTACAGAAGCCCTCGCGCGGCAACTAGATGTGTCTTGTGCGTGGAAGGCTATACCTCAAAGTGATGACTTTCGATTCATGGAGAGACTTTCGCTCCGATGACGCGATGCGACGAAATGGGCCCATCTCGGATGCCTAATCATGACTGCTCGGAAAAGGGGAAGCGGAGTTTGAGCAAGCTGACTGAAAAGATGAGAATCTTCTACCTCAAGGCATTCACTTCTGTGCAACTCCTCTCCCCTATTTTACTCTTTCCGATGTACAGCATCACGCGAGCACGATGCATATGGTGTATATCCAATGAAGCTGGAGCAGGGACGAGAAAGTCCACATCTCACATCGGAAGAGGGCATTTGAGGAGAGTGTCGGCGATAAATTTTATTCCGAAGACGTTATACGTGGACATCCTATTACACGGTATCACGCAGGCTTCCTCTTCCGTCTTTACACGCATAAGCCAAGTCACCGAAGACACGGTCTCGGATTATTGGAATGACGATCTTTTGTGGCATGCGTTTCGAAGTTTGAGGCCTAGAGTCGTCCAGTGCCATGGCCCATATAGGTGTAACATGTTCTCTGTGACCGGGAATTAGGGGACATGGCGCTGCTGCCTTATTCTCAAATTAGATCCATTCCATAATCTGATCTGCATTCTTTCGAGGTTATTTCTTCATGCTCAGAACATAGTTACGCTATACAGCCACGCTTAGGAACCAAGTAAATGTAATACTTATTCTCATAGCAGAGCAGAGATACTATCATCTGTGAACTATTTGGCATGTCGAATTTTGAGCTTTGCATTGCATCGATACGCCCAATGCCCCGATTCATGCCCGGACAAAGAGGGAGAGAAATGGGAAGTGTTTTTGGGGTGGAGAGGAATAGGAGAGAGAAATGGAAAGGGGAGAGACGATGGTCATTGGTCGTTGTACTTGTTATTGCCTTGGGTCATCCTCAATGAACTTGTCCTGTTCATAAAGCACCTATTTCCTCTGGGCCCCTTGGCATTTTCTCCTTTTTTGCCTTGTAATGTAGATGTAGATGTAGATTACGAAGCATTTCACCTCATCTATTAAGTTCATCTCTCCTCAGTCAGCTTCAGTTCACAAGCCTAAGAGCGAGCACGAAAAGCGTCAAAGTGGGGAAGAGATTGATTCTTACAGCTTCGGCCCAAAGTGCTTCTTAATGATCTGTTTCTTATCAACTTTCCCCATGGCGTTGCGCTCGATGGAATCTGCGACTTTCAATATCGTGGGCATCTTATATGGAGCCATGTCTTCTCTGAGGCAGGTGCGGAGCGTGGCGAGGTCGAGGTCGGGATCTGACCTGGGTGAAGTCGCATGAGCCTAAAATGCCCATTACAAACTATCAGTTAGTCGGGATTGATTCCTGTAGAAATGAAAATAAACAAAGGCGGCCAGGTTCAGGTCGTTTGCAGAAGGCAGAACTTACACGGTCCTTCATCTTCATTTTCACGATGGCAGCAACTCTCTGGCCCCAGTCGGCATCATTGACACCCACCACCACAACTTCATCCACGATGCTACATAGTCTTGCGTTGCCCAGAATCTTCTTTTCCACTTCAAGAGCTGAAATCTTGTATCCACCGCTCTTAATCAGGTCCACACTCTCGCGACCGAGGATAAAGTACGCACCACCGGCGTCTCGCCTGGCAACATCGCCAGTCTTGAACCAGCCGTCCTGTGTAAACGACTCGGCCGTTGCGCTCGGTTGTCGAAAGTACTCAGCGAACAGATTTGGACCTTTGATTTCGAGGAGCCCAGCGGCTTCCTCGTTTCCTGAGAGCGTGATGATCTTCGAAGTTTCAGGATCGACCAGACGAACTTGCACGTCAGGCAAGGGCCACCCCACGCTGCCGTCGATGCGTTTGTTGCTGTCCAACCCACAGCTCAACGCCATGCCTACCTCTGTCATACCGTAGCGCTCGAGTAATTCGTGGCCCGTGATCTCATGGAAGTTGCGTTTTATGGACACCGGAAGAGCGGCCGATCCGCTTACCACGAGACGCAGGGATTTTGCGCCTTCTCGCGCAACGGACTCAAATGGGTCACCGCGAATACGTGTGTCGAAGTACTCGATCAAGCGTGCATAGACCGTTGGGACGGCCATGAACATGGTTGAGGAGCCCTTCTCGGACCACCTGTCCCAGACGATTTTGGGGTCGAACGTCGAATGCATTTCCACGGTCCCGCCGGCGAGTAAGGTTGCGGTGAGTCCATTAACTATGCCGTGGACGTGGTGTAAGGGAAGCACGTGGATCAAGTGGTCGGCACGACTGTAGCCCCAAGCTTCGACCAAACTGCGCGTTTGGAAAGTTGTGGCTGAGTGGGTGGTGACGCATCCTTTCGGTCTGGACGTCGTGCCAGATGTGTAGATCATCATGGCACGACGAGACAAAGGAAACGAGGCGCTGAATCTAGGAAGTGTCAATGACATGGATTTGGTGGTCGGAAGTTTCGGAACTGGAGTCATGACCATAATTGGGGTTTCTGGTCTTCGCGCTCGGAGACCGCCTTTCAATTTTTGGAATGATGGGTAGAGAATGATTAGAGAGGGATCCGAGTCGGATATTGTGTGTTGGAGTTCTTTGATCGGGTGAGAAGTGCCTGCATCCATATATTAGTTGGTCAGATCAAGAAGAGCCTTTTGGTTCCAATATATCCGTTCATACATAACGGAACACAGATTGCGCCAGCTGCCCAAATGGCCCATTGTACAACCACGTAATCGTATCCTGGAGGCACCAGATATGCAACTCTTGGTTCCTCGGAGGGCAATATTGACGGATCGTTGGACGACCGCAGAAGCTTTTGTATCTCCGTCATGAACATCGCAGCATCATTCAAGAGCTGCGGATAGGTAAAAGTCTCGTTTCGGCTCGTGTCAATGATAGCGGCCTTGTTTGGAACCGTGAGCGCATGGGATCTGGCTTCGAGGAACAATGGTATGCCTGGAAGCGAGACTTCATCCTTGACGGTGTCTCTTGGTGTGCCTGGCTGATAGCCGAGTGATGGGGGACTACCCCGTGCATTTGATGGAGGAGAGACTTTGGTTGTCATGGCGAATGGTGTGATTTTTCTTTCTGTCAATACTATAAAATGTTAATGTCATTATTCTGAAAGGTTGGCATCACGACGACATGTTTAAGCACTTTATCCCACCAGCTCTGAGATTCTGCAAATGCATATCCTGCCATCCAGCCTGACTTAGGGTCTTTACCGGGTGGATGCGGCACCAAGATGTCCACATCCCTGGGACGGTCATTTTTCCCAAAAAGATATGTCCGGATATGTACCAATTCTCAAGAAAATCCCCATGGAGGATAGTCTCATATGCGTCGGAAGATCGAATGCTCGACCGTAATGTTTTCCCTTGTCCGCTTGTGTTCTCTCGACCATCTGCCCGAGCCCTGCGCCAACACAGATCGAAAGAATAAATTTGTTGATGGAGAAATCGTAATGAATTGCTGCAAGAGAGCATATTTGCGTTGATTCACAAAACCTAGCTCTTTCGTAAAAGGTGATGGGACTCCTGCTCTGTAGATTTCTTCTGAGCAACATACCGGTCAAACGTATTGGATCACAAACTGCCACCGGTACCCATTTTCTCAGCTTTGATCGAATAGGCATCCCAGCCCGTCATTCCATTGGTCACTGAAAATTCCTCCAGCGTCGACATTCTTGCTCATCTCCAGTCTCCGTTCCTCTTTCCTTTGCTGTCTTTGATCGTAGTCCACCTGACACCCATGACACCATCGATCTCTCGGCATGGGTCCTTCATCCGCCAGTCCGAGGATATATGCTCGCCGAGGACAATTAGGAACCCAACAAGACGAACATCGAACTTGTCGTCGACTCTTGGGTAGCGGATTCAGATCTGCCGCCCGCCATGCTGAGTCTGTGGCAGACTTGGACCCGACACTTCGTTGCCTGGCTTTCTGATGTCCTTTGCTGTCTTTCCATTCGACCAATGCAGCTTTTCGATCTGAGAAACTGCCACCCCATGTGACACCCAGTCGGGGAGCCCACCATTTCCTCGGTCTTCTCTCGCGATTGCCCACGCGTTGTCTCCATTTTGCTTCCCGATGAATTCGCCAGGCATCAATCATGGCGGCAATCTTCCTTTCGACTCCATCGAAATCAACCAGATCCTCCTCTCGTCGTCTCTTCTCTTCTAATTCGAAGCACGTAGCGCATCCCCACCACAGTTCGAATGTACAACTGCCGCATTCAGAGCAAACCCCAATTTCTTCGTCGGCATTCACCAGACTTCGGCCTTCGAGAGCCCATCGACGGATTCGTTTGCCTTTGCTCAGTTTTCTCACGGTATCACTCTTCTTTACCCAGTTTTCCTTCCACCATTGCCCCTCGATATCACGATACCGGCGCATACAGTCCTTGCACATTCGGTCTTGGGCCAATTTGGCCCCTAAACCTGTTCCTCGATTGCTCATTCTCTCAACGAAGCACCATAAAGGCTTGACTTCCAGACATCCGTAGCATCTGAGCTCCTGGGCAGGACGTTCAATTATCCTTAGATCAAAAGCGGCGTACAGCAAGTCCCAGAGATGTCCAAAGCGCTGGCGGGGGTAAATTGTCCTAAATTCGCGATATTGCTGAGCCTCATTATCGAGACACTTCTGGATGAATTTGGATCGAATCCGACGGATGAGATCCGGAGTCAGAAGGTCGTGAAATGTCCGACATGTTTGTCGAAGAGCGAGTAATGTGTCAAAGTCCAAGTACTGCGTAGCAAGATGGTAGTGTAGGTCTTGAGGCAAAACAGAGAGGAAGGGACCTTGCCGATCTCGTTGATTCCGAACGCCACGTGATCTATTCATGGACGAAGCGGCCGACATGGAGTTATGCTGCTGTTCAAGGTTAAACATCAGAGAGGTGAATCCCAGGAGGGATGTCGACGCCGGGATACGGGCCTGGGATTGCTCTGAGATATCAATTTGGGGACACTCCTTCCCGTCTGGTGCGTTATTGTTGAGTCCGGAGCAATCGCCATTTGTGAGACGTGATGCCGATTTTGATGGTGGATACCGATGCTGTAGATGGGATTCATCTGTGTGATGTGTTCGCTCCGTCATCCTTCACGTTGAGCGCATTCGGCGGGAGGTTGACGGTATAGGTTAGATTAAAGCAGATTTGGTGGAAAGGCGATCGAAATCCGGGGAATGTTATGAACACCACGTCAGGCTGGGTGCAACAACTTCTGTTGCCCGGTAATTGATGAATCAGACTGATGGCCGCCCGGTGTTGCATATGAGTGGCAACGTCGGGCTGAAAGGCAACACCACTAGCGTTGTACTAAACACGCCAACTCCCCGTTTCGGGCTGGATAAGGAGTCTGACCGGTGTCCTTGAGCCGCGACGGATCTTTCGCAGAGGATTCAAGGATTCTGTATGGTTCAGTCAGACCAAGTTGTCGTCTTTGTTAGCGATGCGAATCGAGATGAGATGAGGCTGGTTCAAGGTGCAAAGTGGGGAGGAGGGCCGAGCGTGCTTGAATCCGGAGGCGGGCGGCGTCGCACAATTAAAAGGGCGATTAGGCTTGAATGGACTCCATTCGGATGGACTCAACACCTTTGTTGGCAAGGACAAGGTTTCAGATTCTTCGGCGAATAAGATACACGTTTTGATGGTTGGCGTGGAGGAGGGCCCGAGTCACCTGCGAAAGGCTGCGCGCCACGAGCACGTCCCCACACATTGGGTTCCAACAAAAGGAATTTCCACGCGCTCTGCCATCAACTGAATCGCTGCCCAAGCCAGATGCTTTTTTACAAGTACACAAACAAGACACATTGTATCCCAAACGTCTAGATCCTGGTTTCCAGCTTCTCTTCAATCGTGGTATGAAAATTATCACCAAGCGAGATACTTTAAACAAATCACCTGGAAGTCCAGCGGATTGTATTTACATCATCGCCATCAATGAGTTTTGCGCATATGCCTTGCGAGTAGTTAGCTTGATGTTGTCATGTTGATGTTCGGTTTCCATCTCTTACCATAGGCTTGATATCCGGATGCGGTACTGCCTCGAATTGGTGGTATTCGAGCTTCAATTCGGGTCCGATATTGATGTAAGCACCTTTGTTCTCCGTCGTATCGCAGTATTTCGGTGCAGAGAAAACTATGGACAAGTTAGGCGCGGTCATCCCGATATGACTCTTTCAACTCACCGGTGATGCATTTCCCATCGTGCTCAACTTCGTACCCATCCATTCTCACCTCGTGACTTCGAATCACAGCCTCCAGTCCATTGTTTTCGCAGAATTTCTTCGTCACGTCTGGACCAAACTGTAATCCAACACCTCTCTTGCTGGGTCCTCGTCCGTTCTGAGGTTGAGGATCGGTCCACAGCATTTCCATCATCAAACCTTGCTGTCCAGGTTGCCGTTGAACATGTCTGTCCAGTTTCCGGATATCATCCAGTGAGATTGTGTCGTCGGAAAACAAACCACCATGTAACGTGAGGTATTTCTTGCTGATTAATGTTGCCAAAGGAAGGGCTGAGAATGACTCGGAGAACAGCTTGAATGTCTTCTCGTTGTATTTGGCCTTGCATTCACCTTCGAACCCATAGACCCGATTCATGTCGTCGGTTTCATGGTTGCCTCGATTCAGGAAGAAGGACTTAGGTCGTAACCATTTGTACGCATACAGTAGCAGTGCAATTTCTGTTGACCACGATCCACGATCCACGAAATCGCCATTAAATAAGTATGCATGTTTGTCCGCAGGATAGCCATTCAGCCGGAAGATCTCCAACAAATCGAAAAATTGTCCGTGTGTATCTCCGCAAACTGTCAGTTTCGTGTCTGGGGCCACTTCCATCTCCACCAGTGTTGGCTCGTCGTACACAATATCTCGAACCGCCTTGATGATCTGGAATACGTATTTCTTGTGGATCTTCTTGCCATTTTTGAAGCGCTCAGTCATGTCATCAATGAATTCTTGCGTCATCTCGTCTTGCAGTCGAACGCCATCATATGTTTGGTCGACCTCTATTGAGTCCAAGTCGAGTCCTTCAAACGCCGACGGAGGATCTTTTACTTCGATCGCCTTTAAAAATTGTATTTTCTTGACCAGCTTTTCACATTCCGCAAGTTTTAATCTCGCTTCCTTGTTGTTGGGTTCTTTTCTGACGACGGTCTTGAAGTCTCGGAGAGCATCTTGAGAATTCAGTATGGCAGTGTTGGCAATCGCTCGTCTCCAATACGCCTAGCACACACATGTCAGGAAAACAGAGAAGCCCGTACTTCAGCATCGACGAACCTTGATGTAATTTTTGTCGAGTTCAAGAGCCTTGGTGGCATCAGCAATGGCATAGCCGTATGCCTCGAGCTTGATGTTTGCCTGAGCTCGATTGCAATAGAATGAGGGATCAGAGTCGTGCTTTTCTATTGCCTTGGTATAGTAGTCAATAGCAGTTGGCCAGTCATGTTCGGAAAAGGCCTTGTTGCCTTTGACCTTGAGTGCTGTGGCGGCGGCTCGATCGGCAGTTGAAGTCATGGCAAGGGAATTTTTGAGGCCCTAGCGGAGTTTTTTGGAGAGAGAGGAAATGTGGGAGACGATGGCAGGTGTGTTATCGAATCATTCCGGAGTTTTGGGTGACTGGGGGAGAGAATACGGTGGTCGAGTGTTCAATTGCCCAGTCTTTTGGGGGCGCCGAAAGTTCTCGATGGACTTAGTTTAAGGCTCCTAACCTAGTTGCGACAAGTAGTTTTGTGCCTTGCCTGCGCCCTTTGGTGGTTGGGCAGCATTATTCAAGTCTGGAGAAGGATCTCCGCTAACGCCAGATCTGCCGAAAGCTTAATCGTCAGATTTCTTGATCAGAGAGCAATTCTCACTCCTCACTTCTCACTCCACCACTTCATCCCACGCCCCCCTTTCACCAACCGTGTACAGAATCCTTCCTCAGAATTGACTTTCACCCACTTGTAACAGCCTTTCTATACCCGACTACAACTCCTTGAGCCAGACCACTCCCCCGCCTTCTTTTTTCCCCCCCTCAATCTCGCTTCTATCTTGATCCTTCATCATGGCCAATCGAGGTGGTCGCACTCGTGCTTGCATGGTGTGCTCTATCGTTCAAACTGCCACTGTACATATTCCCAACCACGGGCCTCAGATATGCCGTGTCGCTGACGAGTCGCAGGAATTTTATCGCAACGGTTGCCCAAACTGCGAAAACATCCTGAACCTTCGAAACTCCCAGGACGCCATTCAAGAATGCACCTCTCAAGTATTCGAAGGACTCATCTCTCTCGGCGATCCAAAGACATCTTGGGTGGCAAAGTGGCAGCGCCTTACAAATTATGTGCCGGGAATCTACGCAGTCAAGGTGGTTGGCCAATTACCACAAGAGATACTGGACGGGTTGGAAGACTCTGGAGTCAAATACATACCTAGGGATGGCTCTTCGATCGAAGATGATGTTGCTGCTTGAATTTGAAACCAAAAGTTTGATGGCGCGAAAACCTTACCATTGGTGAAAAGAGTTCAATGAAGGGTAATCAATAAGAGAGCAATCCAAAAGCATTTTGTTTTGCTACAGCTGCATTCGCCGGCTGCGACTGCAAATCAAGCATGAGACACACTATACTGTCTGCTATTCGCTTCAATCAAAGAAAGACCAGGACATCTTTTGAGACCCAGAATTCCGCTCAATCGCTATCAGGTCTCGGCCCCTGAAGGAACCTGCCAACCAGTCCCAAAAAAAAAAAAAAAAAAAAAGACAAACCTTTTCCTCAAAGTAATTTGGCCAACTTCTCAAACGCATCAAGAAGGATATCTGCGTGGTGCTTCTGGAAGATCAGCATAGGTCGAAGTCTGACAGCAGAAGCACCACAGCCGCCGATATTGATTCCGAGAGTTTTGGCTCTAACCAAGAACTCATCACGCTTGGGGCTGTCAAAGGCAATGAAAGTGCCTTGACCTTTGCCTCGGAGATTTTGGAATTGTTCAGGGTATTGTTGGGCCAATCTTTCGATGCCTGCATAGAGGTAGTCACCCACCATGGCCGTGTTCTCCACCAGGTTCAATCTCTCAATTTCATTGATAATGGCGCGGAAGAGAAGTGCCCGAGCTGGGTCACCCATCCAAGTGTTGAATTGCCGATATGGCTTATTAGGTCGAAGTTCAGGATTGCCAAAATAGTATCCTGCTGTTTGCGCCTTCTTGGAAAAGGTGACCATGTCAGGAGGATCCTGCAGGTTCCAGTGCTCGTGTGCCCAGAATTTGCCGGTCGCACCCACGCCAGTCTGGACCTCGTCGACGATCATAAGGACATTGTTTCGTCGAGTGATGTCTCGAAGACCTTTGAAGAAAGCGGGGCTTGCGTGATTGTCACCGCCCTCGGACTGGATGGGTTCAATAATAATAGCCGCCACAGGATTGTGATACGTCTTGATGATATGCTCTGCCTCTTCCAAGCATCTCTTTTCCTCAGCTGCGTTTTCCCCCACGTGCTCGTCTAGGGGATATTTCAGACTGGGGAAGGAACACTGAGGCCAGTCAAAGGCTGGAATATCCATCTTGTGAATGGGTTTGCTGCGAGTAGTGGACAAGCTTCCAAACAGACGTCCATGGAACGCAGTCTTAAAGGACATGATTGACATGTCGGGTGATCCTGGCTTTTGATTGTTCATGGTACTGTCGGTCTCTTCCGCAGTGAATTCAACATGTGGACCGCCGCGCTCATATTGTCGCCTCCACATAAAAGCGGCCTTGTATGCGGTCTCGTTGGCATCCGATCCGGCCATGGCCGTGAAAACCTGGTTCATGCCCTTTGGTGCCACTCGGAGTATACCAGTCTTCAGGATGGAGGCCCAGTCGTGCTGAGGGAAGTTGCCCAGAGCAGGTCTGTTGATCAGAGCAGAGGCCATCTCGGGGGATGTGGCCGCCAGCAGAAGTGCCGGGTTGCTGTAGCCAACGGGAATGGAAGCAATCTGGGCATACACATCCAGAAGGACGTTTCCGTCCAAGTCTGCGATGTAATTGCCATAGCTCTGCTGGTAATTCGCCAGCATATTTAAACTCCGGGTGTCAAACACACTGTCCAGCTCCGCAATGGCCTTTTGGCTCTTGGGGCCTGGAATAGGTGTGACTACCTTGGGCCCAACAGGCTCATCGGCAAAGAATGGCGCTTCCATGGCTGATGTGTCGACTTGGGTTTGAGCTGCGCTTGCGGCCTTGCGACTCTCGGTGGCGCTTGCAAGAGTTCGGATAGGTGGGAATCGGAAAGAGGATCTCGCAGGAGTTGCAAGGCGGCTCAAAGAGCGCAACCCGCCGGAAGCTCGAAGAAACGTGGTCATATCTACTTATTCAGTTCGATACAGGGTAATAGGTAGGCAGTTGGTCGATCGTGATTTGTGCAAGGAGGAGGATGGAATTCCCAAGTGATGTCGTCGCCGTGCCCTGGGGACAAGCCAATTGAGGGGAGAGATCTATTCCGACCAGCGTCGACTCTGCCCCTACGATCGAGAACCGAAAATTTGAGGAGAGATCACATATGAGTCGAGGCAAAGGAGAGTTTTTAGAAGTCGTGCCTAAGAGAGTTCAGCGTGCAATTGAAATGCGGAGAAAGACGTCGGCAACTTTCAAATGACTGCTCGATTGGCCCATCGGATATTCACGCTTCAAGCTTCTGGCCAACCAGATGATTTCGCGCCCGTCAAACTTCGTCCCCACTATAGGATGACGAAGGGCGCTTTGGATGCTCCCGTTTGGGTAAACCCAGGCGGTATGACATGATGACGGTATAACTCGGTCATATCGTGAAAATTCAAAAGGGAAAGAGTGTGCATATTTTTCTCTGATTTTCTCGAATGATGTCTGCCTCCGTCCTCGTTCTTTGACCTAGGAGTTGGCCAACTAAAGCCTCATGCTCTGCGCTCAATATTGTCCATGGCTTCCTCATCGCTTATGCCTTCCTGACCAGGAATCCTGTCTGTCCATGGACCTTCTGATGCCCCCGTCACAAAATCTGACTGCTGCTTCGTGTGTTTTGTCATTCTTGTCGAGCCCTTCGTAGAGGGATCATGTGTCACGCCTCCGGGCACGCTGTGTAGTCTCTTCGAGTCGACTTGAGAGGGAAGGGAGTCTCCCGTTCCGGTAAGAACGTCGTTAGGAGCGGTGTCTCGGGTGGTCTGTGGAAGACAATTATTCCTCTGTTTCCTGAAAGAGAGTATTCCTACCCTTGAAATATCACCCTCGTTTGTCGCTGCTTCAGCCATACTTTGCCCGCCGAGGTCATTTGGATCGGATGCGGAAGCTCCTTGGTCGGGCCGTGGTTTGGAAGGGATATATCTAGGTTCTGCTGCGCTTTCGGGGACTTTAATTTCATCCGTGGCCATGTCGAAGAGGTCACCCCCGCTGTTTGGTCCAGATTGAGCCATGATGAAATGACTGACAACAACGTCGAGTGATAGCCGAATATCTCCTCGGAGGTAAGGTTTATGTCACCGTCTGACTATGATTCCCAACAATCAATTCGAGTAATTCGCACAGAGAAAGAATATTTGAATTCTTGTCCACATCTATTTCCTGACCTAACAAAGATCGATCGTGTGCCAATTGACCTCATCATGACGCGGCGGAGAACGATGATGTCACGAATCCTGCCCTTGTCCGAGTTGTTATCGGAATATTGATGCGATGTCTTGAAGCTCCATCAGAGTCGTCGGGTTTACCTCACACTATGCCATCATTGACATCAGGGACAAAGGGAACGGGTATCGAAGTGGCAGTGAGCTTCATCGTGGTTCCTCTTGGGGGAGAAGAGCAAGTATGGGTGTCCTCCACAGAAGTTTTGCTCCTAGAGGGATTTCTAAAGTTCCAGCGTGCGCCAACTTAGACCTCATATAGAGAGGCTTCGCGCGAAGAAAGGACTTGGTTTGACCCGTTATCAAATTGTTGGCCACGCAGGGAAGAGTGACGGTTCTGTGTATCGTTCTTGCCCGCGCATTCGCCGAGATGCCGAAGCAGGGATTGACATTGAAACCCAAAATCCCCCGCATTCATTATACTACCGAGGCATATTGCTACGGCCAGCTTGAAGCGCTTTTCAAAAGAATCGACGATATCAAAAGTATAAGGAGCTCTCTACAACACCCAGAGTGAGAAGGTCGAGAAAAGGCGATTGATCAACTGGATATTTGATATTCAGTGTGGGTTTCAACAAAGACCGTTCGACGTTATGGACGGACCAAATAACGGTATCGTCCTCTACCACTATTCCTTCTCCCCCTTTGCAAGGAGAGTGTTGTGGTATCTGAGTTTGCGAGGCATCGACTATGCAGAATGTGTAAGTCCAACTGCATTGGCTTCGTTTGATTGAGTCAATCTTGAATTCTTTTCTTATATGGCATCCAGAAACAACCCCCTGTCATGCCTCGACCCGACATTCACGCATTGGGCGTAAAATACAGGAGAATCCCTGTAATGGCCGTTGGTCGCGATGTCTATTGTGATAGTCGAATTATACTTCGCAAGCTTGAGGAATTCTTTCCCGACGGCGCTCTTGGGGCTTCTAGTGCAGAAGAGAAGGCCATTGAGAAATTGCTCGAGATCTGGGCCATTGAGTCTGGGGTTTTCGCGCGAGCATCTCAACTCATCCCGACTAGCATGCCCCTTCTGAATGACCCGAAATTCACCCAAGACCGAGAAGATTTCTCAGGTCGATCCTGGAGTAAGGAGCAAATCGCCGCAAATAGGCCCGAAGCGTTGGCCGCCATCAGAAGTGGATTCAAATTCCTGGAGACCACTTTGTTAGCAGATGGTCGAGAATGGGTGCTCAAAACGGAAAAGCCCACGCTGGCAGACATTGAAGGTACAAGCAGGAAGTACACTGCATTCGGCTATAGATTGGCTAATGCGTTGAACCGCAGCTATCTGGACATTTGATTGGTTGAATGGGTTGAAGGGAGCTCTACCACGGGAGTTGATATCTGACAAGAGATATCCCAAGGTCTTTGCGTGGATCGCCAGATTTAACGAGGCCCTCAAGGTTGCTAAAGCTCAAGCGCCGAAACCAGCGTCTCTCAAGGGTGATGCTGCATTGCAACGTATCCTCAACGCATCCTTCGCACAACCAGACGTGGGAATCGACCAAGCGGATCCTTTAGGTTTGCAACAAGGAACCGAAGTGGAAGTGTTTCCAACTGACTCGGGGGTTCGGCATCACGACCAGGGACAACTCATAGGTCTGAGCGAAGATGAAGTCGTCCTGGGCATGCAGACCAAGGGAAGAGAGATACGGGTGCATTATCCGCGGACAGGCTTTAGGATCAAAGCTGTCACCGCCGGAGGAGATTCGAAATTGTGACTGCTTGCCCGGTCCCATATACAGTAGCTCCATGCCTTCAACCAAGATTAATGTTTCACTTATCCGAGAAATCCTCGTCTATGTCGTTATCCCCGAGTAAGATACCATGTCTCCTAGTTGCCACGACTCACATTTGAGCCATCCAGTGGAGGTGCATATCATCCAGAATATGCCGGAGCGTCTTAATATTATGGTCTGACAAAGAGGGCTAGAGCAGGAGATTGGGGGCAGGCCATTACTCTTCTCCGAGTCATCTCATTGTCAGACTCTGCCACGTTCTGGTGAAACACCAAAATTTTGCCCCTGCTGACTGAGGCTTGCTTACAAGCCTTCCCTAGCACACCGATCAGGCGCAAAAGAAGCGGAGATGAATCAACGCTGCAGACACTGGCTTAACCTCCAGATGCGCAAAATTTGCCGGACGATCTCTCAGCTTTAACGGTTGGAAAAAGTGATATGCTTTTCGGATGCCAGTCCACGTCTCGTAGGGAAATCGGCAAAGAAAGATGAGGTGCTTGATGTACGCGGCAACAGCCTTACTTATGACTGTCAAAAGTCAAAAAGACGGAGACAGTGTGCAGATTGGGCCGCTATTCCGTTTGATGAGCAGATGATTTCTATATCTCGTGTCAAGTTTAGCTCTTGAGTTGCCATGTGTCACATGCAGTTATGATGCCCAACAAGCCAGCGAGCCGATGAAATTGCGGCATTCCTTGGCTGGGGAACACTGAGTTTTGTTGGGTCTGTCCGAGCGGTGAGATGGCCTCGTAGGTGCTCCCACGGTGGGTTTTTGGAGCAGGTTTGACACGCGAGAAGTCTATAACCAGTAGCAGAGCAGCGTAGAGAAACAGCAACAACGCCCGGCAACGCCACTCGGCGTATTGCTGCCCAATGTTTGTCGATTGGCCGGAACAGCCTCACGGCTGGCCTCTCAGCAACCGTATTGGGGCATCATGGCCGACTGCTGCCATCATTTTTATCAGATTCCACCAGCGACAGGCTCGTCTATCTCCGCCACCCCATGTTCACGATGTTTTGGGCATTCGAGGCTAATAGGCGGTATTCCTGACCGTTTCGTTGGTTGGGATGACTGGTATCCTGCCACGCTGGCTCCCTCCAAGCTGTGCGGCGTGTCTCTAGGCTGTCCCTGTAGTTGTCAGGCAGAACAAACTATCGCTCCAACCCGCTGTCAGAAAATGTCCCATCACTGATTGCCCATGCGAAAAAAATTGCAAACTGGGGCTCTCAATTTTGCCTCATCTGCCCCCATCCCCTCGGCCTCGCTCATTCTCCTGCCGCGGCCATCTAGTTCCATTTCAGCCTCCAGCCCCATCCCCTTGCTTCCACTTTTTCAACAATCCCACCTTCTGTATCCTGGAAAGCTGCCACCGTGATCGTCAGTAATACTGGATCATCCCACTCAACGGTGCCCGCTGCCTCAGGCTTCTTAGTCTTGCGCACATCCCCTTCCCGTGCTCGGCTTTTCCTCCTTTCTCCTCCGTCTCCCTTCCCCCTCGACGCCGCAGGTACACGCAGACAAACATTCGGAAACACACATATTCTCCTGGGATGGAGAACCAAGCCAGATAACAAAAGCGAACCTCCTGTATACCGAGTAGATAACAAACTTGCTGCAGAGGTTAGGGCAGTTTTGAGTGTGGTTCGCCGGCCATTGATTGGCCCCTCTCTCTCGCTTGAATCACAGCAGAGCGCTGCCTGCGCCCACACTCTCATCCCTCTCTTCGATCTCAACCATCTTTTCACCGGGTTACCGTTTCGTCAAACCATCATAACCAGGTGTACCACCTTGAATCCACTGGATCTCCAATCTCTCGGACATCGTGGACCGCATCTACCTGGGTGGACCTGTTTCCCTTGGACGTGCCTTAGCTTACAGGACATTTTACCACATCAACCTTACCGCTTATCCTGCGACTGTTCTCCAGAGACTTCCCTTCCTATTTGCCTGCTTGCTCCTTTTGCTGCCCAACGGACAAGGAAACCATTTTTTCTCCCCCCCTTTCTGCTCACGCCAGAATCCATTTATTATTACCACCTCCGCCAGAATGTCGCGCTATGTCGATGACCCTGACTACCGCCGCGGCGAGCCTCGTCACTCCTCCAGAAGAGAACCTCGCGAGCGTGATCCTCGGGATCGTATTGAAACTACAAGAGACAGAAGAACAATAGACGACCGTTTGGACCGAGATACCCGTATGAGTGATCCCATGGACACCCGAATGGATACCCGTATGGACACCAGGATGGACAACCGCGTGGATATCCGGACAGATCAAAGGGCCAACACTGCTTCTCGTATCGAGCCTCGACCTGACCGTATGGCGGATAGCCGCAGTGCTGAGCCCGAAGGCGGCATCGTGATGCTGCGGGACCCTACCACCGGAGACATCTATCGCGAAGTGAGACAGCCCGTACCGTCCAGGACTCCCTACAATCGTGATGATCGTGATTATGATGCCCCCTCAAGAAGTCGGACAACTATGGATACATCCATAAGCAGGGACCGTGAATCCATAAGGCCAGAATATACAGAATACTTTTGCCCAGGAGATGGAATTGAACGAGAAGTCATCCAACATGAAATCTGCAAGTATCTTGGTCAGGATGCCGTTTGCCGCCCCGGCCGTAACAACGAAGTATGCCGCATTGATGGTTGCCCAGGGTAAGTGTTGATGTGCTGACGCTGTGATGTAGGGTCGTGCTGGATACTGGGTCAAGGCCTATCGCCCTTTCACCACGGTATGACTGGAATTCCCACGGTCCGACTTGACGTTCTCGTACTGACCTGGGCTGGTTAGGCAATGGAACAATCCCTCCGTGAGGATACTATCAAATGGCAACGCGAACGAGAACGACGGGCCAGACAAGGCCAATCTCGAGGTATGGCTCGTTATGAGATGCAAAAGAACCGATCTGAGGATCGTGTAGGTTCCTATGCGGAAATGCAAGCCCGACAGGAAGCCCAACGACGATACCCAGGAGATATGGACCTTGATGATGATGATTATAACCGTCCTGGCCCTTGGCATCGTGATGTCGATCCTCCCCGTCCGGTCGCCAGTGGTCGCGTACCTATACCGGTCAGTTCTGCTTATTCGCCAGAGCCTGGTTATCCTGCTTCATACACCATCTCTTCCAATCAACAGCCATATCCTCCCGGCCAGCCCCCATATTACGGACCCGAAAGAGAGCCCAGGACTTTCGGTGGAGGTAACACGACACCTCCGTCAATGAGTCGACCCGGACAGCAAGGGGGTTATGTACAACCCGGTTATCCCTCCAGGACAGGCCCTCCCGTATCATCCTCCATACCTGCTTCCTATGGAGACCCCAGAAGAGACGTGATGGGTTCATATCCCGCCGGCGGCTACCCTGATTCACGTAGGCATGGCAGATGATGCCCATCTCCTTGCATGACCCTTGATGTGTTTCGTCGTCCGGGAATGTTGTTCCATATTTTAACCTGGTTGTCCGGAGATGTTGGATCCAATTTTACGTTGCGCACTAGATGGATATCTGTGTCTGCATCTTCGAGGATGCATCATTATCTTATCTTCCAGGATGATTGCATTATCACCTGACTACCCGGGATTGACACAAGCCGCCTTTATGCCCACGAGAGGATACCCGGATTGTTTCATCAGCATTCACGAGGCCATGACTTTCATGATTCTGAAGAGTGCACAGGCTCGCATAGGCTGCCGGTACATTGCGAGGTCGTTAAGCCATCAAACACTGGAGTTGGGATTGATCCATATTTTTCCTTCTCGCCGGGTTCTGGAGGGCCTTTGTGGAGTACCACTCAAAATGGAGTCTTTCCAAGCTTCGATATACCATACGGCACAGCCGGCTTTGCGGATCTGAAATTGTTTTGTACCTAGCATTGGATGGCGTCTTTGAGAAGTGTTATGGACTTGGAAGCTTCGGATATTGAGATTGATGAAAGCACTAATGCAACGACTTATTCCTTCGATCGATCCTCGAGGTCTTCTCCGGCTGTTGCTTTTCGCTATTTTCGTAAATCTCGACCTGGTTGGCCGCACAGTCACCCCTTTTTCCGAATTCCCAGGTGGACTGGGTTGCTGCTCACTGATCTAGCTCTTCGACACCAGCATTTCCTTGTGGATCATTGGCTTTCCTGATTTACAGATCCAGGCGCGGGACTGACTTCTTGACGACTCAACTTGTGCAATGGATGGCCACCGTGATATTCGGCCCTCGTCGCCAGCATTTACCTGGCAGGTCCCTGCCGGCCAAAGTTGCTTTCATTCCCTTTGCATTGTCTTCACTGTAGTCAACACTCACAGACACACAGACCGCGAACAGCGCCTCTCAACTAACCAACATTCCGCACAACTTCATGTTATCGACGGAGTACCACCTACCTATCTACCATCTACCCGGTTGTGAAGAGGCTCACCGGGGGAAAAACATGTTTGTCCGTATACTCCCTTTCCAGGTGTCAGTCTGATCTTTCTGAGGACGGCAATGGCTATTTGAACCGAGTCCACCATGAAGTTGTTCGCTCTCAAAATCACACACATGCCTTACATATTTGTCTTGTTGACTGCCTTCTGATATAGTCCTTCACTTCAGTTCACTGCCGTTGGGTGTCCGTCTTCCCTACTTCACCTCAGAGCACACCTCAGCAACAATATATGCTCGAGCCTTCACTCCTTCAGGACGTCGTCCGTCTATATATAAATTCGCAGTTCCAACCTTTCCAACATCCTCTCCTCTACCAACCTCTTCTCATCCTGCGCCCGCTGCGCCAAAGATTCATACAACGTCATCCTTCTACAACACCAAAACATCTTCTCCCGTCGTCGACAAAATGGCGTCTTCTCCAAAATCAGATTTCCCCAGATTCCTTGATGGTGATGTCCTCCTCATCATTTCTACCAACCAATATTACAAACTGCACTCCCAAGTCCTTTCGGCGCACTCATCTTACTTCGCAAACCAGATCGCTACCAGACCCTGGCCCACCCCTTAATGCTCCGGCTCGTCGTGAACATGCAGCTGCATATCGCTTCGAATTCCAACCATCCCTACAAGATGGAAAATTTGGTGACTTTCTCCGCGTCGTAGGCAATCCATACACATGACCTCGTCTACTTCACATGCCACTAACCCCCATATCTCGACAGGATGTCAACGAAGCTGGCCGTCCTGCATGGAGCAATCTCCCTCCAATCCCTCCTGATATCGATAATGGAAAAGTCGATGACAACATCAACCAGAGCTGGGACTGGCTCTTTGGTATTTTCTACAATCGCGAACCAACCTTCGACGACTCGAGTCTCGCCACGATCCTTGCTTGCGTCATGGGCCTGATCGAGTGCGCAGAGTCCGTTGGCGCCATTGATCACGTTCGCAACATCATCGGCCGCTAGGGCGCATTGCCAGACACAGAAAAGAATAGGGTCAGTCCGGATATTCGCGACATGTTACAGCGCAAGACAAATCAGCTCAGCTTTGCCAAAGAAGCCATCGAACTTCGCATTCTCGGTCACTACCCCTAGTTCATGATGCGCACTGCGACCGACAAACCCGGTCGTCCATCCTACTCTAACGACATCTACATGTGGATGGCAGTTGGTTTCTTCCGTCAATGGTTCGCGCAGGAAATTTTCGGACGACCGCACACGCCACGCTCCAGATGGTGGACTCAGCTTCTATCTGGCCATCGCCGAGGGGGCCCAGGCTTATCCAGACCATCGCCGATTCCAGGATTTTCACAAGTATTTTCCCATGAGTATCAAAGCATGTCACGTTCTCGAGGCCAACATGGGTGTCTTGAAAGAGGATGTCAAGTACTTCGTCCGCGATCTCTTGGAAGAACACACACATCTCAAGCGCGATGAGTATGAGATCCACTGGCTTACTTGCGCGACTATCGACAAGAAGGATTTGCCATGGTACACTGCTGCAACACCGAAGGGGAAGGTCCACGAGTTGAAGAGCTTGTATGACACACTTCTTGATGAGAATGCGAGGGGGACTGGGCAGATCGACAAGGGCAAGGGTGTAGTTCGAACTCCGATGCGTGGAAAGAAGAGAACGAGAATGATTGGGGACGACGACGATGGTAGCATGTTCATAGACACGGATGAGGATTGAGCGCGATTAGGGACAATTGATCTGATGTTCGTGGGAGACGGTTTTGCGACCCTGATGAGCGCGAGACATAGGATAACACGTTGACGCTTCATGAAATGGCACACCTATGCACGGTCATAGATACACGGTGTCCTCCTGTTCTGCATCATCAGTCACGATGATATACAGATAAAATATGCTCTCGATGACAACGTAGCATTCCAACCACTACTGTCATGGCAGGGCTTCATCCTGCATAGCATTGGGCGACACTATTAGGTATGGCAGGTATGCGCTTGATGATATTGCACTGTGTTCAATATGCGATGTTTGAAATAATGCGGGTTTTCGCTTTTGTGCTGCAAAGAGTTATGTACATACACGCATCTCCGACGATTATCATCGTCAATGGTACTGTGTGATAGTGTGAAATGTTCATTTGGGATCGTCGAAGCCTTCCGGGATCTTCCTGGGACCTTTGGGTACTATAAAAAGCAGAGACACATTAGCCATGTTCGTCCGAAATAAGCACATCATGTCACGTCTGAACGAGTTCCTCGTTCAGCGTGCGCATCCGCGGCAGAAAACAGTACATTGGTCCTCAATATTCTCCCCCCGTAAACTCCCAATATCTCAACCCACTTGGTTCTCTTTGACCAGTAGATAAACGATGCCCGCGCCACTGCTGCTGAAAAGAACAATTCACGCACTCACCGGGATATGTCAATGGAATCCTGGGTGGGTCTTCATCTCCAAAGTATCTCCTCAATGGTGGAATAACGACGAATGTCACAGGTCCCAATCCACCTAGAACGCAGCTCCAGAATATCGCGGGCTTTTCATGTGCTGCCCACCGCAGGTATCGAATGGGAGAACCCCAGAAACGTTGAGGAACTCCGGACATTGTTTCTGTTCGTTTTTTTTTTTTTTCTTGGGTATGATATGAATATGACTGGTAGGGAGGAAAAAATCGAGAAAGCTGAGCTCGAAGAGAATCGTGGATTGTCAAGGGTGGTGTGGTCGGACGAAGCGAGAGATGGCGGTCTTGTCGGGCTCGCCGTCGCAGCCTCACTCGAGATTCGGTCGCGTGGCCCTCTAATTAGAGTGAGGGTTGTCCTTCGTCAAAAGTTGGTTTGTTGTTCACTCGCAACCGCTCAGTTGCGGATTGGCGGCTGAGATCCTGATGGTCGACTTGGCAGCAAGCCTTACTGCAAAGCATTGGGATGATGTACGCAAGGCTGTGACAAGAAGGCGTACCCAAGGCACGATTGAGCTCCTCGATGGGCCCAGACGTGTAAGCAAACCACCGTACCCCTTGCCTCTCAACAATATAGCTATTAATGTTTGATCCTGCTTGTTGATTAGATTGTAGCCTTCCCCTCTGGGGGCTGCTATTGGGGATTGTAAAATTCGCCGTAGTAGCTTGGCAGAGGCTTTTTGGTTAGTTGACCACGTCTCCCATGCGGAGTTTGCTGGCAGAACACATGCGAAGGGAGCACAGAAAAGAGGCACACTAGCAGTGCTCCTGTATTGCAAGACATTCCCCCCCCCATGAGTCTTTTCTCCTAAGTCGTCCTTTGTTCCTACCCTACAATGCGACTCTTTTCTTCGCTATGTCTCCTTCTCCTGGCGTTTCTCGGTGCCGTGTCGGCGCGGAGCGCGATTGGAAATAAAGTCCTTGTGGTGTTGGAAGATGAATCGCAGAAGTCACTTTATTCCAAGCTCTGGGCTGACTTAGAGGGTATGTGCTGCACTGAAATCATCTCGGAGGAGCCTTTTCTCTTACTTGACTGCTTTTTCCGACAGCGCGGGAATTCCAATTGTCCTTCGAATCACCCCGAAACGACGGCCTGTCCCTTTTCACACATGGCCAGTTGGCTTATAATCATCTACTCCTTGCACCACCGAAATCCAAGGGTTGGAACAATTCTCCCAGCTCGCAAGACCTACAAATTAACGACTGGCAGGCTACGGACCAGCATTGACACCCAAGCTCCTCCTCGACTACGTCAACGCGGGCGGAAACGTCCTGTTAGGCCTATCCTCCGACTCGGGAACGCCCTCCGCCATCTCCTCCCTACTGCTCGAATTCGACATTTCATTACCTCCTGACAAGACCTCTGTTGTCGTGGATCACTTCAACTTCGATATTGTCTCCGCTTCCGAGAAACATGATGTCCTGCTCGTCAACCGTCCCGGTCCTTTGAGACCGGATGTGGTCAATTTCTTTGGTGGTGACGGCATTTTGGCTGTGCCGAAAACAGTTGGACAAACACTAGGGAACACCAGTCCTTTACTGGCGCCGATTCTGAAGGCACCAACAACTGCATATGCATACAATCCAAAAGAGGATACAGAAAGCGTGGAAGAACCATTCGCCACCGGATCGCAACTGACATTGATTTCTGCGATGCAGGCGAGAAATTCTGCTCGATTTACGGTTCTTGGATCATTAGAAATGTTACAAGATAAATGGTTCGACGCCTCCGTCAAGGCTCCTGGTGGAAAGAGTGTCAAGACTGTCAATCGAGACTTTGCAATGCAACTGACGGCGTGGACATTCAAGGAGGTTGGTGTCCTCGAGGTCTGGAGTGTCCAACACCATCAAATCACCACGTCCGCCAAATCGGGCGAGAACACTACGCAACTGGGTGAATACAATCCCGGTATCTATCGAATCAAAACCGACGTGGTACGTTTCTTTGATTTGTGCATCTATTCTTCGTCCTCTCCGAGCAAGTGCTCTAACGATAAACGTCGCAGAAATTCGCCATTGAAATCGCCCAATGGGACCGTACGCAATTTATCCCTTTCGTCGTCCCTGACACAGACGCCCTCCAGCTCGAATTCAGCATGCTCTCGCCGTTCCACCGCATCCCGTTGTCCCCCACCTATCACAGCGCAAACAGCACTGTATTCACCACGACCTTTACCACGCCCGACCAGCACGGCATCTTCACATTCAAAGTCAATTACAAACGACCTTTCTTGACATATCTCGAGGAGAAGAGACAGGTCACTGTCCGCCATGTCGCCCACGATGAGTGGCCTCGGTCCTGGGCCATTAGCGGCGCCTGGCCCTGGATCGGTGGTCTATGGAGCGTGGTTGTGGGCTTTTTACTCTTTGTGGTCCTGTGGTTGTACTGTGAGACGCCGAAGGAAGAGGTTGAGAGGAGGCGGAAGCTCAGTGTTAGTCTGGCTGGTTCGAAGTGAATCGAAGTTGAAAAGAAGACTCTTCTTTCTGTGGCTCCTATCAACGGGTTTGCTGTGCAGTGTGCATTGGGGAGAACGGCTATGGAAAAGATGTACTTTAAAACGCCTTTCTGACCGGAAACGTCGGATGGATGCATGGATGGATATATATCAGACCAGGTCGAAGTAAAAAATCACCATGGAAAGAAATAAAAAGTTTTTGAAGCCCGTTCTTTTTGGAGTTGATGAGAGCTGTTAGTAGGTAGTGGTACATGATTGTGACAAGAGTTGCATGGGATAAATACAACCTTCCCCTTCTGTTCCCATTGTGTATTCCTTCCTCGAATGCATCCAAGTTGCGTATATGTTGCCCCGAAACAATTAGATCTTGACGATCATAGACAGTCGTGAACTTGACATTGAAAGTCTTGTTCAACGGCCTAGCGGGATTCATGCGGGCCCCCGATCTCGAAACGAATTGGCGTCGAGATTGCCTATCAACGGCGATGCGTATCCTTGCTGGGAACCACCAGCAAGTCTTGTCTCGAGGATGTCTGTCAGGCCGTGCTTCAGCTTTCATCGCTCGCCATCCACTGCCAAGGATCCACGGATATTCCTTCCCCGGATGCTCGGTCATGAGCGAAGTTCCCCACGATCCATCGGCGCATCTGTCAGAGCCTTCGATATGGCCGAGATATTGAGGGCATGATCTTTTTGAGTAACCCTTCCCCCAGGCGGGTGGGGCAAGCCAGTTGACACGGCATCTTTTTCACATTCCCACAAGCATCTTCCCTTCACACGTACTGTGAGCCTCCTTGGCACAAAGGAATCGATCACCCATTGTGTCCCTCAAACAAAAATAACTCGTCTATTCCAGAAGTATTTTCTTCTTGTTCATGCTTATAGACCTCTCGTCTTACTCTCATCGAACCCTAGCCCCTCGACCTCTCCCTTCTGCTCCTTCTGCATCTGCTCCCGCACATCAAACGCCGGTCTCCCGCCATACAGCTGGCCGATCGTTTTCTTCTTGTCATTCGAGTTCGCGCTTAGTGAACCATTTCCGCCGTCAAATTCCACACTGCCCGCGATGGGCGCATTGCCTCGGAACCGTTTGCGCATGTCGACCATGCCACGCTTGCAGTCGCGGAAGCCGCGTTTGAGCTGTTGGCATTGTTCAGGGAGGGTTTCGAGGAGCGGGGAAGACAGGCACTCGAGGGGTTTGTGGCGTTCGATCATGATGCAGTCGGATTGTTGGAGGCAGGCGGCGAGGGCGGCACCTACTCAGACAAGTCAGACAGTGTAGCGAGGGGGAGAGAGAGGAGGAGGGGAAGATAGACGTGAGAGAGTGTGGTGGAGGGGGGAAAGACGTACGCAGGTCTTTGCATGATGAGGGCATTTCTGCGGATGGATTCCCCGGTGGGTAGTGATGTGGTCAAGGAGATCAAGTCAAGGCTGATTGAGAACAAAGATGTACATCAATCGTAGATTTCCACCCAAACACAATTGAGGCGTGTCAGGTTGTCGGGAAGAGATGGAGATGGGGTGACTTCGGCGGACTTTCCTCATTGGATCGAGTTGGGGACAGTTCTCAGCCTCGTGCGGTACAGGATCTCGAAAAGGAGGTGTCTGCCGGGTCAAAGATATTCTTACAAGCTGGCAACAGATCGTTTGCCAAGTTGGATCTGCTTCTGTGGTTGCCGACTACGGGTTTCAATCTGCGGATGGCCAAATATACGTTGTAGCCTCCTATGTACAGTATGTGGTCTCCTATCTCTCCTTTCCCCCACTCAGACGACAGGGGGAGTACCCTCTTTCCCCCTCCGTTCCATCAACCTGGTCATCACTTATTTCGTCACCGTCTCGCCTTCGACCTCTCGAATTTTCATTTCCAACTCTTGGTCCCGAATAAGCTTCTCAATCGTCGCCGATGTAACGGTCCACACCGTGGGAAGGACGATCATCAATGCACCGATGGACAAGCCCCAATTCATCCCCAGCTGAGTCATGGGACTCTTATGCTGAGCATTGATTCTCCACGCCATCGCCCCGCCCGTGGCCTGGAAGGTCTTGTATGCACCCACCAAGATGGCGGCCCGAGACGTGGAGTTGGAAAATCGGCCCCGTGGATATCGAACCCTGAGTATAGTCGATATCCTGTTTGAGGCCCGCGGCGAGTCGTCGGTCTTGCCACTTCTGGAATGCATACCCACCGCCCCAGATGGACATGCCGGTGACAAAGAGCACAAGCCAACCCACACGAGCTCGCATGGGACGATGGAGGAAGGGTAAGTCAAGAATGATCCCGATAAGCAGGCCACCCAACATCTGTGCAATCCAGTACAGAGCGCTATTCAACGAACGGGTACGAATGTTGAACGTCATGCCGTTGACTTGGTTTTGCTGGTACGAGTAGAAGACGTTGGCGCAGAAGAATAGAGGGAGCATGCAAAAGACGCGCCAACTGGCCATGGTGCGCACGGCGATCTCAACAGTTCCTCTCCACGAGTGCTTTTCCTTCTCGACAGCGGCGTGGAGTTGGGCCAGACGAATACGTTTGGGCGAGCAGATGAAGATACCCAGGCCCCAGCTAACGAGCATGACGATCATCAAAGCGATGTACGTCGAATCTGAGACGGTTCCGGATTGGGAGTGGAAGTTGAGCCCGAAAGAGGCCAGACTGCCCACTCCACCTCCCAGGTTGAAAATGATCCAGAAGACGGCGATGGCACGGCCTTTCTGCGATTCCGCCACGTACGTGGTCATGATGGCACCGTGGACGACCCAGAGCATGGAAGCACCAACGCCGAGAACCGCACCAGAGGCAATCACAAAGGCGCCGTTGTCATGGTCTTGAAGCAGGTTAGAATTAATCGTCACAGTGGACGGAGGGTCTCGGTACGGTTGAAGTTGAGCAAGCTGCCACTGTACAACGCATAGGTCCATCCTCCGAGCAAGAAACAAATCCGAGAACCGGTGTATGAGAAAAGAAGCCCCACGATAAACAAGGCCGTCCTAGCGGTAGCGGAGAGTAAGGCAACGGTGGCATTGGCAGCGACGGTCGGGTCAACTTGACCAGAGCCTCCCAATCCGGTCAGGGCGTTGTACATCTGCGAGTTTGATCAGTATGACGAGGTTCGAATGCGATCTTGCGGAAGACGACGGACGCCAGGACAGCAGAAACAGATCAGACTGATGAGTACGATCTGAGTCCATCCATACGAGTAGAAGGCCTTGACTCTGGAGAAAGCGGACACTTCTAACTGTTCAACATCGTGGTGTTGCGACTCAACCGCCTGGGCGGCCTCCGTTCGCCTTCCTTGTCCATATTGAAGATCTCCTTGCGTTCCACCAGACCAGTGGTGGTAAGAACAGGTAGATTCAACAGAACCTATCACACGACCCATCATGAGGGACCCCGGCCCCCATATTGTATAAGAAACGAACCGTCACGAGGGAGCGGGCATCTCCCTGATATGCGATCCGATATCTCCACTCCATTTCACTCCGTTACATCAATCAGGTTACCCATCCTCCTCAAGGGAGTTGGAAGATGGAAGATAGAAACTTTGATCGTCCTGATAAGCTTTTTCCACAAAAGCTCATGCTGTGGGGAAGAGGGGCTATGGGGCTTGTCCTGTTCGGGAGGAGATCGACGAAGTGTTGCGTTGGTTGGGCGTCCCTACTTCCACTTCCGTCAATATCGCTTGGCTGTCTTTGGGGTTGCTGTCTCCCGACATTCATATTGGTATAGTAATGGGGTGATTGAACTTTTACCAGCGAGACGCGGAAAATTCAGGACCAGATTGTGACGATGGCCTTGAGCCTATCCTCATTCGACTCCTCCAAATACCTGAGCCTGCTGGTCGCAGAACGCTTTGACAAGCCCCTTTGAGAGCCTGTCATGGAACTACAGGGCATGATTGACGGGAGGACGTCGACTGCCAGGTGCTGACTGGGCTACAATCCCGCTCTCACCCTCTTAGCTCAGCCGCGTTTGGAGCCTCCGGTACTCAAGATGCTCGACCAATATACAACGGCGCGACACACAACCCTCCCCATGCGTGCTCTGGCTTCCACTAGCCTCAACGAATCTGTCAATTCTCGACGCCACCTCTTCGGATTCCATTCCTGAAAACACTGGTGTGGGATACTCGGTGATGGCGGAGACAGCACGAGCCACACTTTGGTGCCATCTTTCTTGACGAGGCCGCCTTTGTCGACCGTAATGCTGCGGTTAAAATCCAACCCCGTCCAGGGGAGATAGATTTCGTACCATTCACGAGACAGAGGCAGTTTGGTCCGCAACTGCGTGATGGCAATATTGAAGATTTCGGCCAAGATCTCGGTCCACGGTATCCAGTCTTCCGCTGTGTTGAGGAACTATGAATCCAGTCTCCTCAAAGACCTACTTCTACACAGCTGCTTCCATCACAACCCTAAAGACGGACCAGGGTGTACGAACTCCCCACGCAAACTCTTGATCGGTCAGCGTATGGGCAATTGTACGAGGATCGTGTGAAATAAGGATCACTGCAGTCGCAATTTCCTTATCTTCTGGTCCCCCCAAATACCTCCGGTTCCTCTTGAATGAGATCTAGTTTCGGGCGTTTGGACTTCTTTTGACGAGGTGTTCTCTTCCTGCTGATGGGGGCTAGTGAATCGTGGTTTTCACTCGCTGCGAGACGAAACTTGGCCAATGCCCGCTCTAAGCCTTCACCGGTCCCACTGCTATCTAGGAATCTCTGCCTGCACAGAGGTTCTGTGGCGACTGAAGTCCTTATCTATCTATACCACTGCATCTGTCGCAGAAATGGTGACGGCGAATCTTCTTCACGACATCCGGTTCGTGGTAACAAAGTGAATGCTGCCTAGTGAAACTCTTCTTACACAGAACACCTGTACCGAGATTATGGATGGATCCACATTTGCAAATAACCGCCAAGTTATTCAGGTCAGGCAACGAGCGCTCCCATATTTTCTTCATGGCCAAGTTCACTTCTTCGAGCAGGCCGGGGTAGTCTCCGTCATTGAAAGGCCGAGTCTTGTCCCAAACTTCTGGAGGGCCCCTTTTGGGGGAGAGGGGCGAACGATTGAGCCATAGCTTCAACATAAGAGGGCGATCTATGGAGTCTAGAGAGCAGAACTTGTCTGCCAATCATGCAAGGCGCCTTTTTTTTTTTTTTTTTTTCATGAGGTTTCATCGTTACGGCCCCATGCACATTACATTTCCCTGTCTATAGTAAACCTACGCACATAATCGGAAGGGCAAGAGCGGCGACAGAGTCAGCCACGATGGGAAATGGCAAAGTGTTCTACGGCTCTGGAATGTTCAATCCGTTCTAGGTGGTGCTGGTCGCAGCCCGTAACAACGTGTCACAATACAGCAGTACCCTTGCATTAGAATTCCCCTTGGTACCGGTAGGCGAACGCATCGGTCAAATCGTTATTTCTGACTCCCCTCCATCCACCATAAGCTTGACGGTATCGGCCACGTGGCTCATTTGTCTCTCACAGCCGAGATGCGCTGTAGGTTGTATTCTTGGCCTTTGACGCCAAGACCAGGCGGAAAACGGAAATTCAACATCGGCCCTCGCCCATCAATCCATCGCCAACTTGTCCTCAACAGGACATCAACTCTGTTTCACTCAAACCAGCACCTTTGACATCAACGCCGCCCCGGCTAGTTCTCAATGCTGTCATTCCCCTTCCAGCAAAGATCGAGGGTCCTCCATTCCGGCCACTAGAGTGTATGTGCTTTTAGAAAGGGGAAAAAAAAGGAAACCCATCATGGTACAGACATGCCCTAACAATTCTTGTGCCACCGGTATTGACAAGCTCTACTAAACAGACCGCCATTTTCAACTTCCAATCTCTCCTCCTCGTCATCCTCTTGATCATCTGCACATCGACGTACGTGCACTCGATGTTCCCCAGCGTTATGGACAGGAACAAAGACGGGTACGCAAGTGCTTTGACCTCCTTTTTCCGTTGATCTTATCCTAGTCCCGCAACATTATCCTTCATGCATGCCCTTCCCGGATTCAGATACGGCATTTCGATTTGACTGGATCTAATATTCAACCATCAGGGTTACTGGTATATTCTGGAAATGTGCCCGCATAGGCGAACGCCTAAGTCCTTACGTCAGTATTTTCTGCATCGTTATGGCCGTAAGTGCTCTCACCTTCTCTTGGGTTCTGGCCCATTCTCATTCAAACCGACTTCATCCCTATCGTAGCAGCGCATGTTGAACCTTATTTTCCTTTTGGCTGACGGACAAATGGCACAGTGCTCGATAATGATGGGCTATTGAATGGGTCCTGCATGGCGTGGGGTGCGTTAGGAGCGTTAGGGCGTTTTGTGTTCCATTGACCCGTCAATCTTGACGTTTTGGCGGACTGGGCGCCTCTAATCCGGTGCAAAGAAAGGGTGCCAGAGGAATTAAATCATTCAAACAAATTAGTCTTCATTGCATACTCAAAAACTCAGGATCGAACACATTTCCAGCAGCACCTTCCCGCTCCAGACTGTTGACGCGACAAACCAAAAACGATCCGTCCCTGAAAACCGCTTAGGCGGGGGATCACAGCCGTTCAAACTCCAAGCTTTTCCCTTGTACTTCGCTCAGGACCAAACTCTTCCAAGAGTTGAATCCATCACAACACCTCTCATTTGCTGTACAAAAAAGGGAATTTCTCGTCATCCGTAACTCTCCTTGGTCTCGAGGGTCGACGAGGATTCTTGACTCGATCGGTTTTCCCTTCTCTAAAAACCAGCTCATCTTTATTTCTTCCCAAGTCGATGATTGGCTCCTCGGGAACACCAATGAATTCTTGGAAAGTCGTGGTCACCTTTTTCTTTTCGAATCTGTCTACAGCGAAAGGATCCGGTGTCGCTGGCCTGGTTTGACATTGCACAACAACTGTCACTTCCACCCCCTCAATGTGGCGCTCCACTTCCTGATGAGGGTTGCCAAACTTTCGTCGGTGATCTCGGCATTGATATTTCAGCAGATTTCCGACCATCTGCTTTTTGGAAGGCGCATTCTTTTGTCGTGGCTGCAAAAGCTGGAGAGCTGCCACAAGATTGTCACTATCCCTGAGATCAAGTTTGGGATCGATATCAAAAAGGTTGGATGATTTCTGTGGTGGTTGCCAGAGCGGGTCGATAGGTCTTTGAGGCGCAAACCAGTTCAAGTCGTCATCCACGTCTTCTTCCGATTCAGAATCGGACTCGAACCGGACACCTCGAGCTCGTAATTTCGCCATGGCGCGTTGTTCATCATCCTTGCTCCACACAGGCTGCTCCATCTCGATTGTGGTCAAAGAATTTGGTGCTTCAGAATTCGGCAAATCCATTTGACCAGACTTTCTCGGTTGCTTTGGAGATTTGGTATGGCCCTCGGTCCGCTGGACTGGCGGTGACAACAATGTCACTTGTCGTCTACCTTGCTTAGTTGATTCGATCCTTCTACGTTGAGCCAGCCGTACGTCATTATCGTCCTCAGTCTCTACCGCGAATCGAGAGGGACCCGGCGTCATTGTGGCCTGACCGAACGGTGACAACCGAGTTGGATTTGGTACATCTTCTTGCACCTCCTCAACAGGAATGTTGGAGGACTTTTCAAGCATCAAATCACCTTCTCGATCGGAGTCATTGTCAAACATCACGTCGTCTGCGCGATCGAAGATAGTGTCAAGCAGCACATCTTCTTCCCGATGTGAGGCCATGCTGATGCACAACTCAGGTGGCATAGGAGAGATTTTCGAATGAGGAGAACGGACAGAATCCACAGGAACAAGGCTTCCCGCCTGAACAACGTTGTTGGATAGGGGTGCTGGTTCCTTCTCTGGGTGTTTGTCGCCGTTTTCCCGGACGAATTTCTTGGAAACCGGCGTGCGATTCTTCGCAGTACTTTCGTCGATGAATGTCCATTGCTTGTCTTGAAGTGGATGACCGCCAGCCACCCATTCGTAGTTGGCGCGAAGTCTCGTAGAGTGGTAGTGTCTGATGCAGTCGTGTTGGGTTCGTCCTGGTAGACATTCCGCAATCTTCGTCCAGCTCTTAGGGTTCCGAGCGTAAGCGTCTCTAAAGAGAGTCTCCTCTTCTTCTGTGAAGTCACTTTCTGCAACAAGACGATGGGATACTTGTTCGGTGGGTGTTGCGCCATTTTTGTCACCCACACTTGAAGATTCGGTATCAGCAGGATACAATATGACTGGTGTCTCAGCTTCAACTTCATAAGCTGGCTGAAGGAGACCATTGGAGTTAGAAATACCTCTAGAAGTAGAAGGGCCATTGGAGGTAGAGAGGAGCCCGGAGAGAGCGAGACCGCTGAAGGCAGAAAGACTATTGGAGACACTCCTATCGCGTCCTGGAAGACTTTCGGTGGATATTGCCAAACGTCCCTCACGCTGATGAGGTGAATCGGGATCCTGGAAGCCCGAGGCCTGAACGTTAGAATGTTTGACACGACTATCCTGCAGTACAGCTTGCGTTGTCTTTGACGCTGACGTCGAGAACCTTTCTCGGGTCGTCTTTATCTCAAGCCGGGCAAGCCTCGTTAATTCCTCTAGTGAGGCCTTTTTCTGCACCTGATTAGCTTCCCTGTTGATCGTCACGCTTTCTTTCTGAATCGGTTGACGCAAAGAGTGTGCTGCCTGATCCAGTGATAGTTGTGCGACTTTGGGCCTCTTTTTGGGGACGAACAATCTATCCTCTGGGGCGGTCCTCTTCAGTGTGTTCGCGACCAAGTATTGCTGGAGTGTCGCAGAGCTTGTTTGATCTTGGGAATCTTGAGTTTGCTTCTTAGATTGTGACGCAATGAAAAAAAGGTCATCATCGATGACATTGGCGTCAGCCGCGGAAGCAGAACAACCCGAGTCTGCCGCAGCTCGCTTTTCCTCCGGCGTTGAGCATTTGACACAGCGAGAACTAGATCCAAGAATGGCCTTATGACAGACATCGCAATGCTTTCTTGCACCTGTCACGGCGGTAGTTTCAGAAGTCTCTCCATTCGAAGCATTTGTATCTGATGCGACGCCACTAGAAGAAGACTGGGACTCTGTATGCAGAGAAGGAGGGCATTCGTCCTGCGTAGAATGGGTCGAGGCCGGATTTTCTGCCCTTGGCTGCTTTCTGTTCTTCCGGGGGTCGAATGAGATTGCACTTCTTCGGGCCATGTGCTTGATGGGTTTGGGGGGTTGCTCTTCCGGGCCAGTCGGGAGTGATGAGGCGGGAACTCCCGACCAGAATGGAGAGTTGGTAGCTGACTTGGCTGTTGGAAGGATCGATTGTTCTGGCTTGTTGACAGCTGCGTGCAGGTCTTCATTTACTGCAGTGCGCGCTTGGGCGACCAAAATGGGTGTGTGTTGCGTACTCTGAACCCAAGGCGGAATTGCTGATTGATTCGGAATGGACCCCGCAGAAAGTGAGTGGGTACTAAAGGTCCCGGACTGCGACTCCCGGGCTTGACGCGCCTCGGATAGATTGTTGAGGCTGAAACAGGATTTCCCGCCAAACGAATGCATGTAGGGACATCCGTGCTTGTGAAACTGGCACTTGTACGAGGCTTGCCATCGAGGACAAATGTATTCCCTTAGCGAGTTGTTGCCTGGGATTGATATCGATTCTTTAAGGGGTTGGAAAGCGACTGTTCCCGTGGGATGGTGTGCAAAGGGGCAATCTTCGTCACGCTTGTTGCACTGAGCATGGAACTTCCAGTAGTAGCAGGTGATATGTTTGCGAGACGGATGACAATCGGGGCCGAGGTAGAGTCCGGTGTCTTTGTGCGCATAGAGACAATCGTTTGGATTTCTCAAACAAGTCCCATTCCTCCATCTTGAGCATGTGAAGTCCTTTGCCGGTTGATTTCCATACGGGGCATCTCGACCCGTCTCTTTATGGGCATACAAGCAGTGACCTTCAAAGAGGTAGCAACCGTCATGCTTCCAAAACGGGCATGTAATGTGCTTGTACAACGTTCCCTGAGCCGCCATTTCTTCTGGAACCATCCTGTTTGAGGCCTCTGGTTGGTGATCCATGGTCAAATTCGAAGATTGCGGACGAAGTGAATGGGTATCCTCAGTGATGGTGCCCTTGTTGTTGCCGTCACTGTGATCCTGATTAGATGGTTCCTTGGGAGGATTGGGAGTATCCATTGGAGAATATCGATCAAGGCTGTTTCGCCTCGAATGGTCTCTCTCAGCTCTTTCGCGTTCTTGTTTTCGTAAGCATTGGCCACAAACGAAGTCGTCGAGGTTCGGACTGGGGGAAAGTTAGTGCTGGACACAGAAGCACAAGTGGGCAATTAATTACCTCTGCTGCGGTTTTGGATTACCGCAACGGTCATGGTAGCCTTTTCGGCACCTGCTGCAGGGGACCAGAGGTGTCACGTGGTTTCCAGACACGCCACAAGCCCTGCAAAAGTTCCGACTTCGGGACGTGGTCGTCGATGAGGTTGAAGCGGTTTCTTCATTCGATAGTCGCGATGCGCAGAAATTGATCATATCTCGGTGCGCTTTGAGGAACGGGGTGTCATCCGGTGGTTCTACCACAGATTGTTTCTCAATCGTGTCCAGAACTCCATGATCGGCGGCGGCAGAGATGACAGGAAGAGGAGGAGAGTTGGGCAATCGAGGCGCTGTATGGGACGAAGCATTGGCGGCGTTCTGCGTCCAGTCTCCAGTGCCGGGATCGCCACACGACGCCAAGCGCAGAAGGCTTCCATCTTGACGTTGATTTTCACGTCCACCATCATCAGGAATACCACTGCCATTTGCAGGGACAGTTTTATTTTTCTCGGCTCTTGGTCCGTTGCCTTTTCCACTCTCTGAGTCGCAGCCATTCTGTCGAGGAGGACCCGACTCTAGCCTCATATCGTCGGTCCACTCTTGCCCTGACTCTCTTCTGGCTTCCCGGCCTGTGCTCACTCTTTGACCCTCGCGGAAATCATCAGTATATCGGGGAGCTGGTGGTCTGTAGCAATCCGAGGCGCTGGCCCTGCTTTCATAGAATGCTTCATCGCCGTAACGATGCGAAGAAGGCCTGTAAAGATCGTGCTGAAAGCGACGCTCAGGAGGTCTGTATGTGTCTGCTCTCCTCGGGGGCGGGGGGGTGATTTTGGACCTCATTGAGCGTGGTGCAGTAGGCGGCTGAACAGGCCAAGTTGGTTGGACAGGACCTCCATTGGGCTGATTTTGGGGACGACCATTGCCGCTCGACTTCTCAGAAGTACGCGGAGACTCTGCGACATCGGGGATGAAATGGGGTTGCGTGGGAGGCACAGAGGCTTGATCAGAAGTTTGTTGCGGTGGAGAGCCGGAGCCGTTTCTAAGGTCTGAGCGGTTGGGGTCAGACAGGGCCATGTTGGCTCACCAAAGGAAGATCAACCAAGATCATTTCATGTTCGATAATGATGCTGCTGATAGATCAGAGGACGACGTGCCCTGTAGGGAGATGTGTGGGTCAGTCAGACGGCGAACTCGAGCAGACGTGATGAGGAAGAAAAGCAGCGGTGTAGCCTCGTCAGGTCTTTTCAGTTTATCGGGTCTTCATTTTGGCTCATTCAGGTTGCCATGACGGGCCAAGTGACATCTCAACGCGCGATCCCGACAATGAAAGTCCGAAAGTCCAAATATCGTGTGCTCCCAGCTTCCTGAATAACAACTCTGGCCCGCCGTGCATAGCGTTTTATGTGGATTTGTACACCGCTGCCATTGGCTTATGCATCCACTTTATCCAGAATGCGAGTCCCATATTTGCGGTATTGATAGGTCGATATGCACAGAACCTCCAAAGAGGCAGTTCCAAATGCTCAAAGATCACCATTCTTGCGCGATTCTGTACTGGCAAGACAGACAGTGTGCATCGGAGCGGGTGCTCATGATACCAGCTCGCTCCATGGACAGTAAGTTTTCTCGGGCGGAACGAGGAGGCAGCTCGGCCCGTTGGCTACCATGAATGACTGGTGTGATTCAATCGGACCTTTTACCAGCGACTCATCCTCGAAGCTGTGGTCTCCAATGGACCGGGAAAGAGCTGCGAGACCGAGACTAAATAGGAGATAGCACATACCGGCAAAATCAAGCCAGCGTCCCAAATGGAGCAGAGTCGCGCAACATCTCAGTCATTCCCCATCATCCGCTGGGTCGACGGATAAACAGATTGCACCATCCAGAACTGTCTCTAGCACCTCACGAGAGCAGCTCTGGGATACACAAGCTGCGTCCAACCGTTGCCCATGCGTTGCTTCGGCCGGCGGCGTCTATAGGGTATGACACACGGTGATAAGATTCGGTCAAGATGGACTGGCCGATGTCGAATCGCGAAGCTGTACCAACAAGCCGTATACGTTTTCAAAATGAGCAGAAGAATGGCTAGGATGTACAAGGAAATCGTCAAGGGCCAGAAACGAGAAGTCGTCTCTGGAACAGCGAAAGTGAGGCGCTTGGGGGATTAGAGATGCGGCCTCCGGCTCCCCATCCTGATTGGCTGTTATCTGACCACAACATCTTGGCATTGTTATAATGGGCCCGGCAACAAGGCGGGCGACCAAGCCATGGCCATGAACCCGCCCGCTAGTCTAGATTAGCCGAGAGGTTCCTTCATGTAACCCGAAAGGCGGAGTAGGGAGAAAGGAAATGAGCTATGTTCAAGAACCATCTATAAGATATGCATGGGAGCTTCCTCAAACAGGGAGCTGAGTCACTGGCTTGAAAGAACCATCTTCTTGAACAATTTTGTTCCCGCCGTCTGTCCACCTTGTGCATCGACCTCTCTCTTCTGCCGAAGCGACATGTGTATCCGTTGCGCCAGCCGTTGCCTTCTCCTGCTGGCCAGGGACCGGTTCTGTGCCTTCTGGCATCCGTCTTTCATCAATGGCATCTCTTATCTTTTGTGCCAGCAGAGTGTTGTCATGACGGCGCAGCAAATAGCTCCAGTCAATCTTGGATGGCTGTACCCCTTCTGCAAGCACGGCCTGCCAGATTTTCTCCGCCTCTCCCTCTTCGCCCCGGGACAGGAAGCCACAAATGAGTTCGCTCCACGTTCGGGCGGTGGGCTTGCACAAGTTAAGCTTGATCATCTCCCCCACGACATCGAGACTCTTCTGAAGCGTGGATGGTGAGCGGCAAAAGAAAGAGATAAAGCCATGATACAAGAGGTCGTGCCTCGCTGCTGCAATGATTCCCCGATCATGATGTTGGATCAAATGAACAATCCGGTACCACAATTTGGAAACATGTCGCTCTCGACTCTGGATCAGGACATATGCCCATAAGGTGAACGCCAAACCCGCTGGCGATGGCTCAGGAAGATCTGTCGGAGCCGTCTGTCCGACAGGGAGAGGGTCGGCAAGGCCAAGTCTAATGAGCGGCGCCCTGTCGTAGGCCCTGTCGTAAATAGCCAAGATATGGGATAACGCAGTCTCAGGGGTCTGATTCTCAATGCGGCAGGCCACCCTAAGAATGTTCATCATGTACGCCACCAGATACGGATTCCTGAAGAGATCTTCGCGCTGGTGGATTGCCCACATGACCTTCTCCAAATTTGGACGCTCCTCGCGAATGAAGCTGTCCTTTAGCAGGGCAAGGTGGCTGTCTGCATGGACACAAATATTTTCAGCCTCCATAAAGTCATATATCTCCCATGCCACCTGGGGTGAATGCAACTGGATGGCTCGCTGAAGGACAGCATTATGCACACTTTCGTCGAAGCCGAGACCAAACTCAATTAGCCTTGGAAGAATCTTGAAGTTGCGGTCGGATTGAGGATCGCCAATGGTTTCGAGCCTCATCAGGTTTTTGAATCGCTGAAGTATCGCGACCTTCCATCTTTCCCTTTCCCGAGCCGGGATTCGCCAGAGGAGTTCAATCGCTTGATTTGCATTGCCTGTTCTTGTGTAGTGGTCCACCATGACGAGGATCAGTGATGCAGGAACCGGATCATAGTTCTGGAGAACGGTGTCGATGATATTCTCGCAATGTTCGTGATTGTTGTGCCGAAGCAGGAGAGCAAGAAATGCGCGCGGAAAAGGATTTACATCGTCGGGCCATGTCCACACTTTCGATACCAGTTTGATTTGGCCGGCAAACAACTCTTGAAGATCTGGGTTGGCTTGAACTTCGTCCCAGTATACTTGTTCAATACAGAGGAGACACTCGCAGCGGACTTTCCAGCCCCGGGGAAGGACTTTGAGTATCGAAAGCATTGTGAGAGTTCTCCGCGCCGAGTCAGCAAGACATCCGATAAGAATAAAGGCGAGGTTCCTGCTTTTATGATGCAGCGGCATATCGAGCCAGGCCTCACGCAGGCTTCGAGTATCCCTCTCGCCCACAAATTGTATTGCCGTTTGCTTCTGCGCTTCGAGCTCTCCTCGCGCCCTTATAAGATCCTTCTCCGTGGAGAAGTTAAATTTTTCAAATAACCGGATCCACTCTTGCGAAAATTCATGGCCGTCGGGTAAGTAGTCGGGGTCACCGTGAGGCTCTAGGGCAATGGATCTTCTACCCGGAGTATAAGGCCCTGTACCTTTTCGTTCCGTCCGTCTGGTCCATCGCATAGGCACGAACCGAGCGACGCCTCCGGGAAGTTTGCGACCCGTGACGGGCAATGGGTTTCCCTTGCGAGAGTTGTTCTCCGGCGTACTCGTCGTCGTGGACAGAGCCGGAATGAGGGTGAACGGCGTGGGATTGACATTGGGTTCTCGACTGCGAGGAGAGTAGAAGGGTTCCGATTTCAAGGCTCTGACTCGGGTCCCAAAGGGGACGTACACGTCCGATTCAAGGAGGCCGTTAAAGTAGAGGGACTTCCAGTAGAAGTTCACGCGGTTATCAAAACCCAATGAATAATACGACCTATAGTCTGTCGGTCTATTGCGGAGGCATGCTGGGGGGGTTCGGATTGACTTGAGGGACATTCAGAAGCCAACATTTGGCCATGCACCGGGGGGGTTTATTGCAGGCCTGCTAAGTATCAATTGTTGGAAGTCAAGGTACTATGAGAAGGAAAGATTTCTGGCCTGCGCAGCAGGCGAGAAGAATTTTCCCGAGGTTTTCGCGGGGGGAGGGAGGCGCCGCGTATTTTTGCATCTTCGAGCCAAACACTTTCACCAACGCACGCCGTGTCCAGCCCATAACTTCTGACGACGTACGTAGGAATTCGACGAGATCCCCGATGTCGACCACACATACCAGTCTAGACGCTGCAGCCATCGATCGAAAAGCCCGACTGGCCAAACTAGCCTCGCTCAAGCGCAAACAACCGGGTCCAGATGTTACGGTTTCAAGCCAACAGGACGAGCAGGAGCAAGAAGGCAAAACATCTACCACTGACACATATCTCTCAGGGAGAAACTACGATGTGGTGACCAAGAATGCGAAACTCGGGTTTGAAAACACCCCCAACTCCAACGTGGAGACTCTGGAAGAGCAAGCAGACCGCATAGCATCCACGACCGCTGAACAAGCAGCCAAGGACGGGGCTGAGGCAGAGAAGGGAATCGATCTGTTCAAACTTCAGCCTAAGAAACCCAACTGGGATTTGAAAAGAGATCTGGCGGAAAAGATGAAGATTCTGGATGTCCGGACACAGAATGCTATTGCCAGACTTGTGAGAGAGCGGGTCGAGAATGCAAAGAAAGAAGCCCTGGGTAAGGGAAAATCTACACAGCCGGGTGAGGACGGCGTGGACGGTGAGCAGGGTGAAGAGGTTGGCATAGAAGGTAGCACACTTGTCGAAGGCATCCATTTACGGGAGCAAGAGGACGAGAGAGAGGCCGCCTTTGAAGACGATGAAGGCATCTCTTGACTCATATTTCGGTCCTAAAACTCTTTACGAGACCTGATGCATTCAACAACTATTTCAAGCGTCGAGACCACTTCGAAAATTCCACGCAACCTTGATTCGAGGATGACCGTGTTTATTCAATGCAGCGGCCCTTGATATTGTTATCACTCTCTTCAAGTGTGCGAACGAGAGCGTTGATTACGGAAATGGAAGAAGCTGACCTCCGGACTGCGGCAATCCCACCGATTCGAATCAGGAGGGGTTTATCAGCTTTATTACAGAGAGTCCTGAATCAAAGCAAGTGCTCATCGAAGCGTAAGATCTGAATGCATTTACATAGTACTTGGCACAAAGACTCAGTGTTTGTGCCGAACATATTCTAATCTGGGACCTGCAAACCAGGGACAGGATAAACAATAAGCAAATCTGGAAAAAGGATGCAATCCACACCACACTTTGCTTCAATGCTGGGGACCTGAAAGAGACTGCCATGGCCATCATTCAACGACAAGTGTACAAAAGGCAAAATCACATACACAGATATATCAGCTAGACAAATAATCTGTGGCCATCAATCTTACACTGCTTGATGAACATACCGAGCACAACAGGAAGTCCAATAGACTTCGACTATGACCTCCAACGCCCTGCAAGACACAACATTCAAAGCCAAAGCCACCCGATTGATAGTGGAAACAGATGCTCTAAACCAACAGTTTCAACGTCCGTCAATCAATCACATGTTCATTGCCTGTGTTAAAGCTAGTCGTTTGCTATATGGGCTCAAGCTCCGTTCTCTGGTAACCGGTATCCGCTGCTTGTCGTATGATGTAGAAGCAAAGGGTGGTCTCCTCTGATGGTTCTCTCGACGATAGTGCTCTCGTCTATGGCCACCTTTCTCACTCTCGAAATCCAGGTTCTCTGATTCTAAAGATTTTCTATGCTTGGTGATTTGACTCTTATCCATGCTTGGGCTGTTACTCCGGCTGCGATGACTCCCTCGGCGCATTGAACTAGGTCTGCCTCGATCAATGGGACTTATGGTGCGATGCCGCCGGCTTTTGCGGCGGGAACCGGGTGGTCGTTGCGGCGACCTGGATGATCGAGAACGGGAGCTGGAAACAGAGCCGTGTTTTCTTTTTCGAGGCATAGATGGCGGTGGAGTCCGGGAGCGGTCGCGACTTGCTCGGCCACTGGTCAGGAACTCGTCCCGGTCTCGTAACCGGGATCGAGATCGGGATCGGGACTTGTTAGTGGAGATAGTAGAGACCGAGCTTGACGATGCAGTTGATCTCGAACGGGATCTCTGTCGAGGACTCCGAGATCGACCTCGATTTTCAGATTGTGCCGTAGAATTTCCACTTCGCCTCGCTTCTGTCTCGGCGAGTTGCTGGTCTGCCACCCCCTTGCTGGAAAGAATATCAGTGGGAGGGCTTTACTCCTCGGAGGAAGGGGTGGTCCTGACCTGTTCATTAAGTCATTGGGAGTGTCGCTTACAAGTTTTGGCATCAATTTTGGATTAAAAAGTTGCTGAGTCCTCGAGGGTCTTGAAATGTAAGGCCGTTCCTGTGCGCTCGCCTTGCACTCATAACTGTAATGGCTTGAAGAAACTGTTAGTTCAAAATGCTGTCCCAGGCAGAGGTCGTTCATCAGTAGACCTATCTTTTTTCAGACATTTCTGACAGACAGTGGAAGCAGTTGCCCTTTGTGGCCCGAGGCCTGGAATTGTACGATAACGGTTCATGAGAAAGATGTGTCTGGACAACACACCAGAGAATGCAAATTTACCCCCCCCGACCCACTCTTGAACAGGAGCGAAGGGTCGAAAGGTAGAGGGAAAACCCGGCTAGTCAGAAATTATGCGATACGTATCGAGAGTCGGGGAGATAGAATGCGGTTCCAAGTTATAGGGAGGGTAGTTCAGATGGAAATGCTGATGCCTTGACGTCGACTCGTAATCTGCATCGTTGGAGAAGGCGGGAGGAATACTACCCAAAATGAGGCTGACGCAGCAGGACCACAAGAATGAATGAGGTAGGCAGACTTCTTCGAATACGTCCCGGGTTGAAGGGACAAGAGACAGCGAGCAGGTTGAGGAAGCTGTAGCCTTCCAGGTCCGACGATGGCTTTTTTCATTCGTGAGACCGGCACTGGCCAGTTGGCAGTCGGGAAGCCTTGAACAACATCTTGCGTGCAATCGTCTCCTGATCCGCCGTAGCCAATAGCCAAACACGTGACGTGTTCAGCCTTGGCATTTTGAACCTCACGGATTTTGGTTCAACTTCACATTCAGACTTGTCACGTCCTTCCAGCCCGCACCTTGCACCTTGTTTCCAGGCACAATGGATTGACAAGACTCTTCCATTGGCATTTTCCATCCGCATTGCCATTATTAAATCCAATTCTCGACCTAACGCGGCGTCGACGACTTTTTAAATCCCTCAGGCGGGCCATAGCCTTAACGGGACTCGCCCTCATTTACCTTATCCGACTGAGAACAATAAGCCCTGTTCATTCCCCTTCGACGTCGCCCTCTGCCTCTTAAACCCCACGAGGAAGAGCCCAAGACTGAATCTTTCAACCTGCGACAGCTATTTTCAACTCCTCACCACGACTACCTACCTACCTTTCTTCCCCCAAGTCCGCTAACAGCAGAAGAGTTCTTCGTCGAATCCATGGAGCCTTTTAGGTTATGCAGTGCAGGCTCGTTTAATGAGCAAGATATCGTGTGAGAAAGCGGAAAGAAAAATCGAAGTGTCGGCTTTCGCTTGTACAATCTACACTCATTTTCAATCCTCAGCTTGGTAGCGCTACTTCACGCTGTTGGATACGACGTGACGAATCTCCTTGGGCAATATGGCGTCTCCTCAAGTTGGCCCGGTTCCGGCGAAATTGTCATTTGCAAAGGTTCGTTGACTACGCATCTCCATCGACTCCGTCCTCTAACTTCGGTTTAGGTTGCAGCCATGCGTGCACCCGCTGCTGCGACAGCAAATTCTAATCCTCTTGAAGAAAAGAAGCTTCGGCCTTTCGAGAATAACAATTCGCGTAACCCCGCACACAGCGATATGCCAAAGTCTCCAGCATCACCGAGACGACCATGTGAATCATCATTTGGGAAGCCAGATGAGCCCTCTCAGTCAGAGTATGTGACAAACGCAATACAAGGTCTGTCCCTGGTCAAAGATGCGGCAACCCCACAAAGCGGTCCCCAGAGTGCTGAAAGTGGGGAGTCTCTTGAGGATGATCAATCCCACCTTTCCAACTCCTCTACCAAACAGCAGAGTTTCGATACCAAGAGCATGGCATCAGTAACCACCTTTGCAATGGACGAGAAAGAAAGCATTCGTCCGGATGACAGTGCGAGTGTCAGAGCGGCCGAGGACGATGAAGCCTCAAATGCACCGAGCAGAGAATTGAGCTTTCATCGTGACTCGGAACCTCTGGCATCACCAACACGTACTAGCTCGCGACCAAATACATCTGGGGTCACTATTGTTGCTCGCCGTTATCATACTTTGACCCTGACCAATCCCCCGCGCTTCGGAGACCTTCCTGTCATTCCAATTGTTGAGGCCGAGAATCTCGATCAACAATCGCGGCCAGAAGCTTCAGCTGAGCAACCGCCAGAATCGCATGAACGGGCACCCTCGCTTCCTATTGCACCGGATGAAAAACTTCTTGATGCTCTCGCAACTCCCAAGGATCGCCTACCTCTTTTGCAACTCGAAGAGAAATTTTTAGGCTTCATTGCGAATCCCGAGTAAGTTGATTGCTCCGGGGAAACTGAAATTCAACTGATGATCGAGTTAGGAGTGAATTCCTTGACCTTCCACCACAAAACTCTTTTGCCCGGTTGCTCGCACACAAACTAGCAGATTATTATTGTCTTGCCCATCGAATCAACGAAGATGGCACATCGATTCGTGTGTTCAAAACGCCTTGTGTATCGATGTAGGTACCAATCCTGCGGGTTCTTGATCACTCTAACCTAATTCATCTGCAGACCCACACCTTTACATGTATTAGCACAGTCCGTTCCTGCTGGCCCAGCCCAGCCCCCTTCTGCGATGGCTGTAAAAATAATGCGGAGGGCCGGATTGGGTCCAAGACAGGCATCCGCTGGCGGCAGCACCCCTGCAAGTTCTTCTGTCCCATCGAAGACGACCTCGGAAGCTGGGCTGGAAACGAACAGTGAGGAAGGCGTCGTGTCGCCAGTCGACGGTACGCCGAATAAAGACAAGTCGAAACTCACGAGGGAAGAGCGGGAAGCACAGTACAAAGCGGCTAGAGAGCGAATATTTGGCGATTTTCAGGAGTCCGTGACGAGCGAGAGCGCGTCTACTGGAGAGAATTCAGCTAGCATCTCACGCTCCAGCTCATCAAGTGGAAAGAGAAAAACACGAAAACACAAAACCCCGAAAGACGACAGCTTCGAGGCTCGCTCGGCATTTATTCCCAGCTATAGTCCGATGCACGCTCCGAATTTGCACCAGCAATACCCGCCCCAATATTCAGAGCAAGTCTACCAAGGTCCATATCAAGGCCCAACTAGTGGATTCGGCGCAAACGTGAATTATGGCACTACTCCCACATCATCTTATCCTAATTTCGATCAATCGATGCAGTACAATAGTCCCGTGGGCTATGGACCCAACGGCAATCAGCAATTCAGTCCATCGGACTCTTGGTCATCAATACAGTCGCCCTCATCGACCGGATATTTCAGCTACTCTGCATCTCCAGCCAGCTATCAGCAGCATATTCCACCAATGATGACACAGATGAACAATCAATTCATGCAGCAACCTCGTTCGGGCATGCAGCAATCGCAGAATTGGATGAACAATCAATTTGCAGCTCCCTATCACCCCCCGCCCGGTTCTGCTAACTCGAACATGAATGGTTGGTCAGGCTATCAGCCTACCGCAGCCATCAATAACTCGGCGACTTACGCATACGGGCAACTTCCTGGGCAGAATTTCGCCGGGAGCCCTACCTACAATACGCACCATCCCGGTCCAGGCACCTTCCCAAGGTCTTTATTCAACCCACAGACACGTTCCTTCGTACCAAGTAATACTCCAAGCCGCACGGCCGGACGCAATGGGCGAAAGAAGCCTTCGCCATCACCAAGCCAAAATCGAGCCAGTACTGATAATTCGGGCATACCCGCGGTGTTGTCACCACGTGGATTTGAGAAAGGACCCCGTAATTCTTCGTCGCCAAAGCCAAAAGAAGATTCACTGCAACAGAAATACGGTGCTCCAGCCCATCTCCCCAAGAAGCCCCCACCGTCACAAGTCCCATCATCCTATGATGTGGAAAGCATAAGCAATACAACCTTGACTTCAGGACCACTTGCACTGAACGGAGGCGCAGCCGGTAGTGGGCCGGCCAGCGGTTCATGAAGAAAGTGTGTGATTGTTTTGAGCATCATTGTGCATATTATTACAGATGGGACCAGGACAATGGGACGGAATGAATAACAACGCATCGGATTGATTGAAGCGGCGTCATGAGTACTTAGTTTGGATTTCTCAAGAAACTACACCCAAAAAAAGGAGGGAATGGATTGAATTGAACTGAATTGACCTTTGGACGACACGGGATGCGTTTGGCACGGCATGGCACAGCATAAGATCGGACTGAATGTATGGGCTCCTGTGAAAGCGAGAAGGAGAGCAGGAAGGGGAAGGGAAACAACGGCATGGGACGAAGGAGACGAGAGCGCATTAAAGGAGGGAATACCAATCAACAAAAGTGGAATGGAGTCACATTAAACCAATGTTTCGACCCAGGTGTAAACTTCTCAATGTATTCGCGCTGCTTGCTAGCCAAACGGTACGGAAACTCCATTAACCGAGCCCCCTTTTCTGCTGCATCTCCCTCTCCCTCTTCCCAACTGACCTTTCCTTTATTTCATCAAGGGTACCCATCAATACCTCTGGGGCGCTCAATTCAAGTCCTTACCATATCGTGCTGCATACGTGCCCGAATTTCCAAACCCCAATTCCCAACTTCTATTCTAGTAAATGGTCTGTGCTTGATTCTCGTCTGGAAATGAGTTCCAATTTGGTTTCAATAGATTTATCGAGTTATGGTCCTTTATAATGCCTGAAAATGCGATGAGTCAATATGTCTAAGTGATCAGTTTCCGGAAATGGTAGGTCGTAAATCATGCATTTCCAGACCCTCGACGTTTGCAAGTGCGGGACTGTCAGCAAAAGTACTTGTTCGGGAATGCGCAGGAGCGTTATCAAAATTGTAATGTCGCTCGTAGACTTCATTTCCAGTTTCATTCTCTGCTTCATCATCATGATCATGAAGTAAGCCAGCAACCTCCTCTGTGACGTTCGTCTCATTTTTCTTGGGTCGCGTCATCGCTGTAAGCGGAAGCGAATCGGTACTGCCTAATGGGACTCTCGCAAATCTGTTCCGGTCAGCATTGTTGTCGTTGCCCTTGTTGGCGGAATCCCTTGCGCTCGACACCCAGACTGCTCCGGCCAGAATGAGCACGCTGCCGACCCAGCTCATCGTGGTGGGTGTGACACCGAATATGAGCTTGTCGCCCGCCAGAGCGAAGAGCATTTGTGTGTAAAGCATGCTGGTGGCCCTCGTTCCAGAGCTACTGCTGGTTTTAGAAGGCGGAGACGACGAGGGTTGCGTGCGCGAGGTTTGCTCGCGTTCGCCAGAGGGAAGGTCGTCGCCCGCGCCCAGAGCGATGGGGTCCGTGGTTTCTAGATCTCGGATCTTTTGGTGCGGGTGGCCTTGTTGTTGGTTTTGGTTGTGCGGCTTCTGTGTCGGTGCACGGTAGGCTAAGCCTGCTGTAAGCAGAAACTGCATGACGAAGCCACAGAGACCGAGGCTGGCGAGGAGGCACCATTCGGTCATGTTTCCCGGCAGCCGAAACTTGACATCAGGAAAAATGATGAGACATGCCATTGACACGATACTGCACCATACACTGAAGTAGTTGATGCTAATGAAGGCGTGAGCACGTGTGCCAATCGCGCGGATTGAGGTCAGAGCCCCTGTTGAACCAACAACCCCGAGCATTGCAATACCAATGGCAGCGAGATGCTGATCAGGAGGAGGCTGTTGGGAATGTTCCGGCGTCGTGGTAGAGTTGGAAGGGCCCGCTATTGGTGGGCTGGAGTGTTGACGCGGGGTGGATGGAGACGAGAAGAGAGACGCAGGCTGGGCAATGAAGATGACACCGACAAGGCTGACGAAGCCGGCCAGTTGCTGTTGTCTGCTGAATGTCTCACCAGGGATGACAAAACTGCAAAGATAGCAGGTGAGGATAGGGGCGAGGAAGGTTAAGACAGTTGCTTCGCTGAGCGGCAAGTACAGAAGACTGAAGTACATGCCAAACACACCGAAGAAGCCACAGAGCCCTCTAGCAACGAGAAGCCACCTGACCTCGCGAGGACCCCAAGGGAAGTGAGGTACAGATCTGGAATACACTCCATAGGCAGTGCATAGGGAGGCGGTGATTGATTGACGAACAAAGAGGATCTGGAATGGATGCATGGGCTTGCCATGAGAACCGGTTGTTTCGAGGAGTCGTGTAGAAACATTCATACCCGCGCCAAAGAACTGGGAGATCATAACCAGCATCGCGCCATAGTTGGCCACGTAGAACGAATGCACAGCAGCAATGAAACGGGACCCAGGGGGGGCCGGCGGAGCGGCATCTTGCGATATGCTGCGGATGAGAGGATGGTGGGTATGTAGTTCATTTGAGTGGAAGGAGAGTTCAGAGAGCTCCGAATATGTAGAATCGAGAGAGGGCCGAGACCGTCGAAAGGACGGGACATCGAGATAGGATTGGCGGACTTCTGGTAGGGTGGAGGACGATACGGTCGCCTTGGATGTTGATGGAAGGGAACCTAGGACGGCGTCGTTGGACAAGGTTGGTTGCGATGCATCGTGAAGATCGGATTTTGACGTTGACATGATCTTATAGCCATTCCAAATCATCCAGGGGTGATTGCAGTGACAAGGAAAATCAATATGGTCGGAGTACTCTCGGTTGGTAGCTCGTTTTGTACCGACGTAAAAAGAGAAACCGCAGGCAAAGAGTACTCTCTTGACGGACGTAGGGACAGCAGGAAGAAAATACTCAACAGGTCAATGGTAAGGAATGGACTGGGTATTGACAACGGGCAAAGAATATAAACAGAGACGGTGAGTGAGAGAAGCGTAATGAAAAGAAGGCGCGGAAGGATTCATCTAGAGGCCGGCTTCATTAGCCTATTGAGCCGTTAACGTGATACGCCCTTCGACCATCCACTTTCCCCCTCCCTTGGCTGTCTCGTTAGCCATGATTGACATACACCATGGCAAGACTCCTGTTCCTCCATTGGATAGCGAATACGCGAACCGGATCCAGACATCGTCTAACTGGTCCGGCTCTCGAGTCCCTCCTGCGCAACCCTGCGAAATGCTTGTGATGGAGCTGACATGGCAGGACAGCCTATTCGCTTTGGTGCTTGACATGCACACGGCACGGGTCCAGGTCCTACAAGCAGCGAGTACAAAAATTCCTCCACGATGACAAAGAATGCCATGTCATTCGAGAAAGAGAGTCTCTGTATACTTTTCCTTCTCCTCAGCAATACATGCATCGCTCAATTTCAATCCTCATGAGGCTGTCTCCGCCTCGCCCCTACGAAGCGCCAATAGCGCCCGGACATCCGTTACGTACTGCAGGGCCTCTAACATGGGTATCAAATGAAGCAAATCATTATCCGTTGGGTCATTTATCCATCCTTCAATGGGGATCGCGTTGTCTGCCATCGCCCGCCGAGTTAGCCGGAGCAGGGAAAGGACAAGGCTAGACGACAGTATAAGGATATGACTCACCTTCATGGAAGACATAGCTGACAGGGCTGTTGTCCAGAATGATCACCTTACTCAAATCAGGCTCAATGCTGCTCAGATCTTTGATGTACGCCCCGTTACGGAATGTACAGTGCTGTCGGTAGTATCGACCAACGAAATACTTTCGTTCCTGCTCCAACCAGTCAATCACAGGGTCTGCATATTCCTGCACCGACGCCGTAAACACCACGACCTTATACCACTTGGAAACTTTGCGTAAAAAGTCATCGCAATGAGGTCGTTTGTGAACGTAGTAGAGGATAGGATGTTGCGGTCCAAGCACTGGAGCCGCCTGCCCTGGCTGGGGCGGCGACAAGGCCACTGGCGCATTCAACTTGACCTCCACCATGTGCCCGGAAGACATGCGACCACCTTTCGCCAGAGAATGAATCAGAGTTTCGTCGAGGTCGAGGATCAGTGTCTTTTGTTGCAAAGCGGGTCCCCCACGAGTAGGTGATCTTGGAATAAGGTTGGCATAAGAGGGTTGTCGCCGAGGAATCAGAGGTCTTGGGGGCTGAGGCGCATGGGGGTATCTTGTGATTCTCAGCGATGGCGATGGAGATGTAGGCGACTTGATGTTGTCGACTGTCAATGGAACACTGTCACCCAGCGGGCTCGCGGCGTTCTTTTGCTTTCGTCTCTTCAATGTCAGATCATTCTGTTCCTTGATCCTGATCGACGATCGTCGCGTCTCAGACTCTTCGCGCGAGCTCTTTTCTCGTTTCGACTTGATTCGCGATTGGGCATGTCCCGTCTTGTGCAAGTCTGAGTCAGAATCCGAGGTCGAAGCGTTCAAAGAGTCGCTGGAATACGAGTGTCGCAACTTTGTTTCTTGGAGGACACGATTTGCTGGCTTCTCAGAGTTCCATGTACTCCCTGGAGCAGTATTAGAAAGGCTCATCGCATGCGCTGTATTGCTAGCGGGTATCCTTTCCCGACGAGGCCACCGTGGGATAATGGAAAGCTTCCCGTCTTGATCTCTGAAACACTTCGCGACGTAGACAACAGGAGCACCGATCACTGCCAATATTGTCTTGATAGCATCTGCTATTCTCTTGACGAGCCTCCGCCATCCATCAGCGTCCGTCTCAACGTCCTTTTTCTCATCAGCATGAAGTAATGGTTGCTTCTCGTCTTCATCCTTGATGAGAGAATCGCCATTGTCCGACCCAGGTTCTGAGGTAAGAAGGTCCGGAAATACGCTTCCCGGCTCTTTCTTTATTTGTTCATCGCTGAACGATCTCCCCCGAAGAGGCTCTTCGCCATACTCCTTTTGTAATAATTCGCCCTGAGATCGTGACCGTGGGCGCGATGCTTGTTGGGTCTGTCCGATGACTCGGGATGAAATCAAATTGAGAGAGTTCATTCTCTGGCGCGAGGATCGCGCAACTGAGAAGTTCGGTAGTAGAGCACGAGTGCAAGCGACCTGGACGCAGGTGTAGCGCCCGACTCTCAGCAGCGTGCGGTTTGGCAATCGGTTTTACGATGATGGCATCTCGGTGCTAAACGAAGGTGGGGAATTCGGGGCGCAAGCGGGATAGAAGGACCCAAATAAGATGGTGTGAAATGCTCACATAGTCAAAGCTATAGCACGAATCTCTATCAATTGCGACCAACTTGAGCAGCTGGACGAACAAGAAGAAGATGGCAATGACAAGGTTGGAAAGATGACAATGGCGGGTCGAATGACCAGTGAAGGGGGCCTCGGTGGCTGGTGCAACTGATCGGATCGAATCGATTTGACGTGCCCGACCAGGATGAGTCTGCCTCCAACAACCAGTTTTTGATGCCACCAACACAGAGACAAATTCCTTACATATCTTCGACTTCGATATACATCTCGAGGGACCCGAGTAGCATTCGCAGCATACCAAAATCCTCCATTGCGCCCGGCAAAACCCAGAAGAGCCATACCGTTGTCAAATACTCTGAAGTCTCCTGCAAAATAGCACTCTGTTCTCCGGGGCTGCCATCATGGCGCCTACGGCAGTGCCTTTGACGCCAGGCTTTGCGAGTTTTCAAAGAGTTTTATCTACGGAGCCGGTTGACTCCTCTGCAGCATACTTAATGTCGTACGTGCTACATCCGTCTGCATTTCTGGAGGACACTCACGAGGACGCAGACTATTGAAGCGACGACAGATCAAAGGATCGAAACGATGCGCGGTTGCAACGACTCTTCTCCTTCTCCGAACTGTCGAGCTAACCAAACAAGCCGACTCGGCCAGACTGATTCAAAGGGTGTCTGAAGTGGGCCAAAAACTCATAGGCGCAGCACCTCATGAACCAGCCGTTGGAAACATCGTACGCAGAGTCCTTGGCATAATACGTGAAGAGGACGAGGAAGACGTGGCTGGTACAAGAGGAGGAGATGAAGGTAGTATTGCCAATGGTGCTGGTTCCGAGGCTGCTACACCGGTGGAAGCATCACATTCAAGACCCATTCCGAACGGGCTTTTTCAAAAGCCTGATGCCAGCGCCAGTCCCTCGCCGTCGCGACATGGCACTCTGCCTCCGCTGATGAGCTCTCATACTGGTGCACCGGGTGGTGCTCGACCAGTTACGTCCATGTTCAGCATCATATCACATCCGACGATGAGACTATCAGGGCTTGACTCACCGGTCCATCACAGCAGCGCTGCCACACCTCGGATGGGTGCATCTGGAACTCTCCCAAACTTTCGTCCGGAGGTGATCAAAGGGATCAAAGAAATAATTGACGAAATCAACGCTTCAGACGACGAAATCTCCGCCGCAGCCCTCGAACAAATCCATCCACAAGAAACAATATTCACATATTCCTCCTCCCTTACCGTCCAGCGATTCCTACTCAAAGCCGCCTCGAAAAGAAAGTTCACCGTCGTCCACGCCGAGGCATATCCTAACAACCACTTGAAAACTCACGCTCTTCTAACCGGGAACCAAGACCCAACCGAGGACGAAGACAGCTTGCCGAACGACTCGTTCTCCAAATCCCTGACCTCCGCGGGCATCACGGTCGTGATGATCCCGGACTCTGCCATCTTTGCCGTCATGTCACGCGCTAGTAAAGTTATCCTAGATGCTCACGCTGTGCTGACGAACGGATCACTAGTGGCCGCCGCAGGAACCAAGGCCGTGATCAAAGCAGCAGGATACCATCGCGTCCCGGTCGTCGTATTGGCCGCGACGTACAAACTCTCTCCAGCATACCCATATGATCCATACTCGATGATCGAATATGGCGATGCCGGCAAAGTCGTCCCTTTTCAGGACGGCGAATTGCACTCCGGACTAGATTCCGGCGTCAGGAACCCGCTGTATGATTTCGTCGAGGCTGGAGATGTGGACCTTTTCGTCACGAATCAGGTTCCTGCCGTTGTCAGTGCAGGCTATCTCTACAGGGTAGTCAAGGATCAGTATCGTGACGAGGATTTGCACCTCTGAGAGAAGAGCATTCTATACGACACAGACTAGGCCGGGATCGGGGTCTGAACCGGATTAGCGTTTGCCATGCATAGATGATGCTGGAACTGGATCCTCATCATGAAGAAGCCATTTTTTTGGGATACACCTGGATAAAATGCTGTGACGTATCAGTGTGAGAGATTCATGAGAGATGTTAAGATGAGAAGAAAAACAGCAAGTCCGGGTTTGAAGTACCAACTCAAGCTGGCTTCTGCCATCAAGTATAGAGATTTTTCTTCTTTCGACTCGCGTCAACTCCTGTCCACGACGCTGCAGGCACGGCTTCTGGAGAGATGCCACTTTTGTTGTACAGTATAGATGCGCCCAATATCATCGACAATCATGGTAATACAACAACAGAGAACCACCTTGGAAGCCAGCTGGACTCCCCCTCCTTCTTCAAATAAAGCTCTGCGCTCACACTGATCTCGATCTCGGTCTACTAAATGGTTTATCCTCATCCACCTTCTGCCTCCTCAAACGGCCTGGCCCTTTCTTCTCCTTCCCCGTAGCATTAGTATCCCGATCCTTCTCACCTCTCACCCACTCGTAAAGCGTGCCGTCTTCTTCAAACGCCTCCTTTTCCAACTGCTCCTGCGCCTTCTCATCCGCCTCAAGACGCTGGACTTCTTGTTCCAGCGCCGCCTCGCCTCCTTCTCGGAATCGCGTGACTTTGCGAATATTCACGGCCATGAGCTCGTTCATAGGCAGGTCTTCGCGCCGCTGCCGCACGAGGGCTTTGGCAGTCATGCTAAAGCGCATGTCGCGAGGGCCGTCGACAAGCGATAGAATTGCGGACGGCGCCTGGTCTTCTCGGATCGGCTCCTGGCGCAGCAGCCGTGTGTATCCGCCTGGTCGGAGTTCGTAGCGTTTTCTCAGCGTTTCGAATAGTTTGTCCATGTGTTTTTCTGGTTCCTAAAACACAGATACCTTCGTCAGTTTCACGTAGCAGACGAAGATAGCCGATAACCCACATAAAAAATCGACTTCGCCCGTTGTCTCGCTGCATTTGTGTTCTTCTTGCCCAGTGTGATCAGCTTTTCAGCTAACCGTTGGGTTTCTTTGGCCTTCGCATAAGTCGTGGATATGGCTTCATTCGCGATTAGGGATGTGACCAGGTTGCGGAGGAGAGCTTGTCGGTGGGCCGAGTCGCGGCTCAGATGACGGTATTTTATGGAAGACATTTTGTTTTATGATTGATAAACCAAGAGTTTGTACGAGAGCCGGAGCTCGAATGGTAGTGTTTCGCTCTCTAATCGAGTGGGTGATGCGGATTAATATATATTGGACGGCTGAAGGATCGCAGCTCTTGTCGTGGAATGGGAGGACACAGGTTTCAAAGTTGAGAAAGGGCAAATATCATTGTGAAGAAGCTCTTGTTGAAAAGTCCCCTCGGCCAATTGAACTCCGAATCTGGGCGCCAAGAAAATCCAGCCTTACAGCCCCAGAAATCGGTCCTTTTTGGTTATGGAGGACTCCAAGGCTAATTGTACTTTGTCTGCCCTATGACATTTTAAGAGTCTTATGGATAATTTCATGCACATCGAAATGGCTCAGAAATTGTCGTTCCATGTTTGTGTATAAGTTGACAGAAGCTGCGCCTAGTATTGTCGAAGCCTCAGACTCTTTGCCATGTCCTCTTCTGTCGTATAAAGCGTACCTCAGCTTTTGTCCCCAACCTGTAAGCCACTCTCTCACATTAGCTGCGCTACCCTGGCTCTGTTTTCTTTCTTTCAGACCAAGCCTACTACCATAGCCCCCAGAGGAACCATTGCTAGTCCACCGCTCAGCAAGACTCGGTTTCCTGCCCCATCAAATGTCTCCGCAGCAGGAGTTCCGGAGCTGGTACTACTTGGCGCCTGAAAAGTAAAGTCTTTATTAGACACGTTCGAAATCATTTGGGTATTGCAAAGACAGTCACTTACCACACTTTCTGTCTCTTCAGCAGTCGGTGTAGCGGCGTCCGTTGAAGTGGCCGGAGCGGACGCAGTTGTGGTCGCTTCAGGGCTAGCAGAAGCAGTCATGGTCTCAGCCACCGAGGTCGAAGCCGAAACCGAACTGCTACTCGTCACTGAGGTGGAGTTGGCGGGAAGAGGTGTTGCATCTAGCCCACATCCCGCCGCAGCCGCAGACACGCTTTCACCGTAATATTGCCAGATGTCGAATTCGAGTGCGCAATCGAGGCACGCATCCAGAGCCGTGGTGAAATTCGCCGTTTCACAATAACCTTCAGTCCGACCAGCGACAATGACAGCACCTCATCATTGAGTTAGCTTAATCCGACAAGGACCAGGACCTGGTTCTCAACGGATCGAGACTCACCGCAGTTGGAATGACAGTCATACTCCGGTGTGCCCGGTGCTTGTCGTCGACCGAGGGGTAGCGTTTCAGGATACACCAGGGAAGCGGTGGCAGAAACGATGGTGAGTGCCACGAAGCCAACAAGCGAGGAACGCATTTTGAGAGATAACGAGCGACAGAGAAGATGGAGTAGTGGTATTTGGGAGGGGGTGTCTGAAGCGGTTCAGAGGAGCATAGCACGCGCGACGGGCCAGGAACCTGGGCGATTGAGTACTCATATACCTAGTGGAATTGGAGAGAAGCCTGTCCTCGGCACGTAACATGCAGCTGCAAGCGGATGCTCAACGGAAATTCGTATCGTCGCCCGAGCCCGCGCCTTATTGGAGCAAAGGCACCTTCTCAAAGAGCTCGGGTCTTGCTTCGCACCTCAATTCCGAAGTGAGACATCTGGAGAGAGACAATAGTACGTAGAAGCTAACGCGTATTTGTTGCATGCCATGCTTTCGGGCACGAGCAACTTAGTCATGAACCGAAGTCTGGAGGATTTTGTTCGAGGCCGAGAAATGCTGGAGACGAGCTTGTGGTGATAAAGAAGCCAATCAGAAGCGAGGCCCCGCAAATGTCAATGAGACGGTCGGTCTTGGAATGAGCGATTTATCTTATCAGATTTTGCTTTGAGTGTCTGACCAAAATTATCTTGTGAGTTTTCGTTGTGTTGCCATTGCAGATTTGGTCTGATCGGCGGATTTTCCAAAGCCGACACCGGGCGAACTATCTTATCAGATTAGATGGTCTGGGTTGGCAGCATGCTTGCAGACTTGGAACTCTCTTAGGCAACTCACGCCAATAAACCGCCACTGATGCCCCACGTCACTGAATATTCTGGTTGCATGTGGCATGATGTTCTCTGAAGACCCTTGGAGTGGGTTAATGCTGCTGAGAAGGGGGGCCCATTTGAGAAGGTGTGATGAGAGGAACTGCTTCTCGTGACCGCACTATATCTCCCGAGTTTCCGTACAAGTAATGGCGGTGGAAGAGAGTTCTTTCAAGTTTATCTCCAGCCAGGCTGCCCCTCCTGTGTTGGATCCTGGGCAAGGTACCAACAACTGTGGACAGGCTTTGAGTTATCAGGATCTTGTATGTCTTAACTTCTGTACTGCAGGCTGATCGTCAATATGTTGGGTGTGAGATCTCTTCTTTTCAGTGGACTCTGTGCCGTGAGGTCTGTTCTTGCTCAACATGGAGAGGAATATGCCGAAACGATGGGCCCCGTGGCCTTCATGTGGCCGCCTGATCGTGAATGGGGTGCGGCTCAAGACAATACAGCTCCTTGCGGATCAGCGACAGCAGTTGTGAACAGGACCGAATTTCCACTGCGTATGTACCATGATCAACTCTTAGTTTCGTTACTGATATCCTCCAGTCAACGGGCAAGTCGCCCTTGTTGCGCAGGATGAGTCCTGGTCTATTCAAGTGGCGATCTCTCACAGCAATGGTAAGATCGTTGGCATGATGTTTGAAATCTTGTGCAATGCTGACTGGTGTACCAGATCCAACCTCGAATGACGACTTTGAGACAGTGATTGCAGCGACGAGAATCCCGGAATTGAATGAAGGCCATCAATGCTATCCGATTCCGAATCCCTCTACAGATGTTGAAGCAGGATCGAATGCGACGTTGCAGATCAAATACACCTCCGATTTCGACACGGACAAAAACGAGACCTTCTATGCATGTGCAGATATCACATATGTTCTGACCAGTCAATTCACTTACCAAGTGCCTTGCTTCAATGCCACCGTTGACGATTATGATATTTCAGATAATGATGACCCTGATTCAAGTTCTTCCGGCACGGCCGCCGGGGCATCAGCGACCTCGGCAGCACCCGAAAGCTCGGAATCGTCATCCGGTCTGTCTGGGGGTGCCATAGCAGGTATTGTTGTCGGTGTTGTAGTTGGGGTTGCAGCTGTGTTGGGTGCTCTATTCTTCATGTGGCGTCGTAGTCAACAGAAAAAGCGGCTTCGTCAACAAGAGGCGTCACTGAGGACTGTGAAATGGGACGAAAACATGCAAGGGAAAGGTCCGGGCTCACAGAGTTCAGGCCAGGATATTGCTCTCACAAAGTTTCGCTAAGAGTCTGTGTTGGCCGACACGATAGCCCTAAGTGTGGTGGTTTCATCTCCCAGGAGAGACTGAGGGCCGGATCAGAAGGGGAGTCTGATCACGAGGCCAGCAATGGAAGTTTTATAAACGATTATCGAGCCAATCACTCTTCGGGGGAAGGTTGTCTTTTGCGTAGCAACTCTAACAATTCGCCGTAGCGCGTTCGGCCGGACATCGCAAACGCTTCTGTGCATGACCTTTCGAAGATTGATAGTTCTTATCGGCAGAGGGCAGCTTGGTGAATACCATTCCTTACGACCGTGCCCATTGTCTTGCACCTTTAAACCCCTGCCAACCGCGTTTGAAAGTCGCTTGCATGGTATTTAAGCACAAAGGTTCACGACTCTCGGATCTCTTCTCGTTCATTCGAGGAATACGCTCAAGTTCCAAACCGTGAAGCTTGATAGACGACTAGTATGGGTTTCACAACGGGCTTCGTAAGTCAACCAAATTCCGAAAGATGCTCATTCTCACTACGAATAGCTCGGAGGCGTGACTTTAACGTATTCGCTGCTCTACATCTCCCTTTATATCCACCGCGCCAACCGCAATGTCCAGCGAACCCTACTGTCACAACAAGCCACTCTCTTGAATTCTGTTGTCGAACCTCTCCCGCCCCTACCGGATCCACCAGCATATGAGATCCGAAGAGCTGGGTTGACAGAAGAACTTAAGGACCGCTGGAATCGTGAGGTCGAGAAGCTCGTTCGCAACTTCCAGGAAATAAACTGGACGCAGAAGCGGGAGTTGTATGAAGACCGGATAGCCGCTGTGTGGGCCAGGTTAAGATCATTGGAATCCGCTCAGAAACTGGAGTCCGGGGCCAAAGAGCTCGAGCAGAAGGTCAAGGACACAGTCAACAGTGGCGCTGAAGCGGCGGAAAAGGCGAAGGGGAAAGTCGAAAGCAAACCAAGACTACTGGAATTGAAATGAATGGCCTTCAAACCTCACACATCTCCACTCCCCTCACCACGGCTCAACGGCATGTATAAGGATCTAGGGTCTCCAGTTGAACATGAGATCTAGTCTCTTGAGCTGCGAGCTCTTCACATTCCCAAGACGATCATCGACACTACTAAGCATTCATGAATTAGGGGAAGAGATTTCGAACGTCCGAATCCCTCTCGACGATGCCACCCAAGGGTCCCCCGGAGGCCCGGTAATTTGGACTCGATTGAGTCCAAGATAGGCCACCCGGTAACCCTGGAGAGTTGGAGCAGAACACCCCAAGACAAGAAGCTCGATCCAACGAGGCAGCTTTACACCACGTCCACTACAGGAATAATCGGTAACGTCAGCGGACGCAATATTCTAAATTCTCTCAGGGTTTTCCAGAGCTGCTGCTCACTTTCCCTATGACGGAAAAGGTTGGCGTCTGAGCATCTGCTCCCAGACTCTCTTCAGTTACTCCTCGAGGAGTTCCAGGCATTGGCCCAGACAGTTCTCTGGGAGCCGTGGGAGGACCAGAGTAAGGTATGGACTGTTGGCATATGAGGTCTCAATGTCATTGATTAATATCTCAATCAAACGACTTCTGATATTCGTCCTGCATTGACCTGTCCATTCAAAAACCTTCTATCGACTTGTCTTTCTACACTACTTAGCCGCCAGATATTTTCAAATTGCTCAACGATATGCGCTGAGAGGACGACGTATTCCATTATTAGAAAACGATTGTTTCCCATCACGGGACCGTCATTTGATAGCTTTAACCATCTTTTTGGCTCTAGCAAAGTGTCTTGGTACGGGTTTCCAGACAAATTTGGAAAACCGGGTACCGCGGCCGGGTCGCACTACTAAGAGAGGCGCCGTATGAGACCGTGTGATAGCAAATTTTCATTTCCATTCCAATGAGGTCCTAGCTTTTCGATTCGTTCGAAGAAAGAAGAGTGAGAAACGTACAAAAGAACTCCTGAAACACCTTTGCATGCTTGCCCTATTCCCTTCGCATTTCTGAATTTATCACATTTCCCTTTGGGTCATCCTTTAGCACATCATTCTCGTGCTTGCATTTGCAATCGTCCATCGTTCGTTGTCGTCATCGTCGTCGTATTTGCTCAGTCCAACCGGACGTGTTAAACACGACCGGTTTTCCTCGCTCCAGAAATGGCTTTTCTTCGCTCCACCGTAACATCCGACTAAGGCTCAATGTTATGATGAGGAAGCAGAAATAGAAGTCTCATTTGCTCTTTGGAGGCTCTTCTCCAATTCCTTCACCCTTGCCCGGAGAACCTCATTCTCACGCTTAACGGCCTCAAGCTCTGCACGCTGAAGGGCAGCCTCCTCATACCTCGCGGCCGCGACGGCAGCGCTGGAACTTGGACTCCGAGGAAAGGCAGACGAAGGCGCAGAGTCTGCTGCAGATGTCGTCAAGTTCAGCGCATTTGAAGATACAGAGCTCCGATGTGGATATGCATAAGCACTCTGGCTCATGTGCGGTGATGAGGTGATAGAACTCGAACGGAAGCCTGACGCGGACGTGGAATTTTGACGACTTACGTCTGGTCGGGTGATTTCCATACTAGGGCGACTGCTTGCCTGGACGCTTTGATCTCGAGGTGCGGCGACACCGGAGACACTGGTATTGGCAGCATTGGCAAGACTGTCCCGAATGGATCGCGCGGAGCGTGTGGACAAGTTCGAAGAAGATCGATGACGACGCGCAGTGATTGGGATGATTGTTGCAGCAGTACCAGTCGTGGACATATACGGGTCATTGGAAGAGAAGAAATGGTCGGATGTGGACGAGGTTGTAGAAGCAACGGATGCTGTCTGGGCACGCAGAGCAGATAGTTCGCGTGTAAGACGATTGACCTAAGTCCACGTTAGCCTCAGCACCCCATTCCTATTAGCTGACCGTGCTCACAATGCTCTCTTGTTCTTTCTCTAATTCCAAGTGTAATTCCGCTGCAGTGAGAGGCCGAGGGTGTCTAATGGGCCCTATTTAGGTCAATCAGCAAAGGCTCGTGGAAGACCGGTTCCTCTCGACTGACCTGGTCCAACGCCAACCCCGGTATTGTCCATCATTGTAGCCTGTGCAGGCCGAGGCGAGCTCGGTAAACTGTTGTTCTGGGGAAGAGGAGGGGGTAGCATTTGTGTCGAAGTTCGTCTCGATGCAGCCTGCGAAGAACTCGGTGCGGGAGCGGGGAGTGTGCCGGAAGGTGGTGGGTTTGAGGTGCCTCGAGGTGATCTTGGAACAGAATTCAAGTCTGGGGCCATTTTACCCTGATTTCGTACACTGCAAAGGGCGTGAATACCGAAGTGTAGAGAAGGTGAGAGGACAAAGCTGGCGAGTGTTCTAGAGGCAGGCCATGGGAAAAGAAATCCAAACGTCAGTCAGTTTCCAGCGGCCGCGTGCGAAAGGAGTATATCAAGAGGAGCGTCTCAGCGGTCCTGTCTATATAGGGGACCGGAAGGAATCAACTCAGACGAGGGTATCGTAGTGTTTGGGCGAGAATAACAGGTTGCAGTACTTGGTTGTCAAGTGGTCGTGGCCACCTGAAATGTCGCGTCGCCCTCAGCCAATCACAGCTCCCGGCCTAAGCATTTCCTTGCGGCGTTTCCAAGATTCCAGACACAAGCAGATCTCGAACTCCAACTGGGCGATAGCATGAATACTCTTTTAAATCTGCCAAATTTCTATCTCTTGGTAATGCAATCCACTTGGGTTTCTTCCTGCCACCTCCGGTCCGAAACCCTCTGAAGCTATGCCCTTCAGTCATCATTTGGGAAGGGTTATTGACAAAATCCACCAGACCAACATCCATGTACGTCGCACCAAAATTCCAACGATCTATAGTTGCAACAAAAGAGACAGCTCTCAACAGCTTTGGCCGCATTCGCTTTCCCTGCCATCAAAGCCATTCGACAGGTCTGCCGACCATCCCTGATTCCTCCCTGCCAGCAAGACTGCGTGTTTCCAGTTTCAGACATTGGACACCGCTGCAGAAGTTTCGACGACAGTTTTCCCTTTCCTCATACTTGGATCCTCCTCGGTTTCCTTTTTGGAGTCCGAATCAGATGCCCCACTGGGACTCATATCTTCAGGCTCTGCGCATTCTCCACCTTTTGCTGAAGAAAACTGGCCCTGGATATTCTCGAGAGAGCTGGGAGAGTGATCTCGGTCGGCATTTTCGACATGTGTACTATCTTCTCCTTTCTCATCTTCGCCGATCATTGCAGCAAGACTCCTGAAATTGAACATCGGCTCCAGACTTCCTGGCGGTGGCGTTCCTGTGCCAGGAAACGTGGCCGCCGGGCCCGATTCGACAAATGAAGACGAAGTTGATGATGCATTGGACATTTGTCGGAGATGAGACCGACGAAATGGTTCAGCCGAAGCAGGGATTGGGATGGAAGACGCCAAAGATTCTTGACTCGTGCCAGAAAGTGATAAAGCGGGGATGTAGGATGGTCGAGGGGTCTCGTCTTCAATCTTCGTTCCTTCCGCGGGAGGAGTTTCGCTGCGCTCGACACCCTTGCCCTTATCTGTGGTGGAGTCGTCGTCTAAACCTAGAGAGAGGTTGCTCTGGGATCTTTCCATCAGACTGCTCGATCCGTCACCATTGCTGATGTTGGAGTTCATGGTAAGAGGACTGTTCTTACGAGCAGCCTTTTCTGCCTTCTTATTCTCCTTTTCTTTCTTCTTTGCTTCTTTGCGTGCTTCCTTTTCTTCTTTCTTGCGACGTTCTTCTTCCGAGGCTAGGCTCAACCGAATAGCCTCCATCATCATCATGTCTTCCAAATCGTCCATACGACTCCTTCGAGAACTGCTGCCACGTGGGGGAGGGAGGAAAGGGTTCCGAGAGTCTACAGTTGATTGTTCCTGTTGACGAGCGGCATGTCTCTCTGCCAGCATTGCAAGAGCGCTCAGGTTTGCGCTCGGTCCGTTCTCCGCGCCTTCTAACGTGGGACGTCTAAGCATACTTCGTCGGGCGAAAGTTGTAAAAGCTCGAGACTCGGGACCCTGACCGTTCATAAGATATGCTGCAGTGTGTAATGCCGTAGCCGCTGCAGATCGTCGAGCAGCATGCGCCCGTGCTGCTGCCAGCTTTGTCGCCCAGTCTGGGCGGATCTTGTCTGTGGTAATGACCTCGGGGGCATTTGCAGAAAGGGAGGTCCCACGCCTTCGGCCAGGGCCCGGAGACAAGTTCCCTGAAGAAAGTGAGGTCTGTGAGGACATTGCTGACATGGCTTGATATGGTTGAGATCCAGCACCGTACGTGAGGCCTCGGCGGAACGGTGGCGGTGTGTATGTGATACCAAAATCTGGGGTTTTGCAATACGGACATGTTGCAATCTCAGAAACAAGTAGGCCCTCTGCTTGCGCTTCACGCTCAGCTTCGGAAATGGGAGGAGCATTAGGATCTGGCTGCTCATGTTCTGGAGGATGTGGATCTGGTCGTTTTATTTGTACAAAACATTCCGAACAGATCGGCTGTTCGCAACACCTCGTCGTGTTTAGGTATGGAGGATAGTACAGGAAGCAGATCGGGCATTCCGAAGCATCCTTGTATAGATAAACTTCAATCGGCTGTCCGTTGACAAATGGGTCCGGAGGTAACTGAAATTCTCGAGGTGCCATCTCGGCCTGAGAATTACCTCGCGAGGACGTAGTTAGAGATGCTAATGTTTTGGCGCGGCTCCTAAAGATGTTGGTGTTTGGCGAACCAGAGGGTGGTGGTGATGCCGGTGAAGGAAGCGGTAGAGAGTTCGGAGCAGGCGAAAGCGGAGCTGAACTGTCCGACTGGAATGATTGTGACCTTGGCCCAATGGGGATTGTAAGATTTTTAAGAGAAGCTTCCTTGGTCTTATCCGACAGTGGATTTTTGGTGAGCCGGTATTCGAGTTCCGGAGGCACCTCGTCCGCTGGAGGGATCGCCATACCTCTGGCAGCCGCCATGAGTTGATGTTCTGCCCATGAGTCTGAGAAATCGTTCAAGCCTCTCCAAAATGGAGCCAGCCGGCGCTCGATCTATTATCAATCGTCAGTCTAATGTCTGTCTGCGACACTTAGAAGCACTCACCATAAGTTGTCGAACAATTGCTTTGCTAAAATCTTCAGGACCAACGTAGACGCCCTGGGTTACAAGGTAACCGCCATCGACATGTTCCTCTCTCATACTACGTTCACGCTCCTTAATCCTTGCCGCTCGTTCTTTCTCCGCCTTCCTTGCCTCTCTCTCCTGTTTGGTCTCTCGCCTTGTTTCGAGCGAGGAAGCATCCGGATCACTATTTCCGCCAATGCCGAGAAAAGAGAAATCAGGTCGACTCCCTCTCCGCTGTCGAGACGAATACAAAGGCCGTAGAGAAGACTCGGAGCCATTGGATTGTCCGTCTTGTCGAGAGGCTGCGCTGGCGCTGCCACCGACTCTAGAGCCAGAAGAGCCCTGCCCACGTGCTTCTTTGGTCTGCGAATTTCCCATTTTGACTGTATCTCTGGGTGACTGAGCAACCTCCCACTGCTTGTCCACACCAGCACTGCGTTATCATCGCCACATTTTATGTCTACCTTGTTTTCCCGGCGACAAGCATGGAAGGCCTAGGCCGAAATACAGATGCGTTCGTATTCGAGGGCGGCGATCGTCGAAGTTCCCTGGGGAGCCAAAGGTGGTCTCCGGGTTTAGCGGAGTGTTTCACTAGATGAGAGAATGACAAGTCAGGATAGAAGTCGGTGGCAGCTACACCAAAAGGGAAGAAGTAAAGATGTAAATGATGTAAACTCTTGTGGAGTGATCTCACATAACAGTCCATGCGAGGGCGGTGGATGGGGATTGACGTACGCAATGATGCAGCAGCAAAGACAACGGAGGACAAGAGCAGCCCGCAGGAAGCCGCCAAGTTTCCTGCCGATTTAACCTCAGCACTTTACCTGTCGCTGGATTCCCGGTGGGTGTGAGGGTGTTGGAGAGCAGGACACTGGCACAGATCATGGCCTGTTGTCATCCGGACTTCATAACTTGACTTGAACGATAAGTTAACGATACGGAGTGGGCGACCCACCTTTGGCCTCTACTAAGTAGTAACAACACCTGTCCAAGCTTGCTTAGTTTCGCTGTGAGGGTTGCCGCCCTTGCCGATGCTAAGGATACCGTTCCTCTTAGGTGGTAAGTGCCCCGCGTGCCGATGTTGAAGCGTCAAGCCGGCAGACCAGACCCATTTGCAGCACCCCTCCACGCCTAGACCGCCCCCAGCTTGGTTAACAGCAAAAAGTTGACGTTTTTGCCCTGAAGACATCCCAGCCGTACTAATAGGCGCCAAAGGAAATCATCGTGGCCGACTCTCCAGCACCTCCGTTCTGAGATGACTTCGTTATGACCGGTGGATTTATGCGACTGCACATAACCCCTTTTTCTCCCGACTTACTTCATGCCGTGGTCGGCCCAAACCTACTCAGTACAGTCTCGAACATATCCTATCACACGATCCAAACGTTTCCAGAAAACAACTACGGCTACCTGGAACTCCCAACGATGGAAGCAGAGAAGGTCAAGAAGAAACTCCATGGCACCATATTGAAGGGTAAGAAGATGAAGATTGAAGAGGCGCGACCTAAGAAGCGCAGGCGTGTTGAAGAGGCCGTGGAAGAACCTGCAAAAGATGGAACTATCACGGGAGCAAAGAAAACCAAGAAGGATCGCAATGTCATTTCAGGACACGAGCTGCCCTTGGATCGCAAAGTAAAGCGCGGCTGGACCGAGTCGAGCTCCACGATATCTGGCAAAATGAGCAAAGGCAAGAAGCCGTCTTCGACCTCAAAATTTTCGGACAAGAATGAGCTCTTGTTTCGGACGAAATTACTTCCAAATAAGGCCGAACCTGTGTCAGCAGCCAGAAAAGGCAAGGGCAAAAAGAAAAAGAGCAATGATGAGTACGTGGTGCACGAATTTGAGAAGTCAACAATTCAACCATCCTTTCTCAGAGAAGACGTTGGATGGTGTATCAAGGGAAATCTCGAATATGTTGAGGGGCAAGGATGGATTGATGAGACCGGCCGGACTGTTGAGAAGGAGAGCGAGCGCATTCTGAAGAAACGTGAGGCAATGAAATCGGCAAACAATACCAATCGACAAGAAGCAAAGCATCCCGATCAAGACTGCGGCGTGTCCACATCATCCAATGATGACGATGATGAAGAGAAAAGTGATCAAGACCTACAAGAGACTAGGCTCCCCCCCGCTGAGGCGGATGATGAAACGAGCAGCTCTGGCTCCAGTTCGGATTCTCCATCCGACTCAAAGTCAGATGTGGAGACAGGGGCAAGTGCATCAGAAAGGGATAGAGCCTATTCAGCTTCTGCAAGCGACGACAAACCGAATAGAGAACCAGATGTTCATCCTTTAGAGGCTCTCTTCAAGAAGCCGAGCAAACCGACCTCACAGGACATCGCAAAACCGACCCTGGAAGTAACGACATCATTCTCGTTCTTTGAGTCTGGGAACAATGATGATATCGATGAAGACACTAGTATTCCAGGCACGCCCTTCAGTTCCCAGGACCTACGCATGAGAGGACTGCGAAGCGCTGCACCCACACCTGATACAGCGCATCCGAGCCGATTCAACGGCTATGGCAGTTCGTGTCTGCCAGGAGATGACGAACTGGAAGAAGATGGTCACGATCAGGACGCAGAAGCAGCTCCCAGTGACCAATCTAAAGGGTACCAACCGCTCAGTGAGACGCCATCTCGGAAGCAAAGCGAATTCGAGAAGAAGTTCTGGGAGAATCGAGCAGACAACAATCGAGCCTGGAAGTTGAGGAGGCGGACTGTGTTGAAGGAGAAAAGACAACGCCAGAACAAGTCGCAAAGGCCAAAGAACTGGTAGCTGGTGATTCGGCTCCAGTGTAGCCAGGTATTACCGCGCACTCACCACAGACGTAAAAAGATTGTGTCGGCCTCTTTAGTGACTAACCTCAATTCCAGATGGGCCCCGAGGCTGATAATGCTCTCAAGGCTTGTGGCTTTACTGGCCAGCTATCTTACATTACCTTGGCGGCGGCTTCCTTTAGTCTTAGTAATTTAGCCGCGTGGAATCCTGAATTTGTGGCAGCCTGTTAACCAAATGCCGATCCCTTCTTGTCGCGTTGTCTACAATCTCGAGAACTTACCCTGATTTTTTTTTGTTGCGTGCGCTCAGACTTACGCTCTGAAAGCACTTGACAAAGCCCATAAGTATTAGGGCCTTTTCCCTACTCAACCGGATCCTCGAGTCATCATCTCCACCTCCGAGATCCCGCCGGCTGTCATGAGAACCCACATTGTTCCAGGTTTATAATTGCCGACTATACCGCAACATCCTTCCTCTCATGCCGCCAAAGAATCAACGACGCTCTCATACGAAATCAAAGAACGGTTGCAGTCAATGCAAGGTTCGTCGCATCAAGGTCGGCCTGCCATAAATCCGCTGGCTCTTCACTTGAGATGCTGACGTCCATCGACAGTGCAACGAGCATCACCCAATATGCAACAACTGTGAACGTCGCCAAATATTTTGCGATTTCTCGCTATCTCCTGGTGCCAGTGGATCCCCCAACAATACCTCCGATGGTCGCCAGCAGTCTGGCCAGCCAACATCCGTGCACGGAGGGCAGTGCACGCCATCCCAACACATGCTCGATCCCTTCCAGCAACCGGACCTCCTCAGTACCAAGGAGACAACTGATCTCGATATAACTGACCTGAAGTTGATGCACCATTTCACCAGTGTCGTCGCAACGGACCTGGCCAGTGGCCAAACGCCCGAGGCGCGCGCGCTGTGGCAGATTCATGCTGTAAAACTAGGGTTCAAGCATCATTTTCTGCTCAGAGGCATTTTGGCCGTATCAGCTTTCCATTTGGGGTATATTCATCCTGAAAGAAAAGTCGAATATGAACTGATTGGGACCGCTCATCAAGGGATTGGCCTGACAGAGTTTCAAGATACATTGACGCATGTGGATGAAACCAATTGTCACGCACTCTTCGCCTTCTCCTGTCTACTGATTGTTCTTGCATTCGCGTCAAGCACCAAAGACAAACCTAAGGACTTCAACACGGATGTGCTCCACTGGTTCTACCTGCTCCGAGGAGCAAACTCTGTGCTCAATATGCATTCCGAAACGATCCGATGTAGCTTCCTCAAACCTTTGTTAGACGAAATGGCACACGTTGAGACCACCGCAGCCTACGGATTCCCAGACATCGATCAAATCACAAAACTATTCCGGATTTGCAGTTCTGTGGAGCATGACAAAGAAATTGCTCAAGCGTACGACCTTGCTATCCATTCCCTACTCAGCACGTTCATTCAAGCCTCTCTACTTAAGACTCGCGGCGATGGCACAATCCTGGCCACGTTTGTGTGGCCGCTCAATCTCTCGCCCAAGTTTCTTGACCTCCTGGGCGAAAAGCAACCCGAGGCGATGATCATTCTAGCACATTACTGCGTTCTCATATATTGGGGCGAGTCCACCGATTCGAACGATACGTGGTTTATCAACGGATGGGCCCACTATATGCTCGATACGATCAAAGAATCGATCCCTGAAGCCTGGCAGGAGCATTTGGAATGGCCGAACACGATGATCACGTGAGCAGACGATATGAAGAGAGTAGAGATTGCTTCGCCTTGAATTCAACTTCTCCATCAATTGGAAACAAGCCAAATCTGCGTCCCTGAGATGAGAGAGGGGGAAAGATTCGCTTCAACGAATGATTGACGTACACCTTGATGTAACATATGCTGGAAAAATTGGGTTTTTGCAGTAATGGGTTCTGAATAGCTGGGGGCTTCGTTGACAGGCGTTGTTCGAGTTGGAGGAGTCCAAGAGAACAAACACTGAGGTCGTGTCCCTGAAGGGCACGAAGGATGGAATTAAAAGAATATTTAATTCGTGTAATTGGGTCTGAGAAGGGGTCAAGCGGGTTGATTGGTATACAAGTCATCCCCTTCTGTATCTTGGAGAGTGCAGCCGCTTCCGGACGACTCATTCCTCCAGGAGCACACAGCGGCCAAGAACTCTGGATCTGCTGTGAAGTGGCTGGAGGCAGAAGGTTTCATGCAGGCAGGGAGGAAGGGATTTCCGTTGGCGCGTAACTCTTCTGTGAAAGAGCTCAAGACCCATTGATGGTATTGTAAAGAATCCCCTAAAAAATCCATCAAGAACCCTCAGCTCGAAACCAGACACCGGGTGTATGCATCTAGATACCACTTCTTGAAGATGAACTGTGGTTCACACTTGTCGATAACTTGATGCAGTCTTTCGTATGGGAAAAAGCTTCTACCGTTCCGACCCCTCGAGCCTCAACGAAGAAAAGCCATACGCACGTGATCACGTATGTGGCCCTGCCGCTTGCGTCGTCAAAATGGCCCGTGCGCAGGTTCCTCTCCCATTTCCTCTCCATCAAAACTGGTTCCGTACCATCATGCGCAAGCCATCCTCCGTCTGTTGCTCCTCTCCCAATTCCAGTTCACCTGAAAATGATATTCTGACGAGACTCTCCGCGACGTCCCAGCCATACATACACCACTATCAAATGAGGATTTGGACAGCACCGAGCAAACACGCAACCCTCAGTGGAGCAACTCTGAAACAACTCAACACCTGAAGCGCCCCCTTTGTCATGGCCATGCTTCAACCATCACCAACTATGGCCCCTGACACTGGCTTGACCCTCCTTTTGCCTGCGTTGTGTTACTTTCTCTCTTCTTCTCCGTTTCTTTGGGTGTTTCATTCTCTTTTCTCATCTCTTTGTCATTCCCTTCGCTGGCCTCCTCACGCTCGACCAGATCGAGCACGAACAGCAGTGTCTTGTCGAGCAGGTCTCGTCCTTTCACTTCTTGAACACATATAGACGTTTCCTCGAATCGAAAAATACCACCAGCTGCAACCCGTTCGCATAGCAGTCTACCCCAAAAATCCAGTGATGGCGAACAAAATCCTCCTCGTCTTCATCGGCTTCGATATTCTCTTCCTCCTCTGCGCCGGCCTGCACCTCTTCCTTCCACTCTACACTGAAGCCAGCATCAAAAATAACACCAACGTGAGCAATATCGCACAGAATCTTCTTCTTGACCATTGCCCGCTGACAGGTAAACTGGACCCCATATCTCCCCTCTTTTATTCTGCCTACGATGTACTAACAAACCGTGTCAAAGCGAGCGAGGCCAACTCGGTGATCATGTTCATCACTTTCCTCCTCTCCGTTCCGGCCTTCTTCATGAAATCCAACCGAACCTACCTCAAACTTCATGCCTGTGGTGTCATCCTTGCAGCACTTTTGACCCTCGGTATTGGGCTCGCCATCTGGTTTTCCACGTTGGAAACACACAAGAACCTCGCCCCGATCTGGAATAAGCAGACCCCTCAAATCCAGACCATGCTTCAAGCCAAATTCCAATGCTGTGGCTATGATAACCCGGCCCTCTTTGTCAGGGACCAAACCTGCACCAGCGCCGCGACCGCCGCACGCTTGGGTCCTTGCATGACTCCTTTCGGCACGTACGCGAATCAGTTCCTTGACGTCGTCTTCACAGCCTTATTCGGTGTCGTGGCTGTCGATATGATATTGTTGCTCGCTGGCCTGTGCTTGATTAAGGACCGTAAGGAGAAAGAGCGATACAGACTGATCGATGAGAAGAGGGGCTATGGCCCAATTTGAGAAGGTAGAGTGGCCAGACGCAATTCGGAGTTGATTGAGATGGGGGTTGGAAAGCATTTATGAGAAGGGGAAGGACGTATGTTTCCGAAGAGTGGGAGTAACATTCATTTTCCTTTTCACGGATTGGGGCGATTTGTGTACTATACAAGGGTTGGTCACGGAAAGATGTGTGTTGGAGCGTAGTGGTTTGTTTTCAGACTGAACTGAGAAGGGGGTGTTTTTGGGGTCTTCCGTCCCATCGGTGACTCTATCTGGAGTAGTAGAGTGCGAGAGGAGTTGAATGGGTTGGATACCAAGATTACGATAAGACAGACAGAACAGATATGATCAATGCAGTATACAAATCACCAAGCACGCTCATTCACTTTACATAAGTCCATGTATCGATTTAACGTGGGAATAATTCAGGTCCTCTACCACGTCCATCCCGACTACATTAAAGAGATATCGACCTGATCTATCCCACTAAGTCAGCATTTATCCTAAAACCCGTTCGTTCCTCGTTTGGTCTTCAGACTCTACAAATGAGCTGACTGCCACTCAAATCCCCCAGCACCAGCACAGGGCACCAGCGCCAGCACGGATGCGAAGGATCGTTAACTTACAACTAAACATACGAGATCCGTGTGGGGTAGTCAAGGTTCAATGGTGATCATGATCTCTTAGATCAGCGCTACACAGCACTGCATCTGGCCCGGGTTGTCGACATCATTATGATCATAAATCCATCACTATTCCCAATCTCGGCGCCACATGGCTAGAGCTTTTGAATAGCTTCCTTCTGAGATTTTGTTCCATTTCCTTCTTCTTCCCCCTTTTTTTCCCCCCCTTTTTTGCTATGTCTGCACGTTTGCGAGAAAGGATGGTAAAAGGACTAGAGCAATGATACAGTTTTGATGACATTTCTTAGACAGGGAGCTTCGATGCGCTATCGATAGGATACCGTCTCACACAGACATCCATTGATCTATCTTGAGGTGGAAGGTCACAGAGTTATTGAACCCAGCTCTCGAAGGCGATGGCATAATATTTCACCTCTCTAGACGGCAGCCACGAACCGGGACATCTCATTGAATGTAAATAACATCAGTGGAATCGTTAAGATCTACAAAGACGGCCTAGACATTGGTCACCCCATGTTCCAGAAGTATTGGCTTCGCATTGGCTTCGCATTGACCCGTCATCTTTCCCCGGACTCTACCTTCGACTGTCCCGATCGTTGCAACAGCACATCCCAACCTGCCGGGTACCAAAGAAAGGTTTCTTTCATTTTTGGGATTTGTGTGAATTTGCAATCGAGGCGACTCGACGTGCAAGAATATGATGTTCTTTCGGAATCTTCAATTTCCAATCCGGTAGGATACTGTAAGGAGTGGTATAACGACAAGTCCAAGGACAAGAATGCACCACCACGATTGGCACTGATGATTCCAGGCTATGTCGATCCCTGAAAAGGCACTGATAAAATCGAGCATGACTTGGCTTTTGCAGACGCTGAAACTCAAACGGTTGGCACCAACGATGTTGGTGAAACATTTCCTCCGGCCTTTTTCCACATGCATCGAACGAAATTAAAGTCTTTAGATGGACTCCTGGATTCGGCGGCATTAGCATTGACGAGTGCGAGAGTGAGATCGATTTGCGACAATCGATTGGGAGGTTGGTATAGTTACCGGTGCTCCAAAGCCGGAGTAAAATCAACTGGTCAAGTCAACAGATATCTACCTCAAACTGCAGTGGCGGGAATAATAATGCCATGTGCATGGGTTTGCGCCCTAGGGACGTTGAGGACAAATCTGAGTGAAGAGTCTTGGAAAAGTACATCAAAAGAAAGAAGAGCTCTTCAGCTTAAAATTCAGTGCAGAGAGGTCGATTGAAGTTGGTCAAGAAAGCGGATGAGAGCGCTCGCGACAGACCTTGGAATTGGCAAGGAAAGATATTGCTCCATGATGCATACTGCACATGCATTCATGATATAACGAGGGCTGGGTCAGTTGACATGTATTGACTTGTTTGCTCAAATTTTTAACCGGTAATCGAAAGGCCACAGAGCAATTGTGGTTGTTCAGTCATGAAACAGTGCCAGCAACTCCAAGTATGGGGAGGGAATCGAGAGGTATTCTGTAGACATGACAATGTAGATACCAAATGAGAAGTGTCGATATCATGTTTCCGACATGCATGCTTACTATGTTCTCACAGTAAGTATGCTATGGTTCCCATGAATCCCAGTGGCTATAAGGAGGTCCGAAGGAAGTGTTGGAAGCTGAAGGAGCTGTGGCTGTGATGATTCAGCCGATTTAGGTGGTTTTGCTAATCGGGAGCTAGCACTTGGGAGTGCGCCAGGAAGTAAGCCTCTGACCGGAGGATTTGGGCGGATGGGATCGAGGGGAGAGAGAGGGTTTTGAGGAGGTGTGTGAAGGTAGCTGGGCGTAAGGTGAGATGATGAAGACAGCAAGTAGAGAACAATACCCGTTCACAAAGGTAGCACAGAATACGCGGATTCAGTTTTCAGTAATTTCGAGGAACACATGCAAGAGATCGGTGGGGGGAAACTTGCGACAAAACAAATTGGGTGGGGAATAGATTGTAAGCCAAAGGATGTACCGAGCAATAACGGTTGGTATGAACTACTGGCATCAGTAACTAGCAGCACTAGCCCTGGCGGGCTCAATAAGCTAATAGCGCGGAGCATGGGAGTTAGCTGCTAACTTAGTCTGTCCAGAATTGTGCGCGGTGGATCTGACTGGATAGGAGAATCACTGGCCACTTAGCAGCAGCTATGAGCGGTGCTGGTAACTCCGGAGAGTCGGGGAAAAGAATGATCCGCCAGGCAAACGGGCCAATGGTACTGCTGTCGACCCCGTGCTTGTGCTTCGCTATTTCCAGCTGTGCATAAGGTGTGCCAGTGGCAGCCCACCCCAAACCCACCTTGCTGTCCACTGTGCCCAGAGCCCTCAGTCTTTAAAAGGCAAGCAGCTGCCGCTATGCCCTTTCCGACTCCCTTTCCTCTCTCGTCCACTGTCACTGTCCACATTCCACATCCACTGCAACTGAGCCTCTGTTGTTTGCTGTTCAACGCCCCATACATACCACTTCAATTGCTACCTTGCGACGGTGCAGACACTTTCTTCCTGCGTGTTCCAGGCTGGGGGATTCTTGTTCTGGGTTATCCGGGACGGTATGTTCTATCAATTCCCGTCTTTCATTGTTTGCTCTTTTCCTCTTCCATCCAAGGCGAGCGAGGATCATCCTTTTGCACCATGCCCAAAGCATCGATTCTTATACGGGAGACCCGACAAAGACTTGAGAGAACACGAGCGACTCGCCTTGACCCGAATTGGTTCTTTTGACAGCGGGGAGTGTCCTTGATCGCATTTCTCGTCCAACCATTCCAGAGTCTCACCGCGAAGGAGGCGAGACTCGAGGATTGGAGCCACAGAATGCGCAACGCGCCAAGCCACTCGTCCCCGCCACTGCCCTCTGCCTTGCTGGATTTTTTATTTGCGTGATCGGTCGTTGTGGTTGCACTGCCTGCTTTCCCCCCCACCCCCCTCGATCAGAAACATCGCACACCACTCACTTTCATTTTTTTCCCTCCCCGTTCAGCCGGAAGGCTCCCTCCTCTTTTGGCTCCTCGTCTCTCGCCTCTGGCCTCCAGAAATCAAGGCCCAAGGTCCCTACCACCGCCAAACCCTTTTCTTTTCCTTCTCAGTCCATACTTTACAGAAAGTGGTTACTTTCTTTGTATCCCAAAACCCACTTCCCTATCCCTTTGCAGTTTGACTGTTGCACATCCCATCATCCACAAAGCTTGATCCCACTCCAATCCTCTCTGTGCCTGTCATTTCCCAGGTTCCTCTAGTCTGTTCTATCGCGCATTTGTACTTGGCCTGTACGTGCCCGTGACACGCTTCACTTCTTTCTCCTATCCAATCCTGTCCGTGTCGGCGCACATCATCACTTGTACTCTCTGTCTTGTATCATTCACTCTTTTGCCTAATGCCCTACATTCACTAACATTCCCGCACACCAGTCCATCACACCAATCGCGGTTGATCCTCCAAAACCTTCTTGATCCGACCCATTCTCAAAAGGTGCGCCGACCGTCCACTGACTTCCTCTTTCGTCTATTGACACTTTACTTCTTTAGGTAGACAACTTGTCAGACTCGGTTGATTCCAAAAGAACACAAGATGGCGGACATCACCGATCCTTCGGCGGGCCTTGAACATCCTTCTCCCGGCGACGACCTCACCGGCAATGGTGTCGATTCTCGGGGAACCAAGCGACCAAGAACGTCCATGGCCGGTGACGATGATGACGATGATGATGAGAAGGGAGGACGAGAACGCAGAAAGATTGAGATCAAGTTCATTCAAGACAAATCACGTCGCCACATCACATTCTCCAAGAGAAAGGCTGGCATCATGAAGAAGGTCCGCGACATCTGGCCATCACGAAAAGCGATCTCATATTGACTCTTTACGCAGGCATACGAGCTCTCTGTCCTTACTGGAACCCAAGTCCTTCTGTTGGTCGTCTCTGAAACTGGTCTCGTCTACACCTTCACCACTCCCAAGCTCCAACCTCTGGTCACCAAGGCCGAGGGCAAGAATCTGATCCAGGTTGGTATCTACACCACGTGGACATTCGCCTTCACTAACCAACCACCAGGCATGCTTGAATGCTCCGGAACCTTCCGGGAATGAGAATGGTGTCGATGCTCCTGATGACGTTGCTTCCCCTGACGATGTTCCTGCCATGCCTCCCGCCGCCACGGGAATTCCTCGACCTGCTGCACACGGTGGCTACATGACTCAAGAACAACAACATCAAGCCATGTACTATCAACAATTGCAACAACAGAACCAGAGTGGCCAGTACGCTGGTATGCCTCAAATGCCCCAACATCAACGTGCATGATGAATGGAACCCTTCTCCACACGACGATACCCACAACCTGTGATTGTTAGCTCTCAAACGGTTGGCCACACTCTTGACAGCGAGGCGTCCCCATTGTCAATGGTTGGTATTTCCCAAGTGAGATGCATCTCTCCACCTCTCTTCAAGGTGTGACTCCTCTCAGATCGATTGGCGTTCTCGAACTTTCTCAAACCATCGTCCAACACCGAAGTCACTTATCAGAATATACTTGCCTCAAGTGTAGCTTCTAGTTCAGGCTCCAACCTCACTTGTTTTCCTTGTATGATTTCAATACCAAAGATTGGGTGGGGACCGCAGAGGGGCAAAAGACACCTGGGAGTCGGAGGAATGGTGTGCAAACCATGACCATGACCCTGTCATGTTTTTACAGGCACAGAAAATGTCCGAAAAAATTCAAACCGTGTTGAACATCTGCCAGTGTGTTGGTGACGCCGGCTTCTTGATATGAATCTGTACCCTATCTTGGATCCATGAACGAAACGAGATTACACAAAATTTTTCCTGTCCATTGAACTCGCTCCGTCACCATTTTATATTTCTTTACAACTTACTGCCCACCCATCGCGGAGCTCGTTTCTCCACAAAAGCTCTGACACCTTCGCGGATGTTCTCTCCCTCGTTGAGTCTCTTCCCAAAAATCTCCACAAGAGCCGACGATCCATGCTCAGCTGAACCGTCCTCCCAGCCCAGGACCACGCCGGCACGGCTGATAATGACGCTGTCCGGACTGTTGGCACAGATCTGCTCCGCATAATCCAGTGCCGTTTTAACCACAGGCCTATCTAGAATCTCCGCATTGACTGGAGCGTCGTCGGTAACGGCATTGACCATTCCCCATTCCCTCGCCTCGTCTGCACTGACATTCCTCCCCGTCAATGCCATCTCCATAGCCCGAGGTCGTCCCAACGTCCTCACGATTCTCGGCAAGGCCCCTGCGATAGCCACCACCCCTCTTTTGACCTCGGGCAGACTGAACAGAGCCCCTTTGGCCGCGACCACCAAGTCCATATTCGCAACCATCTCCATGCCTCCACCAAAGGCCAACCCGTTAATTGCGCCGATGACAGGTTTCTTCCCACTACGCCGACTCACAGCTCCAAATCCACTTGCCGGCATGACTCGTTGGCCTTGTCCACCTTTAGCAACCCGGGCGTTCGATTCGTTCCATTCTTTCAAATCCGCGCCTGCGCAGAAGGCTCGTCCCATTCCCGTGATCACACAGCAGCGTAAGCTAGGTTCGTTGTCATACCATGAGAACAAAGCGTCGAGGGCCCAGTGCATAGAGGTCGACAGGCAGTTGAGCCCGCGTGGGTTATTCAGGACGATCAGGAGGATAGATGGGGTGGGGAACAGGATGATTGTATTCGGCGTTTCGGGCGGTGGAGTTCTGAGACTTGATGGAGGTGTTGAAGAGGACATTTTCTGAGGAAAGACGTAGGATTGGAATCAGAGGGACGTAGATGGATGGTTTGTTTTTGCTTCGAAAATAAGACCTGGGTCGAGGATCGCTGAAGACCAAAGTCCTGTTGTTAAATATTTCTATATTATTTTCCCCCCTATCTTGTCAAGGTCAATTCCAATTGAAATTCATCTTTTCAGAAAGGAACGGACGAGGTTCGGGTTGAAAGTCGATCTTGACATTATATGTACAGTAAGCTCCTTCAGTTTTCTTCAGCCGAGGTTATCGTTCAAATTGGGGGAAATAAATATTACGGCCCAGGGCACAGCTTCGGGCCAGGCTTCTCCGACCCCAATCGATGATACTGAAACCCAATATGAGAGAGAACATGGGCTCGAGAATCCGATCGGATCATTTTGAAGAAGCTCCACTTCCACCTGTCACCGGTTGGTAGACCATTTTGGATACATGACATCCCCAGCCTCCCTTTTTCCTTAGTCACGATCTTCTTCAATGCCTCGCCGGCACACAACACGTCCTCGTCACCCTAGACGTCCACGAGCACGTCCCCTCCCCATGTGGCCCAGGCGGTGGCATCATGACGACTACACCCCCATACATCATCTCATCCACAGCAAATCTGGCCGCGGCTTATACGACGCGCTCGACGTTGACGATCGTTATCCCTTTGCCTGGCTCGACGCTGGCGACCGCTAAGGCAAGAAGAACCCATTCAACCGACGTTGTGTGGACGAAGTGCGGTGTCAATACGTTTGTGCGGATGTTGAGGCTCGGTGTCGTGTGATGGACGCTTCTGAATAGGCCGCCCACGCCGACTGGAAATTATTTATCAGTACCTGACCTCAAGAGAGACCTTTGTTAGGTATGTTCTTTCTTGTTCGAGCAGGGGAATGAGAGTGAGAGTAGGAATGGGAATTGGAATCCCTTGACCTGAAGTGGAATAGACAAGGAAGGGTAACGAAGAGCACAAGTCAACTCACATTTCGATACCTGACGGTCCGGCACATTAAGAAACGAGATGGTCAAACTGATAAGCATAAGCGACTTCGTCTTCGACTTCGGCTCGCTCTCTTTCCTCTCTTTGGCGCCCAGCTCCATCTCCTTCCTATCCCTATTTTACCAAACTCATATACCACAGCGCAAGATACATACACACGATCATACACGGCTAGGAAATTCACATCGATACCCCCATAGCCTTGAGGGAAAAGAGATTAATTGTGTCAGTCATGATGTTGATGACTTGAAATTTCCAGTTTTCAAGTTCTTGTTTAAACAACAAAGATCAGTTGCGGAGATGTTTAAGCAGACCAACGTGGACTCAGCTCCAAACAAAACACAACACAGCTTGGTCCACGGGTTTTTGGCAGGGCCTTCTATCTCCCGGTCGTCCTGTTTTGAATATGTCCAAAACCAAGTCCGTCCTGTCTCTCCGCATCAGTATCGAAGCCATGTTGGCCGACATTGTGACAAACTAAGGTCGAGTTCAGTGAAAACGGCACCGGGACACGGGGAAGTGGGAAGTGAAACAAAAGCCCATAGAGGCATCTTGGACAATCCTGAGAAAAGACGGGAAGACAAGTTCATTGGTTGCAGAAACGGAATGTCGGTGGAGAATTCTTGTAAAATGAAGCAATTGAAGGCTTTTGGAGCCATCAAATTTCCGGGACACTAGTGCCTGTCAAGTCTATCTCAGTTGAAGTGAGGCCGTATAGAATCGAGTAAGGTAAAACAGGCCCATAGTCAATCACTCGTGCTGTTCACCCCTCATGAAACGAAAAGAGTCCTCGTGTCTCATGACGGTCGTGACGCTTTATTCGGTCGTTTTCCCCTCCCACCTATTTCTTCTCGCTCTGAACTAGCTTCACCTTCTCCAAGATCTTTGGGTACAGAGGGTGGCTAGGTTCGAGGCCAGTGAGCTTGATGGTTGCATCCTCTGGTGACATGGTGCTCATTATTTGAGCCAATTCCTTGCTCTCCTCATCACCTTCAACATTCTGGAATCGAAGAGCCATCTCGACCCCGCGAACGAGAGCGGTGACATCGTATCCACGTTCAGCCAATTGGGCGGCCGGTCCGATGAAGCGTTCCTTGCGACCAAGTTTTCGGAGAGGTGCACGGGCAACACGAACCGGAACATCCTCAAGATGAGGGTTGGAGATACGAGAGATAATAGTGTCAACGTATTTCTGTTGCTCCTCAGCTGTGATGCCATGTTTACCGCTGATGAGGTGAGCAGTCTCTTCGAGAGCCTCGTGAACCTCTTGTCTGATTTCAGGATCAGCCATAGCGTCGTGAATGGTCTTCAGACCCTTGTAGTAGCCGAAGTAGGCAGCCGTGGCGTGGCTCGTGTTGACCGTGAAGAGCTTGCGCTCGATATAAGGCTCGAGATCTTCGACCCAGTGGATACCTTGGATGTCCGGGTGTCCTGACTTGAAGCCCGTGGTCTCGACACACCATTCGTAGAAGCTCTCGATGAGGACGTCAAGGTTGGCATGTGGAGGCTGGGTTGGAACAATTCTGTCAATGGCAGAATTGCCAAACTCGGCTCTGGACTCGAGATCCTTGAGGATGTCAGGCTTCATGTTCTTCTCGTCAATGATGAGAGCCTTCAGTGCATCGGTGGCGTTGATCATGTTCTCACAAGCAATGACGGCAAGCGGCTTGGACTTGGTTCTGGCAGTAATACCGTCGGCAATTGGTTTGGCGATGAATTTGAGAATGGAAGGACCAACAGCACAAGTAACGACATCGGCGTCAGCAATGCATTGGATCACTTCGTCCATCTTGTACTTGGAGTTGATGGCCCGGTAGTTTGTAATGATCTTGCTTCTCTCCCCCTCCTCACCGACTTCGGTGATCTTGTATGACTTGGATGAATTGATGCGGTCGATGAGGTCGTCAACGACGTCCACAAAGATGACTTCGTAGCCACTCTCATGAAGAAGCTCGGCGATGAAGCCACGGCCGATGTTGCCGCCGCCGAAGTGGACGGCGGTGCCAGGCATGATGAAGGGACGGTGTTGTTGAGGAAATATACCAAGTTGCGCAGTTCAGAGTTGACTGTGAGAAGTCAGTGAAGCTGGTCTCGGAGGGAACACGAAGACTATCGGTAACGATCGCGTCTCGTTGGGCAGAATTTCGGCGAGAGGATTGAGCCCACGAAAGGGAACCGGAGATAGACATACCGTGAGGGTGGACCGTGAGTTTCAGAGCTATGAGATATGAGCTGTGTTTGGGTACGCAGGATCAGAAGGTAAAAGGGGAAGTGCGGTCAACAAAAAGACTCAGATCGAAAGGCCCAACGGCTTGCCCCGCGTGCCGTCAAAACTCGGGAGGAAAAACACAGATGGCACCGTGATTGGACAGACTGACCCAGTCTAGCCTGGTATGGCAATAGTCGGCCTCTAACTGTGACCTGGGCTCCGCAGCTTGGCATAAATCGGGCGAAGATCTGGTATTGTTACGTCATACCATAAACTAGAATGGACCTGGAGATACGTAGCGAAGTACCAACAGAAGAAATTCAATGCATCTTTCTCAGTAGTGGTTGTTAGCGCAGTCTCGGGTTCCAGTCATGGATATCATATAGCATAGCAAATACCAAGCAAGCCTCCTCGCTTACAATTACCCCAATCCATGGTGGTACATCGCAATCAGTATTCAAACCAGCCCATACACCCCTTTCAATACCCTCCTTTCTCGCCATATTGCTGGCTTCTCCGTCGTCCTGCACAAAACTGTACCAGAGATACAGTGGCTGCCAGAAGCATAAGACCTGTTGCTGCCCAAGTCATCCCCAGGAATTTGTCTCCCATCTCCGCCGCAATTCCAATATCATCCCCATATTTGTTGATGGCATCCACGGCTTTTACCACGATTGCTGTAGAAATGGCAGATCCTATTCCAATTGCAAGGAAAGCCAGCTTCAACGAGCATGGTCAGTAAATTTTGCGTTCCCAATGTGCTTATGGCAGTGACTCACCACGTCGATCCCGACATTGATCAAAGCCGTCAAGCGTCTTTCGTTGAGAACTCCCCAAACTGCCGTAAACATTCCAATACCAGCACATGCCGTGCCGATGATATAGAAGACAATCGTCGCCATACTGGCCACTTTGACTGCGTTCTCCGCGTCTCGAATCTCATCTGGCCAATGTATATCTTCCAATGTGATTCCATCAGGAAGGTGTTCTTCAACGGTCTTCGTCGGCTCAAAATGGAAGGACAGACTGGAGTTGGAGCACTCGGTGATGTTTTGGTGAGGGTCTTCTGCCGTGGCATTAGGTGCGTAAGAACCCTGACAGAAGTTCATCAAATGCACGTTGAAGAAATCGGGCAGGTCCAAAGCCTCTGCAATGTCTGAAGTCGCGTCGTTGAGAAGATCGTTGATGTCGTCTTGGATGTCATTGACCAGACTGTCGAACAAGCCACCATCACCATCAGTGGTATTGAATAGACTTGTGTGACCAATTCGAGAGATATTGAGCTGCCGCTTTGTCAGTCGAGGAGTCGTTTGATCTCCCGGGGTGTATCTCACCGTCATCAAATCGGCATCTTGTAGGAAGGACTTGCTCGTACCGGCAAGCAGGCAAAGGAGAGACAAGACAAATGCCGTAATGGCGCAACCCAAGGTTAGAATGGACGACAACCGCATATCGGATGGATATGTAGAGTGGAATTGAAAAGCGAATGTTCGCAGAGAGGTCGGGTCAATACCAGCGAACTGGAGGGCGAGGCTTTGGGTCCGGGATTGGTATCGATTGAATAAGATGAGTAGGTGTCAGGAAAGAGGAGTGGGTAAAGCGCACATTAAATGTAGCAATGTCGAACAAAGCGGAGGAAATCCTCAAGTCACTCACCTTTGGATGTTTGACCTGCTTCAAACCGGGCCTTGTCAACAGTGTCTCTGATCGAATGTGTGGCCAGAATGGCTGGGGGGTGAGCGAGGCAGGGGTTTTCGCTTCACCATCAGTGGCTCTCTGTGGCTGTCGTGCCACCAAAACCAGTCAAAGGGGCAAGCCTCTAACCATGTCTGGCACCCGCGGGTCATTTCTGGGCGCCTCTAAGCGCCACTCAAGGTCTCCAAAAACACCCGGGCACCTTGGATTTAAACATCTCAGCCACACCCCGATCGTCGCCACGCACACTCACTGGTACACGCTTAGGGTGGTCAACGTCATAGCTTTCGTACTTTCGGTGCTAACGTCCAACTTTCCCAACGGCCCTGAGCAAGCTGAAGCTGCTTACATGGTATGCAACCAGCTCCGAATTCCATCCAAGACCTGCTCCCGTAGATCTTGCGTGGGCTACGGTTGCTAGGGTGCATAAACCTCCTTTCAGGTACGCAATCGTCTCTTCGAAACAACTTCGCCGGCTTCTTGGTAGTAGTCACGTGCATGGGGATTATTGAAACATTCTTCGGCGGTTACACTGAGGCCGAGAATCCTGAAGCGCTTTCTCAAATTCTAACACGTTTTGCAGTGGGCCATGAAATCGTCTTTCTGGCTTCCTCATGGGCTGCTATTTTCTCTGTATTGACCGACCCGAACCTGTTCTGCCCTCTGGGACCAAATGACCGTGGAGCAACTCCCCTGACTCGCTGCGACTCCTCCACAATGGACATAGTGTTCCTTGTCCCTTATCCATGACCAAATGTGGTCTTTCTGCTCCCAAGTTGAAGTGACTTTCTTTGTCTTCGTCCTCGGCGTCGATTCTTGTGACTGTATGTCTCCGCCGAATAAGGAATATATGCCAGCATGAACTTTGGAGACGGTGTATGATATTTGACTTAATCATGTCGAAGCTGGATTCAGGGAGACTTTTTGTTCCGGAAGGATGGAGGTTGTAACTCCGTAATCCCTCGAATACAATATTTGGAGCGGTGCGACATCGTCGAAAACCACTCTCTGAAATGAAGCAAACGCTTCTCCACAAGCGGGAGAAATTATTCAGACATCCCTGATTCCTGGTGCAGGTCTTGGGTTTCCCGTCGCAACTCTTTAATGGCAGTCTTGTTTACTGTCAGTATTGGACTCAACACAGCATAGGTCTAACTCACAGCGAGGGCCTCGGGATTGACTCCATTCTCAATGAGCGATACACAAAGAGACAATTGAGTTCTGTCTAATTGAGTGTTCTGCAACTCCGCGTTAGACGCAAACCTTCGTAGCTGGAGAGTAGTACCAGTAAGATAGAGATCTCTTCGAGGATATCAACGACTTCCCTGGCCTTTTCGCGCTTCGAATCTGTCGATGGCATCTTTACTGACAGAAAGTTTAAGATTGCGATGGTTTTTCACAAGGTTTGGATGATGACCGAAGAACGAGTTTGAAGCGCGTTAGGCTGCCAAGAGTCAGTCCACCCTTTTTGGGACGAGGGGTGAACCAGGTCACTTATATCTTATCTTCAACCTCATTGCTCTACGATCACACCATCTCAATCGTCAGCAGCGCCCACACCATGCCATTAGGCACTTCACACTTCATTATCCTCAATCTAGGATGTACCCCCTCAATCAGTCTCTCCCACTCCGACCGACTCCTCTCCTTCGCTCCGAATAAGCTGAACATATTTAGATCCGCGCCCCTCGCTAGCGCCTCGGCATGCATGGCGATCTCACCCGGCTTTGATGGCAACGCTCTGTCAACGATGAACAGTTTCGTGCCATACTTTTCCATCGCCGGCGTCAAAGTCTGCAAAATTCTGATACAGTCGGCGTCAGGCCAGTCGTGCAGGACGGACTTCACGAGGTAAGCCTTCGGGACCAGATCGCAAGGCTGCGGCGAGAAGAAGTCCTGGACTTGAAAGTTGATGCGGTCTTTCAGGTCAGCTGGGATCAGACGGTTCGCGACTGCTTCGTTTGACACCTGGTCTTGGACGGTGAAATGCACATTCGGGAATTTCTTGGCCATCGCGACGTCCACGTAGCCATTCCCTCCGCCGACGTCGACCACTGGCCCGGTTTCGAGGCTGGCCCAGTCGTATCCATGTGCCAGTTGTTTCATGAACAGACCTTGGACCGAGTTGGCGTAGCTTTCCATTGCGGCACTAAATGCGTCCATGCCAATCTCAGAGCCCAGCATGCTCCACACTTTGGAGTCCATCCCGTGAGCGAGCGTGAAGGGTACCTGCTGACGTTGGCTGTCTGTGCCAGCTGGTTCATCGCTCCACACCTCCAGGGACTCGGGAAACTTGGAAACGCTGCGAGCGAACAATTCGTGGGTAACGAGGCGGGTCCAGGGTGACAGCGAAGGCAGAGCTTCTGAGAAGGAGGTATGGGCAATCCGCCCGTCGTCCGTCATTCTAAAGAGCCTCATGGTGAATGCATATTTCATAAAGCGTTCCAGAAGTGGCTGATCAACCTTCAGCCGGGCAGAGAGCTCGGGAAAGGAGATCGAGCCCTGATGAGGAACGATCTCGGCGATATTGAAATGGTCCACCGTTCTCAGGACCCCGAGGTTGAGCCGTTCAATTCCGAGGATGGATTTGATGTGTTCCGTTGGCCCTCGGGCGAGGTCCAGCATTGCTTTGCTGGCGTCAATGAGGGCATCCCGGGTCTCGTAGATAGCTGGATCGGTCGGGTAGCCTTTGGGACCGCCGGCTTCAAAACTAGGCTGGGGAGCCGAGAGATCCTTCAGTTGCTGCTGGAGTTTTGTAGCGCTCTTGACGATCTGGTCGGCCAGATCTACAAGAGATGGCTCAGCCATGTTGTATGCTCACTGGGTGGGAGACGCAGATGCAACATCGAAAGAAAGAGAGGTTCAGCGATCTACGAATTTTAAGTAGAGCTAGGCAACGAGAGTAAGAAATGAATCACAGCATTTCAGCGCTCAGATACAGCACCTTTGATATCGTAATACAATAGAGTCAGCTGTCCAATCGGCCATTGGTTGACGCATCCCTTTCCTCGACATTGTGGAACGGCGCGCCTGAGGGTCCCCTTGCCAATGCTGCGAATCTTGGATTCTTCTGCGCCACTGTCACGCGAGGACTCCACAGCTGATGCTACACTGTTATATAGTTTCCACGAGTAACAGCAGTCCTGATAGTTGCTTTTCGCAACGAGGCTCTCTTGCCACGTCTATAAAGAGGTTCTCAGGAACGCACCAAGTTGATAGAAGATGGAGCATTCAACACATCTCAGGTTGCACCTCCATCTGACATCTACAGGACAAAGTACACGCGTAGATGAAGGCTGAGATGAGTGGGGATGTGCCAGTGAGCCGTGAGCAGGAATTCTTAGAGGCGCCGTGAAGGTGAGCATCTTCGGTTTAACCCTACCAACTCATCAGTTGGCCCGCTTCTCATCACAGGTAGCCTGTGATCACTTAGGTATAGTAGGGCCGAAAAGACGGGATACTTTTCACCAGGTGAAAGAACGAGAGATCACATGACCAAGACCCTTTCGTTGGTAAAGCTGAAGGTTCCTTGGAAATTTTTTTAGATCAAAGATCTGGGGTGTAGGTTTAAATCTAGATTCGTATTCTAGGTAGAGGACAAGGCTGAGAATGTCTCTGCAACGAACCCTCATCCCCTAATTGCTTGATGCTCCTAAATTCGAACAAATGACTTTTCCTTTTGATGATTCTTTCTCAAGTTAACGTGCTGTTACATTTCATGCCCACGACATTCTTTGCATTCACGCAGGTGCCATTGACAGACGCATTCGTTCCGGAATTGGCCAAATGCACGTTTTGGAACTCGATATTGGTACATGGCGCGGCGGCTGAACAATTCAAGGCCGCTCCAACCTTGCCGCTGACCGTTCCCGAAACGTCTGAGAAATGTAAATTTTCAAACTCCAGAGTGCTGGTGTCGCAATAGTGCGCTTGATCGGGAACCTTGAAATAGCACTTGTTGATATACACGGCTTGACTGACGTTGTGGGTGGTGAGGCCCGTGAAGCTGATATTGGAGACTCTGCCTGTGCCACCTCCACCACCTTGAGGAGGGACACCCTCTTCTTTCCCGACCCACGATTTGAAGTATGCCCCTCCGCCCACTGCGGCTCCACCGGTGCGCGGACTGACATCTTGAGAGACGGATATATTGGTCGCGGTCACATTGAAGATATAGTCCGGTGAATCGACGTATTGGCCGATGGAACCAAAGGCAATTCCTCCACCAGCGCATGTCATGTTGCTGATGACCACGTTCGTTGTGTTGCCCTTGAGAGCGAGACAGTCATCCCCGCCATGGAATTGCCAGTCCTTGACGAGCAGTTGGTCAACGCGCAAGGTGTCCAGGCCGTCAATATTAGTTTCGTAATTGGAGGAGTTGCCGTACGGGTCGGTGTTGGTGCCATTGATATATACCCTGCTCAGTTCCACGTTGTACGAATCCTGGACCCAGAAGGACCAGAACTGAGGCTGGCGTATGGAGAAGTTGGTCACAATAACATTGGACGAATTGTAGATGGAGAGGACAATGGGACGGCCAAATTGATTGGAGTGTCCGGCTGCATGGGTCATCCATGCTTGGCCGTTGCCGTCCACTCCGCCCCGCATCCAGCCTCCTCCATCGATCTCGAAGTCGTGGCCCTCGACGATCCAGCCGGTGGATTGATTCTGGAACTCCACGCGGAATGAATTGTCGATCCAGTAGACCAGGTCGGGGGTGAATGAGAGCGTCCCAAAGACCTCGAGGCGGGCATTCTCAAGCTTCATGTACATCCGACGAGAGATCGTGTACACATACGGGGCAGGCAGGGTGATGGTGCCATTGACACCGCACTTTTCCACCGCGGCGAGAATCTGAGAAGAGTCATCCTGACCCCAACCCAAGGGTGTTACCACGCATTTTGGGCCCTTTGGCGAAGGCGACAAGGGGAAAGCAATTTTAGCCGGAGCTTGTCCGAGGTATGGATAAGACGCATTTTTGTGGTAAGGGAGACTCGTCTCCGCCGAGTAGACGGAGGTCGTAGCAGCGTCGGGAAAGTAGATGGTGGGCGAGGCGCTGCTTAGGGCAATGGAGGCCAACAATGCAGGGATCAGTCCCCACTCACAGAGGAGAGTCAAGCTTTTTGGCATCGTCTTGGGCATGCCTGTTCTATACCAGAGAGCGGTCTGGGCGAGAATGCAATTCAAGTCGCAGTCACCGCGTGTCTGAGACTGGGATTGCATTGTACCAGAGGATCCTGAGGACCTAGACGCCATTTATACATTTTTTAATCCCGTTCATGCCAGCCATGCACGAAGGTATCATTGTGCAAATGTAGCGGGAAGGTGACCGTTATTAAGGTTCCAGACGAATAGAATATAAATGGTCAGCCCACGTGTACTGCGGAGGACTCCCTAGGGTGATGGACGATTTATACCAAAAATCCGGCATGTATCCTTTCTGTGCACTTTTTTACTAGGCGTGGTGGTAGGAAACAAACAACACCATTTTCGGGAGATGCCATGGTACCAACCCACGCCCTTTTTTTACACGTTTCCTGATGATGCGTATAATGGAAATTGACCGTCTCTCTAGTTGTTGGATGACAATGTGGCGGCTTATCTTCATGATCACAGCTTTGCGTCCTCGCCAGCCCAGACTCCGCCCTCCTTGTTCGCCTTGATTCTCAGTCGCCGGACTCTTTGAACCTCCTTCTCGGTGTCATCTGTTAGATACCATGTCCAGAGATTTGCGACCCAGCTTGCGCCTATCGAAGCGGCACAGATAATGAACGAGGTCTTGTAGCCATTGTGCGCAAAGCGAGATGGGAATAGTTGTGGTCCAATAGCACCACCCACCTGACCAATGCAAGACTGGAAGGCCAGGGTGAAGGCTGTACCGGTGGCACCCTTGAGACTAGCGGATCGCCCTTGCCAATGTCAGAGAAAACGATCTTCCTACGAGGTCGAATAGGTCACTCACAAGCCCAAAACGGTATGAAATAGACCGCGTAGAACATCGTGCCGAAACGCACGCAATATAGGTCGCTGTCCGGCTAACCTGGACAGCCAGGACAATGAAAAAGGCCAAGGCACCAGCACAAATAAACATGATAAAGACGGGTCGTGTGAGGTAGGCTCGACTGAGGAACCAGCCAGCAAATATGATGGATAGGACCGAGGCGGCCGCCGGCGGGATGTTCAGTAGTTGATTTCTGGGGAGACCGGTAAATCCAAGGCTGGTGGTGACCGTTGGCAGTTGCCACGAAAGGGCGTAACCTCCCAGATTCATCAAGATCTGTGCCAAACAGAAGGAATATGTCCGAGGATCTCGCAGAGAAGTGAGCACCTCAGCCTTGCGGAAGGCTGGTTCGTGCGTGCGTGGAGCGTTGGCTGTGAGTCGGAGCTCAAGATACTCCTGCTCTCGCAAGGTGAGCCATTTGGAGGATCGTTTGGATTTGGGGTAGTCAGGGAGAACGAGGAACACAACACCGGCGAACAAGATCGTGAATAAGCCTTCGAGAAGGTAGACCCTTCGTAGGTCATCAGCGTCCGAGGTCAGGAGCATGTGGACGTGTAATATCAACTCACCATTGCCAGGCGCTTAGCCCACTCAAACCATTCATATACGAGATACCATAAGCAATGATGGATCCCACTATGCCCGAGCAGTTCTGGAAGCCGAACATCCACATGATCGGCTTACCCATTTCGTCACTCCGGTACCAGCTGCACAATTGAGCCGCAAGGCCCGGGAATAGTCCTGCCTCCATCATTCCGAGGAAGAAACGAGCGGCATAGAGACCTTCCTTGTTGGTGACTGCGGCGTGACAAGCCAATACCTGTAATGAAAGTTCAGTGATGGGCATGTCGCCTAATAAACGCCAGCAAGACACTCACAAGGCCCCAAGACGCAATGATTCGAGACTGCCAGTGTCGAGGCGTCATCTTCTTCAGTAGAAGATTACTAGGAACTTCGAAGATGATGTAGCTGATCTATACAACCCGTCAGAATTTTTCTCCGCCTGAGACCAGAAGCTACACTCACAAAATAGATCGTTTGCACCCAGTTATATTGATCGGCGGTCATGCCCAGCTCAATCAAGATATTCCGAGGCTCCCCAACTTGCAAGACCTTGACACTGGCGGCGTTTGTGTAGTCGACATTTTTCAGCATGTACATGAGACCGATTATCAACAAGAATCGCTTGTCCACTTTTCTCATGATTCTGCGGTCTTCTTCTGCAGTGAATGAAGAGAGGAATGCCTCCCGGCTCTCTTCAGATATCGAAGACGAGGATGATCTTAGAACGGTCTCTTGAGGACTGAGTCCGGCCTCCACGACCTTGAACTCGGTACGTGAGCTCTCAACAGCCATGGTGGAAGCGAGATGTCTGCTCCCGTGGGAACGCAAGACCAAGTTCAAGACTTGAGACGTGTCCTTATTGTGAAAGAGAAAGACAGTTCGTTGAGTGGGGGCATGGTTGGACTCCTGAATTCTGGTAGTCTGCTTTTATTAGCTTGACGCAAACGCCGTCACATGTGTTACCTTGAATTTCGGCAAGTAAAGTTGCTTGAAGTCTCGAAGGCTTTCACTTAGGGCCGAAAAGGCCGTAGAATTTCCAGCGAATTAACACCAGATGGTATGGCTGCCCATGGGTTTGCGTGCTTTCTCAAAACTTTTGCTTCCGGCATCCATGTACAACCGCGTGCTAGACTATCGTTTTCTGGGGCAAGAATAATGGACCTGGTCCGAGGTAGGAACTCAACCAAGGTGGAGAAGGCCGATATTGTCGAGTCATGTTATCACGGAAGTCTCTTTCCTTCAGATTGCGTGCTTGATAGAGAGCAGCGATGATGGGGATGAAAGCCGTGGTTTCAGTCGAAACGAATTTGAAATGACAGTGTATTGCTTAATGGCGTGGATCTGTATTAACATACGGACACATCAACACCTGAGCATGCGTTTAGAGCAACGAAGACACTGGTGCTTACCCAAAGACTTGTCACGGCGATAATCCCGGTGGTCTCTTTTGTTGAAGAATCTGCAAGCACGTCATCGACCTGATTTTCACCAAGCACTCATGTTTCATGCGTCCCACGGTCGTGGGATTAGCACCGAAAGCAAAAAGCAGACCCGCCAACTTGGTAGCCAGGCTCTAGCGCTTATGGGTATTTTCCGCTGTGGTCCTTGTCAAGTGCAACTCTATTCGGATCAACCAAGAGACAGAGCAGGCCTGAGGAATTGAGTAGCACGTTCGGAAAGTGGTTCGCCCTGGTATTTGCCCACAACCGTTCTGGGTCTTAGCAGCACGAGGTGCGCGGTTGTGAGTATGCTCTTCGAAGAAACTGTATGGGATGAGAGGTGGAAGCAGATGATTGTCAACTCTCAGCTTCGTGATGAGAAGGTTCGATGTGGGTAAGAACACAGTCAAGTTATCGATAATACGCCAAGCTTCTTCACATAGAATACTCATTCTACAGCCACTGTCCTTTGCTTCATACCTTGGGAATTCATCATCTCAAAGACCAATTCTACACTTAGAAAGTTAAAATACGGGATAATATTGAGGCGTTGAGCATGCACTGTCCCAACCGAAACGCCTGACTGCAGTAGCTTATCGTTTGGCAGCCTCGACAGCTTCCCCTTTCCTCGTCTCAGCCTGGTCATTGCTCTCCTGCTTTTCTTCAACGGAATATGGAGGATCCTCTTTGTACACATCATATCGGTACTTTGCGCCTGCATGGTCATCTCTGATCCCTGCTTGACCTTTTCCATAAACTTTCTCACGCAAGGTAACTGGATCGCCCTCTTTTTTCTTAGGATACAATCCTCTGCGTCTCAGCTCTGGAATTAACAAGTCCACAACATCTTCGAACGTTCCCGGAGTGGTCACATAAGCGATGTTGAAGCCGTCCAGATCAGCCTCGTTGATCCATCTTTCCATTTCATCAGCCACTTTCTGCGGAGTTCCCACTGCAACAGGTCCCAGGCCGCCAATTGCCGCTTTCTCCGCCACAACTCTGGGTGTCCACCTTGGAACGTCGGGGCTTGTTGTCGTGAAGGCATCCAACATGCTTCTAACTTTGTGCGCCTCTTTTGAGTCTTCAGCGGTAATGTCCTGATCAATTGGAATCTTGGAGATATCAATACCAGTCCACCCCGAGAACAGCACTAATCCTCCAATGGTGGAGGCATACTTCTTTGCCTCTGTGAGCTTTTCTTGGGCTTCTTCTTCCGTGCACCCAATGATGGGGGTGAAGGTACCAACGAACTTAATGGATTGGGGGTCTCGTCCCTTGGCCTTGGAAAGTTGTCTGATCTTCTCAATTTTTGGCCTGAGCACTAAAGGACTGTGCGAGGATACAAATATCGCTTCCGCATGGGTGGCTGCGAACTCTGATCCGGCTGGTGAAGTACCCGCCTGGAAGAGGAATGGCGTCCTTTGAGGTGATGGATCAACAATGTGTCGAGCATCCAGATTCAAGTATTTGCCATGATGATGAATGGTGCGGACTTTGTCCGGGTCGATGTAGGTGTCTGTGTCAGGGTCTGGGGATAATGCGTCGTTCGCCCAAGACCCTTCCCACAGCCTGTTATGAAGGGGGGAAACAGTAAGCCATAATTCCACCTCAAACATATCGAAGTGGACGGAAGGACTAACTTGTATAAAACTCTCAGATACTCATCGGCTTGCAGGTATCTTTCATCGTGTTCGGTAGGATTCTCAATCCCAATTGCTTTGAAGGCGGTCTTCTTCCACCCCGTGACAATGTTCCAGCCGATACGTCCTTTGGTGAGATGATCAAGTGTGGAGAAGCGTTTTGCGAGAAGGAAGGGAGGTTCGAACGACGTCGACGCGGTGATACCAAAGGCGAGGTTCTTGGTCACTGCGGCCATTGCAGAGATGGGCTTGCAAAACCCAGTCGTCAGTTCGCTAGATCGAGGAATGGGCTTCTGCTGTCTCGATGACTTACAATGGTCGGATCTGTCATGGGCCATTGCGCAGCACGTCGAATGCAGTCGTCAAGGCTGTCTTGATAGGTATCATAGCCGCCATACGTGTCGGCCAGGAAGAGTGCATTGATGTCACCTCGCTCAAGAATCTTGGCTAATTCAATCCAATATTCAAGAGACCGCTTTGTCGCGGACTTGTCCTTGGGATTCTATCCATTTTGTTGTCAATTTGAGTTCGGTGACTTCTCATGAGTGCCGTGTTTCCATATCTGACCGACTGCTTCGAGATCACAGGACTCGTCTCACCTTCCACTGGCCCGGTGACAGATGTCCCACTGTGGACATGTCAAATGCATTGAGCAGGATGTGTTTTCGCACAGGCACGTGGTTGCCATTGGTCGCCTCTACAGAACCCATGTTGAAGCAAAATCAAGGTGCTGCCGAGAACAATTGGAACGATGGAAAGCACAAAAGCAGGCTCGCAGTCAGAAAATATTCAAAGGAAAGGAACCATGAGCGACAAGACGGGCTTGTTCGTGTTTTCCTTCCAATAGCGTATCGAACATACCATCATATGAAAGAAGACCTCAAAGCTCCCATCGTTTCCGCCGACTCCACCAATGTGGACAATTCTTCACCAAAAAATAAGTGTGGTGAACACGATGGCCAGTGATAACCGGCACCATATCCGAAATCTCAAATGCACGTTCAATCCATCAGGAGTTGTCCTTGTGGGGGTGTATGGCGTGATTTTAGCCCCAAGCGCTCTGGTACATCTGCAGAGTTGGTCTGGTCCTTGGGATCCATATGTCGCAATATGATAGAAACCCAAAAAAGGAGGGGGGAGGGAAGTAAGCTTGACTGGAGAGGAAATCAAACTGTAATTTTGGGCATGAGGTCTGTCTTTACATTCCTGATTGCGCGCCGTGGGATGTAATTTCTGTCGTGAATTGTACCATGACACCCATATAGGGAACATTGCAACGCTTCCTACCAATTTAATTATCAGACATTTTGTCCTAGGTGGTGGATCCTAAGGCACGTTGACATTGGACGCTGTCTTGTTGTAAATTCTAGATTGGACATTGTAATCTCTGGATGCGATATCGCTGAACCGCCACACGTTGCCCCTGCACATTCAGGGATGTAGGGCCTTCACTTCCTGGGCCGGTTGAGGAGAATCGTTAGAGGCGTTACTTTGGCAGTAGCCCTCCTCAGTTCGTTCCACCAGACTCCTGGAGCTCATTAGCTGGCGTTCAAAGGAAATCGATGCAGAACCACCATACTCTTGTCGCTTATTGTACCAGGAAATCAGGTGTGATAAAATGATCAAGCAAACAGCATTGGCAAGAACGAATGGATATCCCTTGGTAAATCTTGGTGCTTCGACCGTCTTGAAGACCAGCAGCGGAGTCCACGCCGTCGTCGACTGTGCCACGGTGTTGATGAGAACCAGGGTAAAGTATCGTTCGGCAGGAGAATATCGCAATTGGCTATTGACCCAGCCATAGAGCACACTTGACATGGCAACAGCCGAGTATGTCGTCATGAAGGCGAACCATATCGCCGATTCAGGAACAAACCATATGATGAGTATGATCAGACCGATGCTGTTCCAGATATGAGCGGCTGTTATTGCCCACGCAGGGCCCCAGAGAAGATCAGACAAAAAACAGATGAAAAGGACATAGAAGATTCCTAAAGCAGGGGAGATAGATCCCAACTGGTTGAGGCGACCTGCTGAGTATCGCTCCAGACTCTTGAGCCACAATAGGTATCCTCCAGTGGATGTATTGATGCTGCCGTCCCAGAAGAAAATGTCCAGCAATATAAAAGCCCAGACACGCCAGTTTGTTGCTACCTTCTTCAGCGTCCGGGGAGTAAACTTTCCGGATGTGGCATGTCCAGCACGATGTAGTCGCTCTTTCGCCAGTTGGACCTCGTGATCCTTCAGAAGCAACCGGTTTGGCATATCCGGAGTTCCGGGAAGCAAGAAGTATCCTATCAGGCCAATCGGGATTGTGATGATGGCACAGATGATATACCTCCAAGAATCAGATCAAAGAACCGAAACCTCGAAGGTGTCCACTCGAAAGTACTTACATCCAACGCCATCCAGCAAGGCCATTCACGTCATCCAGTTGTTCAGACGCGGCAGACTGAATCAATGCCGCCGTCAAAGTTCCAAGCGTCAGTCCAACGTAGAAGAAGCCTCCGCGACGAGCGATTTCGTCTCCGCGATACCAAGAACCGAAAATGTAGTGAACGGCTGGGAAGAAAGCAGCCTAAAATGTCGATATGCCATAAGCTCGGAGAAACCTTGGGTTCGATATTGCAACAATGTGAAGATCCCCCATGCCACGTCAAGGAAGGATATGAGCCAGAACATGGGAACTCTGGTGAAGAGAAACATGAACGGAATCTGTCCCAGGACAGCCCCCAAAATGTACATTGTTTGAAGTTGAACCAACTGATTCCTATTGAAGCCCTGGAATGTAATCTGGTATTGGATTATCGAGCCGTGTAATAGGGTACATAACTTACGAGATGTTCCTTGAGGCCTGCCACGTAGGCATTGTCTGGAAGCCAATCAGCAAACCGTCATCTATGGTCGCTGAAGGGGAACTTGCGACATACTGATGTTTGCCTGGTCAATATACTTGACCCAATAAGCAAGACACACATAAGGAACGATCAATAAGTCAAGTTTGACAATAAGCTTCCGTTCCTCTTTGGTGTCTTCCGACGAAAACCAGCGAATTTGGTACCACCTGCGAGCTCGGTCGTTCTTCGCCATATTCACGGATCTTCCAAGTCACCTTTTTCAACTTGGAAAAGCCCATACTCATCCACTGGACATACCATTCCGTATAATACTTCAAAATTTGCTGGACTTGGTGCGTGACGAGCATATCGCCGGTCTCTTGGAGTCTACGACATCCTTGGATAGAATGACGAATAAGTTGAGGAAGAAACTCAAATCGCCATCAACTCTCAACTGCCCGCTGTGGGATCGTCGCCGAGAGAGTTCTAGACTGTCTTGTACAGGCAAGGGTTTGCAGAGAATCCTTTGACTGTTGCATGCACGCTGCTTGGGTGCGTTTTCCTCCACACAATGATTCACGCAATGTCATTTTAGGACGGTAATGTCATGTAAAGAATCTGTGAAAGAATCTCATGCAATACAGGGAGTGCAAGAAGAGGTTGAAATGCCTGGAAGTGAAATCTTTGAAACGGCACTATACACAGCTGGTTACTTACCTAAGTAGGTATACAGACGATGGTGTCAATTAGTGGGTCTCGTTCGTAATGGAAGGGAAACTTTTGAGAATCGGGTATCTCCTTTCCAAAGAACGACGGGACCTTTCACATAGTCCATGAAGTCATGCATGCAGAGACTTCCCAAAATCTAAATACAGTCCGAGTTGAATGGTATTGTTTCATGGGAATCAGGGCGAAGAAAACGCTTACCCAAACGAAATGACCGCAGTCGACATGATTGATCCCTTGCAGCATAGGGATGTCAGCGACCCAAGCATTGAGAATAGTGAATACAAGACCGAGCCACTGTCGCCGTCAACACTGAAGGCAGCAGTTGTTGTGTCTGAAAAAGAGGAGGACATTTCTCCCCCGGTCACCAATATCTCTCCGGCAATCGAGCAAACTCCACCTGTCCAGCAAACGCGGCCTAACGGTAGAGCTGGCAACGAGCTACACGAAGCATATCCCAAGTCTGACTTGGAACTTCTTGACCACCATATCGACGATGTTAGGAGTTTAAGGGTCGTGGTAATCGGTGCAGGGTTGTCTGGCATCCTAGCCGGTATTCTGCTGCCTGTGAAAGTGCCCAAGATTCAATTGACTATTCTTGAAAAGAATGATGAAGTGGTCAGTCATTGACCGATTTGCTAGAAAGTGGCCTATGATCACCGGATTGACCAATTTCTCTCTACAGGGTGGTACTTGGTTAGAGAATGTCTACCCAGGAGTGAGATGCGACATCCCGGCGCACGTATATCAGGCTACTTTCACGCCAAATACGCAATGGTCTCAGCAATTTGCAGAGGGCCACGAAATCCGTGATTACTGGAAGGCGCAGGCTCGCAAATACGATGTGTACAAGTATATCCAATTCGCACGCCGTGTGAAGGATGTCAGTTGGAGCGATGAGAATTCGGAGTGGACCATCACTGGAGTCAACCCTAAGGATGATCAGCCTTTTGAAGAAAATGCAGACTTCGTTTTACCGGCCATAGGTCGTTTCAACGACTGGAGACTGCCCAACTATCCTGGTGTGTCTGAGTATAAAGGCCATCTGTGCCATACCTCACATTGGGATCCCTCGTTCGACGCAACAGGCAAGACGGTCGCCATCATCGGTAATGGAGCAAGTGGCATCCAGGTTCTTCCCAACTTGCAACCGATTGCGAAACACATCGACCACTACGCTCGGTGTAAGACGTGGATCGCGGCATCATGGGCCGGTGACGAACGAACTTTCGAGCCTCAATGGTATTCGGAAGAACAGAAGCGAGAACTGCTTGACCCGGGGAAATATCTCGAGTTTCGAAAACAAATCGAAGGGAAGTATTGGCATCGATTTGCCTCAACATTTCGAGGGGCGGAAGCGAACACAGCAATGCGAGACCGCTTTATCGAGATCATGTCTCAGCGCCTTGTGAAAAAGCCTGAGCTCATCAACAGCCTGATTCCAGACTTCAACCCGAACTGTCGTCGCCTTACACCGGGACCGGGTTATCTAGAAGCACTCACAGCCGACAACGTCACTCTGATCCAGGATCATATCAAACGATTCACTGAAACCGGGATTGAGACGGTCGACGGCCAGCATCGTGTGGTGGACGCCATTATCTGCGCCACCGGCGCCGCGGTCGACATGGTTCCTCCATTCAGCGTCCGAGCACGAGGAATCGACCTTCAAGACGCATGGAAACCACTTTCTGAAAACCAGAAGGCCGATTTGACCCACTTCGGATGGCCATACACTTATCTTGGGCTTGCCGTACCTAACGTACCAAATCTTCTCTTGATCCACGGGCCTCACGGCACCGGTCCGTCCGGCACTGTTCCACATAGTGTCGAAGTACAGGTGACGTACTACGCCAAAGTTCTGCGCAAAGCGTCTTCGCAAGGTATCAAGGCGATGTGGCCGTCCAAACGGGCGGCGGACGACTTCGTCGCGTACGCCGACGCATTCTTCCCCAAGACCGTGCTGACGGATAACTGCCGCTCGTGGGCCAACGGAGGCAAACCTGGGGGGAGAATCCACGGTATATGGCCCGGTAGCGCCGGCCATGTCACGCTGGTTCGTAAAGAACCAAGATGGGAGGACTGGGAGTATGAGTACTTACACGAGAGTGGGAACAGGTTTGCACATTGGTTGGGGAATGGATGGACTCTGAAGGAGCGAGATGAAAGTCAAGACATGACGCCGTACTTGAAGCTTGAGGGGACGGCGGATTTGAAGGCGATACATGAGGAGTGGTGGGAATGGACAGAGAGCTGATTTCCAGGTCATATGAAGAGTGCATAGAATAGATAAGATCTTCGTGTTGCGAAATTCACACACGATGGAAAATGACCAATTATGGAATTTGACCAATCGGGGTTTCATTTCTTGCTTCGTATTCTGAGGGAAATCCCCAATCAATCTTCAAACGCCACCAGTGGTTCACTCTGTCGGGTATACTTTAAGGAACCCGCACCACCATTCGTCCGCCACTGACTTCTCCCCTTCTCATACGATCTAAAGCCGCATTGACCGACCCAAATCCCTCTCCAACACCTAATACCGTGGGTGGGACCAGGAGTCTTCGTGACAGCAGCCGTTCAAGCCAAAGCATCAGAGTCTCTCCTACTTCCGGTACCTCGTGGAATACTTTAATCGGGACAGTGTGGAATTGGGTGTTCGTGGGCGGCGATATCTTAGGCAATCCTGTCAGACCTGTTAGGTGCGCAGAAGGCGACTTGGTATTAGCTCCGCCCTCGACAGGTGAAGGATGTTGCTGTAGACAATGCAGCAGACGTCCAGCCGTTTCGCGTCCCACTGTATCCACGGCAAAGCGAAGGCGGTTATTCGTCGCTGATCTGACGATTTCAATGGCGCGTTCATGGTTGTGGTTGTCGACCAAGATGTCGGATCTCGTGATGGAGGCGGCCGACATCTTGAGGGCATGTTTCCGATGATCAAGGATGCTGATGGTTCGAATTCCAAGAAGGCGCGCGATTTGGTTCAGCATGAAAGCGCTGGTGGAAGAGCCTCCCCATATAGCAAGCCAATCCCCCTTCTTGGCTCGCTCAGCCTTGTCGATCCCTGTCAAGCACTCGGATCTGATGTCCTCTGGGAGCCGGGAGGGATCAAGTTGTCTGACTATGGAGAGCAAGTCAGGTCCATGGGCGACGCCGGAAAAGTCCAAGCCTGTACAGATACCCAGGCAAATGGCTGCGGCGACGAAAGCAACCCCCAGAGCAGATCCCGATTCGGCGGGAATGTTGGGCGGGAGCCTGGCAGCGTTGAAGTCGGTCACCACGACATATTCCTGATAAGCGGCCTTGCGAAGGTCTCTGTAGTCGGTGGCGACGACAATGACCAGATCACCGGGTTTGAAGCGTGATTTCCGCCGAGGACGTATGGCGACCTCTCCTACCAACTCCCGTCCCGAGATGTAAGGGAGTTCTGGAATGCCGAAATTGAAATCCCTATATTATGAAAAATATCAGACTCCCATAGCATCCCCACGAAAGTTTGCGACAGGTTCTTACGGTGCTTTCCAATCGATTGGATTCAGGCCGATGAATCGGTTCCGGACAAGGATTTCTCGGTCATCCAAAAGCATAGGCGTAGGGTGACCCGAAACTTCGGTATATGGCTGTTTGGGGCCATGGAGGAGGAGCACCCGCTGATGCGTGGCGACGCTGGACAATGAGGACGATGATCTTGATGATGACTTGGACGACGACTTTTCAGGATCCCGAACCAGAGCTGAGACAGCAATGTCCGTCGATCGATTAGCTGGTCCCCAAAGGCTCAAGAACTGCAGAAAACCCATGGATGATGTTGCGAAGAGATAACCACAGGGTACAATGCCAGATTTCCAGAACCAACGTCCCGAGTAGTCGAGCCACCTTCCCTTGCCGACAGAAATTGAATCATAATAGCCGGTGCTCATGGGACCTCTGGTCAACAGTATTGACGTGCAGTATTGTAATGACAATGAATGCGGACTTTTGCACATATGGATGAGTAAAGATCCACCCTCCCTCCTCGACCGCGTACCGAGTTTCATATGCAGGATTCTGCACTAGCGGGACCAGCCCACGCATTTTGGGGAGCGTTATCTATGATGTGCTCAGGAGTCGGAATTGCACAAGAGTGGATTTCAGTAATCAGACATGGAGCAGCATGGAGCCTCTATCTGAATCCCACACTGGGGGAAGCTCCGACCCACGTGGGAGAGTTTTCTCGAGCCGGAAAGAACAGTATAGTTTAGCAAGAGCAGAATATTCTTGCAATATTTCGATGTGGCAGGACGAGGACAACTGGTCCATTGCGTGCTCCTGGGCCCAATGGCGTGATAGCATCGGTTCCGCGAACTCGTCCAACCTCAAGCATCATAGAATATACATCTAGAGGACTTTGGAGAATCACAAACGATACGTATACGCGCCTCCATCGTTTCTCATTCGACATTGGGGTGAGAGAACACAGACTCTCGTCAAAGTAGACATGTCATAAGCCGTCGGGCGAGGCTGGCAATGCCAAGACCAATGGCTTGGCAGCGGAAATAAATTGCTAAGAATTTTTGGTCCGCAGCGCCACCAAGTCAGATCGCTTTACAAATGACGTCTGTGTAGCCCTCCAATGTTCTCTGCACACCCTAACAAGAGTGACCGAGACTCTCACAGCATCACCCCCTGGACGATAGCCTCCGACATTGATACGTTTCCTCTGTCGCCAAAATGGTCCTGCCGAAGAGCAAAACGAGCGTTGGGCTGGGCAATAGTTTGATGAACGATCGATTTGGCAAGGGCAAAGGTGCAGACAGGAAAAAAGTCTCCCAACAAGGCGTGGTTCGAACAGATCGTACGACCGGACAAAGCTACGTTACGAACGCGGCAAAGGAGGCGTCGTGGGTGAAAATGCGCAGCGTGACAGAACAAGGAGCTCTCGATGAGTTCCTCTCGACGGCGGAATTGGCTGGCACCGATTTCACTGCAGAGAAGATGAATAATGTCAAGATTATCCATTCCGACCAGAGAAATCCATACCTGTTGAGCGCAGCGGAGGAAAGGGGAGCCAGGAGAAAACATGCCCAAAACAGAGAAAGATTAACGGTGCCGAGGAGACCCCCGTGGGATGAGACCACGACTCCCCAGCAATTGGATGAACGAGAAAAGGCCAGTCTGTTAGATTGGAGACGAGGGCTTGCGGAGCTCCAAGAGAATGATGATCTTCTTATGACGCCATTTGAGCGCAATATTGAAGTCTGGCGACAACTCTGGCGAGTCATTGAGAGATCAGACCTGGTGGTTCAGATTGTCGATGCCCGAAATCCGTTACTCTTCCGCAGCGAAGACTTGGAGAAATATGTGAAGGAAGTTGATCCCCAGAAGCGAAATTTACTCCTCGTCAACAAGGCCGATATGATGACGGAAGAGCAACGACGCCAATGGGCCGACTATTTTCATGAGCAAGGAATTAACTTCAAGTTCTTCTCCGCCCATCTAGCGAAGGAAATGAACGAGGATCGAGACACCACTGAACAATGGGACGAACGGCAGCTCCAACAACAGATAGATAGGAATATGCCGCAGAAGATTTTGGTCCAAACCGTTCAAGATCTCAATCTCAAGGAAACCGAGGAAGAGGAATGGTCGGACAAGGACGATGAGGAAGGCGAGGACGATGGATCTGAAGAGTCCGAAGTCGAGGAAACGGATCCCTCCGCAGAACGTACACGAATATTGACAGTGGACGAATTGGAAGCTTTGTTTTTAGAAAATATCCCAGGGGACCGCGCCACCGATCACAAAACAACAATCGGTCTAGTTGGATATCCGAACGTGGGAAAATCTTCAACAATCAATGCACTCATTGGCGCCAAAAAAGTGAGTGTTTCATCAACGCCCGGAAAAACGAAACATTTCCAAACGATTCATCTCTCCGACCGAGTGATGCTTTGTGATTGCCCGGGTCTGGTCTTTCCCAACTTTGCCACCACCAAGGCCGAGCTGGTGTGCAACGGTGTCTTGCCGATCGACCAATTGAGAGAGTATACTGGTCCTGCGGGACTTGTGGCCCAGAGGATACCGCAAGCATTCCTGGAGAATGTATATGGCATGAAGATCATAACGAGGCCCGTCGAAGAAGGTGGTACCGGAGTCCCGACTGCCTCTGAGATGCTGAGAGCTTACGCAAAGGCACGTGGATTTGCGACGACGGGACATGGCCAACCAGACGAGTCCAGGGCAGCCAGATACATATTAAAGGATTATGTCAATGGCAAACTTCTCTACTGCCATCCTCCTCCTCGCGATCCTGAAATCGACGGTGCCGAATTCAATGAAGCACTCTACGATTTTGCCCATCTTCCTGCAAAACGACAAGCCTGGCTGATTGCTCACAACGACGAGTTAGCGCCCGATGCCGAGACGGAATCCCAAGTATCGGTCCCCTCAAGACCCCCAGAGACTGGAGAAAGGTCGAGGCAACTTGACAAACGGTTCTTTGGTCCGGGGTCGGGGAATGCCGGTCATCTTAAAATGCCTTTCAATCATCAGTACACGGAGCAGGGACGGCAACCAAAGCAAATGACGGGACGCAAAGCTAGAGCCATGGTGGCCCTAGAGAAAGACGTTGATCCCTCGGCGCTGAGAATGAACAGCAAAAAGCATTTCAAGGGCGCTAGGAGGAAAGCTAGAGCTGCGAGGGCCGCCAATGATGATGACTGAATGACGGTATGATTGTGCCTTTCAGTGTGGGAAGATTCGGCAACGACTGAGGAAGCTCACCGAAATACGGGCTCAATCATAACCACATCCACTCGACCGGGAGGTTTCACGCTTCACGTGGAATGTATATTATTGTAACTATGAATTCCAAAGAACGCTTCAACCTGGAGTGTTCTCCAGCCCCGACTTGGACGCAATTTTCCACCATCGCACCATCCCTTGCCACATGTTCCGTTAATTTTGCTCTCGAAGCTGTTGTGACGGAACTCTCGTGACCCAGCTTACTCCAACTAATATTTTGTGACCATGACCTCCAAGGGACAATATATGCAAGGAAACATTGAAAGCACAAAAAGCCAAAGCACAGCGTTCAGATCAGAATTTTCTGCGCCGTCCAGGTCATTTCCCTCCTCATCCTCGCTCGAAAGGCAATGAAGAATTTCTTGTCGTTCACCTTTGGATACGGTGTATCGGGCACATCACGGCCCAGGAACTTGCACAGATCCCCCCATCCATGCAAACTTGAACCTATGGAATTCATCTGGTTGGTACCCCTCCAAATCCCTGGGATAATGCTCCTCGTACGCAGTTTGTATGTCCTCAGTGTTGGCTATACTGATATCATCAGGTCGACGAGGGATAGCATGGTCCAGCGAGCTCTGAATCAGCCCAAAGAACAAATTTCCACCGTTGTCAGGATATGACATGTCCAACCGTCTTCCCTCCATCAATGTCATACGTATCATCAACATGTCTCTCTGTCAGGATGCCTTGGGCCTCTGGAGATGGCTTGATGAGCTCCCTCCCCAAAAAGAAGACATGGTAACGTCCAACGCGGTATGCCCACGGTCCTTGCCATGACCGTGGTCTCGTCGATGTCCATCACAATCTAAACCACGATCGCAATCGAACTCCTCCTTCTTCTCGTCGCCCTGTCTGCACCGAGCAACGGCGTCCGATCATCCACCTCCTCGACCTCCGGTTCCTCACTTCCCCCTCCATCTTCATCTTTGATCTCCTGGCCAAAAACAGCAGACATCTCCTTCCCCAACGCCACACCTCTCGTCTCCGGCACAAGAGCCCAACAAAACAAAAGTCCCAGCAAATTCGACGCTCCGAAGATGAAAAACGTCCAAGGCCCCACGCTCGCGAGCAAAATGGGTGTGATCGCCGCGACCACAATTTGAAACAGCCACTGCGTACACGTGGTAACCGCACAGCATGCCTCGTTGATATAGCCGGGGAAAATCTCACTGCATACGTTCCATGCGATGGGGCCAATGGAAACGCCGAACGACAGGGAGAAAATGTACACGCTCAGAACACTGAGGATGCTGTTTGGAGTGATGTGGACTTGGGGGATGGACGATAACGGACTGGATTCCGCGGCGCAGAAGCCGAGGATGAACATGCAGATTGCACAGGTACCCATGCCGGCAATCAACCAGAAGCGATTGCCGTAAATGCGCACGCAGAGGAACATGAAGACGGCGGCGGAGATGAGTTTCACGGCACCAAAAATTCCGGTCAAAAATAAGGAGGACGAGACCGTGTTGAAGCCCGCTGTCATGAAAATTAGGGCGACATAGTAATTCAGCGCGTTCATGCCACTTGTATTTTGGACAATGAACAATCCCACACCAACCAGAAGGCGTGTGCGGATCGGTTCGGTGAAGGCTTCATGGAGGAAGTTCCAGTGGCGGATCGCCTGTCGACGCGCTCCCGCCAGGACGCGGAGATACAGAGCCTTCGCCTCGCGGGCGACGGAGGGGTCGGTGGTCGGGAGGCCGCGGAGCCAGGCAAGGGATTCCGATACGGCGTCCAGGTTCTTTGTGCTCGCGAGGTAAGGTGGGGTTTCTTTCAGGTAGAGTGTGCCGAAGAGCAGGATTGCTCCGGGCACCAGTTGGACGGCGACGGGAATTTGCCATTGGAGATCTGAAGTCTCGGGGACAGCAGCATTGGCCGCATACGAGCCCCAAAAGCCGAGTAATGCGCTGCTTTGGATCATGACTTGATAGCCGGACATGAGCATGCCTCTGTCGGCCGGGGGGGAGATTTCGGAGATGCTAATACGCGTCAGTGAGCGTATCCAATTTATCATATAAATGTACGATTTGATATATATAATCGGTGATTTTTTGGGGAATGCGGTGCTTACTAAATTGGCGAAACCAACGTTCCCGCACCAACGCCAGACCCATTCAATAGCCTGCCGACTTCGAACAGTCCGAGTGAAGAGCCAGCATTAATGACCTGCAACGCCGTGCCTGCCACGTACAAGGCTGCACTAAACGTAAGGCACATTTTACGCCCGTACCGTGCGCAGATGGGGATGCCCATCGGCACACCGAACAGGGCGCCGGTGATCCATGAGGAGACGACGAGAGATTGGGCCCGTGCGAGGTCGACATCCGGCAAGGCGTCGAGATGGAAATGTCGGAGGAATGAGGGCAGGACGAGGATCCCGCCTACGAAGCCGACTGAGTATCCGAACAAGGCACCCGTCATGGCCGCGACGGCCGAGGCGATGTAGACCTTCGCTTTGGACATGATAACAAGATACTCATCTCAATCGCTCACGAGGAGAGAAAATGCTATGAACAAAGGAAACGGAAGTGAAAGTCAATGGAAAAGGGAAGAAAAAAGGGGAAGCTGCGTGAAGTCTAAGGTGATGGAGGGGGAGAAAAGGGAGGAGGTCAGCCCATTGATATGATATACCGTATCAAGACCCGTGGATCCGACGTGTCGATGTGTGTCTGGCGGCCGGACCCAGCCAGCCCAATACACTGGGAGTAACCTGGTTGTCGATCGGATGAGAATCCTATCACATATTGCTAGAAATGCCATCCAGTGTAGAGGGTGTATGGAGACTGACGCGGGGAAAGAGGTGAGGGATCTTCGTCTTCCCTCGTTTTGGCGTGGGCGTAGAGTGGGTAAGTGGTGAAGTGGCCAGTCAATTGAGAGCCCGAATTTGGGACACGTCGAGAAGATCAAAGAACCCATTGATTTTTCCAGGTGATGGAAATCGGCGCTCCAGTACGGAAAAGCTTTTTTCCGGGAAAATCCACGTGCATCAAACGCTGGTATGGGAGTTTTCCCAAGATCTCGCTAACACTCAAGCTCATACATTCTCCTCACGCCGCTACAACATGTAGCACAGACTTCGTGCCAACAGGTGGGACCAGATATGAAAATGAGCTATATCACGGAAGAACTCGGCTTCGACAGTGGATTCAACTACAAGAAGGAGTCGCCCTCGTCCACTCTCGCGAGCCTCGCTCCCAAGAGATGGACATCTACTTCGACAACATGGGCGCGGCGCACATTGACGCTGCGATTTCCGCCATGAATCCCCTTCGGTCGCGTGATTACGTGCGGCATGATCGCCGAATATAACAGCAAGAGCGACCAGGAAGCCTAGGAGTATCTGGGACTTGTCCAGATTGTAGGGAAGCGGTTGACAGTCCGCAGGTGCATAGTCGAGGGGAATAAAGACTTTGGGCCGAAGTGGCGGGAAGAGTATTAAAGAGAATGTGCTAAGTGGCTAAAGGAAGGGAAGTTGAAGGCCAAGTTGCATGAGTGGAGAGTGCCGGAAGCAGCTGAAGGGTTCGTTGATATGTTCAAGGGTGAGAATTTGGACAAGGCCATCCAGAAAGTGTCATAAATCAATTCTCCAGTGACGGAAGCCATTCAGATTGCCTTGTCTTCATATGCATACCCGTTGCTAGCCCAGTTTCGATTTATTGTAACCTTTTGGGGTGTCCTCTTAAGCAGGAATGACGAGGCTGTGCTGGATTGAGACGACCGCGGTCGATTCCCCAACCACCAGCGACGCGGGAAGCAGCTGCGCCAGAAGGGAGGGTCGTCGTCGTTCTTACTCATCGTTGAATCCGGTGACGCTGCTGCTATCACGATGCCCGACGTGGGGGGGTTGGCTGGATCGGAAGCAGTGCTACTCTTCTTCAAGCTTGAGTCTTTCCCGAATTTTCGCGCGAAACTCAGCTTCATATCGCACTCGTGTTATTGAAAACAACAACTCTGTTCGTCAGCTCGCTTTGGGAGAGTCTTGATTCTTGGGAAACCTCTCTTCTCCACACCCTTTTCTTTTCTCAGCCTTGCGTACTTCCGAAAATGCTACTTTGCTTGTCGCCGACTTTTTTTTTTTTTTTTTTTTACCACAATGTCTGGTAGCAACCCGTGCCCCTGGCCCGCCCACGGAATCTGTTCGAGTCACATTTATGACGCTGCGCTGGAGCACGGGTAGTAGGAGAGGATTAGGTACCATCTCGCTACCTAAGTCCTAGGGAGCTCGCGAGCCTGGATGCCATTATTGTTCTAGGTTTCACGCGGACGTTAGATTCTAAGTATGGGCGAATGTAGTAATTGGTGGGCACGCCAAGGGTTATATATCCAAGGCCCGGCAAACTGGCAAGAATTCAGCCTTTTTGACACAACATCCGAATCGCGTTCGATTGAAGCGAGAGTCGTGTCAAGCTGCCGAGGACATCTTAATTTGTGAAAAAGCGGGTTGAAGAGTAGCCTATGAACAGTTTTATGAGCGCCGTCCTTGGCGTCTTGGGCAGAATCACAAATTGTCGGGCAAGATATGGGGCGCATTCCGCGCTAGTGCCTGCTGCGTTCGCATGAGGTGTGGGACTTGAGGCCTTCTGGGATTGGTAAGGAGCAGCCTGCAAGGACGGATCCGTTGATGATTGGTTGGACTCGGACGCCGTCGGTCAGGACGATTTTGCACATTCTCGTACTGTCTGAGTTATGATATTTCTGCGTGTCCGTCTCCCATCTTCCCTTCATTTCTCTCTCGAATTGCCATGCAATGAGAAGTGACCTTTCATACCAAATTGGAAGCTATCATCTGTTTTAGCATTTTGCGGACAATATCATATTCAACCCTAAAGCAGAGCGCAATACCTGTCAATGGATGAGGAAGCCTCAATACCTCCCCAGCCCTCTCGAGTCTATCTTGGAAACAAGCAACCGTGGCCAAACTCTCCTGCTACGGAGCTCAATAACGTGAGAACTCGTCCTTACCCTTCCGCAGTACCTCTCACTAACATTCCAATGCTTGTTGTCTCAACGGTCTCATATCCCATACACTCATCATACCCTTTCTGGAACCGCGAGGATACGGTCATGGCTAGTTTTAATCGTCGGCCTCATTCTACTCATTACACCTCTCTGGCTGCTCAGTCCTGCCGATCTGGAAAGTAACAAGATTGTTGCTATATCAATGTTGATCCTTTGTTTCGTCTGTCTGTTGGCTGTTGGGGCCAAAACTCATCCCTCCGATATTCTTGCCGCTGCGGCTGCGTACGTACCTCTTTGCCCTTGTGAGTCGTGTTCTTTCTGATACTAATATCGTTCGCAGATACACTGCGGTTCTCATGGTGTTTGTGCAACTTGGTCAGCCAGATGATAGAAGCCAACCTGCCGTCTAAGTAATGCATCCAAAAATACATAAATCATCACCCGCGCCCGACTTTCGACGAGAACAAGGAATCTCGGATGGACTTGACTGACACACTTCCGCGGCATAAACATAACTCAGCCATTCGATCCCTCCTGCGACCTCTTTCTGTCATGAAAATACTCCAGCCATTTGTACGATGAAGGATTCAGAGAGTGTTGTGTATCAAGTGCCAGAAGCCGTCTATTTCTGCCATTTCATAGTTAGCGTTGACAGAAGGGTGCTTCGATAGACGAGGCTATGTTCGGTAGGGTACCGTAACGAGATAAAGTTTATGACGTTCACACCATACCTACTCAGTGTGGGTCGTTCTCTGTCCAACTAGGGAAGACCCACATGTGAGTTTCCCTCTTTTTTTTTCCCCTCTCGTTCTATTACACTTCTCGATCCTAGCATCGATTAAGTATCTGTCTGCAATTGTGACTATTCTTTGCCGATCATCTCAGCTGGAGTGCAATCTACCACACAGAGTCAAATAAACAATCGTCACACAACAATTAGTATCCCCAGTGGCTGAACAATAGCGCAGAATACTGGGTTCCCTCGAAACTGAAACAGGAAATAGAAAGGCTGTAAGCAACTTATCCTCATAGTCAATCGGGTTGCGGCTGACAGCATTTGCAAGCCCATCGAATGCCCCCGGAACCTAATCCCTGAACCCAATCCTTCCATGGGATACAAGAAACAGATAACGATGTGGGCCACCCTCACAATCGAGGTTGTCATATCTGGGACAAGAGGGGGAAGGAAAGGAGCAATGGAATACCGCAATGGCAAATGTTGACTGAAGTAGTCGTTGTTATGGTCTATCTGTGTCTTGTTCTTCTGAGGATTGTGTGGAGTAGCAAGAGTGGAAGAAGTAAACGAATGCTCTAGTGGGCTAGTCCCAACTAGGCCTAGCGTTCCACGTGACAGAGGTAGTTTTTCTATATACACTCCTCTGGTGGGGGATCCTCCCGGTCAAAAACGAGAAGAGCAAAAGCATAGCAATTTGCTAAAAAGGTATCTCCCCTGAATTTTTTTACAGTATTCCGCGAAATCAGAGGCACCCAGACTGCCTTTGTGATCAACGAGGAGAGTGTGTGAAGGTTAGAATCAAGCCATAATGGAGACTTGACCATTTGGAACAGAGGACATTACCAAGAGCTGGCACTCGAATCACCCAGAACAGACTCTGGCCGCCACTCCCGAGTGAGTCTTGTCATGTCCCTGTAGCGTGTCGTTTTCCTTGTTCTGATGTCATCATCAGCATATGAAGATTCTCAGCGGGCTTCTGTACAGTGGTTAATCGCATGATTGAACTAGATGCTCATGGAAGAAGGCGTTGAAGGTGGAATTTAAGCACCGAGGGTCTTGACTGATGGGATTGGTTTATTATGAACGGCTTTGGATTCTTCTGTATGCTTTGGCATCGTTTGGGTTAGAGAGAAACGGGGCCAGAAAAGAGCATACAAAACCGTGGCTCATTGTCTGTGAAGTGGATGTGTCATGCTCTTAAGAGACGCTAAGTCTCTCGTTTAGATTGTGCTCGTCTGCGGTCACTACCAGGTGCAAAGTCTGACGCTTGGGACTTTCAGTTTCGGGGAGGTAGGACGGGTAAAACGACTTCGCAATCTAAGTTCTTGCCCAATAAGGAACCCCCCCAAAAAACCCCCGTCTGGGACCTTGTTGGCACTATCAGTGCTTGGTTTGTGGAATTTAGTTGTTTACCACGAATAGCCGTCATGTTCAACTCGAACCGTCCGTATTATTGTATTGACAATGTATCTCAATGCCTTCAACTTCCTGGCAGCTGCCATGTCAATTGCTGGAAGGGAGCCTAGCATCTTCAATAACAACAATCGAAGGGGTCTCCGCCGTGCCATTGAGAGGTGAGCTCCGAAGCACAGTGCCAATTGACTCTTCACCACGATCAGTCCTTGGCTCTGAAGATGAAGGACTTTCTGTTCGAGGGAGCGTCGATGGACTGGTGCTAGGACGTTCAATGGAACTTGGATCGAACTCGGGATCACAAAGTGTGTCATTATCGTCTTTGTCCTCATCCCCCGTCAGAAGGATCATCGAAGCTGACTGGTGTTGGAGGTGTGTATAAATCTGTTGGACTCATGGCATCCTCAGCCGAATCTTCTGAAGTCGTACAACGATGTCCCTTGAAGATTCCGTGACGTTTGAGAACACCTCCCGTCGAATTCGATCTCGTCACAGGAGGGCTTTGGGAAGGCGTATCAAGACTGGAAAGGTTAAGCCATTTCGAGCTAGGAGACCTGGCCAACACGCTCTGAACCAATGGCATTTCCAAGTAACTATTCAAGGATCCTCTAGAGAAGAGAACCAATCCCAAGCAAATGAGTATCAGAATCATCTGCAGAATCGACATTCGCTTTTGAAAAATCACTTCATCGGCAAGAACACCAAGTCGGGCATTGATGGCAAGGTTTTCTTGTTGGTAACGCTCTCGTTGCAATTCAAGTTCGATAACAGTAGATTGCCAAAGCTGATCGTACTGTTGTCGGAAGTCTCGCAACTCATTCAAGACGGTGGTGTTGAGATACTCGAGAAAGGCAGTAGTTTTGGCCAGCTGTTTTTGCTCAACCTTTTGAAAAGCATCTCGAAGGGCTCGAGATTGTTCTTCAATGTACTGAAGAGAAAGGGAGGAATTTGCCTCGAGCATTTGCAGCCGTTTCTGAACCGATTTGAAGAATGATTCCTGCATCGTCGGTGCCGCAGGGGGTGCCTGTGTTGAATATGCCGTCGCTTTTGTGCTGTTGCCAATAGTCGGAGAGGTGGAGATTCGACTCGTGGAATTGTCAGCCGCTTCAGACCTCGACGTGGCCTTTTGCGAGTCCGCATTCGTTGCAGTTGCATTGCCCGTTGAAGATCCGGATGTTGAGGGTTTGATAGAATCTGTGCTGTTGGTATTAGCAAGGCTACCTGTGGCTATTGTTGTTCCTGTCGTCGAGCTTTGAATGATTGACTGCTCAGCCACTTCGGATTTCGCCTTTGTAGAATTTGCAATAATCTCACACATCTGAAGATTTTCATAGTGCATGCTTGAATTGTTGAACATAACTGAAAAATTGGTTGGAGAAGTCGGTATCGGGTTTGCGACGGCTTCAACGGAGGTCGATTGAGTAGCATTCGTGCATTCGAGTGGACTTTGCGATTGTCCGGTGGAAATCACGGCGACGGTTTCGGCGGTCGGGGTCGAGGTCTCAGCTTCATCTGTGCCAGTGCTTCTCAACAAGGGCTCTGCCACTGCTTCAGGGACAAGTTCGTCCACGCCAGCAGATTCATCACCTTCTTGCATCTCAATCTCTTCATCATCTTCCATTTGTAACGATTCAAGGTCATGTTTGTACTCTTCCAACATGGTTGTCCCATGCACTCGAACAAGACTGACTGGACAATAGTACTCATTTCCGTAATGAGTCAGAAATTCAATTCGCAAGTATCGTGCCCAAATGACAGGATTTTCGACAAGGAATGCCTGGACTTCACGCGTATTGCGAGCTTCAAAAGTTCCCAAAGTCTTCCATTTGTCGATTTTAACCGGATACTTGTCCGACACGCTCACTCGAAAGGTTCGAAAGGTCGAGCTGAAAAATTCGAAATTTGCCACGACAATGGTATCGATAGAAATGTCGTCGCATAGTTCCAGAATGAGGAACTTGTTCGGAGCAGAGCATTCGTTCAGCATATAAGTATCTTTGTTATTTCCCAAGACGGCGGAGGCACTCTTCGCCTCCGGGTTTGTTTTCAGGACATTGGCTGCACAATCAAAGGATGCATAATTGAATCTTTCTTTGCAGGTCGTACCTGCATCTTTGCTTCTGACGCCAGCTCGGGGCGAACGTCCTGCTTCAACGGAGGCAGAACTGTCGCGAATGGTCTGACCAATTCGTGGCTGACCATGATTAGAGGACTCTAGGCCATCCGAGACGAATCCTGAGAAATCAAAATCGATTTCGGCATCGTCGCCAAGAGAGTCGAGCGAATCTTGAACGTATGTCGGTCGTTTCCGGGGTTCTCGTTGTTCAAGTCCAGGCCCTTTTCCCACATGTTCGGATTGTCCTGCCTTTTTTAAATTCTCCCTTTTCCAATCCTCAAATGAGAGAAATTTCGCATCCTCAAGAGGAGAGTCTTCATCGGGCTCATCCGAAACAGCCTCCGATGCGGAACTAGTTGCGTCGGACGTGGAAGGACTCGAAACCGTTTGATCTGGCTGAGAAGTAATGGGGGTAGTATCTGCTGGTTTTGAACTCAAGTCCAAGGATGCAGTTTCTGCGGGTGTGGTTGAACCCGCAGAAGCATTTTTGGGGATCTCGCTGGAAAAAAGAGTGTCCGAGGAACGGTCCACGCTCAAACCGATACTAACTTCAGTCGGAGTTGATGTGATATTCGTTTTGCGAGAGGATGTCAAGCATTGTTGGGGAAGGCTGTGCGTGATATAGTTCGCTGTACGAAAAGGACAGGTGAGAGGTGTTACTGTTGTCGTCGCCGTACCCGGTGTGGCCATCACGACCGAAACAAGAACCGGCAAGACCAGTTGGGCCCTTATCGGGAACCACATTGTGGACACTGGTCTTTCAAGGTTCGGGTGTGAGTCCGTGACATCGTAAAGTCATTTGAAGAACTTCATGAGGATCTCGTGTAGGTCAGGGCGGTCTGCCGACTTTCACAAATCCATTGAATGAAGTCCGTAGAATTAGGTATCGGGCGGACTGCGATGACTTCAAGCAAGAATGCAAAATAGGCAAACACGCCAATGGAGACACGTCAGTCTTGGCATGTTTGTGCACAAGGCTGCCTCCTTTCTCTCGGCGACCGATGCATAAATCCATGACGATTGGTCGGCTCTAGGTTATGCTCCCTAACCCAGGTAGATCTTAGCATCAAATCCGATGGAAACTGTCTAATCCGATACTGAAACTCTAACCAGACTCAAACATAAAAATAGCCATGGATTTCCATGACAGTGTTGAGAGAAGACGAAGCACAAATCATTGAACAAAGCATCATCACAATGGGCTCTACCTCATCAAACTATTCGTATCCTTATCAATCCCCTCCAGTTGACGACCGAGTCCAAAGTGTCCTTCGCAGTACTCCCCTATTCGATGGCCATAATGACCTTCCCCGGCAGCTTTGTTGCGTCACGCATGGCAAAATCTATGGTCAGCCACATTTCGACTTCCCGAAAGGTTTCGAGCGGGGAATGACAGACATTCCTAGACTGCGAGAAGGTGGGCTGAAACCGGTCTTCATGTAAATATTTTGACTCATGCCTCTTTTCCAGGAGCCGTCGGTGCACAATTCTGGTCCATTTGTGTCCATGTCTTCGCTCAATTGAAAATTTTCTCCACGCTCGAGTATAGCGACATGGCCCGAGACGCGATCGAACTATTGGATCTGGCAACGCGCCTCATTGAACTATATCCCCATATCCTCGAGCTCGTTCGCCAGCCAGAGGACGTGAAACGAGTCTATGATGAGGGCGAGATCGCATGTTCAATGGGTGGTGAACGTCTCCATATGACTGACAATTCGATCGACATCATTCGCGCTTTCTACAAGCTTGGCGCTTGGTATTGTACTTTGACAATGTCAATTATTGTTTCACGGATTCATCTCAATCTGCCAGTGGACCCATCCACAGCGGGCTGTCCTCTCTGGGTTGCTCCTGCGTCAAGGAGATAAACAGGCTGGGCATGATTGTTGATGTCTCTCAGGTTACAATGAAATGTGCAGAGCAAGTTCTAAATTCGACTCGCGTACCTGTCATGTTTTTACACAGCAATGCTGTCAGTGATTGACCGTCCACGAAATATGTCAGATAAGAGACTTGATATGATTCCACAGAACGGCAGTATAATAATGGTGACATTTGTCTCAGAACATGTCGCCGCTTAGCGCCGTGATGCAATCATGGAAAATATGCTGGATCACTTCTTTTGCATTGCAAACCGCATTGGATGAGATCATGTTGATCTAGGCTCTGACTTCGATGACATCGCTTCTCGAATCCTGGATATCCATTGCTATCCTCGTCTCCTGAGGGCTATCTTCGATCGAGGTGCGACGGAGGAACAACTCGCCAAGCAGTGATGACGGCAATACTTCCCTCCAGGGGAAATAGATATGGCCAGGTCAAGGGTGTTTTTTGGCGTCTGGTAAGTGGAAGACGCCATAGGTTAGGAGGCCGTCCAATGCCGGAGCGGTGATGCCGGAAGCAGAGAAAATGCCAATTCGAAAAGCAATTTGTCTGCAGGTGTAGAAGCTTGAGAAATATACGACAGTACTGCGATATTATTGTCAGTATTAGAATCGAGCAGGTAGCACAGAGGCCACAAACGATGCAACAAGGCCGGCTTCGAAGATGCCCACAAAGAATCGGCAAACAATCAAACTGGAGAAGCTCTGGACAGCTGCGGTGCAGATGGATGCAATCCCGAAACCGAACAACATGCCAAAGATATCATATTTGCCAGAAACTCGTTTTGATACCATACTGCCGATAGGACCGAAGAGGAGCATAGCAACACAGTACACAGTCAAGCAGGAACTATATTGATTCCCAGGTAGCTTTAGAAGAGAGGACGTACTCGAGAAGATAGGAAAAGGGCACCATTGGAATGATGATGAGATCGCATTGTCGCGTATACTTTTCACCGTAGCATGGTCTACATGTGATTGAATGGCACCTTCCTCGATAAGGGACACCTTGGTGGTCGCTTCGACGGGAGCAAAATTTTCGTCTTCTGAATATCAAACATTGCTTGTCAGATGGAAACGATGCGAGACGATATTCAAGTCGTGCAAGTGGACGTATGACCGCCAAGGAAGGATGCCCTTCGTCCATTTTATATCTTTCAATCTTCTGACAACAATGTCTATCTGAAATCTGAAGAATCTGTATCTTTAGCATCTTCGGCCGATCCGTGACTAGAGGACGTGAAGATGAGGTTGAAGACAGAAAGGTGAATTGGAACGACAAGCCGTAATCATCTTTCGGCACTTGGATGGAATTTTATCCAGGTCTCTACTGATCGATAGGTCAAGGAATGCATATCGACTGAAGAGGAAGAAAAACGTCTACGGCATGTGGCTCATGACCGACCCGAATTCTCATGTAAGTCTCCATCTCCATGGTTAAAGCAGCGCTAGACTGGGCTTCCACGTGACCTCGAACCACCTGGTGACTTTCGGGCTCCTCAACTTGACTTACCCATGCTTTCATTGGCTTTGCTAAGCGTTATTGTCTGTCAATTCTCTGGCACGCTTGTCGCCTGCAATATGGAGAGGTGCCAATTGCATAAAAGGTGACAATCCTCTGTTCCTGGAGTGGACATGTTTACCAGGAGCATTGGGGTGCGTGTTCTTCGAAACTGCACCCGATGTTCGAAACTTTCATCACCACCGGCAGTTCGATCGATATCGCGGCGGTTTTCTTCTTCATCGACCGCTGCTTACCATGGATCTCCTCCGACGGCGCATCCCCTCGCTGGGGTCGCCTCACAACTTGATCAAGTCGCGCCTCGATTCGAGATTGACCCAGATCATATCGAGATCCTCGACTCTCCTACAGCGTTTTACGAGACCTTGAAGGTATATGTGTTTGAAAAGACTGTCAAGCACAAGTCGCCGTGCTAAGGCGTGTTGCAGGCTAAAATAAGAGGAGCGAAACGACGAATATATTTGTCCACTCTCTACATTGGCAAAACCGAACATGAACTCGTCAATACCCTCAGAGAAGCGTTGGAGAACAATCCAAACCTCGAGCTGTCAATATTGACAGATGCGCTTCGAGGGACTCGGGAAGATCCTGATCCCTCGTGTGCCACTCTTTTGGCTCCATTAATCTCAGAGTTTGGAGACAGAGTGCGGATTTTCATGTTTCACACTCCAAATTTGAATGGATGGAAGAAGAAGTACATGCCGAAACGTATCAACGAAGGATGGGGTTTACAGCACATGAAGTTGTACGGTTTCGATGATGAGATCATACTGTCAGGGCATGTTCACGCTTGTTGATATATTTGATTCGTCACTAATGTCCGCAGGGCCAATTTGTCTGATGATTATTTCACCAATCGACTGGACCGGTATCATATCTTCGCCTCAAAAGAACTGGCTGACTTTTATGGAGCGGTCCATGAGGCAGTCTGTGACTTGTCATATCAACTTTTACCTTCCGATGGCCATCCCGGTGGCTTTGAATTGAACAGTCCTCATGAACGAGGCTTCCCGGATCCACTATGGCATACGAGGAGATTCAAGTCTTATGCGAAAGAGACACTTGAGCCGCTTATCCACAAGAAAGCAAGACAAAAAATGTTTCCGATCCCTTTTACCCAGGAAAAGACCTTCGTTTACCCTCTGGCTCAATTCGATATCCTACTCGGTGAGCCCAGGAATATCACCTTTCTGGACTACGAGTTCGCATCGTATACGTCGACCGAGAAGCCTGCGATATCGCGACTGTTGACGAATCTCGCGGAGGATGAACAACTGCATAAGTCTACATGGACCTTCACGGCAGGATATTTCAACATCGACCCTGATGTTAGTAAACTGCTCATTGCTGCGGCACCAGAAGCACCAGTAGCACCAGTCTTGGCACCCGGCACCAAAACATTCGAGAAAGCCTGCACAGTCATCACAGCATCGCCTTGGGCCAATGGATTCTATGGAAGCTCTGGTGTGAGTGGGATGTTACCGGCAGCATATACCCTCCTCTCACGTCGATTTTTGCGTACTGTTGTCAAGGCCGGAAAGAAAGATGTCATTCAGCTCAAAGAATGGAGGAAAGGAACAGTCGGTGAACCTGGTGGAATGACATATCACGCCAAGGGGCTCTGGGTGACACTTCCTCCGCAGCCCGATATCCAGGGAAATCTCCAAGATGAATCTGGTCCGAGCATAACCGTGGTCGGAAGCAGTAACTACACGAAAAGAAGTTATAGCCTTGATCTAGAGATTGGGGCGATGGTCGTGACAGGTGACGAAGGTTTGAAAGCCAGACTGAGGAAAGAGATGGATAATCTTCAAGAAAATGCGACCACTGTAACACAAGATGATCTAGCAAAAGTTGACCGAAGGGCGAGCTTCAAGGTCATAGCTGCCTTGTGGCTGGTCGAAGCTCTAGGAGGTGCTCTTTGATGAGGTGTCATCGTCCTCTTAGAGTATCGTGATCATCTCTTCCTGTCTCCACTGTCGCGAGATATCAATACGGCACAATGATCCACGCATACACGCTGTCCAAGTACAGTCGCTCCTTCTCTTGGGATTGATCTCAGTCGACAAGAGTCACCGAGAACTGTCCATGACAGTTTTTGTCAGTGCTCGCTGTTCGGAGCATCTCGGCGAAGGCCATCAAACCATCTCCGACGTCGATGTATACCTTCCTCACCACAAGTTCTCTCCTCCATACTCCCACACCCTCTCATATAATCACGAACTCGACACCAGGATTTGCTCTAAGACTGAATAGAATGTAATATTATATTGTACCATACCATGAATTTGTATCCACGAGCATAAAAGAGAAGTCTCAGGATCAAATCGAAGACAAAAAGAACCATGTGGAATCCAAGAATACCCGTTTGCAACTGCAATCAATCGGCTTTTTTTTTGGGGCCGCCATTCACTGACTTTGTTTCTCCTTGTGTCCGTTCCTATCAATTTTAATAATTGATCATCGATCTTACCTTATGCAATTTCCATCAAGGAAACCTCCCAAGCTCGATCATCGCGACACGTGCAAATGCAACTCCCGCCAAAACACGGTCAACGAAGGGGAAAAAAAAAAAAAAAAAAAAAAAAAATTTTCACAAATTCATTTGTGTGATGTCCGAGATTTTGCCTTCCCACCACTAGCCTACTGAGCACATCGCATCGTGCCGTTCGCGCAGAAGAGGGGATGTATATGCAAATCTAATGCAATGCAAGATGAATGACTGGGTCCAGAAACTTATTGAGAACGGTAATTACGGATAGGCAATGTTAGGATACTTGGAGTCGAGAGACAAAATTCAGATGGCGGTATATACACCGCCATCTGAAGCGGAGTGGTCGTGGAGGGTGAGCAGGGAGTGTGAATGGTGGATGTCTTGGATCTAGATCCTAGCTCGTTGCGAACGAATGAGGTTGTATGCTGTCTAGCTGTCTACTACCACGCTACTACGCCAGGAACCAGAAGCGCCCGCAACCAGTGGTTAGGTAGAGAGATAGGGTTTACTGCACAACTTAGGCAGTGGGTGGTAGAAGGGTTAAGGTCCAATATAGGAACTACTACCAAGCTAATGCTCTCCATTCGGAAACCAAGACCACAAAGTTTCGAGAGCCCACAAATTAGATAGCAACCGAGGCCAGCGCCAGCATTGGAAAGAGCAGACGCCTGGAGGGATGAACAAGAATCACCTGGCACGAATGAATCGATGGTGGATTCGAAATGGTCTTGTTGAGCCCCAACCTTGAGAGCTTAGGTTGTGGGCGATGGGGAAATTCGGGAGAACTGGATGTTTGGATGAAAAATAGAAGCAGAACAAGAGCAAAAATTTCAAACAATGTGGAGAGAGCTACGGTCGCGGCTTCGAACGGGGCGAATATTCCGGGGCTTGCAACTTGGAGTTCCACGACATTGAGATAAAGTGCTAGAGCAAGCGCTGGTGGTGGCCTGTTTTGAACGGCGCTTGCCACTGAAAGTGGGAATCCAATGGATCTCAACCTCAAACGTCTTGTCTTGTCTCGTCCGATGTCCGAGTCTGAAGGAGAAACGTTGCAGTCTCTGCAATCGTGGCCTGCAGCGGCAAGACCCAAAAACAGATCGGCGGCACGGCGCAGAGGTGATGAGAGGATGATAATGGGCTCCATCCAGCATTGTCTCCAAAATTCGAGCGAGCATCGGGCCGTCGCAATGCCCACATGGATCCCAACCCCAAGAGATCCAGCACCAATAATTCAACACGTTCTCTAACTCGACTTGCATTGTACGACCTTTCTATGCCGCACAGACAACAGGAGTTCGAACATTTGAGAGAGCCACAGCGTCAGCCAAAGACATTCGATCGGACTGGAAATGGTCGGCGTGGCCTATCCTAAATGGGTGGCGATCGTTTTCTTCGCTGGCACCAGTTGATGGGAAAAGCAGAGCATCTCCCATTTTCTTTCCAAGAGGCTATGACGTTGATAAGTCAGGGCCGCAGAGATGTGAAAGGAAAAAATCAGTCGCGAGACCCCACCAGACAAAAGTCGAACACGCTTATGCAGGCTCTGCATATTCAATACCAGCTCGATGCAAATTAGACTTACCAGTGGTACTCGGCCGGCAAGTCCAGTCTAAAGATTCTCCCCACATCTATCCAACTAGAAGAGGTTCCAGATGGAAATTGCATTTTGTTTCGTCCTTTTTTCACCGACATTCGGGCGAGAAGGAGAGGGCAATTGTCCAATATCGATTCATCCCGGAATAAATGGTCCAATTGTATTAGTTAGCCCTTGTTCTGAACAACGCTGTTAATGCTCCTTTGCGAGTAAATTCTAGCACTGTCAAATTTTTCCCCCTTGGGAGGAAATGTCGCGTGAGATTTCGATCTGTCAATGATAGGACTCGGGGGTGTTGTCTGAAACATCAGCAACTTCGTCTCAAGATTCAACCCACACCTTTCCCCCTCTCGCGAAACCGTCCTGTGTCAAGTGCCCCTCGATGCTCGAGGGATTGGGAAATTATCCGAAATGACCTTGACTGCTCGCGTCCGCCAATCAAGATCTTATCTTTCACGTGGCCATCCCGGTTTGTACCATGCCTCAACATTGGATCTGTTGTATTTCGTCTGCTACCCAGTTTCAAAAATGAGGCACGCCGATCAGATAATCCCGTCAGTCCAGATTGAGACTGCTGCATAGGGGGAGTCTTGGGTAAGACAACAGCAGACATTCCGGGACTGACAGGGTCCTCGTCTCCTGGAAGCCAGTAGAAAGCTGGTTTGGGTTGATCCTCTGGGCTCTACGAAAGTTGCAGGACACATCGTCGATCCAAAAGGATAGGTCACATGACCTCAGACCCCTCGACAATCCCCCCCCCCCGGGAGTTTTTGTACCCACGATACTTGCCATGAGGGAATCAAAACCCCTTTTCTTGTGAGCTCAGCACCTGAAATGACTCTAGAAAGTTCTTGACGAGCCAACCACCATCGATGAGCCCGTGGATGTTCAGAATCTCACGTATTTCTAAGGTACAGCGACTACTCTACTTGGATTGGTCGAAGGGAAACATCACGGCTACTTCATAGGGTTGAGTCAGCCAGTACAGTGTCATCATAGGCCGTCACGAACAAATGAAAACTTTTCTCTCAAGCAAAATTCTCGTCGACCATCCAAGTCATCTGGTACTGTAAGAGCAAGCTGCAGGGTTCCGGGAGGAGAGAGAGGGACGTTGCACCCGTTCGGATAAACCCAATTCACAAGGGGATTCAGGAGCAGTAGCTTGTCCTTCTGTGGTACCCGGATATGGCATCCTGAAGAAACGGATGGAATATTCGAGTTGTGAACACAACAAAGAGAAAGCGAACAAATGCAGATGGCACTCGTAATTCGGCAATCGGGAACAAGATCGAAGACCCAGAGCCAAAAGGGAGTCTGAGGACCGGGATGTCTCAGAAAGCGAAACAGGTGATCGATGGGTTCGTAAGGTTAATTGTTCTCTGTACCAGGAGTGTCCTCACCTCACTGCCTTTGAGGTTTGGGTCATCAGTAGGATCCAGCTGTTGCGTGTTCCGTGTTGCGTGTTGCGGCGTCACGTAGGCAAGGCTCGAAAAGGGCTTGTGGCGTGACTATTGGTTGAGGAGAGGACAAAGCGTTTTCTCTAGCGCAGTCGAGCTCTAAGTCCTGAGTGCCGAAAGCGGATAAGAGGGTGACCACCAACGGGAGGAGGGTGAGACTGAGACGAAGGGAACAAGGGCACGAGAGGCAAAGAGATGTTTGCCATCCCTAATGGTGTACGTCGTCGGCGTAGAGGTGAGCACTGGCATTCGCAGCGAGAACAAGGATAACGAGCAGATGTGATCACGCGCTAGCGGGAAATTGCATGGTTTGCTCGTGCAGAGGGCCGAAGTCTAAAGGGGACTGGCGTCCTTTGTGCTGGACTTTTAGCCCGCTCGATAACCAAGGCGCAGGCACCGGAGTCGACACTCCACCCAACGCTTTCTGATTCGTGTGCGCTGGACCCTGCCCCGCTGGCCGATTCCATCGACGACTTCGCTCTTCCAAGCTCCCAGCGTCATTTTCATTCGTCCTCACCATCCCGGCCGCCAATTCGCCCTCCAAAGTCTAGGCGCTGCTCGTTGTCTGGCTGCCGCTGCTGGGTGGGTGTGGGAGCTCGTCCACCGCCTTTGCTCACTCAAGTGCTATTCCCAGGCCCATGGAGCTGTGGGTGCCAGAGGCAAGCTTATTGTTAGTGGCACCAAACACCGCCTACTCGGCTACCGCCGCAGTGATTCTGCAATATCCTTTCATAATTCACTGCTCCCGGACCATCATCTCTTCTCTGTTTACCTCCCCCTACTCCGACCTCGAATCCGACCACTCTGCAATGTAAAAGACAACCCTTCACGAGTGTTCGTTCTCCTTTTCTCATCAACCACCATTCATCTAACACCTGGCCGTGTCCCTCCTTCTCGCCCTCTCCCGTCTCGACGACGTTCTTTCGCAGCATTCCTTGCTGTCATCCAGCGAACCACACCCCGCTGTACCCTCTCCCCGCCCCTCAACGAGGCCACCGTTTTGCACTCGGACAAACCACGTCGCCGTTGTGCCTATAATCCCACTATATCTTGGAGCTGTGTTTGTTCGACTGGTGTCTAAAAAGCTCTCTGGACGTTGTCTCTTTGGATTCCACAGCATCTGTCGAACTTGGCCTGACTGGTGAATCATTGTGGTGTCATCCGACACTACCCAACGCCCAGCACAACAGCTGAACAAAGGAGGAAACGAGTCTTTTGATTGAGTCGAGAGACAAACCCACCATCCGAGTCAATTGATCATCCTCTTCGGTCAACAAGATCTCTCGTGGCAAACCTCGTGGCTGCCTGTCGACAGGCACCTCCAGCTCGACAACACTGACAGCCCTTCTCTACATCTTCCCACTCTACCACCTCACGAATCTCCTTACCTCAATAATCTCTGCTTCTGCGCTATCCTCAGAAACCAACTCTTTCTATCTTCCTGTCTCCAACTCAGGACATTCTTTGGCCTCTGCCGGAACCAGCCCAACCCTCAACCATGACACAGTAACCTACGCTCTCTACGTCTTTTGCTTGTTCGACTGCACAACGAGCCTCCAGGCTCTGCGTCATCGATCAGCTTTCCTTTTGTTTTACGTTACGACCTACCTCTCTATGAGCCTCTGACCACACACGACGACTTGGAGTTCCGCGGTTTTCTCTCGACGTTGGTGTCTCTCACATGATAAGCGGTGGTTGAAGATTTGCAGATCGAAGGTGGATCTATGCTTGGTGTCCTGGTTTCAGCACTCGACGTTATCTTCTGCCATTGAGCACAGCTGCTCATTCACACTACACGCACTCCTTTTCCCGTCCATATACGCTTGTACAAAGTTCACCTGGACTACCTTCCACCCTTTTACCTGGGGCAAAAAAAGTTTCTTGTCGTTTCATCCAACCCCCCACTCAAAAGGATAGACCGTTCTGGACTCACAGCTACATCGGCTCTTTTGTCATTTCCCCATCACTTCATCGATCAGCCATGGAGTGCATGAAAGACGATTTCCGCAAGGATCAGTTACTCGACGGCCGTTTTCGAACCATTGTCCCTCTAAACCATGGATCTTTTGGAATGGTCTTCTTGGCCGAGGATATTCAAACTCGACAAGAGGTGGCTATCAAATGTTTGACCAAGCCCTCTGTTACAGGTCAGACCCCAACAGGCCCCACTGCCGATGAAGGGGCGGAAGAGCTGGCCTGTCATGCACTCCTCAAGCATCACGACCACTTGGTCAATCTCGTTCATTACTTCGCGACTGAGGCTCATACCTATCTCGTTCTGGAATATTGCTCTCAGGGTGATCTCTACGAGGCCATTCGTCTCAACCGTGGACCACTCCAGACCGAACACGTTCGACGCTTCATGTTACAGCTCATCAGTGCCGTGCAACACATGCATGCCAATGGGCTGTTCCATCGAGACATCAAGCCGGAGAACATCTTCCTTACCCATGATGGTTCCATGAAGTTGGGTGATTTTGGCTTGGCCACACGAAGCATTTGGTCCTATGAATCTTGTGTGGGAAGTGATCGGTACATGGCCCCCGAGCAATATGATCCCTCTGGCCAGGGTTACTCTCCAGCGAAAGCAGACATCTGGTCCATTGGCATCTGTTTGCTCAATGTCTTGTTCGCCAGGAATCCCTTCGTGACTCCGACCGAAAGTGACGTCCTCTTTGCTGACTATCGTCGGGACCGTCAGTCGCTGTTCGACATCTTCCCCAGCATGTCTCAGGATACTTTTGAGATTCTCTCCATCGCCATGGCTCTGGATCCTGCCAAGCGTGACCTCGGAGCTTTGAAGCAAGCTGTCCTTCGAGCGGTCTCGTTCACCACCGACGATGAGCCCTTCGATGAGTTCTGCGCCGAGGAACGGGATATTGTGCGCGCCAGTGCCAACCGCGAGCCACTCAGGACACCTTCAATTCAAAGCCCTCAAATGGATGGCGACTCATTCCCCTGGGCAAAGGCTCTGCACGCAAGCTCTCCACGCAAGCAACCCTTGGCTTCCATTCCAGACCTGTACGATGAGGATCTCTTCGACTCTGAGAAGTCTGTCAAACTCGGCGAATCTTGGTACTCTGGACACGGAAACACTCCCTCCCTGGCGTCGGTCCTTGACTCGGCATACGGCTCGTTCAAGTCCATGGCCGTTCGTCGTCCGGCGAATTGCAATCCTCCATGCCCAGACCCTGTTCCCATTCCCAATTCCTTACCGTCTCGCACATCTCGACCCATTCCCACCTTGACTTCAGTGTTTGGCAAGAAGAATGACACTGTAGCCAAGAGTTGGAGCGACATGTTCGAGGAAGATGAGGAAGAGTCTGAGCGGGAGGCTGATTCGAAAACCCGTCGGGAGCAAACCTCCCGAAGCTGGAGTGAGGATAGCCCAAAGCCTCTTCCGGTCCCTCCTGGAGTTCTTACCGAGTCCAAGAGTCGATCGTCGAGTAATGCCCGTCGCAACCGGACTCCCAAACCCATTTCGCCGACCAAGACCAATAATGGTTCGAACGAAAACGATCCTTTTGGATGGCGTGTCCGGACCCCTCGACACTCCCCCAAACAGGTTCCCGTGGATAAGTGGGCCGCATTGGGCAACAAGCGACGCAACTACCAGGCTGAAACTGATAACCAATCCTTGAGCACCAAGAAACGTTCTTTGACCACCGGATCTCGCAAGCGATCAACACACGGATTTGGATTCGACCATCATGGATGGCATCGACGTGATAGCCGAAACAAAACCCGTCCGGCGTACCTGGACCAGGATTGGCGTCAACATAGGGTGATTGACTCGTCGACAGATGAGGACGACCATGAGTGGGTTGGAGGTTGGCACAACTTCCATTTGTAATTCTTTGAAGCATCACTTCTTCTCAGCTTTTTTGAACTTTTGTATGTGGACCGGACAACATGATTCTAGGGGATTGGGGGCTGTTTTTGGTTGGTATTCGTCGGTTGACGACAATTCACATACGCACATCCTCAATTTCACACTCTCGCTCGCTTCTGTTTTGATTGGGACCTTGACACTGATGACTTTTGCAAACATGGGTTTAAGTTTGTTGTTTCTTGACGAGGTGTCATGGAGTGTACCAACAGTATTGAAAAAAGCCATTAAAGGTCGGCGAGTGCGGGTATGTTATGTGTTACTGTTTCCTAGCATGAATCGACGAAGGACAGCGTGATAGGATGGCTGGCGAGGAAGGGAAGGTGGATCGGTTCACCCTTTTAGTTTGGAGAAGCCAAAATCAAAAAGGAAAGGGAGATGCTCTTGCGAATTGCACCAATTCTCCTGAAGGGGGTTTTTCATGTTGGTTGGTTTGGTTGTCGACGCGTGTCAACGGCCAGAGTAGCTAGATTGATAGGTACTTTTCTTGCCGACAGGCATTATTTGAGAATGGAGAATTACAACCCTCTCAACCGGAGTTTGCTATATACTCGATCCTTGTGCGCCCCTTCGATATACCTTTTTCGACTGTTATAGTACTTGAATATTGTGCTAACAGTCTTGGCACTCAGCGAGCATCTCCCCATCCCTAAACGGCAGATTTGCCGAGGCCGAGGCAAAACTCCCAATCCGCATCAACTCCCAAGGCCCGCCCCCTCCCCCCAAAGAATGTTCATCTCCAATTGAACCGAACATGTATATTCAGGTCCTCATTCCCCCTTCCTACACGGCTCGAGTCCTCTTTTTCTCATATTAACCGAGGGCTTGAAGTGTATTTATATTCTCATCTCCATTGTCCTTTTCATTTACCCCCCTCTTCTCTGTCCGCTGTAGCTGCCTCTCTCGTATATCCATCTGGACAATCAATCTATCAACCAGCGCATCAATCCACGATGGCATCAGGCCCCGCATCTCAGAATATCCCGCCCATTGCTCAGCCTTTCGTGTCCGAGCGGGCGAAGAAGTTGTTGGATTTGGTATGCTCTTCCTCAATGTTCTGCGCCATTAAATTAGGCCCCTACTTAGTTTGACGACCTCGGCTAATCCACGACATCGTTTCCTTTGCCTAGGTCGAGAAATTCGTCGACGAGGAATGTATCCCGGCCGACGTGGTGTATTCATCACAGATTGGAACCGGTGAGGCGCGATGGCTAGGTCATCCGTCCATCCTGGACGATTTGAAGAAGAAAGCCCGCTCCTTGGGGATCTGGAATATGTTCTTGCCCAAGAACCATTTCAAAGATGGACCGCAATTTACCAATGTCGAGTATGGTCTTATGGCCGAGCAGTTGGGGAAGAGTATTACAGCCAGCGAGGTGTGTTTTTTTCCGAATTCAGTTCACATTGGTGGAATATCTTCTTCTTCCCACAGGCAAACGGAAGGTGTATGTGTCCGAAAAGTCTTGTGAACTGATGACGCGCTATCCAGGCATGCAATTGCGCCGCCCCAGATACAGGTAACATGGAAGTCATTGCTCGCTATGGCTCTCCGGTACAGAAGGAGAAGTGGCTGGAACCCCTGCTGGCGGGAGAGATTCGATCCGGTTTCCTGATGACAGAACCCGATATCGCCTCTTCGGACGGCAGCAACATCCAACTCCGCATAGAACGTCGGGGCGACCACTACGTCCTCAACGGCTCGAAATGGTGGTCCAGTGGCGCCGGCGATGACCGCTGTAAGATCTTTATCGTCATGGGCAAAACCGACCCCCACAACCCGGACAAATACAGACAGCAATCGATGTTACTCGTGCCCGCCGACACGCCAGGTATTAAGGTTCACCGCATGCTGAGCGTTTTCGGCTATGACGATGCGCCGCATGGTCATGGCCATATTACCTTCACCAACGTCAAGGTTCCTCTGGATGCTATAATCCTGGGCGAAGGGCGAGGTAATGAAATCATGCAAGGCCGCCTGGGGCCAGGACGAATTCACCACGCTATGCGTGCTATTGGTGCCGCCGAACGTGCCCTCGAGTGGATGATCAACCGGCTCAACGACGAGCGCAAGGTCCCCTTCGGCAAACCTCTCTATGAGCATGGCGTGCTGCTGGAATGGGTCGCGAAAGCCCGTATCGAGATCGATGCGTCAAGGCTCATTGTGCTGAACGCAGCCATCAAAATCGATCAGAAGGACGCCAAGTTCGCGCTCAAGGAGATCGCAGAGGCCAAAGTTAAAGTTCCGCAGGTCGCGCTCGAAGTCATTGATCGCGCCATCCAAGCTCATGGCGCTATGGGTGTTTGTCAGGACACGCCGCTCGCGAGCATGTGGGCGCATCTGCGGACGTTGAGAATCGCTGATGGACCGGATGAAGGTAGACATACCCCAACCCCAATTTTGGCTTTCTTCCTTCCTTATCTGATGATGCTGACCATTTCCGCTCGAACAGCTCATTTGAACCAACTGGGCCGCCGGGAGAACAAACAGCGCAAAGATGCCATTCGGGCACGTATCGCAAGGCAGCAGGCCAAGACCGAGTCTCTGTTTCGATCCATGGGCCTAGAGAGGAATGAATTGGGTGCCGCCAAGTTTAAGGCCAAGTTGTAGCTTGAATCTTGAGAGGAGAAGAGGTAGATGGGAGGGGATTGGAGGAACGAAGGGGCGTGGAATGAGATGGGAGGAGTTGCGTTTGGGGAAAGATGACTCTGCTCTGGCCAAAAAGAAAGTAAGTAGCAAAATATATACAATCACCAAACCTGACTCACCAATTGCCAGTTCCGTTTCAGACCAGAGCACCGCTGTTTAACCTGAGGGATGAGCTCGCGGTTCCTGAGTTATGACTGCGCTGCCCTGTGTTTAATTTGGCTGGACCCGAGCATAACCAGTGCGGCCGCGAGCCCCCTATTCATTAGCACTGTTCGGTGTTTCTTGATAAAAGATGTTTTACGCCTCTGTCGTGCGCCGGTAGTTCAATACGCAAGAAACACCTTCAAGCAGTTCAGCCTTACCATCCTCTTCGAGCGAAGAGGAGGAACCCGGCGAATACTCGACGGCTGGAGACCGGAGAACCACTTGGACCAAGGAGGACATTCTCTGGCCGGCCAAACTCCTTCCACAACTCCTCCGAGAAAGAAGCACAGAAGCTCGGAGATATACCTTTGACTATGATGCAGATATAACCTCGGCGCTCGGTGAGGCTTCTCAAAGTCGGCTGCGTGAACATGGCCAGACATTGGCTGATGATGTTGCAATGGAGCGGAGAATTACGGGGGCGGTGCGTACAACGAGAGTCATGAATTTTACATGGTTGATAAAGTCTAGGATGTATATCGTCGACCGGTGACATTTGTCGGACATAGCCTAGGCGGCTCGGTCATAGAAGAGGTTTGTTCTCATTGTATCTTATTTGGGTACAGCAGCATAACTGACAGCATACAGGCGCTCACAGTTAGCCATGGTTCCCAGCATGACTATGCAATCTGTTTTATGGGGACGCCACATCTGGGTTGCTGACCTTGCCAATTGGGGTGCGATCGCCTTCAACTTTGCCAGTCTCTTCCGTCGGACGAATCGCGATATTGTCAAAGCTCTTAAGCCCAATTCGGAGGTTCTCGCATCGTTACAGCAGCGATTTTATACTCAACTCAAGCAGCGGCACAAAGATGGCAAAAGGGATGTCGAAATGTATTGTTTTATGAGGAGCTTGGGTTCAAAAGAATCGGCATGGTAACCATGCTCTGCCGTTGAGAGAACCTTCCAGTCATTAACAACATTTGGAAGATTGTCCCCATGCACTCAGCAGTTCTCTCGTCGGAGCGCCACGCAGGCATACACGCAAATCATGTGCGGATGACCCAATTCTCCAGTAAGGAGAGGCTGGCTTCAAACGAGTCTCTAATCAGCTTTGGCTATGGTTGTCTCAAGTGAAGGAGAATACATGGTCGACACCCTAAGAACGCGGAGTAGGAATCGACAACACTTTGGGTGATAACGATCGTCCGTCCACACCGAGAACCTCTCCCGGAGCGGGACTAACCATGAGAAAGGGCAAATCACGCACACGAGAGACCCCACGAGAGGCATTGAATCTGCCGGCCTTGACGTGAGCGCTCCAGATTGGGGAGCTCCTACGTATCAGGAGCTCACATCTCAAGATATGGGGCTGGCTCTTGACAGACTGTGGAGTCTAGAGAAGGAATGTGTTGTTATTGTTCTATCTAAGAGAGAGCAAGACGAAAAGAAGGGCGCAAGTTGCCAAGCCAAACATCCTCACGTGACGTTGCCAAGGCAACCAGTCACGTGACTGGCCAACAGCTCTGGTCAGGAGCAACATCACTTTGTCTCTGGATGCCCCTTCGTATACGAACAGGTTTGCGATACAAGCAAGCCTTTGCCAGGGTTGCGAATTCACGACATGACCGAACCTTGAATTGGCTCAACTCATATCCTCCCCTTGTCCAGTGGTTGCAAAGTTCGCGCTCACACTCGTTATGGCTGCACGGCGGGCTAGGAACCGGCAAATCCGTCATTATGGTGCACCTGACAAAGGAAGTTCTACCAAAAGTCCGGCTGCGTGGCGAGGACCGGAGCCCCACCGTTCTGTACAGCTTCTGCGATGAGGTTGTCAATAATACGGCTAGTTCTGCACTGGCGACTGCGATTCACCAGTTGCTTCAAAAATCCGGCGTTCGATCCGTCGCGTTCGAATGCGACAATCTACAAAGCCTGGGCAAGGCCAAGGCTGATCTCTACCCGGTGAACAAAACTTTGGAGATTCTTGTGTAACCAACCTTCCTTGTTCTTGACGACATTGATGCTTGCGAATTTACGTCCCGTATGGAGTTCTTCAGGTCGTTTACCCGCACACAATCGGCCAATAAAGACCCAGTGATAAAAATATTGATATCTAGTCGTACACGGTCCGCTATTCCAGAATCAATCAGCCTCAGTGTCGATGATATGGACCCTGATCTTTCCAAGGATATGGATCATTATTGCATAAACCGCATTATAGCCGTAACAAAGAGCGGTCATTTGATTCGGAGTCAACGACAGCTATATTCAACCCCTTGCGGGAAAGCAAATCTGCTACATTCCTATCTTTGACCCTTCTTCTCAGGAAGCTCTCAGGAACATCGCGTACAGCTCTGTCTGGGTACATGCTCCTGCCCGTCGATGCAGACGGTTTCTATCGTCAGGCCATCGACAGTCTTCCTGCTGAAAGCCGACCCCTCTGCCTCCAAATTTTGAGAATCCTTCTCTTCACTTTCATGCCATTGACCGAGATCCAATTGTATCATGCGACCAAATCGTTTGGGGAATCGCTCACCGAATTCAAATTCGACACGGCGGAAACATTCCACAATCGGTTTCAAAAAGCTCGACGTATCGTGGAGTCATTTCTCCGTACGGATTCTTCGGTCATCGAATTTGTCCATTCGTCAGCCAAGACGTTTCTGCTCAATTATTTCAAGCTTTCTTCGTCAGCAAGAGAAAATGCAATCTTCAATGATCGGCCGGTGCATGAGGATATCTCCATCGCGTGCCTCCGTCTTCTTCGGTCCACGTCGAGCCTAGAATGGCCCGCATTTTGGCATGGGGCGAGAACAACGCAATCTGAGAGAGAAATGCACGCAATCAGACCCACTATTAGAATATGCATTTGCACACTAGTACAAGCACCTGACACAAGCCACGGGACGACTTCAGACACATCAGGATATGAGTCCGCAGCTCCTCGCCAAGGTCTGGGAAGATCCTGAACGTACCAATTTCAGGGCCAATGTTGTTAAAGAGTCTAAGACCGCCCTATCCATCTCAGATGAATGTCAATCCCTCTGACCGTCTTTATAGCCCTTCGGATCAAGGTTTTCATTCACTACATTTTAGACAAGAGGTTGGAAAAATCTCGAATACTCGCGGTACGCGGCTCATATGAGTCGGCGGTCCATCAAGCCATCGAAACGGGACAAATCGAGATACTAAGTGCAATCATGGAGTACTTTGGTATTACGTCACTCGAAGGAGATGCTTACGGAGGAATACTACAAAAGGCCGCTATCAGTGGATAGCCTGAAGTTGTCCGGCAGGTCCTAAGGCTTCGCAGACGGGATCCGGGAGAGCTAGCGTGAGCATTGAACGATGCCATGGCTGCAAGAAGTCTAGAAGTTCTGGAAGCACTCGCAGAGGAGTCCGGAAGTTTCAGCGAAGTCGACCGACTCTGGCAGACCAACACTTTGCATCGCTTGTTCTGGAATAGAAATCCCGGAAATGGCGACAGTTCTCAGGCCGAAACCCTGCGACTGAACATATCTTTTCTCGTGCAGTGCGAGCATGTCAATGTACAATCCCAAGACGGAATCGGGAATACCGCTCTCCACCTGGCTGCAAAGTATTGCCTTCGCCACACAAATGTCGACACTCTGCTCCACCGCGGCGGACGAGCGCTAGCGAATCATGCTTCACGCGGTGGGAAGACACCTTTGCACTGGACAGCCCAGAGACACGATCTTTATGACTATTACCGCGACGAAATTCACGGCGAGACGATTGTGCGGTCACTGCTCAGCGCCGGTGCTGACCCCCATTTGACGGGCGCGAGAGGACAGACAGCCATTGGCATAGCGGGGAGGATGGACTGCACCTATTTCAATTTGCGTATACCACCTTCGACGGCGTCAACACCACGGCTCTATCGTACAAAAATAACACGGGCATCGACGCAAGACAAAGTCCATCTCAACGGGCTATCACCGAAGGCAATGATGAGAGTGACCATGACGACTGGAGAGATGACACAGACTCGGATGTGGAGAGCCCTACTTTCTTCTCCGCAACAAGCTCACGGCGGAATACACTGCTGGATGACGGATGAATGCGGGCACTGTGATGAATTAATTGCGCCGTGCTGCCGACTCTCGAGACCAGAGCAAACTCGATCTTCGAGAACAGGATAACGGTGCGTGGAAGTGACCGGTGAACAATTTAAGAACACGGTACGTCGGTGGAAGACATTGATCATGATTTCACGGATACAAGGCCTTGACCCTCGAAGGCAGAGAGGCCATAGCTCTCTCCAACTTCGAAGTTGAAGACGGATATTGTAGTAGCCAAGAAAAAAAGCGGGATTAGATCTTCCTGGTTAGGGCTGGCAAGGATAGAAGGAAAAAAGTGTGAGAGTGAGCCGCTCCGGAGCAGCTTGAGCTGCCTGAGCTGTGGCAATGCGGCCTGATCGAGGCTGGAGCCGAAGCGGTGGGCGGTCAGGATTGGTTGGGTAACAGTCCATTATTATGCTTTAAGCCACCATAAAGTATTCTCGAAGCCTTTACGTCTTCGAATTCTGATTTTCACATCTTCCTTGGGCTTGATGACGCTCAAAGGAATCTTTTCGTCGTCACGCAAAGGCCGTCTGAGTGTCGTCCCATCGGGGCGAGTCATGTCGAAGGCCATTAACAGATACGTAACGAAGCCCAGAATTTCGCTCTGCGCGAAATGGCGTCCCGGGCACACCACACTGCCTCCGCCAAAGAGCCGGAATGCGGCTGATGGCACGCCTTCAGGGAGCTGTGTCGCTGCCAACTCTTTGACATCTGACTCGGTCAGCTCTTCCGTATTGGCTCTAGGCTCCTGTGATTTGATGAACCGGCGGGGATTGAATCGCTCGCTGTCTTGTCCCCACGTCTGTGGGTCATGGTGTATGATGATGCCGGCCATCTGTATTATCGAATCCTTTTTGAGATAATGCTTCCCCACGATCGTGTCATTCAACACGTAGCGAAGAGAGGCCAGGTTCCCAATCGTGCGCAGCGTCTCTCTGTACGTGGATACAAACAGCGGGCAAGATGATTCAACGATCGACAGGTTGATGCTTTTGTTTCCATTTTCTTCGTCCTCGATAGCTGTTTCGAGTTCATGCCTTATCTCGGCTAGTAGCTCGGGGCGGCTGATGATGTTTGCAATGACCCAGAATGTTGACGGCACAGCGTTCCCTAGGATAGCAAAGAGCAAGATAATTTCAGAGCGACCAGCCTCGGCTTCGGTGAACCCATGACCGAGGTTGATGCCAATACGCTTTTGAATGAGGAGGGAGGCCTTCTGATACCGCTTTTCTCGGACATAGTCGACGAGGCCTTTGGACACCCTTTCCCGTCCCAGATGTGCCTTCCGTGCCGTGACACTGGGAAAGATGTCTATTATGAGATTCAGCATGCCGGCTTCAAAATCCCAGAACGCGTTGACTAGGCTCGGATCGACGGCGAATGGGTTCTCTGGCCCGTAGATCGAATTCGAATTGGCAAGAGTAAAGACGGATTTGATCCACTGGAACAGATCGGTTTCGAAGCAGTCATCCGCTACGGCAATTTTGTTGAGCATTTCTGAAAATATCAACATCTGCGAACGCGTGAGGTCTTTGAGCGACTCTCCGCGGCCGAGGACAGTGTTGATCATGTTATGCATAGTCGGCATCAATCCCCAGTCACCATGCTCACCGTTCACGTTCTTCATGACGATCTTCATGGTGCTCTGGTTGAGGTTTGTCAACCTGCGAGTAACTTCTAGAATGATGTTATAGAATGCGAGATCCTTGTGCTGCCGCTGAAGTTGACCAGCGATCTGAGGAGACGTGACTATGTATTGTCGAGTGGATAAGGTCGGTAATGTGTAGATGGGGTATTGAGTTTCGCGGCTGCATGGAATTAGCTGGCAGACCCCACGGGCACGCGGCACTCACTTGACGATCTCGAAGTACTTGGTTCCATATTTGATGATTCCAAGTATGTGGCCTATGTAAGGGATGCGCGGTTTGATGACTGGAGGCTCTCGAGGATCGTAATCAATGGTAAGGAAACGATGAAGTGTAATCGCTAGCAGAGTTCCAGCCGCCAAAAGAAGGGAAACGATGCTCAGGGGCAGTCTTGTGGAAGCGACAACCGTTGGCTCCATAGTCGGGATGGATTGCGCAAATGCGCCTGGGTGTAAGCTCCTGTCAGGCCCGTCGCACTGATGATTGGCTCACTCGGCGATTCAACCACTTGGGTTCGAAATGTCTTTCTTATGCTTGATGTTCCGTGAACTTTAGCATGACATCAGCGGACGGCTCTTTGGGATAAAATTTTGGAGCCTGCTGCGAGGGTGGGATGGCGCATCTCGAGTTAAGACAACCGAGGCTTCGAGTTTCGTTTCTTTGCTACTCACGTGATATTTGGGGAAGTTTCTCACGTGATATCTTTGGCATTTACAATCCGCTACATGTTGTCACATATCATGAAATCTTTGGCTCAACCGAGACTGAAAATCGCGACTTGGCCTCCGGGAAGCGCCATCACCGTCGATGGACCCCAACTCCTCCCTTAGATCCGACCTCTCTCAAGTCTGGTCACCATGTCAACTTGACGATATAAGAATGGCACCCAAGTATGTTCGGCCTGGAAAGAGATGGCAAATGATTGCATATAATTGGGCGGGGTCGTGTCTGAATTAAAAAAACATCATTTTCTTGCATAATCTGTCTCCCCGCTGGAGGCCAAGCTCTGGAAAATAGAAATCTTGTATTCAACTCCCTCTTGTCGATTCATGGCTTTCAATCACCATCACTATCACTCAAAACAAGAGCATCATCCATGCTCCCGCCTGGAGCACTGCTAGTCGCTCGACTTAATTGCGGATTCGTTGTCGGTGTAGCCGCATCATCAGGATATCCACTACCGAATCGGTGATATTGTCCAGGATCTTCCTCTTCGTATTCTTCTTCGAGTTCTTCCTCTGCTTCCTCGTCGTCGTCTTCTTCTTCTTCTAGTTCTTCCTCCTCACCATCCGGGTCTGCACCATTTTGTGTGCCATATGGCTGATGATGTTCGGCGGACTCGTCCTCATCATATAATTCTTGCTCCTCGTCGCTTTCTTCGACATCGTCATCATCTGCATCAGTATCCTCGTACGAGACAGATTGCAAAAGTTGATAGGAATTTTGACCGTTCTTGTGAGGCGCCGCCTTCGGCTTCTCCCGTCTAATACCACCTGGTGCTGAGGAACTTGTCGGAGGTCGTGGACGCTTCGAGGTGTGAATATTGTTGGTGTCCTGGTCCCGTCTTTCATTAGTGAAGGCTGGATCCATCTCGTCACGAGATCTTTTCCTTCCCGGACTTGACCCAAATCCCTGTTCGCTTGACAAATTCGACCCTCTGCTGTAACAAAGAGCACTTCTCTTCGACATTGCAACAGGAACACATTCTGATCTGGACCGCAAAGGTCTGACAGCTAATCCATGAGCACCAGTCTGTCGAATTCGTCTTTCTGTTCGTGATAGACTCAACCCGGATTTGGTTTCACCTGGATAATATTCGTAGCCATTTGCTCTGGCCAACCCACTAGCTGAAGGGCTAATGCTTTGATCGGTCTGACTTCTTCGGAATAACTCTTCTTCTCGTTCAATTTCTTTTTCGATCGTGACTGTTTGCTGTTTGAACCATTCAGTTTGTTCGGCCATGGCTTCTCGTGCCTCCCTGATTTGCTTGAGAAAGTCATCTTCCCCCTGGGGTTGACTGGCCATCTTTCCTGGAGAGTCTTTGGAGACTGGGTTGGGAGCGTCGGGAATCGAAAGTGCAGGTGACCATGCCAGGGCCCGAGGACTCTGATCCGAAGCCAGGTGACTAATGCGCTTCTTCGCTCTGGCGATAGCGGTTTGCCTCTCTTCAGCTTCTCGCAACTTTCGCATCGCAAGACTTTCCTTGGTATATGGGACGATCGGTGCCTCGGGATCAACACCTAGAGCTTTTAGCCTGAAATAGTCGGTGTGGGTAGTGTCGACTTTGCGGGCAGCTCGACGCAAATCTTGGTTGCTAGTTGAGCGACCTAGGACGGATGCACCCGAGAAGATCGACACATGTTGTGGTCTCGAAGTTGATGTCTGCCAGGCTGAAACAGCGTTTTCGTCACTTCTAACCGAGGTCGGAGGCTCCGGGAAAGTGCTCGTCGTCCTTGATCTTTTGTGTCCCACAGAGGTTGATGTCCCATTTTTCGAAATCGCGCTCTCTTTCGCATTCGGTCTGGAGAAGCTTTTTCTCTTTTGTCCAGCGATCCGACCGGTCGAATTATTGTTTTGTGTACTGTCCCTCAATATCTGGGCCTGAGTGGCTTGCTTCACTTCTCTCTGGAGCCGCTTGGTCTCTTCAGCAGCGTGCAAAATTGCCTCCAGTTCCTCTTCGCCTCTCTTTTTCCGGGCCTGTTCGACCCTCGTAGCTTCCGCAAAAAGTTGTCGTCGATTCTTGGCTCGCCGATTTAACTTGTTCCTCCAAGCTCGGGTTCTCCAAAGATATCCAAATTTTCGTGCCAGAATACGTTGACGGATGGAGGCTTGTCGAGGTTAATCTTGAAAGAAAAACAGAAGAAAGGCGTAAAAAGACTTACCAACCGCCGCATCAAACACTTCCAATCTATGCTGGTTAAGTGCAGTTCTCACGAGATCAGGAAGGGTGTATTCGACGTAGTTTTGAAGAAGTCCATGCGGCCGCAACAATGCGGCCCTAGCCAAATTCCCTGCCAGCTTACTACGATCTGCCTCCGTGAAGACTGGATTGGATGGAGGCCGAACAGGAGAATGGGGTGGGGTTGTGCTGATTTGAGGTGCTGCTTGCGGCGCTGCTGTTGAAGGGTTGATATCGACAAAGAGATCGGTCGTTGGCTCTGGTCCGGTCAAAGGTTGTTCGGCTGGGCCCTGATTAGCTGACGAACCCGTTGGCAATGGTGCCGGAGGGCATTTGAAAGCTTCGGAAGGTCGTTGTTTCGTTTCTGGTATCGAAGATGGCTTGGTCGTGAAAAATCTCGGCCCCAAGGAATCCGCCAAAGTATTTGGTGTCCGGTTGAATGAGAATCCTGACGTTGTGTTTGTCGGGGACGGCTGAGATTTAGGCGCCGTTGTGGACTCAGTGAGTGAGGACCGAGGCGGCCGAGCTTGTGTAAATGAAAAAGTTGGTGCGCTGGGTAGTTGTGACGATGTCGGTGGGATTTCTGAGGTTTGAGTCCGGGTTGGAATGTCGGGAGGGTTAACAGGTCGTGAAGATGGCGGCGTGAAGCTTGGGAATTTGAACGGCGCTGGTGATGACGTGTTTGCCTTGGTGCTCGACTCTGTCAAGTGGAGCCATTAGCGACAACATGAAAAATGAAAGATGCATCAAGCGACAATGTGAAGGTTGTCAACTTCATGAAAGTGGCGTCTAAAACCAAAGAGGTGAGAAATACCTTCAGATGGACCTGAAAGAGCGGGAAAGGCCGGCTCGAGAACTGGGTGTGGTCCAAATATAGACGGAGCCGACTGAGCTGACGATGCGGTAGTATTCGGTGCGGTGGTGGCAGATGCAGAAAGCGGCTTCCCCAAATTGAATCCCTTGAATGATGCTGTAGTGGTGGTAGGGGTGGGTGAGATAGAATCGTTCGTCTGAATAAGTTCAGCTGCCCTGAACGCGGTTGGCTCAGTGGTGTTGGTAGAATTGAACTTCGGTTCTTTGGGTGGGATTTCAAAGCCTCCAGAGCCAAACGAGTCTTGTTGTTGGACTTTTGGCGGTTGAGTGACTCCCTCAGGCTTGAAGGGCGATTCTGGTTGCTGCTGAGTAGAGGTGGATTTACCAAACGTCGAAGGAGAAGAACCAAATCCGCCAAAGCCAGAAGAGCCAAACTGCGGAGTGAATGGTGAAGCTTGCGGGTTGAGTGGAGAACCGAAGACTGAAGTATTCGTAGAGGCGAAATTCGGCTTGCTTTCAGGAATGAACATGCTTTGATCATCCTCTCTGGCATCTTCCTCGCTCGCCTCTTCCTCCTCGTCGCCCTCGACCCAGCCCTGTCGAATGGCTTCTGCCACGGTCACGCCATTGATGACGGCGGGAAGCGTCCGACGGAATCGCTTCTTTTCGACGTAATGGTGTGAGAATAATTGTTGATTGGGGATCGATGATTCTACGTAAACATCAGAAATTGGCATTAAAACAATGTGGGGGAAAGGGAGGAACGCACGATCGAGAGAGTGGGCGCTGTTGGCCGTCGCATTTAGATACTCATCACCATGCTCATCCGTACTGAAATAAAGGTTGAAAGCGGCGCAAAAGTCTTTGGTTTCGTCTTCGGTGTCGAACCCCAGAAAGCTCGTGACTTCGCTGAGACTCCAGTCTCTCGATTTGGCTTGTTGAGCTGCGGGAGCACTCTTACATGATCGCCACAACGCGTCCAAGGCCGCAAACCGAACGTGGCCAAAGTATATCTCTGCAACGCAGGCCATGATATAGGGGACAGCCAAGGATGACAGAATATTCCAAAAACTTCCCGTGTTGCTCTGGGCAATGGCAAATGGCTCCATGGGCCGGAGAGGTCCTTGATCGAAAAGGGTGTTCCCTGCGGCGGTATATAGCCTGAGCGCTGTTTGTACTCTCTTGTCCTGGAGTAGATTGCTGGGCCAAGACTGCATGCGATCTTCCAGGTCGGGATGCTGCGACTGCAGCTCGAAGATGACGCAGTACGCTCGAAACTCGCCTTCATTAGGGAAATCCATACGCTGCCGATTGTCGTCGTAATAGTACAGCAACGATAGCAAGGTGTTGTTAAGTTGCTCGCGTTCTTGATGCGCATCAAAGTTTTCCCCCTCCCAAAGGTTATCGGGGTTTGATAATTGATGCAACGAGAGGATGTGAAATCTGGCGATGCGTTCATAGCAGTCGACAGCAATTTCGACGTCGTTGACATTCGTGACCTGTTGAATGGAAAAGTCGTTTCGAATTCCTCGCGTTCTGTCCCAGACGAACTTGTGGATAGTTGCAAGCCGCTCACCACCGCCCACCACCTTGTCTAGGAGATAATCTAAGGTTTTCTTGAGAGTTGCTGGAGTTCGTATATCTGAAGGAAGTTGCTCGTCATAACCCGCAGCAGAACGACGAAATCGTTTAACCATGCGGTCTTCTGAAGGGATGTCTTTTCCCGTATCTTCGTTGTGCACCTTATAATTCCATTAGCGATTACTTCCTTCCGGGGGCAGTGACAACGATATATATCCACCTTTTCTGCCCTGTCGACCATGTTCTGGACAATGCGCTCCACTCTTTCAAACTCTGGACACATGTCTGTGCAGGTTCCGACGGGGGTGATTGCCTTGTCCAAACTTGTCTTTTTCTCCGGATCTGCCAGAAAGCCATCGCGAATGGCCTTTGCCCTCTCTTCTTCTCTTTTTGGTTTGAGCTATATGTGGATTCGCACGTTAGAGACCTACAGACAAGGTTGCGGTCAGCCAGACACAGAAAGGATTGCGACGCACCACTTGGAATTTGGCAAAAGCATTGTTCATAAAATCACGGTGGTTCGAAGGAGTCGGAGAGGACCGGCGGGGTTCTGGCGTGGGTGCTGGCGATTTGGGGGTAATAAACGTTTGCGACAGATGTCCACGTCCACGGCCTCGTCCTCGTCCTCGAGAATTGGGTGTGAAGGGCGCTGTTGTTGAAGCACTACGACCTAAAGCCACCTGAGTCCTTGCTGAAACGGGTAGAGACGGCGGAATTCTCACCTCTTCCACTGCTCGAGCTTGATGTGGTATTGTCCGATCCCCTCTTGACTGTTCCCGCTCGAAGTTTCTGCAACAATCCATCTCCACTGGTTGAAGCAGCAGTGGCGCCAGCTCGCCCTCTTCCTCTCCCACGTGCTGGAGATACGGATTTGGTGGATCCTTGATTGCTATCGCGACTTCGAGTAGCGGTGAACGGAGCCGCTCGTGCGCCCCTCGCAGCGCCGCTGCCACCGCGCTGGCCGCGGGTGGACGGCGCAGACATTGGTGCAGGAGTTGTTAATCAACATCGGAAGACTGTCATGCCAGAGCAAAACGAGACGACGGGCTGTTGTGAACGCGTGGTAGATCGAACAACGGTGGTTTGATTCGATTTGGATGGATCGATTCCATGAATAAATGTTGTTGGCTATGGTGGTTCGAAAAGGCGAATCGAGTCGCGTGTGGAATGTGAGCAGGCTCAGTAATATGCAAAGACGAAAGTGAAGGTTACGGAGGATGCCAGGGTGATTCCTATTGGCTATCGAGGCACTGGACTGCTTACATAATTAATTTTGCAGGCTTTGGCCTTACCACGCAAGGCCACAGTTCTGGACCAGGATAAGTGACTCGGGAAAGGCTAGTATTGACAATCGCTCTGCCATACTAGCTGTCCAATATTCATTGCAGGTTCATCTACATAACACTCGGAAAGTCCACCTGCATCTGTCGTTGTCATAAGAACCCTCGCATTCTGTGGTCTGCTAAACCGAGAAGATATCATCAAACTTGCAACCGAAAACAAAATCCCCCCCCCCCAAAAAAGACCGGCCACTGACCTCGCCTGCAGAAATTTGGGATGAAACTTGCGTGCTGGACGACATTCCATCATGAATTACCATACCAAAGTTTGCTTTGACTCCTGCCGGTATTCCTGCTCTTTCGACGAAGGCTGCTGACCAAAGTGATCGATCTCGAAGATTAAGCCTCAAAAATCCAAGAAAACTTCGTAAATAAGTCGGCATCGAACAAATGATGTTGGTTGGTTGGCTGAACTGAGGCTGACAAAAGTGAAACGGAAATGTGATGAGATACTTGAAAAACCGGAATGAGAGCAATCTTTGATCCACAGTACTCTCAGAGCTGTGTGAATGGTGGTGCGAATACCTTCTTGCGTCATTTGGCCTCCACTCCCATTTTATTTTTTGGGTGGCCTCCTTCGAGAAGCATTATTTCAGAGAGCTCACACTGGATAAAAGGGTCCGGCTATCATGTCCATGTTGTAATCTTGCTGGGGAAGCATTCCCGGATACGAAGTGTCCATGACCCGAACGGGCAAATTCCGCCGACTCCCGTCGTTGTAGTCTTGATAGTGCATTGGATTTATCACAGATACACAGTTCTGCACTCTGCTGTCCATGTCGCGCGAAGCTGGGTCTAAGTATTGGTACGTCATCTCTTGTGGTTGCGTTGCCATGTCGGGGTGGATTCCAAATATGTGCTCGGGTGGCTCTGGTCCCATGTCTGGCATCATTCCCATCCAGGGTTGAATCTCAAGTCCCGGTTGAGGTGGACGAGGGCCAGATTGTGGAAGAACATGCATCATTTCTTGGGATTCCGAGTGACTGTCGAGATCTCGTTCAAAGGTCCTAGACGGTAATTGTTGTGATATGTTCACCATCAGTCCAGACCTACTATGGACCTGGTTGACATTAGGTCTAGGGAACTGCATGACTGTATCAATCGGTGAGCCATCAACATGAGACTTGAACTTGCGAACGTTCATCGTCCTCTCACTCGAGACTTCTTGAGCAGGCTGGAGTGCAATCGCAGGCGTCGCAATGCTTCCATTGATGGCAGAACGCGATCGTCGTCCAGCGGGGCGACGTCCATGTGAACCTTCGACGCCCCCCGAGCTCCGAAGTTTGCCCAAATGAAGGCGGCCGTCAAGATGCACCTGATCTGCAGGAGAAGGCCGGGTGGACGAAGTCGATGTCAGGTCAGGTTCGTCACCAAGGTCTTCCTCGTGAGAGCCATGGCTGGAGCCACCTTGGCTAGGACCTTCTTGCTCAAGCGCCTCATTGTCGCTCTCATTTGGTGTCATCCTTGAACCGTGACTGTAATCGCTCAGGAATACGAGTGAATCGCCGTCTAGGATTCTCAGCTGAGGCTATAAATGCAGAGACGTGAGCAACTGTACTTACCAATCTCCCCGGCCTCGTATTGTTCCATCATCTCTCTGGCTCTGATGATCTGCTGGATGATTTCCCAACGATCTTCTCTCAATTCACTCCTCTTCAATTCGAGGCATTCAAACAGCCCACGAGCATTCACCGTTTGCTGGTTCTGTGGATCTGGAGGACTTGTGATGATTGGCTGGGGAGTGTTCAAAATGAGATGAACCAGAAGGTTGGTTCTATCTGCGGGGGGAAAAGGTGTCATTAAGGAACCTTCAACCGCGTTGCTCCAAGTACATACCATCGCGACCTATATGATCTGGTTCTCGGTGAATGACATCTAGAAGCAGACAATGAAAGTTAGATCCAGAAGCGACCACGCGAAACACCATGGGGAGACTGGGGGGTTACGAGAACATACCAGGTGGCCAGTAGGGCGGCCTAGTCCGGTTTGAATCGGCAGGCTCACCACGTGGCATTTGTCCGTTGTAAGGATGAGTTGATTGCTGAGACTCGTAAGTATTGTCAGTCACGACGCGAGCTCCTGTCGTACCTTTTTAGGGTGGATCTTTTTGATCCAGACCTTGGCAACTAGACGACATGCCACTTGCTGCAAGGTCAAAAATGCCTCCTCGAACCATTGTTCCAGCTTCTCGCGGTCGTCTACTCTGATTTGGGCGGCAGGAGCTTCGGAGACCAGCTTCAATCTTCGCTCACTCTGGGGAACCCTGGGTTTGGATTGGCTTCCTGCATTCAATGTTCTCGATCGGTGCCGCTTTGTTGGACGCTGAAAAGGGTACGATATCGAACCGCCAGGTATTCGCGTTTCTCTCTCGGGTTCCTGCTTAAGAGCCTTCGAATGGCGGCACAATGAAGTGCCCACATTTCCTATATTGGTCAGGAGTGCTCCTCCCCGGATTCAGGAACAGAAGCAGCACTCACTTCTTAAAGTGGGATTGCGGTCGCTCATGTACTTTGTGAAATTCCCACATGCGTCTCCAAGAATTGAATATTTGTGTTGTTCTAAGTTGGGAGAGACCAGGATCTCAGGTATGTTATTTTCGCCAGGGACAAGACCAATGAAATCTTCGCTGTCTTCGAGAAGCTTCTTGATCTCATTCTGTATCTTGGTAAGCTCAAACGGCCGATATTATCTCAAGTTTGATGATTGGCTCACGATGATGTATTGTTGTTTGGCTTCTTTGCTAAGGTTCGCCGTCGCGACTGGTTTGACAGCTTTCTCGAATTTGAGCGGAGGGATCTCAGGAAGAGGCCCGGCAGACGACATTGGGTTCAGTTCAGCGGTCATATCCAGCGGCAGAGACAATCCTCATTCCCCAGTTACCGGTGGAGTGGGTAGAGGAAGTTAATAGCCGCTGCCTTCCGCTTTGTAATCAGCTGTCAGGGCGTGTTGTGGAGACCAGGAGTTGAGGCTCGGGGGGGGAGTAAGCTGTTTAGAGTTGCTGTATAGCAGAAGAAGACAGCGGTTAGCCAAATTGAATGGAGCCATGGACAATCGAGCTTTGGCTCAGTTCGCTTGGCTCTAGCCAGAAGGCGAAAGCCTAGTGATCCCAAGAATGAGGGGAAGAGAGACCAGACGCCCCAGGGCGGTGTGACTGAGCTACCGTGACGTGGGGGAAGGGTGCTAGGAGGTAGATAGGCAAGCCGAAGCAGCCTCTAGACTTGGCCAGGAAAAGCGTTCGGGCCACGGGCCCTAAGTTAAAGCCCTGGCATTTTAGCTTCTGGGCTCAACCCACTGACCATTTAGGCTCACGGCTGCGGATGTCAATCCCCCTCTGATCCGGCACGCCAAAAGATAACGAGATGGCCGATGCAGAATCCTCCACCGTGGCAAAATATGAGATCGTCACTGACCTTGTATGCGCCTGCCGGGTGACGGGACACTATCAAGACACAGGAAATGGGACGGCGGCTTGTCGATTGCACCGTGTACGGAGGGGCGAACACTGTGCACACGCACCAAAAAGTAAACAAAACAGAACCGCCGGAAAAATGACCAGAACAAGGACAATGCCGACCAGTGTAGACGACTGGAAATTTGTTTTCTGTTCTAAGCAGTCATGTTAAACTTGTTTGCTAATTTTCCTGTTGTCCAAATTATGTCCTGGTTGCAAGAGGAGATGGCTAAGTGAACCGCGGTAGATGTCGAAGATTGAAGACTCCGCTGCTGGAGGAAGAGGGACTGGAGGGCGATAATGACAGTGTGTTGAAAAGGCTCCGTGGCGATGAATGCCAGTCTGTCGATGAGGATCTGTGATGTTTGCTTTGGGCCTTCTTTTTTAAACTGCTCTTTCGGTCCCAAGATCTGGATAACGGCAGGGCCGGGCCCGTGGGTGGGTTAGGACAGCTGGGTACAAATTGAAAGTTTGGGGAAGAGAGGAGGAAGAGGACTTTCGGACGGGTCTAAGCGACGATGTATATGAGATTGCCAATCGGACGAGGCCTGCAAGCAGCCAATAAAATCAGCAAAAACAACGGCAGAGGCGTGGGATAGAGCTGTAGGTGGAAGGGGACATTGCAGCGCTGTAAGTAGCTAAGCATGTAGCTAGCATCACTGGCACACTGGCACAAGCCGCGACATGTTGAAAGGCCAGAAGCCGTGTCAGTCACCCTTCGCGTGTGTATGTGTATCCTGCCGGCTGATTGACAACGGGTTGCTTGTCCTCCCAGTGCATTGTATTCCGGCACCGAACACCATATCTTCCCCCACACCAGTCGTGCTCTGATTTCCTTCTCGCCCCAGGGGTTCCTGCCATTGTCCATCGCCATCGTCATCATCAGCGTGTCCTTTGTGCTGGCTGTGAGTCGAGGGGGTCTGAATCTGGTTGCTCAAGGCTCGGATGGCCTCAATGGTTCCGATGACTCGATCGTTCAGCGGAAGGTCAAGTAGCAGCAGCTACAGTAGTGGCCAAGTCGGTGTGTTGATCGGGGTGGGCTGCACGGAGAATATGCCAATCAGGCTGTCCACGAAAGGAGGCAAGTGACTTAGTGCTTCGGGGAAGCAAGGCCGCAGTAAGTAGCCAGCCAAAACTTGCCTGCGACGTATGTACTTGTAGTATCTTGGTACTCCAGCCAGCCTTAGTAACACAGTAGTAGCAGTCTGGGCGCTAGGGAGGAGGTGATTGTTAGAGACACTTTGGCATGGGTGCGGGCCCAGGTGCAGATGTACGCGCAGGTGCGGTTCCAACCAGCACTTCCTTTACCACACCAGCATCGGCAATGCCGTGCTAAGCTGGCCTCCACGAAGTCAACGACCAGCTGCTAGCTACAAATTTCTGCCATCAATTGTGATTCTTTTTCGCTTCCCGTTCGTGCTACTGTTGCCGACTAATCATCTTCTGCCGGGTGCTCCCAGCACATGTACCGGTCTTGGGTTCAGCATTTGCCCATTTACCCTCACTCGGCCTCTGGCCGATCCAATCAATTCCCCTTGACGGAATGCCTCATTCCAGCGCTCCAGGCTACGATGTCCTCCTTGACGGTATTGACGACCTGGTAGAATCTAAGGTACTCGTGGAACAGACCACTTGAACCTCGTCTCCAATCCAGCTCACGCCGTTCTGGTCGGAATTCTTGTTCGGTCGCTTCCTAACGCCTTCACACGGAGGGAAGCCGACTTCTTGTTTCGCCTTGTTTCTCCCTGCTAGAACTTGAATAGGCACAGCATGCCCTGGGGAAGGCGACATCGGATAGGCAAAGAGGCGTTCTGACACACGGGCCTGGTTTCAAGTTTGTCCGCATTGGCAGTTTTGTTTTCTACTTGGTTTGAACTTGCTCTTTCGTTGATCGTGCACCATGACGCCGACAAGAGCACTTCTTGGTTCCACATTCGCTCCGACACCGTCGATTCAGTCGTGTTCTTAGACTCAATTATAAGCGATTACCCATTGCTCGCACGGCTAGAGTTACAGTTGATCGAAGCCAGAACCGTCCGGAGCACTTTCGTTGAACAGGCACGAAAGGCGTTTGTGACGAGCAGTCCCTAACCCTTTTAACTCTACTCCGCCAAATTTCTGCCTTGTTCGTCATGGCCGAGATTGGAGGCGTACAGACCTCGAGTCAGATGATCACCGAGATTCACCCAAACTCGCACAGACAAATACGAAGGATCAATCCGCTTGACCCAATGCGTCAAGGCAGGCATCTCAACAAGGCCTGTTCTCCACCACTAGTCAGAGACCTCTAGATTGAACGTCCCGGTCGTCCTGATATCGCACCGGCTGACAGACTGCCCGTCTGCTCTGCCATCCGAGGTCTGCTTCCACGGTCAGCCCAACGTCCCGTTTGAGAGCAGGGACGGCGAAGTTTGAGCAAAACCGCCCTAAGCACAATGCTGCACAGAGCAGGTTGATTTTTGGTTGTTATTAGCAATGGAATTTCGCCGCAATGCTACAATCCGAGTTACCCAGGGCCCAATGCTGGCAGAAGTGAATTTTATTATCCCGTCGTCGGACAACACGGCAAGGTTTTATTAACCTTTCGTGGCACCATGGCATCCAGCCTCTCACAGAGACAGGACTAAAGTCCAGGTCATAGCAAGCGCTTTCGCCACGGCTGATTTGAGAATTAAGCACGCTTAGTGTGATCGTACAACGGTGATCTGGTTTGGTTGTTTTCTGTAACAGGTACACTCAACATTGGACGAGTCCGAGCTCCTCGTTGAATATTGGCCGGGACATTGGCATCTCGTGCTACGCATGCACTTGGGTCCTCCCTCAGTAGTAGCAATCGACAGGATTTGTATTACCGGAAAAGCATGTCCAGAAGAAGTCGAAGCAGTTATTGTCGCCTGCAGCCGTGCTTGCGGCTTTGGCTTGGAAGAGGTGGCTTTTGGTCGTCCATTGTTACACAACATCCCGACTAGCTCGGGGAACATGACCGGATGCGAGGTCTCCTGATTTGTCTGTAGCAAAGGGGGGGATGATAAGATCGCGCATCGTGTGTGCCCACCACACTCTCATGGTTTCCTTGAGGCTGCGAATCCTGCATAAACTGGGACCTTCGAAGATTCTCTACCTTCATGCAAATTGAGAGCTTCAAGGACGTTGCAGCCCTGCCAGTCACTGGTGCTTGATCTACTCATACTAAAGGATGCTGCGGTGCTTTTCTCACATCCTGTCAGAGACTGTCGGGACCTCTTAACACCGACGCTGTGGTCGCCGGATTGGTCTCCTTGATTCCGCGGTGTATTGATGCATGGTTGCATTGGCGTCGCGGCTAGTGTTGATTCGGAACGGCGCTCCCGTTGCCGAAGCTTTCGAGCAAGCCAGCCTCGCGAACCAACTCGTAAAAGAGCCCTCGCTTCCTGACGAGTTCCTCGGGCGTATCAAATTCAGCCACTCGCCCTTGCTGCAAGACAACGATCCGGTCAGAGTCCAGAATCGTGTTGATGCGATGCGCAATGGTGATGATGGTGCGATTCTCGAATATGGTACTGCGCAGCGTGGCCTGCAGCATCTTGTCGGTCTCCACATCCACGGCAGCAGTTGCCTCGTCCAGCACCAGGATGTTGCTAGGAGTGAGCAACGCACGCGCCAGGGACACAAGTTGGCGTTGTCCCTGACTCAGATTTGAACCTAGATCCGAGATTCCACGGTCAGCGGGAGACGCATGGGTATGCATTGCGCCGGGGATCGACGAAAAACTCCACTCACCACCTTCGTGAACTGCGGCATCCAATTGGCCAGGCATGCCCCCGACATGCTCCTTGAGGCGAGCGTGCTCAAGCACACTCCACAGTTCCGTGTCATCGTGAACATGACGAGGATCCAGATTGTCGCGAATAGTTCCTTCGAACAGAGCAGCGTCCTGAGGAATGATCGCGAGCCGTCGCCGCAGATCAAGCAGGCCAATAGTTGAGGTGTTCAGACCGTCGATACTGCAGCGATTGAATTAGCCCCATAGCCATTTTGTTGACCGCCGAAGCCCCTTGCGTGGTCTCGAACTTCCTTCACATCGACACTTACCTGATGGAGCCGGTTATTGGCTCGATTATCCGGAATAGCGCCAAAGTTAGCGAGCTCTTCCCTGCCCCTGTCCGTCCGACCACCCCAATCTTTTCTCTTGATTTGATGCTTAAAGAGATGTCTTTCAACACGGGGTCCAGGCCCTCCCGATATCGTGTCGAGTAATCCTTGATCGTGATCTGGCCATGCGCTGGCCAGCCAATACTCGGTCGACTCCTAAAGATGATATCAGGAGCCTCGCTCGGTAAGTTGGCGTACTCGAGAACTCGCTCCACGGATACGATATTCGTCTCCACTTCCACCGTCTGGCGAACGATCCAATTCAGTGACTGTGTGATCTGTAGGGCATATGACATCTGGAAAGGTCGATTAGTTCCCAAGGCGCCGTTCTCCAGTAGCGTGCATTATCATAAGGTACTTACCGCGAGGCCCACCATGCCTGCAGACAGGCCACTTCCAGTGGTGACAGAGATGGTGGCAAAAATAGCGGCAGCAAGGATAATGACAGATCCGATGAACTCCAAGCGAACAGCCAGCCACCGATTCGCGCTAACAGAGGGGAAATACGCTCGTAGATTTGCATCCATTCGCCACTCATTTTCCATTGTAAATCTGGCTTCCTGGCGATACGCACGAATTGTGGAGACTCCGCCGAGCGACTCCTGGAAATGTGCATAGATCGGACTGCGACTGACGCTGTCAAGTCGTTTCAACTCCCGGGAGGTTCGGAGATAGTACTTCTGGTACACGGTGTACACAGCCCCCAAGGGAATCACCAAAACTAGAAAGATAGGTGTGGAGGCAGCGATGACGCCGATCGTGAAAAGAGCTCTACCAGTGTTGACGAAGAGCTTGTTGTGTTAGCCATCGGAAGAATGAATTCAGATTAGCATCAATTACCATATTAAAAGTCCGCGCAATAACCTCATCGACTCGATAAATATCACTGTCAAATTCAGGTTAGGAAATGGAAGAGAATCATGCATACCGGCTCATCCCACGCACCTTGAGAAGCGATTGAGGATACGACCAATAGGGGTGGTATCAAAGAAACTCATTGGAGAACGAAATATTGCGTACGCCATTCGGTCGTGTAATTTTCTCGACGCCTGTAGGAGGGGGCAAAAAAAAGAAAAAGGGTAAGCTCGTCACTTCTTTGGTCATTCATAAGGTGGGATAATCGAACCTCTATCGAGCAGAAAATCCAGAGTAGTAAGGTCTAACTTGGATGTCAGTCGTTTGTGTCACAACGGATGATGAAGACACATACTTGGACAACGACGAGGGCTGCACCTCCAATTCCGAATGCAAAGTAGATGCCAATGTATTTGCCCACTTGCGGGTTTGCACCGTAGGACTCGTTGATCTCGGACCAGCGCTTCAGCCAGAAGCTGCCGCCAATCTGAGCCGTTTGAGCGGCGAGAAGAGCCACGAGGTAGATGGCAACCGCTACGAGGTTGCTTTCCTTGGCATAGCTTGTGTAGACAGACCATTTCACCTTGCCCTGTTCTGAAGTTTCTTTGGTCTGCTTAGACTTTAGTCCTGCCTCCTCGTCATTCAATCGGCCCATAGGGCCGTGGAAACTTGTTGTCGAGGCACGTCGAAGGGTGTTGAAGCTCGATTTCCGGGCAGTTGATGATCCGCCGGGGCCGGTTCGAATGGGTGCAAGCTCCCCGATCTCCTGGCGAGACTCTTCCGCCTCCTCAGCATCGTATTCGTCTTGAATTGCGCTGGTAACGGCGGTCGTCGATTCGTCGGATTCCATGCCTTCGATACTAGGGCTTCTTTCACCTTCGGAATCCTGCTCGTCCTCCCTCGTCGATGATTTTATCAGTGTGGCAACTTCGCCTCTCATAGCTATGAGTTGCTGGTACGTTCCCTTTTCAAGGATCGAGCCGTCACGGAGCAGGTACATGTAGTCCGCCTCCTTCAGGACGGTGATCGCGTTCGTAGCTAAGATTCGTGCCTTTCCGCTCAAAAGGCCATTCGGTCCGAGTACATTGTTGATTAGGTGCCGGCCGACGTGCTGATCCACTGCAGAAAGCACATCGTCAAGTAGGTAAACGTCTGCGCGGGCATAGACTGCCCGTGCTAAAGCCAATCGAGCCTTCTGGCCCCCGGAGAGAGATATTCCTCGCTCGCCGACCTCTGTCTGATCACCATCGGGCAGTTGTCTGAAGTCGTCGACAAGAGCGCAGGCATTGATTGTCTGATTATAAAAATGAGGATCCCAGCGATGTCCAAAAACAATGTTCTCTTTGACGCTAGCATTCATGATCCAAGCCGACTGTGCTGCATATGCGATGCGGCCACGAACCACTGTTTCACCTTTGATTTTCCAGAGATCCCCGAGGATAGCCTGAAGCAGAGACGACTTGCCGGCCCCGACACGGCCGACGATGCAAGTAAGCTCCCCTTTGTTGGCATTGAAGTTGATGTTCTGAAGCACTGTCTGGTCCCGGTTCTTATCCCAGGTGAAAGTGGCGTCTCGAATTGTGACTGACGCTTCTCCCTGCTGATTCGGAGGTCGGTCGATGAATCTGACCGCATCTTCTTGGAGCTCGTCGGTGGTGAAGAACTCGGTCAGTCTTCCCACGGCAACTGATGCTTCGATAATGCTGGTGATAACCATTGGAAGGACCGTGAGGGGAAACGTCAAGAGATTGAACAACGTCAACGCCGGAAACACTAGGTCTGTGGTGAGCGGTTTGTTATTGACCAACACGAAGACCGCGAAAGTGGAGCAGGAAACAAAAAAGGGCGTCGAGGACCACGTGAACGTCGCGAAGGCCTGTGCTGCGCCGATCTTGCGAAGATTGTTCAATTCGAGATCGTTGCGTACATGACTCAGCTTTTCCATGAAAGCGGAGCCCCAAGCGTAGAGTTTGATGCTTTTCATGTTGTTCAAAATTTCCGCCATGAGGCGCGATCGTCGATCCTTATACGTCATCTGTGACAATTGCAGTTTCTTCATAAATCTAGCAATGAAGCCGTTGACAGGAATCATGACGATCATGGCGGCGACTCCAGCAAAGCAGGAAACACCGACAAGTTGATAAAGCGAAATCATGCACAATGTGATCTGGAAGGGTGCCGACCAGACCTGTTGACCCCATTGGGCCAAATCGGCCAGACGTTGCTGGTCCACGCTCATGTACGTGACAATATCGCCAGTAGATTTGGCGGCTCGCGACTCGTTGGACAATCGAAGTGATTTTGCGTAGATCATTGCCGTGAGCGAGGACTTGACTCGCATACCGGTTTCAAAAGCACGCTGGAAGTACTGATGCAAAGCACAGGTCTGGCAGACGGAGGTGGCGAACATGGCCAATGCGATGGCAACGCCACGTATGGCTGGTTGGCGTTCATGACCTGGTCGATAGGAATCCACAAATGTAATCAACAGTCGAAGCAGCTGTGGTTGGACGAAGGCAAGACAGTCGCTGATAGTCTTGATGAGCGCCCCGCGCAGATAAGGACCTCCAAATGCCCTAGCCAAAGCTATCCACAAGTTTGGCTTCTTCTTCTCCAACTCGATCGCCCAAGATTTTTGCAGGAGATCTCCTGTCACCTTTGTGGTATCACGATTGCGTAGATTCCACAGGTCGTCCTGAGTGAGGAAGTTCTTATAACCAAACTTCATCATCGGAGTCATCCAGCCGAAGGTTAGAACGGAAAAGACGTCCGCATACTCAATGGGGCATTCATCGTCCGCCCCCAAAGCATCGTAGGCGCTCTGCTTTTTGGGAATCAAATATTCGAGGACGAATTCGACGATTGCCAGACCCAGGCTAATATTAAACGTAACAAAATAGGGTAGTCGATTCGTATATGCCCCTCTGGCCACCAATGACCGCAGTTTGACAATGTATGCCAGAATGAAAAAGACCCAATAGAACAGCGCAACGCCATTTGGGTTCCGCGACCGCCAGTGCTCGTAGTACTGTACAGCATATATAACAAGGAGGGATACAATCGTTGCGATGGATGTGTAAAATCGAACATCTTGGAACCATATTCCGGGCAGGAGCGCGACCTGTAGGGCGGCTTGGAGGGCGGTGGCGAGGACGATGGCACAAATTATACTTCTGCGGTCTGGCGGTTAGACGGAATGGGGACTGGGAAAAACAATGATACTGACAGTTTTGCATAGAAATGCCAATTTTTGGGAACATCCTGAGCAATGCGTTTATTGAATAAATACCACAGGGCACCGGCCCCAAAGAGCACACCCCAGACGGCAACACCTAGAATCCAAGTTTCAAGGAAACAAGGTGTGAAATCCCATCTTAACGAACTCACTGGACCCCAGCCTTCCTCGTCGCCACACCAGGGTTGCTTGGAAAAAGGAGTCCCATGCAGGATTACATCTGACTTGGGAGAGTATCGTCCCGTTGCAGTCAAGACAGACTGCGCCCCCTCTGAACTCCTCATCCATTGTGTCGAAAACAGCATGGAAGGGTGAATAGAAGCTAACTCTATTGACGGGATCGTGTTGGACGGAAAGACCATAGGAGCTTCGAAGAGGAGGAAGGGTAGCTTCAAGAGTCGATGGGAACAGGGCGCAGAAGACGAGAGGGTACAAAACTGAAGACCTTTGTTCGTATTCGGTAATGGGCGGTCGGCGAAATCGGAGTTTACATGGTCCCCCTCACCGCCGCGTGATTTCGGCCAGGAACAACATTTCTCCGCACAGGCAGACGGTCACATCCTCACGTGACCAGAAGGTCGTTGTCGTTTCTCCTCGTGTCCACCGAGCCATTATTGGCCCCAGGAAGGCCCTCGCAGGCTAACCTGGAGCCCCAGCGGCTTAGTCGCTTTTTAGCCACTTGCGCAAGCTAAACCTTGCGTGATATATTCCTTACCGCCAATTCGTGTGACCATCCCGAGTCTCAATATCAAGTTCTAGCCTAATGTCTCACACACAGGCGCACTCGGGCGGTGGCCTAACTTTCTCTCCTAAGCCTTGTCGTCGATTACGCTAGCACCCCATATATCTCCAGGCATTGAGAAGATGGCCCTTCTCTGTTCCTCATTTTCAGCCTTGCCAAAAACATGCCCAGTCCTCCTTTGGTTCGTGACGCCCGCCCTTCTCCAAAACATGTCAATTATGACGAGGAGGATGATACCTCCAATAGCGATGACGTAAAGGTGAATCTCGAAGGGTCCCAAGAGAACTCGGGGAGCAGCAAAGATGAGCAACGAAAGGAACCTCGGACGAGGACCGAAGATGAATCAAGCCCGGCCTTTGACATCGAAGCAAAGCCGACCGGCAATGAACCTTCCCCCCCAAGCGGTGGGCTAGTTTTGGGCGGAGGACAATCTATCAAACTCATGCTCGTACCGGACAAGCCGCCAACACCTCCACCACCTCCGGCCAAAAAGGAGAAGCCTCATCCCCAGGCTAAGATGAAAAAGTTTTGGACCAACTTTGACCCTGAATACACCGGCAAGATCACTAGAGTTCTGCCCGGACGTATAACCGACCGAGACAAAGTGGCGGCGAAATTGGCCGGTGAAACAGGACACCGAGCCATTCAGTCTTATGAGAACGCAAAGGAAAGCTGCATTCGAGATGTAAAGCGCATCATCAAGGAATGTCGGGGCTCGAACCAAAAGTACACGGATTCTCATTGGGATATTGAAAGAGACCTCAAGATCACACGAATTCGAGACTGTCTCGATGGCCTGATAGTCGACGAGGACGACAAGGAGTATCCTGCGGATGCAAAGCGAGTGACCGTATGAGTTCCCTTATCCGAGGGTGAATTCTCGTATTAACTCAAATTTTAGGACATATTCGAGAACCCAAAGTTCTACGTGGATGGTGTCTCGTATGACGATATCTTGCAAGGTTCCGCAGGGTATGTTGTATATAAAGTCTCAAATGCCAAATTTTTCGGCTCACAATCAAACCAGAGACTGCTGGTTTCTTGCTGCCATCTCTGCGTTGACTTGCAACCAAAACTTCATCGACAGGGTCTGCGTGATTCAAGACCAAGCCGTGGGCGTTTACGGCTTTGTCTTTCACCGTGGTAAGGCTAGGTTCCCAACTTTGAATTCTAACCGATTCTGAACGTGAACACATTTAAGACGGAGAATGGCATCAGTGTATAATCGACGACAAGCTGTACCTTCGGGCTCCTGCGTACGACGAAAGCGGCGACGTCGTGCTCAGCCAGTACGGTGTCCGCCGCTCGAATCAAGAGGGACAATATCAGGAACTTTTCCAACGGGGTTCCCAAGCGTTGTACTTTGCGCAATGCCGAGACCAGAACGAAACTTGGGTGAGCCTTCTCGAGAAGTCAGTTATTGCATCTCTCAACCCTGAAATTACACTTTCGTTCCCGACTGACAAAATTTTAGGGCCTACGCAAAAGCACATGGTGACTACGCATCAATCTCCGGTGGTCAAACAGGGTGCGTAACTTCCCCGTTTCCGTGACGATACACCCAAACTGAAAGGACCTGGAAACAGCGAAGCAATCGAAGACCTAACAGGCGGAGTGACCACGGAAATCTACACGACCAACATCCTCGACCCAGACGAATTCTGGAAGAACGAACTCAGTCGGATCGGGAAGGACTTTGTGTTTTCCTGTGCGGCAGCTCGCTGGCGAGAATGGCGACCTTACCTGGCCGCGAACGAGAAGGTCCGCGAAGAACGCCGCGCCGGGATCATCAGCCAGCATGCCTACGCCGTGCTCGAGACATATGAAGGCCACGGCCAACGACTAGTCAAGATCCGAAATCCATGGGGCCGCAAAGAATGGACAGGGGCATGGAGCGACGGATCTATAGAGTGGGACGCCGAGTGGTTGACACGATTGAACCACCAGTTCGGCGACGACGGCATCTTCTGGATGACATACAAGGACATGCTGAACAAGTACAAATACATTGACCGAACTCGTATCTTTGGGCCGGACTGGCACATCGCACAACAGTGGATGACCGTCCAAGTCCCCTGGAGCACGCTCGACTACCAGCAAAACTACTTCTCTATCGATGTGCCAGACGACACCGAGGCTGTCATCGTACTCTCGCAGCTCGACGATCGTTATTTCAAGGGCCTACAGGGCAAGTACAACTTCACCCTGCAGTTCCGGGTGCAGAAGGACGGGGGGGACGAAGACGAATATCTAGCTCGCAGCAAGCTGAACTACGAGCTGGTGCGGTCCGTCAATGTCGAGGCTCGGCTTGCCAAAGGCACGTACACGGTGCTAGTAAAGGTGGAAGCAACGGCCAGTGGACGCGACGACGTGGAGAAGGTGATTCGGAACAACATCTCGCGTCGTGATAAGATCACGCAGATCGGGAAACTGTACGATCTAGCACACCAAAAGGGCCAAATGCCTTTGTCGTCGGCAGCTTCCTCAGCTTCCGCCTCAGGCATCTCCACTCCCGCAAGCGGTGGCAGTGCTCCCAGACCTGCTGAGCCCACCACATCTGAGGCACCCGCGCAGGACTCAGACGAAGCCGACCCGCAGCGTAACCCGTGGAATGCCTGCTGCATCGTCGGTTTGCGCGTATACAGCAAGCAAGCAGACCTAGGATTGAAGGTGGTGGTTCCATCGAAAGAGGAAATCGATGAGACCGTCAAACCGACGCTAGACCGCGACGACGTGGCGAAGAGCGCACTAGATGAGGCCCAAGCTACGGCAGGGAGGGCCGACGATGTCGATGGCAACAGCAATGCCAATACTATGGAGGAGGGGAAGGAAGACGAAGTAGAGAAAAACGACGAAAAGGCTCTAGAACAAAATGAGACTGAAACACTGCAAGGGAAAGAAATGGAGACAGTGTAGGAGCAGGAGACGGATCAACAACAGGACAAGGGCACGCAGAAAGAGCAGGAGAAGGAGAAAGAAAAGGAAAAGATTTGAATGAATCGCCAGAGTGCACGGCCATGACCACACCATGACCACGAGAATACCTGACTATACCTATTTTCTCACCTCGCCTCAACGAATCATCCTCTCCGCTCAATGATAAATCGCACCCGACTTCGTATTAGCTGGGAAGAACCAAAAAAAAAAAAGAAAAGAAAAATGTGTGAGCATCCAGCATGGACGGCAAAAGTAATGAAGTTTGCCTTTGGGGAAAGCGGACCTGACCCTGATATGCCAGGCAAGGTTCTCACCACTCCATAGCTTTCAAGAGATTAGGGGGCCTCCAGGTTTATTCTCATTTATATATTTAATATTGATTGATTGAACAGGCCGAGAGTCCAGAATCCCCCTCCTTCTCTATTCTCCTCCAGCACCAGGTAATTGTACCTGAGTTTACCTTTACCTATCTGCTATCCAGTGTCCAAAGCATATCACTATCCCCATCCAGTTCATGGCTTAAGCCCATTCATATCGCTATCGCTTTCGCTGTCCGCCATAATTATATTCCCTCCAATGAAAATGATAATCAAAGCTACGACCTCAAATTCACTTTGTTTACTGCATGGGGGCAAGCAGCCAGACATTTGACCCTCGAAGAGGCCAGAGCAGAGCATGTAATATTGGTAGCGGGTAGATATATTCGACATTGTTGGCCATGAACACACTTGCATATCCATTCCTTTCCCAGCCATATAAAACTCAGACAGGCAGGTAGATACCTAGGTGTCTCTAGCTAATCCCATCTCATCTCATCTACTTGGACGTACTACTTATTGGCAGTATCATCGAAATCCAAGATACTCACGCCATGACTGCTCTTGCGACTCAATGTGCCTGTACCGGTAGCGCTCCCACTCGCACTGCCAGTCCCACTGGCTGAACTCTCAGCTCGACTCCTCGTTACCCCTTCATCGCTACGATACGTCTTGATACTCGCGACCTCGGCGCCTTCGAGGAGTTCCTGGTCCCTCTTGCCCAATTCGGTGCCTTTTTCATCATACTCTTCATCCTCGTCGTCCTCGTCTCGGTAGGGCCTTTGTCCCTGCTCGCGAGCATTGCGCTCGAATTCTCTCTGAGCCTCGTCCATTCTCTTCCGCATCTCAGCCGCCATGCGCATACCGTCGTTGACAATATTGTCCAAGACACCACGCAGACCGCGTGAACCGGGTTCTACGACACCACCGGCCCGACCGACGTCGATGACGGTCTTGTTTGAGGCGCCATTGATCAGGTTCTTCACTGGAGTGCCGAGATTGGTGAACGTGGTGAGATTGCCGGATAGTGTACTTGATGGCAACGAGACTGTGCTGGCATTTGGCGATTCGCTGAGGTGGAATGACTGGGGGAAGAAAGTTTCAAAGAACTGTTCAAGCAGTTCATCGGCCAGAATGACCATTCGGAAGGTAGGGAGTGTGATGTGCAATGGCTTGTTTGGATCCAAGGCGAGATTATGGGACGCAGTTCGGGAAGACGGGCTCTTTCGAGCTTGCGGGAGTGGTGAGAGCAAAACCGGAGATCCCGGTGGTGTAGCTTCCGACAAAGGATCCTTTTCTGTGGGATGCGGCGACGCAATGGTTTTGGTATTCGGTTTTGCCTCCGAAAGATCTAACAGGTCTTCCTGTTGGGGACTATGGATGTTTGTGTTCTCAAGCTTTAACTTTGCGTCGTCAACGGTTTCATCTGGATCGGCGTACTCGAAACACCGTCGGATGAACGCGCTCACACTTCCCAAAAACTTTTCATTCGTGCTCAATTTCAATCCTTCTTTGACATCCGCTGAGAGTGGAGATGTCATCCCGTTTTGAGACTCGGAAGGGGTGATGACTCCATCGAAACCGCGCCGGGAAAGGAACAGAAGAGATTCGGACATTCTCAAAATGCCTTCTCGGTCGACCTTGCCGGTACCGTCATCGTCGAATAGATCGAAGAAGAGACTCATCGAGTTCATGATATCTGTCGTGCCTTTGAATTGGGCCAATCCTCGGACTAGTTGCTGCAAAGTCATTTCACCCCGGTGAGATTCATCCCACTTCCCATACAGTCGTTGCATGAAGTCATGATCTGCTGGTTCCGGTCTGGAACCCCATTGTGAGAAAGTCTTGCTTCGCTTTCGTTGTGTCATCGGAGGACTGGTGACATCTTTTGAAGGCGACGTGGGCGAGTCCGTTACCGCCCATTTAGCAGTATTAGCGAGAAATTCTCTGAAGGCATCATAATTCATGGTCTGCAGTGGTGCTGCATTCCTGGCAGGCTCGTCAATGTTCCGATATGAATGTTGATTCCACAGGCCTGGCCGGACCCTTTGCTGCTCCTGTTTTCTTCTCTCTTCTTCTCTCATCTTGGCACGCTCCTGACGTTCGGACAAGACACCGAAGAAACGGTCGTAAATTGCACTGAGGTCGTCAGTACTCAGTTTCTTGCTCTCTGGTCCCAAGTTTCGAATTGATGTCCGTTTGGCAAAGGTCGCAAGACCTTCCCTAACGCCATCAATATGTTTCTCCCTCAGTTCTTCAATACTCGCGTGAGTGATGCCAGCAAACTCTTTGAAGGCTGTCACCATTAGTTCTTGAAACTTTGTTATAGCCCTCAGCTTTTCGTTTTCCGAGTGCGGATGAGCCGACTCATCAAGCCGGGAGAAGTAATTCTTGAGTATGGATATGAAAGACCCGTCATCACTGACATCAAGTAATTCTTCACCGTTGATGCGAAGAATTGCCAATCCGATTTGGAAAAGGACTTTCGGACCTTCCAAGAAGAAGACGTCCAGAACTCTGAAGGCAAAAACAAGTGGCATGGAGTTTATGTATAGGGAGAGAAACCAGGGTAGTGATACAACGGATAGATTGACATCCGACTTGACCAAATGTTCCCAGAGGATGGGCATCGTTCGTTCTACAAGATTTTCGAAGACTCGCTGATCTAGGAGAGTGCCGTACATGTCTTTCGAATAGTATCCTGGAAGGAGTCTGTCGCACAAGGCGCCGAGAGTGAAGAAGGCTTGAGATTCTGACATGTAGATGAGAAGGGCGGCCACCACTATGTTCATGGCTTGACAATAACCAACTTCTTCATTGGTCCAGCTGTACGCTGTCAGCACTCGACGTAGTCGGCCTATGCCTTCATCACTCTGGAAGCCTGGATATTCGGGAAGGCTGCGGTTCAAGTCTTTTTCGATTTCATCAACAGCCAGGGATTCTCTCCCGGTGAATTTGGCCAAGGTTTTGTCATAGAGGTGTGGGTTTCTCAACCTGGTGTAGAATGAACCGGAGCATATTTCCCAGATCTCGCCTCTCAGTCGGTTGGGCAACCCAACACGGATAAGCTTGTGAAAGGTTGGTTGTCGAACGATCGTCGCGTTTCGGCCATTCTCCCGCATGTACTCAGCCCACAATCTGATTTTGCTTCGATCTCTTAGTTTTCTGGCATCTCCAGGGTATCTGAATAGCATTCCGAGTCCAGTGTCGGGCGGATCGGGCGGTGTAGTGCCCTCCTCTTTGGCCTTCAGCCGAACCGGATCTAGCAGATATTCTGAGTAGCACTGGGCCACGACAGTCCGCAGGCTTTCAACTTCTTTCATGCCCTCTCTGAGACCCTTTTTCAGGCCATCACAGAACCTTTCACAGGCGGTACGACTTCCATCGAGCGTGATGATGAGTTTCCGCGGAGGAGGCAGTGACGCCCTTGCCTTTTCGATCGAGTGTTTCGGGATGGACTCGAAAGTGGTCAGGGCGAGGGAGAACTTGTCTTGATGGCTATTCAGTCTCTCGACCCTTCGGATGGAGCAGAGGGGAAGAGTAAAACCATGCCCGCCCGGTCCAGCACCTTGAGTAGGGCCGGTGAACGAGGTGGAGGAACTGTGACTTGCGGTCGGGAGGAAACTCGTACGAATGGTCGAGAAACAGAGGAAGTGTTCACTCAAGTGGAGTTCTCCCACATATTTGTTGCCATTGTCTCTCGACTTCTCTCCAGACGTAATAGGGCGTCCAGCTGCAGATGAGGGGAGCGGGAGGAAGAGTTCGGCGGTGATTTCGTGCAAAGGATTCTGACCAGCAGGAAGTCTGAACTGGTCTCGAAAAAGGGAAGCCTTGGAAGGTCGGTTGTCATTGTTGGACGACAAAGGAGACTGCTCGATAAACTTCTGGACGAATGAGCTCAACATCGCGTAGAGAGGCTGTACAGGCGGCAATTCATCAGAGGGGGGGTGGTAGATGGTTTCTTTTTCCGCGTCGGTGACCGCACGTTATCACGCCCTGCGCGTCATTCTGTGTGCCAGTGGAGTCTCTAGATCATCTAGAGGACCTCGAAGACCCAGAGGATATGTCTGCAATCGGCCACAACAACACTGGTCACATCCGCAGAGACCCCGGGCCCATAATAATACTGCTAAAGTCCAGGCCTGGTCCGTTCCACGCCCTGAGCCTTGGCGGCACCGCACGCAGTGCAATAGTCTTCTGCTTTCTTCTCCTTCCCTCTCTATGCAGGGTGAACAAGTACGGAAGATTGATGCATGAGAGAGTTCAGGTGGGCTCTTCGAAGTAATCAATAGCCGGTGATGAATTCAGGTCTCTGCAAGTTCTCGAGCGCCAGTATGTCCGATCAGCTCGTCGGCTTTGGAACCGAGTACCACCTCGGAGTTACGTTTCCTCGATACGTGTTTTTCGCTCTACATCGAGGGAGACACTGAGGCTTACAAGTGCTTTCTTTTCAAGTTGTGCCACTTTTCGTTACCAGCGTCCGGATTCTCCAGGCATCGCAAAATCACGTGATTGAACCCCCGGGGCCCGGGGAGGCAGGGGGCTTTTCTCCTCCGGCAGACTCGCTCCTTTACACTTGACGATCACGAGAAGGTATTCAGTTCCGGAATGAAACATCAGGATCAAAGGCTCCAATGTAGAGGTATATTAGAACTGGTGTCTCCATCTTTCGAGCAATGGACCATTCCTGAGTGAAACACCTATTGTTCCTCCTGGCCGTTAGCAGCCATAGTCCAAGGTCATTCATTCGTACTCCGGCCATTCCTTCATGTCTGAAAACCTGAGCATCATTAATGCTGAACAAAGAGGACACCACCGTCCATCCCAAGAATTGGCATAATCTGGCCTATTCAGTTTCCGCGCTCAGCAGCAACTCAACAACGACGTGGCTCTTTTCATACTCCGGATGTTGCAGTACCAATTTTGGTGTACGCGGTGCATTTCCAAAGTTCTTGAGCCCGAGACCGTTGATTCCTCCTCCTAACGCCGCCTGTGGCTGTGTTTGAGCGCCTCCCGAGCCCCCCCCACCATCATCAAGCAACTTGATATCTTTGCCGGCAATAACTTGCTTGAGTCGACCGTTCTGTGCGTCTCGAATCTCCACAAAATCATCGTCGACAAGGATCAAGTATTGGGCGTAGAGACAAGCCGATCTGGCCCGACCCACAAATTCCATCACCACTCCACGCGATATGTCTCCGTGCTTGTTGACATAGACAGCACACTCCTCGAATGTGACCAAGAATTCTGCTTCTCCAAGCCTGAACATGCCCAAGGGCTTGAGATCTTTAATTCGACCGGCAATCGAGCTGAGATGTGCTTGCGTTTCCGGTTGTTCGCTTCTCAAATTGGGTACACTCCACGTTTGCTTCTTTTCCAAAGTCAAGACTTCCACACCTCGTGCCGTCGATATGGCCAGACTCGATTGGAATAAGTTCAGTCCATAGCACTCGGCTGGAATGTAGAACTCATCATATTCTCGGAAAAATTCCGTCTGGCCTCGGCGTGAGGCTGAGGGCAAAAATCGTGATCTGTTGGTTGTACTCTTTTGAAGAACTGGCTCGAGAACCTTGAACGTGGAGGCGATGCCATCTCGCTTCTTGTAGAATACCAGGGTTCTCTCCTTCATCCGACCAGTCACGAAGAATCCAATATCCTTGGAGCCGGACAATTTCTGAGGCGCTTTGCGACTTGAGGCATCGCCCTGAGCAACCGGGTTACCAGAGGGCGGACAAACAACGTCAAGATGATAGGCAATAAGTGCCTTGTCTGAAATGAGCAGAAACAGGTTAAACTCTTCCAGAACTGCAATTTGTGACACTCGCTGCATTTGGATAGCCTATAACATGTTATTGGACCGTCCGGATCAGATTGGGCTCGATCAACTTACCCTCACCCATCCCCGAGAATTTTGATATTCGGAGATGAACACGCCATAGTCGGTGCCCACAGCGCACATAAGTCTACCGTATGGTTGATTGAACACAGTGGCGCAATTCACCGGGGCTCTGCAAACCGGTGCTGGTCGGCCCTGACCCTCAAATTTCTTCTCGGCCTCTTGGATGGCCCTGTCTAATGGTGTACCGCGGATCAGGATTCGTTTCGCGGGATAACTAATTCCCTCGTAGCCGAAAGCAGTGTCAGCAAGGACCCTAAGTTTGAACGGCTCAGCGTTCTGAGAGAACAGTGCTTCGGCGTGTCTCGTTTTGGCTTGAATGATGGCTTCACACCAATCTTGTCGATTTTGTGCGCTGGGAGCATAGAGAGTGTATGTCTCGGTTTTACCCAAATGCTTCACACGGAAAGGGTACATGATCTTTTCCTCTTTGGAACTTCCGCTGTCGAGAGTGGTGATTGGGACCATGGACTGACTCGTGTTTCCCGACCCTATCGAGAGATTGGTGCTTGTGTGTGACAAGGGGCCTGCCGCGCCACCGCTTGCTGAGGACTGCGCCCTTGCAATTCGAGAATCAGGAGTGGTTTGGCCTCGAGGCACCACGGTCGTGGTAACCGCACCAATTCCCTTGACTGAAGACTTCACCACCGCGGGTTCGTTGGAGCTTTCCAACACGAGCAAATCCATCGGGATTGGAACTTTTGAAACGTCATAATACCCTTCCTTGCGATCGCGGCTCAGAGGTTTGGCTAGGACCAAGTAATGGTCAAAGAGGATTGCATGCGTATCCACCCATTGAAAACCTTTGCCGCCGGCGCGTTGCAATTCACCCCGAAAAATGATTTCTCGGCCCAGGTGATCGAGATTGAGCTCCACCTCTTTCTCCATGGGAGGCCGAAGTCTCAACTTGTTTTGCATCTCGATCAATTCCATCTTTTTGGTCATTTCGGCATATTTGGAGTCACATTCAAAAGTGGCAGCTCGGATTTCATCCAAGGCATATGCGAGATTGTTTTTCTCTTCGGACTCTTTCAACATATTCTTCTGCACCGTGGAGAGAAGTAGACTGTAGCGTTGCAATCTGGTGATAGGAGCCTTGAGATAATTGTCCCAACCCAATCGATTTGAACGTTTGTCTTCTCGAGCTTGGTCAAGGAAATTTTTGAAGTGAATATTCCTTTCCGCCTCTCGACGCATGAGATAATCTGCACGGGGGAAATTTGAGGCGTACTCGACGTACACAGCTCGAGCTTTCCTGATCCATTCACGGAAAATGTCGCTGAACCCTACTATCCAAGGTCCTTGCTCAGTTTGTCTATATTTGAGCTGTCCCAAGAGATAGTCTTGATTGACTTTCTTCACCTTATCAACGCCGCCAAACACTTCCCTCAAAAATGTCGGGAGCTTTTTGGTGAGGACGATGGGTGGCTGAGTAGCCGAAAGTCGGTCCCGATAAAGAACCCGCAGTACGTCTAGTTGGCTGATGTAGAGATCTTCGCTGGTGACGATTTCATGGAGAACATTTTGACGTTCAATCTCCTTCTTGTCGTGGTTCTCGAGATCCTCTTTCTTGAGTTTGTAGAACGTAGTCCAGTCTTCGGACTTCTTTTCGACTGGTAAAGCATCGAGATCAAGCTTTTTCAACGTCCTCATGCAGTGGTACGAATAGCAACGTCCTCGGGTGTGATACAAATGCAGCTTTGAGGAATAACATCCGGTCCCGGTCAGTTGATAGAGAACCCCAGACATCGTGCCAGGTCCGAATTTGACCCACTCCTCTTCTCTCACGAGTGCATTCGCAGCCAACATCTCTTTCACAACTCGTTCTCCCAGACCTTCAGCCTCAGTAATGTACATTGTTGGTACTTTGTGCATAAAAAGGGCCACAATGCCCTCCGCGATGTTGTTCTCTTTCAAATCAGCTTCCTCTTCGGCCAGCTCCTTAATCCATGCCAAAACAGAGCTAAGAGCCCAAGGCTCAGAGCATTTCTTAAATTGGTCAGCTGTCAGTTTGGCTGGATTGTAACGTTTCTTTGGAATCGCTGGAAGATCCAACGCGACCGCAGATTGTGGGCTGACGATATCATAGAGGTCAGACACCGGCCGATCTTGTTGCCGCAATAGCTTCTGGCGGTCCGCATCTGTTTTCGAGCGTATCGGATAGTCCGCTTTTGGTGCACTTCGTGTACTTGACAATGAGGTGGAACGAGGCACGGATGATGGGCTGAGCAAAGAGGCTGAGTACGCATCTGGAGCAGACGGATAACCACGCGTAGCGGGATCGGTGTACTGAGAGAATCGACTTTGTTGGGTGTAAGTACCAGCGGGGATCAAATGTGGGATTCGCAAACCGGGATCTGAGTGTGAAGGAGGGGGTGGTAACGGCCGCTGCTGACTCATACCCGGATGGAAGAAAAGGTCGGGCATTGATTCCCGTGATGGGCTTGTGTCTCCTGAGTGTCCTCCAGTCTCTGAATCCATCAACGTTGTCTCATCTCCGTCTTCATAACTCAGTCGCCTGAGGTGCGAACTCGGTTCTGTTAGACCACCCGTGCCCCCCGTGTCCACCCGAGCAACATTGTGGATAGGAGAAAATGGATGGAGAGTCTCCACCGGCGGGATTGACTCAAATCCACTTGTTTGGGACTCTCTTCCTTCTGATGACACGCCCGAGCTGCGGACTGAATCCATTCGTGTGTTCAGTCGCCCATACAGCTCGCTTTGCGGCATCGCAGCAGCGGCTGCGTAATTAGACACAGTTGATTCGCTATAGGATACGTCTGGTGCATAGCCCCCGCCTGCAAGACTTAAATCATAACCTGCGTAGTCGCTGTCGCTGCTCTGTTCCTGTGAAGACATCCGAGGCATGTCTTCGTCGGCGCGAGGCTGGCTTGGAAAGAGAGTAGCTGAGCCGCTGCGCCTGCGCGCGTCCTCTTGCCTTTCTTGTTCGTCCAATGCCTGCATCGCAGCAAGGCCAGCAGCCGCTTCAGCATCACTGTCGTCAGTAAATGCTCCATAGTTGATGTACGTGTCTCCTGTAGACGCAATATTGCCATTGAGATGCGTCGGGACCTCGTCTGGCGAGACCGGGAGCCGTGGGGACGGCTGCGGGAAGTCCGGTCCCTCATCTCTAGACTCACGGTACCTCTGGTCACTGGCAGATCTGGCATGACTCGAAGTGCCCTCGATTGCCTCGTCCAGATGGTGCATCAAGTCATCATAGCCTGGCGGGACAGCGTTTCGCGCTGCAAGATCTTGAGGCTCACCCGACTGAAAATAATCATTGTCGGATTCGGATTCAGATGGAACACCAGGGAGAGATCTTCCTTGTGGATGACGGTCGAGAGTATTCGTGCGTTGAGGAGATCTGTTCGAAGGCTGTCGATTGGGTGGAGGAGGGATGGTAGGTTGGGTTAAAGCAGATTGGCTGCTCATCCGACTTGCAAACGAAGAATTTCGATTTACATCAGATGATGAATACGCCGCCAAGCTCGAACTATGATATGGAGCAGATACTGCCGAAGAATGTGCATATCCTCCCTCCGAAATGCTCGTAGAGCCCGAGTAAGGCCGGCCCGAGAGGGAAGGATCGTGTGGCGGAGGAGCGGGAGCCGGTGGAGAATATGTAGAATAGCTTTGGCCGGTGGAAGATGTACTAGGATGACGGGGAGGGTACTGTTGAGCGGCATCGTGCTGGTAGGCACCGTATGATTGTGTTGGGGGATATGACTGCTGTTCCGAGCGCGGAGGCGGTGGGGGAGGCTGTGAAGAAGAATAATTGACCTGGGAGTTTGCATCGTAATATCCGTAGCTGTTGTACACGGAAGTGCGACGAGCGCGGTTGGGGTCGCCGTACGCGGCAGGGACGTATGGTTGATAGGGGCTGGTTGTATGCGCCGACTGGGGTGTGACATATGCCTGCGGATTGTATGTGGTCTGCTGCTGTTGATATTGCGCGGGATTATAGGGTGCATGAGCGGGCACCCCCGGTTGATATTGGTGTTGATATCCACTTAATGCGGTATGTTGCGTGTTCGTCCTGAAAGGACCAGACGCGGATTGATGGATATTGGCCGATTGAGTTCTATTCACTGGAGAGCTGGCCCCAGCCGGTCCCGTATATGTTGGATATCCCTGGGCTGCCCCATCTGTCTGATCTCCATCAAAGAATCGCTCATCATCTCCGGCATCGAAACTAGGGGTGCGTTCGAGAGGTCGCGATGGGTATATGGGTTGAGAGCCATAAGGCGCTTGGGCGGTATTTTGACCGGATGAAGGATGATTGTTGGAAGGATAGTAGGGCTGTCCATTCTGATAGCCGGCCATTGTCAGCGCGAGAGCGGTGCGGCTTGATCGTGACGCGAGAGAAAGTCAGCGCAGGCTCCGTCTAGGACGTCGGTGCGCATATTCGACGGTTTGGCGAAGGGGTGAAATGCGATTTCACAACACCAGTCACTCAGCCAGAGATGACGGTAGGCTGCGCTGGTTCATCCGTGAGGATGGCCAGTGGTCACAAGGCAACCTCGGGAAGAATGATGTCGACTCAGGCCTGCACCAGTTCTGAAGGTCTAGAAGTGGCGTGGTAATGAGCACTAGGATACAAAGATTGAAATAGATAGCACACCATCCATGACAGGTGCTGGGAGCTCGGAGGAGGAGCGCGGAGTAGCAGGAATAGGCAAAGATGAATTGTGCCAACAAACATGTCGCAGCCGTCAGCGGGATGATCGACTTTGGGGCCACGTCTGAAATTACAGCGACAGTACGAAGAAATGTGAATTAATCCGCACTATGTGTGGCGGATGAGGCTACTGGCCGTAAAATACCGAAAACGGACTGAGGGCTTGTGGGTAATTCTAGTCACCTTGCCGGACGCCCGCTTTACCTATCCATAGACGAATTTTAGGCAACGTACATGGGTATCTCTGTAGGAGTGCAAGTCTGCGAACCCCCTAGTTTGTAAATTCTTCTCTGAGCTTTTCTTGGATTGATGTTGATAAAGATGTCTCAATTTCAGCTGCTTTGATGAAGACAACGGGATGCATTGAAGGGGTCAGGTAGCTGCTCCTGGCTGCTATACAGTCAAAGAGCCAAGGCGAGCTCGGTCATCAAAAACAGCAAAGGCAGCCTCACCAGATGCAGCCTCAAATTATGTGCCGAGTTAAGCAAGGTCAAATTCAGGCCAGTTCTGCAAGGTAAGGGCCAGTGAAACATGGATTGTAAGATACCAAGTCCACCGACTGACAACTAGTGTTTCTGATCTTGTGCATTTATACCACTTATCTTCTCCTACTTAACCTCAGTCACGGGGCCGTCTTCAGCACCCCTTCAGCAACCGGTACCCCTTCGAGTTCGGCAGGCAGTCCACAACAAGCAGCGACCTGCATTAAGGTCTTTCGAATCTCCACCTCGCTCGCACCATGGTTGACCGCTCCTCTGACATGGGACGGTGAGCTCGGTCATTCGATTTAGAGCGCAGAGCATGACAACGTTGAGCAGGCTAGGACAGGTCCAAATACATCCTCAACCCACCTCAGTTACCATAGGCCAAGCAAAATCAGATGAGTTCTTTTGCAGTGAACGCTGGACATGCTTGGAGCTAGCGACTTGACTCCGAATCTCGAAGCCTTGGTCATAAAGCGTCTTATGGGCCTCGGCCACATTGTCTGCATCTAGATGTGTGGTGGCCATAGCGCTCGGCCTCGTCCGACGCGGACGCCTAGACCATTTTCGGTTGACACAGGGCTAATGCCGAGGGCAACGCCGAGGAGTCCCGCACGTGGAAGAGAAGAAAGAAGGGATGATCGAGAATCAAAATGCAAGTGCAGAAATCGACTTTTGTGAAGTGGTGAAAAGAAAATGACCCGGGCAAGCCCCACTAAATTTTGTCTAGAATTACCTTCTCCAGGTACGTTTGCCTAATGCGGGGCTAGCTTAAAAACCCCAACAAGGCTGCATTGAACCTCAACTGACGAACAGGCTTTTCATGCCCGCGCCCTTACCTAGTATTCTATCTGCGTAGCATGCATCAATCAGATACGCTGCAATCATATGCCACTCTACTATCCGATCGCTCCTACAACGGATTGGACCTCGAGAACTTTTGACGGCGTTGCTTCTCATCTGTAAAGCATCTCCACGTCATCCACGCCCCACCCTTCCTCACACACTCACTCCCTCCTACTCAATCAACTTCTCCACATCCGCAGATTTCCCTAAAGAGAGCCACTGCCTGTGCAGGGCACTACCGGTTCCAGAGACAGTACATTTGTCTGCCTGTCTCGGCATCTGCATCCAGCGGCACGTCGCCTCCTGACGTGACGGCAGGAAAAGTCTATCGCGGGGCTTGCGAGCCCGCTGCATCGTATAAGTAAGTTGTGAGATATCACGGGGCTATCGCACCACACCATTGTTGCTCCCCAATTCAGAGTCTTTCACTCTGCAATGTCTTGTCTTTCCTCTATGCCTGGAACCAAGATGGCAGCTTCAAACAATCCATGGACCATCATTGTCGGAGCTGGGCCTTCCGGTCTCCTACTAGGTCTGATGTTGGCAAAGAAAGGCGTCACTGTACACATCCTAGAGGCGGCTGCGGAGTTAGATGATTCTCCCCGTGCGGCATACTATGGTCCTCCAGCTGCGTATGAGTTAAGACGTGCTGGAGTCATCGACGACGTTCGAAAGGAAGGATTTGACCCGGTAAAGACTTGTTGGAGAAAACTCGACGGCACCTATCTTGCCGGCTTCGACAACAGACTTATGCATGATGATCCAAATCGACTGGCATGTCTACCCCTGGCCCAGCTCGATCGTCTGCTTTATAGGCATGCCATAGCCCAACCCACCGTCAAAGTGAGCTTTAGGCACAAAGTTGTGGACGTTGGCCAGGATGCCGACAAGGCGTGGGTGGATGCTGAAACACCGGATGGTAAGAAACGGATGGTGGCCACTTACATTGTTGGGTGTGATGGGGCTTCCAGCACGGTCAGAAGACGACTGTATGGAGAGAGGGATTTCCCTGGCTATACCTGGGACAAACAAATCGTGGCGACGAATGTAAGTCGCGCCTCCTTGTGTCAGAATAGCACCCAATTCTCATCCCCATTTAGGTCGCTTATCCCTTTGAGAAATTTGGCTATGATGATACCAATTTTTTCATTCACCCCGAGCATTGGCATATGGTTGCTCGACTCACCAAAAATGCTGACGGCAGCGGTTGGTGGAGAGTGAGCTATGGTGAGATTTCTGGCCTCACTCGAGAAGAGTTGATTGCACGACAACCGATGAAATACGAAGCTATGCTGCCCGGACATCCCAAACCGGGCGAGTACAATCTTGCCGCCATCAGCCCTTACAAAATCCATCAACGATTGGTGGACAGCATGAGAGTTGGAAGATTCTTGCTCGCCGCAGATGCAGCTCACAGTAAGTCAGGCTTGAGGTCTCTAGCCCCAATCGCTAATACCATAAATAGTTTGCAATCCCTTCGGAGGCCTAGGTTTGACAGGCGGTCTCGTCGACATTGGAGGTCTATACGATTGCATGATCGGTGTATACGAAGGCAAAGCAGATGAGAGCATTCTCGACAAGTACTCAGAAATGCGACGACAGAGATATCAAACCGTTACCGACCCCATTTCTTCGGATAACATTCGGCGATTGTACGGTCAAGATCCAGACAAGGCTTTGGAAAACGACGAATTTTTGAAAATGCTCAAGAGCATTGAGGGCGATCTGGAGGCGCAGCGTGAATTCATGCGATCACCCAATGCTCTTCAATATGATTTCACCCAGCATTATAAACCCAATGTCACAAAGGCAGCTCCGGAGAGTGCTGTGAAAAATGAAGTCGCTTCGCATGTGGAGTGGGTCGCTGCGGTAGGGTTGAACTGAAGAGGACAGGAATGGTTGAGGAATCGGGTTTTCGATGTCCAAACCTCACCATGATATCCGTTCGAGTCCGACGGTCGATCTTGTATTATTTTAGAGTTGATATGATGGCTTCCCGATGCGCACAAGAGCTAACTGCCTGCAGACATGACGGGCTCTTTGTCGGGCTGTGTCACTTTTCCTGTTTCCACAGTATTCAATGAAAGCATTTTGACGATATCACAGAGCCAATTGAATCCCATAACGTCGGAATGCATTTCAGGACCAGTTGAAGTATTGCCGGTAAATATGAGTGGCCTAAGGCAAAAAAAAAAAAAAAAAAAAAAAGTGGGATCCTTCAGCCGATTGGCCAAGTCCGGAATCCAATGGGACTCGGGATTGAGACGTCATTTAAGATTTCTCCCGCGGTCCAAAACTTGAGTAGGCCTGCGCAGCCTGTGCCAGGAGCCTTTTTATCGACTGTTGTCTTCCCTCCTTGGAAGACCTCTCTCCTCTTGAGTGTTCCGGTGTCAGAATGGTCCGTATACTGTAGCCACGTCGAGCCCAAGTTCCTGTTGTCCCCACCCCACCTTGGTTACCATCAACACCACCTCGCCGCTCAGCGGCTCCGATGAGGTCTTGATACGCGATCATGAAACCATCTGACCAGGGACCACTACTCCGCCGAAAATCTTCTATTCCTCACTACCAGACCTTCGATGGCATATCTCCTCCCAAATCACGAGGCCGACCCTTGTCCGATTCTTCCAATTCCTCTAGTCATGACATTCACAATTCCGACCGCGAGAACCATCTCAGTTCGCCTTTGCCCAAAAAACAGATGGCCATTTTGGCCGTCATAGCGCTATGCGAACAGACAGCCCTCAATTCGATCAGCCCTTACCTCCCTCACATGGCTTCAAGGTTTCCCGAAGTCAATCCTGGACAAGAGGGCGTGTACGTTGGAACCATAGCATCCGCCTTTGCGCTTGCGCAACTCACTACAAACTTCTTTTGGGGCTGGCTATCAGATCGTATAGGGAGAAAACCGGTAATATTGATGGGCACATTGTTTACAGCAGCCTGCTTTATCGCATTTGGCTTCGTCCGGACACTTTGGCAAGCCGTTGTGGTCCAGGCTCTGATGGGACTGTTGAATGGAAATCAAGGTGTTGTCTCTACCTGCCTAGGTGAGATTACAGATCGCAGCAATCAGTCCAGAGCTTTCACCTATCTGCCTGTCATATACGGCCTCGGAGGAATCACTGGTCCTGTTATTGGCGGAGTCCTGGTGTCCCCAAGAAACCCGTTCGACAAGTCAAAACCGAATCCTTATCCGTATCTACTGCCCAATATGTTCTCCGCGGCAATTCTTATAGTGGATTTTGTCGTCACCTCAATATTTCTGGAAGAGAGTCTGGAAGAGGTCCAATATCTCCCACCTCTTGGAACTCGAGTTCGGAACTTATTCGCTTGGTTTTGGCAATTTTCGGCTTCAAGCAGACCGCATTATTTGAGGCGCAAAGGAAAAATGCAACAACCTAGGAGCAATGGACTGGTTGAGTCTTCAGACGATGAAGACAGCGATGGCTACTTAGAGCCAGCTACATTCTTCTCTGCCACAGAGGAATTGCGAAGCAGTGACGTGCTCAACAGAGACACCGTCCTCCTTCTCCTGACGTATCTCATCTTCCAACTGTCCAATATCTCCTTCAATTCACTCTATCCCATTTTTGCGCAAGCTGCTCCGCCGACCGGACGGAACTTGGATCCCGAAGAAATCGGACTGTCACTTGCCTTTGCTGGAGTTGTGACCATTTTATTCCAAGTGGGCGTTTTTGGAAAATTGCGAGATATGATGGGCAATAGATGGGCTTACAGGGCTGGACTTGGAGGATTCGTGATTGCTTACATTCTCATGCCATGGGTTGGGTATAAGAAACGCGATGACGGGCAAGGGGCGATTACAAGCGGCGCTGCTTGGCTATGGCTCGAGATTTGCGCTGTACTTCTCATCAAAACTGTCGCCGCTGTCGGAGGTCTAACGAGTGCTTTACTGCTGGTGAGTACTCCAAATGCAAACCTAAAGATGCTCTTGTTGACTGACTTTATTCAGGTTACAAACTCTGCTCCCGATCATTCCGTCCTAGGAACACTTAACGGCCTCGCCCAGACACTTTCTGCAGCAGGCCGTGCCGTCGGTCCATTTGTATCCGGGGGCCTCTTCTCCCTTGCCACCAAAGTCCACCCAAAAGGTGAAGCACTAGCCTTTGGTATTTTTGGCGGCGTCGCGTTCGTCGGCTTTTTACTCAGCTTTGGAATCCGTTCTCCAAATCTCGAGGCCGAAGGATGGGCCTCTGGAAATGAAGAAGAAGATGATGAAACAGATAAATCAGAAGATGAAGAAACTTGAAAACCTGAACGGCCATTTCTTGGGGACAGCCGGGACATAATAATTTTCCTTTTGTTGTATAGCGGGCAAGAGTATCGAAATTAAGTCGAAGCGACGGTGTTTATGAGGTCAAGGCAAAAAAAAGGATAGGGTAGAGTTTCAGGTATGAAACGACTCGCGAGGTTTGTATAAAAGTACGGTATACGGGATCAAGACAGGATTGGGTTATGACGGTATTTGCATGCAGGATCAAATATCTTGCATACTTGTCTGATGGCACATTGAATAGGGAAGAGACCAGAACAGACGCTGCAATGCAAGAGTTAATCATACCTCCTTCTCTTCATTTACACCTACCCGAGACACCAGCGCGCTACATGTCAACCGCCTCGTTTCCATGACCAACCCCACCTGATTGATGTACCACTGGCACATCGTTCATTCCTCAACACTCCCAAGAGAAAGTAAAGATCAAGATCAAGCTGATGCTCTACCGCTCGCACACCCTACATCCCATCATTCCTCCACTGCTCAGCAACCGTGAAACCAAATACCAACCACACCCGCCTGCCCAATATCATTTGCAACGTCAGCCTCACACCACCGGGCATTCACTTGACACTTCAACACCCTTCTTCAATCCAGCCGTAATCCCGCTCCCGCACTGGTCCGGCGCCGCGAAATACGCACCTGTCTCACGCATTGCGACGTCCGGCTTCCATCAAGAATCCCACATTTGCCCCGCTAATATACGTCTCCCTTCCTCATCAGCCTCAACCTCGCCCCCACCCATCCAGCGGGATGGTCCGACAACAAACGCCGGATTGCCTTCAGATAGTCGAACATGCACATTATCAGACGTTGAAACCATCGGCACAGGCAGGTAGACTACGCTGCATGGGTGAGTCTATCAAGCTGAGCATCCCACCCACACCGCGGAGCGAGGCGAGGGTACATAGCTCGCGTTCTCTGATATCGCAGACGTCCACAACCCGCCGGTCTTTTGGAGATCGTCGATTCGCGCCAATTGTTTCCTGAACTCGCAAAATTATTAAGCCGTGCCGGCAAAAAACAAAAATGGAAGCGCGCTGCTGATGAGCTATCTGCAGGCTAGGGCAGTGCGAAGAGGAAGATACGATGGAGGGCGGCAGATCGATGCATTTCGCGATTATGCATTGTAAGTTCAGCAACGAGATCGGTCTGCCGTTGCGCTATGAGCGGAATGTGATCGTGTGGGAGAGCTGAGCGCCGTCCCAGAAGCTGGGAGTCAGTCAGTGGCCGATGCTGAGGCGGAATGAGAGCGAATCCGTGGGCCGTCGAGGAAAATTGGCCCGAAGAGAAGAGGAGTGGAATGAGACGGGCAAGGGAAGTTTGTAAAGGTACCATAGTATAAGATGATTTGAGACAAGATTCAACCCTCAGATCAGTACTCTTGAATTTAGCATGGACCGCCAGATATGCAGATGATTGTCTTTCAACAATGCACCTTCACTCGGTTGTCTCAACTTTGGCTTTTAGACTTTAAATCGTCACTGGGTTGCCCTGCCCCATCGTTCCCTTTCCTCTGGTTCTCACTCTCCGAGCACCAGATCGGTATCGAAGTATCTCTTTTCTCACGTCCCTCCCTCGCTCGAGACCGATCCCTAGAGCTTAAATGGTGCTTCTCTTCTTCATGTCCATGTTCCTCAACCTGGCTGTTTGCAAGTTTCTTCTGATCTGTTCACGAAATATATGTGCAAACACCCCATGTGCATAACCAATACTCGATGAGCAAGAAGTCGGAAGGGGAGTTTGAAGGAGGCGAAAGGGGCTCGGAAAACACTCTTTCCACGCACACGCTCGCATCTCTGCGCAAAGGAGGCTCAGATTGAAAACTTTTTAAAAATAACCCGTCTCTCATAAGCATCGCGAGTGAACGGGCTGATTCTGCGGCCGGAAAGGAACAGAAAACCTCGTTGCAGACCTGCCACAGACGCATCGCGTAGACAAGGAATCATGTCGACCTTGTCGCCTCGGACGGTGCAAGGATTTGTCTTCATCGCCTAGTGTGCATATGGATAGATAGGGACCATTTTGAAACCCATTTCCTCCTCCCATACGACTTTCCCACAATTTCCAACTCTTCAACATCAAGTACCATTATGCAGCATCAGGATCGCAATATTTCGCAGAAATACAGCGAGAAGATCTTTGATGTCGCGTGAAAGGAGGCGCTTGATGAACCTGAGCAGCGTAGGTCGCATACGCAGTGAAGATGGCGCAAGAAAAGGAGAGAAAGGAGGAAAGGAGCTTGGCGAAACGAGGTCGTGTCTATTGTAGCACGGGTTAGAGAAAGGTCTCGGAAGGCTGCATCTCTTCGATCTCTGTTCTGAGTGTTCACTGGGACAGATGCAGGTCGGGTACTTGCAGATGGAGACTGCGAAATAGGCGTCGCTGCCTGGCCCTCGATATGGTATAGTTTAGTAGTGAAGATTGGGATTTCGGCATCGAGATTCAGCCTGGACAGGCGATTAGTTTCTTTGTTGTATTCTTATTTTAGGTGGATGTCTGGCCACGACATTCTTTGTTACTGACCTTCGACCTTAAGGAAGAGGAAAACATCGAAAGACCGGCATAGGTTGATTTTGGGGAATAGCGCGTGGACCCCCCGTGAACCTTGTTCGCCAAAGAATGCGGCTAGCCTTAAACCCCATATGTATCTCTCTTTCCAAACGATTCTCACGGCTTGTCCTCTCTCCCAGCGATCTCCGCCGGGGCCCAGTGCACAATCTACACAAAGTCTCGGCCGTGCCAGTGTCATCAAAGTTAGTACGCGACCGAGTTCCTGGAGATCGAGGTAGCTGCGTGGTTGGTATCGGAGAAGGTTGATTTCTTCTGTCTGGGCGTGTACAATACCTCCATAGGTAGGTTCAAGGTCCAAGGTCCATATGTCATTCTTAGGCACTCATGGGCATCTCAGCCTTGCTCGCCGCCGCGGCCTTGCCGAACTTGTTGACGTTGAGTCGACACCCTCCGGGGAACAACCGGGCTCGTGCCTCGTCAGAATACCGTGTGGCACCTCCTGATCTCTACGCCTGGTTGGTACTTCGCCGTTTGTGGGGCTCATTTATGTTTTCCGTTGCGAGAGAAAAGAGAAAGACTTCGCTGTTGCATTCATCGTCCACCTTATATTCTAGGCCAACCCTGCTACCACTATGCTCCAAGACCTAGACTCGCTTCTCTCTCGCAGTGCCACGAGTCACTATCCCATAGTCAACACGGACATTGTTTGTTGCATTCTTCTTCAGGATTCAGTCTCTCACATCATTTTCGTCCGGTTGTCGAGACGTTCTGACAGTGATTTATCGAGCCACATGCTCTAAACAACACATCTTTGACCCACAACGCCGTACGCAGCTACCAGTGGCTCAAATACGTACAATTCCGACGGCAATCTCGGTTCTCAAAGCAGCCAAAATGCCTTTCTTGAACCCTTTCAAAAATTGCGACCTGGTGGATTTCCACGATTGTGGTTGTACCACTTAGTGACGCCACTCGTCCACCCAGCGTCGTGGCCGAAAATAAGCGTCAAGTCGTGGCTTTGACATTGCCATCTCTGAACGCCGAATTTGGGGCCAGTGAAACCAATGTCCGGTATGCCACGCTTGCCTTGTTCGCAAGTTTGTATGACAGCAATCTTTGGGGACATGAGCGACGTCTTAGGCAGGCGACTGGCCTTCAATTTGGCTTTTAACTGTTTGGTGGCGTTCTTCCAGAATATCACGTACGGAGTTTTGTACGCGTACACACCAGGTAAGCTGCATTGCCTCACCATGTCAAGCAGGGTCATAAACGTGAACGATCCATGGAGAAACCTTCCTGGCTCCCAACTGTGGAACCGCCACTAGCGTTGCATCCTTTTCAATCGAATTGCTGGTCTCTATACACCCATCGTTGTCATTCACGAGCGCAAGCACGGATCCCAAAATTCCAATCTACACCTCTCTAGCGCTCTCGTGCTGCCTGCTTTCATTGTCATGGTTTGTCTACCTATTGAGACGAGGGATAAGCAAACACTATGAGGTTTGTGAAAGCAACCAAGACAGAGAAACGAGTGGTTTGAGGGTAAGTAATTGGCTTGCAACCCCAGACCGAGCGAATGGGTCGATATGCTGTAAATGTAATAGGATGAATCCCTCGTCTTTCAAAAAAAATGCGTAGTCAGAAATTATGTAACAAAGATCAGCCCAAAAATGCCCCGAATTGACAAAACAGCGGCTCTTTGCGGCACTGCCATCGCCTCGTAAGCAAGTCTTTTTGCCTTCGTCTTCCAAGATAGTCGAAGTCACTGGCGAGGATTGGCACGCGACAAGTGCTATTCTCTTTTCCAACACTATACGTTTAAGTCCGCTTTGCTTCGTCCCTATTCTTTAATGATCCAAGGCCAGAAAAAGCATAATGGAAGAGGCGGTCACCTACACCGCCGCCGGTGATACCTCTGCACCCCCTGATCTTCGCCTGCTGCATTTCAACGACGGTGCGTCTACGCTCCTCTCAGTAGAGCTTTCAAAGTCTAATATCAATAATGAAAAGTCTACCACCTCGATGCCTCCTCTGCCGAGCCTGTTGGGGGCATTGCCCGCTTCCGGGCCGTGTGCAACTACTACCGCAATGATGAGCGCTTTTCGGGACAACCTGAGCTCGTCACCTTGTTTTCGGGAGATGCTTTCAATCCCAGCCTGGAAAGCAGTGTCACCAAAGGTGTGAATGTTATCAAGTCCGCTGGATTCAGATGGTCACGTGAACAATATTGCTGACGGAGGACAGGCAGTCATATGGTTCCCGTGCTTAACATGATAGGAACGGACGTTGCTTGCGTTGGAGTAAGAGATCAGAATCATTCAGGGAAATTGTTTTGAAGTTCGCTGACTCCTCTCACCTCTCCAGAATCACGACCTCGACTTCGGAGTCAAACAGTTTCAAAGTCTTGCCTCACAATGCAACTTTCCATGGCTTCTCGCCAATGTACTTGGTGTGTGCTTCTCGGTCGATCCAAAAAGGCCACGTTTCGCTAATGCTGCCCTCCAGACCCACAACTTGGCGAAGACGTCCCTCTTGGAAATGCGCAAAAGACTGTCATCTTAACGGCCTCAAATGGAATCAAGATTGGTGTCATTGGCCTCGTGGAACGCGAATGGTTGGACACCGTCAACGCCTTACCTCCAAACCTGATATACAAATCAGCTTCCGCTACGGCCAAAGAGCTGGTGCCGGCCCTACGAGAACAAGGCGCGGATATTATCGTTGCATTGACTCACCAACGAGAACCAAATGACAACAAACTCGCCGAGAAGACGCCAGACGGCTTGATAGATCTAGTTCTCGGAGGACATGATCACTACTACCAGCACACTTTGATCAATAGAACGCACGTCTTACGATCGGGAAGCGACTTCAAGCAGCTAAGTTACATCGAGGCTCGCCGGCGGCTGAGCAACCCTACGAAGTGGGAATTTCACATTGCCAAACGTGACATCGTGTCTCAAACCCCTCAAGATCAAAAGGCAATTCAGCTCACAGAAGAGCTTACGGCGCGTCTCAGGTCGAAATTGGACAGACCTCTCGGCTACACTGCTGCTCCACTAGATGCAAGATTCACTACTGTTCGGATGAAGGAGTCCAACATTGGCAACTTCGTTTGTGACCTGATGCGGTCTCACTACTTTGGCGATTGCGCTCTTATTGCCGCTGGTACGATAAGAGGGGATCAAATATATCCGCCAGGAGTTCTACGGATTAGGGACCTAATGAATTGGTGAGCTTCCAACCAAATTCGTGTTCAGATAAACAGGATGCACGGCTCACACTGATCCAGTTTTCCTTTTGAAGACCCTTGCATCGTTATCCGAATCACTGGCGCCGCACTACTAGCAGCCCTTGAGAACTCCGTTTCCACTTACCCGGCGCTGGAAGGCCGCTTTCCCCAAGTCTCCAATATCACCTTCGAATTCGATCCCTCCCTGCCGCCAGACCATCGAGTGAAGTGGGCCCGCGTTGGCGGCGACCCTCTAGACCTTGAAAAGAAATACAATCTTGTTACCAGGGGGTACATGGGGAGAGGGAAAGACGGATTTGATTCGTTACTTGCGCAGTCGGAAGGCGGCGAGGCAGAAGAGATTGTTTCTGAAGAGAATGGTATCTTGATCTCCATGCTTCTTCGACAGTATTTCATGAGTTTAAAAATCCTCGGCAAATGGAAACACTCGGGTATGGGCTTAACTCGGCATTGGAGTGGCATTCATGATGACTTACATTCGAGACATCCTCTTGTCGAACCGAATGCTGAGGCGGCCAAGGACAATCCACTAGACGGAAAGAAAAGAAAGACCGGGGCGACGACGCCGCTGGATGATTCGGAAGATGAGAGCGATCACCGAGTTGATGACCATGAGGACTGGAGCGAGCGGGAACTGCAAATCATTCGGAGAGTGATGCGAAAGTGGCGACGTCTTGCTGGTTTGCAAGGCGAGGCAAGGTGCTGTGACAGCATGCAGGAAGGGGAGTTTCAGGTCGATTGGACGAGGGTAAGTACGAATAGGAGCTCTCGTTGTCAAAAGACTTGTGTATGAATATCGGCATTTTCGAGCTGACCGTGTCAATTTAGGCCATTGCACCTCGATTGGAAGGACGGATTAGAATTACAACAAGCACGCATCCGCCAGAAAAGATGCTCTAGAATTCAAGGGATTGCAATGCTGGGATATTCACAGGGATGAGCATCCGGCTGCCCTTCTTCCCAAGGGTGGACCCACTTCATCAAGGGGGTTCAAGTGACGGAAAAGGTCATTGAAGCGGACGGAAGAAATGATGATTTCAATCAACGATTCGAAGAAAGCTTCACAAAGTATCAGTCATTCCAATGAAGCTCTCTAGAACTTTGAAGATCTGGCGATAACTACTCCAGGACGATGAATCGAACTTGAAACCACAAATTCGAAAGCATATCCATGACTTTCGACGCGCCCACGAAACCTCGGGGAGCGAAACTCGATAGGTATTCGGGACCACTTGGTAATGGAGCGTCCAAAGGAAAGATTCGAAAAGTTCCTCGAAATTTAACGTTCGCTTTCGGTGGTGAGCAAGGCATCGAGGACACCAATGCCCGAGTATCAAACCCCTTTCAGGGGACGGGTGCTGCTCGATGCTGTTCGGTGAGTTCCCCACATTATTTATATGATTCTCCCTCTGACCTATCCCACAAATAGCCTCACAGACGAGCGAAGCCGTGCACAAGTCTCCAATGTGAACGAAGAACCCTCCCAGAAGCTTGAAACTGTCGGCGGAACGTGCAGAGCTACCGCCTCCTGTTGACCAGCTCTACTGGTCAATTTGTGCAATCTATCCTGACGTCTGAGGCTCAGATCACACGTTTGATTCAAGAGATACAACGAGCTTTAAGCGATTGCTTTCAGAAACAACGAGAACTTGCAATGGCTCCAACGGCTAAGCTCCCATCGATCCGTGGTAACCTACAACAGCGGCAAATCAACACTAAACCCGATGGTATGGCAAAGCCATCATCCTCTCTAGGATTTCATCCAGCGGATGCTAACGATCTAGAAATTCCCCCGCAGGATCAGACGTCTACGTTTCCTCGTCTAGACAATTATCTCGGCGTCCACGATCCAATACCTCTGACTGCAGAGACATCCTCCTCCCATAGTCGATTTGGAGCACTCGAAGGCATTATTGGCCTCGCTCTCCTGATCCTTTTTTTACTATTTCACTACTTACAGCCACCTTGAAAATTGGCTCCGCTAGTTCGGAAATCTCAGAAATATCTCGGGCTCGTCCAGTTTTGTTGCTGTCGCCGCTCTTACACTCCTAGGACTGTTGTCCAGATTTCCACGCGAGCTTTCGCTCTGATTATGTTATGTTCGAGGATGCTCTAGGGCGAGACTTGAAATTGCCCTTCTCCACCTGCCAATACCCACAAACACTCTCAGCCTTCTTGATGAACTATTTTTGCGACATGCCTGGCTACTTTGTGGATGAAAATCGATATCATCTGACTTGGGTGGCAATCGAGGCATCCTTATCACGAGCCAGACATGGTCCGCTTTTATGAAGCCAAAAACCAGGATTTCCATGTCAATCATACTTGCCTTGCAATCTCGCAGCTGCACGCGGTGTACAAACATATTACACCGACACAGAAATGACCTTTTCTGGTAAGAAAAAAGAGAATGCGGCCACATATACTCTTTACTTACTGTCAACAGTATCCTATGCAATCAGTGGTATTCCCTTTATGAGACGGATGACGGCGGTCCTTCGGTCTCCAGGCCTGTGGGCCCAATTCGACCACACCAGTGAGGCTGCTAAGCCTGCTGAGCCAGCCAAAAGATTGGTTCCAGATACGACATTTCTAGATTTCAAGAACAACATTCATGGCCATATTTTGGATCAAACAAAATTCTGGAAATCCCCCAGGGTGGGAGAGAACCCGGTTCGTGGATCGGCGAGATTTGTTGGGGGACCTTATTCTGAATATACTCAAAGGTTTTCTGAATGTGGTTACTGGCACTTTAACGGTGGGTCGATCGTTTGGAATTTGAGTTCGTCTGCCCGCCACAAGGTGATAGATGGAAGAGGCACAATGGATCGAGCGGTTGGAGCAATCGACGTCACAATCATCGATTGCATGTATCGAATTTTCCCGGATATCATAACGATGAACTTCTGAAATTTTCTGTTCTAGGAGAGGTGGTCACTCCCACCAATGAGCAGCGCAAAGAACTATCCTAGCTGCCATTGATCAACCACACAATTGCAGGCACAAGAGCCTCGGGAGCTCATCCGGCCTGCGACGACTCTCCTGCCGTGTCACATGAGAAGAAGATTCACATTAACCCGATCTCCGCAATTCAGGGCGGTCTCAAGGACAAGAAATCAGGGTATGTGGGGGTCATTGAATGGGGGTGGAGAGACCCCCGCTCTGTTGGGCCCCTTTTAGCGCCGACGTCTCCTGCAGCCTGATGAATACCGTAACGCCATTACAGAGTTCGGACAAACTTTGAAAACGGCACTGGTAATTTTGGATCGTTGGGCGCAGGTAAGTTCTCTTGCGCTGTTCTTCTGTCTATCTCTCTACGTCTTGAGTATATTCACCCCGTTTAGGAGGAAGATCCCCGCCCATCCCTTCAAGCCTTCGCTTCCCGAAGTGGTGGCCAGGGAGCCCGAGGACCTTATCGATGGAGTCAAGAAGCTACGCGTGTCAGATGGACTCGATGTGGCGCGATTCACGGCTGAGGATGTTGACGATATCACTCTCTTCGCTATCATGGGAGTCTCTGGATCGGAAAGGAGCAATTTCATAAAGCTAGCTACTGATTCAGATACGTGTCTCGTAGGACACAACCTCAAGTCATGCGAGTGATATCGCATTAAGGACCTTAACATGTCTAAAAATGTATCTGACACACTCTCAGGCACAAAAGAGATCAAATCCTGCGAATTCCTCTCTGATGGCCGTCGGATCATTCTCTTCGACATACCAGACGTCGACGACACTTATTGCTCAGACGCCGACATTGAGTGCCATGTACAAGAACAAACTCAAGTTAGCAGGAATAGTATACATGCAACCTGAATCAAAGACGAGAGAATGACCAGCGCCATCATGCGCAACATCGCCTTGATCCGTAACCGGTGCAGCGACTCACCCATCAAGGACGTCATGCTGATGACCGACTTCTGGGACGAACTTTCCCACCACGCCGAGGGCGAACAACGCCACCAAGAACTCACCTCCCGCCGCGAGTGGAAGGGATACATGGTCTCCAAGGGCTCCAAGATCCGCCATTTTCTCAACGACGAATCCTCCGTCCTCTCCATTCTCAGCGAGCTCATCGACAAACCTCGCGTGACCCTAGAAATCCAGAAAGAAATGGTGGACCAGGGCCTCGACATCTTCAAGGCCAAAGCCGGAGCCGCACTAAACCACGAACTTGCCGAACTCACCAAGAAACACCCAAGCAGAACTCGCCCGCTTAGGACAAGAGATGAAAACTGCAATCCACGGACACGACGAGGAAATGCGGGAAGCACACGCGATCGAGCGCGACCCTAAACAAAATTGGGTGTCAATTGTTGGTGAATTTGGGAAATTCATGCTGGATTTATGGTCGCACAGATACCACGTAAGTGAGGTGATTTGGATTGCCAGACTTTCCTAATGAATTTTCCGCTGATGACAACTCAATGGAGCTTGCACAAGGCCTCGGAGAACAGAGGGGTATCTTGGATGGGAGGCCTGTCATGGTGGTTGTCCAAATCAGGGATGGGGGTGTCAAACAAGCCACAGAACGAAGCCCAAGGACGCGGTCGAGGAGCATCTCGGGGCTCTGTGGGCAGTGCCGGTCGGTCTGGCATTCTGGGTCTTGGGCTTAAACTGAGAGGATCATAGTGGGCGACAAATGGGCAACACAGTTTAACTGCTCCGAGGGCCCAAAAGTTGCCAGCTTGCTAAGAAAGGTGTCGTGACCAAAGGGACTGCTCCTCGGGGCGTTCGCGAGAGAAGAGCTTTGTATGTGTTCGGGTCCTCAAGACTGACTCGGGTTTTGAGGCGGGTCGAATACGAGATCCGGACTCGCAGAGGATGTAAGCTGATACTATCCAATCAAAGAGATGGAATTTATAACCATCGGACGAGTCCCCGCCACTGAGCAGAGACGACAAGGGCGTTACCGAGAACATTGCAGTGCTGGAAATATTCCGCCGAGGAATGCAGCAGTGTTCCGGCCGAACGAATCGATTGATTGAAAGGAGTAGCAAGAAGCGAGAATGCAAGACCTGTGAGAGAAAAAGAGAAGATGAATGGTGGAGACCACAGTCGGGGGTGCGAACTGCCGCCGACCCCATATTTTGCATTACCATTTAGAGCCACTTGTACCTGCACCCTCGTGAATTCTCACCCACATTCACATTTCCTTTCTTCTCCCCCTTTCTCTCCATTTCTACATCCAACAAACTGTTCTTCACCCAGTCTGTCGCCATGGAAGCCCTTTTGCACCAATCCAAGGGCGTCTGTCCTTTTCTGAAGAAGACGTCCCCCGCTACTCTGCGCTCGCTGTCCACCTCCACCCATCAATCTCCAGGCGGTGGCACCATTACCAACCTCCAATTCATTGCTCGACGATGCCCTGTCATGAACAAGGCTCTGGCTGTCCAGAGCGCTCGTATCAACACCCGCCGCAGTTATGGCAATGCAGCTGTCGGAACTGGCATCGTCAAGTCCTTGCTGGAGAAGAAATTGCACACCTCGGCTGAGAAGAAAGCCAGTGTCGACACCAATGTGTTCCGACCTGCTCAGCAAGGTATATAAGTCGAATTCCAGAGTCCCTTGTCTGAAATACTAACGATCCCAAGCTCCACCTCCTCAAAATGTCCAGGCCTTCGTAAAGAAGGCAGATGCTTATCCAGGCCGAAAACCCAATGCGCCGCCTACCCCTCGCTTCGACTATGAAGGGTTCTATAACAACGAGCTCGACAAGAAGCACAAGGACAACTCTTACCGCTATTTCAACAACATCAATCGGCTCGCCAAAGAATTTCCCCGTGCCCACATGGCGGTCAAGGACGAGAAAGTCACTGTCTGGTGTTCTAATGATTACCTCGGTATGGGCCGCAACAAACACGTTCTGAAGACCATGCATGAAACTCTTGACATGTACGGAGCTGGTGCCGGAGGAACCAGAAACATCTCCGGCCACAATCAACATGCCGTTGCTCTCGAAAAGACCCTAGCCGAACTACATGGCAAAGAGGGAGCCCTCGTTTTCTCCTCCTGCTATGTCGCCAACGACGCTACTTTGGCGACTCTGGGCAGTAAATTGCCAGACTGTGTCATTTTGAGTGACAGTATGAACCATGCCTCTATGATCCAGGGGATTCGTCATTCCGGCGCCAAGAAAATGGTCTTTAAGCACAATGATTTGGCTGATTTGGAGGCCAAACTGGCCAGTCTCCCACCGGAACAGCCAAAGATCATCGCGTTCGAATCGGTCTACAGCATGTGTGGCTCTGTTGCTCCTATTGAGGCCATTTGTGACCTCGCGGACAAATACGGCGCAATCACCTTTTTGGATGAAGTCCATGCCGTCGGAATGTATGGTCCACGAGGAGCGGGTGTCGCCGAACATCTTGATTATGACGTTTACGCCAATCCCGACAGAACCAAAGAATTACAAAAGGGCAGTGTTATGGATCGTATTGACATCATAACGGGCACTTTGGGCAAGGCTTACGGTTGTGTTGGCGGTTACATTGCTGGCTCCGCCGCTTTGGTTGACACCATCCGTTCACTTGCCCCAGGATTTATTTTCACCACTAGCCTCCCCCCGGCGACCATGGCTGGTGCTCGTACTGCAATTGAATATCAGGCTCGCTACCAGGGAGACCGACGACTTCAACAATTGCATACTCGAGCACTGAAGGAGGATCTTACCGAACGAGGAATTCCAGTCATTCCCAATCCTTCTCACATCGTTCCCCTTCTCGTCGGTGACGCCGAGACGGCCAAACGAGCTTCCGACATGTTGTTAACCGATCATGGTATCTACGTTCAGTCGATCAACTATCCAACTGTCCCTCGCGGCGAAGAACGTCTTCGCATCACACCCACCCCCGGCCATACGGCCGAGTTGAGAGCCGAGCTGGTGGAAGCCCTCGAGGATGTGTGGCAGCTCTTGAACATCAAACGTGTCACAGATTGGGAGGCTCAAGGCGGATTTGTGGGTGTTGGCGTCAAGGACGCAAAGCCGGTCGAACCCCTCTGGACCGACGCCCAACTCATCCATGCTCAAGCTGTCCCTGAATCCGTGGCTGACAAAATCACCGAAGAGCACGTCATGCCCGTTGCGGCTGCTGCGGCTTGAGCTTTCCCTCTGTTCTCCAACTATATGTGTTGGAGCGGCGTGGAGGCAAGTGCTCGCCTCGAGCAGTTGCACGTACTCTCAAGAATGTGCGGACTGAGAAGATGATGGAGATGATCGCGAAAAATCCAAAATTTGAGTCCCTTGCCCTGAATACCTATGTAGCAGGGGCAAATGTCCGGCTCTTCAGCCATTTAGTTAAAAACCATTTTCATTCCGGCCTGACCCTCTGGCCGATGAAAGTATCTAAAATCGCCATATACCATGGCCATTTTTGACTTCTAATCATTTTACGACTGATCCTTTTTTTTTTTTTTTTTCCTTCTTCTTTTCTCACTCTTTTCGCTTTTTCGTACAGTCTCGGTATTTCCTCCTTTTAGGGACTTTGCACTTAACCTTTATCGCTATGCATTGTAAAACCCTGAAACATTCAGGTTGAGGACATCAACGTTAGTCACGTCCCTTTCTTCACCCCTACCTCCGATTGGGCCTCCCAGCACTGACCTTCGGAAATGTAACAGGAAACTTGAGTTTAGCGAACTTGGGTTTCGGCAACGTGACCTCTTTACCCTCTTCGTCAACAAACTTTCTGGCCTTCCCGGCCTTCTCCCACCCATATTTCGTGATTTCCGCGTCTGTGAGACCATCTATCTTACAGCCCAGCTCACGGAACAGCTTGTTCACTTGTCCGGGCCGCAATGCCAGGTCCAGTGCTATATCTGACGGCTCGGCGAGAAGGATGGTTGGAGTATCTTCCGGCTTGAACTTTGGCGGCGGGATATGCAGCGTTAGGGCCAAGATCGTCGTGGTGAGCAGCGTCTTAGCCTGTGTCGTCGGGATCGAGGTGGGAAAGAAGCGGGAGATGAGTTTCGACAGAAAGCTTGTCGATAGCGACACATCGGACGTCGTATTGGCCGGCCATTTCTCCGGTTGGGGAATTGGTCTGCTGGACGGCAGTCGTGTTGTATACGTGCGAATTTCGAGCAGGAGCTGGATATACCGGAGAATCTGCAACTTGAGCAGTATGGTCTCGTTCTTGGGGTCTTGGAGGTGACGTTTTACCAAGCGGTCCACGCAGTGCGCGACGAAGCGGTAGCGGGAATTAATGTCCTTCTTTGCAGAGGCTCGTTCTCGCCAATATGTCAGTGGCATCTGGGACAGGGTCGTTCGAGCAGGGCCAGGGAAGACGAGTGAGGATAGAGGGTACACTTCACTGATATCGCTCGTGTCCAGATTGGCTTGTGGGAGGGGTTTGTTGGCTCGTGACGAAGCTGACTCGATAGCTTCCAATAAATCGTCGTCGTCGTCGTCTTGGATGGAGGATAAGATAGCGTTGGACACGGAGGTGTCTATGTCTTCACCACTGCGGGCGAGCAGGCGATTTTCGGCCACTGACGCGATGGCCTTCTTCGATTTTTTGGTTCCAAATGCCTGTGTCAATGCTGCCCGTGACGATGGTGTAGGTGGTGGTTTCACCAATGCGTCTTCCACATCGCTATTTGTACTTTTCTCAGGTTGGCGAACGGTGCTCCGTATCGTCATCTTTTTGGCTTCCATGACCTTGAGGATTTTCGCTGCCTCGTCAAATATGGCAATGTAATGCTTGATATGTTTCTCTCCGGCATCGGTGGTGTTGCTCTCTGTCGCAACATAGTCGATGGTCGGATGGTCTGAGGATTGGAGAAGTAGATTGGACATGCCGGCCGGTCCTTTTTTGGAGAATGCATTGAACTTGACGTTTTCAGGTAGTGTCACACCGGGTGAGATGGCTGTAGCAAGTCAGCTGCGGAAAACGAATGCAGATGTCTTTCCGTACCGACAACTGGCTTAACGACATCCGGACTGGTTAAATGAGTGACTTTGACCTCGCTGCCTTGTTGTTTCTTCGAAGGTCTTTGATCTCCTTGAGTGTCCGCTTTTCTTTTCTTCCCGCCTGTAACTTTAAAGGACGCCATTGAGTCTGAAAACGGGTGTATACCTAAGGCAAGAGAGTATCTGGAAGGAACGAATTTTGTATGTAGAACCGGAGATCTCCAACTCCAAAAGTTAATTTTTGGTCAGCCCGAAAATGCTGCTCAACAAACGTCACGCCCAACATGCGAAGCGTACATGACTCGACGTGAAATAGCTACGAGCAACAACGGAAAGCCTTTAACGATGAGAGGCATATCAAGTGCAATGGGCTATTTACACTCTGCTTACTGATTCGTGCAGGCAAAATTATCAGGAAAAGGAAAAGATACCAGAGCTCATATTGATCGAGTGACTTCACTTGGAATGTGCCACACTGAGCAGACATTTGAACGACGCCTGGAAGCTTTGGAAAGCTCTGTTTTTTGAGGTAGCCCAGAGTCTTTGGACATATACATGTTTCCTGAGGTCTCCGCTGTACTGAATCCTCCTGGTATGTCCAAGATATCATAAGCAATCTGCCATAAAGCTCCATAGAGATTGAACCGTCTTCCACTCCTCTTACATGGCCATCACGTTTGTGGATGGTGGGGGATTGTAAGGCCGATTCTTCAGAGACCGGATACCCTTCATAGCGATTGATACAACTCGCCGTGGAAGTACTGGGCTGTCGGAACATAGTTGTTGTCGGGACTTGATAATGAGGATTAACTTAAGCTTGAAGATTCATTGACATTGGTCGAGAGGGGAAGATGTGATGGAGCGATTGACGCGATTACTTGCTGTATGAGGGTCAGTGATGTGGCAAAAACCATGAATGAGACAGAGTATGCTATTGAGCATTACCTGCGGGCTCTGGTCTTGCGCCTCTTACGCTTGAGACGTCGAACTCGCTTCTTTCTCCACTTGGCTCTCATCTTCGTTCAATTTCGACTAGAGAAGGTCAGTGAGCATTCATCGTACTCGGTAGGGCCCTCAAAAGGTGGTCGGAAGCAGGCGAGGGAGACGTACAGATTGTATCGAGATGAGGTGCTTGGATGAGAGATGTGTGCAAGTGGGAGAAACAAGTCGCGGGGATTTTTTGAATGGAGCAATGTGTGCAGTGGTCTTGGCCTGTTTGCCGGTCAAAGCCGCCAAGACGATCGGAACTCGCATCCACTTTTGTTCCGCCGGAGCGGCTCATTTCTTCCTCACTTTGTCTTTCATGTCATGTGTATCGCTGCCTCTCGATGAGAGTCGTGGTGCTCCCCAATGTTCAATGCGTCCTTTTGACCTGCTAACCTGTCTCCTTTCTGCCGTCTCTCGCTCCGTGGATTCCCTTCTTGTTCCTCGAACCTCTCCTGCTAGCGTCCATTTTCCTTCAAGTGATGACTAGTCTCCCTTGCTCTGGTGTGCGCCGAGTAAGCAGTACCATGGGCTCATCTTCTAAGCCACCTCTTGCAGGTGTTCTCGTCCATCAGGATCACAAGGGCAAAGTCATTGGTAGTGTGTCAATTCGATCTCGTTCACATCTTGTCTGTGGTTATACTAGCCTGCTCAGGGAAAAAGATTCATGGAAACCATGAAATCATCATCGGCCGCGATCAAAATCGATGGTAGGGAAGTTGATTTCCGATCAAATCATGTATTGACCTCTTAGCCAATATGTGATTGACGATCCTCATATCTCAAAAAGGCACGTGAGAATCTACACTGTCGTGTACGAGAACGATGGACCAAATGAGGTCGATACTCTGGTTTATGCCGAAGATCTGTCTCAGAATGGTACCTACCTCAATGGGGATTTTATTGGGAAAGGAAATGGTGGATTTCTCCTCTGCGACGGAGACAATCTCCGACTGAGCCGACGGACATACCTCCTTTTTACTGCCATGACCAATGGGAAAACAAAAGAAAGTTTCGATTTCGTCCAGGAGAGGGAGATGGCTGTACGATCAGAATGGAAAAACGCCTCAGGTTCGCACTAATGTTGGCAGGATTTTCGAAAAGACTATGTCGTCACAGACAGACTCCTGGGAGCGGGAACATTCGGAAGAGTGTTCATGGCCATTGATCAAACAAGTCGGGTTCAAGTTGCTTGCAAGGTCGTGGATCTGCGGAAACTCATGCCGAAACCACCCAATTATTTCGGACGTCCGGAACAACCAGGTCTGGCCGATCAACGGAAGAAGGACGAAGGATTGGAAGAGAAGGTCAAGACGTATTTTCGTGAGTTTGAAATCCTTGCTTCAATTAAACATGTGAGGGTGCTGGAAATGAATGTCTTTCACCAGACTAACACGGATCTTAAGCCTAACATCATCGGCCTTAAGAAAGTGTATGTGTTTGATAACACAATGTATGAAAACCACCACTCTCCATGCTCAATCGCTAACTGCACAGATACATGATACAAGATATCGTCACTGCTGGTGACTTGTTCTCGTACATCGAATCCCGAAATGGAGCATTATGCGAAGTCGAAGCGGCCGTGATCATTCGACAAATACTTATCGCATTGCGTTTTCTTCACCAAAACAATATTGTTCATCGAGATATTAAACCTGACAACATTCTCATGACCGGGCTGGCACCAGGATGTCGAGTGGTGTTGACGGATTTTGGTGCTGCTCGACGAATCCAGAGTCAACGTCATCGAATGTCGACAGTCGTGGGTACTCATGAATATGCTGCTCCGTAAGTGCCCTCCAGGAGTCAGAGGCCTTGACACTGATACCTTCTCAGTGAGATGCTGAAACGCGCTCGGGGCCCATTGCACCCCGAAAAGAGCGGCTACACTCGAGCTGTAGACATGTGGGCACTTGGTTGCGTTTCGGTCATTCTCCTAACGGGCGGGTTGGCCTTCTGTGACCCTGTCACGAATATGTATTCCGAAATCCTTGCCAGAGATTGCAATCTAGAGTTTCTTCGAAAGTCAAAAGATTGGCAACTGGTTAGAAAACGTCCGAAAGAATTTGTCGAGAAACTGTTGGTACTCGATGAAGGAGCACGAATGACCGCTGAAGAAGCTCTCGAACACTCTTGGTTTTCGAATGAAACTCACAAGGATGATTTCGAAGACCTGTATCGACGCACGATCAAGCATTGGCATCCACGAACTCCAAAATCACAGATGATCGACTTTCGCGATAGCGGATATATCAAATCCCTGGCTTGCCTAGTTGGCCTTCAGGACTCAGGCAGAAAGAATTATATGACAGGCCTTACAGCCATTGAACCGCCTTACAAACCATTTCCTAGGAACATGCATTTGACCTTCCGGCCGAAGAGAGATCCCAAAGAGAAACTATCGAATGACGTATTAACAGCTATGGAGAATTGGTCACCGAGATCCGCACAGGTCCTCTCTGAGAGAGCGAGGTATTTATCGCTGGACGACGGATTTCCCATTTCAGGACACAGGGACCGAGCAAAGAACAAAAAATCGAGACATTTTCGAGCTCGCACAGTGTCTCCTCCGCCTAGGCGTACTGGCATGCTTCGGCCACCGACGAAGTCCATCGAAGCAGTCGATAATGAGAATGGACTGGATGAAACGAGAGGACCTTCTAGAACGTCGGAGGGACAGACGGTGAAGAATCTACAAGGGCAGGAAGAAAAGGTCTTGGATCGGTTTCCCACTCCAGGACTCCGACCTCATTTCACGGGCGAGCACTGGAACCATTTATCTTCAGTGCAATCATCGTCGACACCAACGTCAGAAAGCCTTTCCGCAGAAACTTCGCCATACTTCGAGAAGAATGTCGACGAAGATGTCTTGAAGGTCCAGGGTCAAGTCGTCTCCAATCCTGATCCAATAATGCATGTCTCTATGACTTCTAGTGTTGTGACGAATGGGATTGGAATTTCCATCCCTCCAGGGATGAATGTCGAGACTGAAGGTTTTCTAAGCGTGGAAGCTCCTGGAAACGGGCACAAGCTGAAGAGAAGAATGACCACCCCATCGGCAAATCAGGGTCGCAAGAAGCGACGAGGATCCATCTTCGATCTAGCCGAAGATGACGACAGCGATAGACCTGTCAGAGGGCCAAAACCGGAGGTCCAAAAGCCCACAAACGTCCCCAAGATGAAACACAACATACTCAATTTGTATCTTCCACGATGATGGGATTCACAAGGCTGAGAGCTCCGAAGTGGACATGGGTTAGGGAGGAGATGAGCACGCAACAGGGGTTAGTCATCTTGAGACTCTCGAAACAAACATCACAAAATCATAGTATTTTACATCCCTGCAGCCTCTTCCTTCACACATTCCTTCAAGCCATCGTGTCCGGATCATTCGCAATCTACTCTTGACTCGTAGTATCCTCACTGCCTCCCCCCAACACTATCATTCTTCTCCTTTTCAAGCAAGACTCCGGCACCGGCCTCCGTCCCCAATGGCAATCCTTTCTCCTCCGCTTCCGCCGCATTCATCAGTCCCGTCTGCGGCCCCGTGAAATTCTTCCTCCCATCAAAAATCCACGTGACAAGGCTAATCAGTCCAATGATCCCAAATGCCGCGCTGCAATAATTCATGTTATCTGCTGTGACGGGCCCAACCTGCGGGAAATTGAAATCAATACCCGCAAAAACCAAAAACAGTAGCCCCACGGCATTGACCCATGGACTGTATTTGCCTAACGTATACGCTCCCGGGATAACCTTTGCGTGGCCATCGGTGAAAACTGACCAGAGACGAACAAACAGGGGCATGGCATACGATAAGTAAAAGCCAAACGTTGCGATGGATATCACGGTGCTGAAACCTTCGTAGCTCGCAAAATATATGCTATTCAACCCCATCTGGATCAGCATGCAGAGAATCACCGCGTACACGGGCACCTGAGATTTCTTCTGGACTTTGGCAAAGAGCGTGGAGAACGGCAATCCGTGATCGCGCGCGAATGCCCAGAGCGCTCTGCTGCCTTCGGCCATCAAGCTGTTTGCGCAAATGAGGACGATGATGGTGATCATGGCCGCCAGTGTGGTGGCGCCGCCGATGGAGCCGGTGCTGTCGTAAAATATTTGGATTAGGGGCACGCCAGTGGAGGTAGTGGCGGTAGCTTCGAGGTCACCGATACAAAAGAATGCAGAGACAAGGAAGATGAAGCCGGTGACGGCACCGAGATAGACGGAGAGAATGATGGCTTGAGGTGCTTCTTTGGCCGGGCTCAGCATTTCTTCCGTCATGTGGCTGGGGGCGTCGTAGCAGCACATCCCTGCCAAAGTCTCCGTTAGCTCATTTTGTGATAGATGAAGACACGACAGACAGTGGGAAAAGGCAAGGGGAAAGGGGTGGGGTTAGGGATATGTCCAACAAAAAGGGACCACAGGCGATATTCATCAGGTTTGGGGGATCATAAAACATACCGAACAATGTCTGCAACAAACCAATCATAACAGCCATTCCCGACGACGAAAAGCCCGTGTCATTCTGAAAATCGGAAAAGACAAAACTGGCAGATTGCTTATGATCGTTGGCGGCAAGGATCGTAATCACCACGACAAAAAAGCTGAGAATATTCCAGATAACAGCGAACGTGGAGATTTGATTCAAGAACCGCGAAAGGAGGATATTGACGCCCGCGGCCACGATGGCCATCAAGTATGTTACCAGCACACAGTGCCAGCGCTCAATGGTGTACGACGGGTTGTTCAAATTGGCCATGCCGAGGAGGAAGTTTGCACCGATCTGAAAAGATGGCCCAAAATCAGTATTGCCCGCATTTCCAAAACAACGCAAACTAACGCGAGCCAAGCAAAATGACAGAAACGGGAGAAAACTGAGGCAAAACAAGGACCAAAAAAAGGAGGGGAGAGAAAAGGGGAAGGACAGAGAAGAGAGCAAAGACGTACAAAATTATTAACGGCTCCCATGGCCACGATACCCGTACACATGAACCAGCCCGTAACCCAGGCGGCACCTCTGGCATACCGTTTCGGCGCCAGCAACGCGACCCATGAATACTGACCTCCCGCAGTTGGATAGGCCGAGCACATCTCCGCGAACGAGTACGCTACACAGAGCGAGAGCAAGCAAATACCAACCCACGACCAGACCATAACGGGCGGGCCGCCGGCGACGATGCCCACGATCAGTGTTCCGCCCAGGGCTGTCCAGCAGGTGACGATGGAGAAGCTGAAGCCGACCATGCCGAGAAGGCTGAATGAGCGCTTGAGTTCTGGAGAGCACAAAATACCGTATATCAGTTAAGGAAGGACTTGACGGAATGGAATAAAAGAGGAGGCTAGGAGGAAAAGGAAACTGGCTGCGATTCTGGAAAGCATACGTACAGGTAGGCAGTACGTACCTTGCTCATAGCCAAGTCTGGCGAGTTGGGCTTCATTGCCCAAGGACGAGTCGAATGCTTCGTTAGCTTTGCCGTGGACGATGGATGAGAGGCGCCGGCCGGCCATGATGCCGATTCTTGAGAGTGATTGAACACAACGGTCTTACAGGGGATGATGCGAGAGAGCAGGGGGGATAAGAATGAGCAAAGCGGCGAAAGGGTGGAGACGGAAAAGGAGATGGGAGTTGGGTGGGAGTTTATATCTGAACCATAGATATGGCTGTCGATGAAGGATATGGGAGTGATAGACAAAGTAGTGGAGCAACCAAAGCTTATCTCTCCCCATGTGGCCTTTAGCCGTATCGGAAAGTTCCCAAGGCAGTGGTCTCAAGTCTCGATTGCTAGACTGATGATGGAATTGCCCGGCTGTTGGCTGATGGTGGACCCGGTAAAGACAAAGAGTCAGCATCAGATCAGTGGATACGAAGGAGATGAGCGGTAGATCAAAACTGTGAAATTGAATGCGGTAATAAAGATACTGAGATAAAATGATCTGAGACTTCCTGTTGGGTGCCGGTGATTGCTTGAGAAAGCTTCGTTGGATCATCATCGTACTGGATCCAAGTAGGAAGGTGATTAAAAGCTTGAGTGTTAGTATATCCAGGTACGTTGAGGAACCCACAATCGCCATGTATCATCGAGAAACTCTAAGTACTTCAATGTACCTATGCCATATAGCCCTTCAATATTCTAACTCATGACTGGATTTCGCTTCTGCTCAGGAACAAGTTAAAATGATGACAATCAATTCCTTTCACTCATGAAACAGTCTCCAAAAATAACTATCTTGTCGAACTGATTCCATCAAATCCGCGCGGACATTCCCACCTGCTCCTGTCTATCGATGATTGAGATCCAAAATCAGTCGAAAAAACCTCCAACCATGGAATCAGAATAGAACAATTAACATGATTCTCATGTATTGTCTCGAGTCTAACAAGTGTGCACTCCCTCCGTCAAGCGTAGATCCCAACCATGCGCAACCGAGAAGCCCCCCTGATCAAAGAATATCATCTCAATCAAGGCCCTCGTAATATCAGCATGACCGTCTTCCATGTAATGCCCACGATACTGTATGACTGATTGATCATCCTGCAACCCTTTCAGGTCCATAGTCTATCGCCATCACCTTTTTTTTTTTTTTTTCCGTGTGTGAGAGAAACATAACCCTTTATAATCATACATGAATACAGTGTCCCGAGTTCAAACTCCTTTCCCCCCCTTCTTTTGGCCTACTCGAGTCGACATGTGGGAAGTTTTGGCTCTGCAAACAAAACCCTCTATTATCTCACATCCCACCCATCCCCAAATCTCCTTCCGCATCCACAATGGCCAGTCGTTGTTTAGCCGTCTTCGCTTTCTTGCTCACTCCTCTGCCGCCTCGAGGTCCTCTCTTGGGTCCTGGAGTCTCACCCGTACTGACTGGAGTGGCTGCTCCTGATGGTTTTGCTGATGCATCTTCAAAATGTCCCTCACCTGCAAAAAAATTAGTCCGTCATCATGGAGAGTCATTCAGGCCTCTGTCGCATCCTCACCTTCATGATACATCTCATCCAAACTCATCTCTCCCCTTCTCTTTCGCCCACCGGCGGTCGCGGCTTTCTTACTTCTCTTCTTCGAAATTTCTTCTTCCGGCCGCTCGGCAATTTCTTTCTCCTTCTCTTCGATAAGGGCAGCCTGATCATCGTCCACCAGCCACATGGCAATGTCTTTGGTCCGATTCTCACGTCGATCTCGGGTATTGAAGTCCACCCCGGCACCGTCACCACCCGTGATGACCACCCGTTGAACCTCTTCCTTCTGCATAGCTCGTTTTCGGATTCGTTCTTCGATGGTATTTCGAGTGATCAGACGATATACTGTAACTTGTTTGGTTTGACCCAATCGGTGTGCTCGATCCATAGCCTGGGAATCGATGGTTGGATTCCAATCCGAGTCGTAGAAGATGACGGTATCGGCCGACGTCAGGTTGATACCCAAGCCACCAGCGCGGGTCGACAACAAGAAAATAAAGATTTCCGGCCGGGTCTGGAAATCATGAACAGTATCTCGACGATCTTCCAATTTGGTGCTTCCATCCAACCGACAATACTTGAAGCCGCGATACGTCAGATATTCCTCCATAAGGTCTATCATACGGGTCATTTGGAAGTACAACAATACTCGATGACCACCATTCTTGAGTTCTCGAAGAAGTTGATCCAACCGGGCCAGCTTGCCGGAATCCGTCACGAGTCGGCGCATGGAAGGAACGGTGATGTTGGTGTACCGAGCCTTCTGAGAATCAGGTGCGGGTAGCATGTTCGAGACCGGGAAATTCTCAGGATCCACGTCGCGATTCAACAAGCTCTCCTCCGAGGATTCTTCCAGGGGGAACAAGGAACTTCGTACACTCATGTTGAACATGGTCAGTTGCCGCTCGGCAATCGAAGACTGGTCAGAACAGCTGATCTCGATCGGAGGAGCTGAAGCATTCGGTGTCGCAGCGGGCTCCATGACTGAATATCCTTGATCCACATAGCACTCTCGGGCAATGTTGCAGAGTCGGGAAAGATGTGAATTCGGATCGAGATCTTTGAGCGCCTTTGGTGGGCTGTTTTTGACAATGTGGAACATCGCATGTGGGGGTGGTCCTTCCTCCGAATCTTCGACGATGCGTAACGCTCGGTTGTGTTGCTTCTTCAACCTGATCGCACGCTCGAACGTCCCCAGATCCCCGATAGAAGCCGCTTCGCCTGCCGAGGTGTCGACAAAGCGTAGGAATGAGAAAGCCCCATCATTCTCCATGGACGATTGGATATGTTCGGGAGTCCAGATTCTCATCAGATCCTTCAGTCGGTCCGTCTTGAAACCAGCTCGTCGGAAACCAGCCGTGGGATTATTGGGACCGGCAATGTCAATTCTTCCCACATCATTGCACAGGATTCGAGGCAGATCATACTGAATTTGATTGCGAACAGAATAGCCGATCTGCACGAAGTGGCCTTCGCGAAGGAACGAGGCTGTCTCCGCAAAGTACGACATCGAGAATGGGGACGTTATGTCGGCTCGTTCGAAGAGATCGGGATGGTTGCACACCTTTCGGAATTGCATCACCAAGTTCATCAGGGTGGCTGCTTCTTGGTCATTATCACCCCCACCCAATACCGCTTTGTCAATCAAATCCATGATACTGATCTTGGTGCGGAGGTTGTCATAGTAAGCACGCTGTCTGTAAGCGAGGTCACAGAAGACATCAATCTCCACTTTATCGCCCAATTCTTTCTGCACATGAGCCTTCACACGACGTAACATGAATGGCTTGAGAATCATGTGGAGTCGTTTCAGTTGATCCTGATTCAGCTTCGTATTACTCTGAGCATGGCTTTCGATATCCTTGGAGAACCAATCGCTAAATTCATCGTGAGAGTCGAAAAGGGTAGGCATGATGAAATGCAACAAAGCCCATAACTCTTGCATGTTGTTTTGAATGGGCGTGCCTGTGAGCAGCAAACGATTTCGGCAGTGGAAACCCAACAGAGTCTTCCATCGTGAACTACTCGATGATTTGATAGCCTGAGCCTCATCAAGAATCATGTATTGCCATCGGATCTTCTGGAAATACTGCGCGTCCTGAACGACCAGTTGATACGACGTGACGAGGACATGAAATTCGTTTTCGAAGACGTATGTGGATTTCTTGCGGTCCCAGAACTTGCGCAACGTCTTTCGCTCCTTTGCATTACCCCAATATGGGAGAATCTTCATGTCTGGAACGAATTTGGCGATTTCTTGATGCCAATTATGCAGAGTGGAGGCTGGGGCAATGACCATGAAAGGACCCCAGATACCGTGCTGTTCTGCCAGGTATGCCATAACCGAGATAGATTGCACAGTTTTGCCGAGACCCATTTCATCTGCCAAAATACCATTGATACCTTGCTCGTAAAGATTAACCAACCAGTTGAGGCCTTTGAGTTGATATTCCTTGAGTTGGGCTTGCAGCATTTTCGGTTGGGTCACTTGAATATCCCCCGCCATAGTGGGATTTTGGAAATTCATGTCGCTCGAGTCGAGAGCAGCCATCTGGTCTTCGCCATTGAAGTTCTTGGCTTTGTCTTGGGCGTCTTTCAACGCGCTGGCAGCATTGGCCATGGCGGCTTTTCTCAATTCTGACTCGTCCTCAGCATCAAAGTCAAGGTCCTCAAAGTTGGTGACCTTTGGTCCAACTTCATTAGGCATCGAGATGTCATCCATAGATCCATCACTAGGCTGGGTTGGCTCGCCTGAACCAGGAGCTACGGTACCGTCGGTGGTCTTTTCAGCCTCATCGGTCTTGATCTTTCGGCCGATGAAATGCGAATAGATTTCGGTCTGGGAAATCAAGAAATTGAGTTTGCGTTTCTGTCTGTTGGCTTCACGGTCTGCCTCGGCCTTCTTTGCATCTTCGATTTCTTTTCTTTCGGCCATACGTCGCAGATCGCGTTCCTCTCGTTCATTTCGTTTCCAGAAAGACATCATCTCGCGCATGACTCGTTTGGCTCGGGCTTGAGTATCCTTCATACTCTTGTTGGTCCGCTCTTGCCATTTTCGAGCCTGCTTGCTGGCTAGAATTGCCGTTTTCCTCAAGTTTTCTTGTCTGGTGCTGAGGGAGAGCTGTTTGATCTTGTAGACCTTGGGAATATCCTTCCGAGCCAGATCTCGCCAGATTTGTTCGTAGATTTGATTGTAGCCTTTGGAGTCGTAGTTGATGGTATGTCCAGGAGTCCCGACAGCAACTGGCTCTTTTGATTTCTTGCCCTTGGCACTGGTCTCTTGTTTTGCTTCTTCCTTGGGGGCGATCTGAACCAGAGCATCTCTTTCCATAGCAGCAAACGCAGCCTCTGCGGCATCCTTCTCCGCCTGTTTCTTCTCTTTGGATTTCTTGAGCCGGGAGGACGGTGCAGCACCTTCTTTCTTGCTGCGCTTCTTGGGTGGCTCGCTAGGCTCAGGCGAACCCAGTTGGAAAGAAGACGTAACTCCTCCCTCGTAATTAGGAGCGGGAGCTGGCACTTCCATGTCCTCTTGCGCAGGCCCGCCTTCGAGGAGTTCCGTGGTTTGTCGAATTCGGGCTTGAGACTTCTCTGCTTGCCTTAAGAATTTCTGTTTGTCTTCTTCATCGCCGGCCTCTCTCGCGCGCTGTTCAAATTCTTCCATTCTCTGAGTCTCATTGCGGATTTGTGCCTCACGGCGACGCTTCCGCTGCATGTCTTTCTTCCGTTCCTTCTCACTCTGTTGATCTTTGTCTGCAATTTCTTTCACGGCAATCGGTTCGAATCGGTCGCGGAATCGTTGAGCAGCACTGGTTGCAGGCACTTCCAACGACTTGATGAAGGAATCCAGAAAATATTCACGTCGGCGCTGGAAAATGATTAATGCGGTGAAAAGTGGTGCGGTAGAAGGAAGAACTCACCTTGCGCTTGCGCAATTCAACTTCAGCTACTTCTGCCGCTCTCTTTTTGCAACGTTGCTTGTACCGTTCTTTCTGCTCATAGAAGCCGACTTCTTCAACGTCACTGAACGTGGCGTCATCAATGTCCGCAAGAGCTTTCAATATCCTTTCGGCCTCCCCTTCCGTCAGAATCTTGCGTGGTCCTGAGGGTGCAACATATTTTCTCTTGACTGGAATAGTGTCTACCGTTGATTTTGCTTTGGTCTCGCCATTTGTGAGAGGTCGAGCCGAGTCGGTTTCTGGAAGATTGGCCGCGGCTACCTTTTCAGGGATGGTTCTATTTTCTATCATGGGCTTCGATGGAGGTGTTACCGGCCGTGAAGGTCGGGTTTCAGACATCTTTGGAGATGGTTCATTGTTTGAAGGACCCAGGATACTGGCAAAGGACATTGGGTTGTTGGCCCTATCCGACTTCTGAGGGATGAAAATCAGCACCTTCATGAGAAATTGGGGATGGTGAACTTACTTCTTTTGATTGAGGCCGCGAATTAGGGGGAGGATTATCGGCGGGTCTTCCATTAGTTAGAGGATGGTGATCTCTCATAGGCGATTGCAACACAGCACTTGGAGGTCCGGCAGGGTGTGCGTGCGTTGAATTGCCGTCGTATTGCGCAGGCATGCTTGGATGAACCAGATGACCGGAATACGTTCTTTGAAGCGCGAATGGAGGAGGGCTTGACGTTATCTGTTGGTATTGAGGACCAGCACCCATTGATGGAGGCGGCAAGGCATTCGGTGCCAGCAAGGGTGACGCCAATGTCGGTGGTCGACTATGATGGGGGCTTTGTACCAACGATGCAGGAGGAAACGGAGGAGGAGTTTGAATTAGATGTTGAGGAGGCATTTGAAATGGTTCATGACCAAAGTAAGGGCGATTTGGGGGAGTGGGTGAATAAGGTGGGTATTGATTCGACTGTGTCGGCGAGCGAGCCGTGAATGGCGTGGAACCAGACATTTTGTGTGTGTCGTGACGATATTGTCTACTGTTGGTGACGTTGCTTTTGATATTGCGGTGTTTTGCCGCTCTGACATAGACCCAGAATCAAGATTTTATCTATGGTCCTGTTGCGCAGTCTCCATCGCCAGGGTCGCGGGCCTCTCCTAAATCGGTCGTAGGAACTTTTTGGGATGGAAAGAAGGATCGTGGGAGACGGGTAGCAATTGATTGTTAAGGCTCTTTTTGAACTTTTGCAGAGCGTTCGGCTGGCACGGTCAGGTCGTGTCACCGGGGCCGGATCATTCAAGGGGCTGGCGGCATTGTTCAGTTGGGCGGTGGTAATGTATTTGTCGCGTAGCAGGAAAGAGCCGTGGGTGTGAAGGTATGATGACGGGTTGAGTAAAGGGTTGATGAAGAGAAGATAGGTGGCGATGCAGGCAGAGGTCGGAACATGATCCAAGTCACAGTTGGCGCATCGCAGCCCAAGCTCGTCTGGCCGGATGTCTGGATCATCTCAAAACGCGACTCGGCGCAAGTCCTACCCAGAACATTGAATCCGCAAGGTCACGTGAATACTTCTATATACCGCCCGCTTTTCTACAGGGAGGGTCCTAATCTGGGTGTTGGGTGAGAATTGCCAACAAACGCCTTTGTGCCTCCTTTGAGTGAGCGTGGTGAGCGTGGAATGAAAGGCTGCTGGAAACGAAAAACGAGAATGACGGGCGAGTTTGCTGGCTGATCCACACGGCCCTCTGACTGACTTGTTCCTCGCCCAAAAGCTGCGCAAGGTGCACGCACTCACTTTCTGCGCATCTCATCATCGGTCGCCAAGCAAGCTTAGCCGCTAGGACGGAGTGGTCTAACTGCATCGGACACAAACCGAACTTTAACGCCACAGAGTACATCTTTACTCTATTGTTGCATCTTGCAAGATCTCCCTATTCAGCCAACCTTGCCCACCGTAACGCTCTGCTTACAGATAACGGAGTAGTATTCCTTCTTCACTTGGGATCTCTCCAGCACACCACCTGGACCAGCCCAACCGTTCTTCGCCCAAAGTGGCCAAGAAGAGCGAGCTGCATGGCGCCTAAGAACAAAGACTCGGGTAAGGCCGACAAGTCCAAGTCTGCCTCTGGAGGTGGAAATGGAAAAGGAAAAGGAAAAGCCAAAGACGATGATGGCCCAGCTGGTGGAAGCGGTAACCTGAAGGCAGCTCAATCCATCAATGTCAGGCACATCCTGGTAGGCCACTCGAGTTATCCATCCATCCGCGTTGTTGGACACTGGCAGTTCTACCCGACCTGATATCTGACAATCTACTGTCTTCTCAGTGCGAAAAGCACTCCAAGAAAGAAGAGGCTCTGGCCAAATTGCGCGATGGTGCAAAGTTCGACGATGTGGCGAGGGAATACTCAGAGGATAAGGCCAGACAAGGTACAGTCATAATCAGCAAGGCCGCCGCCACCTCTGCAAGATGTCAGATAAACAAGGAAACTGACTGAAATTTGTTATCAAACGTCCAGGCGGATCTCTAGGCTGGAAGGTCCGGGGAAGTTTGCATGGAGACTTCGAAAAAGTGGCTTACGAATTAGAACCGAGCACAACAGCCAATCCCAAATGTAAGTTTCTTATCTCATTGTTACAATGACCGTATTGGGATCTACCTGTACGAAGGAACTTTGTTTCAAATGAATGATCCAATATTTTCACTGCCAAAGATAACGGTCATGCCAATTATGTTGTTCAAACGCTTCAGAAAATGACCGTCAACACTCCCTGCTAACCATTTTCTGGACAGATACTGAAGTGAAGACATCCCATGGGTACCATATAATTATGGTCGAAGGAAGGAAATGAGTGACACTGGAAAAACGGGGGAGGTGGTGAAACAGACTTTAGTGAATGAGCGGACTAGCAACAGTGACATCCGCAAGCACATCCAAGGCTATGTGGTCAACGTGATGCTTTCTCTTCCTTGGGGATGTGTTGACAGGTAGCACCATCACATCAATCTGAGGGGCTTTGCTAGAGACCACTTGAGTCTCTGGAGGAGTTCGACTAGCTCGTGAAACATCCGGATTAGATTTTGCATAACCGGGTGGACTTGGTCGATCTTGTGGAGGAGTGATTCGAGCAGCTTGTTGAAGAGTAGGTTGTCCATGATCAGAAGCTGCTTTCTGACTGAGTCGTTCAGCAAGATCAAGTGTCAGGAATCCACTTGACCTTGGCTCTTCTAGTGCTGGTGACAGGCGTTGAGACATGTTGAAATTGGTGGGCCGAGGTATTTCAGCGAGGTTAAGAATACCACTTGAACGAGGCTCTTCTGGTTCAGGAGCAGCCGGCGCGACGCCGTTAGGTGATAAAGCCCGGGAAGATGGCGTATGAACGGATCTCTCGTCGACACTGGAAGAGACCCGTCTCATGGCATTGGTGTCGGGGGATACATAGCCATTCTGTGAAGGTTCTTCACGAACTTGGTTATTGCGACCCACTCGTCGCCTCTTCGAACGGAGACCCTCCAATTCTTCGACCTTTTTCTCCAGTGACATGGTAACATCATCAACAGTGACGACACGTTCTCTCAGACGAACATGTTCGTCGTAATTGCCTTCGAGTCGGTCTTCAATGTCGATGACCTTTCTACGCATTTCCTTTTCCAACTGGTAGAAGGGGGCTAGGGCCTCGCGTAAAATTCGGACTTCTCTCTCCCACATCTGTCTTTCCCTCTGCAAAGCAGTCTCCCTATTGGCTCTTTCATTCTGGATCGTTTCTTCCAAACGTTTATTTTTGTCCGATATGGTGTTAAGTTTCTCAAGGATAGCATTTAGAGTATCTGTTGACGGATGATTTTCATTGTTGGGTTCGTGGTGTACATGATAACAAGCTTGATGCCCGCATTCACAAATATTTCCAGGCGCACTGCGATTATGATGAAAGGATTGGCATGAACATTGTTGATTTTGCGCCGATGGGTGCAATAATAGATATCGGCATTCCCCTGTGGGTTGGGGACGTGAACCTTCAGAGGTCAACCGGAGAGGGCGATGTTCGTGAGCAAAGGTGTGGGGAAGCGACAAAGTGTTCGAACCGAACATCGAGGCCACAGTGAGTAGAAGGTTCGAAGAACCGAGTCCAGTTTGGAAAAATGGGATTTCTAAGATGCATGAAAATGCCTGCAAGATAAACCGTGTCCGGGGGAAAAGCCCCCCTCCTGGTGGAGGGCCGATATCAACCCAGTTATGATATCTCTTGTAGGCAAATTGTGATGTAGGGTAAGATAATTTTCACTGCCACCGGTTAGATGTCTGTTATCACCGCCCTCTCACAGCAGTCAAATTACGGTGAAAGCGCGTTAGCGGGAAAACGTACACAAATTTTGAGTTGAGATAGAGATGCTACCACGGCGCAAAGCTCTTTCTCAAAGAACTCCAGCTGAACGTGTACCACAGATAAATGCTCATTGTAACTGGATCAGCGTGGAGAGATGACAGGAAGGAGTCTGAGAAGACTGGCGAGCAGGTATGAACCGAGAAGACGGGTGGTCAGGAGAAGTTTATCAGTTTGGGTGGATGTTTTTGATGGAGAGGAAAAAAGGTCGTTATCTGCGCAAGACGCTCGGCTCAATGAGGACTCATGCCGGAACGACAGAAGTCAGGGAGACATGTGCCTGCGTGCCAACAGGCAAATGGGCCTTCTTCAGGTGGTCGGCTCGAATCAGAGAACAGAGGACAATCGGGGAGCAGGAAGTGCAGGTTGAATGACATGGATCGGAAGAAGTTTAGGCTGTCCTAGCTTCCAACGATGCCCGATGTTTCTTCGCCGATGGGCACCGCAGTTCTGATTGTGAGGTGATAAGGATAAGGCTAGTTGAGGCTGCGTCGAGTTGGCGGGACCCGAAGAATTTCAACGTGGGATTCCCGCTCAACAGGTTAGCGTCGAACTCGAAAGACGAGAGATTTTTGGTTTGTCCACCCCCACTGCCTGGGTGGGCTTCGTGGTGCGGGTATTGTAGGTACTCCCATGCTAGATGCTGCAGTAGCCGTAGAGAAAGTTATCGCACAGTTATCAAATAATCCATCAGGGACCAGGGGTGGGAGGAGCCTGAGCATGAGCAAGGGGAGGTGAGAAGAAAAAGTCGCAATCGGGTCTACTATTTCCATACGCAGCGAAGTGCAGCATGCTCGTGTACCATGGGAGGTAGGGACATGAAACTGACCGCAGACAGACACTGATTGACTTTTGCCTGCCAATGGGTGAAAGTGGGGTTTACCCGTGGAGGCACTTGACTATGATGTTGGTGTGCGCCCATGAGTAGCATTGCAAGTACCGTGTAACTATCCATTGCCGTGCAGTGTGAAAATACCAAGGAAGGCATTGAGTGGTCAATGCACGAATGAGTACCTTCAGCAACGCCTAGTAGCCTACGACTAGGTCGCAGGCCTTTGTCCCAACGTGGGTTGATTGCGTCGATGTGATTCAATAATGCAATTCAAATCCATGTTCCCTCAATATGGTGGATATCCATTCTCTTTTCGTTCTTGGGCCTGTGGATGTTCTTGGACGCGAGGGGCCGGGCCTACAGCGATGAAGCAACGAGCATGGGGCGTGGGCATGGGGGTTGGTGTGAGCCGAGAGAGATTGACTTGTGTGGCGGTTCGTGGTGGTGGTGATGGTTTGTTCTGGCACTTTTCTCAGCGAAAGGTGTTCGTGGTGATCGATGTTCAAGTGGGCAAGAGGGTGGCAGTCAGGTGGGAGATTTGACAGCATTGGAGGGTTGATAGGCTACGATCAAAGAGGAGAGTCCTCAAAGATGCCGCCATGCCACACTGCATATGCTCAGATGCTGGCCACTGCAAAAAGGTCTGGTGACTCAGCGGATCCTTGGACATCGGGCGGCTCACAGGGCGCACTGGGCAAAAACCTGAACATTAGCAGCGCGGGCAGTGTTGGGGACCACGTGGGTTTGGCAGGTGGAGGGCAAATGTCACGTGTTGGGCTGCCGTAGACCTCGACAAGTGCCGACGGTCAAAATCGATCAAAGGTTCTGGTCAAGTTCACGCAATTGCTATGCACGATTGACAAAGTTTTCCTTCACACAAGAAATAACGTATTCAGCTGTTAGAATCAAATAATCCTTTAAGCTCTCTGCCCGGGAAACTACACAAAACGAAGAGCCGACTCCGGCTGTTACGGAAGTTGGATGGCCACAGCTTGCGCGGCTGCAGCGCCGACCTAGCATCGCCATCACAGACATCATCGCAGACCATACATCTTGGAAGTTATCATCGCCAATTTGGTACCCAACTTCACTGCATCGCAACCAAGATTGAAATCTCTTGTCCTCGCCTGATACCCAGCACCTCTAAGCAGGGATTGGAAGCACAGCCTCGCTGCAGCGGGCTTCGGCCTCGTCGGCCTGCACCCAGACTCACATTCAACGTCTAGCACGCGATCAACAACCGCCCTCCCAGTACGCATCAACACTCATACCAACGACCTCCTCAACTCAGCATGCAGAACGACAAGTACGAGCCTCCGGCCGGCCCGCCGCCTGTAGCGCAACCGTCACAAGTCCACCACGACGCAGGCCCATATTACCCACCAAACACCTACGTCGACGAAACTCGTGGCCCAGTTCCCAACGCATATTCTCCCGCGCAGGGTCCTAATGGCATCTATCCCCCTCCTCAAGGCTGGAATCAAGGTCCAGGCCCGTGGCCTCAAGGGCCACAAGCCTATGGGCCGGGACCCTACGGACCGCCGCAGCAAGGCATGTACTACCAACCAGGACCGCCAGTAGGGTACTTCGACGACCGACGGGGACCAAGTGCCGCTGATGGGTGCTGTGCAGCATTTCTCGCCGCGTTGACTTGTTGCTGTTGTCTTGATATCCTGTTCTAAACAATTCCAATCGAATCAGGACTAAGAGAACCGGGATTCGTGCATATGATGTCAAGGTCATAAGGAGACAGGACACCATACTACCACCGGGGTGGAACCGGCTGATTGAGTGTGTTCGGAAAACTACGGTACACCATACCAGAACGTTGCGAGCAACGTCTTAGTGGCCGCATATTAATTTCCAAACGAACACCAACAAGTGCCCGGAGTTGTACAAAAAGGCGTATATCCATGGAGCGGCCCAAGTTGAGAATAAACAGGTATTTTTTCAAGTTCCTTCCTAGGAGTTCTTTAGATTTGAGGCCTTTTTCATTCAACTCACACTCTATATCGTGTGTTTTGTTTTCCCTGTCGTCTTGCTGTCTATTTTCCTCTACTGGAGCACGTCTGCCGACTGTTCTGATCAGTATACAATGTGAATCCCAATTGCTCCAGAAAAACTCTTTGACTCGAAATGCGCCTAGGAAGACCGAGAAAAAAAAAAAAAAAAAAAAAAACGACGATAAGACACGATACAATCCAATGCCACCAAAATCTCTCAAGACAAGACTCATGCAGTTCCTATGCTGGTTCAACCTAACATTCGCTCCGTGACACAGCTCGCTATCGCCAAATAGTGCATCCGTAAAGCAAGCTATGACAGAGACGGGTATGGGGACTCACGCATTCGCACTCGCATCGACCATGATCGCTCTGGACTCATCTTCACGATCAAAGCCAAAAGTCAACCCCTCAAAATTCATCGTGTCCTAGCACAAACGGAACTCTTCACGACCGCCGCTGGTATTGTACTCGTGGTGCTTGGGTGCGACCTGACTCTCTGGTCGATTTGGCTCTTGACTCGGACGACGTTAAGCCTCAGTCTCTCTTGGTATTGGAGTATTCCTTGAAGCCAAGATCTTTGTTACCAGACAGGTCTGGCCATGACATAATATGAAATACAGACCTCAGAGGAGAAGTCCATATTGGAGACTACAAAGACAACGGATGCTATAACAATGTATGAAAAGGAAACGAAGGATTTGCGGTCAAAGTTTCCGAGACAGCCAATTTTTTTCCCCCCTTATGCTGTTTCTGATCCAGCAGCTCATCATCATTTGTGACAATCACAGTTCATGCACGAGTATTCTGATATCATTACAAAGGGTTCCCATCATCTTTCCGTGCTCGATCCTCGCACTTTGATATGGGAGAGTAATGTCGTCGTTAACCATGATCCATCACCTCATACCTTCACTTCTTCACCATGAGAACTGCACCATCGTAAACGTTTTGTACTTCGGTGGTCATCTTTGGCACAGGCTTTGCATCCTTCCCTGCAAACAAACCAATAACGGTAGCAAGCGCTACTCGAGATTCTCGTCCAACTGGCGTCCAATGACCACTTCTCGGTAGGATTGTCACTTCGCTGTCTTTGGCCAAATAATCTCCGAGTCCATCCAAGCAAATTGGTCTCGAACAAGCCTGATCCTTCTCTCCCCAGAGAACATATGCAGGTGATTTCAGACTTCCCCTGTATTGATCAACAAAGAGTGGATTGGACACCGATGAGCGACGGCGGCCAGGAGAACTTGATTCGGAAGCCGAAGTCTCCAGGGCATACAAGTCAGTGATGGTTTCGAGCGATTTGGTCCATGGTCTCCATCCTGCTCCATCACGATAGTAGCCAGTCATATTCCAGAAAGCGTCTTGGGGGGACTTGGCTCTTTCCAAGACACTGGGCCCATAAGTTTCTCCTTTGTCGTTACTAGTAGATGGGATTGATGTCTTGCATTCCTCCGGACCAGGTCCGAAGGATGAAGCCATGCATTCTTGGACCCGGTACTCGTTCGAACCTCTTCCATACCCCAACCGGTTAACTCCTCGTATAAAGGAGAAGTTTCCGGCGACGCCCATGTATTTCACGAAAACAGAGGGTAGATTGAACACGAAGATATAACCCATCAACATGGTTTGCACCAGTAATGGCTGCAAAGTTTTCACGGATTTCGACAGACATCCAAAATGATGCTTGGGGGAATGTCGGAATTGCTTGAAAATCTTCGATGCCGAGTTCAGGATACGATCTTTGTTGGCAACGGCCAGTTCAACCTGTTGGAAGAGGTGTCAGACACTGTAAATCAAATATCACAACGATCAAACTGACATGTGGGCCGTTCGTCAAGATAAATCGTTCTGCTAGGCATGGGGCCTCTGCTGCTAGACGAAATCCAAGAACGCAACCCCAATCGTGGCCAACAATGAATGTATTGACCCATTCAGATTCGTCCGGCAGAACGTACTTATCCCTCATGGCAACCACAAATTCTGCAAGAGCCTCCAAAACATCGGTGTCGTATTTCTTGAAACTATCACTCCCTCCATAACCTGGCAAGTCGACACAGACTAGAGTGACGTCTGGTATTGGCATAGCCGGCTCTTGCATCAAATGTCTCCATATCATTGAAGTATCGGGGAAACCATGAAGGAAAACAATCAAGCTGTCTCCCGAGGGCTTCTCTCGATTGCTAATGTAGTGTAGTTTGAGACTATTGCGGAGGGTGTAGAAGAAGTGTCTGAAGCCAGGTAGAGGTTGCTTGGAGAGGTTCCAGAATCGATCTTGGTCTGTATAGTATACATGTCAAAATGTATCAGAGTGGTTCCTGATGAACAAACCAATTGCATATTGGAGTCTATCCTGCTCGGAATCTTTCTTGAAGAACGTTCCATTTTTGATGAACAAGCCCAGAAACAAGAAGAAATTGAAGACACCGAAGGAGTAGAAGGACGTCCGCTCCAAGACTTGGCTTAGGAAGGTCGAAGCCATGATAGCAGTTGATGAGGAGTCAGATCCATCAGGTCATTCGAAGGGAGGAATGAGGAATGTTCGCTTGGTAAGAGGGAGACGTTGAACCTGGTCGGTCCGTCGGTCAGCGAATTGCCGTCACGGAAGACTTCAGAGAGACACTATGTCCCAATGAATGTTAATCAACAGATCCGCCTAGACTACATGGATATAGAGTGCGTACTGAAAGAGCGGTTCAACGAGAGAGGCAAAGGTGGAAGAACGGGAGGAGCAGCGACAGCCGTTCCCTGTGTACAATGAATTTACCAGATAAGACAAATGCCAGTCTCATTCATGAAATTGTGTGTGATCAGCCATTTTTCGCCAAGTTGCAGCGTAGAAACGAAGAAACAGGATGAGCAATGCATCGCGTGTTTTGCGAGAGCGTGCTGAGTTGGCTATGCTGCGAGAAAGGAATGGTGGGTGGCAAATGGGGGGAATCCGGATGCACTGCTCGATTAGGCAGCGATAAACGCTTGAGCAACATATTGCTTCGACATATACTCGTCGGTATCTATCCAAAACTCCTGGGGGGTGCCTGGTGGACTTTCAGGCAATGACATACCTCTCCTCCATCTTCCCGTCGTCTTCTATCATCCACCGTCCCCGGGTCATAGTCGAAAGCCTTCTCCGCCGTCCTTCAGGACCTAGTTCTACCGCAAGCCGAATCCCTTGTCCCATCCCTGTATGGCTTTCCTGGTTCTCTCGGCCTCCCGTCGTGCCTAGCACCGGCTACTCTGGCCCTCCGCCGTTAAAAGATCTTCCAAAGACAATGAATAAACCCTGCTATTGGTCGGTAAAAACACAAGAGCACAGCCTCTCGTCCGTGTGTGCCACTTTACAGGATCAAGGGGATCAATACTACAAACTTCTTGCCCAAAGTTACCTTGACGTCCTCGTAACTGTGGGTGCACCGGACCTTTACGTTCACCGAACGCTAGTGATCGATGCCTCAGATTAACCGGTCCAAACCTTCGAATCTACATCTCCCAGATCATAGAGACCCAGGATTAAGAAGACCATTCCCCAGAAGACGACCCAAGGCAAAGAGGTGTCAGAAAGAAGACACCAGAGCAGCATTTACAATTCTCAGTTGAACTTTCAACTACAAGGGATGATTTCTCTCTGCAATATCCGATCGTTCGGGTCTGAATCTCAATCTGGATCTCAATCTGAATCTGGTCTGCCAAGTTGATGTCTCATTTCCACTGTGTATAAGCCTAAGCCTTTCGAGGGGCTAGAATTAGTCCGTTGTTGGTCTTGAAGTCTCAACAGCAGACTTCATCGAGCATCGGTAACGTCCATTGACGCCTTTTCCCCTCTCAACACGATCCGATCAAGCGAATAAGCTCTAATTCTCCAGCAACGATGTCTTCCCTGCATGTTTGAAACTCAGGAGCCACTCTGTATGATCTCGACCTCCGCAACTCCGCCCGGAAAATAGAACTTCAGACCAGCTCCCAAGACTTCGCGAAGCTCTCCCTGCAGACCAAGGGTTTCCAACCACATGCCCACGTCGAAAGGAATCCTCACTGTTTCCACTTGAACCCATCGACGCCACCGTCTGCAAGAACCGGCGCTGGGCCCTTATTCGCAGCACTCAACCATGCTCCCGAACTGCTTGCTCTAACCTTTCCCTTGGCTTTGCTCAAGAGCCGCTCTAGTTCCATGGTTCCGACCGACTTTCCATCGATCTGTTTGGCACCACCTCTGTCCCGCCCGGCCCGGATATAGAGGTTCCAGATCAATGTGATCAAGAAGAATCCCGAAACCAGAGGGAAGAAAGACAGGATGTGGTCTGAGATCGAAGGGCGAGATGAAGGTGAGTTGGGAGGTGGGCCAGGACTTTCCGGAGGTGTACCGGTCTTGTGTATCAAAGAGACAAGAGTGGTCTGGTCGGCTATTGGACGGAAGAGTGAGGATTCGGCCCGCGTTTGCAACCTAGTCTCTCGGGGCATGGTTGCGAACGCGGTGCCGTAGGGGACTTCTAAAGCCATCATCTCGATTGTCAGTGGATCATCACCAGGATGTCGTTGAAGACCACTGTCGAGACCGCTAGTAACCATCGCAGTGCTATACGTAACCGGGAACGAGTTGGATTCTGTGTTGGTATATACACCAGGTTCGGTGGATTGTTGCTGGAGAAGAAAACCGGTCTCTTTGGTCACTGCCGCCACTGTTGGCCCATCTGGATAAGGGAGTTGCGGAGTAATCGTCACCTCTGGTGGTTCGTATTCAGAATGTTGCTGGAGACCACCACCTGGCCGAACAGGATGGGCTGCCACGTAGACTTGAGTTGACCCTTCGAGCATACAAGAAGCTAATACTGCAGTAGGAACCAACGACGCGATGCGGACGGGAAGTCTGGCTTTCGACATCGACACCTCGTGCTTGGCTTGGGAATTTTTTGGTATTGGGCTTCCACTACCACTCCCTTCGCCACTTCCAGTGCCGCTGCTACCACCACCAGAGACGGGTCCAAGTGGTTCGCCAGCATCGTCAAACAGAGAAATCCTGGTAAGAGCGTCGATCGTGTTGTGCTGAAGATTTTCAGATCGTTTGGAATACGCCACTGTCGCGGACACGCAAGTCGAAGAGGGCGCCATCATTTTCCGTGTATGTTTTCAGGAATACAAGCGAGCTGACTGATATTAAAGAACCGTGAAGATGGATTGTGTATGATTGATACACTACTTTCCCTCCCCGTTGTAATATCGATATCGATATAACTTTGAGGGTATCTTCGAATGCTGGACAAAATGCTGTGATTTTCCCGGCGGCTCCGCAGGCGTTTCGAACGGTCCGATCCCTATTCAGAATGACTGGTTCCCAAGTCTGTATTTATGACCTGATCTGATGGGTGTGACTTGATATTGTGCTGGCGAGATGGAGGAAACAGAAGTGGAAACAAAGGTAAGATATGCGGGATCTTTTATACCCTTCAATGATGAAGGCTCGTTTGCCCGTTTTCACGCGCTGATTGCGGTAATTTGTCTCGACGAAACAAAATGAACAGAAGGCATGGGAATGTGATGCAATATGAGATGGGGAGTACCGTTTGTCGGCTCCACCGCTCACTCACCAAGTATCTTGATTGAGTGACAGAGAGACACCCTCGCGTCTGCTCTGGTACTTGTTTGAATCAATCGAGGATTTTGATGGTGGTAGCAGTGTCGATGGTGGAGCGGCACTGGCCATGTATTCCAGAACCGCCCATTCGCACTAAACTTCACCTGCTGTTCATTTGCCTTCAATGGAGTGTGAGAGCGGGTCTTATTCCCCACGACCTCTGTAGATTTATACGTTTCCTTGTGTTCGAGTTTAACTTTGTGAGAGCTGCATAGATGGAAGATCGAGTTAGAACACGATTGGAAAGGTAGGAGAGAGCGTGACGGAGGGAGGGTAGTCGACTCTAAGCTATGAGCATGTCACTTATACTTCCATGGCTGACATATACGAAGGGTAATATTCTCTTCATTAGCTTCCCATTTCACGCTCGGGCTTGGACAGGTCTATGTCCTCCCATTTCATTCGAAATCAGTCTCGGTCACTGCATTCGCTCGCTCACTTGGCTGGTTACTGGCAGCCGATCGGTCAATTGTTTGCAGCGGCAGAAGACCCAAAAATTCGACCACCGACTGAAGCAAAGTCTTCCGACCAAGGTCCGACACAACAAATATATCTATGGTCGATCATCCACCACACGGCAATCATCACACATGCCACACTGCCAGGACACCAAAAAAGTGAGTCACTCCAGGTTGCCCAAAGAGGCAATAAATTAGCTCCCACCAAACCCAAACACCTCCTCGAACCACTCAACCCGTGTGCCCTGGCTCTTAAGGACATGATTTCCCACAGCTTTATGTGCATCGCGACTCAACGAGGACGGGCCACAGAGAAGAACGGCGGCGGACGAGGAAGGAGGAGAAGAAATAGAGGAGAAGAAGTTGTCGATGAGAGGCATCAGCTTCGGTCTTCGGCCTAGCCGATGGATTCTGATGCCTTCATCCTCTTCCTTCTTCGACGGGCCCTTTGTGTCCGCGTGGATGTCCATATCCGTGGATGGGGTCGTGATGTAGACGTCAACATCCAGATCAACATCATGTAAATAATTCAGTATCTCAATTCCCCACGCTGCGTCCGCCGGTGTTCTCACCATCCAGACCATCTTGATCTTGCCCTTGCCCTTGCCTATAGCCGTTGCACCACCGCGCCGAGAAGAAACGAGAGCGCTGTAGATAGGGAGCGTGTATGTTGCGCCTACGCCGCCCGCGATAAGGAGGACAGGCTGGTCCACCGCTTCCAGAAGTGATGGCATATAGTTGCTCGCCTCGCCGTACGGTCCTTCGATCAGGAGTTCAATCTGCGACTCATTTGTCGCCATAGCTTCGAGCCAGGATGTCTGCGGTCCCCCGGTGTTCCTCGCCACAAGCTGGACCTGAAGACCTCCGACTACATCGGTGTCAGCCGGTCGCAAACTTGCGATCGTGAACGGAGTCTTTGGGTCCTTCCCCGTACGATGGACGTAGACATGTTGACCCGGTGCAGCGTGGGCAAGTCCGAGGTTGCTCTTTTTATCGGCGTCGAATCGCACGCTCACTAGTTTCGTGCCGTGGATTTTCTCACAGCGCGCTTGAGCTTTCGCACTCGTCTTCATCCGCATGAACCCGCTCAGAAACCAAATTACCCCCGCCTGCACGACGTAAAATCTCGTGTAGGGCACATGGAAAAACACGATCGGCAGGAACAAAATGCTAAGCAGGGCGTGACTTCTGTAGAAGACCTTGTGGTATATTTTCCTTCGGATGCTGGGCAGAGAGAGGATGCCGAGGAAATTAAGTGTCCAGAATGCGGCGATTCCGAGACGCACGTCACGGTCCCCTAGCCTCTTCTCAAGCACGTTCATCTGCATGAAAAAGCGGATGTAGAGAATGGCGTGGGCAACGAGGAGGACATGGATCATGCGTCCAAAAAGTCGGTGGTAGGCGTTGAGTCTCTCATGCGTGAGTCCCGTTGCGAGTGTGATGGGTGAGTAAGTGGATTTTGTTGATAGGAGGTAGTGGATGGGGAGCTGGGAGACGGCGACATGCCCGAAGGATTTGGTCAGATGCATGTAGTCGTTACCTGTGGCGCGGAAGATGAGGTATAGGAGCCAGGAGAAATATAGGAGGCTTGAGAGTTGAATGTGCAGAGGTCCGAACTCAGGGAGGTAGGTAGTGTGAAGGAACCAGGATGTCCGGCGAACTAGGATCTGGAGGGAGTTCAACGAGGTACTCTTTGCTGACATCGAGATGGCAGATTTCAGCAATCGTCGGTACAGACAGATGGTGACGAGGAGTATTATCGGAGTCAGCCATGCTTGGAATCCTGCGAGGTTGAGTTGGCGTCTTCGTTCTTCGAGTTGAGCGGGTGTTAAATTGACGAATGAATAAGTCATCTTAGAGAATGGTGGGTCCGAACTATCGTGAGCCTTTGTTGGCGGCGAGGTCGCGTCTTATCATGCCCCAGTGAGGACAGATATCTAGGTTTTCGATGTTGAAGATGTAAGAATTTGCAGAAGCGTAGAAGTCGATCCCAGCATGGCTGAATGTATGGAGTTTATAAGCGAAGAAGGCAGTGTTGAGCCGTGGAGATGGATTGGAATTGGTGAATAGGAGAAGAAAGATTAGGCAGCAATCCCCTGCCAAGGCCGCGGTGCAAGGCTGCCACCCCATAAATGGGAGGAAACGGGGATATCAATTGTCGCATCGAATACGAAGAATTCACGATCAAAATTCAAGTCAAAGGGGAGACACACCGAACGTATCCCAAGGACAAAAACAGCTCCAGTCAACTATATACCTGTGACGACGGCATGGCGAACACCAATGCAGCAGAGACACGGTGAGACGCTTGCTATGCTATGTTGCACAGTGAGAACACACCTCCTCCAAAGCGATAATGGGCACAAACAACGCCGCTGACGCTCGACGGTCTGGTCGTGAAAACAAATGCCAACGAATCCCGATGCAAAACTTTCAATGATGTCCTGTCAAACCATTCCTCCCGTTTTGATTATTCATGTCCCATCTTTTTGTCCTCATGCATTCGTAGTCACAGGTGGTGATTTTAATTCCGACGAACTCTCGCCGCCAATCTTCGCCAAAGGATCTATCGAAGGTCCAGTGGCATCATCGTCTTCCTTTGTGTCAGTACTCTTTTCTGCAAGGGGATCCACCTTTTCTGGTTCCAATTCAAAACCGGGTGCTTTCAAGATGGGTTTCGGCGCCTTGGGTGATTTGATAGGAGATATTGACAGATTGGCGGCTTCGATGGCGGCTTCTTTACTCCCGCTTTCGGGCATCTCTCTTTTGGGCAAATTGATCGCCTCACTCAACTGCCGCGTTCCCGTCGGTCCCATCAATACTTCACTCTGTCGTCTTTGTAGTTCTTCAAGTTTGGCAACTGGATTCTGTCTCCCACAAAATTGGCATCTCCAATATAAAACACCATGCGAATCAGGCAACAGGGGCGGTAGATCAGGGAGCGCAAGCTTAGGGTAGGAGGAGGATCGACGCACCCAATCTTCTTGTTTTGGAACTCCTTCTGCTGCCGGAAGATTACCCTCTTCATCCCTCTCCTCTCCCCAGAATGTCGGTCGTCGAATCGGAGCTGGGGTCACGGGTAAGCTCGGTCGATCGACTTCGGAGGGGAAATCGGTGAGTTTCATGCTCGGTCGTCGTATATGTTCTGCGGGCGGAGAGGTAATGCTGGCGCTACCAGAAGCACGCTGAGAAGGGGCATGATGCAACACCTGTAACTTTCCTTTTCGGGATTGACTAATCGCCTGCACATATCGTTCAATTTCGGGCATGTCATCCCACACATTGGTTCGCTGCTGGAACGCTGCCCATGGATCGATCGGTGGGGCTCCTGGCGTAGGAACGCTCTCGTCGGTCGCTTCCGTCGCATCGGTTGCTGTAGATGGCGTCGTCACTTCTTCAGCCGGGACCACCGAAGTAGGTTCCAGGGGTGGTGGAGGGCTTCGGGCTTTCGGTTCGGCGAATACTCGTGTCGGTTTAGGAGCTCGGGATTCCCATGGGAAAATATGTCTTGGTTTGGCCGGTTCCGGGGGTGGTGGAGGAGGAGGGCTCGATGCTTTCGGTGCGGCGAATACTCGTGTCGGTTTAGGAGCTCGGGACTCCCATGGGAAAATTGGTTTTGGTTTTACTGGTTCCGGAACCTTTTCAGGTACCTGATACCACATATCTTTCGGTGCTTCTGGATAGTGGGCGGGCGGTTGAAAGAGTTTTGTGTCGCTTGACATGTCGTATATTTGCGTGGGGAAGTTGGCTGCTTCAGGTTTTGAATGAACCGGTGGAGGTGCCCTATATCCTGTGAGCCGACCACAAATACTCCGAACCGATTGACGTACCTTGCAGGCTCCCATTCGATGTGAGGGGCTGAAAACTGTCCTGGTTCAACGGTAGGGACGGGGTGGGAATCGCCTTGGGCCGTGGGTGTTGGGACATCTCCAAGCGGAAGTTCAACAGTCGTAGGCTTATTTTGTTCTAGATCCGACATTGTCATTTCAGATGGTGGTGGAGGGATCTGTCCTTGTTGAGGAGGTGATGGTTCCTGCCGGGGGGGTGGAACGGGAGTTGGAGCCGTGGCCGATTCTTGACTTGGATAACTGGCAACGTATAGGGGTTCCTCGCCACGAACGTAGTCCTGGACCCTTTTCGTGGACTGATACGTTCGAGTGTCGTAGTATGTGATGGGCTAGAAACATTAGCACTCGAGATATACTTCGACCCATCAACCGACAAACCTTTGGTCGGTAGTGCCGGTCGTATACGGACCACCACATTCCCAATAGCTCTCCATAGACACCAGTATTGTACTTGTTCTCTCTCCCTAACGTCCAGGGCTTGTCCGGACCAATGAAATGGACCACGGCGATGCTGCTCGAGAAATGTCGATAGGCGGGAACGTATTGGTAGTTGCCACTGGGGGTACAATTGTAGACAAAGCTTAACCTTTCCCACTCACGAAAGTGCATGTTGAGAAGGCCCTGGTCAGCTCCGTCGAAGCTGATGCCTCGTTGTGCCAAAGCATATAGGGAATGGTAGTCGGCCATATTTGGGTTGAGGACCAGAAGACCCGTGTTGAAGCAATCGGGCCAACCGATATCCGGGACAGCAGCGAAGTTGGTATTCAGAGTGAGAAGTTCATTGGGAGCTCTGAGCACCACCATATCCGCATCCAAGTATACTATCCTCTTGAACTGCGTCTGCCGCCATAACTCGATCTTGGTGAAGGTGGATACTAGGTCCGGTCGGTTCATGAGATAGAGATTGGTCGGATTTTTGTTGATGATCTGTTGGACAGGCACGACATCATCGTAAACGGTCTGTAGAGATTAGTGGATCATGTCGAGGAAGTCCGAGGAGGAGGGCGGACTCGAAGTTCAGCGATGGTATCGGAAGATAGTTTGTCGACCAGAACAAAAGCTATCAGAGGAGCTTTGGCACCTGTTTCTTTCAAGGAATGGCCTAGGACCATGGCACCTAGACAGACATTAGGTTCAAGAGGAGTATTTTGTGACATCTTCGGTCCTTACCTGGTAAGTAGGCATCGTTCATGAGCAGCTGTATTTTTGGTCCTGCGTCAGTGATGGAGAACAAAAAAGATTCATATGCGGGGAACCCAGCAGGAAACGAAAGGGATGGAGAGCTTACCGTCGCAAAAACAGCTGCACCAATAGGTGCCATACTGGGGAAGGAGAGACTCAAAGCCAATGACGGCCGGAGAAGATTGAGGATGCAGTGTAGGAGTGAGGTGAGTGAGTACTGTAGAAAGAATATTCCAAGTTTGTCCGACAGCAAAGTCGTATTAACTTTTTACTTGAGCGGTGCAATTTACCAGACTGCGAGTGGACGGACCGGGCCTGCGAAGTGGCGGAGAAAGCAGACAGCTAAAATCTGTTCTTCCCCCGCACTGGGCACTGTTTGTCGGGTATAATTTAGGGTAGACCACTGGCAGGTGAGCTGCGAGCTTCTTTTCTAGCTGCTTGAAAGAATCCACCAGCGTCGACCAAACAAATGCTTTCCAGCCAAACTCCCATCGCCCATGTGACGTCTTCCAGCCTCTTCCTTCGAGATGGCGACGGCGATGAACGTATGATCGGAAAGATCTCGCCATCTCATTCAATTAAATCCGTTTCAAAGAGCTGATCTTCTTTGCCTCTCCTCACTCGATGCACATCATCACCGTACTATCGACTCTTCGAAAGAGGAAACAAACAAGAGGCGGATATATATGCTCAGCATCCCTACAGACTCTGAGCTGGGTCCTTTAGCCACGCGCATTTCAGCGATAAGGACAGGGAAAAATTCTTATGGTGCGGTCCAATTTCACCAAGGAGGCCACCAAGAGCCATGAGGCTTGCCCGTCCCAGCCTCTTCCTGACCTTTCCAGCCGTGAATCACCGCGTTACCATGGCGCCCGCTGCCTGTGGCTAAAAACATCAGACCATTCTCTCACCACTTTTCTTCTCCGATACCCGGCTCCCTAATTTGGGCGGCTGGTTACGAATCTTTGTCTTCTGTTGGTGATCATGGTTATCAATGAACAGGGGAATTTGGTCCAAGCTGTCGCATACAGGGGAATCTCCATGACAGATGTCAAAATCTTCTGGCCCGTGACAGAGAGACCAGTCCGAGTTTCGGGTTCTACTATATATATTGTATTTTCATTTATACGACTCCCACAGTTATTTGAACACGTTCAATTCTCCCACTCCACCGTCGCCCATCTTGCCCCATGATCCAGTCCGGCCTTTTTTTTTTTTTTTTTTTTTGGTTGCCCCTTTGGAATCTTCAAACAGCCAAATAGTCCCTTCCTCTGAACGCTCCGGACCCCCCAAGCATATTTATACAGGATATCTCTATTTCCATCGCTTGCTTCCCTCCAAACTGCCTCACCGTTAAACTTCTTTGTCCGCTTAGCCCAGTAGTCTCTCAATGTCTCTCAAAGTATTTGCACGCATCTCCTTCCGCTGCTTACCTCCATCTTTCTCGCCAAATGCCTCACTAGCTAGTTTTCTCTTCTTGGCTTGAATCTCGAGAACTTCATCTTCGATCGTGCCTTCCACCACCAACCGCACCACTTTGCAATTGCGAGTCTGTCCAAGTCGATGCACGCGATCAACTGCTTGATCTTCGATTGCCGGCGCCCACCAGGAATCAGCAAGAATCACTTGATTCGCCGCGACTAGGTTGAGCCCAACGGAGCAGACAGAGAGCGAAGCCAGCATGATTTTGCACGAGGGGTCTGTGTTGAGAGATTCGATCGCGGTGTCTCGACGTGTGGAATTCATCTTGCCATCCAACCGGGTAAAGTTCAGTCCGTGTCGAAGAAGTTGAGTTTGCACCAAATCCAGGAACGAGGTCCATTGTGAGAAGACGACGGTTTTCACATTCGGATCCGCTTCGGATGCTTTGAGCACTTTGACCAGAGCCTCGATTTTAGTGCTCGTCGTCTCCGGGTCAATATCCACGATAGGTTCATCGCCTTCGCCAAATCCTGCTGCCGGTTCCACGAGCTGACCATTGTCTGCAAGTTCGGCTCGGCACATGGGACACTTGTGCTGGGTCTCAATCACTTTCTCAATGCAGTCTCGACAGAAAGTATGCGCACAAGCCGTGATCACGGGGGTCTTCAAGGAATCCAAGCACACACAGCAGTCTTCCTGAGAGTCGATCTGGAGTTGCAGCATGTCCTGCAAGGCTTTTCGATTCGCTGGATTCATCACATCCACGACAGAATTGGCATCGATCAGCTCCAACAATTTCCTCACTCTCTCATCGCCGCACATCTTCCAGTGGTTGCAAGTCTGACGGAGTCGGAGAAGCACTTCGAGGAGGTAAGTCATGGTTTTCCCTTCCTTCTTCGCCTTTGCAGCTTCGACCAATCCCTTGGCCTCGCTCTTGAAGGCATCATATCTTTCCTGTTCATGCGGCAAGAACTTGATCGGGTACTTGTGGAAGGATATTTCCGGAAGCTTTAGGTCGACGAACTTCATATCCTTCATCCGCCGCAGACAAAGACTTGACATGAGAGCTTGGAGGAGCAACCGAGCCCCATGCTCACCATTCTTGAGGGGCCGAATCAGGGTGGAATTGAATATTTCAAACTCCGCCAATCCGCCCGAGAGGCGCAAAAATCTGACATGCGAATACAGATCTTTGAGACTGTTGACGATAGGTGTCCCTGTCAGGATCCAGCGAGATTTTGCCACCAGTGCGCATGCGGCTTGTGACATTTTGGCCTTGGGGTTCCGGATCTGGTGACCTTCATCTAACACAATTCGACGCCAGGTTACAGAAAACAACCCTTTGGATGCCGGCGTTGGCCGAGGAGTTGCTTTGCCATAAGGATAGAGCTCTTGGGTCATTGTCTGGTAAGTCGTGATCACGATGTCATACGCTCTCAACTGCTCCGGTGACATATCCTTGTTTCCTTGACCGTGGTACGTCAAGGTCCGTGGCGCATATTTCTTCTTGACATGGAATGCCGCTTGATTGTTCCAATTGCTCATGACGGAAAGTGGCGCAATAATAAGAGTTGGCTGGCCATCTTTGTGTGGGTCTGCCATGATGAGGGAGAGAATCTGAATGGTTTTGCCTAAAACGCGGTTGAAGTCAGCAACGTTTCGCGGCAAGGGGGTTTTCTCTAATATGCTTGCGGCCAGGACACACTTACCAAGTCCCATATCATCGGCAAGAAGACCACCACTGGCGAGCTCTGGAGCCTGCTTGAAAGAGAAATGGGTCACTATGTTGGTGTAGAAACCACCTTCCTTCTTCCACATCTGGATCACATCATCACGGTCCTTGGGCAAGTTAGGAGACTCGTGATCGAGCATCCATTTAAGCCCTTGTCTCTGGTGAGGCAACAGGATAGTGGCGAGCTCTGCAGGCTGGTCTGCCATGGGCATCTTTGCCAGAATCTCTTCTCCTGCCCCAAGCTTGCTGACGACATCTTGGACATCGCGAGGATTGAAAGTAGCCGTTCCGCCGAGAAGCTGATCCATACTTTCTTCCGGCGGGCTTCCCAAACACTGCGCCATACCCAAGTTGCTGTATTTGTTAGGACCCTCATGATCGAATACAACGTTGCCCTTCTTCATCATGGCAGCGGCTGCTTTCTCTCTGGCTTTGTGTTGCTTCTCCAACTCGTGCATGCGTTTCTTTCTCTCTTTTTCGGCCCGTTTGTACTCAGCCACTGGCAGATTCATCTCTTGCATCTGGCTGCAAAGAGCAGCGCCTGCAACAAGATCGCTGGTACCGAACAACTTCAATCCAATGGGACATTCATAATATGACTTTGATCCCGTCAAGGCACCTTCTACGAGCAGTGAACCTGAATCCATCAGCGGTGCTAATTTGGCTGCGACGTTCCGACCGATATGACCAATCTGGTCACGGACCACGTTGTCGATTCGAATGGCATTGCTGTCATATGGATTGCCCGGTTCACGTCGCACTCTGACATACTCGCCAACCGTGGCCTGGCCATCGTAAAATCGGCAGCCGACAATCTTCGTATGGAGGATACCGTAAAGTCGATAATTTTCGTAGACATCATCGTCGAAATCCTCGGTGAGGTCGATCTCTCTGGCGATGTCGGCCTCCTCTTCTTGGCTGGAACCTAACCAACTTCCACGTTCTTCCTTGCTGTGCTGCTGTGTTGATGGAGCGTCGACTGGCGCATAGCTGCTGTAGCCTGGGTTTGGGCGAGCTTCAGGATATCTGGGTTGGCTGGAAGACTGACAAGAAGAGAAAGATGAATCTTGCTTGGTGAGTTTCGATCTAGAAGATTCATTGGAATCGTCGTCGCCGGTCAAGTCAACAGTTTCAGGAAGCTTTCTCTTAGGCCTGCCCATGCTTGCAAACAGCGAATCAAGAAGGACCTGTCGCAATGAGGAGGGGCAAAAAAAGAGGAGGGACTTTTGTGGATGAAGGAATGAAGTGCAGTTCAAAAGAAAGGAAGAGAAATAAGGCTGAGATAAGGCTGAGATAAGGGACCGGTGGACAAGTCTGATTTTGGCTTTGTCGCGTCAGTCTTTGTTTACAGGTGATGAAATTCGCGGCGATCAAATCATTTTAGTGCGGGGAGGCGAAGACAAAGGGGACTTCCCCTATCCATCCAAGTTACGGAATACTATGCAGCAGAGAGGCACCTACAAGGTACAAGTTCTTGAAATTTCCTACTCCAATTCATCCTCTTCCTCCTCGTCCGTATCAAACCCTGTATCTATCTTGGGGATTTCAAAATCGCTGCTGTCACTACCCTCCTGAATCCCTTTTGGTGCAAGAGGTTTGGATGTTGTTTCCAAGTCGTCAGCCTTGGCAGATGAAAATGCACTAGCCGAAATTGTGTTTACCGTCACAGCATCGCTTTTTGTATTTGCTCCCATTGGCGGAGCAAGGTCGCTGGTTGAAGATTCTTCCACGCGCAGCTTTTTCAGTTGTGTCGAATCGGTCTCTTCAGAAACAGAGCCACCCCCTTCCGAGAGATTGCCACCACAATCATCGAAAGGACGCTTCCTAGCTGCTGTACTCCGCGATTCTAGGCGATTACATTGTCCGTTCGTACTGACAGGAGGTGCATGTGATCCATTAGGACTGCCTCCTAACTCCTTCAGAGAGTTTTCGGGCTGGGACAAAATATGACTAGGCTGAGCATGTCCACCTTCTCCCTTATCATATTCGACGGTGGAGTGAGGGTCCTTGGGCTCTGCTAGAGAAAGCCCGTCTGTCTGAGTGACGGGCATTCGCGGCCTCAGTAAAGCCTCGACGGTTAAGCTATTTGCCCCAGACCTTGCCAGGAAAGGTAACAAACTTGCCATGCTTGCCTTGCCATTTTCCAGGAGCACTGGATGCATGACACTCGTCAACATAGCGTCTTGATGATCAAGAAGGACCGATAGCCTATCCATTTCGACCCTTAATTGCCGGGTGATCAGGGAGGTTGGACAATACATCAGGACCTGCGCCAGCAACCTCCAAGCTGCTCGGAATGCATTGGGCTGGTAGCCGGAAAGATCGCACCGTTCGACGACTTTCCCTTGGAAATTCTCCCCCGCGAGCAGTGAAGACTTGACTTTGGAATTCCTATCTTTCACCGCATCAATACTCCCAACTTCGATGCTGGGAATTCCTATTCGGAGGTCATCACAGCACTGAGTAATCAGCCTTGAGAAGGCAAATCTATTCAATGCTAAATCCTGGATGTTGGAGTTCTCCAGGAGATGGCCAAAAATATCGTAAACGATTCGCCGAATGCTTTCATGCCAGGACATGGATGAAAATAAGGTTAAAACGTGACTGGCGATAGTCTGGTACACCGGAAAGAGGGATTGCGTGTAAGTCGTACACATGATGTGAAGCAGACGAAGACAAGCCAGGTGGTGTTGAGGCAGGTTCATCCAGAGCTCGTCTTTCTCCTCTCTACTTGCCTCTTTGTTGAATTTCAGGATACTGGTGACAGTCGCCCTGTCGTTGGAGGCAGCTATCGCCATAATACGTGAGGTGAGGTCTAGAATTGCACCTGTCGGAATCGACACAGACTGTGAGGTTGCGGTTGAGATTAAACGCTCGAGCCAGGTTATCAAGCATTCAAGTCGCTGGTGGCCATCGGATATGCCGCTCCAGGGACCCAGGCCAAGAGCATCATTTTCGGCCTGTTTTGGTCCTTGAGAGAAATCCTGTTTTTCAACCGGCCTCTGATGAGCAGAGTCATTCGAATCGTGTTCTTCGATAATTGCTCTGAATACTTTACTTGCAGTTTCGTGAGCGTGGTCGATGATGGTCAGGGCCGTTTGAGTCCACTCCTGAGATAGTGTGTGTTTCGGGGCACATAACAGAGACAAGCAAAGCACGTCGGTGGCTACATCCCGGGTCGAAGAGGAGGTCGCGCTGCTTCCTAGCAGACTCTGGCAAATCGGCTTGATGCGGTTGAGGAATGGACGGAAAACAGAAGCATGCTGAGGTAGCAATTGGACGTAACATTCCAGTACTGGTTCCAGCAATAGACTCGGTGTCTGCTTAGTTTCCTTTCCAATCTGGGCCTGAATTGGCTTGATCAGGCTCAGAGTCGCGGCGATGAAGGGAGGGAGGAGTGGTGTCGTTATTTCTCTCAATAACTTCGGATGGTTTTGCGTAAGGAGGAAAATGCGTGTAATGGCGACGAGATAGAGCTTCTTGACCTCGACTGGATCCGGTTTATTCAGGCAGCTGAGCAGACCTCGGACCCAGCTCTCTGATGCACCGAGACCACTTTGACCGGCATTCTCAACGATTGCCTTGATGAGGACCACCGCCGTCAATCGCCCAGCGGCAGATCGATCCTGAAGCAATGAGCTAATTCGAGTCTTGATTTTGTGAACAGTTACGGAGGAGCCATTGGTCTTGGAATCTGCGAAAAGCGATTCGAGAGAGCAGTTGGCTAATGATGTGGCGAGAAAGCCAGAAATTCGAGGCAGCTCCTCAACCGGGGTCACATTCAGGCGATTTGCGATGGCACGAAGAGAGCCTTCTTGTTGCATTGCGGAAACGAGGTATAAAGAGGACGGGAAACGGACCCAGGTCTTTCGACTGGGTGTATGTTGAGGGCGTAGACCTCACAGTGTATGAAAAGCGAATACCAACACATGTGTCAACGGATTTATAATTTTTTTTTTTTTTTAAAGGGAAGCGCTGCGACTGGCCCAATTGCTGGTGAGGCCCTGCACCGAAGTTGCACCGATGACTGCATCGGCAGGCACACTACACAATACACGTTACTTTTATAAGACCGTACGTCTCTTGATCGTGAACTCGGCCAGTTCATACGCGTCCATGGAGCCACAGCCACGACCTCACAACCATGACACCTACTTCATGAGTTAACAGCGCGAGACCGTCTCCGTATCGGCCACAATGAGTGTACTCACCTCGCCCCCTTGTTCCACTGCCATCTATGAATCGGCCGGCTGATGGGAGACCAGGCACACCATGAAAAGGCCCAGCGATACATCAGCTCACTTGATGCCGCGCGTATCGCGGGAAATTGGCACGAACTTCCCGAGCTTGTGAGGAAAGTCACAAAGCATGCTCCAGACAGGAAATGTATGCTTCTCGAGACCACAACTTGTTCAGTGTTGACATTCGATATAGTCTTAATCCAGGTCGCCAAAATCGAAGGTGAAATCGCCAACTATGCAATTTCAGCAAGTCGAAGACCTAGCAGCACTCCCCCCATTCCAGACGCCCAGATCTCCCTCCTCGAAACCGAACTGCGTACCAGTGAGCAGCCTTTTGAAGAGGTAGTGCAAGGCCAGACGTCTCTTCTATGGGCACGTTGGGTTGGCCCGCCACAACCTGATCGTTCAGTTCCCTCCGTAACCTTTGAACCCGCTCGAGCCGCCTCCGATGCCACTTCGATGTGGACAAAGATTTGCGTGGTCAAGGCAACTTACATAAGGGGGATGTTGTTCGGCCAGGCAGGAAAAGAGGAGCAAAAAGGAGAACTTCACGATTCAATTCTGCCATGGATGGACTCAAATCGCAGCCTGGTCGTTTCCACTCCACAGCTCCTGTACTGGGCACAACAGCTCCTTGGTCAAGTAGCATTAGGCCAGAAACAGCAGACTGGATCTACTGTTCCTCTCAGTGACGACAAGACTGCCCCATTCAGACTCCAGGCATTCCGCCACTGGGCCGCGCTGGCTGTGAAGAACCAGGACGTTTCAGCCTCAACTTACGGGAATGGGCCCGGACATCTCTCTAAGCTTGTCATGTGGAGGGCCTATTATCGATTCATGTCAAGCATCTTGCATCAGACTCCAGGAAGTACCATGAACATCTCCATTAGTCGACCTGAGTTGGCCACCGAGCTTCGTCGAGTTGAAACTTCCTACGAAAGTGAGCTCCTGAGACAAGCTCGATTTCCCAGAGCAAATGAATCTAATACTACCATCGAAGGATGGGTGGAAGAAGTCATTAGCAACTGGAAGATTCTATGTGGGCCAGACTGGTCGGATTCGGATCTCGGAGAAGGCGGTCGCAATGCGGTGGGCAGAAACGTTCTCGATATGCTCTACCGCGCTGCGACCAAGACCTTCCACTCGACTCTTATCTTGAGACGATTGTTTCAAGTGCACAAGTCCTTGACAGATTTCGACCTCGCTTACCATGCTCTTGACACCTACATAGAACTCATTGACCGCGCGAGGGCACGAGCTGCCAAATCCAAGGGCCCGGCGACCGACTGGGACGGCGACGATCTCTTTCTGCGAACAATCTCCGAAGGGATTGAAGGACTCTGTTCATTTGGACGTCGGTCTGAAGCGGAGAAAGCGTATGAATTGTGTCTCAAACTCGAAGACCTTCTCGAAGAGCTTGAGCCCCGTTTGCCAGATTCAACGCCGAACGGATTAGGACATACCAACGGAGATGCCGCCGCCAGCAAACCAACACTGCCATCTTTACCGGCAGATCTGCTGGAAATTGTTTATCGAGCCATTGGTGTGGGAAAGTCGCATTGGGCAAGGTGGACACCCTTTAGTGAGAATCGATCGACCCTGCAGTCCGAGGCGGTCGAATTCCTCCAGAAAGCTGCGGCGCAGAAATTGCCTCCAGAGCAGCTGCTGAAAACCTTATACGCGCTAGGTCGGTTGCTCGCCGAGACGCGTGACATTGACCAGGCGATTTCGATTGTGAAGAAAGCCCTGGCATGTGGTGCCGCAAAAGATCAAGAAGATAATACTTATCGGATACAACGACAGCTAATACCATTTTGGCACCTGTTAGCTCTTCTGCTGACATCGAGGCAGAGTTTTGAGATTGCAGGCCAGAGTTGCGTTGCAGCATTCGAACAATTCTCCCCCCCGGAAATAATATTTGGTCATGCCCCCGGGGCTTCCGGTATGGGGGAGAAGCAGAGCACGGGAACCCGGAAGACAGGACTGGTGGACGACATGGAATGCGATGAATTGCAAAAGATCATTGAAATTCGAATTACCGATCTTGCGCTGACAGAACTCATTGAAGGACCCGAACACGCGGTGAACAGCAGCAATGAGTTGCTAGCCCTTTACTCTCGGCTATTTGAGCGATATGGAGCTCTGACTTTGAATGAGGAAAGATCGAGAACGAAGGTCGCACAACCACCCAAAAGCTCGGCTGGTACAGTGAAGAGCCTTCGAGATAGTCTCTTCTCTCGGAAAAGGATAGGTCGCTCCAGTGAGTCAACGAAGGGACAGAAAATAAATGAAACACCATCCATCGCAGAGGAGCTGAGGCGGCCCAGTACCAAAGCTACCCAAGCCACCCAAACAACCCAAGCACCAACCATTCACGTTACGAATGAGGATGAAAAACCATCGCCGCACAAGCATCGAATATTTCGACACTCTCATGAACACTCCGGAGAGGACAAACGGCATTTTTCCGGAGCCCTGCACAAGCAAGGGTCAAGACGGCGCCTGTCGCGATCACAGAGTCGAGTGCGGAAAGAAACCAACAATGATAAATCCTTGGGGACGACTCCAGAGATGGCCCAAGCCTCCGATCAGACAGCAGAGAAGGGGAATCCGGAATTGGAAACGATCCCGTCGCAAGATGTACCAGCTTTACCTGTATCTGCCAATCACGACTCGAGCGCCGAGGCCAAACAGCCCTTGAATAAGGTTCCGCACAATCTTGACGCACACGACAAGATACCACCACCGGCCCAGCATCAGGATCAACCACCGGAGCAAGATGTGCGGCTGCCAGTTGTTGATTCAAGCACGACTCGAACAGATCCAGGACCTCGCTTTTCCAAATCAGCGTCCCAGAGACATGCACTGAGTCTCCTGGTCAAGATCTGGCTGATTATCGCCACACTATACCGACGCGCCAATATGTTTGACGACTCGCGTGAGGCATGCGACGAGGCCGCAAAGGTGGCCATGAAGGTTGAGGGGATGGTTGCCAGCGTCGAGAGCTCAGCGCGGGCATTCGGCGACAGTGGATGGGGAGGCAGAGGCAAAAGTTCAGACGAACTTTGGGCTGACGTGTACTGCGAACGAGCGGAGCTCCTGATGGCAATTGCTCGGGCACGTGAGGAAAAGGAGGGCCAGGTTACTTCTGACGGCGTGAGGGAGGCGGTGGATCAGTACGAGCAATGTCTCATGCACTTCGCCGACCATGCGGGAGGTATCGTAGGACTCAGCAATGTCCTCCTGGATTACTACGAACGCAAAGTGGAACTGGGGAAGAGAGCCGATAATGGCAAAGGGAGCGCGGAGGGGGTTCAGGAAGAGAAGAGAAGGACGCACAGACGAGACTGGAGCCGAATATCTGAGGGAGCGGCAGTTAACGGGTTGTTTGATGTTGACGCGGCACCTCCTCATACAGCAAATCCCACCCCGACCACGCCATCACATCCTGTGAAAGATGATGACCTTAAGAAAACGCCCGAGAATCTGAATCGGCTAGCAGCTCGAGACCGGGCTTATGGCCTGTTGTCGACGCTGACGAAGCTGGGAACGGGATGGGACAATTCAGAAGCGTGGTTTGCATTGGCGAGGGCACATGAACTGGGCGGGGAGATGGACAAGGCCAAAGAGATACTGTGGTGGTGCGTCGAGTTAGAAGACACGCGACCGATCCGACATTGGGGGAATGTGGGATGCGGCGGATATGTTCTTTGATAATTGATGCGGGTGTACGTAGAATACGACCACCTAGATTGCTCGCGAACGAAAATCCTATTTGCCAAATCCAGTTCGATCCTAGAGTGAGCGAAGGCCGCTTTAACGGAAGGGAGAGCTCTTCACAGTCAAACAGCGTCCACGAGGTGGTAGGATCGATTCGACTGATTTCCCAGCTCGTTCAATCAGGACTTCCATGTATCTGCGATCAAAGAATGTGGTCGAATATCCAGTTAAATGCTCTAGTTAATCCTCCCCCCCGGAGAGGGGCCGTAGACTGGATCCGATGGGGGTTTGTTAAACGGGTCTAGTTAAGGACTCCAGTTAATCGCACTTTGATCACGTGCGAATGATCACGTGTTCAGCACCCGCTCGAGGTGGTCCATGGATTGGATCTGATGGGGTCATCCAATCAGAGAAAAGGATTATGTAATCATAGGATTATAGATTTGCCGGATTACGAGTACTCAGCGTCTCGCTAGGCGGGCTTTGGGTGGTTTTACACCCTACAGTATATTTTATTGATGGTGTTTCGGAGACGTTATAAGGAGGACGATGCCAGGATGATACTGGATAGGCTGTGACAATATCCTCTATTCAGAAGGATGGGCTGTAATCTCGTCAAAGGGTAGATGCCGGATGAGGCCCAAGTGAGAGGCTGCGGTTTGTGGCAGTGGCGGTCGCGATGTTGACCAATCACCGCCAAGGATCTGATGTCGTATTGTGAACGAGATAGGAGAGTATATCCCAATTTTAGCAGTCAGACGCCTAACAAAGCCTGATCCAGATGAAAAAAGCCCTCGCCTATTTCGCCTAAGGGCAGCCTCATCGAACACAACTCGGCCATCAGTATACAGGTTACGAGGTCTCGAACTGTAGTACTCAGGTACATATCATATGGGCTCAACATTTTTGTTTGCTCTCAGGATCACTTCATCTTCTCCCGTCGTCTGCCGGGCCGCGTCAGTACTTGCAAAAGTCCAAGCTAGGGCCAAGTAGCCTGGTGCGCTGTTGGTACCCTTTGTGATGCCCTAGCCTGCGTCATCTCCTTCAATTTCTCGGCTCCGTTGCATCGTTTTCCGTCTTCGCCGCCCGAGGAGCCAATGACCTCGCAGGCATGGCATCTCAAACTCTGCTGCGCCATGTTGACAATCCATCAGCCCTCCGCCAATCCATCCTCCGTCGTCGCAAGCTGATGATGCTGACTCCGTACATAGAATTTCTACTACGACGTCCTGACGACTACTAGTTGCTACTTACACCTCTTCCGGACCCTCGTTCCTTGTTTTCCCCTCTTAACTGACTTCCTCATTCACCCTTGGGTTTTCTTGCCTCCTACAGTCACTCTCTTCAGCCGTACTAACAGATATCCACGGTCACCGGCCCATAGACTTCCTCTCGTACCCTCGCCCTCCACGCCGGCGCGCTTTTCGTCTGTGCTACCGGAACATACTTGTGCCCACGGTCCTTTCTGCTTGCTTGAAGACAGCACTCCGAAATGAGATCTTCGACGGCTGTGGCCGCTGTGGCAGCCTTGACCGCACCCCTAGTTTCCGCCATCCACCTGGCTCCTCGATCCTCCAACCCTCGGGTTATCAGTCTCCCCATTGAAAGAAGAAACATCCCAGATATTCTTGCTCATGAGCAATCTCGACTCAGAAAACGACAAGGGACGGTAGAACAGACATTGGACAACGAAGAGAGTCTTTATTATGCGAACCTCAGTCTGGGAACCCCCGAACAAAGCCTCCGGTTACATATCGACACGGGCAGTTCAGATCTGTGGGTGAACACCCCCGATTCATCCTTCTGTTCTTCCGCCACCAATCCATGCGAAGGTGGCACGTACGATCCTTCGGCTTCTTCCACCTACAAATTCGTCAACGACGAATTCAATATCTCTTATGTCGACGGCTCCGGTGCCATCGGTGACTATGTCACAGACACTCTGCACTTTGGCGGCCACACTTTGAACGACTTCCAATTCGGCATCGGTGAGACTTCGTCCTCTCAACAAGGGGTCCTGGGCATTGGCTATGCCTCCAACGAGGTCCAAGTCAACCGTGCCGGACTCGATCCCTATCCCAACCTTCCCGAAGCGCTTGTCAACGCAAGCTTGATTGCTTCCAACGCCTACAGTTTGTGGTTGAACGATTTGGACGCATCTACCGGTGAAATCCTGTTCGGTGGTGTCAACACTGAAAAATACGAAGGCGACCTGGCCACCATGCCCATTATCCAAACTTATGGCGGATACTACGAATTGGTTGTGGCTTTGACCGGCATGACCGTGGCGGGAACCGACCTGTCATCCTCCAGCTCACTTCCAGCCGGTGTCCTTCTCGACTCGGGCTCTACCTTGTCCTATCTCCCCGACGACATCACTCAGGAAATCTACAACCAAGTGCAAGCCGTGTACCAGCCCGACGTGGGCGCCGCTTACGCCGAATGCAGTCTCGCATCATCAGATGCGACTCTCGATTTCGATTTCTCTGGCCAGACCATCAGCGTGCCATACAATGAGCTCTTCCTCAATGCCGGTACCAATAACTTTGGCCAACCACTCACCTTCACCAATGGCGAGGAGGCTTGCCTTTTCGGCATTGCTCCCACCCTAGGCGGAACTGCTCTCCTAGGTGACACATTCCTGCGCTCTGCCTACGTCGTCTACGATCTCGCCAACAATGAGATCTCTCTTGCCCAGACCGTCTTCAACTCGACCTCCGACAACATCCAAGAAATCACCACCGGCACGGATTCCGTTCCCAACGCCAGCCCGGTAGCCAACCCGGTCACCGACGTCGCCGGAGCCACAGGCGGTGCGAGACTCGGAGCCGGAGCTGCAACCGCAACAGTCACAGGATTCTCGGACCCAACAGACACAGCAAATGCCGCATCTCTCGGCAAGAGCATTCCCTTCGGATCATCGATGGGCGCCGTCTTCGCAGTGGCAGTGGCCGTATTGGCTCTATGATGACTGTCGTTGGACTTTCTTCAACTCGTTTCGATACGTGTACAAATCTGCAGGATACATCCTTACTTTCACTCTGTACATACCTCAACCTCGAAGAATTTTGCAAATGCACAATAAAAACGCCGACAAATGGGAACCATGAACATACATCAGCAATAGCCGAGGAAATTTTTTGGGTGTGAGAGAACTATCTTGACGAATCCACGACACTTGATTTTGGTTTAGATACGATCCAAGTTTCGGCGTCAGTCTTTCAGTCTGTCCGTGTGCACGGCGTTATTGCTTTATTGTCTCCTTCGCATTGCATTGGACGCAAGCCTACAGGTTAGAGGTCTTCGGTTTTCGGCGCACTTGTATGGTACTACAACACGTTTGGTTGGGACTGGTGGACTATGTCTTTCGAATTGGAATAGGGCAGAAAGTTGCAAGATTCACGTCGAGTTGAGGCAAGCGGCACCTCGGGAATATTATGCGAGGAGGTTGAGGACTATCCATTAATACATCCATTGTGGTTTGATGGATACGCCTTGGTGTCAATTAAAACCAAAAATTCATGACCATCAAAACCCAAAAATTCGATTCATAGTACTGCAGCCTGCGTCACGGGTTGGATTGAATCATGATTAGTTATATAGGGTACTAGTACTCCTACCTCTAGAAAAGGAGCTTTGTTGGCAGACGACAACCTCCCCCCTAAGTCTCCTTTTATCCCGTGTCCCTCAGAATAAGTTCCGTCTATCTCACCTCCCTTTTCCGCGAGGCTTTATGTGCTCGTTTCCTAGCTCATATTTCTCCCCTCTCCCCCTCCTTTCTATTCCCCCCGACATCTTACGACCGTAACCTTAACAGGGCCCTACTTCCAAGTCGAGGTCGAGGCCAATGGCTCAGTTCGTATGAGCAGAAACACTCGGTCTCGAGCTGCCAACTCGGATCCCCTGCGCTGTGAATGCAGGTCGATCCTGGCGTGCGGGACTTGTTCGGTCCGACGTCGAGTCAGCTATTGCTGTAGACGAAGATGCAGGAGTCGGGGGAAAGACAGCCACACCCACACTCGCACCCATACCCGCACCCGCACCCGAGCCAGAGTCAGGTCCCGAAGGCCAAGCAGAAGCCGACGGTCTGGGTTCGAAGCTTGCATTTTCACCGTCAATAGAGCGTAACGCGCTCGTGTTCGCCGTCGGGGTTCGGTGGACAGGTTCTGAAGAGCCTGTTAGTGTTATTCGTGCGCCGGACGCTGACGCGGACGTAGAAGGTGATGCTAAACCAGAAGGGCTGGGGCCCGCATGTAAAGGTCGCGAAGTGGAGATGGCAGGCCCAAAGTCGTTGGATGCTTCGGGGTTCGATGTATCTGTCGAGGGAGACCGGTCTAGATCCATTGCGTAATTGTGATTCTTGAGTCCATCTCCTTCGTTCATAGCCTGTGCCTCACACTTGGAGGGCTTATAAATCTGCTCGGTCCCATTCATGGTAGCGGATGGCGAGGATGCAGACACCGGCCGACCTCCAAATCGAAGCCGATACGGAGATTGATACTGTCGCTCGCGCTGCTGCTGGGCGTAGGATTTCATCTTGGGAGTGCGTGGTGTGTCGTTTGCACCGTCAAAATCTGAATACCCGCCCTCATCCTCTGAGCAGGTCGTGTTGCTTCCACTGTTCTGCCATCTGTGCAAGTATGCAGTGTCGGCCATCGACAGGGCGAGACCTTTGGGGATTCCATTTGAGGTGCGACCGAGCGCATAGTAGCGCAATGCTTCCAAAATGTGCGGGAACACGAGAGTATCGACGTCTTGCGCCCAGAGGAAGTCGAGATGCTCAAAATGAGGCACCTCGGTTGCGATGGTGTGGCGTGGAAGTTCTTTTAGCATAACGCGGATATCGATCAGAGAATCACTACCGCCATAGACCAGGACAATGGGGGTTTTGATATTTCGGGTGGGAAACTTGGCCACTTTGTAGTACCGATTGCTGGCTCCGATACTGAATTTGGTCGAACCATCGTCGTCGTACATTTGAAACGACTTATTTCGAATGATCTGGAACCAATGCACGACCGACTTGGTGCTTGTGAAGCTGTAGAGGTGGGGATATGCTGCAAGCTTTTGTTGGACGGAAATGTTTCGTCCATACCAGGCAAACAGAAAGGAGAGGGATATGTCGATCAACCGGACGAAGATGGGCGGGTAGAGAATGGATTGCCACATGGTTGCCGACGATAGAATGGACTTCCGACCAAAAGCGAGGAAAAGAACGTCCGGACTGGTCTTGACCAGAGCGTCCACAATGCCGTTACTCAAGCCCGCCGGTGACATGGCCGGAGCCAATGCGACGAAGAGGTTGATTTTATCGTTTAAACCCGGATGGATAGAGAGGGTTGCAAAAGCCTGTGCGGTACCTTGACTAAAGCCAATGTAGGAGAGTGAGAGCTGTGATGTGGTGTCGAGGATATAGTCAATCGTGTTTGGGATATCGTGGAAAGCAAACTCGTCCATGGAGAAATCCCAGAATCCCGTTGAAGTGGGCGAGCACTTGGTGGACTTCTTGCTGTATTTATTGCCTCGATTATTACCCAACCAAACATCATATCCCTGATTCACCAATGTGAAGGGCAGGCATCGCTCTTCTTCCGTGAGGCAGACCCAAACTTCGCTGTTCATGAGGAGGCCATGATGGAGGTAAACCACAGGCTTCCTGATAGAGTCCGGTCCCGCATTTACTCGTCGTCCAGTTTCTTCCTCTTCTTTGCGGAAGGGTAATCTGTGCACACCCAGTAAATACCCATCTCCTGTTTGAACGATGTGTTCCTCAGCATAGTATCCGTACAAAGCGCAAAGGTCGGTGAAATCGGATGCAGTTGCAATAGAAGAGTAAATGGATTTTCGTTGCGAGCGGGCCTGTCTTGACTTTTGAGAAGACAGATAGTTGAACAATTTCTTGGAGGTGTTGTAACAGAAGCGAATGATGGGTTGAGCTGGAAGATACGTCAGGGGCGCATTGATTGGGAACCCGTATACTCAATACTTACGGAGTCCGAGAGTGATAACTCGAACAAAGACTTCCAAAGCCACGAGAATCAGAGAGCCAACCAAAGCCAAATACTCCCGCCTGGAGATTCGAGGTTAGTCAATGTTCGTGCCCTTTGTTGGAGGTGCTCACCAGAAGAGCCGGCCAATAAAGGGGACTCTGGCCATGTTGGTGGCTGAAGGGTATTAGAGAGAATAAGGGCAGAAGTGGAAGAAATATCAGACCAGCTGGACATCAAAAGCCATCAGGAAAGATGGAGTTGTGTGGGAAGAAGGTTTGGAGGTTGTCGTACGCTGAACAAAAGAGCACATGCCCTGTATGAGAAGCCCAATGCTGAAACCACGAGTCTGAGCGGAGATTCAGTTGGAAGGTCTAGTCCTCTCCAACGTCATAAGAATTGGGAAGGGAAATTATCCCGAGGTGCTTGCACGTGATCAAGGGCTTTCCTCAAACACAAAAGTTTTGACTTCCGTTCTTATTCTCTCATCGAACAACGCAAAAAAAGCCAACGTTCCTGCAAAAAGCGTTCCTACGAGGTTACTCTACGGTGATCCATGATGTACGGAAAACCGTCTACTGGAATGGAGATCAATCAATCTGGCCGATCTTGGGTGCAGTGTCAGTCTTATGTGACTGGGATTGCAATGATTGACCACACAGCCTTAACGTCAAACATCGTGCTAATTTTTCGATGATATGGACTAAAGCGTCATGTTTTTCTGAGTCTTCAAAGTCTTTTTTTTTTTGGGAGAGAGGAAGGGTAATTGTATCGTTTGCCGTCAAATGATGTCAACCCATGTAATGGGTTACTTTCATCATTTACTCTCGAGCCATCCCTCAATCCGCTCGACCAAATCCGCTTTTTTCCCCGCCACTTGTATCTTCTTCAGAGCACAGAAATCCTTCAGCTGAGCAACTTTCAAACTTCCAATCTGACCCTTCTGCCAAAGTTTCCTGACCTCTTCTTCACTAATAGCATCACCTGTGTCTGTCTTGACCTTTTTGTTACCTCCGCCCAGATTTGATGCTTGACCATTCGTAGACCGCTTCGAACCGATAGGGACTGTGTCAGGGTTCTCTGATTGATATTGTCGGAAAACCTTTTCCAATGTTTTGCCCCATTCTATGGCCTCGTTTCCAACTCTCTTGTCAATCTGTCTGAATTTGGGAATTGTTTTGTCCTCTGGCTGGTCTGGGATATCGTCGTCGAGGGCAAGTGCTTGTAGGATGCGGTAATGCCACTGCAAGCTAGGATTGGGGTACTTCGATGGATCATATGTCCCCTTTGGGAGATTCAGTTGCTCTGATATTCCTGGGTTAGAAAAGGTCAAAGGAAGGCTGATTTGGGTCGGGCGACACTTACGGATGAGCGGCCTCATGGCATCGACCAGTTCATCTGGAGCCCGCAGAGGAGCGTCATGCGCACTGGGAGGATTTTGCCGAACATCATCCGCGAATGGCAAGGGTATCAAATGTAAGCCTTGAGGAGCGCCGGTCGCAGACACTCCCGCTGCATTGGACTTTGCATCGGTTACTTCACCAGCGAGAGTGGGAATCATGGCAGCCATGACCGGTGTCGCATTGCGTCTTGGTACAAACCAAGTTAGCGCGAATAATTTGTCTTTGGAGAGTTTGCGATGCAAAGCACTGTAGACACGTGTGCTACCAATATAGTCCTCTTCAGAAGGGTACAGAAATGTAGAATTCTTGATGTTCGCCCATAGGGGCAATCTGGACATGGGCTTGAAGCCGATCACTCGGATGACTGGGTCTCCAAAATAACGTCGTTTTTTGACTTCCTCCTCGGCGAAAACGATTTGCTCTCCCCCGAATTTGAAAGCCTTACGGACATCAGCCTTCTGAATGGGTTTGGAATTCTCGTCCGCAATCTGCTCTGTATATCCGGTCGCAATTTGTGGTCGTTCACCACCGAGAAAGATGTAGCTGCTGCGAGCTGGCTTTTGATGTTTGTAGAGCAGATAACCTTTGACAGAGATCCGAAAATCGGGGGCAAGCTCAAGTGGAACAGAGGAAAACAGTGCTCGCTTCGGCGTTACTTTGGACGCTATTGCAGACAAGAGAGACTGCAATAACGAGATCCCATCATTTGTCCCCGGCGCCAGTTTTGAGCCGGCAACGTGGACAATGGACGGGGGATTATAGGCAATTGCTTCGGGATCTGAGGGAGAGGCTTTGTACACTATGTCGTCGTAGAAGAGTTTTGTGTCGAAGGAATGTTCGGAAGTGGAGATAGGGAACAGTTCTATGATAACACCGAGATCATACAAATCTTTGGCTCTCACCGTGGCTTGTGACCGAGAACCCTTATTCGATGAGTGAGGATCGTCATTGTCTGTGACGATGAACAGTCTCCGCGAAGTGAAATTGGCAGCCTTTTGTTGGAAAATTTGATTGGCGCAGAACAGAACGTTGTGCATCGAGACTGGTTCTTCTGCTGGTTTGAAGATCTCGGCGGATTCTGGAGCGTCGGTTTCAATCAATTCTTTCAGGGCCTTCACATCTTCAGCTTCTGGAACATCAAGATCTGTAAGGAGATAGCAGTGGGGGAAAGACCGGCCGCCTCCGAAGTTCTCGTCTTCATCATAGAATTTTGATGCTTGCGTGCCATAGAGAAGGATTCCTATCAGATCCCTCGGCGCAGAGATGATGCGTTGCTGCATGAGGTGATATGCACATTTCAAAGCCGCCAGAAGGGGGGAACTATTATCAACCTTCTTTGAGGTAGATGTTGCTGGTACCTTCAGCATTGAATCGTTAACCTCGATGGCGAACAGCACAGCATCCTTGATGGTCTTATACACGGTTTCGTCAATTTCTTCGTCGTCTCCATCGAAATCCTCGTTTCCGATAGCTTCATCCAGATCTCCTTTTGACCTGTACGGCAGATCCTCGCTCATTTTATACGTGATCAAAGCAAAATGATGCTGAATTGACCTGGATTGAAACTAGGAATGGTTGAGGATGGTTGAAGCAAAGATTTGGGCTCATGGAAGCAATCGCGTTCCCAAGACGCGGTGTCACATGATCCCAAAAATCGAATTGCAGCAAAGCTGAGTGGTCCGCTGCCCATCTGCGCCCGGTCGGCTCATACATTTTCTTACCCTGCGGGCAAAAGTTCAGCGGCGCTCCTATAGCCCTCTAGCTTCAATATCTTTCCTGTTTCGACCTCTACTACCCTGCATCTCCTTGAAATTAATATCGATGGTCCATTAACGACAAATCTACGGGCAAACATCATCACAATGTCGGTGCGCAGCTCGGCATCCCAGCTCTCTCGTCAATTGGCGAGCCGCTCGATTGCACGGTCAGCGAATAACTCAATACCTCCGTATGGGATCCAGAAATCTTGCATGGCCACTGTGGCCCCCTCGGCGACGCAGAATTCAATGGGACGTAAAGGCCCTACAGCAATGGTTTTCATGAACATGGGTGGACCGTCTACAACAGATGAGGTGGGAGACTTTCTGAGCAGATTGTTTGCGGACGGCGATCTGATTCCCTTGGGACGGCTCCAATCATATCTGGGACCCCTAATATCCGCCCGAAGAACCCCCAAGATCCAGAGGCAATACGCAGAGATAGGAGGAGGCTCACCGATTCGAAAGTGGTCCGAGTATCAATGTAGCGAAATGTGCAAGATTCTAGACAAATTGTCACCCGAGACTGCGCCCCATCGACCATATGTCGCCTTTCGATATGCGAATCCCTTAACTGAACACATGTACGAGCAACTTTTGAAGGATGGGTTTGGAGGTGGCAAAGGTGGTCGAGCAGTGGCATTCACACAATATCCACAATACAGCTGTTCCACGACGGGGAGCTCTCTCAATGAGTTATGGAAATGGCGAAACAGATTGGAGGGCACGAGAGCGACAGGCGAACCACAACCACCAGGCACCATCACTTGGAGTGTCATTGATCGTTGGCCCACACATCCTGGCCTGGTCGAAGCATTCGCGAGAAACATCGAGACCAAACTGGCCGAATACCCCGAAGAACGGAGGAAAGATGTGGTGCTGCTATTCTCAGCCCACAGCCTCCCGATGAGTGTGGTGAATAGAGGTGATCCCTACCCTGCCGAAGTGGCTGCAACGGTCCATGCCGTCATGAATCGACTGAAATTCTCCAACCCATACCGACTTTGCTGGCAATCTCAAGTGGGACCTTCTGCATGGTTAGGAGCACAGACAAGTGACACGGTCAAGGAGTATGTGGCCCGAGGACAGACGGATTTGATTCTGGTGCCCATTGCCTTCACGAGCGACCATATTGAAACTCTATATGAGTTGGACAAGGAGGTCCTACATGAAGATGCCAAAGGACACCCCGGAGTAAAACGAGCAGAAAGCCTGAATGGGAATCCCATTTTCATTGAGGCGCTGGCAAATATTGCCCATGCACACCTGCAGAGCGGCGAAAGTTGTTCTAGGCAGATGGGTTTGAGGTGTCAGGGATGCAAGAGCGAGAGATGTTTGGAGCAGAAGAAATTCTTTGCCGGAGAACTCGCGAATGTACTCCCAACTGTCAGATAGGAGCAATAGTGTAAAATACCACCCCGTCTGGCACGAAACACCACTTCACGGGTCCCTCTTGAAGTTATGACTAATATGCCACGCGGCAAACTTTGGAATTTTATCTATGTTGGGCTCGGAGGATCAAGTGCCGACTCTGTGCTAAAGGGCGGTGGTGCCAGGATTGGCCCCTTGGGCATCCCATTGAATCCCGAACAGCGCTGGCATGCTGCCCTCGGATTGGAAATTTGATTCAATAAACCGGCTTTAGGTAGGGTGGTTTGTTACCAAAATCCGAAGCCATTGAAAGGCTTGAATGCTAGTTGGCAGTTTGCCCCATCCCCTGGTCCAGCTCCTAGACATACCCCTACAGTCACTGGCGGATGCCCAGTTCCTGATATGAGACGTATCCCGTGTCCTTCTCCTTCACCAACATCCTTGATGCTCGTCCCGCGTCGATGTCTTCCCGCCTCCGTCCTCGTCCTCCAAATAATGCATAGATTACGTCAAGACACGTCGCACGTCTACAGCTAGCATTTCGTTGTTACAATCAAATCAGATCAAAACACTGGTGCCTGGGATTGATAATCCCCCCTTCACCCTTGAAGATCAAACTTCAGATAAGACTTTGCCGCACGGATGCGGTGCACCACTCTGTTTTATCCGCCCACGAACAGATAGACCGTTCCTCCGACGAAACGATAATCCATACGTGCATTATCCGATTCACGACCACTTTCAATGGACCAAGAACAGATCTTCGCCGCGGAGGCTCAAGAGGAAGCGATCTTACACCAGGATCTATCCATTGATTCGGGTATTGGTACACAGTTCCGTGTTGGGGACGACGATGAGTTGGACGACGAGAACAGCCCCTTGATGAGCCCCCGTCGTCGTCGCCCACCAAGGACAACCGAAGCGAGAAGCAGATCGAGCTATGAAAGAGCCATCAATGAACCGTGGAACGGTGCCAATACATCATCCGGTCAACCCTGGCATAAGAGACCTTCGGTATGCTTCCTATCAGTTCCCAACTGGGGCCAACTTACTTATGTTTACAGATTTTCTGGCTCCTTCCTGCCTTTTTCCCATTCTGTCTCGCTTTTGGCGGCGTCATTGTCCCCAAGACCTATCTTATTCTCGAACTGATCTGCGAAAAATATTTGTCGGATCAAGCCAAAAATGATTCCAATTTCAAGTATCTGCCTTCCCAACTCAGTCCGGAGAAACCCGAATGCAGGGACGCTCATGTGCAGTCTCTCGTGGCCAACTTCAATTTATATTACAATCTCTTGTCGGGAGGGTTTTCCGCAATTGTATCGCCTCAATTGGGTTCACTCTCGGATCGCATTGGCCGGAAGAAAATCATCATCTTCACCTCTTTGGGTGCTCTCAGTGCTGAGGTTATTACTATCATCGTCGGCAGAAATCCCGGCCAGGTCTCTGTCTACTGGATTCTCCTGGGGGGGCTTCTTGATGGCATTTGCGGCTCTTTCACGACAGCCATGGCATTGGCGTTTTCATATGCATCAGATTGCACGGCCCCAGAGCGCAGGAATGTCGCTTTTGGTTATCTCCACGGAACCCTCTTCCTTGGAGTCGCGCTGGGACCAATCCTAGCAGGCCGTCTCATCGACCTTACTGGAACAGTTATGATTGCATTTTATGTTGCGTTCGGGTGCCATATCTTTTTCATCTTGTTCATTATCGTTGCTGTCCCGGAGTCTTTGTCCAAAGAGCGACAATTACTAGCAAGAGAAAAACGACATATTGCAAAGGCTGAGGCACCGGAAAAGGACTGGATTACATCATTGAGGAATTACAACCTGTTTGAGCCTCTCTGGGTGCTTCGACCGACGGGGGAGGGATCCAGCCCTACGCTCCGAAGGAATTTAGTTCTCCTCGCTGCCATAGACACCATGATGTTTGGTGTGGCTATGGGAACCATGCAGATCATCATCATTTATGCCGAATATCGATTTGGCTGGACGGCCGTCAACGCGAGCATGTATCTTTCCGCGGTCAACATCTGTCGAGTCCTGGGTTTAGCTGTGCTCCTACCTATCCTTACAAGAGTGTTCCGCGGTCCAGCGCAACGGCGTTCGGCCGGACACAAGGGCTCAGACATGCTTGACATCAACATCATTCGCGGCGCAATTCTGTTCGACCTCTTTGGCTATATCGGGTACGCAATCTCTCCGACCGGCGCGATCATGTTCATTTCTGGCATGGTTGCATCCCTTGGTGGAATTGGCTCACCTACTCTACAATCCTCCCTCACCAAGCATATTCCCGCCGATCGAACCGGCCAAGTTCTCGGTGCGTCAGGACTATTGCATGCTTTAGCGCGTGTTGTTGCTCCCACTGTCTTCAACCCTATCTACAGTCATACCGTGGGAATCTACGCAGGCACTGTTTTCCTTTGCTTGGGCTCAATCTTTATTGTTGTCTTTGTTCTCAGCTGGTTTTTGAAGCCGCATGGTACGTTTTCATCCTTATCGCCATATCAGTCATTTCGTATTCTAACCCACTCTAGTATATCTCACTGACCCCTCGGTAAATCTTGGAGAGGATGACAGGAATACTGATGAATAGATTTGAGCCTTGATCGTATCGTATAAATTTATAACATCTATGACCCCATAGACTTTAGATCTCCTACGGGGATTCGATAAAGGAACTGTTGGTTGGGAGAGCCGCCTAAGATTCTTTTTGGTCAATTTGATATGACATTAGACTCGAATGAAATAGTGCCATTTGCGTCTTTTCAACATTAACATATCTTGACAACCGTTTCGCTGCTCCTACCTAGGTGGCAGTTGTAAGTCTGCTTGCCGCCATTTGTGCGCGAGGCTCAGAGCTTGGCAAGTTTGTCTTCGCTGGACAGTCAGTTTTCGTCATACCACTGTGAGAGCTTTCAACGCCGCTGGTAGTATGACAGCAAAGTCGTCGGCGTCAATGACAGAACTCAAACTCGATCAAATACGACGACATCCGAATTGACCTCCTACAGTTGATGACCTATTCTAGGTCTCCAAATCCCGAGGGAATGACACCATCATGGCTTCTCAAACCCCTCTTGTTCCGTCGAAAAATGCCCTTCGAGCCCTTCGTCGTTTAGCATTATTCTCTCCCACCGTGATCGCCGGCACCTTGGGGAGCATATGCGGAATTGCAACGTTGACGGTCAATTACCACATATATCGGAGAGTTCAACTGGCTGAACGAATTGTCGAAACGAAGAGAATATTACGATCGGTATCCAGCGGAACAGCTGCGGCTCAGCTGCGTGACATGTTTGAAGCTGCGGAACGGAATGAGGACTTTACTTTGCAAGCAAGAAATGCAAAGAGGAGGAAGAAGAAGAGCTCCAGGTCTTTCTCGACTGCTGCTGTTCCTGTCGCTTCAGACCCGGATTTCGACACATGTCCAAACGAAACACAGTCGTTCCAACAAATTGAACGCACCCAGAGATATGGCTCTCATCCAAGATCAAAACCACTCCGAAACGAAAACTCATATACGCCAAACTGGAAGGGAGAGCATGTGCACAGCTTGTCCTTCGAGAAGCTTGCTGTGACAAGTCCACAAAAACAAATCACTCGGAATCGTCGTGCACATCCCCTGAAGACAAACATCCCGCCAGGTCTCCAAAATGATCGCCCTGCAGACTCGAATCGGTGGGGGTCAAAGAGCATCCCAGATCCTGCCCACAAGTGGTTGCAGCCAGCTTCGAGTGCTGGCGATGGACAAACTCCAGATGGGAGTTGGAGTTGCTCGTATGAGCCAGGTCAAGTCGGCCTCCGTGGAGACGACAGGCCTGGTCTCGATGAAATGCAAAGTGGCGCGAAGCTTGATAACGATCCAGGCAGGAATTTCCTCGTCAGAGATCAGGGCAAATATCAATCCAGTCCTTCATCACTGCCGGAGGCGTGCTTTAGGCCGCCACCTCGGATCGATCACGCAAGGACTTCACGACAAGAGTATTTCGACCTGCAAAATTTATCCCCCCCTCAAGGGCTCTCTGAATCCCGATCATGGACCCACGCCACTAGGGTATCGCCAAAAAGGCAGGGGACATTACCAAAAAAGCAGAAGGTGTCGTCAAACAGGCCCCGCAGTCAGCTGGTGGAACAGACTAGCCATGATCTGTCGAGCTTTATTCAACGTTCTACAAAACAAAACTTTGACAGCGCTGCGTCGGACACTCCGCTTTCGCCCGGATCAGCTGTGTGCGATGACAATGAAATTTTGATCCAAGAATTCCTGACTCTCTTGAACCATGCGGAGGGAGCCGCTCCGGATACAGTCCTCATCGAAACATTGCTAAGCTCTCTCCAAAGACATGTTATGGGTCAAGTCATCGGCATCGTTGATTGGAATAGACTTGTGACCATTCAAAAATTCATACGGCCAGGAAATCGAAATATTGATGAATCATCCATGTTTCGCCGAGCCCTGGCCGTCATGAGATACTACACTCAAAGATGTACCCCTCCAGATTGGGCAGCCGCGAAAGTAGCATTTCTTATCCATCGGCACCTCCTTGATGTTCCCGGTCTCATTACCCGACCTGTTTTCGACCTTGTACGGCATCTACTTGAAATGGATCCGGAATCTAGCTCTGTCGAAGAGATCCTTTTCCCTTTGCGTCCTACACATGCCAACGAAGAAGATTCCAGTGTCGACATATTTGATATGTCAAGCAAATATTTGGCCCTCTTTTGCGACGAGAATCAAAGTTCTTCCGCCTGCGTTCAAGAAATGGAAAAGATCTTTGGTGTTGCGAGGCGTCGAGGACTCGAGTTGAGTGAGACCCTTGTATTGCCTGTTCTTCAAGCAATGGTGCGTTCAAGAGACATCGATGGAGCCGATATTCTCTTCGACCAGCTCGAACCTGTGTACGGGATTAAAAAGACCATACGTCTCTGGAGCAAGTACGCCATTTGGCTTGCGCGCGAGGAGAATTGGGAAATGGTGCATGCAATTCTGCGCCAAGTACATGATGCGGGCATTCCCAGAGTTATGCTGAAACAGTACGAGGCCATGTTTCATCACATACTGGAGGAATTTATTTCCCAGAATTCGGCCACTCGGTCATTCGGTTTCGCGGTCAACGCCATCAAGCACTTTGGCATGGTTCCCACTGGACTAATATCAAGAACAATTATAGTGACGTGCATGAAGGAGCGTCGCTATGACCTGGCCACCGAGTGGACATACCTGATGAGCGAAGCTTTCCCCCGGATGGGGTTAGGTTTTGAAACTCGCCAGGGAATGTGGCTCCTTGCACATACCTTGAGAGATATTGGCGCGAGTTGTGAGGAAATCGCGGACGCATTTCAACTGATCGTTCATGGCTCTTGTGAACAGCCATTTCTCCATCCTTTGAGGCAGCTCGTGAGCGACCTTGTGGAGGAGGATCTACGTCACAGATTGTGTGCTGCATCCGCCCGTACATCGGCAGGCGAATTGTCAGCGAAGGAAATTCCTTTGATGACCATAAATGAACTGATTGAAGAAGCTAAACGGTTCTGTCTTCTGTCGGCGACACCGGGAGTTGGAGCCAGCGCCCTGACAAGTGCCCGAGATGACATTGCTGTCCAACTGGGCGCGATTGAGAAATTGAGAAAGATCTTCAGAGGCGGGCTTAGTTTCGGCAACTTTTTCTCTCGGGGAGACGAACGAAAAACGGCTTCCTCTACAACCCGTCGCATCTCTGAGTCAGCTCGAAAATGGAACGAGACGTTGGAAGCTCGGGCATCATTTCCAGAAGCTGTCACCCAAGACAAGTTGCCGGAATATGAGAAGTTAACATGGGCGGTCGAAAACTACTATGCACATCGGGAAAAGCAGGGTCTTCCCGTCAGTCACTCAGTGCTCAGATACCTCCTGGCTACGGTCTCGGCAGAGGAATCACCGTCTGCTCTCATGCTGGTCGAGGCGATTCACGCAAGCGGTTTTGTCCAGGGCCCAAAAGGAGTCCCATTTGACAATGATCTCTTCCTGAAGTGGTTTCATGTGGTAGCTGTCAACGGCTCTGTCAAGGCAGCAGCAAAAGCGCTGTGGGCAGCGATCGATACTGGCAGGCAACTACAGTGGACATCGGATTTTACTTGGTTTCTCAGCTTGGTGGCTACTCTTCGAACTAGCAGTGGTTACTTCTGGGCCCAGTCAAATGAGAAGCCACTCGAAACAAACACGGAATTAGAGTATTTGACACGCAGAATATGGTTCAATCGGGCTCGTACCCGGCCGACGGCTGTGTCTGGACCTGATTCTGGATTGCTTCCCAAATGGACTGAATGGGAAGAGGATTGGCACGGATTCCAGGATGAAGAAAGCGAGACGTAATTACGGATTTACTTATGTATATAATTGTTTAAACTGACGGATGGATATCCCTGAAGAGCGGGCGACATGCCTGTGTCCGAAAATTGCGGACTGTGCGGCCGCTCCGACCGATTGACATCATTCCCCCGATGACGATGACTGTTTTCTGAACGTGATTCACCTTAAAGCCATCTCGATTGCCAGATCGATGCTAGTATACTCTTGAAACTTCCTCGTATCCCGCCCCCATGGATCGATACAAGAACAAGGCCACGTCCCTGCCAGAGATTCCGCTAACCCGTCCAACCTTGCACGTCCCTCCCTCGCCGAGATCATCCATCACCAAGCACGCAACATGTCAAGAGATCTGCTAGCTCAAACTCTCGAAGGCAAAGTTGCCATTGTCACAGGCTCATCTCGAGGCCTGGGCGCCGATATGGCCATGGATATGGCACGGCGTGGTGCAAAAGTAAGGGGATATTTATCGACACAATGACCGAATCACTTATGCACTCTCTCAGGTTGTGGTAACATACATATCACCCTCATCCGAAGAAAAAGCCGCAAAACTAGTCTCAGACATCAAAGCCCTTCCCAACAATGCTTCCGCCATCCACGTCCGTGCCGACCTGGGCGACATAACTTCGCCCGCTCACATCGTCAAGTCTACGACCTCGGCATTCGGCCCTGATATTCATATCCTCGTCAACAACGCCGCGCTCCAAGTGACTAAGTCCCTGTCCGAGATCGCCACAGAGGACTACGAGCGCCTCTACAACGTCAACATCCGTGGAGCTATCTTCATGACCCAGGCCGTTCTACCGCATCTCCGCCCTCAGTCGCGCATTATCAATATTTCGTCCGTGGGCGGGCGGGCCGGCTTCGCCAGTTTGTCTTTGTACACGTCCTCGAAGGCTGCGCTGGAGGGATTCACCAGGTCCTGGGCTGCAGAGCTGGGAGGAGACGGGACGACGGTGAATGCGGTGGCGCCGGGCCCGGTTCAGAGTGAGATGCTCAATACGATTCCGACGGAGATCGTCGAGATGCAGAAGGCGAATACGCCAGTGGGGAAGAGGGTGGGTGAGAGTATTGAGGTGGCGAGGGTGGTTAGTTGGTTGGCGAGCAACGAGGCCAGTTGGGTGAGTGGCCAAGTTATTAATGTGTCGGGAGGGTGGACGATGTATTAATGCATGAAAGAATTGATTGATGGAGGATGAAGAGAAGGTGTGAAGACGCGATCATGCGAAGAGGGTCGTTTATGGAGAATGCGGAGGTATATGACCATTGAGACGAGAGTGGTAGGTGTATGACCAGTCAATCAGTTAGACAACCTCTGGAACAAGCCACAGAGCCTCTCTCAATCTAAATCCTACCGAACTAGCTACGTATATATCTAGGCCCACGAGCATCTGCTGCTCGTGGGAATATTCTACTCCTGATCTATCATGTCATATCATTCATCATGCATGTATATACGCGCCCAGTAACCTGCAAACACCCCCCCCCCTTTTTCTCTTTTAGTTTCACCCAATATCTCATTATCTCAGCACTAATATCTCTCATCCGCACTGATCCTATAGGTCCCTCCACTGGCATACCACGCCGCCATGATCAAATCACACAGATCTTTGGCCTCTACATCCTTCAACGGCAAATGATGCCCACCCTCAAAATCCATCTGGAAACAATTGTCACTCTCACACGCCTCCTTCAACGCCTTGCATCCCTCCATGACATGGTCATCCCTCCCCCACGCGTGCACCGTCGGAACTGTCCTCAACAACTCGTAATCCTTCACATCAACTTCTTCTGCCATAGCAATAGGCGGGAACGGCCCTCCAATCATAACCCCGAACGCGAATTTCCATTTCGAACTCCCCAGATCTCGTTCCTCACGTTTCTGTCGTAGAAGCAAACCAGATACCAATCTCGCACCCTGTGAAAAGCCGATGACGCCCTTGAAGCATTCTATTCCACCGTTCTCCCGCATGACACGGAGCAAAATATCGTCGACGGCCTGGATTTCGTCTGTGGGGGTAAGCTCGACGTCGCTTTCGCCAGATTTAAAGCGTCGTGTTACCCAGCGGTAAAAGGGGGCGCAGGACGCGAAGACAGGGATCATGCCGTGGCCGGGGGTACCTTCGATGGGGGCCTGGGCAAAGACGAAGCGGAATTGTTTCTCCAGGTTCCAGATTAGGCGGCGGCATTGAATTTTGAAGACGGTCGAGTTGGAGCCGCCGCCATGCAGGCACAGGACAGCAGGGAGGGGGTTCCCGGCACTGTCGTGCGTAGGTCGTGTAGACGACAGTGTCGACATATCGCTATCCTTTTCGGTCGTGGTTGGGGGAGGAGCGTTCAAGGATTTTGGGCTGCGCTCGGTTGGTCAAAGGGAGGAGAGAGAAGTGTGTTCATGGACAATTGAGCTTGAAGAATCAGGAATGGTGTCCCTCTCCTTTTTCAACGCCTTTCCTTCTCACTTCCACCTGCGTGTAACGTCGATCATTCAGCTTAAGGTCGGCTCACCTTTCTAGGCTTTTGTTCAAAGGAAATATTGAGGAACTGGGACAGTCTCTTTTCGGCGACGGTGTATATTTTGGCTTCTGTCCCCCCTTAGGTTAATCTTCTTTTGAGTCTAGTTTATTGGTCTTGAGTTGTTGCAGATATAATGGAAGGATGCGGTAGAAGAAGAATAACGGGCGACACGTGACGAGCTGATACGGAGAGCGATAGCGGACAAGGCTCTACAGTTCAACGCAAGTTGCAGGGAAATTTCCCGCCGAATTTGGCGGCCTGTGCCGCCGCTTTTGGGAGGGTTTCTTCCCTCGATGCCAAGATCGCTACCCTGGTCTTCTCCCAGGTTGACTTGCCTTCCTATGCAACTACGCAGCCATCTCTGGGGACTAGAAACAGTACCCCCCTTTCAGAAACAGTAAGGGATCCGTCCAACTCCTCGAAAGCGACGGGCGCCTTTGACTACACTACCCTGACCATGACGCCTCGAGGACCTGGAGGAACAGTCCCTCTGGATTTCCTCCCACTGCCACCGAAAGAAAGGGCCTTGTCCGACCTTCGCAAAATCGGCTCTCCTCTCATGCACTCCAGCGACTCTACCCAACTTTGATGTCTAAATCCGACTTTCCTATTCTACTTGTCAGTAACGGCTTCGCATCATCTACTCCTATTGGGAGAGGGAAGGAGTTGGGGAAAGGAGGATCTTCCCGAAGGCGGTATAGCTGTACAGCCTCTCAACCAGAGGCCAGCAGCCCAATATTCGGCCGAGCATTATCGACAACATCGTCGACGACTTGCTGAAAAGGGTACTGTGAAGAAATCACATGCAGACTCCACGAAAGAAAATATTTGGGAAGTGATGAAGAAATGGACTCGGTAAGGGCGTGCACTATAAGGTAGGTGACACTCACCCGATACAGAACGATGGGTGTGGTACGAACAACCTATAGCTGTTGCAACTCAGCCTCAGCTTCAGCAAGTTATGTCCCATCGGGACGCTGGTATCTATCAAGCGTACATCAATTAACGTGTCCAACGTGACGTACAGGCTGCATTCCTCGGCCCGCCTTCGTCCGGGGCTCTGTTTAAAGCGGTCACACATGAGTCGATATGCCGACCTACGAGCACCGACCGAGCTCCATTCAGATGATGTTGACGCTCTTAAGGCCGACCCGGCGATGGTTCAGCTTCGAGAGCGGAGGGACCGGTTAACCAATGAAGCGCGCAAAGAATCTGGAACCCTGAGGAAGGCGGAAGCTGAAGGGACCAAGATCGATCAGATGTACAAGGAAGTCGACAGAGCGCTTCGTTCTGCAAAAATGACAGCACTCGATTCGGCGAAGAAAGCCTCTCGACAGCAGTTTTTCGACACAATCAGCACAATTGAGATCAACGAGCAACTTGATCTCTCCATGCTAGATCTCAATGAAGGCGACTGGGAGCCTAAAAAGGTGGAACACCATTTGGAAGAACGACGAGTGGTTGCAGATCTTTTCCCAAAAACCATCTATGGAGAGGTTTAGCGTACGAAGACCCGAAGTCATTTTGGATTGATTTGTGGCGCTGTGACCAAGACTGACACAGAAGTTCCATGTCCGGTGTCTGCATCTTGTCCCCTCTGACGATGTCTGACTTATTAATTTCCTTGCCAGAGAGCCGAATTTTCCTCGCAAAACCGTTTCATCACCGTCGACTGAAAGGTGATTTCTTGAGAATTCAAGTGGAATGCAAATATGTTTGCTTCCAACAACTTATCGCCGGCGTCGGCGTCGACTAGATCATAGAAAGCGTCCCACGAGATGGATCCCTTTTTTAAAAGCTCACGCATAATTACCGCTCCCTCCTTGTGATAACGACGTTTAGGAAGAACTTCAGCATCCAAGAGTTGTCCTTTGGCGTCGTTGAGCATCATCTGGCGGGTATCTAAAAGGCAGTGAGAAACTAAACCTGTTTTCTGCATGCTGTACACATACCTTCAAATAAGCTGTTTCTCTCAAGCTTGTCTGCGATGAACTTGAGGTGTATCATGCGGCCACCAACAAGGTGATAAATTTGCGCTGCCTGCTCCCCATCGATGTTCCGGAGTCTGAGGTAGTGTAGAGCTTCCTCTTTGCTCACATCACCAATTTCGATGATTTCCCCTCTTCTCGACCATGAACTTCTCCCTGTAACAGTTAATTAGCATATAATAAATAAAAAAGGCTGTAGACATCCAACATGATTAACTTACCCATCATGCGACGTGGTACCCAGCCTTCACTTGACACATACACAACGACAGCTGTTCCCTCATCAGCAGCGTCCTTCGCATAGTCCTGGAATAGGTCAAGAAGCTCCGGCAGCTTCTGGGCGAGTCGGTTCGCATTGTCGACTATCAAGACCGGTGCTCTCCCATACTCCTGCTTGTACTTGGTAGTGAGACGGGAAAAAGTCTGCAAAACTTCTTCTAAAGTTGCCGCTGTGAATCAATTAGCCTCAAGCAATACTCATTGGAAGGAACCGCAGTAGATACGTTCGCTGGGATCGATCAACGGATCTAGGCCCCAACCCAAAGACTTTTGCATCGCCCTGGCAACATCGACTTCTAAGCTGCATCGATTCGGGATACGGACATATACGACACCCTTAGGCTCGTCCATACCATTCACGACGAGCTTGATCAGGCTTGTCTTTCCGGTTCCGTGCTCTCCGATAATAAGGGAGTAAAGACGATCTTCCTCCGTTGGTGTGACGATATCTTTTATTTCCTCCACAAGGCCCTTGCGTGGGATAGTGTATTTAATCGCCCGCCGAAATATCGGTCCCTTTTTGAGCTGATCGTAGATTGCAGATTCGCGTGTAGATTCGTGTGCACGTCTCTGAAATCCTTCGTACCAATTTTTCCACATCTCCTGGGTGACATATCCTGTGAAAGTCTTTGGCAATCAGCGCGCTTCAACTAACACAGAGAGGGAACCTGCGCATACAATACCAATTGCGCCTAGGCCCAAAGCTTTACCCCAGCCCCTGACCTTATCCCAGGTCTCAGACGAGAACCATTTCTTATCCTTAGGCCCAGAAGATTGAGAGCCTTCAGGGGATCCAGCAGATTTTAGAGAGGTCGAGTCTGAGTATGATCTGGAGCCGAGAGTCTGTAGCGTAGGGTATTCAAGTTGGAGGACGGTCCGAGGTGAAATACCGCGCTGTCGAGGTGGCCGAAGGAGTAGACGAGCCTCAAAGGCCGCATTAACCACGAACTTGGATGCCATGGTTGCAATGATGCGTGGTGCCGTAATAGGACAGCACCTGAACTTTCCACCACTCTACGTGCGGCAGAATATTGGATAGATGGGTTGCTCTTTGAGTTCTATGGTGATAGATTGTGAAGTCTAGAAAAGGAAAGCAAGACTGATGATGATTATGATTTTCTTACACTCGTGCCGGCGGCTAAGTCTATGGGGAACTAGCGTTACTCTGTCGGTCTGTCGTCGGCCCACCAAACTCACTTCCTGATCCTCCAGTCGTTGACTCTTTTCTCCTTGCGTCGATTCCATCTATGAGAAAGCAAGACTGAATAAGGAGGAAGGGTGCAAGTTGCGATATTGCCAAGACAACTTTCTCCGCGACTTAGGGATCGTTTGTGCTCACGTGATTAAAGCGGAGCTTTTTCTACACTCCGACCCCCCCGCCCCCGCACGAAGGATCAATTTTTCTCGCGTGACTGGAGTCGTCTCCGATTGGCCAGAAAAATGCTAAATCACATGATCTCGCAATCACCTGATCGCGCGCGATCGATGCGCGAGAGAGAGTGCGCGCTCGCCCGCATGCCGTACCTCGACTTTTCTTTTCTCTCCTCTCCTCGATGCGCGAGGGCACCTCTTCCCCTCTGTCATGTCTAACGTCGATGCCAAATACTGCTCGGCCTGTCTCCAAAAGCGCTCACACTCTTTTTTTCTCAAAGATGCCGCCGCTCCCCCTGGGAGTAAGGTCTTTTCCACCTGTATGGCCTGCCGTGACAAGTCCAGAAAGAGGAGGGCTCGACAGCCGTTACGGTCGACGATCCCGTCCAAGAGGCGTGCGACACCGCTCATAGAAGCTTCTACACGTCCAGGGCGACCTCCTCTCCTCCAACCTCCTCTACCTTCGATCCTCCCTCCTCTCGCTCAACGCGCTCTCTCTCCCCCTCCTCAACCTCCGACGCCCGTCCAATCTCAACCCGACCCTCCTCCAGCCTCGGGCTTTCTCCCCGCCGAACAATGGGCGTCCATCCAAAGTTTTCATGCCGCCATGGGATCAGGTCAAGATGGAGACCTACAGCCGCTATCACGCACGGTGGTTCTCCATGGATTTGAAGAATGACATCTGCCATGCCTATTTCTTGCGGGATCAGGGCGGCAAGATTCCCATTCTCATGTCCGCCGAGAACGGCATGGACCCGGGAGAACGGCCAGCCCATCTGCGCACGCTGACCCAAATCGAGGAGATGATCGTCGCCCGGTCGCATGTGCAAATGATGGTCTATCGCTACCGGGGCCACCAATACCACTACTCGGGACACTGTGTAAGTTTCATGCAAAACACGATGAAGACGGTTGATATACTGCCTAATCTGCCCGCGGAACTAGACGTGGTGGTGTTACGGCCCTCGGATCGCGTCGTCGAGCATGATCTCCGCTATCGACGCCAGTTTCGGTCGGATTTTCGGGTTCGAAAGGGACATGTCATGACCTGGCTGCGGTTTCTCCAGGCGCACCACCCAGATTACCGGTATGTCACCATTTCCCCGGATCGGATCGATGCTCAACCGATCGATGGCGACATATCCTCATCGTTTCTCGCTCTGATCGACGATACGAGTATGGGGGAGGAACCCCCCGCGCCCGAACAACCGGTGTCCGCCGAGCTGCCCCCGCCGAATTCTCAATCGATGGTCCCCAATCTCAATATCACTACCACCGAGGCGGATCTAATCGTAAGAGAGATTGCCAGCCGGAATTCCCCCCCTCACAGCCTTCCCGCATCCTCGATTCGACAGAGCCCTATCGACGAAGCGTCGGGAAAGATCGGATCTTTGCCATGGCCTTCCCGACATTGTATCCGACGGGCCAGGCCGATTTCAACGCCCCCCGGATACGAAAGGTGAGTTTAACCGATTACGCGCGCCATCTGATGTGCTTTCACGACGGCGGGTTCGGCCGGCACCCGCGCTGGCGGTTTTTCGTCTTCAACCTCCTGATGTGTCGAAAGGCCAACGGCGCGGCCCGTTTCTACGTGTCGAAGGCGTCCGGTCTGAAAGATCTCAGTCGAGAGGAGCTGACGGAAGCCCTGCTGGCCGACGATGCCCTCCTCCCTCAGATTGTACGCCAAGGTTCCGATCTGACGGGGACGCGCCCGTTTTGGAGAAGTAAGAGCAACCACTTACAAGCCCAGGCTCGCTTTCTCCCGCCCGGTATGTCGCCTGTTTTTGTGACTTTGAGCGCCGCCGACATGCAGTGGCAGGACCCAGTTTCCTCTCTGGCTCGCATATGCGATTACCGTCTACAAGAGTCAGGGATTAACACTGTCCAAAGTGGTGATAAACCTGAATCAGAGAGAGCATTGCCTGGGCCTTTCGTATGTAGCCGTGTCACGCGTGAAGACATTAGATGGGCTGTTATTTGAGGCGCCGTTTGACTTTGAGCGCTTTGTGAGTGTACATACAGTGGGATCCCAAGAACGGGACTTGGACTATACTTTTAGAACAACACAGTTATTATGACTAGGGGTCGAAATCGCTAGCTATGTAGATAGGCTCCTGTTGGATAGAGATGAGAGGTTTCCATAGACGACGACGTTACAGATGGTTGTTCTGTGCAACGATGTAGCATTCGTGTGTCTATAAAAGGAGCCTCAGGACCTCGACAAGTAGATAGAAAACAGATCGCTCCTTCATCTCAAGTTGCACAAGAAGTTTGACAGCTCCATTCTCATCGCCGATATCCGGGCACAATCTATCGGTGTATCGCCGTTATCGTTGCCGGCTTTCCGAATTGAGTATACCGTCATCTACTTTATGGTCCATGGACTGGATCCGATGGAGGATATCGTACGGCACAGGACACTGTGATCAACATCGTCTATATATGATCCATAGACTGGATCCGATCAGGGCGGTCTGGCAGACAAAGGCGGCATTCTACCCATTCCTGGGCGAGCCGTGGATTGGATCCGATGGGGTCAGCCAATGAGAGCACGTGATTAAGTGTCGGATTATAGATTTTCCGGGATACGTCGCACTCTACCCACTCCTGGATGGGCCGTGGATTGGATCCGATGGAGCCAGCTAATCAGAGCACAGGATTACGTAATTAACGGATTATAAATTTTCCGGATTGCCGAGGGTTGGCTAATCACGTGATACGAGAGGCCCCAGGTTTGGCCCATGGACTGGATCCGATGGGGCCAGCCAATCAGAGCAAAGGGTTTGGTAGTTGCTGGATTATAGATTTTCCGGATACCGAAGGGTCGGCAATCACGTGAGAAACGCCAAGAATTGCCAAGAACAAAGTGGCCGGCTCAGTCACGTGATGTCTCGAGCGCAGCGAGGCATAGGGGTTTGGGGGCTTGCCCCCAAAATACAAAAGCTACGCTTTTTTACCCCCCGGCGGAATATCCTGTCCGCGGCCCCTAGTTTTTGCACAATGTGAACTCCGCCAAGAATTGCCAAGGCCTATGTGATGGGCCAATCACGTGGGTTAATGTCTTGGCACTGTTGCAGCTACTGGCCCTGCAGGTCACTCACCCACTCAACCAATTCCACTCAATCGAGAACCTTCGAACGCAGTGAGGCCTGGGGGTATGGGAGCTAAAATACTCTACGCTTTTAACCCCCCCGTGAATATCCTATCCGCGGCCCCTAGTTATGCTCTAGTCGAGGCGTAGATAATGGAGGCGTCAGCTGAGCTTGCACGTTGCAGCCGGTGCAAGTTAAATGTACCATGGAGAAATCGAGGATGGGAAGGGATGCACTACAGGGTGCATTAAGGCGACGGAGGGGAAAGACGATAGATTAAAAGGGGTGACGGGTTCCTTATAGACGTCAAAAGCGGCGGCGCGCCCAGCCTACGACCATACCCGAAATGGTAGGGCCGCCCAAACCGGATGCGCATTTCCCCTTTACGATAAAAAGTGATGGAACGCCTTGCTGCCTAAAAAGCATGTGCTTCGTTTCATCAATCGTTGTTCCCCACTAGGTCAAAGGTTATGTCTCGGAATTTTTCATATACAAGCCATCATGGGGCTTCCCTCCCTGCCGCTCTCGTCACATCTCATTCCAGCTGCTCTACTTCAAGAATGTGGAATGGACAACAATGCCCGTCGCATTCAAGTCTTTGAGACAATAAAGGTATGCTTCAGCCAAATCTTCCGGCTGTCCAACTTTTCCCGTGGGGATTTTGCTCTGGTGATCTGCAAAGAAAGCCTTCCTACCCTCCTCACCCAATCCTTGCCACAAATCCGTCTCAATGACACCAGGAGCCACAGCATTGACTCGAATCGGAGCAAGGTCGAAAGCCAACTGTCTTACCAGACCGTTCAGACAGGCTCCAATAAGTGCCAGCATGGACCATCCACCAGCAATTGGTTTCTCAGAGATAGACCCCCCGGACAAGACAATGGATGAGCGTCGGTCCTAATGGCAGCAATGGTTCGGACTCGATTGCACTTCTGCCATTTCTCGAGCGTCACGGCCTCCAGAGGAATTGTAGGCAGACGATCACCAGCAATGTAGATGGCATGGTTGATCTCGCCAACTTTCTTGAAGAGCTCTTCGATATTGGACTCGACATTGGGGCTGGCTAAATCGCAGGCGAAACCTGAAACTCGATCTTTGGCTTCGGGATAGTCCTTGACGAGTGCAGCACAGACATCCTTGACCTTGGTTTCTCGTGACGATGAAAGAGTGACGAATGCCCCATACTCGAGAAGAGCTTGTGCTATACTGATTCCGACGCCGCCTGTGCCACCGACTAGGAGGACCCGTTGACCTGCAAGTTTGTTGGTGAATCGTACTGGAGACATGTTCAGAGATGATTGTGGAGGAAACGAATGGTAGAGTTGGTGAATGGATTTGGTATTCAATGCAAAAGTCCAATTGGTGATTGCTGGAAGGTGCATGCTGGACGAGTCAAGAAGGTATCAAGTTCTGTCGTATTTATTCCTGTCCATCCTTCTTCCTCTCCTTCTTTGATACTCTATCTCGGCCATGGAGGTATGCCCCGGATTTGCTTGAATTGTCTCCGTGTTTGCAGTGGAAGTTGCAAGCTTTGACAATTCTGCTTGTCGGCCAGAGAGAGATTCTCATTGGGAATATGTTTTGAATCGAGAAAGGTGATTTGCTGACACACACTGCATGATGAAAAGCGACAAAAACGCAACATCCCCATTCAGACCCAACTTGCCCGGCACTCAGAGGATACGGAGTTAGCTGAAATCAAAATCATTCGTGGCTATTCATGCTTTTGTGACCTCCGTGTTTTCGTACGAGATCCGAGCCGCACGGGTTCAGGTCAAGCCACATACTAAACACCAAAACTTTTGCCCTGAAGTTCCTCCTAGAAGATCGACAATGACCATCCCAACGATGATTCCAAAATCACGGTCAACCATCGATTCGTTGATCTTAATTCCAGATCAAGTTGTACTCTCTTCTTGTGTCTTGCAATCTTCGATTACTCAACCTCAGATCAAATAAGCAACAACCTTGTGAATGCTACACGCCCCTCGCCCTTTCCTGCGGATATCAATGTGGTACCTCATATTCAATGTACGTCGAGATAGGGACTTGCACATCGATCATGGTTGATTCCCTCGATCTTCATCTAAGAACTGATCGGTTCGTCCTTGCGATGGCCTCAATGGACAAACGTCATCTGTTATCAACCCACCTTTTATGGTGTACATAAACCGGGAAGAAGACATCCAAGGTGACTCTCCTCATTCCTATTCAAATCAACAATCATGTCATCTTCTTACCATCATCACCAATTGGAAAAACTTCAATCACTGCTAGATTTCCTTACCTGGCAAACATCACACAATAATGTCGAAGCCTCTCGTCTTTATCACTGGCGCTTCTGGCCATATCGGCTTCGCCGCTCTAGCACTGCTCCTCAAGAAAGGCTACCGAGCCCGCATTGCAAGCCGCAAACTCGCAAAGGCCCAAAAACTTAAAGATCTTCCCACTATCAAATCCTATGTGGACTCCATTTTCTTCGTTGAGATCCCAGACTTCTTGGCCAAGAACGCGTTCGATGAAGCCGTCAAAGATGTCGGCTACATTGTCCGCGTCGCCTCACCTATCCCAGATGATTCCCTGGTAGGCCAGGTATTCGACATCAAAGAGACATACATCGCACCCGCCATCCAAGGCGACGTCGGCGTGCTTGAAGCCGCCCAAAAATCCCCTTCGGTCAAGCGCGTGATCATCACATCCTCCGTCGCTGTTCTTTCTCCAAAAGGAGGCTCCACCAGCGTCGGCCCCGACAATCTCGCTCCACTGCCCAAGATCGAGAAGATCGCTCAAAATCCCTGGATCGCGTACAGAGCGTCCAAGATCCTCGCCAACGCAGCGGCTCAAGAGTGGGTTGAAAAACACAATCCCCATTTCGAAGTCGTCCATATCTTACCCTCGTACGTACAGGGGCGTCATGAACCCGCGACTTTGGCCCAGGACCTCGTCGACCGCATCAGCTCCAACAGCACCATGATCAATTTTGTCCTCGGCCACGAAGAGACCCAACCCCGTCCGAGCGACTTGGTTCTCGCCGACGACGTCGCGGCTACGCACGTCGCGGCTCTGGAGTCCAAGGATCGAGTGGCTGGAGATCGAGCATGTGGTGAAGAGATTGTTTCCCAGGGAAGTCGGGAGCGGTGTCTTGTCTCTTGGTGGCGAGCAACCTGGGTATGGGTTGAGGTTTGACGCGACGAAGACTACAGAGCAGCTGGGTGTTGAGCTTCGCGGGCTTGACGATATGGTGAGGAGGTTGATTGGACAGTATGTCGAGTTGGTCGAGAAGGAGAAGACGACGACGAGTTTGAGTAGAGGAAATGTGGTGCCTTTAAATCCCAGGGCACGCATGGACAGGGTGAGGTTCAGAGGTGCCGTTGATAGGAATGGAGATGTATGAGTTTGAATCCATGCTTTTTTTTTTTTGGGTTTGGTGTTCGCCACCCGCCGTTCGAGAGGTCCTCGAATATCCAAATATATGATAAAGGTGGTCCTATCGAGGCAAGAGAATTAGAGCCAAGGGAAACTCGGAATCCGCCCGTTTTTCTTTTGCACTCAAGAAGATATCTATGCGACATCCGCACGAAACACCAATGCAACACCATCGTCGCCGGCAGTCACGATCCTCGAGCCTCCTCCACCTTGCACGAAGCCCAGGACGCCTCCACCCTCACCCTCGCCTCGGTGTCCTTTCCACTCGTCGATAAGTCCCTGGCTTGCCGCGGCGGTTCCGCCTCGGACGTCCCATCGCCGTACGACGCCGTCCATGCCCGCACTCGTCAGTATCCACCATCCGCGTTGTGGATTACGGACGAAATCGACCTTCACAACCGCGTAGTCTTCGTGTGCTTCTTTGATGTGCCGCTTTACGGCAAATCGGTGTGCTGTGTCGAACAAGGCGATGGATCCGTCCACACTGCCGGCAGCGAGGAGGTTGAGTGGGGGCGAGGAGAACGAAAGCGTTTCGACGCCATCGCTTTGGGCTTGTAGCGATGCCAGAATCTGGCCGGCCGACGAGGCTGGGCCGCGGGATCCACCGCTGCCACCCTTTGCACTTTTTGAGGTGGGGTCTGCTGGTTGAGGCAGGCCTACAACTTTGATGTGTCCTTCTGCTCCGCCTGCTGCGACCATGGAAGATGTACACGCTACGATGTACAGGCCACCCTCGACTTCAAACCGTTGGTCCGCGGCAGTAAAAGACACGACTGCCTGGCCCGTGGAGAACACATCCCAGACGTACAAGCTGCCGTCTTCAGAGACAGTAGCTAGGAGCTTTCCATCCGGTGTCCATGCACCAGCAGTGCAGGATGCAGTGTGTAAATAAAATGCTTGTACGATGGTCAGGGGGCTTGCTTCGTCCGCCGCATTGATCTGATAGACCCAGACCGAGCCATCGCCGGCGCCGAGGGCGATGGCATTTTCCTGGTCGGGATCCGGGCAGGCCGACACCCAGTTTATCTCTTGCACTTCGGACGCTTCTGCCATAAATGTCCATCTTTTCCCCGAGGCGTCGTCACTCTTCCACGCTCGTAATTTCCCATCCAGGCCCGCCGTCACGACGTATTCGCCTCGAGGATATGTGAACGACGCGGCGTTGACGGAGTCAGTGTGTCCATCGAATTTCTGAATGGGCGGTATACTCTGTCTTTCATCCTGGAGTTGAGAGTTTGTCTGAGACTCGGGTATGGAGGCGTCGAAAAGGTATGCGACATCGTCACCTCCACCTGTCACCACAATGGAGGGGTTCGTGGGGTGTTGTGCTATGCAGAAGATGCTGTCTGTGTGATTGTCGAAATGGGCGACCGAGTCATTTTGTAGTTGAATTTCTTCCTCTTCTTCTAGATTTTCATCCTCGTCCATGGGGTGATCGGGGTCTTCCGGTATCTCTTCGGCTGCATCGTCTGCGTCGAGGAGATCATCATCTGCCAGGTCCTCGGGGGGTCGGCGAGAGTCGTCGTCTGGCATGACAGGTGAGGAGAAGAAAGGGATTTAAGGCGTAGCGCAAGAAGTGTTATTTGGGAGAATGAAAAATTTCTATTCACGGGAAAGAGTGCGACTATACAAGTGTCTATGCATGTGCCAACAGCTTAGAAATTATTTTTGCATCCGGCGCAAATGGCAAGTTGCATTGGACGCTTGCGTCATTCGCCAAGGTATTCAGCCTTATCGTCTCAGCCTCGTCAGACGGTGGAGGAATTTGTGAGCAAACCAGCCGCGAGACAGATAACTTTTCCTCGAGATGGAGGATTAGCCAAAGGCTTCGATTCCAAGGTGTGGGACGGATCTTGAGCCAGCGCTTCTGCTCAACCCCGTCAAGAGAAAATTGTCGCCAACCTCAGCTGTCCACCACTCTGTCCCTGCTTGCTTGCCGCTGGCAGAACAGCAAGGGACAATGTTGGGGTCATCTGATTGTGGCCGAATATTCAGCTCACAATAATATTGGATCACCTGCTCCCGAGACTCTTCATTCACCGAGAAGGGTGTCCGTTAATGCTTTCCAATCTCCAGAAACACGAGATGCACGAAACTCACGCGAGCTAGTGATTCTTCATGATTTGCATTGAAGATTTCAGAATCCTTATTCAAAGTTCACCCAGCCCAACAATCAAGTTTGTCTCACTGTCATCACTCAAACGTTGTAGACCCTATCAATGGAGAGATTGGATTTTCGAGACATAAGTTGAAAATTCAACTCTATCATCATTCATTGGTAAATTGACAGATGTCTTTGTTTCCTTGTCCGGTGGTAGGAGGACAATACAATCTCGTTCGGGCAGATCGTGCTCGAGGAACGGACCGTTGTTTTTCGTCCTCACAGCCGGTGATCGCCATTGCCGAGGCAAACTAATCGCGTATAATCTCAACTCAGTAATAGGGATAGCCTGTCAACAAAAGATTGATGATGCCGCTAAGGGGGATTGATGGGCTTTTCTGTGCCTTGATAGGAGCTCAAGGGGAATCCTGCAATACCCCAATCCACCTCCCCGTCTAGAATTGACTTCCAGGAGGGTATCCATCGAACCCATCCGCCTGGCGGCTGCCGTACTTTTGAAACACCCATTGTCTTCAGCCCAAAAGTGTGAGAATGGTGGCGGCTTCCGCTTCTAGAAGAAGGGATGTGGCCATAGTGGCGATTACTGAAAATTATTCGTCGGTCCAATGGAATGATAGATATGCAGTGGAATTCGACCCCCCCGGGTGGGAAACGAAAAAGAAAATAACCGGGCCAGTTCACGAGTCCAAGGGGGGGGCTTGGGGGCGTCATCGGTTAGGTTCGTTCGGCGAATTTCCAACACCTCCCTGCGGGTGTTTCAGATGGTCCGAGAACAGAGCCACTCTGTGCTAGGCAGGGAATAAGGAATGTCGGAATCGTAGCATCATTGGGTGAACAGAGAAGTTCGGGCTCTCTGTTTAGCACGAAGAGAAGAAACAGTTGGAATGGCCAATTGAGGTTGTTCGTAGAATTTTTATCTGCTGCTCACGCAAGCTTTTGCAAGAGGGGTTGCAGCCGCCAACCACCACGACGAACGCGCTCTATCAAGCTCTAAACCCACTACGACCGCCACTACAACCACTCTCGTACCCTCCAATTCATTTCCAGGACGTGTGCCAGGTCAATGCTTCTTCTCCTCCAACCGCCCATCTCAGCCTGATTTGGTTCATCGCCCGCACCGCACCCTAGATTGAACCCTAATCGAATTCCCTATCCACGAGCCACGGCCCTTGTCATCATTCACCCTCGACAAATTCGACAATCGTCTCAACGGCTCACACGTCCTCTATACCACGACCTACATTGTCCTCTGGGCGGTCTGCCACCGACTTCAGAAGCAGTTGGTGTTGTCCTCTGCCGGTTGGATTTCACCGCCGGCATTGTAAACTCTGTCGCAGGTTCAAGTGCGCGGACCATCTACGCCCTCCATCTGCCTCAAAACGACCCGTGAAACCCGTGCAGGACATTTTCCCACCTCTGGTCGTCTGTTTCCCTCGTCCATCGTCCGACTCTGGCCGCCGCACGTATGGTGTCACTGTTCTCTCTTGCTCGGCCGACCATTCTTCTCCGCTGAGGACAAATCCTGCCACAACCTCCACCGTCTGGTCCTGTTTGACCTTCCTCTGACCCGATTCACTCTAAACGTATAACAGAGTCCCCGCAGAAGCCATACAGACAATGGCTTCCGGCCAGGAGAATGGGTAGGTCCCTGTCTCTCTCTTTTTCTCTGTGTCTGTCGGTGTTGTCGGTTTATGAAATCGTCATTTTGTATCGCAACAACCCCCTACCGACCTTTGTGAGCGCTCTGTTGACCATGAGCAGTTTTTATAGCGCCAGTCAATTCATGAACCCAGGCCCTGCTCCTCGTCCTCCGACGGATCGACCTCGACAGCTCGACCTCCAGCGCTCAAACACGGCCATACCGACAAATACTTTTGATTCCCTATCATTGGGAGGACCGGCCTCCCCGGCGGTCAGTACTCCTAGTGCTCCATACTTCTCAAATGGTAGTTCTTTGTCGCTCGCAGGCATGGGAAAACCCTCCGGCCCTGTCACCATAATCAAGGAAGGACACGTGCGGTGCAAAGAAGACAAGTTTCTGTCGCAATGGAACCAACGATACCTGATTTTGCGCGAGTTCAGATTAGATTTCATGAAAAGTGAAAACGGAAAATTGATGCAGTCAATCCCCTTAAACACTGTGACCGGTGTGACCCGCTCGGAGGATACCCGTATGGCATTTGAAATTGTCCGGATCGCCAATCCCAAGGACGCGGGCGGTAAAATCACCATGAGCCGCGACTTACCCACTCGGACAATGACATGTGAAGTCCGCAACGACGACGAAATATACGATTGGATCGACAAAATCTATGAACGATGCCCCGGAATGGGAGGTGTCAGTAACCCGACCAACTTCAGTCATCGCATCCATGTTGGCTTTGACCCTCAAACCGGTGGATTTGTCGGATTGCCGCAAGAATGGGAGAAACTTTTGAACAGTTCGGCCATCACAAGAGATGATTACAAAAAGAATCCACAAGCCGTTATCGAAGTCCTTCAGTTCGTCTCGGACCAAAAGGTGCGAGAACAACATCCCGAAATGTACTCCCATGGAATGGTCACTCCACCGGCATCTCAACCTAACAAGCCACTTGGTTTCCCGGCCGGCGGCAATAACGTTGCTCCTCCGAGACCAGCTCCTCCCACAGATGCGCAGCGGTACAATACCAATCAATTTATGAACAAGTACCAAGATGGACAAGTCCGGTCAGGGACGCCTCCTATCAAACCTCAGCTACAGCGAGCGCAAACAGACAAAGGGGCGTATGATATGGAAGCCGATGCGGCGCGGATCAAAGAGATTGCCAATCAAGAGCAGAAGCGTCGTCAGATGGAGGCGGAAGCCAAACGAGCACGTGATTTGGAAAGACAGCGAGAGCAGGAACGCGAGGAGGCCGAGCGCAACCGGAAAGAACAAGAAGCATACAACGCTTCCTTGCCCAAAACTCGCCCACCTTTGGCTCAACAAGAAATCGGAGGTTTTGGAGGCGGCTCTGATCGCGGTCCCAGTCGACAGGATCCCAGGTACAGCCCGGCTAGAGCCGCTCCAAGTGCTCCTCAGCAGTCCCCATCAGGGCCTCTAAGACAACAGCCGACAGCACAGAGACCAGCGCCTCCGGCCCCCACGAACAGTTCCCAGAAATCCATTCCCCAGTCTGCATCCGCCAGTCAAAATTCTCTACGCTCACCGGAGAATAGGGACCGAGATCGGCAGCCGTCGCCTAATGCACGATATCAACCAGAACGGGAAGCGCCACGGAAGGAGACGGCTCCGAAGCAGCAGGCCAATGGCATGAATGGGCAATCTAACAATGGTCGAATGCAAGGATCTGTACAACAACCCAAACCTCTTAATGTCGCCAAACAGCCTCAGACCAAGCCTGCCACGGATCCCCGCAAAGACGCGGAGGTTGCGTTGACTGCAAAGAAGCCTGTCGAAGAACGAGCGAAGGAAGTTCGAATGTCTAGCATGAGCGAGAGCGAAGTCATGGCCAAACTAAAGCAAGTGGTCTCCAGAGACAATCCGATGGACTCATACAGCAAGCAGAAGAAGATTGGTCAGGGTGCATCGGGATCGGTGTATGTTGCAAGGGTAAAAGAAAGCGCCACGTCTCCAGTCGCGCGCGAACTTTATCGGACGCATGGACCCAAGGGACAAGTGGCCATCAAACAGATGGATCTACGGAACCAGCCCCGAAAGGAACTAATTGTCAACGAAATCATTGTCATGAAGGACTCAAAACATCCCAATATTGTCAACTTTCTCGATTCTTTTCTACAAGAGCAGAACAACGAATTGTGGGTGGTAATGGAATTCATGGAAGGTGGAGCGCTCACAGATGTCATCGACAACAACCCAGTGATCACAGAAGATCAGATTGCCACTATTTGCTACGAAACCTGCAAAGGATTGGCTCATTTGCATTCCCAAGACATTATCCATCGAGACATTAAGAGTGACAATGTGTTGCTCGACCGAGTCGGAAATGTCAAGATCAGTAAGTCACTTGGGGATCTCCAGTACACCCCAATACTAACCTACAATATCTAGCTGATTTCGGATTTTGTGCTAAGCTTACCGAATCCAAGAACAAGCGCGCTACCATGGTCGGTACCCCGTACTGGATGGCACCCGAAGTGGTGAAACAAAAGGAATACGGTCCAAAGGTCGACATTTGGTCACTCGGCATTATGGCCATTGAAATGATCGAATCCGAACCGCCATATCTGAACGAAGAACCTCTCAAGGCCCTCTTCTTGATTGCGACAAACGGCACCCCACGTCTAAAGAACCCTAACAAGCTTTCTCGTGAACTCAAGTCATTCTTGAGCGTATGTCTCTGCGTCGATGTTAGGAGCCGAGCAAGTGCAGACGAGCTATTGCGAAATGAGTTTATGCGAATGGGCTGCAGTCTGGCAAGCCTGAGTGAACTACTCAAATGGCGAGAAAAGGGCCGTCAGTGATTTGCGTGTCAATCAGAGGGGTGGGGAGTGCAAATGAGATTTTCCGTATCCGGCGCAGTGAATTAAAGGGGTGTGTGAGGAGCATCTTTACCGGCGCTAATTCGACTTTGGGGCCCCCTTCGCCAACTTGGAGATATCTGATGGAGAACCCTATGCCGGGCCCAAATACGGGGCAGGGCTGGATAATATGCGACCACACGAGCTCAATCGAGTCAATACGACCACGATGTTGACAGTATGTTGACCGTTCTGTGCTGTCTTTGTTCAGCCCCACGGCCAGACCCAAGTTACCAACAAATCCAGAAACGAAAAAGATGGGGGAAACGAAGATCCTTTATTTTCATGATGATGATTGACGGGGAAAAGTTGGATCTTCGACAATGAGATGCACGCGAGCTTTTCAACCTTAAACAGATTTTCTATTTCTCCTTTTCTTGCTTTTCTCGCTGATCATCGCTGCATTTCCAACAGGACTACAGAGAATCCCTGCCATGGCTATGTATTTCGATAGAAGTAATGTTCCTGGAGGGAAAATTTGTCTCAGATGACAACAAAGTGCTTTACAGTGGCCAGCTAGTTCAACTCCCTTTGCTGTGTGGATGGATGGCACCGGGTAGGATGAAGTGGGTCAGCTCTGGCCGACTCGAAACTGGATAGTCAAGACAAGACCAAAAAAAAAGACATCATGCGGCGTCGATTCGATGGCTGCGTGAGGGGATCATTCGGTTGGTCTTAGTCGCGGTCTTAGGTATTGCATGCCTGGATATATGGCTCACTGCTCATTGACCAGTTCTCCCAGGTGATGGTACTCAGAATGGATTGCGATAATCAGACCCAGTAAGTGAGAGACGGGCGGAGAGGAGTCCGGGGCTGGCGAGCGGGAAAATAATTTCAGCTTGATCTTTCCACATATGTACCGAGAACTCCTACAATCTTCCTAAATCAAGCCGCTCCGTATATCACTAGCAGACAGCACATCTCATCCGGAAAACAAGGAAAGCTGGGAAGTCTCGGTGAACGAAATTCCTGGTACGGAGTACTTCGTGCCGACATTCGACCGCGACTTAAACTATTCAGAAATGGGATAGGCATGCTTTGGGCCAGGACCGCATCTGTCAGATTGCCATGCTGGCGCATGAACTTTTATACAAATTTCTCGATTCGGAAGGTCTAGATACTTGATTAGGCAGTTCTGTCACGTGCCGAATAGGTATGGTCTTTGATACGGGCCACGCTCGGATACCTGGTCAGGTAGGATGGAATAGGCAGGGATGGAGAGACATGACATCAAATCATGATCTGTCCATGAAATAAATCTACATCTAATCAATGAAAGGTCTCGCGATCTTACCTATGAGAACTGAGTCGGAAATGAGCTCAGATATAGAACGTACGTGAACACATGATGTCTGGTCTCTTGTCCACCAGAAGGAGCAGTTCGCCTCTCGGATCCATGTCCCATTGCTCATGAAACGAACACTAATTAGGCTCCCTCCGGGTCGACCCTATCCTTCTGTATCCAGGCACAGCGACATCATATCTTCTCCATCTCAACCAGCGACCACATTCCCCACCACATCCGCCAATTCAGAGAACAAAATGCCTTTCAGAACATTCTCGCCTTGTTGCTCGGCCCAGTACCCGGCGTCGACAAGTCTTCGCTTCCACCCTTTCTTCTGCGCCTCGCTGAGTTCTTCCCACCTCTGAAGCGTTGCCTCCTTCACCAAATCTGCATCATGATGCAGCACTTCCGTGGATATCTCGCCCACAGATTCCTCGCGGACGACAATCGCCTTGGGAGTTTCGAGCTCCGAGTTCTCCTCTACTAAGTCCTTGAGCTTTGGTCTCCCTCCCGAGGAGACATCTTCGAGGGTGTTCTGGACATCCTCGACGCTGGGGATGTGGGAGGCTGCTGATTTCAGTGGCTCCGTCGCGCTCTGTGCAGCGACGGGAACGTCTGAGGTGACGGCATGGGGGATCTTGTCAGCCCAGATATAAGGTCGTGCGATGATTTCACGCATGCCCGGCGAAAGCCACTCTGCAGCGCCCAGCATGGGGGGCACGGCGCCGCGGATCTCGCAGAATGCCTGCATCAGGAACGCGACGAGGCCGACGACCACGAGAGCAACGAGCACGCTGAATGTCGTCTGCATGGCTTCGGACCTGCCGGGTGGGATGAGGACGTATCGTGGAGTTTTGGTGGAGGTGGTTGGGAGCGGCCGGAGTGGGAGGTGGTGTACAACGACGAATTGGCCGACGCCCACGGAGGCAAGACGGACAGATGGTGGGCCTGCATCCTTGGTCACCGGGAGAGTTGGTCCGGTGAAGTTGGAGAAAACAAGTCGTGTCAGAGGGCCTTTGTGGACACTCCCGAGGAAAGAATAGGGTCGAAATGTTCCCAGTCCGGAATCACGCGCATAGTCGATTGTTAGAAGTTCTATTGAGCTGTCGTCTCCGCTCTGTCCCGCTACGGCAATAATGAATTGTGCTTCACCTTGTTGGGACTCGGTCAGGGGACAAACTTCTAATCCAACCGCGGCTTTGGTCGATCTGTGGAGACGCTTGCGAAGAGAGATGCGAGCTTGCGACAGGTCCTTGCTCACTCGAAGGACTAGAAGATCAGCACCGGTTCTGCCTGGCCGGTTCTGAAGTAGTAAAAGATACCGGGGGGTGAGAAATCGTATGGCTCGAAACTTTGGCCGTTTCGAAGGAGGTAATGGTGTAGTCGACTCGAAGGCACGGAAGATGGATATTGGTTTTTCAGGTATCGAGGATGCGGGCAGTTGTTGCATGAATACTTCATCATCGGTGCAATAGGCGAGAACATGACCATCTTTCTCCTCGTCATTCACGGTAAGGTCGAGGTCTGCGGCTTCACGGCTTCCAAGGCTTATGCGCGATACTTCGTCGTCGGCTCCCGGTGTCGGAGTAGGTTGGAAGACAATGATTTCATTTTCGGGTGCAAGCCCTGAGGCAATAGCTGCTAGTCGAGGCAGGCCGGCAGCCTTGGTTGGCGAAAACCGTAACACTCTCTGATATGTTTCATTCTTGGACCCCTTTGCCGATTTGAACAGCGCCGTTCGTCCAAGGGGTTGTGTACCTGGCGTCAAAGCCGTGTTTTTCTCTTTCTCTGCATCCACTGTCCTGCCGTCTGCTCTCCTTTTCTTTGCTGGCAGGCCAATGCGAAATGCTCTCAGATGTTCGTTCTTTCCAACATTCTGGTCGGCAACGGAGCTGTTGATGCCTGCAAAGGCAGTCAAGGACGAAGATGAGGAGTCGGCCACGGCAAGACTTGTTACGGAATCTTCCCCCTTGACCAGCTCAACGTCCACCACTTGCACCAACTGATCTCGACGCGAGGTGTCAATCAAGGATATTTTGTTGGGCACACCGGTTGATGAGGAGCCTCCTCCACCTCCAACCAGCAGAAAATCAGGATTGAAGGGATCAAAGTCGGCGGCGTAGAGAGGATAGGAGAGTTTCGTTTGCGAAGTGGACACCGTAGATGGCATTTTAGCGAGGGAGGGTTAACTTTATCAGCTCGTGCGAGACAGATATCGATCTCAGGGTTTATAGGCCGATCACAGACATAATTGACAAGGACTAATAGGAAGGAAAAGGAATTGAAACCTGAGGATAAGTCGGTCACCGTGGGGAGGACACCGATTCGACTTGATGCAAAATGTTCCAACGTCAGTGCAAAACAAAGAATTTAGCTCAGTCTTATCGATAACTCTAAACTCAATTCGAGCCAAAAGTGGACACTATTCTTCCCCGACCTCATTCAACCATTTTATTATTTCTGTCAACACCCCCATTCTGTCCCAGGTCATTCGTTGCCATCATGCGCAGACGGTCGACCTACATCACTCACCCCAACCGTGCCGTGAACCCAGCCGATATTCAGGTCTACAAAAATCAGCTCCTCCTCGGAGCACTTCAGGCCGCTCGGGAAGAGCGATTGACTCTAGACTTCAAAGAACTGCCCCAAGACGTCGTAGATGTCCTGCGGGATTCTCACGAACTGCATCTCCGCTGGGCTTCTGAACATCCATATAACACCACCGCACCATTTCTGTCGCGGACTTCTCCAGGACTTCACATTGGATACACCCCTTTGAAGGAAGATCAACCCGATCGACTATGCAATTTTCTCCGCAAATTGTTCGGCCAAGCACTTCGATGTGAATCACCCAAGTCCACCTTCATCACCCCCCCTTTGATATCCGAACGCTTTGCGCGGACTTCCTCGCTCCAATACTATTCTCTTCTCCCTTCGTTGAAGAGTTTGGTAGCTTACATTCAGCGCAATGTCTGCGCCCCATCCGATCTCACGTGTCTCCATACAGCAGCTCTGCTCAACATCGCCGACTCGGTAGACTTCGATTATGACAGCATCTCTCATGCTTTTACACTAACCGCATTTTGGTCCAAGCAGCCGGCAGTTTCCTACGATCCCATTGGCGAATTTACGACTCTCGAGGCATGGAATCTTGACGTCGAATCGAAAGAAGGAGACCGGGTCGAAGTCGGCATTCTCAGGGCATCCACCGCGACGGACCCATCAGATCTTCAGCTCTCGGGTTTCCTGACCGTCGTTGGTGAAGATGACCATCCCAAAGCTACACTGTTTAGCTTCCCTTCTCGACATCTCAGCCTGAATGCGGAACAATCAAAGGTCCAGAAATACACGGTTTCATTCGACCACCCTCCGGGATTGCACCCGACTTTGAGGATTTCATTTCCTGCCGCTTCGTCACTCATGGAGCCGGAGAATAAACCTGAAGGGAGTGTTTGCGCATTGCAGACGTATTTAACCCTTCCATCCCATATCTTCGCCGACCAATATGCTTTCCTGAGCAATGATCCTCTCTTCCAGAAATCCCATCATGTTGGCCCATTGCGATCCATTGCGGGCGAGACAGATCTCGAAGCTCCAGATTATGTGGTCGACAAATGGGGTTCAACGATGTTACTGGAGATTCGTTCTCCGAACAACAGCCGCGAGGCGGAATTGACCGCTGCTGCTGGACCGTGGGACGTAACGATTCCTCTACATCTTCGTTACCTGAAGCCACAAGCTGGCGGAATATCGGACGTTGACATGCCCTGGCCAATTGTCTTTTGGGCTTGCACGGCGGAAGAAGGCACCAGATTCCCGGTGAATCCTTTTGACAGGACACAGCTAGGCTTTGACGGACTCTTTGGACCAAGAACAGTGTTTTATCATCTAGATCCTGTTCCTAAAGGGCCCCCTACAAGCAAGTTAGTTGAGCGAATTGCAGTCCCGGTCTTGGACACGCAGGTATCAACCCCCCAAACTATTGAATGGGTAACGGTTCTCACCATAGCACTGGGATTCTGCTGGGTTCTACTGAAGCTGAAACCATTGTATTCGGCCACGCAAACTCCAGACGAAGGTGTCTCCAGCTCAAAGAAAAAGCAGTAACGACTATCAAATCATCAAGAACACTCTACATACGACAATGGGTCGAATACCTCCTTCCGTGAAATTTTAACTTACTAAGAATGCATCATCTATCGATCAATATCCTCGATAATTTATTGTCGATCACTTCACAAGCTACTACATACCGAATATTCCAAACGGTTTTGATCGTGAAGCTACTTGAGAGCAGTTTCCCAAACCAACAAATCCTCAGCAAAATTGAACCACGATTTGTCTATGAACTCCGCCGTGAGACTCTCTTCCACAGTATGATCTTTCAGAAGCTAGTCCAATCTGACTGGCAGATAGCCACAGTCCCAATTGGCTGACATTGACCGTTATCAAAATCAATCAACCTTCGACTTCTTTTCACCTCACGTCTGTCTCGACATCCTACATTCTACATTCTGTGCATGGAACGATATTACAGCACTATCACTGAGGGACTCCCAACAACGCAACACAGCATGCTTAGCAAATTTGAATTGCGAGCGAGAGACATCACTCTGCTCATCGGTCAGGGTCCGAACGTGTTGTCTCTGGCTTTCAACTCGGAGAACATCTGATAGCAAAATACATCTTTGTATCATCATATTTGCTCCATACTCAGACCGGCCTTGAATCCTCTTTGTGAGCTCATCACAGTGAACTATGGGTGGGAGGATTGAAGAGTTCGCGTTTGCATTTCGCGTCGTTGCATCCACGATGTCAGTCTCGGAGTGTTGAACTGTTGAACTGGAGCCAAATGAAAAGGTTTTATTATTGCCATTGCTATAGCCAGCCTTTGTTTCTCAAGGAGAGAAGGACCGGAAAAAAAAAAAACTGCCGTATACTTCTTCTCGCCTCCCGTGAATATTTATTGGTGTGGCTTGGACCGAAAGGCCTGGCCAAGCAAGGACTTCCGAGCAAAGGGGCCCCATTCGATGGAGGACTATTAATGTTCTCGGTTTTCCGATAGAAGGTAAAGAAATGAAGAGGGCGATGCTGCTGGAAGTATCATTTGGTTTAAGAGAGACGAAGACAGGGGCAACAATGAGGATCATGGACAGTCGTGAAGGAGTAGAATCTCATTTACCAACAAGAAACTTCAGCGCCAAAGGTTCAAGCTCAAATTCACGAGGGTCAAGCGTCTGAAATCTTCTTGGAACCCTATGGAAGGGATCAAGGTGATCCGTGCAGGTAATGCACATGATTCAAGCAATGGACAAGACCAATAGAACCTACAATCCAAGGCATGGTCACCATTGCTCATTAATCGCAACGCTCACGGCAGGTGTCGCAGATCAAGCAATGAGATTTTCCCTTCTTGCAAAGCACCGCGCCGCCCGAGGACTGGGTACAGCGTAGCTTCTCGCAAGCTTGTAGTACTGCCTGTGCCAACTCTCTGGAACTTGAGCATAGCAAGGGCCTTGGGACCTCCCCAGAAAAGTAAGGCTCTAGCGGCCTCACAGTGAGATCATAGGAAAGGCAGTCATCCAGGCGTTTCGGCTCCCAGGACCTCGCTGATCTCGAGCGTGATCTCTTGAAGTTTCGTGAAAGACCTGGATCACGCCATTAGAGAATGCTAGATCGGGGAATTGCATCCACGATAACCTGTACGCAGACGACGGTGTCACATCAGGTCATCAGAAGTATTTCCTCATATATGTCAGCATAACCACCCTTTGGTATAGAAGTAAACAGTGTTTTGTGTCCGCCAGTAGTTTTTGTCCCTCCAAACCAATCCACGTCATACATTGCGGCATGGATCACTCTTTCCATGGTCAGTCTCAAAGATGCGCTTGCGTGGGACGGCTGGTCGGAAGCCAAAGGGGTTGGAAGTTTATGCATAATTCAGCCTGATGGTAGAGAAGATGTTCTCATCTCGAAGCATAATCAGAAACTCGACGCCTTTCAAACAGGTGATCTTTGAAGGTATGCTGTGATGACCGGTAAACCATTCTCCCGGGAGTTCACCCGTGTAGGTTAGAAATTTGTTTGCCTCTCGACATGAACAGGCAAAAGCTCTAAGGTCCAGGAGCTCCAGAGGTTCTCGCCTGGTGGATAGCTGCAGCTGCAAGGAAATCTAGACACGAAGATGAGAAATCTGCAACATCGAACCAACTCGGACAGAACATCTAAAACAAGTCGGAGACAGCGAAGTGCATTAGCCGTTCTCCTTCACCGCCAGGAATCCAGAAACATTCCAATGATTGGGAAGAAGAATGAGAAAAGGCACCCAAAGGACAACACAACTCGATGCAAAAGCCTCGAGAATTCCAAGTTAAGTCTCAGAAGGGATGCTTTAGGGAATGGATTCTCATGCACATGTTTGCCTGTTTTCAAAAGTTGGCAGACGGTTTCTTCCCGTCGACAGTGGAGAAAGGATCAGGCAGCAATGGTCAGATCATTGGGACCAGGGGGAATGACACTCAATCGTTGTGCTCGCGGAACACGGAAAGAACCTCCAGAGTTTCAGCCCGTCATCTTTCTTTAGGTAAGGTCGGCCCACTGCACCAACTGGCTGGGAAATTTGACTCCAAGGCCAACAACCTCGCGTATATGAAGTGAGGCGACAAAAACAAGAAGTTCGAGCTTCAAATTTCCCCCTGTCATTTGCTGACGCAGGTCGCCTCGTCCAAAGTACAAGTCTCGTGTGTGGGGTGGTTGGCTGCCGAAGAATGGACCCCTTTTAACCTTTGCCAATGACCCGCTCCCACGGAGCTGGCAGAGACCATGTAGTCGAATCAATTTCTAGAGAAGTAAAAGGCAACCAATTTGTTTTGCATGTGAGCGCCAGCTATAGACTGTACGTCAGAAGTTTGGGCAGGAAAGGACGACGCATATCCAAGCCACCGTTAGATGGCGTTGAACGATGAGCACCTGACCGACCGTCTTCGAGGAGCACAACCTTGTTCATTGGGTCTTAGCGCGGTTGCCTTTTTCTTTGAGATCCAATATTCGAGGAGAGGGACGATGTTCCCCCCTTTTTTTGACAGTTGTCATGGAAGCGGTGTGTGAGATCTCCACGGGGCACCCAAGTGGCTTCCCTCGTCCAGCTAAGGCGTCGGCCCTGACCTAGGAGATATGATTCGCCTCGAAATGAGAGTGGCAATATTGGTCGTATTCTCTACTCTCAACAAGGGTTCCATTCGCTAGGCAGAAAGAATGAATATGTCCAACCCAAGGCCATCATGGCCACTTCTTTCCATTCAGGATGGCAACGCCCGAGTGGCCAACAAGGTTGTCCGACCTTGATTTCACGAATTTATTCGTGGGAGACGAGAGTTGGATAGAAGTTCTAGCATCGGCAAGCGCAAAAATGACTCCACCAGGATACGCAAGGAACTTCCGTCACTGAAAGCCGAGAATGATGGTCCCTATCCAATTCTCAATTTCGGTGTGGCGGTGCCAAGATGGCGATGGGCCAAAGCGGATACAGAGTGTCCAAACGATTGTCGTGGGGTGAGCGGTGGTCAGCTTCATGGTTAGTGAAGCAATTATCTGAGAGGTCGAATCCCGCCGAAGTTCGGAAAATTCGGGGACTCTGTGGCGAGCACAGAGGAAAAAGAAAACAGACTTCACCTTTGAGAGTTCTTGTTCTGCCCACAGAGCGAGGCTTATCTAATCCAAATTGATGAATATATGGAAGGAGTTTTGTTGAGAAGGTGGCCATATTCCCAAAATGGTAGTACTAGCCGATAGACACAGTTCATAGTCGAGGCTGGAACTGTTTTGCCACAACAGATGGCGAAATTCTTGAAAAATCATGAAGAGATCATCTCTGGGTTGCGGATGGGATGTCTTTACCATTATGCGACAAACAAGAGCTGAACCCATGGCCGCCATGAGCTGATCGGCGCCAAAAGTTGGCATAGCTGAAGGGTACTTACGGCTGGTCCCCTAGCAAATTGGAAGGGAGTATGGCTGATGTCAAGGGAGAAGGCCACGCTTCGTCAACGTCGATAGACATCAGCTTACAATATGAGCTTCCCAAGGTGAAGAAGAGACGAACACATATTGGAGAAGGCGGATCAGCTGGGAGCTGAAGATGTACGAGGCAGACGAGAAATTGGTGTGTTACTATTTTTCCGAGCCAAATGTGATACGAAAATATCTCCATGACGTCAAGCCGCTTTTTAGGGGTGCGCACATACAATCGTTGGAAAAACATTATTCCGCATTTTTATTATCCTTATTCCGTACTCAACGCCGCCTCCTGGGGTTTTCATTATTCTGTACACAACCAAAGCCTCGAAACAACTCTGGAGGCGAGCCGTAGGCGAGATTGCAATGAGCGTCGTCTATAGCAACGAGGAATCTCCAGAAATTCAGGTAGGAACCGTGTCAAGAGTAAAGTAGCTAGTGCACCTTTATTGGGAAAAGGGGTTATCACTCCTATGTAGGATATAGAAGTGGGAATAAGAGAAGAAAGGATCGACCAACGTGCATATATACCAGCAACCCTTAGATAGAGCATTAGCAAGCAAGCGGGATTTGCGACAGTGCCAAGCCAATCACATCACGTGATTATGCCAAGCATGTGTCACGTGATTGACAAACACCACTCTCATATCACAGCAAAAATTTTGGGCCAAAAAAACCCAAAAGGGCCCCTCCTATAGTCAATATATAACTAACTGATAGATGGGGCGCCACAACCAGTGAAAGCTTCAATCAGACAAGTTCAACTGGAGGAAAGTTTGATCAGTAGACCTTCCAACAGTATCGGCAAGCAGACATCAACAATCACTGGCTGGAGCATTACGTTTACCCATCTAGGGCACCTAGAGCTAGGCCGGACAACCCTCTTGCCTCACCTATGATCGAACACTAGTGAGGTCCCTCAATTCTATCGGTTCGACTGAAACCTAAGTTTCGTCCTTGATAGGTCAACCGCGATTTGGTGTCAATTTTGGAGGAAAATTTTGGCGGAAAAAAATATATCCCCGAATTTTTGGGCGGAAATTACGTCATTACGGATTTTTTGACTGGTCACGTGATTAATGCTTGAACTGACCAATAGGATGAATGAACGGAATGAAAAATTGAATGCCGATGTACGGAATAATGGCACCCGATTTTAACCTTTCCGGCCCGCACCCTTGAGCCTCTCTTGGCCCTTTTTTGGGGTTGGTCTCAAAAGCAACATCAGGCCAACATCTCTTCAGGACATCCACTACAACTTGTCAACATTAACGACAACATTGCCAGATAACTCCTCAAAGCCTTCTGAAGCCTTCGAAATCCCAATTTAATGCTTCGAATCTTGACGGTATGTTTCCGAGGATCCTCACGGAAAAACACGAAGATTGTTCATCCACACGAATATCTGCCTCTGAGATTGGTGCATACCTCCTAGCAGTCGCCTATTCAACAATGGAGCATCCGAATTAATGGATATTCAAACCGCCGGTGTCTTGAAGGTGCGATTGGAGCACTATTTCTGGAGAGAGAACAATCTTTCACGGGCGGAAGTTCAGCTCGAACACCGATTTCGAACTCTTCCCACACTTTGATGGCCTCCGTCGATGGTCATCCCCTATTAGCGCCCGCCGTTGGTTTTTCAGAAACCCTATTGTTACAATTACGCTCACTCACCTGCCCATCGAAACTTTGGGCGCTTCAAGATCGTTGAAGCAACATATTCCCTCGCCACTTTAACTTTTCCAGTAGCTTGAATTAGCGAGCAATCTGGACAGGCTGCAATCTCTTCGCACAGACGCGTGTTGACTACTCTTGTTGAATTTTCAGATGTAGAGACGATACTGAAGGTCTGAGTCTTTCGTTATATGTATCGTCGACGATGCCCCTCTTAGCACTACAGAGGACACCGAATAGAACAATGGGCTCCAGAGGGAACAGGGCCCAGCCTACCCCATTCCGAAAGATCCCCCGCTATATTAGATACTGACTTTTTTTTTTTTTTTTTTTTCTTTCAGAAATGCCCGTCCAAAGACTTCGTTCGACTGCGAAAATGCCTACGCCGGCAAGGATTTATCAACGCCTATGACCACAGAATTCCACTGGTAGGTCCTGTTGGAATCACCGAAGTCTTCCTACTCTAACAGACTTCCTCAGAGATTTGGAGAAAAAAAATCAGGACTCACGAGGAAAGGCCGTCATTGCTCAATAGCCGTGTCTCATAGCCACGGTTGAACGTGCTTCGGACGGTCGTGTCACCGCTGCAGTCTATCATGACTCCAGTGGCTATCGACCTTTGCCGACTTCCCTGTTGCTGGAGGGTTCCTGTTGATGAATCCATCGTATGTCCAGCAGCCTCGAGACCCTTCCAATATTCTCTCTGGTGCAAACAAAGGATTCCCAAGGACATCAAGGACATGAATCTACATCACAGCTTGTCAATTCTAGACTTCTTTTTCCACCACGGACTTCCTACCTGGCGGTTGCCCCCGAATACTACGTACTACGTCCTAGCTTCCGCTCATCCAACATCATCTTTTTTCGCCTTGTTGCCCGATTCCTAAATATGTCTGTTGCTCCACTGCACAGAATCTGAAATGATTATCCAGGACATGGCAAGACCATCCAGCATCCAGATAACGATACAAGGAAGATGCCCACACCCGAAACGTCAACGCATTCTCTTCCACAGACATCATGGTATAGCCACTTTAGCCATCCTGCGCAGATTGCAGGCCACAACTCGGGGGAGTGATATGCGGGACCCGCAACCGATTGGCACCATTTCCCCAAATGGTTAACAGCGGCCGAGTTTGGTCTCCCGGCGAATCACCGTTGCGCAATTTCCATGTCCTGGAATTCTAGCGCGAGCGCGGAGCCTATCAGCATTGCCCCAGCTTCATGGGCAGTTCGGATTCATTGGCCGGCTGCCGCCACGCTCCCGCCTAATCAGTGATTCAGGGTATTCCTCTTTCCCCCCTCCTCCCCTCCTCCTTCCTCTCCCTCCTTTATCATATTGCGGAGAAATTCCTCCTGATCCGGCCAGATCTCTCTGTTTTACATTCATCCAGTGCTTTCGGCCACTCGAGCTTGCCGGGGCTCTACCAGTTCTACAGCTCTCGACTTTGCTGACATACGTCGGCCTCTGTACCCTATAACCACTGCCAGGCACCCAATGGCCACGACAGTCACCAGCTCTCGGACATCAACCATGGCACGAGCGAAGAAGGAAGCGTGTGTTTTTGCCTGTTTCCCAAACGCAACCGTTGTCCATACTGACATGAAACGCAATGTAGTCGTCGAAAGATCCCTCTAACATCATTCACCCTGCTCACAGTCCCAGAGGGATCCATGCTTTCGGAATATCTCAAAGACATGGACACTATCGACATCAGGCTACTGGAGAAAGATTTCAGCTCTCACACCACTGATTCCAGGAGTAGGCCGGTATCCCATCTGAGCAAGACTCCCAGCAGAGACCAACTTTCAACCAACCACGGCGCCAAAGATGTCCAGGCCAGCGATTTCCAACTTGAGCTCGAGCTAGACAAGTACATGGCCGCTATCACAGCGACAGAATCACCCAATGCCGTCGTCCGGACGATCGCAGCTTCGAAGTCGTTTTGATCGAATGGCTCGAGAGAGCTCTTCGTAGCACGACCTACGATAATAGAGCTCTTTTCTCATGCGATGTCTTCCCGGTAAGAGATGAGACGGACGAATCTGTCCTCACATCTCCCATGTTTGAGAGTTTCTTTGAGAGTTTTTGGACGTTTGTCCTCCTTTTATTCGCACGGGATGAAGTGGGGCGACGTCTCGAGGGCAAGAATGTAATGTATGATGACTCACGAGGTGAAAAGCACGAGGACGGTAGTATTCAATGAAATCGAATGAGCATCGTCCTTTGGTTTGACTACAGAAAGCCCGTGGCCCCTTGCACGTTATGTAAATGTTGACCCTCGCATTGCGTTCATGAGTTTGGAACGAATGAATTTCATGTCTACGCAGACAGGTTTCCCTTTGAGTTACATCTCGTCACTTGACCTCCGTGGTATCTCGGTTTCTCGAAAATACCGCATCGCACCGAGAGCAACCCCACTTTCCGTGTCCCACCCCTTCATTCCATTTTCCCACGGGGGGTCGGTCCGCTTCATAGCCTGCTTCACGGTCGACACATATATAGAATAGAAGCTGACGCAGCTGGAACGGCTCTCGAGCTCAAAAGAGATTTTGGAAATCATCGAATTGAACTTGAACCACAAAATATACATACTGGAAAAGCGGTCTATTGAAACATAACCATACAGAAAGCCACTTTTGCTGTTTTCCTTATTATCCCTTTGCTTCCGTTTCCTCCAGTAATGACAACGGAACAAAGAATCCGAAATACACGGCGAGTTCCTGCTCGGGTGCCCGGTCAGCACCAGCTCCAACCGAAATATCCGAACAGTGGCAGTGACAATTTAGCAATGACACATTTCCTCAAGCGCAGGTATCTCAGGGATGGTCCAGACCCCGAAACATATCATAGGCGTATGAATGCAGAAGATGGAGGAAGTATTAATTTGCGTGCGATGAGGGCCAGCCCTTTGGTTATTAAGGCATCGTCGGTGATGACGACGATGATGAGAGACCATGTAATCCCGATCCTGGCGGGGAACATGTGGTCGAGTTCGAATTGTTCTTTGTCGTCAGGTTGCTCTCATTCAGGTATCTCGTTCAGTAATGACTTTCAAGTCATTGAAGCATTCTCGGGTTGTTTGAATAGTTCTTTGACTGGAAAACAAATAATGGTCCAGCCCGAATCCTTCCTGTCAGATATTTCTTTCGATGATGTTGAGCCATATTGTACAGCTATACAATCCACCCCTAGTGCCGATAAGGCACTTACTATTCGATCGTTAGCTCCTCACGTTTAAAATGGGAGACTCTTTTGGATTATTGCTCACCCTTCCACCCACAATAAAATTCGGGTTCGCTTTCACCTGGTTCAACTCATTTCTTGTCACGTCAGCTCGGGCAATTGGATCTAAATTAATCGTCTCTGGGCATATAGCCACTCCATTCCCGATAACGGTGCCACCCGGGAATTTATCCAGGACATGGAGAACTGTGAGATCTATTAGGTCCCAAGCATCCTAGGGTTGTTTTATCGAGAGATCCTGGCTGCTAGACAAGGTTCCACGTAGAAGCCCCAGCGAAACCCTGAACCATATAGGATTCAATTGCGAAGAAGGATGTCGATGCTTCAATGATCGACGCAGCACTCCGGATTTATGGTCCTTTATGCTACGTCGATCATTGGAGCATCGACATCCTTATCTGCAGCGGGATTCTGTACTTGCAACAAATCCATGACGGAATCATTGGCCAAAGACAGGGCAAAGCCAGTACAACTAAATTGTTTGGACTTGTAATTGTAGGAAATGTATCGATGCAACTAGCATAAAATTAATCAGCTGGAGAATGGAGAAATATGCCATGGCTCTACTTACCGACGCAAGTCTCACTCCCAACCAGAGACATCGTTCGGCACGTGGGGCAGCATGAGATGGCAGCTCTAGAGTCCGTTCATCCTCGTCGACTACCTGTCCTTCAAAAAAGTCGGACGGGAAATAGTATGAAGCCCAAATCAGTCCACGCATAGGGAAATCCTCGGGCAATTGACGGCCTGTTCCAGATTGCTGTTGAGGGAATTCCGTGGACTCGATTCTTGCGTCAACAACTCCGGATCTGCTTAACGTATTTAACGATAAGACAATCTTTGTCCACGGAACGTAGTTTTCGAGATAAATCAATGCTCCTGGAACGTATGATAAACTCCAGAGAAAGGCCAACGTCAAGTGCATAAACGGAAGAGTGTTTCGATCGCCGACTTTACCTGCAACAATTGAGATAGAGGCAGCCCACACCGGAAGAACGTATGAAGTGACCTCATCGGCAGAGACAAATTTCACATCTGGTCGATCACCCGTTGCTAAACGAGCCTGTTGAAAGTCCTTCGAGCTAATGCTGCTATTTTCCCAAAATTTCCGGTGGATGCTGTTCTTGATGACTGGGTCCTCAATTGGGGTAGTTTCTGAAAGTGGGTCCCGCTTTTCCGTCTGGATTCCTTTTGTCTTGTCTAAATTAGCACGGAACGCTTTCCACAGAAAACTCTCGTCGGATCCAAAAGCAAAGATGCAAGCAATTAAAGAGGATGCGACCTCTGCGCCTTGAACTTTCCAGTTAGATCCGGACCTGGTAATATGGCTGTCGAGTTCAGATACGAATTGCTTGACGTAAGCACAGTATTCGCGAACGGAGCCACAGGTGAATAGAATTCCTGCCGCGGTGACCAGGGAGCTTTCTAGCAAGGGATACTTTTGATTTGTCAAGTCGGACTTATCAAGAAAAGGGGTAAACAAAAGCATTATTGAATCCCTCGCATTCACGAAAGGAATAACACTGATTAAGGCCTTGGAATAGTAAAACAACTGGCGGACAATATTGGGTCTCGCCAGGACGGCCAAATGATGTTGAATTCTCCCCGTTGTCGGTGAGCGGTCCGCAGCACGATTATACCACATGCGAGCGACATTCGACCAGTTTTCTCGATCCCGCATGTCAGCTTCCTCGATAGCCATTCGGTAGCGAGCGAGGTCTCCCAAGCACTCAATCCACGTCTCGTGGAAGGCCGGAACTGACTCCATCAAAAGTCCCATCATTTGATATGCCAGATACACGAAACTGAGCATATGTTCGAGGGAATGTGGTAGACGATGACGAAGTAGTTCCAGGAATGAATGTATTCCGTGTCTCCACATTCGCGCAGGCATGGCGTACTTCGTGGGTAATCGGCGTAATGCAGAAGAGGCCGTAGGGTGCTGAGAAGCCAGGAAGAAGTCGTGATGCTCGTGAAGGAGGGTGCGATGTAAGGTGATTAATGCTTGCCATTGTTCGTTCGAGAGCTTGGTCGTGGTTTGAGCCTGCTCTTGGCAAATTTCTACACATTTCTTTTCAACCATAACGAGGCCAGCATATATACCTTTGACCTCATTTACGAGTTGATCTTGAGAGATAGACCGAGTCTCGGGCTGCAAAAGCATCTTCGTATCTGAGTCGACAGGCGTATTCGAGCTAGGGGTGCCATATGGAGACGTGCAGATGGAGATCTTTCTCTCTTCGTCTTGATTCTGTGCGTAGATTGGTTGGTTGGAAGAAAGCAAGGACTGGCGAGGGGGTTGTCGCGACGTAGTCACAAGATGAGGTGAGACGAGTCTAGGTGAAGAGAGCGGAGTTCTCGGAGCCGATCGATATCCGGCTGAAGGTGATTGCGTCCCAGTGGAGTCGAAGGGAGGAGACGGGGCGTGGGAGTATACTTGCTCGTGGAGAGTGGAGTATGGCGAAGTAGAACCTCGATCTTCCTTCTTATTGGGCCAGACGTCTTGGTTAGGAGCGGGCCGTTTAGAAGGGCGCATGGAGTCGAAGGATGGGATTTGTCTACTCTGGTCCGCGAGGGACAATTTATTAAAAGAGTCACCGCTTGGCTCCTGCTTGATGGCCGGGTCTGGATGAGGGATTTCGTGTGAAAAGTCATGTCCTGAGTCATTCCAAGAAGGCGGCCGCTGCTGCAGCTGTAGCTCTCCACTATATCCTCTAGATGACCTCGATGTCAGAAACGATTGAGGGTGTTTTTGGGAAATAAAGTACCTTGAATTGCGTGACTCGCGGGATGATTTTCGCGGGTGGTCTGCTGCAATAGGGGGTTTGCTCGGCCCGATGGGCTCGGTATCGCGCTTGTTATGGCTACTGCTCGATTTCAGGCCAAACCAGCCTTTGCGATCTGAGATTGAGGCATTTCTTGGGGAATTCGAAGAATCCATGTTGTTGGGTCAAGGTTTTGATCGCGGGGATCTCGATAAAATCGCACTTCTGCCAAGCCTTTTCGGGAATAAAGTTTTTCCGGCAGAAGGTTCCAAGCGAACACGAGAGGGAGCTTTCCAAGTTGCGCCCTAGAATATTCCGCGTTAATTCCTGTTTTGCCACTCGAACACCAAAGGGCCCAGTAAACTGACCCCCTGTTTTCTGCTGTGCACGCTTTGAGGCGGAGCGATCCCAGGTGCAAGGATGAATCGAGGGACGAAACTTTTTGGCAATGTTTACGTTATTGACGGAGAAAATGAACGAAAGAACTGCTCCTAGGATCACTCCGCCCCATACACGTGACAATGGATTGGAAGGGCTGTTCATGAGGAGGAATCTTTAGTAAGGAGAAGCTGAGGTCGTCCAGTTTATACCTTGAAGACGAGTTCAAGAAGGATCCCTCAGTGAACGCCTCACCGGTTAGTCTAGTGGAGGCGCCGTGCATGGACTAGTGGTTGCCTTTTTGCGACCCACGCGAACCATTAAAAGAGCCTCCATTTTGAGCCTCAGTCAATCCCACCACCTCGCCTTCCCGCCAATTAGCGAGATGCGAGGGACAGCTCTTAAAGCGTTATCGCGTGGCCTTCTTGGGTAAGCTCTGATTGTCACCAACTTTTGAAACGGAAGAGATGTCGAGATTAAGACGGGAGAGAGTTGTAACTTTATACACACACTGCTGACCTCTCCCCAGATGACTGACTCATCGACCCGATATCTTGATCGTCTCAATCTGGCAATCTGGAGTGATGGACGGATATTTTCGGCCCTTGCATATCCATTCCAGTCTCTGTGACAACTGTCAAACCCCCTTTCCAGTCCCATGTTAATTTCCGGCAATAAGCACGGTTCGCGAACCACTGCCTGAGATTTGGGCAAAGTCATGCAGCCTCAGGTCTTCATACTCGGTTGCATGGTACTTGAATATTTGTTGCCAGGAAGGCCTACATACGGCCCCATGTTCCCAAGGCAACATGCGATCGTTGTTCGTACCACTTCGCTTCCCTCTTTGCGGCATATCGTCCTTGTTCAACAGCCCGATCAGGTCTGGTACTTACACCCATAGGTCAGAGTATGGCCATCCTTGTATCCTGGTGGGTGTTATGCCCGTTGCTGTATTGTTATCAAGTATACTGACCTTTGAATGCCGAACCTACACACCCATTCTTCCCAAGGCGTCGGGTGATGTATCTGGTGATGCGAAGTTGTGGTCATGTTTTACTGTTGCAAGACCAACTTGATCAACACGTTCTCAGCCCACAGTTTTATGCCGCTGGACAAGGCCAACGGAAGTAATGCTCTCCGGGTTCGTGCTCGGAAAACGGCGTGGGGCTTTTCGAGACGAAAGGAACAAGGAGACCCTTTCGAGTCGGTTAGCGTGGGCCTCTCACCAGGCCTTGTCGGGTATCACACTAATGCGGTCACCATTGGAACAAAAATACATTTTTCGGAGGGTATGATGAAGATCAATTCAAGACCGTACATCCTCGTGCGGGCGACGAGATGGCCGAGCCAAACCGATATCCATTCATTTACCCGATTACGAGACCCAAAACTTTTGCAGATGAAAAGTTGAAACCTTATGAGGCCCCCCGAAACAAGGCATCCAACCGTATTGGACAAACTTGCTAACATGACCGCTCCTCAGGCCTTCTAGACCATTGCAGCTGAGGGGGTTCCTGTTCGCTAAGTGTCGGATATTTTTGATGTCGGGCGCAGCAACTCGAAGGCGGTCGTTTGAGCTTTTAGCTCGCAAGGTATTTGTTCTGGTCGCCTGTTTTCTTGAGCAATTCAGATGTCTGAAAGTGCTCGGAGGATAGAAAAAGGCTGCATTTGCGAAAACGAGAACATGGGAACAGCAACGAACAGGCAAATCAAAATACATACCGAGCCACAACGATGACGCAGTCTTTGTCAGGAACCGTTGGGGTCCATTAGGTGTTGGGAGTATAGTGGTTTTGCAGACCTTTCCTGAGTCTATTAGGCTGCAAAGGGGGCCAGAGTTCCAGAGCGGTTTTCGTAGTTCTGACTACCATTTGGCCCCCACCGGTGAACCCTTCGCCGAATAGATGGAAACACTTTCGTGGGGAAGCAGCTGCACCCACGTGTCGTACAATCCTTCGGAATATAGAGAGATCATCTGGTTGAGTGGTTCACAAATGATTTTCCATACGGTCATTTGCGCAAGGCGCCACTCCTCGAGTCGCAATCTGATTGGTCAATAGTGACGACGTCGACGGTCCATTCAAAGGCCGATTCGCCTCAGACGTCCTTCTCATGAGCACGACCTGAAACATACCGCAGAGATATTCATGTGCATCTTCCGTCTTGGGTGTCGTTTGGTTGATTCATCCCCTTTCGTTTCTTGGGCAGCTTTGCGGCTGTAGCCCAAGCAATTTCTGGTTGACGCCGACGACCATTCGATGTCTGGGCCACAGTTTGCTTCACCAGCTTCCTGGTGATGGTACATTCAACCCTGGGAGAATACAATTTGCCAGGAGTATGCATCTCTTTTAAATTTGGAGTTGGGCAACCACTGCAGGTCGTCAGCTCAAAGAACTCGGTAGTCTTGGGTTACCTTGTTTCGCTCTTGTGATTATTTGTCACAGAGGAGTGGGAAACATGGCCGGGGAGTTCAGTGCGTTGTCTCTCTTGCCTTTTGAAATACTGTATAGAAGAGATTGACGTGAGATAGGAGGCAGTGTGGGGACAACGAGGGCGCTTCAGACCCAACCACAATAGCAGATTCCCCAAGAAATAACTAGGGGAAAAGAGAGGGAACTCACCGTGCCGGAAAACTTGAGTTTCTTGTGCACAGCAAAACCTGTCCTTCAGCATCGAAACATCAGCTCCAGTCCCCCCAAAGACGCAAATTTTGGCCGCTCGGTGGTATGCTCGATCGTCTCTTGAAATTTGACCGAGGACTCGTAAAGAAGAACAAAGCTTCGACGATTTCGAAGCACAATGAAACCGACCCTCCCCCAGAACATCGTAGTCTTGCGATTTCAACTCTGGGAATCGTGCTTATTCACTGAGATGTGCTGTGCTGACCCTCCCGATACCACCTCCCTACCACTCATATTCAAAACTCGACAGGTCATTGTCGTCGACTTTGGTCCAACAGTCCAGACCAAGCTTCCACTTCATGGCTGTTCAGGACTCCGGGGTTGTAGTTAACCCACGTCTTCAAACTGGTTATGATTCCTCCCATGTTACACCAAAATTATGACCCACCGTTCCCCCCACAAAAAGGGCAGCAATTCTGTGTCTCATCAACAAGAATCTACGTTCCATCAATTTGCTGCACAACTCCAATAGAGATATGGGTGCCAATGGAGCCATTTAGGTTTAGCCCCCTGCATGGGTAACAAACGAGAGATTAGCTCCAGAAGGCAACAAGGCAAAACTTTCTCTACCTCTTACCAGACCCCTCAGGTGTCCTTGCGAGCGCAAGAGGAGTTCGTGATGACAGTGATCATCCCATTGGACCAATTTCATGTGGCCCCTTCCGAAAACTCCCAGCAAGAAAGCGAACTTCTGGCTTGGTTCTTCCAGACTTCTTCTCTTGAGCGTGGGATGAGAGAATTTATCGACCCTGCCTTTTATGTCTTTCATCATCAAGTGATAGATTTTCTTGCATCACACTTCTCACAGCTTTGGAACAACTGGAATCATACGATGTTGAAGAACAAATACTCAACTCAGGTGAGAGACAAGAAACTCGGCTGATGTTTGCTAGACCGTCGAAGGGTTTCGTAGTTCTCTTCCCAAAATTCTCCGAACGGCTCATGCGAAGTATAGTGGATTCCGTTACCCGCAAGAAGAAGGAAGGTGGTACTATTTCCAATGCAACAATGGGCCTTTTTTCTTATTTGCTTGGTACTACAAGAACAACTTTTTGTTCCCAAGTCATCCGATGGAGACGAATCACGATTCTCACATCAAATACGCCATCGTCAGCCGCAGAAAAAAGTCTGTTCATACAGAGCGTGGCTTATACCTTCTTGTGAGCGGCATTTCTGTGCACTACCTTCCTCTTTGAGACAACGGTCTCTGGGAGCCAAAGCTACCTTTTACGCAAAACAGTCATCTTCGTATTGGAGACAGCGCGGGATGATGCTCTACCATGGCCGTTTCTCGGAGCTCGGCAGCCAAAAGTCTCCCCACGAACGCCATGTATCAGAATGATATCATATCTGGTCAATTCGGCCTGGCAAGGTGCATGGGAAATGCAGACCTTCCTGCAGCTTTCCAAATGAGTTTGCAGCATGTCAGAAACGAGGGAGAAAATTCAATCCAGAGCCATGCTGTGTAGGCAAATGCATGACTGAATTTCATGTCCGCAGAAAGTATTGAGGGGATATATCGGAAGAGCGACCACGCGCAGCCACTCACGTACCACAGTGACACCAATGGAGCCTAGTTGTGCGGGCGTTGTCCGCTTGATGGAAAGGTGCCCTTGCCACCCCTTCAAAACTCGCACTTCCAGCACTGGCAGGAGGTAGAGGCAAGAGAATGTGCGTTCGCACTGCGAGATACAACCAGGCAAAAGAGTAGGGATTCATTCAGAACTTGCAGGAAGTTCACAGGGCGTCAGGAAGGCCCTGAAGGAAGCCGACAGTGAGGCCAGGAAATGGCAGGAGGACAACCGAGGCGACAGAGAGAGTCTCGTGAAAAGGCGAGTGCAAATAACTCTGTCAAAAGTGTTCAACGACGTCGTTCAAAAAGCACCAACCATGCAAAGGTCCATCATGCGGACAACGCTCGCACAACTAGGCTCAATTGGTGCCTGGTTAGGTCGATGTGGTACGCGAATCGCTGTGGGTGGTCACTCTCCCGGTATATTCCCAGTATTGATGCGTCGCCAGGGAGACACGTGGGTTGCTCATGGAAGTCTCTCAACCGATGCCTTTCCAGACGTGCACGCGCCCGATTCAAAATTGAATAGCCTTGATTGAAGGAGTTCCACGAACTGACTCGAAAACTTGCGCAGACTGAATCCTACTGGGTACACTCGGATCCGATGCAACGAGAGACAGCAATAGGATCACTCGCAAAATTCCTGCTTGAACGATCTCAGCTACCATCGGGCAACTCAGCCTTACCGGCAAACGTACGCTAATTTCCCCGCGGCAAATCGTCATTGCTCGGGCCGGAAATTGAGTCATTGAGACCGGTGAGGAAAAACATATTACTCCCCCAAAACAGTCTTTAGAGCCCTTTCTGCACACATCGGCGTGTTGTCCTTGGCAGGAAACGCGAAAAGTTTGTGTGCCCAACTCTACCTAAGCGACAAGGCAACCAATCTATCCCTGACAAGACTCGACACTTCGAAGCGCTTCGACGCCCGAATTCTCAGGGGTACGGGATCGCAACTATTCCCGGGCTCGTAGTAACTTTTCGCAGCCTAACCTCGGGGTGAGCTGTGTGCACACCATTGATTCCCAGTCTCCCGTGTCACGTCGCCCGATATACATGATTGCCGGAACCTCCGTCGCGGGGGTACTAACATTGCAGTGCATTGGACGAGCCGCATTGATTTCACATAGTCGAAGCAATTAATTGGAAGATATCGACTTCAACATGCAAGGCATACACCCTATGGACGATTCAAACTTATCATTATTCCCAATCCGGCCGCATGAAGACGTCAGAAAGATAATACATTCCAGGTTGGGCTGGCACGTTGGGCTCAGACTTCCATAATCGAGAGGTCACAGGTACAAATAATATGAGGACGCTTGCTTTGTTTAGGCAGATCTGATTGAACCTCGTGAGGCTTTCAGCCTGATCTCTGCTATTCCTTCGAGCCCTATTTGCGTGCATAGGCCACACCACCATGCCACAGACCGTGGAGCAGAACTGGGATTGGGATGTGGACAGTTCAAAGCGTGCCATTTCAACGATTTCGTTGCCTTGGTTTTGTGACCATCTGAGGCAGCCATCAGAAAAGAAGGGGCTGGAAGAAGAAAGAATGTTTTTGCAAAGAGGAGGGCGAGAATTTGCACGGTAAGGCTAAGAACTGAGAATTTCCTGTCATGAGAAGTTTCTTCTCGAGATGACAACGTCACATGGTCCTTGGGCGGGCGGATGAGGAAAAGAAACAAGGCTGAATCGAACGGGGGCCAAAGCAAAGTCTCTGCAAGCAAGTCAAAGTTCCAGGGTACAAGGCAGGAAAAAACAAACAGAGACCAATCCACGGGGAACGAACGATGAGGGATTCCAAATGAACAGCAATTCTCTCGATGTTGGTATTCGATTTGTTTCAAAGTCGTATGTCGCGAGCGGATCATTTTGCCAAAGTCTCCACATCCGTTTCTCCTCGCAACAATGTACATTGCTGCTGCGTCATCCAGATAGATCGCCCAAGTCCTGAAGACCCTGAACTCCCATATTCTCCAGTAAATAAATCAGCCGTTATGTACCACGGGCGAACATATCGGATGAATTCAAAGAATACGACGGAGAGGAGGAATGCCAGCATGTAGCTTGAAAGAAAAGGAATTTGGGAGATCTGCAGTAGAGCTGTATTTGTATCTACCACACTATCACTATGTATTCCACAAGATCGGCCGAATCCGACACCACACGTCAAGCATCACGCTCAAGCTTCAGCTTGGTAACAAACCTGGGCATGGTCAATGCAAAATCTACTCTACCATGGCCATTCCATTCGACGCAGTTATAATCTTCCCAATGAGATCGCGGTCCATACCGAGTCTGCTCTTCAAAACCAAACGCCAAAGCCATGGGAGCGGGCGATCGTCAGGACAGAAACACTCTTCTTGAACGTACAACATCACGTCGACAAATCGGACATTTCCATTTCGTCTCTCCATCATCCAGTCTAGCTGGATCATTATGGGGACGGCGTCGAGCGCGATCGCGGAGCAATTCCGAGCACCAATGACAAATGGCGACATGCATGCAAGGCTCCAACAGGGTATCAACTTTCTGCTCGCAACATATTCGGCATCCAATATTAACGATCATACTCTCCGGATCAAGAGGTTCAGGACGTGACGTTTGTCGATCGATGGGATTGACCGGGGGACGATGGTGGAGATTTTCTCGCTCTCTCAATGATTCTTCCAATGCCCAAATCCGGGCTCGGTCGATTGACGTATGTGAATCCCTCCAACGATTCGAAGCCATCACCCTGTTGAGTTCTAGCTCATCAAATTGTGGTGGCGCAGTACCAAGAATGTCAGCCGTGACATTGCGATCTCGTCGTGTTTCCTCTTCAACACGAGTCCTCTCTGCTCGATGGGTTTCCTGAACTTCCCGATAGCGATTCCAAGCCCTCCCAAACATTTCTGCCACTGGACTTTGATACCCTTCCGCTTCAATTTCTTCTCGAGTGCCGAACAGACTGGGGAGAGGCCTGTTTCGTCGAGGCATTATCCGTACCGGTGGAGTGGAGGGGTGGTTGGACCGTTGGACTGCAATTCGCCCTGCGACTCGTGGAGGAGCGCCATCTGTGATATCGGGTTGACGAGATTCTCTTGTTGCCGATGGAATAGTAGTCGTAGTCTCGATAGTGTCACTAACGGATACCGGACCAACCTGAGGGAGCGCTGGGAGGCTAGGCAGTTGATTGTAGTGTATATCGAAAGATCGCGTGGGTTCCGGGTGGCTCGTATTGTCTCTTCGTGGGTTTCTAGATGGGGCTGCGGTATCTGAAATGTCTGGACCTTCTGAATTGACGGAGGACGAGGAGGTCGGTAGAGAGTGAGGATGTAAGTTCCAAAACTCTGGTGCCAGTTAACAATATGTCAGTGAGCGAATGATTGCTGTATGGGATAGGTAAATGGTGGCACTGAAGATGCGAAGTTGAAGCGAATCGAGTGACCAGAGAAGTTTGGGGACCTACCACGACACTTCCAGCAGTAGAGATGCCAGCGCCTGCCTTGATTTTTCATCCCCTGGCCATCGATGTATATCGGATAGGTAGTCGCCTGCGGTCTCTTGTCTGCACAAGCACAACATCCAGGTATTGCCGTCAACGCACAGCCGATTCTCGCCTTGTGTTGGCAAATTGTGGTCATGGTGTGCAGATTTGGGTTGAAAGTGAAGTGGGGAAAACAAAGGATGGCTTGGATGACGGTCTTGACCCCCAGGATGGAGCGTAAATGTCCTTATGTTGCCATAGATCTATTGCCAGAAGCCAGCCGGTGACTTCGGCACCGAGTCACCCCAAACATGGATAAAAACAAGATGTTGAACCCACACAACAAGTTGGCAGAGTGAACGAGGAGGTGAGTTGAGACTTTGTTGGCGGCAGCTTTTTGATATCGGTGGCATCACGTGAATGTGGGGGTGGAAGGCGGCAGCTAAAACAAGGAGGATTGATACGCACGCATACACTCTCATTCTACAACACTCCTTTCACGAATCGCGCCTGAACTCGACCCACCATGTCATTATAGCACTCGTTCAACCCTTTCCCCTGTATCTCCTCATTCCTTGGCCTCGGAATCTCTATTGAAGCTGGACTTCGACATGGCTCTACTTCCGAAACTCAGTCCCCTTCAATCCAGGTTTGCCGCTTCTCTGGCCGCATCTGTCGTTCTTCTGGTTCTCTACCTCTCTTTAACGAAACCCCATTTTGCATATGCCCTTGAACTCGACTCTCGGATACCTTCCGAAGATCACAATCACTACATCATACTCAAAACCGAAAAGACCGGTGATTTTCTTAACGAGGAGGAGAGTAAGATAATCGCCCGGGCTGCGGACGGGGTGTCGGCGTTGGCCAACAATGCACCACAAAACAAAAACATAAATATCGGCGAGGTTCAGAATTGGGTGTTTCCTACGGATGCTATCCAAGGTCCGCACGGCACCACTGGACCGGGTCTGCCATCTGACGGCCTGGAGAGGCGAGGCATCGAGGTTGACGTTCCCGAACTGAAAAGACGGCAAAGCGGAAACAAAGTATATCTCACCCTTAATACCTGCTTGCAGCCTTCTGCAAATACCACTGGCGCCGATTCTACGAATTCTATCCCTCCACAATTGGAGATGTACATCTCCTTGTCCGAATCAAACCAGAAGCCGGGTCCAGGATCTGATGATCCCGATCAGCAAACAATCCAAGTCGACGGTGGATATGCCCTTTACGAAGTGGATGCCGATAGCGATGTCTATGTGGGGGTCTCCGCACCCAATACCACGGAATTCATAGGAATCTGGAACTATGAGGTGGCGGCGTCGATTGATGGCCCTTACCACGGTTCACATGGAAATGTGACGAATTTGTATTTCGTGGACGGTGACAACCATGCAGCACTTCTCATCACGAATGATACCACCCAGGCCCAACCGAATGAGACTGTGTATCAGGAATGGATGAAACTGAGTCCTCCTTGGGGAGTCTTTGCAGCGAACCAGAATGATCGTTCGATTCTTGGAGTACAAAAATCTTTTTGCGGCTTGAAAAATAATGCGCGATTAGCTGCCAACATTGATGGCTTCGCCAACCAAAACGTGGCCCAAATGACCAACAGAGGATTGGGAGGGAAACCAAAAGAACAATTTTACATTACCGGACTCAACGCGACTTCGAAATATTGGGGCATTCTAGCGATGGATGGCAACTCGACGGCCTCTGGAAATGGTGTTGTCGGAGGTGGAGGCACGGTCTGGGCCGCCATCAATTTCGAAACCAAAACCGAGAGCAACTGTGCCTTGATGTACAACTTATCATTCTGTTCCGAAGTTGCCTATGCAGTCCCGACGAATCCCGACAAGTTCTCTCCCACGACCGGCCTTCCTGAACTGGCGGCTTTGTACGATTCTCACGCCGCACAGATGTACCAGTACTTCAACTACTCCTTGCAACAAATACCGTGTAACACCACCTCAAGCGCGCAGTACTCTCTGGCGCGGAATTGCGATGACTGCGCTCGCGCGTACAAGCAATGGCTCTGCGCCGTTACCATCCCCCGCTGTGCCGACTACTCCAATAAAAGCCCATTTCTCCAGCCACGCAACCTGGGACAACCGTTTGTCAATGGATCCAGCATCTCGTCTTCGCAATTCAACGTCGATCAAGCCCTATTAAACGCCGTCGCAACCAACTCCTCCCGCAACCCCATCATTGACGAATCCATCCAGCCGGGTCCCTACAAGGAAGTCCTCCCTTGTATAGATCTGTGTTATGATCTAGTCCAGAGTTGTCCCGCGAGCCTGGGATTTGCATGTCCCCTGACCGGCGCAGGTCTAGAGGCTAGTTACGGTCAGAGGAGTAATGATTCTGGCGTGATCAGCTGTAGTTATTTGGGGGCCGCGTACTATCTCAGTGATGCCGAAAGAATGACGGCACCGCGATTGAGCAAGATGGCTCTGTTGGCGTTTGCAGTAGCTTTGACGATTTGTTTTTAGATGTGGATCACGTGCCATGAAATAAATACAGTGAAGGTGATGTACTACGGTATCGGACAAAGACGAAGTGTTCAGCGTGCTGCGAATCAGGCAGAAATGCAGCAAGGAGTGGTAGAACCGTATACTATACCACGCATCATCCTATCTAGGATCCAGTATAACTTTTCACCCATTTTACTCCTCTTTTTGTTTCTTGTTGGTTGTCTTTTTCTTTCCGCTGCACGCCATTTGGCTCACAAGCTCTCCGCCTATTATTGAATTCTGGTGCTCGTACTCCCTTACTTCCCAGCATTCAAATTCTTCCTCCTCGGCGTCCGTCCCGGCGTCCACATATCCTTCGCACTCGTTCCCCCACCGATACCGGGAGTCCTTGCAGGCGTCTTTCCACCTCCGAGTCTCTCCATCAATCTCCTCGCTGCTGGCGTCATGTTGCCTGCGGGGGTGCTACCCTTCCCCGTGGGAGTAGGAGCAGGTCTGAGCGTACGCCGTTCCTCCTCGCGTTTGCGCTTCGTCTGTTTCTCCAACATGCGTAGATGTAGGTCCTCGCGCGGTCGTAATTCGGTGATTTTGAACGGATTGGGTGTTGCGTTGGCGTCGACTTGGCCAGCGAGGAGGTCGCGGTAACTTGGTCTGATGCTTTTGTTGCCGTCTGGTAGGTTCTCGCACTCGTCTTCATCGACAAAGGCATAGCCGTTGACACGGGGTGTTTCGCCACCAGCGAACTCCGTGCCTGCGCTTGTCTCTGCCCGGGCACGTCGTGCGTCTCGTTGTGCGATGATTTCAGTATTGAGAGATGGCGACGGGGGGACCGGACCGGGATCCTCCACATATAGCACGGGTGGGAATCTGGTATTGGCATGGACGACGTGTTTTGGCCCAGCCTTGGAATTCTGTTCCCTCACTTCCTGCATAGTCTGTACGCCATCCTCCTCCACGGAACTGGCGTGGAACATGAAGCTGTTGTCTGGGCGCTGGATGGTCCATGAGTCGGGCTTCGCAGGTCGTGAATCCGTCGCGCCGGCGTTCATGGGCACGAGGGCTTTCCCTCTCGCTTCATCATCTTGTCGCTGCCGGAGTAGTTTTGCTTCGCGGGCTCGATGGGCGATTTGTCGCGCCGAAGGAAGCTGCTGGTCTTGAGTCCAGAGATACGTGTGCTTCTCACGGCGCTTCTGGTTCTGCTTGTCCAGGAGAGCATTGAAAGATTCGTTGTCCTCAGATGTGTACTTTGCTTGGAATGCGCCGAGTGAGAGGGTCGATGTGTCGAGTGGGTTTTTTCGCTGCGTTCCTTCGTCTTCAAATTTAGATCCTGCCACAGTAACGGGCGACTCACTACCGGCGTATCCCACAGGTGTATCAGCGACGCCTCCAGCATTTCCTCGTGGCGTGCCGGACGGGGTTTGATCAAATCGTGTGTTCCTCGCTGACCTCCTCTTACTACTAGACACCGGTGCCGCGGCGTCCCTCAATTTCTGCGCCGCTTCCGCAATCCACGATTCATTTCCAGATTCTAAAGCGGCCAAGTATTCATGCTGCGCCTGACTCTCGAGCAGGCCGGGGAAGTAGTCTCGTGCGATGATATCGGACAGTGCTGACGTATAATGGTCTTCATCGAGAACGGTAGGCGGTCTTTTGATCTTTTTGAGAGGTGGTGGCGGCATGAGAGCGACATCGTTCGAAGAGTGTCGCCGCACAAGTGCCTGAGATGGCGGTGATGCAGCCATTTTATTTGTTATGGGGTCGTGTGCGGTGTTAAAACATCCATGTGTCTCTCGATTATATCAGTTCTGTTGTACGAGCCGAATCCGCTGCAGAGAGACAAGTTTGTGGTGGCGTGGAGTAAGTGACCGGAATCTCAGCCTGATTGGCTAATATCGAACCACGACCAGCGACAGCCTCACCATTATAGAGTCTCATCAGACCCAAGCACGAAGATTGGAAACATACATTCTATGAAAGCAGTCTGTCAGTGATTACGTGAAGAGACGATTGTGGTACATTGACCAACTTACGTGCCAACTTCGAGTCTATCTAGCTTAAGACCCCTTACAATTTTCATTTTTCTATTTTTTGATCCACCCATCTCCCATCCCGCTATGCAGGCAGGCGAAGAAAAGAAGCAAAATCTTCTGAGACTTGCACCAATCACTCATCCCCGTCACTGAGAACACCAGCAGCACGAGAAGAAGACGTTGGGATAGCAGCATCCCCGTTAAGCACGTCCTCACCGTCCTCTTCATCATCATCATCGTCATCAGCGATCGTCCTCAGCTGTTTTCTTTGTCTGGTTGGCTTTCGAAGTTGAACCACTTCCTCTTCTTCCTCTCCGCGAGTATCTGGCATCTCTTCATCTCGATCAACACTATCAGATACCGGTGTCTCAGCCGCAGGTTCGGGTGTTGCGACAGCACTGGCCTCATCTTCCAATTCCGAATCCGAGTCGACGACAACAGCGGCAGACTTGAACTTGTCATTCTTTCTCCTTGATGACTCTTTGACAGCATTTTTCCTCTCGAGTTTCCTTCTCTTCTTCTTGGGCTTCTCCGCTGGCGCTTCGTTGTCAGATCCGCTAATCGGCGTCCTCGAAACACTTTTCTCGCTCTTGTCGAATGGATCACCGTCATCTTCAATGAAACCATCTTCGTCATCCCTTTTCTTTCGCTTGGATCCTCCCTTCTTCGGCTTCCGTTTGACTCGTTCACCGGTTTCCTCATCATCTGTATACTCGGCAGCCTCTCTTGCCGCAGCTTCAGCCCGAATTTGTTCGGCGATTCTTTCTGTTTCTTCAACAATCTTCCTCCGTTCTTCTGCGACCTTCCTTGCACGCTCCTCTTCCTCCTCCCGGCGTCTTCTAGCTGCCTCTTCTCGTCGACGGAGCTCTTCTTGGCGCCTCTCTTTTGCTTCTTTCAACTTCGTAGCATTTTCCGTCTCGTATGCCGCCTGCTTCACACGTTGCCGTTCAAGTTGGTTCCTCATGGTATTCTTCCCCATAGCCGCTCGCTGCTCAAGTGCACCGCGAGGATACGGTGGCTGTTTGTGCCTAGCAACTTGTTCGAAGGTTTCGATCGCCTCCTCCAGTCCAGTAATGGCGGCATCCACATCCTCTAGGGCGCGGTCGGTTTCCTTGGCTTGATTGACATGCTGCGCAATCTGGAAGTGAATGAATGCGACGTTGAATTGTAGATGAGGCGAGTCAGGTTGAGTGGCCAACGCACGCCTCATGTAATCAAGAGCTGTGTTCAGGGCGGGGATGCTTCGATCAGCCTTACCCTTCAACAACCATGCTCTTGATAAACACGCAAGTAACAGAGCATTTTCGCCTTTTCCGTCCTTTCTCAAAGCAATCTCGTAGTTGTCAATGCCGCGTTGGTATTGGCGAAGTTCGGTCATCACATGCCCCAAGTTGGCATTGACAGAGGCATCGCGGACAGTGTCTTTCACTTTGGTGAAGATTTGCAGAGCATCTGAATATGCTTTCTTGTCATCGCACAGGGCAATGGCAATGCCCTGAGCTGCATACGCGTTCCTCGGATCTAGCTGGAGCGCTTTGTCAAAGAACTCGTATGCTTTGGCGTACATCTTGCTTCGCCTCTCCTTTTCCTGATCCGTATTGCGAGGCATGTCTCTCGCGATGTTGAGATGAACATTGCCCATTCCGGTGAGTGAGTAAAGGTCGTGCTTGTCATATCCTTGCAATGTATGTTTATAGTGCCGATTCTCGGCATCTTCCGCAATATTGTTGGTTTTCTTTTTGGCACTATGAAGGTACCAGCCCATCAGTGCTCTTATTTCCGTGTTGCCATAATCATTCTGATATACTGCATGAATCTTTCGCGGTCCTTCATCTCGAGGGGATGTTTCCAGAGCCATGAAGGCCAGTCGCGCTGAAGCGTCCGTGTAATCGGCATGCCTCGCCAGAAGGCCATCGTACACCTTCTGTGCCTCGGCTGTCATGCCCAAGGCTTCATAAGTTCTGGCCAGGTTGTAAGATATCGTGGTCACCAGCGCATCGGTATCACTGTTGTCAACATCCTCGGCATTGATCTTGTCCTCTTCGGCCGCTTTCTTCTCTGCTTCTTGCTTTTCGGTGAGCTTGACACACGCATTGAGAGCGATCTGGAACGTCTCACGAGCAATCGGGTACGATTCTTGCCCGTAGAGGAAGCAAGCCATGTTGTTCAGCAATTGCGGAGGTAGATTTTCGCGCAGCTGTGCGACATAGGTCGCTTCATCCTCATTCGGGTCCGGTTTGTCCTCATCGGGAATCTTCTCGAGTTGCATCGCTTCGACGGTTTGAAGGCATTTCAAGCTCTCGACTGGATTCTCCAGCTCGTAAAGACGGGCCAGGTAGAGCAAAACCGACTCATCGGGCTTGATCCGCGATTTTTCATCCTTCCAAGTCCTCCGAACGTTCTCCAATAACGAAATGGCTTTTCGTGCCGAAGCGGCCTTCTCATCTTTTGTTATGTTGCTCTGAGTTGAGAAGGCTTCTTCGGCGTAGATGCAGCCGAGGAGAGTCATCGCCTCCACATGTCGATTGACCTGGCCAAGCGACTCCAGACGGTATTTGGCGCCTTGGATATCTTGGGTTTGAACCATGATTTGAATGAGACCAAATTTGGCCGGGAAGTAACCTCTATCCAGACCACCACGTGCCTGATCTGCTCTATTGTAGCAGTCATTGGCCTTGGCCAAATCGCCTTTGTTGTGTTCTTTCCGCGCCAATAGATACCAGCCGTCACTGGCGACCGCGTTGATATCTGTCTGTTCAATGGCCTTCCGTGCCAGGGGTTCCACCGTGTCATAGCGACCGGTCAGGAGGAAATAACTGGCAAAGATGGCACAGCTGAGCGGAAAGTTCTTGTCGATCGTATAGGCTTTCTTGATGTGGTCGATCATGGCCTTCTTGTAAAGGATATTGAACTGAGGATCGGATGCCGGATACTTGGCACTTTCATGCAAATAGAAGACCCCAAGCAAAGCATGCGCAACCTTCGACTCGGGGTTCAAAGCGAGTGATCTTTCCCACGCAGTTTTGGCCTTCTCAGGATATCCCAACTGCCAGAGACAACCGCCAATACCGATGCGAGGGTCTGGATCAGTAAGGCCAGGCATTTTTGAGAGCACGTCTTGATACGCCTGTAGAGCGGGTGCAAATTGTTTCGTCAGATAGAGTGTCCTGGCCCGTCCCAAGGCAGCCATCATATTTCGTCCGTCCGAAGACCGTAGGGCATCATCGAAACATTTCAAGGCTTGTTTGAGAGACTCGGTTCTTTCAGCATCCGCGCCTGTTTTGGTGGAAGTATGTAAGGAGGCTCGAAGGAGGAAGAGAACACCACGGGTGAGATAGAGAGGAGGGAAAGCGGGATTGATTCGAAGGGCATCATTGATGGTTGCCGTAGCTTCCCGCAAGTAGTGATCCTTGGTCTTCGCATCAGAGGTCTGTTGAGAGTCCGGTAACACACGAGGTGCCTGTCTGCTCTTGAGTAGGTTCAACCATGCTACACATGCCAGCAGACTCAGACGCTCTTTTGGACCGCTCCGGGACAGTGATCCCAAACCCTTGACCAGGATCTCCATCGCATGATCAATTTGAGCTTGTTTTGCATAGGCTAATGCAATTGTGATCCATAAGTTCTTAGCCGCCTTTTCGTTCTCCAGGAGCTGACAAAGTTCCGTAGGATCGTCCAGATGGTCCTCGAGGTTAACTTCGACCGCTTCATCGGCATCGAGGCCACCAGAGACAGGAATATCGATGGCGGAGGGAATATCGGCAAAACGTGGGGCTGGAGTGACTCCTCCTATTCCTGCGTTTGAATCGCTGGCTGTACTGCCATTTCGGACAGCGGTGGTCATCGCCATGTTTGAAGGTAGGCGAGAGGGACAATCGATGGATGGCCGTGGGGAAGAGGTTTTTGATCAAGACATGTTGAGTGAAGAGGGAGAGAAAGGTGTAAACTTGAGGGCGAAAGGTAATGAAGGGGAAAAGTGAAGCGCAGTCGCGCAAGGTGAACACAGCGCAGTGTCCAAATGCGAGGTTGTCACGTTCTTGCCCGCCTAGTTATCAGTATCCGATTACCATCAAAATCCGCTCTTTTACTTGAACTTGGTCTTTCGGTGAGTGAAGAGACATCTACAATGAAATGCGCGGTTGAATACATTTTTTCACCGTTAGGACTAGCTTATGATCCTTGCCGTGGGAGGATTCCTCCGTTCCTCTCAGTATCGTAATCGATCAACGTCAAAAACAAGTCGACTTTCCTCCAGATTGATCTTCATCCGGCCTTTTTCGTCCATGCTCACATGTTCATCCGTGGTCGGAATGACTTTCCTGCAATGTTCCACCTCTTGTCGACTGACTCCGGCAGGGTCTCGAGGAATCCACAGACAAGGAGGTTTCGCCAGAAAAGAGGGTGGATAGTAGATATCACGCTCGACATCCTCTGGATATACCGGATCCGGTAGATCTGAAGGCACCATCCGACGCAAAACAGTGTAGTCTGAGTACACCTCTGGGTGCAGCCATCTCAGAAGGAAGTTTGGTTTTGTCGTAGGATCGGGGGAGATCCATCGCATCCAGAAGGATCCGAGGGCATTCAAACCAACATTGACCTCGGGAAGATCCTTCTTGACTTTCTTCTTCACTATCGACTTCAGGCCACCTCCTAGAGCATTCAGGGATCCACTCGCGCCTTCCAGGGCCCTGCTGTCACCAGGTATGTGTTCATCCGAGTCTTGCTCGAATTCATACTCCTGTCCAAAACGCTCGAGATCTTCTGCCGCCATCGCACGAGGTTGCGACGGACAGGTCCCTAACAGGTGCTGATCTTCTTCGACAGTCAAACTCTTTGGGAGGCTCCAAAGGAGAGGCCCAAGGGCGTCCAGCAGGGAAGTGTGTACCAACGCGGTGAGAATCAACAAAATGGCCGTCAGAACAACCGGAACAAAAGCGCCCCTCAGTGAGAAGAGTCCAATCATACAGATCTCTGAAAAATACAAGCCCACGAGCATGTGCATCAGCGCTCGGGGGTAGACAAGGCCTCGGGTATCGATTTCCGAGTCATAGACATAAATTAAGTTGTATCTGTACACAAGATGGAGGAAAGCCACGCCCACGGCTGCAAATCCCAAAATGATGGGTGCTATGAGGGCGTAGCTAATAGCTAGAGAATGATCGTTAGCTCACACGACATCGTTTTGAAGACGAAGGAGACTCACTGATGACCCCCAAGTTCGAATAAACGGGGAATACTGCACCCCAATGGATTCGCTGCAGACGGTGCCATTTTGTATATCTCCTCCGGGGATCGTTGGAAAACTTTTGAAAAACGTGAAATTGAAGCAGGCTGAAGAATTGCAAAAGGTTGCTAGCGCCAATGGCTAAACTTTGGAGGAGAAAATATGAGAGATAGAAGTTGGACGCCTTGGGTAGATTTTGTGAGAGGAGGTCCTTTGCCGTGGTCGGATCCTCCAGAAGTTTGGTCACGGCGGCCGACGCTGCCGAAGTCAAGGTCGTGATCAAGAAAACTTGGACGACCTGGAAGGCAAAGTAGGCATGTTGCACAAAAAGCTCGATCCTCGTCATTGTGGGAAGTCCCGCAAGTCTGGCGCAGTCTGCTGGAGGTTAGCCGGAGCTTTGGTACAGAAACGAAATCTTGACATACATCTCAGGATGCCCGGGACAATACTCATCAGTAAGGATAATGCGAAAGCTGGAACCACTCCACTCAAGATCCCTTTAACCGAGCTCGGGAGGTCACCGATCCAGCTCAAGAAGCTGACTTTTTCCGACAGGGATTCGACATTGGAAATTGTACCGACCAGTGCTGATGGAATGGCCCAGAAAATGATCATCGCGGTGATCAGCGCCTTGATCAAGAACCTCCGCACGATAGTCTCCCACCAAGACATCGAAAGCGATTTCCACAAAATCTCGAAGGGTCGGACACCCAGGTATCGCTCAGACATGTGTAACGGACGGTGATGAGTCAAGGTCTGATACGCATTCTGTGCATCCGTGTGCGTCTCAAACTCCACAAACACCGAAGGCATCATGGTTTTGGGTGTGAAGAGTTGCTGTCGACGTATTTTGGCGATCCGAAAATTGAGCTTCTTGATCTGGCTCCGGGTCCATTTGATCGTGTCGACCCGGCGTCCATAATTTGCAATTGGTCGATGATGCGGCCGCGAGCGGTGTGATAACCATTGCGATGCGACTGATCCATTCACGTCGGGGAGAGTCGTTTCCGTGGCGGTCGCTGACTTATTTGATGGGCTCGAAGCTTCGGAGACGTTCAATCCTTTGGCGTCCCTCTCCGATACTGGCGTGATTTCTCCTTCTGCCTCGTCCGAATCGTGTTCGAGTCGAGGCGAGGAATGGGACAACTCCTCCTTGCACTCGGTCTTTTGGTCCGTGAGCATCTTGTTCCTCGCAGCATTGGCCATTTTGATGAGTGCGAATTCAGCCTTTTCAAGGCGCATGGCCGTTTGTTCTCTTTCCTTGACCAGCCTTTCAAGTTCATCCGTGTTTTGAGGAATCCAAATCCTCTTCACGGACTTTCCAAGGATCCACCGAAGACGTTCTTCGTCGAGATACTGACGAGGGACATTCATGTAAAGTACAGTTCGAGAAGACAGTCGATTTGCGTAGAAAGGCGACAGGAGATAGGCCTGTCGAAGATTGATGTAGTAAACACATTCTCGAGAAATCATGTACAGGACGAAGACTTCGAGTGGCACGGTTAGAATGGCGGTCAGCCCGATTCGGGGATCAAACTCACTGAAATAGACCCAGGCCAACAAGGCATGGGCATAGAGTTTTTGGGCACTCACGACGTTGCCGAGGGTTAAACGGTCTAGTTGCTGGTTACCTGCGCCTCCGGTGACATGCAAAGGAATCAGGATGGGCCAGAGGAGCCCAATCCCAACAAGGCATATCACCCCCAAGACGCGAAGAAATCGGAGTAAGAGGTAACCATCGAGAGATGAGTGATTGAGGACAAACACCGAGGGGATGCGATAAAAGCTGATGAACCAATTAAACCATCCTGTGGGAAGCGGCGGACTTCTTTCACTGTCAAGATGTTAGTCTCTCACCCGCGAAAATCACCGCAAGGCAATGTAGACATACTGAGGCTCTAAACTCTTGAGCAGCGTCCTTGGAGCATATACCCGTGGACATTTCCGTCGTAGTATTATGAAAATGATTATGCACAGGGTCGCAAAGATGAGAACAGGGACAAGAGTCGCGACGAGGCTGCTGGCGGAGGATGAATTGGTCCCAGCACCGATACGGGAGACTCCTGTCGCTGTTGAGTTATCGCGGGCAGAGCCCACCCGTGGGTCGGTGGTGTCCATGCTTGGAAGTCATTGAGTAGTCCCTTGCATGATATCAGCGATTTCCGCAAGTTTGAGGACATCGACGAAGAGGAGTCGAAGACATCGCAATGTCGAGATCAAGTATGCCACGAGTGGGAGAGCTGAAAAATGCAGCGGATAAAAGGTACGACCAAAAATTCGAAATCGACGGAGAACGTCGTCAAGCCACATTGATAATTGGATCCGAGGTTTCGGCAAGGTTGTGCTCAAGCCAGACAACGTTGGCGTTGAAAGTTTAGACCGGTGGCTGATGGAAAATCAAATGGACAAGCAAATAGCCCAACCACAGCCAGTCCCTTGTGGCCGTTGGAGCCGGCGGAAAACCTGTTTCTGTCGTGTCGTTGGCTTGTCATTCCGGGGTCGAACAGCCGAGTGTGGACCATCTGTCGCTTTACTCACGTAAATTTCCAGGGGTTGGCCGAGCCGAGAATGTGGAACCTCCGAACTTTGGCGTCGCAATCATCCCTAGTGGGTCCTCATAGATGTGATATAGGCGTTGATGCATATCTAGAGGGGTTGATTAGCCATGTCGAAATAGGTTGTTTCTGCCATCATTTCCAATCGGAATGAGTAGGTGAGTTCAGATCATGCCGATCTCCACAAGACCGCTCAATGCCTATAAGAGCAACCCCGAAGAAGATCCTTTAGGACTTCTTTGAGCGCTCCGCTTGAGTTCCCTGACTCGAAGATATGCTTGTTGGTCACTCTTTCCCAAGACAGATGATATTGTGATTCACCAAGCTCGTTTCTTGCCGCTGTTGAGGTAGTCGGCCGGAAGTGTTGTGGATTTGCCCTCTCCCAGCACGTGATTTAGGAGATACCATCGAAAAAGCAGGATTATATGGGGGTAGCTATCCCTGCTTAGGGACTCGATCGCTGCCGCATTTTACAGATCAGGTTGTACTCCGAGGATTTGATTGACATTGCCAATCACATGCCAGCATGCTAGTGCGTTGGAACTGAGCTCTCTGACGAATCGCAAGCTTAAGGAACGCGTTCTCATTGTCTAAACTCTAGGTCGTCCCACTCCGGCACAACCATGTTCTCCCCCACAGTACTCTGAGCTCATTATTCCTCGTCGACGACCCAGCGTTGGTCAACCCATTTGGCCTCAGGGTGCAGCTGTGCTCGGCGAGCGGGATCGCGAATCGATTCGTCGTGGCTTTCTTCTCCTTCAGCACCCCGCTGTCGGCTAGCCAGAGACTTCCCACGCAGATGGTCATAATGACCTTGATCTTTCTCCGTTGCTTCGGCCATGAACTTCAACGACGCCTCGGGCCGGTGACTCAGCAGTGGTCCACTGATGACCAAGATATCCAGATCCCGGGGACATGTATTGTAGGCATGTGTTGGCCAAAATCCTCATGCTCGGAGTCGTCCAGGGTGGAGGATATGGACAAAGAATTCCATCTCGATCGCGTTTGGGAGCAAGTGGCCAAAGCCGAACTCGGCTGCTCGCGGCTGCAGTTTCCCGGCAAGTCGATGCCAACAGCGTCGTTGAGTTAATTCTTCTTGAACATGACGCCGGTGTGAAGGAGGCAGGCAATTTTTTGAAAGAAGATAATGTTTCTGCTGTGCTGAAAGGTGTTAACCAAGAAGTCGTCTGAATTTGGTTTTCTATAATGGATGTCCAGGGCAATCTTGTGCTCCTTTCATAGACATCTATCTCCCTCCTCTGCGTCTATTCGCCATGAGGAGTATTCCATTCTCCAACTCGTCCAGCCTTTCTCTTCTTCGACCACTCCCAATCCGGAAATGATATCAAAAGGAGCGTAGTCCAGAAACGTGCTGAGCATGTTATTCGGAATATTAGGTGACAGTCCAGGGGCCTGGTTTGGGCCTGGCTTGAGCACGAAGAGTGTCGAGACTTGACCTTGAAGCGGGCAACACCATAAGCATGAACTCGGATGGAATTCAACTCCCAGTTTGGAGGCCTTGTGCCTAGGCTCCGTCGGGAAACGCTGCTGCGGCGAAATATCGTCCGTGTAAAAGGTAAGAGAGTGGGCTGCCTGAGATCGAGGCTCTCACGTCTCATATTGCAGAAACCGCTGAGACTCTCCAGTTCCATGTCACCAACACATCTCCCCCATGATGTCTGAGTCGGTGCCAGCTTGGTGAGCGCGGCAAGGGATCTTTGCTCCCCGTGTTCGCCGTTTGTGATCATTACCGACAGCCGGGACGAAGTCAGTATGAAAATGGCGATAACAATCAAAGTGTGGTTCTGATGAATATCGAGTGCACTAAGTCGTGTAAAGCAGTCCGCTCCCACCACTTTCGAGTCTGTCTCCGGAACACCATCTGTCTCTTCGAACAGACATATTCAAAGGAGCCGGAGACTGCGACAGTGGATCTCCCGGAAGATGGACCTAAAATCGTTGGCAGGCCGGTCGAATTTTGCTATTCCGGCGACTATTTAGATTTAGGACAGACCACGCCAGAGTATCCGCGGCTGCAACCAAGTACGAAGTTAACAAACTAACTTCCCTGTCACGACTGAAATCTGTGAGGTTGCCGCTGAGTGTCTTCGAATTCCTCCTTTCGGTCCCATATACCTCTCTTGTTGGCAGTCCATATTGAGACTGGCTTAGTCACGTGCACCGCGGCCTTTGTGGCCTTTTTTGTAGCTTGCGCCTCGTTAGATTCAATCACTCCCTTCTCGATCCTGTATCTCGGTCCACTTATGAATCGGCATGCGAACTCAGGCATATTGCTGCAGGAATGGCATTCGGCACGATGGAAGAATACCTTGTCTGCGACGGATTTAATAACAGACCCCGGAGACGTTACGAAGCGATCGGGTTTCAATTACGAAGCGTTCGAGGAAGACATGTATTGCATATTGGGAACCCACTCAACTACGCTAAGCTGCCCCCATCGGGTGATTTCACCATGTGAAGATTCCATCTTCATTTCCCTCCAACTTTCCTTCTTTCTCCAAGCTATCAAGCGATTCCTTCACCCGAGTTGCGACAGACACGGGATAACCCTCAGAACCTGGTGGAGGACCTGCCGCAGTCTTTCCCTGATCAGCCTTCAACCAAGGCACTTTTCTGGCCCCCTTTGTCTCCGTTACGGTCTTTCGCAACATTTCAACTGTAGCATCATCATAGCCACCGCCCAAAACCACTGCCCGAGGGGTTCGTGAAAAGTCCCTTGAGCCCAAATTGCTTTCAGGATTCCTCGGCTTGGATCCCGACAAGGTGAGAGGAAGATTGATCAATCCGTCGTCGGGGCTCATGATGCATTGAACCACTTTCTCGCTGTCAGTCATGAAGATCTCTGGATCGGGAGAGCTTGACCAATGTCCGTACCTTCATACTTCGGCCGTAGCTCAGCCATGACAACCGAAGCGATATCTTCGCGTCTGCCACACAGAAGAACTGGAACGGTGTGGTGAGCAGCCATGGTCATTTAGTCAACTACCTAGACAATGGTATTGTTCATCCACAAAGAACTTTGAAGGAACGTCAAAGTTGAAGAATGGGCTCCGAAAAATTTCCTAATCGGCGAAGTCGCGGGGTAGGAGAATCGTCACTCACTAGAGGCCTTAGGCTCCGAGGCCAGCTCCGTGGCCAGCTCCGTTGAATGCATAAAGGGGCTGGCTGAAATCAGCTAAATCTGCTTTATGTTTTCAGGACCCCTCGACCACTATCCAGTTTCGAGTTCAAAAATATCTGACATGAAGTACGACAGCGTTATCATCTTTGGACCGACGGGAGGAGTTGGCGGTGGTGCGGCCCTGGAAGCCCATGCACGCGGCGCCAAAGTCTGGCTCGCTATGAGAGACACGAGCAAGCCCATTGCAGGCCTAACCCCAGAACAGGAGGAGAAAGGCCGCTACACTCGCGCCCAAGCTGACCTCTCAGACCCAGCATCGGTAGCAAATGCCGTCAAGCAATCCGGTGCAAAGGCAGCCTTCACTTATGTGCAACGCGGGCCCGGAGTCATGAAATCCACTGTCCAAGCCATGAAAGACGCTGGGGTTGAGTATGTCGTCCTCCTCTCCTCGCGTACCGTCAAAGGGGACCTGCGCACCATCGAGCCCAACGATTTCATCCCATTCTACCATGCCCAAGCCGAAATCGCGATCCAAGACGCCGGACTAGCGCTGACGGCGGTGCGTCCAGGTGTCTTCGCAAGCAACCCGGCAAAAAAACGATCTGGACAAATCCAAATCGCCCCTGCAAGTCCACCTCCTTCGTGGCCATGAGAACATCTTCGATCCCATCGACCCGCAGACATCGGACGGGTTTGTGGTAGCGTCCTCGTCGATCGACCATCCCAGTCTCAGACTGAGGTTATCTACCTCCATGGGCCTGAGATCATGACGCACAATACCCTTTGGGAAACCATCCAGGGAGTGACAGGAGAGCCGATCGAGATTAACCACATCACCAAGGAGCAATACCTCGAGCTCGCGAAAGGGAAGGTCCCGGCCCCCGTTGCAGAGTACCTTGCCAGGATACTTGATCAAGGAGATATAAGTGATAGGTTTCCTGAGGAGTTGTATGCGGTGGCTTCGAAGAACGTGAAGACGTACACCGGGAGAGATCCAACATCATTTGCTGAGTATGTGGCAAAGCATAAGGAGGACTTTGCGCCGGCGAAATAAAACCTACATCAGATGTCAATCAAAGGAAAAGCTGGGCAGTCGATTCACGTGTAATCGAGGGTCTTTCGCCTATACTTCGCGGCTTGTCCGAAGTCATTCATTTGCAAGACATGTGTTCACCTGTTTCTGGACCCTTTGCTGGCCCTGAGTCAGTGCCCGAGATACCAAGTGCTATCCCTCCTTCGCCACCCCGCATTTGTAATATGGCTGCCGTGGTTTTCTCGGAACGTTCCGTAGACACCGCTAGTATCTTGTATTCCGGCCCCCCAAAAAAAGAACGAAAAGAAAAGCTAGCATTGTAAATACATATTTCTCGATCAAGATTGGGGATTTCACTGGTGGGGAACAAAGCGGCTGTGGTTCCTCTACCGGATTAGTTCCCTTTTGCGTGGCCTGACCCAGTACTCGACGGTTCGTTACTCCTCTTGGAGTGTCGGTGTCGGTATACAACGGCCCCAGAGGTAGACCGGGAAGCCGTATGAAATAGAGTGTGTATTTAAGAGAAACAGGTCTTCAGAACATTGTATGCCTGGAAGCCCCAAAAAAGACAAAGACGGGCGCACGAAATCGGCAGGGACCGAGATGACAACCCCTATATTCTCGGCAGATGACCTCACGGTCGAAAATCTGACCCCCCATGTCATTGAGATCGGCTCGAATATCGAGAGCGAGAGGCTGAAGTTTGTCTTCTCCACGCTGATACAGCATTCGCACGACTTTGTTCGTGAGACAAGATTGACAACGGCGGAATGGGAATCAGCGTGGCAGTATTTGACCAAGGTTCGTACATACACACAGCCTGCCGGAACTTATCATCGCTGCTTGGACCAAAAATAACGTTTCATTTTGGGGGGATTCTTACCCAGGTGGGCCAATTCTGCACACCAGACCGACAAGAGATGATTCTTCTGTCCGATGTTCTCGGCATATCGGCACTGGTAGATGCCATCAACAATCCAGTAATCCGTACGGCTACGGAATCGTCTGTTCTGGGCCCCTTCCACAACGAGGCCTATGACTTCGAAAACGGCCAGTCCATTGCGTCCAAGGGGGCGATTGGAGAGCCCATGCTCATCCGCGGAACTGTGTCAGACACAGACGGGAATCGACTGTCTGGTGTATCTGTGGATGTGTGGGAGACCAATGGAAACGGATTCTACGACATGCAGGATCCGGAGAAGGACGAACCGGATTGTCGAGGCATCTTCCACACAGACGAGGAAGGGAGGTTCGCGCTGGTCGGGGTGCGCGCCGTCGATTATCCGATCCCACATGATGGGCCTGTGGGGACGCTATTGCGACTGTTGAATAGGACGAATGTGAGGCCAGCTCATGTGGTAGGTGCCCTTTCCCCAACAGAGCACGGTTGAATGAAGGCTAATTCGGGATGCAATGGGAAGCATTTCGTCTTACAGCATCCAGACTGTGTCCGATTGACCACGGCATTGTACTCGTATGATAGCGTCAATATCGGGCATGATCCGGTCTTTGGGGTGAAGAAGAGTCTCATCAAGCGGTTCAACTGGTCGGAAGATCGCGCACTGGCGGAAAAGTATGCCATGGAGATGTTTGAGAGAACAGATGCCGAAGGCCGGAAGTCACTCGGATTTTGGACATTGGAACACGATTTTGTGCTGGTTCGAGAGTAGGCTGGGCCGTATAGTTAGCTGGACGTCTTAGAGTGAGCGGGGCTCGTGTACACCAGAGCGATTGAACGTTGACTGGAAGGGATATTCCTTTGATATCCAGCAAGAAGATAGGTTTCATGCCCACTTAGTCTCGTCAACTCGATGGATCAGCTTCTCACTGCATCGGTTGCATCCCCCAAATGACACCCAGGAGACTGTCTGGCCACACTCGTTGTGGATGTGGCTTCCACTTGCCTTCGAACCAGAGTTTTCTGGAGACTTCTGCCGATCTTGTGCCAAATCTGAAGTCGTCTGACTGTACTTCACACCACTGTCCTCCAAAGATATACGGCTGGCCAGAAAGAGAGCACCCAAGATAGAATATCGACTTGACATCTTGTCGAGGGCAGTCCTCGCCTGATAGATGCAGTAAACGCCAACTTTGGGGGCCGATGGCGTTAGCGCAGATGGCTGCCCTAGACGCGATGACGACGGGTGTCGAATATAGGTAGTGATTTGACCATTTGACGCGACTCGGATTTGTTCGCCAACCTCGGGAGTGTGCTGGATGCTCGTGAACAGCAAAGGGAGTGACCCTGGAGATAAAGATGCACAGTCATAGATGAGAGTCGCACTGGGACCTTCATCATCTGAAAGTGTTTTGGAAAGGAGGTAGTGATCATTTTTTGACCAGACTTGGTACGTCGTTGTCAGCATAGTTTTTCGGCGTACAATACTTATGTGAGCTATCTAAAATACTCACAATCGTGCGAAGTGGATGGCGAGTGCGCCAGCTACCATGTTCCCGCCATAGATGAGAATGAGGACGTTGCATTGATGTTTGATTCATGCTGGTATCTCTAACTTCCGGGTTGGCGTGTCAGTTCCAACAGGTCCTAGTCTCCTCAAGAAAATTTGCTTTGACTCGCTGGTGGGTAGGGAATTTATGTACCTCCATGAGCAACCCAGGTCACAGCTTCTCCCACAATCCCAGCCAAGTCACAACCAATCAAGGTACCATCATCACCGACAGCACCAAGGCTAGTCCAGTCAGTGGATTGAAGTTCTCCATTTACACGGAAGACGGAGCCGTGATGTCGGGTTTTGCGTTCCGATGGAATCCAAATTATGGCTGTGTCGACACTAAGGAATGAGAGGCCATGAAGAGTTTGGAAGGTCACCGCATCAGAGACAAACAAAACGCACCGTGAGGACTCCAATGGATGTATTATTTGGCGATAAGCGCGTTTAATTCCCCCCCTAGACCTCAATGCCGCATGTATGTGAAATGAGCCGAAGGTCAGTTATCTCCCAACGCCGTGTCAGATCCGGGTGAACAATTCGGAGACATTGAGGAGAAGAGCTACACGTCAGCTTCCCATGACTTTCCAGAATGGACCCAGCAAAGACACGTAGCTAACCCGCCTCACACCACAGCACTTTTCCTTCCGTCCCTCAACCGTAGCATGTGAGATGGAAATGAGGGGAGCACTATTGAACACAATTTGCAGGTCTTTCCAGGGAGCGGACAAGAAGCAAAAATTAAGAGCAGGATTCTGAGACAATCAAAGGTCACCAATTCGACACGCCGAGGTTGGCGCCTAGCCCCAGCCTTCTTCATGCGTCTCGACCTCGAAAAGATGGTTCCTTGGTGTGGGAGGTGTTTCGATCCCATGACAAATGTCTACTCATCCCACCACTTTATGTGACATCTAATGGGAAAAGCTGCTCGAATTCGCTCCAGGCTGTCAAGTCCTTCGGATCGATTCACGTTCGGAGCTTTCAACTTAACCTCCCCTGCATCAAATCCGACATCTCGGGCTTCAAAGCTGGCTGTTCACTGGTTCCCGAGCCACAAAGCCTTCCCCCACTAAATAAGGCGACGTGAAAGAGGCGTATTCCTCAAGCAGCAGTAGGTACAGCAATAACGCACCCTTTGATTCTCATGTGGCGGGAATTCATACACACCCCCCGCGTGGTGCTTCGGTACGAATGGGCGCCATGAAGCTGCTAGTACCTGTGAAGCGGCTCCCAAGAGCCAAGCATTTCACACCCGGTACACGTGGGAGGGTAAGCCGCTTTTTGTTGGTCTCTTTGCACAACAGGTACATGTGTGCCAATAACCCCCAAGCCTTGGGGGAGAAACTTGCCATATCCCCTATCGTCTGTTGAGGTACTTTGATGCCGGAGAAGCTATCACGCACTCTGAGAGGGCTCGTGCTGACCACTTATAATATTGCCTCTGGCTTCCTTCTACTGACCCCTTCCATGTCGGTAGTGATTCAAATGTCCAAAGACTCAACAATTCACCATCGAACATCAAAAATCATCATGGTTCGGTCCATGGTTTCAACGTTGGCCTAGATACCTCTTATCGCCCGTCTCTCTGAGTCGCGTACGTTAGGCTAACATACGCCAATCTCTCTGTGGTCGCTAATGAACTGGCAGGCCGAGGGACCCTTCTAATGGCCGTCCTTCACCAATATAGTTACATCTTTGCCCTGACCACTATCTTCGCTTTTCTCGATGCGTGGAACATTGGTATGCTCTAGTTTTCTTCTTTTTCCTTCGTGCCCGACCGACCAGGACGTATTTCTGGCTCATTGAATGACTGACCCTACCCAGGCGCCAACGATGTAGCCAACTCATTTGCCACATCCGTGTCATCACGGTCGTTGACATTGAAACAAGCCCTGGTGATTGCCGCTTGTATGGAATTTTCTGGTTCTGTCGCTGTCGGTTCTCGAGTGGCAGACACTATTCGTACCAAGATAATCGACCCGTTTCTGTACGAAGGTCAGCCGTCGGTGCTTCTCCTGACGATGATGTGCGCCATTGTCGGATCATCAACTTTCTTGACCGTTGCCACTCGGTTTGGTCTTCCCGTCAGCACCACGCATTCGATCATGGGAGGGCTCGTCGGAGCCGGAACGGCGTCGGTTGGAATCCATCAGATCAACTGGGGCTGGACGGGGGTCTCGCAAGTCTTTGCAGCATGGGCAATTGCCCCTGGAATTGCCGGTGTCTTCGGCGCGACCTTATTCTTGATCACCAAGTACTTTGTCATGATTCGCCAGCGTGCAGTCACCTATGCGTTCTACTCGATTCCCATTTATACCTTCTTCACAATCGGAGCCTTGACAAGTACGATTCCCTCCCCTCTTTGTTTCGATGCTATAGCTCATCTATCCCACAGTGCTTGTCGTCTGGAAGGGAATTCAGTTAGATGTCAACCTCAACGGCACTCAAGTTACCATATGTGTCTTGTCCGTCGCAGCAGGAGTAACAGCGCTACAGACGATTTTTCTCCTGCCCTACCTGTGGCGGCGCATCATGGACGAAGACTGGCAGCTAAGATGGTATCTCATCTGGAAAGGTCCATTGCTTCTGAAACGTCCCATACCACCACCACCTCCTCCTGGCATCAATCGCCTCAATATCAAAGATTACTACCAGGGACATCTCACTCTCGAAGAACTCGACTGTCTCCGTGCATCCGAACATCTCCTCCAGGCCATTCAATCTTCGCCAACAATCTCCGACCTTGAAAAAAGCGAGGTCCACATACGTCCAACGCCTCAACCTCCCGGTATTCCTCCTCGGCCTTTGGGTCCTTGGAACAGCCTTCCAGTTCTTCTATGGTGGTTTAAGCGCATCGTCTTCCATGGCGTTGAACAAGATGTCATTAAAATGCAAAAGCGCAGCGCGGTCCTCAACTGGAATATTGAAGACATGCACGCCCGGACAAACCGATTCGACAACAGGGCCGAATATATGTATAGCGCACTTCAGGTTCTGACTGCTGCATCTGCATCATTTATTCATGGCGCCAATGATGTTGCCAATGCCATTGCGCCGTTTACGTCGGCGTATCTGATATGGCAGACTGGGAAAGTTGAGAATAAAGTACACGTCCAGGAGTGGGTGCTGTAAGTAATGTTTGCGCCTGGATGGAAGCGACCCCATAGCTAATCAGGAAAAATGTTACAGAGCTTTCGGGGGTGCCGCCATCGTCCTTGGCCTCATGACTTACGGCTATCAGGTCATGCGAAACCTAGGAAATCGCCTCACGCTCATGTCTCCTTCTCGCGGATTTTGCATGGAATTGGGCAGCGCAATTACAGTGCTCATCGCGACGAAGTTGGCCTTACCTGTTTCAACCGTATGTTTCTCCCTACAACCCCGGACCCCAAGATTAACGAACGCACAGACTCAATGTATCGCTGGCGCCGCCATCGGTGTGGGCCTCGCAAATGGCGACTGGCGCTGTATCAATCTGCGACTTGTAGCATGGATTTATTTCGGATGGTTTATCACGGTACCTGTTACGGGCTTGATCGCCGGTTGTTTAATGGGCCTGATTTTGAACGCCCCGAGGTGGTGAAGTCTAAAACTAGATCGATACGGCGAATGATTTGTTACGTTTGAGGACGTTGTAGAGGATTGCTCTATGGAAAACGGTCCAGCCGAATGATTTGAATGTATAGACATGAAAAAAAGTTTTCTAACTGATCGTCAACTTTATGTAGTTGACTTAAGGCCGACCCACCTCCAGAAATAACGCGATACAAAATTTCCCCCATTGCGTTAGATTTTGGATCAGTTCTGAACTACGGAAGAGCATAGGTCTACTCAGGAGAAGTGTACGGTCCTTGCTGTAACTCACCCTCGACAAGTCCACAGATTATATTCGATCTTGTAAAACTTTTATGGATGGGTCTCGAGGAGGGTTGTCCTGTCCTCTTCCAGGTGTGTGTGCTCGCCGAATTTTCTTTATGGCTTGCATGTCTCTCACATTGGCACTGAATCCATGGCAAAAGGAACTATGGGAAACGATGTGCTGTCTATGAATAGGGCACTATTCCCTCAACCTCTCATGTTTGGCAAAATACGCTCTCAAGTTCCACAGGACGATGGTCAGAAATCTGGACTCGAAAATCAGGGGTAAGAGAGTTTCTGTTGCTTCCCAGCGCAGAGAGTGGCTTGACGATCCATTAGGGCAATGGTCGCGCCGACAAGGAGGATTGAGAATTTGCATGATGGCTCTGGTCGTCAAGCGGTCGGGTAGCCTTAATCTCTTCAGCTCAGAAGTCACCAAAAGGCGATGCCCATCCTAGTCAGACCCATCTGTGCCCAGTTCGATATTGCCATGACGAACGGGGCTTTTGTGAGACTCTACCAGCATCCCCTAGGCAGTTCAATTATCGACGCCATTGTCTCTCGTAACTGCGGCGATGGCCGCATATTCCACGGGTTTGATTGAGTTCAAGGACTAACGCTCCTACCAGCACTCGAACAAAGGCCTCATCTGTACTGCGCTGGCGTAAACACCCAGGTTCAGTGGGCGTGGCATGAACGTTTCTTTGTCAACAAAACATCGTCCTTCTTGAAAGGGAAGCATCGGTGGAGGCGGACAGCGGTTTCTTTCATTAGCCGTAGGTGGGCATCCAATCACGTCCTTGTTTTCGCTAGAGTCGTTGACGAAGATGCAAACTCATGCCGAGCACGGTGATGCTGGAGAACGCCATCATCGTCCCGGCGGTGGATCTTTTCATTCAAACCTGTCAGTCCTTTCCTGGTGAGACTATCGTGTCCCCGTACGTTGGGAGGATCCAAATCAAGGGGATACAAGAAATGAATAGGAAAGGCCAAAACCTACGCATCGATACTTCCCAAGCCAATCCATTCCCCGGCTCCCATTGCCAGTGAAACCGCAACCGCATTGTAGACAACTGCCCACCAAATGTTCCACTGGGCTTGCTGAACTGTCTTCCTTGCTATTTGAATCAGCTTTGGCAAAGATGCGAGGTCCGGAGTCATGAGAATCACGTCAGCTGCGGAAGTGCCCAGGGCCACTGTCCTGGTCGTCGTGGGCGAGCGGGGCCGAGACAAAGGAGAGAGGGAGAATAGAATTCCCACATCGGCCGCTGCTTGAGCAGGAGCATCATTCAAGCCGTCGCCTAGCATTGCGACAATATTCTTGGTTCTTGAATCGGATTGGGTCTGCAACGATTCGACAAGCGTTCTCTTTTCATGTGGGAGCGACTTCGCAGCCAGCACAGGGATCGCCAGCTCGGAAGAGACTCGGTGTGCTTCGATCTCAGAATCGCCTGTCAGCATTGTCAATGATAAGCCGAGTGATTTCAGAGATTCGATCACACTTGGTGCAGACGAGCGAATTTTGTCTTGGAGTGTAAATGTGCCAGCGTATTTGTGGTCGAGGGAGAAGTGCACAATTGTTGTCGTGTCTTGTGCTGAAGGAGGAATATTGATGTCGTACTCGGTGAGGAAACGTTCGCTGCCGATGTGTACAGTATACCATATATTATTGACGTCGTGAACCTCGCAGGAGATCCCCTTGCCGGGCGCGGCGGAGATGTTCCTTGTTGAAGCTGTGCCTGATTCGTTCGCCATTGGCGGTTTCGTCTGCCCATCGTGCCGTGCATGTGTCTGTAGCTGTAGCTGTCTGAGACACCATTGAAAAACGGCTCTGCCCACTGGATGGGTCTGAGCCTCGTCTCTCTCAGCTGCACAGAGAAGACTATATAATAGCTCCCTTTTCTGGGGATCCGAGTAAAATGGTTGTGCAAAGACTACATCCGAAATCTGCAGTCGGCCGTCAGTTAAAGTCCCCGTCTTATCGAGGACGATGTGCGTTAGTCTGGCTACCTTCTTAAGTGCCATGGAGCCACCGGGCACTAAGACACCATGGGCGTAGCATGCATCGATCCCGGCCATGATGGCAGAAGGGTTTGCCAGACCAAGGGCGCAGGGGCAAGCTGCTGCTAGGATTGCCATTGCTCGTTCACAAGACATGTTGAGGCGGTCAATCCGTGATATGGAAGTTGTCGACGTGAAAAGGGTGAACGTAAAGCAGAGAGAGGTGAGTATCAAGACGGCTGATACAAAGTAGCGGGTCATAATATCCACCAGGGACTTGTCTGGGCTGTCATCTGTAGAGTTCTGAGCTGATTCGTACTTCAACTCAGTTGACGCCTGAATACTTTCGACTACTCTTTCGAGGCTCGATTCGGTCTGTCCTTTCAAGACAACAGCCACGAGTCCGTCAGAGAGATTCCGTGTTCCGGACATGAGGAAATCGCCGACAGATTTGCGGCACGCGATCGATTCGCCGGTCATGTTGGATTCGTCCACCAAAGAGGCACCGCGGATGACATAGCTATCGCAGGGAATGAGGCTTTGAGGCGGGATGCGGTAGACATCAATAGGGGCGAGGAGACTAGCGGGAATGGAAGTCTGTAAAGATCCTCGTCAGTGATTCGCCCCAGCCAGGAGTAGCAAGCGCGTGGAAGGTCTCCCAGCCCGGACTGACCGTCTGGGGTTCAAGCAGATTGGAACGGGAAGCTGCCGGAGGAAGATCACTCACCAATCCAGACTCGACAGATCCATCTACTTCGGCATCATCGCCGTTCTTGCGTATCCGTCCTTCAACCAAGAATGTGCCCCACTCCATGTCCATTTGCAATCCAAGTAGCCTGCCAAAACCGGCCGCGCCCTGCCTTTTCAAAGTGACGTCCAGATATCTTCCTCCACTGATGACCACTGTGAGAAACGATGTAGACAAGAAATACGTCTTTCTCTGCGGGTCCAATAAACCGTAAAGCGCAATGTTGAACAGCGACAAGACTATACTGAGCAAAAGCGAAAGTGACAGAAGAGTATCCATGGAAAGGGTTGGGAGTTGGAGTCCTCTCTTGGAGTAGCAGGCTGCCCAAGCATTTCGATGAATCCATCTTGCGTGAAAGAGTTGGTCGTAGCAAGCAATAACAAGAGCAAATAGGAGAGCGATTGGATCCAGGATCGGGGCAATTGCGGTATTGATGTTCATCTTCCGCACCCATTCAACCATTGTGATACAGGTCGCCCATTTGGCCGCTCCGTTGAACGCTTTCTTTAGTTCTTGAAGCTCTTCATCCCTCCTGACGAGCCGCAGATTGTCGGCGGCGGAGCCATTATTTCCTTGTCCAAGTACTTCGGCTCCATATCCTGCATCTTCAACCAGAGATATCAGATCGTGGATGCTTGTTCCATGCGAATTGTAGATGATTGTTGCCCGTGAAAGCACAAGAGATATATTGATTCGTATGACAGATGGGTGAGATGTCAAGGCGTGAGTCAATGTAGAGACACAAGCAGAGCAAGTCATTCCCTTGATAAACAGACGCGTGGTCGTCAGAGGTTCTGACTTTGGATCCCGGGGTTCATTGTTGACATCGTTCGTCTTGTGTCTTGAATTGTATCTGGGGTGGCCTAGGGAGGTCCTCGATTCGAATCCAGGAGTGAACTCGGCATCTGGATCAAAGTCATTGTATTTAATGTCAAGAAGGCGGATGTCGAAGAGCTCGCATGCCTTAATGATGCGGCTCATGAAGTATGCAGTGAAGATGCAGCAAGCCATCCTGGGATAGAAGAAAAAGGCCGGATGACGGCAGAGCGACTCTATGGCGATGATAATAATATCCAGGCTTCTTCGCTCTCGATAACGGTCGGCCTTGGTCTCGTCCCTGAGTTATGGGGCGATCATGTTGATCCCGGGTCCCTTCATCGATTTGAAGACTGATGTACCAAACTGCTTCCTCCCTTCAATATTTGGTAAGCACTCGTAGGTGACAGTGAAGAACAACTGTGCTTCCACAGGCCAAATGTCAAGAGACATTATGGCCATGGCGGCCGGGAAGTCCAAGCAGTCGAGAATTGATGGACTTCGGGCCCTGCGAGTCACAAAGTGTGAATCGTAGGACTGCATAACCGAGGTCGAAGGGATAAAAATGGCTTACGATAATATATATATTCACGTGACAATCGGTTCACTCATGGCCTCGTAGGAGAGAGCATCTAGTTATTTAAGAGTCCACTGAGTACATGGAAGGATTTTGAGAGTATTTGAGAGCATACTAATCCGCTCGATACGTCTAGTCAAAATATCTGTAACCGACGACTGCGCCAAACTTCTTTTCATGCCCACCCTACAAACCATGTCTAAAGCAAGCTCGAACCCCAGTCGCCCGTCACAGAATATGTCATATCATCTTCGCAAAGTCACCGTCCAATGAATATAAAACTCGTATCAAATCATGGCTGCCTCTCCAAAACATATGAGTCGGCTGAGACCTAAATAGATACCACGACGATTCGCAGGTGGGATGGGTGTTTAAATAAATGTAGCGAAGGATAATTGAGGTCTTGGTCACTCTAGCCTAAGTGACTCGTTTCAGTCGCCGCGGAAGAGGATCCCCAAATGGCCTCGTGTTGCCCGGGGAAGATCTTTCGCAGAGAAAGTCGATGACACATCGTGATATTCCCTGAACCAGTTTGCGGCATTATCATCGAAAACTGATTCCAAAGTCCCGCAAAGAGCATTGAGATGCTTTCAACCAGACGAAGTTTCGAGTGATTGAGTCGATCTCCGGCGAATAGATTATCTCCGCCTGATATCGGAAGCGAGGGAATTTTCAGATATCTGGCCCCGTTGAACAATATCACTCCAGAAATGACAGAGCGTGCAGTTAATAGTGAAAGCAGATGGCAATAACGCCAGCGGTAGCAAAGCGAATCTTTCGGGGTAGATGCTTGACAAATCAGCGATAAACCTGGACACATTTCTCGGCAGATCGCGACAAAGGAAATTCGTCATTGCGTGAGCCGATCATGCTCACGAAACTCGAGCGTAATCCTGTGGATTGTACCGGTATTGCTGTGCGGACATCGCATTGGGATCCGGCGTCCTGGGCGATCGGTTTGGTACGGGACCAATGCCGGCAGGTAGTTCGGCAACAAAAGAATTTTTGTCGATGCCAGGAGAAGCCATACTGCCTTGGTCGTAGGAACTAGGATGCGAACTGACAGAAGCAGCATAACTCTGTCGGTCAGAGTGGGCGCCGTTGGGGAAATTACTCTGACTAGGCGAACTAGCTGACAACTCGGAGACCGCGGCCGAGAAGCGACTTGGAGGGTGCAGGCGTTGTTGCGAGTGTTCTTGGATATAATGGGTGCTGCCCGGCATCTCAATCGCCAGTCCTTGTGGCGGCGGAACATGTGGACTATATTGTGGTTGTCTGCCATATGTGGATTGGTAGGGAAGTCCAGGTGAGGAAGGTGAATATGGGTGATGAGGAGAAAGCATAGGTGAATAATGGCCTTGTGATTGGAATGTCTGGAATGTTTGCGATCGATCTGCGGGATTTATAGTCTTGAGTCTTCCATCTTCCATCATGGCATTGAGCTCTCCGGCATCGATCATCTCAGCTTTCTTGACTAAACGATCAACCATGACTTTTGAGGCTGCTTTCAATTCCTTCTTGACAAACGAGATCATGGCAGGATTGCACTTGATTTCAATATCTTCTCTCAAGTATAGTCCTTCAGCGGGGGCACCACTTCCCAGCTCTCGAGACTCGGGGGGTTCGCCAGGTTGATTTCCTCGAATCTGCCATTTGTTGCGCAAGTCGACGCCCATGGGAGCGTAGATGTGCGTCTGTAAGCCCCATGGCATGTCGTGGAAGCAACCCTTGAAAGATATTTTGCCAGAGCCCATCTTTCCCATGCCAGGCACGTATTGAATCCTCTCATTGATCTCGTACCAGGTGGAGAAGTATTCGTCGGCGGGAGCATTCTGAGGAGCCTTGACAGGTTTGTAGCCGATGACGAGAGGATTGAGTTCGATGATCTCGCCATGACTATGGAGCATGTCGATAGCCAGCTGGCGAGGGATATGAGAGGGGATGGGAGTGATGTTGGCGTAAACCGACTTTTTCTTCATCTTGGTGGTAGTTGCGGTCGGGCGGGGACTTGTCAGGAGAAGAGTAGGACGTCGCGACCTTTTTCCAGAGGGCGCTGAGAAGGGTTTCTAGTCGAGAATCTCGAAAGAAGCGGCTAGAAAATGTCGCAGGCGGAAGGATGTCAGATTGCCCAGGACTGGGCGAGTGCGAGTGACTAATTAGTGAAGCTGACGATGCACCGCCAGCTGCACCGCCGAAGCGATTTTTGGTCTTGGGTTGAAAGACCCAAAAGGGGAAGAAAGTTAAATACGAATCAAAAGCAGCCGAAGCCTTTGATAAAGCAAGTAATCCGGTCCGTGGTTTCAACCCTTCTTCAAATCTGTGAAGGTGGAAGTAAATTTGCTAGCAACTACGGCGAATATGGGTTGCGAAATAAGACGGGGATGATCGGTACCTGGCGAACAGAAGCAATAATAATAGCTCGCTATTGCGCAGATGCGCGCTCCTGCATTCAATCGACGCCCTGGTCAATAATCAATAATTTTTTGTTTAATATGCGAAGAGGGTGGCTTGAAATACCAGCATTTCTGAGAGTACTTTGCGCCTCAGTACATGGGACTAAGATGGTGGTGGTTTGTACGTCATAATAGTGGCGGAGTCGAAATATCTCAAATTCCTCTTTCATTGGGTCATCAAATCCTCGATAGCTACATCCATCTGTTTCTGCCTGCCGGCCCCCTTCTTCTGGCCCTCCAAAACGTGTCAGTGTCCTCCCATTCTAGAATTTGTTGTCCTCCGGCCCGACTGCAATACATGACAATGAACTAGAAGTCATCATTCATATATCTCTGGAGCCATTCGTTTCGCCCGATCCACGACCGAATCCTTTTTCCGAATATCCTGCAGAGAGGTCAGCGTTGCGAAACTAGTCTCGGGGGCAAATAACAAGGGGGGATGTCCTCACCAGAGAGGGACGGTCAGGAGGCACACGAATAAGAAGAGGGCCCCCAGAATGCAGAACACCTCCAATGGGCCGTCTTCGGCCAACCAGTTATTGACGAAATAGGTTAGTCCAAAGGTCAACAGGTTTCGAGCATTGATGGCCACAAATGCCTCCTCGTTCAATTTTGGATACGAATCGATCACATAACCAAACACACAGGTCGAGGCAAAGGCGAGACTCATGTTGGCAAATCCGAATGTCAACACAGGACCGGACCAGTGTGTCTGATAATGCACCGTTGCGCCAAACCCAAAAAATCCCACCGTCCCCAGGATGATGACCACAGTGATGAGCACCAGGCGGAATTCAGGTTCATAAATCCCTTTGTTCTTTTTCGTCAGGTAGACACAGATCCAGTCGTTGAGCGGACCCGAGATTACTTCTCCGATCAGCGTGAGGACAAATGGGGAGAGACTGATTAAACCGGTCTGTGATACCGAGAAGTTGTATGGTGGCGACACGAAGATGACTCCATTCACCACCGAGAATACGACAATCCAAGTCAGGGTCGTACCATAAATCAAAAATCCCCAGAACACTGCTGGATAGAAGAACAGGACAACCGGTCTTGTGAAGATTTTGTAGATGGGCGCATAGCTGTACCGTCCAGTGAAAATGCGCAGCGACTGCCAGTATGACATTTTTGGCTCAGCCGAACCCCGAGACAACGAATAAGAAAGGTGCTTGTCCTTCTCGCCGTGAGCTTGGGAGATGTCATGTTCGTGGCCTAACTTCATGTGAATATGTTGTGTTCCTGGCTTTTCAGCATCACCCTCGACTGGGTCTTGCTCTGGGATGATCACCACAGCATCGCGCCGGTATGACGTTTCGGGGACGAGGAAGAAAACTCCCAACATGAGGACGCCGAAAAAGATGGCACACACTCCAAAGGTCCATTCATAGCCGTCGTATTCGATAATGTAGCCGCTGACCAGAGCACCACCAGAAATTCCAGTGAGAAGGAACAAATTCCATACTGCTATTCGGGTGGCTCGCTCATGCACAAAGTAAAGGTCGCCAATGGTACATTGAACAAGGACCTAAGAATGGCTGTTAGCGTCTGTCCGCACTAACCGGTTCAAGCCATCCATCACATACCTCATAAGGCGCCATGCCAATGCCCGAGATGACACGACTGGCCAGGAAAGAGCTATAATTGTTTGCCTTAGCTCCCCAAACGCTGCATGCAAACATGATGCAAATAGCAAGAATATAGATCGGCCTCTTCCCGTATAGCTTGGCCAGAGGGTTGGTCAGGAACAGCCCCAGTCCAATTGTCAGAATTAGCCAGGCGGTGGCCTGTGATAAGATTTCGACGGTGATGTTGAGTTGCTCAGATATTTCCACGAATCCTGGGCTGAGCATAGGGCCGAAGGCTCCCACGACCGCGGCGGAAAGACTGACAATAAGAAGAATCAATTCCTTCTTCCATTGAGGCCAGTTCAAAGGATCATTGGGTGAATCTGAAGGTTGGGGGATCAGGATGATGTCCGAAAATCTTCCTTTTCCATGTTTTAATAGCTCTCGGGGAATTTCGGCGTATTCGGGAGGCAAGTCATCCTGATCGCTCATAAACGCGGTACCCGGAACGACCTCCAGCTTTTTGCAATCAATGATTCCGAACGGCATGGTGATCCGAAGTGTATCTTCTCCTTGCTTAGGCAGGCAAGAGTAGGAATGAAAATGATCAAAGGAAAGAAGAGAAGAATCAACTCGGGATTAAGTAACGGAGACGCTCAGCTTCTGGTAAGACGCATGCAGTCCCTCTTAAGAAAGTGCGGTACTTCATGGTCGAAGCCGATGTCTCAAAAGCTTGGGCATATGCTAAAGCAGGCGGGGGCTACGTTCTGTTGTATGCTATAGCATTAGACACCCTGATGTGATCAGTGGATATGATTCGCAGGGATCTGGTGGCATAAAGTCTGCGTATGTGTCCGATTGCCCATCAACAAAGCCAAACACTGCAATTTCAACGCTGATCGAAATGGCCGGGAGGTCGAGACCGGAATATTCCCATCGACCCCGGTCTTCGTATAGAGGACATGGAAGCGAGAAAGAATCTTTGATAGCGGAAAAGTGTGGTGGGGGGGGGGGGGGGGGGGAGGGAGGTCGTTGTTCAAATGACTGTTGAGCCCCAGATTCCCTGTTACCCCAGTAAGGCAAAATGGGGTCGGGACAGGCCCACCAGTGGCTTGAACAGAGAAGTAGGTAGATGAAGAATTTTATTCCTTTCTCTTTCGTTCCGCGAACTTGTCATGAGGTCCGTTGCTCATCGACGGTTGATAATGATTGTGTCTGCATGACAAACTTCAACCCGTGACTGCTTTCCGGGGGATTCGCTGTTGTGACCATCGTGGAAGAGTCGGGACTCGGAAGGATCTCCAAATGCTCGTTTATCTGGGATTTTTATGCTGTTAGCAAGGGTCGATATTGATTGATCTAACCTGGGTTAGCATATTTAACTCTCTGTGCAGGGTAGATACATTTCATAGCGTCGTTTCGTCGAATGGGTAACGCATTGATTGTAAGGACGAGATTTTTGATCCCTGGACAATCGGTGTCCAATGCATTGCATCCAGACCGATGGCATAGGAAAGGGCCCAAAATGTGGGACGGAAGATGCAGGCAGAAATCGAAGTGGAGCCGAGTATGAGAAAGCGCAGTCATGTCACGTGAGGTCCTCCCCTTTTTGCGCACCGTGATCAAAACATCAGCGAGGCCTTTTGATGTCCTTGTTCTTCTCTACGATCACGATCATCATTTCTCAATTTCTACACCAATCTCGTCGCCGACGTCTCTTTGGCAATCCCTACGCAAGCTGGTCTGCCTCTTGAGCCAACGCTGCTTGAATCCCGTTTGAGGCTGGCTCCGATAGGCCATCCATCTTAACATGGGACCCTTGCCCCAATTTCTTCAAAACATCATCAACAACTTCATATGCATGGGTTTCAGCGTCAAAGTCCAGCAACCACGCATCGCGTTTCAGATGTAGCGACTTCGGATCCTTCCATATTCGATCCCAATCGGCCTTGTGCCACTGTTCCCGTGTCGTCACACCGGTCTTCTGGGCTTTGTGGACGCGTTCATACCGGATAGCTTCGTATGCTCGGAGGGCTAGAGGGACATTTTCTTTACCGCTCTTCTCGAGAGTGATTGCTAAGGTCACCCCGTCTTCCATGGATTGGCTTGCCCCTTGGATTGAGGTAGGAAGGAACGGATGTGCAGCGTCACCTATCAGAGCAATCCGCGCCTTGGGTGAGATGAATGTTGGTAAGGGATCTCGAAAGACCAGTTTGTAGTCGACAAGCCGGTCTGGAGGTGTGGCGTCTACAATGTCGTGGACGATTGGGGCCCAGCCGACCAGATTCTTCTTGACCTCGTCCTTGTTACCGGGGAATTGCCAGTCCTCGTCGATGTCAGCTTCGTCCTTGTGCGTTAACACCCAACTGAATTCAGTCCCGTTTTTGATCGATGCCGCAAGAAAGTGCTTGTCTTCGCCAATCTAAACTCAATCAGCTTGGAATAGGTCTTGAACGCCTCAAAGCATGTCCCTACCCAGCCAGAATGCGAGTCACCATTCACCACGAGATGTTTTGTTCTTTCATTCTTGGCCAGGTCATCGGACGGAAACCAAGTACGATAGACTGCATAACCGGAGGGCTTAGGTCGATCCTCGAAGCCCAAAACGATCTTTCTGCCTGCCGATTTCACGCCCTCGGCAGCGAAAACACAATCTGCAACCATTCTCTCGCCATTCACGACGACTCCTGCTTCCGTATCTGACTCGAAGTAGTCGGTGACTTGTTGGCCAAGTCGAATATCGATCCCTCGTGCCTTGGCATGTTTAAGCACAATAAGGTGAATTTCACCTCTGTGACCGTTGATCCGTCTCCCCCATTGCTTCTCAACGTCCCATACCTGCCTGGTACAGAAATTACCCATCCAGTCGTGAAAATCAAGTCCGCCGCTGTGGTGGCTGATTGGTTCGAGTTCTTCGACCACACCTTCCCATCTCTCGAAGATGTGGCCTGAATTCGATGAGAAGCTGATGATATCTCCCAGGGGTTTGAGCTCGGGAACCTTTTCCAACAAAATCACTGAGTGGCCCTTCCGGTCACATTCGATCGCGGCACAAAGTCCTGCAAAACCAGCACCCACAATGATCACCTTGATCCCAGACGGAGGCAGCCTTGCAGAGCTTGGCATATTTGATATTATGTGTTCTGTGTTTCTTTTCTCGGCGGAAGCAGTATTATATATGAGTCCACAATCGAGCTATGTACCCAAAGATGCGATTTCGGTCTTCTAGGGGACTTTATTTAGTTGTCTCGTCGTTATTGTCAACCCAATCGACTAGAGCAGCATTGATGGTCCCCAATCAGAGCAGCACCACCGACATCCAGGACTCCATTCGGACCAAAAAAGTCCATTATCCAAATCGATGCAAATACGCATAACTCGGAATATGGGGTTTCTCCGGCGCGTCTCGTCAACACAACTGCCGAAGCACTGGCGAGATGGAGATGAATCAACAGGCCTTCTCCGCATTCCACAGCCGGCCCGCGAGCGGCGGATCTTGCCACAATGGAGCTGCATCCATTCTCATTATTGGCTAACATGTTTCACCAATGGAGTGACAATGCCCCAGGATATACCAAATGTTGGACGCTGGCTCTTTTGGGTGTCATCTTGTGACCTCTGAAGCAGAAATTCTGGCCAAAAACTGTTCGGTGCGTTTCCCCTTGACTCTTGTACTTGGCAAGTTGCAGAAATTGAGCTGGTATAACCTCTTCTGAGTCCCATCACGGCTAGACCGTCGACATTTCTCTGATGGCGTGGTCCGATATCTTCATCATTTGGTGTGAAATCACCGGCGTCTTCCTAATAGGCATTCTGGGAGTGATAATTCACGATGTGGTCTTATGGAAACGAATGCCTCCGGGCCCTCAGCCTCTCCCATTCATTGGGAACAAACTGAACGTCCCAAGCAAATACCCATGGATTCAATTCCAAGAGTGGTCGCGAAAATACGGTCCTGTCTTCACCATCTGGTTTGGTCGTCGACCGACAGTGATCCTCTCTGATCCTGTGGTGGCTGTGGACCTGCTCGAGAAACGATCTCACAAATACAGTTCACGACCAAGATTTGTGGCTATGGGCGAGATCTTCTGGGACATGTCGAGCATTCTCGTCCAGCCTTATGGCAAGGACTGGTCCGTACGGAGGAAAGCAATGCACAGCGTCCTGACGCCCAAAGCGCTACAGCATTACAAGCCCGTGCAGGAAGCGGAAGCGACTCGACTGTGCTATCAGCTCTCACAAAGGCCTGAGGGGTTCGACGCTCTTCTCAATCGCTTCACGGCATCTATCGTCTTCACCATCGCATATGGCCATCGGATCGACAGCCTGGAGTCACCCATCGTTCGACAGCGCATGAAGATCATGCACTGGAACGCGGCTCTCAACGTACCGGGCCGCTATCTCGTGGAGTCCTTCCCGATCATGAAACACATTCCTGACATGTTCGCGCCGTGGAAGCGGGAGATCAAATCCTGGGGCCGTGAGGAGCAAGAGGCTAATGCCCAATTGCTCAACTACGTGCGCGAAGACATTGAGAATGCAAAGAAACCCGGTGCCCCTCCCGTGCCCAACAGCCTTGCCAAGCAGCTGCTGGAAAATCGCGCTGCGGATCCAGGGGCATTTGCAATGCTTCGTGAACGAGACTTCGCCAGCCTGCCGGCTTCAGTGTTCGGGGCGGGCGCCGACACCACGGCGTCGACGCTGTCCTCTGCACTCCTCGCCATCACCACGAACCAAGAGACGCTTGACGCCGCACATGCCGAGCTCGACGCCGTGATCGGCCCTGATCGCCTGCCCACGTATGCAGACGAGGCGTCGCTGCCGTACATCAGGGCCTTGTGCAAAGAGGCCCTGCGCTGGCGCCCCGTCGCCGTGCTAGGAGGCACACCACACGCCAGCACCGAAGCAGACGTCTACCAGGGCTACTACATCCCCAAAGGCACCAATATCCTTGGCAATAGCTGGGCCATCAACCTGCACGAAGAATACTACCCGAACCCGGACCACTTCAACCCGTTACGTTTCCTAGACGTCCCACCCCAGTCGCTAGGTTATCTGCCTGAGTCCTACCTCTCTAGCACACCCGTGGAAAAGGGCCGCCCTCACCCGAGCAAGCTCGGCCACAGTTCCTTCGGCTGGGGTCGTCGTATCTGCCCCGGTGCCGACCTGGCGTCGAATAATCTCTTCATCGCCCTCGCGCGTGTGCTGTGGTGTTTCGACATTCGCCCTGTTAAGGGCGTGATCTACGACACCTATGACTATACCGACGGCTTCAACATTCGGCCTAATCCGTTTAAATGCGAGATTGCATTACGGAATAAGCGGTGCGAGGAGGTCCTCAAGGCTGAGTTTGAAGATTCTCAGGTGTTCTTGGTCAAGAATTTCCCCTTGTTCAAGGAGCATGAGATTGCGGTTTGATCCATCAGGGATTCCTAGCAAGGTAATAAACGGAAGGTTCGTCGATCGAAGATAGGTGTATCGTGATCCCGGTGACGAAGATAGAGGAAGTGGGTTGTCGACTTTGTGTGCCGCGAATATGGTATTATCATTCCTCACCCTGTCTATTTTGCCCCCTGCATTCGTTTGATTCTTTCTTCGGCGGCTCTCGCTCTCCGCTCTCTTTCCAGCCTCATTCTTATTTCAGGTGTCAACCCTCTCGTCTCCTCTTCCCTCTTTTCTGCGCCAGTTTTCTCCACCGCAGCTGTCAGTGTCTTGCCTGCCCCGGCCTTTCTCTCTATTCTTCCAATGCTCCGCCGGTCTTCTTCTTGACGAATCTGTTCCAATTCTGTTTTCCTCCGCTGGGCCTCCGCCGCGTCCGAGGCTGCTTTCTCCTGTTTACTTTTGGCATCAGCCTCTTCTTGGCTCAATGGTGCAGGGACATGTGCTTTTGACCAGTCAAACGCATTCTCGCCCAGTTGGTGCCGAGCTATGCGGAATGCATCTCTTGTTTTGACATCGCCTGCAATCTCGTATGCAGTCTTGCCGTCTCCGTTCTGAATGGTCGGATCTGCCCTGGCCTTGGTGAGTAAAGCTAACACTAGAGCAGGAGAATTTGTTGATGCAGAGAGATGTAATGGAGTAGGTGCGTGATGATGTTCGGAAGAAGGGAAGAGTGTGAAATTGGGCGACAGCTCGTTCTTGGTCAGGTAGAGAAGAACTCCAGGCGCCTTTGACCGTCGGATCAAAGCCTGCAGCTGGGAGGTATGAAATTGTGCAGTTTCTTCTTCCTTGCTAAGCTTTGGAGCCAATGCTTTCGGTTTCGACTCCTTCGAAGCAGGCTGCTCAACGGCCGGCTTCTCTTGATTAGGTTCAGACAGCTTGTTCACCTTCAATCTCGTAAGTTCCTGAAACGAGCGGAGAAGCTCAGCTTGAGTTGCCCGACGTGTGCTGAAAGGAAATCCACGAATTCGTTTATCATGGCTCCGCAACACTTGACCATCGTAGGGTCCGAACAGTGTTCTCCTGTTCGTGGAACCTGTAGCTCGGATGAAGAGCAACTCCGCGCTGTCAATCATGCCTTTCCATTCGGACAGCACATTTCTAACATCAGCCTCCAGAGCCATTTCGTTGTACCTTCGTATCGAGGATCCAGCGGAGTGAGCGTTTCCTTTGGCATTGTCACTAGCAGACTGAGAGCCCCCTTGTTTCCGTCGGGTGGTATATCGATGGAATGTCTTATGAGCTCTGACCACGGCATGACGCTCTTCTATCCCTCCCGGCCCCTTTCTCAATTCCGGAACAAGCGAGACAATCATGGCTGCGAAATGACCGCCGCCAATCATGCATAGGAAGAAATGCGGATCGGCCTGACCAGTTTGTGTTGCATCTGACTGCGATTTTTCGCTGTGTTTCGCCATCGCCGGCTTTAACTGCTTCCTCTTGATGATATCGATCAGTGACGTCGACATACTTTCCTGATCTTCGTTCGACAATATAGCCCTATAAATACCTAACCTAACATTATCGCCTACCTTTGGACTTGACAGCCATAGCAACGGTGTGTTTCCAAAGCCTCTCTTAGATGACGTGCTTATATCACCGTCCGGCTCTTGGTGGGATATCTTAGCTTGCCTTCTCAGCAGCGCACTCAACGTTGTTTCTTCAAGCTTTGCCTCATTCTCGTCTTCATCCTCAGAGTCTTCGGAGTTTGAGCCAGAAAGTGATTCATCCAGGTCACCAATCATCCTCGCAAACGTGGCTTCGTCAACCGGAGGGATTTGTTTTATGCTCAACTTCAAGTTGTAGCGGTGGAAGTCGGATTTGACATGGAGACGCTGGTCTTGGACATTGTTCAACGAAACCTGGCATAAGGCGCAGGAGGTGGAGATTGCAACACCGTCATCATTGTGGTTCACTTCAGGATTTAGCGATATGATTCCAGACGGCGAGTCTTCCGGCTTAGGATGGTTTCCTCCTGCAAGAGAGAGGGTAAAGAGCAATTCAGGCGGTAGATCAAAGACTGTTGGTCAAGCGTTAATGCACCCTGGGGAAGAGAGAGTGAAACGTCTTACCATAAAGGGGCCGCCGCAGTAAGGGGTTTGTTTGATCAGCTTTGTCAGTCATCCTTGCCTTTCCCTGTTATGTTGACTCTGAAGATTTCGTTTCAGAAACGGACTGGCAGATGCAATATCGGGAACTGCAGTCACGTGACGACGGCAGCAATTTAATGGGCAATATCAACGGTTCCTCAGAGAACCCCCCTGCTTCAATGACTCCGACAGACCTTGAATGATTATACTCGTCTGCAGATTGGCAGTCGGCTTGTCTAGTGATCGACCATCATTGAGACGCTGTCCCAAGGCAGTAATTGAGAGGCTTCTAGTCATATGATTTCGCGTTTTTCGTGCCTGGCCTTGGCGCGTTGGCAGCCTTGAGCTTTCGCTTCTTTCGGTACTCAAAATCCAAACCTGTAGCCTTGCGAAATTCTCTTCCCTCTCCCTCACTAAGACACGGTTGTCTCACTTTTCAAATGTCTATAAGTTGCTTGTCACCCTTTTCGTCCCCGACCGAATGTAATCTCACTTAGTCGTCGTCGTATCGAGCACCATGCCTAAGACTAAAGCTCCTCCTCCAGCCTCGGCCCCATCCTTGGATGGCGTCGCCGTCACTTTTGCCTCTTTCTTTACCAACGCTCACCCCGCTTTTGCTACCAAGAACATTGCATCAATGAAGGCTGACATTGCAAACTGTGGAGGCATTTACACTACGAAGTTGGAAAGTGCCACTCACATTGTTGCAACCTTGGCTCAGGTTCAGAAGAATCTAAATCGCATCAAGGAGGCTCTTCAGAACCCTCAGTTGATCATCGTCAGTTACGATTGGCTGGCTGACTCTTTGGCCTCGAATTCACCTGTCGACGTCAATGGTTATCTGCTTGGCCCTTCTCCAGCCAATTCCAACGGTGGCAATGCTGTGAGTGATAACGACGAGAAACAAAAGAAGCCCTCCAAGCGTACACGACAAGACGTGGACGATGACGAAGATTTGGTTACAACGAAAATGGTAAAGCCATCTTCAAAAGGTGCCAGAGATGATCAAAAGAAAACCGTACCAGCTTCCAAGGCTAACAAACCCAAAATTCCTGTGGACGAGCATTGTAATAATTCAGCGGCGTACAACGTGTATGTCGATGACGACGGCACAGCTTGGAACGCTACTTTGAATATGTCCGACTCGATTGCCAACAACAACAAGTTCTACAGAATCCAACTTCTGGTCAACAAGTTCGATGAATACTTCACCTGGACACGATGGGGTCGCGTTGGTGACAAGGGCCAATCAAAGATGCTGGGCAATGGCTCACTCGATGTTGCAATCACTGAATTCAAGAAAAAGTTCAAGGACAAGCATGGTAATACCTGGGAAGATCGGGAGGGTCCGCAGAAGCCGAATAAATACACTTTGATCGAAATCAACTATGAAGACTCTGACAATGAAGACGGCCTCCAGAGCCAGCAATCAACGCCAAAGAGAGAGTATCCCGACCACGAGCCGGTCAGAGTTAAGAGTCAGCTTGCACCAAGTGTCCAACGTCTGATGGAGCTCATCTTTAATCTTCAGCTCTTCGATAATACGATGGCCTCGTTCAACTATGATGCCAACAAGATGCCATTGGGCAAATTGAGCAAGAAGACAGTTCTGAGAGCATATGAAGTTCTGAAGGAACTGACATCTCTTGTTGCAGATCGTAACCTTATGACTGGCTTAGGACTCCATTATGATCAAGCAATTGCAGACAGAAGCAACCAGTACTTCTCACTTGTGCCACACGCCGTCGGTCGCCGGTCTGTCCCTCTCCTCCAAGACATGGGTTCCATTAAGGTACGTGTCGTCTGTAGGAGCTGTCTGACTTTTAAAAACATGCAGCCAAACTAACTGTTTAACGTGCAGAGAGAAATCCAACTCTTGGAGACCTTGACAGACATGCAATTGGCGAATGAGATCATGAACTCTGCAAAAGTTGATAAGTACAAGCAACAAGAGCATATGAACATTCTGGACCGACAATATATGGGGCTCGGCATGCAAGAGATGACTCCACTGGATATCACCAGTCAAGAGTACAGAGAGATCCACGATTACTTAAAGAACTCAAAAGGCGGCACGCATGGGGTCACTTATCAAGTCCAAGACATTTTCCGCATCGAACGCAACGGCGAATCCGATCGTCTCAACAAGTCACCATATGCGAACTTGGGTGCAAAGAGTGATCGTCGCTTGCTTTGGCATGGATCTCGTTGCAGCAATTTCGGTGGTATCCTCAGCCAAGGCTTGCGAATTGCACCGCCAGAAGCTCCTGTTTCGGGCTACATGTTTGGCAAAGGCGTCTATCTCGCAGATATGAGCAGCAAGAGTGCAGGTTACTGTGCATCACATTCAAGTGGAGGGACTGGTCTTTTGCTTCTCTGTGAAGCCGAGCTGGGAAAACCACCACTGAAACTAACCAACGCGGACTACAATGCAGGCGATCGTGCCAAAGCGAACAACAGTATCTCGACCTGGGGCGTAGGCCAAACTGCTCCCAAAGGCTGGAAAGATGCCTCTTGTATTAACACGAATCTCAAGGGTGTCTTGATGCCTGATGTCCTCAGTCAGCCTCCAGGCCCATCAAACGAGGCAAGCGCTTATCTGTTGTACAACGAGTACATTGTCTATGACGTGGCACAGATCAAGCTCCGTTACCTTTTGAGGGTATCAATGACTTGAGAAACTTTGCCAGTTTTCCAACCCTCCTTGAACGGTCTACCACAGACAATTCGGACGTCACACCGGCATGAAAATGGGGTTGACACACACCTCACACCATTGACCAACAAGGCCAGGGCACCAGAACACAAATCTCGAAACTTCATGTGTTTTAAAGACCCCAACGGGACCCTACACCATTACAAGCTACTGATTTGCGATTTTCTTATTGCTTCACGATTAGCCCTGCTCTTTGCTGGCCGTCCCACCATACCAGATGACAGTCATCGATGGAATTAAGGGGAAAAGAGAGCTCCTACAGGAGATATTTTCCTTTCGAATCATTGTGGTGTTACGTCATAACAGAACGGGGCATGGTTATGGAATCAATTGAGCATTGCTAACGGGCTTGACTTAAACTGTCTCTTGCGACAGAGTTAGCCACTCCTCAACCAAGACAGTTGATTCAAGAATTGTCCCCTGTTCATTCTCCATTCCTTGTCACGCCTTTTCAATGTTTCCATTTCTACTTTTGCAAGTCCAAACTGCGCGAACCTCTCCTTTCCCGATACCATGTCATTTTCTTTGCTTCATTTCCGTTACAAATCGAGTCCCTCCTCCCCATGATAACGTACATGCCAGAGCCGATCAATCCAAAACCACTAATGAGCGTTTCCGTTACACTTTTCGAATGCGATTTCGTTCAAGTCTTTGTCTACCTGAGATGGGGCGGAAATGATTGCCAACACCAAACTGGAGTTATGACCATCGATCAGGTGACACCGCTACGGTAAGACCTTCAAAAGGCCCGTTCACGATAATCCGGGTTCCATCGTCGTCGAACGACACTGTCCTTTCTGAACTTTGCCTCGCGTTTAGGCTTCATCCTGAGACCTGGCATCAGATTTGCTTTGGCTTTGGGTACAGGAGCAGGAGCAGGCGCAGGTTTGGCCTCTCGCCCGGCGATGACAGTGTCAACAATCGACCCATCAATGATAATATTGACGTCGGCGTCATCGTCATCGTCGTCGTCGTCGTCGTCGTCGTCGTCGTCGTCGTCATCATCATCGTCATCCCCCCCTGTTGATTCACCTGTCGTGTCTGTGGCTGTCGCATTCGCATCAGCTGCGACGGTCTCGTTGGCAACGGCGGCAACTTCAGTCATATTCGTGCCGCACATGGCTGCGATGGCTGACACGGTTTCATTGGTCATAGTGACTGTGTCGTTGACGCCTGCGGCGCTAGTCGTGTTCACGGCGGCGGCCATAGCGGCAGCGACGCAAGTAGTCTCCACGGTCGCAGGGTCTGTTACGTTTGCGGCGGCGGTAGTCTCATTTGCGGCGGCAGCGGCGTCCTCAGCGGCGGTGATGGCGGCGGCTTCCGTGTCTCGCTTAGACCCGGGCGGAACGGCGACAACATACCCAGACACAGCGGGGGCGAAAATGGACGGAACGATGACGACAGCCGTCAACGCCAGCGAGCGAACATGTATCGCCTCAGCGTGGGCGAAGACACTTGGCAAGAGCAGAAGAGAGAGACTGAAAAGAATAGTCGAGGGCCGGCCCATTCTGTACCAAATGTAAATGAAAGGACAACCTGTTGTCTTAGTTGGAAGTAAGAGAGATGGAAGACGACGTCGGTAGGCGAAATGAACGGGGCAGGACCGGCCTGTATTTGAGTTGAAGGGAGGATGGTGCGGGATGAAATATAGAAAGAGAAAGGACGGGAAAAACGGGAAGTTAGTGAAAGGGCTGGATGATATAAAAGCGCAACAAACGAAAATGTTTGAATCTTTTCCTCTCACGTTTCGGTATTTTTCTCGTCAATGTTTTGTCCACCCATGCCTTGAGACTTGCACGAAATGAACAGCACCACTTTTCTCTCACGTTTCCAGCATCGACCTGAGAGGGAACGCGTTGCCACGTTCTGGGCATCAGGGAAGATCGCGAAGAAGGTCTCTCCAACTTTTCTCCACTTTAGGAGGCGTCCCAAGAGACTTGGAAGCCGTGGTAAAGGGAAAGGAAGCTTTGGAAGCTTTGGTCAAGCTGCAAAGAGGAAATTATTCCCAGCAACCCCGAGACGATAAGAGTCGACTGATGGTGTAAATCATGTGGCAGAGTCGGCTTGGCCGAGGGGTGTCATCGACGAAATGGGTTAGGATTGGCCAGACACGTTGAGCCGTGAGACAGGGAATGTATGAAACATGTGGAGAGAACGAGGCTGAGTGGACAAACAAACTTGAGGCTCCAAATGTTCCATCCTTCGGTCCCCGGTCTTGGCAGGAGAACTTTGAATGGAGCTGGATGCTGAAGTCCTTCATCATCCATGTGAATACTTATCACCTGAGAAGACATCTGTGATGGAGACTCATTAGCATTAGAAATTGCATGGTTTTGGGTATCTCGTTTCTCGTCGACCAGCGTTATACATCATGATGGTGTCACATTTTACTTCTGGGCATGCCTCAATCCCCACCAAGCCTCCGACCAACACCTCTACCATTCCAACCGCTCGAAAAGCCGCTGGTCCAGCCTTGGCTCTGTTGCCGGGGGATATTTTGTCCAGGTCGAAAGCTCGTCCCGTAAGCCTTGTGACTGAAGGAGCTCCTATCCGCACCAAAATATCGCTTGATTGCTGCCGGAGTTTGAATGTAATTTCTTCCGCCTTGGAATGTTGGGTACAACCTCGTGAGAAAGTCATAAAGATGTGCTGCGATGACGCCGGTTCCTTGCTGCAAAGCTGCTTGTGGACCACCCATGATGAGAGTAAGTGTAAGCATAGCCCAGGGGAGAAGCTCGACGGGAAGTTGAAGGATGATAAAATGTGCTTTCTTGCCACGGTTGTCTTGGGCGAAGGTGTAAATGAAGGCTAAGAGTAAGGCTTGAGTGAAAATCACGCCTCCAAGGATACCACCTGCGGTTACCTGCGCCCAAAGTCAGTTGGTTGCCCCAAAAAGCATGCAAGCCAGTTAAGCCAGTCATGATGGAGGAATACGGTATCGAAATGTAGGAAGCCTAAACCGCCAAACGCAAATTGGTGTATCACGAAAGGCTTTCTCAAATGAGCCACCACCATGCCTGTGCCGCATAGAGTCCTTGACGGATTGATTGACGGATGATGGACCTGTATGTGCCACCGGGGTAATCTCCCTCGATTCCAGGAACCGCTTCAGCTAGAAAAGGCTGGGCGGGCAGATATGCGAGGTGGCGGGGGGGGAGGGAAAAGGAGGGAAAAATGTTGACGAAAGAATGGCCGTGCATACCAAGATAACGGTGGCCACAAAAAATACGTAAGTGAAGAAATCTCCAGGTTGACCAAATCGAGGGGAATTAAGTTCCAAGCCCGAGGCGTATGTGTACACTGGAAAATCGTCAGAATGGACGGGCACAGGATCAGAGGACGAAGCTGGCTCACTGAAATAGAGGTCGAAGACGAAGGAAAATCCGCCCCCGGTCAAGATGAAGGAGGAAAGAAGTCGCCAGAGTTCAGGAGGAAATTTGAAGATGAAGGGATTACGGTAGATTACCCACATGGGGTTGATGAGGCCTCCATGGACAAAAGCAGACTCTGCAAACATGGCTGCCACGATTGTCCTACCTAACAGTTAGATACGCGGGTCAAACCAAACCGAAAGACGGAAGGAGGGAATCACAGACCGTGTGACCGGAGGGGAGCTCCAGAACCTATCCATGATATCGACACCACCACCGCTCATCTTGAGATCCTGAGGATGTTAGATGCAGAAGAATGGGCTGAGGATGATATTGGACACTCTGTTCATGGAAAGAAAAGGATAGAAAAACCGTTCTGAGCAGACCGAATATGCCAAGCAACAAGGCAGTCTAACCTGATCTGGGATGGCGGATTCGTGAATTTTTGACAGCTCCGCACGAGAAGCGCATCAAAAGAACTTTTTCGAACCACCCATTAAATACTGCAATTAATGCTCTATTAATTGCATGTAATATTATCCCACTCTGCACGGCGCGATAGCCAGAGCTTGTCTCTGAGTGCCGCTCTCTCTGTTTGTTTCTCTTTCTATACCTTCCTCCTGACCCACGGGCTCTGCGCGTACCAAACATCCTCTTGGCGACACTGTCTCGCCAACATGGCGAAGGTCGAGAAGGTGGAAAACGTCGACGAGGCCGACTATAGTATCAAACCTGAAAATGTCACACCCGCCATTCCTACCAATGAATGGCCTCTTCTCCTCAAAAACTACGATCAATGTGAGTCGCCGAGTAGTCCATCAAGTTTGCGTTGACCAAACCTAACCCGTCTATCATAGTACTCGTAAGAACAGGTCACTTCACGCCCATACCCTGTGGCTGCACCCCATTGAAACGCGATCTCAAATCCTACATTTCCTCGGGCGTCATCAATCTCGACAAACCCTCCAACCCTTCCAGTCACGAAGTTGTTGCATGGGTCAAGCGGATACTTCGGGTTGAGAAGACGGGTCACAGTGGTACACTTGACCCCAAAGTCACAGGGTGTCTTATTGTTTGCATAGACCGCGCCACGCGGCTGGTCAAATCACAACAAGGTGCTGGAAAGGAATACGTCTGCGTTATTCGATTGCACGACAAATTACCTGGAGGGGAAGCTCAATTTGCCCGAGCTCTTGAGACCTTGACAGGTGCCCTTTTCCAACGACCCCCTTTGATCTCCGCCGTCAAGAGACAACTACGTATCCGAACCATCCACGAAAGCAAGCTGTACGAATTCGACAACGATCGGCATCTGGGGGTGTTTTGGGTGAGCTGTGAAGCCGGAACCTACATCAGAACTCTCTGCGTACATCTTGGACTACTTCTGGGAGTTGGTGCTCACATGCAGGAATTGCGAAGAGTACGGAGTGGATCAATGGACGAAACGGATGGCATGGTCACATTACACGACGTCCTGGATGCGCAGTGGATGATGGACAACAACCGAGACGAGTCATATCTACGGAAGGTCATTTCGCCGCTTGAAAGCCTCCTGACCACGTATAAGAGAATCGTCGTCAAGGACAGTGCGGTCAATGCCGTATGCTATGGGGCCAAGCTGATGATTCCCGGTCTGCTTCGATTCGAAGCCGGCATCGAAGTCCATGAAGAAGTTGTCCTGATGACCACCAAAGGCGAAGCGATCGCCTTGGGAATCGCGCAAATGTCAACAGTCGAATTGTCTACCTGTGACCATGGAGTCGTGGCCAAGGTTAAGAGATGCATCATGGAGAGGGATCTATACCCTCGAAGATGGGGCATGGGTCCTGTAGCATTGGAGAAGAAGAAAATGAAGTCTGACGGCAAGCTTGATGTAGGAATCCCCCCTGGCCCTTCCAGCCTACCTTACTGACATGGCTCCAGAAATATGGCCGACCCAACGAAGCCACCCCGGCCAAATGGACAGCTGAATACACCGACTACAACGCACCCGCCGACGGCACGACCTCTGCGCCCGTCAAAGAGAAAACCGCACAGTCCGACGCCCTTTCCGCCCCTCCCGTCGCCTCCAACGGTGACACCGCCGAGACCGTGGACCCTGGTGACACCGCAGCTATACCGGCACCTACAACCAACGGCGCTGCCCCGGCGAAGGTGAAAGGGAAAGAGAAAGAAAAGAAACGCAAGAAACACGAAGGCGAGACACCCGAAGAGCGCGCCGAGAGGAAACGCCGGAAAAAGGAAAAGAAAGAGAAAAAGGAGAAGAGGAAGAGTGCCGCCAGTAAAGCAGAAGAGTCTGATGAGAGCGAGTAAATCTTTGATGTGCCATTGACCGTTTGGGGCGGCCTGTCAGGATGGACCCACCCAGGTGTAATTTCTTGATGGCAGTCTCTATCTACTACCATGTGTTTGTCTCTCCGCGTCTGCGTCTGCATTGCTACATTGGTCACAGGACATTGGGTTCGGGTCACGTTAAAAATGGGGAGAGAAACCAAAGTCCAAAACCACAGATTTCACTATTTGTCTCAGAACAACCTGCTCAATTTTCTTCTCACGGCGGGGCGCGGGTAGGTACGCAGACGATGGTCATGTCGAGCCACCGAACGGCGTGCTGGGTGGATAGCTAGTCGTCACTCTGTCTCGGTTATGGAATGAGTGGGATTGAATTGAATGGCCTTTTCAAATCCCGCTCCCTTTGCTTCTTTCCAACCATACCCGGAAATCCGAACCTCGCGAAGTGATGCTCAAAAATTATGCCTCACGTGCCCATTGAACCTTTGGGACGAACTACTGAAATTGAAAATACATAGACCGAGAACAAATCTTTCATGTAATGGCAGCCAGAAATAAGTACGTTTGTTATTTTTATCAAAACAGCATCCCCTAGATGGAGTACAATTATATCGGTCGGTTGCCCGGGCCCTGAACCTAAAAGGATGGAGAGAATCATGTGCGGCGACTGACATTCTTGAAAAATTTCGTGCAGTCTCGTTGAAAGGGGGTCTGGCCTCGCGCCGGCAAAATGGGTGTCTGTGTCCTAGGTAGACCACCGTTACTGTTACAAGAACACGCATGGTTTTCCTGATGAGAAAAAAAAAAAAAGAGCTCAAGCTTCGCATGCAAAGACGTCGATACGAAGAAGCGAGCGAGACAGAGAAGCCATGCGGTACAATGGTAGCGAAAGGTGGCGGTCCAACGAAAGAAGAGCATTTGGCCTCTTTCAAATCGCAAAAATAACTTAGTCAATCGCTTTCCTCCCAACCTGAATCTTTTGACAGTAATTTGTCTTTTGAACAACGGGAGTAAGGCAAAACAAAGATTCAATAAACACTGGTCTTTTTGCTCTCTTCGGAAAATTGGTCGTCGCTTCGTGAAGGTCATGCTCGTGTCAAGAGTCACGGGTTGATGTTTAATCGTGCTCATGCGTGTCGAATGAACCCAGAGAAGGGTGCATCTCCCAGAGACCGCTAGGTCAGAACCAAAAGAGGCAGGGCTAGTAACCCTCTTGACCCGCTTTACACACTTTGATCTCCCTACCCCATTCGGATTTGAGGACTTGAGATGCGGTAATTCGGCGGCCTGGATTCGGATCCAAAATCGAGTAGATGACGTTTCTGCAGCGCGCCTGCGGAACTGTGAGTCAGCCGTGATTTTAGAAATAGACCGGGGAAACGAGTGCCAATTTACCCTATGCAAAGTCTCTATCGGAGCATAGCCGTCTTCGTCACGTCGTCCTTCGAGGTATCTTTCATAAAATTCGTCCTCCTCCTTTCGTGCCACTCTCCATAAATGTCGGCCAGTGCGCATGGCCATGTAGATGACACCACAGGCCCAGACATCAACGGCTCGAGGATCAAACTCGCCGCCTCCATATTCTTCGGGGGCGATATAAGGTGCACTGCCGCAAAGTCCGGCAGTCATATGGGCTTCTTTCTCCCAAGCCATCCGGAAACATTCACCGTTTCCAAAATCAGTAATTTTTAAAGCACCGTGGGTGGTCAAGAGCAGATTCTCGGGTTTTAGATCGCGATGCGCGACACCCATTTCGTGCATGTACTCGACACCACGCATTAGCTGCTTGAAAAAACAGTCTGCTTCGGGGACGCTGAGAACGCCAGCCGCAAGAATAAGGGTGTAGAGGTCTCCACCGGCACAATATTCCATGACTTCACAGTAGTCGCCTTTGGCATCTTGAAGGAGGTCGAGGGTGTGAATTACATTGGGGTGGCGAAGAGAGGATGAGATGCAAAATTCGCTGGTAAGTCGTTTCTGGTATTTCTTGGGCGTCTCTTGCGGGCGACGACGGAATTCCTTGACAGCATAGAGCAATTCACCTCCAGCGCTATTGGGGTCTGGTTTGTGCGATATTCTGACGATGCCGAAGGCCCCGCGACCGACAATTTCCTGGCACTTTCCGTACTTCTCGACCAAGTTGGCCGTGGCGTTCGGACCACCCTTCTTGTCGCTGGCAAGATTGTCCTTCTCAGATCTCAGCTGATCAACCCAGGATGACATGAGCGACAATTGTTGGTCGCCACCGTCTTGATCTTTCCTCTTACTGCCTCCAAGCATGTCTCGGAGCATGTCGGATAGCTTCTCCTGCCTTTTGGCGGACTTGAGCTGATGTGCATGGGACCCATCTTCGTCGATTTCGAATCTCTTGTGTCCAGCATGGGAAGAATCTGAATGAACTTCGCCCTTGGTCTTCTCTTTGGTGGCACCAAGTATGGTCATCTTCTTGCCGTCCTTCTGATCACCTGAAGACTGTCTGCCCGCCGGAGGTCGGCTGTGGTAACCGTTGCCGTTGCCGTTTTCCAGACGGGCGTCTGGGGAAGACTCTTTGAAGGAGTCTGATTTGGCGGCATCGACGTCCTTTTGTTCGTTCCGAGAGAACATCCGGGTCAGACGGTGCGTCATTTTGGGCTTCTTTGCAGCCGCCGTAAGTTGGGAGCCGGGGGGGCCAGCGGTGGGCACGGCAAGGGCAGCACTGCCATTCACCGAAAGGTGCGCCGCGTCCTCCGCCAGTCGTGTTACCGATGAGGAAGACGTATCATCTTGCGAGACTGGAGAATGAACGAGTGAAGGTGAAGTGGGATGCGCAGGATGGGTATGGGATGATGTCCGGTTCATGTGAATGGCGGAAGTGAGGGTGGGGGAAGAGTGCTCGGGCAGGGTTGCCCTATCTCTTGACGATTAGTGGCGGCAGATAAGGCGTGAGGTTGCTGTGAAACGAGGAAATATAATCTCGAACCGAGACCGGGAAAGATTGTGGAGAATGGTCTGCTTTTCTTTCCGTTTGAAGTCTTTTTGGTTGTGCGTCTTGTCACGTAGAAGAGGATGGGGATAATGTTAATGGTTGTTTGGTGGCGAGAAGGTAAGGGGTGCGATGTTAAAATTGCACGGACGAAAAGAGGGAGAGTGGTAGGAGCAGTCGGAACCGGCGCGAGGGCCTTATGATGAATTTGGCTCGTCAGGATTTGCGATCATTAGGTCAGGTTTAGGGTAGAGGGGGACCTTTTTCGACTTGAAGGGTTGAAAATGAGAAGTCGAAAAACCTCGCCAGGCCAGTGGTCCCCGTTCCAGTCGAAGGTGGTGGCAGTGGCAGTGGACGGGCGAAACTGCCAGTGATGTCTGCCCACAGCACTGCTCTCCTCAGTTGTCCAGTCGTCCCTTATTTGGAGAATCGTGGCTGTGGATTTTGGCCACAGGGAAGCCTGACGGAACACAGGGGATCGGGGGGCTGGCGTGCTGCTGACCAATGCCTGAAGCGTGCGGCACTTGGCGACTGCGTGTTCTGGATGGCTATTGATGCTTGATTTCTCGGGTTTGATGTCGAAACCTGGCCAGTGACGAAGCTTAGGAAAGGGGAATGAAAGGGTGCGTCTGAGGGACGTGAACGAAAAATGTGAGAGTTTTTGTGTATGAGTTGACTACACCTGGCGAAAGGTACCTCAAGGTGAATTAGCTGGTAAGAAGCACTAAGGTGAGGGTTGTAGGCTTGCAAGGTAGGTCACGAGAATGAGAGACGTATGGCGTATGTAAGTAAGGATGCAGCTTGCAGTGCAGTAAACTTGCATTCGCCGCAGTCAGTAGCCGAGAACGCTTTTGGCTCAAAAGGTACAGTAGAACTACCGCCGGTAATTGTCAGCTGAGTTGGATAATCTTTATTTTCATTTCGAGTCAACAAACTAGGATGAACTGACCTGTATGATTTGATGAGACTGGTGACTGGCAACTCCGCACGACAGCCAGTGGCTGACAGACCACGAGTCGTTGTCGCAGGGGAGCGAGTCTGTTGAGATGGATGATGAATGATCGCTGGTGGAGGGAAGCCAAAGGGCGCCAAAGGGCGCCTGGGTAATGGCGAAGCTACCAAAGAAATTTTAGAAGCTTTTGCCCCTCTTCCTCTGGCCTTTTGCTCGTGGTTGATGAAATTTTTTGATTTTTTGTCCGCGTGCCTCTTGTCCAGAGTGTTGAATGTCGATCGAATACAAAATTTCGGTCTTCTGAATCCTCAACCTCCAAAACTCAATCTTCTCACCTGACAGTGTCTCACCACGGGGAGAGTACCCGGTAGCTAAGGATAAGTACAGGTACAGTGGAAATGGCAGGAGTCAAGACTCCCTGCAACCAAATACTGACCTTATAACTTATGCTTTGCTACAACTCTCCCTCTCACCCGGACTACACTGACAGTATAGTACAGATACAACGACTCACACCCGGCATGCGTCTCCGACTTCGCCCATTTATACGTACCCCCTCCTTTATAGCTACATCCTAAGAGATGGACAGAAAGGATAATCCCCACGGTGAACTGCGGGTGTACCCCTGTCCCTAGCCTTGACTACGATCCCATCAAAACCCAACATGCAAGACGTGCAGTCCTGCTGGGCCAGCCAGATTTCAAAGCAATCCACCATCAATCAATCTGGCATGAACAGCAAACACACTTCTCAAGCCCATGCATGACCCCATGTGTGTTCGGAATGTTGGCTTTCCCGAATGCGGTGAACTCACCTACAACCCGCCACTGAGGACGCTTTACCGAACCGTACCCTGAAACTCGTCCGATATCGTTTGCCACAGAGATTTTCTCCTTTGAATTTTCTTCCCTCTTTGTTGTCCCGCCTCATTGCTGCTAATCCTCCACTTCCTCGGACCTGACTACTGCGAACTGTTCCTGCTTAGTCCTAAATATCTGCACCATTTTCGTCTCTCATTCTGTCATCAACCTCTTACCGCAATAACTGTGGCCATCCATCCGAAAGCGGCCCTATTTCTCTCCGTGACCCATCTTCCCACACCGCTCGGAATGTTGTAGCGTCAAAGAATTTCTCGGGCCAAGCCCAACGGAACGTCCATCTGGCATGCATCCGCTATCATGCGCTGGCCTGTGCTTCATCCAACACGTTCGAATTCCATCCTTGAACGCACTGTGCTTTCCACCTGGTTTCTTCTAGACATGTGCTCCGTCCCTCACAAGTCCACCGCCTGTCATGATGATACAGCATCAGTCCATTACCATTGAACGTCGACCGTGGCGTAATCAAGCTTTTACTGACGCTTGATGCATGGTGAGATGATTGTCCATCTATTTCGACAAAAACGGATACTTTTTGTACTTCCATTTCTAGTCTACTTCGGGCTTCGGAACATCCCTGTCTGCTATGTCATGATTCATCCCCCCTGGAGGGAGCCCAAGCCGGCTTCTGTGCAGGCAATGCCATGCCATGCCATGCTCTCACCCTCCTCTAACTGTCGCATGGGGCATTTTAAAAGGGAGTAGCCGCCTCCGCATTTTGCAGAGAAATGGACAGATGATGGGGTATTTTCATCTCCAGTTTATTGGCTGTGACGCCAGGTCCATCGCGGATTTTAGGACCCAACACCAAGCTATCGCGGCTCCAAATGCCCTCCTGGGTGCGAAGGAGAGAAAAGATTGCCGTAGTGGAGTATCCACTTTGTTGGATGCCGAGAATGCAGCAGGTCCGTTATTCCGAGTTCGATCGGGATTAGGTCCTTAGAGAATCCGCGCATTGCTGACATCTTGCGCTGGCTCTATCCGCAATTCCCATAGGCGACAAAATGGTTTGCTAACACCCATCGATAGCCGGATATGCACCTCGCTCAATATATCTTCCAACTCAAGCTTCATATCACCAATCGTTCCGGCACGAGCAAACGGCATCTTCGCCTCGAAAATATCCCCTGCCAGCCTTGATCGTCGCTTGCTGCGGGTTTCTCGACACTTTGTTTCTGTCGTGGCACAAATCAAATGCAGATTTTTGACACGCGAGCATGCATTCTCGTAAAGACCCTACGTTCCTCAGCCTTATGACATGTGAAAGTCGGCAGTCCAGCTCTCTCTTGCCGTGAACAAAATGCAGCTCCGGCTAGTATTAGATGCCGCTGAGGGACCCGAGAGTGTCGGTTTTGATGGTCGGCTAATCCCATCATCGCCATTATAGCGGCTGATCTTGATATTCCCCCCAGCTTGAGGACGCACACGAAAATGCGTTGCGGGAGCAATTCCAGTCCATATTATGAGGCATTTACAACCACATCCTCGCTTCGAATGAACACGGTGAACTCATACCCAAGTCTTCAGCGATTGTTCGATAGCTCAGTTTTGGAAATACACTACCGACCGGTTGAAATCCCACCCCTTGCCGTCTCATTTGACCGGACATACTCCCCATTTGAGTCGAGGGCCTTGAACGTATGGAGGCCCGACGGCTTCCAGTTTCGATGATATCAGAAAGACGGTAAATATGAGAGCACACCGCAATTCAGCCGTTTCGGCAACTGTTGGACAAATAGGAAATTCCCTGTCTTGTCAATCGTCAATGTAGACTTAATCCTACAGGAGACGAATGCTCCAAATTGGGATCAAATTTGCGTGGATGCTGTGGCGCACGAAAGAATGGTTATACAGAAGAGCACGTTGTAGATGGAGCATGCTCCCAATACGCTCCTGATTTCGGCGCCTTTTACAAATACCGGTAGACATGCGTTTGTCCACACTCCTATGACAATGCTTAACAATGGATATCACAACGAGCTGCCAGAATACAGGCATGGAGAGCACGCCACTCCTCATGACACCTCTTATGACGCCTATTGAAGTCCACAATTCCATCTCCACTGGAATGTGCCGTGAGTCCCCATTCATGATGCTTTATTCACAATAAGGAACACACCTCCATCATTGACCATGCGTCTCTATTGTCTCTTGTACCTGAGCAATTGAGGTTGGAGTAGAATGGCAATCAATGGATGTGAGCTCTGTGGATCGGACGTGAAAAGCGGGTCTCAATGCCCTTGACGACTGCCACATATAAAATCCACTACACGTGATACCGGAAGAATATTTATCCGATACGTACACGTTTTTGGTCATGGATGAACGCTTGGCGGCTACTCAGGCGGTGCAGTCCCAACGCCTTGGTGAGGACCAAAACCGCCTCAACCGGATGCCTGTTCAGGACACCTTGGATAACTTTTGACCTCTTCCTCGGCGTCTTCGCAGCCGGGTCCATTGCCAAAGAGGACGCCACCGCATTCAACGCTCATCTCCAATTCTATCACCGATTATACCTCAACCAGCAAAATGTCGTGGGCAGGCTTCAAGAAGAACGTCAACCGAGCGACGACGCAGGTGATGATGAAGACGGGTGAGCATTCAGCCATCGCTCTTTACGTATGGAATTATTGACCATGAATTCAGGGCACGTGGAGAGAACGAACGACAGGGACTACGAAGTGGAGGAGAGGTGAGAATTCAATCGGTCTTTCCGACTCATCAGTGGCTGAGATAAGATCACAGGCGATACAGAACCATGGAGTCGGCAGCAAATCGGCTCCAAAAAGAAGCAAAGGGATATTTAGACAGCCTGCGGGGTGAGACAAGAGAGAACCTTTTTTGGAAACACCATCCCAAACTGACTCCATCGCACAGCCATGACAGCATCGCAGATGCGAATCGCGGAGACAATCGACGCATTCTACGGAGACGCTGGCACCAGAGATGGAGTCTCGCGATCTTACAAACAAGCGGTCGAAGATCTCGACGCCGAAACGATCAAAGCGCTTGACGGACCATACCGGTACATCCGCCTTGTTTCTATAGTTCATTTTTGTCCTGACAATCACCTAGGACGACAGTCCTCGAACCCATTTCTCGGTTCTGCGCGTACTTTCCCGATATCAACGAGTGCATCAAGAAGCGCAACAACAAGCTCCTTGATTACGACTCCATGCGCTCCAAAGTCAAGAAATTGGTGGAGAAACCCGATAAAGATGTCACCAAACTGCCCCGCGCAGAAAGAGAAGCCGAAATGGCCAAACAAGCCTACGAGCAACTAAACGAACAACTTTTTACTGAACTTCCTCAACTCATCGACCTTCGTGTTCCTTACTTGGACCCCAGCTTTGAAGCACTTGTCAAAATCCAACTCAGATTCTGCGCAGAAGCGTACAGCCGCATGGCACAAGTTCAGCAGTACTTGGATGCCGATACCAGAGATCAATATGCTCGTGGCGACTTGGACAATCGGGTGGAACAGGTTCTCTCCGAAATTCGGGACCTGACTATCGCTGGAACCGTCTAAGCACATTGCAGTATTTTACATAAATACCATATGTCTTTCCACCTTCTTTGCCGTGCTGAATGTCACAGACACGACCCCAAATCCCAGATACACCTACAAACCTACACATACAGAAATGCATTTTATGGCTGGACGATCGATGAGCTGAAGTGGAATGGATTGGAATTGAAGTGAGCTGAACAGGAGCGGATTCGAGTGGGCTTTTCCAACATAGCATAGCGTGGGCGTTGATGTTGCAGGCTGGTGAGGAATCAGAAAAGGCCCGGCACAAGATCATAGGATGGAGAAACAAGTTCTCCTATATCATACAGGAGCTTTGAATCGAAATTTCCTTCCGTAGGCTGGCTTCTGTCTCCGTCTTTCGATCGCCCAATCTCTTGTACAGACTGTCCAAATAAGCTTTAACGATACGGAAGCTTGAGAACACCAGTGGGAAGACTGAAACGATGAATTCGGTTCATCATGCATTGACGTGCGAAGAGATCAACCAGCGAGTTGTTATATATATATACCACAACGCATCCACCCCCTAGCAACCCGATTCATTGTTCCAAAAGCTAGGCCGTGGTTCCATTTCTCAAAGATCGTCATACCTGCATGCAGCCACAGTCCACAGAAAACGCTTCTATCTAGATCGCACCCAGCTCCTTCAACTTAGAAATCATACCATCGACATCCTCGACCTTGCCACCACCCTGTCTGACGGGCGGCTCCTCGACCCTGATTGTCTTGAGTCGCGGTTTATCATCAACTCCATAGTCGGCGAGGGACTTCTTGTCCAGTTTCTTCTTCTTGGCCTTCATAATATTAGGCAGGCTGGCATAACGGGGTTCATTGAGACGCAGATCCGTCGTGATAATCATAGGCAGTTTGGTCACGAGAGTCTCAACGCCGCCGTCCACCTCGCGGGTAACAGTGATTTCATTGCCCGAGATATCCACCTTGCTTGCCTGTGTGGCTTGTGGCCAGTTCAGTAAACCTGCCAGCATCTGACCAGTTTGCCCGCTGTCATCGTCAATCGCTTGCTTGCCCAGGATGATCAGGTTACTTTGTTCCTTCTCCGCGATGGCTTTGAGCAGCTTCGCCACGCCCAGGGGTTCCAGCGGTTTATCCTCCGGCACATCGACATGGATTGAGCGGTCTGCCCCCATCGCCATGGCCGTCCGGAGGGTGTCGACGCATTTTGCAGGTCCCGCGCTGACGGTGAGAATATCTTCAACGGGTTGCTTGCGTTCGCGTAGTCGGACTGCTTCTTCTATTGAGAGCTCGTCGAATGGGTTGAGGGAGTGTTTGACTCCGGACGTTTGAACGCCCGTTCGATCTGATTTTACGCGGGGCTTGACCTGCAGGGCCACGGGTCAGAATAAATTGCGTCACGTAGGGCGACAAGAAGAGAAAGGCAGCAGCTATTGCATCAAACAGGCTTCGTTGCAGACGATACACAGGAATAGACTCACAGCATAGTCAATGACTCGCTTGACAGGGACCAGAATCCTCAACTTCGAAGACATGGCTCCGCCCAGCTCGATGTGACGAATACAACTTAGGTACTGGCTCAATCACCCCCTCCCAAGAGCACCTCAACAAAAGGAAAGTCAATCCAAAGGAAAATGTTGAAGGTGCAAGTCCTCGGAGAGCAGGACCGCAATCGGAGACTATAGATTCTCATAGCTTGTCATAAAATCGTAACTTTGTGCTTTCGGGAATCGGGTCCGAGTTTAAGCGGCATCAATTCGGCCATAGGCAGATATCCGGATCACGTGGGGAATAAATCTTGGCAATAAGCCAAGCCCACACGCAATATCTTTCAGGACAGGACATAACGCTTTTAATTTCTCTTTAGAAACGTCGTCATCACAGCGACAAGAAATCAAGATGCCGGTATGTCTCTGTCTGCTATGAGTCTCCCTATTCCTCGCACGATCAGCCAATATATCGGTTGCGATATCAATTGTCGAAAGATATTTGGTTGATTGCTTTCCACGTCCCCATTCTCCAAACTCCGCGACCGATTTACAGGCTGTCCAGCGAACGAATGCCATAGCCGGAAAAGAATGAATCATCACTAATGAGTCGTCTGATATATACAGAGCCACAAATCTTTCCGCACGAAGCAGAAGCTCGCAAAGGCGCAGAAACAAAACAGACCCATTCCCCAGTGGATTCGCCTGCGAACGGGTAACACCATCAGGTTCGAATCAACCCTCTCCTTGTGTGTTTCTTCGATGGAGGTTTCGATCTACAACAATGAGCCTAGAAAGAGACGGAGAATACGACAGCCTGTTCCAAAGGTTGCTCAGGTTCGATATGCTTCGAGGCGGGGAACAGCAAGGGCAACACGGAGCTCTATACATGATTTCCAGCAATGTGCACTTAAGGAAGATAGGGCGTACAAATATCTAACATGTTCTTTAACAGATACAACACCAAACGACGACACTGGCGCAAGACCAGAATCGGCATCTAAACTACTCTCGATTACACCGCTTCGACCATTCACAAAGCTCGATTTGGTCCTACTGTGCTTCGGTTACTCTTGCGATGGATATGTGGCTCTAGTTGTGAGCATGTTGGGGAGGAGCGAAAATTCCGAACGCTGCTGAATGAGATAGGGCATTATGATTGATTGATGCTTTTTTCACGGGAAGGGAATGCAGTCGAGTTATCATGGGGGTTGATGACGAGGTTTTCGAAACTCAAAATCCAAGCAACACACTCATCAAAGGCATGCGTCGTGGTCATGGTGGGATGAATTCGATTCAAGGGACTTTCGGTAGATCGATGATAGAATTCTCCTGCTACGGACCGATTCAATGAATGAATTGTTAGTTCAAGGTATGTTGGAATTCTTTCTCCATCTTCTTTGCGTTTGATCGGGTTCATTGTATGAAGGCGATTAGCAACATTGGCCATCAGCTCGTATTGTTTTGTAGTCTACATCAGCAATTGACAGCGAGGAGCTGCATGAGCTTCGCCAGAAATTGCTGATATGCAATCTTCGTAATGCTCATCTATGAAGCCGTCAATCACACACTCTTGGATTGACCCTTCACTTCCAGCAAGGCTGAGAAATTTTGTGGTCAAAAAGCAATTTGCATGGCCCCCCCCAACTGATCACTTGATCTCCGTTGAACTCCGTCCCATGCATCGTTCGATCATACCACCCACAACGCCTGATGATATTTATCGACTGTTGAAATGTCAGTACGGGGAAAGATAGCCAGCGTAATCACCAAGCGACTTACTCCTCAGCCCATTCGTTCTCACGGCGGATCTGGTCTTCCTCCTCTGGAGTGAAGTCATTCTGGATGTTGAAGGTCTTGCGGATCTCCTCTGGGGACTTGCCCTTGATCATGTTGGCGACGGTCTTGCAACCGACATCGAGCAGAGCCTTAATATCCAAGTAGTTGGCAGCCTGTGACTACATCAGTGACTTTTGCTCATGTCTCAATTATAGTATTAAGTACCAGAATGATCTCGAACAACATCTCCTGGTCGACCTGCATGAACTTCTGGTCCCACTCCTCAATGTCTGTGGTCTTCTTGCGGGAATCGGAGTCATCTTCGTTGCTAGAGGGTGGGTCATGCTTGTGATGTGTGCACCACTCGATCACTTTCTTGAGAACGGCCGCGTTGACATTGGGAATGGGGATCGCTTCTTCCATAGCCTCTTCCCCGAGGTCGCCAACCATGTTCTTAATGAGGACCGATCTCTCTGCGACGTCCCGATCTATGGATTGTAGGTCAGCGCAGCGCCATGAATGAATGCGCAAATTGAACTGACCAACTTGGATGTCTTCACCATCGGAGCTCTGGAGGATCAAGTATTTGGAAGCCATTGTGAATGACTTGATGTGTAGTGGCTGGGTCAGGTAATCGAATGTCTGTAATAGATCTGATTAGTGTTCGTGTACGGTGTCGTGGGTGCATAGACGACTGGTGCAGAGAAATAAGGAAGCAGTGACAACAGCAACTGCAGCGTGGCAAGGCCGATCTGAAGGTTTGGACTTCAGCCATCCTCGAATTCGGGATAGCCTTCGAGGACCTGAGGAACTGAACAGGGTGGCACAGAAGGATCGCACGTGGATGGAGAATGTGTGTGCAGTGCAATGGATGATGATGGACTTACTATGTATGTAGGATGTTGAGGTTGCACACGAAAGAAACCAAAAGAAGGTGTCTTATATGCAAATCCGGAGGTTTCCAGGCAGCGCTTATGCTTATTGCGTTCCGCAATCACAGAATGATCTAATCGATCAGCTCCTGTCTATTGATGTAATGAAAGGCGTTGTGAATGGAATGGGTATCTGACTGCAAACAGCCTGGTTATCACGTGACCTCAAGATCTTCATCGTTACCTTCCGGATTGGGACTGCGGATGAGGCATGCCAGAGACTCAGAGATTCAACTTCCTTTCCACTGCATACAACAACCTCTGTGTTTGTTGTGTGTTTGTACCGATCAGTCGCGCAATCACACATCCCCCTCCACCGCCTCCACTCACCTTCATCAAGTCGATAACGATAACGAGACGATCCTCTGCAAGGGTGTCACGTTGAAGACGCGCTCATCCACCATTTCGCCCTCCGAAATTGAGAATGACTTTGAGGGACATCACCCGATCTTGTTCAAGAACAATGACAGAGCCAAAGACATATCCAGCAAGGTGACTGCAACAAGAATGTGGCGGCTCTTGTACCTCTTCTTGCTTTTTGTTCGCGTCTATTTTGCGTTGTGTCCCAGTTACCTTCATCCCGATGAAATCTTTCAAGGCCCCGAACCTATCGCGGGTATGCGCCAATGCCGATGTTGTGCATTGGGGGACGCTGGCTGACTGTTTTGGGCAGGATATCTGTTCCCTTATCCTAACCATCGCACCTGGGAATGGACATCCTCCCACCCCATTCGCAGTGTCTTCCCTTTGTGGCCGATCTATGGCTTGCCGATGACTTTGCTGAAATGGATATGGGCGCAAGATGAAGATGGCCTCGTCGATCCCTCCACCATATACTATACTCTCCGCCTTGTCATGTTTGTGCTCAGTTTTGTCCTTGAAGATTGGGCCATTCATGATTTGGTTCATTCTCCTCGACAGCGCCGATCAGCCATCATATTGGTGACTTCTTCATATGTTACATGGACTTTTCAAACACATACCTTCTCGAATTCTGTCGAAACAATTCTCGTATTATGGAGCCTGGTGGTGATAGAGCGAATCGTGGGTGAAAATGCAAGTGCTTGCCACAGAAATAGCATATTTGTCAGTTCGCTGACTTTCCAGCAGAAACGAACCGCCATCGCCTCCAGCTTCGTTTTAGGATTTCTTCTTGTTTTGGGAACTTTCAATCGAATCACTTTTCCCGCATTCGTCGTGATACCCGGCATTCAATTGTTGCCACACTTTTTGAATAGGTGAGAAGATTATCGTTGGTCTGCTTGCCCCCAGAGCTAACACTCCGCGAGACCCTTTTGTTTTCTTGCCATCACCCTTTCCGGAATTTTCTGGACCCTAATCGCTGTCATTATTGATACGGCTTACTACTCTGGCCCTGCAGCGACACGGTCATTTGGAGCCTTATACTACCATGTCCGCAATGCCCCCGTAATCACACCGCTCAACAATCTGTTGTACAACACCCAGACCAGTAATCTTGCCGAACACGGTCTGCATCCGCACCATCAACACCTCCTAATCAACTTACCACAGCTTCTTGGGCCCGCACTGATCCTTCTCATGTCTTCGGCCTACCCCTTTAACCTTGGCGTCATCAAGACCATGTTCAGCAATGCCAGGCTCGCCTCTGCCGCCGCGGGAACTCTTCTTCTCAGCATCATCCCGCATCAAGAACCGCGCTTCTTACTTCCCACCGTTCCTCTTCTACTCACCTGCATCCGATTCCCTTCTTCCGATGTTTTGTACAACACTTTCTGGGCTTGTTGGGCCATCTTCAACATCGTCCTGGCCACCATCATGGGCATCTACCACCAAGGCGGTATCATCCCGGCCCAACTCGCCATTCCATCCCTGATTACCCAATCCATCAACATCACACACTCAGATGCCCACAATATCGAGGTCTTCTGGTGGAAAACCTACCCGCCACCTAACTTCCTCCTGGGCACCGAACCTGTCCACCCGGCGACCAACCGCTCCCTCAACATCGCCACCGTCCCCCTCAAGGGCTATCCGCAGAGTGAACTTGTCTTCATGCTCATGCAACACATGCCGACCTGCGACCCGTCGCTCATCGAGCGACTAGTCTTGCACAAAGAGAAGACAGACGTGTTCGTTGTGGCGCCGCTCGCGGCATGGCGTCTCAAAGCCATGGACCAATTAGCCCCAGTTTCCAACTTCAGCTTTTCGATCGGATTCAACATGCCGCCTGTCACCCTGACTATGACGAACCTGGCAACATTCAGGAGACATGTCAATCTCGACGACATGGATTTTGGGGACGATGGTGTTTTCGAGACCTTGAATCGTGTTGTTGGTCGAAGGGGCCTGGGTGTTTGGAAGGTTGATCTCGTTTGTGAGCCTGTTGAAATTGTAGACCGGCATGGAAATGAGAAACAGAATCACGAGGAAGCTTCTCAAGGTTCAACGTCGAAATTAGAACCTGAGTCGACATGTCAGTCGGACGCTATATCTACGTCAACCTCTACTTTAAACCCACGAGGTACAACTTCATTGACGCGTATCGCGAACAAGAGAGAAGAATTATAGCGCAAAAAAGAGGATTCACATGCGCAAGATGGAACGCACGAAATTTCAAAGAACACACTGTAAGGATCAAGGACCGTGGAGACGACTCAGGGAAAAGAAAGTTGGATCTTGACCGTGACCATTATCCCCGCCGAACCATGAAAATTCGATGGATGATCATGATGCCGACCGCTCTAAGCTCGCCGAGCAATATGGCCTTTGGCCTCTTAATGCAGGAGGGGCCTGGACCTCTTCTCTCAGCTAATGTAATGCTATGATGGAAACGATTAGGGCAAATTGACTCAATGTATTTGAATCAAGACAAGAGTTGGAAAGGGGTTGCTGAGTGGCAGTACGCACATATCTAGGCAAACACTGAATCGAATGAAATCGAAATGAAATCATCCCATCAGCCTTGCTTCTCCCGTGAATTTTCTCCTAGCCTCCTTTACTCACTCCCACTTCCGCCCTGATGCTCCGAAATGCTCGTGTTGAATTTGCTCGTTCGATTCGCTCGCTCGCCAAGGAAATTACCCACCACGTCGCTGATTGATTCCATTGTCCACATCTGAGCCATTAAACCCGTCACCGACGTTGATATTCATTGTCTTGCCACCCAAAGTATGACCCAGCATGGCAATTGCACTTTGTTTTCAATCTGCTCACCTCCCAGAACAAAGTGAGTCATGGGGGATGCAAGTATCAGGTATGCGGTGTTTGGTATGTTCACTGTTGGTCATCATCGTCGGGCTGCTCGAACAGGAAGTTGGCTGCCAACTCTTCGTTCTTGTCGCATGCGAAGTAAGCCTGGATGACTTGGTCACGAGAGAACCCCAATCGACAGAGACGTTCAATAGCATCACGTTCCTCTTCGGTCACGGAAATGTTGACCGCGCCAGGTGGAAGAGGACCATGTTCACTCATACCATCAAGTCCAGTATCCTACCAGATCAGTCAGTAATGCTTAGAGTACGACAAAGAGTCCAGCATGCATGACGTACCTCGGCGAGGAGCTGAAGAAATTGGTCCTCGTTCTGGCCGATCATCTGCGCCAGTTGCGGATTTGCCTCGGCGAGTTGCTGCAATACTGGCTCAAGCATGGCCGGCTGTTGCTGAACAAGTTGCCGGAGTTGTTGGAATTGAGCATTGTCTCGCAAAAAATTCAAATCCGCTGGACCTTGAGCACCAGGATGTTCCGCTCCACCTCTTGCAGCACCACCACGACCCTGCTGACCAGCCTGAGCTGCAGCTTCGAAAAGGTTGATTGGTTCGTTTCCGGAAGTGGTGACGGGTTGGGGAGCAGCCTGGGCCGCGGGAGGACCGGTTGCCACGGGAGGAGCCTGTGCACCACCTGCTGGAGCTGCTGCAGCTGCTTGACGTTGTTGGGACTGAACATTCTCTGGAATGCCACCAAGAAGGTATTCAATGGCTCGGTCAGGGTTGTAGAATGCGGCGCGGAGAGCACGATCAATCTCAGCTCTTCCAAATCCCATGGCTTCCATCTCACGAATGGTCGCTTCATTCTGGTTACCCATAAGGAACGCCGAGGGATCATTAAAACCAGGTGCTCCGGCAGCCGGGGCTGGGGCTGGAGTCCGAGCAGGAGTCGGGGTGGAGGGCTGATTTGAAGGAGCGGTGGATGGATTGGACGGAGGAGCAGCCGGTGCGGCAGGGGTCGAAGTTGAGGCAGAATCAGCAGGCGTAGCAGGAGGTCCAGGTTTGGAGGCGGGGGCAGTCTTGGGCTGTGTATAATAATGAATCACCAGGCTTCACACCAAAGGACGTTCGACAACACACCTTGTTGATCATGCAGACAATGAACCCCTTCTCCTCAATCTTGTAGGCCTCGACGGTCATGGAATCGGCGAGCACCTTGCCTAGGGAAAGTCAACACGCTGTGTATATTTTTCAGGGAATGGGATAGCTTCCTGACCGGAATAGATGAGCTTCTGTGAAGCTGCATCCCAACCTTTCTCTGTGGCAATTTTCTCTTTCACTTGACCGATCTAGGCGAAGCCGGTCAGTCTATAGTCAAGAGCAGCGGACATCATCGTCATACGGTGTCAGTGGGTTCGGCATCGATAGTGAACTTCTGCTGCTTGAGATCCTGGAGGAAGAATCAGTCTCTGTCGCCGCAAGAGTGTGAGTTGATCAACTGACTCGGAATGAGAGCTTCATAATGCCCCGCGACACACCCACAAACGGTGTGGTATATTGTCAGACAAGGTTTTCTTGCGTAAACGGTGATCTGGTTACTGGTAGACCGGGCTAGACAAAAGGGAAGAGTCGCACGGTGACGGTCAGGAAGGAAAGGAATAAGAATAAAGCTGGAGGGCGACGAAAAGGTAGAAATGCGCGCGGTGATCAAGGTACCCGGAGTTGTAATGAGGGCTTTCACTTGGGTGGACGCATGACGAAGGCCTCCGCGCCTGCGTTTTTGGAGGGTGGCGGCTTAGCAGTGGCTGCCTTCACGTGCGCCAAGCGGAGCAGGAGTCATGTGATTCAATTTTGAGCCCCTATGTTTGGCGTATGATCCGGCTTACGAGAAAGCAAGAGTCTCCTTAGTTTGAATTCACTCTCATGGTCGAATTTGCGGGAAAGGCTACCTCGAACATTGGGGTTTGAGGACATGTGTCCTTCAGGAGACTGGTTCAAATTCCTCACGGACTAGGTTCGCTGGCTTTGCTTTTCCTTCTTTTCGGTTTTGCTGGTCCTTCCGGCAATGTTTTTGGGCCCTTGGGTCCCGCGGTGGGATTGCTGGGTGCCGAGGGAATTGCGGAAGTCGCCCGAGATTGACCAGGAGTGGCCGCGCTTGAAGGAGGCAGTTGATCCTTGGCCTGACCGCTTGAAGCGTCCTTGGACTTCGAAAATCTGAAACTCCCCGGCTCACCAACCAAAGGCATGTCATCCACGTATTCCATGCCATACTGCAAAGTCATTCGGAGAGCATCCCACGCTGTCCTCGTACTGTTGTCGGTATCTTCATGTGGCTGAACAGACCCGGCTGGATTCTTTTCGGTCGAAGATGCTTGAGTATCTGGTAATGGTGTTCCCTCTTGGCTCTGCTGAGAAAGGCCGGATAGAGCCCGAGTGGTCGATTTCTGCACTGGCTTGTGGTATGTGTGGCCATGAGAGGCCGAGAAAAATGACAGATCCGAAGGGGCAGAAAAGATTTGATGGAGAGCCGAGACCGTGTTCAACTGTATCACCGGTTACCTTTGACACAAACTAGAAGTGACCGCGGAGTCCACGGCCAGAGCCTACCATGCGATATTTGAAAATGCTAGCGACCGGAGGAGCTTGGAATATCACATCATTGACAATGTAGTAATAGCCCAAGATGGTGACACCGCTGTCGCTCTCGCTCTCTCTGTTTTGCTTTCGGATAACCCAAACATTGGATTTCTCTGGACCGTTGGGGCCATCAAACATGACCTTTTCCTCGAGAGGATCATGCTCGACCACATACTGGATCCCACGTTGGTGACGTAGGTTAGCCTCAAATTTGGCTCTCGTGCCTAAGATCTCGTTTTGATTGGGAGTGCCGGCCCATTGGGTGAACAGCGATTGATTCCCAGACACATGATCAAAGAAAGGGGAGGTTGCAAAATAAAACAACACTAGGGGGCCGGTCAGCTTCAACAGGCCGGGTGAAAGTCCCGCACTCACCGTTATTGGAGTGTAGAAATCCTCCATTCCAAGCAATCCAGTTAGGGTCGAAGTGCGCTTTTTCAGTCAAGTCGTCTTTGGAGTCCGTCATGGTGGATTTGATGAAGGTGGCTCATCTTGGGCTGGGACAGAAGATCTTCGGGCGCGTCTCCTAAATGTGAAACGGTGTGGAGGGCATGGTGAATGTCAACGCAGTATGTTCACTTTCTCCCCATTGATCAGATGCCGATAGATGGACGGCGGACGGAGTGGATGAAAGATGCCCTGAATGAGGATGGGATGTTTGTCCTCCAACACGTGACGGCGCGTGGCACGTGCAAGGCTGGCTTGGCGCCTTGCCGGCCAAACATAATTTTGAAAAGTTTCTCTTTTCGTGTCATTCCGAGATGTGAGCCTCTTTACCCTATCCCAAATATTGTCTTGGGTTTTCTTCCTAAGCATAAAGTAGTCATTGCGGTAGGTTTCTTTCTTTTCTTCCTTTTGGTTGATTCCTGTCAGGAGGAAGTGGTCCCGCAATCCGTCATTTTCCTCCGTCGAAGTTTGGAGTCTCTAGGAATAGAACACCACCGTCTTGATCTTATATCTCTTGATTTCTCATTGTCTATGTAACTGGCTTGGAAGGATTTCCATTGTCATTTGGCAATTCGATGACGGCCCGAGGATCAATTCTGTTCGTCGACGCTTACGATTCCTTTGCTGAGAACATTGCTGCTCTCCTTCATCAACAACTCTCTGTTGAAGTGATCTTGATCAGGATTGACTCTGACATTCCAAGTCAATTTCGCCTCTCCCATCAGGAATTCTTTTCTAGCTTTGATGCTATTGTTCTTGGGCCTGGCCCGGGGAATCCTCAAGAAGAATCCGATGTCGGCCTGTTCAACCAGGTCTGGGAGTATGCCGCAAAGGACAATATCCCTGTGCTCGGTATTTGTCTAGGTTTCCAAAGTCTCTGTGCTCGGTATGGACTCCCTGTGGTTCGGATGGACCTACCTTGCCACGGCCACGCAAAACAAGTATACCATGCGAACAAGGACATCTTCACGAAATCAGGAGATATCCTCGCTACCAATTACAACAGTCTGGGCTTGCGATTAAAGGATGTCAAGCAGGATTCCACACCGAGAAGGCCAAGTTCTTCCGGGTCTATCGATAGCGATTCCTTCACTCAAAGTCTTCAGTTCGCCACACCAATTTTTTCAAAGTCAAGACACGACGGACCGGGATTTGGCCCCGCGGATAACCTCGACGTTTTGGCCTGGGACAGGGATGAATGGGTGATGGCTGTTAGACATAAATACTACCCGTTCCATGGTCTCCAGTTCCATCCAGAGTCGTGCAAATCGACCCTAGCTTGCCAGCAAGTCATCAGACAGTGGTGGGAAGCCGCTAAGGCACATAACAAACTATGCAGATCACACCCATCAATTTCCACGGGAAGGCGGCGTGATGTCAGTCAGGCAGACCCCTTAGAACACAGGAGCGCAGATTTCAACTCTCTGCAAATGAAGCTGGCCGAGCTCGGGAGGGTATGCGGTGGAAAAGTGATACGCACAACAGTCCCTACGACCTCGAGGGGCGAGGAAATTGCTTCCTTATGTCACCTAATGTCGCCCTTGCATGCTTCCGTTATGCTGGAATCTACCAAGAATGGACGGTATAGCATTTACGCGTTTCCCGATGCCACCAGCTTCCAAGTCGAATACGCCGCAGGTCAATGCAGATTGATGCAGGATCAGGCTCTCATGGGCAGGTTTCGAGTCAGACGAGAAGAAGTAGCGACTCTCTTGGAATCCTTCCTCTGCAGCAAAAGTACAAAAGATGATAACTCCAACGCTCCATTCCGAGGCGGATTCATGGGATTCTTATCCTACGAATTCGGTACCGAGTCGTTACATCTTGATGTTCCCCCTCGAACTGGCCCGGAGCCACGCACGCCAGATATCAGCCTTCTTTGGGTAGACCAGTGCATTGTAGTCGACCACCAAACTGCGTCGGCACATATTCAATCGATCAGAGAGAATGGCAAATTCTGGGTTGAAGGAATGGTCGCTCGTGTCGAGAAGATGAATCAGCCCAAGACATCGAGCTCAGAGCCCACTTTTGCGGCCGAAAAGCGAGAAGACGCAATGCTCCTTCGTGACACCTTATCCTCCGCTACATTCATGCTCCCCGACCACGACGAATACATCTCTCAGATCCGCGACTGCCAGTCCGAGTTGCTCGCCGGTAACTCGTATGAACTATGCCTGACGACCGAAGCAAGAATTTCCACCCCAGCCACTCTCCCATACAGTTCCTGGCTCCTGTACAAGAACATCCAACGCCATAACCCCGTCCCCTTCGCCTCGTATCTACGTCTCAACAAAACGACCGTCCTGTCCTCCGCACCCGAGCAGTTCCTCTCCTGGTCATCACGCACATGCACCATCGACATGATTCCCATGAAGGGCACAGTGAAAAAGACACCTGAAATGAACTTGGAAAAAGCCACTGCGATATTGACCTCTGCCAAAGAAAGCGCCGAGAATCTCATGATCGCCGACCTAATTAGGCACGATCTGTACAGTACAGTAGGCCGTGATGCACGGGTCGAAGTCGTCAAGCTATGCGACATCGTCGAGGCCGAGACCGTGTTTTCTCTTGTCTCGCATGTTCGCGCCCACGTACCCACACCTGTACCCGGACCCATAAATTGCGATCGAAAGCCCAAACATTGGCAAGAAATCATGACGCGATCCGGTATCAAAGCGCTCATACAGACGCTCCCGCCTGGAAGCATGACAGGCGCCCCGAAGAAGCGATCGTGCGAGATCTTGCACCGTCTTGAACAACGCGATCGCGGCGTCTATTCTGGCGCCATTGGATACATGGATGTCGGCGGAAATGGAGCATGGAGCGTGTGTATTCGCACAGCGTTTTCCAATGATGACAACGGCGACGATGATGGCCAGGCGAATACGGCAGAAAAGCAAAAGACACAGACATGGCGCATTGGCGCGGGCGGCGCGATCACCGTGCTCAGCGACGAGGAGCAAGAGTGGGATGAAATGATGACTAAGCTCGACAGTGTCTTGCGCGGGTTTCGATTCGAATGAACCTTTTTCCCCGTTCGTTTCGGAAGAGCATGAATTTTCGGGCTGGAATAGCATATTGTAAGTTTGACACCTCGAGTTCCGGGATGTGAGCATTGTCGTACGGCATTTCTTTGGGTATGTCTGTCAGATCACAGCATGTCAGAAACGGGGTACGGTTTGATTCAACATAGCATCGCAATTTATATTTGGAGCAGGATGCATTCAACACCGCGCACCGTGTGGGGGTTCACTTACGAAGAGGTCCTGGCAAAATCTAGGATTCACACTCTCTATATTTCAACATCGAGGGTCAAGAAGGCGAGGTATATTAAGAGTTCCAGAGTAGACCCTATCTCAACGCATACACATGTTTCATTTATGTCGTGAATAGAGGAGAATGGTTCTTTTCCTTTTCGCCTAATTCTAGTCTCTCGTCTCATTGTCTATCGTTCTGGAACTGGCGTATTCTAAATCCCCGATGAACAGGATCCTCTCTCAGCGTAAGGGAGAGAAAGGTTTTGAAATCCATGAGATGCTTTCTATCCAGGCCTCCGTGTCTAGTGGAGGAGAGTGTTCCGTTCTCATACCATCTCATGTCCTTTATCATCGATAAGTTCCCGGAGTAGTGGGAATGAAATAATAAAAAAGGAGCTGAAAAGGTCAACAGCCCCAAGAAACCCAACAGGATTTTCCCCCGTGCATTCCCGACGCCGTGCTTTACACGCTCAGTTCAATCATCATTCAATGTAGAGAGAAGCTCAACGAGATTTGAAGACCTCAAATCTCAACAAGTGGCCCCTGTGTCGTTTGTGCACCCGTTGAAGATCCCTTCCCAAGAACTCTCATGACTCGCCTGAAATACTGTGCCACAAACCCTTCAGTGTAGAAACTGTGATTGGAGCTGTGATCGGCGACCAGGTTGTGCGCCAGCTCATGGCAAAGGATAACCCACCAGTACACGAAAGCATCGGCATCAGCGTCTGTGCTCCCTGCACCAGCGAGATCCCGTTCGTGGAGTTCCTGGTAGTATCGATAGTTGCAGAAGATGCTACCATTACGGTTGAAGGCGATTGTCTTGCCCGACATTTCGAAGAAGATGTTCAAGGTTCGTGGTTCCAAGCCAAAGATTTCACCTACGGATTTCAGCAGGGTGGCGAAATCAGCGAGGCCGGAAGAATGCCGTTGCAGGAATGCCGGAAAACTGCTGACCGAGGAAGGGGAAAGATACATTTGGATGCCGTGTTTGATGTCGGCCGCAAACGTCAAGCCATGAGCAGGATGTTCGTCACAATAAGATTTGGTTTCAGTGAGGACATTTGTTTCCCCCCGAGTGAAAAGATCAGACGAGTTATGGGCGCGAGACTTCTTGACTGCACTCAGGAGATTTTCGCGGAGTTGGTGAGGTGCGGTGACGGAGTCACTAGGTTTCTGGTCGCCACTTCGTTCATCGTACTGATACGGCGGAGGAGAATCTTGTTCCCCGGTTGTAATGGTTCCCTGTGGGGCGCTGGCTGTTGTCTCGTCGACGTTGTGGCCAAGCAAGGACTGAATGTGACGGTTATGACCAAAACCAAATTGACGTGACATATTGGAGAGGAGGTTTCGACCATGTCTTCGAAGATCATCCCCATCCAGGGGGGCAACATTCGCGTCGAGATATTCTGTGGAGGAGCCTTTGTGATCTGGTGAATCTGGAAAAGCACCTGGCAATGGATTTTGCTGAGCTTTTTCTCTGGCGGCTTGTTCTTGCGAGGCTCGCCAAGCCTTTTCTCCTTCCTCGGTGCGCTTCTGCTGTTCCTCAAGTTCTTGTTGTCTCTTATTTTGGGCCAGTCGCACTTCGGCTGCCTTCTGCCGCAAAATGCGAGAAACATTGAATCCACGAGCGCGTAGTTCAAGCAGGTCTGTCTTCAATAACATTTCGAGGGTAATCGCAGAATGTAGTTTCGGCCTCGCGAGCAAGATATGAACCAATGCCTGGCTGACTTGATACAAATCTGGTTTCGCACCAGTGATCCACAATGTATACTCGCGATTAACTTGGGTCACAACAGCCGTGCGCTTCTCTGTATGGCTGACATTTCGTCCTCGCAATGATCTCCGGAGGGAAATGGAAGACACTAACCGAACTCGCAAATTCTTCTCCAGCCACTTAGCATCATGCTTGATCGTGTCCGGGGGTTGTTCATGCAGGAACAGCGTTGATCTCTCCAGAATCTGTTTCTGCAATTTCTCCGCCGGCTTTTGGTCAGGCAATTTTGGACCATGGCGAGCTGCTTCCTCGACTAATGAACTCAACAATGGCGAGCCTAGGGAATAATAGAAATCCTCCAAGGTCTCTTCCTGAGGCGCAGCAAGGATATTTGTCTTGAACAGGTTATAGTTTATATAGTCGTCAATGATGATGGCATCTTGAGCACCGCAAAGTTGAAATTCGCGAATTCCTTGTGACTCTTCCTCATCGAGATGATCAACATCATCCCCGCCACCGACGGCTTTCTCTGCCGAAGAATGAGCTGGAAGTTCTTTGCTTGCCAGCAGAAACGGCGCTTTTTTCATTTCTCCCCAAAGCTCCCTGTTTTTCCTCAGAGTTTTGGCACTGTCGGCCATGCTGCGCAAGAGCGCCATGTACTTTTCCACACTGCGGAATGTCGCTGAAATACGTGCTGGCTCTCTGACAAGGATCTGTGCAATTTCCACCTTCGAAGGTTCTTGCTTTGAACCACACTTGATGAGGAATGAATTTCCTTCTACACCAAAATCAACATAGTGGAAGATCTCGCCAAAGACATCGTTCTCGCCCAGGAAGCAATTTCTTGGTGACGTATGCGTTACAGGAGCTGATCTCTCTTTGTTCTTCGCAAATATTGGTACGAAATTCATATCAATCAGCTTGGGAATGTTGGTAGCATTTATCTCAGTCAGACGCCCAGCCAAGTATGTGAAAATATCCCGTGCATCTCGGGACGTTGTAGGTGGTCGTTTTCCAAGGACGTCGACACACAGTTCCATTGGAGGATTGAATCTCACACCGAATTTCGCTGCATGTGGTACCCAGTCGCGCTTCAATATGTCAAAACCAAGGAGAGCAGCCCCTCCATCGGCGAAACATTGGGTAGAAGTGGCCAGTTGATCTGGCTTGTTCTCCAGGGGCAGGAAAGGCACCGTAATGCTGGAATAGTCGAATGAGCCATATCCGCATGCATGATGATGAGATAAGAAGTAAGCTAGAGCCCTGTCTCGAAGATCGAGATTGAAACTCGGACCACTCTTGCCCGCGTCAGCCATTATTTCCACAAGCTCCTTCACCACCGGTGCAGTCCTGAGGCCAAGGGTACTCAAAAACTTTCCTTCTGGACTAGTGCTGCGATATATACCTGGCCAGGCCAAGACAGGGAGACCAAGGTCGCGCAGCTCTGGACGAGGTTCAAATAGTTCCCCGACTTTGTATCGCCTCGGGGAATCGCTCTCGTCTTGGCCTTTCGTCTGCCTCGGGCAGATCGGCGTGCTTCTAAGTTTTTGGACATCGGCACCCGGTATGTCCTCACGTACTGAGGCGAGATAATGAATCAAATCAACATGACTCCACTGAGGTTTCGAGCTGCCCGCGGTCTGGGTGGCCTTGGAGTCCAAGTCCAGAAGTCGCTCGAACACAACGCCGAGTTCAACTGTCTTGCGCACCCCCAGGGCGACCAAGAACTTATCCTTGACATTCGCCAGGCCTTTGATGGTTGCCAGATCATCAAACAACTTCACATGTGGAAAATACGAATCCGACGGTGTCTTCATTCCAAATTTGGTCGGAATGACAGTATGTTTGGCGAGCAACTCAACAAGAGCCGTCTTGGATGGTTGATTCAGCGAGTCCCATTGCTTGGACAAAATTGGTAGAATCTGGGAGCTGAATTCAGCGGATTTGGTTATATCTTGAGTCTCTGCCAGAACTTGACGGTTTCCACATTGACCGATCAGCCAGCGGACCCAGGCAACAAGCTGAAGTTCTTCCCAGCCCAAGCTCTCCAAATTATGTTTGCTCATGCTTTTGGTAAACTTGAATGGCATGACCGAGGGCGGTACAGGTAAGTCAACAGGAGTTCTGCTTGGATTCAGGAAATGCCGGATTTCCCCAAGTTGCAGCAATGGGCTCGTGTTTGCTTCCGGTGCAGCATCATCATTCACAACTGCAACTGCCAGGAGATTTGAAATTGTTTGTTTGTCAAGCTGCCCACGAGTTGACTGCGTGGTAAGCCATCCAAGAAATTCAGATACCTGAGACGGGGTAAGAGGACTCGATTCAAGTGCCATTTTGATGTCCGAGACCGTTACTTCTGTTATGAGGCCGAAATCGACCAGTTTGGCGACCAGAACATTTGCCTCCGACGCGAGTTTTTCAGGCAGAATTGGAATGCCTCCCATGAAGCTCATATCCTTTGGGGCGATGCGGACGTTATGAGTGGGTAATACTCCACAAGTTGAAACCACTTCAATTGAAGCTTGTCTATTGCATGTCCAGAAGGCATCCTCCAGCAGCTGGCCAATCGAACTGGAAGGTGTGGATTCCCGGAAAGTGAAGTTCTTGAAAATGGTGATCGCCTCATCGAGGAATGGATTGATATCCTCTATGCGAATCTTCGGCCGACCATTTGCTTCTCGTTGAGACTTTTCCTTGATTTCTTGCATTTCACAGGACCAGGCTATCCTGCAAACAATGCCTGCCGCACGGAGCATTTCCATATTCCATGTCCGGACATATCTTGCATTCAAATCAATAGATTCTCTTTCTACCGTGGGAATGACCGACGGTGCCGAAATGTGGGCACTCAAACCTGTTGTCTGATGGGTGGGAAACCCGATAAATATCCGGCCTCCTCTGCTCGGAAGGACGGTTCCAAAGACGTCTCCGGCAGCAGATGCTTTGGCGAGACTTTCATCTCCAACATAGGGAGCGGTCAGGATGGCGAGTTTTGTAAATTTCGGAGGTGGCTTCTTGGTGGCACGTTCCAATTCTTCGTTGAACTTCTGGCCCGTAAACGTCTTGATAGTCGCTGTGTTGACATTCAGAAACACGGTCGCGGATACTTTGGACGCAAGAAGGTCTGCGTCATTTGAACGATCGATTTTCATCTCGGACTGACTCTCTTCCTGGACGGTCCCTGCCAATCGTGAGAAGAACTTGCGAAGAGATGGGGCGGTATCTCTATTCGTAGAGCGTGTTGTGTCTTTCGTGGCTTTCCATCCGATGATAGCCATCCATTCTCCATTAATCTGTGCAACTTCTTTGGAGACCTTGGTTACTTTCACGAATCCTTCGCTTGTCTTTGGCTCTACATCCCGAGGAATTGCCACCTCATAACTTGGCGACGTCATTTTGTTCAAGGAGAGGATATTCCAGTCGTCCAGCCAGAGCTCGATATTCTCCAGACCAACGAATGTGAGACTATTTGCCAGAAACTGTGCCAGAGGGAGAAGCGAAGGTACTGGGGAAGTGGTATCTCGGTAGTCTAGCACGAAGTTGGTGTCTGACGTTATCTCGGAGTCTGGAAGCTGTAGTCGTCTTGTGAATAACGAATTATTCTTCCAAAAGAAAGCCATGGCTTCCCGGCCGGAGGAAACGAAAGGGGTTTCGCAGTCTGCGAATGTCGAGTAGAAACCAACGCCAAAAGCACCAATCTTGGTCTCGTCGGGATTTCCTTCGGCGATCCGCTTCAGGCGATTCCAGTCATTTTCACTGAAAGGAAGCCCGTTGTTCGTGACCACAAGTCTCTTCAAGGTATGGTGTTGTACAGTATGCTTCAATAGGCTCGAAGACGATGTATGTGCTGGTAAGGGGACAGTGGCAGATGGTAATGTATCAAACTTGATTTTTATCTTGGTTGCTGAGGCGTCTGCTGCATTTTGTAGCAGTTCTCTCAAAACAGTCCATTCCCCCGAATATCTAGCCAGTACCTTGTCTATCAATGCTCTTGTATTAACCGTGACAGCCTCCTCGTCCGCTCCTGAACGGAGAGTACGTGCGCGGAGTGCGTCGAAATCCATAGTAGTTGAAAGATGGTGACGTGAAACGCGATGGAGGAGGAAGATTTATTCAGGTTCGGGATGAAGAACGGTAGATGTATGCAGCAGGCTGCCGTATCCTCCTCCGGTTAGTGATAGGCTCACAATATAAATCGATCTAGGGTTGAAGTTGAGCCCCGGTGGCAAGGAGGGTTATCGAAAGACAAGACGTCTCTGCGCTGGCAGGGAGGAGAAAAAGGTTGAAGAAAGTAAGAGACACAAGAGAAAACTAAACAAGTTACTCGGAAAACCAGTCATCACTACTCACGAGGTACTCCGTACCGAAATCCCGGGAGCAGAAAAGGGGATGAGGAGGGAAGCGAAGCTCCAACGAGGCTGACATCGACGGAGTTACAGGCTGTTAGAGGGGATTTGAGCCTTGCCGTGCGTTGAGGCTGCTGCCTGGCTGCGAAATCACGTGCTGCTTTCTCTAAACAGCGTGGGCTTGTCCATACAGTCCATCGTTCGTAATTGATATCAACGGATTTGTCTGCCCTTGCACCTCTACTCGCACGCCTGAATGGGAGAATCAAGATTTTCATCCTGTCCACTTAAATGGTGACAGCTGGAGGAATCCAACCCAGCCAATTCTCCCTGTCGCCATGTCATTATGGGGTATAACCCTTTCCTGCCCACCGCCGGTGCAAAAGTCAACGTTCAATGTGTCCCAGCGGGCCCGGTCACCCCCGATCGCTTCCAGAAATTCATCAAGTTGCTGCAGAATTGTGCGATAGTCAAGCTGAAACTGGTCGAGTTTTCATTGTCCCCTCAAGGTATTATGCTCGAAACCCTATCCTCCGCTCCGGGCTGATTTCTCCTAGGTACCTCTGCAGAATCAGCGTCGGAAGATGGCTGGATTTTCTACGATATCTCGGCCAACCAAGAGACTGCCAGGCCCCATCTTTTCCCGTTCGAAACAAATAGTCGATGCCAGATTCTGTTTGGAATTATCGATGGGGAGAGGATTGGACCTGATGCAGCATCAGTTCTTCAATCGATCAACATAGAATTTCCCCAACTAATCCCTTCGACTCCTGGGCTTCTTGTTCGTCAATTAATTTGCTTCAGCAAGACGCCATCGCTTCGAGCCGATTCTGGTATTGTATTCATACCTGATACCAATGGCGACAATGCTGCTCGTGACTTCATGATCACAGTCTCGAAACAACTTGCGGACGGCATCAATAGGGTTATCGATGACTTCAGAGACCAGCCCATCAGTATGGTGCCCGGCGCCGGCTCACAAATCCTCCGGCGAAATGGTAACACACCGAATTCTGCAGAAGGGACGTCTACTCCGGTGTCAGCGAAATCCCAAAGTCCGCTGCCGTCAAACGAGGCCGAAGCCCAGGTATGTCGTGGATTTCGAACACATCTAAAATTCAGTGGATGTCAACTCGAAGGAGCACTTCTAACTTAACACAGAGCGACACATCTCGAGGACGCTTCAACATCATCCAAGGTATGTTTCATCTCCAAAGGGGATTGTGGAGCGAGGCCTTGAGCTCGCTTTCTGAAGGCGCAACCATTGCTCAGAGCGGCCATGATCATCTTTGGCACGGGAAAGCGCTTGAATGCCTCCTAGTGTGCATGCTTTATTTATCATGGTCTGAAGTATGGTTCGCGGTCCCTCCGGTATGTCGTTCTCTTCCGAATAGAAGCGGTTCCTTCCAAGCAGAAGTGGCGCCAAACTCGGGCGATTCCCGTAAGCTACTTGCTCAACTGATGCCCCCGATGGTTGAAACGGTCCTGGAACTCTACGCAAAGGTGTCGAATTTAGACTTGGGCGGACCTTTACAAGATGTCCTCAGAGAATCTCGCATCAGGCTTGTAAATTTACTAGTCTTCGTGAAACGGGACGGAGGCGTGTTGAACCAGCAATATCTCGATCGACTTGTCTTGGGCAAAGGCGACATCGTCGATACGCAAAAGCCGCTTGGAGGGGAGCAAGTTGCGATATCCAAGGCCGGACTGGCCAACATCCTGATTGAAACGCTCCAGGCATCTCAATCAAGCAATAATCCATCGCATCAAACATCTCTCCTGGTCGCTGTGGCCAGCAGTTTGTCCACTCTAGGTTTAGATCGCAAGCATGCATTCTACATGAAGCAACTGATGCGACAACTTGCTCCCAAATTGATTGAAGCGAGAAAGGTCGGTGCATCTGAGGTCGGTATCCACCCAGCAGCTGGACTTCCACCTATCACCCCCGCTCATCAGGGTATTATTCCCGAGATGATGGTTGGCACCAGGATCATGTTGGCCCTTGCCGCTGCTGCATATGGGGCCCCATTGCCTCCCATTCCTCGCGTACGGGAAAGGATTCCAGCAGACTTGAATGAAATCAATGAAAATCTTCGAATATGGGCTTATGAGCATAGTTCTGGAGATGCCCTGCTCAAGCTGGAAATGCTACGGACTTGTGTCAGTGTCTGCGAGGCTTTGCCCGATATTTCGGCAGGCCTGCATTTGACATCCCATATCCTGCGCGGAGCGAAGCAAGTTGTGACCATGCCGAAGCCACCAGCCACCATTGTTCCACTGATTTCTGCAGAGGAACAAGCACGTTTAGTGGATAGCATCAAACGCGCCGTGTCAGCGGCATCGCGGATGGGTGAAGGTGGATGTCGAGCTGAATACTGGGACGATTTTCTTGTCCGGGATGTCCAAGTATTTGAACGAGACACATTGGCTAAGCTCATCCCACACAAGCCCAGTGACCTTTCCGTCCGAAGCAGTGGGCTCGTTGAGACGGTTCGAGATCCTTTCATTTACAACCCATTTTCGAAGGACGAATCGGCCATTGCCGACCCTGTTCTCGTGGCTGGAGAGTGGGCTACCTTTGCTGTCCTGCTCCAAAACCCATTGGAAGTCGAGGTCGAGATTGACGAAATTCGGTTGATTACCAAGGACTGTAGCTTCACACCTTCACCGCATAGCATTGTCTTGGGCCCTTTCTCGACCCAAATGTTCTCCTTGAATGGAACACCTACTGAAAGTGGTGATCTTCAAGTGGTTGGTTGCAGAGCCAGGATTCGCAACTGCTATGAACAGGACTTCCTTATTTTCCGCGAGGACTGGAAGTTCCCATTGGTTCTGAAGCAGAATACCCTTGGGAGAGTTAGATTCCAAAAAGGCCAACCCGGAAATGCTGAAGAAAATCCGAAGCTTCCAGAGCTCCCATTCCCCCCTCCAAATCCAAGTCCCTTGAAGTTGAAAGTCATCAGCGCTCAGCCACGACTTGTTATCGAGCCCAAAACCCTTGGAAAGTCTGCAATCATGTTGCTCGAAGGAGAGAGTCGTGTCTTCGAGCTACGCCTGGCCAATGAAAGCATGACTGTAGCCGCAGATTTTGTCCTGGTCACCACTGAAGATTCAGTCACCGCCAGGCTACAATATGCGCTATTAAACAAGGATCTGAATCCAGCGGAGCTCTACGAGATCCAAAAGCAGCTTGCGGTAAATCCAGCTATAGAGATTAGAAGCTCTGATCGAAGTGTATCGACCCGAATTCTAGAACCAGGTCGAGGCGTCGATTATACGGTTTCAATCTTCGGCCGACCAGGCCTTGTCGACGCCACCGTGCAGGCGGACTACGCATATCTGGGATCGCCTTCGTCCGAAGTCAAAGGAACTTTCTACACTCGACAGGTACGATTTCCTATTGCTGTGACTGTCAATGGCAGTGTTGAAATACCACGGTGCAATGTCTTGCCCATTCACAGCGACTTCGTGTGGAATTCCGATCGTTTAAACGGGGCACCAAAGGTGGAGAATCTCGTTGAATCTCGGTCCGCCGATTTTTCCAAGCTCTCACGTTGGCTCAAGACCCGACCGGAGGCAACGGCGTATTGCATGCTGACCCTGGATCTCCGAAATGTTTGGCCGCAGCCTCTCCGCGTCGACATCCAAGTTCGAAACCGGGACCCGAGCCCCGATTCGGAAAACCAGTCTTGGACTGATGCCTGTTCAGTCCACGAAATATTGCAGCCTGGCCACGTCAGCCGAGTGGTACTGCCAGTCCCACGACTATTTATCAAAGATCCGCACGCCCCTATCCCCAATCTGGAGACACAGAAACAGTTTGTTGTAACGTCGTCCAAGCTGAGTACAGAAGCGGAAGCAGCAAGTAGGGAGTCATTTTGGTATCGAGAGGAGCTTCTAAAATGCTTGCGAGGCTCTTGGAAGGAGGAAAGCTCCGGCAGACATGGAGAGATCGATCTCAGAAAAGGGATCAGGCTCAGCCCACGAATGGTCGACGTGCTCAAACTGGACCACATTGACATTGAATACGGCCTCAAGTCGTACAGCAATCCACCGATCGACAATGATTCAGATACAACCGTGAAACAGATTGGAAGGTCCCATTTCTTTTTGCAAACCGAAACATTCGCGACCTTGTTGGTCATGATACATAACCACACTCCAGATACTCTCCAGTTGCTCCTTCGCCTCCAGCCGGCTCTTCGACATCAAACACACAACATTGCCCTGGACCTTTCGAAGCGGTTCGCCTGGTCCGGTGTCCTCCAGCGTGCTTTACATCCGCCTATCGAGCCAGGAGGCACTTACGTCGCTGAGCTGGGCATTATCGCGTTGGCACAGGGCGACTATGAGATAAATGCGTCGGTAGAGGAGATCAAAGGCCGTCGGACACATATTGCCGCAAATGCCGCAAACGCCGTCGGGACAGGCACTGCGAGAAGGATTTGGCATGCTAGATCTGCATGTTTGATCGATGCCGGGGAAGAGTAACAGCTTTGCCGAGTGTCAAATCTTAAAGCACAGATAGAACAAGGTCGATGATTTGCAGAAAGACCTCTCGGTCCGGGTCGGCCTTGACGAGGCCAAGTCCAAGCATGAGAGATCTAGTCTCCTCAGGCGACTTTGTGGCTATAGCATTTGCGATCTGAGAAGCGTATAACTGTCCCATAATCTCACGATCAGCGCCACCGGCTCCGAGAAGATTTCGCGGCGAGAAACGAGCGGGTGGGAGAAGAGCATCTTCTCCGGAGCGATTGGTTTGGAAGTAGGGATCTGAGTGGGTTGGATTGTCGCTCAGCAGCGGCACCGTGACCTGTTCTTCCGGATAAGTATAGATCGAGAGAAATGCAATCATGTAGCAATACGTACCCATTGCGACAGCCTACCATTCTGAGTGATCGTGATCATGATTTTATCTGCAAAGGACACACGCATCACGTCCGTTTTGACTCCATTCACCATGGCGGCCGTTTGCTTCGTAGGGGCTGGAAAAGGGATTGTTGCTTGAGTTTCATCCATATTTGGCGTGCCGTAATCTTGCGGCAGGCCCATACTCCATATTTTGCTTGAGAAGTGGGAATGAAAGACGACGTTGGATGCGAGAGGTTAACATCAGGCTGAACACGTGACCCGCAAACTGAACTCGGGCTTTCACCGCCTTATAGCGAGGCCAAAAAGGCATCCCGCCATTTTTCTGCCGGGCAGATAATGTGCTTCAGGGCCGAAATGGCAAAATGCAATTTCACTTTCTGCGTGGGGCGATTTTCTCTATACCTTGTGGTCTTGAGGGACCCTTGAGATGTCCCAAGGGCTCAATACCCAATTCAAACCATGCCACGCTTCGTGCACCGCCAGCGAAAGCACAAGGTTCGAGCCCGTGAACCATCCGCAACCTCGTCAATCCCACAGTCCAATCAAGAACACATCATTCCGCTGAGCAAAGCTGAAAAAGAGGAAAAGAGGCAGAAGCTGAGGGAAGAACTGAGAGCCCAGCAACCTAAGATATCAAGTAAAAAACAAAAGCGGCTAGACAAGTATATCGAGAACAAGTTGAAGAAGGACGAAACACTTGACCTTCTGCGGAAATTGGAGAAAGCGAAGGAGAAATACGATACCAGCACAACCTTGCAGACTTCGAAAACCTTAGGCAAACGGACTTTCGTCGAATTTGCGACCGGAACCGGACCCAGAAACAAGCTAGACTCGAACCAGGAGAGGGCCCCCCGGGAAAGCGATGGCTCTGATATTGAAAGCGAGGACTCATTTGAAGCTGAGAATAGAGAAGCGTTCGCGGAAGTCAAGGATCAACCGGAGGAAGTGAAACAAACACAACCATCGACAACACAGGGAAGCGGTCTTGCACGGCCATTGATGTTAGACGAGAATGGGCTTCCGATCATACCATCCAGAAAGAGCAGGAAAAGAAAGAAAGCTTCGGACGAAGTACCTGCTGAATTGCCCTGGGAAGGGTTTGACTCGGAACCAAGCAATGTTGAGTATTCGTCGGATGGGGGGGAGGATCTGAAGGAATCCAAACCGGAGGACTTGGAGTCTGAGGCATCAGATTCGGAAAGCGACGAAGACTCAGGGCTGGATGATGAAGATTCTGAGAATAGTGCATCCGAGACCTCTGACGGAGAGACCCTTGAACCTAGAAAATCGGCCTTTAAGGCCTGGGCGACCCAGCAATTGAATCAATCAATGGGACATGTACCGTCTTATACAATAGGAGAAGGACAGCTGCCACCGAAACCCAATCCCTCGCCGTCGAAACCTCAGATCGTCCCAGCTACCAAACCCGAAATTCCGGCCAAGCCAACAGAGACTGCGCCCCACCGCAAGGCGTACAGCGTGCACGTCGAACGAGCACATGAGATCCAGGAAGGTCGGCTACAGCTGCCAATTCTACAACGAGAACAAGAGATCATGGAGGCGATCCATAACAATCCTGTCGTCATTGTCAAGGGTGATACGGGAAGTGGAAAGACCACACAATTACCCCAATTCCTGTTTGAAGCTGGCTACGGTTCTCCTGAAGGACCAACTCCGGGTCTGATTGGCGTTACTCAGCCTCGTCGAGTTGCCGCGGTCAGTATGGCGAAGCGAGTAGGGACCGAACTTGGGCAGCACGGCGACAAAGTGTCATATCAAATCAGATTTGACAGCACCATCTCAAGTAACACGGCTATCAAGTTCATGACAGATGGGATCCTGTTACGCGAATTGTCCCAGGATCTTTTGTTGAAAAAATACTCCGTGATTGTCATCGATGAGGCGCACGAAAGGAGCGTTAATACTGACATCTTGATTGGAATCCTCAGCAAGATTGTACCGGCGCGGATAAAAAAGAACCAGTTCAACCCAAATCCGATGCCGCTCAAACTGGTCATTATGTCCGCAACACTCAACATCGGAGATTTTTTGAATGAGAAGCTTTTCTCCACCGACGCGAAACCTCCCGTTGTGGAGGCCGAAGGACGTCAGCACCGTGTAACGACACACTTTGCACTGAAATCCAGACCAGACTATCTTGAAGAGGTAGTTGAAAAGGTCCGACGGGCTCATCGAAAACTCCCGCGAGGTGGCATCCTTGTCTTCCTCACTGGGCAAAACGAAATCAGGCAGGTTGGTGATCGATTGAAGGCGCTTCTTGCTCCAAGAGGTGATTCTGGTGACCGGTCCACCCTCCCTCGGGTGCAAATTGCCGCGAGTGAGACACCTCTTGAAACGGAAGATTTTGACTTGGGCAACTTCAAGGCAATCCAGGAGCAAGACGATTTTGACACTGACATTTTAACGCATTCCGAAGATGAGGCTGAGGAAAATGAGTTCGATATTCCTGACGATGAAAATGAAGATGAATCAGCACCAGTCGAACATACTTCGTCGACATCGAAGGAACCGTACACCTCCGTCCACATCTTGCCGCTGTACTCACAACTACCCACAAATGAACAACTGAAGGTCTTCGAACCACCTCCATCTGGATGTCGTGTGGTCGTACTCGCAACCAATGTTGCCGAAACAAGCTTAACGATACCTGGAATCCGCTATGTTTTCGATACGGGCCGCAGTAAGGAGCGCAAGTACAATCTTGATACGGGAGTCCAGAGCTTCGAGATCGACTATATCAGCAAGGCTTCTGCTCAACAACGAGCGGGTCGAGCAGGACGTACTGGACCGGGCCATTGCTGGAGACTCTACACGTCGGCCGTTTACGAGCGATTCTTCCCCGATCATGCTGAACCGGAAATTCTCAGAACTCCCGCGGAAAGCATAGTTCTGCTGTTGAAAGGCTTTGCTTACCCTCGACCAATCGCGGAATTCCCTTTTCCGACCACCCCAGCTGCGGTAACATTGAAGAAGGCTGAGCAACTGTTGAAAAATCTAGGAGCATTGACGAGGCTTGGAAGTATAACGGAAATTGGCAAGGAACTTTCGATCTACCCACTACCTCCTCGCCTAGGCAAAATAATGAACGCTGGCATTAACGACCTCAGCATGATCTGGCACGTCCTCGCTTTGGTGTCCGGCCTAGCGGTCCCAGAAGTCTTCATTCCCGAAGCACAACTCGGTCTGACAACACCTCAGCAACAGGACGGGGAAGTCTACACTCGCGAGAACCAGCAGGACGACGACGCCCGAGACAAACGACGACAAGAATATGGCCGTGCTCGCGCAACCCTGAGCAAAGCCGATAAGACCTCTGATGCGATGAAACTTCTCACTGCCGTCTCGCTGTACCTCGATGCACCCGACAAAGAGCAACTGTGCCGCGACGTGTTTCTCCGCCCCAAAGCCCTGGCCGAGATATCCCAGCTGCGCAGCCAACTTGAAGCTCTTCTTCGCGCCAACAATCGATACGTTTCTGCAGAGACCATCTCCAAATCACGCGCGACGAAGCTGACCTCAAGCCGTGTCGTCAAACGGCTCAACGCGATCGCCGCAAGCGGGTACATCGACCAAGTCGCCATCCGCTACGACAAGGTACCCAATCCGCCGGAGCTGATGGCAAAGCCCCGCCGCGCCATCGACGTTCCCTTCTTGCCCCTCATCCCTATCCATGGGAAAGCCTCTGCCTCAATCGTTGAGCGGGCGGTATACATCCATCCTTCGTCCGTACTGGCGCGGTTGTCCGTGAAAGACCTGCCCGAGTACATCGTTTACACGCACCTGCAGCATGCGCAGAGCCACACAATCACTTCCGCGGCTGAGATTGAGACTTCCAAAATACCCCAAACCCGCATGTTGCCGCTGACGCCAGTGGATGGAGCCCAGCTAGCGCATCTTGCGCACGACACTGCGCTTCTTGAGCTCGGCAAGCCAGTCCCCAAGACAAGAGTCGAGGATATCCCTGGCACGCCGAGGAGGAGAGAGTGCTGGGTCCTCGTCGAGCTCAGAGGTGGTAAAGAGTCCGGCGGATTTGGATGGCCACTTCCCCCGCTTAAGGTCAGGCAGGTGCTGGACGTCAAGAGTGCTACGGGGTGGAGGGTTGAGAAGGTTCTCAGCTAGTCGGCTGTGCCATCGGATTGAAACATGTGTTAGATGAGATGATATGTGGCATGACGATTATATATAAACGAACTTTCTTGGAAAGATTAGATCGGAAGGATAGGGGGAAAGGGGTCCGAATGCCATCGCAACAGTTGTTTCGATCAGAAATTTAATCATTTACTTTACACTTTTATTCACACTAACCGTACAAATTGCCATAGACTCCCAAAATGTTTATCGGACTTATGATGAATCGACAGGAGTCGAAGCCTCCAAATTAGATCTGGGTGAGGTGAGGAACGTGCTCCTCAGAGGGAGGGAAAAGGCCCGAAATAGGGTGCATTTGACGGGGAGGCAAGAATCAGCGTGCTGGGAGGGTTGCTCAGATTCGGACGGGCGGTCCAAGGCGGAAGGCTTTGGATATCGAAAAATCAGATCGTCAAAGTCGTCAAGGAGAAGAACACCGTTGGGTTCAGTGTGATATGATGGTTTGTCTTGGTTTGGTGGAGTTGTTGTCGGTTCGATTAAAGGATACTGTGGTGTCTAGTGGTGGTTGGAGCTGCAATAGATCAGAAACATAAGACATATCGGCCATCGATGCTAGGCTAGTAAGGCGGGTGAGCGGGTTGTTAGCTGCTTTTCTGATTCTCAACCAAAGACATGATCAGGGATAACGTCCGGGTTGGGCTGTAAACTCCTTTGCAGACTATCTCGTATCCCACGACTGAGCGGGCATTTCAAATGGTCGATCCATCGTGCCCATCTGCGGATTCGGCGACGTTGAACTCGTTACTGTTTGGGTCTATGTCACACAATTAGCACATGGTTCGTCTCACGTCCAAAAACAACCGAGATGGGAAAGGGTCTTCAACACTTACATCACTAGCCTGGCTTGAAAGCCACTGGTTAACATGGACATTGGGGGCTCCCTTCTGGCCATTGCCCAGTTCACTGGGCACATTTTCCATGGGACTCATGGCCGTCCAGTGCGAGTAGCGGTCATTTCTCCCTGCCGTACTGCCGTATTGCGATTGGGCGTTGCCGTTCTCGCCCATCATTGGTGTCGCGCCGCCCTGCGAGAGATTCGGTGAGCCATTTCTGCGGCGTCGGCTGCGGTAGAACAACAATGCCAGGCCGCCGACAATGGCGATCAGGCCGAGGACACCGCCGACGACGCCGCCGACGATCGCGCCCGTGTTGTTGCTTCCATTGTGGGGAGTTGGAGCAGACGACGTCGTCGTTACTGCGCCGCCGGTTCCCGTTGTTGATGCCGTCGCGGAAGCGATGCTCGATGTTGTCGGGTCACAGGATGCCTCGAGTGCATAACCGCCGCCTTGATTTGAGAAGTCCGTGCGAATTGCGGGCGCCATCTTGAACTGGTCCCGCATATAGTCTGCGATGATGTAGTTCATGGTCAGGTACGGGATGCCCCAGTCCATGACATAGCCGTCACTTGTCGCATTGATGATCGTGGAGATCAGATACGTGTTGTCAAGGATTTCGTATTCGCCGTCATCGTTGTAGTTTCGGGGTAGGTAGAAGAGTTCCTCGGTGGGAATGGTCGTTTTGTATCCGTTGGAAAGAGCCACTGTCAAGTTGCCGGTCGGTGGGTTGGATGTTGGATAAGTCAGGTATGAATCGTTATATACACCGTTGGTGGCGGTTTGGAAATTCTCCCATACATTTTGTGGGACATATAGTACTCGCTCGGAAGGTTGGAGATTGACTTGGAGGGATTCGGATGAGTTGGAGAAGAGGTTTGTCGAGCCGGATTGATCTTCGTAGGACAATTCCGTGATGATGACGCACATTTCACAAGTGTCCTGTGAGTCAAAGGTCGTTAGGTCTCCTTGAATTCGAGTGCTGTCGTAGCCGCCGATGACGAGGGAACCGTCCACTGGGTGATCAATGGAGCGACTTCCAGCCCAAAGACCGAAAACAGTTGATGGGGCTGCCCCAGATTCTACGGCAATCTTGAGGAAGTCGGAGCTAGATCCTAAGGGCAGAACACCTTGCCCACCATAGCCTGGTTCGTCATAAATAGCAGGATAGCCGTAGATGGAAGCATTTCCAAATGTCAAAGTATCGTAGAAATGAACGAACGATAATGAATTGGGGTTCTCTTCAATCGTGCCGTTCCATTGACCTTCGGCAACCTGGAGAAACGTACTGGATGTTGAATAGTCGAACACCCCACCATATTGACCAATACACGTAGTATTATACTCGGGAGCGCACTGCGCTTTGTTGACAACATAGAGAACATCATCCGCAGTACTCGGTCGGAGTGAAATTATCTGAGGGGGAGTTCCCATTGATAGTTGAAACCCTCTGTTGATGGCTTTCTGGTCGGTGGTAACCGTAACATTTGCCCAAGGTAAGTACATGGGAGGTGCCCCATTCTGGCACAGCGACATTGTGCTCACTGCTCAATCAATGGCTGGATGGGAGAACAACACAAGTCGCTTCGCCAGATCTGGTATCACAGATGTAAAACAGAAAAAAGAAATATGCGAAAGGAAATCAGGATCTGAGGAAGGGAAAAAAAAAAAAAAAGGCTTCAAATCATGGGCCAGGTCTGGGGAGAGGGGAGGTATGAAAGAAAATGCCTGGTCTGATTAGTGGAAGAGGATATTTGGGAACCTGTAAAGTGGTTGCATTCGATCAGCCGAACGGCGCCATTCAGCCTAACGGTTACTGAAATTAAATCAGTGCGCCTTCATGCATTCGGTATTCGCTTGGCGGAGAAACTATGATGACCGAAGCGAGGCCGAATAGATGAGGCTTTCCTGAGTTGGGACCTAGAAGAAAATTGACTGGCATCTGCAGCATAAGGGCTCTGGTTCAGCAGATCCTTGCGAGAATATCTTCCATTTGCAGCCATTTGATGACACTGCGCAAGCATGTTTGAAGATGCGATTCATAACAGCCAAAACTAAATACGAAAATCCCTTTCAATTTTCCGAGGGGACGGTACCCGAATGAAGCTGTGATATGGTAGATCTCCGTTAATTCTTATCAAGTCAGGCTAGGTTTTGGGTGTTTTGGTGATGAGCCGGTGGGTTTGGCGAAAGCTGATCGAGGCTTCAGACTTGTGACCGAAGTTGTGACATAAGAGCGAATGGTTTGGATGATCCCATATAACTGGAAAGGGGATGGCGAAAATAGCGTGAGATTCTGTATTGTTTATAGAAGGGGGGGCTGAATATAAAGTTGGGACGAAGTGTTGAGGAAAGAAATAGTGATGGTGTGGTCATTCCATGGGCGAATCATGCTAAAGGCCGAAGAGCGAGTCGTCTAGGGATTGGTTCGGTTAGCGACATTTTGAACGGGGGGAACAATTTCGGGAAAGGCAGAGAGAGCGGGAAAAAAGGGGCCTTGCGGGTAGTCAGACGGCAAAGTTCAGGCCGGGCATCATTAGCACACCAGCCACATGACGATAGTGTTGATCTGGTGCGTAGAGACAATTCCGATGAAACAGGCCAACTCCACTAGCCGAGTCAACGGCGGGTTGTAGACTATCGCGCAGGAATCGAAGAGAGATGAGACGCGAGAGGGGAGCGATGTCATGATGTGCTTGGTAACAGGTATTCTCCCGGGGCTTGGCATATCCTGAAACAGACTAGCGCGCATTCTTATTTCAGCCCCCATTCAACGTGGTTGACATCTCGTTCTCATTCTTAGAGACTGACTTACGCACGGCAGATATATCTTATTGTTGAGAGGAATGTTCATGATCTGTGCCGGAAGATACCCTTCTCTGCTCCTCGTCTTCTCAGGCTAACTCTTCGTCTGGGCATTGCATACCCACAGAAAGAGATACAATGACATCGTCTCTCAGGAGGTGATGTTTCTATGGTCTTCCAACATTGCAACCCATGTACAGTAGCATACCGATCGGCTCGAAGATTTGCTGGTTTGCGACCCCGTCGCCTGATACGAAGCTATTGTGTTCTCTGTACTCACCGGCCACGAATGTATGTGACGTTGCTATTTGACAAGCGAATGAGGTTTAGACCTCAGATTGGCCATCTCAGATGAACGAGACTCAAGAGAGGGGAGGACAGAATTGGGACCTTCTTCTGTTTGAGACATGCCTGCCATAGTTCCTAACACAAGATTTATTCGATCGCCAGGTGAAGCGGCAACGGCTCTACAAAATACGTTCCGGTTCCCTTCTGCTATTCATCTGTTCACCGTTGCTGTTCATTGTTCGCATTTGCCGATACAGTTCGTCAGATATATGATCCGAGGTACGAAAGCTTGGCCTCAAGCGGACATTCGTCCAACTTAGTTACCTAAAATATGGCAGAGTAGACACCACGGTCGAATCCTAAGTACGGCATCAAACTCGACGAGGCGACCATCACAGCTATCGTTCGGAGGGGCCTTCCTGCGGTCCAGTCAGAATTTATAAACATCAAACAGCCAGCTTCAGGGAAATCATTCAATAACCGCATCTACTTTATCGATCTCGGTATGCCCACACAAAGCTTGAGACTTCACTGGATAGAGAACCCGGTTGATGTAGCTAGGATGGGGCAACTAGAGGACGCATCTTCCCACGTGACAAGGATCAAAAGTCGCGATTTTGGCGCCCCAGAGATTCTGAACGAGGTTTCCTGTCTGTTGTTGCTGGAAGGGTACTGTCCATCTGTTCCCGTGCCAAGATCGATTGCCCGATCCGATGATGGAAAGAGACTCAAGACACTTCTGGATCCAAGAGGATTCACGGAGCACCCACTATATCCATCCCGAACCCTGACCGCGGAGGTGTTGAGCAACTCGACGGTTAAATGTGGTCAGATCGATACAGATGATATGGGTTGGATTCTCATGACTCAAGTCTCTGGAAGAACGAGCAAAGCCTGAGGATATCTCTGGGGTCCATGAAACGGCTATCATGCCATTTGGAGGAAAGAATTCCCACCTACGAAAGTAGTGGGCAAACTTCGTTTGATGTGTATCAATTCAAATTCAAATGCTCCGCGATCTGCAACATTGGACGACAGAACAATCCTCCGGGCCTCGGATGTGCACATCGATTATCTGATAAACTATGGACGGCCATTAACCTCGCTGACGACACCGCTGCTCATATCGCTGCTTTACTTTATACACACACTCTCCTCATGGCTGGACGGTAGCTTCGGTGTGGCAAATTGTACCAACAGAATGAGGAAGAGGCCTCGATCCGGTGCAGCAATTGTAGAGCCAATCGAGTCTTGAGATAAGAGCGGTGCCTGCATGCACATAGACATGTACAGGTTCGAACAAGTGATTCCGATACAATGATTCATTTCAATGCTTATCTTCCGTCTGGCCGTTCTTGATGTCTTTTGGGACAACACTCAATTGTTGTTTTGTTGCTCTCCTGTTAAAAGGAAGGGTGTGGGTTTCTTTTTCTCAGCGGGTATATCTATCTTAACTACAAATTAGCTTAACACGCGCTGACATTCTCGATCCCCTGTTCAATATGCTTCTATGCAACACAACACACATACATATCTTCATTTTCTCATCTTCTGACTGTCAACCGCCCCGTCATCCCACCCCTCGTCGCCCCCCTTCCACTCAGGACCTGAAACGGCTTATGCCCCTCGACGCTCAGCCTTATTGCTCCGGGAATTCCATCCGCAAACTCATCCCTGGTCTCCACCGGCGTCCACTCTTCCATTTTCTTTCCATCGTATTCCGCCGTGAAATCGACCTCCGGCACGACCAGCGCAAGCACGACTTTCATTTCTATCATCGCGAGTTCCTGCCCAATACAATTTCGAGGACCCTTTTCAAAGGGGCGCCACGCATCTCTACCGGCTGGTGTATGCATTTTACAATCCAGATAGGGCGTCATAGAGGGGATGAAGCGTTCAGGCACGAAATTGATGGGGTCGGGAAAGTACGATTCATTCCGCTGGATTATTTGGGACACTATCCAGATGTCGAAGCCGGCCAAAGGACATATATTGCCTGTGGATGGGTCGGTGAAGGTGCACTCTTTCGCGGAAGAGATGTCGGAGAGGCGACGGAGTCCGCGCACGGTCGAGCCCGGCGAGAAGATGCGGAGTGTCTCTTTGATGACGGCGTGGAGGTATTCGAGGTGGTTGATGCTGTGGGGGTCGGCTTTGATGGAGGCTGCGATGGAAGAGGACGTGAAGCCTGGACCAAAGACGGAGGAGAGTTCGGAGAGGACTTTGGCGTGCACTTCCTTGTGCAGGTGTAAGAGGTACATAGCGTACGAGATGGTGGTGGAGGTGTTGTCGTGGCCGGCGAAGATGAAAGTTTTGATACTATCGATGGCTGTTTTGCGGAAGGATTTGGTCATGCCGGAGCCGGAGCTTGAGCCTTTGCCAGCTGCCTGGGAGGCCACCTCTTTCTCGTTCGCGTCAAGCGCCAGGTGTATGATCGGGCGTTGGCGGTCTTTCTTCTTCTCGCCACTGGTCGTGCCTGTTGTCCCGTTGGCTTGGTATCGCTGCGATGCCCGATGTTCGATCCGCTTGTCGATTTCCGCTCCAATCAGGGCGTCGAGTTTGCGCGTATTCAACCACAGACGAATCGGTTGGATGAGGTTGAAGCCCTTGAGAGGTTCCAAGCTCGTCTCAGATGGCATCAGACTGACGTGTTTCCTGAACGTCGACATGATCGGATGCGGACGTTTCTGTGAGTCAAAGTCTGAGTCCATGGCTACTTTGCCAATGATGTCGGCGGTAAGTCGAGTGGCGTAGTCGCTCAGGCTGATGAGTTCGTTGCGCTTGGCCCTTTCGCGTAGAATTTCGAGGAACAAGAGGCTCGAATCGACCATGTAGGGAACTAGAGTGATTAAGTGGCTAGCTGAGAAGCCTGGATTGAAGATGGAACGGAGGGATTTCCAATGTGGACCTTCAGCAGTGATCATGTTGTTGGTTCCGAGGAGTTGGTTGACGTAGCCTGTCGTGAGTTGTGATTTGGGCAGTGACTGGCCTGCGGTAATGTATTTGGAGGTAAGTTCGGGGTCAGCGATGAACAGCAAGCGTGGGCCAAGGGGCCACCAGTCAAGATAGAATACATCTGTGAGGGAAGTACTGAATCAGTAAGGAAGGACATCGATGGACCAAGGGAGGGCCTGGAGAAAGGGGTTGTCAATGATTGGAATCAAGAGCTTGCCCAAAAGGATCTTCGACATAAATCTCTGACAAGTCTTCTTTCTTTCCGATTGGGAGAACTCACCCCCCAAATTGTACTTCTTCCTGATATAATGGAACCAATTCTGGATGTGACCATCCGGAGGAAAGAGCTTGCTGCATTCTATGGCGAGGGGGAGATGGCCCCAGAATATGCTTTCCATCGGCGGTTGCGGCTGAAAACGATGGGCACAAGCTTAGTCATGTTTGTTCTGTCTGTGGAGGTGTGGTTTGAGAGGGACAGATGGTGTAGAGGTGATGTGATGTGATAGAGATGAAAGGAGGAATATACCAGTCCCTGAAGCTCCTTGCGTTTCTTGTAGAATAAGTTCACAAAGTAGACGGTCCCGGCCGTCAGCAGGGCGAAGATGGCAGATATGATACGCCACATGTTGACAATCTAGAGTCTTGTGAAGACTTGTGGACTATGGCCGTGTTGAACTCTCCGCCGTGATAAGAACGTATAACCACGGCAGATGAGTGTGAGGAGCTGGGAAAGCAATGCGCGGACAAACCAGATGAGAGTCGGGGCGTTTTGCTCCTTCATAAGCTCGAGCTATTAAGGCGAGCATCATCCTGTACCATACCGAGAGATGTAAATTGGGAGAAGCCTAATCAGGAACAGAATACCGTAAAAGAGTCGTAAGCGATAACGAAACTAAGGAACGAATCATTGTTCCTCCGACCGGAAGAATTGGACACAAACATTTTTGCATCTGCGGGTAGGGCGATTCCTTGACGATTCAGCCGTTCCATGGAGTAGAAGAAGGACCGCATCAGATACTTGTCATCGACAAATGCAATTGGATGGGGAGGTCGAATGGAAACGAGTCAATATCTTGGTAATAGAAGAGGATTTTCGGGGAAACAATTATTTGTCAACTATTCATATCTTCGGAGCCATTTCCAAATACAGGAGCAGTAAAACGTATTCTTGCAAAACATTTCCATGAAGAACTTGAAAACAAGCCGAATCAGTACTCACTGGCCCTTGGCTGCGGGAGATACCAACAATAACATTGCTGGACTCCATCTAATCGGTCGTAACTCACCATCGAGATCCCATGTGCCGTGCAAAGTGCCCTATGACCACTGTTCATCTAATGCCGTTGAGTGCATCAATCCCCACATTCATACCAAGAAAGCCTTGCGCCGAACGCCAATCATTTGCCATCACTTGGTCAACATCAGCTGACTAATCGTGAGGTAGGTATCAAGAGGCGACAGCAGCGTCAACATCGTCGTCCTCGAGACCTGTAAGAGCTCCCTCATCGTAATCATCGAAATGAAGACCAGCCTCACGACAGCGTTGTTGCCACTTTGCACTCTCGGCCCAAGCGGTTCGAGCACTCTCCTTCATACGGTCAAGGCGGTTGGTCAATTCCTTCAAGGCGATTTCGAAAGTGGCTCGTTCATTGACGAAAGAGTTCTTCTCATTTTGAAGCTCAGTGATATATTGACAGGTGCGTTGAAGAATAGCTCCCTTGTTCTTCTCGGTTCCTGGAACGATCTTGGCAATGTTCTCGATTCCTTCGTTGATAACTTCGCGGCGGCGACGTTCGACTAAGGGCGAGTGAGTGGTGAAGTGAAAATGGTCCAGAAATTGACCTTACCTTCCTTGTGATTGTCCTTGCGCAGCTGGTGCCACTCTGCAGTTCCGACGGCTGGCTTCTGGTTGGCACCACGCGCTTCAAGAAGAGCCTGCGCCGTTCCCATACCGGTGATATTGGGAGCGTCATTCTCGTCGAATCCAGCTGGCATATTCGCAGCTCCATCGAAAGAGGCGGGTTCTGGATAGGTAGATTGGTTCATTGGAGCAGCAAGAGCAGCCTGAGCAGTGCGAGTACTATCATCTGCACCCGCAAGGGGGTCGATGCCTTGGAGAAGGGCAGCGTAGTTGGTGTCATGATCACCGTTCGTGTTCTGGGCTTTGGCATTGCGTCCTGCATCCTGATCTCCGGGCCCGCGCTTGCGTTTGTTGTTGGTATTGGCAGTTTGGGGAGGAATGGAAGAGGTGCCAACCTGAGTCGCCATCGTGAACAGACTGCCCGGATAGTGTCGACTCCTGAGGAATGGTATTTGAATAGGTCCCGATGTATCTTTTCAAGGCTCGTGGAGACAGGCAGACCCAGCCCACTGGGGAGATTTTGTCAAGGGAGGAGGGCAACTAGGCAATGCTTGGTGGGCCTCCTCTGGTAGGCGGCGAGGTTGAATTGGAAGCGAAGAGTCTGGTCTGCGACGAGGTTAGCCATGATCAAGTCTGCAAAAAATTGGCAACCAAGTTGGGTTTTGAAAGTGAAAATCCGTTCTAGAGATGGTGTGTAGCCAGCAGTTGTCACATGAGGACTGCATAGCTAGGGTAGAGAGAAAAACGGACGCGCTTCTCAACAAACCCCCCCCCCCCCCCTTTTCGCACCTGAGATATTTCCCAGCCTGGAGCTAAGGCGGCAAGGTTGAGGGGTGGCGATGGTGTCTAGACTTAGGCGGATGGGCGGGGAGATGCAGAGGGTACGACATCGCTGACCCTTCCGGAGTGATAGAGATAGAGAGACGACCTGTCGAACTGCGCTCACCCGTTGTTGATGCGTGATGGAAGGCACCGCGAGGATCAGGTGCAATCAGGTGACTTTTGAGATGGACGAACTTACAGAGGAAAAACGTGATCTGGGATGCGATGGATCCCCGGGAAACCTGTCGCAAAATGGATTTACGCGCAGAGAATTGGAACCAAGGACGACAACAGCAGGTGGTGACACGATCCGTTGAAGGAGTTGCTTGGAGACAATGGAAGTGATATGGCGCGGAGCATTCAGTACAGACCATCGACTGGGTATGCTTGTGCTGTTGCTCTACACAGACAAAGAGAGAAAGAGAGAGAGAGATCACGGGATGAGAGGGAAGTGCGAGAAAGCAGTTCATGTGACACGCAATCCACGCTATGTCAAGACAGTATTAGCGCTACTCCTGTCTCGCTAGACCTGCCTTTTAGCATGTTGTTGTGGCGGCATGTGACAAAACTGTTTCTCCATCTGACGATGTCTCGTGACTGACCACGGTTGAGCCCCGAGCATTTCCTATCCACAGAAGTGCAAGGTCGTCGCCACTTCTGTCCACGAATTCCTCACAACCTAGGTAAGACAGGCTCGCCCAGGATTCCTCTCGAACATGGCCGTCTTCGCGGTCGTCGACCTGGAGGCCTTTGAGACCACTGAATGTCGGCGGAATCATGGGCTGAAACTGATTGTGTTTGGGCCGTATGTACCACGGCTTGAATCCCACTGGCTCCAAGAAATATCTAGCTTGTCGACAGATCAGTAGTGTCATTAGTCATCGTCACAGCCTCGGGCTCGATTGTGGGTTCGAGGGTAATACAATAGGCTGGCGGGTTGTTCGTGTCCACCAGCAGCACACCCTCTTGAGCTCGTCCTAAGATATCCCAAATTCTCACTTGCTCACCCCTCGTCAAGCCCATCACGCAGCTGCTCCCGGCATATCTCACCTCCCCTAGTCTGGGACTAGTGCCTTCTTCGCCTGCCCGGTTGGCGCAGATGACAATGGCCTCGGATGCTGGTCCTTGGGGTCCGAAGAGCGGGCTGAATCGCTCCACCCAGTAGTTGATCGTGTCATGGTCCGGCCCCATCACCTGACCGGACAATTCTTCTGCACTCAGCCTTGTGAGCCAAGCCATGCTGAGGACAATGACTTTCGCACGTGCCTCCCGCGCGTGATTCCCAAATTCATATGCCGTCCAGGGAGCCTCGAATCGGTAGGGATTGATGTCCATGCAAATTCCCGCGGCAGCCTTTACCTGCTGACCCTTACCACCAATCGGCAGCACACCCGCCCAAAAGCCTTGTCCCTCCTGGGCCCACGTTTCGTCTGTATAGTATAGGAAAGATTTGCGGTAATGGGCGACAACATCTCCGGTGGAGCTGACAAACACAAGCGAGTTGTAGGCAATGGTGCCAGCCTCGGCGGTGATGTGGTGGTCAAAGATGGTGTTGTAGTTGCCTTCTTCGGCCGCCTCAGGGTATCCCACTGCAACGGTGCATTTTAGACGTTTGGCGGTGCGGGCCGCCCATCTTGTCGAAGGCCCTGCAGCAGTCGGTTCGAGGAATGGGGCAATAGCGGCAAGCGAAGGGTGATTGTACCCTGCCACGAGTGTCAGCCTTGGAAGACGTTAGGCTGCGCTGAGCGGCACATGCTTTGATGGATCTTGATAACGGTGCTGAACCTCGCGGCATATTTCTCATTCAAAGAAATGCTGTTTTGGAGGACGACCAGTGCTTCAACTCACCGGTGAAAGCCAGTTCAGGGAGTACTAGCAGATCAATGTCTCGAAGTACCCCTTCTCTCTCTTCCCGCATAAGCAGACTCTCTGCTCGACTGAAATTGGCCGCTACTTCTCCCAGCAAGGGGGAGAATTGAAGAGTCGCAATTCTCATGTTGGTACTAGTCAAATGGCAACAGTCTCAAGATGCGAGGGTATGGAAGATTCCTATATATCGAAAATGATCATCGTGTAATATCGCAACCGTAGCTGAGGGACCGGCCCCATATACCCAAAAATTTTAGGATTGGACTACAAATAGCTTGTCAGAGATCCTTAATGGGCGAGAGTAAAGGACATGACATCAAACAATTTGATACCAAACGACGAACGATAATATGGACATGGTTACGGTGGAGCGACACACAGAAGCCAATATGGCAGAACCGAAAACTCCTTGGGACTATTGGTCGACCTAGTGTACTCTACTGCAAAAATCAACCTGAGGACATTGGTTTGGCGGTTGAGAATGCATTCACTGTCTCCTAGAATGTGAACGGCTCGTATCACCTAGGCACTCGTCCTCTTTGCCATAGAAGCCCTAGGTACGGGGCAGAATCGGTCCCCGTCGAAATGAGATGGGGGGAAATTGCCTCTTCCCTCCCAGGGGGGGCGACCATCTTAAACCACCTCTCCGGCCCCAATGGCCGTCTCCCTTTTTTGCTTCTCCCGCTCTCGTTTCTTTTCTAACAAGCGATTCAATTTCTTTGCCACATTGAACACTCCTCCTGTCCCTGAGCCACAAGCAGCACATGAAGGATCTTTCCGATATCGTTTCAAAGCGCATGCCTCACAAAAGTAATGCCCACATTTCGTAACAATAGGATTTGTGTACGACTCTCTGCAAATGATGCAGGCAAACGGTATACTTTCCAAGAGCGCTTCATCGTCCTCATCGTCTTGGGCAGACTGGCCGTTTCGGTTGGCAGATGCCACAATCTTTCCCGATAACTTCTTTCCTTTGGTGTCGATTTCCCAATCTCGATCAAGCTGCCAGCCTTGTTTATAATCCTCTCTTGCGTGTAGAAACTTGCAACTGTCCCCAAATCCACAAAATCCCGTCTGTTTGTAATCCTTACATACATCCGGAGCAAAATCGGTCACCGTGATGGTCCTCACATTGCTCGAGGATTTCACAGGTCCCACTTGCTTTGCTGCATGGTTTGGATTCTTCTGTATGAACGACTGATAATTTGCCACTCCCTTGTAGGTGCCATCCGGTGCTGTAGAATCCGAGGACTTGATCACTTGATTATCTGAAGTTTTATCGCCATCTTCGTCGAACCAATTTGAGGTTTTTATGGCATCATCTTTGTTCGTAGGCGCCACCACGGCCGCAGCCGAGGTCTGTTCGTCTGGTATCGGTCGATGTCGGGGGTTTTCAAATGAAGACGCTGTAACTCCTGCATTCTTTCGTCGCCTTTTTATCTGTCTCCCCTCCTCATCCTCTGAAGATGTGAAACCTGAGTCAGAATCGTTTTCTGGTGGAGGAGTGACGGCTCTTTTTCGAATGGTTGATTTGGACTTAACATTGCGCTTCTTGAATGTGACTTGGGGAACATCAACGCCAGGCTGTGGTTCCTCCATCATTGAAAAAGGGGCGAGCAACAGAACAAGAGAAGGTACAGCAGATGGGAGGAAGTATTCCAGGAATTGGAAAGCACTGCAAGGCTTGGGGTAGTTCTGAAATCGCAGGTGCAGATGGTCGGCAACAAAGACACAAGCCAAGCATGATTCAGCGGGAGATCTGCGATGTTAAACTTTAAATTTCCCCTGCAGCCTGCCTCGCAAAAGTTGCCCTCTTCGGCTTCGACGTTGTTCATTTGACTGCGCGCAGTTTGGGAGGAGCTTCAAGGATTTGAGTAGAGCAGCACACTGCTCTAGCTGTATGGCTTGGGATGGTACTATGTCCTCCGGCTTTGGACTTCTCTGCTGCCCTTTCGTATGATAATATTTTGTGGCCACATTTCTCTGCAAGGCCATGGTCGAATCTGTCGATGACAGTTCGCAAAATGCCAGTCCTGAAGATGCATCTTCACCAGTGCTCAGATCTATATCACGCAAGGGAGAACGCGACGGCCAGAAAGTTGTCATGTTCAAGGTGACACATGTCTTGCTTACGATTCTATTTCTATGGTTGATGTACGTTGTCGAGGTGTCAGGACAAGGGCGACGCAACCAGCTCACCGTACCAGGATTATTCATATATTTGGCGTCCTGTTTTTTGCGAAAGGATTTCTTCTGACCAGATTAGTCCTGGACAATAAGTCAGAGTGTGCTATACTTCCAGATGGGACATCTTCTCCACAATCGAACGGATGTTGGCATCCAAAGACTTTCGACCGAGCCGTCATCATAATAATCGATGCCTTACGATACGATTTCACCGTTCCTTCCCATCGCTTCCTTAACGAATCTCAACCAAAGTTCTACCTTGATAACCTTCCAATCCTGCACGACACTGCGGCCTCCAAATCTGCTCATGCAATTCTGCTTCCCTTTATCGCTGATCCACCAACAAGTACACTACAACGGTTGAAGGGCTTGACAACGGGCACTCTTCCAACGTTTATAGACATTGGGTCGAATTTTGCAGGAACCGCCATTGAAGAAGACAGTATCGTGTCACAGTTGAAAGATGCTGGAAAAACAATTGTACACCTTGGCGATGATACCTGGCATTCATTGTTTCCCGGCTACTTTCATTCAAATATGACTCGAGCTTACGATTCTTTCAATGTTTGGGACTTGCACACTGTCGACAATGGAGTCATCGAACACATAATGCCGCTACTTGGCCAATCTCCTCCACAATGGGATGTTATTTTCGGCCATTTTCTTGGAGTCGATCATGCAGGCCACCGGTACGGACCCGATCATCCTGCCATGGGAGAAAAGCTACGTCAGATGAACCATGTTTTAACACAGGTTATGGAGAAAGTCGACGATGACACGCTCCTTGTCATCATGGGAGATCATGGGATGGACACCAAAGGTGACCACGGCGGAGAATCGGACGAGGAAGTAGAAGCCGCCCTCTGGTTGTACTCGAAACAACCCCGCTTTGGAAGAACTGACAAGGCGGCCCTTGTGCCTCCAGCTACAGCCAAGGAACGACCTGTGGGCCAGATTGACCTTGTCTCGACTCTTTCCCTTCTCCTCGGGCTGCCCATACCTTTTAACAATCTCGGCAAACCGATTGCCGAAGCCTTTGCAGGGCCAGACAACACGGACTGGGAAAATCTGGCCCGAGCGGAGTACCTAGCTCAGAGCCAGATTGCAAGATACCAAGAACACTATTCTAGATCTCGTGATCTCGGTCTTCCTGATGATGCGTACAGAGAACAAATGATGTATCTTCAACGCTCATCCGACGCGACGGCGAATAGGAATTGGGAGGATGCCCATTATGCCTTTGTGGATTGGCATAGAGAAGTCATCTCCATGTACCGAAAATTGTGGGCCAATTTCAATGTGGCAGATATGCTCTACGGTATCACGATTTCTGGTCTTGCGCTGGTATTCTTGCTTTTCTTTTCTCGTCTGTCCTCAGGAGACAAATCCAGCCTCGCCACAAGTCTGATCAGATGCGCAGTGTTGGGTACAGCCACCGGCGCGGCAATCGGCCTAATCCTAGGAATTCTGTTTCCAGCGGACTTCTCTATCCTCGCGGGGTCGGTCTTTGGCGCAAGCATTGGTGGTATCATCGCCGCTGGTATATGGTCTGTTCGACATCAATTCGCCGTCATATCACATTTACCCTCCACATGGGGATGGATGGCCTTTGTTTTCTGTATGACACAATCGGCCGGGTTTGCGTCGAACTCTTATACTATTCATGAAGATAGCATTCTTCTTTTCTTTTTGAGCACCTTCGGCGTCGTGTCGTTAGCGTCGTCACTGAGGCAAGCGTCCCAATCTGATCGGGTGTTGGGAACATATCAATCGGTTTGGTTCATCCTCCTTACTCGGTTTGCGTCATTTTCGCGTTTATGTCGCGAAGAGCAGATGCCAGGGTGTCGATCAACCTTCTATGCCTCTTCCAACTCATCCACATCCGCTCCATGGCAACTTCTGATCCCATTCTCTGCGGCGTTGATTTTGCCTGAAATCGTCAAAGCGTTTTATCAAGGTACTGCTTCCTATGCCGCTTCGGCTGGATTTTGGATCGGCTTCTGCTTTCGAATGGGTTTATTGCTCATTGCTGCATACTGGACCATCGATGCGGTCGACAATGGCGGCTGGTTGATGGAACGATTATCCTCCACAACACTCAAGACGATCAACACCACACTGGCCAGGTGTGCTTTGGCGATGGCTCTACCCGTCGGAATCGGGACTTTTGTTTGGGCCAAGCCATGCATCGACGTTTCGATTAGCGAGCCAACCCCAGGCACAGACGAATTCGGGACATCGGCTCGGCCTCAATTGACAATATTGGGCTATGCGAATGTATACGGCAGTCGATACCTCTTGATGATCCCCATTCTGGAACTATCTGTTGCCCTCCTTCTCCCACCTATGGGTCAATATTCTATCGCAATCTGTACTTGGCAAATACTCTGTCTCGTGGAGATCTTAGACACCAATGGGCTGACCATATCTTCGACCCACAAATCTAGCATCGGACCCATCATCCTGGCACTCCTGGGGTCCTACCATTTCTTCAAAACCGGACACCAAGCGGCCCTGGCATCGATCCAATGGAACTCGGCCTTCGTCCCGCTTCGTACAATATCCTATCCGTGGTCCCCACTCCTAGTCGTCCTGAATACCTTCGGGACTCAAATTATCTGTGCTGCGGCTGTTCCTCTCACCGTCCTTTGGAAACGCCCGATCAGTAAGAGAGGACTCGCGGGCCTATGGAACGATGTGGTGAATGCCTGTCTCACACATGTCCTGTACTATGCGACCATCCAACTGGCAACCACCATGTGGGCCGGGCATTTGCGACGCCACCTGATGTTGTACAGGGTTTTCATGCCGAGATACCTGATGGCGTGTGCAGTACTCCTTATTGTGGATCTGGTCCTGATTCTTTCTGCCCTTGCCGGGGTGAGGGTCGTCGGTCTCAGCGTTGGCGAGGTGTTTGGCTATTAACTCAACGGACACTTTCTGGCATCAATGAGCTCTCCCGCCGCTAAGCCATGCTTTCTCGATGAAAAAACCCCATGTTTCAGAAGATTGAGAGTGGCCCCCCCCCCCCCCCATGGCACTCGCAATATGTACAAAATAAGGATCAACACCGCCTGGTATTCATCCGAAGCTGAGTCAATGCTACAGAAACAGCTTTTCTAGTACCAAAGACTGGCTTAAATGCTTCAATTTAAGGTGAAGTTTGGCCAGAACCGTCCTGGACCCTCGACAAATACACCAGCACCCGACGTTGATACTTTTCAGAGTAATACAATATGAACAGCCTTTGTCCTTTTCCCCCTCGCTTCGATCAGCACCCCTTCTGGAACTCCTTCTGCATCCCCCGGGCGGAGTCGGAGTCGGAGCTAAAGTAACTTCTCTCGTCCCGATTTAGGGAACCTTTAAGATCTGCGGCAGTTGCCGATGCCGATGCCGATGCTTAGGTCGTTGACCCAATCCATTCCCGTCTGTCGCCAGGCCTGGAAATGAAGCGGGTGTATTCACGCTCATTGCTCGTTTCAGCGGCTGCCCGTTGCGCCGCCACTCTTTGCGCAGGGCTTCTCTGGTCTCCAGAGTGGTAAGCAGAAACCTGGGATAGCTGCGGAACTTGTGGTAAGGCGATCTCTCTCGTCATCGTCGGTGTCATAAATCGTTGTCACGTTGGAAGTCTACGAGCATGGTCTGAGGTCCTAGTACGTGCAGGCGATCGCATCGCGTAAGGCTCATTTTTCCCTGAAGGAGTTCTGGTGATGGTCGGGTGGGGAAGGAGAAGTGGGTAGTCCAGGACCACGACTTTGATGGGGCCAGACTATGATCGGAACTGTTCGTCGAAATCACGAGAATGACGCTGTCTTGGGTCTCGCACAGACATTCGGGTGGTCGATATCAACGGTGGAGATGATATCACACCTTTCGACCGAGATATTATATCTCGCAGTAGGCCCAATAAAGGGCAAAACGATTAATCTGCCGGTCTATGAAGCACGTCTCTTTCGACAATGCCGGTTCAATACAACCATTTTCTTGAAGACTTATATCTCCCACTTGTCCTGCTAGACTCACCTGGCCATGGACCTCCAGAACCTATATGCTCACCAGCGCCAGAAGGCTCCCAGACAACAAGAGCAGGGAATCGTGTGTCGTGCCATGCCGATGATGACCATATTCACTCGACTTTGGGAAACCGAGGATCTGTGTTCGAATGAAGAAATCTTTCAGTTCAATCTGAGCAGGAGTGTAAGTGTGGTCCAAATCTCTTCGCCAGATTCTAGACAAGGCTTGCAGCCTTGATCAGATTATCGGTTTCTTAGTCACCTCGTTTCACCGTTGACAAGAAGGAGGGATTGAGGGAGAATCTTCGCTGGCCATTCAACACCTGTCAATACCGGGAAACTTTCGTAGTTCTATGCCAGTTTAGTCGAGATATGTCAGAAAGGGAAAGCTGACTCAGGACGTGGGCTTTTGCATTGAGGACTTTTTCAGTGTCTTCCCGTTGGCTATTGAGTGCCAAGCCGTCAAATGTTACGTCATCAGAGCCGGATTGAGAAATTCGTTGTCGCGCGGCGGGTTCACGACGGCAACCAACTGCACTGCGGCAACCCCACCATACTCAACGGTATGCACCTACAATTTTCCCTTCACAGGTATTTTGACGACGCATAAATATATTCCGACGTCTTTCCCCTTCTCTTCAGAATCTTCTTTCTTCATCTTCTAAGTCCTTCCTCGGTTCTCCTTTTCTTGGTTTCAGAACCGTATCTGCCCGCCTTCTATCTATCGCTTCTCAAACCCAGCATAGTACCCCGCCCCCATTGAGAAATTTTTCTCTGCCAAAATGCCTATCCCCGTCCCAACCACCACTTCCCTCCACGACCTCTTCAGCCTCAAAGGCAAAGTCGTCATCGTGACTGGTGCCTCCGGTGCCACTGGCATCGGCACTGAGGCCGCACGAGGCTGCGCCGAAATGGGTGCCGACGTCGCCATCACCTACTCTTCCCGCCCTGCTGGCGGTGAGAAAAACGCCAAGGAACTCACCGAAAAATACGGTGTCAAGTCCAAGGCCTACAAGTGCAATGTTGGCTCTTACAAAGAGGTGGAACAACTCGTCGCCGACGTCGTCAAGGACTTCGGTAAGGTCGATGTCTTCATCGCCAACGCCGGTCGCACCGCCGACAGCGGTATTCTAGACGCTCCTGTCGAGAAGTGGGAGGAAGTCATTCAGACCGATCTGACCGGCGTCTATCACTGCGCTCGTGCCGTTGGTCTTCACTTCCGTGAGCGAAAGACTGGCAGCTTTATCATCACCGCTTCCATGTCTGGCCACATTGCCAATTTCCCACAAGAACAGGTCTGTGTTCTCTCCCCTCTGAACATTTTCTGATTGAGAAACTGACATTGGTGATATAGACATCCTATAACGTCGCCAAAGCAGGCTGCATCCACATGGCTCGCTCCCTCGCCAATGAATGGCGTGATTTCGCTCGTGTCAACTCCATCTCTCCTGGCTATATTGACACTGGCCTGTCGGACTTCGTTCCCCAAGACATTCAGAATCTATGGCACTCGATGATTCCCATGGGCCGTGACGCCAAAGCCACTGAGCTCAAGGGCGCCTACGTCTACCTCGCCAGCGATGCTAGTTCTTACACCACCGGTGCCGATATCATTATTGACGGTGGATATACCGCTCGATAAATATTGGTCCCAAAACAAAAGGCGGAAAAAGGGAGGGGAGAACATGCTAGAGATCCCGTGGAAAAAGGCTTCGTGCAAGGGTGCAAGAGACAGCTGCATTGGTTGTATCTGGAGCTGTAGATGCGATGATGGTGGCGTTTGTAGTGACTTGAGGTATATAGTGTGGTCACAATCTCTGACTAAGAGGGGTCCCAGGGCTGGGCCCGCCCTCTCCAAACTCAGGGGACTCATGTAGCTATGAGGTATGTTGTGGCTCCACCAAAAACCCAAAACACTAGATCGCGGAGAAGGGACAAGATGAGATGCAATGACAAAACTTCAAACTTCACCCATCAAAACCCCTGACGATCGAATCTGACCGTTGATTCACCGAGACATGGGGGGTTTCTGAGAATTTCCCCCGAGGTTAATCCGAAGTATCCTGGGTGTTTTCTCGCAAGCGGACCATTAAGCATGAGCAATATCTTCCGAGTCAACATCTGAAATACACCCATAACCGCAGAAGGCTGAGTGAAAGTCGTAAGGAATATCATCAGTGGTTAAGAGCTGTATTGGTTGAAAGAGAATGGGAATTGCAGTTGAAGTGCCGGATCCGTGGTGTGCACCTCGATTTCATTTCCGTCGGCCTCGTCTAACACAAGGTACCACCGCCATTATGGACATTCAACATGTCTTTCTCATTTCATTACCCCCTGGATCGTACCTCGGACGGACGGACGAACGGACGAACAAAGAAACAAACAGGCTCACACACCCTGGTGCAACCTGCCATGTGGTCTTACCACCCCCAAAACATGCCGTCTGTGCTCGTCCTTTGCCAGAGGAAAACCAAGGAAATAGCACAGACACGACTTGAGTCACCGCCTAGCTAAGCTTGGAGTAACGGTCCGCCCTTCCCCGGACAGAATGACAATAGCGATGCTACCACATCGTATCTGCTCTCACGTACTCAACACATTGAGCTAGGTCATTGACTACACGATCCATGACCCGTTGCACGGCTACCTCAAGCAGCATCATTCAGCTTCTCCCTTCAACGCGATCTTGGATGCGGTCGGGACGTCCGATGAATTGTATACCTCATAGCCTTCTTATCTCACCCAATCGGGTTCTTTTCTGCTTCTTGGTGCAATGAGCGCATTTCCAGCGGCAGATTTCTTCTCCATTTTCGCATGGCTTTTGAGGACGCAAGTGAACCAATTCCTACCCACTATTTTGGAGGAATACCGAGACGGTATGTATTCTTCTCAGCGACCAAAAAGAGTCCTGGAATTGGTGGAGGCGGGAACGGTTAAGCCATTCATAGACAGTTTCTGGAAAATGGCGGACGGGAAGAAGGGATGTGCTCGTCAATCCGTGATTGCATGTTTGGCCGAGATGCAGCTGTTTCCAAAATGATATGAACTGACGGATGAAGGATAGGCCTATGAAAGAGCCATGAGACATAGAGCGAGGGGGAAGATCGTTGTGGATTTCGAATGAGGGCTAGATGCCATCACTGGTTTTGGCCTTGTTCATCGTGGACAACAGTCGGCAGCAGGCATATGGGCTAGGGCAAAATACGCCGCTGAAGTAACAAAATCGAGAGGTACTAATTCAGGTCGGCCTGGACCGAACTGCATCTAGGCGCAACACATATGCAGCCCTGTTGAGAATACGAAAAGAGTCTGAAATGATTCGCTAGACTGTCATTATCAATCTAGATTGGGCTAATGGTATGCTGCTTGACTCATGCTATCAGTTGGCTGCGTTATCTTGAGCTTTTTGACGCGGTGCCATTTGGGTGGATATCCAAGAGAACTAGAGTGATGGGAACGACGCGTTCCATCATCAGGTCAAGACGTGTGATTGTTTCGCCAGATGTCGATCAATACCGGTTTCTACTCAATCGCCCTGGAAAGCTACAGCGAAGACTTCATTTGAGAAGAATTCGCCGCGGCTGGATTGGAATTCCTGAATGTCATTTGGGCTGAAAGCTCACACATTAAAGAGCAGTCATCATGCTTGGGTTACGAAAAGTTTTCTTTCCTCAGGAAACTCCCTCGTCTCAAGCCGGATTATACTAAATACAAATTTTCTCCCTCAACAAATTTTAACAGCCGTTCCCAAATGCCGAGTCTAACGACAAAAGGGGATGCCAGCTGCAACAAATCGAGTCAAGTATGTTGCCATTTCGATATGGGCATGAAATCGTCTGGCTGTTCCCAAGGCTAACCTGGCGGAGATCGGTCGGCAAGCGGCTCTTTCTAGCTCGAGCACAGATGCAGAGAGTCCTAATGCAAATACATCCGCTGACAACAACTTGGGTCCTGGAGGAGTAAACCAGCAGAGCAACACTTTCTCCACACAATAGATGGTGACAAAGTCGGCGAAAGGACTAGCCACGTCGATTTGCTGGAGATTGGTGGCATCATTTGCCGCGGAAGTCGAGGAGAAATACTGCATGTCTATCCTTTTTATTCCGCAGTCAACAGAGAAACCGCATTGACCGGACCAGTCATTCGGAGCAAGATTGGATTCTGCTCAGGGCTCCTGTGAAATGTGCGATGATATCCTCAATTCGTGTTCTTGTCGACCCGGTCTTCGTATCAAGGCGTAATGGAGGCTAAGGCTATCTCTCTCTTGCTGTTTCTTCTTGTTTGCCTCTTTTTTGTACGCTTTCCTCGCCCAGCACTTTCGCACTGCCCATGAACAGTGCCCCCACATAGCCACCGAGGAATCGCATGTCTTGAGCCTGGACGGCCGTCATTCTCAGCAAATTCTCTGTATCGGCCAGGTGCGCATTGAGTTGAGCCAATTGCGCATGTAGGTGTGCATATTGACGATTCTTGTTGGCGGAAGTGATGTTCACGGAGGCAGCAGATGAGGGTCTGGGCAGAGACTGCTTTGCGTTCACGGTGTTCCCATCCATTTTGAAAGATGGTGAGAATAGTTGTGTCTGGAGAATCAGAGGCTGATCTACACCAAGGGGAGGTATCTTTGCCCAAGTTGAGAAAGATGCTTGGTGTTTTGGCAAGACGCGACGGAGTGGTACGCGACGAAGTTGTAGTCACGTGCAGCTTCGAGTCGGCAAGGATGAAGTATTCAATAATCGTGTCTCAGCCTCGTTCACGTCGGTAGGGATCCCCAATCCTTCCTCTCCAGACTTGTTCACAAAAGCCAAAGCCAAGCCACCTGCAAACATCGTCCTTCTCCCAGTGTAAATCAATTGGCCAGCTGAGAGCTCCAGTCACTCCAGATGAAAATATATCGATTTGTTTTCTCAATGCAGATCCACTCACGGGATGACAAGGTCAAAATGAGAGTGGTTACACGTTTCATGGATGCGGTCTCCTTGTGCATTGGAGGCCCAAGTCAGTCCATCTGGACCCCAGCTCTGGATTATCAACAGATACCTCATCCCAACGCGGCAGAGTTCATCCAAATGCGGTAGCAGTTCAGCGAGAAGCCTAGTCTATCCTGGTGTGACTTCGAAGCTCGGCGTTGAAGACAAATCAAACTCCTGGCCAGCATTGTGGTATCTTGTGCTCCGAATGCGAACGAAGTCTGGCCCGAAGAAACACTTTGACCTACACGAAGGTGAAATGGATTTGAAATATCCTTCTCCGCTGCCAGGGATGTGTGTTACTGATTCTCAGAATCCGATCATTCATGTCACCGAGATGGCCTGGGCGCACACTTTTCCCAATAACCACACCTCTCGATTTCCCCTGTCCTCCACGCACGTTTAGCTGAATTCTGCGGGCCATTTTGTCGATCAGATGCCTTATTCTGTCCTTCTCGCTGCTAAGAGTACAATAGGCCTCAAATATCTAATCTACTGGCATTCCACAAAGAGCATCTCTTATGTGTGGCATTTTTTGACCCACATTTGATGACGCTGACAAAAAAAAAAATAATGTCAAGTGTTCGGCTACAGCATCAAAACGTGTTATCGGAAGTCTCTCCAACCCAGAATCCTACAAAGGCTTTGATATTGTTGTACCAGCTGTTGAGACGACCTCTGCGCCATGCAGACAGAGTTTATTGATTCTGCTTTTGCAGATGGAGTGAAGCATTTTGGTCTAGCAGAGAGTGATTCGTGAACTCTTTCCGTCTTTCGGACGCTTATGGTGTTCACTGATATGAGGATAGACGTCGCCAGCCTCACACATGCCCTTATTCGAGGCGAGAAGTATTTTACAGACGAGTTGGTCGTGCGCAAACACCTCGAAGCCCGCGTCCAAGTCGACCCTTCACTCGGTTACACACAAGCCGTGCCGGGATATTTTCAGACCTTCTTCGAAGCACTAAATCTTCGGGGACTGAGCGGGGACAAAAGATCAGCTCTTTACCTTCGGTCACCAGACGCAAAAATCTCCACGACAAATAGCAACGAGCAAGTCATTCCCATGCACACAGTTTTCAAGCTTCTATCTCAAGCATCACTCCTATATCTACCCAACGTCGCAAAGCTCATCGTGGTAAGCCTCCTTCCCTACCACCTTTTCTCCCTTAACATGAGACGACACATCCGCTTCGCAGGCTCCACGATCCCGACCTCTCCCCTGTTTGGCACCGTCGCGTACATCCTGAACCATCCCGTCAACGTGACCTATGAAACGCTCGCGTCGTCGTTCGAGTACGAGAAGAAGCAAAAAGAAGCCGGTAACGAGTTTCCCGAGGCAGCTGGGAAGTTCTTTGCCAGAGAGCAGTAGAACACGTTTGCTTATATACATTCGATAGGAGGTGGATTGGGAAAGAGAAGAGCAAACTTGGTTCCTGAAAGTGCCTATCGTGAGAAGATTTGGCATCAAAGGCCGTACCTCGACCGCTAGGTCGCTAGGTGGATGGAGGGATGACTTGTCCATGTTCTGCTTCAAATGGTGAGATATATTATTAATTCGATAAGCTACTACAACCCATTGAACGAAGGCCCCTACTTCCGTATTGGTGAGCTGTGGAGCAAATACTTGAGAAGATACACCAGTATAATTGAGTTGAGACGGGCATTCTACTGACATGCTGTGACGCTCGAGTAATTCAATCCAGAGTTAACATTCGATAAAGACCATTCTCTTGACTCCCACACTTTTCCCGCCCAGGTTTCCCTTTTTTTTGCTCTTCACAAACAATGTGTGCTGCATGCATGTGCGCTTCTCCTTTCTCCCTGCTAGACCGACTCCCTGTGACTTCGATTTGCGGGCAGCATGGACTTGGTAACAATCAGGGGGTAGCAGCCTTGCCTGATATGCCCCTGTCCACATCTGTGATTCTCTCGCCCTCTCCGGTCGTAATCAATCTGAAATCCACCGAGCTCTCGAATGGGCGGCGGATCACATGAACGAGACGAGACTGCATTCATCCTCTTCAACCCTCTTCAACTTTGCTTGCATTTGATTAATTACGCTGATCGCCTGGAAGTCACCCCTATGTCTCGTATCGCCCTAGCCCCATTTCACAATTCGCCTTGTTTACCATGCAAACCCTAGCATAATTATTCATCTCAGCCCCATCGTGTTCGTTGCCTGGAAAAGGTGTATGCCCCCAAATTATGCAATACAAAAGGTCTCCTTCACCAATCAATATCGAACTGGGGAGCTGTTCCGCCGGGAAGCCCGGCGCCACCCTCCAATTCCTTCTCTCTTCAACACAATTCCAAGACCATCCGACGGCACCATTTCATGTGTAATAGGGACGATCTTTCTCATCACAATGCTATATGTACGCAAAAGACACTGAGGCCGATTGTTCCAATATGTCCGCTCCACCGTGTGCCGTCCCTCGAACTCGTCCCAGTGCTTTTCTGTTGTGTGTGAAAGCCATCTCAGGCCCATCAGGTCGTAAGATTTGAGAAAGCTGATCATTAAAGTGTATGTGAAAACAGGGCAACAATCAAAGTTATATACGATGCTGTGTGGAATGGCGAAAAAGCCCTCGTTAAAGGTTGCCCACGAGGCCACCAAGTCGATTCAGGCGGTATCAGCTCGGACAGATTCGCCGCTAATCAGCTCTTAGTGCATGCTCAGCATCTGCCGAGGTGCGAAGCTGCTGGTACTGCTGTGAGCAGATGGCTCCGATTCAATGTTGGCACTTCCACTGTCACCACTTCCCGCACTAGCACTGGCACTTCCGGTCAGACTTTTAACAGGAGCTTTAGGTGGTGGGAATGGTTTGCTCACCCCAGCCTGTTCAACTTGGTGTGGATGAATCATATTGCCTTGACCTGGAGGATATCTTGGAACTGGTGCGGGCATACCTCCTGGAGGCGACGGTCTGCCATTGCGGGGAGGGCCTGGCGGCATGTAAGGATCATTCGGTGGTGATGGCCGGTTAGGTACTCGTCCCGGTGGACCGAATGGATTCCCAGGTGACCGGCTTGCCCTTCGACTAGGCGGGGCGGGATATGGGCCTCCATTCATACCCATCTCTTGGAGCCGGCTGGCCGTCAACGAGTTCGCACGTGATTCGTCGGCCATCTCCTTTCGATCCACGGACCCGTATCGATTTGATGAAAAGCCCATCATGGGATTATCCAGGATGTTCGCTCCAAGAACTGGCATATCAGAAAGTATTTGTGTACTGGTACGATGCTTGCCTAAATTTGGTCGACCGTAGGAGCCTGGACGCATACCACCTCCATTGGCAAACACATCTTTTCGAAGCTGATTTTGGCTGGTAGTTCTTTTTGTTCGTCGCGACGTTACGCTCATCATGTCAAAATTGTCAGGGTCAATTGCCGGTGGTGGAGGACCGCGTGCCTGCATGGGATCGAAATAATCATCGTCATCATCATCGTCGTCGAAGTCCTGGTGACGATTGTGGGAAGTTCTTCGACCCCCTCGACTCCTCATGGCCATCTCTTGCTGTTTTAACTGCAACTCTCGTTCTCTCAACATGAGCTCTCGCTCTCTGAGGGAAGTAGCTGAAGGTTGTCCGTTGTCTCCATAATTGGCGGTCAATTCGCCGTCGGCCAATTCATCATAAAGAACCACGTGGCTGAACTCGTCAAGATTTGTCTCGTCATAAGACGGCCGGCGTTGCATTTGACTGGGACCTCGAGGTGGGAAACTATTTGGAGGACCTCGGAATCCATTGACCGGGGGAGGACCTCGTCTGCCAGGAGGACCCATGGGAGGACCTCGCATGGGCCTGGGAGCTCCGTTGAGTGAGGCGTTGGTCTGTCGTGGAGGGGGATTTGAGAGGGACATGGTTCGAGGGGGCGGTTGGGCAACAGAAGGTGATTGCGGCACGGCTTGTGGTCGATCTTTGTTGATAGTATTGACATGACGTAGCATCGCGTAGAGTGTCTCGAGCCGGGGCACTTTGACACCGGTACTCTTCGCCAGCTCAACCGGTGAGCCAAGATAGGTCTCGACCTCCATTGGTCGCCTGGCGGTAAAGTCCTGATACATCGTGCTGGGATCCTGGCTTGTTGCGATCATTGTCTGAATGGTCGTTTCCTTGAAGTTGCCGGGGAATTTACAATCTTGCGCGGTGGCAATCTGCAGCAGCTCTTCAATCACGTCCGATATGAGATCTTGGACACCGGGTAGCCGTATAAGATCTGAGAGGATGGGAGTCTCGAAAAGAACGCTGGTGGGATGAAAAGCAATGGGCCTAATATATATAATTAGTACCGGTCCCTGTTGGCGTGGATGAAACTTGACATACCCAATCATCCTTTCATACTGCTGCTGCTTTATGTTTGGTGACACTTTGCAATCGACCTGTGCCGTTGTCAAGGTCATGGCCAGAGCTTCAGACATATCTCTTTGAATCGATCCAGGAATCGTCGAATTCTGGCTGGCGGGCCCAACCCATATTTCGGTCGAGCCGCTGTGTTCAAATTCGCTTGACCCGAGCTGCATCAGATCGGCACCGGAAACTAGAGACAAGACGACATTCGTGGGAAATCTTTCCTCAAGTTGTCTTTCCACCCCCAATGTGTTTGTAGTGTTTACAAGAATGCAAGTATGTTGAGGGGTGACGACCGACTGGACTATGTCTGCGAGATTGTAGACATCGGGAAGGGCTTTAACACAGAGGAGGACGTAGTCGAAGGCCGCTTGCTGGCTGGCTGCTTCTTCGGGACTTTGAACGACTGAAATCAGTGAGCTTCGCATCTTCGAGAGAATTGGGAATCGGCGTACCATAACGTGGCTTGAATCGTTCATTGCCAAACAGCTGGGATCTAGAAAAGGTGTCAGGGGCGTGTAGATAGAACGAGGATATGTGTTTCTACTCACTTGAAAGAGACACCGTATTGCGCCACGGCCTGGTAATTGGCTTTCCAGACCAGAGTCACGTCGCAGGCGTTCGTAGCCTGTAACCGCCATGATAGGAAGGCCGAGACTGCATTCCCACCGACTGTACAGCAACGTCTTAGCTTTGGATTCATTCGGGACGGAATGGATTGGGGAGAGAAGGGAGGGAAGCAAAAGCTCCAATCGTGGTCGGAGGCGTGTGCAGGGAATCAGCAGTAAGTCATGCTCACCTGAAAGGATCCTCAGGCGAGGGGGGGAAGGTGCCATTGTAAGCAAGGGTGAAAATTCGTATAGTCAATTATTACAGCAGACGGCCGAAGTGGGCACGCCCGATTAGGAGTCAAGTTGGTCGCAATTGAAGCTGTCCAAAATTATGTCTTTGATCCAAACACAGCCGAGGGTCGAGAAGGTTTTAATATTGAACAAGCCAATCGATATGAGGGTCGGCGATAGGAGGGAACGAACGTTATGAAGTTAGTAGATTGTCGGCGACATCGACTCGAGGTGAAACGAGGGACTGAAAGATGTAGATTCGAGGGAAGATTTAAGATCGATGGAAGGTTCAACACACAAGCAAACGGTGAAGACGTTGGTGGTCGGCGCAGTAGTGCGTGGAGGGAACAGGAGAGGAAGACGGTCACAATGGCGATGCCATCGAAAGCAAGCACAATAGCTGATGCTTGGTATGAATTAACGAGCGTCGTCGGGAGGTGGAAGTGAAAAAATGTAGTACAGCAGGTGAAAGGGGACGCTGTGGTGATGGTGCGGTGGCTACGGGGATGATGGGAAGAATGGTTTGATGGGTTTGAGTGGCAGAGGGTGCGGGCGCGACGAATGTGATGCGCAATTCGAAACACGGCGAGGGAGAGGGACTGGAGGCTAGGACTGTGGATGGGATGCGGATAGGATGGGGAGGAGTTTGGGATCACTGCGAGAGGTAATGCCACAGGGAACTTCAGATACTCCGGAGGGACGCCCTCCTCAACTGCGTTGACTGGGTGTTGGGTGGTCAGGTAACAAGCAGCAACAGGAGCCGTCCGTACGGAGAAAGCGAATCTTGTATTCCGATGTCATACATACCAGGCACAAGGGCTCTTAATTGGCTACTGCCTCCATCTTGGGCTTGACGGAACCTGAATTTGACTACCACTATGGAATGTAAGCCGTGCGGCAGCGGCATGAAGCTGTTGGGAATAGACTATTGACACTGGGCAGGTAGATCTCGCACCAGGGAGATTCGACTGCCTAACCGGAAGGGAAAACTGGCTCTTCAATACAATATCAATGTAGATAGCATTCGAACTCCTTTTGGGAGTATTCTGTAAATGATCTTTCAAATGACAAGGATGGATAATGGGCGAGCTTGGTACCATACATGGCAATACGAGCTCCTTCCCCTAATTCACCACTCCCTATCAAGACCTGTGCTCAGTTGTCTGCCAGATATCTCTTTCAGGGGGGGGATTGCGGCAGTCCGATTATGCCATGCTGTGCACGGAAACTCCTAACTCGTTTGCTTTCTATCACCTCGCTTCTTCATGCACCGTTGTGGGCTGATGCAGCATGTCGAGATGTCCGGAGATAGATCTGCGAGTCCCGTCGCCGTCGGTGAGTATAACCACGAAACGAATACGGAGTGGGCAGATGAAAACACCAAAACGCCATACCATTGGAATTTTCCTGATGAAGCTGACCAAGCTGTCAAGAAATAGGCTACCATCATTGCACCCCTAGCGAGAGACTGGCCTAAACCTTCCCCCTAGCCTTCCGCCGACCACCGCCACGAATCTTGACCCTGGCTGTGCACTACGTACTCGACTCCGTACCTTATCCACATCAGCTTCGAAAGTCTGATCCATTTTACTTCGTCTATCAATCAGAGAACCCTAGATGAGAATTGGCGCACCCGGATTTTCCCAAAACCGTTGCGGACCTGGTGCTAAATTCATCACCACGGAAAAGTGTTTGTGAGTAATTTGACAACGTGCGATAATGGAAATGTCCCGCAGGTAGCGCTTCCTGGCATGTGCACATTTTCTTGACCCATGGTGTGGATGTGTTCCAAGTGGAAAAAGGTCGCGACCGAAGGCCGGAGACCCAGGGCAACAGAATAAGAGAGTACAGGCCCTCTTACGCTTGTCTGCAACAAGGTCAACCACAAACAACGGTGCTGTGTTACTACAGTAAAATCCTCCGTTGTGAGACAATGCCAGCACAACAGATCACGCCAATCTGTGCCGTCAAGAGCATTCCGAGTCCTATCTACATGGCCAAAAAGACAATCCGCCATCATTCTGGTTCGTACGTTCGTTTTCCGCAACCTAGTCCCAAGTCAGGAACCAGGAGGGTTATTGAATAATTTGGTGGATCCCGCTGGCGAATATCTGAGACTTTGCATAACTCTAACTGGGTTTGTGCATCAACAACTCGAAGACTTTGTGACCTCGGGTCTCTTGGGCTGAAAGCGGCAAATCAGGGAAGGCCTTTTGTCTCGACTGCAGGGCATATTTCTTCCTGCTGTTCCGTTGGAAGGGCACACAAAACTGTTTTGTTTCGCCGGACCGCCAGTCAAAGTTTGAGTGAAGATGTCTATAAAACTTTATCCTGTGGTTTTCGCCATTGGCGTCATGCTCAATGGTGGAGACTCTGATTGGGCCCCGATGAGATGGCCATTCAATGATGCTAATAATGCGACCGGGTGGATCTCGCATAGATTGGCAGTTGACAATTTCCCTTGTCCAGCTGCCAGCTGCAGCCTCGGAGCTTCACATGTCCGACAGCACGGACTCCCAATCGTCTCGAGACTGGTGATAAAATTCAATATCTACAAAACGGACATCTGGTTTGATAACGATGTCTTCTCGCAAAAGTTCAGTTGCCCTCTTTCATATATGAACAGCCTAGCCTCACGTCTGGTCGGTCTCTTGACTCCAGCGATACAGATGTTCTACAGTTTAGGATTTGGGCACATCAACAATTTTGGTTCTCTATCATAAATTCGGGACCACATTACTCCCGCGTCAGTGGTATCAATAAGCGAGATACCATTATCCGGAAGAGCCGGGGCAGTCCGTCACTACTGGACAAAAACGGCCTGAAGAAAACATGGCAATCTGCAGTTGCAGGGAATATGCCTTGACTTCATCGGCACGAACCCCCCATCCTGCAGATCATTTTGCACTCTTGGAAGTTGGGAATTTTCGAATCAGAGGCTGAGAGATTACCATTTTGACAACTGTATTCTGGTTGAGATTTTCCACCAGACAACCCCGCCCACTCGTCTGGTATAAGAACCCATTAGGATCGATGAAAACTCGATTCTCCTCCATACTAGGCGTTTGCTTGACATTGTTGATGGTCTCTACCTTGGAGAACAACGGACAAAGTGTCGCATTTGTGAAACCATCTTGCTGTCAAGGCAGTTGAAGCCTGACCGCTTGATGCATAACTCTCTCAATGGGAAAGAGCACTCCATGTGTCTTACTTTTCTCCATTCTCCACAGGTATGGCATCGGGGTGTTTTCAAGTCTCCCTGCCGACCCCTGGTTGTGATGAAATTGAATCTTCCAAACTCCGAGGATCCTGGTGGTAAAAGTGTTTCATTCATCTTCTCACACCTTGTCATCAATTCTCGACTCAATTAGGACATTCAAAGATCTGTGTTAGACTGGACGGGCGTCGCCCCTTCGAATCTTTGCTCCAATGGAATGCGCAACCACGTTCAAGTCACCCCCGTTTCCCAAGTGCATCTGGCTCATTATAAAGGGCGGGTCGGTTTTCATCTAACAGTCTTGTCACCGTGGCCGACCAGCTCTCTTTTCCCAAGCAGAGTATTCTGCCCACTATGTATGTTGCAAACTGGGAGAGCAATGAACACAACAATTACAGCATAACAATTAGTGACAAATATCCTTCTCAGAGAGCCTTCATACGGATCAAGGTGTGACAAGCACTCCCTCCCCTGATGCAACGATTGAGCCATGCGACTTTCACAAAAGGGAAGATTAATTCAACCCAAGGAAGGTATACCTCGCGAATGTCCTTGTCCTGGCCTACACTATCGTCGTTTTGAGTTGTTTGGGATAATACCTCCGATCCTGCCAGAAAACTGCCGGTTTTCTGGAGAGAACTTCAACTGATCTCAACCATCAATGACGAGTTTTGCTAATGCACTAGCCATATTTGATATTCTCATGCGAATTAGATTAGGAGCAAAGCCACAGAACGAGACATTAGTTTTGGGTCAACTCGCGTTTGCAACCGAGAAAATGAACAAGCCACGATTGAGGTCTTTAATACCAATCAGAATTGGGAGCCCGGACGTGTTCAATATCAGGCCTTCCCTGAGGTCGCGCAGAGAGACTCGTCCATAAAAGCCATGACGTTGATATCTTGGGTTTAATGGTCCGGAGTAAGGCGCAGCAAAGGTCATTTGTGGATTGTTCCATATGAGAAATTTCGTCATGATGAGTGAATGCGCAACTTGCCACTGGCAGGGGCGGACGATGCACAATATGACTCAGCCTCATTTGCTGACTACCCCTGGAGGGTTAAGCAATGAGGCAGCCGTCACCCCAGACACGCCCTTGGGACATTTTATTTGCCGTGTGGAATGCGATCTATGCTGGCTCCTCGAGGAGCGGTCCGAACGGCAGGCCGTATCATTGGGATGTCTTTTGAGGAACTGGTCGCAGAGCTGATCTTTACTCTTAGAACCGCACACTTTTCGAACAAGGGCGCTGGATACGGTACGCACTCTTACGTCTGTGCCTCTAAACCCCTCCCCACACAGTGTTTGCTTAAGTGGGAATAAGCGGATGGCAACGGCGCGGAGGCCGCGGATCGTAGTTGTACGGTGAATGATGCTTGGTCAGCTCACGAACGCCCCAGTTGGCCACTTGGACCCAGTCGGTGGCTGGAGCTGGTCTGTGTAAAGGGTTGCATCGTATTGAGCGTTCGCGGCCGAGTCGGGAATAAAAAAGGAAAGGCAAGTGAAGCATCGTTCGAACAACGGAACAGAGATATGTCACGCAGCCATAGTCTCTTTCACTGCCGTATGGAGATTCTGGAGTGTAGAATCGGGTCCAGAATAATAGAGCAAGGAGTTGTATCTCGTAGCAACCACTACTAGAAGCCGGTACTACATCAAGAAACTCCCCCTTGCCAGCAGTGGCATAGTTGCTAAGACCCGAGGGGGCCTGAGGAATCCCTCAATTCGCTCCTCGCTACTGCGACGCCCTTTTGGCTGTTCGAAACCGCTACCACTGGCTTCTGCCAAAGTGCCAGGCAGCACGCCCCCTGCGTTCAGTGCATCCTGCCCTTTTCTCCACGTCCACGACTTTCTCAGATCTGTCTCCCTTTATCCCAATTCATTTAACACATCCTCTATCAGAAGGCCCTCCGTGGTCAATTCCGACATCATCACCTTGCTTTCTCCAGGATATTTCCCCTGTACGATCCGGAGCCAACCTGGAAGCTCCGCTCAAGAGGACCCGGATGCTACTTGTACTCGGTACCAGTTTTCAGGCTTAGAAACTCTCCGACAGTAATACTCCAATCGACGCCCCCATATTCCGCACCAGACATTTCTTGCACCTAGACGATTCTCCTCCCATCACACACCTTCTTTTCTTCATTCTTCTGCGCGAAACTGTCGCCGCCTTCTCTTCCTCGACAATTCGAATATGCGCGTTTTCTCAGAGTGCTGACGTGAGCCGACTCTTCCGAGCGATCTGCAAGCCTCAGGAAAAAAGATACCCGTATCTCGCCTCTACGAGCTGTGTCAACTTCCAAGAATAGCAGGGCGATAGATAACCTGGATCCAACAGTGGCAGATCTCGAATCTGCTACTCTTTGATCGAAAAGTCAGCCGTCCTGCCCGCCGGGGGGCATGCCCTGACCCTTTCACTACATAATGGCGCGGATACATTTCACCAGTGGGGAGAGCAATGTCTCTAGACCCGTCAGGAGAATGCGCTGGGCCACAACTCGCAAACCGGGTCAGAGTGGAGCGAAGAAGAGGATGTCTTTACTCCAAAGGATGCCCAGGGTGACCGTATCGAGCTATGAAGAAAAAGCTACCGGCCATAAAAATAACGGTGAGACTTCAGAAGAAAGTCCAATGGACGAGCAGAAGCCGGAAAAAGGCTCGCAGGAACGCACCATCTACGTGAATCAGCCTCTTCCCCCCGAGGCGAAGACGGAGGAGGGCCACATTAAAGCCCAGTATGCGCGGAATAAAATCAGGACCTCCAAGTACACCCCCTTGAGTTTCGTGCCGAAAAACTTATGGTTCCAATTTCACAATATTGCCAACGTATATTTTTTGTTTATTGCCATTCTGAGTGTGAGTCGGCCTGCCCCAATCGCATGGTAACATGTCAGTCTGACCGGCTTAGATTTTCTCCATTTTCGGCGCTTCCAACCCTGGCCTTGCAGCTGTACCTCTGATATTCATCTTGACCGTCACCGCCATCAAAGATGCTGTGGAGGATTGGCGCAGAACCGTGCTGGACACTGAACTCAACAACTCTCCCGTCTACAGGCTGGTGGACTGGGACAACGTCAACTCATCCGACGACGACATCTCTCTGTGGAGACGATTCAAAAAGGCGTGCACCAGATTGGTCATTTCTACCTACCGTTGGCTCAAGAATTCGAAGCGCAGGAAATCCAAAAGGTCAGAGAAGGATCCAACGGCGCTCGGTCTCCAACGAAGTCCTTCCACTGCCACAAGGGCCACAATTCGATCCTCGATCTACTCGGAACACACCTCGTTTCACTCGACTCACAGCCAGACCGGGGACGACATCGCCATGACTCCCGTTCCGTCTCCAGCCTATCGATCAAGCCTGTCACCGAATGGTCAGCTTTCCGCAAATGGCGAGCCACCCAGCAGTGCACTTTCGTATGAGACGGCGGATGAGGCCGGTGCGGGTGCGGATAATGCGCCGTCAATGCTCCGAGTACAGGATCCCGCGAAACGCAAAAGCAACGTGCCGGCACCCAAGGACTATGGCAGTTTTATCAATCCCCACAAGGAAGTCCCAGACAAAGCCCGTTTCAAGAAGGATTACTGGAAGAACGTCAAGGTGGGGGATTTCGTCCGCATCTACAACGATGAGCAAGCTCCTGCCGACGTCATTGTGCTCTCAACCTCCGACCCCGACGGAGCGTGTTATATCGAGACCAAAAACTTGGATGGCGAAACCAACTTGAAAGTTCGTCAAGCGCTCCAGGCAGGGCGCAAGGTCCGGCATGCAAAGGATTGTGAATACGCCGAATTCGTCATTGAAAGTGAAGGCCCCCACCCCAACTTGTACTCCTACAGCGGTGTTGCCAAATGGAGACAACAAGATCCGAAGGATCCCAACGGGACGCCGCGCGAAATGGCTGAACCAGTTACGATCAATAACATGCTCTTGCGTGGTTGCAGTTTGAAAAACACGGAATGGGTTCTCGGTATCGTGGTATTCACAGGAGGTGAAACCAAAATCATGCTAAATGCGGGCATAACTCCTAGCAAACGCGCACGAATGGCTCGGGATCTGAACTGGAACGTCATTTACAACTTTATCATCTTATTCTTCATGTGTTTGGTTGCTGGTATTGTGCAGGGCGTGACCTGGGCGGAAGGCAACAATTCCCTGGACTACTTCGAATTTGGCTCCATTGGTGGCAACCCGCCCACAGATGGATTCATCACCTTCTGGTCGGCCGTCATTTTGTTCCAGAACTTGGTGCCTATCTCCCTATACATTACACTCGAAATTGTCCGATCCATTCAAGCATTCTTCATCTGGTCTGATGTTCACATGTACTATGAGAGGCTTGACTATCCCTGTACCCCGAAGACCTGGAACATTTCTGATGATTTGGGACAAATCGAATACATCTTCTCGGACAAGACCGGCACATTGACTCAGAATGTCATGGAATTCAAGAAATGCACCATCAATGGAGTGCCCTACGGCGAGGCATACACTGAGGCGGAGGCAGGTATGCGTCGAAGACAAGGTGTTGACGTCGAAGCTGAGGCTGCACGAGTCCATCAAGAGATTGCCGAAGCCCGTGTGGAGATGCTCAGGCTGCTACGGAAGACTCACGACAACCCATACCTTCATGACGACGAACTCACTTTTGTGGCGCCAAATTTCGTTGCCGACCTCAATGGAAAGTCGGGCGAAGCGCAGGCGCGGGCGAACGAGGAGTTCATGGTTGCTCTGGCACTCTGCCATACCGTTATAACAGAAACAACCCCCGGCGATCCGCCAAAGATCGAGTTCAAGGCTCAATCTCCCGATGAAGCTGCTCTGGTCGCTACAGCGCGCGATGTTGGCTTTACTGTCCTCGGGCGCACCAAAGAAGATCTCCACGTCAACGTTCGTGGTGAAGACCGAACATACCACATCCTCAACACGTTAGAATTCAATTCAACCCGGAAACGAATGAGCGCCATTGTTCGCATGCCCGATGGAAAGATCAAATTGTTCTGCAAAGGTGCCGACAGCATGATTTATTCGCGTTTGGCCCGAGGCCAGCAGCAAGAGCTCCGTAAGGCGACGGCTGAAAATTTGGAGATGTTTGCCCGAGAAGGCCTCAGAACGCTCTGTGTGGCCGAGCGAGAAATCGACGAAGATTACTATCAAGAATGGAATAAGGACCACGACTTCGCGGCCCAGGCTTTGACTGACCGTGAGGATCGACTTGAAGAGGTCGCCGATAGAATCGAAAGAGAGCTCACCCTTCTTGGAGGAACGGCTATCGAAGACCGTCTCCAGGATGGCGTTCCAGACACAATTGCCCTTCTTGGACAGGCTGGAATCAAGCTTTGGGTCTTGACTGGTGACAAAGTCGAAACTGCCATCAATATCGGTTTTTCGTGCAATCTCCTGTCCAATGAAATGGACTTGATCTTATTCGATATGCCAGAGAGCAAGATCGAGGATGCCAGTGTACTTCTCGACCAACATCTTCGCACATTTGGTCTGACTGGATCTGATGAAGAATTGGCTGCTGCTCGGCATATCCACGAACCTCCGCCTCCCACCCATGCTTTGATCATTGACGGAGAGTCTCTCAAGCTGGTGCTGCAGGACGAGTTGAGGCAACGCTTTTTGCTCTTGTGCAAGCAATGCAAGTCCGTCCTCTGTTGTCGAGTCAGTCCCGCTCAGAAAGCGGCCGTCGTTCAACTCGTTCGAAACGGTCTCGACGTCATGGCATTGTCCATTGGCGACGGTGCCAATGATGTGGCCATGATACAGGAAGCCGATGTTGGTGTTGGTATCGCCGGTGAAGAAGGACGACAGGCCGTCATGTCGTCTGACTATGCCATTGGCCAGTTTCGGTTTCTCCAGCGACTGGTTTTGGTACATGGGCGCTGGTCTTATCGACGACTGGCCGAATCCATCGCCAACTTTTTCTACAAGGTATGTCGTAGCCACACTGATCGATAATGGATCGTTCTAACTGTGCTGTAGAACTTGGTCTGGACTTTCGCCCTCTTTTGGTATCAGATATACAACGACTTTGACATCACATACCTGTTCGACTACACCTACATCCTCCTGGTCAACCTGGTCTTTACATCAGTGCCTGTGGGTCTCATGGGCATTCTTGATCAAGATGTCAGTGACAAGGTTTCGCTTGCGGTCCCCCAACTGTATCGCCGAGGAATGGAGAGAAAGGAATGGACACAGACTAAATTCTGGTAAGGAAAACAGTGTGCATGGAGAGATGACAGCTGACGCGGGTGCCAGGCTCTACATGGCCGATGGTCTCTACCAGTCAGCTATTTGCTACTTCATGGGCTATCTTCTTTTCAAGCCAGCGACCTTCGAGACGGAAAATGGCCGAGGCATCGCCGATCGAAGCCGTATGGGTGTCTACATCGCCTGTGTTGCGATCATCGTCATCAATTCCTACATTCTTCTGAACACTTACAAATGGGACTGGATCATGATGTTGGTCACCGTCATCAGCTGTCTTCTGATCTTCGCCTGGACGGGAATTTATTCGTCTTTCGAGTCCTCCTTCCAGTTCTACAAGTCGGCCGCGGAGGTATACGGACAATTGTCATTCTGGGCTTATTTGCTCCTCACCATTATCATCTGCCTCTTGCCTCGATTCTCGATCAAATATTTCCAGAAAAACTACGTGCCCTACGATATCGATATTGTCAGAGAGCAAGTTCGACAAGGCAAATTCAAGTATCTGGACGAGTACGAGGCATACGTGCCCCCCAAGCTTGTGGACGTCTCCGGGACGTCGTCGGAGCAACCCGAGGAGACTCCCACCGAGGCAGATGGCCGTGGTCATGGCAGATATTCAAGTATGGCTGAATCTCAGCGGCCGATATATCCACCCTCAGAGGCCCCCACTCGCGATTATCGCCAGCCCCACAGCCAGACTGGTAGTGACGGCACGGATAGGACGAAACCGTCTCTTGATATGACGAGACAGCCTGGGGAATCATCAACCCCCGAAAAAGCGAAGCGGAGGAGACCTACGCTGGAGCGAGTTCGTTCCTCCTTTGAGAGACAACGACAATCCTTTGACAAGTTGAGGCCGAGCTTCGAAGGTAGCCGAGACTTCACCAGCGCCGCCATGCTGGCCAGAATGGAGTCGAGTTACTCTCACCCTGGCAGCCCTCTTTCGCACACCAATACTAGGAGGACCCATGATATCGCTGAGGAACTCCCGTAGTGGCCTCGACTCACCCGTCTCAATGGCACATTGGTTTTTCTCATGACCTTATGCCCCTTCTTATGTTATGACTCTTGCTGTGTCAGTTGCAGTCCTGAATGGATTGGGGCATCCAGGCGTTCCGGGATTGGAATTATTTAGCGAGTTTTATGTGCTGTACATATTTTAGAGTTTACTGGAAATGGAGGAAGGCCGAGATTGTGTGGAAGTTTCGCGATTGCCGGTGTGATCTCAACTATTCCTGCTACCGAGAGGGGGGTTGAGAGGACGGTCAGATTGCGCCGTAGCTTGTCCCCGAGATACTGGTAATTCACTAATCTCGTCGCTTCGATCTTTCAGGCGAATGATGAATTAGGTAATCGTAGAGCCTTGCGTGAGAGGATGCCATTTTACACCCTGCACGCGACTGCATTGGACGCGCCGCGGCTTCTCCTGCGGAGAACTTGGAAACGGGCCCTTGGAAACTACCCTCGTCAACCATCATTTATAAAACTTACTTCACCCGATCAACAGGCCAATACCACGTCTTGAATGCCATACATACAATCCTCATCCCCGGTCACTTTCTTCTTCACTACTTCGTTCAAATTATTATTCCTTCACTATGAGATGTACCAACTTGGCCCTGCAGCCGACACCACCCTACCTGTCTTGTTCCGCTGATCTTCTTCGTCGACCGCTGTCATGGCGGAATTCATAGCTACTCTCCAGTGAGTCTAACATGGGGTAACTGAGAAGATGCAGAGAGTAACATATATTTTGGCGTAGAGAAATTAGACAACTGCCACCCGAACAACACCTTTTTTGCCCTCGTCGAGGCTCCAACGACCCAGACAGATTCGAGGATTGGCGAAATCCCAACGCCGACGGAGGAGAAAGACATGATCCGAACCGAATAGCAAGAATCGAAGAGACCAAGATCCGTCGGAAGAAGTTCGTTTGCTCGCTACAACTCCTCGCATATGATGGACAAGAAAGTGAACAGTACCAGCGCTTCATCTGGGAGACCCTTGACGAAGCCCTCAGCAAATGCGATGTCTGTATCCGCGAGTACTATGTCGCCAAGATAGACTTTGTTGCAGAGTTGAGACAGGATTATGAAGAAGAAGACATCAAAAATTTCCTTGAGATCATAAATCGGAGGGATGTCCAACGCATTACGGACGGACTGGATGCTGCAGGCAAGATCCTGAAGGATACACCGGAACATAAGAGGGGGACATCAGTGCTGGAACCCAAGCACCTGCACGCCTTGTTTGAAGCTTTGGTCTGTGAAGCTTTCTTGCAAGACGAAAACCTTTTGCATGCCCATTTCGATGGGCCATTCAAGATGATACAAACCAAGAAACCGCTTAAAATGCGAGAGATTCTGCCGGGTGCCACCCAATTCTTATTTGACTCAAATACAACTCGGATGGCATGGGCGAGTGCGATCTGGGGTCGGCTTGATCGGTGCCCGACGGATCTTGAATGGGACTGGGCAATGAAAGATATTCTGCAAAAGAAGCTGCAGCTGGCTTCGGAGCCCAACGATGTTGCAAAACTCTGGAGTGCGTTGACTTTGGTCGTGAGTAGACTTGACCAACGAATGATCACATACAAGCTCTTCGACCTGCATCCGAATCTGGGGACAACCGCATTGAATCACCTGGCCAAACGAACACAGGCGGCACCTTTCATTATTGGAACATTGAAGACGATCTTGGACACCGCTCCCGACGCATTTTGGCAATCAATGGGATCAATCTCCGCGCAAACTGTTGTCGAACAGATCTTTGCCACTCCCCACTTCAACAAGCATTTGCAAGAATCAGAATCGAAGCAACCGGGCATGCTGTCATGGATCTCCTCATTATTAGGTTCGCTCAAACCTGCAAATCGGCCCGTGGCTGCACACTCTATTGTAAGTCAATTATTTGAGAGAATTGACAGTAGCAATCTCAACATCTTTGCGAGAACTGCATGCTTCGAAGTGGCTGTCAAAGGTCTTCTCCACACGATAATTAGCTTTTCCGACGATGAGAAGAATCGAAAGTCTGTTGAAAGGTTGGTTTTACTAGATATCCTTAATCTGATCGGCCATCGGCTCGACGAGATCCTCAAACCAAGAGACCCCACCATCACAAATTCGCTGCGAGCGGAAACGAGAGACGACATTTTGAACATTGTGAAAAATTCAGTCGCTCTGGAGTGTCAATGTCTCAAATCAGACTTTGAAAGTTTAACCCAGAAAGAGCCCCTTCGACATGGATCGAGCTCATACTCGCCTGAAATCTGGACTGCTGTCATCAACAATTTAAGGGACGATGATCCTGAGCTGTCATCCGCCGCGCTCATCGGGATCATGCCTTTGCCAGGTCTTGAACGGTTTCGGATCAAAGATGGTCAAAGTCTGGCACAGGAGAAAAAGTCATTTAACATGATCTTCGAAAAGCTGACAGGAATGGTGGCGAAGCTTCTGGAGCGGATTTCCGAATTCAAACCAGACCATCTTGATCATCTATTCAGAGTCCAAAATACCAATATGTCTTTAATGTCAACACTGTTCTCTCCAGACACAAATACATACCAAGCAGCCACCGAGATGGTCAAAAACATCAGCAGCGAGCCAGGTCGAAAGGAGGCACTCGCGCATTTGATCGATGCATTCCTTGGAACAACCGTATACGGTCTCTGTTGGACGTTCCGGCGGATCGCCAACTTCAAGACATTTTCATCAGTTCCCCGAATGCTCAACATGGGCATGGAAATTCTCGATGTCCTTTGCAATCCGACAAATGGCAAACTCAGAAGAGCAGATATTTCCAGCCGAGATGCCTCCGCTGTGCAAAACTATTGGTCTTACCAGTGGATTGCTCTTCGAGTCATCTATAGCCAAACAGAACGGTGGTCGCTCGAGCTCCATAATAAGGCGGTCATGGTTGAGGTCTGCAGAGACGCCATGCAATATGCTGAAGCACTCTTTGACCAATACGATCTTTTCGCGAGCGTCCTGATCAAGTTGAAGCCTGAAAAGGCCCAAGAGATCCAAAAGACCTTGTTGGACTCGAGTGACTCGCAATCGGGGTCACCATTGAATACCCTAGATGCAATGTCCAAATGGTTAAGACTTCGGGACGAATACCTTGCGGACACACTGGTATCTCTCATTTCCAACATGCTCTACAGACTGAAGCGGCATCAGGCTTTAGTGACCGATCATGAAGGCCTGGCATATGTCCAAGAGGTTGCAACCAGGGACTCTATCAGAACTATCCTTTCTGCCGCCCAAAAAGCAAGATTAGTTCGAACCTTAGAGAACTATTACGACCGACAAATCGAAAGACCCCAACTCAAGACGCAAGCCACTCTTAACTTCAAAGACTGGACTGATTCAGCCACCCGCGCACGGTCTGGGGCATCAACGCCTGATCCCAGAGACAAGAACGTGGACGAGTTCGGAGACGATGACGTTGCAGATGACGACCTAATTCAGATCGAAGGCGAGACACTAGATACTCAGAAGGCCACGATCACCATCAAAGACAAGAACAAAATCAAATCTCTGCTATCAAATTCGCAAGCCTCGAAGCACAGACCTTCTTCGATATCTGTAAAGGAGGTTGAAGCAAAGAAGGCCCAGGATGCCAAAGCTTTCATCGAGCAGCGTAAGCGCGAAGAAGCTGCACGAAAGCTGAGAGATAAGGAAGCTGCCTTGAAATTACGCGGTCAGACTGGAGTCGGAGCCCAAACCATGGGCCAAGGTTCGGGAGTGGCCGGCATCGGTATACTTGGAAAAGATCATTCTGCCGGTACAAGCAGTCTAATGGTATCATCGGAATCTGAATCTGAGACAGATTCCGATGAGGAGCTGTTTGGGAAGCCGCAGAGCAATGGTCCGACATTCCGAAGTCAAGCTGGGCTCAGAAAGCCCATGCCCGCCGGGCCCGTACGAAAGATCAAGCAAATTCGGTCGCAAAAGGATGTCAGAGCACGGCTTGCGCCTGACCTCAGCGACTTGCACCGGATCATCCTAAGTTGGGATTTCTTTGCCGAAACAGACCTCCCCCCGACATCAATGAAGGAGGACTACACACTTGTGACAGATACGTTCCGAACTCCTCAGGAGTACCAAAAGACTTTTGAACCGTTGCTGATACTTGAAGGCTGGCAGAGTTTTCGTGCAGCTCGCGAAGATGGCACTTTCAAACCTTTCGAGATAAAAGTGGCCAATTCATTGATTGTGGATAGCTTCTTTGAAGTCAACTCTCAGGTCTCTCTTGCCGAAGGAAAAGATCTGGGCATTGGGACGTCCGACGTGGTGTTACTGTCCAAATCCAAAACACCAGAGCTAGATCCCAGTGAACCACACTGCTTCGCAAGAGTAAAGGAAATCGTAAGAAAGAAGGGCGAAGTCCAGGTTGTCTATCGTCTCAGCGCCGCAAACAACCCCTTACGACCATTCTTGAACGACAAGTCAACCGTCTACGGAGTACAAATTCTATCTCTCACTCCGTTAGAGCGAGAATATGGTGCATTGATGGCATTACCGTACTACGATCTTTGCGACGAAATTATCCGGGCAAAGCCTTCCCCCATCCCGGATTACACCGACAAGGAACTTGAGCCTATCAAGAAGGCTTACGACGTGAATCTTGCTCAAGCAAAAGCAGTGAAATCCGCCCTGGACAATGATGCTTTTACTCTGATTCAAGGTCCGCCTGGTTCGGGAAAGACAAAAACTATTTGTGCTCTTGTCGGGGCTATGATGACGGGCTTCATCAAGAAGCCAAGCAACACTCCCCAATTGAACGCCGCAAGTGGGCGTGGACCGACTCTTCCGCCAGCTGCGAAGAAGATCCTCGTTTGTGCTCCAAGTAATGCTGCAGTCGATGAATTGGTCATGAGATTCAAATCAGGTGTCATAATGCTGGATGGTTCTTTTGGGAACTTGTCCGTTGTTCGTCTGGGCCGGACGGATGCCATCAACACCAATGTCAAGGATGTCACTCTAGAAGAACTCGTCAATGCGAAGCTCAGCGTAACTGCGTCGAAGGATCCGAAAGAAGACATTCATTCGGTAATGATGGAGCACAAAGCGGTGTCAGATGAACTGAATTCCCTCCGAGATCGGATCAGTGACCAGCGGGGCAAGGGGCAACCGGTTTCAACAGCAGACGAACAACTCATGGATCAGCTCAAGCGCAAGAAAAATGGGCTAGGTTCCAAGATTGACGACATGAGAGAGCGTCAGAATACTGCGTCTCGTGATATGGAGCTCAATCGGAAACGAGTGCAGCAAGAAATTCTCGACTCAGCCCACGTTCTCTGTGCCACCCTGAGTGGAAGCGGCCATGAAATATTTCAAGCTCTCAACATCGAGTTTGAGACGGTCATTATTGATGAAGCAGCCCAGTCCATCGAGCTTTCCGCCTTGATTCCTCTCAAATATGGATGCTCGAAGTGCATCCTCGTTGGTGACCCGAAACAACTTCCACCTACAGTTTTGTCACGAGAAGCAGCGAAATTTCAATATGAGCAGAGTCTGTTCGCACGCATGGAGAACAACCACAAGAAAGATGTACACCTCCTGGATACGCAATATCGCATGCACCCCGAGATCAGCCTCTTCCCGAGTAAGACGTTCTACGACTCTCGGTTGAAGGATGGCAACGACATGGCCAAAATTCGACGACGACCGTGGCACAATAGTGAGATCTTTGCACCGTATCGCTTCTTCGATGTGCAAGGGATGAGTCAGGCGTCAACCAAAGGCCACTCGTTGATCAACACTGCCGAATTGAACGTCGCAATGCAACTCTACGACAGATTAATAACCGACGTTCCCCGATACGATTTCTCAAGAAACATTGGTATTATCACTCCATACAAAGGACAGCTCAAAGAGCTTAAAATGCGCTTCAAGCAACGATATGGTGAAGACATTACTTCCAAGATCGAGTTCAATACCACCGACGCTTTTCAAGGTCGAGAAAGTGAAATCATCATCTTCTCCTGTGTCAGAGCTTCGACCAAAGGTATTGGTTTCTTGAACGATATCCGCCGTATGAATGTCGGTCTGACTCGAGCCAAATGCTCTCTGTGGGTTCTGGGTAACTCGCCATCCCTCACACAGGGTGAATTTTGGCGTGCGTTGGTTAATGACGCGAAGAGCAGACATGTCTACACGGAAGGCGATATTCTCAATCTACTTCGGCGTCCTTTGTTGACAGAAGAGATGATGAAAGATGACATAGAGATGATTGACGTGGGTGACTCTGTCTCTGACGCCCCAAAGTCCTCTACTACTCGCGACGGGCCAAGTGTTTCGAGGCCAGATTCCAAGGAAGCAACACAAACTCGGAAAACGAGAGCTACAGAAGAGTCTCGATCTGGTTGCTCTATGCATCAAAGCGCGTCATTGTCTTCGAGATCAAGCAGCTCTCTTTCTCACCGTTCATCTACGCCGTCCTCCACAAAGTCCGAAGTCAAGCCTCGCCGCGACTCGACCCCCAGCGAGACGAAGAGAGAAAAGTTGAGACCCGAGACCAAGAGGGACCCACATTTACTGTCCAGCAAAATGGAGATGGAAAAGAATATCGAACCGGAGCACGCCCAGCCTAACACTGGCATCTACGGTCCCTCGGGAGGCCGCTTCGGTCTCAATGACCTAGCTAAATGTGCAATTTGTGGCTCCCACGAACACTTTAGCTTCAACTGCGATAATGAGGAAGCACAGGCTGCAGCTATGGGCAACTGCACTCGATGTCACCTACCCGGACATACTTATACAAGCTGTCGTGCACCTCGGTGCCTCTCTTGTGGCGAAGTAGGGCACAGCTCAGAGCATTGTACGGCACCTCGCCACATGAGACTAACGAATGTCCAACAAGCAGAAGTGAAGAAACAAGAAATTCGCTTCGGGGAAGCCAGAGATCGAGCTCGAGAAAAAAGAGCGGAGAAGCAGCTGGGTGAGCATGGAGCTAAGATCCCGACCGTCAAAAGTACCTTGCCCTCTGTCTCTTCAGCAACTAATGGGGTTGGAGGTGAGGTAAAGAGAAAGCGAGATGAATCAAGTAACTCGGATGAAAGAAAAGTTCCCAGAATCAAAAAAGATACCAAGTCTCCTGGTTCTAGCATCGGAACTCAGACCAGTGCGTCTGCGGATGTGGGCCCCGGCCGTGCTCCATACGGGCCAGCGCCAGGGTTATCCAGGCCACCAGGAGCTGGACGACCAGCGATGACGGGACAACCGATGGTGAGAAAGAAGACGTCGAGGCCAGATGACATGTTTATGAAGAGGAGATGAAGCGAATTTGTGGCCCCTTGGGTGGCTCCTTGCGACATCTACGTCAATTCCTACCTCGGATATAGGGCGGTTATCTTATTCTCGAGGTTGAGCTTGCAGTTAGGATACGCCATGGATCCACGGCCACGTTTATGTCGGGTGCAATCACTGGCGTACAGGAAAGAGAGCATTGATGGCGTTGTTACATTAGACACCCTACCATGACAGCACGTCGAGGGAGTTTTGAAGCCCTGAACTGGGTCGGAGCTGGACTGAATTGAATCGCATGTACTGCTTTCCAAGCATTGTGATTAAAGCGTCCTATGTGGCTTACCCTAGGCTTGATCCTGGTAAACCCCATTATCATGCTGGTCGCCAATAAGAAAACAAGGCCGGAGACTCAAAAAGACGAGATTATGAATCTGGTCCTCGTAGGAATATGCCTTGCATCTATTCATGTTTACGGTCTACCCCAAATATTATCAGATTGAAGGACAGCCATATTATACCCGGCCTAAAATGACAACCAAAGCTCGAAATCCGAGAACAGAAACCAAAAGCTCACACGAGGTATTTATCAAACACTGCCATGACGTCCCACTGAAGGCTTCCTGTCTACGCAGCATGCATGAAGTGCTCAATTCGCCCCATCCATCTGTTCCGAACTGGTGAGAGTACGATTCAGGCTCAGCCTTTGAGCGTCCTTTTCCATCTCGGAAATGCTGTCCAGTTCGTCTTCTTCGTCCCGATATCTACTATCATTCTTCTTCATGAAACGGTCCAAAGAGCGATATATTCCAGGATGGCGCCCAGAAAATTGGGTAGAAGAACCCGAGGGGCTCATTCCTTCTGGTAGTCAGCTCCTAGGAATGACCTTCACACCAGGGGAAGATTGACGCAAGGGTGCTGATGGCATAGGTCTGTCGCCGGCGGCGTTTCTCTCTTTTTTGACAGGACAGGGGCTGCCTTTCGAGGCTTGTGGTTTTGCATTCTGGATCGCAGAGAAGGGACTGGATCATAGTCGCAAGGATCAGTTATTGAAACATCATCGGCGTGAGCCTTTGTCGAATCAGTCGATACCGTGACCGTGACCGACGCTGCGCTGTTATTACCTGTACTGTTGGACCTCTTGTGACCTTGGTCGCCGACTTTGTTCTTCCTGGTCCTTTGCACCGGAGAACCTAAGCCGACCGCTTTCTGTCTATTATCTTTGTCGCCCCTCGAAAGTTTTGGTGCTGGCTGAGCGCTTTCGTCTGTAGTGGTGTAGTTGGCAATGTCATCAAGATACGTAGGAGCCTTCACCCCTCCCGCACGGTTCACTGGAGCAATGAATCGGATCATCATTTGGATTTGGTGTGCTTGCCACCTGATCCTCTCTTCTTGTTTCAATATCGTTCTATAGTAATCTTCAAGATCTTGTTGCAAAGCTTTGATCAAATTAATATCATTGCTGTTCCACCGTCGACGCTTTTGGGGTCTGGACGACGATACTCCTTGAGTATTCGGACCTGTGAAAGGGGCAAATTTGGAAAACTCGTCGCTTGAGCTACTTGGGCACCTGTTGCTGTTTCTCATTGACCGCTTGTCCTTGTCGGCCAATGGTGGAAACTTCTCTGCCCTGGCACTGTGAAGACCGATTTCCTGTTTCACGAGCTTCGTAGGACTTGATTGAACGACGGTCCCCTCTTTCAGACTCGAAGAAGCTCGGGCATGCTTGGAGGTCCGAAATGGGCTGGTGCTTCCTCCGTTGATACTTCCTCCAATACTTGGAGTTGGGCTCATGGCACCAGCTCGGAATCGTGCGGTTACAGGGTCAGAGTCGACAACAACGAAAATATTACTCTGGCCCAGTGGCTGACGAGATTGACTGCTCCGATATTTATGGGGGCTAGCTTTGGATAATTGTCGGACGTGGCTGGCATGGCCTGGAACCACCGCGCTGACAAGACTAGAGCGCCTAGAAGCCGGTACGGATGGAAACTGATCAAGATGATCCACAGATTGCCTAGCCTTGCTGTTTGAAGGCTGATCAACTGTCTCTGACGGTGCAGTGTTTTGATGATGGACACGTTTGCAGCTCACAGCGCGCTCAAATACCGGTGAATGGCTTTTTGATCTGGCAATATCCCGCATTCGTTTCTGTTTAACCCTGTCTGCGCGGGGACCAGAAATTTTGTGACAAGGAAAAGATCGGAATGAGTCCAACGAATCGCGATTGCTATAGGCTTGAACTGAGATGAATTTTGTTAAATCTCCCGATTCTCTCCCGCTGACCGTTGAAATATCGGTCTGAGAACGAGGACAGCGCAACGGACCAGGTGCTAAGTCGGAAGTTTGCCCTACTGTAGATGGCAATGAAACCGGCCGGCTTGGAAATGACAAACATTCCAGAATGTTAGTAGCAAAAGCCGAGTGAAGCGCTTGGACACCGGGATCTTGCTCGGTACCATCTCCATGCACACCTTCTTTGACAGACGAGCGAGTGTGAGTAGACTTGCTCTCTGGATTTGCCTCGGCTGGTAACATGGGCAAGGGGCGCTCGGGGGGTATGCTTGGAGGTCCATCATCCCTTGCGTCGGAGTTTGTGGACGAAGTTTTCTCCTTTTTGGGTCCAAGGCTGGATTGGGAAATGCTTTGGATTTGAGCTTCAATTTTGGCAAGGGTATCGGTGCTTCTTGCTGAACGAGGGCTCTTGGAGGAGTGACCACTAGACTCAGTGGAAGGCATGCGAAGCCGGGATAGGGCAAAGTTTGGGGTCTGAGCTTCTCTCATCCGAATGTTCTGTCGTCCATATGAAGCTGAAATTGAATGACTGTTACATCCCGACATGGTTGGCAAAGGGTTCGGTTTTGATGTCGGCATCATGGTTGCGATATTGGAGACAGCTTTACTTGAAGCTCTCGTAGGAGGCCCATGGCTTTGAGCATCTTTGGACGGAAGATCTGCAGTGACAGTGATATTCGGCACAGGCTGTTCATCATCGATCTGGTCTGGGGTCGGCAAAAATGTAAGAACCTCCTGCATCGAAATTTCCTCTCGAGGATTTCCTCTGCGGGCTTCGGTAGATTTCTTTGTAGCTGAATGCGTGGCTTGGATTGATTGTCCAACCACTGGCAGGATTGAAGCGGCAGGCAATAACCAGTTTCGATTAAAGTCCACGCTATTTAGAATCTCCCCACACTTTCGGGGGAGTTTCCTGTCTTTCTCCGGGTCATAAAGAGATGGGGCCAGCGAGCGCGATCGCTGCTCGATACCAAGGCCTCGGTCTTGGGGGTCACCACTATTGTCGTCAGAAAGCCTCAGGACCTCTGGCTGCGGCAGCAGCGAAGAATGCTCCTTCTTGGAATGAAGACCGAGATGTCTGGATTTTCTCTTGTCTATTCGCGCTTGGGGCGGCACTGCAATCCGTTCCAATGCCCGTCGACCTTTACTGTCTCGGTGTCGAACGGGGATAGCTTTTCGGCATGGATATTGTCCTCCCAGCCATTTTCTTGATGTCGTGCGAGGCTTGGTCGTGACTGTGGCCTTGGCGGTTTTCCAACACTGGGCAGAAGCTGGCTGACAGAGACCGCTTTCCTGGAGAACGGAACTGCTTTCGCTCGCATTTCGTGGACGTTCGTGATCCTCTGTATCTGGCTTTGGCGCAACAGGTTTCCTCAATTGCGCTCGCTGTTGCTCAAACGAAACCTCACGCATAGTGAGAGCCTTTTCTTCCGCGTATGCTGGAGGTGAGCTATCAACCGGCCAGGACGTCTTTGGCGGTGGCCGCGGTGGGTCTGAGCCATACATCCTTGCCCATTTCCTGGACTGCGGGAACTGAGGGATCCGCGTTCGATAACGTCGCGGAGGCACTCTTGTCTCGTCATGTTTTCGAACAATCGGAGTCGGACGAGGGTCGGGATTAGTCCGAGTTTGTGGTCGTGAGCTCTCAATGGAAATCTTGGGCAGCTTTGGAAGACTCTGGTCAACTAGACCGGCAGGGTACCCAAAACGCCGGGGATCATGAGATTGTGCCATAATCTGTGATCAAGAGCGATAAGCGCATCAGGTTATCCCAATGAGGAGGCAGATCACGCAACGCACCCTCGCTCACAATTTCGTCAAATGGGCGATGGGAACTTTTGAGCAATTGCGATCAAATATTGCGCATATACTTCAAATAAAAGGTACAAGAACAAGAAGAGTTCGCAAATAACGCGGCGAAGGCCATTCAGCTGGTCAATGCATAGGTCACGGCGGCCGTTACGGCGCGTGAAGGGGGGTATTCCTGATTTATGCTGGAGGGAACATACGCCCACGTCAAATACGAGCAAGACTGTCAAGGGAGGACTCACAATCGCCCAGATGGCTGGCTGGTTTCTGGAGGACAAGGACGACCGGGAATGTGGAAACCCATCTGGCTCCATTGACAGGATGTCAGATATTGGTGTGCATGGTGGGTTGATCCAAGCAAGGGCGCTGCTTGAGACATCGAGATGGGATTATCATGTTGGTGCATTTTTTGACAGGTCACAGATGGATTCCTGGTTCAAATCAGGTTGTTTGACAGGTCGTAGGAAGCTGTAGTCACCGATGCGACATGGCTCTGGTAATTCGATAGTAGCTGGATGTCTGGCACATTGCGGAGACGTAACTGCCGCTTCAAGGCTGGGGCGCTCTTTGGCTGAGAGTTTCCAGTATCCGAAGTTGAGCCTCAATGGGGATGGTGGGGAGATGCAAGAAGCCTTATGGCCTCTTTCTCGGTGGCCCAATGGGGAGCACGGATGCAAGGGTGAAGCCGAACTAGTAGCAAAGATGGCGTTTGGAGAGGGTGTTTGAGTTTTGGGGTGAAAGGAGATTCAGAGAAGGCAGGGAAGATATTTTGCATCTCACGGTATCCCTGATGGGTGCCAAATGATGATGCTGCTAGGGATGGAAGAGACTTCTCGGCCTGGTGACATTGACGACAACCTTCAAGTTTGCCTTTTGGCTTTGTGACCGGCCCTCGGTCTGCGCCTTGCCAGAGAATTGATTTCCTTCTGTGACCACCGTTTACAGTCGAGAGTCCTCACTATTCCTCCTCGTCTCCTTTTGCACCAACCAGACGGACGTCAACCCTTCATCGACAACGTCAATCAGGCTCGTATCCCTTGTTTCTTCGCCCGTATTCCAATCTTTTCACTCCACCCCTGCTGCGGAACCGAGGAGTCCATCATTCGCTAGGGAATCTGTCATTGTTAGCGTCAGGACTTCCCGCCCAATCACCCATGCTCCGGATATCCGGCCGAATAGGCCCGTGTCCAAAATCGTCCAGTAGGGGATACTTCTTGCGACCTGACTCGACCCTCCTTATCCCCTCAGTTGTGAGAAAGAGAGAAGCAAGTCGCCATGGCGAAGAGGGATTACCGTCTCTCTTGTTCCAACATGAAATTCACACTGATCAATACCTCGTCCATCCTCGAGTTATTCAGATCTGCATCTCTGATCCGGCTATATCGCCTTCATCCACGTGAAAGCAGGCGTCCTCGCATATGGAATGCTGATCACCGATCCCAGTTTCACGTGTCTGTACAGTGCTGAACTGCTTCAATGATAACTAATAGGGATTATTGCCGTGGATCACCCTATTCCTTTCGAAGGGAAATCCTTAAAAGGCCGCTCGAATCCAAACCCAGACCTGGGGCTTCCCAACCTCGCTTTCCTTGGAATTGAGCCAGTCGCCTCCGTGTTGGACTCTCTATTTTCGACCAGCCATGGTATACTGACCAGTGACGAACCATATACGGCGCCATCGAACCCAGTGCAGAATCAGCCCTCTTATCATTCTTAGAGCGCCTTCCTTCTGGAGGAAGACGTACTTCCCAAGAGCAACCGACGGCAACTCATCAAGTGATGCACATAAGGAAGGCGAAACAAGAACTCTAGAAGGTAAACAGAGGGACTCCGATTCGGCATGGGACGGAGGGTGGCCTCTGCTCCATGCCACCTAGCTCTAATGCTAACTTGTGACACAAAACGGTGCAGGAGCATCTTCCTTAGGAAGGATCACAGACCCAATTCGAGAAGTCTCGCTTACCCTTGATATCGCATTAAACCCTTGACATACCACCGCCGCCATCACCACCACTGGACCTTTGATTCCACTTGAAATACCTAAACCAGTCGTGGATTGGTCTTGGACTCACAGCGGCATGGACCCGTCATTCATACCACAAACAGAAAATGGACTCCAGGAGTCACAATCGGCAAAGCCCTAACAACCCCAACCGAGAATGCTTAACTCGACGAGGCTACCACACTCACGAGTCCTACGGAGAACCGGGGTCCTCGATGGTGGCCTTCATCATATGCCGAGGCCGCTTGTACTGTAGCGTTGTCTCATCTCCAAAGCACGAGGTCTCTCCTCTGTGTGGGTACGGAGAGCGCTCTCATGCTCGACAAATCTAGGCATGAGTACTGGAGGCGTGCTCGGGAATTTCAAGCCTAGACATGCAGCTTGTGGCGCTTGCTGCTCCCTTGACCTGACTACCATCAAACGTTTCACTTGAGATATACTGCTATCTATGCGTACTCCATCCTCCCAATTTATGTTATCAAACGATGTGGGCAGGTCTTTTTGATGAGAAAGACGACATGTCACACTCCATTTTAATACCTGGCGTTTCCATGCATGGATCAGACAACATACTAGTCAAACCTGAGATGATTGATATCAATCTCCCCGAGCCAACCGTCCTGCGTCTCTGTCATGCTCTCGGTTAGATCGAATTGGATGACGAAGCGACTGACCAAGCAATAATATATTCGCAGATGCACGATTCACGGAAGAGATTGCTCGACGATCCACTCCAATTTAATCCGGGATTGCCTTTGTGCACCGTAGTCATGCTCAGACACATCCAGCCCAATTGGGCAGACATGTAATAGAAACTTTGTACTCCACTTCGCCAAAAGGAGTTCTTTCTAGACGGCATCTCCTATGCAATGCATACGCCATCATCACGAGAACATCAAATAGAATTTCTAAATGTAGTTTGCGCTCTTATGCCCTCAGTTCTCTGCAGTATGTATATCCCTTATGCAAGGTGCACTGTCCAGTACATGTTCACCGCCACCTCTTCTTCTAACAGAACTGATGAATTACCCATTCATTACTCATCATGTCTTCCCTTCCCTATGCAAGTTCTCCCTCCTCTCCGTGCTCTCCAATCTTTTCACGCGTCGGATTCCCCCAGGTCCCCAAGGCCACCCCGCAGGAAATCTCTTACTTCAAGTTCTCGTCCAAGAAGTCGGTGATGACTTGATACGCACCAGTGGCGTTGTGGTGGAAGTTGAAGTTATGGGAGGAGTTGGGGTGCAGATAGGGTACGAACGGCTTTGCGTTTCGGTAATACGTGCTTGCTGGCTCGTCGAAGATACCTGGACAGTATCCGTCGCAGACGATGTAGTCTTCGATACCGCTGATGGCCTGCGTTATTGATGAATTAGTTTAGTTTTGAAGCGACAGTCATTTTAAGATTTTGATTGGCGGGGGGGGAGCGAATTCCAAAATGAACGGACGTAGTGTTTGCAAAATAAACGTCAGCAGGAAAACGTACCAGGACTGATCCCGTAAATCCGCTAGCATCCAGACTTCCGTTGTTTCCGTTCAGGATGGTCAGGAATTCCGCAATGGCAAAAGCTTCCTTGTTGGCTTCCGCGAAGTCGGCAGTTGGGATGTCGTAGAAGGGTTTCTTGAAGTATCTGTGTCACATCAATCCGTAAGTCTTTTGGTTCTTGTGGTCACGCAGCGAATCGCGCAAAAACTCACGTGTTGATCTGCGCAAATTTGTCGACCCATGTCAGGTATCCGTTGTCAAGCTCGCCGAAACGCAGACCGTCTTGTTGAGCGGCGATTCGGGGCACGAAAGAGCGGACGAGACCGTTGGCATTGACGCCGGTGAGGTTGAGGCCGATGGCTGTTAGGATTGCGGCGTCGGCAATATCCGGCTTTCCTGCGATGGCCGTGTGCGTCACGTATGAGCCAAAGGAGAAGCCCATCACGGCCAATTTGTTCGGCTTGCCGATTCCCGGAGTGTATTCGCCGGATTTCACAATTGAGGTGAGTGATTGCAGGAGTGCCACTTGGTTGCTGAGTTGGTTCTCGTAGCCCGAGACTCTGGTGAAGCTTGTTAGGTGAAGGGCCGGGCGGAGATCAAGACAGAGGAGTGCTGCAGATCAAAGGACATGGGCGCACTTACTTCTCAGAGAAACCGGTGCCGAGACGGTCATAGAAGAAGACGGAATACCCTTTGGAGATGGCGTGTTGAACAAAGTTGTAGTCTGATGGTCGATATGGAGAGTTCCTGCTCGAGACATATTAAGATGGTTATCTTGCTTTTGTGCATGGTCAATGACGCACCAATGAGATCGAGCCTGTCCGATTCCATGGGTGGCCAGGATGACGTTCTTTTCCTTGCCGTCGGGATTCTTGGGGGTGCAGAATGATGCGGCGATCTGTCTTGTGAATTTCTCTGTCTTCGTTCCTGTCACAAGCGAGCCGAGCATGGCACTGGGTCGGGTTGTGGCCACGGCCAGGAAGTCCTCGAGGGCATAGTCGTCGTCCCACTTTGGGAAGGCAAAGACGGGATTCTCGGACTCGAACGTCACCGGGATCATGAATTCAGCACAGTTCGCGGTATTGGGGTAGTATGATTGTTGAAGCGCTGAGGCATTGGCTGCCGGACAGATGCAAGAGCCTGGAACTGATTCCAGGCCACAGGCAATGGCGGCGCCCATGCCAATGGACCTGACGAAATGCATTACGCTGTTTATTGTTTAAAATTGTATTTTTCTGGAGATTCGGGAGGGGAAAGAGGGACAGCAGATACCAAGTACAAAGGATAATGAACAACGCGTCAACGAAGTCGTCTTGATATTGAACGAATTTTCCCTCTTATATGCCGTCCCTTCTGGCGACTCAAACGGGACGGTGTCAACTCATCGGTTTCATCAAGGCCATTGGTGCTCGAATAGGTGATCTCGGACATTGCTGCCATACCTCGCGAGTCTGCTCAATCTCGCGGGTTCAGACCGTTCCAAGGTCTAGTACGTATGTTCAAGGTGCCGGGGTGGGAATTTGATTTCACGCAGGGCTGTGGGTTCAGGAGATGTGCGATGAAGTGCAGTCATAACCCGGCCTGGTTAGGTTCGGTTCCGCTATTAGGCATCGCGCGAGTCAAGTACCAGGTCTATACCGAACGAGGATGAGGCTCCAACACGCTCTTTGAACGAGACGCTCCCTCGTATTCACAATCTGCAATATTGTGGGGAACCTGTACGATCAAAATTGTCATTGTCTATTGCTCAACAAAGATCCTGGAAAGTCTGATGAACGAATGCTCGGTCGCTACTTGAACACTATAAAAGTAGTGCCGTTGCAAGCTCCCCTCGGTTAAGTCACAGCGACAAAGTTTGGGGGCCGTGAGCGCGAGGAAACCGTTCAATCGGGTCGTGGATATGACCTGGCCCTGAGCCTTGCGGGATGCTTGACGGTCTCGGAAAATTTGATTAAGCGCAGCATTGACTTATCCCGGCGACATGGGATGAAAGTGGAAAGTGGATGCAGACGAAGCTGGGCAGTGGGATATTTGAGAAAAAAAAATAACAACTCAGCCTCACGGCCGCCAAGGCCTGCGCCATTCCCAAAACGGAAGCATTCGACGACCTTGTCTCTGTTGCTGACCTCTCACGCCCCTTTGTCACTCAGCCGTCCAGGATCCCCTTCTTGCCAATTCCCATGCTGGCCCCCATCCCTGGAAAACCACTTTGACTGGCAACGAGACTTCTCTGAAACAGCCACAACGGCTGGAGCTCGAGCGTGATCGGCGCTCCCGCGTGGTCGGGCTTGGGCGGGTGAGAGCCTCCCCACCGCACGGGGCTGGCCACCGGCCTTGGACCGTCGATTGGAATTTGCAAAACCGATGGGATGCCAAGAGATCCCTGGGCCGTTGAGGCTGGTGAACAGCTGCAGATACTGGCACGGGGGAAAGTAGAGCTATTGCTTAAAGTGTCTCTGCGGCTGATCACCCACGCATGCGCCAAAGCAAATACTGGCCAAAAAGGTACGCGCAGGAGGGAGCACCATGACAAAAACCCGCAAACAGCCAAGGGGTGAGTTACACATTGCCTTGAGTATAAATCTATACTCATCCCTTTTGGGGTAGGAATGGACGCGATGGAGGCGTAAGTCGCTTTTCTGTTTCAATTGCAATCAAAGTCAGGGTCGGGTTCAACATGGTTGGAGTTCCCGGACGCAGTAAAGGTTGCCATACCTGCTTGAAGAGGAGAGTCAAGTGTGGTAAGTAGTCAAGCCTTCCCTCTTGTGCACCGGGCAGGGGGGTTTCAATGCGCCAATGACTCACATCCGTGGCGTCCCAGATGAATCTAGGCCAACCTGTAAGCGGTGCGAAAAGGCCGGCTATACCTGCGGAGGCTACGAAAAGAAGCTCGAGTTGCGTTTCCATACCTTTGCCGCACAATCAGATCCCAATGCTCCAGCACCCACAAAGACCAGCAAAACTCCCCCTCCTGCCGCAAAACCCGGAGTCCCGAGCAGGTTGGTGCTTCGCTCCAATGACAACCAGCAAGACACCGTTCCCCCGGATATGAGCTTGGTGGCATTCAAGGACAACATCCAATTCTCCTACCTCTTTGACAATTTCGTGTGGAGCAGCTATGGCACTCCCTGGCTCCAAATGTCCGCCGAAGGCAAGATTGATGCTTTATCTTTAGAGGCATGTCGAGCATTTTCTCTCAGCATTTTCGGAAAGCACCACCATCAACCCGATATAGAAGTAAGCGGAGCCGTCCACTATGACAAGACGGTTCGAGCACTCTCGTCTCGCCTATCCAATGTGGGGGCGCCGGGTAGTGAAGCCCTGATCGTGCCTATCATGATCCTTCTGATGCACTCCGTATGTCATCCGTCTTGTTTGTTCGATGGCCCCACACCAAAACCAAAACCAAGAAAAAGGCCGAGCTTACCAGGAAGCAGTCTACGACGCCCGACCCTCAAGCTTCGGCTTTTCACATCCAAGGATTGCTGAAGTTGATCCAAATCTGCGGCCCTCAGAGGTTTGCCGTTGATCCATTGAGATTGGCTTTTGAATCATGCAGGGCGACACTGGTATGAAATCCATCTTCCCTGCCACCTCCGCACCTGATTGGCTTAGGGTGTCTCGTGTCGCCGCTGACGTTCCTGCAGATCACCGTGTCCCTCATCACCAAGACCAGGTCTTTTTTGGAGCAACCAGCCTGGCTAACCGAACCCTGGTCTGCGAGGAGTGATTTCCATAAAAACGCACAAAATCAGCTTGTCGATATCCTCGTCTACATTCCTGGCTTCCTCCAAGATCAATCCCAACTGGAGCAATCACCCTCGGATCAGTTCAAGCAAAGCCTCATCCAGCGCATCGAGTATCAGATCGCCAAGGCCTACAACTGGCGATGGAGCTGGGAGGAACTCAACCCCAATGTCGCGTGGGAGGTGGATCCGGAAATGCTTCCTTCAGACCAGTTCCCTCTAAGTCCATCTCGCGTCGTCCGAAAGGTTCTCATGTTTTCCTCGTTTTCCAAAGCCGCAGAAATCGCCCTATACAACGCCACCTTATTATGCCTGTTGGGCTTGCTCTGGACAATGAAATCTCCCGAGGAAGACTCGCCGTCGCCGATCACCCTGTCGCAGACGCCACTTTTCTTGCCCGGAGAATTGCGCTCTTTGACCGAACCGGCCATTGAAATTTCTCGCGCCTTTGAATTCCAGCTCGCCAACGTCAAACGTAGTCGCGATTCGGCGCTCTTCTGGCTCTTTCCGCTCGGTCTGGCGAGTAGAGTCCTCGAGGACAATCCAGATTACATCACATGGATCAAGAGCATGCTCGACTCGTCGCAGGTGACAAGAGGATACGGTACCGGCGGCAACACGTATGGCTTTGGATTTTATAAGTTCCCCAAGATCATGAGGAAGAAGACCAATGTTCGACCCATGATTCAGGCGCAATATGGTTCAGATTCAATCCGGCAGCATTCGGAAGGTTCGTCTGATGATGAGTAATTGGGTTCTTTGTCAAGGGCAAAGTTGGCAACCGAGCAGCCGGTGAATAGGCGTTTAGTTATACCCACTTAGAGCCGCGGAGTGTTTACGTCGGCGTTTTTATTTTTCCTTCCTGTTCATATTAGGAGAGATATTTTTCGTCATGTCAATGAATCATAGCAAGGGAGTTTGAGCGGGCTCAACTCATTTGTTTTCCTAATCGGGTAGTCGCAACAATGGCCAGATTTTTCAAATTCGCGGTTGCAAAAAGGGAAAGGGAGCAACAGTGAGATGGTCAAGAGAAGACGGCAAGGTGTACAATCATTTGGCATTCTGGAATCCCACCTCGATGAAAGAATCGTTGTACCAGTAAGGTAAGGCAAAAAAGCATTTCATGCATCAATAAACCATAGGACCAGTTTGACAACCATTCTCCCCCCCCCCAAAAAGCACCAATTTCCCATTCGATATCCTCATATCATTACGCAGCACCGGCAGCGTAAACTCGCTCGGGTTCCTGGTTATTCGCAGTCATCATGTTTCGGATGCCCTGAGTCAGGTCAACACCAACGCGCTCCTTGGCCAACAAATCCACCAGCAAGGGACTTGGCTTGCTGTCCCGATGAGGTTGGAAAGCCGATTGACTCTGTCTATACTTCTGAACATTATCCAGGTACATGTCGAACAAATAGGAAGAATCGAGAGGGCCTCCCTTGGCCTCAGGATGGAACTGCGTAGAGAAGATGGGTCGAGATTCATGGATCAGACCTGCAATATGTTGGTACGCACTTGTAACTTGACAAATAAGGAACCGAGAATGATTACTGACCTTCGTTGGAGTTATCATTTAAGTTGACGAAATACGGCTTCCAATCCTTGGGCAAGGTTGAAGCGTCAACGGCATAGCCGTGGTTCTGGCTAGTGATATGGCACTTTCCGGTGGTGAGGTCGAGAGCTGGAATGTTGTGTGCTCGGTTGCCATACTTGAGCTTGACCGTTCTGGCTCCAGCCGCGAGGGCCAACAGCTGATGGCCAAGACAGATACCAAAGATGGGGATTTGAGAAGTCTCCATCAACTTGCGGAGATGGTAGACAGAGTCCTGGCAGTGGGTTGGGTCACCGGGACCGTTGGAAATGAAGACTCCGTCAAAGTGGTGAGCGACCTTGTGGATTGGATAGTCAAATGGGAAGCAAGTGATGCTAGCACCTCGACTGACAAGGCTGCGAAGGATGTTTTCCTTGACGCCGCAGTCTATGACAGCAACATGGGCGCTTGGGGAGGCAGCACTGACATGGAATGGTGCCTTGGTGCTGACCTTTCGCACAAGATTGATTTGCTCGGGATCAACGAATGCCTCGTCCTCGTCTTGGTCATACTCCTCTCCAATGGTGATTCGGGCCAGACTGGAACCTCGTTCTCGCAAATAGGTGACAATGGCTCGAGTGTCAACACCGGTGATGGCGGGAACACCTTCTCTGGCACACCATTCGCTCAAGCTTTCTACCGCAGTCCAATGGGAGTATTTCTCGGCAACATCGGCGACAACCACTCCCACAGCCTGAATATTGGGACTCTCAAAATATTTCAAAAGGCCATGCTCATCTCGAACATTCGAGGGGACCCCATAGTTTCCAATGAGGGGTTGAGTGAAAACCAAGATTTGGCCACGGTATGAGGGGTCTGTGAGTGACTCAGGATATCCAACCAGTGAAGTTGTGAAAACGGCCTCGCCAGAAATGTTGCTTCGAGCACCGAAAGACGTTCCATGAAAAATTGGACCGTTTCGAATGGTTAACGTAGCTCTTTCGAGGGGGGGAGTGGTGGGTCGGTACTGCTTGTGTAGCCGGAGCTGTTGCTGTCGTGGTGTATTGTTTGACACCGTGGCGAGGGAACGGACTCGCACAGAGGCACTCGAAAAGGCGCTGGCCGCCTTGGGCACGAGAGTTGTCGGTCTCAAAGCTCGTGAAAACATCTTGAAGTGTTACGGCTGTCCTGTGTTTCCAGACCGCTAGTTTGCTTGAGCCTTCCACAAATGATCTGCCATTGTCATTAGAAATGTGAAGAGATCGAATAGGGAGAGTCAATAGGTACCACTGATATAATCCTATCGAACCATGAGTTAGCAAAGCCTAGAAAATCGCCCTGATGAAGCGTTCTTTGGGGTCACAATGGGAGGAGCTGCGTATCAATCGGCATGCTGGAGGAAGGTGGATTTTTACCTGAGAGGTGAAGATGCTTGGGAAGCACATGAACGCGATAGCCGCTCTTCAGGAAACCGGAGTCGCAATGAATATAAACCTCAGCAGGCTCGTTGAGGGCGTTGAGGGTGTTGAGGGACTGGTTGACAGGTCTTTGGCACAAAAATTCTTTTTCTCTGCAGGACCTGATGTGGAGATGAAGCAGTTGAGGATTGGTGGGAGAAACAAGTCGGCGCAGGTGAGCGGCGGAGGACTTGGCTGAGGAGGCCAATGGCTGCCACCGCAAAACCCATGCAAAATTCTGTTACCCGTGACGAAAAACTGATGCGCTGAGAACAAATTTTCACCACCCACGTGAGGAAGAGACAAATTTTCCGCAATGGCGAGCCAAGTATTGAAATTCTACATATTCCAGTACCGCGTCAGACCCTTTAGTTTAGGTTTGTAGTTGCAAAGAGCACCTGGGGTAAAATGGTCTACTGAATCTGTCTGAGCCGCCCAACGAAGATACAACACTGCGTGAACAGCAGAAACCATATCGCGTGTAGCTGCATGATATAATGCTACGGGGAGGTATCGCACTTCATCCACGTTGTCCTTTGAACCCGGACTCTGCCACCAGAAGTAGACTATGTCAGAATAATCTCGTCTGGCGGTTACCAAAATATTTTGATTTTCGGTGGACAGTGGAGGGATCTTGATAGACTGTGGTCTAGAGAAGGAATGTGTTGTGGTTCTTCTATCTAAGAGAGCAAGACAAAAAGGGCGCAAGTTGCCAAGCCAAACAGCCTCACGTGACGTTGCCAAGGCAACGCATCACGTGACTGGCCAACAGATCTCACATCCTATTGTGGACTGGGCAATTCATTTTGTCAGATATCGGCAATTTCTTCCCCCCCCTCTCTTTTGTTTTTTCCTTAGTAGAAAATTGAGTTAGGTAGACTGAAATGAAATGGACCTTTCAATTGGTATATCGGCGCAAGGGCGATTTCAAAAAGAAACATGCACATATCTGTCGTCAAGACTGAAATGGCACAGTGACCGTTCATGGAAGGTGCTATGAGAGGAGAATGGTGCAAAATTCATTTGCGTTCAGCGGGGATTGACGAGCATCCATCCGGACCTGATTCAAAGAACCATCAGCCCGGGTACCTTTGAGGAGGAAGCAACTTCAAAAAGGGGAGATTGTGGATTTCTGCCAAGGATTCTGTCTCACGCTAAGCTACATTCGTTTACGGAATATATATAAGTAAAGCGGCCACCCCCAGCAGATAGTTTTAGTTAGTTCATACATTCTCTTCCCGCCGCTACAACCACAAGATATCAGATCCACGTGACATTTCACAATACTCCTGATTGGGACTAGCCTGGATCAAAACTTGATGGCAGTCCGTGGAGGAACCTTCTCAGCCATAGCCTCGTTGAAGGCCGTCAGTGGCAATTCTCAAAGTCCAACAACAACTACAAACATTTTGCAAACTAATAACACAGACCGCAAAGCGAACTGCTATCCCTGGGGGGAATCTCAAAGCACCAGAACATTCGCACATGGCTGTGCATTGCTCCGTATGATGACTCAAACTGAACATGGGCAGTGAACCATCTGGAACACTCTGGATCCTCCGCAATAAGACTTAATTTCTTCAGTTCCTCAGCTCCAAGTCGAGACACATCTTCCAACATGTCTGAGGACGCTCCCAAACCTCTGAAAGAGTTGCCCTTCCCGCCTTTGACGGCGTCACATATCCTCAATTGCTCTTTCCATTCGTGGCAACCACGTTTCCGATCTCTCACGCCCAAGGCTAGACTGGTCCTTCTCTCGCAACCGTTCTTAGAGTATCTCCGTGCTGACGGAATTGTCTTGCCTCCCGAAAACAGCCCCAACGACGAAGACAGTGGCTTCGAGGATGAGGAGGAAGAAGACCCCTCTGAGCCTTGGACTGATGTCCATGAACGAATCCGCTCGACCATTAATGAACTCGGCGGCAAAGTCATTCCCAAGTTGAATTGGTCTGCTCCGAAAGATGCTACTTGGATTGCAACAACAAACGATATGGAATGCCGAACACCCAACGACATCTACCTTCTTCTAAAGTCGAGCGATTTCATAACCCACGATCTCGAACATACATTCGACGGTTGTGTTGATCAAGCGGAAGTTCCTTACCACCTGGCACTTCGAAAATCATTCAATTTCAACCCATCCTTGGAATTCCGTTGCTTTGTGCGGAACAGGAAACTCATCGCAATCAGCCAACGGGAGATGAACTATTTCGAATTTCTGTTTGAGCTGAGAAAATCATTCAAAGCAAAAATTCAAGATTTTTTGAAGCTTCTGTCTTCTTTCCCCGACGACAACTTTGTCTTCGATGTTTACATCCCTCCTCCGCATGAGCGAGTTTGGCTGATAGACATCAACCCGTGGGCTCCAAGAACAGACCCCTTATTGTTCTCTTGGCTCGAATTGTTGCAGATCCCAGAGCCAGAAGAGGACACCATTGTCGACCCTGAGTTCCGATTGGTGCAACGTGATGACCCCGAAGCATATCAGTTTGCGGCGACGAAGTACAGTGCCCATAAACTACCTAAGGAGGTTGTCGATGCGAGTATGGCGCCCGGCGACATGAAGAACATGATGGAAGAATGGAGAAAGGTGATAGACAAACAAATTGAAGAAGATTCAGATGATGGAGACCCATGAAGCTGAATTCGCAAACAACGAGTGGTCAACTCGGTGGACTTGGCAGTCTGTCTAGGACCGAGTTCCTGAGCAACGGACATGATACTTCCCACCACCAGGCGTCTGGCAAACCGGCTTCCATGGAATAGGACCGTTGTATTTGGGCGTTGGTACACGTCTGTCATAGCGATGATGCAAGAATCCGATGTTCTCCACCATCTTGGAAGGCGACTTTCTTCAAATCAGCAATTGGAGAATCTCCGCGGAACGATTCGAGAAGACAAAGAACTTATATTGCTAGCGTCCTGACTATGTAATGATCCGAACGGAATGTACAAAAGTTATACCCGCCGATTCGACATCACGTCCAACAGTGAACACGGTATACGCAATGTCGCCCGCAAGCCACGACCAATCCGAAGGAAGTTGGAACGATAATGGCCAGTCGGCTATCCACACCGACGCTGCTCCGAGCCTCAACTTCCTGTCGGAATTGTTATTGGACTGCAGCTAGCCTTGCTCAACCCCAGAATCCCCTGTCGTCCTCTGAATCGACGCTAAATGAAGAGCTTCGCTCACTCGCAGGCAAGAGTAGGACACGGGATATCTCCGTGATGCAGCCTGGGTACGTGCATCCGAAGTGGGAGACAGCGCTGGTAGCCGTGTGATATTGCACTTACCACCTCGATAACACCACTACGACGAGATCTCTAGCATTGACAAGGGTCTTTATACATTGGTCCAGACTAGGATTTAATGTGCTGAGGCAAGACGATATCTCAGCCCCTCAATACATAGAAAACTGGTAGCAAAAGAAGGGGGTTGCCGCAGAGACTTCACGTCAGTAGCACTAGCTTCTAAATTTGGAATTATACAGTACAGGGGCATTTCCTATCTAGTAACTTATTTGTAACTTCTCTCTTCTCCTTTGACTAGTTGGCTTCTAACATGCTGATTCTCGAAGCAAACATGACTCAAGGCATTGATACGTGAGGGTCCGAAGCTTTCGGCCTCGTCTCGAGTGGGTTGCCTCCAGATTTCTATCGCTGAACAATCACTGACGCTATAAACGAGAAGCATCCCTGCCTCCAGCACTCACGCTGTCCAATTACGTCCAGGCTAAGCGCCTGGGGCGCAATTGGAGAGCGTGGGCTTCGACGACCAACGAATCACATTCTTCATAGTTTCCTCAGATGGTCAGTCACCACCTAGTCCGGTTCAAGCAGAGGGAGAAATGACAGGCGCATCATTTTGGGCAGCTGTCCTCTGAAAAGCTTGGAATACTGACCGGGATACCGCAAATAGCCTCCACCGAAGCAACCCAAGAAAAAGGCAACCATTATCTGCTGGAGTTGCGTAAGGCATCCGTGGCTCCTGTCGTTGTGGGCGGCCGACAAAGCTAATTGCAAACACAGGACCAGTGCGGTCGGTTCCCAATCGCGATGAAAATCCAGACATGCCCGGAATGCAACCATGATAGGTGTCCAAGGTGCAAGGTGGAACGCGTTGTCAAATAAGAGAAGGCGTACAGGAATATATAGGTCGACTTAGGAAAGCAAGGCGTCGGCTCGTTTCATGATGGTCCTTCAGCTCCAATTGCCTTAGCTGTACCACTAGTGTCATTGGCACCATAGGCATTTTACCACGAGGCACGGGCGACGTTGTTGTGCGATTGGGCTACAGTGTATAACAATGAGGGAACATATTTCAGGCTCCCGGACACTCCCAAAGCCAGCCACGACCTTCCAACGCCTACTTCATGGATACCTGGACTGATATCCGAATTCAGCCTCAACTCCCCAGACCGCATTTGTATCTTCCCTAATATGATTTTGTCTTTCAGCATCTCTCCCTTGCCAGAATTTTTTTCCAGGTTCCTGTTAACAGGTTTTCCCCCTCCATAACGGTTCGAGCACCGGCCGACATCACAATGGATAAAGGGAAAGCCAAAACAGACGGAGGAGGCTCGGAATACGCCCGAGCAACAGGATCCTCCCTCCGCCCATGTCCCACCGACTGGCACTCGAGGTTTGCAATGCGACAAGCTCCCTCCAGTACTGAAAACAAGCCATACATCGAATCCCGAGCGGCGACCAAGGTAGAAGAGGATAAGGAGGCTAGAATCGAGCCAGAGGAAGACGACGATCTCGTTCGTGACTTTATGCGAGGCTCTAATGAGATCGATATCTGTCTACCTTCGGCGGATTTGGTCGAAGCGTTCTGCGATGGAGCGAACCTACAAACGCTGCGAAAACAGAAGGGCCTCGGTCTTGTGGCTCTGTTGATCGAAAGATGTATTCAAAAGGGAATCGAATGCCCCAGGGAGCCTCTGGCCCCGTTGACGGCGGTAGACCTTCTCGGAGAGCTGCGGAAACCCGTAAGTCTGTCAAACTGAGCCTGAGTTGATCTGACCAACCTAGCGCATTCGGTCGACTCCTGGATCGGCCCGACCAGGAGCTGCGGCTGCCCGCTGTCTCTCTGCCAATAACAGTGCCAGTTCTCCCTCCATCACCGTTACCTGCCCAGAGGCCGATGGGGCATGTGGGGTAACCGGCTCACCAGCCACAGCGCCGTCATCAGCCACACATCCAGCTCCCTCTCCTGGGCCGACGAATACCACAAGTAGACCTTCAGCATCACGACCATTATCGCCATTGTCGGCGTCATCATCACATGGCACATCCTCATCAGATGACAGTGACTATAGGAAAATTGATGCCGAGCAGCGTCTTGTGTATACACACCCCAATTCCGCCAAATCATATGCTGGCCTTCGACATTGACAGATTTCTAGGTACATAACGGACTTGGATCGATGGACCATCGTCGCATTGATCAGGACAGCCTCGTATTACCAAGCGTTTCCCCTCCGTGATGCACTGTACAAGCACTTGTCCTTTGAGCCCTCCATTGGCATGAGAATTACGGTAAGTATTTGGCAATACTCAACGCATTGACGCAAGCCATGACCTAATCCACGGTCAATATAGTCCGAAGGACTGCAGACTTATCAAATAGCTTTCCACCTACCATACTATGTGTGGAGAAGCTCGCCAATTCCTAACAAAGATCACCGTTGCATAGGCACAGAACCACTCAGGGAGACAAGAAACGTCTCATTCCTGAATGACGCCCTTCCGGGATGCCTTCCAAATTCTCCGCCTTTTGATTTCCTCTATGAGGCCCAGATGTCATGCGTAATCGCTGGATTCGACAAGTGGAGTTGGGATGGTTATTTTTTCTGCGACGCGTACTTTGACGATGGGGATCCAGACAAAGAATCCGTGGGACTCTATTACCTAGATAATCAAGGCGACGAGCTGGTACTCGTGGATCCCTTTGCCCGCGGCGAATTGTCGACAGACAGACCGTTGGAGAACCCCATCAACTATTTCCTAACGGTGTTCCGAGTCCGGCTGTGCCAGATTCAAAATGAGTGGCAGCGTGTGGTTAACAACCTGCTACGAAGAATTCGCATCTTTATCCGGGTATGTATCTTTTCGTCTTGGACTAGGTCACGAGATTTCAGTCCCTTCCTTTGATCGACCGAAAGCCGGTTTTCGCCACATGGATGAAACGGTGGTGCAGACTCTGTGCCTTTAATAGGACGTGACGGCGCGATTCGTCCCTCGTTTAGTACTCTCACCTACTGACAGTGTCAATAGAACGAATACCGTACTTTGTCCAAAGCGAGGGAGTGCTCTTCTTCCAAAGAAGCAGACAACCACGCCCAAAATATCCAGTCCTGTCTCTCCTGGATCGCCGAATTCATGGATCTTCAAATCAGGCTTTCAGAATGCCTATCTAAGACAGTCGATGCAGGCGAAAAGTTTTGGTTGAACGACACTGACCACCTTGAGGCGCTTTTCGAGCCCGATCAAGGTCGTCTGTCGGTTTCTGAAATAAAAGAAACTTTCGGAGAGTTACAGTTGTTGTTGCAGACACTCAACTCCATGGCAACGCGCTGCGACAATCTTCGGCGAAGTGTGAGTATCTTCCATTCAAGAACCTTCTTCGGTCGCCTCGGTCGATGTTGTACTGTTGTCATTGCTGACGGATTCATATCTCACAGCTCGAGGCTCAACTGCACGTCCATGTGAATGCGGAGCATCGTCAGCGCCAGTGGGAGAGGGACAATAAAGGACTGTTGGGATTTATTACGGTGAGCTTAAAGCCCCCTGACCAAGAGACCCCAAATACAACCGAATGCTCATTCTACCGAACCTCACAGCTGCATGTGCTCCTGGCGACTTTTTATGTGGTCATTTTGCCTCTGAACAGGGAGATCATTCCTTCGATATCTCTAGCTTTTGGACCTTTTGTGAGAACGAGTTTTGCAATCAGCTTTTTAGGAATGGTACTTTATCTTTTGTGTTCTCCTGCTTTTTCTCCTCGACGAATCATGTTGAACTCAGAACGTGGAAGTCAATGGAACGAGAAGGTAACAGGAGGAGGTATCAATCTCCCACGCTTCGATAAAGAATCGCAACCAGGATTCGGTAGGATGTACGTATAACGAAGATTTGATGCATTAGCTTTTTTGGAAAGGGAGAAGGGAGGGAATATGAACCCCATATCATATGAGTGGTTGATCTTTTTCCTCAACTCGTATTTCAATGTCCATTACCACGACAACGCCTTTCCTGCGCTCGTATTTTAGGTTTCAGCATGGCCGGACACCTTTCCCCGGCTCGTTTAGTGCAAGATGATTTGCACTTATTCCTGTGACGGTCGGAGAACATCTTCAAAGCCGATGTCTCCATCGCAATCAAGCCCATCGCCACGTGAAAGCTGCAAGAAGGTAGAATATATATTGTTTGATAGTTGCTCCACGAAGGCATGCTTGGAAGGCCAAAGACTTCTCTGGCTCTCTCGGCGACCTATATTCAATAGGTCACGACGGCACCCTGGCACATAAAACTTCAGCAATTTTTAGATTAACCAAACACTCGCCATACTGATACAAAAGACAGCGCCAAAATATGTCTGCGTCAGCCAACAACGCCGCTGCATGGCTCAAGGCCCAGCAAGCCCCGGTAATGGTTGTGGATGACGCACATTACACCAACGCCGGGATAGATGAGGTCGTCATCAAAACCACGGCGATGGCACTAAATCCGGCCGACGTGGTCATTCAGAAATTAGGCATCCTCCTGGAAACTATCCCGCGATTTTAGGCTGTGATGTTGCTGGCGAGGTCGTAGAAGTCGGTCCCGTGTCCACATCTTTTGAAAAGCGGCAATTCAAGATCGGGGACAGAGTGTTTGGCTCTTCGAACCCTCTCGACACTAAAAACGGCGTTTACCGTTGTTCTGGATTCCAGAAGTACGTGGTGTTGAAGATGCCGTCCATTGCGAAAATACCGGCGGAGACGAAATATGAAGACGCGGTGGTTCTGTCATTGGGAGTCAACACTGCGGCGAGCTGTCTGTTTGCGAGTGAAACTTTGGGCCTGAGCATGCCGGACGAGCATGGAGGAAAGCCAGGGAACGGGAAGACGCTTCTTGTATGGGGGGGGAGTAGCAGCGTGGGCTCTTGCGGCGTCCAACTTGCGACACAAGCTGGATACGAGGTTATGGCTGTGGCTAGTAAGAAGAATCATAATATGGTCCGAAATCTCGGGGCCAGTGAGTGCTTTGACCAGAACGATCCGAGCGTGGTGGACGACATGGTGAAAGCTCTGGATGGCAAAGACGTGATCGGTGCCTATGATGCCATCTCAACCGATGCGACGCTGCCTGTCCTCTGTGAGGTCCTTTCCCGAAGCAGAGGGAGGAAATTGATCGTGTCGGTGATGCCGGGTGCGGAAACAAAGGGAACGAGAGGAGTAGAGGTAAAGACCAATTTTGGCACAACAACCAAGAAGGACGAGGTCGGAAAGACCATTTGGATGTGGCTTGAGAAAGCGTTGAAGGAAGGCCGTTTCAAGTGTATGCCACAAGCGGAGGTCGTGGGAAAGGGGCTGGAAGATGTACAGAAGGCCATTGATATTTTGGCACAGGGTGTCAGTGCGAAGAAGTTGGTGATTGTGATGTGAATGGGGTCGATGTGATGGATGTATGGGTTGGTGGATTGCATAGGACCCGTCATGGTTGGCTTAGCATCGGGCAGCCTCGTCCTTCTCCCCGGACAAGCCCAATGTTGAACCTGTTGTGAGCGCTCGGCAACAACAACACCATTGACAGGTTGCAACACAGACTGCAGCGCTGACGGACACTATTTAGGTAGGTATATAGAGGGGCGTTCTCCTGCATTCGTTTGGAGAGCCAGAGTGCATTCTTTCCATTCAAGTTGCATAAGCAGTTTGACACCCAGTTTGGGGATGAACAGATTTTCTGAGCAAGAAAGCAGAGAGAGCCGGTATTGGCTACTTTGTGGACTCCTCCAAAACAATGGTCTGAGCCGTGACTAGTCAGTCCTGGCTGAGAACTATTATTATTGACCGATAGTAGGCACAGCGTCAGCTTCCGCCAAATCTTGCTCTGGTATCCAAACTGTAACGTGGCCTTCGCGGCTTGGACCTTGAGTATTGGTTAACAGGTGACTCGACAACGCACGGGAGATAACGGAGTCAAAGGAACCATGTCAGCCATCAAACTGGGTCGACCGAACGTGGATCGCCACAGACCATTTGTCCCAGGCAGATCATGGAGACTTTGGAAGTTTCCGTTTGGCATACTCAAAGGAGGTATTGAGGAAAACTGGACTCAGCAAGCGGCGCAATCGAGTTGGCAGTATACCCACGGTAACAAAATAGATGGGCCAACATAGTGGTTGGATTCGCCATGCCTCTCCTAGATGAGTGGCGGTTGCTGTGTGTGAACTCCCCCCTTCGGCATGGGGTTGATGCCCAACCCCCACCTACAAGAGTCATGAGATGATTTGTCAAATGGCCTTGGTGAACTGTTACCGGGATATACGAAGGAAAGAATCGTCAATATTCATCAACGTTTTCCCCTTCGCCTCACTTGAATTTGTTAACCGTGCATTTCATTTCAGGGCCCATTACTGCTGCCAGGATGTCGACCCGGACTGCCAACGGTCTCCAGGGCCTTCTAGGGGGACTAGGGATAGAGAGACCGACCCCGTCTCTCAAAGTGGCAGATATTCAAAACAATCCTATGGACCTTTTTGCTTCATATCTTGCTGATGACCTCAGTCAACTCACTAAGTGTTCATCGGAAGAAGCCTACGGTTCGATACATTGGCCAAACGAGCTCGGAGACCTCGTGGTAGCCGTGGCAAAGCTACAACTTCATGACATTCCCCCAGGTGATCTTGCGACTGACCTTAGAGAAAGAGTGAGTGAGCCATTGCCCTGATTCCGCTGCGGACTCAACAGCACAATCCATCTGACGCTTTTACGATCGGAAAACTAGTTCCCAGCCTCGCCCCTTTTTGCCCATCCATTCGAAGATGGAAATCAGCTTCGAGTGTTTTTCAACCCAACTACTCTTGCGCGAGTCCTTTTGCCCTACATTATTGACCGTGGGCAATTATATGGTACGGACCGGTCAGATGAGCATCGAGAGCTTGATTCTCCGGAGGGCAAGCGCAAGAAAATCATTGTTGACTTTTCGTCACCCAACATGGGAAACGAATTCAACGGCATGCATCTGAGAAGCACTCTGATTGGTGCATATATCGTCGCCATCCATGAAGCACTGGGATGGGATGTATACAAAATGAATTATATCGGAGATTGGGGCAAGCATATCGGGCTCCTCGCTGTGGGCTGGGCGAGATTTGGCTCGGAAGAACTCTTCGAGACTGACCCGCTGAGACATCTCCTGGACGTTTATGTTGAAATTGAAAAGGAATTCAAAGCGGAAGTGGAAGCGGCTAAGAAATCCCGAGCTGAGAATCCAGACAATCCGGTGCATGAACCAATCGCGGCCGAGAGAGACGAATTCTTCAAAAAAATGGAAGATAGAGACCCGAATGCACTTGCTCTGTGGCAACGATTTCACGACGTCTCTGTCGAAAAATACACCGACGTCTATGCGCGGCTGAATATCCAATTTGACGATTCCGGGGGCGAATCGCAAGTTAGCCCGGATACGATTGCCGAGGTGGAAGCAATTCTGACCCAAAAAGGGGTGTATGAGGAGAGCAAAGGAGCTCGGATTATTGATTTCAAGAAGCATGGAGCAGAGGGCCTTCGGACCGGTGTGTTGCGTTTTTCTAATGGCACTACAAGTTATCTACTCCGAGATATCGCGGCCGTCCTGGATCGAAGTACAAAACACAACTTTGACAAGATGTACTACGTGGTTTCGATGAATCAAACTCCACATTTCTTACAACTTTTCAAAGCTCTTGAATTGATGGGTCGCTCTGACCTGACAGAGCGACTTAAACATGTCAGCTTTGGCAAGGCTGAAGGATTATCGAAACCACCCAACAGCAACGGACTCCTGCTGAGAGATATCCTCGATCAATGCCGAGATAGCATGCAACACCTTTTGAAGGAGCATCAAGACGAATTGATTGAATTCCAGGGCGACAACTCGTCCAAGATTTCGGACTTCCTCGGTGGGTGTGCCCTTATGACCCAGGATCTTTCCATCAGACGAGCGGCTGCGTTTACTTTCGACACCGAAAAAATGGGGGCGATGTACGGGCACACCGGATTGAGTCTACAGAAGTGGTATCTAAGACTTCGCTCGAAGCTCCTGGGTGTGATGATAGATCGAGATGAACTGGCGAAGCTGGACTATTCCTTGTTCGAAGAAGAAGTCTTTGCTGATGTCCTTCGCCTTCTCGTCCAGTTTCCGGGGATAGTCAAGGTGTCATTCAATCATATCGAGTCTTCGATCATCCTGACGTATCTGTTCAAGCTTTGCGACTCCCTGTTTGCCGTCTGGGAACGAGAGGAAGAAGAAGAGTCCGGGGGATCACAGCAGGTCTTGACCAAGTTCGCGTTCTACGAATGTGTATGTCAGGTGCTGGAGAATGGGATGAAAATGGTGGGCTTGGTGCCGATGAAAATGTACGGATGATTATCTCTCCTGAATGCTGATTTTCTCATGTACTAACAAAGACTCTCATAGTGAGTAGTTATGCGATGATTGAACGGAGTGACTGGTTGATTCTTCTTGTTTCAATTCATTTAATCACATCCAAGAGATAGAGCAATCAGTGTAGCCACCAAAGACGAGGGTCGTGCCGGAATTGGGTTTTGGATTTTGCAAGAAATTGCTTGGAAGAATGCTTTGCTTGTGTAACTCCTGATATGATCTACGGCCGATGTACCACAAGCTTCTACTTGCTTCTCAATACGCTTGGAAGCAATTTCCTGCTAGATGGTCTGTTGGTGGTTTGGGGGGGGGGGGGGGAAGACGTGTCTGATCATCCTGTAATACTTACTTCAAGAGCAGAGGATTCCTTTGGCTCTCTGATCGGTCCGGATTCTGAATACGATGCAGCCAAATAGATGCCTTCCAGTATGTCTTCTGCCAAGTGAGAGACTTCATCGGATGACGACGCAGCTCAGATGAGCAAGAGCTTTTCGAGTGGCGGGAATATTCCTCCTCTCCCTTTCGCGTGCCTCCCTAATCTTCCCTGCATCTTCAGCTTCAGTCTCTCGTTTGCGGTATCAACGCACAAATCCCACGAGGTAGGCAACCACTGCAGTAAATTGGCCTGTTCCGCTGGACGCACACGACGCTAGAGGCGCGATCTCTCTCCTCGAGTCTAGACTCGTCGTATCATCGGCAGCCTAGATAAAAATGCAAGGCCACCACACATCTGGCTGCCTTGGGCTTCAACCGGCGATGTAGTCGTCTATGGCTCACCGCGTGGGCTGATGTTTTGCGTTACACAGATGCGTCATTGACTACCCCAAACTAGGAATCCTTGCAGCCGCCATTCACACCTTCTCTGGAACCTCCAGACAAGGAACAGAAGAACGCATAGATTCCTCTTCATCCCGCGCGTGTGTAGCGGGACAGGCGGTGCTGCGTTGTGTCATTTTGCACCACAAATGGACGCCACGTTCGACTCATCTTGGGCCCAGACCATCACAGCCATACACAGAAGGGAGATGTGGGAAAAAAGACCAAGGACTTTGAAGGTGAGACAAACCGACTCGACTCGACTCACATATCGGAATACGTTGGGCATGAATTTGGAATGCCCGTTGCCAAGCGCCATTGGCTGCATTCATCTTTTGCCAATTATGCCTCGACTCCCGCTTTTTGACTTGGGGTCATTTGCTGCTGGGTGAAGCAGGTCCAGACGGGGGCATATCACGCCGGTCGCGCGGGAACCTGCCACTGCAGGCAGAGCACGCTGGTAAGAGAGAAGAATGCATGAGATACCGAATCCGCGTCCGGTAGGAACTGGTGTCCGGCAGCATTCGGTGGACGTTTTGAGTCTCGCGAAGTGACCCTAATATACTTCCGGGAATGGTGGGTCAAGGGGATTTGACAGACTTGATTATCAAAACCATGAAATGCGGAAAGAACATTCTGCACATATTTGAACGTTCATTGCGAGTGGCCATGACAGCTGCAAGGATTGATACGAGCCCCTCCACGATGAAGCGACCCAGCCTCACTCTAACCAACCACTGAGATAACGCCACGCTATTGTGGCCGACACAGCAACTGAGGGAGGACGCCATTAACTGGGTCAGTGTCAATGCGGTCTTGAGGCTCTGCACCAGAACAATAGACGGTGTGCGTGATGGGTATTTCTGTCGCGACTTGGTTTGTTCCCTCTCAACTTTTTTCTCTCCCTCCATAGCAAATGCTAACCCGCCCACCTGCTGACCCTCGAATTGGCCGATTTGGGGGTTAGCCATGGATCAAAGACAAAAGGAGATCTATGCGCAGTCAGCATTCCCGTTGGTCCTCGATTTTTCTGTATACTAACGCGGCAAAAAGATTGCACCAAAGCGAGAGGGTCGACTTAGTTGTCGGTGGGCGCGATACACCAACCGAGGCATTCCCCTTCCCGCGAGATTTCCTCAGCCTACGGTCACGGAGGTTTCGCGAGATATTAAAGCAGCAGGAAAAGAGCGTCGAGATTCTCGACACTCTGCCGCAGACGATGAAAGACTTTATGGTGTGGACCTTCTCACTCAAGCCACGGATCCTAGAAGGCGCGACTTTCGAAGAAGTTGCCCGGCTTGGGATCTTTGCCTGTCAATATCAGATTCCGGCTCTCAGCAACCAGGTGACGGACCAAATTCGGGCCAATCTCGCCAGTGGCGAGTGGCGTCTACAGTCTTCAATTGTAAATGACATTTACAAGGCCGCAGCCTCTGGAAGTCCACTGCGAGAAGTGATCCGAGCGGCCTTGGGTCAAATAGTGCGACCACCGGGTGAGGGCGAGGGCGAAGGCGAAGGAGGAGTTCCAGAAGACTGGGAAGAGACGTTTAAAAATAACCCGGACCTAGGCTACGACTGCTTCCGCGTGTCTAGAGCGGTGAAAGACTCGGAATGGACCTCTGACTATCTGTCCAAGGTTTGTCGATTTCACGATCACCAGGGCGTGTCTCACCAGTCGGCCGGTTGTGACGGGTGCCCGTATGCCGAGTGGGAATGTTATCCAGCTGGTGAACAGGATGACGTGAATGGGCCGACGGATGAGCAGGAAACAGTCCACGAGGCGAAAGAGGCTAATGGTGTACATGACGACTTGAACACGAACGGAGTCACCGATATGCCAACAGAGTCGGCTCAGGCGGAGAATGTCGTCGACGGAATAAACGGAACAGCCGAGAAGGCAACAATGACCCATCGACTGAACTGGGCTGATGACTCGGAGGCAGTGATGGATGAAGAGACCAAGCCTGTCGCTGCAGAAACTTTCGTCGATGATGCCGATGGCTCGGTGGTCCCCGAATCAATTTCCGGGGATGAACCTCAAGCAATGGGACTAAATGGTACCATGCTCGGGAAAGTGGGCGGGTCCCCGCCGGAAAAGCCGCAAGTGGATTTGAAAGGCCAGAAGAATCAGAAGAAAAGGAGGAACAGAAAGAATAGCAGCGCTGTTTGAAAGGGCTCGGGTTGGAGAGAAACTCGTGTGGAACAGATCGAAGAGTTTGGCAGGGGTGTGTTGGCAGACAGTGGCATTCACTCTTTTCATTTGGACCTTGATATTGCATTTGTTGTTTGGAAGCATTCGCTGGTTATGTTCGAGGATAACAAAATGGCAGGCAGGTTAGGTAACTGGAGGTCCACGGCACTGTTCAACATTTGTGATGGTTATGACTTATCATCAGAAGGGGGCAGCGAGGGCCGGCTTTCTTCGATCGGATCAGAAGGTACCCCAGGGCTCTTTTCCTGCATTTGCATGCTTAGGTCGTTCGAATAATATTGCAACCCATCAAATCCGTCGTTAGGCTGTTGCATTTACCTCAAATGGAATTTTTTCGTTCGAATCCGGTGCGGTTGCAGATATTTCGGAATATCTTGATCGCTCGCTCAGTATGTACTGTCGGCTCTGGTGGTCAGCCTCTAGGTATGAATCTTCGACGGTGATGGAGTGGAATGAGATGCTGTGAGGAGCACCACAATGCTCATACGAAGTCCTGGATGCCAAGATATATCCACGTGACAAACGTCGAGATCAAACGCTGATGGAAGGAGAAACTCCTTTTCTAACCGAGGCACCTAGCTCTTACAGCGGACAACATTTTAAACACGAGAACTTGTTCTGAGGCCCTCCTATTGTACTATCTATCACCCCGCTGTCGCCTCCGACTGCCTTCTATGACTTATCTTTCGCCCCGACGCCAACACTGATCTCGACAATTGCTCCTGGTAAGTTGCCATTCCCAAACTTCTCGACATGGACCTTTATAAACAAGCTGACAACTTGTATGACTCGCAGTTGCCTCGTCGAAAGAACAAGGGGAAGAAGCCGGCTTCGACTCAATATTGACGACTCGAGTTCAGGTACTAGTAAGAGCGCCTTCAGCTGTAAGGAGTCTGGAGGCGTCGTCTGGAGTTAGCTTCGAGCGTCCCGACGGTCTCGATTCAGCTTGGGTCACCCTTCATGACTCCCTTGTGCCAATATAAGTTTGGTTAGAACTCGTCCGGCATCCGATCACGAGTCGAACGTGACCGGCAAGCAAGAGCCACACCTGCATTTCGAGTTCGAGCTGGTGAGAACCTCTTGGCTCCATAGCCATCAGTCTCTGAAGTTTGCTCCCCCCCCCCCAAATGGTTAGCTGTATCTATGCAGCGACCCTCCAGCCTGATGATGATAATGGGCAAGCTCAACCTCGTAGCCGTCAAGTTGCCTTCTGTCGTTGGCCATGGCTACCTCGAGACAGAGCATCCTCCACCCAGCGTTCACACGCTCCCGGTCCTCGTCGACATTCCACATGGATCCTGTTCCTGTCATCGACCTTATCAGCGGCATTGCTGCGCTTACCTAGTCGCTGGATAATAGCTTATCAGGCCTGATTGACTTCATCAATCATTCTCGGAGGGTAGATGAGACCGTCCAAAGCTTCCACGAGTTTCGGAGGGGACGGTGGTTCAACACTTGCACGAGAACCTCCGGCTTCTTGTGGGGCTGTGCGGAGCCCGTCAAATGTCGGTAGCTGCGTGTCAACGATCGATGCAAGGCTTCGGAACTGCATTCCCACTCGGCCGTCGTCCGCTGGAAGCAGCAACTATCTCCGACATATGTGGCTCCAGAGACGCTTGCATCATGACAGAGATACCATAAGAGGGATCCAAGACCAGATTCAGATCAATACGTCCATCATCAATATGGGTTTCAATTTCCTGATCTTTGTTAGTTTCTCAACGCCAAAGTATGCACTAGAACCGTAGTGTCGAAGTCAGAGAAAGCTTCCAAGCACATAAAGCGTTGTTCGCTGCCGCCACTCGACAACGGCGCAGATCCCAACCCAAGAAATGGCCGGTATTTTTGCCCGTCGAGGAGATTGTCCATTACATTGACGGAGGAAATCGCATAGAGGCGTGAAAATACCCATGTCGAATGGGAGTTCTTTCGGGGTGAGCACCTACAGAGGACCCGGATGATTGCAAGAAAGGATCCCCTTTCTTCAAAACCAGATCGATTGAGACACTCCCATCTCTACCGGCATACGAGCAATACTATCGCTATAATGGCGTTGACGTCCTATATGCACGAAGATACAGTTAAAGATCAGCATAGACGCCATGAACAAGTGCTGAAGAGAGTGGTGGACTCCAAGGGTGGATGTGTCTTTCGCGATACTCTGGATCAGATGAACCTGGGCCTTGAATATCCTCACTGGCCTGTCTCTGCCGATACGCTTTGCTATGTCGTAAAGAAAGGGGATGTCGACATGCTTCAAATTTTTTGTCGACAAAAGTCAACATCAATGCACGGACTCTAGCGGCCGGGCTGCCATACATCACGCTGCTTACACGGGGAATATCCATGATGAGTTTGTGATTCTACACGATGCTGGCTTAGATAAAAATGTCAAAACAACGGCCTTTCGCAATACGAGTAAACATGAGGCCGGAGACACTGCATTGAGGTTGGCGTTCCGACACAGGGCAGAATGCGAAGCTCAATTGACCGAAGATTATGGTGAGAATGTGCTTAACTTTGCGTGCACGTGGTGCTTCGAGAGACGTCCGACCGGGCGACGGGTCGGTCCTCAGGCGTCTTCGGTGAGGAATGTACGACGGCGTTGATGTGTGGTTCGAAACATATATGTATCGCCGGATTGGCATCCTATTGGCATCCTAGCGGTCGTTGTATCGACTTGCATTTACAGGTGGCAATATCAAGCTGGAGAATATCCCAATCATGAGATATGTTGTCACAATGGTATTACCCAGTGAGTGCCTAGGACTGAAGAAGAGCGTTAGCAAGAGAACGTCGTTCAAGGCGGCAGAGCAGACAACCCTTCATCATTCCTGAACTGGTAGACCCATTGGGCTGCCTAAGCGAAGGTTGGTGAACGGATCTGCATTCTTTTTCCCGCATCATAGCTCGATCCACATGGCGATTCAAATACTTTTTTCAGGTATCTTCTCTCGTATCTTTTCTCAGCTCCGACATGCTGAATTATTAGGTCAAAGACGGAACTACGAACCAATGATACAGGCGCCACTGACCCCGAGGCTGTACCAGGAGCCCACAAAGTGCAAACACAGCAGTCGTCACCGTGGTCAATGACCGACCTATCTTGTGTATATTTTGGGTACGGTTCGAATTCGTCACCCCGAATAATGAAACAATGCTGTCCGGACTCTCTGTACACCGGATTGGCCGAGTCGAAGGATCGGAAAGGGACCATCAATGAAATAAGATATGCCAACATTATGCATTTTCCAGGAGATGTCACCTAGGGAACCTCGTGCATTCCCAGCAAACGAGACGAGATGGCGCTAGGTGAGAGTGAAGGCGTTCTCTGGTTGTATGAAAAGAGGGCTCTACCGGGGAAGCGCGTGCCGAACAATGCCAACCGATTGGGCCGAGCCCGGAGATGTTCAAGTCTAGCCATTACTTATGTGGATGTGCAGAAGAAATCCATGGGCAAATTCGAAGGCGAATACGTCGTGTGGGTAAACAAGGCAATCGAGGATAGTCCCAAGTGCGGCATGCCTCGATCGTATGTTGAAAAGTATTTGGGACCATTCCTCCCGACGGGCGATAGGAAGTTGGAAGATGACAAGGTTGGGCTTGTACCTAGAGGGCTTGCCAGTTGGTCGAGGGGATAGAGGACATATTCCTCACAATCTGGGCAGGACCAAGATTGAATCGTCTGCGATAGAATTCGTAGCGTGAATAGTACACACTTTGGAATGGTTATATCAACATTCCGCGCTGTGATGAGGCCAAAGATATGAAGCTAAACCGAATACGGAACAAAAGTCAATAAACCACCCGAATAACGCGCTCGGTCCGGCTATTCAGTCACGTTGAAGCACCGCCCCTGTCGATAACACAGCAAATTAGAATATGACCAAGAAGCACTTCGAGCAGTAGCAGGAATTGGGAGATCGCAATATTTTGACATGCAATCTTAGGGTTCAGATTTCCACCACACACCGTCCGATATGTCCGGGCACGAAACCATCCTCGAGGACCCCATCACCCCTGCCCCCTTATTCGCATATCGAGCGATCAGAAGCATGTTCTTTGCATCCCCCGATTCTTCCCCGGAGCATGAAAATAAAGAGAATATTGCTCCTCCTTCACCCATGAGATCGAAATTTTTAGTGGATGGACCGGTGCAGTTGACGCCGTCGCAGAAACGCAAGTGGGACAGTCAAGGCACTGTTTTATCGCCGACGAAGGGCATTCTAAGGACACCAGGCCTTCCTACTCCCCGGGCGAAATATTTGAGAGATATCAATGTGAAGTTCAAGAGCCTGAGCCCGGAAGCGGTGGACAAGACAGCAGAAGCTCCGAAGCCTGAGTATGCTACTCTCAGCCAGGGCTCGTCCGTGTCGACAGAAGCATCACCAGCAATTCGAGCCTCAAAGCCGATGAAGGAACTTACGTTCTCGAAGAAAACGCACTCGTCACAGCCCAAGTCAGACAAGCAACCAATCATCTCAGCGCCCAAGGAACCCCCATCTACGTCGGCACCTACCATTGTCACCGCCACGACAGATGTGCTTTGCCCATCCCAAATCCACGCCTATGTTCAGCAGACAGAAAGAGAAGTCAAGAGATTGGTTCGGTATGGGCAGAAGATGCGAGAATATGCGCGCAAAAAGGACGCCGAGAACCAGGAGCTAAAATATACGATTGAACAACTACGCAAGGAGAACGAGAGATTGAGAAATGAAAATAGAAGTGTCGGCAGAGCGAATTTGGAGGCGAAGCATGGGGCACGGGAAAGGGATAGGAATCTTGCTGCTGTGGGAGTCAGTCGAGGGGATGTGGGTGAAGAAGTCGTTAGACACCAGGCCCAGGCCGGGAACGCGGTACCAAATACTTGGTCATGTCGGACAACAGGTCCAGATACCGACGTGGACACGCGGCAGAAACCATCTTCGTCAACCCTCAGATCCAGCACTCAGCCTGGCAGCGCTTCGTCGTCTGTCGAACCTCAGGTTCGGTCCGACCTCGCTCCTCCGACACAAGCAATCCGACCAGCTAATAGTGTCGGTTTAGGAGTCGGGACATCAACTTCAACAGGCACAGCAATAACCCGCCTCCCGCCGGACCGTGAGGCTGCGGCACGTGAAAGGTTGCGCCGGCGCATGGAGGTGAGAAAAGCGAGCACCGAGAACGACAAACTGAATCAGAAGACCCAGACTATTGTCGACACTGGGCAGGGTTCACAGACGTTGAACCATGAGGTCCAGAACCAGAGCCAAGACGTGAGCCAGGTGGATTGGGTGAATCTATGAAAGCCATACCTGGTCTTGTTATAATATACCCTGCATGACTGTCTCAAACAATGTTGGCCTTGGGTCTTGTCAGGATCCATTCGTTTGAACAGTGACAAGTACAGAAAGCAATGTTCGGTAGGACCACAGTACAGAATCAGACGTATTATCCAAGAAACAGAAGGAGATTCATTTCAGACCGCTTGAATTTTGGGGTTTGGGGTGGTGGGCGTGAACACCTGAATATCTATCGGCTAGCTTTTCTTCTGTCTCTTTGCTTGTCCAGATTTGAATCATCAAGACCATACACGTCGGGCATTCCTGCCTCACTTTGCGGGTGTTGTTGGGGACATCAGAGGTCAGGGACTGGATATCAGCCTAGAGTCTCCACCCGATCCACGGGCGGCGGCTTCTGCTCCTCGGACTGCGAACGAACCTGTGTCTCAGCACGTTCTTTCTGCGCATTGGCGGCTGCTTTGCGTTTCTTCTCTGCTTCTTCTTTTTCGCGCATCTTGATGGATGAGTAGTTCAGGGCCGATATGATCATGACTAGAAAAATTTTTGATCAGTTACGTTTGTGTTTGCATACACGAGTGGTGGGTTTAGGGGATGAGGTGGAAGGAGAAAAGGCAGGGAAAATGGTGACTGTGCTTACAGGCGCACACTCCAATGGCAAAAGCCGCCCGACGGGTTAATACCCATCGTAAACCCTCGACTTCGCTTTTGGCTTCACTGTTCAGAAGCACGGTGATTTCGTAGTTTAGTTCGGAGATTTTGCCGTCAATCTTGCGTTTTTCCTCCTGCAGACCTAATTTACGATCGTTGAACAGCCCCTTTAACTCCTCGCGCAGCGTCATGAGATCCTGCGTGAACTTCTGATTGAGAATATCAAATTCGTGCTGTAATTGGGCTCGTTGGCTTCGCTGCTTTAATGTCTCTGAATGCCGCGTCGTTTGCAAAGTGGTTCGCAGCTCAGAGCACGCGGCGCGGAACAGATACGATTCGTTCTCGATGTCGGATTTGGAGACGAGTCCCTCTTTTGCCACGTCCAGGTTCATGGCAAGCATTTGCCGGATGGCTTTCATGAGGGTCGTGGCTTGTTCTACGGTATATGCATCCTTGGCCGCCAATTGTTGCACCAGAGAGTATGTGTCAAAATGATGTTCATAGGGCGGAGGTTCGAGATGTGGATGTCTGTGTGTATCTTTGCCTTTGGCCTCGGAGGGAGAGGGGACTGATAGCACAATGTCGAGCTCTTTTGTCCCCAATAGTTCTCGCTCTTCAGATTTGGCCTTGTCGTCTTTCATCGATGTTTCTCCCACACAGTCGGAGGTAGTATTCGACTCTTGCGGCACATCTTGCCCAGTATTATCTTCCGTCGCTGCGTCTTGAGAAGACTGTGCTTGTGACGACGAGGTCCCCTTTTTCTGTTCCTGCTCTTCTTTGGGTGTCAATGGCTCCGATGGCTTTGGAGGGGGAGGAAAATTCTGGGTGGCTGCCTGTCCGTATCTCTGTGGGATTGTTTCCTGGTGCCTTCTAGCAGAGGTGTGGAATTTCGCTTTGCGGCTGGATTTTGTCGTGGGAGGTGCTCGAATCGATCGGTAAGTTGTCGGCTCGCAAGCACGCACCGCGCGGAAGAAATTGGGGTATAGAAAAGGCAGCCGCGGAGTCGCCATTCCTATTCACTGAAGGTGAAGCCCTTGCTTTCGACACCGAGGTGTTATTGTCGCTCGGGGTGGAATTGTTCATCTGGATAATTAGTGGTGAATCGTGCCAGTCCGGTTATTGTTGGCAGGTGTCGGGGAAAGATATCCTGACATCCTCGGAGGAAAGTATAGCCGATTCCGTTTCTTTCGTCCTCGTTTAATTGTTGCATTTCAAGGAAACATCTCAAAATGTCCTCTTCCAGCCAAGCACCTATCGAAAGCTTTGTAGTCGGTATGCGAATTTCCTATTCCCTTGACCTCTTTCCAAAGCTCTCTCCTTGTCGCAAGCATTGCTGTGACTGACCAAATGACTGATTGAAACGTTTGGTGGACATAGATGAACGTCGCCACGTGCGGAACATTGCGAGACCCGCAATTGGCGAAGAATACACACGCGACACCGTGATCAGAGAACAATCGGTCAACCTATTAAATGCAGGGCGCTGCTTGCCTACAGGTCATTGCTTGAGGGGTCTTGGAGTCACTGTCGAGGCATTTGAATGATGCGATTGGCACGGATGGGACAGTAAAATCATGTGAATTTCTCAACAAGCGCAGCCTTCCACCCAAACTCTCCCACAGAGATAGAGTCTGCCATTGATTGGATCGGGTCCCACCAGCCTTTCCTTATTCGCGTCATGAGTACCGCATCGTGACGATCATCGTGATTTCAAATACTTCACTTGCACATCCCAGGTAGCGGACTTTTGATCGGCCTTGTATTTTCAAGTAGGAATTGCCACCTACCTCGAAACAAGCGGGAAGCTAGGATGCAGGAGGAGTTCAAGAGGCAAGATTTCAGCTATGTTAGCGAGCAAGAGATCAATGTCTGTCAAATTGGGACCAACTAGGCATGCCGATTCGGATTGTCGGGCTTCGGAACTTGAAACAAGGTTTTGGCAACAAAGTTCCAATAAGGTAAGCATATTGGTGGCATCCATTTCTTCTGGGACGACTTTCTGAAGAGTTTCGATTCAGTTATACTGTATCAAAATGACCTTTGGTTCATTTGGCATTGAAAGGTCGAGGATAATTTCCCGATCCGTCTCAAGCCAATTGTTTTGGACGTGCCGGCGAGACGGGGAGATTTCGAATGGGAGGCCAAGAGACATTGCGGAAAGGACTCGGAGTTTGGTATCGACAAGGCGGAAAGATAATCTCCCGCGAACAGTTGTCTGGGCGGAGAGGAAAAGATACAACGGTGTATAGTCTCAAGGGGTGATTTATCTCGCCGTGCGTATCTTAGAGACAATCCGAATGCACATGTGGGATGTCACCGCGGAAAATTCACCACAAGTCGGAATGTACACATGATAGTACGAGAATCGCCCAAGCCCTTGTTAATGTGGGTGAGTAGAGAAAGGCCCAAGAGGGTGCTTGCTCGCGATGGGGCCTGTGTTCGGTTAAACGTTTCAGCCAACCCGATGTCACTGGTTGAAGGCATTGGAATAGTACCTGAATTCCCCCATCCGGCTCCCCACATGCTCGCTCGACGTCCCCGAGTTTCCGCCTTTTTCTACCAGAATAGTCAATCTGTTTACACCCGAAACTGCGGACTGGATTAGACCCGTGTCCGTCGGGAGAGGTACCAGCTTTGCTCACAGCCTCTTCACCCTTTCCGAAGGACGGAAAAGTGTTCCAAAAAAGTAATAATCGAGCGAGCAAAGGCTAAAGTGCATTACGGTCCTCGTCTTTCTATTCCCCGAGCGATGGCCGTAGCTATGCGGTCCTCCTCCATCCCGTGTGGTAGTAATCGAATTGGGTCAGCATTGATGCGCATGACCATGAATTTATTCGACGATGTTCCGAACAGATGAGGAGAGGACTGGACAGGGATGATTCGGAGCAAGAAGAGTTCAGGGATGGATCAAACCTCGAGCAGCAACCTCCACTGCTCCACGATGATGAGGTAGAAGTATCAAGTGCCGTCAGAGACCCCCGTCTGGGTTGTGCATGAGGGTGCGAAGAGTCTGAATGCTGCATTGGATGAGCGCGGGCGGGAGAGGTGGGGCAAATGAGGGAGGAGGAGGGTTTGAGGGAAAAGACAAAGACAGTGCTCCGCAAAGAAGAGGGGTGAAAAGGATGATGTGAAGAAAAAGATTCGTTGATGTGTGGTAGTGGGCAGTGAGGAAAGAGAAAATCTAGATCAAGGAAACGTTATAAGAGTTGGCGTTTTTCTGTTTTCTCCAACGATCAAAGTCAGTGATTGATTTGATTCTGCTGCACCTCAATTGAGACTTCGATTTATTTCTGTCTGATACAGATTTCCGTGCAGCCCTGTGAGGTACGTACCCCTCTCTCCATCATCTGCTGGTTTCGGGGAAAACTTTTTGAGCTGCGGGTGCCGCTGCCAATGCTTTCCTACTGTTCGTTTGCAACATGTACCACCTCCATACTGCACATACCTGAACGATACATTCTCTCTGCCGGTCCATCTCCCATGTCCCATCCACATCCCACTCTCGTCTTTCCCCTCTTCTTCTCCTCTCCCATCATAATCCTCCCTCCATCCTCCCAAGCGAGGCCAGCTCCTTGCCCCAGGTCCACCGTTTGTCGACATGTACTCCGTCCCGGTGGCCGTCCCGGTGGCTGATGTCTGGTACTCAAAACCCCCCCCCTTTCTCCCGCTAGTCTGTCATCTCCCGAAACTAATTTGCTAGTCTTCTAGGAAAAAGAGAAAAAGGTATCCTCCAGGCTCAAAGCTCTGCCGGCATCGTACTAGAGCTATCACCGCTGCTCATCTCAAGTCATTGAAAAAAAAAAAAAAAAAAAAGAATACTTTACTGCCGGTCCAACCCTCCCAGACCTGTATTCAACCTTCAGTCTCTTCTCTCACCCTCAGTGTCGTTTATCCGTCTGTCTTCATAATGGTATTTGCCCGTGCTGTTGCGCGTTCCTTGCCGCGTTCATCCTCTCCCCTCTTTTCAGCCTCCCCGCATTTTGCTCGTCGTGCTGCTACACCCTCCATTCGTTCCTCCATTGCCAAACGCACACTGACGGCGACTGCTTCTCGTCAGGGCAAAGTTCTTCTCGTCCTCTACGATGTACGTTCAACCTCTCCTCTCCTTCTACCTCGTTTTGCTCTTTGCCTAACAAGCAGCAGGGCCATGAGCATGCCAAAGAGCAACCCCGCCTTCTCGGTACCACAGAGAATGAGCTAGGCATTCGAAAATGGCTTGAAGATCAAGGACACACATTGGTCACCACCTCAGACAAGGAAGGTGAAAACTCCAAATTTGACCAGGAATTGGTTGATGCCGAAGTCATCATCACCACTCCGTAAGAGCTCACCAGAAGAAACATAGCTGCAGAGGGAGAAACTCCCGGTGCTGATACTGTTTTCTCAGCTTCCACCCCGGTTACCTCACCGCCGAGCGTCTGGCCAAAGCCAAGAAGCTGAAGATTGCTGTCACTGCTGGTATCGGCTCTGACCATGTGGACTTGAATGCGGCCAACAAAACCAATGGCGGCATCACGGTCGCTGAAGTTACCGGCAGCAACGTCGTCTCAGTCGCTGAGCATGTGGTCATGACCATCCTCGCCCTCGTCCGCAACTTTGTCCCTGCTCACGAGCAAATCGAACGAGGAGACTGGAATGTCGCTGCTGTGGCCAAGAACGAATATGATCTTGAGGGCAAGGTGGTGGGTACGGTTGCCGTGGGCCGTATTGGGGAGCGTGTGCTCCGCCGCCTCAAGCCTTTCGACTGCAAGGAACTTTTGTACTTCGATTACCAACCACTCAAACCGGAAGTGGAGAAGGAAATTGGCTGCCGACGGGTTGAGGATCTTGAGGAAATGTTGGCTCAATGTGACGTTGTCACCATCAACTGCCCTCTCCATGAGAAGACTCGCGGACTGTTTAACAAGGAGTTGATCTCGAAGATGAAGAAAGGTAGGTCGCGATCACACTGGCTCTCTTGAATCTTCTTCTTGAAATCCAGTCTAACACCATCTTAACAGGCTCTTGGCTCGTCAACACCGCCCGCGGCGCCATTGTCGTCAAGGAAGACGTTGCAGAGGCTCTGAAGTCCGGCCACCTCAACGGCTATGGTGGTGATGTGTGGTTCCCTCAACCGGCACCAAAGGAACATCCTCTCCGATATGCGAAGAACCCCATGGGCGGTGGCAATGCCATGGTTCCTCATATGTCCGGTACCTCGATCGATGCCCAAGAACGTTACGCCGCAGGTGTCAAGTCTATCCTCGAGAGCTACTTCTCCGGCCGTCACGACTACAGACCTCAAGATCTCATCTGCTATAAGGGTGATTATGCCACCAAAGCCTATGGCCAGAGAGACAAGAAGTAGATGGGCGGGAGTCCGGGGATTTTACCAGAGAGACGGTCGAGATGAGAGGTGAATATCAGGCGAGGTGAGGCTGTGCATGAAGAGATGAAGTTGAGTGCAAATATGATAACAGAAGCTTCCAAGCATCAAGTCGCTAAAAAAAAAAAAAAAAGGAAAATAAAAATTTCACAGATACGTGACGACAAGAACGAGTGTGGCATATGGCATTTCTCAGGCAAGTCGAATTGGAACAGTGGTCATTCGTCCTGACCATCTAGCATTTCTGCTGAGGAAGGAAGGAGTACTATACATATACCATCGATAAGTGTTTACGGCCAATGTGAAGGAGTGCAAAAACTTCATTTCGCGTTATCGTCTTGTGACTTGTAAAGCTTCTATGATTTGAGCAGAAGAGATGAATATTTGGAACAGGCAATCCGTGGAGAAAAGTCCCCGTTGTAGCGCATGACGAGGCTGCACTCCTGATCCCATGGCGAGGGTATGTCGGAGCTGCCGCTGGGTGCTACGGGAATCCCTAAGGGAATGTACTGGCGTTAAAAAGCTCCGCATCCGTTGATCGGTGTCTGCGTAAACGATTAAGCGAATGATATCAAGTACCAAAAATGATACTTCGACAATTCTTTGGTGAGACAGCACGTATTCCCACTATCTCGGCTAAATTATTTCTGCCTAAGTAGAACCTGCTGGCTCCAGCGTGCTAAAGCGGTGAGTCAGATGATCCCCGCCCTCGGCCTTGACTACAGTCCTGTAGATCCTCTTCGAAGTATCGATTAATTGAATCATCTCAAGCCGTATGCAAGATCCGAACACAAAATAATTCTCTGATTTTCGTCGCGTTCAAAACCTGACCAACAGAGCGGATATAAGCCCAGCGCATTGGCCGAGAAATCAGCACACAAACTTATAGGCTTTCTTCCACCAATGCCAGGTGGCTTGCTCTGCTCTTTCCTCCGCAAGGATCTGTGTCAGATCAAGTTCTCTTCTGCCACTGGTAACGTCAATGTCCTGGATTCTTTTGAACGACGTTTTCTTCCACACTTTGAACACAATAAAGAATAGCATGACAATAGGCGCAGACAGATAAGCCTCAAACCACGATTGGGTCTGTTCACTGGCAGACATCTCCACATACCCAATAGGGGCAAATCCGGTCCAAAATTGGGCAATAAGGATGAGGATGTTGAAGGTAAGTCCAACCCACGACCCATACACTCCAGGTTGAGCTCTGAAGGCTAGTTCATCGAGTGTACGTCCATGATACTTCCAGGCAGCTCGGAATCGAATGTGGCACGCACAGATTGAGGCCCAGGTAATGATCGATGAGAGTCCAGAGATAGCAAGCATCCAATTGAAAGCCTGAGTTCGAGTATCCGAACCGGCAGCAACGATAAAGCAGAGAAGACCGATGGCGGAAGCCAGAATAATGGCGAACAGAGGACGCCCTACCTGGTCGATATATCCTAAGAACTTCGGGGCTTGTCCTCGGTCCGCCAACGCTGCGAGAGTGCGAGAAGATCCGTAGATAGACGAGTTACCCACGCTCAATACAGCGATAAGGATAACTGCGTTCATGATCGATGGCACGGCGGAAATACCAGCATTCTTCACGGCAATAACAAAAGGAGAGGCATTGGCATCGGCGCTGCTACTTCCATTCAGCAATTCGGGGTCCGTATATGGAACGATGCAGCCGATGATTGTTAAGCTGACCATGTAAAACTGGACACAATTAGGGACATTTTCCTTAAGGGCGTGGACGTTCTGACCAAGGTAATTCGCCAAAACACTTGTTTGACCGCAGTCGGAAGAGATTTGCGAGGATTTTCTGTTTCAGCTGCCGTTAAGCCGACAAGTTCAGTCCCGCCAAATGAGAAAGCCGCGGTGACAAAGGTCGAGCACAAACCCTTGAAGCCGTGGTTGAAAGCTCCCGGCTCATACCAGTATCTGGCTCCAAGATATCCTTGAGGGCTGCCCGGAACCCCCCCAGCGGCAATAATAATGCCGAGAATACAGAATCCGATAACCTGCCAATCGCCCAATCAGCTTGTAGATCGAACGAAAGGGTTCTCATTTGTACATACCGCAATGACTTTGATGATCGAGAAGACAAATTCAGCTTCGCCGTAGCCGCGCACACCGAAGAAGTTGATCAGGACAATAGCGAGCCAGAATATTACGACCCAGGCGGCAGGATTAGCGTCCCGGGCGCCAGGCCAGAACGACAGCGTGATAGAAGCCGCAGTCAACTCCAGAGGTAGGGTGACCAGCCAGTTCAACGCGTAGTTCCAGCCCATAGCAAAACCCCAAGCAGGGTCGATGAAACGGCTCGAATATACTGAAAATGCACCCGCAATGGGGAAAAGCACAGCCAATTCGCCCAGCGCGTGAACCGTGCAATACAGCATGATACCGATCAAACCATAGGCAAGGACCAGAGAAGCCGGGCCTCCTATCGCCAGAGCCGAACCAGATCCCACAAACAGACCAGTGCCTGGAAAGGGTCAGTGTAAGGGTCGTCGAACATAAGAGACGAATATACCAATCGAACCACCAATAGCAATCATCTGCAAGTGTCTTTGCTTCAGTTTCATTGCCAGGGCAGGTTCTGCAGGAGGCTGGTCTTTCAGGGGCCTGCCTTCGTTGTCGGTAGCTTCCGTCACCACTCGAGCATTGGGATTTCTTCGAAAACTCGAAGGTTGAAAGGCAGAGAAAAAGCTCTCATGATATGGAGTGATACTACCCCGACGGAGTTGAGCTTCCCTATCGAACATCGACGGTTGTTGTTTCTCAGCATCAGTGGTGTCTGATTGAGAAGGATTGCCGATTCCATGATGATTTTTCTCGATGTCTTCGGTAGGAGATGAGCTGGTAGAGGCCATTCTGGTATTTCACGCACCGAATCCGGTTGTTGGGGGGGGG